TGAATCGATGATCCTCATGATTCTCTATATGAATGGATCATTGATCCTTCCCGATCTATTTACCATCACGTGACCTCGTCACATGATTTTCTGCCGTCACGTGACCTCGTCACATGCCTTCATGGTTCTCTGTGGTAATGCAACACATTACCCGAGCCTCAGGCCATAAGGTTGGCGTTCGTAACAGAGGTATCTTGGCAACTCCAAGGGCCCTTTGAAGCTTTCCGTGACTAGACTTTTCCGCCCACTCTACGTATTACGAGCTTCAGGATAAGATAACCTAGACTTTTGTACGAACCGCCTGGCTAAATAGGGTACTGGGACAAGCGTCGTTGTTGGGCAGTACCCGATGAGGGAATCTGCCATAACCTGGGAATGGGCTCTCGGGGCCGAGCTCCATTGCTCAACTTCCGTCATCGTTCGGCCCCGACGGGAGACACTATCTTTTTGCCACCAGCGGACTAATCCACGTACTCTAGTCGAAACCCATGTTTATCTTGCCCATGGCCTCGGTTGAGAACCAGTTCTATGGTAACATGCTCCATATGTAATAAGCAAGGCCAACTCTAATGGCAGTGGTACAGTACAGGCCTTATGCTCTGCAAACATAGGATCAAGATATACACAGAGAGACTCTTCAAAAAATTCCGATGTACGAAAACTCTTTCATATAAACGCTAATATACAACTAGAATATCGCCGTGCCGTTGACATGACTCTCCACTCCCCCGGACAGTTCGCCGGGGCCGAGCAAAAGAAGAAGCTCTATCGTCGATGCTTCCTCCTCCGAGCGCGCGTGGTAGTCCTGGGCCCAGCCCGAGCGGATGAAGAGGGAATCTCCCACGTGGATGTCACCGCCTTGGCTCGCGGGGCGGTTGTCCAGGCCCTGGGATCTCCTCCAGGCGGCTAGCTCGCGCAGGGTGATGCCGTGCGCGGTCGCCGAGTCGTAGGCCTGACCGTGGCTCTCTGCGTAGGTTCGATACTCGAGTAGGACTCCTCGGCCGACCATGCCACACCGATCGGGGCTCGTTGTCGGGCCGGTGATGTCCTCCGCTGTGGTGTTGTCGTAATAGACATTGCTCGGCGACGTGTCGAAACCAATCCCACCGAGTGTCGGACTGGCTATTCAGAGTGTATTTGGGCAGCGGTATCTGGGACCCCTACTCCGGCCCCCCACCGCCCACCGCCCACCTCGCCTAAGCAGAATCCCACACCGCCTAGTATCTAGGGCCAAATACCGCCGGCTTTATAATTAGAGTTTATTTTATTAAAAGTAAGTCACGTGCGGAGTCACGTGATAACCTACATAATCTATGAGTGTAAGTAGGCGCACGTGTCAAGCGTCGCCCTAAAACTACCTAGGTATTACGGAGACAGAGTATTACGTTGTGCTCGCTCGGTCTCGGGTAAGTGTTAGTCGTCGTCGGAGCAGTATTTTTTATATAATTCTCTCGGACCCGGGCAACAATACCCAGCGAAGTCTTATGCCCCGTATTCCCCAGATGCTCGCCCTATAGCTCTCGCGGGGAATCACAGGAACGTTGTAGTACTCGATGTTGAACGGAATCCCTTCCTCGCCTGGAATCCCTTCCTGAATACACTATCGCCGGTATCGGGCCCGACATTGCCTCCCATAGGTGTAAGATATAGGTATATAGGATAGAGTACTTGGAGTTATATACAACTTGTAGACAGTCAGGTACACTCTCACGTGCGAGTAGCCTCCAGAGGGGTAATCTAGGCTAACCTAAGCCTTTGCAACTCTATACCACGCGGTATTCAACCTTCAACCCCGGAGCCAACCATGCCGCCTTTGAACGGCTTCTCCGACAACCCCCTCCGCACTCGAGAGCAGGTTGTGCAAGCCGCCAAAGCCATCATCCAGCCACTCAGCGCCTACACCTCGTCCGGCCACAGTCGTGTCAAGCTTCCAGTCAGTTCCGGCACGCTGTACGACGAAAATGCCGCCCAGCTCGAGGGCTTTGCACGGCCGCTGTGGGTGGTGGGAGCTCTGCTTCGGTGCCGTGAGCCGGAGGAAGAGCTCACGGCCAACCTAATCGCCGGCCTGAGCAACGGAACCGATCCAAACCATGATGAATACTGGGGAGATGTGGGGGATATGGATCAACGCATGGTTGAAGCAGAAACAATTTCCTTCACCCTCTTGGCAAGTCCGCGAGACCTACTCTGGGATAGGCTCGGAGAGCAGGCTCGGTCGAATATTGCCAGGTGGTTCTCACAGCTAAACGGCAAGGACCTCCCCAAGGTAAATTGGCTCTGGTTCCGTGTCTTTACCAATCTCGTGCTCATACGCATGTGCGACCTTGACACGGCAGAGATTCGAAGCCAGATAAAGATTGACCTCGAGCATCTCGACACCTTTTACTTGCGGGACGGGTGGTCTAGCGACGGGCTATGGAGAAGTCCCGAGCTCGACGACAAGGAATGGGAGTTATTCAAGGAGACGGGAACAGTGCACAGCATCAAGCCGGACCGCTGCGCAGACTATTACTCTGGTAGCTTCGCCATCCAGTTCAGCCAGCTGCTGTATGTGCGGGTTGCGGGGGACCTGGATGCGGAGAGAACAGAGCGCTATCGCCAGCAAGCGCGAGACTTTGGGGCACAGATTTGGAGGTATTTTGATGCCAAAGGTAGTGCTGTAGCGCCCGTCGTCCGTGGACGCCAGGTGTGCTAACGGTATCTCAGGTGCGGTGATACCCTTCGGTCGATCACTCACATATCGCTTTGCATGCGGCGCCTTTTTTGCTGCGCTTGCGTTGGCCAAGGTTCCCGACTTGCCATCGCCGCTGGATAGTGCAGGTGCCGTCAAAGGCTTCCTTCTACGACACTTGCGATGGTGGGCCCGGAACTCGAGGGATATATTCCATACAGACGGGACATTGAACCTCGGGTGGACGTATCCGTAGATCCCTCCTCCTCGATCGATGCAATGACGGCGAGCTAATGCATTCAAAGGAACATGTATCTGACAGAGGACTACAACTCGCCTCAATCCGTGTACTGGGCCATGAAGACCTTTGTTGCAATAGGATTGCCCTCGACGGACCCTTTCTGGACTGACCCAGAAACGGATTATCCTGAAGCTCCTTTATCATCCGTCTCCCTGTGCCGCGCCTCGCGACAAATTATTTGCAACCGGGAGGGCAGACACCACTTTCTCCTATCACCCGCACAATTTACATCGTTGCAATGGAAAGGGGGGCAAGCAAAGTACTGCAAGTTCGCCTATTCGTCGGCTTTCGGATTCTCTGTCCCCACAGGACAGGTGTCGCTACAGCAGTTGGCTCTAGACAATGCTCTTGCGTTGAGCAGGGACGGCAAGCAGACGTGGGCAACCAAATGGAAATGCAGAGAGCCAACATTCGGGACCTGCAGAGTGCTTGGGGCTGTTCTGGAGGAACTTCCTGTGGCAATGGTTGTGTGGTACCCGTGGGAGGACCGAAGCATCACGGTCAACACCACCTTGATTCCTCCGTCAGCACGCTGGCCAGACTGGCACACCAGGGTGCACCGAATCAAGATCAATGATAGAAGAATATCTATACTGCATCTAGTGGAGGGAGGATTTGCTATACAGGCACCACGAAGGAGAAGTGGCGTAATATCGCCTGGTCTTAGTCGTCTGCCGGTTTTTGGCAGCCACAAAAGCGCAAGCGATGAGGAATTTTTCATGGAAACAAGTGATGCAACTCTCGTTGTATCTGAAGCTGGAGCGTCTGGCTTGTGCGTGGAGGTCCAGCATGAAAGGGGGACGGCAACCGTCTCAGCATTTCAACCAGAGGCAAACACCAATCTCATAGCCCCACGGACCCTGATTCCGCTTGCAGAGCACAGCGTCCGTCGATTAGAGCCGTCTGAGGAGCTACTTGTTGTTTCAAATATTTTTGCCATTCCGACACAGATCTCACAGGGCAGGTGGAAGCACGGAGAACTGGCAGATCGATGGGAAGACCGCCCCGTGGTACAGCGGCACAGTGTTGATAGAGCGGGCAGTTCTGATTACATAGCTCTATCTGATTAGAATACAGTAGTTTGATTCGACATCTCATCAAATGATACAAATGATACATTGGGTCCCTACAAGGCCACTCTATCATCTTGTGCCAGGGATCTCAGCTCTGGTCCCATCCACCTTCACCTCCCACCCAACCATTGTTCATTGGTGGGGGAGGCATTTGCGATATTTGAGTTGATATTGGTTCAAAATTGAAATCATTAAAGGTGATAACTCGGTCCATCTCAATGAAGCGCTGGTCTGTTAAGCTTTGAAGGATGCTGGGTAGCTCGTCCGATTCGCCGCACATGGCGCTCGCGGCCCCTGGTGCCTGAATTGTAGAAGTCCAGTTTCCTTCGCCAGTGTCACCTGATGAAATGGCCCCTGGTGTAGTAATACCAGCAGCGTGAGAGGATGATGTCGGCGATTTCCCAAGTTGGGGCTGCGTTGTGAAGTCTGCCGGTCGAACGATGACAGCGGGCTGGGAACCGCTGTTGGCGCCGGGGGGAAAGTGGAGGTGCCGTACAGAGTTCCGTGTCTGTTCTTCATTTTCGTTCGATCCTCGATGCAGTGACCCGATCACTGAGACAGTGAAGTTTGGATCACTGAGGCTTCGATGTCTCAGCTCTTCAAGATGCATCACGAACTGTGTTGAAAGGGAAGGAGATGGGTCGTGCTCTCGAAACCCCGACCACCGTCTTGCAATGTCTCGTAAAGCGTCTAGCAGTACCTGGAATCGACAATCCAGCTCGGTGTTATAGTATCTAGCTTGTACTACTGCAATGTTAGAACCACAACCAGAAGCTTAAGTCCGGGGAGACCAACCTAGCAGCACCCGGGCACTGATATACGCGCAGAATGAAAAGAAAGGGGAGAGAGGCATGTGCTGCGGTGCATGCAGGAGGTATTTACTGGTGATGTTTGCCGTCTCAGCCGCTGCCGATTGACACGTCTCGGCACTGTATGTGCTAGGAAGCTTGATATACATAAGCTCCGGCTCTGGGTATCCAATCCGCTGGTGAAGAAGAATCATAGATGTATTATGGGTGATATGGGCTAGGGTCATGTTCGGGTCCAAGGCGGTGGTTTCCTCCGGAGGGACGTTGGGATCTCTCCATTTCGGAGGAAGAAACATCTTCCAGCTATATCGCAGTCCTGATTAGAAACCCCAGTGCAAATTTCGTCACAGCGGAAAGATGCGGGCGAAACTTACTGAACTAGACGAAGGTCGAGCTCCTTGAATCTCATAAGCCAGTTAGATACCTCTTGGTGGTTACTGAAGTCGATCTTTTGCTGTAAAAAATACATGTTAATCCTACATAGCGACTCTAGGGACTCAATGTAGTACGCAAAAGCACCAAGAATGGGCATATCCTTTGGCGCAGTCTGCGGCTGCACACTTGGAGGCGCGCCGTGTTCCGATTCTGTTCCACTGGCCTCGGGACTGGTGTAGTTGGCTGGCAAAAAGGCAATTGAGTTACCGATCTTGGCGGCTGATCTGTCCCATATCCCAAAGAATGGCGAGACCGCAAAGCTCTCTTGGTTCCATCGGGTGCCACACAAGGGGAGCCTCCGTGAAACGTTGTCGGCAGTAAGGCCGGTCTGCCATCTTAGAGAATATCAGCATCTTGCTTGGAACAAGCGTTTGTGGGATATATTCTCACCCCGTCAAAATACAGCATATTCTGATATGGTGAGCCAATATGTTCATATCGATGGGGCGCGACGGTTTATGACCTACCGGTCCAAAATGAATATATTCCAAAACGTCCTTCGACGCTCCTCTTCCTCTATCCAATTGGGACTTGGAGGAAGCAAGCTCGGACGTAGAAATGTCTCTGGGTCATTTCTATCCTCTTCCTCGACGCTTAGTTGCAAGAAACTCACGGTCCTGGTCAGCGACGCGATTATCGGCCAGGCCTTGAGCAACTCGCCGTTTCCAATCTGGCCAGAAAACTTCAATAAAGCGATCAGTACGGATTGCGCAAAGTTACTCACGTGGGTAAATGCAACTATTGTCAGAGCCTGGAGCGAAGGGACAGTAAGAGTGCTGGTTGCCTCGAGAATCACGCTGTTCCTGGACCGTTCCATCTCTTCTTCGATGCGGTCCGCAGAAAGCCGCTCACCAGGCGGGTCCAGGAAGCGCAACACCCCAAATAACATGGCATGTAGAATAAGAGGGTTCTCCGTTGTTCCATCTCGCAGACGCAGATTTCGTTTGAACGTCTCCGTGTGTATCATGGGGATCCACGGATGAAGATTCGGGAAGTAGAGGTCGGCCACGGCCCAAAGGTGGTCCGCAGGGGGCGCATCATCAGACGAATTGACTGCAGCCCTTCCCGAATGATGCTCACCATCGATTCTACGGCGTTTCCCGAGCGATCGCGATGCCGGCGTCTCGGGGCTAGGCACAACAGGCTGTGACAGGATGGAAATGTTGGAGCTCAGCTTTTGGATTTCTTGAGCCAAGAGCGAGAGACCAGCTCCGATCGACCCGTCCAGACGCGAATCCGCTCGAGGCGGTCGAGATTGAGGCGAAGGACCATCATCTTCGCTGGCGTACACCTTGCTTTCCAGACTCTCTGGCAGTCGGTCAGTTGTACGGCTTCCACAGGCAGGCGGACACATACCTATACGCCTTTGAAGCTTCAGAATTGTTCCACGTTTCAAGCCCGGCTTGGTCCGGAAGGAGTCGTAGGTGCATGGCACCGCTGTGGTCGGTCGAAGGTCAGTAACACGCCGGATTGCACACCAGGAGCCATGGGCGGTCGGCGATGCTCACCTTGCCGGCTGCAGTTTGAGCATGATGGAGTCTCGCGGGAGCATTTCAGCTTTCGAGTCCGGCAGCCGTGGCAGGAGGGCAACGGGCCATCGTCCTCCTCAGGGGCACCGGTGGGGGGTGCACTTGCTTCCATGGCCATCGCGGTTCCTCCTCCTCCCCCGGAAGGATGCCAGTGCAATCGATACTTGACAATGGCCGAATCCGAATCGACAGTGCGTGTGCGTGTGCGTGTGCATGAAACGGGGAGAGAAACGCTCGGGTCGGGGGAGTGCAATTGACGGTTCACTCCATCTTTACCTCATCCAATCTTTTTTTTTATCCCGTGGGGAAAGATGGGGAGATTCCGCCACGACCCAACCCCCCAAACTGCGGGGTGCATACTGCATATGTTCCATGAATACTGGATGCTTATTTACCGAGTACTCGAGTAAGCTATGGGGCATGCCAGGGGTTACTGCACTGTCCCGCTGCTGTATTTTTATTTAGGGTTGGTGTCCCTGACCCTAAATCTCCACCCCCCGACTTGGCGCCGGAGATCGAGGTAATTCGACTGAGAGTTGCCCGAGTCCCGCGCTGTGTGCTCTCACAGGCGGCATGAGAAATGCAATGTTGAATGAATGAGACTTTCAAGTGAAGGGTCAAAAGGCCCTCTCCGCCCGTCACAGTTGGAGGCGACATCGAAGACCAGTCAATTCCCGCAAGGCAGGCTGCACCCGTTAAGACGTGCGACCTTCAACACCATCTATCACCACTTTTCTCGCCAACATGGTCAAGCTATTCGGCCAACGCTCCTCGGGGGACGGCTTCCAACGCGCCCAGCGGGCCCAGGCAGATGCCCCCAAATTCGAGAAGGTAACCTGGTACAAGGAACCAAACCTAAGACAACTCTATTTTCTGTCCATCTTCCTCCTTATCGGCTCAGCGACAACTGGATACGATGGCCAGATGGTTAATACATCGCAACAAATGGACAAGTGGAAGGCATACTTCCCCGAGTATCAGGATGCGAATAAGCTCGGCATATTGATCAACATGTACAACATTGGCTCCATCTTGTCCCTCTTCATCGTCCCACATATGGCCGATGCCGTTGGTCGTAAGAAGACGATCGTGGTTGGCTGCGTCATCATGATTACTGGAGCCTTTGTGGGGGCATTCTCCAACGGCTACGGAAGTGAGTGGCATCTTCACCAGCCTCTACTGACTGACCTCGCGTTAACCTTTCATTGCTTTACAGTGTACCTCGCTGGCAGGTTTGTCCTTGGATTTGGCAACTCAATGGCTCAAATGTGCTCCCCGCTGCTCCTCACCGAGATCTGTCACCCGCAACACCGCGGTCCGCTCACCACTGTCTATAACTGCCTTTGGAGTTTGGGCTCTCTCGGTGAGTGTCTACAACCCAGATTTGATAGCCCTGACTGACGTGAAGCAGCCGTCTCATGTGTGGGATGGGGTACTGCATCTATTGGGAGCGACTGGTCGTGGAAATCGATCACTCTAATCCAAGCGCTGCCATCCATTATACAGCTGACAGGCATTTGGTGGTTGCCGGAGTCACCGCGCTGGCTCGTCAGTAAGGATAGGGCTGATGAAGCTCTTGCAGTGCTCGCCAAGTACCACGGGGGCGGAGATGCTAATAATGTCACCGTGCAATTCCAGTTCCGGGAGATGAAGGAGACGATCCAAGGCGGGAGCAAGAACAACAACACAGCCTACCTCGACTTTTTCAGGACTAAAGGCAACCGCTGGCGTTTGGCCATCATCATCTCGCTCGGTATTATCTCCCAGTATTCTGGCAACGCCCTGTTCTCCAACTACATCGATATTATTTACCAAGGCGCCGGAATTACGCAGCAGAATAAAAAGCTAGCAGTGGGTTTCTCCTAGCCCTTCGATGTTGATCTACAACTGCTGACCCATACGGCAGCTCTCTGCAGGGAAGTCGATTCAGGACCTTCTAGTTGCCGTCACTGCAGCACTCACTGTTGACCGTCTTGGCCGGCGACCCCTCTTTCTATTCGGAACCATTGGAATGTTTTCGACCTTTGGACTTTGGACTATTGTTGGGGCCGTCTATGAAAACTCCGCCGTAACGCTTGCAGACGGCACCATTTCGTACCCTAACCAGACTGCTGGCAACGCTCAAATCGCTTTTGTCTGGCTCTTCAGCGTGTTTTACCATATTGGCTTTGCCGGTCTATTGGTGTCGTACGCGCTGGAGATTCTTCCATATCACCTTCGTGCCAAGGGCATGACGATTCTCAACATTACGGTCCAAGCCTTTTTAGCACTCGGAAAGTCAGTATTCAAGCCTCCGTCCGCGGCAGTTCACTTTCACTAATGAGACCATAGCCAAACTAATAAGCTGGCGTGGAACAACCTTCCTCACCATTGGAATTTTATGCTCTTTTACACATTGTGGAACTTTTGTGAGATGGTTTTCGTTTACTTTGTCTATGTTGAGACCCAAGGTCCTACCCTTGAGGAGATTGCTCGAATTTTTGACGGCGACGAAGCTCTGGCTGTTATGGACCTCGAGCAGTTGGAGAAGGAAGTGCAAATTACGACTCACGAAGAGGTCGTTGATGAGAAGAAGTGAGCCTGATCTTCTAAAGCAGGTGCCGATGGGGAGGTTAAAATCCTGTATTGGAAAGCCTCAGCCAGATATAATGTTGAACTCTGCGCCAATAGACACCTTTATACCGCAGGAGCATTGCCTACCGGGGGCAGAGAAACTCCCCTTCGAGTGTATCCACAACTATTAGTAAAAGCCTATACCTGTATGCCACAGTAATCACATTGTCGGGGCCACGATGTATGCCAGTTGTCATGCCAGTGTATTTCGACCGGAGTAGGACCCGACATCTCCTCCGGATAACTTCGCAAGTACTGTACAGTTTCCGCCGAACAACCGCCACCGAAGGTCTACCCTCTCATTACAGTGTCATAAAATGCTAGCTTGTACGTTCTAACGGACCGCGGGGCAACACCGCCCCCTCGGACTACTCGTATCTATCCGACAACCTCCAGGTCAGCCTGCATGACCACACCCGCCACCCCGGCTTCGTGAAGCGCCAAGTAGCTTCCCCAGAATTTGACATTTACCCCGGATATCCAGAGCCATGCTCGGGACAAGTGTAGACCGGGCTTCGGCGAGAGAGATTTGATGTCTTTCAAGAGAGCTGCAGCTGGTACGTGTGTTCGACCCTTCCCGAGAATACAAAAGGTCATCTCGAGATCGTCATGCAGGGAGCGAATTCTGGCCAAGATATACCCACAGTCCGAGTAACAAGCAAAGATCGATCGAAGCCGCCAGCATGAAGCTTCTGCTTCTTGCCTAGAACCTGTGTGGACAATGTGACTACTATCCAAGCAATAACTGGTACATTAACATCTTAGCCTTCCCCCAGGGTGACCATCGCCAACCTTCAGCTGTGGTCAGTCACCTTCATTCCTCTTACCCAACCAACCCCAAGAGAAAGACCACTACTGCAAGGTCTTCAGCTTCGTCGCTCCCAGTAATGTCAACTCATTCAGCTCCGATATCAAGCAGTTCTTCAACTATATCACGGCCAACAATGCGTTCCCCGCCAGCAGCCAGTACCTGCTCAGTAAGTGTTCAATTCCTGACGCAAAAAACTTCAAGCCCTACTCGAGTATCATGCATTTAAAGCCCTGCAGTTTGGCACAGAGCCTATCACCGGCGACGATGCTAGATTCATCGTCGGTCATTCGTCGGTGGTGTCAACTAAGGACTGGTACCTCTCGTCTTTGGCTCAAACTACGCAAAACGGTTGACTTATTCTTCTTTTTCTTCTATTTTTGCAGAGTTCCATGCGCAAGCTTGCAGTTCAATGTTATTCATCATATTCAATAGGTTTTTATCTCAGTACTAGATTTCCTAGTTCGACGTTGATTTACATACACTGTGAGTGACTATGTGACTTTTTGCCTCGATTATTGTTAAATGCTGAGTGTGAATTTCCGCTCTCTTTATCGTAGTTAGCTGTATATAACCGGCAGGATAATAGGTACAACCTGAGAAGTGTACAGTTCACCGAGGGAATAAAACTTACGATGGTGAACGAGGACATTCATGTTGCCATCGCATGATTGACATTCAGCTATATATATATACTAATAATAACAGATTCCCATTTCCAATAAACGTGTCCCAAAGTCTAGCAAATAGTAGTCTGCGTACACCAACCCATGATCTTGTGCCTTGTTCCTTTTAAACGACGCCGCGTTGTTGCACACAGTAGAGTGCTTTAGTACAGAATCAAAACTCTCGCCATGAAGAAGATCGTGGACAGTTAGTTCACCTTGCTCGGATACGCTCAGGCCCGCCTTCTCTCGAGATAGACACAAGTCTAGTACATCCTGTACTATTACCATCGCTGCTTCGAGATATCGGGCGCTTAACCTATGCTTGCCACATCCCGCCAAAGCCTGTGACAGAATGAGCATGCCATCAGCGGCAATAACTGCGGCGGATGCATCGCGCAGAGGTCCTTGGGGCTCTTCAATTGGGGCGTCAAAATCCCATAGCGGAACATATCGCCCAACGCGTCGGCCTTGCAATCCGGACAATTCAACCTCCACACAGTCGGGCGCTTCTTCCATGCGAAAGAGGAAGTATTCAGCGAGACCACAAGCAGCATCGAGAAATTCGCTATGCCCGGACCAGCGGTAGACCTGAGCATAGCCAAGTATTCCCCAGGCTTGCCCACGGGACCAAGTTGAGTCTTTACTATAGCCCTGGGCAGTTCGCGCCTCTTTGACCGTCCCCGTCAACGGAGAGAAATTGACGAGGTGAGCTGTGCTGTACAAATTCCCACTATAGCCGTTGCGGGTGTATTCTTCTACTCGCAGATGGGACTGGAGCAGCGTGCGCGAGTGCTTCACGGCCGCGTCAGCCAGAGATTGATTGCCCGACTGCGCCGCAGCGTAGAACAAGAGGTCCATGTTGCACATGGAGTCGATGATGACAATGAAATTTTCCTCCATGGATGTGATATTGACGTCGGCGTGCCAGTCAAAAGTATCCCAGGATCGAATGGCCTGGACTCGAGGGTCATACCGTGAGTGGAGGCTCTCTGCGGCCTTGACGATAACGTCAAGTGCCTCGACATCGTGAAACAGCTCCCACCTGGGGCGCATGTGTGGCATGATAACGAACCCAAGGTCATGTGTGTCCGTCCTCAGTGCTTGTGGGCGGATGGGCTGCGACCAAGTTTGGCCGAGCTCGGTGAGCTTTTGGCGCAGTACATTGAGGGATACTCTTGAATTGTCGACTCCCAGCGACTGCGGGTACTTGATGGACCGCTCAACGAGGGAGTAAATGCAACCAGGAAAGAAACCACAAGTCCAGAAGTCAACCTCTCGAGCTTGGTAGCGCCCCTTGTCCACCCCCGACTGTGGTACCGTCTCCGGATACTGCGTGGGCGGGTTCTGCATAGGGTTATCGTCAGCTTTTGATTAACCATCCCACATTTTAGAGGCTCACGTTTTCCAGGAGCTGTTCTACACCCGCACGAAGAAGCTTGGCAGTGATGCTTTCCGAATACAGCTCGGAAAGGCCATGTTTCATACACTCTTGCCGCTGACTGATCGTCATAGTCAGCCAACAACTAGCTAGGTTCTCACCTCGGCGTCGTATTTGAGCGTATGTATTATATTTTGGGGTTCGTCGTAGTATCGCCTAGCCTGCGCTCTGGTTCTCATCTTTCTCATCTTTCTCATCTACAAAAGGGGACTCTTGTTAAATATATTTATTATTCCGGTCTAGATTCCCAGAACGGCCTCGATCGATATTAGTGTCGGGCAATGTTCTCCCGGCCGCCGCACATGTACCTGTTGAGGCCGTTCTGTCTCGATGTGTCGCTTCCTCCTCGCCGGTATTTCCACGGACGGTTACATGCCTTTATGCTTTCAGCGGGGTCAGAGGGACGTAGCTAATACAAAGTGCGAGCGGTCGTAAAACTCTAGTGGCAATTGGTTAACCCTAATAATAGTAGAAGTGTCACTAACCAAGATGTTCGAGCTTGTAGCCGGGTAAGTCGGGAACAATCGCCCGAACCCGAAGCACGTATACTAACCCGCGGTTATTAGCTACATTATTTACATCAAGTTTAATTAGGGGGGAAACCACGTCCTCACCTAGAATTTAAGCTTTAGTTAGCTAATAAGTTACTTAATACTTACTTAAAGAAGTCTTAAGTATATATTTTATAAATAGTTATAACTCTAAAATATAAGACTATATTCTTATCTTATTTCTTAGTTATATCATAAAACTAAGTTTATAAACTAAGTATAAGTTATATAGTTAAATAATTCTCTGTATAACTTTACACCCGGCCGATTATACCTGGCACGGATACCCAGGGGCAGTAGTATCCCCATTGCTCCAATTAAGAACTACTAGTTCGGGGTCGCAAATTGGAATCATAACTACGCCGGGACTATGAATTCCCGTATCATACAGGTCTGACACTGTCGTATGCTGGCCGGGATCGGCGGTAGGCCAGCCATTTTTGTTTCCATTCGCGTGGTAGCCTGCGAGTGCACTAGAACAAAGTCAACACGTCGAAGGAGATTGTTATCGGAAAGAATGTGCTTACCCAGCGACTAGATCAGCCTTTCTCACTTCACCATACGTCCCTCTGTCAAGTGCCTCCATGCCCGGCAAGGCTGTGAATTTGTTGGCGACGCAGATTACGATTCCACCAGGACCCGTTGAACAGGTACGGTGCTTCCCGGATGCAGATACGAAATAATAAACATGTCCTTCATAGCATACTGAAGTTTTTTCGGCAGTCTCGTCAGACAAGTATTTCGGTAGTTTCGGTAGTGGATTCTCGCCTGTACATTGCTCTCCGGAATCGAGGATGAAAGGATAGAACCCTTCATTGCTTAAACCCCACGCTTTCGGTATAAGCCAAGCATAGATACCCTGTTTGATATATTTCTGAATTTCGCGATCATTGGGCCTAAGAACGTTTCCCATCACACGGCCATCGGCTATCAGTCGAGTGAGCTGTTCTATAGAGTCTGCCGAGCCGTCGAAGATTTTCCCATTTACTGCGGCAGTGGTTTCAACCCACTTTATAACAGTTAGCAGTGTTTTTCTAAACCCAGAAACGGTTCCTAGAAAATTTGTTTATAAGAGACTTCTTCGAAACCGGAAACTCCTAAGACGTTGAAAACAATAGGTGAGGGACGATATGTAAGATTACGTACGTATTTGATCAAGTTAGCCATAGCGGATTCAAGAGAATCGTTCACATTTAATGTGACACCACTTTAGCAAAATCATATCAGCCTTGAATATATCGTAACGCAGGAGGATTGCTCACCCTATGCTTAAGTCCTTAGAAAATACCATTGCAAACGAGACAAGATTATTTGTTTCGTCTTTCAGTGTTGCCAAATTATTTGGATTTTTAGCAAAGTAGTCGAGTTCTTTCAAGGCTTGAGGCTAGTCAGAGTGTGAAATCGTTATAAACCAAGAAGAAAGAGTCATACCAATATTCCATACGGGCGCCGCCAGTAATCCATAACCCAGGCTGGCAAAATCCAAGATCAACTTTGTAATGTCAGGCTTTTTTTTGATTGGGGCAAAAGTGGACGAGAAACCCCCCATAAGAGCTGCCAAGTCGGCCTCCGCCCGAAAGATAGCATCGTAAAAGTTCGTGTTCATCTGTGTCTATCAGCCACGCCCTTCCCTCCGTAACATTGCTACCCTAGGGGAGGATAAACACACCTGATGGATCTGTACAAATGAATTAAGAATGAACATTCCAGCAGGGTGGTTCACGCTACTGCACACAACATTCTGCTCGCATCCAGTATGATCTGCAACTTCGCCGCATCTCAATTTATCTGGACCGTGGAAGAAGTTGCTGACCTCCTGCGGGAAACGATGGCCCCCAGAGGAAAATTTGGCCTTCCAGTTTGTGACTGCAGCCACCCAGGCATGCTGAGTGTCAACCTAATCCCCAAAATCTTGTGTCAGCTACTATTCTGGTGTATTAGGAGGAGCAAGTTCGCCCGTTAGAAAGGCAAGGAAATATAACTAGGTCTCAGATAAATCCTCTATCGACAGTTCGATAATCAACGCAGGAGGGGAAATTCTCTCTGGACAGTGACTTACCGAATTCCAACGGATGTCAGGGCTTATAGACGAATCGGCCAGAGCGGGATCGGTACATTGCGCAGTTAACCATTCCGTGCCACCCGACGACTCCCGAAGCACTCGTTGGCCCATTGCGTAACTGCACCTGACGATGGGGCAACGTTGAGGTAGTCTGCTCGCCCGTTGCCGTTGAGAACCGCAAATTGAATAGACAACCCGTTCGAACCAACGCCGGTTGCGATTTGACCTTGGGGTGCCCATTGCCAATTGTCTTTGGTACCAATGTTTTGCCATTCTGAGACTGATCCATCAAGCCGGTTCACCCAGAGGTAGTCAGCCAAACCATCTCCGTTCAAGTCTGCGAACTTGATATCTTGTCGAGCTGCCCCGACACCTGTCGCGATGACTCCCTGGGAGGTCCAAACCCATCCTGAGCTGCCGCTCCCACCATTCAAAAAAGCTGTCACGGCTCCATTCTCAGCAATCCATAAATAATCTGCTTTACCATCGCCGTCGATGTCTGCGAACTCGACTCCTACCCCAGCTCCAACACCGGTGGCCACTTGTCCCATATTTGTCCACTGGATGATCGAGAAGTCAGCATTGTTTCAATACGGGTGGAGATACATAGAGGAGAGATTCAGGAGAGTGGAGGCGTGAGGTGTAAATGGGGAGGGGAAAGAATCAGGCACTCAGAGTGCCATAATCACTTACACTCCAGGTACCGTCGGTTTGCTTTCCGCCATTATGCCAGAATACCACAGCGCCGGACTTCTCGTCGACAACCAGGTAGTCTGCAAGCCCATCACCGTCCAAATCTGCTAATCTAGAGATAGGGTCAGCTCAGTCGCGTATCTCACTTGGAGGAGAAGATGAGGCTAAATGAAAGTCGCCAAAGATAGCTCACCGAATATTCTTGCGCGCAGACACACCGGTTGCGATCTGTCCTTGAGCTTCCCAAATCCACTTTTGCGAGGACGTATCGTATCCATGGTTGAGCCAAAGCTCAATGGCACCATTCGGACTGATGGCTAGATAGTCATCAAAACCATCGCCATCCATACTGTCCAGCGAATTAGAATTTGTCTGAGCAGGATGCCACAGGGGAACAGTTGGACGTACTCAGCAAATCTAGTCCCATCGCCAACGACATATGTGCCACCACTACCTGTATTGAACCAAACCTTAAGGGCCCCTGTTCCCGGGTCAATCTGGACGTAATCTTTCTTCCCATCGCCATTGAGGTCGCCAAAAATGATTTCATCTCGGGGTGAACCAACACCAGTTGCAATTATCCCGGCGTTGACCCATGTAGGCGCGAGTCCCTTCGAGGGTCCCCGATTGTTGATGTAGACCGTTGCTGCACCATCTTTCGCAAGCCAAATATAGTCTGCCAGACCATCGTTATTTAGGTCATAAAGGAAAACGCCAGCAGCATCACCAATACCGTCAGCAATTATCCCCAAAGGATACCAGTCCGGTCGGTCGCTTAGGCCAAGGTTAATCCATGCGTTCAAAGAGCCCCCTGGGCCAACAACAAAATAGTCTGCCCTGCCATCTCCATCGATATCAGCAAATCTGGTGGTAGCTCGAGTAGCCCCCGTGCCACCACTTGCTATCTGGCCAAGAGGCGTCCACAACCAGCCGCCGCCGGCTTGCTCTCCCCCATTGAGGTATGCAGTTACTTCTCCAGTAGATGCAACCCAGAGGTAATCGTCCCGACCGTCACCGTTAATATCAGCAAACATAACACCTGGTCCATCCCCAACGCCTGTCGCAATTTGTCCTTTGAAGATCCAGTTCACGCCCCCATCTGCGCTGTATCCCCCGTTAAGATAGAGCGTGAGGGCTCCAGTGTTGGGGTGCACCCACAGATAGTCATCTCGACCATCTCCATTCATATCAGCTAGCCGAACTCCAGCACCCTGTGTGACAATAACTGGCAACCAGTTGTTGAATCCGACATTTCCAGTTGCAAGCTCCCCAGCTGGCTGCCAACCCGAGACAAAGGGGGCGTCACCACTCCCTACTCCGGTAGCGATTGTGCCGAATTTTGAATCCCAGGTCAAGTAGGTAACGCATGTGTGATTGTGATTGCCGATGGGCGAAGGGATAGGTTCACCGATCCACCCCTTTTCCGCAGCCTGTTGGATGCCACTGTACCATATGCTGGCCATCTGGCTGTAACCACGATCATTGGGATGCAGTCCATCTGAGAGATCTTTGGCAATGTTCAAGGGAGTGTTCATATCCACTACTAGGACCTTGGAACCCGCATTTGCTCGAGCGGCCACAACGTCGGGAATCGCAGCATTGTAGGTTTGTGCTGCCGCATTCTTGTCGGTATCATTGATGGGAGTAATCTGCCCAACCAGAATTGCAGCATCTGGGCATGCAGCGATTATCTTGTCGATGAGGCTAGCGAGACGGTCTGGTGCGCCAGCAGGATCTGAAGGTTTATTGATATCGTTCGTTCCGGCAAGGACCAACACGATGTTTGGCCGCAGGGGGAGGCTATTTTCTGAAAATCCCTCGATTTCAGCGATGACAGCGCCTGAATGACCTTCGTTATTGTTGTTGACCATCGTTCCCGACCTACATGAAATATTAGTCTCAGAAACTAGGTAGTAATTCAAGGGCGGAATATGCTGACCTCTGGGACCCAATGTAAGTGACCGTGTTCCCCACCAGCAGGTTCATTAACCTCCAGCGATAGCTGTTTCCATCACTACTTCCAGTTCCCCAGGTAATAGAATCTCCGAGTGGTAATATCCTTAGATTAACACCATCAGAAATGGAACGACGCTGAAAGAGCGCTCTCGTCTCGGTAGAATTCCACTCATCGGTTGAAGAAACTGCGCCTAATGTCAACTGTGTTCGGTAGAAAGTTGGAACAACGTAAATAAAAGGGGGGAGGGCATATAACCCATAGAATCCTACCACAAGTGATTGTACAAAGGACAATTGCTAACCAAATCCGTAGAGACATTGTCTTGATTGCGACCTACGTTGACACTTGAGAGATTAAATTTGTTGAAACTCTGCTTATTTATATATCTTTGCCCAGCGGTATTATTACGTCCAAACTCCTTTCACGATAAACCTACAATCTTCGCAGCTTATACTCGGGCAGGCCGTACAGGAGTTGAGTTCCAGGAACAAAAGCGTTCCAGAACACACCCATCCCATGATGACGCTTAGTAGGAGAATTCGCGCTTTTGGACAAAAGCAAGGCCATAGCAGCCCAGCCACACGGCTAGCTCCGTACATCAGAGTCTGCTCCAGGAGAGAAAGTCGTTCATACTAAGATCTTCTCTTTGTCTGCGAGGCCGGAACAAGTCGGTGAGAGCAATTTTGCCAAGGTGCTGACTGCATTTCAGCTATAAGCAAGCCTTGGCAAAAGCCTACACATGCATCGGAGCAAGGGTTGGGAAGATTTTGAGTGCGGGTATAACCTTCTTACTAGTAGATTGTTGATTTTTTATATCTCTTAATAATAAAAATTTCTTCTATTAGTAGTCGAAGGGAAGCTATAATTTCCGTGAAAGTATACGAAGCTTATCTCACTTACTTAAGTACTATAAAGTTATACTAAGACTCTATTTCAAATAAATACATTAAAGTAATATAATAACAACCAGTTAGAAATAGTTATAATTACTTACGAAATTAATATTTACTTAAATATTTATAGATTTTAATCTTGGTGAGCATTATCAGCTACAACATACTGAGCCTCCAAAGTTCTTGTGCAAGCATGCTGGATGCGAGAAGTCTTACCCGCGATCACGAAGTCTCGAACAGCATTATCGAGAATTCCACGAATACCAAAATCATTCTTGCAAATTTACCGGGTGCGACAAATTATACTATATTGGGCTATATCAGAACCTAGTATTAGATGTTTATCTAGTTAATATGCACGACTATGACTCTAAATTGCTATTCTGTCTATACACCGATGTCGGTATAGATACAGGCATTTCATCTTCCGGCGTTCCTTGCTAAATAGCAAAAGGATCACACATGCACGGCCTACACTATACAAAATATAACAGCAATAGAGAGTATGATTCTATAAACTTACAAATTTATACTGTGGGCTTCTATACGCCTTTCTTTTATTGGTATTCAAAATAAAACTATTATCCCCTTGTTTTAATAAGTAATTACTATCGCGACACTATTTCTTGCATCCTGTTGCCTTTGCTATCCCACGCTTTTTGTGCGGCTTTGTGCTGTTTTCCTAGAGGTTCTTATAATCGTGAAATACCCCAGAGTAAGCATAGTTTCATAGCCTTTTGAAACCGATCATAAATAGAGCATCGTATATAATAAAGCGAAGGTGAAGGATGAGGAAAAGGTATAATTAAAAAGGGGTATATTAAAAGAGAACCTCTGATTACGAGATAAACAAAGTAATATATCTGAGGAGACTAAACTAAGGTGCGCATTCTTGAATCCAGGTTAAAGAGACTCGGGTTAAAGAGAATATCTAATAATCGATTAGCAAAAGCGGGATTATAGAAAATAATGTACGAGAGTGGGCCCCCAACGCTGTAAACAGGAAAGTTCCGCTTTGTGGAAGCCGGTGAGAGCAGCCTGCCATTTACAGATGTAATTGGCATCATATCCCTCTATTTAGCCTACCTATTATTGAACTAAATCAAAAGTCCATGTGAACTTAACTATATCCCACAGGTACAAATAATAGCAATTCAAGTCCCTCCGCCGCCACCACATCCACCGCCGCCGCCGCCGCCGCAGCCACCTCCCCCTCCTCCTGAACACCCACCAAACCCCCCAGAGGCACCACAACCACCTCCTCCGCCTCCACCGCAACCGCCTGGGCTACCACATCCGCCAGCGGCAACTCCACCACCACATGTACCGGCTGCACAACTCCCGGTCATGCCAGCGCCAACAGGCATCACGCATGGATCGGCCGCATAATACATGCCACCCATCATACCAATACTCATGTACGGTCCATACATGAAATACGGGTAGCCCCAGGCCCCGTAGTAATACTGATCCTTCGGCGGGATGTCACGGCCCCTTGCTCTCGCTCTTCTTCGCGCCTTGTCATAGGCGGTATCAAGGTCTTGTTGCCGGCGTAAACGCAAACGCTCATAAACGGCTAGATTGATAGCATCTTCAGCGACCTTGACGGCGTTGTGAGAGGAGATATGTGCGGAATTGGAGGGAGGGCAGAGATTCGCTTTTCCAGACTCGTAGAAGTTATTTGAGATCTTTTCATGTTTCGAGGTACCGAAGATCTTGCCTGAGCTTGAAATATGTTTGGAGCGTATTGCTGGTTTACGTTAAATTTAGGAAAATAGAAATCGAAGGATAAACTCGCCTTCACAATACCAACAAGTGCATTCGGAATAAACCGCCTGGTAATGCTTCTCGTACATTTTGCTGGTCCATTCAAACCCCGTTTCTAGGACGTCCTCAGATATCTTGTCATCATGATCGATATATTTCTTGCAATGCTTCATGGTAAAATCGTAGTAGGACTTTGGAGATAGTTGGTGGGTGTGCCAGGCTAAGTCAACGTCAAGAGTCGGGACTGCGGTATGGAGTGGGTAAGTGGCCATGAGTTGGACAAAACGCCGGTATTTCGTAATCAAACGGTCCATTGTCTGTTGCGCAGCAGGACTATGGAGCCAGTCAATGCCATGCATCTTATCCACGAATATGCTCTGTCGGATTACGGCACCTCCTAGCTCGAGTGCAAATATGGAGGTATTCTCCCAATATCGAGACATCATCTTCCGAATCGCTAGCCGTTCGGGTCGCTTCAAGAGACCACTTTCAAAAGTTGACCTATGGTTGACCTTCTTTATAATTGCTCTGTTCTGTATTGCCTTTTCGATGAGGGCCTTGACATCGTCCATGTTTGGATTGCCTCTGGCATCCGGGGTAATTAGCTCGAGGACTTTTGACCTCAGTTGCATAGCGACAAGGCGGTTTGGGAAAGTAGTAGGGTGACTATTCCATTCCTGGTTCAATGGAGCATCAGTCGCCCCAGTCGTAGGAGCCAAGATGGTGCCTCCAAGGGGCCAATCTTTCAAGATAAGATTTTCCGTCTCCTTCTTGAACTTAGCTACCCGCAACAAACCATGATCAACCATACCTCCACACCTGTGGCAAATATGCGAGAGGTCTCTATCGCCATATCCGGTGCCACGTAATTCTGTAATCCTGGAGAAATTAGGACGAGAATATATTCTCTCGAAACAGGACTTACTCTTGAACAGAGGGTTTCTCGCTTATGCCACAGGTTGTCCACGGAATCTCGAGTGTCTGGAAACATCTCGGGCAGTTGAGCGTCTTCGTGGAAGGATCTTCGGCATTGCTCCAGTTATGACCTGTCTTGTTAACAAAAGAGACCTTGCCTTCCTCCGGGACCTCGTAATTGAAACTCGTATCGATGACTGCATCCACAGCAGGCCACGGCAAACCTGTGGCCCATATATTGATAAGTCCGAATCGAACACAGTCTTCAAGGTAATTCCGGGGATTAAGCATAAAGGCGTGCCACACCATGAGCACATCTGTCGGTGTTAGAAATATTTCGAGGAAGGTACAGGGCCGGTACATACCAAGCGGAGGTAACATCTCACCAGTCCATTTTATTACCCTTCCTCTCTCAGTAATCTCTCGGAATCTTGAGTTTGAATCAACCATGCTCTTGCACTGCAGCCTTTCGGCTTGATCCATGGGGCACAACACCTCGATCCACCAATCCTGGAATCGCTCGACGGCCCTCGCAATGTAGATGGCCCACCTCTTCTCCCGCATCTTAACCAAAGCTTGATCTCGTTGTTCCGCCATCTCACATCTCGCATCCCAAAGATTGAATAGACCGTCTGTATATCCAATATCCTCTTTCAACGTATGAAAGGCGGAGAGCAATTTGAGGTGCGCGAGGCATTGTTCCGTTGTAGGAACTTCGGACGGAGCATCGGACAGCTTGAGGTTGTTGAAGGCAGCATTGAGATCTTGAGCCGTTGGCGTAACGGTAGAATCAGTTACTGTATAAGAAGGGGGGGCTTCCTCCGCTGGAGGATTCGGGGAGGTTTTGGGGGCCAGCTGAGGGGCCAGCTGAGGGGCCAGCTTCGACTGAGTCGGAGTGCCACTGTCCTTGCTATCCATCGTCCCAGGGCGCCCCGAGTCTCGTCTTTGTTGGATTTTAGAGAAATCTTGCGGCAAAGCGGCGTAGTTTACGTTTATGTCGGCTGGGAAAGTGCAGTTAGTTCGTTTGAAAGGGGATAGAGTATTGAATTCGAAGTCGCGAACGCACTCAACGCGGGACTGCGCAAGTCTTGTTTTCTTGTTTTTCGTAGATGCAGAGATGACCGAACCTTAATATCAGAGGACACTCATGGTCGAGTAGTGGGGAAGAGAAGAGAATGATGGAGGGAAAATATATACTCAGGTTCCTAGCCAGCCCCTCTCAGCCACGATCCTATGACGACAGGGCTCACTGTTCAGGGACGAAGGATGCAACGCCCAACACCCCTTTCGTAGGACTGAAATCTAGCTACGCGATTCGTTACTCGTATCAAAGGTAAAGAAGAGTATACAGTACCTATACGAAGTAGACTAGGAGAAGAAGCCTATTGCTGTGGCACTCAACTTCGCAAGAGTCAAGACCCTACATCGTAAAGACGGGGACGCTATCTCGCCGAGGCAACCAGATAAGCGGAAAGCTTATTGGGTGATTAGCATCATCTGACAGGATGGGCGAGTGGCGAGGAGGAGCCGCAGTACTTCGTAGTAAGTGAGATTGTGGTTTTAGACGAACAAGAATAGCCCTATCATAGTTTCGTGTTTGCGGCGTGCATACCACGGAGCAGCCACTACCTAATAATACAATACTGTGATAGGGCCTGGATCGGCAGCTCCACAGACCAAGCTTTGTACTTATTAGGTAGCGTAAGATATGTAACGCTGTATATAGAAATGAAACAGGTGGCTGTAGGCGTGCTGGGTTCCGATTTGGGACTGAGAGGCACATCATATCTCGGCATTATGCTCATGGGTTTTATATACAACTAGATTACCCACCGGAAGGGGATTTATCGAGGCGGACTACTCCCGTTTAAAGTCCCGTTCAAAATCCTTCCACTCTTCTTCTTTCGCAAACTCTTCTTCCCTGCACCAGGTACATCCAATTTACCACTGGTTGGCATGAGCCCTGCCACCGTTATTTCATTGCCATTACCACCCTTGCCCTCTGTGGCGGTCTCTATCTTCAACATCGTGACTTTGCCGTTGCCCATGCGTTCCATCATAAACACTGGATCTTCCACAGGTATCATACTCCGAATACCCACCATGACAGAATACACAATGCCGATAGCCAACGTGATTAGGTCCAAAATATGCACCAACCACCAAATGTGTTGCGTCCCCAGTCCACAATTCGCGAACTCGAAATTCCAATCCCAAGTCTCCTCGTCAAACCACAAACTAAGTAAGCCAGCATTCCCAGCGAAACCGCCCATCATGCTGCGCACGGTAATCTCCCTCAATCCAGGGACACCGGGCTCTTCGTCCAGTCGAGAGGAATGCGCGTCCTTCCATCGCATCGCTAGCCATTCTTGTTCTGGTGGAGCGGTTTGGTTGATATAATGATAAATATCGCATCCCTCGTGATCATGCCCATTAATAACGAGCCCATGGCGCCCAAAACCCTGGCCGGGAGCGTCCGTGGCTGCGCTCATACCAAATATTCCTTCCAAGAACCCTTTTGAAGCATCTCGAGACAAGTGGTTTTGTTCTTGAATGCCATTGTCGAAATGGCCGTTAAAGAAAGAGAAAAAGGGACCATCGACACAAATACCCTCCTTCTTATAAAGTGGAATATGGGTCAGCACCAAGGTGAAGTGGGCCGGTCGACTAACATCTTGGGAAGCGGTAATAACTTCGTTAAGAAAATGGTATGTCTCGTCTTGCAGTTCCTTTGAAGATGCAGGCGTATCGAGATTCATGTCGTTGAGCACAATAATACGCAATTCTGGAACTGGGCGTTTTCGTTCGTCATTTTCCACATTTTCCACGTTTTCCTGGGTTGCAGAAGCGTGATCAACCGGCATCTGAAATCGAAGCTCGTAATTTGCCTTTCCAAATACTCGAACGAATCGCTCCATTCGAGCTGGCGAGAGATCTCCTGCATATCCAATATCATGATTCCCAGCCACATTTATGATCCGCTTTTTCCAAGCTGCAGCATCGTCACCTAATATTTTGGCGCTGTTAGAGGCCTCCGAGGGTTGCGTGGTAAGCTCATCAGGGACGCGCACGCCACCCCGAACGACTCGATTCCAGTATCGCCATCCCCGATTCTCAAACTCTTCATCATCTATCCATTGACTTCCAACCAAGTCTCCGAGGACCGTAACATGGGTAGGGTCCGCCCACCAATTTAACGTTCGGTAAATGTGCCCCAGGTAGTAGTCGTTACCAATATGGTCGAGTCGTTTGCGGAAGAGTTCAAAAAAGCTGGGGATATCGTCGAGGTAGAAGTCAATCAGATCGTGCAAGCTGTGCCGGACCCGTTGCAGAGGATTGTGTCTCGTCCCATCGAGGAGTAAAGCATCCTTCCAGAATTTCGAAAAGTTTGGGAAAGTTTGGGCTTGCCGATCGCGTAATGGAGAATTCCCTTCTAGCTGTGGGTCTCCCAATGCCAGTAGCCTGAAAGGCGCTATCTTCTTGGGGTCATGCCGTGAGAAAGGGATGTGTTGTCGAACGGTGGTTGAGAACGACGATGTCGCTGCATGCTCAGGGGAAGGAAACGCGCAGAGGTGGAAGATGGGATAGAGATAAAGATAGCTGGAAAGGATAAAGGACACCGGCACTAGGATGAGCAGTGCAATACGAAGCACAGCAGCGGGGAACATGTAGAAGACTGCATTTGCAGTAGGCGCAACAGATTTGTGGAGAGAGCAAAGAGTTGTTGTAGGAAGGCATCGAATCTAGCTAGTTTGACTTTCAGACTCAGGGGTGTCGCGGATAAATATAAATATAGGACATCGCGCTGACACGTGACAAACTAGGCGCAGGCGTGAAAACTTTATTAAACACATTCTGTCTGCCTAGGTATCTTGGTAGCAAGTGTGATATTAAAATGGATTTCTAATGAAGCGCATATACATATCTGCTCACAATTATTCTAGAGAGGTAGTTAAGGGTAATCGTCATCCTTCTCTAGCGATTTCTTGCATACTTTACCAGCATCATTATTTGGGTCTTCAAATCTTCAAATCTTTAACGGACGCACCTTAGACCTGGGTTCTGGGTTCTGGGTTGACATAAGAAACAAATAGCAGCATCTGGCCATACTCCAAAAGTTTGGTTAAATTGTATTCTCCCACGAATCAAATTCTCGTATTATCAATATCTACCCGTACCTGTACAACCTCCTATTACCACTCACCAAAGAACATCCTTAACATCCAACCCCGCGAAATTCGTTCCACCATACTCGCCAGTCTTATCAGTCCCTGCCCTGAAACTCTCGGGAGGTCCCAAATAACTCTGTCTCACACCCCCCAGATCGACAATAACCTTCTGCAGCACTACGCCCGGCTCTACTGCCCAGATCTTCAGCGTATGTTTTCCGGTCTTCGTTAGGTCGTGTTTCGTGGTTGTGGAGTTACCGCTGCTCAAACCCCAAATACCGTCTGCAACAGCTTGATTCCAGCCTTTGGGAAGGTTCCCACCGGTGGCGTTGGCTACGAATTGCCTTACCTGCGGCGTCTCGTCATCGAACGCGATGCCATATTTGAGGGGTCGGGCGTCGCCGTTTTGATTTAGGGAGGGGGAGAGGAAGAGTGTGACGTTGGCGGCGGAGGTGTTTGTGAATGTGAAGATGTCGTATTCCAGGACAGGGCCGGTGCCTGCGGGCTGAGACGGCGCGAGGACAGGTATCAGAGTCACGCCTGAGAGGGTACGACCATAAGCTGGCAGGGTCGTGTATGAGACGCCATTGATGGCCGAGTTGCGAGAGGTATGCTCGGCTTCTATTGAAATGTGCTTGTCGCTTTCGACAAAACCAGTAAAGTCTTTTGCAGCGGCCACATTCTGAACAGGGACCTGAACCATAGGCGCAGGATAGTTGCCCCAGTCTGCACAGGACGAGGTTATGTTGATGTTCACAGTCGTAGTGTTTGTTGGAGGTGGTGCTTTGCTCCAGTTAATCGAGACATGAACTCGAGTATCACTGCCGTTGTTTCCTCCCGTGTAGCCGGAACTGGGGGATACGACAACGTAGTCACTCCAGGGGGTTATGTTCCATGAGCACCCAGATGTGCCGCGCGCGTAAATCTCGATCCAACGGGTCTTTGGTCCATAAGGACTCATGGGTGGGAGAACAAGTGTGACGCCAGAGTTTGGGTGCCAGGCGTCGTCTCCTGACACAGTGGCATTGGAGGCCTCGACTGCAACACCGATGTTTCCAGCGAGCGAGGTCTCTAGCTCCTGGACATATGAAAGGGCCGGGAGCGAATTGCGCATAGGCTGTTGCCAGTATCCCTCGAATAATGCGCCTTTCCTATAATTCCGTAAGTATCACGTACCCAAAATCGAGGAGGTGTCCAGGTTCTCATCTTACCAAGAGAGATCATATCCCAAATGGGTTTCTATAGACATTAGCCAAGCTCATCATCCCTCCAGGTATCAACTCACGATCAAGCATATGATTCCACTTCCCATCCAAGAGATCGTGATACCGCTTCGTAAGCAGATGATCCATCTTGAAATAGTCTAGCACATCCTCGATGACGGCGTTGGCTTTATTCCTCCGCTGCAGGGCATACAACCTATTCTTAGCTGCGCCAACATAAATTTGATTGACAACTTGGCCACCGAGAACAGGTTGAAGAATCATCTCGTAAAACGAGGGCTTGGCACCATCATCTAGCTTGTTGTAAACATGTTGGGCGTCGTAAGCCAACTCGTCCCACTGAGCAAGGATTGCATCACCTTCGTCGTAGTTGACGACGCTATAAGTCACCGTATCAAGCAACTCATACTTTCGCCGGGCAGCGTACATGCCATAGCGGTCAAGGACGGACGTGATTGTTTCAGCATGCTCGCCACCGAATTCGCGAGTGGCCCATAACTTGATCCAAGTGGGAACGCTGTCATATCCCCATTTAGGGGTATCATAAGCAAGGTCCAAGAAATGGTTGATGGGGATTTCAAGGGGCTTGAGATCTCCAACATTCACGATCCAGATACGGTCGGCCTGTCGAGCATGCGCAAGTTTCATCTAGGAAGTATTAGCATCGCCACAAGAAAAGGGGCTCCGCGGAGGGTTACCTGTTCTAGTGTCTTTTCGAGTTGAATCGTGTTGATCCATTTATAATCTCTTGGGTCACCCACATAATCAAAATGATAGTAAACGCCTGCCGCACTACATCAGCATTTGAGCCTCATCACATCACAATTGGGGGGACTGACCAGCTCCACCGCTTCTTGACGTCTCATTTCCAATTGGCAGTCTTCTCACATTTCCCCAGTTGTCATCTGCCCACAGCAACGTGACATCATCTGGGACACTCAAACCGCGCTCGTAGTATCCCTGTACCTCTTTATACAGACACCACACTTGCGGAATATCCTCAACTTCAGTCCCATTGAACACCTTGCCCAGCACATCTCTCTGTGTTGCGACCACATCCTGGAGAACTTTCATAGCTTCCTCCTCGGTGAGAAGCAGAGCGTTATCGCCATTGCCACGCATCGCCATGGTGAAGAGGCTGCTGGCTCCGTAGGGTTTGGCTCTTTCTGCGCCAACCGTGAAGAATTCAGTAAGGGAGGCGTTATTAGTATCGAATTCCCATTGTCCGTTCCCTCCATATTGCTTGCCGAAGGTATTCCACTCATTGGTAGCGCGCATCATGGGCTCTGAATTTGTATTAGCATCAGCGGCGGGATACCTGATGGTTTTACTGACCAGTATGGCTCGTGCCCATCACGATACCATATGCATCTGCAATCGCCTGGTTTGCGGTGTCATCCACCCCGAACATACTTCCCCACATCGTCGGCCAGATATAATTGGCTCTCAATCTAAGCAGTAACTCAAACACATGTGGATAAAAGTAGTGGTTATATCCCGCGCCGTATTTCCCTGGAGGATAGTTTGAGCTGCCCTCACATTAGCATTCTATCGATTTCTCATATCCATGAGAGGAGTAGAACAAGGCCTAAAACAGAACATACTTAATCCAGTTTGTGAGCCCAGGTTGTTCGTCATTAAGGAAGATACCCCTATACTTCACGGTTGGCGGGCCCTGGACCTTCGTCCCCGGCAACGCCCAAACGCCCTCGCGCTTCCGAACTACAACGTCAGCCCACCACCACCAAGGGCTGACGCCAATCTGTTCGCTAATATCATAGAGACCGAAGATCGTGCCACGCATATCGCTGCCAGCAATGACAAGCGCTCTATCGACTCCCGGTAGTGGGTTCACTACAACTTGGCTGATGAAGGATTCCCATTTGTGGAGAATAGGTGTCGTGTCAATCTTGCCGGCTTGGGCGAGTTGCCGGATCAGTGGTGACTTATGGATCGTGCCGACTATGATGACCGTTTTTTGGGGCGAGTTGTTGACCAATGTCGGACCTTCAAATCGCTCCGCTGGACCCGTTGTATACTTGAAGAGTTTGTCTATCAGAAAAATCCATAAACAAGCAAGAGTTGGAAATAAAAACATGAAAGTATTAGCTTACATTGACAAAGCTTGTTACTGGATTGTACGAATAGTACACAGTGGTTTTGCCGTCCTTGATTTCAGTCTCATTATGACCAGTCCCATGCAATGATGGGCCTCTCCGCTCGCGTTTTTCACCTTGGTGTTTTCCGCCAGCCGACCAATTGCCTAACGTGAGGTTTTTTCCCGTCACCTTTCCAATATCCAGCGCCACATCCTCCGCTGCTCGAATTACACCCCACCAGTCCTGGTCACTGATGAGAATCTGCCCATCAACCCCGCTGCCCGCCAATTGCAACAATCCTCGGTCGGACTTGGTAGTAGTGACCGTAGCATTTTGACCCAATGCTACAACAGCTGGGAGAATGGACGAAACGGCCACGACAAATGAATATAGCGACCTCATTCTGACTGATCGATCGGGTCCGCAACAAATGGCGACGGCTGAACAGAGGAAAGAGAAAACAAAACAGGAGGGAAATGGGGCAATTAAGAACAAAATACTCTAACTAAAAAATATAGTGCCAAACTATTAGAAGCGGGCAGGATAATAAGAACGTGTATATCCTTACATCATTCCAACAGACACCCGACTCTGGGGTAAACGGTCCCGGGCCCGGATAGGAAAACACCGAGATTGACCGGGTGAATGGGTCGCGGATAATACATTCGTATATACTTTCTGGTACCCACCTCCTAATTCCATTTGATGTGGCGATCTTGGCGTCGATTTGTTATATATCATTCTATGGTACCTGACATCGAGCCTAGCCGTGTTCTGCGTCGGGTCGGAACAAGAACCATCATGTTAGACGAGACTCCGCGGGCTCCGGGAAATATATTTTGCGGGGTATGGGGGCATATCAGCCTAATATATATCGTGGGTCTTGGACAACGGCTGCTAAAAAGTAGGAGATGATCGCCAGCGGGGCGGGCAACACGATTGGGAGATTGGGATCCAATGCTCGACAGGCCCTTCACCATTTTTCGACTCTGAAGCTATACAAAACCGCCTCCTTGGCAGCAACATTCGTTCCACCAACTATGGCTTTTCACACATACTCATCAAGGAGTCGGTGTGCAATGCGTATGCGTCGATGGGCGCCAGATTGACGGCTTCATAATTCTAGCGAGGGATACTGATACATGAAAGACAATTATACAAGTTCAAAGATATTGGCTTCGAAATCACGATTCAAACAGAAAGTATAACATAGAGATCGCTAACCTTCAGGTACTTACAAACACTGCATAATTTGGGTGCCCTTTCTCCACTCTAAGCTCGTTGCAGTAGCACCATGGACCCTCGTCTTGCTCCCAGCTAGTGCGTCGCGGCTCCATCTTCCAGCCCGACAGCGACTTATCCGGTGTGGAAGTGAAGCGCACTCCCAAAAAGAAACGCTAATAACAAGCAGTATTAGAGTCTAGGTGACATAAAATAAAACATTGTCCGATGACTTAGCTGCACCCTCAGCCTCCCCGCTCCATTTTAAAAACTTGTTCATCCGCCGAGGATTAGTGCGCTGAATAGATTCGCACACTCGCAATCGTAGATGATGTCGAAAAGGCCGCCGTGCCGGTCGGACAAGTTTTAAGGCAAATGGGATCAGAAAGGAAAAGTAGGATAAGCTGCGCGAATTGTTTTGCAGCTAGTTCTCATCTATTCCAATCCTTGGACAACACCAGCAACGCCTGGAGAAGTGGCCGCGTCGACAAGAACTGACTGGGCCTTGGCAGCCGGCACGAATGCGTACCTTGGCATCATGGCCATCTTCTCCTCGGGACTAATTTCATTGTCGGAATAGATCATCTTCGTGGGCTTATCCTTCTTTGACTTTTTCTCGTTGGTTTCTGTCTTCTCAGTAGTTTCGGGAACTGGAGTCGGAGCAGCTTCCGGTATTGGAGCCTGAACTCGAGCCGGCAGGGCTTCACCTTTCTTTGGAGGTTTAATACCGGCCTCAGCCATTCTGATTATCTCGTCAATGTCATCGGCCGCTCTGGCAGCCCCTGAAACCAGATCATCCACCGAAGAAGCGTTAGCCGAATAATCTCCGTAGCCTTGAGAGGCGGGATAGGCTGATGACATAGCTGGTTTCTGATCTTGACCATTCCATCCGTTACCCGCCCAGCTACCCTGAGAGCCTTGAAATGAAGCGGGGTTGCCTTGGTGCATTTGTTGCATTTGGAAAGGGGCAACGGCAGGCGCCCCAAATGATGGCCTTTGTGGAAGACCTGGGGCTGGAGGAAGACTTGGCGGGCGGTTGGGGAGACCACCAGGCGCGGGAGGTGTATGGGACGGAGGGCTTTGATAAGAATTAAACGATCCGGGTGGCGAACCAGCTCCAAACGACTGATGCTGCGGACCGCCTGGATAGCTTTGCCCAGGCGGCTGAAATCCTCCGGGGGGAAAGGATGGCTGGGCGGGATACTGCTGGGATGAGGAATATTGTGGTTGAAATTGGGACGCAGGCGGGCCAGAGAAGGGCGGTTGGGAAGCATAGGGCTGTTGGTAAGCTGCAGCTGGTTGCGAATACGGCTCTTGTGAAAATGATGCATAACCCGCACCTTGTGTACCGCCATAAGTGGCTTGTGGAGCCGTATATGGAGAAGCATTCTACGGAGACATGTTAGTGACGCAAAGAGTAGAAAGCGGAAAGCCAAACTTACGAACGAGCTTGGGCTCTGACCACGAGGGCTATTTTGAGCACCATCTAACGGTGTATTACCTCCACTGCTCGCGCCAGCCACTCTCTCAGCCTCCTTTCGAGCTTTATGCTCTGCTAGTCGCTTCTTCAACTCGGCGGGAGATTCGAATTTTGGCTTTTTCGGTTGTCCGCCAGCGTTCGCACCTGGGCTGGGATTGCCAGTCGCAACTCGGCGTTCTGCTTCCGCTTGGTAAAAACCTGCGATGATGCGCTGATTATGTGCTTGAGCAACATCTTCCGGGATGCCTTCCATACCAAATATTTCAACTTCAAGGCCTTGTCTGTTGGGTAAAGAATTATCGACACTTGTTAAGGTTTCCTTATGTACCTGGTTCATGTGGACGGAGAGCCCTGGCGATGGTCAGTTGCAGTCTGGCCTGGAATTGGGACATGATGCAAGAACATACCTCCTGCAGTATTCAGCCTGCGCCCACATCTTTCGCATTTGAAATGCTTAGCTTTCTGGTGAGAGATAAGGATCTTAAGGTCATCGAAATCTCGCTCACCTTAAGACATAGGTTAGCAAACTTCGGTGGTGTGGCGAGAGGGGAGGGAGAAGAGACTTACAGTAATAACACCACGGTCGGGCGAGCAGCTCATCAACATCGGGATGGCCGCGCTTCTTCTTTCCACCCATTGTGTTCTGTGATGGAGATTGAAAAATCGAACGCCGTTGTCTGATTTGTAGAAGGGAAATGGGAAGTGTTATGATACCGTCGCGACTCGAGAAGTTTGGGATAGGCCTGAGGGCCTGAGACTGAGTTAGCGCGGATGAGTCAGCAAATAAATAATATTTTTATCCTCCGCGGCTGCTGCTTTGCTTTCCAAAGTTTCCACCACCGGCCGTGAATTATTCTCCTCAAGTATACGCAGCAAAACAATACGACAACACACCATACCACCCGTACTAAGCACACTTATTGTACTATCGTGTTACATACCGTAGCGATATATCGGCCTCAACTTGTTTGTTGCAATTCATCGAGATTATGATCGCCGAGGTGTATTTCTCGTCCAGTGATTGAGCAATCTGCGTTTCGGCCTTCCAGCTTCTAGGAAGTATATTCAAACCCGTACAACTTGATATTCCACCATCCCCGCCCGAGCAAGATAGCACCCCCTTGATCAATCACTCAGCCATTTTGGCATACCAAGTGAGACCTTTCTCGGAAGGCCTTTCGATGTCCTCACGTCTTGTGTGGAAGTCGAATGGAGATTGAGAAAGAATACGATCTTTCGGGATTGTGTTCTCTGAGAGGACTGTTGCAAGATCAATTTTGGACCTTCATAGTCCATACTCCTCCTCTTTCCAAGAGTCTTTCACAGGAGTGTGGCTCCTTGCGTACCAACATCCGAATCGCGACTGAGATTTTCTACCACCATAGTTCGCAAAATACTTCGCGAATCAAATCGTTGGAGTCAAGAAAATCGAAATCATTTGTACCCGTGTGCTCTTTAGTTTTACTTACGTGTTTGAATTGAATACTATATACACTTCCATCACTTTCCTTCCTCCTGAATACACACGTCAGTTCTGAAAACCCCCCCAATACAGTTCCTTGCAAATGTTCCTCCTCCCCTCAGTCTGTGCAGGCGACTTTGTCGAGCTGGGAACAAGGGCTAGCATCTCATGCTCCCAAGTTCCGCAAACCACTCTTCACACATTAAAACTGTTCTATTTCACTCAAGCCCACCATCAGGCAGCCTAGGTTGGCTCTCTCATTTTTAGTTGAGCGCCCCATGGAGTCTCATTCCACAAGGCCCAAACACCCTCCAAACCAGACAACCCCTTTCTAATCAAGCGATATACCCTGTGTGAAGCCGAAAGAAAAGAACCAGCAAGCTGCCCCGGGGCGGTATGACCTTCCAAGCCCCATTTGAACAGATTGTAGCATGCGAGTTGGAATTGAGATGGTTATAACCTATCCAAATAAGGAGACGTGTCTGACGATGCCAACATTTACATTCGACTACACACTTTGCCTCCTTGAAAAGCTTCCATGTGTCTATATCAGTACAAGCTGATAGACTAACGAGACGTGATCGCGATGTTCAACAGCCTACTTTTGATTTACGGGCACTGTGTAGTGAAGGAAAAATCTCCATAACGTCCGGAGTCATCCAGAAGAGTAATAGTGGCATACTAAGTCTAATATACAATGACGCGTTTTGCATGCCTCCTTGACGAGTACTCTCCATCCAAACTTAACCACGCAGATAAACTACATGCCATATAGCACATGAAGGGTTATGTAGGGCTATATTATCCAGCTGTCCTCGGATATTCAATTTGAGCTTTGCCACATACTTTAGGGGGAAAATAACCACTTGTCGCGTGGACTGTTCTGATTCTGAATGAATGATGTATATGCTATATTACCTATCAACTCGGAGCAGCTTAGCAAAAGCCGACGACAACTCGAACTCGGATATGGTGGCCGTGGTCAACCAAAAATCACGACGCTTTTGCTAAGTCGTTTTCCAGCTCCATGAATCAAGACGGCATCCAACCAGGTCTGGTCACTCTCCTTCTCCCATCCGCGCTCAGGAACCCAACCTAAAATCTTGCCAAACCTCTTCGCAACATTCTCCAGTCCGGACATCATATCACCGGTCCTCTTCACAGAGCTGTAGGCGTCAAATTCAACCACCTTGATTCCTGGTACCACTTTTAGCACCCCATCCAATAAGCCGGCTGAGAAACGCTCATAGCCACCCTCGGTCATACGAAATCCTTTAAAAATTGCATCACTCGGATCGCACTCCACAAACACCTTAAGAACCCTCACATTTAGACAGTCTGCGAGCCCTAGAGCATCATTCACCACCCATCCCTGTGGCGGGTCATTCCAGCCAGGACCAAGGCGCAACTCTAGGGATGTGATCGAGGCTCGGTAGTGCGCAGGAAGGCGGGCCAAAAGAGGCCTTTTAGTTTTGAAATAGTGTCCGGGAAATGTCGGGAATATACGAAAGGTATGTGTACTGAAAAAATAATGTATGGCTTCACGATGAACCTGCCGCGACACTCTGAAGAGCGCAAGGACCTTATACCGGTGAAGGGTGGCGAAGGTATGAGGATCAAGATCGATAACTGGTGGCGCCGCCGCGAACACGAGGGGGTATATTTTATTTCGAAGTTCGGAGGGTAGGCTGAGGAAAGGAAAAGTCGGACGGTTCTTCGTTTGTATAGAATCGTCCTCGTCTTCTGTAGGATAGGCGGAAGATGACGGGGTCTCGGGAATTCTAGCATAAGACATTATGCTCAACTTGGGCTGGAATACTTCAGAAGTTGAAGTTCTCCTGGCCTTCTTCGATGGCGCAAGGCTCTTCTTGGCCCTGGAACCGTTGGTCGCGTGCATGATGAGAGGTCGAGACTGACAAAGATTTAGGGGAATGGCACAAAGTCAAGACATGGATATATATGGGTTGTGATTGTGATTGTGATTCCAGCTATTGACAACGAACCAGCAACAGCCCTGGGTGGAATAAGTCCGGACGGTGAGTCTCGACAATGTCGACGTGTAACGGGACTGAGTTGCCATGGACCGGTGCTCCAAAAAGCACCGGCCTAGCATCCAATTCTTGAACAAGTCATAATGTTCATCTCCTCAGTTTGTACAACCTTACGTCCAGGGAGAATGGAAACGTAGAGTCAAATTTCGTTCCTCTGAGTGTCAACTTTGTAGAAGGAAAAAGGCCAGCAGAGGCGAGCGGGGAGAAGATGTATAAAAGGCGAAAAGGGATTCAACCGGCGCCTTACCACATCGGCACTAGCGTCAAGAAATATTTCCAGGAGCTTTGCGAGATCTTACAATCCAGCTGTAGCTGAAGCTTAATAGCTGCTCCATGCCATCTGCGCTTCTGCCCCATCCCTTGAACCGCTGCGGACTTCTTTACTGAAGTCGCCCGCAAGTAATTTCACTATGTTGTCACGATCTATCGCTCGTTTGCAGAGCCCGGGTGCAAGGGCTGGTGCTGCGACACTGCGCAACACGTCATTGAAGTCGACTTCAACAGTATGGGGTCGGTCTATGGCAAGCAACAACAAGAATAATCATGGCGGGAATAAACCATTAAACTTCCAGTCAAAATCTGGAGCTCCTCCATCATCGCGCCCGACTGGTGGTTCCGGGGGGTTTTCTGCTCCGCAGCCTTCACAAAGTAACAACCAGTCTCGGAGACCAGATCTGTCAAAAAGGCAACCGGAAGCTGGTCAATCTGCTACCACGGCACGAAATGCTACGTCAAAACCTTCAGATACCAGTGCAGCAAGTCGCAATCCTGCTTCAACAGAAGGGAGGGATCCAGCGATATCTGGGAAGGAAAGCGAACTTGACACGCCGGCGTCGCCGTCCGACAACACAGCACCACAATCCTCCCCTCCATCTGCCACCGACCCTGGAGCAACCCAGACTCGAAACAGACCTCTTCCAGACCTTACCCAAGGCATTCCTTCCACCCTCGAATACGAAACTGCTGGGAGTACTACTGATGGTCGGCCTCCGCCTTCATTAAATTTGACAGAATCCCCAGAGCCAGATGCGTCCGGCGGGGGACGGGGCCGTGGGGAGCTTCCAGCTTCGGCATATATCTCATCTACCGAGAGGAAGCGAAACCGTGTTGCAAATTTCATGTATGCCACGTTCGCCGGGCTATCAGTTGGAGCAACTATATATCTTGGCAGGAACTGGGAGTCGGAAGAGGAAGAGGAACGACATAAGGACGCCCCTTCAGGATGGTCGCTCACGCTAATGTGGAAACGTGCAAAAGCCCGTCTCGGTGATCAAATCAATTACTACAACGAACCCGCATTCCCAAAACTCTTGCCCGATCCGGACCCAATGTTCGAACGGCCGTACACCTTGGTTTTGAGTTTGGAGGATATGTTGATCCACAGCGAATGGACCCGAGAACATGGATGGAGAATGGCAAAACGACCTGGAGTTGACTATTTCCTGCGCTATCTTAGCCAGTATTATGAGCTAGTGATTTTCACATCGCAGCCGTGGGCAGTTGCTGAGCCAATTCTTCGCAAGCTAGATCCGTATCACATGGTCATGTGGCCTTTGTTCCGAGAGGCCACCCTCTACGAGAATGGAGAATATGTGAAGGTAAAATGCCTTTATGCCAGAGACTAGTAGAAGCTAATACAACGTGCAGGAATTATCATATCTCAACCGAGATCTATCCAAAGTTATAGTAATCGATACCAAGCCGAGCCACGTCCAAAAACAACCCGAGAATGCCATCATCCTGGAACCATGGAAGGGGCAAGTTGGTGACACAGACCTTGTAGCGCTGATCCCTTTCCTTGAATATATTCACACCATGACCTATAGCGATGTGCGAAAAGTCCTTGAGTCCTTCAAAGGCACTCACATCCCCACTGAATTCGCCAAGCGTGAGGCTCTTGCACGGAAAAAGTTCGAACAAGAATTAGAAATAGAGCGGAAGAAGCGCCCCAAGCACTCTGGCGCCGGCTTCTTAGCCAATGCATTGGGAATCAAGTCTCAGTCTATGATGATGACGGACCCCAACGAAATAACGCCAGCTGAAGCCTTTGCACAAGGCAAGATGATCCAGGACATTGCAAGGGAAAGAGGACAGCGGAATTACGAGTTACTCGACAAGGAAATCCGCGAAAATGGAGAGAAGTGGCTGAAGGAGGAAGCGCTAAATGAGGAGAAGGCTAAAGAGGAAGGCATGAAAGCTATGAAATCTGGTTTCATGGGCTTCTTTGGCGGCAGTGGGGAAGGGAAATAAACCCTGGTGCGTCAAGGGAGTCAACGACGAAATCCTGGTATGGGTATATTCTATGTATATTATTGCCGGTCTCACAGGCTGGGCTCGTGTGCAGTCCCTCTCTTCTCTCTGTAACGCATATGTGGTGGCGTAACGTCGGCAGGCAGGCATGTAGATGGAAAGCGAACTGTCTTAGTTGACGATGATAATAGGTACACTCATGTTGTATAATAGGAAATATATCTGGCGTCCAGGAATAATATCCTTCCTAGAAGATCTATTATCTTGATGGGCCTATGTTAATGCTCGAATTAGCTAGCGATTACATGGAGCGTGCCTTGCAAAGCGTGTCCGATGTAAGGAGCAACCAACTATCTCGTGCAACTTCTGCAGTTTCTTTCCTCTAACTTCACATTATATACTTAGTTACCCAAGACTAGCAGTCTCTTTATTATTATACTAACGCCTTTTCAACCTTTGTGCATAAGAAACGACCGGTTTTCCTAAAGTAGGCTTGGGTTAATATGGGTCTGATTATCTGTCCTCTTTTGCTTGATATTCATCCTGAGATTACCTAGTACAATCCCGTTTATTCTTTCATACCCGTTCTATACTGTTAGTACTGCCAAGGGAAGCAAGACATGCCCTCGCGAAAATACCCAGCCAGTAGGACTGTATTTGGCCATCCTTCGGGAGGTCGAATCATGATATATAGTTAGGGGCAGGTAGCCCGTATCAACCCACTTAAATCGCCAACACTTGTTAATGGTACGGTCTTCGAAGATGTCTTGAGTTATTTCGTGTTAATTATTAATTGCGGAGTAGCGGCCACTTGTTATTTCTTGGAAAATTCGACGACGGGTGGAAACTATGCAGTTGGTCGAAGACACCTTAATAGAACACCCGACATGTCGGAGTTGCTAGAGGAGTGGAAGTTGGAAGGGTAAGAGGCATGAGATCATGACTAGGGAATTACAAAATAGCAGTCGGTATCTAATCGGATCAGAGCTAGGTCGTGGTTCGAAAGCTACTATTTGATAAATAAAATGGGATGTTATTTGTTAGAACTTTAGTAATGGATATAATAACTATAATACATCTTATCCTACTACTTAGTCCGTCCCAGCGAAAGAGGACGTGTAGCCCAAGCCGGCAATGACCACCTGTAGTCCACTATTAAGATTAACATATAGTTTTTAAACGCCAGATGCCCATCCCATCTCCAAGAAATTAACCTAAGTGTTAATATAGCAACGACGCCTCCCACGCTTACACCATGCTTTGCATATCCTTCCATTCCAGGTGCCTCGCTAGGAATTGTCGTATAGTGGGTAGTACAGTACCATTACATCCACCCGTGGGTGAAGAAGCACAACCATGCCACGCTCCGTTAAATAACTTTCGTCTCTAGTATACCCGAGATCTCCGTCGGAGCTCCCCCTCATATTCATCTTCAATATCAGCATCATCAGCATCCCGCATTTGCAAGATCTCAACGACCCTCCTACTCCTGCCGCCGCTATGCCGCTTCCACTGCCTCATCCATTCGAACTCATCGGAGCTTGCCTTGTCACAATAGGAGTCGCCCCTTCCAGTTGGGACCGTCACCCTCTTTAGACCCACCGCAATTCTTTCATGACTCTGCTCCATATCTCTCGTATAGAGATCCAAGAGGCTTGGACCTTCATATGGAATAACACCGAGTGTCATCTCAACTTCGTAGTTTCTCCTTCCACTATGATGGCAGGTGACCTGTAGGAGGTCGTGTGACGAGCGATCAGCGAATCGTCTTAGCCTAGCAGGAAGGTTTTGGGACTTGGATCCTGAGGGGCATGGACGGGATGCTGATGTTGAGCGGGAGCTAGAGGCGGAGGAGGGCAGGGAAGGAAGGGGGCGTTTGCTATAAAGGGCGACATTCTCTGGCGCGGTGGAGTGGTGTGATGTTGTGGATGATGTTGGTGAAGCCGAACGGAGAGCCTCCCATCCCTCGGAGCTGGACTGGGCGGACGAGGCACTTGCAGAGGATCCTCGGCGTGTGGATGGGAATGAGATCAAGTCCCACTCCATTAAACAGTTCTGTATTTGAGATATCCTGGCTGAATATTAGCCAGAGGCAAGTCAAGGTAGGGACGGGTCGATCCGTACGTAACGGGAAGACGACGCTCATACAGCATGTCCACGATCTCGTCTTCGGACTTCTGGTCATCGAGATATAATTTGGTAATCCAGTGCCTGTGGATAAAAAGTATGTCCTCGATAGACAGCTCCACATTCCGGACATCCATAGCTAATAGGGCTGGGAGTCGATAGTTGGGAAGTTTGTGCGCGTTGAAGGAATAACACGAAGGATATCAAATGATAGTAACTTGAGAGATAATATTCGAGTCAAAGAAAGGCAGATAAGGTCATATATGCCTCTCCTCACAGATCCGTAGCTTATGTGGATCTACGGGAACTAGGATACAGAGTCCTGGGAGACATGCGTACCACATGTTTTGAGAACAAGGTAAACCTTTGGGGGAGGAAGGGCTGCGCAACACGCCATTACAGCATGGATCCTGCAGGGGAAAGGTCTTGGAACAGATGCCTGGAACATGCAGCAGCCTACTTCTATTATGAGAAAAAGGAATAATAGGGCCCATGATCTAATATCGATGGCCCCCCTTGGCCGGCCGGTTAAAATCCACGACCGCGGTACCGGGTTTGAAACTGAGACTTGAAGAGGTGGACAACGAGTTTGGCCACCTGACCCACAGAGACTTTTGTCTTCTATCCCCGATAATATCCCATAAGACAAGAAATACTGTTCTAAATCTTACTATCTCAACACAGGTCAGGATAGACCCCTTGGACGGAAATGGATGCGTGCGATGTGGGCAGAAACACTCAGTTCTCCAAGATCTGGCGGAGAGCCCATACGTACATGTACCAGCCAATGTTGGCTTCAGTGCTTATACCGCATCCCAAAGGCTACCTCTTGCATCTGGCATCTTGCAAGGAGCAAGAAATACTGGCGATCCTCGAGTTTCCCTGACGGTTGAAATTTGGGGGAAGAGAAACTATTGCAGGGCTAGCCGACCCTGCGTACACCCAATTGGCCAGCGTACGGCAATCCTCGCAAGGCCTGCCACTTTTCGGGAGCAATATGATTATGACCATAGGTCATGGCGCTACGGAGTATGGGGGTTGAGGAACTTGAGGGACCTGAGTGAAGGATCGCGCCCCTTGCGAAACATGGCCACATAGGGCTAGGATCTGAACGATCGATACGGACGATTACTGGTATGCAGCCAGGGGGGCTAGAGAAACATCGCCATCGTCCATTTGCTCAACGATCGAATTAAACCGCACAAGCAAAACAACCCCCCCGGGCACGACCCGGATTCTGGGAGAGACCGCGGAGGACACCAACAAAAATATTTCCGTACCTGGCTTCTCCAACCAGCCGCCCAGTCCGGCGGCCAGTGTAGCTTTCGCCAGGAGAAGAAAAAGCAAAACAGCCATGGCCTTCTGACGATTTCGAGGCTAGAATCTCGCAAGATCCTTACAGAAGTACTTCACTTGGTGCCCTTCATCAATGGTAAAGATCTTTTCTCGTGCATATCGTACAGAGTACGATGTACTACCCTACCTTATGCTACACGTAGCACGTCGAGTAGCACGGCTACCGGACAAAAACTTTCTTATGTGATCATACAATGCTTAGAATACCCGAGCCTCGAGTAGTGGGTGGTCAGCATACCTTAGGTTTCCGCCATGCAAACACACTGCGGTATTGTGATTTGTTACCCACGCAGACATACCTGCTTTTGGGACCCAGGCCAGCTGATGGATAGGATGGAGCGTGGTGTCCCAAGTACGAAGCATTGCATGCAGCATCCACCTGCAACCGCGACGCCAACACAGGGCTCTGCTTGCCCGGAGGTAGTCAGCAATGCTCCAACTGTTGAGTTCGTGGAGAAGGGGGCGCGAGCCTTGAGGGCGTTGTCCAGCTGCATTATTGGCATCCCCCAAGGAACCTTACCTATGACATCCACATCCACATCCACATCCACGTCCACGTCCAAGACCGCGTCTACCGCCACCGAATACGAGCTGTGTGCTGAATGTGGCCCGTGGCGCCGCTGCAGATCTTCGGGGTTGGGTTGAACTCGCATTGATTCCCAATCAAGCGGATAAATCCAAAAATAACAACAATAACCCACGCGTGATGCTCGTTCTCATGGACCTGAAAAGGGGCAGCAGGAGACCAAAGCTGCGGTCCTCTTGGCAACAAGGTTACCACGTGGAGGACACATGGAGGGGCCGGATAAAAGCCAGCCCTGTTCGTACAGTTCGGAGCTGCAGCCCAGGGTACAGTCAGGTACGAGTACAGTACCAAGGCAGTTCGGAGGCAAGGTATCATGTACTGTACGTAAGGTACCTTATGGAGGTCGTACGTACAGTAGAGTACAGTAGTTCCCGGGTACTGGGAGTCTGGGAGTCTGGGATAGCAGTTCGTAACTGATACTCCGGCGAGGTCGGTCCTCCCTCATTGGTGGTTAAACCAGGCCGTATAACTCTAGCCAACAGGGAGAGATTGATGAGCACGAAGACTAGCGGAGTGCTTCGTACTCAGAGTCCCATTATTGACCACGGCCTAGCTACAGTAGCCCAAAGGTAGTAACCTCACTGGTGAAGCTGTGAGATTCGCGCAAATACCCGTACCGTACTACCGCAAGATCGTACGGAAACCTACACCCGTGGGCTCGGAGCGACTTTCTCTTCCTCAGCTAGGAGTCTAGAACTGCTAAACCAACTCTGAAGTTTCGGTACTTATACTGAATGTCGAGACCTACAAGTATAGGACGTCGTCGGTAAGGAGACACGAGGCCAAACGGTAATCGAGAATGGAGATAGGAGCATATCGGATGTTGACTCATCGGGTATTCGGAGCTATGGAAAGTGATGTGTTCAGTTGTTTGGAATTATTGGTGTTGTAATAATGTGTTTACATCGTATTTGGAATATGGATGTGATCGTGCGGTGGCTTCCGCTGGACACCTGCACGCTGGGCTCTCGCTGGTGATATCTTATGATGTCTTATCCCCGACAACTCTGCCGTTCCCAGCCAGTAGTACGCGGGGCAGAGGCCTCGCTACCGGGGGATGGATTCTCTGGGACAGGTCGCCGTCTGACTTGAGGGTGTTTCATCCAATTCAGGTGCGTGTGAGGCTGTGGGCCGATGTGACCCTATTCAAGCAACATAATAATGACCCTGCCAAAGCCCCTGGCTGCTCCAAAGTCGGTACCGGCTGCTCCTTTGAACCTTTCCATCTCCCCTTCTCAATATCTGCAGGTTGCGCTACAAGGTCCTGATGAATACACACGTGCAACCCGCCGATGCAGCGGTGTCGTCGGGTTCAGCCGGTAGTACTGCACTGTACCTGCATGAGGAGCCTCAGGGAGCTTGCATGAAATCAATCCCCACAAAGTTGGATGAACTGCTTCATGCGATCTATGTTTGGAAATGGTAATAAGAAGGGAGCCTTGCGCTTACCGAGAATTTGTACCAACCCGAATTCTAATCTACAAATATATCCTTTCGAAGGATCCCGTGGGCTGTGGAGATAATAAGAATATCGATTTTGTGTTGATTCTAGGATCCCCTTCCCAGCCTCCTATTTCTGGCTTTTCATACCTGGTATGGTAAGCTGTTGGCGCGACAACAGAAGGAGTGGAACAAACGAGCCAAAATCCAACCCTCGCCCAGCCACCTTGTATAAATATTCCTACTGTCATGAGTAGGTGTCACATTTGCCAACTCCTTGAAGGTCTTATCCCCAGCTCATGTTTTTTCTTCCGTGTGCGAGTCGGGGCAGCCCAGTCTCTAGCTAGGAATCGATTGAACCGTGAACATTGGCCAAATGGTCGCCCAGCCACGACTGTAACCTGCCGAGGTTTTGCCTGGAGATTTGCTACTTCGGTGTTGTGATGTAACGTCTCTCCCCTCCGATTAGAGGGCGAAGCTTGTTTTTGTGTCGTTAGAGAGATTTTGTTCCGTAAGAAAATGAATGCATTTTGCAAATTATTTGTCTACAACGTCTCAAGTCGGTTTCTGGTAGCCATTATTTATAGGTGCCTGTAGCCTTTTATATGAGTTCGGGAAACGGGTGTTGAGCTCACTTCTTGAATTAAAATTGCTGCTCTATTCAGGTACCGGTTTTAGACTCCCATATAATGCTTCATACCTCATGATACACATAACCAGGCCGACCGACCGACAAGCTCGCCACTTGTAGCACCATAAAGCGCAAGCATGCAGTGTCCCATTCATAGCCTGAGATTAGAGATCAGAGGCCAAGAACCTTTGCATTTCTAGCCACTGTCATTTTATTAAACTCGGTTTTTACTTTATTAACAGAACTACTTTTTTTGGTTACTAGAAAGAGGGGGATGTGATTTTATCGTACATGAACCTGCTACCTCAATGTTAGGGGGTATAGAGATAATAAAATTTTTAGAAGATGTAAATTTACCCAAAACACACAATTTAGTACATAAAAATCACATCCAAAGAAAATACCACCTTCTACCTTTTCTTCCTGAGTAAAACTGTTAAGGTTATAGTACTTAAAACAAGGGGGGCTTAGAGGTAATTAAGTTGATTTATTCTCTAATATAATAAGTAGATAACCTATATATACAGGCAAGTAAGGGAATAAGTCAAGTAAACCACTAAGTAAATAGAATACGCCAAAGTCCATGTTATCTAAGATTTGTATGACCGAGGTAATCATCTGTGTTCTATACTAATTACTAGCAAACAGGTGCTTACTACCTAGACTAGCTGATCTGCTCGTATCACGCATTCAGGAGATTCCCCTAGATTGTGACATTTCAGGGGCTTGGTTGGAGGCCTAAGCTTTAACAAAACATCCTTAATAGGGTTAATTTATATAATTTATATAGAAATCTGTCTATACGACAGAGCAGTAGCTCAGTCAATGAATTTACTCCTTAGTTGTCAAACTCCTACCAAATTCGAAATCATTTCCTACTTGCAAGAGTTCGCTGCCGTTCTTCATTTTGCTCAGCGACTAAAAGTTGAAGCGTTCAATCCCCGAAGATCTTCCAGCTCTCAAAATCTACCTTTGTACGTTACTCGGCCGAGCTAGATTCAAGCCGAGTCCGGATGTCCTAATAAACAGTCCCCTTCTCTTCGCGACACCACCTCTATTCATCGAACACATGCCAGAGTCTCGAAGTAGTAAGTACAAAATGGCTACCGAGATTATGGTAGCCCGATAGAATCCCAACCTCCCCGTAGCGCCGGACGCCTCGATAAACGAACTCCATTCGAAGAGCGGCATAGCAAAGAGGGACTAGGCACTTTTCTTAAAACATAGTCGAGTAACAATATGGCAAATGACAACTTACAGCGCAGAACGTCCTAGGTAAGAAGAGCATCGTAAACACAGCAATCGCCTTCATGATTATCGTAGAGGAGTCAACTAGGACATAAGCTTTGTTCCAATCTTCATATTCTTTCGAAGTAATCAACTTTGAAACTTGGGAATAATGCTCATTTATAACACACCCTAAGGATGCAATTTCAAGACATAATTTAAGAGCTTGAAAGCGCCTAACGTGAATAAGAACAGATAGGAAGAGTTGGGATAGGAATATTTCCTAGTATCAAATACTGATATGCTCCTCTAAGCTACGGTTAGGAACGGGCATTGTAGCATAGCTACATAAACTAGCAATATACCAGGGTTTTTTGATCTTCTTGCTTACAGAATTCGAGCACTAGCATCAAACGCAGGGTCGGAATTTCTGCCAGCCGACTGGACAACGGTCTCCTCAGTCACAACCTCGGATGTGGCCTCCGTATTTTCTTGACCCTGCGAAATTGTCAATACACTGGAACGTTTGTGATGGTGACAAGTAGACTGAGAAGTAGCGGACCTACGTGGCAATGGATGCACGAGGCTTGGCGACAAGAAGATGATCTTGCCACCCCCAATATTGGAAAATCGCCGCCTGCTTCGTTCGATAGAAGGCTCCGGGAGCTATAACCGGATGATTCTTGGGAGTATCGAGTTGGGGTTTGAAAAAAAACCTGGCCAAGGTTATGTTGCCTGCCTTGGTTACAGATCACATTCCGAATAGTCAAATTCCTGACCAAAAATCGCTTTGCAGCTGCGAGATGCAGCTTCATAGTTCGAGACGAGTCCTTAAATATTCAATTGAATCCATACAGGCCAGAAAAATTACCATTGATCTTCTAGCTTTATAACTCTGTCAGACTTGTGATTAACAACGGGCATTGGGATTGACTTCATATGCCGGGACCAATCAGTGACATTATGCTCATCATTAACCAAGTGCATCCGACCGCCAATCGCCTCGAAGTGATAATTCTCATACTTGTAAAATTGAATCTCGAAGCCAATCTGAAGCATGCCATAAGTGTTCTTCGTGTCGTTGTCATTACCAGCGCAAACCGTATGGTCCGCGTACGTGCCCCAGGATTCCCCGGGGGCTTTTGTCTCGCCCAAGAGAAAGTCGTACTCGTACGAGCTTCCTCCAGGCCTCGCAAATCTAGACACGGTGAAACCGGGACGCAGATTGGCCGCCATATCTTCTTGCATCACGGAGAATCCCTCGTTGGAGGTGATGATCCATTGTAGAATCCCGCACATTATTCATCTGTACAAGGGCTCTGACGACTAGCGCGTCCTTTGCAGAGGGAGATTGGGGCTGCGACGTGGGGATCGGCAAGGTAGGTGGCGGGAGGTGGTTGATAACTTGATTGTTCCAGACCCAGGGCGTTAGATGCCTCACGGGGAGTGGAAGATTGTTATAGTACTGTACCATTGTGGCTAAGACTTAGTCGGATCAAGAGCACACGCCTTGTTAAATAACGGTCAGCTATTTGAACCCACAACGTCGGTCGCAGCTGAATTCGAGGAGTGAAGCATAAAATAAAAATTCCATTGGTGGCTTACTTGAGTGACAAGATTCTGTATTCGAGAGAGGGATTCATCAGGGGAATTATATAAGTATAGAGTCTTAATATATGGGACGCACCCAATGAGGTGAGCGGCAGCGAGGGAGCTTTCTCGACCTCCAAGCTGAGCGGAACCAAACTATATCTTTGTGCATTTAGCTTCCCAACTCCAACTTTGGCGTATCAATTGCCTGTCAGCACGCAGGGAACATATAGGAACTTTTGGTCACACTAGCTCCTGTAGAGGATGGCGCAGACGTCCTTCCACTTCGGCCTTGTGAGACCGCAGTTGCCCGGCCCTTTTTTGAAGTTTCCAAGCTTCAAGCTCCGCTCGGAGTCTTTCCGTCCTGGAGACTTCAGAGATTCGGAGAAGGACAACATGACAATGACATACCTACGTTGGTGGCACTTCCGGGGGTTGGAAACCTTGATGCGGAGACGCGTTGGAACTTCGGGGTCGAGAGTTGAGAGAATGGACGGTTGCCTCCTGACCGCTTGACCGCCTAAACCGCAATCACCTTTCCCCCACAGTCCCCCAACTCCAAATTTATCAACACCATGCAAGGCGAAACCACCGAAGTTGTGGAAACCATTTGATGCTGCTCATCCATTTGATATTGTTGATTTTCGCAGCACAACCCTTATAACCGATCGCTGAACACGATGTCGACAACCTTCCAGATCGTTACAGAAGGTAGGCTTAACTCTCGAGTTCTTCCTTCCTCTGCCCATTGCAATTCCTGAGGGGCTCATCTGGTGTATAGGACGTGTTTACGTCTTCAGCAGACGGGAGTTGAAGTTTGAGGTCACTATAGAGAAAGCGCATAAACTTCTCCGGGGGACATCGAAGGGTGAGTCCGAAAATCGGGATCTTTTCACAACACTCCGGTTCATATCCACTCACCACCTGCTTGGCCTCCACTTTCGATGCTCTACACAAAGGGATAGCTGAAAAGTGGCTCTTACGAGACGACGTTGTGAAACCTTTCGGTGATAGACGCCAGAATCTGAGATTTGTCTGTACATTTAACTTGGATCAGGACCTTCTCTCCTACTCGGACGAGACTGGCCATATCCAACTTCCCTTGGCTCGTCTACGCGAGCTTGACTCTGATCCTTTGCAACGATCCGAATTCACTCCCTTTGAAATAGTGTCTCCTCCCAAACTGGACCTCGCTGAGTTTCCCCCGCCGTACCAGAAACCTTCAACGCCTATACGCGAACGCTGTCTTGCCTTGTCTTCACGTGTTCTTTTAGACTTCGCAGACCAATGGCGCCACATACTCCGATCCTCCTATGCAGAATCTACCTTTCGGAGACTCGCAAAGGCGATTGTCAGTATAGCAACAAACGATTTTCGGGTCGATGAGGTTTTCACGAAGCAGCACATCGACTTTAGAAGTTTCTACATCACCGTTCTCGATGTACCGTCTTGGGAACCCTACGAGCGCCACCTGTTCAGTATTGGAGGCACCACGGTCGTTCTCCATCAAGACCTTCAGACTGCACTGAAGATTGCGAAGGATGAGGCAAGGGAGAGCAGGAAGGTCATGAATCCGAGTGATGGCACCGAGCAGCGTACGTACTTACTTTTGTCGGTACGACATATGCTGGTCTGCCACGTCGATTCCACTGGAACTTTCTCATACACAGCCCCAACAACTCTCATGGACGGCCTCACTCTACCTTCCCCTTCCGCTATAAATCTTCTCCTTCAAGCCCTCTCACCATCTCGGCCTCCGGCCCACACACCTGTTCATAGCCTCCCTTTGGAAATTCAAGACCGAATCTTGGAACGCGTTTCAGAAGGCCTGGTCGAAGCTGCAAGGCTCGGATGCGTTTTGGGTCTAGGTTCCCCGTTTACATGGATGAGGGCTGTTGATTGGCCGAGGCGAGGTGGCCCCGTTGAACTTTTTATCTCTCCTTCGCATCGCAATGAATACTCGCCTGTTGAGTCGAAGATTTGCTTTGGGGATGTGTTTAGCGGGGTGTCGTATCGGTGACAGTGTCACTGGAGCATACCATGGATCCAGATGGAGATGGCCCAACCTCTGTTCGAAGATCACGCATGTCAGGAGCGGTAATGAAACAACTCGTCGAGCTGCTACTGGAGAAGGGGGGCTGAGGTCAACGACTCGGAGTTGCAGATAGCAGCGCACAGCGGCTACAGAGCGATTCTCGAGCTCCTGTTAGTGAAGGAAGTCGGAGTTAATGGCAACATACTTCGAGTCCTCCTGGTCTAATTTTCCTCACCAACCAAAGGTAATCTAAGTCAGGCCCAAATAGGTCACCTTTAGCACTAATATATGCCCATGGCCATTATAGCTTACGTCCTTAGATATGTCTGCTAACCTATAGCTCAGGCTAAAGAAGAAGTAACGGCTCAAGTCTAAAGGTGGAATTGGGAAGTGCTCACATCAAGCTTCCGAAGTGGAACTGCCTGTTACAATATTAGGAGGTATAGATGCAATTAAAAGGTTAATACATAGGTACAAATCTACTTAGGATACATAATTTGGCACACAAAAACTACAACCAAAAGAATACATTACAAATACCTTTCTTCTGTTAAAACGAGGTAATATTTAGTTACAAACAAAAAAAATAGTTCCTAGTTTTGTCTATGTGCTGTTTCTTTTTACCTTGCGTCAGCTGCTCTTTCTCCCAACTAAGGTCAAGGTGCTTTGCGAGCTGAATGGCTGTCTTAAAGATCCACTGGCCAAAACTGGATCATCTGGAGATACCTTCCCCCGCCATCTTGTCAAAAGTCTCATTGTGAATTCCACCTATTAGATGTTACCATTCATGGGAGAAATTATAGGCCACAGCAAATGAAACCTGCCCTGCCCGTTATCATTTTATAAATATAATAAATATTATAACTGCAGAAGTTGAAATGTTGCCGAGTTGTACGCATGCATAGCCTAAATATGACATTGAAAACTTTCCAAATAAATGATAGATATTTTAGTCTTTTAGAGATTCCGGCAATCGTAAAATGACCAGGTATGGAAACGCCCGCCTAGATTAACGTCTAACACCAGGAGACCCGCGTCGAGCACATTGCTATTTTATGCTCGGCATGATTAAGAAGTCAAAGCGTATTGTACAATCTATGCAGATATCTTGATCATAGCTCCTCTTCCACATCCATTGCATCACCATTAGCGTGCCCATTTGCATCGAGCTTTTCCTTAGGAGCTGACGCCTCTTTGTCAATCATCTGTCTCGATACTGACACGATGTTATCCTCAATGAGTTGTTGTCCGACATCCTCCAAGTGTTTCTTCGGGTCTACCTTGCCGACGTATCGTGTCTTCAATTGATCTTTGGTCAATTCCGTCTCCTCTTTTACCCTCCTCTCATACCCCTCGGAGAGATCTACAAGCTTCCTTAACCGTTCCTTGTTCTTATCCCCCTCTACTCTGAAGTCATCCATTTGTAGTCCTTCGGTCCAGACGTGTTTGTGCAGATTCATCAACATGTTCTCTTCAAGGGCAGTCTTTCTGTAGTTGATCCCAATGCTGTAGTAGTGCCGATTGAGGCCATGGATAAGTGCCTGAATCGAGGGCTTGTTAAGATGGCCCAAGTTCGATGTGCTTTGGCGGGGTTCTTGGCCGAGCATGAGAGATTGTGGGTTAATCAGCCGGAAAGCGTCAATGACGACCTTACCCTTGACAGACTGGATAGGGTCAACCACGACTGCCACAGCTCGGGGAGTTAGCTGTTCGAAGGATTGTTGTGTATTGATATCAACCGAAGAAAGCCAACAGCCAAACCCAGGATGTGAATGGTACCAGCCAACAACAGTCTCGGGCCTATTAAGAAGCAATTGTCAGCATCTAAAATAACAGATCTGTCCGAGTTTGTGCTGCTTACCGCCCGGTTTGCCGTAGCATGTCCATCATCTTTGTTTGGAAAACGGGATCCACTGCTTCGACACTAACACCAGTACCACTCTGAGGCATGGCGAACACGTCTACAACCCGGACTGTAAAGTCATCCACGAACTCTCCCAGCATTAGGCCCATGACTTCCATCGGTACTCCAGCTCTTCCATGCCGCAACATCTTCAGCAGCGCAAGGGATGAAATATAGACCGTTTCGGAGTTGTCGATGAGGTTTGTGTTATCCTGGAAGCAGCGCGATTAGCTGGTTACATCCACAAACACGGCCCATCCCACTTCCACCGCGGGCAATATTGACTCAGAATGAAAATGGGAAGCTCACAGATCCCGGGGCGGAGCTGTTCAGTCCACCCATACCGCCAGCTGAGGCCAGCATTCGATTTAATCTATCCATCCTGAGTTGTGCGGTATATGTTTATGGTGTAGCGGAGGTACGATCGAGGTAGTTTGGGGAGATGAAGGGATGTTGCTGCTGCAGAAGTCTGCTACGTTGTTGCCACAAAATGCCTGGGATTCTTGAGGGTCTTGCTTGATCTTCAGTTGTTGTTTGATGGGGCGACGGAGCTCCAGGCAAGCTCGAACGCGACAGCACGAAGAGCCCGATAAGGTTAGCGTGGGAGCCAAATCACATGACTTCGGCATTCTCAGCCTCGCCAAGGAGGTCGCAGCCTCGTCAAACCGCCGCGTTCTACTTGCTCCTTTGCGGGCGCAGGAAAAGGGATTTCATATTCATAGCCCGGGTTCGCATTGGTTTAACTCCAATAATTCAGATATTTTCCTCCTTATCGTCTAGCGATAGCTGAAGCCGTAGAATGGCGCATTTCTATGGGTGATGTGGTTCAGAGTTACATTAACCCTGGTGCATTGGGGACCGGGAGTGGCGCTGTCGCTAGTGAGAGGTCCCAAGAACTCACAGCTTCTCCATCGTCCCTCTCAACTTACAAGTTACAACCTACAACTTCTCCTTCCCGACCCTCAAGTGCTCTCCGTCCCCATTCCAAAAACCCCTCGCACACCTTACATTATATTGAACCCTTCAATACCCCCTCCTCCTTTCCACGCAGACTTAACTCCCCCCTACCCCCGAAATACCGCTTGACCTGGTTACAACTTTGAGCTTCGCGCGATGGCCTCTTTCGCGCCGATCGACCCGCCCTCGACTGGCCCTAGTTCGAAGAAAAGGGTTGCATACTTCTACGATTCCGATGTTGGCAATTATGCCTACGTCGCTGGCCATCCTATGAAGCCTCATCGGATTCGCCTGGCACACAGTTTGATCATGAACTATGGTGTCTACCAGAAGATGGAAATATATGTAAGCCAGAAGCGCCCCTGCAGCAAACCCCCCCCATCCGTTCCTCTTGGGCGCAATGCGATATGTAGAGATATATACGACTGGAATACTCTGTTGACTGCTTCCACAGCGTGCCAAACCAGCCACCCGGCATGAGATGACCCAGTTTCACACCGACGAGTATATCGACTTCCTTCAAAAGGTGACCCCCGACAATATGGACTCTTTTGCAAAAGAGCAAGGCAAATACAATGTTGGCGACGACTGCCCAGTATTCGACGGATTGTTCGAGTTTTGTGGCATCAGTGCTGGCGGTAGTATGGAGGGCGCCGCTCGTCTCAACCGCGGCAAGTGCGACATCGCCGTTAACTGGGCCGGTGGCCTTCATCACGCGAAAAAAAGCGAAGCCTCTGGCTTTTGCTATGTCAATGGTACAATGAGCGAGTTCTTGATTAATAAATAAGCGCTAATATTTCTTCAGACATCGTCCTGGGCATTATCGAACTTCTACGTTTCAAGAAGCGTGTTCTCTACATTGATATTGACGTTCATCACGGCGACGGCGTCGAGGAAGCCTTTTACACTACTGACCGTGTCATGACTGTCTCATTCCATAAGTATGGAGAGTATTTCCCCGGTACTGGTGAGCTTCGCGACATCGGCGTAGGCCAAGGCAAGAATTATGCCGTTAACTTCCCGCTTCGTGATGGCATTGACGATGTTACCTACAAATCTATCTTCGAGCCGGTTATTCAAAGTGTCATGGACTACTACCAACCCGAAGCCATTGTTCTACAATGTGGCGGAGATAGCTTATCTGGTGATCGGCTTGGATGCTTTAACCTTAGTATGAGGGGCCACGCTAATTGTGTCGCGTTTGTTAAGAGCTTCAATAAGCCCACACTTGTTCTTGGTGGAGGCGGATATACTATGCGCAACGTTGCTCGCACTTGGGCTTTTGAAACTGGCGTCCTTGTCGGCCAGCAGATGGACCGTACGCTGCCATTCAACGAGTACTATGAGGTGAGTGCAGTTTTGAAACAATTGGCCACTTCTCACTGACAGTCTTTTAGTATTATGGACCTGATTATGAATTGGATGTTCGCCCTTCCAACATGGAGAACGCGAACTCAAAGGACTACCTCGAAAAGATCAAGATTCAAGTTATCGAGAACCTCAAGAAGACCGCCCATGCACCTTCGGTTCAAATGACCGAAGTGCCTCGCACTACGTTGGCGGGTGGAACAGATGAAGATGAAGCAGAGCTTGATGATCTTGACGAGGACGAAAATAAAGACACTCGCCACACAAAACGAAGATGGGACCAGCGTATTACTCGGGATGATGAGCTTGATGAGAGCGAGGACGAGGAAGAGGCGCGTGCCAACGGCGTTCTACCCCAGAACGGCACGATCAAGAAACGTAACATTATGGATTATTGCAATCCAAATGCTGCCGCTTCTGACGTTGAAATGGATAGCGGCATAGCTACTCCAGAAGTCCAGAAAGACGTTAGTGTTGTCACCACAACGGCAACTGAAGGAAACGGCGAGGCCAATGGAGACATAGCGGAAAAGAAACCCCTCGATGCCGGACCCATAGAGCCTGAGGAGGTCGAGCCCCCAAAAGCACCATCCCCAGCCCCTTCCGCTAAACCAGCTGTTGACAATGAGGGTGATGTGGAGATGACAGAAGATGAGCCCAAACCCGAAGCTATAAACCCGCCTGTGGAAGCAGCAGCGCAATCTCCGGCTGTTACACCTCCTGTTTCTCCTACACCCGCCACAGCTGCCGTCGAGGCCGTTGTTGAGCCATCCGATGCAGCAGAGGTCAAGCAAGAAGGGAAGGACGAGTTGATGGAGGAGGAGGTCAACGCGGAAGCTGCAACAGAAGCGGCCAAACAAGTAGAAACCTGAATCTGCAGGCTTTGTTCGTCAACGCGCGTGTTGCTCCAGATACACCGATGCCCAATATTATTAGGATTTGGTTTGTCCAATCTCAGCCTCCGCGGTTCTCGAAGACTTTGTCCGATGGAGGGAGCTCTCTCGACCAGGAATGTTAGTTCCTGGCATCTGCTTTGAAATTGTATCATTCGCGCATGTTAGGAGGGAACAGAGCGAGGCGTCTCAGGAGTATCAGGAATATGGGTTGCGCACAGCTCCATATCGGCTTTTAGGGGGGGGGGGGGGATGTTTTATCTTAGAATGGCTTTGCTCCATCCCGATCCTCTAAAGTCTATGTACTATAGAGAAAGACTTCGCAGATTGATTCGCTCTTCCCAAGTCAAAGCGTGATCCGTAGCATTGCGCCCCCAGGATGACATATTCCATACTATACCATACCTATGCAACGATATGAAATAATGATGCGGCTCCGAGATAAAAATGAATTGTATTCCAACACCAGAAAGGCGTGTTCCGTACTTGGGTGCATGTATGATACCGAAGTACCTAGGTAAGGTACCTATAGGTACCATCCGCTGGGACTATCAACCATAGCCCCTTGAGGGAACACAAATCTTCCGGTTAGTATTTAAGTACCGTCTCGAAATTTGTTGATAACTAGCATAGCAATAGTATAGCATATCTAGGTAGCATACTTTATATCTTTATAACCGCATCTTGCATCTCGCACGGTCACACCTTTTATTGTTCTGTTTCCTGTTTCCTGTTTCCTTCACATTGTAAAAGAATTCGCGATCGAGTTTCGTAAATTTCGCGACACCAGTTAGTGCGCTCGCTTAGCCGATTAGGGTTTCTACTCCAAATTCCCAATCGACCAATTTTCCGCGACAAGACGACGACAATAACAACATCAACTCTTTCTCACCCCACCCCAGAACCTATCTTTGATTTCTTCGACACGGTCAAAGATCTACAGAAAAGATGGCAAAGCTCTCGTAGGTGGCCCCGATCCCGTTTCTCAAAAACGTCCCATCCCGAGCTCGACCTTCTCCGGCCACTGTGCTGCGATCGATTTCGGAAGTCCTCGACTCCGGCAGATACGTGGATTGGAGAATCGAGCTTGGATTAGGATGTGCTGGAATTGATGGATAGGAATGCTGATATTATTGTGCGAATAGACGTGGTGCCCCTGGTGGCAAGCTTAAGATGACCCTCGGTCTGCCTGTGTACGTTTTCGCGATCTTCCTCCAATCTCGACCGGAACATCACCTTGCTTCACTGCCGGCCCCGCAAATTCGAACTAATTAGTGTTTTCTGTAAATAGCGGCGCAGTCATGAACTGCTGCGATAACAGCGGCGCCCGCAATCTTTACATCATTTCCGTCAAGGGTATTGGTGCGCGACTCAACCGTCTTCCAGCTGGTGGTGTTGGAGACATGGTTATGGCAACTGTCAAGAAGGGAAAGCCCGAGCTGAGAAAGAAGGTCATGCCCGCCGTTATCGTCAGACAATCAAAGCCATGGAGACGAACAGACGGTGTTTTCTTGTACTTCGAGGACAACGCTGGTGTGGTGAGTGCGATATCTCGATTCGTTTTGGAGGTTTCATATGGAATGGATGTATGGGTGGCTTGGGAAATCTGTGCATTTGATCTGGCTTGAGTAGCTAGGGGTACAATTCGGGATTGTTGGTGCGCAGGGCAGGAAATTGGGCGGAATAAAGGCTACGCGGATCGCCTCGGTCGGAGTTTGAATTGCACACTTGCTAATCGATTTGGCTACAGATTGTCAACCCCAAGGGCGAGATGAAGGGATCAGCAATTACAGGACCCGTCGGAAAGGAGGCAGCTGAGCTATGGCCAGTAAGTTCTCCCACCACACCTAGTGCCTTAGCTGTTCTAATGATATGTAGCGTATTGCAAGCAACTCTGGTGTCGTCATGTAAAAGGTTGTTTATTTGGGGTTCTGGAACGGAAATGATATGGGATGGTCTGCATTATTGCTCTTGTTGCTGCATACGAATACGAAATAGCGTACTTGATCTCTAGAGAGAATTGAAGCATTCCACCACCATCGCATTACGTACTCTCTTGGCCGTCTTTTCATTCCTAGGATACATACATCAGTTGTATTTGGGTTATTGGCGTGCTTGAAGTTACGACCAGCATCGTGTCCTCGATATACACAATCGATTATCTGCCGACCACGGTTTAATGCGGACGGGTTCGACGGATGCCACAGTCTCCACTGACTACCCTCACCTTGACTAGAATAGATTCTGCTTCAAGAGTCCTAGCACTAGTGCCACCTTGCCACTCAAAACGCAAACTAGATCCAAGAAGATGCCACCACAAAACTAACTGAAAATAACTCACAAAATGTCCACATCCACCTCGAAATCCCTGGATAAAACCAATCCGTTCGTACGTAAACGATATCAGGGCATACTGTGTGCTATGTGATATGTGGTCCCTATTCGCCAATACTCAATCCACCTGTTGAATGTCGCGGATTGATATTTACAGCCCCGTACTATTAGATATCATGGGCAGGTGAGAATTATTGTGGGCCATGTATAGAATGCTTCAAGTTGATGAGAAGCTTTCTTATACCCTAGTTTACTCCATTCTGTCCTCCACAGCCCCAGACAATTAAGAATTTTGATGCGAGTGTTGCGATTGGGTTGGGATTTTCCAATGATGTCAATGGTTGGAAGTGAAGGGAGAGTCCCTTTGCGCGGTTCGGGTACTTGGAAATTTTGCTTTTATAAGACGCACGGTAAATTCAAACTCTTGAAGTTGGTTTCACTGCTGCTACTATAGGGCCAGACTGCCTCTTTTTATCTCTTCGATGGTTGCCAATATGCAAATGCCCATTTACAACCTGACGACAGTAAATGGGTTTGTATGGAGCGCCGAGGCTTCATGTTTACTTGCATTTCTATCACTTAACCAGGTTCTAGAAATATCTATGGACATGCTTAGAATTCTAAAACTAAGACCAACTAACGTTTATGCGTCCCGATGCTATTGACTTCACTTAATACTGTCAGCCTCAGAGGGCTTTCACAAGATTTGAGCCACTTCTCTACCGGCGCGAAGAACACATCGCCAGCTACATCCTGTCTATCACTGAATAGGCATCGGATCACTCGACAATGTAGAGCTTGAAGCACCTAGTCGCCTGGCCACTTAGCTACCAACTTGATATCGTTTCCTACCTATTTACTAGAGGATGGACGGGAGGAACAATTTCTCCGAACTGCCGTCTGATTTGCATGTCATTAATGTTTACTAGTAGATGGCTCACTACCACGGTTGCAATAATATGTATGTAAAATTGAAGATTCAATCATCCCAAGTGTGGAAGTTGGAGGGGCTGATCAAGACCAAAAGCCTGTAGAGTAATCGTAGTCGGGGTCAGGGTCGTGAGGCATCGCGAGGCTGAAAGATTGGTGATCAGTTTCGACCAAGACTGGGCAGGACGCACTACTAAAGTTAATTCTAGCCTTTACCTTCCATCCGACACAACAACAAAGCAGAGCCATACCGCAAGACAGAACACTCGCATTGCATCGAAACCTCCTTTGGTAGAATAGAAACAAAGGATTTAAATCTTTGCGACGCCAAACCCAAAATGGCAGCCGTCGAAATGGACATTGACGCGCCCGCGTCCCCACAGCACGACGCCCCAAAGAACGCCTCCATGGCAACACACACTGGCGCAACTGCCGTGCGTTCTATCGAGGGTTGGATCATCATTGTCACCAATGTTCATGAGGAGGCCAGCGAAGAGGATCTGAATGATTTGTTTGCTGAGTTTGGGGAGATTAAAAACCTGCATCTGAACCTAGATCGGAGGACTGGATATGTGAAGGTATTGGGCCTTCGAAATTCTCTCCCACTTCCATTTATCCCCTGCTTGCTATGAACTCATTGGAGACAGACAAATGGATGGGTATTCATGCTAGAGCATGTTGCTTAGCTCTGGCAGCTGCGGATGGCGAATATGGCTAATTCGAGTGTCAACCCCATAGGGCTACGCACTCATCGAATATCCAACGCTCGATGAAGCACGCACTGCCATCGATGGAGCCCACAACACCAAGCTACTAGATCAAACCATCGAGGTTGACTTTGCCTTTGTACGACCGCCGCCCGGCAAGGGGAGGGGAGGAAGACCGCCTGCGAAGGGGAGAGCTAGGAGTAGGAGTCGGAGCCCGAGTGCGAGCGCGAGCGCTAAAGACGAGATGGCTGATTGAGTTTACCACCGGATGGGATAAAATCGTTTTCGGGTTGCCGATACACTGTGCTAGTGGACTGCAAATGATCATGACAAGATGATAGTCGATGGTCATTATATTAGCCGATGTGTCGGTAGAGACATATCGGCAATTCAGATCTTGCTGCATAGGTACGTGCCACTCAGAAAGCCGCGCCCATTTTATACTAATGTATCTTCTCTAGAGCCGCAATTACAAGTGATGCTCAACTCGCTATGCCCCTTAGCTGGCGGCAGTACCGCTACGGGAAACAATAAGCAACCTTTCTCATTCCGTTCGCCTGGGCCTTCTTGACCTCGCGTTGATCACTCTCATCTTGTTTCAGGAAACTTCTCAGTTCTCCATTTGTTTTACAATACCCCGCTGTGTGATTGACCTTCCCCGCCACCGAGGAAGTGATAAACAGGCCGGCCATTCTCTAAGTAATTACATTCTTTCCGTCAACCGCGATGTTATCGGCCATTCTTCTATCGGTGGTGAACCACAGGTGCGCAGCCTCATTCTCCATAGGCAGTACATTGTTCCTTCTCCGACCTCTGCCGTATAATCAGGGCACGTTTTTCAGGACATTGTATGGCTCATGCCGAAGCACCCCCCTGCTAGTTTTGGGGCACAGGAAGATGCCTATTGAAATCGAATCCGTGCTTGCTATACCATGGATCGTTCTGGTTAGAAAGGGCGATATCACTCTCTGCCGTTAGCTTCCTGAAGTTTTGAAACCTCCGGCTTTTCAGTCTTGGTACCTCTAGCACCCAATGGTGCCCACGATGTCCATCATCTGGCGCGCCACTAATTTACCAAAAAAGTTAAAACACCCCAAACGGTATTCCAGAATTTCTGCCAATCTCCATATGTCTGGATAACCAGTTAATAGTAATTGGGTTATCACTAAAAGGAGAGATGTTGTAACCGAGGATATCTCCGAATGGAGGCGTGGCGATACATGGCTATCAGGGTGACGTGATGTTTACACCGTTCGCGCCCACCCCCAGGAGGAAAAATCTATCCAATCAGTCAGCTACTTGTACCCGCTGCTATGTACTTCTATGCCTTGAAAAGTTTGGGCGAGTTGTTTACCTCCTCAAAGGCTCCCAAGGCTTCGATTTGGTCCAGAGCAAACACATAGCGCCTTGTTGAATTGGCCGGCATACAACTTATCCACTCATAGCAACCTAGTGACACAATGTATGTTATGCGCGGAGTTGTTGGGGGAAGGGTTTGGGAGCATGCCTTGCCTTGTTGTCCTCTGTTCTATTTTCAAGAGCCAGGTGTGGCTATTCAGCGAGGCTCACAGGAAAGTTCAGCACTTGACACCCTCAACATGCCATTAATCAATAGCGCAGAATACCAGTGGCCCAAGGATATGCGCGTCTGGTCATTATCAAAGCTTCTACCAAGGTATTGCAAGCCGCATTCTATTAAGCTTCTCGGCAGCTGGCGAGGCTTGAAGGTTCCATTGTGAATTGTGCTAGTCTAGGAAGGCTCCCTTGCGCTAGGCGCTGGATGGTGACATTGTTGTACCACATGTCAAAGGCCATGGCACGAATTAACCATCCAGCATCCGGGGGTGGGTTGGATCATTTTCACCGCTTCTGCGAAAACACGTTTGGCCTGTGGACTTGTTTTGCTTGACTTCAGCGATTTGATCCGATCCAAGTCGGTGCCAACAAGCGAATTTGGACACCAAGCTCTCCATCCCCAGGGTCGTCACTATTGATACCTACCAGGTGCTACTGTTTATCAACTTGTCAAGCGGTTGGCGCTCAATAGCGCTCCGAAGAAACGACTAGGCCGTTCTAGAGGGCTGCTGGTCTGTTGCGAATCAATGCTTAATGCTTCCTTGTGATCGGGCACTTACCATCGCGTCGTCGAGTCGTCGACCTATTGCCCTATGCCCCCCTATGTCTCATATCAAATAGGTTCCTAAGGTGCTTCGTACCTAGGACCTTGTCGCCCCTCGGAGCCTCCTCTTTCCCCCTACCCGCCAAGCTCTTTACCCATGGTCCCACAAGGCAATGGGACGCCAACAGGCCAACGTCCCGCCAGATGCTGCAGAACCCATGCGCTTTGCTGGCAGCAAACGGATATTATTCGCATCTCTGCTAAACTCCGCAATATCAACCCCCATATTAGGCATAGGCAGTATAAATTGCCGGCGCTGTGCATTGCATGGCCCCACCCCCGCATTTAGTTGCACAAACCACACTCGAGCACTCGTACGCAGCCCTTCGTAAGTGTACGGAGTAAGTAGCCCGTGCTGCTAGCCTGCTACGTACGGAATGCTACGTACTAACTGTGCCATGGCATATCAAATAGCAAATAACAAGGAACAAGGTAAACACAGGCCTGGTGGTCAGGGAGTGCTCGCGCGGTAGTTGTAGTTGTCGGTTGCCGTTGTAATATCGAGGCTCATATCGTTGCGATCGTAGATAAAGGACTTGGGAAACCTCAAACTTTGTCCTGGCGATACGCGTAGTATGCCCAAGACTTGAAGTCTGTGGATCACGCCCTCCAAACCGTTTACACGCCTTTGTCTTTTTACTCAACTACCGCGACGATGTCGGACCAGAAAGCAGACACGGTTTTGACCCATTGGAAATGCCTCATGGCTTGCACATTGGTGTCTATGTGTCCATTCCAATATGGCCTTGATTTTGGCATCATTGGCGGCTTGCAGGCCATGCCGGGTTTCTTACAGGTACGAGTTTATGCCTCACCCACTACGCAATTGCTCATTATCCATAGGTCTTCGGAGTGAAAGACGCGAAATCGAGCATGGGATACAATATCCCTCACGACCGCCAGCAGTTGATCTCATCTCTGATGATTCTTGGTGCTTTCATTAGCTCTTCATTCGGAGGTAAGAGGTGAACACTTGGACGTTGTCGGTCTTAATATAACGAACCCGCACAGGTCCCCTCGCCGGATTTATTGGACGAAAAGCATCGATATGGGTTGCATGTGCCCTATGTGTCGTCTCAAATGTGATCATGATGACAACGACGCAAATTGGAGCACTATATGCTGGAAGATTGATTATTGGCCTCGCCAATGGACTCCTTATGACATTTGCACAGCTGTATATCCAGGTATATACGCCCTTCCATAGGTGGCGATTGAGTTGAAGCTCACAGTTTTATAGGAATGTTCACCCGCGAGATATCGTGGACTTATGATTGGAGCTTTTCAAACATGGACATCGCTAGGTACATTCAAGCTGCCTAGTTTCCTGTCAATTTTCCGCTGGTTGACGTCGCTATAGGAAGTCTCATCGGGACAATTATTGATAATTTCACTGTGAAAATCGGCGGGAAACAGTCGTACATTGTTTCCCTAGGCATGGTATATATCGTACCTGGGATCATCGCCCTTGGGTTGCTATTCATCCCCGAATCTCCTCGATGGCTATTGCAGCATAACCAGGAAGAAAAGGCCCGCAAAGCATTGAAGTGGTTGAGACCCCATGCGGAACTTGTCGATGGCGAGCTCGCTGATATCAAGGCGGTGATCGACGCCGAGATAAACCTTTCTCAAAGCACCGAGATCGTAGAAATTTGGCGAAACCCGGTCGACCGTCGGCGTACGCTGTTATCGATTGGTGCTGTATGCTTGCAAGCCGCATCGGGAGCAATGTACATTATCTGTAAGCACCCCTCGGCATTTCCCACCAACACTCCTAATCTACTGTAGCTTACGGGACCTATTTCTTTGAAATGGCTCACATTGGCTCGCCCTTCGAAAACACCTGTATATTGACAGGCGTTGGCGTTGTTGCCATCGTCATAAACAGCATCATTATCACGAAATACGGTCGTCGCCGCGTCTTCTTGTTCTGGGGTTTGGTAATTTGTGGCTTCTGTCAGTTGATCATGGCAGCTGTGTACACTACCAATCCGAGAGGCAAATCAACTGGAAAGGTAAAGCTATGCCCTGGCACCAATGTATGTATATTAGCCAGCTAACCAAGACGACATAGATTGTCGTAGCCTTTTCCGTCCTCTATATCGTTGGGTATAATGGCATGATTGCTACTTATGCCTGGCTCTGTGGCGGCGAATTCCCTTCTCAACGACTCCGATCCTACACTTTTGGATTCGCTTCCTCGATCGGGTTTCTGGGCGCGTGGTTGGCTACTTTCACGGCGCCATATTTCATCAACCCCGATTCTTTGGACTGGGGTATGTTGCATCATATGCCGGGCGGAATTAAACGCGGCACAATAATTGGAAAGCGACAAGTTTGTTTTGGCTAACACATGATTTTCTAGGACCGAAATACGGATTTATCTGGACACCAAGTTGTCTCATCGGTGCTGCCTGGGTTTGGTTTTACCTTCCCGAAGTCAAGAATCGAACATTTGAGGAGATTGACGAGATGGTGAGTCCTTGTTCCTTCGCTCTCTGTACCTTGTCTGGGACGCCCCCACTTGCTACTATGGTCTCCGCTCTGTTCAATTTTGGATCGAGACCTCAGACTTTCTTCATATTGCGGGATCGCTCACTAAGCCATATTTTCAATAAATAGTTCGAAGCTCGCCTTCCTGCACGCAAATTCCGCGGATACAAGTGTGTGGGCCCCGCCGCCATGGCAGCCATGGGCGAGAAAGCCGCCGAGAAGAACGAAAGGCCCATTGTCACCGAATCGGAGGTTATCGAAAAACAGTAACTCCCTTGTTGAAAGGTGACGAAGAATGGAGGGGGAAGGGAAGAGCGAAGGCTGTGGAGGAAATTCTCACAAATGAGCTTCAATCAGGACTACATAATTTCCAACTTTCTTTCAGTGCGATTCGAAGAACTGGACTATGGCTTAGGTTGCTGCTATATATATATATATATATTGTATGGGGGGCTTTTTGGTACGAAACAGGTCCCCCATGCTTCCCAATTAAACCAGGGCTCCTTGGGTCATATTTTCAGATCTAGGCTAGATAACACAAAATCTAATTTCAGAGCACTCTCATCATTCAAAATCTATAACTTAGGCGGGCTTAGTTGGCTTTACTTTTCCCCCTGCTACGCCAGCCTTTCCGGTCAAACGCCTGCGAACTATGCGACGACAATCAAGAGTGACTTCACCGTCCTCTAGCACTAACATAGAATGGTCGGAACAACCAGCCAGCAAAGCGAAGAAGTGGCTAGGAATCTATCAAAATAAGGACTTAAAGAGTCAACAACGGGCCCAAAAATGCTCCCTACTCGATGCCGGATCCCTCAGCAATTCCGGGATCCAAGTACTTCTGGCGACTTCCGACATAGGAAGCATAGGCAACGAGATAACATAACGCCTACCCCCTCTGACTTTGACGTGAGAATGAAGGGGATCTCTTGGGATGAGATTCTACAAACGATAAAATATAAAATATATTTTACCCTAGCGTTAAGCCTAAATTATTTGTAGCTAAACCCATTATGCATTATTTAAGGTCTAGACAGTGATTAGGTGATCGAGAGCCAGAAGCTGATGGATGATCTCGGTGAGCTTTCATGGCCTCTCGGCATCACTCTGTCCGCACGATCATCATGGAATAGATCACAGGCTTGAAGGTGCTAGGTGAAATTACATTTACCATTTTAGGATGATCCGCTGTGCCTCCGCGGATAAGCTCTATAAGAGTATATGCTCTTTCCACATTTTTTGAGTTTCGGCTCTGATCATAACCTTTCTCGCAGGACTTTGGAAACAGACGCTATGTAAAGACCTGATGTGGAGGCAAACCCATGCGTTTGTTGGCCACGAGATAATTTCCATACCCTCGGTTTATAGGGCCCTTCCTTGGTCCTAGGCATTTCTCGATGGTTATGTAATGCATGGGGATCACTAAACGACTCAAGGACGCCATTGCGAGATTCACAGTGCCCAAACTCTTTGTGGCCCTCTCCTTTCAGCTTGTATTGCTTAAGTCAAGGTACCTATCGCCAATAGATAATCTAGAATAGCTTAGTTAGATATGAGAGATATCCTAGAAGCAACTGAGGATTCGAATACGCTTACACCGCAAGCTGAGTGGGACGACAAGGCTGATACGGATGATACATGGTGTCTCCTTACGGCTTTCTACATAGCTTTCGACGATACCGAGGGTAGGGCTTGCTTCGTAGGAATGCCAAGTGCCGGAAGAAGTTGTTTTCGAGAGGATTGGACCTACTCTGTGTATTTATCCCTAGTCGTGGTTCACATTATTTATGCTCATCCGGCTCTTAAGATTTGGGATTAAATGCTAGCAAAGATTGTTGAAAACTGTGGTTTATTTGGTAGTTTAGCTTAGAAGGGCGTATTGAATTAGCTCCTTGGTATAAGGCAATCTCCAACACTCAAAAAGTCTTGATGAAATTGTTTGTTCAAATATATCTGAGGAAAAAACCAACTTTATTGTTGGCATGCTTAAAAACCTAAACCTCTACAAGGGTTGCCTATTGCTCACCGGCTTGGAGTTCAAAGCGCCGCAGGCGCAACTGTTCCATTCTGTTTGCCGCTCGTGAGGCATTTCTGAAAAGTCTCCTCAAAAACCTCCTCTGCATGCCTTTCAGCATCAAGCTTTAAGATCCAATCTTCTCGCGGGAATTGAATACTCTTTGGGTCTTTCTTCACCTTGTCCCAATCTGTCTTATGCCACATATCTCTTGTCGTTTCTCCTGTTTTCTGTACTGCCTTGACGCGATCATATCGAATCTCTTGATATGTCCTCACGGCGGCTGGAACGTTCGCTTTACCGGCCCTCTTCAATGTGATCGCCAATGTAACACCGTCTTCAACTGCTTGTGTTGCCCCCTGTGCACTTGTTGGCAAAAATGGATGTGCTGCATCACCCAGCAGCGCAATGCGTCCTTGTTTTGATACCCAGGTGGGCAGTGGGTCCCGGTACACTAACTTCCAGTCCACAACCGACGGTGTCTTTTCGACAATAGCACGGCACATCGGATCCCACCCTTCCAGCACTTTGTACACGTCCTCGAGCTTTCCGGGGAAAGACCACGACTCGTCAATGTCATGGTCGTCACGGTGGGTGAGCACCCAGCAGCAGTCAGAGCCATTCTTGATAGTGCTGAACAGGAAGTGGACATCTGGTCCAATCCAGCCATTGAAGGTGTCACCGTTGTTGCAGAAGTCAGCGGTGCGGGGATCGGCGATCATATCTTTATTGGAGAACCTGTTGGCGAGGGGATTATTATGAGAACGCAAAACTTATGTGCGGCTGTTCTGGAGGGGCAATTGAACATACCATGCCCTGTACACGGCATAACCGCTACTTTTGGGCTTGTCCTCATAGCCTAGAACAAGTGTTCTTGCTATGGAGCGCACACCATCTGAGCCTACCACCATATCGGCTGTGACCTGCAACCACCAAAGCACATTAGTTTCCACTCCAGTGAAAGTGCCTACAAAGCCATATGAAGGTCAACTCACAATTTCCCCATTATCCAACTCGATTCCTGCCTCTTTTTCATTCTCGAAATACCTAACTGCCTTGCGCCCCAAGTGGATTGGAATACCTAGCTCTTTAGCATGGTTAAACACGATTCCATGCAATTCGCCTCTGTGGCCGTTAAACGTGGGAGCCAGTGGGTCCTGGTCATGGTTCTTTTGGTGTGCCACGACCTCCCCAGTATCGTACTTGTGGATTTTGAAGCCGTATTGGCGGAGGTCGATACTTACAGCACGCATTGCGGCTGCAACCTTTCCATCTGACCACTTAATTGGTGGAAGCGATGTTAGCTTGTCACACTTGAACCTCCTGGAGGGAATCCCTGGATGTAAAAGATGGGAAAAAGAGGAAACACGAGCTAGTTCATATACACGGGATTGGGGGATTGTTGGAAACACATTGAGATACTTTCTCAGGGGCTGCTTATTCCAGGCTGGATCGATTGGATTGCGTCCACATACCCGATTAAATATACGGCCCGCATTGGACCCGAACGATATTATATCACCGAGGGACTTCAGTTCGGGAAAGGACTCGTAGATGCTAACTGAATGTCCTTGGCGAACGCATTCTATGGCTGCAGTGAGGCCTCCAAATCCTGATATCGGGACCGTTGTTAGCACACTGATACGGTGTTGTTGCGACGCTGCAATTCCCAGGACTGGTGGATGGCGGGGGTTCGAAGGACTCACCAGCACCCACGACAATGACTTTGATTCCCGAGGGGCTCGGCTTTGCGCCGTCTGCAACGATGGATAGAGACATATCTATTTCAATTGCGAGAATGCGCAGAGTATAGATGTGCAGCGGGGTATATTGCAAACCACCAGTCCATCGACCTTCTTGCCGCTTCGTTGATTCTATCGCAAACAAAGAGCGAACGAGGAAGGGTTATGGGGGTTCCAATTATCTTTCTCTTAAAAGACAGAATGCAAAGGGAAGGAAAGGCACAATTACTCTCTTGGTGGAGAGGACGAGGGAAGAAAACTGATGCCGCGCATAATATCACCACTGTTGACGAATCCCCCACAGTCGCCATCTCCCCCCTATCATAGCGGCAAAACGACTCTGGGGAAGGAAACCGCGGGGTATATTCCTGTGGGGCTTTTTGGCAGGGACCCCACCCTCGGTACATCAGATAGGGGGACTCAAGAGTTGACTACGAGACATAGTAAACAAACAGATGTACACACTCGGATATAAATGATAAACGCCGATTGCACAGCAGAAATCCTAATCCATGTCTGAGAGTCGGGGCAGCACAACTAACCTAATACGGGGGGGGAAGAAGTTGTCGTGTTCGGTTGGAAACCGAACATAGGGGAGTTGGAACTTGGACGGGATAGCCTTGGATCATACTAGCGGCTCTTAGCTCGCCCACTCTCCTCTTATGCTCGGGGCTATTAAGTTATATGCGTCAACATGAATGAATACACACTCCAAGCGCACTAAAAATATAAAAAATTACAACTCGTCGGGTTAGTGGGTGTAAAAATTACATCTAGCAAAACTATAACTCCTATATCTAAGTCTATTTAGATAATGTTCCAATCTGAATTCAGGCAACTGTTTACAGGCCTTGGGCCTATGCGGCGATGCTCTCTACTCCGTGCAGGAGGTGTTAAATTATAGATATTCAGCATGGAGAGGAGTTTTAGGCCTTTGGCACGTGGCCACCCCCGGGCTAGAGTTTTGTTGCAGGTTATCAACCGTGGGGATATTATATGGTACCAAAAATGGGCAGCTCCTAATAAGCATTAAATAATGGGATGTAGGTAGCGTGCTTGGATTTCTCCGGTACGTACCGAATTTAGCTTCATATCACGGTTAAATCCGGTTCAGCACTACATATATGCGTATCTGGAGCACTCTTATATGTTCATGTTGTTAGTAATGCACAAGCTTGAGCTACTTGACAAATAGGATTTTCTTTAATAGTTATTTGGAAGTTTGGTTTCTACAAAAATAGGAGGGTCTCAAAGCGAAGGGAAAAGGGGGGCGAGTCACATGATGCCGGTGCAACACGCTAGGCCGCTGGATCAGAACCCCTACTTGTGGTTGCAAATATCGTGCAACTGGTATGGGTATAGATGAGGTATATGACCAAGAATACAGCCTTGTACTACCAAAGAGGCGCCTCAACTAGTGTGGTGTGGCTATATGGTGGTTTCGTGATTGTCTGGATCTAGGTGTCCAAGGCGGTGGACTCCCGCGATGAACGGATATTGGGTTCAAAGTACAGTAACTGAATGGTGGAATACTAAGTACATAAGCCATACTTTTGATCCGGGCTTCTTTACCATACTGGATGATACGGAGGCGATCGACCCACTGTACTGCTAGGTTTGCCTAAGTTTGTGCGTTACCATCATCCGAGGGGTATTATCGTGTAGTAAATAGTACGACACCATCTTTAACAATTGCCGAACGCTGGCTCTTGAAGCCTGGCCGCAAGTCGAAAAGCCCCACACATAGCTCAGGGCGGAATGTTTAGTTTCTAGGCTAGCTAACGCTAACACCGGCGTAAAGTATCAATAGGACAATCTAGTTCACTAGTTTAGCGTTGAATGAATGTCATGCCAATGTGGCTGGCTCCAATATAGCATGTCACTTGGGCGAGATTGGCCTTTTTAACAGGCTTCTGTGGTTCAACAGGCGAAATCCAGGATGGAGCTAATTAATGAGTAGCTCCTGTTCGAGTGGTTTTATCGTATCCCGGATTCGACTATGCGAAGTAAGTGTATAGCGAATATCCAAGCAAGCATGAAGTTTCGAGGGGGGTCGTGACGGCCGTTCGAACATGTCAAGAGAGCTAATGTCGTATTAACGATACCGTAGTACAAGGTAGCCATACTAGAAAGCAGCGTAACTAACCGCCTTCATTCCATCACCGTGCAAGCGGACTTCGGAATAATATAGAGTATAACCTTCAGGCCAAATGAACTACTGTAGAGATCTTCTTGGAAGCATTGCCAAGTGCTCCATGCTAAAGCGGGGGATGCTTGGCGCAGAGCCTCGCGGATACTGTGCCCTCGTGGCTTAACACAACGTCCTACGAAGTAGTTAGTGACACTGTCATGCACGTCTTCAAATTTGCTACCCGCCCTAACTCCAGACTCATCCCTCACCTGTCACGGCACTTGTTCACCACCCAAGAAACGAGGTAGAATATCCACACCCGAGACCCCCTATCCCGATACCTCCTGCCGGTATCAACAAGCATTGGCCCCGCCAATGACAGCGAGACCGCTCGTAACCTCTGCTCCGGCTTGAGCATGCCGTACTAGTGGCGGCACGTTCTGCAGCATATTGCGCTTCAGATACAAGCGGAACACATCGTCGGTAGCTATCGAGCACGACGTGCATGCCATCGTCGGGTGCCGGCAACAAGAACAGAAGTGCTTCGAAAAGTGTTTGGAGGCCAACGCCCTAGACAGGCGCGATGTGCTGTATCCAGGCGGTATTAAACATGCCGGGCCCTGTGTGTAACGACGGGCTCTGAATGGCGAATCCAGCCGTCATAAGGGTAGTTTGAAGGCCTGTGGACTCGTACTATACTTCGAGACTATGACTCTTGCTTTGCATTTGACGGTGGAAGTGATCATACAACCTCCTCAGTCGAGGGGCATCTGGGTGACTACCATTGTGCGAGGCAATACTCCGAGTCTCTTCTTCATCGTTGATATACATGCAACCTGGAATGTGCTGAGAAAGGCGTCGTAGTCCAGATGCCACCTCAGTTGGCACGTTTAAATGTATATCTTACTCGGCAACCCCACTGAAGGCCGTATGCTGGATGAATGAATGATTCCTCGCCGCCAACATCAACGCCCTGAATATCTTTGCGATTGTCCGCTTCTCTTGTGGCCTAGGACATGTCTTCAAACGGCAGTCTCATAGCCGCTCAGGCCCAGCTCGACCACCCCTAGGAGAGGAACACATTCAACTTCAGCTTTCTGAGAACGGCCAGGTCGCTAGTACGACGGGTGAAATCGTGTGCCATTCTGGTACTCTGGTACTCTGAGGGTTTGAAACGCTCGCTTTGTCATGAGCAGCAGCGCCAGTGTATCGATCGTTGCCCTCGCTACCGTAGAGCAGTTAGTTGCGCGAATGGCCGCTAGTGTACACGAGGGCTGAGCGATCGTAGTGGTTACATGTGCATTCAGGATGAGTATTCGGGATTTCCCGCCCATGGTTGCAGGTGGTGATAGATGATGCGCATGACTAAGCACCAAGGTACGAAATACAAGCTCATCGTCCATGTCCATTCCACTGGACGTCCAGATTTCGCCACTCAAACAAAACACAGGGCTGCTTCCGTGATCTTTCGTCTGGTCCTCTATTTCCCTCGCAATCTTTATTTCGGCCCATTCCAATCCCAAATTCCACTTCCACTTCCAATTCCGATACACCTATATCCAAATGTATTCCTTATTTCCTCCTTGATTGTTCTTTCCTTGAGGCTTCGTTTTGGGCCCCCTCCAACCCCATCCCGCTCACAGCTCCCTCTTTCCCACCATGTGCGCAATGTTCACGAATGGGAATAGGAATAGACCGTCACTTCTCCTTTTCTTTGTGCTATACATATTAGCGCTCTCCGGTGTGATATGCCTTGCAAGCGCGGCCTTGGGAAACGATACCCTCCCTCTCCCTCAGCAGCCAACCGTGGCCTTGAACACCGACCAGAAGCCTATTCGTCTCCCCAGCGAAACGGCGACACCAGAGCCAGAAATATTGCCAGCTTTCCTCGATGCGCTGGACGTATTGCAGACCAACTTCTTTGAGCCATGGCAAGGCATCTGGCCTACTGCAATTGACTGGACGGCGGCTGTTTTAGGTACCTATGTTTCCGCGGCGCTCACGACTATCTCCAAATCTTCTAAAGGCAAATCCAACTTGAACGAGAACCTCATCAATCGATACTTCTCCCAACTGGTTGCCTCCTATTTTGGACAAGATACGTTCGCATTGCGACAGGAAGCATACGACGACATGCTGTGGGTAGTTCTGGGATGGCTCGAGAGCATCAAGTTCATCAATGTACACTCAGCCCTCCACTACTCCACCGAGCCTTGGTACGGCACGATGTGGACTCCGGTCTTTGCACACCGCGCGCGGTTGTTCTGGGATTTGGCATCGCGAGGCTGGAATACGTCGCTCTGCAGCGGTGGCATGATTTGGTCACCCTATCTGGAGCCTTATAAAAATGCGATTACGAATGAACTGTATGTTACAGCGTCTATATCAATGTACCTATTCTTCCCTGGCGACAACAATACCGCTCCTTTCGCCGTACCACCTGTCCCTTCCCCGGCGCCAACAGGGAATCCCCCGGGACGCCCCCGTGATCCGAAATACCTCGCAGCGGCCATCAAAGGCTACAAATGGCTCAAAGATAGTAATATGACGGACTTGAATGGGCTATATGTTGATGGATATCACGTTTCAGGCTGGAAAAAGAACAGTACAACGGGAAATACCCGCTGCGATATGCGAAACGAGATGGTATACACGTACAACCAAGGCGTTCTACTTTCTGGCCAAAGAGGACTTTACGAAGCAACTGGCTCAGAGTCGTACCTGAAGGATGGTCATGCACTTGTCAGGAATGTCATAGCTGCTACCGGGTGGGATTTGAAGTCACAGTCTCATCGCCACGGTAAGAGTGATGGAAGCGCAATACGGCAGGGATTGGGCAAATGGTACGGCCTCGGCAGACAGGGTGTCCTCGAGGAGGCGTGCGATGCCTCTGGGTCCTGTTCCCAAGATGGCCAGACCTTCAAGGGGATTTTCTTTCACCACCTCGCTCTCCTGTGCGCGCAGCTTCCTGATAGACTTACTTTGCTCGATGAAGGCTTTGCCTCGTCCGCCTATCAGACGGCCGCGCAAGATATAGGTGTTAACGAAAAGGTGAGGAATTATCATTCGGAGCAATGTGACCGTTATGGCCCCTGGATAAAGCATAACGCAAAATCTGCACTCCATACACGTAACGAAATAGGGGAATTCGGCATGTGGTGGAATGCATTGCGGGGTGATAGGTTTAGAGACGGGGACGATATGGTGCAACTTCCAGATGATGCGGTTGATTACAGAAACTTAGGGGTCCCGGATGACTGGAAAGGCAGCGCCGTTGGGAAGAAGATAGAAAACATGATCTCGGCTAGTGTGGTGAGTTTGGAGCATTCGGAAGAGGTTATGGGCGGTGAACAGGATACATTTAACGAGGAAAGGGGCGTTGGTGTTCTGGACTTAAATGATAGAGGGAGAGGGAGGACCGTCGAGACACAGGGCGGTGGTCTGTCAGTTTTAAGGGCGTTATGGGAGGTTGTAGATAGGAAAGGGCGATAAACTTACGGTAACTTTGATGCATATTGAGAGGTCTAGGGCAGGGTTTAGCTTTATTCACGGTTACGGATACATATCCCAAGTTAGCTTTTAGTGATATCAGGTTTTATCATAAAGACGGAGGTACTCATTATACAAACCCTCGTATGCGCCGTTGACTTGTAAAACTTCCACGTTGCGGATAAGAGAGAAGAGTTATATGTACAGTACAGGATACGTAAAATCAAGCAAGCTACTATCCCCTGCTTAGGTAAGTCTAAACGGTAGCTTCTGGTATCAATCAGTAGTGTAATAATAATCGCAAAGTAGTTGAGGCCCAGTATCAATAATATAATAGTTAAAGGAAATTTGACCATAAAAGCCTTTGCTTCCTACACTAAGCAGGCTCGAGGACGGAAGGAAACCACTTTTTTTTCATTAGAGATTCGGGGTGAACATCTCGTATCCAAGACCTATTGACGCCTATTCATTTATAAAGGCTTTCCGGTAACCTTATAGGTCTATGTCTTTGGACGCTATTAAATTCTCTAAATAATTGAACTTATTAGTATAGGATAGATTTAGGAATGACAGCTCTGTCTTAATACGGTATTTCATGCGGGTAGAATCTCTGTAACCGGAATTTAAATGCATATGTTATTCTGTTAACTCCTAGTTCGCATCCACCTAATGGCATCTAGGGCATGAAATGCGTATAGTACATAAGCCTCTATGATTCCAGTACCACGGGTTTGATCTACAAGTGCAATATTTTAGGTTTATCTAAATCACAGTTTAGAAGGTTATTGAAGAGATATGCCTATTGAGCTTGGTTAAAATAAATCATTACAGCATGAGGCTTGATGCATTCACTGCAGCCCGTCAATCAGTTAGTAAATATTGCCAAAGCACAGTACCACTGGCATTTTCCGCTTATCGAGACCTGCTGTTTTCAAGCTACTACTGTTTCCATTCCGGACTGTTTGAAACAAAGCTCCTCTCTCCGCCCAGCGAATCAATATTTGAATGCTAGATCGCAGGTCATCATTGGCTTGACAGGTGGATATTGTGAGAAATTAGTTTCCGTTATAGCGCAAGGGCAATATACGTAGCATGGGCTTCGTCAGAGTTGCATGGCATTGCTCTGTACTCACACACGCATACTGCCGCTTATCGGAAACATAGAATGAATCGCCATCGCTAGCATGCTGCCTAGAGGGAACACACTTTGATTGTGGCTACCCATGTGCTAAGCGATGTAGCAAGCTGCGACCAAATGTGATTGAATAGACGAAGACTCCACATAGGGGGAATAGCCTGGGGTGCTTGATGTGTGGGATTTCACATACAGAAGGTTGTGCGCTATGGGATTTGAGTAATCTCACGCAGCTTAAGGTGCCTCTCCCTGCCTTTAATGAAAAAAGGTGCCCTAGAAAAGATTCTCTATGGACGGGTGAAAGAAACAACAGGGAATTCAAAAATACTAAACCAGGTGTCATACCCCGGTTGACAAGATAATGCTTCACTTTATCAATTGGACAACATAATTACAGGGTGTTGGATGTTGGAAGCACAAGGAAACGCATATTCAATCGAAAAGTACCTAGTTGCTTCCATCCCTCCATTCCGATCCGTTTGAGGCCAGAACACCGTCATCAAAACCATCCTCCTCCTCCTCCTCCAATGCCCTTGCTAACTCGTCTGGATCCTTTAACTTCGCATCTGGATCCGCATCCCCGGCGGCATCCACAATCCCCTCCTCTTGCTCCTCAAACGTGTCATGTATGTCCCTCTCACTCTCCATTACTCCCTCATCAGCTGAAACGCTGATCCCTCTGGATCCCCATTTCGACCCCGCCGCCCTACGAGGGGGGGAGCTTCTTTCATTTAGAGTCCCATCACCACCAAGGGCTGGTGCACTTTCTTCATCTTCATCAATATCGCCCACGACCCTTTTATTTCCAAAAACTCTGCTTAACAACCACCCATTACGCACATCATCAGCATCCACAATTCCCCCATTCCTAAGTTTGACCCTCTGTCTAGAATAGTAAACCCAGAAAAAATCGAGGTAAAATGCTGTTTGGATGACGCCAAAGATAATAGGTATGGGCTCAGGCTTGCGGTCGTTGGTGTCCAATCCGCGCCATATCCAATTCAAAATATAGAGACCGCGGTAAGAACCCAGTGTTACTAGGTAGAAGGAGTCGATAACGGTCGGAACGGAGGTTTGCCGGAGGAGGAGCAGTTGTGGAAGGACGCAGACGGATTCGAGAATAATAGAAAAGACCCAAAAAAACTAGAGGGTGATCAGTATTAGCAACGCCATCCCAAAGCAGAGGCAATTATAATGAGATGCTTCGGGCAAAGGGGAAAAGCACCCACCTCCATAAATCCCCAAAGCCCTTTTCCTTCGAATATCACCATGATGAAGGGTGCGCTAATGGCACTTCCCACGAGACAGATCACTCCAAACTTCCATGCCTTCTCCCTCTCCCGCGTCCGAGCATACACTCGCAGCATCAGGAATAGAATATATAATGAGCTGAGGATGTAAAATATTTTGAAGAAGAAGTTCCATAGGGAGCCATAAAGACTGAGTTGGAAGATGTCTAAATAGCGGGTGACGAATACCAGGCAGTAGAGCGCCTGTGTGATAAGCGAGATTCCTTCCGAGCTGTGATTGCGGTGGATGGCATATATCAGAATACTTTTGGAGGTTATGTGGGACAGATCGCCCAGGATGCGGAAAACCTGTTGATAATGGACGGGTTAGTGGGAGGGTTACAACAGCCTCGTTGAGGGGAAGGGGTATCTGCCACAGCAACAGACAGCGGAGAACCCACGTTCATGACCATTTCGATGTCTTTGAAGAGTTCGTGGGCGTGTGCCCTATAGCACGTAAAGAACGAGAAGTGGCAGCCGCGAGGTGCTGAGATGTCGAAGTTCGTCTGTAGCCTTGCCTAATCACATTACGAGGCGCTGGACAAGCTGCTGAAGCAGATTATCTCTAGCGAGGGCTTGTTGTACTTCTATTTCGGGTTTGCCCTTTCTTCTCTAATCAACGGTGGCAATGTGGTGGCCGGGAATATAGGATTGTCTCGTTGTTGCGATAAGGAAACCGTGGATGCTGGAGTTTGTAGTCGGGACACGCTGCGAGAAGTACGGAGTGCGTACCTGTACATACATGGTGGCATGGTGGCGCAGCCTCAGTCTCAGCCTCAACCTTGGCCACACAAGCAAGACAAACCTCCATCTGTTCATCGACACAACAACACCAGTTTTGTAACACGAGTGTACGAAGAGCCTTTGGCGGCACTGGAGGCATTTAATAGCCCATCCCTGAATCTGATATTGCACGAAGGCTGGGGAGTGTTTAGGCCCCGCTATACGTGACGCTTGCAAGTCGCCGTCGCGGGGGTACACTTGGTTTCTTTCGTGTTGTTTTGAATATTTATCATGTACGAAGTCTCTGGATTCTGTTGTGATCTTGGCCTATGGGCTTTATATTGAAAGCGGTGCTCTCCTCGGAGAACTATCACCAACCCCTTTGGCCTCATAGTGAACTAGACTTGGAGCGTTGCAAATTTGAAACGAAGGAAACAGCTTGCTATTGCAAAGAGTTGCTGAAGTACCTGTTGCAATCTATCCCAGGTGTAGCTACAGATAGAATGGTTTTTACACTATCTAGATTCACTCAAGCGAGTGTTGATTCCTTATCCCCTTGTTGTACCCGCCTTTGCTGACAACGACTTGTTGACCCAACTCAAGCAGTTGGAAATCTGGGATGAGGGCCCGTTATTGATGGAAGCCCGCTCGAGTCGATGTGAGGACATCGTAAACCTAGCTGGAGGGTGGTGGTGGGAAACCACCACCACCACCCACTGGGCTCGCGACAACCTCAGGATCAAGAACAAGTGTCTGCTTCCCCAACAAACCATCACTCATCCGGCTTCCTGTCTGGGTAATTTGCATGAAGGGCTCGTACCCCACGGTCTTATTGGCCTGGTTAACAATTATCATATCCTGGGCATTAGGTGTGAATTTATTGGTATTTGTGGTATAAGGAGGGAGCACGTTGATTTCGGTCAGGATCGATTGATCGAATAGAAGTTGTCCGGTCTAAAGTTTTGTGGGTTGATGAGTAGCCAACCGCAGAGTTGGGGGGGTTGGCTTACGTGAGGTACTGCTCCTCCGACTACCTTGTTGTCCGAGACTGTATAGTTGACGTGTGCTTTGATCTTGAAATGGACGTCAGTATATGGAAACCTCTTATTGCGCATGCCAATCAGACTTACGTGGATATGTTGCGCTCGTCCAGGATACCAACCTGGGAATTTGGTGAGGCTATTGATAGTGAGCAAGTGTCTGTCTAAGAATCCGAATACACATACACTTGCACGACCCCATTCTCATCAGACTTGGCAAGACCACGCAAGAATGTCAACCCCTTAAATGAGTTAATACTAATGGTGAACAGGTGCTCATTAGCCACAGACTTACAGCAGTTTTTTGAGATGCAATTCCACCATAGGCACCAGTTACATTGCAGCTCCAGAAGTCAACAAGAACATCTTTCAATGGCTCACAGGTGTGAACGTTGATAAGTTGAAGGTCGAGAAGAAGGTCAATTCCGTTTTGGTCCTCTCTTATGTCGTCGCGGATTAATTCTCCGGCGACATCTAATAATCAGTCAAAGTCAGAAAACGATGTTTCTTTTTGGCAGTGGATCTCTTACAGAACGGTCCTTCCTCTTGTTCAGGGGCCAAAACACAAGCCGCTGCAGAGTCTACTCGTTTGTCGAAGTTTGCCTCTAGCCCGCGGCTTTCGAGATATTTGTTGACGAAGGACTCTGTGTTCTTATCTCTTCTGTCAATTTCTGCGCGTGACTTGAGCTTCGCAGCACATTTTGAATATGCCTCCGTGGTTCTTGCAACCAAAGCTTCACGACGTGCGATGGCTTCAGCAGACTGAGGAGGCCCATGTGCAAATACACTAGTAGCTACACCCAGGGCAGTTAAGAGAACAGCGTTGAATTTCATGGCGAATACTCGATAAAATGGAAGGTCAAAATAACGCTTGATGTCGTTTGAGTATGGATGAAGGGTTCTAAATGGCTTCCCAAATGTCTTTGCCTTGCTTTTAATACTCAGGAATCCCCTTGGTTAAACTTACTTCTCTTCGCTTCTTATGAATACGTCTACGTTTGCTTACGCGTTCTTTAATTTTGCATCTCCGCAGTTCATTTAGACGGACATATGAAATATCGGAATCAGCTTAAATGAGGTTAATACATCCAGCCTGTTTGTTGAGCGAATGTACAATATCGCATTGGTAGTTCAAGTGGTGTGGCGGGGATGTTTTCAGGGAGTGAAGCCGTCCACCTTCTAGAGCATATCAAGATGATATAAGGAACAACCTAGTCGTCTGCCTTTGTACCCGAGAATTATACCCAATGGCTGTCGTTCTATTACAACCAGCGATCTCGGGAGTTGCCGGGTATTGCGCGTTCACTGGGGTCTTGGTAATGCAATACAGTATAGGCATCGGATTAGTGGCCATCTATGCTTTAATTTGAATCCTGGTCAAATGGAGACAAGGATTCAGCCCCTGTTTTTATAAAATACAAGCTATACTCCGTAGACCTGCTAGATCAGTCTTGGTATTTGCGGGGAAACAGCTTGTTTTCGAAGTCGACCTGCCAAGCATGCCGCGTGTCCGGTTAAAACATGGCATATTATCAGCTATTATCACAAGCTATTATCACAACACAGGTTGGACCTGACTCAATTCTGAGGCATATGAGTTACTTGCACGGGTACTGGGGTTGCGGAAACGTCCGTACCTATTTCCTGTTGCGTACGAGTCATAATCAAAGAGCAAAGACAATTAAATACGTTCTCTGATATCCTCTCAATATGCTCCGAGCATTATCTGGATAATTTCGGACCCTCTCATATTAATAGCGACGGTAGTGTAGTGTGATAGCTATGCCCATACTTGGATTTGACTGTGTGCTTGATTTGGCTCTAGAGTTCAGTTGGATTCTGCCTTCTACATGGTCGTATGAAGTGGATGACCCTCATAACTTGAAGACGAACTCTAAAACTAGGTCATATTACATATACTGCGATTAGTACCACTAGGATCAAAAATTTATTGTTTTGCACAGATTGCGTTTAATAGAAGTACATCATTCTTGCTGCTTTGAATAGGGGGCCTACGGGATAGGGGAGTTTGATCTCAATTGCAACATTTGAGTTATTTGAAAGAATTCCAAAATGTTTTTAATAGGAGCAAACTTATATGATATCACACCTATACCAGGATATCCAACTCTATTCTCAAGTCAATATACGAGACCCATGTTTTAACGGATATGATTCGGCTTTTGAGGGGCTGATCAACTGGAGTAACAATCCGCAATAGATCGATATTCTCATTTTGGGATGACTAGTATCGTATCGTATCAACTACGAAAACTATCAGAACTAGAAACTCTTGGCCAACTTAACCTATCTCGTTCAGTCTGCCAATCATTGATTCATTAGAGGTAGTTGGGCTTCAGCACAGCTCTTGCACAAGTGTGCGGGACATCATTTGGACCACACCCAGACCCGCTATCATAGGGTGCAATCAACTGAAACAACTGCGGGGCATTAAATCCGTGATGCCACTCACAAACAAGCCACCCATCGTGCAGCTAGAATGGACTATCAATCACCAACTCCTCGTTGCTATTAAGCTTCCACGCCCATCCTTCTCCCTGGGGCCCTTGCCTGGCGCTAATGTAAACAGACTCCCACCTGCCGTAATTTATATCCTGTGGATCGGCGAGCAGTGCCCCAGGATAGCCTATGTCGAGTATCAGTTTGCTACTGCTGAGGCAGGCGCTGTCGCCACGATTATGTACGAAGTCAGGATCGGCCTGTGCGGCGCCCGTATGCCAGGCTTTCACTATTGTATTGTGAGTTAACCTTGTATTTGGGGAGCGAGGTAGTCTTGGCTTACGGCTCCAGCCGTCGTAGGTCTTATGGCCCGACGTGACAAACATGTTGATATGACATTCATGGGTACTGTTTACGGTTCCTGAACCGTAGTCCCGGCGTCTAGCTAATTGCTGAGAGGCCACAGATGGTGCGGCGCATATGAGCGTTGTAAAGAGGATTGGGAGCAGCATAAGAAGTTGGTTGAATGAAGTTATATTTCCTGACTTCCAATTTTCTCCAAACTTCGAAGTGTGATGGCCGAGATGGTAGGGTGTAGGGTGTTGAGGTATGTAGTGGGTATGGCCCTAGCCCGCGGGAATATAAATTGAGAAAGGATTATTCGCATTCGTCTTAAGAGATGATAATTTCGAAGTAATGATGCGCTCCATTATATATCGTGTAAAATGACCCACTATTGCTACCATACAAAGGCTTCCACTTGTATTACCTACATCCTTCGACGGCCGCCAAATTCCGGGCCAAGATGATCGCAAACTTGGCCTCCAACATCATCATATTTCAACCACATGATGGGAATACCAGTTCGTTGTCACTTGGCAAACAGTTACGGAGGTAGCTTTGCGGAATTGGTTCCTAATGCTAGGATCTTATCATTAGATAACTTATTTCATCTCCACTTGGTAAGCGTTTGGCATGATATAATATCGTAAATGGGCGGGGTCACTGTTGCTACCCGCAACTAAATCAAACCTGATGTCGTCCGGTTACCACAGCCCCAGGACTCGCTCCGTGGGAAATATAGATAAGGAAAGTAATTCTACTCAGCAGTCTACAATCGATTAGATTGATAGATCTACCGGGGTCTGTTTTCTGAATGCCTTTCTACGCCATGCGAATGGCTCTGATAGCAGATCGAGAGTGTATTTCCTACTCCAGCGACACTTCATGACGGGTCATTCGTATAGAAGGGTTAGTTGCGTTAAATGACACATCGGGTGCCCACAGATGTTTCTTACCTGCAATATCCCGGCGACAGCAAACACATTCGAGAAAATATCAAAGCTAAACCACGACTTGACGCTGGCATACTTCTTTACGCTGTTGATGTTGGGTGGAAGACAGTAAATAGATGAGAGAGCCTGCTGGAACAGCTGAGCAATCGCGGACGAGATAAGAAGCAACGAGTAACAGAAACAAAGGAACAGCCTTGACTTTGCCTTGCTAAAATTGATAAATCAAGGGACAAGACCGAGAATTGCACCAGGAAATCCCATCAACCTGACTTCCACTTACATTATTCCCCTCCATGCTCTCTGATTATCTACCTAAATTGTCAGGAGATATCATCAAGAGTATCGCCGAATCCTTAAATTGCCAAAGCGCTAGGGACGCAACAATTTTGGCTTGAGCGGTACAAATTGTATCTCTCTTCTAACTGTCGGCCAAGTGAGAAGCAGAGGACGGCCATATCAGGTAGACAATAATTAATTTTAATCGAATTCTAAAGATGCCCATTCATGCAGCTTCATCCTCGATTTCCAAATCTCCAACCTTGAACGTTTTCCCTTTCCGATTCTCATAATCGGTATGGTCATGATAGTTCTTGACTCTCTCCCTCACATATTGTAATCCCGTAACCTTCTGTTTTAGTTCCTGGTCATTCAGCTCCTCTTTTATCAGCCCAAGCCTCCTAAGCAAAGGCGATGGCGCCGGGGCGATGTCTGTATCGTTACCTGGCCTCACAAAGTAGAATATCCCCAAACGATGAATATGGTCTTGATCTGCAGGTGGTCGAATGACCCGGTGGGTTGTGGATTTGAGATACCCGGCGGACCAAAACTGCATCGCATCTCCGACATTGCAGATGATGCCTCCGTCGACTGGTGGAACATATTTCCAGTCTCCTTCTTTGGTTTTGATTTGCAACCCGGCAACGTTTTGGCTCCATAGGAGGGTTAGGGATCCAAAGTCTGTGTGAGCCCGTGACCAGAGGTTCTCTACCAATGCATCCTGAGATACAGGGCGAGGCCGGTATATCATGTAGCGTAGGTGGTCCTCGGACTTCGATGTATATTCATGTTTCGAGGAGAAATAGTCTGGCGGGAGTTCAAGTATGAGAGCGAAGAGTGTGAAAATTTTAGAAGCAAGTTCAAGAGACCGCTTGAAGATCATGTGAGTAATTGCGTTGTATTTTCCTGCAATAAAGGGAAAACCTCACTCTTGAGAAGCCCTCGACCTCAGCTAGAAAACGGTTGAAGAAGTCATGTCGAGGCTCGTAGGCCAATTCGGGAATGAATTTTGCGATGTTTACCTACTCGCTCGTCAGCATCCCGTTCGCTGTGCGTCTAAGGAGCGGATCTCTTACGCTCTCCACGTTATCGAGAACTTCGGTACCCATGATTTTCTTTTCGTGGGCCTAATCCGGGTTCAGCAAATGGTGTTTTCCCAACTCAACCTATACCTGATCGGATGGGAGCTCAACTTACAGCTCGATATCCGAAATAGTTGCCTTGGCCGAAGTCGCACCTCAATTCGGGCTTGTTCTTCTCCTCCAGCGGCAGGTCGAAGAATCCTTGGCCAATGCTGTACTGTCTCCGGACTTCTTCATCGGTGAATCCGGTCCCGGTAACGCTGAAGAAACCTGTGGTGTGGACCTGTCAAGCAAGACCCCGTCAGACCAGCCTTGAGCAAAACTCAGGCCACAGCACTGGGCCACCTACTGCATGGCGAAGCTCTTCGGCCAGCCTTTCTTTGCCACCAGGATTGTCAAAAGACGAAAAGTCAATCACCGCAATATCGGCCCATGAAAGGTCGGCCGTCGTCGGCTCTGGGCGTTGCCATTGAGGGAGTGGCAGCGGCGCTAGCGAAATTGCTGAAACCATGGCGAACAGTAATATAGTAATATGGCAGCATGCGAAGTAGAATTAAAGAGAGGAGAGGGGAGATCCAGACCAGAAACCAGGAGGTTGGAATAGAACGACGAAACCTTTATATTAATATCTAGATACCCCAAGTCGCGAGGCCACTAACGTCCATTCCACTTATGTTGTTCAAGATACCCACCCACCTAGGTAGCTAAGGTACCTACTAGTACGAAGCACCTAGTACACAGGCAGGTAGCTTATTTGGCAATTCGAATCCTCGTACTACATGGATTCATGGATCCGCCTCATAGGTTAAAAGGCACTGGTGAAGCAGAACCGATCTCGCAGAGGCGGGTGTGGTTCGTGATAACCTCCACTTGGAGTGAAGCATGTGCCGTCGTGATTAAAGGGGGTTCGCACGCAATCCTGCCTAGCAGAAGACGTGATTGTGCCAGAACAGAACATGCGCGGCCGGCAGCAGTGTAGCCAGGCGCAATGGAGTGAGAGTACTTGCGATGTTCAATAATGTTCAGATATCTCTCGTCTAGGGGGTGCAGTAACAGTGAACATCGTATGGTTGCATATTGGCGGTTGTACTGTGCAGCGTGCTGTGTAACTGTGTTGTGGTGTGTTGTGGTGTTTTGTGGACGAATATATTATATTATTTACTTGGTACTCGAGTAGAGGAGTACTCGTCTAATATCATAGTGGTTCACACGCTATGGCAACCCCCCTTCCATCCACCAAGGGGGCTGCAGTCTGAGAAACTTATAGGTCCTACAATCACCATTACCACTGCCTCCACCTCTAGTACAGTCTCTATAGGAACCGAATTAATTCAGTTTTGATAATCGTTATATTTGCGGTCCTTACTAGATCACTAGAGAACAGGATCAGAGACTGCGATGGATGAGGGATAGGAGCATTCCATTCATAAAATATCTAGATAAATATTCTTCATCACCACACCAAAGCCCCATTCGAATTGAAAAGGTATGTACAGTACATTAACAATCCGATATCCATAAAGCCATTTCCTCAGTTGCCACTGGCCCCCTGTCTTATCCAGCCCCTGGGGACGCCATACCCATGCAGTGCCGTGAAAATCAAAAACAATAAACAATTCAGAATAACTGCTTGCGCGTCTTGCATCATCTCCCATCCTGCATCCATCTCATCATTCCGTCCGGTAGAACTTCTTGTACAACAAATGCAGGAACAAATTAACATTGAGCCTCATGCCCCCTTCAAACAAATCCATGTACTGATTATTGGCAAATTGCGCGGCCAGAAGGCTATCCATTGGGACCTGTGCGCTCGCGCCAGGGATTTGTATACTGGCCCTGCTCCCTTCGATGAAGAAGATACCGACCTCGTCGCAAGAGATCGTCAAATTAATCTTGTCCCATTCCCGGTCACTGTAGCCTTTCCATGATACGAGGACGCCTTTATCTGAAAGTGTTCGGGCTGAGTATTTGAAAGAGCCGAATTTGGGTTTGCGACCAGAGCGCTCGAGTTCCCTTTCGTGGTTGTATTGCTTGGAGAAGGGCATGAGAAAACGTTTTTTGCTATGAACTGTAAGTATTTGCTTTGCGAGAAATCCAGCGTTAAAACATACCCCTTCTTCTGTAGAGTCATCATGGCCTGTTCAATATAATTGTCGTAGCTTTTCCTCTGAGACTCCAGCCAGTCAGCCTTCTCGCCGAGATTTCCTAGGGTGAGTCGCACGCCTTCAAGTTCACGTTGTCGCTGGACGCGTCTTCGGCTCTTGGTGCGAATATCAAGTGCGATAGCGTTCAAAATATCCTGGTAGTGGTTGTGCCGTGAAATGCGTCCAAATTGTTCAAGTCTCATGATATTCTCCAGCGCTGTTCGTTTCAATTCCTTGTATGACATGGATTTTATATCGACCAGAGTATTTGCATCCGAGTAAGCCCCACGAGTTCGGCTGCCCTCGGCGAATTCTTCTCGAAGCAAGGCGTGCCACTTCTGATCGTCTTCTCTGGAGATTGGCCGAACCAGAATGTCCATGAGATTCGGACCCGACTGCACCCTGATGATATACAATATGCAGCGCTTAGTTTCCATGAAGAGAGCCTTTGCCTCTGCTTCGGGATCTTCAACGTCGTGTAACTTTGGATTAAGGGTTAGTTGAATCTCTCCGGATGCTACCCCTAACATCTCAGTTTCGTTGTGCTTCGCGCTACCGAGTTCTTGTACCATTTCCCTAAGCATATCGTCTCGATTAGGGCACAAGAAAGCTAGATCCGCCGCAACCAGTTTGTGGATAGAAAATATGTCTGCCATCTTGATGTAGAGAGTGGGCTTCGACTTAGCGTATAGATCATTGAACTCGTCTATATCAAAGGTACTCTCAGCATCGGGAACAGATACAATGTTTGAGAAGATCAGACGCATTCGTTCGATAGCATCTCCCACATATGCGTTCAAAGGTTGGAGATAGACGTTTTCCCCCCCAAAAAGGCGTCCTGATGCAACCTGACTCAAGACTTTCGCGACTTCGCCCAAATTACGCTTTTGTAGAGGTGTAAGCTGCTTTTCGATAACGCCCATAGACTCGGGAGCTGTTAAGGCAGGCTGGAGATAGAACTTCCATAGCCAATGGCCGATTATTTGGAGAAGATGGTGCTGAGGCTCGCGTGGAAAATGTTGGCAGAGAGCCTCGAAGACTTGCTGGCACACAAATCGAATACCGTAAGGCATTTTATGTAAGAGAGCTTCTAAGGCCAAGAGGAATTGGTCGGAAATCTCGCGAAGATCCCTTAGATGATCGATAAACATATCTCGCGTTTCCAGGTCTTTGATAGCAACTTCCCGGGGAACATCTAACATTCTCTGGCTAGGTCTTCCAGTCCGAAGTTCCTCGTTATTGATTGCGGAGCGATAAATCTGCATGGGGTCGCTTTCCAGATCGAGGGCAGGATCTTCAATGATGTTCGTCTGAATCAAAGGTCCAAGGAGTTCGCGGAGATATTTCCTATCTCGTGGCGAGCGGGTGTAGTTGGCTAGGAGTTTACTCCAAAAGAAGTTGCCACGCAGGTATTCTTGGATTGAGGTCACACCGTCCACTTCCTCCTTTGCTGATCGAGCGATGAGCTTCAGGAGATAATATTCCTCTCTTCTCTTCTGAGCATACCCGAACAGTCTCATCATCAAGGTCTCTATCTGCTTGCATTCCTTTTCAGCCGTCCCCTGCTCCCGGATCCGCTTGAAGAGGCGTGCAAGATACTGCGGTTGGGTTTGTAGTGTGAAAAACACCTGTTGGTAAGATTCCAGTTTTTTTCTTGAATTTTTGTTCAACGCCTTCAAGTCGAATTGGTTTCCAGAAGCCATGGAGGTGTTGACGAGAAGATTCCCAGAATGTCCGCCAAAATTCCTTTGATGCTTGACAACTTCGTCCAGGGTTATCTTGTTCTTGACTAGTAATGCGATTTTGATATCCAGCTGATCAATATACTGTTCTGCCGTTTCATTTTGGCGAACTTGCTGTACCACGGTCTTGCGTAATCGTTCAAACTCAATCTCTTCGTTGAAGTCAAAATCACTGTCGTTGAGCAAATGAACGAAGTTTTTGACGGTATTTGCAGGAGGATTCTTGCCAGTCGTCAAGCTCTTATAGGCCTCCCCTTGTAATCGACCACGAACAAAGCTCTGGATCTTCACAACCTTTTTCATGTTCTCCTTGAAGAAGCGCTGTTTCTCTGCAAACTTGGCCCTCACCAAGCATGCCTTGGCTGCGGCTTGAATGGCGATAATTGATTCTTCTTCAGCATCCAATTCGCTAAGCACCATGGCGATGTCATTTCGCAGAAGAACAGCCCGGGAGAAGGCTTGTAATTGGATGATTTCAGAAGAGTGAGATTCAAGGTCCTCAAGCAGACTTCCAGTCTGTTGTCGCTGTAAATATCCTCTTGCTAGGGCCTGCAGCTGGCAGATTTGTCGAGTTTGAGCAGCAAGTGCTTCATCGTCAGAGGCTACTTGTTTCCGAAGTAACAATCCTCGAATAAGAGTTTGGAGTTGCACTATGGATGATTCCTCAGTTCCCAACCGGGAGATGGTCTCGGCTACGCTATTTCGCACCGCGGCAGCACGGCCGAAAGCCTGCATAGTCGTGAATAGCGCGCTGTGAGTCTCCAGCTCCCTCCTAGTTGACTGAATTTCACCTCGGGCCGCCTGTCCTCTAACTACTGCCTGGAGAGCTCTCCAAATTGGTGCTGAGGCCTGGAGTGTTTCTCTCTGGCGAGAGATCTGATTTCTGGTCAGCATGGCCCTCGAGAAAGCCTGTATCGCCCTGATAGTATTCTCTACGCGCCAGAGCTCCTCATGATCATCAGCGATTAGATTTCTTAGCAGCATGGCCCGGATAACAGCTTGCAATTCTATCACTGGCCCGGCCAGAGACCTTGTTTCCATCTTTTGACTTTGCAAAGATCTCCGAGAAATATATCCACGAATGCTGGCTTGCAATTCCTTTACTCCAAACTCTTCACGGCGCAACATGGACCTTGTTATGCGTACCTCATCACGGGCTTTCTTTGCCCGAACCAGGCTCTGCAACTTCAACACATCTCCCTCTCTGCTCTTCCAGAATGATTCCCGGTGCAGCTGCCGCTGACGCACCAAGAACCCGCGGGCACCGCTCTGTAAATTGACGGCAAATCTACGCATGTTAAGACGATATTCCGCAATCTGCCTTGCAAATTCTCCGCGAATCCGGGATTGAAGTTCGACTATGAGAAATTCGGAGTCCCACAACCCTTGCATGATATCGGTGCAACGCATGCGCAGGGCAGCGCCTCGAATTTGGGCCTGGAGATCGATAATTGCGACTTCATTCTCCCCAAGTTCCCGATCGATGCGGTCCTCTTCGCTCTCAACTGGCTCTGGTTCAGGGGTAGGCTCTACTCCGAAATCTGCACCCATATTTCCAAAACTCGGCATGCTGACCCCAGCCTTGTCCAGCCCCTTTTGCATAGCTTCCAGCTCATGATGCTCGAATTCCAGCTGACCAACAAGGTTACCAATCCGGAAATCAACAATGCCTTTCCGGAATAATAACCAACTAAGGGCATGGATGCAGTATATGACTTTTGGGATGTTCTTCTTCTCGTATAGGTCAATGAGCTCAAATCGGAACAGGTCGGGGAGCTCGACTTCGGCGAGGAATCGGAAGAAAATGGCAATGTTGTCGGAGTGCCGATATTGTAACTTTGCATGGCGGAATATGCGAGTCCGCCGCTCTGGATACAAAGCATCAACAATTTCTGCGAGAGTAACGCCGTCTCTCAGTGCTTCCTCTAGCTGCACGATTGGGGGTATGGGACGTTGTAGGATATCTTCGATCCACTCTTTCGCTTCGCCAATGTGACATAGGTATTCGTAAGCTTGCAAAAATTGTCTTTGCTTGTCCATCCAATTCCGGCCCTCCCATGCATAGCTACCATTACCTCTATTGGCCGCAACAGCACTCTTTCCACCTGGCGCAGCATCGGCTCGCTGCAACCTTCGCCGTCCGTGGAGTCCGACTACCTCTTGTGCCGGAGAGGTGATGTTAAAGTCCTCGGCAGACCCATTCTCGGCAAATTTGGACAGCGTGCGGAGTTGGCTGGTCGATGATTTCTGCAAGCTCTGGAGATCTGGTGCAACTAGTGGGCTGTGGTGCTGCAGTGCCTGACTACGGCCAGATGCTCCCGGCCCAATATTGATAGAGTCTGCGCGACTGAGTATCATCGAGTTTGGTCGGATTGATGAGAGATGCGACCTAGGGGTTGGTGTAGATGTAGGTGCATAGTCTTCGCGCATAAGTTTGACATTGTCTATACTCTGGCCGCGAGAGTGATTATATGCATTCCTATTCTCATTTTTCTCAATAGGTGAAGGGCCGGGAGGCTGTGGGAGTGGTCGGAGCGATTGCCTCACGCTCTTGTAAGGCGCATCCGGGCTTGATCCAACACTGCCATTACCCCCGCTACGTATATTTTCAATCCCAGGCGGTCTCAAACCTCTCCCCTCGCTGAGCCCTCTCTTGTGGCCGTATCCGTATCCGCTCGAAGCTGTTGATGACAAGGTGCTTGTGCGACTTAACTCGAAGGCACCCGAGGATGCCGAATGCGTATTTGAATACGCGGATGATACTGTTGACGCGTTGGACGGCTGGCGAGGGAGAGAGGAGTAGTCGGCAGGTTGTGACGGGCGAAGGGGATACTGGTAAGTCATCGCGCTGCTCCGAGTGATTATTGTGTGGTTGTTTGTCTAATTTGGTTGCCAGATCACAAACAAGAACATCAGAGGGCGGATGTCGTAAACATGGGTTCGGAGGCCGTCCTTCCGGCCACGCAAGGCGGGTGTAGCTTTTCGCAGAGGCTTTGGCTCTGGGTATATTGATTGTAGGGTCAACGCGGGAATATACCTACTGCCAGTGTATTCGATCTGCACTTAGATCTGTTGACGATCCAACCAGAGTCGCGATGGAGCGCGCAGCGCAGGAGAAAGGATGTCGCCGGGCGTGAGGCGTAGATCGAGAGATGAAGAAATCGTCGGAATCGCAAAAGAAGCTCTAGTCCTACGCAGCGATGGAAGCGCAATACAATCGTCCAAGTCTGTGATGTGCTGTATGTACTCGAGTAACCTGATGGAGGGGGTTCGCCATCGCCAAAGTGACGATTTTGACAGTTGTCACAGCAACGCAACCCAAACGAGAAAAACTCCGGCAGAACTCCGGCAGCTCGGCCCGGCAGAATATTTCTCCTAGCAAGTCCCCACACCGTCCAATGCACTCCACCAAAATTTTCGAACTTCAGAAAATCTTTGTCCTTCTTCTTTTTCTCTTACTTGGGAGAAGGAAGAAGGGACTTCAACCCGTCGACTGTCAGATACAGATCCCACATTACATCGACTACATCCTGTCTTACCCTGCCTCTCCACAATCCTATCTTTTCGGTCTTGGCCTGTTGTCTGTGTTTCATCTGATACTCACTGCACCTTTTCACGATGCCTCACACCAACGGCGGCAGCAAGTCGCAATCCTCCTTTTTTGGCGCTGCAAAAGACCTTCTGGACCCATCCAAGGCCCTTGAAGCTCTCAGTGAGTACGAGGAGCGTGATGGCCTGGATATCAAGTCGCTATTGGACTCCAAGAGCAATGGTGGCTTGGCCTACAATGATTTCTTGGTCCTGCCAGGCTACATTGGCTTCGCAGCATCCGAAGTCGCTCTCGATGCTCCTGTGACGAAGCGGATTACTTTAAAGACTCCCTTTGTCTCGTCGCCCATGGATACCGTCACTGAGCATGACATGGCTATCCACATGGCCTCTCAAGGAGGTCTTGGTGTCATTCACCACAATTGCTCAGCTGATGACCAAGCTGAGATGGTGCAAAAGGTAAAGCGCTTCGAAAATGGCTTTATCTTGGACCCTGTTGTCCTGCACCGTGACACTACCGTTGGAGAGGTCAAGGCTCTGAAAGAGGAATGGGGCTTTGGTGGCTTCCCAGTGACTGGTAAGCACATCCATTTTTTCTATACCCAACACCAATCTATACTTCTATGATTAGCAAAATTTTACATATAACTTTCGTTCATCCGTATTGACCGTAAGGTCGTGGGGAATCAATCTATGCTCTTTATGATTCAGAGTCTATAATTACATACAACTCTTCGGACTATTTTGGGTTTCCTTGTGCTAATGCAATGTGAATTACACAGAGACGGGCAAGCTGGGCTCCAAACTTATCGGCATAGTTACTAATCGGGACATCCAATTCGAGGAGAATTACGAGCTTCCAGTTTCTGCGGTGATGGTAACTGATCTCGTCACTGCCGCTGCCGGAACAACATTGGTGGAGGCCAATGCAATTCTCGCCAAATCCAAGAAAGGGAAACTCCCGATTGTCGACGCCAGCGGCAACCTCGTCTCCATGATCTCTCGATCCGATTTGACTAAGAACCTGCATTTCCCGCTCGCTTCTAAGCTGCCCGACTCGAAGCAACTCATCTGTGCCGCTGCCATCGGCACCCGGCCAGAGGACAAGGTTAGACTGCAGAAGCTGGTTGATGCCGGCCTGGATATTGTTGTTTTGGATAGTAGCCAAGGCAATTCCATGTACCAGATCGAGATGATCAAATACATCAAGGAGAAATATCCCGCGTTGGATGTCATTGGAGGAAACGTGGTTACCCGCGAGCAAGCTGCATCCCTTATTGCGGCCGGTGTTGATGGTCTTAGAATTGGTATGGGAAGCGGAAGCGCTTGCATTACACAGGAGGTGATGGCTGTTGGCCGACCTCAAGCTGCAGCTGTCTACAATGTCAGCTCGTTCGCTGCTAGGTTTGGCGTTCCTTGCATGGCAGATGGCGGCATCCAGAATGTAGGACACATCGTTAAGGGTCTTGCGCTTGGAGCCACCACCATCATGATGGGCGGCCTCCTTGCCGGTACCACCGAGTCTCCTGGCACCTCGTTTGTCAGTCGTGAGGGCAAACTGGTCAAAGCCTACCGTGGCATGGGCAGCATTGATGCAATGCAAGACAAGAAGGCTGGCTCCGGAGGAAAGGACAGCCAGAAGAGCAATGCTGGAACGGCCAGGTACTTCTCCGAGGGAGACAGCGTCCTGGTTGCACAAGGGGTTTCTGGCGCCGTGGCCCACCGCGGGTCGGTGACGAAGTTCGTGCCCTACCTTGCGGCGGGCCTGAAGCACTCACTTCAAGACTGCGGGCAGAAGAGTTTGACTGAGCTCCACGAGTCCGTCGCCAATGGGACTACACGCTTCGAAATCAGAACGGCCAGTGCACAGCTCGAGGGTGGTGTCAATATGGAGAATTATGAGAAGAAACTCTATGCGTAATTAGGAGGATGGAGACTACGGCGATGCGCTGTAATTAATGAGACTTTGGTGCTATGAGCCTATGACTGGGCATTGGGACGGATTCGCGATTATTGGGCTGGAGTTTTGAGGGCGAATTTGGTGAAGCATTACATCAAATAAAACAAAGTATGCTTTGCGTCCGTGACCGGCATCCTTATTCCCAAATAATACTTGTTTGTCCTCAATATGTGAAGCGAAAGCATTGGGTAAGTCAGCCTACGGATGCCCTAGGGGAAGCAACGAAAGGAACGCGAGATTTTTCTTTTAACTCTCCTTATCCTTCTTACAGAGGGAAGCCTTCATTAGGAGACATTATACCGTAGGTAAATGTCAATCTCGGGTTAATGAACGTCAATTAGTGAGACAGGTCGCACTTCCAGCGACAGAGGTGACACACAGGAACATGAACAAAAATGTTAGATACTAGAGACTCGGGAAGAAAACCGGACAAACGGCCGAGGCACTGGGCACAATCAAATCAGGTTGCTGTGATGGCATAAAGTTCGATGTTTGGAGTGTTTGTTGATAATTTACATAATGATCGGTTTTGAACCGGCTGCTCCCACGTATTACCCACAGCCTTATTTTCAGGATGTATTCCTATCTCCTTCAAGATACGGCATTATGCCTTCTTGGTCGTACTCTTCTTAGCAAGTAGGTACTCCATGAGCCCATTCTCCATTGCCCCTGTCCAGCAGCAGCCGTTATGACATTATGCTGCAGCGTGGCACCAGCATGCCTAACTGCCCCGTGACTGTTACCTTGTAGGCCTAAAGGTAGGTGGGTACCTACACCGGTGGCCCAGCAGCCATCAGATATTCGGCATATCGAAAACCATCATTCAAATCTTTCAGGCCGTCTTGATTTGTAAAGCTTGATTTGTATCTCAATAGAGTCTACGCACCTAAATAGTTGACTCAGTTGGGTTCAGATGCAGAGTACGGTTCGTGGACATCGCCTGAGTAGATGTCAAAGAACCCTAGCCCAGGTTGGGAATTGGCAACCTCGATTCCGCTGCGGCCGAGTGCAAGCATGGGATGACAATCAACCATGGTGTTATGCTCACAGCTAAGATTTTAAACTTGGCGATAGTTTCGCCCAGTTCCAAGATACAGCAGGCCACAGTCCAGATTATACCTATTGTAAACCTCGCAACTATCGAGTCTTAGATTATTATCCCGGTTTACCCGGCCACGCTTCAGATGATGGGGCAGCAGCGCTATGAATTTGCAATGGAGAAGAAGCTTCTATTTCCGAGTCGCACACAGCCGTTTGGATCATGGAGGTTGCAAAATAGATGATGCTTGATAGCCAAGAATCGCTTCACTAATTGGCAATAAACTCCACGTGCGAGGAGCACTTTGGAAAAAATGAATCGTAATTGGATTCCCGAGCGTTCCAGAGCAGTGACTGTAACACAACATTAGCATCCCAAGCGCTCGAGTTTAATATTAACAGCCTCAACTCTGGTAGATCAAAGGAAAACTAACATCAAACTAAGTTCATCGGCAACTATTTTGCTACGACACTCCTCTTGACGGTTTTTGCATCGGATACCACGGCAGGACGAAAAGATCTTCTCGAGTGCAATGCGATGTAACCGTCCGAGAAACATCGAGAAACTCCATTGTCTGCTGCGAAATGACACCCGTTCAGGAAGGTATTGATGTGCTGGCTTATCTCTTTGACCAAGAATACACGGCGGTGTCCCAACCAGCGAATGCAGTTGACGAGCGTGCCCGGTGATGTGAGGGTAGGTCCCAGGAGCGGCAGTCGGCCGTTGACTACTTATATTAATTAATATAATCTCAATGGATGAGTTCCAATTCAAGGAAGGCTGAGGGTCTGAGCAAGCCGTAACGGCAAATTCATGGCCACAGAATCGTATTCAACGCGGAACTCTACCACACTGATTTTGAGGTAGTTTCGCAGGGGAAGCGCACACCGATATCTCCATATACACTTGCAGAGGATTGGCACTGCCGAGAGTCGTACCGAACAAGTGAAAAAGATATATGCAGCAACGCCAACGTCTTTTGCGCCACGAGCTAGCGACAGTCGCAGGGTGGTGGAGGGTCAACTCATCGGCGCCGGTCATCACGAAAGATAAATGGGGTGGGGATACGACGAGATTCTCATATGTAGCAGGTGCCAAGACACGAAGGTATATTAAACGGCATTGCGCCCATGATGGGGTTCAAGCAGAGGAGCGCTCAGGTCCCCCAAAAAGGGATTTGGGCGCGGGATGACGAGCAGCAGAAGCGTCTTTAGTACTTCGTAAGACAACATCATGTACCGGAGGCTGGGTTAGGGGTGGGGGTGGGAGTGGGAGTGAGTCGGGAGCAGGAGCGTCCCCGATAAGGCCCAGGTTTTTGCTTGTGCTTTGCGGCGATCACTGAGAATCTCTCCTTTCACTTGAATGGGATGGTTGGGCAGGACCCCCGGGCCAAGTGCAACACCGGTGCGAAGCACTCGAGAACCGATCATCCTGAGAGCGAATTGGCCGTCGGCAGATCATCGACGCCTATCAGCAGGTGCTGCCTTTGGGCAACCAGGGCATGCAAGGGCGGGCATGACACGCAACCTGGTGGCGGCGAGTAACCAGGAAACCGAGCTTGTCGCCAGTGGGTGAGGCTTTTCGCGCTACCCTACTAGATAGCTGCCGGCGTCTCGAGGCAGTTGACGTTACTTTCGTGGTTTGAGGTTGTTGGCTGTTGACGGTTGTCCTCCAGGTTGGGAGAAGATGTCGCTTAGCTACACCTCACCTTACCCGAGTAGCGGCCTCCAGTCCCTGTTCTCGTCAGCGGGAGATCATCTGCTTCAGCCCAACTCTTACGACCTCCCGTTTGTAGTTCTCTCGTCTCCAGCAAACAACCCTCCCTCGAACATCGACATTCCTCGCGCCCGGGTCCTCTGGGCTCTGCTCGTGCCTCCGTCCAGGGCTGACTCTGTCACGTCTTTGCGTCTGGGCTCTGGCACCGGCTGCCCGTCCCCGAAGTGGCAGGTTGGCAAAGACATATCACGGAGAGGAATCGGAGATCGGGCCAGGTGCTGCCCTTTTCCAAAGCTATCCATCCCCTTCTGACGTTTGCCGTGGTATTTGGGAACGTTCCCGCAAGGTTCGAGGTTTGTCTTGCACACCATCGCGGAGAACTGCTTCCTCTTCGGCGCACACCCATCTTGACGAACGAGCGGATTCCTGTTTAGGCCATGATATATCTGGGCCTCACTTGATGGAAATGGTGTGCAGGGACAAGTCAATGGCCCCATCCGGGCTTATCTTGACCTCAAACCCGCTCGGCAATTGAGGTTGTAACCGGCAGACGGACCTAAGGGCCACGCTTTTATGCACTGCATGATATTCCACTTCATTGCTTCGATGAAGCGAATCTGCAGCGGCGCCTTCCTATGAGATCTTTGGGACGATGAGGAACTTGGGCAGTGGTACCGCTTGCCAAGCCTCTCTGGCATGTCTTCGTATATGTTTTCAATCTCTCGTGTTGATCAGCTGCCAATTCCATCGTAGTCGATACGGGGACACCTAAGGTAGCACACTTTTCAAGAAGGTGTTTAAGTCAAGTTCAAGTTTGAAGTGCCTCTTGATGTGGTGTTCAGGGGACCGGGCCTTACCTTCGTCATAGCGAACGATTATGAAGCCATCCTATCTTGCTTCAACATTTCTAGTCTCGGACAAGGTTCGATGATGCTTGGGAAATATAAATATGTCCTTGGTTTCCTACTCACAGCCCTTTCCATCGCCAGTCTCCCATCCCTTCTTATTTATAAAACAACTATTCCTGAGTGCCCCATCAAACAGCATCTTTGACCATGGCCCCATATCTTGCTAAGCTCGCCGCATTGGCAGCAGTCATTGCACCCCTTGTCTTCGCAGCACCCGCTTCCAACCTCAAGGTTCGGAATTCTGATGCCACCAATGTGGTGCCGGATAGCTACATTGTGGTGTACAACGACCAGGTCAGCGCTGCGACTGCCGCCTCGCACATCGATAGGGTTAGCTCGCTGATCTCAAAGCGCGATACCGACGGAATTGGAGCAACCTACGATATGGATCTGCTGAAAGGGTATCAGATCACTGCCGATGAGGATACCATTCAACAAATTGCCGCCTCACCAGAGGTAAGTCTGATTCGCCGATAGCTACATTATGATTTCTCACACTTCTAGGTCGCATACATTGAGAAGGATGGCAAGGTGCAAGCCTGGGATTTGTTGACGGAGTCTGATGCACCGTACGGTCTTGCCCGCGTTTCTCACAGGACCCTTGGAACCTCTACATCCTACGTCTATGATTCCTCAGCTGGCAGTGGTGTCACTATCTATGTCGTGGATACTGGCATCTACATTGAACACGCTGAATTTGGGGGTCGGGCTTCGTTTGGTGCTAACTTCATCTCTGGCTCTCCCGTAAGTCGCTTCATGCTCATATCTCCAAGATGAGGCTAACGATGAGCAGAACACCGACGAGTACGGTCATGGAACCCACTGTGCTGGAACAGCAGCAGGCACTACCTACGGTGTAGCCAAGAATGCCAAGCTCGTCGCTGTCAAGGTCCTCGACAAGAATGGCTCCGGATCGTTTTCCGGCGTGATCTCTGGAATTCAATGGGTGGGTAACAATGCTGCTCCCAATTCGGTCCTCACCATGTCCCTTGGAGGCGGCCAATCCTCCGCTGTAAACTCAGCTGTCGCCAGTACTGTCAGGGCTGGGGTGACCGTCGTAGTCGCGGCTGGCAATTCCAACGCCGATGCAAGCGGCTACTCTCCTGCCTCTGAGCCTACCGCTATCACCGTTGGCGCTACAGACTCCTCTGATACCCGAGCCTCTTTCTCTAACTGGGGTAGCCTCCTAGACATCTTTGCACCAGGCGTTAATATTCTCAGCTCGTGGATTGGCGGGAGGACTGCCACCAACACCATCAGCGGTACCAGCATGGGTAAGTGGCAAATCCTTTTTGATGTCAGCGTGACTTTTTGGATTCCCGGCTGACATTGAAACTATTAGCTACTCCCCATATTGCTGGCCTTGCAGCCTACCTCATCAGCCTTGAGGGCTTGTCCGGCCCAAATGCAGTCGTCGCCCGTCTTCAGCAACTGGCCACCTCTGGGAGGGTCACTGATGCAAAAAGCCCGAAAAACTTGATTGGCTACAACGGCAGCGGTCTGTAATTAGCTAAGGAGGTTCAGGCAAGAATTTTGTGGCGTAAAATTTCATTTATTGTCGCTGGTTTGTTGCGATTGTGACGTGGCGGTGTGGATACTATCACATTGTTGTTTGAATGTAGAGAAACGAAGTGATTCGGTTGTCTAATTGAGCCTTATTAACTCATCGTCTTTACCATATGTGAAGCCAGCGCACGTCAACTCTTTCTACCTGCTTATTTCCAACCAGCCCTACGGCAGGGTTAACATGTAAACAGTGCCTAAAGGCGTTAGAGATGAGATCCAAATGTGTTAATAAGAAGTAGTCAATGGAGTGAAGTAGCACAGTGGATTCGCCAAATATGTATTGCTAAGAACAATGGTCGTAAAGCACCTAGGCCGGTTAGGCTATTGAGGTGCTGTCTCCATGGGTAACAACGCAAACCCACACTACCCGTCTAATCTCGAGGGCTATATTTATGTGGCCAAGCGCTAGACTATGAGGAGACCATTCCTTTACCAAGAGGCATTGTACAGGTTAAGGTGTATAGTAGAAAAGCTCTGGGTATTGAAGGATGCGCAGCCAACGTATAATGTTATGCGGAGCGGTCAGGTCCGATTCAAGTGTGTTTGACCATAGAATAATTAAACACAGGGGAAAAGTATGAGAAAAATAAAGAGGTGATCGATGACAATTCATTAAATAAATAGCACCTCCAATGTTATAATGCATAAACCCTAATGGATCTTTGAGTCGCATTATAGGATGAAGGATTGTATTTGGGGAATAGACCGATGATTAGCCGCGAGAGGCATATCTCCCGCTGTAGTCGCAACTTGTCCACGTTTAGGATCTGTACACTCACACTCGAATTTGCAAACCACCATGGTATTACGGTGCGCTGTCTTTACATTTATTATATAGAACGATGGGCAGTTCAGACCCAGATGCTGCGAGTGCAGGTACAGAAATGGCCCCCTGCGTGCCTGTCGAGGTTGACTCCCGCTAACAACCCTCCAGGTCCCTCTCCCTCTTGGTCGAGCATATCGATATCGACCGAACTCCTACGAGCAGAATTGGTCCGACGAGATGAAGGCACACCCAGCTCTAAGCCAGAGTGTGGATCGGGTGCAAAAGGCAGCTACAACACGTCGGCACATGTCTTCGCCTTGATCCTAATATTGGTCTTGAGTATCACCGGTATTAAAGCCCCCGTCGCTGGGTATTACTCTTGCTGATTTGAGAATGTAATAGCTTGCGGATTTCCCTTGATCTCTCGTCGATCATCCAAAGCCTCTAGTGCAGGAAGATTCATATTTTACTCGCAGCACTTTGGCACCGGGGTGCTTATAGCAACAGCCTTCGTTCATCTTCTTCCAACAGCCTTCACCTCCCTTACCAATCCGTGCCTTCCGCATTTCTTCAGCCAGGGATACCACCCTCTAGCTGGCTTGATTGCCATGGTATCAGCCCTTATTGTGGTTGGGCTTGAGATGTTTTTGACCGCGAGGGGAGCCGGTCATTCACACTCACACGGAGGGGATTGGGATCCGGTGTTGAACGAGGAGGACCACCACCATTATGCGAACGGATCTGCCGAACGTCAACCCAAGAATAGGAACACACGATTAGGAAAGCTAGGATTGAACCGTAGAGCAAACGAAATTGCGCTGGATGATATTGACGCTTCGGAGTCCCTTGTTGCTGGCGTTTCTCCACTCCCAGTGTCGACGCCGGAAATCAAGCACCAAAGTAGAAACCGAGGGGAGAATGATGACAACGAATCCGACCTAGACCTTGATGAACTCGATCCTACCGGCCAAATATTTAACCCCCCTCGTTCTGATATCGAAACGCCCCCCCCGCGAGCGACGACAGAGCTCTCCCAAGAAGAGGAGCGCAAGCGGCAGATTCTACAGTGTCTTCTCCTCGAAGCTGGCATTCTATTTCATAGTATATTCATTGGAATGGCTGTGTCAGTTGCAACCGGTCCGCCCTTTGTTGTATTCTTGGTTGCTATTGCGTTTCATCAATCGTTCGAGGGTCTCGCTCTTGGCTCACGAATTGCCGCCATCAGTTTTCCTCACCATTCTCCGAGACCATGGCTTATGGTCCTCGCATATGGAATCACCACGCCTCTCGGACAGGCCATCGGATTGATAGTACAAAACTGGTACGACCCTAGGAGCGCAGTTGGATTGCTCATGGTAGGGTTTATGAATGCTATTTCGAGCGGACTACTGCTCTTCGCGGGATTGGTTCAGCTGCTAGCGGAAGACTTTCTAAGTGATAAAAGTTATGGGATATTGAAAGGGCGAAGGAGATTAGAAGCCTTTATAGCTGTGATCAGCGGAGCGGTGCTCATGGCTTTGGTAGGCGCATGGGCTTGAATACGTTTTTGCTCGCATCGGGGTGTGGTAGGATAAGCATTAGCATTGGGCGGCGCATGGAGTTTGTTTTAAACCGGTGGATAATGGCCTTAGTTAAATAAGCCTTGCAGCGTTTAGTAATTGTTGATACATTAGGCCACTTGTGGATGGGCTCCCCTAACGACGGCTGCCGTCTCTCTTGCGAATAGACTTTTAGCAAGGCACTTAATTGTCTTTCAATGATATAGTAGCCGACTGATAGTTCAAGTTTCGCTATATAATCAAACCCCGACATATTCTAACGCCTTCCACAAAATCTATCTTGATAGTTTCAATATCGTATATTAATCATTATTATTTCGTGGCCACATCAAGTCCAATTTATTCCGGCAAGGCGTGCTATTTTGTGGGATCAATCCCGGCCACAGAATTCAGTTGAAACTCGTTCCCCCAATTCCCTGTCCAAAATTACTAGCTGCAAGGCCGTTGCTTAGCCTTCGCCCACCTGGACCAACGGGCTCTCTCAATCCGATGGGACTACTCATCCTACTCTCGAAGCTACTTCCGAGCTTGCTGGAATTACCGGCTTCGGTGCCGGTCCAACTCTTCTTGGATGATATACGTGCCAGGGAAGGCCCATCCACAATATCCAAGGCCTCCTCATCATCGTAATATGTCAGGACCTCATCACCTTCCAGGATCGCACCGTTCTCACTCTCGTCGATGGGGTCTAATAAATTCTCGTCCTCTTCATCGCTCAAATCCGATTCCGATTTATCGAATCCGTCCATCTCAACTAGATACCAGATTGGAATGGCTCCGATGGCGGCAAGGGTGCCCAGCAGCCACCATGGTGTTATCACGTATCCCTTCTCTAAACCCCAAGTAAATGCTACACCACCGATGGCTGGGCCCACGGCTCGCCCAATGGCCGAAACACTGACTGCAACACCGTTCAACGTGCCTAAAATCCGTAGGCTTACAGCACTGTTGGTCAACAATATAATCGAGCATGGAAACGCAAAGATAACAGCGAAACTTTTGACGATCATAATGCTAAACATTGTGGCTTGCTGCAGAGAATGTGACTGAATGAGAGCAGTATAGGGAGTGACGAAGCAAACCACAGGAAATGTTATGGCGCAGCATTTAAAGCAGTTCAACACCCCGAATTTCCTGGCGACCGGCGGGAAGATTAGGAATTGTATAAAGCAGCCGATAATGCCGTACATTGTGAACAACGTGCCAATTCGACTTGCTCCGAGTCCAAAGCCTCCGGAGAATTTAAACGGCAGACGGGTATTGCTCGAATCAGGCGTCTGACGGGGGTGGTGCATGAAGATAGGGAGGAGTTGATCATATGAAACCGAGTGTAGAGCGAGGAAGGTGTACGACATAAGGTTTATAACACTCTGCCGTGTAAATACCTCGGAGAACGTGGGCCGAGATTGAGGTGGCTCCTGCATAGAATCCTTTGAGGTGAATGCATCATCGTCAAAAGCTGTCGATGATTCAGATCTAGAGATGGATATTCTTCGAAGTAGAGGGGCTGACGGGTCATCGCCGGTAGCGCAAGCTCGTCCAAAAGGCTTGGGCTTGGGGTGGAGACGGAAGAGGACCTTGAATGCTGAGACAAGTGACTTGCCCAGCTCACGGCCGTAGTCCGTCTTATGCTTTTTTGTCTCCAATGTTTCCTGGAATGCGTTAGGCACTTGCTCGGTACCTAAGATGGCGGGAGAAAGATCTCACCTTGAGAAACAAGAACCCGACAGTGATTCCTGTCAAAAATAATGCACTTGCAACGATGTTTGGAAGGGCAAAGGGATACTTGATTAGGAATTTGTTCTGTCCAAACAATCCGGGATAATTTTCGGCTGGTTTGGCGAAGAAACCACCAAATGTTGGTCCGAAAATGGAACCTAGACTCCATACTAGCGGCATGATGGAAAATGCCCGTGGTTGAAGCTCCTTCTGAGGAACCATTTCAGCAACAGTTGTGCGAATAACGCCGACTTAAAATCCCGCAATGGTTGGAATACAAGACACCATAATGCCCCCACTTGAGTGAACAAAGAGCGCTAAAAGCCGAACCACCTTCAATAGAACTAAGACCATCTGGTAATTGGGGAACTACCCACGCTAGTATTATCAATGGCTCACTCAAGTTGGAACATTTTACTATCTCATATTCCAATTAATGCGGTATGTTAGTAAGATTTCAGGATCTGGTTTGAGGCTGGAGACATACCATTTCCATTGCACGCGCCAGCCAGTGCTCTTGCAAGCATGGCCATGGGAAGCGATGTGGACAAGCCCCAAAACAAGGTAGAAACCATAGTACAAGTAAGCGCAACTAAAATTGCAGGTTTGCGACCAAATCGATCCGAAGCCCTGCCCCAGATAATGGCCGTCACGCATTGCGAAAGAGAGAAGACGGCCGATGTGATGCCAGCCCATTTAGCAACATCCTTCTTATCAATACCGAAACTCTCAATCATCTCAGGCTGCAAACGGATATCAGCATGCTACAGGGTATAAGCGCTGCATAGAGGGGTCGTACCAGATATGGGAAGACGGAAGTCAAGGCCACGGGTTCAGAAAATCTGCATATTGCTAATTTTTAAATGTTAGTTGGACATGCAAAGGGCAGGGAGAGATAACAAGTGGGTGAGCATTAAGGGATTTGAAATATCAGACATCGCCGAGAGATAGACACTACATGACCCGCAGAACGAAGTGTTTTGATTTTCTCGACATAGTCGAGTAATTAATTCTTCGCTATGCCACACCCTCAAACCGAAGTTGTGAAACTAAGCACATTGATTTGTTTGTAAAGATGCTCCCTCGCTTTCTTCTTAAGAATGGCCATGTACCTATGTCCCTGGTCTTCCTCATCGATGCATTTTTGATAATTTTCACAAGCCCAAGAAGAAAAAACCCCTGGGCTGTTCGTCCCAGCAAAGGTACTGCACATGCCAGATATTCGAATATATTTTCTTTTTCAACAAGACGGGGAACGAGAGTTAAAACGCACCGAGAATAGCCAACTGCTTTGCGGGTAGCTTGGGGGTGCCACGTGACCGCATCTTTACCACAGGGTGGCGGGACGACGAAAGCGGGGGCAAAAGCTTTCAAGTTTCGACGAACATGGAAGGCCACCAACTTGTGGAGGAAAAATGTTTTGGCGGTCACTTAACAGCTCAGAGAAATAGAGAAAGATAGCTTTTTCTTGTCGACTAGTATGAGTATCTTAGAATAACCAAGACTAGAGGGAAAAGATAGGAGGAGAGCAATAAGTGGAGAGGAGAGCACCTAGGTAAGTGAGAGGCCGAGAGTTGGACGTGACTCTTAACTCTGTACAGCGATAATAAATAGTACTAGGAAGCCGCAGATCCAGGCTAGCAAAGAACTAACCCGGATCAGGTCTGGACTGGCCGACGGGAGGCTGCGGAGAGAAAGAGGAAAAGTGGAAAGAGCCCTGTACAGCACCTACTAGGTAGGTACCTTAGAGAGGCAATATGCCGAGTCACGTGGGGGAAGGTATTACCTAGGTAGGCCTTAGGTAGTACTTTACCGCCGATCGGCATCGGCATCGGCATCGGCACCGGCACCACACATCCGTAGTAACATGTACCTATCATGCTGTGGCTGAGTTGCCCCGTGCCTTTCGCGCCGCCGTTCTCGCTCCGACCACGTGAGCAGAGACTTGGCCGCGGATGGCATGCGCGCAGGCGGGAGGCGGGGCGGAGCGGGGCGGGGCGGCGGAGCAGGGGGAGAGCTACGAAGTACTGGCCATCCATCATCATCGTTCATCTTGTCGTACTCCGCACTGAGTTTACATCACCAGCATCAAGGAGAAGCACTTTAATAAGCCCCCACTAACTGCTCGTTCGTACTTATACCTTCTTATTATACGTGCACTCCTCTCCTCTCCTCTCCTCCTCCCCCCCTTCCCGAACTCCGCACTATCACACAATTGCACGCTCACCCACTTCGACCCTAAAATAATCGCTTTGTACCGACACCTACATCTACGCCCACTTTTGGGCACGAAGCTTCATCCTGAATAGGCAGCTCTTTACGGAATACCTTTGTACGGAAGACGACGTGGGCCGACATGCACGCGCTGGGATAGCAGGGAAGCTACGGTGCTGTCACGGTGCTAATCCAATGACACAAATGTTGCCTGGCTCTTATTTTGGAACTGGAGCCTCTTGAACGTTTCCTATTTTCTGAGCATTGTAAGCATCCGTCTGCTTTCTGATTCTTTGTTACTGGTAGTAGCTGGCCGTCTTAATCTCCAATTGCCCTTGCTTTTATTTGACGACTCGCACCTACTCGGGTGCTTGACCCCCTTATCGCCGACGCTCTCCGCCTGGCGCCCGCACCCAAATCCTCGAATGGATCGCGTTTCGTTTTCCTCCCATAGTTTCGAAAGCTCGACCTGCTAACCGCTGCCCATCATGAGTAGCACTACAAATGAGAAAGTAAATATGTCGAACAACGAAAGAACTCCCTTGATTGCCACGGTCCGGGTCGCCCCACCGCGTCACCGATACCCTCACAACGTTGTCCGTCGATTCTGTACCATCGCGTTGGCTTCCTCCTTGGTGGCCCTCGTTGTAATTTTCCTCCTTCCTGTCGCCCTTCTTCCAGGGCACCGTCACCGTCGACCCATCCCTCCACCTCCGCCCGGTCAGTCACCAAACGCTATCACATTCAAGGAGCTTCAGAGCATCCTGTCAGAGACACCCAAAGCCGAGAAGGCCCGGGAATGGAGTCGCTACTACACTTCAGGGCCTCATTTGGCAGGGAAAAACTACAGCCAGGTTTTATGGACCCAGGAAAGATGGGAGGAATTTGGTATTAAGACGGATGTCGTGGCGTACGATACATATCTCAATTATCCCTTGGGTCACCGATTGGCACTTTACGAAAGCCAGGGCGCAGAGCAGGCCGAGGACACTGCGTCATGGAAAGTAAAATTCGAGGCCAGCCTAAAAGAGGATGTACTTGAGGAAGACGAGTCTACTGGCCTCGAAAACCGAATCCCTACATTCCACGGATACTCAGCATCCGGAAACGTGACCGCTCCATATGTCTATGTTAATTATGGCACCTATCAGGATTTCGAAGACCTACTCAAGGCCAATATCACTCTAGAGGGCAAAATTGCTCTTGTGAGATATGGCGATATTTTCCGAGGTTTGAAAGTGAAGAGGGCTGGGGAGTTAGGCATGGTTGGGGCAGTAATTTTCACTGATCCAGGTGATGATGGACCAATCTCGGATGATGATGGGGTGGGTACATATCCCAATGGCCCAGCCCGTAACCCAAGTTCTGTACAGCGAGGAAGTACACAGTACTTAAGTGTGGCCCCTGGAGATCCGTAAGTGTTGTCGATTCGCCGATGATATTGTTGATAGCAAAGCTGACCGATTAGGACCACACCTGGCTACCCGTCTAAGCCTGGAGTTCCACGTGAACCAGTCGATGGAAAGATACCCAACATTCCTTCCATTCCAATCTCGTATGCCGATGCGATCCCGATTCTCTCTGCCCTCAACGGACACGGCCCGGCGGCCAAGGACTTCGGGCCCTACTGGCAACAAAACCTAGGCTTGCAGTATAAGGGCGTTGAATATAACATCGGACCATCTCCCGACACACTGCTGTTGAACCTGGTCAATGAACAAGAGTACGTCACAACGCCAATTTGGAATGTAATCGGTGTCATTAATGGCACTTTGGCGGATGAGGTGATTGTCATCGGAAATCACCGCGATGCGTGGGTTGTAGGAGGTGCCGGCGACCCCAATAGCGGTTCAGCTGCCCTGACCGAGGTGATTCGGTCTTTTGGTGTTGCTCTGTCTAAAGGCTGGAAGCCCTTGCGCACGATTGTCTTCGCTAGTTGGGATGGTGAAGAGTATGGCCTCGTTGGGTCTACGGAATGGGTAGAGGAGTTCTTACCTTGGTTAAGTCATGCGAACGTGGCATATGTAAATGTTGATGTGGCAACCGTGGGACCCAACTTCCACGCGTCGGCGAGCCCCTTGCTAAATAAGGTTATGTACGAAGTTGCAAACCTCGTTCAATCACCGAACCAGACTATTCCTGGTCAAACTGTGGGTGATTTGTGGGACGGTGAGATCACTACTATGGGTAGTGGGAGTGATTTCACCGCATTCCAAGATTTCGCTGGAGTACCATCTATTGATTTGGGCTTCGGACCGGATCCAGCAAATCCCGGTGACAATGCAGGCACCATCTATCATTACCACTCTAATTATGACTCCTTTCACTGGATGGAGACTTTTGGAGACCCGGGGTTTCATTACCACGCAACAGTTGCTAAACTTTGGGGACTATTTACGGCTAGACTTGCTGAATCACCCGTCATTCCGCTGAATGCAACGGACTATGCTGTTGCGTTAGAGCAGTACATTTCCGATGTAGAATCCAAAGTTGATGCCACAATTGCTGGTACGACGACCCCAAAAGATGAGGCTGAAGCTCGTACACGCCCGACCCCAGGAGAGCCGAAGGGAGATATCGAGGCGCTGAAGCTTGCTTTTGACAAACTCCACGAAGCCGCGCGCAAGCTCAAGAAAGCTGCGCAAGCACACGATACATGGGCTGCCACGCTCTCGGATAGAGCTGGGGAAGATCTCCCATGGTGGAAGTGGCTTACAAAGCTCAAACTCATAATTAGAATCCGACGCGTGAACGTCAAGTACAAGTATCTAGAGAGACAATTCCTACATCAGGAGGGACTGGATGGCAGATCCTGGTTCAAGCATGTTGTCTTTGCTCCTGGTCTTTGGACGGGATATTCGGGTGCTGTGTTCCCAGGCTTGACGGAAGCCCTCGATACGAAGGACTACGATAATGCCCAGCGGTGGGCTGGTATCATCGAGGGTAAGCTTTCGCAAGCTGCTGGGAGCCTGAAATAGAAACAGTCGCTCGTATTAAAAACAAATAATCATTCGGGCATTGTAAACTTCCCAATAGGGACCTTGATCTAGAACATTTGCTTGTTCATATACGGTGACTATTATCGAAGGCTACTTGCAATTGCTAACCTTTCGAGATTTGCAGAGAGTTTCGTATTTTCTTTTAGCTACCTAGTGGGCGAGACTACGTGGCGACTAGTTTTTATATTAATTCATAGTTGGCTTGTTGAGAACGGCATTTAGCTTCTACTAAGTTGGGTATAGATTCTAATAAACTCCATGGGGATCTAAAATGGAACGTAGCGTATGTCAAATGGAGATTGAGCAAGGCGTATATTACAGTCTGGAAAGTATAATATCCGCGAGTGAAGTGGGAAGAAGCAGGGCCCGTGCTTGACGTGGTGGAAGCTAGAAATATTTGGAAAACATAAGGTAGGTCCTAGGTAACCCTCTAAACATAATTGCACGTTTTAGTAGGTTGTTGCGGAAGTGTAGTGCCGTGAGACGTTTCGTAATAAAGAGAGGTAAGATGTAGATAAGCTCATATCTCCATAGGCAGGAGATTGGGTATATAATATGCTTCATAATTAAACGTATAAGGAGTGGTTAACTCAATCACTGTGCCCCTAGAGTCTGCAAAGCAGCTCTCAGTTCTTTCACTGCGGTGTTTGAATCTTCAAAATTTAGGGCTGAGATGGCCCATCTGGCGTGTTTTTGTGCTTTAGCGATCGCAATGTCATCAGTGTTGTACTGTTGGTTTCTTGGCTGAGATTGATCTGGGATAGAGGCAGTTGGCGGTAGTTGGCTCAAGGGCTGTGGAGGCGGGTTTTGCTGATACGCGGATGCTGGGCGCGGGGAATAGTGCATGGGCTGCTGGGGTGGTTGTGGATTTGGGGGTGGAGGGTTTTGTCGGTAGTAATCCTGAGGTGGCGGTTCTGATGGCAGCTGGTTAATACTTGGAGGAGGAAAAGATTCGAAGTCGCGCGAGACGTCCAGGCCCGGTGCAGTCGATGGCTGGTCTGGCAAACCTAGGTCTAGGACATCACCGGGAGGGGCCGTGGGCAGTGTTGGCTCGGACGGTTCTGATGCGAACGTAGGCACCTCGGGGAAGTATCCACCGCCTACAGAATCATTTCTATCCTTCGGGGACGGCTCTAGGGGGGAAACATTGTCATCTTGGACGGCAGTATATGGAAACCCATCTCGAGGATATGGCTCAAACTTGGCGGGAGAGCCTGTACCAGGTGAGCCGCGCGCCGATACTTGTGCAGATGGATGTAGGGACTGGTCGATCGATGATTGTCTTGCAGCTAGTGCGTCTATCTGATGCTGCTCGTCAGGGGCGTCCTCAACGGATGGTTGATGGGGTCTGCGAGGCTGTCCCAATTGCTGTACTTCGGGGTCGTCTGGGTCTAGGGCTGGTAGGATTTCTTCTGTCGCGGGCTGGGGTTTTGGATTCGACTGATTTGGGTCGTTGCCTTCCTTTAGAGCCTTGAGTATCCTCACGGTATTCCACTTCGCATATTTGATCTTGGCCAGGGTGTCCGTGGATAGTGCTGACCAGATATTGTCGAGCTCGAGAAATGTCGCCGCAGCTTGGAAAGTGTCCGCCGTTTGCCTCCATAAGAATCAGAGAGTGTCCCTATTTGCCAACGGGAAAGACATACCTTGTAACCTTGTCCGCCTGGACGGCTCTGTCCGCCCGCTGAAATGTCTCAAGAGCAAACTGCTCCACATACGCCTGGCCAGCGGCATCATCGACAATGGCATCGTTTGCAGGATTCTCTGCTTTTATCTGGCACCAGTATACTTTCAGCGCCTGCACAGAGCCCATTGAGGGGTGATGTTGTGGATACCTGTTCCAGCTTGTCCATCAGCGTCGTCGTGTACTGCAATGTCTCGGGGTCGCCATTGTGCAAGTCTTTGGAGAGTATCTGGTTGACGACCCAGTATTCGCCTAAAGCAGGCATGTTAACACTTGACTGGCGGGACTCTGCGATATTGGGAGTGAGAGGGATGAGGTAATGAGGCAAAATACCTACACCAATAAGCTATCACCGGCTTCGCCGTCTCGAGCTGCGATGCGCGGACGAGGAATCTGGTAAGGTCGGCGGCCTTTAGTTTGGGTGGGATATTGGCAGGCATTTTATGGCATGGCACGCAGGATGGGAGCGTAGTGGTAGTGGTGGTGGTGGTTGGTGGTTGGTGGAAGTGGTATTTGTTTGAAACAATTGAACTATTAGAACACAACGGTGTTGGCAGGCAGATATATATCGAGATGGCGAATGGCGCCAGTGAATCTCTGGAGTGCTTGTATCTGTACTTGTGCCGCCACCTCTTGCTAGGTACACGAAGAAGTATCCTATACCCCGCCGTGGCTGGGCAGCGGTAGAGTATCTACTCCGTATCAGCACTATGAAGGTATGTACGAAGTACCACGTACCTAGGTACCTATCCTTATAATAGGTAATAGTAGGTAAGCTACCTTACGTACTGGTACTTAGTACTCGCATACAAAATACCACGCAAGATCTTGCGTGCGTAGGGAGATAGGATATAGATGTAGACATCTTTATTATAAGGTCGTCCTAGCAAACGAGGCTGAACGCGGTGGCACGTGACCAGGCTGCGAACCGGTTCATGAGAGCAGCCGAGAAGGCGCATCTGGACAGCTTGTCAACATCCCCAATCCCAAGTACCTTATATATATCCGTGCTATCTGTCACTCACGCACTTATGAATATGAATTGATGTCCTTTCATTCTCCCTTGGCCTCTCTCTCTTTCCCACTCTCTCCACCCCTTCTCTCCCCTCCCCCTCCGCAACCTCAAGCCATTTGTTTCATAGGACGCCAGCCATCAGCCACCCAACAACCAGTGCTTAATACCTAGCAATGGTTCATTCTACCGCCATCACCGTTGCTGCAGCTGCCCTCCTAGCTGCTTTGCCAGTCAACGCGGGGCTCTACACTAAGAGCTCACCTGTCCTGCAGCTTGATGGCAAGAGCTACGATCGGTTGATTGCCCAGTCCAATTATACCTCTGTAAGCCTGATCACTCTGCGGCCACCATCCCCAACCCCACATAAACTGGTTCTCCCAAGACCACTGGAACGCTTTAACTAACACCGTACCATGACTCTAGATTGTCGAGTTTTATGCTCCCTGGTGCGGCCACTGCAAAAGTCTCCAACCCGCTTACGAGAAGGCAGCCAAGAGCCTCGCCGGCCTGGCCAAGGTCGCTGCTGTAGACTGTGACGAGGAACTGAACAAGCCATTCTGCCAGAAGTTTGGCGTGCAAGGTTTCCCAACACTCAAGATCGTCAAGCCTGGCAAGACCCCGGGAAGGCCCATAGTCGAAGACTACAATGGACCGAGGAATGCGAAGGGCATTGTGGACGCAGTGATCGACAAGATTCCGAATCATGTGAAGAAGGTGGAAGACAAAACCTTAGAGGCGTGGTTGGCGGAAGCAAACGATACTGCAAAAGCTATCCTTTTTACCGACAAGGGCAAAACTAGTGCTTTAATGAAGGCAATTGCAATCGAATTTAAGGGTAGCATTAGTGTAGCGCAAACTCGAAACACCGACAAGGAGAAGGCTACTTTGGAGCTGTTCGGGATCACTAAGTTCCCAACCCTGCTTCTGCTTCCGGGAGGAAAGGAGGCCCAAGGCATGGTCTATGATGGAGAGCTTAAGAAAGAAGCAATAGTGACCTTCCTATCCCAAGCTGCAGCACCAAATCCGGATCCCGCGCCTCCCAAGGTGAAGCTCCCGAAGTCAAAGGAGTCAAAGAAAGCCTCCAAGAACAAACAGTCTACCGAAGGAACAGCCACCGCAGCGAGCGCCACGGAAGAAGACCTGGAGGAGGAACCGACCGAGTCACCACAGCCTAAGGTCGAGTCCGAGAAACCAACTGTCATTCATGACCCAGCGCCACCGATTCCCTTCCTTGCCTCAGAAGCAGAGTTGAGGGCTGAGTGTCTCGGTCCTCGAACTGGAACCTGTATCCTGGCTCTCCTTCCTCAAGCACCTGATGATGTAACTATTAAGGCATTGGGCGCATTATCCGAGTTGGCTCACAAATACAGACAACATAAGCGTACTATATTCCCTTTCTATGTCTTGCCTCTGCAGAACCAAGGCTCTGCCGCTATTAGGGATTCCCTAAAATCGATTGGGGATACGGACGTAATTGCGGTAAATGGTAGACGCGGATGGTGGAGGCAAATATCCCGGTCTGATTCTATTCTTGCAGAGAAGGATGTCACCGAGGAGGCTATTGAGGCCTTTGTTGATGCCATTAGGTTGGGCGAAGGAGCGAAACAAAAGTTGCCTGGTGGGTTGATTCTAGACGAGGTAGTTGAAGAGTCCGCACCAGAAGAAGCACAAGAGCCAGCTAAGACAGAGGAGACGCCAGTCGTCGCCGAAGACGCTAAAGCCGAAGAACCCAAGGTGCCGGAACATGGCGAGCTTTAAGAAAATAGCTAAAAATCGAAGGGTAACTCTCCCGAACTGTGATATTTTAGTTGTACACTAGCGCATAATCAATCTGCAGAAAAGCACGTATTTGGGAAATCAAACATTTGAATAATCTGTAACTTTTCTCTATACTTCCCAGCACCCTTTTCCGGTAACGCCTAACACCTTGGGTATCATGCCCACCTTCCATCATCCACAGAGCATCAGTCCATCATTGGCGTATCCCTCATAACTGGCTGCTTTCTAATATCTTATGGCCCCTCTTTTTCACTACGCCATCCAAGATCTCTCTGACTTGTTTACAGCCATCCACTCCCACGGCCAGCATGCCTTCTAACCTCCCGACTTGCACCCTGGTCTCCATAACCAGAACACTAACATTATCCGTCGTACCTAGGGTGGCAACCGTCAAGAAGGGCAGTTCTTGCTCCTCCATAGTATTCAAATCCAGTAGGGGGTCGGCTTGTTCATCATTGCTGCTGTAGCTCGATGTTGACCCTGCGGTACAAGCACAAATATAATCCCTCATGGGCACACCAGCATCTATGAGCGCCAGGGTGCAAGCATTCAAGCATGTGGCGAGTAGCGAGCCGTCTTGGGAGAGGACATGAAGGGAGAGAGATATAGTCGAGTGTGGGTAAAGCTTCGTAAATAATGTTTGGGAGAAAGCGTTTCCGATCGTAGTCTGCATCTCGGAGATACGCCTGTTTCATCGTTCACACCGTTAGCATGTATTCTCGTAGTATTTCCAATGCAGAAAGTAGTAACAAAGGGGCACAAACTTATCGTTCTTTGCCCTCCTCTTCCTATCCACCCCGCTGAAGCCCGCAATACTGATCTCGACCCGGACCTCCGCCTTGTCTCCTCCAGTTCTGGCACCCGCCGCCGATTTTGCTTCCGCTGGCCCAGTAACGGTGCATATCACCTTTGTATTTCCCATCTCGAGGTACGAGGAGCCATCCGCCGCGGCTTGGGTGGTGATTTGTGCGGTGATGCGCCGCAACTCGTTCCACCGCCGGCCATCGAGGCGTAGTAGCGCAAGGGAATAAGTCGAGGTATCTAGCGGCATTGCAAAGGTAGAGAGAGAAGTTGGGAGTTTCGATCTTTTGAGTTTAGGGTGCGCAATGGACGCGATTGAGGTGAGATGGGGGATGGATCGGACTCTGCTCCTTATAATTCTTAAGTGTTGTTGCTGTATAAGGTAAGTAGATAATTATTTACCGTCGTCAACAGTGGCACGGTTTTCCCACCAACCCCACAATTAACAACATAATAAGCTGGAAACACCTACCGTCACAACACGTCAATTAGAATACAAATGATGCGTCGCCCGGGCCTTTCATTAATTATATTTTAGTCTGTTTAACACAATCCCGGGAAAATTTTTTATTCCCGACGCTTCATTGCTTTATTCTGGCTTTTGACTAGTTTTCCTGGTGCCATTCCGTCTTCTGAAGTATATATCAGTTCCTCATTCCTCTCTATTGCTTCCGCTTTAGGTCCCTGCATATATTTCTGAATCTATATCTAAAAAAAAGAAAGGGAGGCTTATCATCCTATAACATAGAGAGCGATAAATTTGTGGGCAGCTGGTTCCTTACAATCTACCTACCTACCTTGCCTCAATCTCTAATTTACTCTTCCGCTCCTTGGTGTCCTCTACCAATTTGGCTCTTGATAATTAGAAGCGCGTTTTGACACCATGGGCAAGTTGCTCTCATGGCTAACCACCTCAACTACTAGTCGATTAGAGCACCATGGCTGTGTTTTCAACCAGCATCGGTGAATGACTCAGTATTCCGATTTACCGACAGGTTCCAGATAATATAGCTGTGTGATATAAGTTCTCCCTAATACAAAGTTGGCACAAGCAAATCCATTGACCCATTCCACCTCTATGATACCAACAGCCATGTCTACGTCTGGCAACAACCAGACTCCGCACCGCCAGATCCGTGCCTCATACAATGACGAAGCTATCACTGTTTACCAAGCATATTCCGAGTCCATCGCGAAAGCCGCAGTCAGAGAGCAGAAGTTATACGCATCCCCAGACTTCTCGTTCACAAGGATGACCTGGATCAAGCCAAGTTGGTGCTGGATGATGTACCGCTCTGGCTACTCTACCAAAGATCCGCGCCAATCTCACATCTTAGCTTTGAAGATGACCCATGAAATCTTCCAGGAACTTCTCTCGCAAGCTGCTGTTTGCCATGGGTCAGCTCTAACAGACGAAGAGAAAGCGAAGCCCGTTAGGGTGCAGTGGATCCAGAACGAGGGCCCTGTCTGGAGGTCCTGCGTCACCGAAGTATTCAAATTGGGATTGGACAGAGTTTGAGTAGGAAATGGGCCGAGGAATGGATATTAAGCATTGAAGATGTGACGGAGAAGGCAATAAGATTAAAAGAGGATATAGCGAGGAATGTGGAGAACATAACTCTGGATTCCTTAGTTGAACGGGGATTGATGCCATTAGAGAGGGTTTATGATGTCCTGGATGATTTGAGGAAAATATTGGAGATGGATATTTAGCTGCCATATTTATAAACCAACTCATTAGACCCGGGTGTCCCCAAGTGGACAATATAGGAATCTAATGTAAGCCAGGAGCTATGAGATTGAGAAGTATTATGTGCATAAATACAGGTCGTTGGTGGAGATGGCCTCAAACGATTAGATTTTCGGTTTATATATCTCGTCCCATCAGAGTCTTTATCAGATTTCTCTTCTTTTTAGGCGAATATCCTTCTTCCTCCACGTTGTTCTTCTGAACAATAGACAAGAATACTTGATCAAGAGTTGTTGGGCTGACGGAGTAATGTTCTAGACCAAGCTCCTCGCGGTGATCTTCCAGCAGAGTGATAAGAGATCCGATTCCGCCTCCCTGGGTTGTACGTAACGGCTCGCCACCTCCACTAATGGAATCTGCATTGGGTTTCTCCACTACTGCTTTCTCACCCTGTTTGCGCTCTATGATTGGCACAGAGAACCGTAGCTGCCCGTGATACGTCTTATCCTCAATCTTCGCCTCGGGGAAGTTTACCAGGATCCATGATTTGACTGTCGCTATCTCGTCTTCTGAGGTGTGGGGTGCCGACTTCATCACTAGATGAATGTAATGTGCATTGCCATGCGCATCTCGTAAGTCATTGCACGTGCCTGTAGCTAACATCCTCCGTGCCATAATTCCCGCCCGATCGGCGAGGGCATCTGCCTCCTCCATGCTATGTGTGGTAAGTAGAATAGACCGGCCGGGAACAATTGCAGCAAGTGTTTTCCACATGACTCTTTTTGCTGCTGCATCCATTCCAGAACTGGGCTCATCAAGGAGCACAATAGTTGGATTCCCTATCAAGGCGATTCCGAGCGAAAGTTTCCGCTTATTCCCGCCTGAGAGTTTCGACGCCATTCGGGATGTAAACGCTTGTAGTCCAACAGCCCTGACCACTGCTTCGACATTGTGCTCAATATCAGAAACTCCCCGAATCCGTGCATAGAATTCAAGGTGTTCCCGTGTAGTCATCTGATCCATGGCGTCAAATTGTGGACAAACACCCAGGTGCGATCTCGCCTTGGAGCGCTGCCTGCCCATATCTATGTCTTCAATCTAGCCTATTTATTAGCATGGTGGGTCTTCCTAGAGATTCTCTGTGCAAAATACACCTTGGGCAAGGAACATATAGACTGAATAGTGGATGACATACATATATATTGCCGCCATTCTTTGATGGCTGGACATCACCTCGAATGAGGGAAACTGTGGTAGATTTTCCAGCGCCATTGGGCCCTAGCAACGCGAACACCTCGCCGTGTTTAATATCAAATGTCAGATTCTCAACGGCTGTAAAACGTCCAAACGATTTGGTGAGATTTAGAACGCGGAGGCCGTCATTCGGGTTGTTGGCAAGTTCTAGCTCCTCAATTTCTTCTCGTATATCTCCATCAGCAGGCGGGTCGGGGTTGATAGTAGCACTCGGAGCTCCACGAATTCTTCGATACCAAGCTAGAACAGATCCAGAATCGTACCACAGGAGCACAGCGAAAAGAACTAACGATTGAACGACGAGATAGAGGATTGGACCGCCGTACTGAAGGATTCCGCCAGGATACGAAGCCAGTTGCTTGCCAGAGCACGTGGTAGAAAATATGTTGAGCGCAAGGAAAAGAGATCTAGCTAGACTTCCTATTGGCGCAACAAGTGATATGGTGAAGTGAACGATCAATATGTAATTGTCGATTTTATTAACCGGCTATAAAATATCAGATTAGTAGTTTGAGCCAATTATAATTTTTTTAATAAGCGGTAGGGTCAAGCATACCGCATAAGTAAGAGTAGACATATAACCAATCAAATATATCAAAAGAAGCCCAGCCTGGCCTGCCGCTGCGAAGGCGTATGCTGAAAGTTGGGTCCTGGCGAAGAGGGAGACGACATATGAAAGTAAAATGGACGCCAAGCCGAAAAGCGCAAATACTACGAAAAGATAGCCCACATGATACCACGCCGAAGAAGAAGCCGCAAATATTATAACGCTTAAGACGCTCGATGCAAGGACGATCAGAAAGTCGAACGCAAGGTATGCTAGCCAGAGAGGTAATGACCGAACGCCATTTGAATACTCCAGGTCTCGAATGCTTCTTTGCTTTTCAACGGTGGGATAAAGAGAGAAGAATCCGGGATATGCAGCCATAGCCAACCCGAAGTACACGACAAGTTGCAATGTGTCCCCTGTCGAAGGCGCCCAAGGGATATCGAATGATGAGTACTGCGTCGTAATAGTGATGTTGGACAATACCCTATCGAGTATATTCTGGCCGAAAACGCCATTGTATATCCCCCCATTGCCCTTGTACGCAAAAGTTGGCTGCGAACTTTCATCCCCAAGAAAGACTCCAGCGGGAGTTAGATTGGCAAAGTTTAAATTGATGTAATCGTTAAACTCCGCCAACGTATCAACCGTGTGAACGGCGCGTTGTATTTCCGATGATGGTAGGTTGAAGCCTCCGAAGAATGATGCGATAGTTGAATTTGAGAATTTAGACGAAGGGCCGACGACTAGATTATAAGCGCCTGGTGTTATGAAGCTTTCAATATCAGAAGGGCGTATTGTCTCAGCTGGCGCACAGCCAATAGGTTTGAAGCCTTTTAAGAACAGGGTAACAAGTCCGGCAGCAATCACAGGGACTAGAAAGGCGGCAACGTAAGGAAGATGGTTGCGCCTCGAGATTGTGTACCTCTTGCGAAATAAGACCCAGCATTGACGAAGTGGAGTTATCCGCTGGCCGTTATACAGTTCTAATCCAATTGGTGTCTCTTGCAAAGCTGAAGGCGTTGTGGCTCCAAGGCCCTTTTCGGATACCCCTTGTGAGGTGGACAGAGGTACAGGATCAAGGCTAGAGCTGCTTTCCAAAGCAATCTCGTCCGCCAGTTGAAGGAAAACATCTTCGATAGTCGGACCTGATAGTTGGTAATCAGCGACACCAGCTAATTCAAGCCGCTTGATAATATCAGCAGCTTGACTAGAATTAGTAGCAGTATACATAACTTGACCAAGAGTGATCTGCTTGGTGACACCGTCGACGTCGGGGGCAGAGTCACTATCTGGACCTTTCTGCAAATGGATACGGTATCCTCCGCCTAGCTCATCCTTAAGGGCAACGGGCGAACCTTGCGCTCGGAGCGTGCCTTTGGAGAGGATCGCGATTTGATCTGCAAGGAGGTCTGCCTCATCTAGAAAATGGGTTGTGAGGATGATAGTTCGAGCGCCTCTCTCTCCAAGCAATATATCCCAGATCTTCCGTCGACTCAACGGGTCCAGGCCGCTACTAATTTCGTCGACACAGCATACTGCGCTACCTCCGGTAAACATCATCGCTAGCTGAAGCTTTCTTTTTTGACCGCCGGAAAGAGTCTTTGCCATTGCGCCAATCTTGCGATCAAGATCTACAGCTTTGACCAAATCGCGGAGAACATCCTCACTATCTCCCCGACTTGATGATTTGAGGCGATTGAAGATACGAATGTGCTCTTGGACGGTAAGCTCATCCCACATGACGTTCTTTTGAGGAGCAATACCAAGGCCCCCAGTACCATTTACGATGATGGTTCCATTTGTGACGGTATTCAGGCCTGCGATTGCTTCCAGAGTAGTAGATTTCCCACTTCCATTCGCCCCTAGTAGCACACATATTTCGCCCTTTCTCGCGGTGAGTGATAAATCGTTGACCGCAACAACAGTGGTCGCAGGAAATTTTGTGCCACGGGACGCTATTCGCCGAAACCAGTTTGGGCGGTAATGTTTAGTAAAATTTTGCAGGCGAACAGTTTCGTGTAGAGAAGTAGAGGATGACTCGGCATGGAGACTCCTTCCAACGACAGACCGGCCTTTAGATGCTGTTCCAAACAGGTACCTTTCGATCATCGCCCCCAACAAAGGGTACATAAATATCTGCACAATTAGGAAAACCCATAAAGCTATCCCCGGAAGCTCCCTTGTGTTTTCAGGGGCAGCTCGAACCAGGTCTGTGGCCAGCTTTTGGCGTTCATATCGAGCCATAAATACAATAAAAAACACATAATTACACGGAACAAACAAAAAGCTGAGAATTGCCACTGTTCCGGAGTTTGTTTTGTCGATGACTTGCGCAAGTACGCCAAGGAGTAGTGTAATAATTGCAAGAGTAATGCCACTGAGCTGCGCTTTTTTAAAGAACGATGCGCCCAGAATGGAGAACGAGGTCAACGATAGCCCAGCAAGTACGTGAAAGATGATGACGATGGCCATTGACGTCTGGGCAAACACGCCCACGCCTAGCACTATTCCGATGATGATCCATCCGGGTATGTAAATCAGGTCGAAAGCAACATGATATGATACGATCCGGGCAAATTGAGGTTGCCATCGACGTAGATTGGGCATCATGGCTTCAATCAACTGAGACATGCCAAGCTCCCTTTCCGAGGCAATAAATCCAGTCAAATGATACGCCACTCCAACCATCCCGATCAAGAAAGCCACGCCTAAGATATTGATGATGGCGCCTTGATATCTCACCCTAATATTTGTATTTCGCTGAGCCTGCGTGGTGCTCGTATAAGGATATTCGAGCACTGTTTGGGGGAGGGCTGTACCTCTTCCATCGAGAGAGGCAATTGCGGTGTCGACGGCTCGTTGGAGGGGCAGGAGGTATATCTCGGCATCATTCGTGTTTTTTTCGACGTTGATCTTGGTTCCCAAGGCACCATCAGCACGAAGAGTGTAGTTCCAGTTACCGTCAATGCCTTGGTGAAAGACAACGGCGCCATAGCAGTAGCTTGCGCCTCGTAGAGAACTTCTGCAAGTTTCTAGCAATTGTGCCTCACTATCTAATCGCACCACGGTCTGTTCCACAGCTAGCACACTCTGTTCCACCGCGTCGATGACCCGATCAATCTCCCCACCGGGCAAGCCATTATTCACGAATGCCACAATATTTCGTCCGCCGCTAGCAGCTCTCAAAGCTGACGATAATGAGCGAACTGGGTGGGCGGACCCAACCCCGAAGGTGGAGGGCGGGATGAACAGGTTCCTGGCATAACTAAGGAAGATTATGAAGGCGATAGGGAGGATGAATGCGCGTATGATGGTGGGGAGGGCGTGTCGTCTGAGCACAATGAGGAGGTTCTTCTTGCTGAGGGTCCAGCACTGGGCAAGGAGAGCCATTGGAGGCTATCAGTTAGCCTGGCGCCGGAGACTCTATGAGTTGGCAGCGTCGATGCTTACTGCTACTGATGCGAGAAATATAACCAGTCCATCTGGTTTATATGGACGCGTCAACTTGGGGCTGGGCGCTCGTAAGTTGGTCGGGCGTAGTTCATGGGCAGTACAGAGGTAGGAAATTCCAAGACGCTACAGAGCCGGCAAATGATGAGAGGCCCACATCACAATATGTACAGTACAGCAAGCAGCATCGCCAGAAATCAAACAACTGGCTGGGCTTTGATAGAGGTGAGTATCTACCAGATCGACTATATCGGCAACATCCGTTGTATTACTGTAGCAAGAGCTAGTAGGCTGACTATATCAACAGTATCTACGAGCCTTACCTAGAGAATCGTACTACAGCGTTACCGAAGGTTCCACATTTTCCGGAGTGTTTGAAAGACAAGACCCCTGACAACGCCAGCCTCCGTAGTAGTTACTCGTACTAGGTAAGGTACAGGTACCTTAGGTACCTTAAGGTGCTTATATCAATTGAGAATTTCCGGCTTACTTTATGGCTGGATCACGTGCTAACCCCACAGTCTGTTGCATTTAGGTACCCAAGGGAGGTACGAAGTAGGTACGAAGTAGGTTTCGTACAGTACAGATTACAAGGTTGCTCGTAGGGCCAGCCGAGATAGTGACTCTTATCCGACTCTTGATAGCTTATCGCCTTTCTTTTCCACCTTAATTAAGTTCCAGCTTCACATTCAACACGACTCGAATGGCAAACCTCACTATTCCAGTGCTGCCAGTACCGGGCGAACGCAATATCCTTGTTACATCTGCCTTGCCCTACTCCAACGCAACGCCTCATCTTGGGAATCTAATTGGAAGCACACTCTCCGCCGACGCGTTTGCGCGCTTCTTCCGCGCTCGAGGTTTACGTCTGTGGAACTGTTAGTGTACATTCGCATGGCCCTCTTTCAATCGACTGACATGTAAATAGGATCAGTATGGTACCGCTAGCGAAGCAAAGGCCTTGGAAGAAGGCGTCGATCCTGCCACCCTGTGTGCGAAATACCACAAGATCCACAAGGACATCTATGACTGGTTCAGGATAGACTTTGATATATTCGGCCAAACCCCAACGCCTCAGCATACACAGATCGTTCAGGATATATTTAAAAAGCTATGGGCCAACGGCTTTATCGAAGAGCGCGAGACTGTGCAGCCGTACTGTCAAGTCCACTCTAGTTTCCTGGCGGATCGTTTTGTCGAGGGAGAATGTTCCATTTGTGGTTATGCTGACGCACGCGGTGATCAATGTGACCGTTGCGGCCGACTAATGCGCGGCCCTGTTTTTCGTCATCAAGGTAGCGAGATGCTAAAGTATCGCAGGGACCCAGTCGAACCGGAATCGACAGATGCACCCGAAGGACGTGGAGAAGGGGAGACCGAGGGCGACAATGCTGATACCAAAGCGACAGGATGGCTGTTGAACCCGCGCTGCAAGCCCGACGGGGCGAAACCGGAGAAACGAAATACGAAACACCTTTTCCTTCGTTTGGACAGTCTGACCGACAAGACTGTTGCCTGGTTTTTTGAGGACGCTAACCAGGGCTGGACCGCAAATGCTGTAGCAATAACGCAATCATGGATTGACAAAGGCTTACATCCACGGGCCATCACGCGCAACCTCCGTTGGGTCGTGCCCATTCCTCATGTCGAAGGCTTGAGTACCGAAGAGTATTCTTCTAAAGTCTTTTACGTGTGGTTCGACGCCTGCATTGGTTACCCGAGTATTACCAAGAATTACACTGACGGAGACAATCTTGATGGGCGCGATTAGGAGCAGTGGTGGAAGAACCCTAAGGAAGTCGAGTTATACCACTTTCTCGGTAAAGATAATGTGCCATTCCATTCGATTGTTGGTCACCATTCACTACAGCCTCACCCTCAAACTCTTTACTGACTGTTTTCTAGGTGTTTCCGGCATCTCAAATCGGCTCAGGTGATAATTGGACGCAGGTTCGGCACATCTCAGCAACAGAGTACCTTAACTACGAAGGTGGGAAATTCAGCAAATCGAGAGGTATCGGTGTTTTCGGTAACAGCGCCAGAGATACTGGTATCGATGCGGATGTCTGGCGGTATTATCTGCTATCCAGACGCCCAGAAAACGGTACTGATACTGAGTTCAAGTGGGAAGAGTTTATCAGCGTTAACAACAACGATTTACTCAAAAATATTGGAAACTTGGTAAATCGAGTAGTCAAGTTCTGTCATGCAAAGATAGGGGGTGTTGTACCTCGCCACACGGTTTCGGAATCGCATCAGTCAAATGTCAATACCCTACTTACATTATATATCAGCAACGTCGAAAACATGAGGCTACGTCTTGGACTGTCCACTATCCTCCAGATCTCAGCACTTGGCAACAAGTTCTTGCAAGACAATAAACTCGACAACCGTCTCTTTACCGAGAGCCCCGAACTTTGCGCCAACGTCGTCGGTACAGCCCTGAATCATCTACATCTACTTGCAAATCTGCTCTCTCCGTTTATGCCTAAAACTGCCGAATCTATCTTTGAGCAGTTGGGAGTTGGGTCTGTACCGAGAATTCCTGACACCTGGGCTGCAAATACATTAGTAGAAGGTCACAAGTTGGGCGAACCACGGCCGCTGTTCTCGATGATTCCCGCGGCAAAACTAGAGGAGTGGCGAGAAGCATATGGCGGAAGTGCTGCACAGGAGCAGAAGCTTCTTGAAGCTGAGAGGGCTGCTGCGAAGAAAGCTGCTAAAAAGGAAAAGAAGGGAAAGAAGCAATCGATAAAGGAGGCTTTGAAATCAAAAGAGCCCTAGTAAATAGCCGACCTATGTAGTGTAGAAATATATACCTTGCTTCAATGTGGTCAAGACAAACACAGCTTCACTGGCTTGCATCGCCAACCATGTTATCGAACCAACCCTCACACATCAGCCTACTGCATATCAACTATAAAGTGAAGACCAGCCTCTCCCTAATAAAGTTTTACATGTTGTTATTAAATAATATTGCTCCTCGCTCCCAGCTGACTTATTTCGTAGTTATCTAGTATTTGGAATGCTCGGTCGTTATTCGCTCCCTTATGCGAGTATTGGAAGCGTCTTTATGTTATTAGATTTTAAGAATAGGGAGACAGGAAGAGAATCATAGAAATGGGGAACGAGAGCCGAATCAACTCCTGGACATTCTAATGTTGTGCTATGATATCTCGAACGGATTGTCCAATAGATTCGTTTGGCCATTTTGAATATCAAGTAAACTCGTAAGGTATTCGATTGGCTAAATCCAAGTTACCCAATCTCGAATTTATATTTCAATAGATTCTTAGTGCATAGTGCCCAAACCTAGCCCCTCTCGATCGAGTAATCATAGTCTTCCAACCAGTAGCTTCAGGTTACGTGTATGCATTCAACCCACCAACCGCAACGGTGAAAAGCTGCGGACTGCCATCCCATACAGAGCCGGACTGGTTCGCGCCATCAGTGGGCGTTACATCATCGTATGGAAAGGCATAACCAAGCTTATCCAAATTCGCGCTGTGCACAATCTTCGAATAGTAGTTTGTCGGGTTGGTCGAGTAATAAGCTTGCACATTACTACACGGCTGATGGTCACCTAGTAATAAGGTTGATCGATTGAAGGCTGCGGCGATACGAGCAGTAAGGCCGCCCATTGCGATAGTATTGGCATGTGAAGCGGCGAAGGGGCCATTACTACAGGAGAAGATGTGCGCGGTAGAAGGGCGATTAAATGTGCCAATGCCAGGGAATTCCAGGAGGTCGTTGGTGACGTTGCCTTCTACAACTCCCCACTGACCTTGGGTGTCAATTCTTAGGCACTGGGTGCTGTATTTGGACCAGACTTCGGAAACGTAGTCATCATAGTAGCTGGTGAAGAGGGTGGGGTTCATAACACCAGCAGTGTTGGGGCTAAGGACGCGGAGCGGCTGGCCAGAGGGGTTTCTTACGATCAGTTGGTCCCATCCGACACTGTCAATGCGATTCTGTGCGATTAGGCTGGAGCATATGGTTTCGAGGCCGTCTGTGGGGATTCCTGAAATGTGTTGGATCTCTCCGGATGCACTCTGTAGGGATAGAGCGATTGGGATGCTGACGAAGTCCACATAGGATATATTGGCATAGAGTTGGAAGTCGTTGAACGTAAATTCGCAAAACCCCCAATCCTTCGAATAGTTGGAATCAGATGGGTTACTGACCGACGGCTCAACGAGGCCCGGACCGGGATTCAAGAGGAAAGTTAGTTTGTCGTTGAGACAGAACCAAATACGGCCTCCAGCAATCCGTGGAATCGTCAGCGTTCTCGTGCATCCCGACTCCCCAAGTGGTATCCCACAATCTACCGCGAGAGCAGCGCCGGTTGAATCGGGCGACTCTGGGTAGTATGGCGTCTGCCCGTCTGCTTGAAGGATGAACCAGGCATTGTTGTGGTCGAGGGCCAGGCCGGTAATATAAGCATAGACCGTGTCGCAGGTCGACTGATTCTGAAGGGCGATATTAAGAGTAGTATTAGTAACCATGATAATATATATATATTTCTCGTGCCTTTGAGACCTTTTATCGGATGTTCTCGTATACATACTACCGAGGGATTTGTTAATGGCTCGCTAGCCAGTTAGTCTCCTTTACTCATAGTATGAGTAGTATTCTTGGCTTCTCTCTAGAGAGACGCGAGTATGACTTACGTATATCGAAGTAATAGCAGACAAAAGCCTATACTCCGTAGCTACAGTGGCCACCTTGGTGGCTGCGTTCGTTGTTCAGCTTACTCGAGTACATAGACGAATACCTGTTGGAAGTATCGCCAGTTCGTCGCCAGCGCCCCGTGCAGGCGCAGAGATCCGTCTTCGCTGGCCATGTATACCTTTATCGAGTACCACAATGGTGTCTCTCGTAGATCTCCCCACAGAAATTCTCGTGCACATCTGCAGCTCTCTTTGCCTGCACTGCGAACTCCCGCGCGTAGTTGACGCCCCATCTGCCGCCGTGGGAGCTGCTTCATCAGGCCAAAAAGTCCATTCTCAGCTCAGCCAATGCTCCAAGAAGCTGCGTGCTGCGTCGCATTGCCCAAACAGTCTTGTTTCGCTGGTATCACAGCCGCCTGGGGAATGATTATCATGTCGAACGCAGACATGTGGCATCTTTCGTCTTTGCCATCATCCGCCAGCCCGACCTGGCGACAGCTGTCCAGGCGCTGTCCGTCCACGAACCACCATACCCTCGTGGAAATTGCTATGCTTATGATACCGCCAGGCCGCCTACGACGCAGATAGGCTCTGCAAAAGAGCTGCCGAGCGCATTGGTGGCCATTTGCTCAAACTATGCTTAGATACCCCAAATCTAGGGTATTTCTCCGAGCTCGCCATAGCCATCACACCCCAGCTCTCACAGCTCTGCCTCCAACGCAAATTGGAGTGGAGTAGGATCGATGAATGGTGCTGGACTGGCTGGCCATACGATTTGCCCGCGCTCAGGTGTTTGGTCTTCGAGAGCGCGCGCGAGAACCCAGACGATGTAGCAACGTACCACATATACCACACTGTCACCACTCAACGGCGGCGACATGGAACAAGTGGCCATGACCCCCCGAGAGTGCCCCTTGCTCGAGGACTTGAGGACACTCAGCTTATGGCTCTCAATCCGGAGCGTCATCTAGGCCACGTAAAACCCATACTGCGACGTTTGTGCTACTCGATGTATATTGCCGGGCCCAGGAAACTAGACGACGACAGCCACAGCGACGACGACACTAGCAGATGCGGCAGATATCCAATCCATCATTGACTATAGTAACTGGCTTGGGGGCATCACCAGCATGGACACGATAGGCCTTTCCTTCGCCTCCTTTCCCATTCTCGAGGTGCTTGAGCTGGAGCAGCTCCTCCTCTACGGGCCCGTCTTCCCCACTGCTAAAGAGCCGGCCGAGGACCGCAGCTCCATGCTGACCACGCCCGACGAATTCCTCAGCAAATTTCCCCGGTCAATACAGCGCCTACGCGTGGGCTGCGTTTTCCACAGCCAACACTCTACCGCGACGTGATGGTCCTTGCTAGGCACTCAGCCCGATTCCCGCAGCTCAAGGTCGTGCGGCTCGACGTTTTCAAAGCCCCTCCCCAAGAACAGGTCCGGCTCCTTGTTGAAGCGTTCCGCGCAGCTGCTGACATCAAGGTTTTGATCTACCACGTCGCGAGGACAATCGGATCGAGGGGGTTACTTCCTGCTAGTCCGGGTCATGAACAACCCGTTCCAGAAGCATTGCTCTATTTACCGGATCCCAGCTACTAAAAAAGTACAAAAGTTGAAATGTGCGAGGTGCTCATCTAGTTAGGCCATTCCTTCAAGCTCAGTGCTACGATGAAGTCTGATTATTCTCCTCATAAGTGCCCAATCTGCAAACGGACGTGGGAAAATGATACTGATAGTGCGGACATCCCCAGCTTCCAATCGATATGCTATCTATTCACCCTTTTCACTATTTCAACTTTATCGGCTGAAAATCAATTCTCAATCGATTCCTAGCTAAACCATGTCGAGTAGTGTTATAACTGTAGTTAGTTCTATTTATCTAAATGACACTTGTTGAGTTGAAACGTAATAAATGGTTATTACCATAGTAAATGCTATACGATGAAACGTAGTTGATTAGGTTCTAGAATTGTCTATTCTACAACTAAAGAGAGAAGGGGAACATACAAAGGACGAAAGGTAGTGACCCAGAATGCAGATTTCAATAACTCCAGGTAGGAAACTAAAGTCAAGGACAAGATCTAGTCGAAAACTAGAGTAAAATCTGGAAAATCTAGAAAACAGGAGCTGGTCGAGTACGTCGAGTACAGGTGCTACGTCGAGTACAGGTGCTACGTCGAGTACAAGTCGGCGGCACGGCCGTGACAATGGTGCCAACGGAGCCAGAGACGTAAGCTAATGCTGTGATTATAACTAGAAATTGAACATAACAGATTTGTTGACATGCAACGTGCCTAACGCAGCAGCCGCACTAAAGTCCGAGCTGCATCTTAGAAGTATATTGAGCTTGGGATGAGGTTTGGTAAATGACGGTTTGGATGGCTGTAGGGTAAGTACCTATCAGATCGCATCCTCATACAGCCTCATTTAAAGCCCACTTGACCTACCATCGCAAGGTATGTTGAAATATGTGCTTAAGAAACACCAGCGAGACCCAGCGCTCCCATCGCATACTTAGTCGCCTTTTCCTTGCTAACCAACTTTAGAGGACGGTATACTGGATCCCACATTTGCTCCCGAATCCACGCCTCTAAGGTCTCTTCGTCACTGGGTATACCATCCTCCCGGGCTAAGCCACTCACCACCGCCTCTCTAATGACAGCCTTTGCGATATGCACGCTAATCTCCCTCACATCCACAACGTCAGGTAATAGCCCCTTGTCCGGATCTTTCAAAGCTGGAGACTGAGCTGCAAGTGCCTTCACAGCCGCAACGAGCATCTTATCACTCAATAACTTGGCACGCGAGAGAACACAGCCTAGTCCAATTCCTGGAAAACAAGTCGAGTTATTGCATTCTGCAACTTCGTACTCGCGGCCGTCATACTTGACCGGCGGGAAAGGACTTCCTGTGGCAATCAGCGCTGTACCTTTACTCCACTCACATATATCTTTTGGATCAGCTTCGTGGAGGCGGGTTGGGTTAGAGAGGGGCATGATAATCGGCCGGGGCGTGTGCGAGGCCATTTCTGTTATTATTTCTCTAGTGAAGGATCCGGGCTTAGTGGAAGTTCCTACCAAGACGTGTGGCTTCACGGCCTTGATCACGGATAATAGGTCAGAACGTGAAGTGTCTAGCCATTCGGAGTCATCGCGGGCGTAACAAGTTTGAGCCGGTGTGAGCTTTTCTTTATGGCTCTTGAATAAAAGACCCGGCTTGTCGACACACCTGGATAAATATATTAGACAGATGGACATATTCCGAACATGCATACAGGATTAACAAAAGGACAAACCAAATGTGTTTTGCTGCGTCTTCCTTGGATTCTCCGCTATTAGCTGCAATGGCATCTCGCACCTGATCTGCAATTCCGGTGCCAGCAGTGCCTGCACCAAAGATAACCATTCGCATATCTTCGAGTTTGACATTGCTGACGTGAAGACCTGCCATTACAGCCGCCAGTGTAACGCATCCAGTGCCCTGAACGTCGTCATTGAAGCATGCCATTGATGGCCTATAGAGATCGAGGATGCGTCGGGCTGGCTACCATTAATGGGTGCTTCTCAAGAGATTGCAACTTACCATTGTGTAATCCGAAGTCTTCAAAATGAATGTATGCTCGAGGATACAACTTGCGGGCAGACCGCATAAATGTGTCCACAAATTCATCATATTCCTTCCCACGTATTCGGGGTTTCTTTAGCCCAAGATATAAATCATCATTGAGAAGATCTTCGTTATTAGTACCACAGTCAAGCACAACGGGCAGAGTTCTATTGGGATGGATGCCTGCACATAGGGTGGTTAAGACAAGCTTGGCAATCGAGATTAAAATCCCTCCCACCCCTTGATCTCCAATTCCAAGGATCTCCTCCCCATCTACCAGTGTATTAGTAGGTATTTTGGAGGAGCAAAAGAGAGCTGACCAGTGACAACAATGTAATCAATATCTTCCGGAGCACCCCACTGTGCAAGGTCATCGTGAACACGGCCAACGTCGTTAATGTTCAGAAAGCAGCCTTCCGGCCGCCGAAAGAGTCTCGAATAATTCTGGATTGCGTCGCCTTCGGTGGGTGTGTATATAATAGAGAACATTTCTTTCAGATGTTCTTGGATCAACTATGTCCATGTCAGTTGGTCCTGTATCGGTACGTGTAGACTATGAATCTCCAGGATATATATGGGACGAGATTTCGAAAGCGAACTGAGCTGCATTTCAATATAAAACAATATACTGCCGGCTACGATCATAAATCGATCTTCGAATCTTGTTGTAAAAACTTTGGGACCCAATGAAATGAATATTATCCTCTACCTCTACTCAATGAAACTTGGTGTGGGTAAAATGGTAGAAATTCAAATAAGGGTAAAGGGGGCAGCGCTCACCCTGAAATACAACACTGTATTCTGCGCGGCCAAGCTGATCATGAACGTATTCTTAGCCAAATCATCTCTCCGACTTGAATACTGATCATAAGCTCTCTTTAACTGCTGCTCCAACGTTTGAACATTCTGTGGGAGCAGTCCCGTGAGCTTGAAGTGCTTGCGCTCTTCAGCGGTAAATCCGGCTCCCTTGTTGAAGAACGGGGTATTGAGGAGAGCGGAGCCGGTCAGGGCACAATCCTGAGGGCCGCTGGTACCAAGAAGGAGCTGCCCAAATTGTGGATGCCTTTGACAGGGCATGGTTTGATTGTAATTGGAAGTTAGGATGAATGTTGTTCAATTTAACGACTAGGTGAGAGCGGAGTTGTGAGTGTGAATATTCAATTCTCGAGATGTTTGTCTGGCGCAACACAATGCTGCAGTATGCGTCGAGAATCAAGCAAGAGAGCGGAATGATACAGGCAAAATAGAGGCCCAAGTAGATAAATCAAAATATTAGATTACCGTACAGAAATGTATGCCGATGTTGAGAGTTGGACTAGCGGCGGAATGATGCGTTTAGGCTTAGCGACTTGCACTCGTACTGATTGGGATAAATTAACGAGGCGATCGTGACGTACAACCTCATTCTCTTGTTGATGTCATATAAGTGTCTATATTCCTCCTCTATCTGCGGGCCGCACCGCAAGTGCTGCTTCACAAGTTCACATGTAAAACAGACAATGGCCCTCCGCCTTTGCTAGATGTATTAAGCTTGCTCTTCAGATGGCATTCAATCCCACTTTGGGTTTGACGATACCTCTGAGACGTCCGAGTTTCCTCAAGCTAATCGCCTGCTCAAAGTCCACTAGCATGACCTTTCTTCTCTTGATACGCCTGCCAGGTATTGCAATGCCACACCATCGACTTACAACCGTTGCACCTCCAGATCCCGTCGAAGAAGAAGTGCTGCACCACTACGATGCCAGGCATTTCTTCCCCGTCGAGCCTGGAAAGGTCTTTAGGGAGAGATACGAGACCATTACGAAGCTTGGATATGGCGGTGGTTCCACCGTCTGGCTCGCGCAGGATCTAAATTTGTAAATCCTCATCTATATATTCTGCCTTTGCTGACATAGATCTAACGCGAGGTCGGAGGTGGAACTAGAACCTAGTGATCCTAAGCCTTACGTGGTACTAAAGTTTTGCACTCGCGAGTATGGCAACAAAGACGCTACTTAGCACGAGTTGGAGGTTGGTCGTCATCTCGCCGGTGCGAACCTTTCTCATATAGGCATACTGTATCTCTAGGCCGTCATCGAGGACTTCGTAGTCGCCGGGCGAAATAGTATGCATATTTGCTTAGTATTTGAGCCAATGCGAGAACCTTTGTCGCTTTTCCAGCCCCGTCCCAAGCAAAAGAGACTTTCCCTTGGGCTCTTGAAGATGTACTTGGTATGTCTCCTAAACGGTCTTGACTATCTTCATTCCGAGTGTCACATCCTCGCCGGTGAGTTAACAACCCTTCGTACCAGAGTTGTCTGTCTCATCCCTTCTTTTAGATCTGGGTTTGCAAAATATCCTTGTGAACTTTGAGGATTATTCTGTACTCGAGGGGTTCGTCCAAGCTCAAATTGAAAACCTCATGCTCCAGAAGAAAAGAGATAAGTATTGTCGAGAAGAAGGACCCTTAGGAGTACTAAGAGGAAGCGTGGGTTAAATAATCAAAAGAGTGCAGTCAAGGTCCTGGCACAATTAGAAAGGAATTTAAACTTATGCGCCCGAGAGCTCTGACCCTTAAAATGGAGGAACCTATGATTTTCTCTATCAAGGACCACTTCAAATATGGCATTGGGCTCTGATTTCTCCACCTTCTCATATCACTCTGTGTATATGGATTACCGGGCACGAGACGTGTTTGGTCCAATAATACCTTATTTATACGGCAGCCGGCTCGGATATCAATTTTGAGAACCGCATAGATGATGGCATGGCCCATCCCTCCCATGAGGAGCTTGATTTCCCAAAGTTTGTTCTATGACGACCTGGACCATTTCTTAACGATTCCCATTTTTCGGATACCCGCCCATCGCTCACGCCTGTACCGAGATATTCGGCCGTCAAGAGTCAATCTACTTGCGATTTCTCATTCACGTCGTGGGAGAGGAGTGTTCCCAGTTTAACGCCTAATATATGAGCGGTAGTACTACGACCATCGTCATCTTGGGTCTGGATAAAGTGACTGCCGCGAAGCACTCATCCACCCGGGCCAGTCACTCCTGGAGATGCCCCAGCGTCGCCATCCCAATCCGACAAGCCGCAACGCAAAACGACCAGAATATTTCCAAACAAAAGAAAAACCTGCCTCGCATGACGGCAGAGCGGAGGTGCAGAAGCGGGAGAAACTTTTGAAGTGGAGTCGTGAAGCAGCATACAAGTACCGTGTGAAGTCGGAGACACAGGCGGAGACGATTACAGAGCGGGCGAAGATACTCGACGCCGATAACGCGATCAAGGGGGCTCGGGCTGGAGCAGTTGAGGCGCGAGGCCGAGAAGATTAATGGTGATGAATGCAACATACGCAAGGTGGGTGCGCTCCCTTGCCAACCAGCCTACATCTACCAGCCTATGGTGTACAGTCCTAGCATTCGTTTAGGGACGGAAATCGATACGAGACCCTCAACAAGCTGAAACAGGCACAATGGACCACCATCGTACCCATCCACCCCAGCTACATCTATCGTCACGAGCAAATAACGGAATCTTTATCAAGATTCAAAGCCCCGAGTCAGCCGTCCACCTCTGGCCGCAATGTTCCGAAGAGATCCAATGAAGTGATACGGGAGATCTTTGGCATCCGTGAGCTTCCCTATATTGAAGCTTGCCTCTATTGAACGAAAAGAAAACGCACATCACCACAAGTTGCGAGATTCTCAACCAATTTCGACCTAGAGGTTACTTCGTGATAATCTACCCAGTGGGTAAAGTAATCCGTAGATAGCGTTGGTGGTGTGCGACCGATGCGAGTGCACGCATATCAAACGTCAACGGCCCGAACATAATCATCGCATCCGCCTACTCGTGAGGAAGCAAGTGCGTCCACAGAAAGCAAATGCGTCAAATTGCCTTCACATCACGACAAATCAGTCCACATAATAATCTATCCTATAACTCTATCAACTAAGATATAATGTCAAACTCTAAAATTCGATTGAATGGTGCAAAAGAATGGCTTTGTAAAAATCTATCTAAATCACGAAGTGTTACAAGTGGCATCTTCAAAGTCCACAAGAAGACCTTGACATCGTCGATCACTCACGACACAATCCAGCCTGTGAAACACGGAGGGCAGAACAGCATGCTGTCAGAGACTCAAGTCCTTGCTTTAATGCAATGGTCCTAACGTCAATATGAGCAAAGCTCAGGTGCTACAACGCAGATGACTTACGCCGCTATCTGTCATTTGCGTCACCCACTTCAGGTTCCATCGCTAACCACGCCCACTGACTAAAATGGGGTGGTATTAGGGGTCGGTGGCTGGTGTGCAATGGGCTGGTTTGGCTCTGGCGATCTCTCGAAACCCGCACCTGGTAAAGCTAGTGTGATATTATCTACTAAGCTAATCTCTCATATATTCCCCACCTTGGTTGTCTTTTAATCAACTAACTAAGTATTTCAACTGTCTACGCTAAAGTTGGTTTACTAAATAGTCTCCCGCTTGCCTGTCCCGATTCTAAACGACATAGACTTTCATTAATCTTGCCAAAAGGTACCTCTTCCAAAGTCGGATTTAGCTTTCCAGCACTAATCAATGCCAGCACAGTACGCAGCTCCTCCTTAGTCCCACCCAACGATCCCCTGATTTCAACGCTATTATAAACAATATCAAACGTGGGTAGGGTCAACTGCTCGCCTCCTAAACCGGTAAGAACGATCCGTCCAGACCGCTTGACGGCTTTGAGAGCCGCAGCCATCGTCGAGGTAATCCCAACAAAATCCACGACAACGTCAAAAACAATGTCCTTGGCATCCTCGAGACGGGAGAAACAGGCCTTCGCACCATCTCGCGTTGCCGCATCGAATTTTCTGTTGTCAATATCGAATCCATACACCATTGCTCCTTGAAGTACCGCAATTCTCAGGCCAACTGATCCTAGACCGCCCAGACCAACGATAGCGACATTCGTTGAGGCAGTGACTCCACCCTCCGTCACAACCGCGTGGTAAGCCGTAGTAATCGCATCTGTTGCGACAGCGGCTTGCTCAAAGCTAACGTTCTCCGGGATAGATTCGAGGTATTTGACAGGAGCAACGACGTATTCAGCATAACCACCATCGTAGTTGAGACCAATCCCACCGGTTGGCGCGATCAAGGCCACCGCTACTCTGTCGCCTATCTGGACCTCTGATACGTCTTCTCCCAGTGTGATAACTTTCCCGGCAACCTCGTGACCGAGGGTAATAGGTCGTTGTTGGATCCACGCTCCTCCTGGTCCACTGATGATATGGCAGTCTGAATGGCATAATCCGCAAGCTTCGACTTGGATTAGCACCTCGCCGGTGGAAGGTTGTGGGACTGCAATATCTTGAAGCTGGAGGCCACTATCGGGACCGTTCCAGCGATAGGCCTTCATCGTGAGATTTGTGAAATATTTATAGACGTGGTTGATTTTTGGATCCAGAGGCCAGATAGTATCAACGATAGAGGGTAAAGTCTTCCGTGTGAAGGGAGATGTGTAGGATTCTCGTGAATCTCGTCGTGGTGGTTCTCAGTGGCTTGTGGTCTATGAAGTTTCACTCCACTTATATAGTTGATCATTATAAGTAAGCAACGCTCAATATTGCAGTCACATAGAGATCTGAGTTCCCATACTGCATTCGAAATCACCGAGGTTGTATCTTTGCGGGGATCAATAACGACGATGAGAGTGATGGTCGGAAAGGATAGGGGAATATTGACGAAAGCACTGTCCTTTAACGCCACTGGGCTCATAATTAACGGTAGCGTTATTATTGCAACAGGTGGCACGAGGGGGCGAGGCCGAGAGCGAGGTTAGGTGAGAGCGGGTCAGCTGAAAGCAGGGCAACCCCACATATGTCTCACAAAACCGATATCAAATACAGCTGACGAACTACATCGCTATCGGCTGCTGCCATGTGCTATCGATACTGTTAGACGGCGCATTTAGTACGTTGTACCGAGGCGTTACACAGTATACGAAATGTCGGGAAAGGCTGGCTTTTAGCTAACCAATAACAACCAAAGATCAGAAGGTGCTGATCTGGTGAGGTTACAGAGCTAAAAGAGTGGGATAAATGAATGCAATTAAAGTCAAATAAGTCGTATATTAGGGGTTAAATTAATTGGTCTCGCGCTAATCTAAGGGGTAGAATCCCGTATTTATAGGTTAATATAGAGTAGATCAAGTGATTAAACTAAATAAAATTAGGTGATTTCCATACTCCTAAAGCACACAGCTAACTATCTATAACCTATAGTAATTATTAGTAAAACAGATAGTCATGCATGAATAATATAGGATTACGTCATATGGACAAGTTGTTAGTGCACACTTGATTGATCCAAGACCTGGCCGTTGCGAGCTCCGGCTTGACTTGTCCTGAAGCTCAATATGATCTGACAACTGCTGACGTTAGTACGTCTACATAGATACAAATTTGAAGGTCTATATAAAGAATATAAGACCAGTTAATACATGTTGTTTGCTTTACTCCTCAATACTGTTAGGCTCTTTATACGAGTGGCAGTTCTGATATTTTATGATAAGTTTGGTGGTAGCTCTGATATTTACCGTTCTCTGTTTCAATAATTATTCAATACGATTACTCGGGGAATTATATTTCTCTTGCGATAATGGTTTAGCTTCAATCTGGACAACCTCGGCTTCCCTCGCCAAGAACCCCCAAGATATTAACTATATTTTAGCTTCAGACGCTACTACACCCCTCACGAAGTTACGCACCCCCAAACCCCGTTGCTCAAATGGCCTATAATCCAGGGGCTGTGCACAGCCATGCATAAGGAAAGAACCTCCCCCCTGCCTTCTTCATTGTAACACATATCCTGTATCAGTATCATTTTCCTATAATATTAAAATGACTTTTGAAACATACCTTCATGAGGCCACTAGGCGCGGCTCCGACCGCACTCTCCCAGGTGTTGTCGTTATAGCAGCCGACAAAAATGGTAAATTTCTCTTCTATGACCATCTTCTCTACAATATTCTAATCTCTCATCCCTAGGAATCACCTATACTCACGCCTCTGGAACACAGTCCCTGGATCCCACTTCCCCTCTCTTTAAAAAATCATTCGCAGTTGACACTACAATGTGGATTGCCTCGTGCACAAAACTCCTCACAGCAATTAGCATCCTGCAGTGTGTGGAGAAGGGGCTCCTTAATCTCGATACCGACCTCTCAGATGTTCTTACCGAGTTTAAGGAGATTCAAATCCTCACTGGATTCGAAGATGAAAAACCAGTCTACAAAAAACCGGAGACTAAAATCACCCTGAGAGCTCTTCTTACCCACAGCAGTGGTTTTGGATATGCAGCATTTGATCCGAAGCTTATGAAAGAAGTTGAATATAGAGGTGGTAAAATTGATATGACAGGCGACTTGGTATGTTATCTCGTCATTATTCAAAGCACCAACTAAATAATTTCCAGCTCGAACACATTTTGCTCCCTCTTCTTTACGAACCAAATACGTCCTGGTCCTACGGAGTCGGGCTTGATTGGGCTGGCCTCGCACTTGAACGAGTCACGGGACAATCTCTCTCCGCCTACATGGATGCAAATATTATCAATCCACTTAGCATGACATCCACGTCCTTCAAACTCCTGTCAAGACAAGATATCATGGCAGCTCGATCAGACATGAGTATGCGGCTCCCAGATGGCTCTCTCTCCCCAAGCCCCACACGCTTCTTTCCCGACAATGCCAAGGATGACTACGGTGGAGCTGGCCTCTTTTCTTGCGCACAGGATTACGTCAAAGTTTTAATTGATCTCCTGCAGGATGACTCAAAATTGCTCTCCCTGGCAAGTAAGGAAGAGTTGTTCAAGCAGCAGCTTTCCACCGAGTCCAAGACGGCGCTGAATTTCCTGCTGTATGGCGATTACGAGGGCAACAAGGATGGAGAAGTGGGCGCCATGTTCAGTGGTGGGTTGCCAACAGGAACAAATGTGGGCTATTCGCTTGGAGGTATGCTAGTAGATGACACTAATGGTGCGGGTCCGAATCGGAGGAGAAAAGGCGCGTTATCGTGGAGTGGACTGCCAAATTTGCATTGGATGGTTGACAGGGAGAAAGGAGTTGCGCTATTTTATGGGAGTCAGCTGCTTCCTCCGGGGGACGTGAAAACAGGGGAGGCTTTTAGTAAGTTTGAGGAGGCCATTTATAAGGGGGAGCTTTAAGAAGCGAGGCAGCGGCAGAGAAGCCCGATTTGTTATGTTCTCTGAGCTGCTAGATAAATACAGGTGTTCTTTATATCCACGTCCTTTGTCACGGTCTACGATGCCTCCTGTAGGTTATCTATTTTCGTCTCTGCCTGTTTTGTTCTAGAGGCTTTGTGCAAAGAAATAGCCAATTGAATTTAGTCTGAAAATAAACTTGTAGATCGTAAGATAGTTTTATATTTATTTATGAACTTGTTTTGCGACAATCTATAAATTAACTGCTATACGCCTACCTACTCAGTCTTCAGCTCCAGTCCAGTAAGCTTCCCGGTCTTCCTCCAATCCTCCAAAAGTTTGATAAAAGCAACAGAACCCCATCCATAAGTTGAATTCCGCAAAGCTCTATCTGTAGCCTGCCCTTCCTGGTTGTAGTATCCAGGCGTACAATCTTTCACAAAATCCCTCTGAAGCTTCCCCCCTTCCATAATAGTCTCCACCCACTTGTCCTCCGCCTCTTGCTCCGCCTCAATACTTTTAACCTTCCTCTCCTTGCATTCGTTAACCACGTAGGAAATGTGCTTCGCTTGCTCACTCAGCATATGCACAAAATTAGGAGTCATGCCTGACTGTACAATGCTGACAATGAAGAGATTTGGAAAGCCTCGAGTCCAAAACCCTTGAAACGTGCTTGTCTTCTCACCATCCTCCCATTTCTGACTTAGCGTATCTCCATTGAGTCCCGTGATCTCGATGCCAATTCTCTTGCTGTAATCAGTGCTGAACTCAAACCCGGTGGAGTAGATAATAGCGTCCAATTTGATTTCCTCGCCATTTGTCACAATCCCATTTTCAGTAATACGTTCGATTCCTTTTCCGTTTGTGTCAATCAGACTAACGTTCTCTCTGTTGAACGTGGGAAGGTAGTCATCGTGGAAACATGGCCGCTTGCAGAATTGGTTGTAGTACGCCTTCAGCTTCTCAGCGACCGCTGGGTTCTTGACAGTCTGATCCACTCTGGCTCGGACTTGCTCCATCTTTCTGAAATCGGCCATTTGTAGAGCAGAAGCCCCTAAACTTGCAGTGGGTTGATCCGTTCCTCCATAAACCGAAAGATTCCTCAAGATGTCGGTCCAGCCATCATTCACAAGATCTTCATCTTGGTGTCCTCCAGAGACGATGATATTGAAATTGTCCATCCTCTTCTGTTGCCATCCTTTCGTCAACGAGGAAGCCCACTCTGGGTTGGTTGGCTGATCAAGTCGCTTGTCCACTGAAGATGGTGTCCGTTGAAAAACGTAGAGGTGTTGAGCTCCTTGAGCGAGGTGAGGAATTACTTGGACCGCTGTTGCACCGGTTCCAATGATTCCAACACGTTTATTGGCCAATTTGCTCAATCCTCCTGTTGTGTTACCTCCAGTATAACCGTAATCCCATCGACTGGTATGGAAGCTGTGGCCCTTGTACGTCTCAATCCCAGGAACGCCCGGCAACTTTGGCTTGTGAAGAGGTCCACTCGCCGTGGCAACGAATTGTGCGCGAATAGTATCGCCACGATTTGTCCTTGCAATCCAACGATGGGTAGCCGCATCCCAGTTCAGGCTGAGAACTTCAGTCTGGAACAGGGCCTTATCGTAAAGACCGAAATGTTTTCCGATGTTGCGCGCATGCTGAAGCAATTCTGGCGCTCTGGTGTACTTTTCCGTCGGCATATAGTTGAGCTCTTCCAACAATGGCATATAGATGTATGATTCGAGGTCACACGCTGCTCCAGGATAACGATTCCAATACCAGGTTCCTCCAAAATCACCCGCCTTGTCGATAATGCGGATATTGGTGGTTCCAGCTTCCAGAAGACGTGCGGCTATGAGTTGACCACCATAGCCACCTCCAACCACGAGGAACTCGATGTCTTCGTCGATTGGAGCACGGGAGAACCCAGGTTTTGTGTATGGGTCTTCGACATAATGCCTCAACGAGCCGGTGTCGACCTCCTGATATTGTTTGATACCATCGTCTCGGATACGTTTGTTACGTTCCTCGTCGTACTTTGCCCTCAACGCGGCTGGATCAAAGGCAAGTCCGTTCGATGTGGCACTGGGCATTTTGTACAATATGTCCGTTGAGATTTGGCAATAGGAGAGATGGTTGTAAACACAGAATTGGTTCCGGGTGCAGCTTTTCTTTTATTTCAATGAGCATATGCCTCGGTATTTCAATAAATATTTTTTTTTGCAACGCAGCTATCATGTATTGAACCACAGTCAAACAATCATAACTTGGAAATAAGATACTTTTCCCTCACTTACCCCACTTACCGAGGGGACATATTACGCTACTTATTCATTATCTCCTCCCCCAAATTCTAGCCGACTAATCCCCTCTACTTTTTCACAATTGGCATCATTTAAGAGGCCAGATATGTCTTCCATAAAGAATACCGAGGTAAGTTTTCACTTATAACCCCACCTCTAGGTCAAGCCATCTAATAGCTTAGGTAGTAGGTGGTGGGTGAGGGTTTTGGTAGCTCGTAACGTATCATAACTGTAGGCCTAGTATCTAAACCAGTATTGCCAAGAGACTTGGCAGCATCAACCACATACTTGCCATTACAGCTCACAATAATGCCACGACATACTACTACACGCTGGTCTAACCTTTAGCTTTGGTGGTAATTGGCGAAGAATGAGGCACGGTTGACCCCGCGTTTACCCCACGTTCATGCCCCTCATTGTGTACGTCGAGCCACAGCAGCACGGGCACTTATTACGGGGCGCGCTATGTGCTTGGCTGCACACGTTATACTACTTTGGTCGTGTTAGCATCCTACCTGGTAGTTTAGACCGTCGATGGTTTCAATTTAGCGCCCATCGATTTTCCAACGGTAAAAAGAAGGGGCACGCTAAAGAGGAATAATTCTACAAAGTCTCGCGCTACTTACAAGCTACCTATGACCTCGGCTCCAAGGAAGAGGTTTGGGGTTGTTAAGTCGATTTAAAAAATGCGGCTGAGGGCTAGCGTTGGCCAAGGTTGGGGTTTAGACATGCCAGAATAACGAAGTACTGGCGATCTCCCACTTCCCGTTTCTCAATTTTGTCGTCAGCTCGAGCCGCCTCTTTACAGCCGGTCCGTTAACGTTGGCAGATATTGGGGTTAGCAGAGGAAGCTAGACAGAAAACAGACAATGGCGTTTGAAGTATATATAAAGGCTAATGGAAATGTCTAATATCTTATAATTGACGTTTGAAGAACTTGACGTTTAAATTTGGACGACAAAACATCAGCTATCATGGCCTTAGAAAATAAAGCAGAGAATGCACAGGTAGGCGACTAGGATCTTGCCCTGCAGCTCTTCCATTACTGAAACTACCTCAGATGAAGTTAGAAGATATCAGCCCTCAACCCCCAGTGTCTCCATCGGCAGCGACACCAACCAAAGTCGAGCTCCTTGCCGAAGGAATTGCCCTTGAAGCCACCCACTATGTCGAGGCTGTTGGATGGAAGTTTCTCGCCGAGCCTTACATAGTGAGAGTTCTCATATTTTTTGTCATGGATATTGCTAATATTTCACAAGATCGGCTCACTTGCTGCGATGTCCTTCGGCTTATTTAGCGCCGCATGGGGCTTTGCTCCTCCAGCATCAGTTCTGATCTGGATCAACGCTGATATTGGTATTGAGTCCCACTTAGCTGTCATATTCATATCCTGATTGTCATAGGATCTGCGACCCAATCCAACGGGTTCCTTTTTTCCGTTATGCAGACCCTTGGGACCACTCTTGGCTATATGTTCGTTGGTCGTTTGTCTGAGGTATATGGTAGACGCTGGGTTATGATTGTCTTTACACTTTTTGGGCTAGTCGGATGTAGGACTCCCCTTTCCACTCTCAGGATCCTGCTTATGTCTTTAGCAATTGTTGCCGGAACAGCTCAGGACCTCAACACATTTATTGGAGCAAATGTAAGTCCTTTTTACCTGTTTGGTAAACGCTGCTCCTAATATCTTTCAGATCCTTATGGGCCTCGCAACTGGTGCTCAATGCTGTTATGCGTTCCTAGCTGGAGGTGAGCTCTTCATTATACCCGCAACAAGCTAGAAACTTGCTTAAAAAAAAACTAGAACTCATGCCTAATAAGCACAAGATGCTTGGTATGGCCATCGTCGTTCTCTTCTGTTTTCCTGGGACAGCCATGGGCGCTTATTTTGCACGATCTCTTGTCGAACATGCCTCGTGGAGATGGATTTACTACATCTATATAATTTCACAGAGTAAGATAAGCTGCTCAAATTCTGTAGCCAATTATCTTGCTGACAATATCTAGCCCTCTCCCTTGCTCTTTATATCATATTTTACCACCCTAAGGAAGCCGCTCAAGCTTTTAATAAGCGCGAGCAAACGAAGAAACTGGATTTTATCGGAATATTTCTCCTAGTTGCTGGCCTCGTCTTATTTATCCTCGGTATCATGACTGGTGGATCTCCATATCCTTGGATGTCTGGTAAGTCTTGGAGACCCGAGCTTCGATCTACGGCAGCTTATTCTGTTCTTAACAGCGCATGTAATCGGAATGATCGTATCAGGAGGCCTTTGTCTTATTGCTCTTTGTGTGTGGGAGCACTTTCAGGGAGAGAACGCGTTTTTTGCTGTTCACCTGTTCAAAGATGTTCGAGGCTTTGGAATGAACTGCATCTGCTCAGCAGTAGGAGGAATTTCATACGTCGCCTTGAGCATCATCTGGCCAACTCGTAAATATTTCTTCCTATTCTAAAATCCTTTCTGACAAGCTGCAGATGTCGCATATCTGTATAGCAGCGGATCATCATGGGAAACTGTGGCTGCTATTTCTTGCACAGTTGGCTTCGGTCTCTGGGGAGGAATGGTCTTCCTAGGACCTCTGTGGGGTGCGTATCTAAATCTTCAAACGCCCCGTAAAGGCTAACACAAAAGCAGGCCCTATCGGACATCCAAAGCTGACCTTGATCATCTCGAAATTGTGGATGACTGCCTTTATCGGAGCTTTGGCTCATTGTGGCCCTGATAATAAGACATTCGCAATTGTCTGCTCATTCCTTGCTGCTCTGCCCATCGGTTTTGTTGAGCAACAGACAGGAGCCATCGCTCAGCTCGTGGTAGGTGATAAAGACATAGGTACATCCTTTGGAACCATGGGTTGCGTGAGAGTTGGCGTTGGCGCAATCGGAACAGCGATCGTGTTGGCCATCCTGAATGGTGAGAATTTTAACTGCATATGTGAGAAGGCTGAGGCTGACATCTTCAAGCAAAACTTCCTGTCGAACTTGAAGCTCATATCCTGCCAGCAGCCCTCAACGCTGGTCTCCCCGCAACTTCGGTAGCTGACCTTTTCCTCGCCGTATTTTCAGCTTCCGAGACAGCGATGGCTGCTGTTCCTGGAATCAACAGCGAAATAATCGCTGCTGTAGGTAGAGCGCAGCTTGAAGGATACGCAGCGGCCTTTCGTTACATTTACTATACAACTATTCCATTCGGGGTTGTGGCAATCGCCTCTGCCATCGCTCTGCGCCCAGTGGCCTATTTACTCACTGACCATGTGCCGAAAATGGTCGAGAATCCACAGGCATATCACGGCAAGCGAGACTTGGAGAAATCTGTAGATTGAGTACACGAAAAGGCTTTTAAAAACAAGAGGATAATATTAAAATAAGATGTGGAAAAGGGAGGAGAGAGATTCTTTAGAAAGGAAGCTGTAGCATATAATTATATACATTGCTCGTTTAGTCTATAACTAGCCCTTGTTTAATCCTTGTTAAGGGCCATTTTGGTTTGAACTTTGACTTGGTCTAATATCTGAAGCTCCCTAAGTCCCGCCTCGGCAATCTGGCTGCCCGGAATTTAACCGCACTCGTGGGATTTCGTCGAACCACGTACCTACCTATGTTTATGATCTGCTACATAAATTTACTCGAGTACCTCACCGAATCGTCGTATATTCACTCCCAGGGAGGCAGAGCAGGCCTTGATAATTTAACTTCATCTATGCAAATATGGTCACCGTCTCCCTCTCAAACGGCAGCTTCATAATCTGCCTCGCACTCACATTCTTCATCAACTACCTCTGCCACGTACCTCCCACTCCTACACCTGAGGCTACACCTACGAAGCCATACTGGAAAGACCGCATTGAAGTTTTGAATGTTGTCTCTTGGAATACATGGATCACCACCCTTCTCGCCTTGGTATGGACATACCACCTCAGTCTAATCCTCTTCCCTACTCTCCATTCAACCGTATGTCGACACCCGGAGCTACTGAATGAAGATCTTTTCACCTGGAGCACCCATAGCACGTTATACATCATCGCCGTCTTTATCTTCGGAATGATGAGACTCGCAGCCTACGCAAAGCTCGGGGAAAACTTCACGTTTGGGCTCACGGTGCCGAGCGGTCTTATTACCACGGGATTATATCACTACATTCAACATCCGTCATATGTCGCGCTATTTGTTGTTCGTGCCGCGGATTTCCTCTTCGTTGAGAGGCTTGATGGGGTCGCGGCCTGCGTGCTTCCTGAGAGGATTGTGAGGGTAAATGGTTTGAGCGGAGGTTTTGCGGGTGTGTCGATGGTGCTATTTGCGTATGGGATCAGCCTAAGGGTTAGGGATGAGGAGGAGATGCTGAGCAAGGAGTTTGGCAAAGAGTGGAAGATATGGCATAAGAGGACAAAAAGATTTATACCGGGGCTTTGGTGAGATAAATTACTATTGAGTACCAGCTTTTGATACAGTCACAGGTAATTGCATGTTGTCCTAGGCTTGTCTGTCAAAACTTCGCCCTTGCGAGTCCTATTTACTTGGATACCAGTATGCAGAACGGCTAAAAGGTCTTTTAAAACTCCTCCTGATTCGTACTAAATGAGCCTTCAAGATAACTCCACCCGCCTTCTGCCCCTACGTTTCCAACTCCACATGCCTTGTCCTAAATGGCTTAAAGGAGATTTCCTTCAACGAAATCTTCATTTCTCCTTCCTCCGCATGGTCATCCCCATATGTCTCACTCTCTACTATGGATACAGTATCCAGCACCGTCTGCTTCTGCTCTTTGACCTTGATCTTGAACATAAAGCTCCGGTACGGCTGCAGTACCCGCAGAATCTCCCCGTTACCTATCCGCTTAGCAAGCATATCTGCTGTGCGGCCATATTCGTCTTGCGCGATGCGATCCGCACCAGCTTTCATAAGGTTCTCTACTGCTCCGATGTTTTGGAGCTCGATGGCTGCGAAAAGCATTATCTGGATATCGACGCTTGACTCTGGACTGATAGTGGCGCCAGCTTCAACGAGAGCGACGGCAATGTCAAAACGCTGGTTGATGTAGGCGATGGTAAGAGGTGTGTAGCCAAAGCGGCTGACCTCGTCGAGGAGCGGCTCATGGCTGAGAAGAAGTTTGGTGCATTCAATGTGTTCATGTATAGCTGCCAAATGCAGAGGAGTTTGCTTGAACTTATCTAGGGCGTCTAGAAGAGGCTGTGCCGGAGATGATAGGAGAAGATCTAGGATAATACATGCGGTTCGGTCGTCGTTGCTGACGATGGCGCAGTGAAGGGCGGTACTGCCCGTTCCAGGCTCTCGAGTGCAGAAGTCTGCTTCCCGAGAGCTCTTTGCCTCGGTGAGGAGATCGAGACGGTGTAGACAGACAAGAGACCATATAGGAAGCTTTTCAGACTTGATGATCTGCGCTGTGTCGGCCTCTGTACTAGTTCCCACGTCTCTACAAAGATCCATAAGATCTGTTTGGCCATATTGCCACGCTACCACAAAGGGGGTCCTTTGGAAGGAATCCTGGATAGCTGAATCGGCTCCTAACTCGAGCAAGTATCGCCCAGCTTCTAGCTGGCCGGCATGGCAAGCCCTGTGGAAGGGGGTCAAGCCATACTTATCACGAGCATTGACTTCTACTGGGTGGTCTTTTAACAACTCAAGGACGTCAATATGCCCACCCTCAGAAGCTACATGGACCACCGTCCGGCTGTCTTCATCTGTGAAAGTAAGATCTGCCTTCAAGTCGATTAAAATTTGTAGAGCTTCCATGTGCCCTTCCTCGGCGGCTCTCAATATCGCAGTGCCACCTCGAGTATCCTTGAGATTGGGATCCGCACCGCCATCCAGTAAAGAAGTTAAGACGTTTACATGATTCCGCTCGGCAGCTAATATCAACGCAGAGCGCCCGCCCTCCTTCTCGGTTACGTCAATAGCAATATTGGAGAATGATAGAAGTTTGTTGACAACACTTTCAAGGTCGTAGTAAGCGGCGAGGGATAGTGCAGTATAGCCAATGGAGTCCTCGAGATTGACTGAAATGTTCGGATGTTTCAGCAAAGCGTGCGCAATGCTAAGAGAGTGCTCGTAGGCAACCTCATCAGAGGACTGGCGAATAGCCGTTATCAGTGGTGTACGATTGAAGAGCTTGGTGTTCCTTGCATTAACGTCCACATCCTGGCCCCTGAGATCAAAATCCAGGAGAAGATCCACCATCTCATCATTTTTCTGAAGAACAGCTTCGAATAGGGCCGTCCTCCCTCTTTCACTGGTCATATTGACGGACGCGCCTAATACTAGCAGGCGCCGAGCTATTTCAATATTGCCTCTCCTGCACGCGTACATGAGTGGAGTCTGCCCATACGTTTCTTCTTGGACATCAATATCCAGAGGTTTCGAATCAAGTGCCGATAGCAATGCCTCCAAATTGAACCAGGCGCATATGTGGAGAGCATGAATATCCCGGCGAACATCCCATTTGTACTGCTCATGTGTATCGGTTTCCCATGCGGCTTGGACATAGGCTTGAATACGTGACTTATCCTGGAGAAACTCAACAGCCGCCATCTTTACCTCTATGCCGGCGTTTCGAACATGATCACCCCAGTGCTCAACTGTGTAAGCAAGGAGGGCATGCTTTTGCTCCTTTATAGCAAACAACTCAGTAGAACAAGACTTGGAAAATGTGTCAAATCCAAAGTAGCTAAGGCATATTTTCGCAAACTCTACCTCTCCTTGAGGAAACCAGTAGCCACGAGTCTGATCAAAATATTCATATAATGTGCGGTCGTCCAGACGTACGACCGAATCCTTGTCTCTGCCAATTGTGATGAAGCCTTTTGTAAATCTCAATATTTCTTGCTCGTCCATTTCGTCGTCGGGGTCGTACTCAGTCTCGCCATGGCGAGTTGCGAGTGCATGCTGTAGTTCTCTTAGTCGCAAGTTTCGCTGCGCATAATAGACTAAGGATAGGATTTTGAGGGCAAGTTTTCTATGCGAAAGAGGTTCTTGGCTTTCAATGCGGTCTTTCAGGTCGGCCTCGTATAACCGGTTGATTGTATCCGAAAGACTGTACTGTCTATTTTCCATCTCTCTTGCGGCCCTCTTGATATCCCCTTTGGTCACCTTGTTAGACAAGGAATTTGTGTATAATTTAGCAAGGAGAAATTTTCCCATAGAGTTGTCGACAATGGAAGATACAATCATACTAAAGAGGGATGTGTCGTCATGGCAGTGCCGTCCGAATTTTGTTGAAATCCGGCGACTCGAGTTCATATCCAGGTCATCCACATCCTCTTCTGGAGGCATCTGCTCCTTGATTTTAGATTTTACGTAGAGCTCCAGGTCATCTTTGTCGGCAATAATATCAACCTCTAGGGTATTGGGCAAGGCGAACTCGTGTGTGGGATCCACAGTGCATGATTCATCTTTCCCTCTGCAACCTGCGCACATGTCAATTCTGGTCTCCTGAGGGCAACTCACGCATCGATAGTATAAAGTCGCCTTCTGTTTACAGATATCACAGTGAATCTCATAGGCGGACCGCTCTTCGTCTCCCCTAGCTGTGGTCAAAAGCCTTAGCCTATCTGAAGAGAGCCGTCGGAGCTGCCTCTCGATAAAATCTCGGCATTCAATCGGGGCTTCATCTAATGCGTCGACGACAACGTAGATTCGACTATAAAACTGAACTTCAGCCTAAAGCTTAATTAGTATATGTTGGCTAGGGAAAATCAAGTCGGCTGCAAAGCACGAGAGCGGTTAGCTAGGTTAACAGAGGAGATTGCTTACTTTGAAAAGCTCCATCAACTCATTCTGCGTTGGCTGTGCATTTAAGCCAGTTGCTTTCTTCCAAGCTTGGTAAACATCAGGAGATATTTCACTTGGACCCTTGAGCTGGATTAACTGCTTGAGTAGGCTACCCAGAATTTTCTTGGGTGTATGGGCGATCGATGGGGTCTTCTCAAAATATATGCAGAGAGTTGGACTAATGGCGGAAAATTCGCATGTCAAATAATTGACCACGATAGAGGAGAGCACTGTCTACAATATCTGCGGTCAGAGAGTTGAGAGCATCCGGATAGTTGGGCGGCATACTTTGCCCGTTCCAGTGTCCCCATAACAACGTAGCACAGCCAGTGAATCTTCCTTCCAGCACTTGAATTCAGGGAGATCCAGAAACCAACTGCTTGAGCGGGTAGCCATCTCGAAAATCTCGCGTTGACGGGCTTGGAAGTCGAGGGGCGAAAGCCAGCGCTCGATGTCTTTCCGCTCAACCTCTTCTCGCCGCGCTTGCTCCTCTTTTCGCTGTCTCTCGCCATTCGCCGCCATGTTTTTGGTCATCTCGTGAGTTTCTCTCATTAAAGCCATCTGGCTGCGCGAGAGAATAATGTTCCCAATGCTCAACCTCACGTTGATAGCCTGACAATATCCCTGGATAGCCCTGAAGAATTCTTCCATTGCCTTCTTCTCCGAATGCCATTTGAAGTCTTTCAGCCTCTGCTTAAAGGTTGACTCCTTCATCTTCAGCGTCTTCACCATCTTAGCCATGGTCCTCTCCAGGCCAGCCAGCGGCGAACTGGCATTCACAGGATCCAGTGGCTGTAGCCATGATGCATCAGGGTCGGATTTCCCCTTTTCGATGCATTGATTAAGGGCCCACTCCAAGTCGGCAACGCAATTAAGCTGGCTCTTGAAATCTTCACGCTCCTCGCCGGCTTTGATGAAATCTTCGGCGAATCTGTAGGCAGATTTCAAAGCATCGAATATGGCAGCACTGCTTGCTATGATCGAGAGGGGATCCATTTCGACCCTGCGTCAACAGCGCGTGCTAGTATCCAGGGAGCCGCACTTGGTATTTGCAAACGAATCATCCACTCCCGCTGCTCACCGGCTTCAATGCCTACACAGGTGATGCAGATCTGAACGCACTATTACGCGTGGACTTGTGGACTTGTGGGCAGCCGACGCATCCCAGGCCCAGGTGCCGTTTCGACCGGCAAATCCTTTGGTAGGACAAGGTAGCGAGTACTTCTACGGCGGGGTGGGTACGAAGTAATGTACAGAGTAATACTCGAGAGGGCGTATCTATGCCACAATTGCGGGTGACACAGTACAGTAATATCCAGGCGTCTCTTGATGATTGGGGGAGCTGTTACTCTGTACTTCGTAGTGGGCTAGGGAACGCTTCTGCTATCAAAGAGTATTGTCGTATTTTTAATAATAACAATACAGTGCCACGAAGGCGCAGCTCATCATCCCAAGCCGTTCAAGCGCCCAGGGTCTGAGACGTTGCGCCCTTGACATCTCATCACAAGTGCTGCGCGCTGACTGGACGGCTGTACGACACGCTGGGTGAGAGTACTCGAGTATTGGGGTAGATCCTTACGACGTAGACGGCGCATGCTTCCGCATCCGAATAATAATAATTGCAAGCTCCATTTCTCGTTCGCGTCGAGCGTTACAGCCTTATATTCACAGGCACCAGCCAATCTTCCTACTTGCCACGAGGCGCTGGGAGCAACGGTACTCATACAGTAAGTAGTATCATACCCGTACGCCGAGGCTCCGGAGCGCCGGAACAGGAGTCCCCCCAGCACTCCACGTTGGACAGTACAGTACAGTACGTGCTTCGTCGTACCGAGCAGCTGTACATAGTATCTCCGGAGAGTGGGCGGACGACGGGTGGTCCTCGGGCAGTGTGTATATGGAATGGCATGGCATGGCATGGCATGGCCAATTTAGCTTGCGGCCCCCAAAAAGCTTCAGATGCTTCGTACAGTACTCAGTGCAGCACTTCGCTGAGTTGGAGGGTTTCCGCGGGTTCGCGAACGCCGGAAATTCCAGCGATGCAGGCCACCAAGTCTGCAAAACTTTTCACACCCAAAGCTTGAAATATAATACAAATACAAAGGCAATACAATACAATACACGGCAGGCAGGTCAGGTCTTGACTGTTCTGCGCCGACCGTTACAAAACATCTATTTCCGTCGCTCTGCCCACCGCGCCGCAACTTCTCGCCCCCAGATATATCAGTCAGCTGTCCATCTCAGCCCTGCCCTGCCATGCGGTGTTGTGTTGAGTTGTGTTTGGAGACCTGAACAGCAACAGGAACATGAACCGTGAACGAGCGCCCAGCCATCTGTCAGCGCTAGAATCCCCTGTATATGCATCCAGTGCTCCTTCAAGGGAAATTGCAAACCCCGCGAGCATGGCTGCTTGTACGTAGCGCGGAGAGTATTTGAACTCGCCGCCATCTGTAAAGTACAGGCACGGGGAATCCTTGGATACCTTAGCTTTTGATATGTTTTAGCATCGCTCATCCTCTCCTCCCTGCTCCGTGGATCTTGAAGTCGGTCTTTACCTTTCGATACGTACAGTACACGTATGTATACGTACACGTACCTGTACCTGTACATTTTATCACTATGATGATACGGTCGCTCTTTTCCGCTCCCCGCGTGCTCCTTTGGTGCCTGGCGGGCACACAGGTATGCGCTGCGCCGGCCTCCAGTTCGGATACTGCAACACCAGCCAGAGCAACTGCCGATCCCTCTTCGACAGCATGTGGGGATATAGTAAATTCAGGCAGTGGGCATCACCGTGGGCGATGAGTTGATCAACACGTTCTGATTTTTCTTAGGAATCTATTTTAAAGCGAGTGATATTTACGAGTGCCTGATTTCGGTTCCATTCAATGCAGCTGTTGCCACTGGATTTATCGACTACTACATCGACACAATCCAGTTTCAATCCACCTTGGCCTATCTCAAAAACCCCCCATCGAGTTATCAGCGTCATCCGGTGGATCTGGTTGCCGGTCTCAATAAAATAAAGCAATCTATCACCACCGGGGCATTTGCGAACCAGTATGAGTTTGAGGCCGCTCTTCAGAGATTAATATATTCAGCCCACGACACCCACCTTGACCTTACAGCGGGGATCCTTGGAGCGTTTTCCTTTGGCGCACCAGTGGCTATTGTCTCGGTGTCCCTGGACGGAACCCAACTTCCCAAGATTTACTTTTCCGGTAAGTAACTTGGAGCATTTCTTCCACAAACACGCGAAACGGCCATCTTAGTGTGCCCGGCTTTGCATGGTTGAGCCTGTTAGACAGCATCAGATTGTCAAGTTCTGTTGATCGGCTACTCAGATGAGCTAGAATCTGGAGGAACCCATCTTTATCTTGTTTGGCTCGACCGTACCACCATTCTTTAAGCCTTGTGATGCACTGATGCTTGATCACCAAACCGTTAGTCAAGGGCTAATAAAACGTTAGATGACATTTCCGACAGCCAAAACGATGGTACTTGGCAGCCATCAGCGATATCAAAGATCAATGGTCAGAATTCCATGGACTACCTTCAACAATATGCTGCAGACAATGCTGTAGGTGGTCTTGAATCGCATGCGGATTTCAATCAATTGGTTGCCAGTCCCGCACTGGATATTCAAGGGTATTTCCCCATTTGGACAGGTGCCGGGACATTCTACCCAGGAGATACCCTTACATTTGTTTTTGAGAATGGGACCAGCGTCGGGCCTATGCCATGGATTGGTGTATATAATAGTCCGGGAGAAACAGGCCCCTTGGAAACAGGCGGTGATTTCTACAACTTTTTTGTGCTAGGGTACTATCCAGCCTCATATGTCCCTTGGACGAATGATGAACCTACCGACGACTCCACGGATCCTTCTGCAGCTACTTCGACTTTCCCCGCCGCAACAAGCACCTCCATGGCCAGCCCCACCCCATCCTCATGGAACCACTCAGCTTATCCAAGCGCCCCTGATGTTGTTCAACCTGATCTTGGTATTTTTGGTACAGGATCTTTGTCAGGCTATTTTCTCAATAGTTCGTCAATCGCTGTTCTCAGTATCCCCAGCTTCTATATGAATCCAGAAGCAGTTGATGACTTCTCAAATACCGTGGCTCAATTTCTGTCGTCGAGCAAGGCTGCCGGTATGAAGAAGGTAGTCATCGATTTGCAGCAGAACGGTGGTGGAGACAGCCTGCTTGCATGGGATACTTTCAAACAATTCTTCCCGACAATCGACCCTTATGGGGGAAGCAGGTTGCGAGCCCATGCAGCTGCAAACTCTATGGGATCGACAATAACCGGATATTTCGATGAGCTGGATGAGGAGTACTATGACTTTTACGGTTTATATGCCAACGAATGGGTCTCATCAACCCGTATTAATGTGACTACAAACCGGAACTTCACCTCATGGGCCGAATTCTTTGGCCCTCATCCAGCAAACGGTGATATTTTCACCAGTGTGGTAAGTTCTCTAGTTGGCAGGGCCTGTTCACTAATCTGATATTAGTATAGCAACGGTATGATCTAAACAATATATTGTTTGACACGCTATCGGTTGGAAGCCCAAATAATTCGTTTAGCGTGTATGGGTCTGCTGGCCGACCCGCGAATGCAACTCAGCCATACGCTGCAAATGATATCATCATCCTCTCAGATGGGCTCTGCTCATCTACATGTGCACTATTTATGGAAATGATGCATCATGAAGCAGGGGTCAGGACTGTTGTCGCTGGCGGCCTGCCCGTGTACGGGCCTATGCAAGCACCCGGGTGCGTTCACCCGAAGTAATCCAACCCCAAACATAACCGGTATGCTAACTAGCATGTAGTCTCACTCGTGGTGCGCGCTCCTACGGCATGGATATTCTTGACGCAAACATTGATTATGCTGAGGCGCTGTTAGAGTGGGAAAAGGACCCTAATCCCTTCTTTCTACCGAATAGAACGGAAGCTTTGGACGTTTTCGTGTTGGCGGGATCAATCAACCTTCGAGACCAGGTCAGAAAAGGCGAGGATATTCCCTTGCAATTCGTGTATGAAGCTGCAGATTGCAGGATTTTCTATACGCCACGGACTGTCTTCAACTATACAGCGCTCTGGCAATATGCCGCTGACGCTATCTGGACAAACCCATCCCTATGCATCAAGGACTCTACTGGTTTCTCATCAATCAACACCACAAAAACAGCAATACCGACAGCGTCCGCTCCCCCCTCAGAAACCCCCAGCCCAGCACCAGCCAAACTCGGCTCCATCATCATGTCAATGATCTCAAGTCCCTCAGCGAACCAGAAGCCCATACTCGACTCAAAATTCCAAGTACGAAGTACCTCTCGCGATGGACAGCCGTGTCCTACAAATGGCGAGTGCGGGAAGGGCTTTTTCTGCTTTCAAACATTCACCACATGCGCAAGCGGGAAGCCCACGCTAGTGCCAACCTGTGTGCCGAGATGCTCCGTCAACCAAGAGAGATGTTCCAACAATGCGTACTGCCAGCCTCTGCAAAAAGAGGAATCTGATCTCCAAAGCAGTTTCGTGGTTGTTTCCGGATTTTGTCGACCTCCAAGAAGCGTCTGTGCTCCATCCACGAACAGTAAAGTCAAGTCTGGCATGCCTGCCCCTCCTCATTAAGCCACACGGCTTGAAGGTTTTGTAAGGAAGAGATAATCATCCAGCACATTCACCTAATCTAATCCGTGCCTGGGTGTGCGGTAGCTTAATTTATTCGCCTGGCTTCCTGATCCGGGAGCAATGTTAGCTGTTATAGGAGGTTCTGAGGAATTTGCCTGTTTGGAACTGGAGGAGAATGCGTATCGCAGCAAGTCGGGCTACCTTTTGCCAAATTCCAATGCTAGGGTATTGTCACATTTGTGGCTATAGTGAGGGAATAATAGATTAGAGAGGAAGTTAAGGTGACTAAATAGGTAGGAAATATAGCTAATGAGCTTTTGTTTAGAATCTCTATTAAACAACGTTAATGGGAACCGTCGGACTTTGTGTAATGACTTCTGCGCTTTACGGCCGCCCCGTATCACTATTAAGGCCCCAATATATCATATTCCGGACCTCCTAGTCGGTAGCTATGATACTATAAATGCTACGCCATATATCCCTCAATTTCGCGAACATTACATCACTTTCATTTCCACCCATGGTCTTCCTTCCCTCCACTTCTTCAAGCGTGGTAAGTGGCGGACTATAAAGGATTTCGGGGATGTACATTTCTTGACAGGAATACTTCGTAGCAGGAATAAGAAGCGGCGCACGGACCTTGCCATAGCACGTGGGAGAAATGTATTAGTCATTCTATTGGCTAATCTACCACGTGATAATGTTTCGTTACTGGTAATTTAGTCACGTGCCTATACCAGCAGTGCCGTCCGCCGCCTGATTCCGTTCCGCTGTCCGATGACAACGATCCGCCCTAGCTACCTACCTTGCCTTGACTACGCAAGCATTAGCTGTCGACCCTTTCGCCTTACCTTCAACCTACGAACCTTTCTCATACAGACTCTTTTGAAATATGGCACCGGGAAGGGCTTGAATATCATCGGATACTGCCACTGTCATTGCTAGATTCGTCTCAATCTTCCCTCGATCGGTCTTGATACCCCCACACCCCGTCTGCCCCGCTTCCCAAATCTCTCGTTTCGATGGAGCACGACGATTTCGCCAATGTCTCATGGCAGAGCGACTCTGCCGGCCAGGGTGCCCGTCTCTCGTCTCCAAACCCAGGAGTTGATGCTGGAGAAGCTGCGGCTGGGAATCCAGAAGACGGGAGACATGGCGGTGGCCAACCTGCCCGAAATGCGGACCCAATGGATCTAGCTGGTATGGAAGGTGGAGTTTTGGAATGCACAGTCTCGAGCCCTATCAAAGAGAACGACGGGTCTAAAGATGCCTATGTGTCGTATCTGGTTACTACAAACGTTGGTATTGCTGAATCAGAGGATTCCGCTATTGCTGATATGATAGTTGTAGACCACCTTTCCATCCTTCCAAAAGCCGAAGACGCGCGTCCGCAGACGATTTACCGATTTTGTCTTCTTGTATAAGACGCTATTCAGAGAATATCCAGCGTGTGCAGTGCCACCCCTGCCAGACAAGCATAAGATGGAATATGTACGGGGTGATCGGTTTGGACCAGATTTCACATCCCGCCGAGCGAACTCTCTACAGCGATTTCTGGCCCGACTCTCCCTCCATCCTATCCTCCGAAGGAGTGCTCTCCTCATCATATTTTTGGAAAGCTCTGACTGGAATGCTACTATGAAGATCCGTCCACAGCGGGGTTCAAGCGCCTCTGAGCAAGGGGCGTCAGGCGTCTTCGACAATTTCACGGACACGTTTATAAACGCTTTCACCAAGGTCCACAAACCGGACAAGCGTTTCATCGAAGTGAGAGAAAAGTCCGACAAACTTGATGAAGATCTCGGGCATGTAGAGAAGATTGTCGCAAGGGTGGCCCGCCGCGAAGGGGACCTAGAAACAGATTTTAAGGACTTGGCTGAACAATTCCAAAAGCTCATCGTCCTAGAGCCGGGAGTTGAGCCTTACATCCACGCTTTTGCGGCGAGCGTCGAAGACACCTCGGCTGGGACAAAGACACTCAAAGAGCATACTGACCAAGATTATCTGGGTAGCTTGCGCGATATGCAGGCATACAGTCTGGCACTCAAAAACCTTTTGAAGGCGCGAGAACAAAAACAGCTTGACTTCGAGCAACTAACCGAATATCTTACGAAGTCGACATCAGATCGCGATATTTTAGCTTCCCCTGGCGGGTCTCTCTCGAGCACTGCCGGGTTCATACGCAGCAAAATAGAAGATGTGCGGGGCGTAGACCATGAGCAGTCACGCCGTGAGCGTCTACGGAAGCTCGAGTTGAGGATAGAAGAACTCACAAGAGAGGTCGAAGAAGCTAAGAAGACGACGGAGGCTTTCGATGAGGAAGTAGTCAGGGAAGTAGGGGACTTCGAGAGGATTAAGAGGATTGAGTTCAAGACGCAATTCCGTGCATTAGCGGATACACACGTGGAGTTTTACGGCAATACCATTGATATCTGGGAAAAGTATGTGAGAGAGATGGAGAACCTTGGTGCGCCAGTCGCGTAGCTTTGGTTTGGTTCCAAACTGTAGACATGTTTATGCGGTGGGGTGTACTCTTGAAGCTGTAATGGCATTTAGCGTACTTCAGTAAAGTAGACTTAATCAAATTATACCTCCTAGCTCATGTCACTATTTTTGTCATGTGAACGACCGGCAGCATTGATGTTGAAGCTAGGTAGGTACCTAGTAGCTGAATTGTATTGTATCATTGCACGTGAAATTCGGACTATATCAAGGACAATGCCACCTTAATGCGAACTAATTCTCCTTTGGATATACTTTCGTAGCAGATTACATCGGGCACATGTAAAATCTTAATTAGGTATTTGAGTTACAAAGCCGCCACGGCTTACATACTCCGCAAGGCTGAGCGTGGGCCAGACCCCTTCGGTTTGGAATCAACCTGTTACAGGCCGTATTTTTGGCGGGGCTCTTCCAGTGCCTAAGTTCCGCACCACGACAATTAGAAATCAACATCAACTTCAACAATCATAGATCCCCAGAACCTTCCCTCCCCTCATCGGCTCCATAACAAAGCGGACTCCATTATCACCGCCGAATTCGCATATAAGTACCTTAACGCGCGGCCCTTCGCTCTCAATTGCCACTCAAACGACTGCAAAATCGAATACGTCAAGGAAGAGCAGCATAGAAAGCAGTCAAACTGTTTTCCTCAGCGGTCAAGAGGTCGTTACGCTCTGGGTTATCGGGATTCAGTCTTGCCGCTGCGGCTACGACTCAGCAGAATCCTGTGGTGGTAAAACAGAATCACGGTCTCGTCGGTGCGACTGGTCTCCTGGGTAGGAGCACGGAGAGAAGAATGCATAGCAAAGTGGTGATTATTGGCTCCGGCCCTGCAGCGCATACTGCGGCTGTTTACCTTGCGAGAGCAGAATTGAAGCGTGAGTCGTCCTACCTCTGCTTGGTCGATATTGGAGTGTTGCTAATTGGGCTGTAGCCGTCATGTATGAGGGGTTTCTCGCGAACGGCATTGCTGCTGGTGGACAGTTGACCACGACTACGGATGTGGAAAATTATCCTGGCTTCCCCGATGGTATTAGTGGAAGTGCGTTGATGGTATGACACTCGTTTCGCCCTTATTCAAAGGGGAGAAATGCTGATTGTATTCGTTAGGATAACATGCGTAAACAATCCGAACGGTTCGGCACCGAGATCTTCACCGAAACCGTAGTCAAACTCGACCTCTCGAAACGTCCTTTCAAATACTGGAAAGAATATGAAGAGGATAAGGAGCCTCATACCGCAGAGGCAATCATTATCGCCACCGGCGCATCAGCCAGACGACTCGGACTGCCTGGAGAAGAACAATATTGGCAGAATGGTATCTCAGCATGTGCAGTATGCGATGGTGCCGTACCGATCTTTAGAAATAAGCCGCTAGTGGTTATTGGTGGTGGGGACTCCGCTGCTGAAGAAGCAATGTTCTTGACAAAATATGGATCGCACGTTACAGTTCTAGTCAGGAAAGACTTCCTCAGAGCATCGAAGACGATGGCGAACCGCTTATTGGCTAATAAGAAAGTCACTGTGCGATTCAACACCGTTGGACAGGAGGTCAAGGGTGATGATAGGGGTTTGATGAGCCATATGGTTATCAAGAACGTCAAGACCGGTCAGGAAGAGACGATGGAGGCGAATGGTCTTTTCTACGCTGTGGGTCATGATCCCGCGACTGCTTTGGTTAAAGGCCAGATCGATTGTGATGATGAAGGGTATGTTCTAACTAAACCCGGAACGAGTTATACAACTGTTGAGGGTGTATTCGCTGCTGGTGATGTGCAGGACAAGAGGTATCGACAGGCTATTACTTCTGCTGGTATGTTTCACCTCCCTTCAGCACATACGAGGAGACTCTAATCTTTCGTCTAGGCTCCGGATGCATAGCTGCCCTTGAGGCAGAGAAGTTTCTGGCTGAGCATGAAGATAGCATTGAAAATGATCTAGAGCAAGATAAGAATCCGAAGAAGGGCGTCGTTGATGAGGTCCCTGAGTACAGGTCTAACCCGTTGCTATAGAGAGTTCTATTGGTACCTGGGTCGCTTGGATGCTTTCTTCCTAAGCATGATAAACTTCTAAAAGCATTATAAAATAGAATTTAAACCGTCTAGTTTTCGACCGGATGCATTAAAAGACATTTTAAGTAATTACGTCGATATTCCTTGTGCATCTTCATATTTACTATACATCCTTCTCCGAAGGGTTTATTTATCCTCTACCTGTAAGATTTTACATGTGCCCTACTCACTCTCCATATCTCCTTTTCCACTGTTTCATATGGAGATCTTTATACGACCCGTTTCAGTTGATACCCGGGCGAGAAGCCATCAAATCAAAGCTTATCAAATATTCGACATATCCAACGCTGGGGTAACTCCTTAAATTCTCAAGTCCCATTGCTGCTGGCTTTCGGCTCCTTTGGTACCAACCCTGCAGCCTTCCTTCTAGCCACCGAAACCTTCTTCAGCCTCTCATCTTCATCTGTAGTATAGTTTAAATAAACTTCTGCCAAAGCAGCATTCAAAAGGAATCCCAGCACACCCGACGAACAAAAAACTAGATTGAACATTGCAGCCTTCTGCTCCGGATACCTCGCATCCATACCCGCCAGCACAGCAACATACGTACTTGTATCCACGCCAGCTGTGAGATTGGCGCATGCAGGAAAGCGAGTGAGCATCAATGCCATTTCTTCCGGTGCTCTGGTGGTGTAAAGGAAGGCGATTTCGCTACAGCTTTTAACGAAATGGTATCTATTTGGGGCGAAGCGCAGTATGCTCAGGATGAGGGGCGTCATCCATATTCTCAGCGAGAGAATCTACGCTTTCGTTAACAAGGCAGTGGTGGGAACTGGTGTTGGGAAAGGAGACTGACAGAGCAAGCATATGCCCAGCATCTAATGACCCATACGCGATGCTGGTCGATATGGAGATTGCGGATACCGCTCCAGGCCTTGTAGATTGACACTGTAATTGCCGTTGATAAGGCCCAGACGAAGCATTGGAGGTCGAAGCTGCCACCGAAGGAACGGGGCCCAATCTTAATCGCAGCTACAAACTTTGGTCAATCTGATCTTCGTTTCAACATGATAGGGATAAGGAAGACTTACTGATATTGCCCATCATTAACGCTACGAAAAGGAATTTCCCTGAAATCTTGTGTAGATACATGTACTTCCTTCGCATAATTGGGAGGAATTGTAGAGGCAATAAGATTCCGGCAGCTGTTTTGCAGGAGTTAGCTCGCCTCTATTCTAGTACAATATTCTGTTTCCCCTTCTTTTTTTGGCCTAAAGATCTTAACAGTAAGAAATAATTGCGTCTCAGAGGAGAATATAGCCATGTGATATATAGAAGGGGACGAATCCCCCAACTTCACCCGCACTTCTCCGGTAGAAATCCAAGCATGCCGCCTGAGTCGTAAGCAAATTGAATATCGCGCGAGGTATTCCCTATTCATTCGTTTATCCATCAATTTTACACGCCACCGCCGCGCACATGTCACTCCAGAAATGTCTCCAGGCCCTGCGCCAAACAGTGGAGCAAAACACGTTTTAGATAAACGTGAGATTTGGAAACTTACGAATAACGCTCCATAAATGCAACTGAATCCCCAACTTCATGGTCGGTTCTCGAAACCAATATGCCTCACCCACCGTCCGCGCACCTCTCCATTCCAGCCACCAACCCCCCTCCTCTCGATTGCCATAATTTAGCCATCTCAACTCAGATATACAGAAGACGGCGAAGACGCCGGTGGTGAGGAGGAAGTAGATCAGGGAGCTCGTTTTGGTGAAGCCTGTTATTCTAAGGGCCCCCTGGGGAGTGCCCATGGTATTTATATTGCTTTGTCCGAGAAATGGACGGGATGAGTGTGTTTTGGACTCTTAGCCCTCGATGTGAAAATACTCGAAGGATAACCTTGAGGATAGCAGGCCTGGGTTCGACCTAAGCTCGGGCATTAAGATCGAGACTGTGATTGAATAGATCAACGAAAAGGATAACGGAAATGAGATTGGAATGGGAACAAGGCAGTTGATGGCAACATCAATTTCTTTTGAAGTCCCGGTCGGTGGGATGTTGCTCCTGGGACACCCTGTTGTACAGCCCTTGCTCGCCAGGTTTGGATGTTGCAATACGCCGTACGCACGTAAGCCTCAATGAACCAGGGTTTACGAGAGAGTTAAAAAGTCTATCAGCGGAGCTCGTCCTTGAAGGATGCTCGCCTATTAGCATGTGCCAATGGTAAAATATTTCTAGCTGAATGGACGAAATAAAACTATCTAGGGATATCTATCAAACGCTCCGCCAACTCCGTGCTCAAAAATGCCCAAATCGAATGCTATTAAATCCTCCCGTTTTGTCATCAATGGAACCTCAACCGCACAATCGAAAATAGCATGTTCTGTAAAACATGGACCATAACAACCACTCCCGTTGGAAGGAGCTCGGGCAACATCCCCATATCTGTTTTAGCTTCCCCAGTAACATCTACCTTCCACCCATACCATAATATCCTTCTCGCAATCCAGCCCGCTGTGATCTCGCAAGCCCACGTAATAGTAGACGCGTACAAAGTGAGGCTGAAGTTATATTGGTCTCCCCCACCCATAGGCGATCCAACCGGGCCAACAGGTCTGGTTGTTTCGCCTTGCTCAAAGGCGAAATAGGGGTAGACGTCTTTGTTGCTTCCGTAATGAAGCACGAGAATCGAGCCGAGGAAGGTGAGCATAGAGACATTTTCGGCGATTCCGCGAATGAAGATATTCCTAGCGCAGAACTTCCGGTACGCGGGGAGGGTCTGGCCATTGATAGAGAGAACCGTAAGAATATAGTGGAACGGTTTGGAGATTGTGAGTGGTGCGAGAATGATGAGGAAGGATGATGAGAGTATTTGCAGGTATATAAATTGCTCGGGTGAGCGGAGACGGGCATAGAGGGCTCGGACGTATGTTTGATACGTCAAAGAAAAGTAGCTATATTCATGTCAGTTTCGGCTTAGATGGGATGAGGGAAATTAGAGAGGCGGCGCACAGCTTAAATATCCAGCCCAATGGGTAGCTCCCTACTCTTTCGCCTTCGTTTCCACCCAATATCCAACCCACTAAACCATCCAACAGATGAACTGTTACTACCCAGCTATAAACGTAAAAAATAGTGTGAATGGTATTGTGCGGTAATGTTCTAAGGTAAACCTCAGCATAGGCCTCGCCCAAAACATAGGCCATCATTGCAATAAACAGAGCTGTGCAAAACCATATGAATCTGACAAAACTGGCAGGAATCCAGCGCTTCCGCATGGCCAAGTTACGTGGCCGATCTCGGTGAGTAGCATCTGGAGCAAGGGAAAATCCGCTAGGAGCGTCAGGATCGAATGCTGCTTGTGGGATGGGAGGTCTCCGGGGACGATCTCGGCCAGAAATTGTATCAGTATCCCCAGTCCACCAAGATGATGTAAATATCCGTTGGGTTTCGGAGAGGGACTGACGGAGGCCTAGGTGTCGCTCGTGGTTCAGGAGGATGGCGAAGGCGATTATTAAGGGCATAGCCATCGTGAAGAATGTCCAGCATATCCAAGTTGTGTTATGGTTGGTCAACCACCTTGATTCTGGGAAGCAGTAGACTGGGATTGGGGCAGTTATCGAGATGGCTGCAATTACGGAGACTGTGAACGGGAAACCTAGACTCTGCGGCCACCTTTCGAGGTCAGATGAGGAGCTAATATAGGAAGGAAAGGGGGAATTTACCAATTCAGGCTGTAGATATTGAAGACTTTCGTAACCCACATCAAGGCAGTGATATTGTAGAAGCCGTAGTACACGAATAGGAAAAACCAGAAGTTAATCTCGACTCGTGCTTCTCCATGACCCGGGGTCTTGTGTCCCAACTCATTAGAGCCAAAGCCCAGCCCATCAATATCGTTATCGTCCGGTAGATCATACTGAGGAAAAGGTAAGGCGCACCAAGTTACTGCCTAGCATATGAATGTTAGTACACATGTCTGGTTTATGAGTCTCTCCTCCGAGTCGTCCGTAGCCACAACTGGATACTAGGTAACTTACCAAAGCTGCAGGCAGAGCAGCCAACACTGCCCAGCGCGACCACCATTTATCTACAGCCCTAGCTACCGCGGGTTGCTTTGGTTCTAGCCATAGGTCCCGCGATGTCCTTGCCCAGCGTCTTATGATGCCCTCCTCATCGTCATCCGACAGGTCCCCATCCTCGCTATCACTTCCGTCTCCGTTTCCAAATATTGCACCATATGCCCTCCCTAAGCCTCTGCCAGCAGTAGAGTTTGTAAACAGGACACTTCTCTGGGTCCTTACACCAAACCGCTGCGCATTTGGCACAGCGCGAAATCGCCCAAGAAGAGGAGAGCTGTCGGTGGTTGCGCCACGAGGATCGCTACCTTGTTGGAAGGCGAAGAAGGAAGGCATTCCATTACTTGGCCGTATGGCACTTGAAGTATGTCTGCGGCGGGTTCCACAATATTTGCATTATAGCTAGACCTACAACTTGAGAATCAAATGTTGGTGAGCTCGAGATGTTTACATGATGCGGCAAAACTCCGGGAAATTGGTGAGCCCGATTCCATCCCAGGGGTGCGTTACGGGGGTTTCGGTGACAAACTACAGGATCTACGGGTACGTTCAATAATTCAGTAGTCATATGGACGAACGACCCAAGCTCCCGTTTCCCATAATACTTCAAGAGTTATCAGAGTCCTGTACAAAGCTCATCTCACTACTCGAGTACCTGTTGAGTAGGAAATCCGCACCACATGTTTTTGTCCTTAATCTCATCTAACCTTGAATGCAGCTATCTGACTCAACGGACTCTAAGAGTAATATGCTTTATCATTATTTTGTTTTCGTGCCTGCAACATCGGGTGGATTGGCGCTAGTTGCAACGTTCTACACCGTGGAACCCGTTCCAAATACGAAGTTTTGCTGCTTCGATCCTGAAGCCGGGGGGGATTGGCATTGCTACTCCATGAAACCTTAAGCATGATCCTTTACATCTGGTGCGTCCGCTACATGAGATAGTTGTTCTAGGCTCTTGCTCTGTTGGACGCGGTACAACTTTGGATTGCGTCGTCCTTCCTCTCATTTATATTTGGTGATGCGAAGGGACATCCACTCTCTCAGTATTTGAGAAGCATGAGGCAAAAGTGCGGTTCCACGGTTTGAAGCACGCAACTTGTCCTAGAGCAACTAAAACATAGACCCACCCTTCACCTATCGGGCGATACTTTTCTGCATTTAGGAGTGGCATAGGCCTTGGCCCGTTGAGTAACCTCTCTATCGTTGTGGTTATTCTAAAGTTAGACGAGGGAGCCGGAAGAAGAAGTTAACTTCGAAACAGCTGGAGCAGGCTTGAGCGGATTTGGACTACGAATGCTGTCTGGGTATGTTAGTTACAACTTCTATCGTGTTGAGCATGTTCTTGTCTTGCTGAATCCATCTTCTCCGGTATTCTGTTCACTCCTACTCCACCCTATCTTGGTCTCCGTGGCTTATGAGGCTATGACCACCACCACCCAACTTAGCAAGTCTCGCAAATTTCTCCATGGCTAGGACGGGTAGAATCAATTCTAGCTCCTACAGCTAGGCGAAACCAGGGAATATTTGAATAACATTCTCCCATGGTGGCTTTGTGCTCATAATATGGGCTGTTTCCAGATTGCTATGGCTACATGCCTCAGCTTTTCACATCACCGATCGGAGCTTTGCTGGTCGCTGGCTTGACCGAGTTATGCATGAGGGATGTAACTATGTAGCGCCTACAGAGATATAGTGTAACAGCAAGTCGGAAACAAGACGATGTAACCAACCAACAGGTCACCGTTACGCCGTTGCTTAACCTCGCCGGCACTAACGTCGTCCCAGTAAATGGCCACGATGTTGTTAGCACCTGCCTCGAAAGGCGATGTTATAGAGCCCAGCCCTTGACTTGCATGCGGAGTGGGATGGTTTGTATACTCGTATATCACTCTCTGCAGTTGAGGTTCGAGTTTACGAGTACCCCACAAGGACCCCAACGCTTATGATCGGACATTCTAGGATCTACACATGGATAACAAAAAGGCCCGTTTCGGCCCCTCCCACATTCCTTCAACCTCACACGATTTAAAAAATTCCTGCGGAATCAGGACCAGATTAGATCTGGAACCGTTTCTTTAAATTACGCGCTGCAACCTCCACAGTTGCCTCTATCCCCGGATCATCAACATTTTCGCCGGGCAGGGAGAATAAGACATATCCCAAGAATTCTTGGTCAGCCGAGAGCTTCCAGTCTCATGAGAATGATGTCGGCCTGCGTCTCGTCGTTTTTGCTTTCGCCTCGGCAGCAACGGGGGGGTCTCGGGATATCTTTGCGTTCCGCCCTCTCGTACTCCTCTACCCCGATGAGCGGCATGTCGATCATAGAGAATACCTATTATCCTCTTGGCCCTGCAGTGGTCATGACGATAGCTTCCTATTTGATGATAACTCCGGCGGACAAAGACTCCCCCTGACGGATCTCGAGGGTCACGAGCGTTGCCCACTAGGAGATGCAAGGTAAATATCCGGGCTGGGATGTATTCTGATCACATCAGGGCGTTCACCTGTAGCTTGTTAATAGCAAGAAAAGGAGCGTGATGCGAAGTGAGGTGGAACTTTCACTTTGCTACAGGGGAAGTCTGGGCCGGCACTTGGTCACTCTCTTGAATACCTAGGTTGAGTTAGTTGGCCTTTGAACCAGCTTCAACTCCTCCTCTCTTGTACCTACTCCCATTATCCCCCCAATTTCCTGCTTGCCGTTTGTTGATATTGCTATAGCTCTTTTTGAATTCCAGCCTTAATTCCCTGCGACATTAGCATATCGTCTCACTAGGTCTGGCGAAGCATATCACACAACCCTACTAAGTGCTGTTTTCTTGCTTCAAGAAAGGCCTCTCCGGACACTGAGCTCCGAAGCCTACTCGAGAATCTGCCAAGCTCCCTTGTAACAGCTTTACGGGCTTGAGATGCTTGGTACATACCATATATGGCCAGCCCGGTCGTTCATCTGCAATGGCTGTAAGCGGTCAACCGAATCGTCTTGACATCTTTTGGGCCTGCTTTATTATTGTTGTTGTTTTCGATCTTTCTTCACCGCTTGTGACCAGAACATCGGTATCTCAGACATTTTCTTCCAGCCGCATCATCACCATGCTGCCCCCTCCCTTTTATACCCCGCACAGCAAGGTTCCTGAAGATACTTCCCGAACTACTATATAATAGTCAGGGAGTCTGCTAGTCGATAGGCTTCACTGGTCAAAGGACCCCTCGATCTTCGATCCGTCTTATTTCGTGGCCTTGCAGAGATGTCGATCTTTAAGCTTGCGCTGTTCGCCGCTTGTGTGGTGCTTTCTGGCCTCACAGCTGGGCAACAGTCAACCTTCAGTCCTGCGCAGCCACCAGCAATTCCATTGGCTGTCAAATCTCCATATCTCAATACGTGGCTATATGACAACGATGATGGGAACGGCGGGAACTTGGCTGGCCAGTGGTCGCAATTCTGGGCGTATGATCCCCCCCGACGCGTCTGTGATAAAACTGACATGTTATGACAGAGGACAAGTCACCGCCTGGACTGGAATGATTCGCGTTGACGGGACTACATACACATGGATGGGAGCCCCTGGACCCAAACCGGTTATTCAGAAGGCGTTCCAATATACCTCGACAAGCAGTATTTTCACGATGGATGTCGGCGGTTCGGTGGAGATGAATATCACCTTCACCTCGCCTATCACACCCGATGATATGAAGAGGCAGTCACTCTTGTTCTCCTATCTTAACGTCGAAGTGACCTCATTGGACGGGAATCCACATCATGTGCAACTTTACACTGATATATCCGCGGGTAAGTCACCAGCACAAGCCATGTGGCCGCACGTCAGCTGACTGATTATCAAGAATGGGTTGCTGGAGATCACGGCTCTGTAGCACAATGGGACTACGGCGTCACAAGCGACAAGGTGGCATATCACAAAATCCATCGGGAAACCCAACTCGCCTTTGATGAATCGTTTGACCAAGCAAACTGGGGTAATTGGTATTATTCAACCGCAAACAGCGACAACCTTTCGTTCCAATCGGGATCGGACAAGAATGTTCGTGGTGATTTCCAGACCAACGGAAAGCTGGGAAATTCCAAAGATACCACGTACCGTCCTATCAACCAAGACTGGCCAGTTTTTGGATTTTCGAGCGACTTCGGGTCTATCCACAAGGAAACCCACAGCACGTTATACACAATTGGTCTTGCACAAGAAAAAGCCATTCAGTTTAATGGAGCTTCGGGTATCGTTCCTCTGCCTTCATTGTGGTCTTCCTATTTCTCGAGTGAAGATGAAGCTGTAAGCCCCTAACCTAACCTTCTTGACTAATAAGTGCTAAAATACTCTAAGGTTGGATTTTTCTATAATGATTATGGAGGAGCCAGCAGGACCGCAAGGGGCCTGGATAACAAAATTGCACGGGACTCCTTGGCCGCTGGAGGACAGAACTACCTCACGGCCACATCACTCGCGACCCGTCAAGCATTCGGTGCCCTTCAGCTAGTTGGGGACTCGACTAAACAATATCTCTTCCTCAAAGAGATCAGCTCCAATGGCAACACTCAGACTGTGGACGTCGTCTTTCCATTTCACCCAATTCTGCTATACTTAAACCCAGAATTGCTAAAACTCATGCTTGACCCGCTTTTCGAGAACCAGGAATCCGGTCATTACCCCAACAAATACTCGATACATGACTTGGGAACACATTACCCCAACGCAACAGGCTATACCGACGGAGGCGACGAGGCAATGCCACTCGAGGAATGCGGCAACATGCTGGTTATGACTTTAGTTTACGCTCAGCGGACTAAGAACAAAGACTATCTCAAGCAACACTACAAGATGTTGGACCAATGGGCACAGTACCTCATAGACGAAGCACTCATTCCAGCAAAACAGATCTCAACAGATGATTTTGCTGGGCCACTCGAAAACCAAACCAATCTAGCTCTCAAGGGTATGATTGGCATCCAAGCCATGGCTATCATAGCCAACTTAACCGGCGACACCGCTACAGGGGCGAACTATACCAACATCGCAAGTTCCTACATTGACCAATGGCAAACACTCGGTGTAGCGCACGATGCCGACCCACCACACACAACACTGAGCTACGGTTCCAACGACACACATGGCCTACTGTATAACATCTACTGCGACAAATTGCTCGCCACGAACCTTGTTCCGCAGAAGATTTATGACATGCAGAGCGCATTCTACCCCACTATAATGGGCAAGTACGGCGTGCCCCTTGACACGAGACATGCCTACACAAAGAGTGACTGGGAGATATTTGTCGCAGCCGTCGCATCGCAGAGCACCAAGGATATGTTTCTCGGGAAAATTGCGAGCTGGATTTCTGAGACGCCAACTAACCGCGCCATGACCGATTTATATGAAGTGCCAACTGGAAGGTATGCCGTGCTCCCATTTGCATCATTTTTCCCTTTCAGGCCTATGCACTTATAATTCTATGTTCGCCGTTTGAATAAGTAATTACTAACAGCCTTCTTTAGCTTTCCTGGTGGCCTAACTTTCACGGCAAGACCTGTGGTTGGTGGCTTTTTTGCGCTTTTGGCCCTGAAGGGTGCTTCTTCTGAGCCATTCTGATATGCTATTAGGCTGGGTTTATTAGCTTTTTTTTCTGGAGGGAAATGCAAGTAGGATGTCTGATGACTTTAGGAGAGCGTAGGGATAAACGATCAAATTGCTTTTCATATCCTTGCTACTAGCAGACGAGATTTCGAGTAAAACCTGGGCAGTTAATCGTCCAGAGGTACTTCAAATACATTTTGTTATCCTCGATCTCGTATAGATATGAGTACGTGGAAGAGTCATCTGAAAGACGTAGTGAGTAATGAATCGGGCTTCTCCCACGGAAACGGAAAATGTAATCCAATGAAAAAGCCTTTGGAGTGTGTTGCCGATATCTCCTTAGAGTAACCGCCGTATTAACAAGTACGTTCTTTGCGGGAGTAGGTACTTCCCTTCTGAATATGAGCATTAAATGCTGGCATCCTACGAAGTACAGCGAATTCCTTCTATTTATGTCCTACAGATTTGGTTTTGCGTATTTTAGGGTACTAATTGTATTTAATAGGGGTTACCACGAAGTACGTACAGTGTACTACGAACGGGACTCGGGCTAAAGGTAATCCGGAGTTTATTTAATCCGTGTACTCGTACCCCTTAATGCTCCTCGGCTCAGCTTTTGCCTCATTTATCACCACGACACGACTCTTTCCAGGCCCTCCCCAACGTTCATTTCAGGCTCTAACTTCTTTAGCTACTGTGGTTACCTCTTGTATATCCAGCCTATCTTCTTCTTACTCTATTTCTCGTACCTAGCCTTAATATCGACTCGATGAGCACCAGCGCGCAATGGGCATCTTCTCCTATGTAAGGAGCATCTACGCCCTCGACACAATCGACACACGCTTCACCAACTCCTCGTCCACTCCTTATAAAGCGGTCCTTGATGCACGCATAGACCCTGCCACGTCGACATCGAAACGATACGACTCGATCCAAGGGGATGCCGTCAAGACGGATCGCAATGGCCGGCCTCTAGCAGAGCCTTCGAAATGGAACACCCCGGAGTTTTACATATATTATATTGTGTTTTTAACGGTTGTGCCATACATGTTCTGGATCGCATACGATGTGTCAAGACGTTAGTAAAGGGCTCTCCAATCTGACCAATTCCTTCTAAGGTTGTTACAGCATCTGATCCGAATTACCATAAATTCGAGCCATATCTGTCCCCAGGCTGGATACCGGGTCGCAAGATTGTACGTCGTAACTTCGAGAAGTTTACGGGATCTATACTCACAGAACGTAGGATATATCCGATGCCCAATATTTTACGTTCCGGCGCAACATACCGTACATGTCGATCCTTCTAACGCTGCACCCTCTCGCTCGAAAATTATACAACCGCTTGCGGCCAATACCCTCACGAAACAATTCTCCGAAAGTGAATGGCAGCTTGCCATATGGTTCAACAGCAGAAGGAGAAGCGCGGCTGGAGCAGCGAGCATCCTTTGACTTTGGATTTGCGGTAGTATTTTTGGCGGCTTTGCATGGATTTTCGGTGTTCAAGGTCCTCTTGATATTATACGCCAACTTTGTTATTGCGACACGGCTTCCTCGAACTTATATTCCGGCAGCAACATGGATATTCAATATCTCCACTCTCTTTGCCAATGAGCTTTCGGCAGGGTATCCGTTTGCGAAGATTGCATCGTTTATATGGCCGCTTGGAGCGGATTCCGGAAACGCCTTGGTTAGCTGGGGCAGTTGGTTTGATAGCCACAGTGGAATTATGCCTAGGTGGCAGATTCTTTTCAATCTTACCGTGCTGAGGCTTATAAGCTTCAATTTGGACTACTACTGGAGCCTTAGCCAACGAGGCGCCAGCGTATTAGAGGTTCGTCTTCCTCCTACAAAAATCATAGTACGAGAGCTAATACCCACAAGAAGAAACAACTCGACCCTGCTAACCTCTCCGAAAGAGACCGCATCAACATTTCCGCCAACGCAAAGGATTACAATTTCCGCAACTACGTCGGGTACGCCATCTACGCGCCATTATACCTCGTTGGCCCAATCGTAACGTTCAACGACTACATATCCCAGATCAAGTATGCACCAAAGACCATCGAAACTTCTCGGACTATCAAGTACGGAATCCGGTTTCTACTCACTCTGCTCGCTATGGAGGTCCTCCTGCATTACGACTACTGCATCGCAATCTCGAAAGCACACCCCACCTGGTCCGATTACACCCCGGCGCAGATCTCGTTACTCTCATATTTCAACCTTCACGTATTATGGCTAAAACTTCTTCTTCCTTGGCGATTCTTCCGTCTTTGGGCTCTTATTGACGGTATGGACCCTCCAGAAAACATGCTCCGCTGCCTCTCCAACAACCCATCCACTGTCGCATTCTGGCGGGCCTGGCACCGAAGCTTTAACCGTTGGCTGGTTAGGTATATATATGTACCTCTGGGAGGTTCCAGCTCAAGGACCTGGATATCGACTGTGCGGTCTGTTATCAATTATGCTGCTGTGTTTACGTTTGTGGCGTTATGGCATGATATCAGTCTGAACCTATTGATCTGGGGATGGCTGATTGTGTTCTTCATGATGCCGGAGGTTATTGCGGGGTATCTGTTTCCAAGAAAGAGATGGGAGAATAATCCTACGGCATACAGGGTGCTGTGTGGGATTGGGACCGTTGGAAATTTGGTTATGATGGTCACGGCGAATTTAGTAGGGTTTGCAGTAGGTGTGGACGGCTTGAAAAGTATTATTAGTGGGATTTTCAAGGATTACTCAGGTTTGTCGTCGATCCCCATTACAGAAACCCCCATTCCTTAATGCTCCAGTGACTAATGGTAACCATCAGGTATCGTGTTCATACTCACCGCATCATCGGCGTTGTTTGTGGGTATTCAAATCATGTTCGAAGTACGGCAAAGCGAAGCGAGGAAAGGCATTTTCCTCAAGTGTTGAAAGAATAGAATTTTGCAAGGCATTCTACTACAAATGAAATCGCTTTTGGTAGCCTCCATGGACAGCAAGATTGTTGAAGTGACCGTAACGCCAGTGATGACGCCATACTGTTGAGGGAAGGAATTTGAAGCCGAACATGAGCGTCAAAGAATATCAACCAAACCAACAATGACACCAAAGTGAAAGAAAGCCTGTTAAATTGCTATTACATAACTTAAATGGGGGCTAAAGAAATCAACGAATAGGCAAGGACGGGGAAAAATCATCATCCTCAGCATCCTCCGTTATCTGTATCACCAGTGACGCCAGGGCTATAGCTCTTTCCTGGAGTTCCGCTCCAGCAAGTCGAAACAAGTATCACAAGGAGAGTTCATCAACCCAATTAAAGCAATGCAGTAAGTAAAAGAGAAGCTGCAAGTTGGTACACGTTCATCCTTCACATACAGCAAGGTTGTTGAATTCTCCGTTTTGCTTGTGGTGTTTCCATTGTTGTTGAGCCGTCATCAAATAGTTCTCCCCTCCAAAGGAACAATCAAATGACTGTTGGAGAAGTTGTGGTAGTCCGAAAGGAAATGGCAATTATCAAAAAGGTGCGATTGGGACTCTAAGGCTAGTGCTCAGAAAGCTCATCTGTTAATATTCGGCAAATTGAAATTTAGGCGGTTGAGAATAGAGCCGCTCAAAGAAGTAGTCATTTCTGTTTCTGCGCCTATCGATAGCCCAGTTTAGCATCCTAACATCTTGCAATTCACTACCTTTGTCTATAACTACTGCTCCATAGCCCTCGTGTCTTTCTTTACCGGTTATTCAAGGGCAATGCATCTACGAAAGATATATTTCTGCTGCAAGTGTAGCTCGTTCCTTTCGTGAATATCCGTTAATTACCTGATAACACTACCCGGCAACCACCTTTTATCGGATGTGTCATTCTTGCATATTGGGCAGGTAGCTCGCCTACAGTCCTCCCAATATCACATGGCAGCCTTTGAAACGCTCGACGAGCTCGTGTGTTACAATATGGCCCGGCATGTGCTCATCCATCCGAAAAAATGCATCCATCAAGGCTAAGAGGGCACATGTCAATGTCTTCAAGGCGTAAAGTCCCATCACCAAGAAGATTCAGCCGCATGTTAATGGCCTTCGAGATCAGGCTATGTCTGGTAAGTGGGGGGGCTCTTCATACATAGTGTGATCAGTGTTGAAGTGGTTTCGCAGTTTGTTTCTACAAGGGGCCCTTCTATAGAGCCCACTATATTGCACAGATATCCATTGCTCCTATATATTTTCTGAGATGCTCGATAAATTTATCGAGCCTCGGAAGTACTTTTGTGGCACGGCTGCATCCATACACTGGCATAATAGGGTGCATGATTGAAGAGTATTTTTCTCGTGGTAATGGAGCTCAAAATTCGGTGGGAACATGGATTTACAACCTGGATAGTCGCACCGGGTTCTGGGTCTAGCACCCTTTGCCCTTTTTAGTCCGAACTGATGCAGTAGTCGGAGTTTTCTCAGTCCACAGTTCGGGTTAATTCAAGGGAGCCGTAACTTGGCCTTCGCCTAGTTGTTGATGGTTGTTTGAGGGATTGCTACTCCCTAGCTATCTACTAGTGAGCGCTGTAGCTGCCGGCAGCTACCAAGGTTGCAAAAGCACTTGACCAGTAGGCAAGGGATCCTCCTAAGAGGACTCCTACGCTTACCTAGAGAGCAATTTATTTTGAACCTAAGACCTAAATATAGTTGTACATATCAAACGCCATCATAGTTTAACCAAAAAACAACATGTTACAACTCCCAGTCGCGCCAACCTAACGCAAAGCACCGACACTTTTACAAAAATCCCTAGAGTTAAATAATGCTAACATGTTGCTTGTGCCTCTCCTGACAACTGGTGTATATGCCGTTTTACTCTTCTATTGCGTGTTTACTACTTTCTGTCTATCTACCACATACTCCTAACTAACCATTACACATGGCTATCTCCCCTACAACACACATCCTCCAATCCCATCTCGCAGCTACCATCAAGTCATCAACTTTCAAAATACCAGCTCCAAGTTCTACTAAAGTCTCCCAAATGTTATTCCGCCAACTACCGGCCAAGCTGGCGTACCCCAGTATCTACTTGTCGTTCCAAAGCTCATTAGCTCTCTTTGTTTGTGCCTTGATTGTTTCCTTCTGGTTCTTAGTTAAGCGCCCGAACGTAACCCACCCTACACCGTTACGAATGGATGTACTGCCGTAGTATGAGTTATTACTATTATATGGTGTGTTCGGCTCCGAGAGCTTCGTGATAGGCGCATCGTAGAATATTTGTCGGTATGTCATATTTGATATAAGCTTGTGGAGCGGTACATCACCGGTTGCAACCACGGTGATTGGGTGCTGCGCGATAATAGCACTCGTAGTCCAGTGCGTGAGGTAGCCCTTCTCCTCCAACGGCTTTAGTTTTTCCATGACCGCCGTCCAAGTCGCCGGCGTATTAGGCTTAAAGTCCAACAGCAAAACATCAGAAGTATTCGGCTCCACAGAAAAGACCCCCACCGGAATATTACCAGAATCACGAAGCTACTTCTCTTCACTCTTACTCGCGCTCTGCACCTCGTTCTGTTTCTCTAGGATATTTATCAGTGGCCGCAAATACAAACTCTCCAATGTCATCTCCTCTTTCAGACTCTTTCTATCATGCCCCACAAATAGTTCGTTCTACCTGCCCCTCTGCATTCTCCCATTCAAATATCCACCCCAGTGATTTTGCACCCAGCTGCTAAACCCTCGTACAGGGGGATTCTGTGCCAGTAATTGTTGTGTGAATAGCACTTGACAGGCTTGATGTTTACGCTGAAATATACGGCCCAGGATAGGCTTGCGGGGTAGGTTGAGTTGGGAGTGCGGTAGGCTGAGAGGATGGTTTGCAGCCCGTTGTCGTGTCGAATTATGGGGTAGCGGTTTACGACTATGAGAACCAAGGAGAGCCAAGTTCTTTCAAGGGTGTGTTAACTTAGTAATAAATAAGAGGTAATAGGCTGAGACTTACATTATAGCGACAGTGTCGGTGAACATAGCTATTAACATCCAAGCGATAACCTCCGAATATGTGTGTTTTTGCAAAACGTTTGGAAACATGAAACTCTGCATGGTATCCTACTATGATTTCCAGAAAAGGAACAACCTCGCAGTGCTTCTGTCATCCTGTGCTTGTAGGCTAGAATTTTAGTACTGAACATACCTCATGAATCTGAACTGGATGAGCTGTCGTCACCTGCCGTAGCACGATCAGTATGGAATTTGAGCGAGATAGTGAATCTCAGATGATATATAAGGGTACTAAGGAAGATGAGCCCAGTGTTATGGATTTGGCATTTCTTTGAAGTTCCTGTCGGGGGCATGTATACTACCTAGGTACTTTAAGTGAGGATGAATAAAGTGGATGAAAACTTATCTCACTTCCTCGGCCATTCTTGAGATCTAGGAATAGCGTTGACATTTTAGAGCCATAGGGATCCTTTGTCTAGCCGCAGGGCGTCGAATGTTTTTGCTTGCAGCGTGGATATGAAAATAGAAGTTCATCCTTGAAGCTACACAAGTTGAATCCATCGTACGTGCTAGAGAAACCCGAGTCGCAGGAGCCGCCGCCGCGGGAGTCGCAGGAGTTCCGACGAGTGGTGCTCATGTGAAGGCATCGAGGCTATGGAGAGTATCCTTGTGCCAGACGGTCCAGACTTGCAAATGACTTCCATTTACTACGTACATAGGGATACAAACAGTATCAAGCCCGTGCTAGGTCAAGAGATCTAATTTTGACAGTCACCCAGAACGGCCAAGGAATGAATTGACTGATGTTGCTGGCACCCGCGGCAACCAAGCCCCCTTGAGGCTGTACGGAGCAACTCCTTTAAAGAAATTATACCGCATCTCCATGGTCACGGTCTTGTTAGGCTGTAGTACTGGCCTCTCAATAAGGTTGGAATAGAGGAGGCTGTCCAGCCCAAATGGGGTGGGCGCGGATACAGCTTCACGAACCCTCCGTCAATTAAAAGAATTAGCCTTATGGAGTACGAGTAATGGCTTGCATACATATGATTCTTTTTTGGGGTGAAACCGGAATATTATATAGGGCGCATCGGGGCCAGCAAACCCCAGCAAACACCCTAGAAAGCTTACTGTGCCCTCTCCCCCTGAAAGCCCCCAATAACCTGATCGATTGGCGCGGTGTACCTAGGTAAGGTAGGTAGTATTGCGGTCGAGTGCGTCACGGCGCATCGTGGGAAGCCCCTCGCTAAATTCCCTTAATTCCAACTTAATCGCGACTCCCATTCAAGTTCAAGTTCAAGTCCTTATTAGGCCCACTTTTTCTCCTTCTCCCTTCGCCCCCTAGCCTCCAGCATCTCGGCTTTCATTCTCAGGATCGGATAAATAAACCTCTCCATATCATCTCGATGTCTGGTCCAAGTTTGCGCAGGCCCAATAGCCTCCTCCAACATTAAATCACTAGGTAGCCCTACCGTAACCATGAGCTCCTGCATCTCCAGCAGCACCGGACCGCATAATGCAACTGCCGCGGTCATCACTCTCGGTCCTGATGCCATAGATCAGCGTGCAGCGACGCAGGCACGGTAATGCGGCCAACAGCCGGGGGAGCCTTAGGTACCATGTCGGCGCCTGCTCCTTGGGGTTAACAATAACAATGTCGCGGGTACAAGATAGCCGCCACTTCCTGGTCATTTGGCATCATGCGCTTGAAATCGTTGCGCTGAAGTTGTGCTGGTAGTTCCGCTGCCATGGCAATTGCCTTAGCCCTGAAGAAAGACTGCTTGCCGAGGCGGCGGATCCGTCGGTTGGTGCAATTGATGGCAATCCAGTCAGCCTGGTGAACCGACTGAGCATCGCGTTGATGCGAGGGCGTATTGCCATAGGGGCCAGTATTGGTGAAGAGAGGGTCTTTAGCACCAGTAGAGGATTCGAGGATAGGGGGAGGAAAATACCAGCGTTTACGGATCAAACTAATGTTCACTGCGGGATATGGGTTGTCCATATAAAACGGCGACTCTCGTGCCATAGAAAATTCAAGGATACGTTGCAGAGTCTCGTCTGGTAGACGGTCGAGAATTGAGACCTGTGGCGAGGAAGTCATGATTGATTCGCATTTGAAAGATCTCCAATTTGCGTAGTACGAGTAATCTGAAAAATAGGATGGCTTCAAGCAAGAGTCTCGTATAGTGCAATTTAGCATATAAGTCTAGAAGGTAAAATAGTAGAGAAAAATCCGTGCAAACTACTACGCACAAAATGCAGGAAGATAATTCTCTTAGAGGTAGCTGTGTGTACAGAGTGACGACGCAGAGTAAGGTAGGAACATACACACGTATACGATTACAAACGGGCACGTGCTACAAGAATATGTCCGAGGTAATATACTTGGTAGCCGTGTGTTTCGTGTCGTAGGTACGTCTCGTATAAGTTAAGTAGTTTTCTTTCGAGTCGATTATTATTCACCAATGAGTCGGCTCATCATACTGTACCTGGTATATCAGCCGTCCTATGGTTGGTTAGTGATAACTGACACAGGCTGTCAACAAAACATCCGAGTGTCGGTACTTAGACAACCTCTTGACCTTTTAGGATATTTGTGAATGTATAAGGAGTACTCTTTATAAGATTGATATATACCGAGGTCAAATTAATATTATTTATAAAGGAAAACATTTATTCTAAGGTTAATACGATCTAGTATACTTCCAACTTACTTATAGATCCTACGAATAGGAGGATTCTTAATCGGGTCATTTCCGAAAATAATGTCATTACTATAGGAGCTGCTACTGAAGGTGTTCCAAAATGCATGTTGATTGATCTATATGCGCAGTGGCGTTAGTCACCGGACGGCACAGTGCAATTCATGGTGATCGAGGTGCTCCAAATGCAACGGCCACACATACCAACACGATCTCGAATCATTTTCTGCGCCTTCATATGGATGTGCATTCGTTATGGTCATGAAGATGTGGACGACGGCGAGGAAACCTGTGCGCCCCGAGTCAATGGCGAAAAAGATTCAAGGCGAGGCCAACAAACGTAAGAGAGGACAAGTGAGTCGGTGCGTTTGGGGTGTTCGAAGGAGCACTCTCATCGCCACGACTGCTTGCGACCGCTCTTTCATATCTGTAGCTGATAGATTTGGGCTTTCTGGCGGTGTCCTGGGACATGCTCGGAATAGGGGGACGGCCTGGACCATCTCCGAGGAAGCCATATCAACGCGGAGGATTGATGATGGCTTGGATGTGCAAGATAGGCAAGATGATGCGAAGTGAGAGGTTTCAGAAGTTGAAGAGCTGCGAGAGAAGGTGAGTCGAGATCAAACTTGAGGGGGAATCAGTACCCTTATCACACCATTCTTCACGCTGGACGTCTAATCCATCTTGAGAAGCCAACGCCGGATAGTCGATTCAGGAAGCTGATTCCTTCATCCCCGGATAAACGAGCGGTCAACGGCCGTAGCATTATGTGTTGGCCCTTTGAATAATCAAGATGGCTTTCACATCATGCAACAAAGACAACGGGAAGAGAGGCTCCTGAGACTGGCTATAGAGAGAAGTGATAAGGGCATTGTGGAATGGGTACATCATGGGCAAGTGTCAATCGATGGTACTGTAGGATTGACACAATCGCCAATTTGCGACTCCAGAAATTGAGGAATCACATCGTCGAAAAATCAAGTCACAAGTAGGGTGCAGCATGGGGGGCCATTACCCACGCCCCAGATGGGTTTGGGCGCCCCAATGGGTGGGGGGGGGGTCGAGTTTTCTGCCCTATGGAGCATAAGGTATGAAGCGTAAAAAAGGTATACCCCAATTATAGGGTCCTATAACTATTTTTTATTTCTCTTTTTTAGAAAGTATAATATATAAGTAAGCACATAGTTTATTATATATAGAATTAGTATATATATATATACTTTAGCTAGTTGTAAAGTTATTTGTTAAGTTGTCGAGCTATCGCAAGTCGAGTGGTAAAGTCGTCGAGCTGTCGAGTCGGCGGGCTGTACAAACACAAGCTACACGTAGTTCTGAAGGACCGGAGGAGATAGAAGCGACCCGGAGTAAGAAGCGAAATTAGGACTAGTCTTTTAAGTAAAGTACAGCTACTCACAGGCCACTCTCTTATCCTACGTCCGTAACTAGAGGATAGTCGACCGGGGAGTTTGAATCGCCCCCGGAGCTACAACTCGCCGACTCGATAGCTCGATAGCTGGACGCTACGACCACTCGACGTCTTGACTTTGCAATAATTAATAATAAAATATAACTAGGTCACGTATTAGTATTAGAATAGAAGATAAAGCTTACTATGTAATAGTTTCAGCATAATTATTAACTTTCTTTTTTATTATCTACTAATCCCTACTAAACCTACACTTTTATATACCTAAGGAAGTACTTTAGTACTATAATATCACATAGCTTATATTATATGATAAGGTCACATGCCCCATAGGAACTTATTGCCCCAGAAGCCACCTCTACTCCGTATGGGGTCCCCATGGGTTGGGCCGTCAAAGTACGCCCCAGCCCATGGGTGGGTTGACATCTCAAAACCCGTCCCCATGGGGCCCCATGCTGCACCCTAGGACTCACAAGGGATAGACAAACGCGGTTGATGTGTACTTCGTAGTCGTTTGGCATTTTTGGTATGGAATACGTCATTGGTCTACCACAAAGGCCTAAACCGTGGCGTCATTCACGCTGGACTCAGCGCATTATATCACCAGTCTCTGACTCTCTGATCATCGAGGACAGCTGGGATCCCTCCTGACCGAAATGCTTCAACCTGATCCCAAAAGCGCCCATCTGCAGATGAGTGTCTTTCAAAGTTTCCACTGCAGCAGGGCCCCAGTTTCCCAGCTGCTACCCAAGCGTCAAAGAGGAGAAGATACCAATGATCGACCATCCGAGAAGATCGCTTGGCAATGATCCCTTCGAGTGCCCAGAAGCGAAAGCGTGCTCGCTTGGGACAGTCAGAATGCAATCTCCAACCAGAACATCAAATATTAGACCTATTTGGATCACGGTGGTTAAGGAACTCGCTGCGCAGGCGCAAGGAGATGAAGCGGAGCTGGAGTTGTTTGCATCAGAATCTCATTCAGGGAGGACGGATGTATCGGGGGATGGTCGTATGACTATAGAGGCTGTCGAATTATCTCGAGGCATCAAAAGTGAACGAAATCCTAGAGGATGGGTCCCTGAAGACAGCTGAGACCGAGAGCGACAAGAAATAGTCCGCCAGCTACTCTGCTCAACCCAGGAAAAACCCGACGAAGAACTTGACAAATCACTACAAAAAGGCACGACTTCGGATTCAACAGTTTCGTTTCAGCGGCTTTCATTGATTATGTCATTGAGTTCCAATCCCTTGGTCACGTAGGGAGGAGACTAAGTCATGGAGGGTTTAAAAGACCACGAAAGTTCCTCAGGGAAATTACACAAGCGAGAAATAGGCCAGGCAGAAGACCGCGAGGCACCAAAGGGAGAATATCAAGTGACAGAAATTCAGACACAGGAGGAGGACGACTTGCTAGCTCAAGAGATGGATAACCTGTCCAATGCACGTATTGTCGATAAAAACACAGCCATCACTCCTTTAGAAAAATGGTAGGGGACTCGCACGATGTATCGAAGCCAGCTAAAGACTGGACGTTGAAGAATATGGCACCAATGGAAGTTCGAGCTTCCGAAGCTCGAGATGATGGTAGAGGCGGCGCATGAGCTTGATAGGGCTACTATGGTCTCCTTGGAACTCTTGCATTACTACTCCTCCCCGAAGCTGGCCCCAATAAATATTTACAAGCCGTATCAGAGCTCCCACGGCATTCGCGATGAATTTGTCGAGCTTCCTTTCCCAAGGTTGTGTCCTCTCTGCCGCTGTTCTAGATTTCCTATTCTCGCTCGAGCCGGGCGCCGCGGACCTTACCACTACGCGTGTCGCCCCTGTCTTATGCATAGCAGTCTACCTTTTCGGTCCCTTGAAAACAGAGTTCGCCACGGTCCATTGCTAAAATCTTTCGTTGGTTTCCGGCAACACCTGCCAGTTGGAAAAGTGTTGCGAAATTTGTGTCGTCTTAGTAATGCTACTCGGTCCTTTAGCTGCCGCAGGCGGTTGAACCAGTTGGGCTTCAGGATCCTCCTGATTTTGCTCTGGTGTACGAGACCGATGGTCGCTGCAAGCTGTCAAGGGATAGCCATATGGGTCGCTGGGAGTTTTGTCATAATCGTTGCCGCGAAGGCTCAGTCGTTTCGATCTTTTCGGATTAGAAACACTTTTGCCGTGAACGTAATTTGATGAGTTGAATAGCCTCTTTGCTATTTTCTGGTTGACGAGAGGTCTTAATGTTGGGATGCAAGCCGCGATAATGATCAGATATTGTTCTGTGCAAGCCCAGATGGCGAGGTCCATTGTATCATGCGTGTAGTCACTTCGGGCTGTTAGCGAAGCAATATTGATGGTTTTGACGATCGCTGCTATCATGGCACTAGGGAACACGATCAGCCTTTTTGAGAATCATGCTGAGCGTTGAAAGAAATGCGTACATCACACCAAGCGACATCAGAGCGGCAAGACCGGCTTTTAATTTTCGGGGCATGCTCAAGTTCCAGATGGTGATGGCTGGATAGATCGCCAGGACTAAATCTGTGAACGCAGAGAAAGCTGCATCCATAATATTAGCGCAGCTCTACTAATCACAAGAAGAAACGGGGTATGGCTAGCATTACAGCCTTGAAAGAATGCATAATCCCTCTGGCTTTCCGGACTCCAACAGGATCCCTTTACACTCGGGTCCCAGAGCGTTGCTGCAGGTGTACATTGACCGAAAATGGTGTAGACGCACACCACGTTGAAAATTGTTTGTAGGACCATGCCGGCATAAAAGTAATACTTGTGATTATTCGCATTCTGAATGATTCGAACCAGGAGTAGCGCGACCGAGACCTTCCCCCAATTCGTGGACAACACATGGAGACTTTGTGATATCCAATCCAGCATACTTGCCTGGACCCGATCATAGTCCGAAAGTTCGGATCCATGCTTGCCCATGCCATGATGAATAGCCGCGGTGACCACGGCGGAGTTGGCCATGGCGCAGAGCTTTAAAGGAAAAAAGTGTCAGTCTCGATCCCAGGTCCTCCTCTGGTGGGGATGTTCACGAACCATTGCCATAACGATGAAAGCAACATCCCAACCGCCCGCCTTCACGAGTCGTAGACGTATCCAGACTCTTGCCCCAACCACGCCCGCACTGAGAGTACATAGAACCCATGTTAATGGCAAGAGTATATCGGCTTTATTCGACATATTCAGAGGGTATGCTCAGTTCAGTTCCAAAACACGTTGATGAACCGGACAAGAGCATAGTCCATCAGCTGATCCTGATGTCCACTATATAAGGTATATGCTAGATTTCCAACAAGGAGAACGAACCACTGCTCTCAGACTCCAGAGGAGCGCGGGCTTGCGGGATGTGCTTGCCACTGCCGGCTAGCAGCCAATAACTTGTCGTACCCAGATGCAGGGTAGCTCGCTGGTGATGCACGCCTGGGCGATCATCTTCACATACGAAGATCTCCAGGAACGGGCTCGGCATAATCCGACCCGCCACGGTTCTCGCTGCGTGGGGATCAATAATTTTACCAGGCCAGGACCAAGCACGCCGCCGTTGTCTCTCTTTGTTCTCTCGTGCTACCGAGCGGCGGCCTTAGCGGCTCGGCCCAGCTCTTCCCCGTGGGGCACGGTCACACAAACTTTTCAGGTCCGCGCGATCTGCAGCATCGCGGTGTGGTATACAGTAGTATCTACATGTACGAAGTACGACGAAGTACGAAGTACATGTACATGTACCTCCCGTACTTGTTAGATCATCGAGCAAGGCCGGCGCAGGGCGAGCTTCAATGACCTTGGTGCCCGGTAGTCTTATACAGTACTCCCCCCCTCCCCCCCCCTAATTAATTGTAACGGTGGGCCCCCTGTCCTCCCATACAAAATAGCCCTACGACCAGGGGGCCTACTGTTATAATTATTTGCGGGGGTGGTGGAGAGTACAGCACTCGTAGTGAGTTTCGGTGCTGGCTCACCAGCACGAGTAAGCAGGTTCCCTATTCCCTATCTCGTAGTGATTGGCAGCGTCGGGGACGCTCGAGCCGCCCAGCGCGGGCCGTGAGTACGGGGTGGAAACAAGATCGAACACTCTTAGCTGCTACAAGTACTTTTCGTAGTGCGGAGTAAGTATAGAATCCATTACCTCGCCGCACACGGACTGCGTCTTTTTCGTCTAGGGGATGATTGGTTTTGAACGTACTGCATAACTGGTCTTGTTTCGTCCTGGAGAACAAAACGGCGGGAGCCACAACAATGCCAATGCGGACCTTGTTGGGGCACGTAGCCAGCCAGCCACGTCCAAGGTGCTTCTCGAGTCTGGGCGGCCGGACGCACGATGGATTCGCTGCGGCCGGGGGATGGCTCGAATATGAGCGGTGGTGCAAAGCAAAGGGCGAGACATAAGATAAGAATATACATACTGTATCATGAGAGCGCTTGTTTGACTGTATTCCGAATGGAACGTTGAAGTCCGCTGAAAACGGATATCGTTGTGCTCGTGCGCGACCTCGAGCTTGCAGAGCCTCTTTCCTTGGGACCGATGCAGGGACGAGCCCTACAGCACCCATGCCGATGATCACTAGCTGGCTGCTGTCTGTACTAAGTACTGTACTGTACTAGCTATTGCTATTGTTGTCATGTACTTCGTATTCAAGTACGAAGGATGCACGGATAATCCGCGCGTGGAGAGGAGAGGCTGAATCCCCCGCCGTCCCTTCTTGTACTGTACGTCCGTAAGTACTCGTACTAGTATTATTGTACCAGTTCTGTACCAGGACTGGCCCGGCACCCGGCTCCCGGCACGGACCCTCGACGCTGTTCATGTTCATACCCCAGATATAGATACAGATACAGCATGGAGTTAAAATAAGTTCTATATGTAGGTAGGTAGCAGATAGCTTTGCAAAAAGAACACAAGGAGACAACAGTGAAGAAAAGGGGTGGATCGTGCAATCTTACCATTCCTAGATAATATATATAATATAACTTAAACACTCAATTAATCCTCAGCTTGAATTTGTAGGCTGTAGTTATCTTTTATTAGTAAACCTTAGGTCTTTTCTAGTTATCGATATAGGGACTTCTTCTTGAAACGTTAGCTATTTGTTACTCTTGATATTACCAACATTTTATTTCTTTTCGTTGTATTACTATTATTATTATTATTATTACTATCATCATAGTTTATTATACTTTGCTTAAACTTAAACCCTTGAACCTGTTCAAGGGAATGATAGGCTGCCGGTCACAATCCCAGAGTCTCCAACAAGGCGGGGCCTGGGTCGCACATCCACACCCAAGAGCTGAGCTGCCTACCCATACCTTGCCTAATTTCTGCTCGCACGGCCACTCCAGCACCCAATTCAGAACCCTTTTGGCACCCCCGCCACAGAAACAGGATTCACACGTACTTATAATGTGAATTGCCGGCCGTGGTTCCTGCTTGTCGGATTGACCATCCAAGGATACGTGCTCCGTCGACCAATGACTGAATGCTCGGCCACTATGAACGAGTTTTGAGTTTTGAGTTTTGAGCGTCCAGAGGATGTACTAGTATTGGCCTTTAATCAACCCCCGCTCTTGAATTGCGAGACAATCCTATCGGGTGAGTCACCAGCACCCGGGGAATTTTTTAGAGGGAATTGATAGGACATCGCGTCCTGTATGCTGGTGATACCTATAAATAATCGCCCAGCTGATGCTAGTAGCCCAGAGCGTCGCACTATACCTTTGAATCTAGAATCAATGTGGGAGCGGTGGTACACATCCACGCCTCTCCTTCTCAGCAGCCTCTCAGCCGCACATCCTCATTTGTAAAGATACCGAGAACGACATCCTCTCAAAAACCAGGACCCCCCCCCCCNAAAAATAGTTATAGGACCCTATAATTGGGGTATACCTTTTTTACGCTTCATACCTTATGCTCCATAGGGCAGAAAACTCGACCCCCCCCCCACCCCTGTCTCTTATACACATCTAGATGTGTATAAGAGACAGCCCTTTTACTATACCACCTTGCTGCAGGTTCATACGATTGTCATCTATCTTTGATAATCATAATTTATATACAGGCCAGACTATACAAACATACTCCGTATACGAACGTCGCCAATACGATTATGATTGCGGTCGTAGGGCAACAGGGGAGGTCGTTACTTGTGAACCTTGACCGAGAAACGAATGCCCTATAGTCACAACCCCATCTTTCGGTGCTGCAAATATCGACTGTCCTACATATAACTACCCAACACCCACCTCCATAAGTACGCAAGCCTTGGCGTTGAAGAATTCGTAGCAGTGGCCCTTAATAACGAAACAGGCTGAGGAACTCTTGGCTCGGAAATGTAGCTATTCACTGCGACTTTTGGTTTGCTGGGGGTAAGGCCAGGTCAGAAAAGAGTACTACTTTGATGTACTACAAGGTACATGTACATTACATTGAAAAAGTTGTCCGTATCACTTATGAAATCCAACCCAGAAATCGCTAGAACCAACCGATCTTGCTGAGCCTTTCCCACCTGATACCACCAGCCTCCTCTAGGTGGCTATGATATCACTATGTGCTTCCGTCCAGACTCCAACATCTTAGTAGACCTACCAAATGTTGTTCCACTTTGTTGGCAGCTACACCATATATATATAGAAACTGTTGGCATCGCAAAGACTCCATCAGATACCATCACGCTTCAACAGGCTTTATTGTCCTCGGCGCAGGGTTCTTCTGCCAGCCATAAACCCCAGCGCTGATAGATGTTACAGCCCAGTGGAAACATCTTCTCCCTGTGCAACAAACTTCAATGAAAACTCCACATCCCCCATCACCGCATCTATAAACTGCTCCTCCACGTCTGACTGCAGCCACGTAAAACTTACTACCAAATCTCCTCCCACAACACGTGCAACATTAACCCCAGCTACCGGCCAAGTACCCATGCCCGACTGCGTGAATACCACCCGCTCAATACTCCATCTCCCATCTCCTTCATTCTTCAAACTCCCCATATTACTTACTTCACACGTGTTCTGTCGCGGCTTGCCCCTTTTTGACTTGAAAAACCGTGTATATCGGAGATATATAGTAGGATGCCTAGTATATTATCATTTGGTAAGCGTGTGATTTCCTCGGTCATGGATGAATGGAAGCTGCGCGCAATGCTCCATATTCCCTCTGTGAGTTGTTCTGGCGTTCGGGCTTTGCGAATCGAGGCTAAGGCTTCTGCATTATATATAGATTCCAACGATGAGACTTGAACGGCCATCTCAGTTGGCGATAAGCCCGTGAGATGACGGAGTGAGAAGGGCGTGGTGGATGCGAAAGATTGGGCATTGCGAATGTGGGTGTTGAGTGAGGTTAAGAGGATGCCGTGGAGCAATCTTGTAAGAGTTGCGTTTTCTTTTCGACAGCGAGACAGGATTGCAGCCAGAATATGGGAAGGAAACGCGAGGAGTTTCATGCGAGAAGTGTAGCTTGAGGTATTCGTCTGTGAAACCGGGTTGCCAGTCCATGACGGCGGCGGGTCCGGGAAGAGCCAGCTCGGTTTGTATTCGTTCGAGAGTACTTGGAGGAGGAAATCCAAGATACCTTAAAGTCGACACAATCTTCTATGGGTGGTGACAGCCTTACCGAAGATGGGATTGCGAGTATATTTGAGGGCAATTTGGAGGTTATGGAGCCAAGGGCTGAAAGGAAAGACCTGTGGAAGGCCATCCCTCTAAGACCATCACCGATGGCCTGATGAGAGGCAAAACTTGCGTCGAATTTCACTTCCCCTCTGGATATGAGAGCTTCCGATTGGACGACAATGAGTTTCCATGGTGGGGGACGACGTATTTCATTCCACAGCTGCCTATGTCGTCGCGCTAGGATCTCTATCAACCCTTGCCGGTGCTGTTCGACCGTCGTAGCAGCAAGATTCCGATTCTCGATGCATTCTGATAAATTAATGGATTCAAGACGGGTGAATGAGGGGTCATTTTTATCTTCGTTCATTATACAGCAGCAAAGTGCTCCATGTTGTAGGATTACCACAGTGAGTGCTGCGGAGAGTAACTGGGGAAGATCTTGAGACGGTGCGGAGGTACTGTAGCGGGCAGTAGAGGCGACACAACGATATTCGCCCAAGTGGTGTGGCGCTGTAGACAATCGTTCTCTATCCTCATTGGGGCTTATAGAGTATCGGGGACGAATGGATTTTAAAGAATGCTTACAGATTGCCCACCGGTCTTATAACCCTAGTGGGTATAATAATATATATGGGTGGTAATCATAGTCTCAAATATCAATGCCAGGCTCCTACTAAGCTAGTTTTCTAGCACCGTCAGCGTACTTAACTTACCTAGTTGTAGGATGATGAATTGCATTTTACGTAGCGACAAAAAAGGGGGCCGGGAGCAAGAAACTACGACTTCTAGGCTGGCGAATATGACATAGGTCCTTCCTATCAATTATTGGTAGAGCAACACAAAAACAAAATGAATAGATAAAGTCTTGTATTTCACTTGATGTGATTTATTCCTGGAGTTTTGAACTCACCAAGAAATATGTTGCGACCGAGCTTACGCGTAATGGGGCCAAGATTAGGTTCCTAGATTTCGCTCCCTTTCGGGAGAACCCCTTTGGAAGCATGGCATTCCCTATTGGAAGTTGATAAGGCTGATCTCAAAAACTAACGACTTTTGAATAACACAAACATTCAAGGTAGAATAAGTCGATCCCCTGCAACCTCTGAAGTTAGAGAAGTATTTTGAAGTTAAAAGGCATGAACTACCACGCAATAGAACGGACATGCAAAAATTGATATCCCCCAACATTTCAAGTAACCCACCAAAAAAGCTTGTCAAAAGCAAAAGAAGGACGGTACCGTAGAGAACTAGACTAGGAAATTGTTGGCCGTCTTGGGAAAGTAATATTTATTATCAAGGATTGACTACAAAGGAAAGGGACTGTTTTGATATGTATTACTGCTATGGGGGTATCTGCTTAGAACATTATCAGTGACGCCGCATATATCGCAGGTACCTATTTACTCCGTGCGCGTGGGAAGAATCCCATTATACATCATAAGGGGTAGGAAATCCAACAATCAAAAAATGAAGAACCCACTTCACTTATCCCACATCCTCGTGGTCTCCAACTCGACCTCCCCTTGTCCCATACGCCTTCCCTTATAGAACACGCCCTCCCTCCCCATCTTCCTCTCCGTAACCCACTTCCTCACCCACGTAATCCCCTTCACAATCGAGAAAACCACAATAATCCCGGCTGCAATCCCAAACACGTATCCTACCACAGCGCCCTTCCCCACCCCACCAATATTCTTGCCTGTGGCATCGACCACCTTCGGATTCGGGTCAAGGAAACTATACACGTAGAAGTGCTTCGTATACTGTGTGAGGTATGCAAGCCCGCAATAGCAGGCTAGGATAATGACGAGGAAGAGGAGGTGGATCCACGGCGCGGGATTGATGCGCGTGAAGATTATTTCGAAGAGGGCGAAGGCGCTGTTGAGGCCGTGCTGGGAGACATTGGACCAGAGAGCGAAGTTTGTATCGAACGGAGGCGAGTAGAGAATCACCCAAAAGACGATGGTTACGAGGAACGGATAGGTGATTATGGTGCTCCAGAAGAGGTGGTGGAGGGCTTGGAGGGGGCGAGGGAAGCGGTTGAGGAGCGGCGTGCCACCGTTTAGGGCGTAGGAGAAGGTGTGGATTGCGGCTATGAGGAAGTAGAAGGCAATTCCCCAGTACGTTAGGACTGTGAAGTAGGAGAAAGAATTATTGACGTCGTTGATGTCGTATCCATCGTGATTGCTTGCTTCCCAGCCGATTACAAAGAGGAGAACGACGAACGCATAGAGCGACTATCTCAGAAACATGCCATTAGCCCTTAATCACTCGACCTGATGATTTGCAGCAGGATAGAACCTACAATTGCTGCTCTACATGCAAATAACACCCACGGCGGCAGTAACCACGACGTCTCGAATCGATGGCTGGGATCCCAAATATCCTCGCCGAATTTCAACGGGTTGCTCCATCGCGCCATCGCTGGTGCCGGAACCGTTCCTCAGTTCTACCCGTGGTAGAACAAGTGCACCACGGATTTTGAGCACTCCCCTTTTCTGGGCAATGTCGCGAACGGAATCTCCGTGCAGAAAGACAAACAAACAAAGAACGAGATGCAAATGATCAAAGCCAAATAGGCGATTGACAGGGGCCATGCACAAATAGGTTAGTACCGAGTACCGGATTTCCTCCGATAGCTAAACCCCAGACGCTTGGCTACATCGACGAAGTACTGAAAAGTAGTTGTAGTGGAGGATCTGCAGAGGTCTAGAGCTAGAATTTATTGAAGGGAGAAGAAGTTGAGCTGGAATATTGTAAAGGATATACTTGAAAGCATGTGTCTTCATTTCATTGGGGGGCTCGGCGGGTGATTCAAGCAAACAAAGCCATTTTCGCGCACAATCCCCATCGAGTTTCAGCCCTCAGAATAACGCGCGACCCTGATAACTGGCTACTATAGATAAGAAGCCATACCTAGTGGTGATTGTATATCCTTTATATTCTTTCCTAAACTTTGGTGTTTAATTTTGCTCCAATCGATGCACGTAGCCGAGCACTCTTGTAGCAAGATCTTTGCGTGGCTCGGCCTGGTCGTCGTTACTCAGGGCATGTGAGGCGCCTGGTATCACTCCGCTATATTCATCATCCCAAATTCGATATTTCCCTCCATGATCAGCGGCATTTTTCCACCTCCGTAACAGGTTCTCCTTATCGACCCAGTTAGGGACTGATTGATCAGCTCCCGAAATCAAAACGACCAAGGGGCCCCTTAGAAGCGCCTGGGTTTCTATCATTCCAAAAGTCTTTGACAACTGCTCGTCGCCTATATCAGAGCTGAACAAGTCATCTCCTTGGGGTGCTTGGGGACTCTCGGGACTAATGAGACTCATCAATCTCCGGCAGCTTATTGGAACGCCTGGGTAGATCTGAGATGTTAACGCTAATGGTAGCAGGGTGTCAATAGATTGATCATGACGCGCAGCGTCCTTTGCCATAGCTTCCATCTGATCGTATACTTCTTGCATATCGCTTGCTGACTTGTCTCCAAAGCCTTCCTTCAACAACGCAAGTATCGCCTCCCTGTCGGACACAGGTGCTTGCATGATAGCCCCGTCAACGGCGGGACGGGTGACGTGCTGAAGGTAAGGATCAAACACCGGGGTGCTGATATGGGGATTTGGTCTATGCAAGTAGTGCAGAACGGATTGACTTCCCGTTGAATGGCCCATGAGGACGATCTTGCTGGTACCAAACTTGGATGTCTTGTAATCCAAAATGTATCGTACACATTCTGCGATCTCATCCGTGTCTCTATCCAGGTGGCCGAGACCCCATTGTCCGTAGGATGAGGAGAGATTCAAAGAGAAGATTGACCACTGTGTTGGCTGTAGAGCATTTACAAGATCGGCCATGTAAGACGTTGTTGCAAGGCCATCACCCAGGCCGCCGATGAAGAGAAGACTGTGGGGTTTGCGGATGGTGCTGGACGTATACTCGAAGGCGACGAGTGTTTCTGTCTACGAAGTATGTTCTGTCAGCTACTTCGTAGATATATATGGGAAAGGAAGCAAAAGGAATACGGTGTCTGTGTACATAATGATGTAGAATACCTGGGAGGCCGCCTTTGGGCCAAAACTTGGAGCCCATAGTGAACGCAGGCTGATAAAAATAACCAATGCTGGTGAGAAGCGGGTAGGTGATCACCTCGGTGACCAGTGAGCAAAGCTGTGCCTGGTTGCGTCTGAATCAGGATCGAGTTAACCTGTAGTAATTAGCAGTGTTTTTTCTCCAGCCGATATGTTTTCCAGGGTGCCGATCGTGCCTGACATACGAAGTACAATATTCCGCAATCGGAAGAAGCCTATTGGGAAAAGAGACTAGGAGATAAGCAAGAGGGTCTGCGATAATCGGAGGGGACTTGTTCTATATTCAAATATTTACAAGATGCAATGAAACTCCGTGCTTGGTACCTCGTACAGGGGAGATGTAAATGATGCAGCCACGCGTAAAGTGACACCTTACCTAATAAATACCGGACGCTGGTCCAGGGGACGGAGGAGACCGGGTTTGAAACGGCGGATCAGATTAGATATCTTGGCACGGGAAGAATCTGATTAGATGGCTCCCCTGTGGGTCGTCGCTCCCTGCACCTTACTCGAGCACGCCGTAACCCCCACTGCTGAACTACGTAGGTACTACCTAGGTACTTTGTACTCGAGTGCTGCTCGTGTCAACATAACACTGGGGCAGCCAGAGCACCGTCCCAGGCTCCCAGAGCCCTAACCTGGTAAAGGGTACTACTTCTAAACCATTTCCGGATCCCTACTCCGTAAGGCCCTCCCCGGTTGAACCGCATGCTTGAAATTCTACGACCTGGTAGTCTTACCTTGCGATAGCGGCTCACTTTCCTCTTGCCAAGTTTCCCGTCTCTTTCGATGCTACGAAGCATCGAACGAGCACCCCTTTGTAGCAGCAGAGAGCGTAGATAGTCGCCCCACCCGACCTCGTGCTGGGAAAGAAGAGCGCCACGATCCCTCGAGTCCAGAGGTCAATTGCAGGTGACCGATTTGTGCGTGAAGAAGTGCAGGATGAATGTCCATCTAGTAGTCTCATTAACGAGGGAGTGAACTGGAAAGCCTTTCAGGCATAGAGCGGCACAATCAAAACGTCGTCTTGAAAATGTTTAAATGTTAATGGAGTTCTATCTCGACTATATCCTCAATCACTCTGCTACTGTTTGATGCATGACGTTAGCCCTATAGCTCTCCGACCTCTTAAGCAATTCTTCATGCGATCCCCGATCAACGCATTGACCTGCTTCAATCAAGAAGATAGTGTCTGCCTTTCTTATCGTGTGTAGACGATGAGCAATTGCAATGACAGTAATCCCCTTCGCGGCCTTCTCAAGCCCATCTTGCAATAGCTTCTCCGATTCAGCGTCCAACGCACTGGTTGATTCGTCTAAAATTAGCAGCTTAGGCTTTCGAACGAGCGCCCTAGCGATCGACAACCTTTGCTTCTGGCCTCCCGAGAACTGGCTACCATTTGGTCCACAAAGAGTATTGTAACCATCTGGCAATGCTTCAATAGTGTCGTGGATATTGGCAAGGTTACATGCCTCTTTAATTTCGTCTATGGACACTTCGTGCCCTGGTCTAGCACCAATACCAATGTTGAACTCGATACTTCCCTCAAAGAGCACACTTTCTTGTGGCACCAAGGCAATCGTGTCGCGGAAAGCCACATCTCGGTGTTTTGTCACATCAATGCCATCAATCAAGATGGATCCAGATTCTGGCGTGTACAATCGTTCGACCAGTGAAATGATTGTCGATTTACCGGCACCGCTCGGACCAAAAAGGGCGCAGAATTTCCCTGGCTGAATATCAATGTTCAGGCCATTTAACACTTTTATGTCCGGCCGAGCAGGGTATGAAAAATGGACATCGCGGAGCTGTACGCTCGAAGCCTGGTTGCTAGAAGGATAAGACGGTTTTGTTTCAGCTGTCGCCTCGAGGTCTCTCTCTTTCGAAGACCCGGTGAGCGAAGGACTAGGCACATTTCCTTGCATTTTGTCCGAGCCTATCTCGATTAAGCCCAAGATTCTTGCCATCGCCGCTCGGGCGCTGGAAAGCTCCGGTGCGAAGACAAACATCTGGCTCCAGAGCAGCGCACTAACAAGAAGAGAGAACACTACGATCAGGAACTGTGTCTGCGTGTAGGTGCCCGCTATGATTTGTTTGGCACCCCACCAATATGCTAGCGCATTCACAAGGTTGCCAAGGAAGTAGGTCATGGCCTGCCAGAGGCTTGCTTGTACGGTGACTTTGAATGTCTCCTTGCGAGGGCCTTTCAAGGACCTTCGATAGGTCTTCATTGTCTCTTCTTCAAGAGAAAGGGACGCAATTGTTTTGATTGACGTGATTGCTTCTACGCCAATATCGACCGACTTGGTATATGCATTTTCGTGCCGTTCTTCGAATTTACCGAGCACTCGAAGCTCCATAAGGCCAGCTCCAAGTAGAAGTGGCACCAAAGACAGGCAGACCAATGCAATTTTCCAGGCGATGATATGAGTCAAAATAATTGCTCCGATAAGGTTAACGGTAATTGAGAATAACGTCCCAATAACGGAGCCGCTCAAGCCAGCCAAGGCACTGCCATCTCTAGTAATGTAGGAGAGGAGCAGGGCAGGTGTTCGGCCTTCAGACTGATGCCATTGAAGGTCTTGCTCCAACAGTGACCGAAATGATAAGACCCTCACTGTGTAGACAATTTTCTCAGAGACCCAGCCAAATCCGGACCAGCTGATTAGATTCCCGAAGAACTCGATGATTGCAAGTATGAAGAACATAAGCCCAAAGAAGTTGCCTCGAGATCGAATACTAGCTGGGTCGTTACAGGGATTTAGACTTCCAACGGTATTTCCGAAGATCACGGCTTCGCCAGAGAAGGCTCCGCCGACAACACTCGAGCCAAGAAGGGCGACAACAATTATGAGAAGGTGTGGCCTCAAGGCTGGCGCATACCCTCGAACTAGAGCCCACAAAGATTTGGAAGGGGTCTCAGGCTCTTCCTGTTCTTCTGCGGAGTCGGTGACGGTAGCTTTGCATGTTGAGAGCTCGGTTTTCTCGGCGGCTGCAAGGCGGTCGTCTGATAGACTGTTCTTTTCGATATCAGCGTCTGTCAAAGAGGTCCTATCAGATTCGTTGACGCTGTCTCTGCTGGCTGTTGCTTCATTCATCCCGGATCCGAGAGTTTGCAATTTGACGAGATCAGCATATGCTCCATTCCTAGCCATCAATACCGAATGATTTCCCTCCTCAACGATATGCCCTTTGTGCATAACAATGATATTGTCCGCGTTGGTGATCGTCGACAGGCGATGAGCAATCGTGATCATGGTTCTACCGCTAGCAATGTTTGAGATAGCCTGTTGGATACGCTGTTCACTTCTTGAATCTAGAGAAGCCGTGGCTTCGTCCAAGATGAGAACCGCAGGACCCTTGACAAGGGCCCTGGCGAGGGACACTCGTTGTTTCTGGCCACCGCTGATTAGCCGCCCACTCGAACCCACAATCGTGCCGTATCCATATTGCAAAGCGACAATGAAGGCATCTGCATCTGCAAGCACCGCAGCCTTTCGGACCAACGAAACAATTTCAACGATTTCCGAGCCCCGTTCCTCTGCTGCGGCCAAAAGAGACTTACCCTCCCTAACCTCGCTTGCTAGATCTGCAAGGCCGGAACTAAGAAGTGCTATCTTCAAACGTGCGTGGCTAGGATCGCTAGAATTCATCAAGCCATGTGCAATATTCTCCAAAAGAGAACGGTCGAGGAGAGACGGCTCCTGCTGCACCAGACTTAAAAAACTCCTCAAGTCATGGGTATTGAGATCACGAAGATCACGGCCATCAAAGAGAATTTGTCCTTGCGTGGGGTCATACAATCTTGTGGCCAGTCCCGCGATAGTCGACTTGCCACTTCCCGAAAGTCCGACAATGGCAGTATGCTTGTTGGAAGGAATGCTAAGATTAATTTGGTCAAGAACGGTGATCTCTGGCCTAGAGGGATAAGTGAATGAAACATTTTTAAACTCGAAGCCGCCCTCTGTCTGTGAGAGACGAAGGCCCAAAGCCATAGTGCCATCAATTAGCGGCTCGCGATCGATGCCCTCCCGCAACTTCTGAAACGAGGCAATGGCCGCTATAAACAGGTGGAGAAACGGTGCAACTTGACTCAAGAGCAAGGTAGCTGTTACTGTGTTAGTACAATTCTGTGGTAAGATTCGAGTCCGACTAACCTTCGACTAGAATAAAAATTACTGTAAACGTAGCTCCCACGGTGGCGCCCTGCGAGTCTTGACGCACTGCTTCTGCAATACGTTTGCTTGCCTGCCAAAATGCCAGACCATTCGCAGAATAGGCGATAAAATACAAGACCCCAGATTGTATGCCAACCGCGGTAGCCTTCTTCAAGCCTTCACGTTCTGAAGATTTGAGTGCCTTCGAGAATTTATTCTCCAGCCGTGCGTTTGCGCCGAAGGCCTGCACCACGACGATGTTGGAAAGCGTTTCCGAAGCAATTGATGCAGCAGTAGCGGTATAATCCGACATGAGACCAGAGAATTTCTCGATGTAATGGCTTCCAACGAACCCCATCAAGAAAAATGCCGGAATTAACGAGAGTAGCATTGCTGCAAGCTTGTAGTCCTTGATGAAAGCTACGATATACGCTGTAACAAAAAAGGACAGGCTTGAGAGGCATACTCCCACTTTCTCAGATGTGCCCGAGCGGATTGTCTGGATGTCGCCATTAAGTCGAGAGGCGACTTCCCCCGGAGGCAGATTGTCGAAGTACGACGGCTCTTGTCGGAGCAAATTCTGGAGATAACTTTCTCGTAATCTCTGCGCCAGCCGTGCGCCGGTCAGACTCCAGCATGAGAGGTGGGCATAGATCGTAACAAATTGAGCAATGGCTAGATACACAATCACCAGGATTTTGTCGTTGATGCTTTTTTGATACTCGGATCCCGAGTCCGGAGTTTCGGATGAACCACACGTTGCTGCATTGAAATCGTCAAGAAGCTGGCCAAACAGTATTCCAATTAATGGAAACGGGACGCCAGATGCAATTGCAGATAGTACGCCCACCAATAGCATGCCCAGATCGGCTTTTGAAGGTTTACCGGCCAAAAGCAGGCTGGGGTAGCCCGCAAGTTTCTGGAAGATATTCATGGTGGCCCGAAGCTGGCGATTGTCGTTGTCGTTGTCGTGTGCTTGAGTTGCAGGATGCTCCCCGTGGTCGGTTTGTACCTCGAGGACTAGACCATCGACGGTGTTGTGTGTGCTAGAGGATGGCAGTTGCGTCACCACGTCAAGCTACTTTTCTCTATATGCTAATCTGCTCTAATAATATCGGAAAATAGGTTATATAAACACACAAAATTCGTCCATGACTTACTCGTAGTGAAATTTCAGCCGATTCCGAGAGCGCCTTGGAGCAGGAGTAGGACGTCCGCATATGCAGAGAAAGCTACACTACTAAACCAGAGGTGCTTCCGAGCAGTGGGTCTTGAGCCTTGACTCTTAAGAGCCACGGTTGAACTTCGAAGGCCTACATGGCATGGCGCATGGATGAAGCCCAACTTTCGCTGGGGCACTGGGGGCGTGGTGCCCGGGCTGGACGTGGAATCGGGGATGTTGGCCAGGTGGACGGTAAATAAAACTTGGCTAGGTGCACATAGCACTGCAGCTCGTACGTAGAGTAGTATCTGGTATTTACCATTTCCCATTTTCCCCCACTATAGATCGACAGCCGGCAGGGAAAATTTTCATCTGATAAGATAAGTCCCAATCAGAGTGCACGTACATTCTGAGTGGCGCCTTCTTAATTTCCGAGTTCTGACCCTCTCAATACGAGTCCGTAATAAGACAGGTTGCGAGTACGCTGTGGATAGCTGCGTCGTTGCGATGTCGGCAAAGCAGGTAGGCCACGATTCCACGAGCAACCCGAAGAATTATTCGGAGTCGTCATGCAAAGGCTCCAAGTTCCGACAACAGGAGATCACCTCGAGCATGCCCCAAAGGGGCATTCTAATTCTTAATCTGGTACGATCAGTTTTATGTCGGGAGCGATTCATACACCAACAACGCCTGTTATATATAACATTCGACTACTTTAACGGTCGCCACGATTCTCAACCAATCTACCGCCCCTAGTTATCACAACTGTATTCGGGACGATGATGGCCTGATCTTTGTGCATCTCAGCTACATATCAACATATTTCCTTAGTTTAAAACTGGGCCACAACTAGCCGAACTTTATGTCAACCTGAAAGTCGTAGTTTTGCTCGTCGGAATCTTGGTTGCCAGGAGCAAAATGGGAGCTCACGGCTGCTTGTTATAACCATTTGGCACACTATCTTGAAGTACTTAGTGCCATTCAAAGCAGCCATGCCCTTTGAGCTTCCTCCAAGCTTTCCATTGATACTCTTTGGACTCGACTCTCAAAGATGGGCCGATCGAATGGACTGGTTCATTTTGCCAGCTACGTTCCTCGGTATTCACTTCCCAAGCAGCCCATGCCCCTAATAACAGTTGCATTCCAAAGCGGCGATCCACGGTAAATTTCCTTCCTCGAGAAGTGCTTGACGAGTCGCCTGAAGATCAAAAGGGTCTTCCCGAGCAAAGTCTCGGAGATTCAACAATGAGGCCAATTCCGGATGTGAAATCTTCTCAGATTGATAAAGTTATCTAAGAAAAACGCAAGGAAAATAAATGTTCTGGCAAGAAATATTCCTAGCCAGAAGAAAAATACCAAAACCCGTATCCTGAACCGATCTCCAGTTTACCTCTGCTTTGAGGCCAGTACCAGCTACCATGGCCAATCCGCCAGCTAGAAGATTTGACTATCAAGTACCACGTGCTCTGACTGGCAGATCGCCAATTCTTGAACGGCTGCAACTAGATTATCAAGCGTGGCGTCCACAAGCGCCGGGTCACTTTCACTCCCGACCACCCCAACACTCATCTGCCCGCCTCGAACGAGCGAGACAGCCTTCAGAGGATGAGCAGCATCCCCATGTGGATTCAGTATCTCCACCCTGCAAGTTCCCCCAGCAAAAGGCATGGTGTCGAAATCCTCAAAGTCTTGATGATGGACGATGGAGTCGAAAAATTGTGCATTCGATGACCACTGCGTGCACTGCTTGGATATCTTTTCGAAGCCGAGGAAGTCATGGGCCGCAGATTCGGCGCTTTGCCTTTGTACGAATCGCAAGAGGTCTATCGCTGTCCACTGGGACTCGAACAAGACTCGAACCGGGGTGAATTGGTAACACGGGCCCATGACATTCTCCACGTTTGCTAGGTCTATGTTTCTGCCCGAAGTTACGCTACCAAATGTCACATCCGGGTTCCGGAGACGCCGAGCTAACACCAGTGACCATGCTGCGGTGAGCAAATTCGCCGTGGTAATCTCAAGGGGGCGTTGAGAGATGTCGACGGGCTTTGTTCGGAATATTGATTTGTCGGTGGGCTTTACTGATGTTGCGGCTAGAATGGACAATGATGAACCGTCTAGAAGATCGCGCCAGTAATGGAGCGCTCTGGTCTGGGAACGCTCATGGCAGATTCGAGCCATGTACGATGAGAATGGCTCAAAATCGACAATTTTCTCGCCCGTGTACAAGGCCTCCAAATCTCGAAGTAGCATGGGCAGAGAGATGCCATCGTACTGAGCATGGGACAGGCCTATGATGAGGCACTTTTGGCCGCCGTTGCCTTCAACATAGATCATCTTGAGGAAAGACGAACCCAGGTTAAAGTTTGATTCTATGTTCACCGTGCAGAGGTCGATGACATATTGCTCAAGGACGCCATCAGCCCGCTGCATGGTCACAGGAACATCTAACCCATCAATGACAACTTGAAATAGGCTCGATTCGTGTTCGATGAAGACAGTGCGCAGGATGTCATGGGTCTTGACCAGCTCGTTACAGGCGCGGAATAGATGCTCTCGATCGATGCCTTTGTCGAGATACAGCATAGTGTATTGTATAGAGGTTCGCGGTGCCTGGCTGGTTGCTCTGATGTCCAACGCTTGGGAGTCTGTTACCGGGGATACGTCTCGAATAGACCAGCTTGGATCGGTAAGTTTAGGTCGGACAATCTCGGACAAGAATGGTTCTATGTCCAAATGGCCCAGCATCGAAAAAGGCTTGTACGGCTGGGCTTTGTCTTCCCACCCTTGGTTCACTTTAAATACTGTGGCGGCATCACCAAGGCGCATGTGCTGAAAGATATCGGCCACTGTCAAGCTATGTCCTTGCGCACGAAGGCTTGACACCAATTTCATCGCCAACACAGAGTCACCACCGAGGCGGAAAAAGTTGTCGTCGACGTTAATCTGCTCTGAACTGATTCCAAGAATCTTTCCCCACGAAGACCGTAGAATACTCTCTGCATTTGTCAAATTCGTTTGTGCTGGGCTCTTTGCCCACGCGCCCTTGAGGCCTTCTCGAAGCTGGGTGAGCACGTGCCGAGGAACTCTAGAGGCCAGCTGATTTAACAAACTATGATCAATCTGTCCCATCCTAGTGGGCATTTTGTCAACCACGACGTACGCGGAGGGGGCCATATATGATGGAAGATAGTCTTGGATAAATCTGTCCAGCTTTTTCAATGCTATAGCAAGGCTAATGGTAATCAAGGCACAGATCGACGTCTCGACGTTTTGGGGGCCCGACGCGTCCCAAGTTATGTCGTGCTTCATCGGCATGAGCTCAACGCTTTCTTCCTCAGATGGCTGTTGCTCTATGAAGATGACAATCTCTTGCTCTAGTATATTCTGAGTGCTGTTTAATGACGATTGGAATGCTGCTGCAGCGGCACGGATCGTTCGTGGGAGATTTCTTGTCAGGTGAGCTTCTAGATCTGCGATATCTACTGCATGGCCGTGGACAGGCAAGACATTCTCCTTTCGACCAACAAATATCAAGCTGCTGTCGTCTCGTAACCGGACCATGTCGCCTGTTGGTTGCACTCTTCCCGCCCGACCGGCACAAGCAGAGCTCCCAGCTACAAGCCACGCTGGAGATTCAACGGTTTCGCCTGAAAGGAACGCGCCTTCAAGCCAGAGCTCGCCAACGCAGCCGATGGGCGACAATATAGATGGGTTCCGTGGATCACACACCCAGGGAACCACCGCAGGAGGATATAGCCACCCTTGCTTGATGCTTGGACCTGCTCGAAGCCTTCTGGATGACTCGTCCAAGGGCAATGGGGCAATCTGGTTCCGTCCCCAGATCTGGTTCAATTCTGCTTCGGGCAAGCAAGATATCTCTTCGATTCTTCTGGAAAGTCCATTCGTCAACTGCAAACAAGCCATTTCCAGCTGCGCAAGGATTCGTTCCATTTGTGCGACCTCAATCAGACTGCTGTCAAAACTCGCACAGACACTAAGGCCGCGCTTTGATATCCCACAGGCCAGCATAAGCGGATAGGGGTTGAAATGGAGCGCTTCACGTACGGCATCTCCTTGGTCAAAGCCAAGTTCGCTGCCTATGGAATCTGGTTCTGGCTGGATGACCAGGCCTGTGCCAGCTTCGCATGCATGTTGGGCGTCTCGGCTGACCTTTCTGATGTTCTGCATCCCCATATGCTGATACGGTGTACGGGCCAACATGCCTTGCTGTACGGACTGTAGATAAGACTCAACGGAGCTCGTTCGGTTGATCTGGATGCGGATAGGTATAGTTGCAATCACTGGACCTATAATGTTTTCCACCCCCGCCATCGGGATGTCCCGACCTGTGAGTGTCTCACCAAACACGACATCATCGCTTCCTGTGTATTGTGACGCCACCAGAGCCCATGCACCACGAATCAATGTTGCCGTAGTGAAAGGTGATCCAGCGGTTGCATTGAGGGGTATATGATGCTCAAGTATGGCATCCGGAGTAGGTAAGAAGTCTCTATGTGGCAAACGCGGGAACTGAGGCCCGACAGCATCTTTCAATTCCCGTTGCCAAAAGTCCTGCATGGCGACTTCGTCTGTATCTCGCACATATTTGACGAAGTCTTTCATCTGTGCCTGTGTCTCGATGTGCTGGTCGTGCAAGGCATTAATGGCATTTTTAAGTATTAGCGGCTCTGACCATCCATCATAGAGTACGTGATGAACTGTCCAGACCATGTATTGTTTGCCATTTTCTGAATTGTTGACAATGCCATATCGAGCTAGGTTTTGTCCAAGATCCATTTTCTCGTTCCGATCATTCTCGAGGTATTGCGCTAGATCAGTCGAATGTTTCCATGAGATGCCTTCCTTCAGTACAACTTGCTGAAGGCCTGGCTCTCGGAGCTGGGCTAAGCGTGTGCGTAGGATAGGATTTGCTGCAACAACTTCCTCCCATGCTTTCTTCCAGGCATCGAGACCGATATGCGACGGAATACATGCGAGTCTCTGGGCGACATACGGCTTGGCCGATTTAATCGCGAAGGTGAATAGTGACTCTTGTGTGGGTGTGCAAGGGTAGATATCTTCAATCGCCGCCCGATCTGATCCACAAGCCAGTGATGCCTCGAGGCAGGCTGTCTTAACAGTTTGGGAGATCATGGAAAATGCGGGCGTTTCTATACGTGCTTGCAGGCTACAAAGGTGGACAATGCCAGCCATCTCCGAGAGTGTAGGGTGGCCAAAAATGCCGACGACAGTGACATCGAGGCCCTCAGCTCTACAAATAGACACAAGTCTCATGGCTGTCAAGGAGTCGCCACCTAGTGCAAAGAAATTATCGTCAAGTCGAATAGTTTCTGGATCAAGTTTCAATGTCTGGCTCCAGGCCTGCCGCAAACCTTGCTCAAGATCACTCAGTTGCCGAGAAGCGGTATTCGTTGTGCCTTGATCCAGCTGCCGCAAGTTTACTGTGGCACCAAACTGCCTGAGTCGTTTGCGATCAGTCTTGCCCGAGATTAAAACAGGGCTATAGTTGACCGGTATATATGCGGTTGGCACCATATATCGTGGTAAAACTTTCGCCAGCTCTACATTAGCTTCTGACAGCGCTCTATGCAGCTCGCCTTGGAGTTTTATCGAACTTATATCAGTATGCTCATGTCCCTTGGTCGACTGGAATGCAATAAATGCCACCAACGTAGGTTGGCCGCCAGATCCTAGAGGCACAATCACCTCAGCAATCACGCTAGCGTCTGACGGCAGCCTAGCCTTGAGTTGACTCTCGATCTCACCGAGTTCGACACGTTGCCCACGCAACTTGACTTGCGTGTCTTTTCGTCCAACAAACACAATGCCTCCAGAACCGTCAGGATCATATTTTCCTAGGTCCCCAGTTTTGTATAGACGCCCCTGACGGCCAGTGTAGCCATTGTGGCCCGCGATAAGCCACTGTGGATCTGTGATGAAAGCGGCTGCGGTTTTTTCAGAATCATTCAAGTAGCCTTGCCCTACTATCGGTCCCTCGACTAGCAGCTCGCCTACAGCGCCGACTGGCATCAGAGATTCGTGGTCACTTGGGTTGGTGATCCAGATGGCCGCTCCATTTCCTCTCCCAATGGAGATATAATCCCTACCAGTGGCAGCGCTGCTATTTATCGTACATCCGATCGTGCATTCGCACGGGCCGTAGCCTATGATAATCTTGGTGTCTTGACCCCAGATCGTAACATCTCTCGCTGAGGCTGCCTCTCCTCCGAGGCCTAGACCACTGAGAGATGCTATAACATCCGGGTCCAATATTCGAGCCACTGAAGGGGTCAGGCCTGCGTAGTTAACGTGCATTTTTCGTATCGCTCCATTTATGTCGTTGAGTCGATCCTCGTCAGAGGGGATGCAAAGGCAGCCACCGTTTCCAAGGGTTAAAAGCATACTGTCGATGCTGACGTCGAATGCGTAGGACGCAAAATCAAGAACCATGGAGTTCTCCGTATAGCCCACGGCTTCCGCTCGAGGAATTGCACTGCTTGTATAGGTTTCGTGAGAGATCTTAACCCCTTTCGGAGTGCCTGTGCTTCCAGAGGTGAAGATTATATACATTAGGGCAGATGGTGGCACGGCTGTCAACTGTGGAATAGCTTGCAGATTTGAGAAGTAGGCAAATGTGTTCGCTTCTATGACGATAAGCTTTCCACTCGGCATAATCGACGACGACAGGTCGTGCTGCTTGCGGGACGTCAGCATCATCTTTGCGCCCACTTGATTCGCCATGTTTTGGAGGCGGGCAATTGGAAGTGTTGGGTCCATGAGCACGAAAGTTGCTCCCACCCTCATTACCGCAAGCACAGCGACGATTGTCCATCTTGATTTCTCAAAGCACACCGGTAAGATATCATGTAACCTGACACCTATTTCTTTGAGAGAGCATGCCACGAATATGGAATACTGTTCGACTTGGGCGTATGTCAATTTGCCATCCCAGGATGAGATTGCTATTTTTTCTGGGGATCTTTGAGCTTGTTTGGAAATCATGTCGTGCATGCAAAAGTTGTAAGAGGGAGGTAGCAGGTGATTCCAACCCCATATCTCCTCCAGATCTCGTGCGGTCGGCCGAATACAGTCCTCAATAGACGCATCGGGATTCGAAATGCACATTTTTACGGTGTCGACCAGTGTCTCGATGTATCGCGTCACTGTATATTGCGGCATATTTTTGTTATACCACACTGGGCTGATTTCCAGACTGCCATTACTAAGGCGTATTTCGAGGTGAAGAACACCCTTTGCTCATCGCGGTCAGTCATTTAGTAACCAAGATGGGATCATTGACTCACTTCATCTTTCGCTTCCTCAGATGGTGGAGACAGAGAACTAGTGCTCAAGTAGAGCGAGACAGGGCTGGACATGGCTGCAAGCTGACTTGGTGCGATCATAGTGAGGTAGCTCGAGATTGCTGCAGCAGTCTGTCCGACAGTACTTTGTAATCCTGCCTTTACTTCTTCCATGGACAGACTTCTGTTAACTGGCTCATGCTGAAACCCATTTTCTCGGCCTTTGTAAGCCCAATCATAACAGATCTGGCCGCCGTCCTGGGTCCGCAAGAGCACGATGAGCCAGGACAAAAGCAAGATTTCATCTCTCATGCCTGTCAGAGCGGTGGTCTGATCAAGTGCAAGACCAACTATCTTGAAAGACCTGAGGCCGCCATCAGCCTGGCCTGTAGACAACATGCCAACAGATTCATTTCCCCGGCGGTTTTGATCCTGTATATTGTCGACATGTATAGAGCCCATTCTACTGGTAGGCTAGCGTTTCTGGTTTTGGGATTCTGGCGCGGTTTGAGATTCGGAGGAAGAGCTGGACCTATGACCGTCCGTTCAATTGACGAGAGCATTGGACGTACTCGTACTGAGGTGGTATAATTGTACAATGTCGAGCAGCCAAGGCAATGTTAGCATTTTCCTCCGCCGGCGAACGAGACGCCAAGCAACAAGAATTACGAGTAGGCCCTATGGGTACTGTATATAATGCGACCGAGATCGGCCATTGTGGGTGACTGTGGGCTCGACGGACGCCGACGCCCACGCTTCTTCAAACACAACCTTGAAGCTGGGAAACTCCAGTACGAGTAGTCGGGTAGAGTAGAGTTGAGGCTGTAGAGCGTGGTCGGCGCGTGTCGTCGCACCCTTGCAGATCCCACGCTAGGGCAACCCGCTAACCCGTCCTGGCGGTCCTCGCGAATACATCTGATAAGATGAAAATTCTGCACATCACATCTGATAAGATGAGAATCCCGCACACGGCACGGCTACCCGTCCACTAGCAAGGGTAGGGCCCACGAGCAGAGACAGGGGCAAGGACAGGGGGTTCCCTTTAAAGTAAATCAGATTAGATTGCAAGGTACTACTGTAACATGGCTTGTCTATTTAGCTGAGGCGGTCTAGGAGCATATTTTCCTTCCATCCTGGAGCTGCATTGTTATTATTCCAAGTTGCAACCACCCTCTCACAGCTTCGAATCCACCCATTTCGGCGGTCGTTTCTCCACAAAAGCCTGGATGCCTTCGGCGAAATTGGGGCCGTTAACCAGGCCCGGGTACCACTGTTCGGCCAGAGTCGACACGGCCTCCTCCACGCTGCTTGCTTCCCAGCTCAACCGAATCCCGAGGCGTCCAACAATCAGCGCGTCGGGGCTATTTCTGCACATGTCTTGGGCAACCTGGACCGCCACACGGGAAACATCGGCGGCTTCACTTGAATCCACTACACGAGTGACAAGGCCCCATTCATAGAGCGTCTTCGCGCTCACACTTCTGCCGGTGAGGACAAGATCCGTGGTGCGTTGCAGTCCAAGGGTGCGCGTCAGCCGCGGCAGACACCCCGCCACGGGGACTATCCCACGCTTCACTTCGGGGAGGGAGAAGATAGCTGAGGTGGAAGCTATTACGAGATCGCAGTTGGCCACCATCTCAAAACCCCCTCCCATGCATATGCCGTTCACAGCAGCGATAATCGGCTTTTTGCCACGTCGACGGGGCAGTCCAGCAAGGCCCGGCGCAGCCATATCATTGACCACCCCGGCCTTGTTCATCTCGTTCCATTCTGTTCGCGCGGACCCTGATTAGTTCTCGTCCAAGGAAAATTTCGGCGTGAAATACAGAATAGACGGTGATAGGCATACCCTGTAAATCCGCACCGGTACAGAAGGCTCTCCCAACGCCTGTGATGATACCAACCCATAAGCTTTCATCTTGGTCGAAAAGCTCCCATACCTGTTGAATCTCCCGGCTCGTAGCTTGGTCAATACAATTCAGCTTCTCCGGTCTGTTCAACGTGACCTGGACGATCCGCTCTTGCGGGAAAGAGACATAAAAATGCCGAAAATTTCGGGATCTGGATCTGAGAGACATAGAAGAGTGGGTCGTCGACATATACTCAAGTAACCTGTCAGTGGCTAGTTTAACCAGTGCCTTCATCGACTTTATACTTTGTTGGCCAGTTTCATGCTGCTAGCATATGAGCCAAAGTACGCTTAGTGCCTTCTTGGCTTGTGCGGAGTTGAGAATTTTCTCCGCTACCGCATCCTTGGGACTCTGTCTAAATTGAAGACGGTGCGGCGTCGGTACGGATACTCGGATATACGAAGTACAGCAACGTGCATGTCGCTCAGGGCCTGCTAAAACCCAAGGGGACGATAACTCGAGTCATGTGCCACACAATCCCAAACAAAATCACGGGTTAAAGCTTTAGTTAAATATAGAGAACCGCAGCTTTGCTTACTATCCTATCTTTCCCCTCTTCAAATTTCTTAGGGTCTCTACTCTTTCTTCTCATCTGCAAGCTCTTCTCATCAGGCTAGGAGACTCGAGACAAGGCTTACAGACATGGTCGTCAAAACGTCTTGATCTTTCTTATCGCCACGTTCTTGACAAAACCCCAAACGATCACACCACACGAGGATGGTATCCGGCTCGTCACCACACCAGTATCCTCTGGTAAAACTGCCACACCCTTTTCTGACCACATATCGAGTACGTACCGTTGCCGAAACGACGCCGGCCAAGCACGTCCTGGCACTAGATAGCCAGCCCCCTGCCGAACGACCTCTGCCCCAACCACTACACCTCGAGTCACTCTCATGGCTCGATTTATCATTCAAGTCTGAAGATGAGTGTCCGCCAGGTTCTGACAACAGTTCCTGGGCAAGAGCATCTCGAAGCCCACAGACCATCTTCCAGTGGACAGGGAATAGCCCACCTTCTTTGGGTCAGATCTGGAATGTGATCCATGCTATATACCTCGCTCACCCGACGTACGAGTATTTCAGACTTACTCTGCTTGGTGAAGAGAAGGACATCGTTCGGAACGAACTGCTTTCGACTGGCTTGGGAATCGAGCATCCCAAACCATGGCGTCCTGTGGACAAGGCGATTGTACCCTCCGAAGATTTGCTGATCCTTCGAAGTGCATTTTGGCAAGGCGCGGCTTCTCCAATGGGCCCTCGTCCGATCTGGGTGGTGGGAGATGGTACAGACGGTCCTTTACGACGATCTTTGGCTCAATATCCGGTGATGCCTGAGAACTATAAATTCACAATGAAGTTTCCGGAAGAGGCTGTGTATACTCGCCATCCGATACGTCGCCCCAAGCCGCATCCAGGATCAATTGCCTACAGTCGGTACATTCCAGAGCTTGACGAGCACTTTTCTCTTGAAGTGGTTGACTGGCAAGACCAGGGGCACTTGAAGCTCTTCAATATGTGGCAAAACGACCCGCGCGTGGCACAGGGCTGGAACGAGACTGGAACCTTGGATCAGCATCGTGAGTATCTTCGCAAACTTCACTTTGATCCTCATGTCCTTTGCTTGTTTGGACGATTCAACGAGACCCGTTTCGCATATTTTGAGCTATATTGGGCAAAAGTAAGTCCTCATCGCGGTTGTATCTTCTCTCTAGGCCTCCATTGATGCTTATATTTTGTGTACAGGAAGATCATTACGGTGCCCATTACGATGCCGGGAATTATGATCGTGGGCGTCACTCTCTTGTTGGCGATGTGTCGTTCCGGGGCCCTCAGCGGGTCAACGCATGGTATTCTAGTTGCATCCATTATTGCTTTTTGGACGATCCGCGGACTGCAAACGCCGTGGGCGAGCCGCGAGCCACAAGCTCGATCATCCTATCTTATGAGAATTCTCAGGGCCTCGTTATCGGCAAATACATCGACCTAGGTCACAAACGGTCGGTGCATTCAGTTTGTAGCCGGGAAAAATGGTTTCAGCTATCTCCGTTATTTTGGGACGGGCGAAAGCAACCATTGGAATCTGCTGACCGGGCGGCGTGGAATGCCAAGCTCTAAGCTTGTATGGGCTAAAAATCAGAATGACAGCATAAATCTATTCTACAGGTCCGAGTCAAGTCTTCGGCGCAGCCTGACCTGGTCTAGGCCTTGAAGCGCAGGAGGCACCTATCTGGTGAAGCTTGAAAACATATTCTTTAACCAGAATTGTGAGTTGATACCTCTGTAACATTCGGCTCAGGGTTTTGAGTAACATACATCGGCATGGACTAATACGAACTAAAGCGAGTTAATTTATGGCAGAATTTGTTGTAGCCCTTTCTAAGATATACTATTCGTTTAGACGAAAGAAACCAGTTATACGATTGGATAGTATCCGCCCTGTAAAATTCATTCCTGCATTATTTCCGAGGGATAATAATACTTTGTCAAAAATGCATATCTTACCAGACCAGCGCTATATTCAAGAAATAATCAAATCGCAAGCGCTGATGGGGGATAGGTGGGCTCGCCGTGAACCAAGCCTACCCGTTGTCCCTTTTCGTGAAAGAGGACAAGCGGGGTGGGGTTTTTAGATGGCCAAATAGTTGTGGCGAAGAAAGGAATATTGACTTACCCTAGCGAAAGCTTGTTGACAAAAGTTCTACCAGCAAATAATTAAGGGTTCCGTAACCTCTTATCGTAGTACTAAGAAGTGATATACGCGTTAATGTTAGTAAGGAATCATTTTATTATAGTTGCTACTATAGTACTCGTAGTAGCTGCCGGTGTGATACAGAGGGATCCAATTGAAAGGGCGGAAGTATCCCTTTAATTACTCTCTAAACACACCAACACGAGGTGGCATGCAAGAGTAGTTATCGTACTACCTACGTATGTTGACGAGTCAGTTGCGAGTACGGAGTAGAGGAGGAACAGCTTTTTCGGCAAGTATCTAGCCTGTTGTGCCCATACCGTGGCGCCAATTTCCCTGTCAATGACAGCAATAGCTTGCTTAAGCTCAGGCCAGGGGGACTCACCTACAAGTCGCTAACAAAAAGAGGATCTTTAGGCGAGAAATGCGAAGAGTGGGATTGATGAAAGATTTAATTTCAATCAGATAATCAGATTAGATGAACCTTGTCGCTGACCCCCACCTCGGCAGCCCTACCAGCAAATCAACACAGCGAGCATGAGAAGCTGGCGGACCGCCCCTTGCCCATTAGCGTCTTGGGATGGCGTGGTCTTGCACCACTCCAAGCATGTTTGCTTTTCGCATATAATAAATCAGTCCCGACATCGGATAGATCCTCCACATGCCTTTGACTTCGTAGAAGTACGAAGTACTCGAGTATGGCGTAGGGTGAGTGTAGCAGTGTACAGGACCACGTTGCTAACCGCAGGCCAGAACATGGAGTTCTGGTCCTTCGGCCTACGACTCTCCCCGAACATCGCTTCAAGTTACCGGCCCAGGCCCTGTGATCGAGGTACCGGTACCACGAAGCACGGAGTAGTGGTACGGCGCAGACAGCCACCGCTACACTAGGTGGGTTGGGTGCCAAGTACTAGATGTGAAGTCATCTCTCTGTTTTCTTATAACTCTGTCGTACTCGTTCTTCATTTTTTCTTCCCGCAATATTGGCGGCGAGCGAAAAATTATGGCAGCACACTCCGCATCTCGATTTTCATCGGCGGCTATGGCCGGATTATCTTCAGATGAGAAGAATCCGGCGATCAGTGGCACCGATGACATTATTTCTCCTAACAATGGCCATGATGGGCCAGCAGCCGAGCCAGCAACTGAGAAAGACATGATGCCTACCGAAGACGCGCAACGAGGAGTCAAACAAGTCGAGGCAGTCGCCTTGGCCTGGACGAAGCCGCATCTTATCATGGTTTTTATCCTGTGAGTTCGCATCTTGCAATTTTCCCCACAGATATACCAACTAAATTATCCAACTATAGCATGTGGTCGCTCTACTGCGTCAACGCATTCCAATCATCAATCTTGAGCAACCTCGTGCCATTTGTCACCAGTGATTTCGAAACACACTCTCTATTGACCATCATATATATTGTTTCCAACAGCATGACTGCGGCGTTATATATCCCACTTGCAAAGATACTAGATCTCTGGGGCCGTGCTGAGGGGTTCGTGATCATGGTTTCCTTCGCCACACTCGGCTTGATTATGATGGCCGGGTGCAATGGCCTCGCCACCTTTTGCGTTGCACAGGTATTGCCTCATGCTCTAGCAAAGTTTAATGTCCTCCAATATGCTGATCAATGGGGGTCCTTAGGTCTTTTATTCTTTGGGGTTTGGAGGCTTGATATATACCATCGATGTCATCACCTCTGATGTATCAAAGCTGAAGAATCGAGGTCTTGCATATGCTTTCACCTCATCACCGTATATGATTACGGCATTCGCTGGACCTAAAGCCGCTGAGTCTTTCTACGAGGACATTAGCTGGCGGTGGGGTTTTGGTACTTTTGCTATCATCTTACCAGCTGTGGCAGCGCCCTTGTTCGTCATTTTGAAGCTCAATCTACGCAAGGCAGCAAACCAAGGCCTTCTGACCAGGGAGAAGAGTGACCGAACGCTATTGCAGAGTATTTGGCATTACACTCTAGAATTCGATGGTGAGTCATTCTTGTCCTTGGCCTGCACCTACCTGGCAACTGTCCTTACTATTGAGTAGCTGCCGGTGTGATTCTCTTCTCCTCCGGTCTTACGGTATTCTTGCTGCCATTCACGCTTGCCGACACCGCACCTAACGGTTGGCGCTCGGGCTATATCATTGCTATGATCGTCGTCGGATTTGTGGTCCTTGTTCTCTTTGGATTGCACGAGACTTTCCTCGCAAGAGCACCGTTCTTGAATGTCAACCTCCTATCAAATCGAACAGTTATCGGCGCATGCTTGTTGAATATAACCTACCAGATATCTTATTACTGCTGGAACACCTACTTTACCTCTTTCTTACAAGTTGTTAACGACTTGTCGTTGTCGGAGGCTGGGTACGTGAGCAGTACATTCGACGTTGTCTCTGGGGTTCTCCTCCTAGGGGTCGGGGTGTTAATTCGCAAGACTGGTCGCTTCAAGTGGCTTCTATACTTTGCGGTTCCGATTTACGTTTTTGCCCAAGGTTTGATGATCTACTTCCGCCGTCCGAATCAGCATATCGGCTATCTCGTCATGTGTCAGATATTCATCTCGATTGGTGGAAGTGTATTCATCATCTGCGAGCAAATTGCAGTTCTTGCCGCCTCAGACCATCAACACGTCGCCGCAGTACTCGCTTTGCTCTATGTCGTTGGAACTGTGGGTGGTGCTATAGGAAACGCTATTTGCGGTGCCATCTGGACAAACACGTTTCCTCGGGCTTTGGAACGGTATCTTCCATCATCTGACATGCCAGATTTTGATGCCATTTACGGCGATCTGAGCACGCAGCTCAGTTATCCAGTGGGAAGCCCTACCCGGGTCGCGATCCAGCAGGCATATGGGTATGCGCAGGAAAGAATGCTTATCGCGGGGCTCGCTATCATGGGGCTGTCATTCATATGGATTCTGTTCATCAAGAACATCAATGTCGCCAAGGTTACGCAAGTGAAAGGCACTGTGTTTTAAGGTTCGGATTTTGAGCTTTTGCAGCTGCTATCTTCCATCGGCCCGAAACAGCCTGTCATACACGACGAGCTCTACTGGGTCCAACAGCGTCCGTATAGGTCGGTCCTCTCGCCTGGATTTGGCATTGATCCGACAAGATATCTCCTGAAACTAGTTACTTGAGAACCAATTAATTACAAACGCGACTTTTAAATTAATTCTCCCTTCCGCGCCTTGCCCATTCCCCAGTCCGCTGCTTTCCTTAAACACTACAAGTAGTGGCTGATCTTTCTTTTGTGGGTGTGGACAATGAATACATCACAGGTAATTTGTCCATCCAGGGTGTCAGTTTTCATTTGGTGGAGGTTGTTCAACAGTTTTATTCCCTGACCCCTTAGTATAACATCCGGGGTTTCTTGTCCGCCTCCCCCGCAGAATATCTGGCAATAGCTTTGAGAAAGAAGTTCCGTGTAGCGCACACGCACAGCAGAAGGCGGCGTATAGCAGCTGCCTTACCTGGCGTGGACAGCATCACGGCTATTCCTAGTCCAGAGACTATTTCCAAATTCATGAGAGTGAGGTCTCTCGATGCAGACCAGCTAAGCAAAGGTAGAACGAGCGGGATGTGACCCAAAGACTTCCATCAATGGCGGATCAAAGTAGGGGGTGGCAAATTGGAGTCATAGTCGCACACCATCAAGAGATAATGGCAGAAGAGAAACTGTGGGTAGCCTTCGATTGAACCAGTTGACGCGAGGTGAGTGTTTTGGAGTCCAGGCGGCTTTGCGTATACCAGTTAACCCACTCGTATACGTTACATAGTAAACTTGAAACGTCGATTTCCTGTTGATCTGTGAGTAGCATCAGTAACTTTGATTGAGAAGACGACCGCGTGTTTCAGAATTCCAAGTGCTAAGTTCCTGACCAGTAAACACTCCCATGTCGGCACACTCCCGCTACGAGTTGGGGGGCCGACGGCCATGGCCGTGAAAATATCATCACCAGGCGGAATTCTCATTTGCGCAAGGATACATGGCTGTCATACGAAGCTACTCCGTAGAGAGTTTGAGTACATTCGTACAGGGGGCCACCGGGCTGCTGGGTCTGCAGGGAGAAAATTATCTGATCATCAGATTACGCCCAGGGTCCCCCCTTTTGGCATATCCCTGCCCCCACGCCCGGCAATCTCGTATTCCATCTCGTAATAATGTAATAATGGGGGATTTTGAAAGTGCATAAAAGTTGATAAAACACCTCCGGAGTCGCTCCCCCCATTAACCCTGAAATTACACCCAGGCGGTCGCCGACTTCACCCGGGGTCGCTCCATAAACATCGGAATACCTTCAACCATCCATGCCGTACTATACGGGCTCCACTGTGGATCAGATAAAAGCAACCCTTTTCCTGCATATTACAACCATGGTCTAGACAGGGGCCTTAAACCGGTACTAGGTAGTTTTAAAAACCAGGATTTGTCACATTATACTACATAGTAGTAGTAGTTGCGGATTTCGGCACTCTACCTAAGTAAGCCAACCGTACGCAATTGGGTGGACGGGTACGGAGTATATACGTCCGTCAGTATTCGGGTAGAATGTACATGTACTGTTCATGTACGAGCGGCTGAATCAGATAAGATAAGAACAGGGTCAAGACCAGGGTCAGGGATCCGGGGGCGGGGGTCCAGGGTCCGGGGCGGGAAAATGCCATCATCAGATTCATGCCGCGACAACTCCATTTCAGCTGGGGAATCTATGACAAAACTCTTGCAGGGCGGTCTGAAGATGCAGAAACACGCTATAAATCTATGGAGTAAATCGCAACTCAACCCCCACTTCTTTTGCCATTTGCTGTGCTCGGCTCGTTAGTCTCGCCCAAGCCAGTAACTCGCAGATGTTCTATGTGTGTGGTGATGGCGAATTCGGGGACAGGAATGGACATAGAGCACCCTTTTTGATACCTTCAATATCTACGGCCACTTCTTCCCTCATACCTCCCGATCACCACAGCTTTAAATTATTTCCATCCTCAACATCCTCGTCTACTCCAGACGTCGCTAAACGATGGGTATGCTTCAGGAAGCCTCCACGAGTATCCAGCACAGAATCCCACGGCCACCTGCACTCCATATCTACGACCTTGTTACTGTTGGCTTTGGGACCAAAGCACTTGCTCTAGCCACTGCGATAAAAGACTATAACACATCAACCAATATCCTCTTCCTTGAGCAAAACCACTCGTTTGAAGAAGGTAACCATGTTCAAGACCCTGCGACCGAATTCTGTGATTTCATGCAGAATTCTTTCATGCACGATCTCGTCACATTCCGAAATCCGACCTCCGAATTCACGTTTTTAAACTATCTACAATCCCACGGGAAGTTGGAAAGCTTCATAGAGCTTCAAGGTAAAAAGTGTGAAGGCGACGGTTTTATCCGGCCACTAAGGGACGAGTTCTGCAGATATCTATCCTGGGCGGCGAGATCTTTTGGAGATTATGTGAGGTATGGGGAGGAGGTTATTCAGGTCTCGAAAGCAAACAAGTACGCGCAGGAGTCTCTGTGGAGAATTGTATCCAAGGACATGGCAACGCAGGATACAGTAGTTCGGTTGGCAAGGAACGTGGTGTTTGCAAATACCGAGCACATGGCGAGTATTGCAAGGGACGAGGTGTCGGCGTAAGTCATGCTCGCTCTCATTATTTACATTTCCATCTTGGATAATCAGGCTGATAGGAGTGGGCAGAAACCAAGGACTTTTAGAAGAGGAACCGAGGCCCATGGAAATGCTTCAAGTTACACATGCGATAAAAGGGCTACCCAAGGCAAGTTACTTTTCAGTCCATCACATAGACAGCTAATAATTCTACATTGCAGCGATCAAGCGACGATCAATTTTGTACCGTTGCCATGCATAGCGGGGAGGTCCTCAATGCGGTGTTCAGTGAGAATAGGTTGCTGTTAATTAGAGCTATGTTGTGAGCCTCTGATGCAGGGCATGCACCCTGTATATAGGAGCAATTCAAGCACACCGGTCCTTGAACTTAAAAAAGAAAAAGAAAAAAATTAGCGCATTTGAATAGATTCATCAAAGCACCAATATTCTTCCTGATCGCTTCCATCCCACCCCTTGGCAGAAAACGGCCGTTACGTCCCGTACAGCATTCCCGCAATGAGCGGCACACGAATAGGCCCTAGGATCTCCGTAGTCGGATCTGATAAGCGGAGGAACTATATGGATAGAAGGTTTATGACAGATTAGGAATTTCTGCCGATCTAGCGCCATCTGATAACCTAGGAAGCCCAGCCTGTCAAGCTGCCTCGGTTGCAGGAGCTGACAGGGAGGTGGGATTAGACTACATGGAATTTCCCATGCCTTGCACCCACAGTGACGGACAGTGGTATCGGAGGCTTAGTCCCATGATGGACCTTGACAGTCCAGTGTAATCATGCCCACTATCGTTAAATTACGGTATTTCAGCTATATGACGTGCTCTCTACGATACCCCGGGGGACCTGTAACACATATTGGCCTTCCGGTCCACGTAAATCAACAACTATGGATACCATGAAAGCCTCCCCGTTTTATATGTTATTGGTTTTCAGGAACCGGTTGGGATTAAATCATCTTCAATGACCGCCGGTAATTACATTATAAATCTCGATTTTATACTACGTATCTCCACATTAAAGAGTCATGCCTGTGCCGGTTAACAGCATCGATTTATACTTGCCTGCTTTCCCTTGGACTTGCTAATGCCGGGAAGCACGTTAATATTGTACCAGACCACCATTACACGTCCATTCAAGGCATTCGGGAGCTCAAAATGGACTACACAGTTCATACCTCAGCTACTCCAGCAAATCGCGGCCCGTCGCTACTGCAAGGCCCCTCTTCCCCTCCTCTCAAACATATAACTCTTGGCCAGCTTCTCGACGAACAAATTCATGTCCAGGGTCCCACCGAGTGTATAGTTTGTCCTTCCCTAAAAACTCGATGGACCTACAACACTCTGCAGAGGGAAAGCCTCGAAATTGCCCAAGGACTACTTTCGATCGGCGTGAAACCAGGCGATAGGATTGGAATCTTGGCTGGGAACTGTGCCGAATATATTGCTGTTTTCTTCGCTGTGGCGTATATTGGAGGAGTACTGGTTGTTCTGAACAATACATACACGGCGAGTGAGGCGTTACATGCTCTGGCTCATTCTGGTGAGATACCATCTCTCATATCCTTACATTCGTTGAATATGGAGGCTAATAGCATCACTGGCAGGATGTAGAATACTCTTCTCACAGCCGAATATAGGACGAGTGAGCATGAAAGATCTTTTAGTACACCTTGGTCCCCAGCCGAAGGGGAACGGCAAGTCCGAGATGTTGGAACGAATTATCATGTTGAGGGATTCTTTGGAAGGATTCGCCACTTACAGTAATCTCAAAACTGAAGGCAGAAGCATCCCATCTGCGGTTTTGGATAGAGCACGCGAGAAGGTATATCCAGACGATGTCTGCAACCTCCAGTATACGAGCGGGTCAACGGGCCATCCAAAAGCTGCCATGCTTACACACTTGTAAGTTTCTGACCTATTATTCTCCTCGAAATATTCCGAAACTACAGGAGAGAGGCTGTGCAGCTAACCAATGCGTTGTTAGCAACCTCGTCAACAATGCACAATCCATTGGAGACCGCCTCTGTTTTACGCCGGCTGATATCCTATGTTGTCCACCTCCTCTATTCCACTGTTTTGGTCTTGTCTTAGGTGTCCTGGCTGTCATTTCCCATGGAGCCAAAATAATTCTCCCGTCACCAACATTTTCGGCCCGGGCTGTCCTCGAATCTCTATCTGCAGAACGGTGCACCGCGCTACATGGAGTTCCCACGATGTTTGAAGAGCTTTTAAATCTAGAGAGGCCCAGGGGTTGGAAATGCGATGTATTGAGGACGGGCATTATCGCAGGTGCGCCGGTCCCAAGACGTCTTATGAAAAGATTGGTAGGAGAGTTGGGGATGGCAGAATTTACCAGTAGCTACGGTATGCACCTACCATATGACGAGGATCTTGGAACAATGTTCTGACTGAAGTGTGATTATCATACTAACATGTTACCTAAAGGTCTAACAGAAGCATCCCCAACCTGTTTCAATGCCTTTACCCACGATAGCATCCATACACGCCTCACTACGGTGGGCAAACTTCTCCCCCATCTCCGTGCCAAGATCGTTGACCGAACTGGTGCCATTGTACCACAAGGTTCGCGAGGTGAATTATGCATTGCCGGTTACTCTCTTTCAAAGGGATACTTCAGGAACCCGGAAAAGACAAACGAGGCTCTGCGGATGGATGAAGAGGGGACTTTGTGGCTATATACGGGCGACGAAGCATCATTCAATGAGGATGGGTATTGTACAATCACAGGAAGATTTAGGGATATTATTATCCGAGGTTATTATCCCCACTTCACAACTATGATAGTTCTCGTCTCATTACTCGTCAAGATCGATAGCAGCTGACAATCAACACAGGAGGCGAGAACATCTACCCCGTCGAAATTGAAGATCGCCTTTGTGCACACGCCTCCATCTCACGCGCAGCGGTTGTAGGCATCCCCAATGCACGATATGGCGAAGTGGTTGGTGCATTCCTTCAGCATTCAACTGATTCCCCCTCGCCCCCTAAGAAACCAACGGACGAAGAAATTCGTACTTGGACCCGACAGGCCTTGGGTTGGCACAAGGCGCCGGTACATATTTTCTGGCTTGGGGACGAGGGAGCCCCACGCGATATTCCACAGACAGGAAGCGGAAAGATTCAAAAGTTTGAATTACGGGCGTTGGGGGAGAGTATTGTTAATGCGAGAGAGAATAGACAGAAGCTGAGGATAGAAAAGGGGGCAAAATTGTGATACGAGTTCTTAGAGTATAGAGCTGTAAGTCCTTGCTAATATTATCACAAATAAATCTAGACTCTAGAGATAGAGAGAAAGAGCAATGGAAAGGTGGCTACTAGCTAGTATACATAGGGAACTGTAGTAAATATATTGGGGGCGCTAGCTGGCGACAATCAAGACTTAAGCATAAACCCATTATCATTGTTCCCTATCTAGGTACTCTTCATCCCAGTACAGATACGGACAGTTAGTCCAAGAAGCATAAGTACCGGATGGCATAAGAATAAGGAAGTTCATCATATTATATATTATTATCGCTTTTATTTCTTATAATTCTCTACTGTATTATCTATTTATTTTCTATCCACCATATAATAAGAATGATACAAAGAGTGGAAGTTTGACCACGTAATAAATCCTGCAAAACAGAATCAAGGTTACTTTCCATAATCGGTTGTTGATTGTTATCATCACTAGATGTTATACGAGTAGCGAATTCTATTTTACTAGCTGTGTCTTTCATTCAAACTTCTTTGATTTCATTTTTAGTTGCAACGTTGGACAAGTGTTTCATCAAGTGGAAACTGTCTACGTATAATTTATCAGTCATAACTCTATTATGATAATATTATCTTCCTTGTCACCAATTATAAACAATATAGGAGGAGTACTACGCTCACATAGTTGTATCTTTGCAGAAGGATTATTAATATAAAGCGGATTTAGCTTGGTTTGTTGTGCGTTGACCGTATCTAATTCCACTGGGCGATTTTTGAATAAACTTACAAAAGGTACTATAATCAAGTAATAAACAAAATATATAACAGTACTGACCTGTCCAACAAAGCAGGATGGGGTATTGTAGTGTAATGTATTCCAAATAGCACGGCATAATCTGCCCTGGGTCCCCGACGAGATCCATTGCAAATGGTATAAAACCAATACAGTCTACTAATTGCTAGTAATTGGTTTACAACCAGCCATGTCACGGTGTACGCTTTAGAATGACCAACACTATCATGTCGTACACGGGAGGGGAATTCCCAAGTTCTCCTCCAAATGATATGAAATAATACAATGGCCCTTCTCATCCTCAAATTTAGTTTCGGCACTCGACAACAAGCCAGTCACCCTCTCAGCCATAGCCAAGGGACAGCTGATATCCAATTTACCATCCAGATGCTTAAACCCTGCGCATCAATATCCTCCAACTCAAATCCCCATTCACGGGCATACAAGCCAGCCTCAACTCCAGCACGTCACCACCTTCCCCAAATGTCTTCCGCAGACCCATAACGAGGCTGGACTTGAACTCCCCATTCTCCACTGCCAATCGATCTCTTTCGGATATGCCCTGCGATGACTTCTTGACTATGCCCTTCAGCCTTTGCGATTAGGGGTCCCGCGCCTGCCCCCAGTTAGAGGTCCATCAATGAACCCACAATTCCGGGCATATAATAGGAAACGAACATCAGCAACAGCTGCATGGGCCGCATTCCTTCATCCCCAGCTTCATCGAATGGACGCCTGAAATAGACCCGTCGCCCAGGCATCTATCTCGGCATAAATTTCGTGTACGCTAGCATATGTGGATAGCCGCCGCCCAGACCGTGGAGTTTAAACCGGGCGATCACTAGGTGACAGGCGACGGCAAGGATGTCAGGCGGGTAGGAGGTAAAACGCTCGAGTAGCAATTATAGAGGTGAGGCCCATCCCCGGCCGGTGGGGCGAGATGATGCGGGCACGTATGATGTAGAGAGAGTGCGAGTTGGTGAACGCCCGCAGCATTGAAGTCGTGACGAGGTGAAGCTCTAGGAGTAAAGGATGGGCGGATGAGGACTCGAAGCGCCGTCGTACTCACGCCAAGCAAGCGTGCACTATTATCTAAGGTAAGTATCCACGTCTCTACTTCTGCTTCTATTCACATTTGAGTTTCTACTATTGGTATCGTCGCTAGCCAATAGCAAAATATTTAGGAACAGATAGGGCCGACAGGGAGGGTGAATCGGTACCGAGAGGATCGGAAATGAAATGGTGATGGTGATGGTTCGACCAGCGAAGCCATCCCTTACATTTGAACATAATATGCAAGTCGTTGTTCCGTAGCAGAGGGGAGGGTGAACCTTGGTGTTGTTATAAGTACTACGTACGTAGTACGAGTAGGAGATTTGTATTGTGTTGGCGACTTCGATCCTAGAAAAACAGTACGCCCAGGGCCTATAGGCCGTGCGCGCCGCAGCGTGGGACCTACGAACAGAGCTTCAACCACAAAAATAAGGCGAAGGAGTAGAGAGAAAGGAAGCTCCTAAACAAGATATGGAATGCCATGCCTCCAAAGGCCCTTGAAGTTCAAGGATGCAAGCCTAGATCTAGAGCAGCCTCCAATGTATGTCTCCATGTGCCATAGCTTTCCTTGCCAGTTGAAAAGGATCAAGTACTCGGGGCTCGAGGGGATCTTGGAAAATGTCATATCATGTCAGAAAACCCTCCGCACTTGATGAGGTTCTAAGGAAGGAAAAGGATAAAGTACCGGCCATCAGATTGTTTTCTTGACAGCTGCCCTTCCTTCCCGCATGTTGCGAACCGCCGGATGTGCAACGGGCAGGCCACGAATCGAGTAGAATATTAGAAGATCGTTACGTAGCTATTCGTACTTCGTCAACCTTTGTGTATAACAACATGCAGCAAGGACCGAGGTTGTTATGGGCTCCCTATCCCTCGACATGCCAAGGATTGAAGGCAGGCGGGCTCGGCGGGCGTAGGACAGGGGAAAGCAGAAGTTGAAACATTTCTCCCTGAATTACTACGTATCGCTGTATCACATCTCAGCTTTACGTCTACGAGTATGGGAATGCTCAGAAGATAAGACAGATCCCCTCGCCACGCCGCTCCCGTTTCCAAATGTTTTCGTTTCGGCTCCTGGCGGAGGAGATGGCCTGGACTCAGGACTCAGGAGGCGTGGCTGTGCAAGTGCATGTTTGAAGAATCTTTGCTTGCCACCCTAGACCACTCATTTGCGGTCCGAGCAAACCAGGGAAACATCTTGACTGCTCGAGTTCTCGACCACCCCGACCCTCAATGGCGATCAGTGTCGGTCTGCATGCAAACTCTCCTCGATGGGGCCGTGTAGCTCCCTGTTTTGGTGTCGATCCCCGCGATCAAGGTGTATATGGCGGGCAGGTATAGCTGCATTCAGTATGGAGCTCAGGGTTGATACGACCCGGCCCCGGGCGCCGGGTAGTATTGTGCCCACACAGGCCCAAGACTGTGGACTGCATTGAATAGGCATACCAGTATATATTTTGTCATCCCAGGAACCAGTGCTTCCTCGTGGCAACTTCAAGCCTTCAACGTGTTGTCTGATGTGGAATAATCAATCAGTATTGGAAGATCATTGGGGCCTGGGCACCCTCGTTACAGTAGGAGGACAAGGTGGAGATTGGACTATGCCACCATAGTCAGCGGTGCTAGACGCGCATCATTGCCCATGCCCTCGTGGCTGCCGCGGGGCGTTTAAGGAATAAGTGTTGTCCTCGAGTAATAAAGTTGGGAAAGGCGTCGGCCTGGCCCAAAGCAGCGAAGGTGATTACCAGCAAGGCCAATTATTGGTGAATTATTGGAGAGTTGTAGAATCGCAGTCCGTCAGTAACGACTCAGACTCAGACTCAGGAGAGAGGGAGCGTAGTATTGAGTGCGGTTGCGCTAAACTGGATTGGATCAGTGTCCGTACGAAGTACTTCCTTCGTAGTTGAATAGGCACCTTGCGACTGTGACCGTTCATCCTTATTCTCATTCTCACTGTGATCTCTCCCTCTCACTATTCTCACTGTGATCTTTTTCTCTCTTGACCATCCCTCCTCTTGTTTCGTCCTCCAGGAGGATCCTGCCCTGCGCTACCGTGCACTAACTCTAAACACACAAGCCGCGCACGAGGTTCGGCAGTAGCCGTGTTGCTATTTGCAGCTCCAAACAAACACAACCCCCTAAACCAGGAACCAGGAACCAGGAACCAGGAACCAGGAACAAAGAACCAAGAATCAAGAACCAAGAAACCAAGAACCAAGAACCATTATTCTCGACCGATATAACTACAGAGTATCGAGTCCAGGAGTCATGCTCTAACTCCTAAATACGTCCGTCGCACCCCCCCCGCACATACTTTGCACTGTACCTGCATTGCGCCGAGATCAGGATCGCAGATCCCATCCTACGACCGCTATAACCTCCCCCCCCCTCATTTGTGCCACGAGCTGCCATCCTGAGGGCAGAGTATTGCTGTCCGGCCCTGTGCCTACAACTAGCATTCTGCAACCCCAGGATTGGGTGCTGAGTCCGTGAGCCAATGCAGGCCCAGGCGCCATCGATCTATCGAGGTCGTGGCAGTCCCCCTCGCAGTTCTGCGCATTAACTTTTCAATTTACGAAGTACCGTACGACGGACGGAGTCGCGGAGGACGCAAAGAATCCCGCCCCCGCTGTGACCCATGGCGTTCTACGACTCCTCTTCCGATTCGGAAGATACACCTCCCCCCATCGTCTTCGACACTGGGAAAGAGGTGATACCGTCCTTGACCCAGCCGAGCAGGGAGGACGACGACGACGACGACCATACGAAGGACACCATGGCTCCCATACCGGTGGAAGACAGTATGAAGGAGCTTCACGTACCCACCCATCCGATCTCGTCCATGCAGGGAGCCTTCGCAGAATCCATGGTCGAAGTCGCTGGAGGCGCGTCGGGCCACCCGCCGAAGAACACAAGGGATGCTGTCGCGAGGAGGAAATACCTGTTGGGTCAAGACATTCACGAGGAGACTCACGCGTCCAAATGGCGACAGAAGCCAGGACAACAATACCACGAGCTCTGGAAATTGATGGCCCAGACCTCGTTCGGCATCTATTTGCTGCTGAACGGAATCGCGAAAGATGAGGACCAGGTTATGTCCATTCTGCAGGGCCATGTGGATGAGGTGGATGAGTTCCTGGAGACTACACTCGAGGATTTTGATCTGGCCCAGAACGATATAGACGAGCGGCTGAAGCTACTGAAACTACCTCTTCAAAACATCCACATCTTCGATGCGATGCTAGAAGATCGCACTTTTCGGAGTCAGATTGTAACGGGAAATGAGAGCATCGAGCATGTCATTACCCGCACTGCGGCCGCCATGAACGATGCTCTTAAGGATGTTCAGCAGGGCTTGGATGCGGTCAAAGAATTCACAATATATTTAGCCCGGGCGCAAGACACTTCGATGCGGAACGAGGAACGGACCGATATGAAAAAGGTCTTCCAAGCAATGAAAGGGAATGTTGAGGGTTGGTACAAAGCATATGTTTCATTACAGACCAAAGGGAACCACCTCGCTGCTGCGTTGGTGCAACTGGGAAGTATCGTGGCAGAAATGGACAAAAGGGCAGCCGATATCAGTCGGAAACAGAGGGTATGTTATGTCTCCTCGCTCTTCACTTCAAAATTTATTGATAATCTATAGTTCAGCATACCTAGCACATCTTCAACGCCAAGCTCCCCGGCAGCATCTTCCCGCCAGTCCCGTCAAATGCGACTGTCAATGTTGAGGGAACTCCCTACAGATCCAAGCCCTATAACGCCCGCCATTAGAGCAGCTCTACCTGCCTTCCAAATGGTCCAGGACCGCGAGCGAACGCCCGAACCAAAGGCAAACGTGCCGAGCTCAATCTCAAAAGTCGACACCGAATCCAGCGGCGTTGCCGAACCAGAGCCCGATTTCATCTTAAAACCACATACATATAGTCCCGTCCCGTCTCCAAAACCCCAAACTCCCCGCGCAGAACAACAATCTCCCGTACAGCAACCCCTTCAAGAGAAATCTCCACCCCCAGAAGTCCGCCAAAGGACGTCTTTGCGGAATCGCTTCTCTCTCAAGCGCAAGGAAACACCCTCCGAAGTTACGCTCAAGGCTCCGCCTACGCCTACCAATGATAACTATTGGGGACCACGTCAGAGAGTGCAATCGGCCTCCAAATCTTCATCCCAGGAACAAGATAATAATACTGTTAATTCACCCTCGTCACGAGGCCTCGACTCCGCATACTGCTCTGATTACGAAAAGCCTTCTCCATCAACTACCCTAATATCCACCCCAATGTCAAACCAGTTCAACAATACACCTCCAATTCCACCTCGAGATCCTGGGCGTAACGCGCCTGGGGAACTTGCAGGCAGTTCATTTCCTACTCCGCCCTTGACGCAAGACTCCCCTCGATCTGATCGGCAGTTCTTCCGCCCTGTCAACGCATCTCCGCACTCACCTCTTCAACGACCCTGGACCGCAGCCCCAAGTAATATAATGCACATCCATAGTAATTCTTCGTCTTCAAATCTCTCAAATCTCCGGTATGGTCATACACATACGCCTTCACAGCTCGGAGATAGAGGAGGGGCTCCGAGCACGATGGGCATGACAATCGCGAGCGAGATGACTACGATGACGGAAGGCGGAAGGAAAGTGAAGAAGAAACGCAGCGCTTTTGGATGGTTGAAAAAAGCATTTAGCTTGAGCGAGGAGGAGAAAGCCGCCTTTGAGGAGCGGACAAAGGCCCGCGATCAGAGTTATAGGCAAGGATACTATGAAACCACACCCCGGAAGTGGGTTGATGGGAAGAGGATTCGCTAGCAACATCCAAGAGAGCTCCAACAGTTGGATGAGCGAACCAAGCGGTTGGAAAAAAGGAAGGACGTTAATCAGATACCCCCTTTTTGTTTGCACCCACATGTGCATTGTATTATACGCATTGTCCCTTTCATTTGTACCTCGTCATTTATGTCACGAGTAAATACTTGTACCATTTCTCGTTTTCCGGGATTTTATGGCGTTTGCTCATCAGGGTAGCGAAGGCGTTGGCGGCATTGCTTGGATTTGCGCATTATAGGCTGCAGGAACGATGAGAATACATACAGGATGAGCGGAATGAAACAAATGGTGTCGGACGAGCCTACGACAGCATATGGTAGTATAGGCTGGATGTAATATAATGAAAGTAATTCGCTCACATTTTTTTACGCCCCGCAAACTCGTTTGAGAAGCTATTTGTAAAGCTAATGCAGTTCACGCAAGCTGGTGTGCTTACCAAGTTGATGTGAGGCATGTGAGAATTATATAAAGTTTCAAGTTCAAATATTTAAAATAAAGCGCTAGGTGATGAAGCTTTCTAGTAATTGTAGAATTTTACAAATGGCTATCTAATATTACACGGCTTGAAATAGGGGCAAAGATCGAAGAAAGAGGGAGGGATATTGCTCCGCACTCTCTTAGCCTTGTAGATTATCAGCTGTTATAGCGTGGAATATAGATGCTACGAATATTAGACAAGTAGACAAACGACCGTATTAATGGTATTCCAAATGAATCATAGGGGGGGGGGGGGTTCTTGAGCGCCTGCAACAAGGTAAGGTTGTATATTTTAAGGCTTGAGAGGCGGACAAACAGAGCACAGTCGTCGGTGATCCGGCGTAGTATTTTAGAAGATTCTCACCCAGTTTGAAATTTCTGGCTGGATTTCTGGACTGGTATATTCTACCTATCTTAGTTAGGTACTTAGTAAGTGCGGACGCCATACGCCAGCTCTCAGCTCGAAACCAGCAAACTCTAGCTTCCCAACCAGGAAGAAAACTTTTAACCCCCGTTCTTCATTACACGTTCTATCATTTACACCGTTTTTCTACCACGCCGGCGCCAAACTCCTCATATTCCTTCTTCGAAATCCACATCTGGTGAAACGTGCCCAAACTCCCCAATATACTTCCTCCAATCCAGCTTCCGAATCTTCTCTCAGTGGTTAGGCCAGCGGCATTTATCTTGATCCTCGTTCCGGGATACATGTTCAAGAGCTCCTGATTCAACCGATCCGTAAAGCCATTAATCAGCGTAGTCCCACCAGTGACAACAACATTCTGCAAAAGAGCAGCACGGAGGTCCATATCCACAGCGTTAACTGATGCCTTGATCATCTCTGGTATTGTTTGGCCTTTTGTCACGGCTGGTTCGCCGGGGATGGGAATAGCAGCCTTCTCATCCCACAGTCCTTCCACGACATTCATGCGCTCCACGTTCCACATCTGATTTGCGCCATTGGGGAACTCGAAAACGCGCCCCGGCTGGGCTTTGACATAGTCGACGTTCGTAGTGCCGGCTGGGTTTGGGGAGCTCAAGCGGCCCGGGCCAGGCCATACTTGCACGACTGATTCCTTGAATTCCGTCAACACCCGTTCTTCCTCTCGAGTGCGGAAGCTGTCCGTAATGTTTTCAAATTTTTGGTATGTCGCCTGTGCAGGGGCGCCTGCATCGACTGGTGTTTTGGCGGCGATCATGAAGTGTGGTATGAGGTCTATTTTCGGCTCGCTGGTGTTCCAGAGAGCTCGGATTTGGGATGAGACCCAATTTCCAGCTAGCGGAGATTTTTGAATGCTCTTCTTGAGAATGAGGCCATCGTGAATGCAAACCACAGATGTTATCGTAGCGCCGACGTCCACCACGAGTGCTGTTGCCTTCCCCGCTGCAAATGCCGCCAGAACGCTATTGCGTTGTAACCAGAAGGCCGGACAGCCCCATTCCTCCATCGCGATCTCAATTGACTTCTCTCTGTTCTTGCTAGGATTCCATGCCGTCTCTGTCATAAGCAACGGATGCTCCTCCAGTGGCTTTTCCTCTTCCTCTGTCCCCTCCATTTCAACATCCATATCCTTGGTATCATCGTTCAGCCCATTGGTTCGTGGGTCTGTCTGCTTCATAGGAACGAGCCGCGATGTAATAGAGTAGTGCCATAATGACTTTGCCACGTCCCAATCTTCCACCACTCCGTCCTTGGACATGGGATTGCGAATCTCCATTCCAGGCAAGGGATTATGGGTATCATCATCGCCGAATATCTGTCTGTCATTATGGAAACCATAGTATGAGCTGATGAAGGACTTCGGGGCATCTTCTCCTGCGAAACCAGCGCGCACGCTTGAGTAGCCCGGATCGAGTATGATTGCTGATACTTCATCTGGAGCGGGCAGGTGTTAGTCTCTACGAGGATGGTGGCGGCAACAGCGCAACGTACCTCCGCCATAGACATCTGTCGGTTGCACTGACGAGGTTAATGGCTGGGAAGACGCCATGATTAAGATGAAAGAGAGTTGCGGGAATAGATTGAGGAGCGTTGGAGTTGGCGGGGCGAAGCTTTTATTTCTAAATCGTCGCGTTCGCAAAGTGAAATGCGCAACAGCAACGGCTTTCGCGACTTCAAGGCTGGAGCTGTGGATCTACGGTGGGTTTTATGCACCGAGGATGCAACCAATATCATTCGGAATCGGAATAATGTTTGTGCTGAGCGAGATAAGACAAAAGCAATTTGTCGCGACAACGACCTTAAGTTATCTGTTTTCATTCCAGTTCAACACGATATCTCCATTGTTTTCTTATTATTTATTACGTCGATCTTTCTATATAGTTTAGAATGGCGCTCCCTTAGCTACTCGAGTATTGCGTTTCCTTTGCTGGTTCTCTGGTTTCTAATCCAAATCTGCATTGACAAATTGCATCGATTTCAACGTATCCGCAACCCCTTCCTCAGTATGTCCACTCCCAATGGCAAGACCGTGGATGAGCAGGTGGTCGGTCGACCAAAAGGAAAAGGTCCCAAAAAAATTAAACTTGTTTCTGGACTTACCTCCTTTCCGCGCGAAATTCTCGCCCACTTCGATGCCCTGGAGATGCTCGATCTTTCCAGCAACCCTTCTCTTTCACAGCTCCCAAAAGACATCTCCCGGCTTCACAAGCTTAAGATAGCCTTCTTTTCTAATTGCAGCTTTACCGTTTTCCCCAAGGAGCTTGCGCAATGCCGATCTCTTGAGATGGTGGCTTTTAAGGAAAACCGCATGACCACAATCCCAGAATTCGCATTTCCTCGAAAACTGCGCTGGTTAATTCTCACGAATAATGAGATAACGTCTCTCCCTGCTAGCATCGGCGAATGCCATCGCCTTCAGAAGTGTATGCTAGCAGGGAACCGGTTGACAAACTTACCAACTGAGATGGCATATTGTCGGAAGCTTGGCTTGTTACGTCTGTCTTCTAATAAGCTTGCAGAGCTTCCGGAATGGCTGTTTGAGCTTCCCGAGCTCTCGTTTCTGTCATTCGCAGGAAACCCATGCATGCGGGGTTTCTACGACAATCCAGTCCTGAACGATATTTCCTGGAAGGAATTGGAGGTTCAACACCTACTCGGCGAAGGGGCGTCGGGGATTATCTCTAAAGGAACTTGGAAAGGGGAATCCGAAGAAAGGCCGGTTGCCATCAAGCTTTTCAAGGGCGAAGTAACGAGCGATGGCTCCCCAGCCGATGAGATGGATGCCTGCATTGCAGCTGGCAAGCATCCAAGCCTCATAGATCCGATAGGGAAGATCCAGGGGCATCCAGATAAGCGCGGCCTTGTTTTAGAGCTCATCCCTCCGCATTATCAAAACCTCGGTCTCCCACCTACCCTTGATAGTTGCACGAGGGACTCATTCCTTCCTGAGACCGTCTTTTCTGTCGTGACCTGCAAGAACATGCTACTCGGCATCGCCAGCGCGGCAGAACACCTCCATGCGCGGGGAATCAAGCACGGAGACTTGTATGCGCATAATATCCTACTCGATAAATCATCCGGCCACGCGCTCCTTGGGGACTTTGGCGCTGCTACTATCTACGGAAGGGAGCATGAAAAGGCCGAGATGATCGAACGGATGGAAGTCTTTGCTTTTGGACATTTGGTGGAAGATTTACTGGGGCTGGTGGAACGAGTGATTGGTGACGAGGGCCTTATTGACAGCAAGAAGGACGCGTATGCTATTGAGGCGTTGAATTTGTTGCATTGGAAGTGTACCCACCCTGTTGTAATGCAGAGACCTAATTTTGCAGAGGTGAAGGAGGAATTGGAAGGGTTTTGAGTCAGTTTCGGGATTAGATTACAGTTTTGGAGTTTGGCCTGTCTGAGAAAGAATTAGACATAGAGATAGAGATAGATCCGGGGGTAGATTGATAGATTCCATAATTTTCTGATGTTGCAAATGCAAACTTTTTCTTGTTCACGGACAATTTGGGAAGAAAAGCTGCAAAGATTAGTAAATCCGTTGGGCCAACTGAACCCTTAAGAATCTTTCCTGCTCTAATCTCCAATTATAGATTCTGCATTGCAAATGGTTCTAGGTATGTCAATAACACCAACCCGAAGTTTAGGTACACGGCAGTCCAGTCAGAGTGTCACGGGCTTCTTAAGATCTGGCCTTCATCAAAGTAGATATCGTCTTATGGCAGCAGCATTGTCGGCTCGTGAGCTTAGTGGCATCACTTCCGTTACATAGAGCAGGCCAAGTCCCAATCTACCATCCTCTCCAGCGTGGCCAAACGTCAATGATTTCATCTTCCTTACCCTTTCTACTCCCATCAACAACCAAATACCAATCGAATCCCGCTCCAGAAATGCACGCATGGTTCGGCCATATCTTAACCTTCTGTCCAATCTCAAACAGGTCCGCCTCGTCAGGCTTCCCTCCCCACCCCAGAATTCCATGCTCCTGACTTATTTTGCCTACCTTCCAGCCGGCATGCTTCTCTAGGTCTTCGCTAGGCATCTGAACCCCTTTTCTGTTCCATGGACTAAGGATTCCCCATCCATCATATGCCTTACACGGCTCTCGTCCTAACGCAAGACTCCCACTTCCTACCAGTACCTCAGGCGAACCATCCTTTCCGCGACCAGGATAGATCGAGGCGATTTCACTAAGAATGGTGAAAGCTAGATCATTCCACGTTAACAATGCATTGGGGCCTTGAGTAGGTAGTGCATGCGTAGCGAGTTGTTGGCAATCAAGCACTGGGTAAACACCAGCATGGGCCTCAATATCACACTTGCGCTCGCGAACCATAGCGATAGTGGATCGCAATGCAGCAATTGCAGTTTGTTCGTCCGTGGGTGCATTCAAATCCGGGATGAGTAGATTACGCACAGAGGTGGTGGTTGGTGTAGCGCCTACGGAGAGAATCAATGGTCTGAGTGGTAAGACTGAGTGTACTGCCTCCGTCGTCACGAGGAGGGCCTCAAATTCCTGGCGCAGGAGATCGACGGCGGCAGCGCGACTATTGCCGCCATACGAATGCCCAGCGTGCGAGTACAGACCTAAGAGGCGACATGTACCGGCGGTCTCGAGGGCAACTACTGAAGCTATGAGTTGGTAACAGGCATCTGTTTGAGGAACAACACCCGCTCGATGGGAACCCATGTCTATCTTGAGAAATATTAGAGGAGTAATGGATGTGCTTTTGTGGATTTGGGAGACAGATTCTAGTTGCCCGGGATGGTCGACCACTAAACAATGGAGAAGTCAGTGTATCTTCTGTTATGTCTTGGGGTCGGATGGGGAGGTACAAGAAGACAGTACTGAGATGGGAAATGATATGAGATGAGACTCCTGCAGGATCAAGTGCAATCAGCTTGAAAAAAGAAACCAGTTATCCTTACTTAAAGAGAGACCACCAGGGCCGATAGCTGAGGAGATGACGGAAAGTCGCTCAACGGCAGCTGGACTGATCGGAAAGCTGTAAAGAAGCTAGATATTGTCAGTGTAACCAAGAGTGAGGGAAGGAGGAGAGGTCAGACATTCACAACTCTACCAGTGGATTTGTATTCTAACATCAAGGGGAGAATGTTCTCTGCTTCAACTAGGGTAGAGACGACGATCTTCACAGGGCCAGTTCCGCCGCCAACTTGCAACCTTGTAAGTTCAGTTGTCTGGAACAGTTAGTGGCCCGCTAATCAGAAGCACAAGGAATTTAAGAACTTCTAACACGAAAATAAGAAATTTGACAAGAATCTTGCTTATCGGAGTCGGGGTATAGTTGCTGGTAACTTCATACCTTGTGTGTCTTAATGTGGACTCTCCATCCAAAGCCCAATGCCTCCACCGCTTCTAGCATCCGGTTGCAGTTGCTCTTGACCTTGCTAAGGTCGAGAACAGCTGCAGGCGTTGCAACGTCATTCAATGATTTCCCCACAAACTCCTCTTTCAAGGCCTCCTTAGCGGGCAGCGGATATAATGATGCCACATGAGTAGCCATGACTAAGGGTTGAACTTTCCGAGGTAGCCAACTATTGTAGGAGCTAAAATGGTGCAGGATATCCCGAGGCCTGCTTAGGTACCTAGGTACTCAAATCTGTGCGTTTGGTTCCAAGGGTCCAGAAAACTGACAACGGAGGTTATGTTGTGATGGGTTCGACAGAGCTAGTGATAAGGTATATATAGTGGGAAATGCTTAGAAGTTCCCCATGCTATATTCCTGTCGATCGCATGAAAAAAGACCACTAAGTAATAATCATGGGTGGCCGGGTAAAGGAGCTTAAAATCAGACGTTCCTCGCGGAGGGTCGCTCTCAAACCAAATATGATACTACACTACTACTGTAGAAACTTCTATCGGATTACAATACCTTTGAAAACACTGCGCAGGTACGGTGTCGACCTCTGTTAGATTTCCAGTGGCGTTCGAAGCTCAGCCTCGCGATTCGGGCGCGCGGGAACGACCGGAACCGCGCTTCCACTCACGTCCATCCTCCTTCCAACCTACACAAACAAACAACCTCGCCTTCTCGTCGCCAACCCCATCACCACTGCCCTGAAACGCGCTTCTTTGTACTATATTCGACCTCGATATTACGGTATCTAGCTGGGGACGCTTGGTGCAACACCTCATCGATGGTTGCCAGCCACTCGAGCCTAGGGCGTACTTTGGGGTAGCCTGGGAATCGACCCGAAACCGTCGCGATGGCCGCTGATTCGAAATCGTTCACTGATATTGACTGGAAGAGGCAGGAACAGGATGATGAAAATGCTCTTAAGCGCCTTCTAGACCAGAGTCAACAAGCGGGGGAACAGGCCGGGCTTTTTGACGACAGCCGACCCCTCGATACGGGTGAAAAAGCGGACGATGCTCAGGACTTTGAGGATATCAGTGATGATGATCTGCCGGAGGAGGAAGAAGCTGCCGGCGCCGGCGAAGGGGATGTGCCGGGCCTTACAGATGATATGGGCACGAGCAATGATACCGATGACCTCTTTGGAGAGGGTCGCGGCTCGTCGCCTTTTGATGCGTTCGAGGAGCACGAGGGACTTCAGCCAAATGGGATATCACAGCCAGGGCGCATCCACGGCGGCTTGAATTTACCTACACTTGGGCCTGAACCCGAAGAAGATCTCCGTGAGCTCAACTTCCCAGAACATTACGATGCAGCAAATCAAGACCCTTCCATCCCGGCACCTGCGGAGACCGAGGAAGAGCTCCTCAAACAATCTTGGCCAACATATCAACGGGGGGTTATTCTCGACTGGAATGAGCTCTTGCCACCCAAGAAGGCCCATTACATCCCCAAGGTCCCCGAAAAGCCTCCAAAGGCACTCAACCCAACGAAGGTTAGCTTGGACCTAGCGTTAGACCAGGAGAAGTCATTTCGCATCGCAGGACCAGCGGTATCCGACAAACGCAAGCGGGTCCAAGAAGCGGAGGCAAAGGGTTTGGTTGCCATAGTAGAGGAATCTTCATCTGAAGAAGACTCCGAGGAGGTTCTTGACTGGCACATTCCATCTCCGTCGGAAAAGTTAGGAGGGGTGACTTGGACCGACCTTCAGATCCTGTGCGAGGATTGGGAATCGAGGATAAATCCAGAACCTACCGAGCTAGTCCAAGATGAGGTTGAGGAGGAGCCTATGGATTCGTGGGAGCGGGAGATTCTTGGTCATTCAGCTAAACGCAGAAAGATTACTCACGTCGAGAAAGATATCATCAATGCACCTCGTTTCGAAGTCCCTTCATTCGACGATTTTGGGCCGGCTCTCAGAAGAGCTGCGAAGCGCGTTACTCTCGACCTCAATGACCCGCATCTTCTACTGGACACGCAAGCATATAGCCCTGCGAAACGCCGCCGCCTCGGAGGTACATTCAACCAAGTTGGAAAGAGCGCATTGTCATCAAGCTTTGGTCGCAGATTCAACATATCAAACGATGAAGCATACGATGCCCTGAAGGAGAACCACCAGAGTAAGGTACGGGCAACGCTTGGGAACGTGTCACTCGAGCACAGCATGCCTGCTCTCAGGATGCAATGGCCGTATTACCGCACCAAGCTCTACGTTCCAGAAGCTCGATCATTCCACAGACCGTCTCTCAAATTTAATAAATTCATCAACCAACCGATCCATTTCTCCAAGCCTCTTATGCGGAAGAAGAAACAGATCAAGAACATGGCGATACACGATATTTTCAAAGAGACCAAGGATCTCACTCTCGCTGAACACTATTCCACTGCTACATTGCTCGAGTATTCGGAGGAACATCCTATAGTACTCTCGAACTTTGGCATGGGCAATAGAATCATCAATTACTACCGGCGCAAAGACGGCGAAGATGCTGATCGACCTGCCCCTGAAGACAAGGTTGGCGATGTGACCACCCTTCTCCCTGAAGATAGGTCACCATTTGCCAATTTTGGTGAGGTCGATCCGGGCGAGACTGTTCGAACACTGCACAACGCCATGTACAGAGCTCCTATATTCAAACATGAGCCAGCACACACAGACTTTTTGATCGTTCGCAGTAGCACTGGCGTCAACGGCACATCCTGGTATATTCGCAACATCGACCATCTCTTTGCCGTCGGGCAATTATTCCCATCTGTGGAGATCCCATCACCTCACTCAAGGCGGGTTACAAACGCAGCCAAGCTTCGTATGAAGATGATTGGGCTGCGGAAGATCAAGCATAATCCTCAGCAAACTCTTAAAATTGGAGAGGTTACAGCTCATATCAGCGAGTCGACCGATATGCAGAATAGACAGAAACTCAAAGACTTCTTCCAATATGATAAGACCGAAAAGGTATGGAAGATGAAGCCTGGGGAATTAATACCTGATGAGCCCACAATCCGAGCCATGATCAAGCCGGAGGAGGTTTGTGCACTTGATTCGATGCAAGTCGGTACTCGATATCTCAACGATGCTGGGTACGAGGTTAAAGATGACGATGAGAAAGACGACGATGGAGACCAAGCCAAGGAAGGGCAGTCTCTCGAGAAAAGTCTAGCACCTTGGAAGACCAGTAAGGCTTTTCTTGACGCTTCAACCGGCAAAGCTATGCTTCAACTTCATGGGGAGGGAGATCCATCTGGTTGTGGGCTGGCTTTCAGTATGATTAGAACGTCCATGAAAGGCGGGTATGTCGGTGCTCTTCAAGGCCCCTCAGCCACCTCAGCTGCGGCAATTGCAGCGGAGCGTAAAGCAAATGGAGGGCACACATACAATGTCAAGAAGCAGGAGGAACTATATCAAACAGCGATCCGCGAAATCTGGGAAAACCAAAAGCAAAATCTAAGCGATCCCGTCGAGCATTCCGAAAATGAAATGGAACGCGAACAAGCAGACGAGGACGAGAGGCTTGGTGTTGGTCAGACACCTCACTCCATGGCCACCCCAGCGGGTTTTGATGATTCAGCAAGTCAAATCAGCAGGTTCAGCACTGCTAGTCGTCAGGGTCGGGTGATGCGCATTACCCGAACCGTCCGTAATAGCATTGGGCAATCCGAAGAGGTCACAGAGGTTGTCAAGGATGTCCGAGTTTGGCGCGAATACCAGAAGCGCCGACATGCTATTGATTCGCACACTAGAAAGTTTGTTTGCCATGGCTATTGTGGGGGATTTTATAACTAATGATTTGATAGTGTCTACGAAGCGAAGCCAACGGGAAATCTTGAGTGGGACAGGCAAGAAGCTGCGCTGTATGCAAGCCCTATTGTGATTATATGCGCAAAAGCTAACTGTAGACAGTCTTAAGAAAGAACTTGCCCGCTTGGAACGTAACAGGGAACGACGACATGCTAGAGAAAAGCAGAAAGGGATATTCCGTGCGTCAGCAGAACCTGATGCTGCCGGCTCTCCCTCGTTAATCCCAGCACCTACTATCGAGAAACCGACTGGCACAACACGTAAATGTGCCAATTGCGGACAGGCCGGACATATCAAGACCAACAAAAAGTACTGCCCCAACTATCACAAATAACTCTACACTCGTAGAGCTCAAGCGTAGTCTGCTTAAGCGATCTAGTCGCTACATTTTCTTACGTCTAGTAATATCCGCACGCTAACATCACAATCTCAGACTTTGCCCAATGCTCAATGGCAGTATGAAACCAGAAGATGGGCCTACCAACAACGGTGGATTTGGAGCCATTACCGCACCCTCGTTCCCATGATCACGCCCTATCCCAAGCGCGCGTCAGAGATAATGGCCCTCCGATTCCCGATCTCCTATTAGCTGCTCCTCCCGAGCGCGGCAGCGCCTCTCTTAGACCACGACCCCTCTTCCCCGAACACGATACCATCTTCTTCTACACCACGGTCTCTTGAGGTGGAACTTGAGGTTTCCTCGGTATCTAGCATTCTATTTAGATACCGATACTCATATGTCACCGAAGTATCAGAACCAAACATCCACTGTCCCCACTTTACCTTCACATGCACATATATATATATAATTTAGTACACAAGGCACATAGCGTTGGTTCGCTACCACGGCGTTACTTAACACCATTATCTAGCGCCTAGAATACGCCTCGGTAATACAAAATTTCTAGGATTATTGTATGGAGTTTGGGATTCTGCTACATAATGAGCCTGGGGGGAAACAGCTGTGAGCAAATTGGCATTTTGAACCCGTGAATCACAATCACGGATGGGAGGTTGGCGTTAATAGGAAACCTATCTATAATAAACGCGAAGATCAAAAATGTATACAAGATGTTATATATAGTTCCGGTTGTTTCCCGTGCTATGTTTACCTTGGTCGCTCAGCCGGATGGAAACTCAGTAATTCTCCTATAGTAGGTAAGCTTTTGACCTGTGGAACTTGATGATGTTTCTATTTCCCGATAAGTGTTCGATAGCCTCATATTCTTGTACAGTACTTAGTTAAAAGATCTCGCCCCCTTTGAATTCCTCCCTCTCCCTCTCCAAGGTCGTGGCCATACACATACACATTCCCATATGTACACCAACAAGAAACAAAAAATAACGCACTAGAATCCATCCATCTATCCCTACATTACCTTATTCCTTGTTCTATTGTTTGATTTCCTTGGATTATAGGCGGGTAAGTATAGGGAGCTGATAACAATAACCTTGTATAGCATTGTTTTCACTTGATGCATTCTTTAATTATCTCATTTTCATACCTACCACCCTTTTTAGTCCTCGCTGCTCAGCACAAGAAAAGTAGCAGAGGGATGGGAAGGGGGTTTATCTGCGGAGAGGGGATGTGCCATGTATCTGTCCTTGTCTCAGAAGTGGAGAAAGCCATAGTTCTAAAATAAACATGCCTTTGCCCCTACTCATGCTATTATTCTTTGGGGTTGCGCGTAGGGTGCGCGTCGTAATGAGGATGTGTTACCGCGGTAGAGGAACCAAAGAGAAAGGGGGGAGGATGGGGGGTTATGAAACTGAGTGCGGAAGACAGAAATAAAACCCACGTGTAGGAAATTATGGTTAGGAGACTTAATCACTGTATAATAAAAGAAATGGATGTTCAGGTGTGAGAGCTAGAAATAAACCCCACGTGTGAAATACCATTATTTCCAAAATAAGAGAGACGAGAAGCGGGGGGTGGGAGTCGGAAATAAAACCCACGTGTAGGAAATATCTAGAGACCATCCTAGCCTCGTGAAGACGATACAGGTACTGTGATTTCCACGGCGGTAGATCAGCGAGTATCTCGTGCCGAGTTTGATGATAGGTCTGACAGCATGGTATATCTTTTTGCCGCTGATAGGCTCACATTAATGATTAAAAGGGGAAATTAGAGTGATGGTTGTGTAGAGAAGGGTAGAGTACAGACATGATAGTCACCCTGCAAACCAACAAGTGTTATCCCCAGTCCCAGAGAATAAGGAAAGCTAAGCGCCGGGAGGACCGGAATGCAGGTTGTTGAAGAAAGAGATGGATTTAGAAACAGTAAATGTGATGATGCGCAGTGTATATTGCTGCATGGTGGGGGAGGGGGATGTGGTGTTGTATCGATAAGGCTGGAGTGGATGATGGTACCGTATGGAGTGCAACACCCTGAGTTGACGAGAGTGTGGATGATACATTGATGACGACGATCTAAATGGAGAACTATCCGGATAGAGTAGTCCTTAAGTTGACACCCGCGGCTGTGGGTTTCTTGAAGCTAAGAGGTTGGACGAGGCTAGGATGGGGTTGGATGGGGTTGAATGGGGGACTATGTGTGTGTATGTGTATGTGTAGGTATGTATGTGTAGGTATGTACCTCTTACTTACGAGTATGGCGATAGAACGGCACGGCGTAGAACTTTTAGACGGGGTTTTGGTTGTGTTCTAAACTTCTAGCAGCGTCGACTCGGCAGCAGGGATATATATTGCTTGCAGATACACCTAGGTACTCCGTACAGAGACAAGGACTGAGCGTCAGACAACAAGTTGTGTCTGCGCCCGATAGAGCGTAGAGAAAAGCCGATGCACCCCAGCAATGGTGAAGATAGTCTTGGTACAGTCCATGTATGTATTGGTTATGGGAAGGGAAGGGGAAACAATAGTGGTTAGTTACTACGTAGATGCAGCGATAGATACCGTTGTAGCGAAGGATGTTCAGGGTGTTCAGGGTCCTCGGGCTATTTTTAGATGTATTTATAGAACGGGTCTGCAGACTCGCAGCACATACTCGAGTCGTACTTTCATAGCGCGATGCGGGATGCACAGCAGTAACAGCAGCAGCACAGCTGGAGCCGCAAGGACGGGGAGCATGGTATTGTAATGGGGGAAGATAGTACCGGAGAAACAATTCGACCATGTTACTGTTCCCGGTCGTGGTCAACTTGAGGAGAGAACGCTGAGTCCATGGTCCGGGCCGGAGGTCCAACTACTTGGAAGCATCTTAATCTAACACTACTAGAGGACGTATAGGACGCTCGAATATTTACCCGTTTGGTTACGGAGTAGATACTGTACATGTAAAGAAAGATAAGATAGCAATGTCAATGCCAATGCCAATGCCAACGCCAATGTCAACGGGAATAGTTCCGCCGGTTAGTAGCATGAAAATGGACTAGAACATTCTGCAAAGGTATTAGTAATGTTGAAAAGGGTTATCAGATGGCACCAACCGAGAGCATTCCTTGGTGGCAAGTAATGCCCATCGATTACTGGTTTCCCTGGGGGTGGTTGTGTTGGTGGACCGTTCCGCTGTGGAATCAGATCCCATCGGGAATATGACGAAGGAATGAATGTAAATGCTCCGCGGCGGTTGCTCCCACTGGATGTCTCAGATCCCAGATCTCAGATCTTTCTTCTTAGACTTCCGAGCGTCCGACCTCAGGCCTCAGGCCTCCGACCTCCGACCCCAGACCCCAAGGCGGGCCAAGGCTAATAAGAAGGCTGGGACCGAGGGAAAACCTGCCCCGTGGAGCCTCGCTGCCAGGGCTCGACCTCTGCTCCACTGCTTGTCCGGGCGGCTCCAGATTGCAAGATTGTACGATTGTGAGCTTGTGAGATTGTGAGATTGTGCGTCTGTACCTGCATCTCGTCAGTCTGCCAGAGTGAGTGCGGGTGTGTTCCAGAATAGAACAGAGCATACATATGTATATGTATGTGTATGTACTGTACCCAAGATACTTACCGTCTGTTCCGAGTCCCAGATACCGGATACCAGACACCAGACACCAAGTGCAGTGAGTTACATGCGGGCCAGAGGTTCTCTCAGCGTCGCAGGTGGGTGCAGTGCAGAGCGATGAAGTGTGGTAATATTCACCCATTGGGGGGATGTTGACATGGGCGGTAAACAGAGCTAATTGACCCGCATCCGGATCTATTTATGGCCATTTCCAGGGTCTGTCTTCCCCCCGAGGGCCCGCGGCCAATAAGAACACGGGGATCGGGGGGGGCTGCGTGGCTGCGGGCGCTTAGAGGGCCACAGCCGCGAAGGGATGTCCGGAGGGGGAAGGGAGTGGGTGGAGCCAGCTCTGTATGGAGCAGGAGCCCGTTACTCGTACTCCACCGTTGCCGGCCCCGTTGCGGATTGAGGTCCGCTCCAGTTCACTCCAGTCCACAATAATGCCCACAATGGCCACCACAGCCAACTGCCGTCCCCGTTCCAGGGCGTGTGCGGTAGCGGTTTGGTTTGGTGTAGCACCGTAGCACTGGAGGGAGCGCGGTAGAGTAGCACCTGTGGCCCCCGTCCCTAGCTACGGTAGCTGCTGCCAGCTGGGCCCAGCGCCCAGCGCCCAGCACCTCCCCTCCAGGCCTAAGTCTCTGGCTACAGGGCAGGCTTTAGGCCCTCTCTGCCTTATTCTTACAGGCTGCTGTACAGTAAATTCCCTCCTCCCGCCGGCCTCCCAGCAGTAGTTAGTGCCCGAGTCTGTGTCTGCGTCTGCGTCCGCGTCCGCGGTCTCTGTCTCTGCCTCTGTCTCTGCCGCTGACTCTCTTGTCTCTTGTCTTTCCGGCTCCGTCTCCTCCCCGCCGCCCACAAGCCTCTTCTGCTCTTCCTCTACTGTACTCGTTTCTATTTTCTCTATATTTAGAACCACCAACCTCCCCTCCCCCACCACCACCACCACCACCACAACACACGCCTCTATCACCTCTATCATCGCTGTCACCTCTATCACCTCTACCGCCTCGCTCTCTATCACTATCAGTCTATCAGCCTCTGGGCCCCCCGACCAGACGCCGCCGCCGCCGACGCCGACTCCAGCCAAAAAGTCTCACCCAGCTACTCCGTACGAGTACCGAGGACCAGGAGGCTTGCTTGATCAAGCATTTTATTTTCCTATATCTATATCTACAACTCCCGTCCCGCGCCCCCAACGAACCATAATTGCACTGGCGCCCGCTCCCACCGCTCTCTGTATCACTATTCCCTGTGTTTCATCGCCTATTTTCCCTCTTGTTCAGCGCCCGCTAGAAGAAAGCCTTCTGTCGCATCGACCCCCCCGACAACACAACACAACCCAACCCAAACACCAACATCTCCAACCAACATCTACATCTACACCTACGTCCGCGTCCGCGTCTACACCTACACCTACACCCCGCCAGCCCGAGTCCTCGACACTTTGCCCTCGATCGCCCGGACACCCCTCTGCATTCATTTAATAGCAGCCTCGTCGTGCACTCGCCCTCGCCCTCGTTGTCGCTGTCGCTGTCGCTGTCGCAATACCACCTCCACCTCCCCCAATCTCCCGCCGGCGCTGCCCGCCTGGACCCCGTGATCGCCGCCGCCCAGCTTAATGCGTGTGTTTGGTTCGTGCGCTAGCATCGGTCCCGTCGCTAGAAACAAACTCCAACACGCCCAACTGATCTGAGGACTTCAGCCTGTTCCCACGCAGGTCCGCCGCATCTGCTGTCTCTGGCTTTCACAGCAACCGACGAGCGCCTGGAAACTGGATCAATTCACAGAACCCTCATACCCACCTCAGGATCGGCGCGTCGCCGCAATGGGGAGACGAAAGATTGAGATCAAGGCCATCAAGGACGATCGGAACCGCTCCGTGTAGGTTTTTCCCCTGCACCATTTCCCTTCCTCGTCCCCCAGCGACGAGGCTTGGCTGGTTCGTGGCTAATCTTTGCGATCATCCAACAGGACGTTCCTCAAGCGCAAAGGTGGTCTTTTCAAGAAGGCGCATGAGCTCTCCGTCCTCTGCTCCGTCGATGTCGCCGTGATTATCTTTGGCAATAATAAGAAGCTCTTCGATTACTCGAGTACCGATATTGGCGATATTCTGACAAGATATCAATATGTAAGCCTTTTTTCCTTCATTCTTTCCCGTCTCACGCGCCTCGAGATGGACAACAGCTGATAGCCCTGTAGTATGGAGGCGCTCACGAACACAAAGGCCCTGCCGACTTCAGTGGGAAGGGAAAGGATATGGATGACGAGGATGATGAAGAAGGGTCGGGTGCGTCGCAGCATCACGGATCGGTCGAGCCCCAAATGATGCCTCCCCATGCATTCCCCAACCAACCTCAGTTCCATACTATTCGACATCAAACTCCTTCAGCCTCCCCGCCAATTCCCAATGGTGTCTTCCCACATCATCCGCAACAGCGACAACATACCCCGCAACCGCAGCCTCAACCCCATCCTGGATCTCGTCCGTCCTCGAGAAATGCGCCTAGAAGACAGAGCTCGAACCTTGTTCCTCAGCAGCATCCCCAACCACCCAACGGCTATGCGTATATGCCAAACCCAGCGATTTATAACCCTCATAACCCTCCGCCAGGCCCACCACATCCACATGGTCTACCACCTCATATGCAAGGTCCCCCAATGCAAGGCCCTCCGCAAGGCATGCCACAGCAAGGGCCAGGACCGCAATACTCAAATTATGCGCCCCAACCTCCCCCACCGCAGCAGCAGCAGCAGCAGCAACAGCAACCGCCGCAACCTCAGCAGCATCCACATCCACAACAAGTACAGCAGATGTATATGGAGGAGCAACGGAGGGCTTCAGTGCCGGCTTTTCCCCAACAACAAGACCGACCCCCTTCTCGCCCGAATGTTTCCCCACCGCAGCCACAACCGCAGCAGGTACCGCCACCGCAGCAGCAGCAGCAACAGCAACAGCAACAACAGCAGCAGCACGAGGACCGTCCCCAGATAAAGCTCGAGCCGCAACAACAACCAGAACAGCAAGAACAAGAGCCGGAGCAGCAATCCCATGCCCCTCAGCAGCAGCAGCAGCAGTTGCTTGAACCGGTAAAGCGCTTATCAGTAAAATCCCGCAGTATATTTACCCCAATAGACGAGTCCCGTTCCATTCTATCTCAGCATTGGGCCTCGTCAACATCCAATGCAGAACCACGGAGTGAGCCAGCGCCTTCTTTGAACAACCCCAACCGCGCTCAATCTGTGGATGTTGGGGCCGTCTCTCGCGCAAACCCCAATAACTCTCCCCCTCAGCCAGCTCGAGCCAACACGCATAACAAAAGCCGAGTGTCCCTATCTTCCCTGCCTGATGGTTTCAAGCCGCCGTCGAGGACCAACTCGGCTCAATTAGGAGGTGGCAAGCGACCCGTGTTGAAGGTCCAAATTCCAGAGGAGAATTCGGACGACGAAGCCGGGACTGGTAACTCAAATTCCAGCCCTCGGTCATCAACCAATATACCGGGCTCCCATCCACGGCAAAATGGACATGACTCGCACGGTTCTGGCGTGGTCCTCCCTCCACCGTCACCCTCGGCTTCTGCACTCCTTTCAGCTGGCGCATCTGGACCGCCAAATCCCTTCGCGCGCCCACATCACCCAGTCTCCCAACCTTCGCAGAACTCAAATGCCAGTGGTGGCAATATGATAGATACGCCGGTCTCCGCCCTTCCCAGCCGCTTCATGACCAACGAATTCCTTCCTAGTCCTAGTAGCTTCTATCCTGAGTGGAATTTCCGGGGGAGCGACAGCAACACCCTGCCTAGTCCTCTGAACTTCGCGACTCCTGTAGTGGGGACGGGTCCGAGTTTTCTGCGAGAGGATTCTGGCGACCGAGCAAACACTAGCAACGGGAAAAGAAAAACCCCTGATGCGGAGGGAGGCAGTGATAGCGGTCCCGCAGATGTGAAAAGGGCAAAGCACGAAGCTTAAATGACATGCATAGGATTTGCTATTCTCTTCCCCCGGACACCAACCAGTTTTTGGTGTGCTTTTGGCCGAAGCCACCAGATATATAATATATCCCCCCTTTTCTTTCTTCTTCAAGGCGGCGCCGATTCTTTCGGGATGTTTCTAAAGTTTTACCTTTGATTTGCAGATTAACATTGGGCGGTCGTTGTTGGCGTTATATACGGTCCCGGCGACTTCCGGATTAGGGGGGGGAAGGCTGGGGAAATTTGGATGCATAGTTATGAAATGATATGGAGCTTCTTGTTAAGCTAAGCTAGCTAGCAAGCCAGCTTCTTTGATTTGATTTGATTTGGTATTATGTTTGTCTACATGAATAAGCAATATCAAGATCGCTGTTTATGTGGATATACCCCTTGGCTTGTCGTCCAAGGCTCCTTTTGTGGGTGGAAAATTTGGGTGGTGGGGGGACGGAAGGGAAATGTCGATAGATATGAATAGTTGAATGAAAATGGAATTACTATGAGATAGTGTCTTATATTGCGCTTCGTACTGTGATTCGTCGTAGCTGGTTTCCGGTCCCTGGTCTTATTCAAAGGGCAGTCCTCTATCCCGTCACCCACCACGAACAGTATTTCCCATTTCTAAGCTCACCCTGCCTAGAAACTCCGCGCGGGGTTTAAAAACACGATAAGTGTCATTCATTGAAATGTGAGACATTCGTTTCACCATGATTCACAATTCAGTTATATATTCAAGCTCGCTCTAATTTACATCTGGCCAACGCCAAAAATGGGTTTAGTACTATATTTCCATATTCGCATTGTCGGCCGCATCAGTTCCACAGCTAGAGCAAGGAGCGGAAATCATGACTATCCCATCTAGACCCTTGCTCTGGTGCCCGGCATAAGATACGTCCTGTGAATGCCTGACACAGGTCGCTAACGGGAATATATATAATAAACCTAGGTTTACTAATCGAGTAGAGCAGAGGCAGAGTCGCTGCTCCCTTGCGGGCTGTCCTTAGGCGCATTAAAAATGCAAGGGAAAACTAATTCGCAGGATGTGGTCCCAGAACTAGTAGCTGGCACTAGTCTTGGTTGAAAAATTAACAAGGGTGTGGCTTGAAGTCGGATTAGAACAAAGTATAGCGCTGTGGGATACACTTATGTCGAATTCATATCTATTGATGTAGAATGTTGGGCGGGCTAGCGTGTCGGCGTGTCGTAGTAGGGATATTACACTGAGATTTGGACATGAACACAATGAATATCTAGCATAGTCCGATATTCATATAACCCTGATCGACTCCAATCCCAATGACTACAACTCAGTTGACAGCATCTTCTGAACTGACAGCATTCATTGAATCGACAGCAGATATGCCTCCATTTGCCTTAACTATAGTTGGTGCTGGGAGGGGAAGATGATAGGAGCTTGTGCTAACCTCTCCATCTGTAAATAGGAATGCACATAGTTGTAACAACACCACACCGCAGCCATAGTAACCTCCGACCAGAGGGTAATTTTTGTGATACGTACGAGTTGGTTGTGAAGAGACAAGATTTAATAGAAGGGAGGGGTTGAGGAGATAATAAAGGAGCGTGATTCAGCTGTGGGCTGGAGGTTGTGAATTTTGGTCACTGAGGCAATTTAAGGGCGGGGGTTTTCTCAATTAAAAATTATAATTAATTTGATTCGATCTGATCTTGCCATCTTGGTATCTTTTTAGGGGTGTGAGAGAAAATAAAATAAAAAGACTGCAAGCGCGAATATCTGGTGCTAGAGACGGGTTTGCCTTGGGTATCTTCAGTTTGTTGATTTTGTTAGCTTTCCTCTTTGTATGACGTTATGAGAGAGGGATGGAGGGAGGAAGAGGAGTACCTCATTCGGTGAGTTAATAGCTAGGATAAAGCACTGGAACCCCGCCATTTCTCTGTCGTTGCTGATACTTGAACTGCCGCTGCTGCTGCCGTCGAGAGGTCGCCGTTGACTGATACTGAGATCTGGAAACTCCAGGAATCTGGAGGCGACATCCGATGGCGTGGCAAAGAATTCGCGTGTGAACCAAATGGATTGGCCTCGTCCAGGAGATCCCTTTGGGCGTCAACGTTATGTTTTGAGCCCCCGTCATCTGCTCCCCACGATTAATCTGAGTATACTTCGTATTCAATGCGAACAGCCATCCCCTGATGGCGTTGAGATATCGGGAGCTTACTATCTTGCTGAGTGCGCTCAAGAGAGAAGGGCGTATCCCATCTACTAACGATACTAAGCTCGTTTTCGTGAGTGGTCGAGGATTCAGTCCATGGATTCCGAAATTGATTTTCCGAACAGCGGTATTGGGCGTCTCCATTGTAGAACTCAGCGCCCGCTAGATCCCAGATCTAGTCTCAAGTTTTGGAAGATGACATTTCATGTTCTTCTTCATGATACTCCGTTCGGGAACTGCGCCGGCGCAAGTCCATTTCCATTCTGGAACCCGTTTCCATTTTGCATTCCGTTCTGCATTCCATTCCCATTCCCATTTTGCATGTCATTTATATTCATCCCATTCCCATTCTTCCCATTCTTCCCATTCTTCATACTGGCCGGTGCCAAGAACGAGACCTGTCTATCTCTGCCCGGTTTGGCGGGCATAGCGATTACCCTAGCAAAAGCCTCAGCACTAGCATCATGATCCTGCAGTTTCCGTTCATGCTCTCTCACTCGATCTTGATGTCTGCGAACTTCCTCCTGATGCAACCGCATCTCCTCGGCGTGCTTCAGCGCCTCCGCCTCATAGTACTGGTTCATCTCGTACTCCTCCTGCGCAATCCGCTCTTGCTCTTTGGCCATTCGCATCTCTATCTCCATCATCCGGTCTCGTTCGTCTTGCATCCGCTCTTGCTCGCGTGCTCGCTCTTCCGCTTGTCGCTCGTATTCTAGCATTTTGGGGGTGCGGGTTCCCCGTATGCTGAGCGCTGGTGCTTGTCCTTGTTGTGCCATACTTGCGGTTGTTGCCACCGACCCTTTAGTAACGTCTCGAGGTACTATGTTCCCAAGGTCTGGGATGGAGGAGTTGGTGGAGCTTGTGCTATTGGCTTTGGCTCGGAAGACTTGGCCGAGAGGGATTCGTGATAGCGACATATGATCAGAAAACAGAAATAAAATATCTTGAGATCAGAGGCGAGAGAGGCTAGTTTTCCCTTTCTTTAGGGGGGGGGGGCCTGAGCTAAAATTCAAAAATGTGGCCACTTGGACTTTGAGGGGTTCTCAGGGGTATCAGGTCATAAGTTTGCAAAAAACCGTCCTACCGTTTCCACAATCGGAGCCATGTGCGTATCTAGTGGCTATCTATACATTGCCAGTATGATGTCCGCAGGGTTCCGCTGCTTATTTCAAATGGTTTGGAGTACCTCCTTGCTCCTGACTGGAGGTGTTGATCATGGCGGATCCGGTGATCTGGTAGGATGTGATACAAAGGGTGCAACATCTGAGCCGCGCTTTGACAAGGCGCCATCGAGGGGCATCGCGGAAGTCGAAATTTTGCAGCAGGACAGAGCGCCCACGCTTCAAGTATAAGGTCTTCATTGGTCGGGTTTTGGTACTTGATTTCATCGCAACTCCTACTCTTCCGTTCCGTGGACCGAGGTATTCCATATGTATATATACGTGGAACCGGATGATTGTAGGTGGGATGAGATGAACCCGGCGTCGTCTTGCTAAGACTCTGCCGTCCGGCCCTCAAATTTACGGTAGCCTTCAGATAGATACTTCGAGGTACTCCGTAGGTACATCCAGACCGGTATAATTTCGATTTCTGTGTCAGTCATCCGGCTATTCTGTTGGTGAGCTGTTCAGTGGTGCCAAATATTGTAGAATGTCGTGGTGGCCCGGAGGGAGCGTGGGTGCAATTTGTAGCTACCTCCTTACCTAGTTGGTGATAGGCGTCTATCTAGCATTACACGGGTATGTTTATCACTTCTAACATATAACAGCGAGGCTCTGCATTTCCCTTCTATTGAACTGAGTCGTAGAAGGCGGGACAGAGGAAGTGGGATCGAGGTCTCAAGGGCGAGGAGGTTTTGTTTACTTGGGTGATATTTTAGGTGTGCAGTTCTGAAGATGAAAACAGGTCGTGGAAATACCAACAATGATAATGTCTTGGTTTTTTTTGTAAAAAAAAACTAGTTTCCAAAGACAAGGCTTCAACGGTCGAACTTCCTAGAATAATGAGTTGTTACATGTAGCAATAATGCCCAAGGCATTTCGGATTATGTACCGGAAGATATAAGATCCGCAGTGACAGCGGCGAAGTCAACACACCATAAAGCATCGAAAGATAAATAAAATAGACTTTTGATATATAGTATAGCAAGAAGCTAACTTTGGTTTCTTTGGCTCAAGGTGTAGGCACGCCCACGGGCATCGATGCGGGTGACCTGCTCAGATTCCGATGTATTTGAACCGTAGAAATTGTGAAAATTCCGCGATTGCCAGTCCTAATAAGTCAATGGCATTGCTTACGAGTACCGAGGACTTGAACAATTGAATTGAGGATGAATAATCATGGTGTGTGTGCTTGCCCACCTGTAAGCATCGCCGTTTGATCACCGCCAACAGTCTCACAACGATCATGTGCGATCAGGAGAGCGAGGCCCGTTTCCCGAGCGGAATAATGGGATGCGCACTCGTTCTCCGCCGCCGCCGCAGGTCACTCACTGTATTTCGCCCTGGAGTCTGTGTTGTCGGACCGACGCTCAGCTGAAGAAAAGCAAGTATAATGAGCTATTGGATTTTTCACATCGCCCACGCACGTCGAGGCGTTTGCATAGTTTTTATTTTAGTCACTTGCTTGCACCGTGTTCCTTGCGGTGGCAGCCTTGCATACCGCGGCAGCTCGGAGCAATTGAATCGATACGATTGGGCCCGCCGTTCAGCAGACTCTGCAAACTTTGGAAATGAGATGGAAGCATGTTCGGAGCCTTGCAAATGTTAATACCATAGTGGACCGCGAGTAGCGCGAGACTTCGCAGGACAGAACGTGTTTCGGCATAAACACACTGGACAGTTTGCAACGACGCCCAGGAAGGCTCGAGCGGCCACCGCGGAGTAGGCAGGACGAAGCACCAAGTACCTATCATAGAGAGCCTGCCTGGTTGATGACGATTGATTTTTTTTAATTCCTTTCCTCGGCGGCGCCTGGGGCACGGCACTCTGCTGCACCCCAGGCAGGCTGCAAAGACGATCGACTGGCTGCATGGCAGGCGAGGTACGACGCCGCTCCAGAGGGCGATGACGAGAGGATGCACGTAGTATGCGCTGGCAGGTCGAGGCAGCTGGCGGCGGGTATTGGGTATTGGGTTGCAGGATCGATTTCTCTCGGGAGTTGTAGTGGCGGGAGTGTAGGTGTTGGTGGTGAAGGAGCTGGAGCTGGAGTTTTCATATAGCTGAGGCGTGTGTGTTTATATCAATGCAATGCCTTTGGATCCCAACAGCAATTCGCGTAAATTTCGTGGATGCTGGGCTGCAGCAGGCCTTCAATGTCAGGAGCAGTATCATAACCATGTCGATCGTCTTATACACCCGTTCAGCAGTGTCTCGAGTTGTCGAGCGTGAAGGAGGAAGAAGTGACTACAGAGTAGGTAAGACCATAACACAGCACAGCAGAATACAACACAGCAAAGCAGCCTCTTTACCACGTCACAAAGCTAGCGAGAGACATCACTGAAGTCGGACATTAATCTGGCCAACCATCTGCCACTCAGCCTTGTCTCCGTAGGATATTATTATTGTCATTCTCATTGCGCCCAGCGAATAGGGACCGTGGAACCCGTCTTTTCTCTTTTCTCTCTCTTCCACGTTTCACCGCTTTTGCGGGACCCCCCAATGCGGGCAGCCCAGTAGTCGCCAATAATAATAATAATAATAATGGTAATAATAATAATTATGATACAGCAATCACAATAGCAACACTCCGTAATCTCTTTGCTTCACCTTTTTTTTTCTGCCTCTGCTTCTGCCTCTGCTTGTCCTTCACCCTACATAGTCCCTAGTTGAGCCAGTTGAACCCCTGGCCCTGATAACTGATTGCAGCGTATACACCAATCAATCAATCAATCGATCAATCGATCAATCGCCATACGAACCTAGGACTTTGTGCTGTACATCCCCCTCCACCTATCCAAATTGGGTCGCGTAACCCAAACCCGCCAACGCCCAAACCCCTTTCTTTCGCCAACACCGAAACAACAACAACATTCCTTTTCCATAACCTTCTCGAGAGCTGCGTCTCCCTATGCATGTCGTTTGAATTCTCCTTCGTACCCTTCCTCATACTCATCGCCTTGGACGAAGAAAATACGGCTATACTCGTATCCACCCCGCTACGCCGGATCTGAGTTCCAGGCCCAGGCGTGCCCCTGAACCCTTTTTTTAATTTCGACCCCGTCTGCGCTGTAGAGTTGGATGCTCTTCGATCTGGACAACCCCAACAACCACCATCCCATATCGCAATCGCCATGCCCAGCTTCTTCTCGAGGTTGAAGGGCAAGGATGGCCCGACCAAGGCCTCCAAAAAGAAGGGCGCGCAGCAGACCGATCTCAATGCACTTCCGCCAAAGCCTCAATGGGAAGATGCGTGGACCCGGAAGACCGTCGATCCAGAGGAGGTACAAGAACTCCTGAGGGGCTGCACGGTAGAGTTGAAGTCTAGAGGTACGAGATCGATCGAACTCCTTGCCGCGCTCCATTATGCATGATCCCTTTGCTACATACTCAATTGTTGTTACACCAGCTAATCCCATATCGATAGCAATGGAAATCCCCCTATCCCTTCTCCCTTTCCGACCAACTTCAGATCCAAGCGCCGCGCGCACTTTTATTCGACACTTCTTCGACCGCGATCACAAACTATATGGTGAGGGTTTGGCCCAGGAATTGCGCCTCACGGAGCCCATGGTGAGTCTCCGTGGACATTGGGCCCTGAAACCCCTGGGCGGAAGCTAACTGGGAATAGGTTCTGTGTAGCGTCGTTAAATGGTGCTGGAGCAGATTACCTGGCGGAGTAGTAACATGGGACGCATATGAACTATTCAGAGTTGGCGAGTCTGGTTAGTTGATTGCACATCTCCACTTAGCATATCGAAAGGGCGAGGCTAATTCGACTTGTAGATTCGAACATGGCGAGGGATGCCTTTGCAACTTTTATACCCTTGAGCGTCGATTCTGATGCGCGGACTAAGATTATTTTCGATTTCTTCGACCTCTTATCAGCTATTGTAGCACACGCGAAGACGAACGGCTTTGGCGGTAGAAAATTGTCGAGGTTAGCTGGCTGGTGGGCCTTTGAGCATAGCGATAACAAGAATGGGTTTGAGGGCGGTTACAACACCTGGATAGCGTACGTGACTTTTCCAACCGTCTTGATCTTTGCTATACTAACGGGGCTGTTGCTAGTGCTGCGGATGCTGCCAGCCACCTGTTCTTTGCATACCTACGCTCCCTGTCTCCGCAGTCTGTCGGCGGCATGAATGGCATATCCAGCCTGCCAATCTCCCTTCAAAAGCTGCTCCAGGAAACCGAATATCCCCCCCAGAGACCAGCTCTGTTACAGTCAACAACCACTAAGGTTGTCATGATAGTAGATGCCGTCTCGCCTACTCCTTTCGCCCTTTTGCGCCGAGCCAACCACTTTCAATATAGAGATGACGATAGAGCGTTAAAGGAATTTGCCGAATACGAAGATCCGGTCAAAGCGTTAACTGATGAGTGCCGCCGTGTTCTACGATGTATCTCTTCAGCAAACCAATCCCAGGTTTCGAACTCCAAGAACTCCACTGGGCTGCGCGATGCTTCCTGGTCGAGATTTGAAGATATTGGGTTTTCTGGGGGGATCGAGGAGAACGAGGAAGTGGACGAAGAAAGCAATTTCATGAAACGACGCAGCCACCCCCACGGTTTGAGAACCACACCTCATTACAAAAACGTAGGTTTGGCCCGGCCAACTACCCCTTCATGGGCAGACTTCCTCTCTTCAGGTTTTGTCGACGAGGCGAAAGCGGGTCCTGCACCGTTACTACTGCCTCCTGATAAAATCCTACCTCCGATCGATACTCGTGGCCGTAGTTCACAATCTCACCGACCAAGACTGGAGACGGAGAGCATTCTCGAGCCTGGTGAGCTGGCCAGCATAAATAAATTTGATCTAGATGATTCATTCTGGTGGGTTTGGATTACCAGTTTGGCCGGCGAAGAGACCCCAGAGAGAAAGGCAGCATTCGGCCGATGTGCTTTAATTGAGACCGTCATTCGAGGGGGAAGATGGCTGGTTATGGAGGAAGTGGTGAAGGGTGCTGCTGCTGAACCTGCGGCCGGTGCATATATCGCAGAGAAGAAGAGCTTTTGGGGCCGCACTAAGAAGAACAAAGCGCGCCGTAAGTCTACAGGCAAGGAAGCCCTGGAGCAACAGGGTGCCTTGCAGCCTTTCAAGACGGCCCACAACGATGGCACGAGTAAGGTTAGTGTTGGACCGGATCAACATGCTCGGATTCAAGCAGCTGCTATTCAACTGCAGCAGAAGCAACGACAACAGGAAGCGGAGCAGCAAAAGGGACTTCGTCGAGGACGTGCCGATATAGATACGAGCTCACAGAAGACCAACAGCGTCTTCACTTTGCAGCCTGTTATTATGTCGGAAGCTTCTCCAGCAATGAAATGGGCTAACAAATATGACAAAGATGCCATTCGGGAAGCCTACCTAGCTAACTCTAACACTGGACGCGGAACTCCCGAGCCCATGGCTTATACCAATGGACACAACACACAAAGCCAAGATACGCTCCGGCCAGCTCAAAATTTACAGCGAGCAAACTCTCGGGATAGAGATCTTCCTTCGGTACCGTCTTCCGCGGGACCTGCTGTTCCTTCGAAGCTATCTTCACCATCTGCGCCAACTCCGGTAGCAAAAAACAGTAAGGAGCAATCTCACTGGTCAGAGAAGGCCACTGAGGCAGCTCTGCCAGCAGATACCCACCCAGCTGTTGCAGGTCCATCTCTCATGCTATCCCCCATGCCACATGTGACACAGCCCCCTATTGAGCAGCACCCAGCCGTCGCCCGGTCAGCGTCTCCCTTGCCATCTGTTGAGCAGCCAAGTCTAGATATTTCTAGACCTTCAGAGGATACTCACGTTGGCGGTTCGAGCCCTGAAAGTAAAGCTAAGCACAATAAACTGAGGAAGAAGGAGCTTGGTGGTGAGCCCCGTGGTTTCAGAAAGATCTTCGGCCGGAAAAACCGCCAATCTATGGTTCCAGAGAACGCCCCTGAACTCCTGAACGGTCCTCAAGGGTCTCTTCAGCCAGCACAACCAGGTGGTATTGGAAGAAGATTATCACATCTACGCAAGAAGAGCCCACCAGCCGCCCCTGCCGCTTCCCCCACCCCCACAACTCAGCCTCCTAGAAGTGCACAAATTTCAGAGAATGAGATCACGCCTATTGCCTCTCCCCAACCCCAATTCGAACGGTCGTATGACCCTTCTGTACGGGAAAGCTTGTCCCGTGTTGATACCAATGATGCCCGTGAAGCCCGCCAAGCTTTCTCCAACTTCGACCAAGGCCCTCTTGATGATGTCCCAGCATTTGTACCAGATTCCCCAGCAGTCAGCGATGACAGTGCCGCTCCGCCAAATATATCGAGATCGCATGAGCCTGAAGTAACTACTTCTCCTCTAACACAGGAGGCTTCTCCCCCTCAGGATCGATGGGCTCAGATCCGAAAGAATGCCGCGGAGCGAGCGGCTGTGCGACAGAGCGAAGAACAAAGCCGCGGAGGTCACAGCCAGAAGACCGATGGTGAGGATGGCGAGACAAGCGGGGAAGAAAGTGAGTATTTCTAGTCTCCATAACATAAATTTAGTGCTAATTGAAACAGCTATCGAGTCTCGAGTCGCGAGAATCAAAGCCCGCGTCGCTGAGCTCACAGGTAATATGGAATCCAACGGAAGCCCTACCAGTCAGAGCCCAGGCCGGAAGCCTACTGGCTATTAAATGACCACGCGTAAGACAAGTCGCATTTCCCGTTTATTTTCGCCATAGCCGCCACGACCTATACAGAACCCACCCTCTCATACATACCCCGTCGAAGATTTCCATCAAAGCAATTGACCTGTTTTTCGTCCTTTCCCTACTACAACCTTCGATACACGTCACCTCAACTCTTTGTCGACTCTTTCTTTTCCTACTTCCCGTCAGAATAAAATGGCTTGAGTCTTGGTCCCGGCTTTTAAGGAGCGGACAAGAATATTAATTGCGCGCTATCTCTGCTTTTGCTTTTTTTTTTTGAGATACCAAAGTTACAGATTGCTAGCCATCTTTTTGCTGCTTGGCTTCCTCTTCCTCTTCCTCCTCCCACGCCTCGTCATTGTAGGGGAGGGAAGGGATTGATTTCCGTCCTTGTGTCAGTGGGATGACGAGGATATCTCGGCTCCTATTGAATGTCTCTGTGGAGAGGACATTTTTTCTTGTGGAGGGAGTGAGATGGGGGAAAGATTGAAGTTTGTAAACAATGCGTACAGATACCAGATGTTGCTAGTCGTGTTATTAATCGATTCGAGGTTAATTGTACATGAAATGACTCTTGTAGATCCTGTTCGACCTCGCTTAACCTAAAATCTACCCACGGCGCGATGGGTCGAGTGATTTTGCTCAGAGATCGTGATGCAATTACTCGAAGGTTTAATCGCGGAAATATTAGTAAAGATAATAAGACCGAAGATCGTTTCTAGTGTGGTGAGGATTATATGAGAACGCCTAGTACGCCCAGCTCGTCATTATATCTATGGCAGCTAAGAACAAGCTATAAACGCAGAAACATGACACCGTGTAAAAAGAATTAATAAAACCCACGTACTGCACTACAACACCTCAAGCCCAACCCGGGAGAACCCAAGCAACCTACGCCAAACAGAATCTCAAACCTCAGCCTTAGCAGGATCGACGTCTAGGTTCCAATCAATCCCCGCACCCGCACCATGCCGCGCCTCCAGCCACTCATTCGTCTTCTTAAAATGCCCACAGTCAAACCAGCCACGACTTGCACTCAGTGGACTCGGATGAACGCTCTGCAGCACAAGATGCCTCGACTTATCGACCTTTCCCACCCTCTTCCCGGCCGGGGAACCCCAGGCCAGGAATGCCACCCCTCTCGTCCGCTTCGCCGCCACGGTGTCAATCACCTTCTGCGTGAACTTCTCCCAGCCGCGATTCGCGTGCGAGTTGGCCTCGTGGGCGCGTACCGTTAAGCAGGCGTTGAGCATCAGTACACCGCGGTCGGCCCAGGGAGTCAGAAGGCCGCCGTTCTTAGGCGGGGGAGAGAAACTAGGATAGTCCTTTTTGAGGGCAATATAGATATTTTTTAGGGACGGCGGGGCGGGGGTGGGTGGCCGGACGGAGAAGGAGAGGCCATGGGCTTGGTTGAAGTTGTGGTACGGGTCTTGGCCGAGGATTACGGCTTTGACGGTGTTGAGGGGAGTGTGTCTTGACCTGTGGGTATTTTCAAGTGTTAGCAGTTTTATTACATTACACCAGTTACGATATGATGAGATTACGAGGGATAACGAACCAAGAGTATACATCCTCCAACGGCGGGAATATCTTCTTCCCACTCTCAAGCTCGCGTTTCAAAAACCGCTTCAGTTCTAAGAACTCTTTGCTTGTAATCTCGCCCTTCAGCTCCTTCAACCAGCTGTCATGCAGGGTGTCAATCTCCAATTTCAACAGCTCTTTCTGCTCGGCTGTTAATGTTTTCACCCATGCTTCCTTGTCGAACGCAACCGCGGGGGCAGAGATAGAGGCCTTTGTAGCCGAGGAAGCAGCTACCTTTGGCGCGGAGAAGAAGGATGTGATTGAGGCGTTGGCCTTGGGCTTCTTGGAGTCAGAAACTGGGAGCTCGGACGCTTTGCGTTTGAGGGACATGATGAGACTTGGTCGTCGGTAGAGGTTTAGGAGCGCCAATTTGAAGATGAGTACGAAGCACTATGCAGTTTTTCTTTAGAAGGGGCGGAGGGAATTGGAATTCTAAGGTGAAGTTGGAGTTGGAGTTGGAGCCGGAGCTGGGGCTGAGAAGAAATGTTCGAGGTTGGTCTCGTTAGGGAGATCAGGCGCGTCAATAATAAGCAATACCGCGCCGCGAACGCGTTAAGTGGCTCTCAGGGATACGCGAAGTCAGGGGGCCCGGGCCAGCGCCCCCTTTCTACAAGTAACACGCCCCTAATACTAAGAACTACGTAGGATGAGATGAGATGAGACGAGGGAGCTAACTTCGAATTATTTTGTACTTTGTCTGTCTTATATTCAAGCTATTGAGACATTGCTGCCTTGTAATTATTCTAAATCAGACCAGGCAGTATACCCCGATCACCCTTGTATCTATCTTATCGTACATCTTCCAACAAACGCCTAGATCGCTATGCAAAGACAACCCCATTAACGCCATATGAACTACGTAAGTGAGAGGAATGGTGTCATATTATTCAGATTCCTTCCCGTTTCCGCTCCGCTCTCTCATTCAGGCTCTTGAATGTCCTCTTCCCCACTTCGTAACAGCTGATCATTATTGCACATGCTGGGGCAACTTTCAGCGTCCTCGGAATCCATCCTCTCCACAGCGCCGAAATGCCAGATTCGCTGAATATATGCCAGAGAAATCTCGGCATAGAACGTTCCTCGGGGGCCAAAACCCGTTTGGCACCCGCAGCGGTGGGAGTGGTTGAGTCCACAAAGACTTGTTGTCTAGTCTTGCCGACGTCGAATGGCATGGTAAGGGTGGAAGCAACAGCGCCAGATGCCGCACCGGCAATGAAGCTATCGGTAAATGCTTCCGTATGGTTCTCCCGACTCTGCGATCTAGTCCTTGGGCGATCTCGGGCGCCTCCGTTGTCGCGACTGGACCGTCGCCCTCGCTCTCGTTCACGGACTTCTTTCAATGCACCCTTAATCGTCTCATATCCCCACCAATAAATGCCAGAGAAGGGTACGTCCCGCCAGAGTGTCAATGTCAAACCACGCCATAGAGACGTATATCCATGGGTAGAAACCATCTCGCCAATTCCCTTCACAGTCTCCGCAAAATAGGTACCGTTCGACCGGCTGGCTTGCATCCTCGTTCGGAACATCTCAATTGGGCTTACGACACCAGCAGCAAACGTCCTGGCCAAAGCGCCTGCGACAAGAGGAGCATAGCCGTCAGAAACATGTCGGTTGATGGGACTCTGCTTGCTGAACCGTAGCCAATCGTAATTGGTGAAATATATGATGTTTGCCGGAATTGTCATGACCAGCGTTGGAGAAAGGCCGCGCCATAATGTGGTGACCCCCTCATTCCGGGCAATTTTTCGAAGGCCATCGAAAGTCGAATTGAAGCTCCTCCTTTCTGTCTCTTCAACCGCACATCCCACTGCTCCAGACGAATGTGTCACCTCCCCGACCTTTGGCGCAGCTAAACAAAAGTCGCCATTGTTGTTGGCAAAGAAGACTTCTCGGCAGCAGGTCGTAACACCGAGGTTGGGTGGGAGTGAGGTTAAGGAGTGTGGGGAGCTCGAGGCGAGTTTCTGGATGGCCGCGAGAGGCGATTGTGTTGGCTGGGATTGTAATCGGATTCGAACAACGTCTAGGGGGGTAACTGTATGATAAAGATCAGTTGGTGCAATCCCAAATCGAATCTTGAAGTAAATACCTACCGAGAAGCGAAGTTAACAAACTCCCAGACATGGCCGAGAGCATCTTCTGCCCGGCGGTGATGTCGACCTCGACATCGGTATCCGCCTCCGGGCTATCGCCTATCATAACCATCGTGGGCGAAACTCCTAGGACGGGCTCATCTCCGTGTATCCTGTCGTGCGAGTGGTCTGGGAAATCCTGATTATTCTCTTTGTCATAGGGATCGAAGGACGTAGGGTGCTGTTCTGCGACGGAGGGATGTCGCCCCCAGGTGAAGGGCATTGGATATGACGGGCTCTTATACACGAGGAGATCGGGCCCAGAATGGGGGGCGTTATCACCTAGAGTGTTCGTCGACCTTGTTGTTGGCGATGGTGTTGATCAGATACATGTTAACGTTAAGAGTGAAGAGTGGCGGCGATGATGTCTCCAAATTTACTTGAGTCCGGAGGATGAGCTCCATAATTTATCGCGGAGTTCAGTGGACGGCGAGGTGGAGTTAAAGCCGAGCGCCGGTGCCGGTGTGATTCGGCGGCGATAAGACGTTTATCGGAATCTCTCACCGTAATAGTCATCAACATCAATATCAATATCAACATCCATATCTACAAAACCAGCTACCGGTACATAATGTCTCCGTCGCTTTTCCCTTCTCACTTCACAACTTGAATCTGGCTACCCAGTTTTTGCTCATGGCTCTTCGTTAGACTTTAATTATTGCAATGCAAGAACTGGATCCAGAACTAGAGGCATTTCGCCAAAAGTGGCGAGAGGAGGTATCTGCCAGAGCTCAAGAAAGCTCCAAATCCAAATCTTCAGCTGCTGATCCTTCCAAATCCAAAGGAGGGGGGAAACCCCTAGCTCGCTCGCGGTTACCTACCTCTCATACTACGAAATTCGTAGAAGCGCATGACGATGGGATTGAATCCCAGACTTTCGGAGGGTCAGATGAACCAGACCCTTCTGGAAGTAATTATGTTGAGCCTTTGAGTTCTGGTGAAGGAGAGAGCGTGCCAGAATCTGCTTTAGGATATTATGAGAGAGCGGTAGAGAGAGAAAATCAAGGCAGCCTCGGTGACAGCCTAAACCTCTACCGGAAAGCTTTTCGTGTAAGTTCAACCCGCGATCGATGTCCCATTACTTAATCTGACTTAATTTCCAGATGGATGATCGAGTCGACCAGAAATACAAGAACAAGCACTTTCCGAAATCCTCGTTCGTCTCGAAACCTGGCAACCGTAACCCATCAAATGCTGCTGCCACCGTGCCTAATACTGCCCACCACTCCCTCCACGGGCCCCCACAATCTATCAAGCAACTTATTTCAGGGTTCTTCGGTCTCTCGATTGAACCTATGCCTCCACCCATTGAGGGAGCACCTGCCCCTCCATGCCCCATGGCAGGGCTACCGAGCGAAATAATAACCCACATAATGTTGGAAGTGGCTGTTTTGGATATTGGTTCCTTCGTCAGACTTGCACAGGTCTGTAAACGAATGGCCTATGTGGTGCTCACAGAAGAGCAAATATGGAGGCGGGTATGCATGGGATCAGAATTTGGATTCGGAGCCATGCATTACGAGTGGCAGCAAGAGGTTCTGGGAGGCCCGCTTGATGACTACCCTCCGGATATCAAGGATTTGGACAATGACGAGGTAGCACTTGCCCCGGCGGCCCGTCTCAACAAAGAGGAGGCCACAGAACTACTACACAGCGCGTATGAATCTTCATGGCAACAAATGTTCCGTCTCCGTCCGCGAATTCGGTTCAATGGCTGCTACATTAGCACGGTCAATTACCCTCGGCCTGGCCAAGCCTCGGTATCGCAAGTTACATGGCATAGCCCAGTTCACATTGTGACCTATTATCGATACCTACGCTTTTTTCGTGATGGGACAGTCATAAGTTTGTTGACCACCGATGAGCCGGCTGATGTAGTGCATTGTCTCACAAAGGACTTTCAGGACACACATCGAGGCGGTGGATCATCGTACCTGCCCTCAGCTGTCATGCAACACTCCTTACGAGGGCGATGGAGACTCTCATCCGCCAAAGATACTCCTGATATCGATCTAAAAGAGTCCGAAGGAGGTTTGTTTATTGAAACGGAGGGCGTAAGCCCGAAGTATATGTATCGCATGGACCTGTCGTTGCGCAGTTCTGGGAGGGTCGCGCGGCAGAACAAGCTTGTATGGCGGGGCTTCTGGAGCTACAATGTTCTAACGGACGACTCGGGAGAGTTCACTCTTCGAAACGAGAAACCGTTCTTCTTCAGTCGGGTGAAGTCCTACGGAAATGGCGCGTAATGCCGTCGCCATGGCCACACTAACGTCTTTTAAAGCTCTAGCCAAGCCATCTCTCATTTTTCTTGAAATTTTGTATGCCCTATTTATATGATATTTCGGGTAAAGCAGCTATTCGGCATTCGGCACACGCATGGTCTCTGGAGATCGAGGGATATTCTAGCCATGCTGGCTGTCAACTGGACATAAAGTAGTAAAGTCTTATTATTTCCGAGAGAGAAAGTAGTACAGTTGCGTTGTCCCCGGATTAGAGTAGGCGAGAGGAAGTTATATTTCTGCTCTGCTTCTCGGTCAGAATTTATTTTTCTATCCCTATCACCAGCCTTCAAATTTGCTTGAAGATCCTTTTCTTTCCGCATGTCCGTTTTTCCTAAGCTCGTCCTGCTAGATAGACTATACCTCAACATCTCTGGCCGTTAGAGGGATTCGTGTATTGGTTTTGGTAGCCGAAAGAGGCGGGGAAATGGCCCGCCAGGTTGTCAAAAGAGATTTCCATTAGCGTCTCATGGTGGAGATGCCGGGCGGTCCTACCATCTCACCAACCCGACATTTTATGAGCACCATCGGATGTACACTCGAGCACTTACTAGATATATCTCTGCTACCTGGTATAGTGACACGATTGTGGATGGAACAATGACCAAGCCTACACCCCCCGAACACTAGTTTGTTCGGGCATATATAAAGTCCATTTCCTAGGTCGGCAAGGACTTTATTACAATCGAGACCTCCAATTCTCTATGCATTAAGGTGGATGGCGGTACGTCATTGGAAATCCGTGACCACATCGAGAATTGAGATTGTCAGGGATTTTATCTATGAGTTTACTCCCGCTCTTAACTACTCCCCTCTTACTGTCGATAAATCTACTATGACTATTGCTGCCATTATATATTATAAATGGAACAAACGCTATATCGCGAGGCGCTAGGAGACTTTTACAGCCAGCAAGTAAGGGTCAAATTCTTCGTCAATATTGAAGCATACGTCTTAGACATATGCCAAGGGCGCACCTTGGGGAATAATCTACCTAGAGTACCCCAGTCCATACTTCACGACATTCGCCAACGATTTCCGACTGCTCCTAGTGGCGTTTACTGGCTATCGATATGGCCTCGTTATGCTCGTGATGCTCGTTACTGAAATGGCCTGTGATCCCAAAACCTACCCAGGTATGGCGAGACTATGACCGCTCAGGTCCTATATACCCATCCTCGTACAAAGAACATTTGTCAATTGGTTAGCTTCTGTCAAGATCAAGGGGCTTTCACCGAGCTGACTTCCCTAAACTGGTGTCACCGAAAATGATAGAATATCATAGATATGATGAAATCGGTCACGTATTCAGACCAACTAAGAGAAATCTCGGGGGTGGCATCTGGAGGTATGTATAGGGCAAGAATCTGTAGGCGATAATTGAAGTCTATTCTATAATAAAAGTTATACCAGCGCGTTAACAAATAGAGAAACAGGACGGCAAAGATATCATCTCTAGATCAAATCTGCGGAGCTTTTTGACAGATTTATATTCTCTGCTGTCAAGATTAAATCTTACTAAATGACCTTTAAGAGGCAATCGCTTTAGGCATGTATTCTTGATCTTTAGAATGATTTTGTCCTAGTTGGTGCAAATTTAGACTTAGGCCGAATCTGGGTTCAAAGTCTCAAATGGGTTAAGAGTATTAAATGAGTTGAAAGTCTCAAAAAGCCCTATTATTATCGGCCTAGAGTTTGGTAGCACAATGCTTCCGCCCTTAGATGTTGAACTTGCCTACTTAAGAGAAAGTTTCGCCGAATAGGGTGTCACCGAAGTAGCAGACACCTGATCATTATAAAAACAGATTTATTATTTATACTAGATTCATGAGGAGGAGGATTGGGTCAGGATTAGACAGAGAAGTTGCCGAATATAGAACGATATGTCATTGCTACATCGACCCATCATTCTTGGGCAGTACACACTCTACTAGTTGGCACGAGACCCAAATTACTGTCTTGTAATTTACCAAAAATATTATTGCCTTATAGCATGATAGACTTCATGCCGAATTGTATGGATCTATTCCTTATCCAGCGGGCCTATGACACTGAAGTCGTAATGGAAACATACCGGCACGCATTCTATGAATCAAAGTTATACATGTCATCATGACATTCGTCTTTTAAATTCTTGTTATATGGCTGGTGAAAAAATCAGATTGACAAAAGTCGCGCCTGAGACAATAAACCGTGATAATGGGTCTCTTGGAATATCAGTTGTACAAAGGCGAAAATAACTCTTAGTGGATTATTATTTATTTTAGTTCGTTCAAGAATAGGAGGCTAAAGATATTATTATTTCGTCCCAATCGACTTGCCGGTGTTTATAATAGAACCTCCGAGAACACATTAACCGAACGGCCGGTTATTAAGCTTTCCTTCTTGCTTGCACTCTCTAGAGAACCTAAAAATGAGCAAAAACAAGAGTGAAAAAAGAAATGCAAAAAAGAGCTCCCTAGCCGATTCGAACGACTGACCTGCCGATATTAGCATTCAACTGCAATCGGCTGCTCTAATCCACTGAGCTAAGGAAGCATTTTTGATTTAAAAATCCTTATTATCATTTATATAACATTATCAGGAAGAAAGGACAAGCAAAAACGAACAAATTAACTTTTAAAAAAGTAATAATTTGATCAGTATGGGGGTCGAACCCATGACCTTGGCGTCTCATATGAATATTAGCACCACTAGATTGTTTATTAGTTATGTGATTTGTGAGGAATGTGGGAAGTGAACTAACCGCTCTAACCAACTGAGCTAACCGACCAATTGTTGAGAGTGCAAGGGCTATTGAAATATATATTTTATTCAGAGCGCCTGTGCAAACGGGGCAAAATATCCCGAAGTGCACCCGCCCACGTCATTAGCTTTATGGCTCTACTTCGTACACCTCAGCCATCCCTCTACCACTACAGTAGTTTAGAACGAGGCATCCTACCCACACAAGAGAGCTCGGTCTGATCGTTGTTCAAGATGTCCGCAGACGATCAAGCTTTCCTCGACACCGTAAATAAACCCCCTACCCATATCTATCTTAAGCTACTAATCATCATCGCTGCTCAATAGCTGTCATCTGTACCGAACGATATCCGGCGATACTCAAACGACGTCGCTGACTATGTCGACAAGCACCTAGAGAAAGTCTCAAACATATTAAGGGAAGCCCTATCTTCATCGCAATGGATCCCTGAATCTGCACGCCCTCGACCCCCGCCGCCGCAGAGAACCTACATCGAGAAAGTCTCTTCCCCCGCTTCAGCATACGCGCAACTACACAGCTGGGTGACGAAGAACAAGATCTTGACCACTGTTATTGTTATAGCCATTGGGGGTATCACCTACCATGTCATTACGAGAAAGACGCGCCGAAAAAAGCGTAGGGCGAAGCGCGCAGGCAATGGAGCAAGGCTTGAGGTTGTAGTCATCGCTGGCCAGGCATCCGAGCCGATCACACGATCTATCTCACTTGATTTGGAACGCAGAGGATTTATTGTTTATGTAGTGTGTAATACCATCGAGGAGGAGATGGTGGTCCAGAATGAGTCTCGTCCTGACATCAAACCGTTAATGATCGACATCACCGATGTAAGGTCTTTCCCGCTTACACTTAGCATACCTCTGACAAAATCATAGCCAAGCAGCGCGCAGTTCTCGATCGAGAAATTCAAAGAATATCTACAAACACCGCATGCAGCGTTCCAGGGCGCAAAATTTCACCATTTAACCTTCCGCTCGTTGATCATTATCCCCTCAACTGCGTACCCTTCATCCTCAATCGCTAGACTCAACCCGACCACACTTTCCGACCTGCTTAACACACGCCTCTTAGCGCCAATTCTAACTGCTCAAACATTTCTACCACTGTTAGAGTCACTTCCATCCCCGCACCAGCATCTCCAACCTCACTCACCTCCTGCCAAACCCTCCGTCCTTGTCCTTACACCTAATATAATCTCTTCCCTGAGCCCGGCATATCATCTCCCGGAGTCAAGCATCGTGGCCGCTCTATCGTCGTTCAGCTCCGTCCTGTCTGCCGAGCTAGCTCCTCTCAACATTCCAGTTACCCACCTACAGTTAGGCACTTTTGATCTACGGGCTTTCTCACCCCATAACCGGCAACTGCAAACACTTCATGCCTCCCATGCAGAGACTCAGAGATGGGATGATCCTGTGAAAAGCAAAGCTGGTTCTCTAGTGGGCAATGGAACTAGCTTACGGGTATTAAACGATGCGGTCTTCGATTCTATGGAGAGGCGGCGAGCAGGAGTCATCCGGATTGGCATGGGTAGCTCTCTGTACGGAATTGTAGGGCGCTGGGCCCCTTCGGGTTTAGTAGGTTGGATGATGGGTAGTAGAAGGCTTGGAGGCATCTCAGGTGCGACCGAGAGCTTTGGGCAGGGAAGTAGGGGTACGAGTCCTCGGAGAAACGGGAATATGGAGGACAGCGAGTATGTTTCTGTGCATGAAAGTGACAAAGGTGCTAGGTAGGCCTAGAATTCGGGGATTAGATGAACTGCTTGTCGGCTTGCCCGTTGTTTATAATATGCAGAAAGAATAAGGGACAGGATATTTCAGGGGAGTTAACACGGTTGGGTAGATACGGGAACGGATTATAGGGCATCTGTACTCAGCAAAGCATGGCAATCGCCACTGGATAAAGCCTCACTCACTCATCAGACGAAGCCGCGTTTCACATCTCAGCCAAACATATATTTTAGCACATTTCCAAAAATTTCTTGTTGGTTATTGCAAACCATCGTCCAATAATTATCTAAAGCCTACGCCGTAGTCCGTCTCACATTTGCTGCGCCGTAAGCCTTATATGTGGGTTTCCCACTATGCCGTCGTTGTTCTGGAGAGGCTTCCGCCATATCTGCAGCTCGGAAGACAGGAAATAGCAATAATCGACTCGGATTATCGTGATTTCGTAAGTCGCCGCAGCACCTTCTTTGGGGGAGGGCCTATGCGGTTTTGATCCTCTCCGACTAGTCAGTATCAGACGACGTGTGTCCAAGAGCGAGGCTGCGCCCATTATCTCATGCAGTAGTGTTTCATATCAACTTTGGTACCGACAACTAATCTCGTCCGATCGATATCCAAGTAATCGCATATTGGTTTCGGTACCATGGATCCCCTATAGACGGTTTAATGCTGTCCTCGGCCCCCTCTTTGTCGTCTCTGGTCGCCTTGCCCACCACGCGGTCGGCCCCCACCATACCCACCCTGATGCCATCGCCCTCTACCCCTCCCGCCGCCTTCACCACCGCCAAATTTCTCCCTCTCCCGTTCCTCCTCGCGCTGCGCATTTTCCCTTAGCAGTCTCTGCTCTTCTGCGATCTCTTCAGGATCCCTCTCGACCCTTACGGTCGGCTTAGCTAGGTCGGTGGGCCATCTCGGATGCGCTTTCTTGCAATTTTTGCCATCGGGACAGAACCCCGCAAGGTAGAATTCGCAGATGATTTTGCGGATATGCTTTTTCGAACAGTTGGGTCCCAGGGGGCAGAATCCCTTATCGTAGTGGGGGCAGGGTGGAAGTTTCGAGGACGGGTCAATATGGAGATATAAACATTCATCTTCAACGCTTGATTAGTATATGTTTTGGAAGTTGTCGACGGGAGGAGCTTCGGGCTTACCTCCATTAGAGCAATATCCATTCCGCACAAAGAAATTGCACTCCGGCATCTTCCTCAGATTATACTCGTGCAAGAACTCGCAACTCTCCCCCTTCTTGCACAGACCCCTAAGCCAATGTTTGCACACCAAGTTATTGAAATTAGAGTTGCTGTTTGCAGAGGTGTGTTTGTCTGGGCATGCTGATCCCAAGGGACAGTGCCCTTGTAGGTAGGCTTTGCATGTTGGGCGATTTGGTGAGAGGCCGTGACGGTAGGTTTGGAAGAGGAAGGGCGTAAACGCGAAGGTGTATTCGGGAGCTTTATGCTCTAGGATCTGGGATGATAGCTCTGTGGCCCCTGGGCCCTGAGAAAGCGTTGCGGCCATGACAAGGAGGATGGCTGTTGATGTTCTTGCGGAGACCTCGAAGCTGTGTTTCCGCAGCCCAGTCCGTGCAGGCAAGTGGCTCTTGTAAGTTGTACTTCGTAGTATGAAGGCTCGGTGATTGCCCCAGCCTGAGCTTCGCGACTTTGGTCCAGTGCGATTATGCGCAGGTGAGGCGCAGGAGAAGCAACTTCATGCGTGGCGTCTGCGGAGGGCCAGGCTGCAGACTCCTGACCTGTGCAGATGGGATCCGTTCAGTTGCAGTGGCAGGCTGTACAGAGTAGAGTTGAGGTGATGTGATGTGTCACAAAACCCTCTGGAGGCGGCTGCGGTGAAGGATTCTGGCTAATGAGCGTTATCGTGTGTGGAGATAGATCAAAGAGTATTATGAATAGAGGGTGAAGTGGGGGTGGCGATGGAGGTATATGTGACCACGGCGAGTGGAAGATGGAGATGGAGATGGAGATGTAGATGGAGGTTGATACTGGTTGATTATTGCTACGATTGTGCTTTCTACCTCATAGAGCAGTACTAATAAGTACCTGACAGCAATACATAGCACGAAGTACTGGTACGTACCTTGGTATCTAGGTACTCTAATCGCGAGGATCTGCCGACGCTGGGTCACGTGGCGGACGGGCGTCATCCCACGACAACCTTCATATCACTTCGCACAGAGTTAAAGAGTACCTCGGACTTCGTCTTACTTAGTGGTGCTACGTACTACGTACGTACTTGGTACTCCGGTCTCCTCTCCCTTGAACCTTGCAAAGTACCTCGTACAGCACGAAGTACCTCGTCCCGAAACTGCGATTCATTCTTTGCTTTGGCCTGCGCACGATGCATTTGGGGTCTCCCAGGCTGCAGACCACCGGTATCCACTGTGTGACAGTGACACTGCCAGTGCCAATCCCAATGCAATTGAGACGCAGTGAAGGTTCCGACGAGATGGGCTAAGGGCTTCTCTGCAGGGCCCGCAGCACAAGCACTACTCTAGGGTTCCGAACTTGATATCGTCCACCGCCCATCCTAGGCCAATCCCAACATCACGAAGAGGGACGGCCAATGGAGTCGTTGCTGCACTGACTTTGGGGCTACTCGGCGTGGAAGTGCAAAGTGCGAATTGCCATGTCTGTTCCACTGTTCCGTTTATGGCATATACTGTACCATCATTACTATGATCGCCAGGGCCCGTATCTCCATCGCTTCCGTTTCCCGGGTCTGGCTGGCAGTTGAAACCACCCCAGGCGCGGTCCTTAATGCCTACGATCACGTCTTGACCGTTTCGTCCCATGGTCCGCAAGAGGCCCAGGCTTCCCGAACAAACGGAGACCTGGACTTCAGATGAAGAGCGATTCGATGCAAGTCACCCGGCAAGCTGCCCTGCACGTCAATTCCTGCACCGTTGCGGTGAAGGCCATGCGCTTCTCAAGCCCCGCCGGGACCCCGTGAGATTGGGTCGAAGGAGCCATTAGTACACACTTACAGGTAGGGGGCAAAGACTGTCAACATTACGAAGTTTTCACGGATATGTTGACGTGGTTCGCTGACCAGTGGCCTCCGCCCCGGCTCGCCATTACTGCCAGTTGTCAATTCTTACAGATTGGCCCTCTGAGGCGTATCTGCGTAATGTCTCAGAGCCCATTCTACGGGCACATGGGTTGTCAACGTGTTTGTTCGTACCGTTGCGGTGACCTCATAATGCCCATTCTCCTGTGCAGTCCACTCCGCGCTCGACCACGAACTCGAAATATAATCAGCAGGAGTGTCGAAGCCTTCTCGCTTTAGCCGATGAGCCACTGCTGCATGATCAATGCTACTAATCCATGTTTTCCCTTAGAAACTCCGAAGACGCTGTTCTTCTGTCTATCTACGCCACAGGCATACCACCAGTACCATGCTCTTGCTACTCCGCTTATTATTCTCACGACAGGCTTAGACGAGAATACAGTTTCCCGTCCCTCCGGCACCAAGACCGAGGGCCATGGCGGTACGTAGCTCAGATGTGATAGAAGCTGTGCTTATCTAGCTGCAGTGGAAATCCACGTCGACTTAGCCCAGGCACGTTATATGCACCCTGAAGAGGATCGGGAATAGCCGACCTTAGAACACTACTAAGTCTCCGTGTTTGTTGGTCACTGGAGGTGGCCGGTTCTCACCACTACCCACACACATGAATAACTCGCCACAACCGGCGCCAATAATCCTTTCTAGTTCTCGGTATCCTCGTAAGATCGACATATTATTAGACGGCGGTGGCTATGAAGAGATTGATTATCCATTCTGTCCGGATTTCATATAAGCCTTGCTGAACCGCCCTACCGGTGTCAACCAGTGTCCGGTGTCCTCCCTTGAATTCTGCATTCAGCCCTGCAGAATAATTAATATCCTGCCCCTACCAAATCTCGGTGGAAGAATCTACCTCCACACGAAGTAGGTGGACTGATCAAGAAGTGAATGTCAACAAGATATCATGCGAATAGATATCCACATGCTCCTTAGTTCTCGCCCTGAGTATCAAGGTGACGACCATGGTGGAAAAGACCTGCCCAGAGCAGATTTTGTCACACTCCTCTCCCACAATAATGGCGAACTTTTACGGCCCAGCTGCTCCCCCGGTGCCATTTGGAACCAGGCCAGAACTCCGCCGACCCTCGCAACCGTCTTTAGATGCCAGCATCTCCGATATCACACGCAAAAATGCCGTATACTATCCAAACTACAGAGTCTACCGGGGTGAAACACCAGCCTCCCTGAACTACAGCTGTATCAGTCATGTATTTTATGCATTTGCTCATGTGTCTACTGATGGCATCGTTTCCGTGGGTCATCAACCCGATATCTGACGGTTAATTCCTTCTAACGCTGTTTTAGTTGAGCGACGTATGGGCAGATGCACAGATGCCTGTTGACGGAGCAAGCGGATGTCTTGGGGCGTTCATGCGGTTGAAGGAACAGCACGAATATCTTAAGTTGATCCTGTCCATCGGCGGAGGGGGTGAGAGCCAGAACTTTGCCACTGTGGCAGCGAGCGCTATTACCAGAGATAATTTTGGTCGGTCTGCTAAGGGTTTAGTTGAAGCATCTGGATTTGATGGAATTGACAGTGGGTCGCATTGCAATGTCCTTGAAATCTTCACTAATCGCACACTAGTCGATTGGGAGCACCCATCAGATCCCGAACAAGGCCAAAACTTCCTGTCGCTGCTAGCTGCTGTCAGGATTCACCTCCCAGATGATCGGTATCTACTCAGTGCAGCCTTGCCCGCTGGACAATGGGCACTACAAAATATTGATCTGTATAAAGCGCAGGATTATCTCGATCTGATCAACCTCATGGCGTACGACTTCGCTGGACATTGGTCTGAAAAGGTGGGACATCATGCACAGTTGTTCCCTGGTCAGGATGGGGAGCAATCCGGTTCTGCGGCCGTTGACTATGTCATTTCCAAGGGATTTCCGCCTCAGAAGATACTACTAGGTGTCCCAATGTACGGCAGGTCATTTCTGGGAAGCAAAGGACCCGGCTGTTCATTTACTGGGCATGGTGGTGAGGATGGGACCTTCGAATACAAGCGTTTACCTCGCAAGGAGACGGAAGAGATTGTCAATACAAGGTTGGTTGCTGCATTCTGCAACGGTGGTGATGGGGGGTTCGTTTCCTACGATAATCCCGAGACCGTCAGGCTGAAGGCGAAATACTGCAGAGAAAGGGGGCTCGGAGTATGTTTTCGGAAAATGCTCCCTGTCGTTACATAGCTAATTGGAATAGGGACTCTTCTACTGGACGGGCACAGCCGACGTCCCACCAGGCCCTCGGAGTCTGATATCGGCTGGCTTCAAAGCCCTACACAGCTCTTAGCCCGGTCCTCCCCATGGCCGTCTGTACTTGTACGAATTACGAAGATGATCTGGATGGTAGACGGGCTCATTGATGACATTTGCATTGGGAAGGTGGTCCGGTGTTACTGCATTACTTACGGCCCGAGGTGCTAGATGGGGCTATAAAAGGAGACTTGGGGCTAGAGCGGAGGCTTACATTTGCCATTTATTTCGAAAAGATTTAATTAGCGTAATATTAATGATTTGTTCGTCATTCAGAAGGAAAGGCTCATGGCACTGTTATCAGACAAAACCTGACATTCTGAATAACTACCCAGGTACAGATGCAACGACGTCCATGATTTAGAATTTCAGGACAGGGGCTTGCTTTGCTTATCAATGGTTCCGTAAGTTATGCCGTTGCATCGGGAATATATGATCACTGCTATACATATTTGTTTTCCCACTTATATGCCGAACCTGAGCCGAAAGCTACCCCCTACTGTGGCGCGCTCTGGCCAGCATCATATCAAACGGTGCTACTCTCGAGGAGCAGGTAATAATTGAGCCATAGGCTGTCGCAATGCTTGCAACCTTTGACGCGTCGAAAGTTATTGCTTTGATTACAAGATGAAGATTGAAGACTGTGCACTTGGTCACTTATCAAGCAGAGTACGCTGGATCATGTTTTCAGGTGTTTAAGGTCGGTATCAACGGGATATAGGGGGCCAGCTAACAAAGGTGGGGCAAATGAATGCTATGAATCCTGCTTTGTTTGTTGACAGAAATTGTTCCAGGGCTTTAAGATCATTCACCACCTCGCTCGTAGATTTATATCTGCCTCCCTAGCAATTATGAACCACTTCACCACCTATCCCTGAACCTAGAGGAGGGAAGTAGCCTTTTCGGTAAAGACTCCTCAAACTTGGCTTCATCGTCGATGGTGTCATATTATGGGAATGGCCTGTGACCGGTTATAATATGATACATGGTTAATCCAACAGCGAAAATATCAGTCTTGACGTCCGCGAACTCATTGTCACAGCGAGGCATGAACGACTCTGCATTTTCTGAAGCGCCCCCAGAAATAAGGACTTCGCCGTCAGGGCCTAGCAGCTGGCCCTGGAAGTTGCATAACTTGATGTGGAATTCAGCATCTAGCAGGATGTTCCGGACATGAATGTCCCAGATTAGAACATTGTTCTGGTGAGCGTAGGCGACACCTTCCGCAATCTCTCTTGCAATTCGGATCATCTCTTTAATCGAAACTTGTGTTCTCGGAGAGACTTTTCCAAGGAGCCGTTTGGTGCATATTCCAGAAGTAAGCCGTCCTCGTGCTCTCTCTTGAATTCGATTGTACGAGGATGCTTACAGAAACGCCCAAGTATTCCAGCTTCAGCGTGAAGAGCGGCCAAGGTTCCTTTAAAGTGCGGGTACTTCAGGACGGTTGACTTGTTGACGAAGCCGATATAGTGGTTACCACCTGTCGTGATAATATGCTGCACTCCTTCAGGGAAATAGGGCACGACATAGATATCCCCGTTCATCGTCTAATAAGGATTGTAAAACCAAACCCTCTATGGCATGATTTATTGGCCCTAATAGTGGTCCTAGTAGTGGCCAAAAGCAAAGCGGAAACACTGCTATAATAATAAAAGGAGTGGAAGTGCATGTAGTGTCGCAAGGAACACGGTGGAACAGTGCAACTGGTGGAACGCGCAGATTTGATTATAGGCAGAAAGGTCGAACGAAGCATATCTGGACAAAATTACAATACCTGATAAACACTGCTATTCTATAATGCAACTAATATATGCGCACTAGGTCATAGGCCGACCCCGAGTCGAATAGGCTTGCTGGCGACACGAGGATGAGACATATCGCCTAAAGTGCCAATACTTCGTACTGCCTCGTGAGTTGCTATTTTGATATACTTATGCCGCAATTCTCCGACTATAGTAAGCCACATATATTTCCGAGTCATGCCTAAGAAGATCGCCACACCTTGGTGACTTCCTTAGATTCGGATTGGCAACTTGGAAACAGCGGAAGTCGTCTACAATAACCGTTAATGACAAACTAGATCTAGGCTCACCAATATGTCCTAGTAACTCTTAGTTTCCAACTCCAAAAATCCGGATTTCGAGCTACACTATCAGATAATCTTCGAGATCTACACCCCTAAGGCCACAGACGTCATTCACAGCTCACGAGACAACTCCAGCAAAAGCAGGCCCAGATAGACGAGTGCGGGGTATGGTGGCTGCATATAATAACGCGGAGGAAGCACATGGACAAGGAGCAAGCTGCATATAACAAGCTAGAAAAGGCAAGGCAATGTTCCACGATGAGAGCAATGGTAACAGTACTGTGCATATGCCGGGGTATATATCGGCAGGCTGGGCAGCCCTGTCCCGTAGCACAAGAAATATCTGGGACTGTGATTGTGATGGTGAATGTTGTCCTGCATTGTTTGGTACAGGGTTAGCGAACAAGCCTGAACCGGGGTGAGTTGAAGATCTCAAGACATATCTATTTTGAGGAGCTGGTGGCGGAGAAATCTCCTGCGCTATGGTTGTTGATAGGTTGCTTCGAGAAACAGTGCAGCACAGCACGTGGATCACAATACATATCTGACCTGCGTTATTACTTACTACTTAGGTACAAGTGCCTATCTTCATGTACACGGTACAATCTATACATACCAACAGGTACATGAGGTTGGAAGATTCGCTCGCTATTTATTTCCCAATCGGAGATAAACTATGCCCTGGTGGTATACCCCCAAACGCCTTCAGATGCACCGTTCTATGATGCCGCCCCCAAAATCCAATCACTCATGCCAAATATATAAAATGAGGAGAGTGATGTTCAATGCCGATAAACATGCGAGTCGAAAACAGAAAATTAAGCAAGACCAAAAACTCACACCTCCTGCTTTGGCACCGCCTCCCCACTGCCGATCTTCACCCCCCCATTCTGCGCTTCTTTCGAAGCCAATTTCTCTTGTCGTAACCTCTCTTTTGACGCTCGTTTCTTTAATTGCAACTCCTTCCTCTTCGCCTCCTCCTCGACTAGCCCGGTCTTCGTGACATGATGTTCCTTACTTAGATTCTGATGACTGATGAACAAGCTGATGAGCAGACCCATGACCGTGAATGCCATGTACATAGTCCACATTATCTTCAGTGAGTCGGCAAAAGCTGCACGAGCAATATCTCTTTGCACAGGAGGGAGGGAGCGGACGAGACCGATGCTAGCGCCGGCAGAGCCACCAGAGAGCGCCCCGGCTATTTTTGGGCCTAGCGACTCCGTGAGAGTAGGTAATTTCTTTTGCATTTCGTTCTGGAAGACGACACTACCAATAACGACGGAGATCGAGGTGGATAGATTCCTGACAAAGCCGAACGTCGAGGTTGCCACTGCGATATCCCTTGGAGCCACGAAGTTTTGAAGGGCGATAAGAGGGCTTTGGAAGTTAGGCCCGACACCGATACCAGCAATGATTTGGTAGATAATAAGCTTGGCCCAATTCGCTTTGGCGCCGAGGTTAATGAAGAGGGCAAATCCAGCAGTCATCATGCCCATTCCAAACCAAATTGGTGGAACATATTGGCCTGTCCTTTTGATGAATACACCAGTGCCGGCTGAGACAAAAGAAAGGGATAGGGCAAGCGGCAACAGATAGACTCCAGATAGGAGTGGTGTTGCACCGATAACGGCTTGAAAATATAATGGGAGATAATACGAGGCTCCGATGAAAGCGTAGCCGTGGCAAAAGCAGACACCAAGCGCAGCAATATTGGTGCGCTTGGTGAACAGCCGGAGAGGCATCAATGGGTACCGGGCGAATTTCCACTCGTTAATGATGAAGAGGCACGCCACGAATATGCCGAAGATGATGAGGCAGAGGACTTTTGCTGAGCTCCATGGGTATGTGACACCGCCAAATTCTAGGCCGAGAAGAAGCATGAGCGTACCGCCAATTATGGCGAGACTGCCCAACCAGTCGACAGCTTTGAGACCGTCCCAAACGGGTGTTTTGGGGTTGTCGAGGTGTAGGAAGATGCAGAGAGCAATGAAGACCGCTCCGGTGATGGGTACTATCTTAATTAGCTACGAAGATCAAAAGAGGCCGGTTGGCGGTGGTGATTCTATGTTTCCGCGAGGCACTTACAGTTGATATAAAAGCACCATCTCCAGCTGACTTTCTCCGTAAAAACGCCTCCTAAGACCGGGCCGACTGTAGAGGCGAAAGCCCATACCCCGCCGATCATGCCAAAATATTTGCCTCGGTTCCGCATGCTGAAGAGGTCACTGATAGCGATATTGACCAGAATAAGCAAGCCACCGCCGCCAACCCCTTGTATGCCTCTGGAGGCGATCAACATGCCGACATTAACACTCACAGCACATAGTAAGCTCCCCACAAAGAAGATGCCTATTGCTAATAGCAGGATCGGTTTTCGCCCCCATATATCTGAAAACTTTCCCCATGAGGGTGTACTCGCGGCGGTTGCAAGCATATATGCGGAGCCGATCCAGGTGTATCCGGCGCTGGACTGGAAGTGTTCACTGATGGTGGGGAGCGCGGTGGTGATGATGGTTACATCGAGAGCGGCGAGGAAGATGGATGAACATAAGGAAGTCATGATAATCGCGGTCTGCAGCTTCGTCCGCGAGGCTTCTGGTTCGGTTGCGACTATCTCAGCCTTGGGTGGCGCGGGGGCGGCATCTTCTCCAGCACTAGTATTGGAGACGCTGATGTCGTTGGACGAATCCGCAGAAGTTGAGACATTATTCGCGCTGTATTCTGTGGGTACTCCTGACCCTGCTCCTCCTCCTCCATCCATTTGGACTCCAGCCTCGGGGGCTCTGGGCTTTTCGCTGTTTATCTCTTCAATCGACATCCCGACGGCGTTGGGCTGTGCCTTTGCGACCACCTTCTATTGTAAGTACTGGAATACAAATTAGCGCCATGAAAAGCAATGTGCGATATAAAACAGATTTGCACAGTACCTATTATACAAGGTCCAGGGTTAAGAAGACTCCGGGGACAAGAGGGGTCGCTGAGTAATGAGCGACTCTAATGGAACTTCGAGGGCTTCCCTACGGAGTACACACTTGGTACTATAACCTGAAGAAAACGGATGGTGTGGAAGGCAGCGCAACAGATAAGGCAACCATGATAATTTGCGCTGGGGGATGGCGGTCTTTATATTGTACGTAGTACAACTATGAAAGATGGCGACGAAAATGAAGACTAATAAGAAGTACGAGTAGGATTCATCACAACAATACCCCGTACTTCGTAGCTTCGGCGCTTCGGCCCCGCGACGGCACCTAATGCCGAGAGAGCCAGAACAAGCAATTCAATAAAGAAGAAGGGGGACCGGGGCATGGGCATCGGCGTCGGAAGTTGACATCCACTACTGTTTCGTTGCGCACCAACGATAATATAGTACGGAGTCATTGCACCAACAATCGATACCTTCTTATTACCTAATACAGCCCCTTAAGCTCGCCATGCTTCTTCCAAGTTCTTACCTCCATCTTACCTCCGTCCGAGTCCCCTCCTGGAGGCATTGTGCTGTACCTTCATCATCCCAATCAAATGGTTTGGGCGGCGTATCCCCTCCTCCGATATGAACTGTGCCTCGCTCGCTGTCAGCGTGTTCGACCCCCGCCGACGCAGTACTGAGGACGAGGCTGCCTTCTCATGGACCGCTGATAATCTCAGTCTAGTTCCTGCGCGACTTCAAATCAAGTGACTTGAGTGTGGTACAAGAGGGTTGGCTGTGGAAGGTTATACTACATGGAGCGGTACTACGTACTCCTGCGACTCCCATAATATGCCAGTGCTGCTGTTGGCTTACTTCAATAGGTCGCCTTGCTTTCGTGCACGAAGTATCAGGATGTGTGTATAAGCCCAGAAGTTACATTGATCTCGCCCATCCTATTATATCATTCCGTTCAAGCCCCCAACTTCATTTCCCTCTTCCCTCTTATCCCTTGCCTCCACTTCGCCCACTAGCCTATCTGGACACGAGGGAGGAGTTTCCAAAAAAAAATTTTTTTTTTTATAAACTAGTGTGCTAAGCATCGCATTCTTTGATATGTTTTCGTCCCTCGGAAATCCATTATGCTGTAGACCTTACGAACCACTTCTAGTCATAGATATATTTGTATCTTCATGCTCCCCATCAATAATAAAGCTTGAGTCTTTGAACGCTATTCCACCGCCGAGATACCAAGACCAACTAATGTATTCCAAGTGGTGTCCCGTACATCTTGCGCGTTGTCAGACCTCAATCTCAGCATCACACAATCTCTTGGCTCCGAACGGCTTCCAAGGACAAAATTGGGTGTCGAGAATTCCCCTCGGGGTCCGCACAATAAAGTAATTAGCACTCGTCTGAACGAGAGATCTCTGTGTTATCGTTTCTGGATAGCATTTCAGACTTGAGGTTAATGAAGGAATGCATAGTACTGGGAAGATGACACTCGTCATTCCACTAATAGCAGCCCCATCCATAATGCAGCAAGCCTAGTCTGTCATTTCCCTATTACTATTGCAAACTTTTCGAAATCCCCTGCTTTGACCAGAGGACCGAGGACTTCAAGTATTGGCTGAATCCATATTGACTAGCAATGTTGCAAGAGACTTGGGGGTGAAAGAATCAGCCGCAAAGAAGAGCATGCAATCCGTGCATGTTGCAACTTAAGGTCATGCAATAAGAAAGTAGTTTACTTGCGTCTGAAACATATCCTTTTATCTGGAAGCGCTTGCTTGCGTGGTCATCATATCTCCAAGGTCGATCTTAAATTAGTTTGGTGACTCTTTAGTACTGCCATAGGCCCATCCGGCCACGATAGTCGAATAGAGAACATGATCTTTTACCGTATGGAGACGTCCGCTACAACATCAGGCCATTGCATCTCCACCCAGCGCGCTGACAAAATATCCGCCCCAGCAAACGCCAAAATAGCGAGACACTTACTACCTACAGCACTCTTTCTCTGGCCTCGGAGCCCAGGCCATTCGGCGAAGCGAGAATCGTCGACGAATTAACGTGGCGTTGAGCTTTGGGTCCCCAAAAGTAGTTGAAGGGGAATAATCTTATTAAGATTACAATCCGCTGTCGTTGTGCGCTAGGTCGAGCTTCCACTAACAAACAATTCGGAGTGCTTTGGACCACTCGGTCCTAGTTTTATTAACTAGTGGAATCCGTTGGCAGGATTAGCTGGGACGTTGAGTATCCGCCTGGCTAGCTCAAGGAGCATCGTCCATCTCGACCATTTAGGCTAGAACAAATAGTTGTTAGGACGGTTATTAAAAGTCGGGCAATACGTACATATTGGAGACACAAACGGGCGATTTATAGCTGCTGGAAGCGATCTCAGTGACAAGAGTCTTGATATGGTCAACCAGTGTGGATTTGCGTTGTTGTCGGAGGATATATATGGGAGGGGTACGGAGGTACTTCGTATAGCACAGTCAATTGACACGTGACCATGTCTGGAATCTGACAATTAAAGAATCCCCGATCCGTACGCGTAGCGGGTGCAGCCTTGGGGAGATAGAAATGTCTGGGCCTGTACTACCCCTCAGCGACAGCTTTTATTTTGTTTGGCCGCGGCATGGCCATGTCACTCTTTAATATTCTCTGTCTTCAAACAAGATCAGTTCCTCTCGCGGGAGAAGAAAAGGTTCTGACAGCTTCATTATCGTGAACCCGCCTTTGGCAATAGGTCTTGAAGATGCCCGAACACGATGCGCTGGTCTTCGAATACTCTCATTTGAAGAGGTTATCTCGGGAGAACGAGGCTCTTCATGCTCTCAAAAAGATTGCGTCTCTTGTTAAACCTATTATGAGAGCGCGGAACTGGAAAGTAGGCGTGTTGGCCGAGTTCTACCCCGACCAACAAAATCTACTAGGTAAGCTGGAGCTCTATCTTTTAAGTAACATGCATCAGTCTAATACTTTTAGGAATCAATGAAAACAGAGGCCAAAAAATATGTCTACGATTACGATACCCTGGGGATGTTAACCAGTTCCTCCCCCTCGAACAAGTTGTCGACACCATGCTTCACGAACTCTCACACAATGTCCATGGCCCCCACCATGCCGAATTTCACGCTCTATGGGACCAGCTGAGAAAAGAGTACGAGGCTTTGCTCTCCAAAGGCTACACAGGGGAGGGCTTCTTGTCAGAAGGGCATGCGCTTGGAGGCAGACGGCTGCCAATGCACGAAGCGAGGCGTCTTGCTCGTGCAGCTGCAGAAAAGAGGGCTGTCCTATCCAAGGGTTCTGGTCAGAGACTAGGTGGCCGACCAGTCAGAGTCGGTACCGATATTCGAGAGGTTATCGTCAATGCTATTGAGCGGCGGAATACTGTGTTGAAGGGCTGCGGTTCTGGGAATAAGAATGACAACGAGATCAAGGATCTAGCCGATGAAGCCACGCAAAATGGGTTCAAGACCAAGGCTGAAGAGGATGAGGCGAACGATCGAGCGGTTGCACAGGCCGTTTGGGAGCTCGTTCAGGAGGACCAGGAGAAGGAGTATGGAAATTCGTACATACCCTCCACTCCAGGAAATCCGACAGGGAATGGCGGTGGTAGCGTTGGCCCATCAAATGCTGTAAAGGCGGGGCCGTCTTCTCTCCCCCCTAAACAAAGGCCGACTCCTGCAAGACAACCACTGAAGCATGTCAGTCGTTTAGTCGCCGAACCCGAGGCAAAAAAGTCGAAGAAGATACCCCAAGGGAATTCTTCTGTTCCTTCTGCCCCTCCTCCAGTTTTGATTTCGGCTCTAGACCCTCCCGAGCTTGCTTCGTTGCTTACTGGGTGGACATGCGACGTCTGTACCCTGCACAACCCACTGAACTTTCTCTGTTGCGATGCATGTACAACGGAGCGGCCCCCAGAAATCACGAAGAGAATAGCGGAGGATGAGCGGAAGAAGGTTAAAACCGTGAAACTAGCAGGGTCGAAGCCGGCAACCTGGACTTGTACGAGGTGTACCACGGCTATGGAAGATAAGTGGTGGACTTGTAGTACATGTGGCACGATGAAGGCGAGCTCATGAAAGAGAACGAGCTTATGATAATGATCACAACTGGATTTAGCAGGGCGCAAAGGGGTTGGGTTTATGCATACTTCGGGAAGAGTAGCAATTTATATCATTCAATACACTGTCATCTATCGTGTAGGACTTCCATATTTATCCCGACGTTCTGCTGCAGTGCGAGCAAGTGTTCGTTCTGGCGAACAATAGTAGAGCGCTCCTCAAAGTTTAGGATGGGCATCACATGCTAGGTATTACTCTACTTTTGGGTACACCAGACAGTTTTAGTTCAAGGCATCATCAAGTCTCGCTCCTTTGGGTTTACCAGTTAGTTGGGATCCAACCCCGGCTCGGCCCGCACCAAGCTACCCCGCCGTCGAAGGTGGGCAGAGACAAAAGATTGGCATCCGTGATGTCATAGTTTCGAGTTTCGTCCATAACGATCCAGTCCTTTTAGTCGTTTCACTGTTTCTATATACCATTGTTGCGCCTTTATTCGGTATCACTTATTATACACTCTTATTATGGCTTATTTAGCAACCCCGCCATCGACGGCATCAAAGTTGAGAGCTATGCTTGCCGACGGAGAGATCGTTGTATGCCCGGGTGTTTATGATGGGTTCACTGCACGCCTAGCTCTAAAAGCAGGCTTTAAAGTTCTATATATGGTACGTGTGGCCTTTACCACGTTCCGGACTTGCCCACAATGAGAAGTTATTGGGAATGGGAATGTTGACCGGTTCAGACGGGCGCGGGCACCACAATGTCACGGCTTGGCATCGCCGATTTGGGTGTGGCAACTATGAATGATATGCGGGATAATGCGGCGATGATTGCGGGTATTGATCCTACTGTCCCTGTGATTGCGGATGCGGATACTGGATATGGAGGTGAGTGTTTTCGCCCCCTCTACTTGCGTATGGGGTTCACTTGCTAATGAGATCGATAATAGGGCCTCTCATGGTAGGCCGTACAACAGCTGAGCAGTACGAACTGCTTTTTGTCTTGCCTCTCAATCATACCGCTTACCAAAATCTCTTTTGGAAATCATCGAAATTCCCTTTGCCATCGTTATCCCTAGTTCGCTCCAAAATCATCAAGTCGCCAAAGTTGACTCGTTTTCACCAGCATCACGGCTGGCGTCGCAGCGCTCCACATCGAAGATCAAGTAACCACTAAACGTTGCGGCCATCTCTCTAACAAAGAGCTCGTCTCCCCCTCTACATTCCACTCCCGCATCCGCGCCGCAGCCCAAGCCCGCGCTCAACTCTCCCGGGACATCATAATCATAGCACGCACCGACGCCCTCGCATCCCTGGGCTGCGACGAAGCCTTCTCGCGTCTCGAAGGTGCCATAACCGCTGGCGCTGATGTTGTATTCCTCGAAGGTGTCCGCAGCGCCGAGGAAGCCAAGAATTTCTGCGCAAACATGAGAAAGCTAAGTGTGCCGGTTTTGTATAATTGTGTTCCTGGGGGCGTGAGTCCGCTGTTTAGTGTGCAGGAGGCGAGGGAGCTGGGGTTTAGCATGGTTATCACGCCGACGCTTGCGCTGGGCGCGGTGTATGAGGCGGTTGGGAAGGCGTACAGGGACTTGATGGAGCATGGGAATACGAAGGGGAATGAGGTTGGTGTTAGGGATTTGTTTGAGTCTTGTGGGCTGAATGAGGCAGTCGAGTTTGATGTTAGGGCCGGGGGAAAAGGCTTTGAGAAGGGCGTGTAGAAGTAAATGGGAAAATCAATCAGTTCACAGCTATAGATATATTTGATGGGCGGTCTAGAGAAATCCCCGTTACCTGTTTTGTTCCTAACTTCGCAAGGAATTCGTGTGTTCTGTTCTTGAGCTGTTCTTGAACTTCAATAAGATTATATGAGGGATGGCGTGGCCTATACATTGTTCATAGTGCAGCATTGGGTGCAGTGCAGCACGGAGGATCTGGCACCATTTGGGGTAATGCCGTAAGGAAATATAGCCCGCAGACGCATCACCAAGCGGGAGGCCGTAGTTGAATTTCGAGACTTTCCAAAATATAGCCAAAATAGCGCCGTCCACCATAGAAGTCCCCGACCGCGAGGGAAAGCTCGCTGAGTGATAGGGGTTGCGAACCGGGCGCCTTTGTACTTCCAAGCTTCCATCGCATTTGGAAGGGTCTCCGGGAATGCCTGTTGTGCTCTATGCTCTATAATCTATACGAGACGATGCTCATAAAATTGAATGCCAAATGCACCCCACAGTATGTTCTGCAAATTTAGAACGCGATATTCATGCCATGTCATGCATTGTTTTGCCATGGTGGTGTTTCAACTCAGCTGGCTCAGCTGGGGGATGTTCCGTGATCCGTGATCCCCCCCCTCCCCTCTGTCATCTGTCCCACGGGGCTGGGGGATAAGGATGGGATGGGATGGGATGGGATGGGATACAGGTGCAGTTGCAGTTGCAGTTGCAGTTGCATGACAGGAGACAGGAGACAGGAGACAGCACAGCGCTCTTCTACTGGAACGATACCGATGACCGGGGCTGAAGAGCCAAGTGTTCTTCTCGTCTTCTCGCCCTTCCAGAATTCTAGAAGCGGCATGGAAGCAGAATGGAAGAAGCGCCAATGCGACGCTGCGTGGCCCAGGGGACCGCCAGCTGGCCCGTCCGTTGGTTGCAGGCCCAGAGGCAGAAGAAAGATGAAGATGCGTGGTTATCGAGAGCTCGTAGAGTTACGAAGTACTGTAGTATAGGCAGTAGTAGCGGAGTAAAGTAAAGTAGTAAAGTAGGAAAGTAGTAGGGGGCTTTGTATTAGGGTTGTACTGTAGAGGGACTTGCACTTATTACTTGTACTTAAGCTGTAGACTATATGTATGTATGTATGTATGTATGTATGCCTCTCCTCTCCTCCCTCTCCTCCCTCTCCTTACCTTACGTAGCGCTGGAGGCTTGTTCTTCTCTTCCCTCCCCACTAACCCACTAACCCATAAGCCATTCTACTAGCAAAATAAGTAATAACATGCCTAGCATTCCTAGCATTCCTAGCATAATTCCCAGCATTCCTCGCATTCCCACACTTCCACACTCCCGCTCGCACTCGCACTCGCCCTCACGCTCTCATTCCCATTTCCCATCTCCCATTTCCCTATTCCTAGTCACACGGTGTTTGCTCCTCGTTCGCGGCGACTACTACGTAATTCCCCACGATGCCATGAAAAAGCAAAATATTATTCCGCTCGTCAATCGCGGCCCCGTCGTCATAGCGCATTCCCCACGAACCTCCAGCTGCCAATCCAGCTCCGCCGCGCCAGTCTCGTCGTGGGTCGCGACGAAGGTAAAGCAGCAGCAGCAGCACCAACTACGACTACGACTACGACTACGACTACGACTACGACGTGCGCTATCTATCCTTCTAGCGGGCACCAGCCAGCGCCCCGTGCCTCCGCGGTTCTTTGGTCTTTGGAGCAGTTGCACTTGCACTTGCACTCCGGAGACTGGGTTGGGTTGGGTTACGTAGGATACGGCACTGCACTGCACGGTACTCTATACTATACTATACAGCTCGGCCACTCCTCGACTCTACCACAGCACAGCACAGCCCAACAATAATATCCCTCCCCAATTTTCATCCGTTCTTGGGAATTGTGAGTTTGACCATGAGCATGCTGTGCCACCCCATGCTGATGCTGACGCACAGTTTGGAGATCCCTTTTTCTTTTAGCTGAAGAAAAAGATCACCGCTGACGATATCCCACCCACCCCCCAGATACGTCGCACGACCCCCCCAGCGTGCTGGAGAGGATAGCTCTTCAAAACAAAGAAAACTTTCCTGAAACTTCTTCAACTACACCTCGATACACCCGTGCTGCTTGCACATCAATAACACAACCACCTCTGCATTTTCCCACCCGATTCCCCGCCTCGATTGCTCGCGAGCTGCGACGAGACGAGCAGAGGCGTTAGAACCCCTACGAGTCTACAACATCTTCTCGCAGATCTGGCTATATCTCTGGCCGGCCCCACGGCACGACGGCCGATAGGCCGCGGATGAAAGATAACCAGGAACTGGTTGGTTAGCTGTTTGGGGGGGGAATACATATACACTGCTCCTTCACGATGAGACGAAGTCGGGGAGGGCCCAACTCCCCGTTCAGAGTCAATGGAGCCCCGATTCCGGACTCGCTGTCCCTGATCCGCTCCTTCAATGTCGAGACGAACCCTGCCCGCCCCGTCAGACCGTCTCCTCTGACCGCGTCGACCATTCCTGATATGCCGCTTGATCTCGTTGACCGAATACGATCATTTCCCCTGTTTGTCTCGGCGCCGGATTCCTTCCTCGCGGCCATCGGAAAGCACTTGCGACCCCAGGTACATGCACCGCACGATGTTATCCTGACGGAAGGAGACGAGGCGAAGGCGATGTATTGGCTGGTAAGGGGGGCGGTGGCAGTCACGTCCAGAGATGGGGAGGCAACCTACGCCGAGTTGAAGCCGGGGGCTTTCTTTGGGGAGATAGGCATTCTTATGGATGTGCCTCGAACGGCAACCATAATCGCAAGAACAAAATGTCTCCTGGTGGTGTTGAAGAAGGAGGACCTGAGGGCGGAGCTCCCCCATTTCCGGGAGATGGAACAGGCAATAATGGAAGAGGCCCAAGAGAGGTTGACTATCCTAAACAAGAAGAGGAAAGAAGGCGGATACGGACCAAAGCTTGTCTCGACCATCTTGCCTTCAAGAGGCGGCAAGACTGCACGTGAAGCGGCTCCAGGCGAAGTCTCGACCGGGGAAGCAGGGGCCATTGAAAACGGAGCTGTGATAAACAAGAAGAAACGCAAGTCACCCAGCCCTCAGGGGATTGAAGATCCCGCGGCTGGCAGTGCCCTTGGGAGTGGGTTTGTCAACGTTAGGAGGACCCTTAAAGAACTCCCGTTATTTTCAACACTACCGCCTGAGATCCTGCACTTCCTGGGGCTGAGCGCCGAGCCCAAGACGTATCCCCCGTTTACGGATATAATTCGCCAAGGATCCCCTGGAAATGAGATATATTTTATTGTGCGTGGAGAGGCCGAAGTGATCCATGATGCTGCGAATGGGCAGGATGTGAACCAGGCGTTGTCGGGCTCCTACATACGGCCGCGGCTGAAGCAGGGCCAATATTTTGGGGAGGTTGCAAGTTTAGCTCTGGCGCCCCGGAGAACGGCCACGGTGCGGTCAATCACTACTGTTGAGTGCCTAATGATCGATGGGGATACTCTCGACGAGCTTTGGAGGCGGTGCCCTCCTGACATTCGACAGCAGGTTGAGGTGACTGCAAAACTGCGGATTCCCAAACCAGAGGCAGAGGATATAATGATGCTTGACACCGACGCGTCGATCACCAATAAGCTGCAGGTTGCGGAGGGAGCACAACCTCCTCGCCGGGGCTCGTTGCCTCATGTCACGTTCACGCCTTCGAAACCAGCCAGTCCACATAAGCCAAGTCGCGCTGAGGACAAGGACGTTTTAGAGCCTTTGGACCCAGATCCTTTCCTTAGTGTAGATATGGATAACATGAGGGCCAGGTCAAGGAGAGGCTCCTGGGCCCCGCCCACCCCTGAGACACAGCCTACCGAGGAATCTACTTCTAATACCGGGCCAAGAACAAGAACGAGATCAAGAGCTCAAACTCCGACGCCTGCTTTGACTCCGCCGGATTCTGATATTCGCCCCAAGAGACCAAAGATTGTCCAGCGGCGGCCAAGCCAGTACAACAGAGGAGTGTTGCCAGATGGGATATTGGTTTCCATCTTTCCATATCTAGATATCTACCAGCTAATGCGGCTACGCACTGTATCCCTCCACTGGTCAAAACTCCTTACCACGTCGCCCAATATCTGCCAACACTTGGATCTCTCCCTCTACAATCGCAAGGTCACAAATCATGCACTCATCAACTTCATCTGCCCCTTCGTCGGAAAACGTGCCCGTACTGTAGACATAAGCAACTGTTTCCACATCACTGACGAGGGATTCAACCACCTATCCGCTCAATGCGCCCCTGGTTCGCAATCATGGAAAATGAAAAGCGTATGGGATATCTCCGCCAACGCCGTGCTGGAAATGGCCAACGCGGCCAAACAGCTCGAGGAAATCGATCTCTCCAATTGCCGCAAGGTAAGCGATAATCTCCTGGCTCGAATCGTAGGATGGGTCGTCACCGAGCCCAATACACCTCAATCAGCAAGCGCACGTCAAAAGTTCGGGCAGCCGCAACCGGCTCAAATCATACCACCTGTGGGGACAGTGGTTGGTTGTCCAAAACTTAAGCGCTTGACGCTGAGTTATTGCAAACATGTTACCGATCGCTCTATGGCACACTTGGCTGTACATGCGCATACTAGACTCCAGTCCATCGATCTCACGCGTTGTACGACGATCACCGATGGGGGTTTCCAGCATTGGAGTATCTATAAGTTCTCCAATCTACGGAGACTCGTTCTGGCGGACTGCACGTACTTGACGGATAACGCCATTGTATATCTTACGAATGCTGCGAAAGGGCTGAGGGAGCTGGATCTGGTATGTCTCCTTTTCTCCCCCTTTTCCCTCGTTATAAACGAAAAGTGTAATGGCTAACAACCCAACCAGTCCTTCTGCTGCGCTCTCTCCGACACTGCAACAGAGGTCCTCTCCCTCGGCTGCCCACATCTCTCTTCCCTCAAGTTATCCTTCTGCGGTAGCGCCGTCTCCGACTCCTCCCTCCGCAGCATCGGCCTGCATCTCCTTGAATTACGCGAACTTTCAGTCCGAGGATGCGTGCGCGTCACGGGCGTAGGCGTCGAAGCCGTCGTCGAGGGGTGCACGGTGCTGGAGAAGTTCGATGTGAGCCAGTGTAAGAATCTTGCTAGGTGGCTAGATGGCGGTGGGGAGGAGAGGAGTAGGAGGTTGTATGGTAGGAAAGGGTTGGTTTTTGAGACCACTAAGAAAAGCGAGAGGGAGGGGAGTTTGAGGTAATTGGGATAGGCGTTTGGTGATTACGCTTTTGGGGGGGGGGGTATTTAAATGGACCTGTGGAGGAAAAAAGGGGGAAAGGAAAGGTCTGAAATGGATACGACGAAATGAGGGTTATTTGCTGCCTTGCATAACGCAGATATGCTTCAAATTTAGCGGGCGTTATTTTGATAGATATTCTAGATATCCGGTGGGTTTTGCATATTTTTGGGCTAGAGTTAAAAATATAAAAGAATAGGATGGGCCGTACTCGAGCCCGGTATTATGCATTTTACTTACAGGTAATATGGGACTCGGCCCACCAGACATTTTACCTCTAGGTATGCATCTACACAAACACCAGGGTATGAGTGATGTGGCTTAGACGGAGCTACTACTAAATAAAGATTTTACATACGCATGCATAAGCATAGATGGGGTCAACACAGCAATGATTGTCAGATAAAAGAGCAAGGCATTCATCAGACAGCAAGAGTATAGATACACGCGGGCAGTTGCGAGATACAGGGTTTTGGCAAAACTAAAGGGTGGTTATTTGCTTTGCTATGCTCTTTAGAATTGGAACAGTATATGAGGGCTTTTGTTTTCAAAGTTATACGCATTTAGGTATCCCAAAATTATCGTTGATATAGATATGGTAGTTGGATAAGAGACTTGCTTTGTTACATATCGCAAAGGGCGAAAAGGGGGCGTGCGGCTATTTTACGTCGGGTAAAAATTAGACCCGAGAAGGCACTTCGTTGGGAAGCTCCCGGGTTTGAGAAATACTACGTTCGTGCACTCCATGGTCTGTATTGATTGAGCGTAAAACTTTGAACATTGGAGCTGAAGTGAGACTGCAGTAATGAAACCGAATATTCTGGTATCTTGGGTTGAGATGAACTGCGCTCCCCAACTTTCCGGTAAGTCGTGAAACTAGACGGTCACCAACAGAATTTCTCCCACCATGGACGGCAGGCAAAGAACTTTACTCTAACGTTTCCTGCTAGTCTTTTGAGACTTAGAGTTGTGATCTATCTCCCCGGGCTCTTCGACAGGATCAATGGAAATTTGCATGAAGTGACTATACCTGATTCAAATCCTGGAAACCAGTAGAAGGCGGAGCATATACATTATTCGCAGCGGGGATTTGCACAGAGGAGTCATCCTGATCGTTTTCTTGGAAACAGGCGGAAGACAGAGTATTTGCTCCGCCGTTGGGGTATTCTTGTATAGTTTTGGTTTTGCTGTTGCGTCCGCGAGACGATGAGGATTTGCGTTTGTGACTATTGCTTCTTGCGGAATCATCTGACGAAGGTGCCGGACGGGACCTGGCCAGCTGGGAGGCTGTCCTCCTACTCTCCTCGAGGAGGCTGTTTAATGAGTCCCGAATCTCGTTCAGGCGCTTGTCCTTGCCCCAGTCAATAATGTTCCGGACGTACTTGCGGAACTCTATATAATCTTTAGGCTTCTGAAGCAAAAAACTATCGACCTTCCGCGTGTAGTATTTGAGCTCATCATGCTTCCAGGATACGTATAATCGCGCCTCAGTGCCGTTCATAGCGATACTAAATGCAGTACTCTCAATAGGTTGGACAGTTTTGTTCTTGTATTGCCTTAGCTGGCGGTTAAGGCGTTCAGCGATATTAATGCAGGATGCAGAGCCCCCGAGACATTGATTCGTAGCTACCCACAGGCTCCCACTCCCGGAAGGCCCGTCAGCATTGAACTCTATAACGAAGAATGGATATACGAGGCCGTTGCTACTAGCTACCATCTCATTCCCCATAGAGGGAAATTGGGCTTGTTGCTGGTGAAATGCTCCAGTACGGCTATATCCATAGAGTAAATCAGGCACAGGCGTACTAACTTTGAGCTTAGATCCGAAATCCGGAACAGCATGCTTGGCCATTGGCAATCTATCGCTACTTTGTAAAATATCCGTTGGTTCGGGATCAGGGAAAACGTTATAGGAAATACCTCTCTACTTTGCTTTCCGCGGTTCCCATTTCAAGTTCTGCTAAACGCGTGTCTTGCAAAACTTGTTTAAGCGATGGACCTGGCGAATCACGATTCCTGCGTACTTGATCAACGAGGCTGGTAATGTGTTCAGGGAGTTGCTCGTAGGAAGGGCGTATATAGATATGGTTTGCGGTCAAGTTCATGTCCCGGTAAGAGGGGTCTTCAACAAGGCTCTTTCGACTTGAACTAGTAGAAGCACCACTAATATCCGATGGCGCGACTAATGGGCCGTACCAGGACGCCTGTGAGTCGTCCTCTGCATCTGCTCGGTGAGACTGTAACCTGGTCGAAACAGGTGTCGGTGGCAGAGCGAATCCATCAGCATCCCGTCTGTAGTCCATATTCGGCGCCGATTTTGTAAGCCTCCTAGGAATAGGGTCGCCGTCTGAGTGATCAAGAAGAGTGTCCGACCGGCAGTGCCTTTCTCGGTAGGATCCTGAAGCAGACTCGACCCACTGGGTAACAAAACTATCGACAGACTCAGGACGGTATGTTTTCGGAGATGGACTCGACGAGAGCGGGTCGAGAGAGACTTCGAGGAACGATGCGTATGGACGCTTTAGAGGGAGAGGCTTTGGCTGTAGCTGTACAGTCTGCACGATCTTCTCCATTAGTCGTTGACTGGTATAAGGGGATAGACATACTTCGGCCTCCTCCTCTGCTTCCTCGGTCTCAATCCGGACTCGCTTCGTCGTGCCCGGCCGTGAGGAATGGTCAAGTTCGTGGAAATCTGCGAAGGAGCGTTTTGGAGGTATTCGACGAGGCGACCTCGATTCTATCAAGGAAGCGCCTGGCATTTCAAGACAGCTTTGACGAGTTCTCGTCTGGCGTGGGAGTGGGAATGGTGTTGATGGTTGATGTTGGGTCAGGCAGCGATGGCCCCAAATTGATTTGCTCGCGTGCGGCGATTAAGTGCCGGCTTTGCAGGGAACTGTGCTCCGTATACCCAAAACCCAATCAATCGATTGGGAATTTGGTCGGGCGCGACACGATAAGGATGTTTGGGTGTTTTTGCTGCATTGCTACGCGCCCTCGTTAGCTTTTGACGGATTGAGCCATGATTTGCAGCCTTGCATCTGGTTAGCGGACGCGTCGCCAAAGGGCTGAACCTCTTCTGGCAAGGGTCTACGATAGACCGGGCAACAGATTCAAGCGAGAGAGCCAAATCCTGCTGGAGGAAGTCCCTCAGGATAATGAAGGCCTTCTCCATAGCGAAGGAATTTTCTATCTAGAGTGAAAGCTTAGTCGTAGGGCTACAGCATACAAGACTGCGGGAACGCCAGCCTAGGCGAAGTTGGCTTGGTCGCCGGACCAGGAGGACCCAAGTCCATGAGGATGTAAAGAGATGCACCTAGGCGCGTTCTCAACGTATAACCGCGTGTATGCTGGTTCCCAGATATTTCGAGTTGAAGGGTCGATGGTTCGTGAAAGTCTAACGAGGCTGGTATGGAGGATCTCGAGTCGATAGGCGGGACCAAAAGATATAACCCTTACCTCCGGTTCAGTGACATGCACGAGTGACTCTGGCTCAACGAAGGGAAACTTTGATCCCGGCATATTTGTACAGGATTTAGGTTGGGGTTTGTGGAAGGGGGAGAGAGGGGGGTTTCTGACCCAACTCACCCGTAGCTCAGGCCAGAGCAACGACACTTCAAGTCTAAAGACGGGAAATGTGATATCGAGATTCCGACGTCGAACTACCTATATAGAGACAGGAATTGGGTATATAACAACGATATATCAAAACCCTCCTATCCCACTTTATCACATTACATGCGTAGCCTGATATTCAAAATTTCCTCTTCTTCCTCGCAGGTGGTGCCTTGGCCTTCTCCTCTAGTTCCCTCTTAAGCTGCGCTCTCTTTTTATCTGCTCTCTCTATACTCGTCTCCCGCGGCTCTGGCGTTGTTGGCCGTTCTTCTTTGACTTGCCTTCTCCCTCTTACCGCTACTTCCTCGTCAGAAGCATCGTGCTGTATAGGCGTGGATGCTTTAGGCTCCCTCAGTTTTCCAATAACGCCTAGTTTGGCCTTGCGCGGTGTTTTTTCATGTGTAGATTCATCCGCTTCTGTAACAGCAGCACCTATTGAGATATCTTCCTCCACCTTTGATTTCTTCTTCCCGCCTATCTGACCTAGCTTGCCTCTCTTCGGCTTTGTTGGCGTCACTGGCGTGGGTGTCGGCTTTTCTCCTGAAGATAGAGGGGGTGATGAGCCGACTTGGTGAGGAGGGCGCTTCTTCCCACCTATTTTCCCAAGTACGCCTTTCGCGGGTTTAGGTGAAATCTCTGCGGAGGGGGTCTGGTGGTCGGGACTGGAATTCCGAGGGGAGGAAATGTCGTCTTCCGTGCTTGCATCATGATCAACAGCAGGTGCCTGTGAAGACTTAGGGGGGGCTTTCCTCCCTTTGTTTGCTGCGGATTTCTTAGAAAGGTGTCGAGGCGGGGAGGCTTCATCTTCTGTGTTGGTACCTTCCTCAACTCTAGGTAACGGTTTAGATTTAGCTTTCTTGTCGCCAGTTGTATCGAACCTCGAAGGGGTCTTTTGAGGCAGGGAAGAGTCATCTTCGGTGGTAATATCTTCATCCACAGCTGGTTTTGGGGCCGATTTCTTTCCCCCAACCGCCCCTAATCTTTTGGGTTTCCTAGATGAAGGAGTTGGAGGTGCTGGCCGAGGCGGTGGTTGTGATGCCGGAACGCTATCGGGAATTTTGGAGCGTTGTGAAGGGGCGTCCAGATCATCGTTTTCGGAATCCGTGGATTCGTTGATGGTAGGTTTTGGGAAGGGAGATTTTTCTTTGGATCTGAGATGCGGAGGCGTGGATTGGACTTGAAAGTCGCCGACTTCTTGCGAGGCATTGCCGTCTTGGTCCTTGGGAGCCCTCTTCAACGATTGTTCCGCCCTTGAAGGTGCTGGTAGCTTTTGCTTAGGAGGTGGCGTGACTTTACGTGGCTTTGGCCTTGAAAAGTTCGTTGTAACCTTCCCACTCTCAAGATTTACTGTTATTCCCTTGATATTGTCCCACCACCCCTCCGCTGAACTACCTTGATCCTCGCCGGCCTCAATTCTCAATGCATCAGCACCGTCAGCTGCGAACACATGTGATATCAGTTGTCCTGGATCATGTGATTTATTGGTGTCTAAGGCTTGTCTCCATGCCTGTAAACTAAATGGTTTAAGGCCTTTCACTCTTTCCTCTGCACCCCTTCGATCCAGCTTGCGGCCGTGCTTCCCAGCCGCCTGAGGAAACACCTGGGCAAGATCGGTCCCCTGTGATTCCAACTTGTCGAGCAACTTCTGTATAGCGTGATCCTTCTCCTTCAGCAAATCCGCTATGCTCGCCAGCTCCTGCATCCTAGCCTGTTGTGCCCCCAATAGAGGTAGGGTCAACTGACCTGTGAGCAGTGACTGAGGGGCTGGCGAAAGTTGAACGGGCCATTCGAGCGGTGCAAGGCCGCCAGGCAACTGGACTGTGAGATTGAGGGTAATAACCGGCCGATCATCGTCGAGATTGATCGTCAGGGCAGACGTTGTGTCATTGCCTCGTTCGAGCCCGAGCTTAATCTTCTCCAAAAGTATGTGTAATTGGTCGTCATCGCTCGGGTCTATGCTCGTGCCCTCCTCCTGGCTTCTGCGGACAATATCACTGCGGGACAGTGATTCGCTCCAGATGTGCGTTAAGTCGGTCAGATGAATTGTGTACGAGCGGGCGCCCTGATCGAAGGCCGCCGAGAGGAGGAATGGCGGTAGGTAAGCACTGGCAGAGGGCGAAAGTTCAAGGGGCTTCCAGGCCATGGCGATGTAATAAGTCACCGCGTATCTATCATTGAGCGTTAGATATGAATATTTCGCCCGTGGTGGTGCTCGAGAGATATGCGCAGGACAGGAGATGTCGGCTGGCGAGGCTGTAGATATTGATCTCTACCGGTACCTAGAAGGAAGGGTCTGCAACCCGAGACACGGGAGCGTACAGTACATGTATCAATATTGCCTTGCATACATCGAGGCGCATAACAAGTGTTGGGCGCGCGTTCCGCTGGGTACGAGTACACAATGTCGCACAACAACCGCGACGAACGTTAATGCTGGCCACGCGTGCCAACCACGTGTGCGCAGGTAACGTAACGTAGGATCCCTGAGAAACAGCCAATGACCGTGCTTACAACGCACATCCCTTGCTAGCGTGGCCCAACCCCGGATGGCGACGGGATAATCCCATTAGCCCGAAAGTAGCGCCTTGGCTCGCAGGCTGCAAATATACCTCTGTAGGGGTCCTGTATGTTTTGTATGTCCTGTATGTTTTGTATGTCCTGTATGTTTTGTATGTACTGTATGTACTGTATGTACTATATGTACTGTATGTACTGTATGTACTGTATGTACTGTCTGTAACTGTATGTGCTGTAGGTACTGTCTGCAACTGTAGGTACTGTCTGTAACTGTATGTACTGTCTGCAACTGTATGTACTGTCTGCAACTGTATGTACTGTGCTTTGAACGCACGTTGGTAGAGTCGCGGGAGGGGGTTAATATACAACATCTCCTCCTGCCCAACCTGGAAAGCAAAAACTATGCATTCGTCAGTCGCGGACAGAAGGAGATGCCCTGTCTGGCAGGTTACATGCCAGCCTCCAATACGCCTTGGCTTTCAATTCGATCCCATCCGCTGGGCTTTACGGGTACCCCAACTCTAAAATCGCTCTAAAAGTACCTATGGCTCCAGAGGGGTTCTACAGGCCTCCTGCATTGGGATAAATAACTGCCAGAGCGAGTTGTCGCTGATATAAGCTCGGGACGCCCTGGCCATATTGAGCAAGTGTCAGGTGGTAGCAATCAAGTAAACCCAGCTGTAGAGGGTGGTGAATGTTAAGCTGTACTGTACGTTCCTCTCCTTCAACGGTACGGGATTCATAAGGGAGCTGGAGGCACTGAGGACGGGCTGGCTTGGGGCTCAATATCGATCTCCCTTGCTACTCTTGGCGGAGATTGTGAGAAGGGCTTCGTCACCCGATAAAACTTGGAGCACTACGCATAATTATGCAGTATATATTGCAGGGTAACGCACATTCTAGCGCCAACAAGGCGGCGAAAGGCGGCAAGACGTGCATGAAGGCGTCACGACGGGATACAGGATAGCACATGTCAATAATGCTCAAACTGCCCACGAAACGAAAGACTACGAATACTGTAAACCATGTCTATATAAAACCGCCTTACCCCCCCATTGGAAAATGTATCAATAGGTCAAGCCACGAAGAAGTCGTCTCTGCTAAAGCTCTTTGAATCTTAGCCAAAATGATACTTTCCATTCTTCTAGCAGCGAGTGTGCTGCCTCTTACCTTTGCCGGTTCTCTGCCTAAGAAAAGCCAAGGGGGACCCGTTGTACGACTACCATACGTAACAGCAGTAGGCTCCAGCGCCAATAACGTTGAGTCCTTCATAGGAATTCCCTTTGCCCAGCCGCCTGTGGGCCAGTTGAGATTGAAACCCCCGCAGCCCATCAACACCAGGCTGGGAACGATCCAGGCTACTGGCGTGCCTCTAGCCTGCCCTCAACAAGGCAGTCTGACTATCCCAGACATTCCGGGAGTGCCCATCGGACCAGGCAATCAGACACTGCCTGCTGGAGAGGATTGTCTCACCCTCAATGTTCAAAGACCTTGCTCCGCCAATAGACACAGTCGCCTCCCGGTCATCTTTTGGATATACGGAGGTGCCTTCGAACAAGGAGCAACGCAGCAATACGACGCCACGCAACTGATCAACTCCTCGGTAGTGCAAGGAAAGGAATTTATTTACGTTGCCGCAAACTACCGCTTGGGTGCATTTGGTTTTCTGCCAGGCTCTAAGGTGTTGGTAGACGGGTCATCAAATCTCGGTCTGTTAGATCAAAGGCTGGCACTTCAATGGGTAGCGGACAACATTGCTTCATTTGGCGGTGATCCAAGCCAGGTGACTATCTGGGGGCAATCTGCCGGCTCCATGTCAGTGATGCACCAAATGGCTCTATACAAAGGAGACAACAGATATAAAGGCAGGGCGTTATTCAGGGGTGCCATCATGGACAGCGGCGGCATTACACCGGCAGATCCTGTCGACTGTCCAAGAGCCGAAGCAGTCTACGATCAAGTGGTCAAGGCTGCTGGTTGTGCAAATGCAGCTGATAGTCTTGCTTGCCTTAGAAGTATCAACTATACAACATTCTATAATGCAGGTAGGCTATTAGTTCGAGCTTTAATTCACTCTTGATGCTAATCAGTATATAGCAACCACGCTTCCAGGGCTTGGCACCAACTCCGCTGTTGCTCTTTCTTACCGGCCTCGACCAGATGGGCTGGTTCTAACAGAGTCGACTGATGTACTTGTTAAAAAGGGCCAGTACGCCAAAGTCCCCTTCATCATCGGCGATCAAGAAGATGAGGGCACGCTCATCTCATTAATCCAGACCAACATCACTACCACTGATCAGTTAATCGACTACTCTCATACCTTCATGTTTCGAGATGCTACACGCACTCAGGTTGCCAACTTCATCAATCTATACCCCGATAACCCAGCTGCAGGGTCGCCATTCCGAACTGGCGATCTTAATAACCTCTATCCACAGTACAAGCGCATCGCTGCAATCAGCGGTGACGTCGCGTTCTCGCTGCAGCGTCGCAATCTACTCCAATTCGCCAGTGCTGTCAATCCACATACGCCGACCTGGAGTTACCTGGCTACATACTACTACGGCACGCCCATCCTCGGCACATATCATAGCAGCGATATACCCGTTGTGTACGGCCTGCTAGGGGGCGAGCTGCCTATCCCTACCTCGACAATTCAGAGCTTCTACCTGTCGTTTGTGAAGTATCTTGACCCGAATGTCGGCGTAGAAGGATTGCCAAATTGGCCGCAGTGGACTGACGGCAACAAATTGATGAATTTCAGTGCCACAGCGAACACCTTGATACCAGATACCTTTAGACTGGCGGCGTCGAACTACTTAGCCGCCCAAGCTCCATCCTTTAATCTCTAACTTTCACTAAATGTGGAAAACTCGAGTTGAAGGAGCGATGGCTGAGTGTTTGGTAGAAATGGAGAGGGATAAAGTAAAATGCAAAGTAGTGCAATAATACGGTTTGAGGTCTATTTATATGTATATTGCACGTTGAATTAAACCATATCCTACCTCCATTTTGATTCTACGAGCCTACAACCTACAGGTGTCTGAGTGTATCTAGTAAAATTCTCCGCCTTTTCCAATGCCAATTATGCAGCCCTGAATCAATATTCCACCACCCGCATTATTCACGATGACAACTCTAGAACATGCCCTATTCATATTTAGCCCTGGTTCGCGGTTCAAATCCTGAGTGACCTTTCCACGCCAGATTTATTAGTCTCTGGCTTTTGCTCGCCGCTCATATCGGGCAGCCCCCAAGAACTGGCATGAAGATGGGCATACTGAGCAGAATAGGGAGGCGGGGAACACTCAGAAAATCGAATGGATATAGGGCAATAAAGCTTTGTTCAGGAACTGACTTTTAGTAGACGACGTCTTGGCGATTAGATTCCTTCAGCAGGCAGTTTAACATTTGGTGGGTGAGGTAATCTTCCAAGAAGAATGGCGAGACAGCCAAACATCCATCTTGATGAGCAACAATAGTAAAGATGTAGGCTTTGGAAGGCAACAAAGGCAGCTTCGAATTGAAACGGGGCTCGCGCAGAGCTTCCATTTCGCGTTATGGATCACCCAGAGCTGTGTTTGGATTTTTAGTGGACCTTTGACAACGACTTGGAATGGTTGCAAAGATCACTAAACGGGAATGGAGAAACGGTAGTAAGTAATATAGGAAGGTCTTGGACGAGAGCGATTTGCCGGGCAGTTCTGCTGCGGATCAAGACGAGACAGGGAAGGTTGATCTTGTAATGTCTAGCTCGATCTAAGTCTAAAGGAAACGGGCCGGGGCGCAGAAAGAGGACGAGGGTATATAACAGACGGTTCAGGGGTCGGTGGTGATGGGGATATTGGGGGGCGGATTAAGCATCTGAAGACGATCTATGGGGTGTTTGCTTTTGTGGAATCGCGTGGGTTTCCAATAAGAAGCCCTAACAAGATATCAAATGCTCGCAATCTGGGTATAGTTCAACTTCTCGATCGATATTCCCATATATAAAATATATCAGAATCCGGCTGACACTTGCGGAAATCCAAAGAAGATCAGATCAAACGGAAGCTGGTTAGCTTGCAGCCACGGACAACGGATGACATGTAGAGAGAGTAGCTGTTGCGCCTGAAGACACCATTACAGCATGGCAATCAGTAAGCAGGGGTCGATTAAGCGCACTGAGTGGCCCCACTGTAATGATGGGCCCGTCAGCGATGCCTGGAAAGTATGTAAGTATTAGATTAAGTAAATCTTTCTCAGGCATATGAAAAAACGACGTCTGGTAACTATATCACCAACCAATGATCATCGAGCTGCCAACCGACCAGTGCGGACCAATCCAATCCCCCGTCAACAGACTACTCGAGGCGGGAACCCAATTCTCTATCATGTAATGTATATAAAGTGCTCTTTGTTCGCAATAAACCTGCCCTTCACAAGATCTCAAACAATTCCAACCAGTCTCTGCCACGGCATCATCCTTGCACAGACAAGTGATCGCTCCTCTACACTGACTCCGAATAGTAGATATTGGAGTCGTCTTAAAAAGTGCGCCCAGCATCCTCCTTTCCCATAACAATAATAGCTTCCTGGCTGTCTGCGCGCTGCCAACCCACGCCAGCTGCGGGATTGTCTTCTTCACTCGTAGCCCTCGCGGCGTGGCTCATGTTTCGTACCTTCATGTGATAGCCGGTTATAGTATCGTTGGCTGAGCGGTGATTTCTGCCTGAAAACTTTGATCTGCCATTTGTTGGGGCATGTGAGAAGTTATCAACAGGCACCGGGGATATATCAACAAGTACAGGCAAGTAGCGGCGCAAGAATGGTTTGAGAGAAGGCAAGCTCGCGCATATGATTCCAGTATGGATGTCTAGGTCACTATAATGTAGGGCTTAGTTCTGTAACCATGTACTTAGTAAGGGTAAAGAGGAGAGACATACGTCCATAACCATAGCTGAACTGCTCTGTATGTTATATCCGACTTAACAGCTGCAGCTTTTGCATATCGGAGTCGAACAGCGCTCATTATACAGACACTGTTTGATGAAATAGGATTAGTAAAATAAAAGATAGAGTATGAATATTGTAGGGTAATTATTAGGTACTATACAAGGACTGGAAAGAAAGGCTAGCCTTGTGACTAGTTATACTTAGGCGCTTCCTGAATAGTTAATAGCTCGAGGACAATAAGAGTAGACATCTGACGCTAAGTATAGACTATCATGATTAAAAGGAAACTTAGAGCTTACGAAGATCCCAACATAAGTATAGCTATCACGCCCCACTTTTGATTTCGCCGCAAATTTGACTTCCACATCATTATTACTGGCAGAAGGATCATAAGGACGTCAGTAAAGAGATTAACGCAACCTGACCATAGGATAAAAATTGAAGGATCCGAACACGTCCCTGGTATAAAAATATCCCAGGCTCTTGCAATTGGTTTACATGAGAATAAGTTAGCACAGAATGCTCCAGCACTACTTGCTATTGTAAAGAGTAGAATTACCCATACCCATCTTCGAAAATTTTGGCTAGGACTAAGTCGAAGATACAGAGTCAGGAGAGATACCTTCACGAACATCCAAACAACACAGCAAAAGAATATAGCGACCCAGTTGATCTATATATAGCTAAGAATAAGAAATTGATCAAGTAATAAGTAAGAGGTAACTATGAGATATAGATATAAAAAGAGAAACTTGCCAGAAGCCAGTACGGGCTAAAAACGGTGATAGGTACATCCCAAAGATGAACACCAAGTCCATACTTCGTGTCTAGTTTCGTCAATGGTTTATTTTATTTTATATAGGTAACAGGAGAGTACAACTTACTGAGGCATGCTACGCTAGCAACTCCCACAGAACACACCTTGGTTGAGTATCAGCATTGTCAGGGGACAGGTCCAAAGAATACTTGTACCCATCCTGCCAGCAAAAAGTCTGTTCACTATTAGCAGTTGCACGACTAGTCCATACTTGAAACATACAGTCGTCCAACGCAAGGTTTTTTTTAACTATATATATCCGCGTGTACAATCGTAGAGCTGTCACAATGGCTGTAACAACAAGCATGACCACATTGAGCACAATGATCTTGTAGCCATCGCTGTCGGGATTGACAAAGTTTGCCACCTGGCCTGGTGGCGGCGGCTCCATTCCGAAAACGAGCCCGGTGTCCATAGCCGGTAAAGAGGACGGTTTCTTTGGGCAGGAGGAAATGCGAGAATATACTAAGACCCACCAGACTCTGCCGTGTGTTGGCTGAGACCCTTTATAGGTGTGGCGAGCACAAGCCCTCACAAAGCGGCTGGTTACGTCCGTGGTACAACACGAAAGACAGGATCACGTTCTATCAGGGCTTGCTTACGAAGTTTACGAACGACATGGAATTGAGAGACATGGAGAGTGCCGGAATGCCACGTACTTGACAGCATCCCTGGCTCGCACGGTCGTTGGGTGTCTGAGCGCGGCAGGAGAAGCAGAAGTGATCTACAAGTTTCTTGAGCAACTCCGAATTCCGAAGCGAGCCAAATACACTAAATACAATCTCCTCTTTACACGGATAAATTTTTCTTCCTTGTCAAGCATTCAATGATCTACAAGAGCCTCAATCTCCGAACTAGCCAATATCGATGTACATGTACGTGCCTTTTCTTAGAATATATATGTAAGTGACGTGAAGGAGCCTTTCATACTCCTGTTGCAATAACGGCGATTTCTTCATGATTAGTGTATCACATCTTAGATCACTGAGGACGAATGACGAGAATTTGTTCTTAAGGAGCAAGGTACAGTACCTACTTGGTAAAATACTACTGGGTTCTAGACTTTGAACTCTTCAGTATTAGCAAATTACTGGAATTTGCTACCTCTTATAGCTTAGTGCCTATCTTCTTTGGCTGGATTCTCATAATTGGGGTATGAGTATAACTTGGAGTCAAAAGTCGTTGGCAGAGAAATCTCTGGGGCAACCTAACAAAATATCCAATCTACCTATATAGGACTATTCAGACCCTCTAGTTCCATTGGGAGAACCTGAAGCATTTATTCTCTTCAGCTTTAAATTGACAATCAATATAGTATATTTTATTTACTATATCCTTTAAGGAAGACTTCTAAGGTGAGGTCTTCGAAGGTGAAGTCTGCTACGGCGATAAATCGACGCCAAAGGTGAGAAATGACTGTTTCTATCTGCTACCAATTTCTCAGAGTTCGCAACATCGCCAGCGAGATTTAAGACCGAGATCCTCTTCTGAAGTTACTGTCAATTCCAAGATGGTCTCGATTATCGAACAATGGTTTCCTATAGCCACCGCCGACTTTAGTTCGGGCAAGAAACATAAACGCTGCTACAGAGTTTGCAACCCACACTTCCTTCTGCAGTACCTTCTCTCCTCTTTGAGCCAGCCCGTTCACGTCCCGATGACACCACCGTGGTTCAAGCTACTGCCGCTCGTTGTTATTCTATTCTCTTTGGTGATCCTCGCGTATAAAAATGCGTGTATTAACTCTTCAGTGGAACTCGTCGTCGCTGCGGTACGGGATTATCAAAGCTCAATGTTATCAAGAAAGTCTGACTTTTTACAGGGCTTGACTACTGTTCTTACGGTTATGATGTACGCTAGTCATTGTAATTTGGACCGTTGCTTGGCCGTTGCCCTATGCACGACTCGCCCTCGACATTGTTCTCTTGGTTATTTGGATTGCAGGCCTGGCTGCTGGGATCTTGAGAAAGGCTGCAACCTCAGCAGGCCTTATCAATTTTGAAAAGGCGGCCAGGCCAGCTACTATCGCTGTTTTACTAATCCTGGTTACCTTAGCGTCGTAAGTCCATCTTATCCTACTAGGAAAAGAGACAAACCTAGCTAACTTATCCGCAGAGCATTTGTCTTAGCGCACCTAATTATACATGCTTACTGCATTCATACTCATCGCCACTTTAGTTGGGCAGAGTAAAGGAATCGGAGACCTAGAAGGCAATTTTCTGACAAAAGATGAACCCGGACATCGCATCTTGAAGGCGGGCAGCTTTTTCCAGGATGCTAAAGCCCCTTTAGGTTGCTCTCTTGAGAATCAAGTTATGCCCAAGCCCCATCTAGTGCATGGTGCATTGTTATACCCCGCCTTCTGTAATGTAATACGTGACAGCCCAGCAATGCTCCGATAATCGTTGCAGCTTTCTCACATGTCTTTAATACTGGAGTCAATATAAGAGCGGATTTTTTTAAATAAAATGATCGCTCCATTCGAGTAGCTTCAGACGGCCACTCTGGAACGGATCTTGAGACCGACGTTCGGCTTTGAGGTATACTTACAGTACTTATAAACTATAAAAAAGAAATATTATATATTAATATTAGTATTATTAAAACTCGAATATTATATTTTAAAGTAGTATTATTATTAACAGTAATATTATACTAAACTTAACTATATAATACCTTTATCCTTCTTACTACTAGCGAATTAAGTAGCGACTTAATTAATACTTAACTATAGGAAAATAAGTAACTAGCGACTCGATAAGACAATTAACTAGCGAATATTTCACACAACGAAAAGAACTAAATTGTTGACCCCTTTCTTGCGCATAGAGGAATATTTGATTCATAGACTAACGAGGCTTGTTTTGATATTACAAATTTATACCAGTAAGTCATTTATAGCGGTTCCAGAAAACTATTCATTAACCAGTCAACACCAAAGGTTCGGGCATTATATTCACGATAACAGTTGTTGAATGGGAACAATGTGGCTGTCTAATATGTGAGGATATTGAGAAGTGTGTTCAAAATCCTGATGATCCATACACTTGCCCAAATGTCAACTGACCTGATGAGCATGAGAAGGAGCCTGGCCATTGTGGCCGTTTAGCTCACACACCACCAAGCTCATCAGCAAGCGAGGATTGAGATATGAGTTGGATGGATGTGAGAGCCACTTCTACTAAGGGGGTAGGGCGTCCAGCAGATTTTGAGCGGTAGCTAGCATCTTGCCGGTGTTGTGCTAGGTACTGACTTAGACAAAACATTAGTCTTCGTATTACTTTAGACCCGAGAACACCTACTGGAGTAGCACTTGCTTGGCGAAGTTGACTTTGACGCCGTTGCAAATTTCGAATGTCTGTTCGACCCGGAAATGGCATTCTGTACTTGGCATTCGATTCCCTCCATGCCATCACTTCCTTGTTTACTCTTGATCTTATATTTATTAATAATAGTATATAAAGTATATTTTAACGGTACGTTATAGTATTCTCGCTACTACGTTATATACTTAAAACGGGATATATACTTCTATACTTTTCGTGCTACAAGCGTGCTTTATATACTTCGTGTACTATAACTTAATATCCCGGATTTGCGGATGCAGTAGGGAAAAGTACACTTGAATAGTTATAAGCTAAGTTCGACTATAAGGAATACTTTCTTATTAGTCTACTCTATATATAAATCTATAAATTAGTACGTCCTTATACTTTTTGGAAAGTTTTAAGACTATAGGCTACGCCTACGGCCCGCCGGACGAAAATCAATATCATCATCATCATCATCATCATCATCATCATCATCTCATTATTTTATCCCAGTCATACTATCCGATTGAATATATCCAAGCTGCTTCAATTCGTTTATGCGAACTGCGTACGTATCACGCTGAGAGGTTAGTCATGTTTATTGTACGAACCGTGTGAAAACTTACAATTGCTTCTTGCTTGCGCTTATCTTCATCATTAGAACTTCGCGATATTGCTTGCTACATTAGCGCGCACGTCTTCAAGTATGCCTATATCGCATTTTAGTAATCTTGCCTATTATCAAAAATCACAGCCGTTCTCGCTTCTTGAAGAACTTCTCATGCTATTGCGTTTAGTGTTGTACGTTTCGACTTATCTCTGAAGACTTTCTAGCGGCTTCCGAAGCTTGCTTCATATTACGTCGGATGCAGAGCCATGGGTTTAGCACAATCGGATCTTTATTGGCACCTAAGCATAGTGCATGATCGTTACTATGACAAGATACACACGGCGCCCATATAAAGCTACTTTTGAACGGTCAGCAGAAGTAAGCTCCATATTCTTGACGAAAAAATGACCCCACGATTCTTTCATTGCACGCTTTGCAATGATCGGCGTGCGACTTTCTCAGCAGTCTGACCCTTTAAAGTCCCGTGGGTTTAAGGCCCGCGTAGTTGTTATGGGGCGAGATTTATCACTTGATCTTGTTTTATCTCGAATCGGCCAAGCTATGTCTGTCTCGAGAGGCTCAGTTAATTCGGATTCTTCCACCTGTTCATCGATATCAACAAATCGTTGAAACCATATTCCACAGGACATATTTTAACTACTTCATAATTAATAAAGTTCCTTGAATAGCTATACGGGGTGGAGTCGATGTACCACTGAATCCTGGACTCCATTGGCTTCGCCGTTCGCACCTATAGAGGCATATTCAAGTCGTCAACTCCACATTCAATATTGCATCACGAGTCCGTCGCAAAAAATTGCTGCTTTGCACTGAGCGATCTAAACTATCTAATTGAATCAAAACCACACACTTCACACGCTAGCTAAATCACTAAGTAATAAACATTAACTACTTTTGCCCTGTGAAGAAAAAAAGCAAATGGCTTCGACTGCCCACCGACCAGTGCAGACCAATCTCATCCCCGGCCATCAGACCATTCTATCACCCCTTCGCTCTGATTCCCTGGATGTTAGATGTTAGAGCCGGCTTAATCGCGATATGAACGTCGTCTTTTGCTATAATGGGAATAGCTTCCTGACTTTCCGTGTCTTGCCAGCCAACAGCTGTGTGATTATCTTTGTCACTCGTCGCCCTCCCGATGTGATCCATGTTTTGTAGAGTTATTTGATTGCCAGCTGCGGCGGCGTTGACTGAGCGACAATTTCTGCCACTTGCTCCAGGGTCAGGGATATTATAGAAGGGCATCGAAGGTTCAGAAAAGAGCACAGGAAAGTAGCAGCGAATGAATGGTTTGAGAAGAGGCAAGTTAGCGCATAGGACTGCAGTGTGCAGTTCCAGATCACTATAATATAGAGCTTAGTTTTGTGAAGGGGCGTTTAGCAAGGGTACAGACATACGACCATATCCATAGATTAACCCCTGTGTATGTTATATCAGAGGCTCTAGCAGCTGCAACAGTTGCATATCGGAGTCGAACAATGCTCATTACACAGACACTGTTTGACAATGGAATTAGCCAAAAAGACAAGAGATAGGAATATTGTAGCGGAGAATGGCGACTAAGCGGAACCTATAAACTTACGAAGATCCCAACATAAGTATAGCAATTACAGCAATCTTTTGCTTTCGCCGCATTTGTATTGTCCATAGTAATATTATTGGCAAGAGGATCATAAGGAAATCAGTCAAGACATTAATACAACCTGTTACTAGGAGAAAAGTCGGAGGATCTATACATGACCCAGGTAGCGACTTATTCCATACAAGTGCCAGTGGCTTGCATGCGAATAAATTGGTAAAGATTGCCCCAATACTGCTCGCTATCACAAAGGCCATAATTGCCCACACCCATAGTCGAAATCTTTTGTTAGGGCTGAGGCGGAGATATAGCGTGAGGAGAGACATCTTCACTAGCATCATTACGACGTAGTAAAAGAAAATGGCGGCCCAGTTGACCTGTAAAAAGCAATAGTCAACAAACGGCCATGAGATAGATATAAAACAAAAACCCTACCTTAAGCCAGTTTGGACTAGTAGAAGCAGGTACATTCCAGAGATGGATACCAAGTCCAAATCTCGTGTCTTTAGTCAATCGTTAGTTTAATTCATATAATCTTAGGTAACAAGAGAGCGCGACTTACTAAGGCAGGTCAAGCTAGCAGCTCCCACGGAAAATACCTTGATGCAGTATTAGCATTATCAGATGAGCTGTGTATAAGGTATAAATGTAGATATGTTCGAATGCTCGTACCCATGCTGCTACCAGAAAGTCTGTTCATCATCAGTAATTGCAAGCTTAGAGAGACTTGTTTAGAGCATACAGTCACCGAAACCTATATCTTTGACTATGAATATTCGCGTGAACAATCGGGCGCCTGTCACAATCGTTGAGAAGGTGAGAACGACGGCATTGGCAATAATGACTTTGTACCCGATACTCGGAGGGTTGACCAGGTTTGCGACCTGGCCAGGTGGAGGTGGCACCAATGCCACGAGAGACCCGTCCATGAGTGTGGATGAATGGATTGCTTCATGCAGGAGGAGATTCACATATATTAACAACCTCAGACTTTGCATTCGTGCATCCAGGTGTGCTGCTCCATACGAGGTATATAAACGGTGACTGCGGACTAAGGGGCCTGGCGGAGCTTATTCTTTAGGGTACCAGTGCTAGGGAGCCGCCAAAACGCGGGGATCCAGCAACGCGAGACGCAGAAGACCCAGATGAACTTGGTACGCTTTGACCGTCGCTTTGACCGCGTAATGGATTATCAAGCTGCCGTTCCATCAGTCCAATTATGATCAACATGAAATGTACGACCCCGTCCTGTCACATCATTATGTATAACTTGATATGACCAGAGCTGGCTATCACGTCGGCTCCACAGCCAGGCGAGCCAGCAGCCACCGAAGGAAAAGACCGCCGCAACCCTGCAGGATAAAGCTGCAGCAGTCGCCTTTCAGCACTCTAACTTGCCAATAGTTGGTGTCAGCTCTGCTCTCTATCAAGCACTGCCTTCACCGTGTCTCCCTTTCTCTCCCTCTCCCTCTCCCTCTCCTCGCCCCCGACAGTGCAGCAGCTAAACCTCTTCGCAGTCTACTTTTACCTCCTGTGACATCTCCTATATGCGCTTTGCAGTCCCTCTAAAGCTCCCATAAACCGCCGAATATCCGGTCTGCTGGAACTCCCGATGTATCGTAAGGTCCAATATTTCGTCTGGTGTTTTGTTTTTTGCCAGGGCCGCGTACGCCCGACAGCTCTGGTGCAATGCCTCCGCCTTGAAACGACAATGCGAGTGACGACTGCCTCTTCTTGGTAGTTGGCGAATGTTACACAACGTCGAATAGCTGTAGATGGCAGGTTCGCACACGGCCAATAATTAAAAATACGCACTTCCGTGTGGTGCAAGGGAAAGACAGCATATAAACCACTACGTGGGCTCGTTTGAGGGTTGTTACTGACTGGATTGATAGGTACAACAACCTTCACACAATCTACACGAGTACAGTAACTCCAAAGCCCCGAAAAAATACCTCCTCAGTTCGGCATGATATCACGATTCTAGCGAGGTTCGATCAGCAGCTGCATATGATTTATCGCTGCCATTTTCTGCGGGATGGCCCAATGGGATGTCTCCTGACGGCCACTTTCAACCCCTCCACGGCCTTCGTCCATCTAGGCGAAACATATGGGTGAACCGTGTTAGTTTTGGAACGCCCCTATCACCAACGGATACAGTTTGGCAGATTCTCTGCCTCGGACACAATACGGGAGAGGTGGGCTGTTCCAAGTAGGCTATTTGGTATAAAACAATCAGTCATTTCTAGGCTGGCGGGATTTACCAAGGCACCGAGTTGATGCTGGCATAATAATTCTTGACTGCCACATACCATTTAACTTATATTTGTACTTTGTCGTCACAACCTCGCAACTTCCCGTCATGCTCTTCTGAGCTGCCGAACAAGAGCTCAACGACGATGTAGTATCACTGGTTGCACTGTACCCTGAAGGGTTCCACTACCAGGACTTACTTCTCCCAGATCCTCCTCCCAGCCTCGTCTCTTTCCTTCCACGGCTTCAAAATATCGTTGCTCTCCTTTGGTTTCACCTACGCCCTCCCCGTTCCAACTGTAATGCGAAGGATCGCGTTTACGGAAGGAAGATCCTGAGGATTATCTAGCCGCAAATGATATGATCCTGTCATCCCAAGCTAACTGAACATGTGCCATCTCCGAGCTTGGAGGTGTCTATATACTAATAGAAGTTTTCTTTCTGATGTTTCTTCCTATTGCACTTTGCAAAACGCACTAAAACGTACTGGGTTTCCACGACGAGCAAGGCCTCCTATCTCTTTTACTATGGACGTATGTCTATGCAAGCTGAGGGATAGGTGTAGTTAGCGGGCCACGGAGATAGAGGATGCAATGCCGAATCTCAATTCACTTGTCAAGAACCAGACCATGATCCCACACACCCAGGAACATATTGCAAGGATAGCGACGCCAAGTATTAATGTCTCTAGCTGGTGATGTTGGCCTCCGGGGCGGAGGATCAGGGCGAGAGGAAGAGGTCAAGGAAGCTTGGGATACTGAGGAATTTTGGATAAGGATATGTGCGATGCGTGTTGAGAGGCACATTGTAGATAAGCCGATAATGACTTGTTGGCTCGAGTACCCTCGTGATTCTTGATATGATAATGAGTGTTGCATCGTTGACTATTTTGGTTCCACCACGGTGTCTAAGAATGCAGGTGGAGTGAGAGTATGGAGAAAGGAGGGAATTCGTCTCCTTATGCAAAAAGCCAACACAACATTGGCTATATATGTAAAAAGTGGCGGCTAGTTGCTGACCAACATTACCATATTACGGTGTATTTTAGCAGCAACGAGCGTATAGCAAGAGAAGCCAGAGCTGCAAAGATACACATGGGAGAGGCTGGTACAGCTCGAGCAAGAGCGACTGAATGAGAAATGGTTAGGGTAGGAGAGGTGGGAGTGCTAGGGGTTTTTTCTGTCACGAATAGAATAGAAACATGCTATCTGGCGGGGCGTGCCGGCGTGTCATGTAGTACGTAGGTACGTACGAAGGAGAGGACGGAACGTAGTACGGATAGGAGGCAGTGACGATGTTGTGCGGGTGATGCTATCGTTCTAGTGACGCGCCTGAGGCGTGTGGTTAGCCGGTGCTAAATGCACAGATATGACAAGATTCGCGTTCGGCTTCACTCCTTCAATTCCACACCTCCCGAAGCCGAACTTCCTAGACGGCAACAGATGCGGATGCATTCTTTCAATGGCAAAGCACGATGCCGGGGCTACTGCTATAGAGCGGCACCTGGGCAGCTGTTATTTACTGATACCTACAGAGGCTTCAATTCCGTGAAGGAGCCAATCTTGAATCTACAGGAGCCTCGAGGCTTCTCCACGGTTTGGATAGTCTCGAAAACGTAACAGCCTGCCCATATGAAATAATTCGCCGCGACCGGAAGTCCGGATAGGATGGGAAGTCTGAGTCATGAAAGTGAGTGTTATTCAACAGACGAGGGTGGATTTAAATGGTTCGAGATCATCAAGAACTCGTCCTTAGCAGTTAGGTTTTGGCAGATGGTTTTATTATGTGTTATAAGAAAACAATCAGCGAATGTGCCATGTCCCTTCGTGTGGAATTCAAAGCCATGCCATGCATTGGATGTGATATCCGATGGAAAATATTACACCATCGGATGCTACTGTGGCCTATCCTTTGGCGTCTTAAACTACCCATAATCCTGACAATGCCACGCAATCCAATTTGCGTCCATTTTCAGGCTCGGGCATTTCGGGCTGGGCTGTCCTGTTTCAACGCTCGGTCGCGGCTCCCACGGAACGTATGCTATGATCATGGGCATGGGCATCGCTGACATCTTATGAGAATCCTATGTTTGTGGGCTTATGGCGAGGCGCCACCGCGTTGCGCCGTCATCAAAGCGAAGCCGCTCTCTTGGCCAGCCTAATTGACGAGGCATCTCCAGAACATTCAGATCAAAGATCGGCATCGGTCTCGGCCATCTCTTCTAGGATGGCCCGAAGTTTAATGAGAGTTATTCTATTGCGCTGCTGACTTAACCTGCTTTGTTATTCCTCAGGATGTCTTGCCACACTACCATCGCTATGTTTCGCAAGGTATATATATAGTCGAGGAGCCGGCTCTTACATTACTAGAAGTTTTCAAATCCAGTCAGACCAAAACTACTCCTATCACCCGCAAGAATTCCAATCAATCAAACCTTAGGCCAAATTCACATACGCACCTGGATTTCGTCGTCAATTTCACACCTCCCGTTCCAACATACAAGCAACACAAACTTCAGTTATCATTGCACTACGAAAACCCCACCATGAAGCTTCTCCAGCTAGTGACATTAATTACTCTCCTTGGCTACGTCACCGCAGTGCCAGTTGCAGGGACAGCCAGTAAGTTATCTTTTTCGTGGATTTTATATTTTCCTAATTTCGCGTCTTTCAAAAGGAATAGACATGGAGGTGACATGCCCACCAACCCTACCTCTCCCCGCCCCTTCCTAAATGTACCGCATCTCCTAATTTGTCAACCTGCCATATCTTTTCTTATAAATATACTGCCTCTTTAATCATTATACACATCATTGTTCGCTGACACTTCTTGTTCGAAGCTGTGGAAGGATCCGCTGTCGTTATTGGGTGTAACTGCAATGTAAAATTCTGTCCAGGCTGCTGAATGATAGAGTTTTGCATTGAAAATTTGGATTTCCGTTGGGCATATAATATAGACACCTATATGTTGTGTTGGGCAGCGGGCTATGCTCGACACGAAGTAAAAGCTAGGCTGGGCAAAGTCGCGATAGTTAATAGGTTATGTACTCGGAGTATGTGCTATCAATTTATCCATTATTGGCCTGCTGGATTGTTCAGTCTCCAATCTGCCCAAATTTTCTCGCTTTATATTTCATCGCACTGTGTTTTCACCTACTGTTTTCTTGAGTAACAGGTCTTAGACTGGTTGTTGTGTTACGAAGGAGTAGAAAGGAGTCGAGGCTGAAATTAACTAGCCGAGGCCCGTGCATCGCAGTATATTTTTGGCGCAGCAGCATCTTCACCGGAAACACCATGTCACCAATGAATGGACTACAACCCAATCCGCCGGTCACCGTCATACTCAGCTATCTTATAGCTGAGGATCTCTGTAACGGCGAGTACAGTCACACATGTCAGAGATTGTCCATGCTAATTTTGGACACACCGTATTCATCTCAAATTATGGAATCCCGGCTGAATCCACCAGAGTCCGCCACGGGGGAGCGGCGTGGCAGCTTTCCCGAGATATACAATATGATAAGCAGATTACGTCAACTCCCACAACTTTAAGTTGCAAGAGCGATATCATCTCTCCGCCAAAACAATGTGGAGAAAAGGCGTCCCTTCAATAAAAATCCGTCTCGGGGATCAACGCTCATTGGATCATACTTGGTTTTCGCTTCCTCCTAAACCCTACGGAAAGTCCGAGCGAGTCCGCAAATGCACCTACGGGGCCCCCTAAGCTCCAGCACGTTATTATTCGTGTGGCCACCAAGATCACCAAGGCCACCTAATACGAGTTATAAGATGGTGGTCTTATGTGGCTGTACAAAGCCACGACATCCCTACTCGCAAGCTGGCCCCCTCAGCCCAATATATCCTTCTGCCCACGATCTCGTCTCGCTCGTCTCGCCTTTTCTTATTTCTCAGGCTACCTGGCCAAAATATCGTCTTCCTTCGAGCTCCAATTCCCCGAAAGGGCTTCGATCCTCGCATGACTTTCCAAACGTTTACATTTGCATAATGGCACCATACTCCCATTTTCATCCTTCGCGTCACGCACACAGCTATGATTTGTCTCAAGCTGAGATAAGCTTGTACGTTAATTGCTCCTTTATGATTACAATCCTTGACATCCAGCTTCAGGACTTTCAGGTACCAGATGATATCCCTGCTGCCACGCACCACGCTCCGTGTCCGGGCCACGATGATCCATAGAGCCCACGCCGTGCACCGACTTTTCATAACGACCGAATCACGACGCTGTACCACTGAAGCCCCTTTACCACACCCCGCGCTATGATTTTCCCGCGCAAACTACTACAATAGGCACCAGGCTATCCTTCTTCCACCCACGGGGTAAGACCTCGGAGCCCACCGCCCCGGAAAATAATTACCAGCTGCAATGGATGAATGGTTACCCCAGGCGGTACGTAGGTAGTGCACGCTTTCTTATACGCTGGGTATCAATAGAGGCGTTTTTAGCCTCGGAAGGGGAGTGTGGGTGTCGGGGAAAGTGATTTGCTCTTGAGGCTTGTACTCCGTATATGAATCCTTCTATCTTGCTATTTCTTCGGGCATTCCGCCAAAATACTCCTCTTCGCTGTCAATAACCACTCCTATGCTCAGTTTTTCTCCTACGATCCTCCATACTGCGCGGCTTAAGTGAAGGAAATAGAAGCTATATCTCAGTCATCCGGTCACCATGAAGTTCTTTTATCTCGCCGCAGTTTTTGGCACCCTCAGCCTTGCCGCTGCTCTGCCTATGGCAATATCCCCCTCTCGTAAGCTCAATCTCATATTCTCCATTATCAGTATCCGACCTATTCTGGGGGGGAAATTATCTACAACAGGTTCTTGCAATACCTATAACAGGGTTAAGGCTTTGTTAAAGAGCTTTCCGCTCTCTATTTATGCATTTCGTGTCCTGGATCCCTTTCCTTCATAGCCAACTTTTGCAAACTAACAGTGGCTAACACCCTACCGCGCAGAGACAGGAGCTGAGGCCGAGAATGTAGCAGAGGCAGCATCTTGGGGTTGCAATGAAAAGTACCACACAGGGTGTTGATCATATGAGGATGGCCAAAGATGGATTTTGGAAAGATTACACGACGATGATTTCGAAAGAAACACTGCAAACGAGCTGATATCCTCGGGAACACAATCTAATTGTTCATATTGAGACTTGCGGCATCGAGTCTAGGCTATTCGGGATGCGGTGTGCGGCGAGCTATTGGTGTTGGTTTTGACAGGATTGTAACCATTGATTGGTATTGATATCTAGATGGATAAATACCAGGGGAGGCGGGGACAGTTTACGGTTACGCGGACTTCTCGATATTATTAGAGTTTTTGCAAAAAATGGCGAGGATGTAAACTTGTGTGTGGCGTGTAAAATAAAAATAAAAAAGCTTCTGAAATTTGTCCAAGCAAACGGCACAAGCATCGGTACCTTGCATTTATCGAGTTACACGACCTTCCATTCGCCTTACCTGCCCCCGTACTGTACACCGTCAAACACCAAACACCAAACACCAAATAGAAAATCATAATATTCCCAAAGCTGTCGATTTCTTAACTATCACCTTTATTATATGTCAGGGAGATTTGTTTCAATAATGCTATCGCTAATGATCGCGGGCATTCGCACTACGGGTCTGCAGACCCCCGCTGTTACCCAAAGCGTCGCCTCGGAGACCAGCTCGCCGAAAAGGCGGCGTCAAACTGGTTATGAGTCTGGAACTAGATATTTGAATTCAACCATTCCGCAGCCACGCTGCGAGGGGGCACGAAGGGCACAAAATGTGGTAATGAAGGTGTGCCGACGGCGTTGTGCAATTTTAATACTGTATTTCGTACAAGCAGCTTCTTACTCTGCGCCGCTAGTACCTGGATCCTGGATCCTGAAGGATGTCGATCCAAGTCGTGCATCGTTACTTCGCAAATTTGCTGCATACGCTTTCCATGCAGCGCACGTGGTGGATATTAATATTGCATAGGCCCTCTATTTTTGTTCCAAGCAATTATATTAATATTCATCGAGCATATCTAGTTTTCGTTGCTCTGATTTCTCTTGTCTTGAAAGTCCAAGGAAGAAATCCATCCTGAAAGTCAACTGTACAACTGGACATTCACCCTCGCCGCTTCGTTACGGGTGGTTATTTCTTTAGGTAGGCGTACGGAATATGCCTGTGATACGAAGTACTTCGTGTTTCCAGTTTGGTCATGGTTTTAGTTCCTTTCTTCGCCCCTTGGCCATCAATACTTGGGATCGAATATCGCTGCCAACTCCGCGGCTTCCGGGTCTCGCAGCTGGGCATCCTTCCTCCCTCCTTTCTGTTACGAACTTCCGACTCATACCCTCTGATGCAGCTCTTTAACTTATCCGAGCCATTATTTGACTAGCTAATAATAAAATGGCCAGTAGAATCACAATTTAACAATAGAGCTGAGATAGCTGGCCGCCAAAATTGCAATTCCCGGTTCAGCCATCAATGCTTCCGGCTCGCGCCCACCGAGGAGGGAGAAGTACTCGAGTAAGCCAATAGCTGGAAACGACTCGCAATGTGCTGGCCGTACGCTAGGCCTTCAAAGTTCAAACCAAGCTATGTTATCGCGAGTCTGTGGTAGGTAGTGCCTCGCCGCTTTCCCCCTAATACCAACTCGGCAGCTCTAAACAATTGGACGGAGGATGTCGGCGGATGCCGAAAAGTGCCGTACGAGCCTGCCCGATATGATGCTAGATGCTGCGGAAGTGGGGAAGCCTCTGATGTTCGTCTCGAGCTTGACATGTGGGGTTGTGCTTCTGCTTCTGCTTCTGCTTCGTATCTTTTGTGAAGGAGACACTACGTCCGTGCAGTACGGAGGTAATAGAGGAAACTTCGGGGAGAACGTAATTACGAAGTACTCCGTAGGGATGATAACTAAAAGCAAAGCTTAAGTGGCTATGTACTTCGTACTACCTACCAACCTTGTGATAAGATGCCGGAAGTATAATATGCAATTATCAAAACTGGGGAACGCTGAACGCTGAACGCTGATAACACCACGACTGACGAGTCCTTCATGCCGCCCAGCCAATACCCGAACAAGATGCGGTACAATAGTTACAAACACTCTTCCCAAGATTTCGGGGAATAATGAACTCAAGGGGATTTTAGTCTTGAACTCTACTTTAGCCGGCCCGTACCCCTCACTCAATTAATTAGCCAATTCAGGGTTCCCCCGCTCACCACCTATGACACTGCCTTGGTGACCACTTTACCAGTAGCTGCCTCCCCCCCTTGTCTCACGCCAAAGCACTACATTAAGCACACGTGGCGCAGGTACCACAGAGTCGCAGACGACGCTCCGAGCACCAAGTGGCCCCAAGTTATCCCGAAATAACGGCTCGCACCTCCGCGTCCTTGAATCCTCGTAGCAGCTGAAATAGCGGCGTCAGATTACTGAAAGCCCGAGACAGCCCTAACCTTAAAGCATCTAGGGAAGGGCCTGAATATCGGTACAAGCCCTTGGCATGACTGAGACAACGATAGCCCGTCTGATGTGGAAATATGCTTTGAGCAGCGGAGGGGACCTGCAGGCGCTCCCAAGTTCGAGCTGGCCCGCTCAGCCGTTCCGCTCTCCTTGATAAGAATAGGGCCTTGGAAATAAACCTGCCAAGTTCAAAAAGCTCGAAAGCCACCTTCAGCGTCGTGTAGACCAAGTATTTATATTTGACGTCAACCCATCCTTTATTGTCTTTGAAATTTCACAAATAGCAACCCTGGATCGGACCTGCAAGCATAATTCTTTGCATACGAAGTAACTTTGTACAACAAACAGCCTCGAAGAAAGACTTGAAGAACCATCACCATGAAGACCTTCTCTTTCACCACCGTATTCATTACTCTCCTCAGCTTCGCTGTTGCACTTCCCACACCTGCTGCGCCTGCCACACCAAGTAAGCTCTCCTTTCTTCATTCCCCCAAGACATTTCGACATAAAACCAGTCAAATCGTATTTCCAATTCGGCATTCATCTAATGCGTATATGCATATATACACGCCCCTCAACAATTTAACTAACCACTGACAAATAATAGGGGATCCAACACCATTAGCACCACAGGTTGCAAACTGCAACACTCGTTACTCGTCATTGTGTTAACGCCATGGACGAGACTCGAAAGAGGGGCCTGGAGTAGAGTGGCACGATGTATGATATGACTTGAATCGGATAATCATAGAAAGAGAAGGGCGTTGAAGCCACCGGCCGACCATTATTCAACCCTTATTGGCTGGTGCGAGTTATTGGGTTGGGTGTTGGGCAGATTCACATATATATGAATGCTGCGGTGCTCTGTATGAATTGTTAGAACTGCTGTTGTCTGGGGGCTTACTGGGAGCATTAGATTATAAAAAAGTACAGCAATGTGGATGGGAGTCCAAGTGGGATTTGGATATTATGTTCTACAATTGCAGATAGCAATCATGCTTTCAAAATATACATAGAGTCCTCGATCAGTTGAACCCCAGGAAGGGCCCTCTACACTTAACATCCAAAGCCTCTTCGTCCACATTCAGACAATATGCGTCCTTCGTACCATTCGGACTGAACACATTAATATCCGTCGCAACTATATTTGAGCAAGCTGTCGCGCTCGAGCATGCAAAAGTGCCGATCTCAGGCTGGTACTGCTTGCTAGTCTTCCCGTTGAAATTTTTGAAAACAATGTCGGAGATTGTGAGAGGCGAAGGAAATTCCAGACAGAGAGTGAGGTTCTTTTGTCCGTAGCATTGGTCTACTTCGATGGCGTAATCAACGTTATCGATAATCATCGTGTCGTATGTTATGTTCTTTACCATGCCGGACCCACCGCCTCCTTGGAGGTCTCCAGACATGGCTGAGGGAGTGTTGGGCCAGACTTTGATCCGAGCACCATCCTGCGGGAGGTCAGCAATTATGACTTGATTTTGTGGGGTGGGGGCGGGAAGTGAAAGACGAGAGTGTGAATCGGCGCATGAGATGATCTATACTGACGCTAGCATTGTGCATGGAGATGTTAAAGACATATATATTTTCCACGATGTCGAACTCGCCAACATACTGCCCCAGAGAGCCGACACTGATACCATGCGAGCCATTGCAGAATAAATTTTGGACAAGCATATTAGTGCTATTAGGTTTGAATGCAACACAATCTGTGGATTTGGTTAGCGATGACTACCACCTAGGTAGAAAATGGACGGGGAAAATTTACCATCCCCATTGTTAATAACCGAGTTCTGGATCACGATATCAGAACTCCGGTAGGTGTCCCAGCCGTCTGTGTTCTTGGCTGGATTTGAGCTTTGGCTGCCTCCAGCGATATCGATATTATCAAATATGACGTTGGTGGAGTTAGCCACGAAGTGATAGTATTGAGGCGAGTATCGGAGGATCAAGTTGCTTATAATAGAATCATGGAGACCGTCAATACCAAACAAGACAGGTCGCAAGGTATAAATATCTTTGGCATATAGATCATACCATACTTGACCGTTGCCATTGACGGTACCGCCGCCGTAGATGTTAACATCGTGTCCTCCAAGCTTGAAGAAAGATGTGACATTCTGGAAGCCGAATCGGAATGAGTTAGCTTGCCAATATGTGGTATCTTTGCTAAACTCGATCGATGATTGGATATCTAATAAATTCAAAATATTAGCATACAATGCCACTTAAATTACTACCACCGACGTACCAATATCAATATGGTTGAGAAATGTCAAATCTAACGCCGTTCCAATCGTATATCTGGTCCCTTCCCTAAACACGACACGGCCGCCATTATTGCATTTATTGAGGGCATCGAGGACGTGGTTTGAATCATCCGTGATGCCATTGTTATGGCTTTTCACATAGCAAACTTTGTGTCGGGACTGGGGGGACGGCGGGGGCCTGGTCGGAAATTTTGGATGGCAGGACACTGAAGGTCTTTGTGAAATGTGATCTGGGATTTGGTGGCCGGGAGACGACCGCTTCGACCATCGTTCTTCAGCTTGCCATGTTGGGTTCGCAATTGACAACGTTGCCGAGGCAGTGGCCAGAACTATATTAAACAAAAATCTCATCTCGAAGGTGTAGTAACGCTCTGCAAGGGGAATTAAACAAAGGTCACACCAAACTTGCTCAACCTTGTGATTGATGATGCCATGATTATTTCACGGATGACCATCATTTTATTTGAGCATAGCTTCGGCTTGTTGCAGTGAGAGTCAACAGCCGAAGTGAGGCTGGGGACATTTTTCCGGATCGCAACCCAGACTCGGCATTCTGAGGTTGAAATTCCAAATCGGATAAATTGGTACCCCATTGGCACCAATCGTATTGTTACTCGGAGAGTGGATTCAGTGGAGCGCGGAGGAGGAGATTGAACCCCAGATCCGCCCCCTCAATATTGAAGTAACCTCGTTAACTTCTTTAACTACTCGGTATAAGCGTCACCGCATGGAGCACTCCACTTGGAGTCTGCCCTGTGCAATCCCATTCGCTGGAAGAGGAAGTGTTGAAGATCGACGCCCCCTAAACATCGCAATTGGCGGAACATCAACAGTTGGTATCCGACCGACAGGAGCCCCGGCGCGATGGCGCATTGTGCAACTACACCAAACCCCCACCTGCTCAAGTCCAACAATTGAAGAATATCATTTCTGTCTAACTTTGTCCTCGCCCTCGTCCTCGCACAGCGCTTTCTCTTAAACACGGCACTGCGAAACTCGAGGAAGGTGCCACAGAAAGAAAGGCAGACCGTTGGATACACAATACAAGTGAAAGCAATAGAGAAAACTGAACGACAATCCCACTCTAGATGCGTGTTGCAACCAGCACTTGCTTGACCTTGACCGCCTGTCACATTTGACTTGTGGCCCTCGAGGATGGAGCTTAAGACGTACCGCGAGAGTCAAGGTCTATTTCTTCGGCGAAGCACTTGGCCGTGGAACGGGATTTGGCCGCGCGGAGCTTCCTTGACGAAGCTATTTCATGCCAACCATCTTATGTCCGAAATGTGACCCTTTCTTTCTGTCAGGGGTCTTTCCTTTGAGGATTGATGCAGCTTCTACGAACTTCGTACGCAGCAGCAGGGGGCCATATCGAGGTAGACCCATAGATAAGTTCAACCTTTGAACCCTCGCAGCCACCGCTAGAGCTGTCACAAACTGGGGCTTTTAATGACTGGCTTATGGATCTCTATCCAACCCCCACATGCAATGGGAGCGCCAACCTTTTCTGCAAGTCTAAGACAGACTCGGAGCTTACCGTAGGGTCTGTATCAAAATGATGAAGGCATTATGCAATTCACGCAGAAACGCTGCTTCGGACCCAATCCTAAGACTTCTGCTCGGCAACCTGACCCTGATATTGGTGGCAGAGACGCACGACACGTTTCTCCGGCATGATATATGACACCCGGACTCGAGGGTCGAGACTGCTCCCGGGTTACTGGAATTTCAAAATGTCAGATATCACACTAATGCAAAACAAATATATCTGTTTGCGAGGTACGGCCCGCGCGGGACAAGCAGTCATGCAGCCAGGTTTTCGACGGCATTGGCTTTTGGGACGAGAATGGCTGGCCGTCCCGAGCGGGTGCTAGAGCCCGGGCTTGCCCTAGTTCACGAGCATGCCGCTCATCAATATGGCCGATAGCGATCAACAGAGGAAGTAGTCTTTCCCGGATGGCGTTGAATGGTAGAACGCCACTCCGTGTAGGGCAGCTGAAACAATTATAAGGCTCGAGGTGCCAAAGTCGCAGGAGGGCTTGTCTCATAATCTTATTCTGCAGAACCATTGCTTTCTGGAGGGGTTTCTTCTGCCGTGTGAACCCCCCGGGGTCGACCGATATCACTAAACATTATACGAGTACATTGGTATCGAGATCTTCCCGGCAAGATCTGAAGATTAGATTCAGATTCCGAACAGAGACTGTAACCTGGTGATATAGCCATGGGTCTGATTCGACGCCAGTGTGCGTTTCATGCAGATGTGCGCTCCCACAGTTGTTACTGCATAAAACCTGGCCAATATGGAACCCCCACGGTGGTGTTCGATTTAATTGGAATATCCGGTACGAGCTACAGTCTAACAGCGGTATTCTAATATAACGAGGCAAAATAGCCACTGCCATGTTTAAGATGCGCTTAACAAGTCTTAGGGGTGCACCAGGCTTTACCCTTTTGCTGATCAGCCCTGGGTTGTTACCCGGGAAGTCCTTGGTAATAGAGGAAAACCGTTTCCCTCCCTGTGGGCTGACTTTTGGGTCTTACCGGAGGGACCTCCGAGTACCGTACGCGCGGGAACAGCGTCTGGGGTGGCTGAATCACGCCCCGTCAAAGTGCCATAGACTGAGCGGCGAGAGACCAATGACCGGAAGCCTCCAGCGAGACGGGTGTGTTGGTGGCCTTCCCCGATGCCACAGTGCGTAGAGTCCGGGATCTAGGCCTCAATTATATGTTTCCCCTCAAGTGATGAATGTTGAAAGATGTTAGAGATAAACCGATCTGAAGAAACTGTCATAGTCTTTCAGTGGACAGACACAGCCCATTTGCCCGGCTCGCGGATCACATACTCCCAACCCGAAAGAAGAAATGAAGTTGGCCATGCGTCGACCCCCCTTCGTTTCCGGGAAGAGGCATGGGAATTGCGTACTAGCACATCAGCCCCCACCATACTCAACTTTACATCAATCGTATGGATGCCACTGTTGCCGCCGACCTCTATCAGTTCCCACCAGGAAGAAAACGATGAATCGAAAAAGCCAAGGGTGAATCCCGTCTGTTGAATATTATTTCTCACTTACAGTACACAGCTTGCCAATACTCTTCAAACACGGGGCCTGCAGATTAAACTCCCTCGGAATATACTTGGGTCGGCATCGTCTATCCTTTTGAATGCAGCCGGCCCACGCCGTCCGGCACCAACTCGGTATGCAACCCTCAATGTCTGCAAAGGCTCCCCATTACGCTTGACAACAAACACAGGAGTTCCACTTCACATCCAAATGCATTATGATGAAGAAAAGCAATGGAGAATCTATTTGCGGCAACACAGTTGCCTACCGCTGTACACAATATGCCGCAAGAACAATAAACGCAGGATTTCGACTTAGTACCCGGGTAGCCCGTCATGATTACTTGTAAATACCGGGCCGTCATCCAGATAGACCCCCTGAACAACCTCAAGGCCACACATATCCTCATAGGGTACCTCCAGTTGTTCGGCCTTGGGAAGGAAATATGGGTTCATAGAAGGCATGTTTTCATGGCTAGGCGGCGTAGACGGCGAACTCAGTCGCTGCATCCTCTGATTCAGCGTGTGTTGCAAGAACTGTGATTGGTGTGTGTCGTGCTTCTGTATTCCACGCCGGGAATCAGATCGTTCTTCTCGAATTCTTTGTCTTTGCAATTTGGTCTGCCTGGCGGAGATACCCCCCTTTCGACCAGAACTTTGTCTCGACGGTGTAGGATTGTCAGACTTCACGAATTTCTTGGCTCCTGTCCCTTTGCGATATCTTGTCGTGGATTGAACCCCGTCTTTAATAGCAAAGTCTTCGAGGACCCATTCAGTAGATTTCTTTGTCTCATCGCCTGCAATTTTCCGCTCGGTCTTCTTAAATGCCTGTACAATGTAAGCAGTGATACAGTCAAGGACAAATACTAGACACCCTTACAGCATTCATAGATAGATTGTGGCGGATACTGTTCATCCAACCTTTGTTGTCGGCATTGCCTTTCATTGTGTTGTCGCGAAACCATTGATAGATTTCTTGGAGAACCATGGAGTGGCTCGGCACACTCATTAACGCCCGATGGATCAGTTTGGCGTACGGTTCCTCTGCTGAATGATCATCTGGGTCCGTAGCTGTCATCTCACGAGAGCTGCGACCACCACCATCGGAATCTTCACAGGGTGGGGGTTTGAAATGGCTCGCGTTGGGGATTGCTAGATGATCCGTGATCGTAGAATGATTCTGCAGCTTTGGGCTCCGACTAATACTGAGCCGCGAGAACCTTTGCGAGTTTTCGAGAGCATCAAATCCAAGTGTAGATCGGTCTGATAACCTATGCATGTCATCGTCGTCGTGGTGTATCATATAGACAGATGGGCCAAGAGATTCCACAGCCAGGTTGCTCTCATAAAGAATACTGGGGTCATATGGTGTCCAAGAGCGAGGAATCTCAGAGAATTCTATACCCCGTAAGAAGCTACCCTCTGGTTCGTTGCTGGCAACGGCCGACGAGTACCCGTAGTAATCGTTGACAGTCTGATCGTCAAAATTCATTGGTGCCTGATTGGGTGTGCTCCATATTGCCGAAGATTGTGGCATAGCTGTTGAGATGGCAAGGCTATAGTCGTCGGGGTGCATAGCTGGAGTAGTTGAGAGATCGACTATGTATTGTTGGCCCGATTGCATTCGGGAAGGTCCATTAAAGGTGGCCATTTGGCGGGTTGAACGTGTTGATGGACTAGGGCTCTCAGAATGCTGATAGCCCGAATGCAAGCTTTCCATCTGGGGACGACGATGATATTGGCCCGAATTCATACTGACCATCAGCCGAAGGAAGACTTTGTACTGTCGGTACCGATGATGTGGCTAAGGGATGAAGTGGTACTTTTAGTTGTATTGTACTACTACCGTGACGGATGGCTGATTCGGAGATTTCGAAGAATTGGGAATAGCAAAAAGAGAACCGGATGTAGATATTCAACTGAAGAATCCGACGCCCCGGGGTTGAGTGGAGTAATGACAATGGTGAGGCATGCAGGATAGCGTTGCCAGCGCATGGGTACAAGCTCATGATGTGTGATGCAAGTTTTTCGTTTGCGTCCGACGGAAAATGACAGAACGGAGGCTTAAGAGAATGGGCGCCCATCTATCTAGAGGCTCTGATAGCAATCGCTTGGTTTCTGTCACAGAGGGCTCACAAATAACTCAGGCACTCAGACGACGTGCGCACCAGTAGCCCGTATGTGGTACATCAGGGGGCGCTAGGAAAGTTGCATACGCTAGGGAGCGAAATTGTCAGGAGAGAATGGGTTTAGAAAGGGGGGAACCTTGGGAGTATTCCACCGCAAGCCTCGATCGGGCTATTCTGGACAAGGCCCATCCAGAGAATTGACTGGCTCATTTTATCCTGTGAGAGCATTCTAGAATAACAGTAGAATAAGTCACTCCCTCACTGCTTGTTCCCTCAGGAGACTCGCATTTACCGGCATATACTGCTTAGTAATTTAATATGGTAACATGGGAACCGTCGGTGGTAGATCGGCCAGGATCGAGCCAAGGGAATGCCAGAGCGGAGGCGCAGGTAGCCATCTTTGGAAGTAAGCTACACCGGGAGAAAAAAGGTGGCTGGCACTGCTGCATCCATAAATCCAACGATTACTCATGGCAGAATGACGGTCAGGCGTGAGGATGCTGATTCTCCTCTAGCCGTTCTGCTTTCCGTTGCGGTGCAGGCATGCATTGGATCGCTGCTGGCATGCGCCGGCGATTATGGAGCCTTACCTATGGTCTTCACAGTTGGTACAAGTAATGGAAATGTGTGCAACGTGAGGCACGTGAAGTGGTCTGGAACAAAGTTTTAGTGAACAATTGCATTGTGCACTCGCTAATGGATACCTTACTTCCAAGGTCAAAATCATCGTGGCAAGCAAACTACTCCCAAACAATCATTTCCGATAATAAATCTATTGGTAGGTTAGAGGGTGTGGTGGGGAATTAATAGAGTTTTCATACCTTCTTATACTGGAAGTGTAGCTGGAGGATACCCTATATAAAAGAATTAGTATTCGGATAAAATGGAAAGCAAACGGGTTATAAAAAAGCTCAGGTAGGAATGTGGCCACAATATCGAACGCACCTTGTCGAAACTGCTTCGAAAACCACGGTCTCTCTTCGCACTATAATCCCATTCTTTGTCTACAATCCGGAATGCAATGTCTTCATATGGCGGTCCGGCAATAAAGCGAATAAGACATGTGTCTTCCTCCCCAGCTGGTGCGAAAGACTCGCCACGCTTTCGACCATGCTCTCGGATAATCTTAAACGTGGGTGCCTTCGACTTATCAATCAGATCTGGATAGAAAATATTGAACTTGTACCCTTGAACCACTTTGGGCGGGGGGTTGTCGTGGTCATAATGCGTTTGGTTGTACTTGTTCCACTCATAGCCCATCTGCACCCGATTGAAGTATCGAGGTTTCCTGGGTCTATATTTGTCGGCCCATTGTGGCTGAGCCCCCGAAGCAACAGATTCCTCCCCAGTAAATATTTCTTCGTCCTCATTGACTCCGCGCGCAACTTCCCTCTCATATAGTGCAGTTGTGGCTTGGGAGAAGTCCTCATTTACAATCGTTGAAAAGCGCTGGGTTCCTGGGGGGGCGCTGCTATTAGCAACGGTGCTGGTAGGTTTGCTGATAGAGCCAGGAGCTGCCTTGTCCGTCGCTGACTGCCGAGCAGGAACATAGCCTAGTTTAAAAATCCGCCGACGCTCAGCAGCAACTTTTTGGAGAAAAGCGGACTCATCCACAACATCACTTGATTTATCTTCGGCGTGTAGTTTGAGAAGTGGTTCTGGATCATAGATGGGTGAGTACGGAAAAGCGGGTTGTCGTCGGATAAATTGTGCATTCCCCTCGTCAACTGTGTTTTTGAGATCTTCTTCAACGACTGGGAGCGGCCCTGTCAGTATTTCTTGCATTTTTGTTCGGACGCCCTTGGCATCTTCCCATTGTTGTTTTCGGAGGGTGTCTAAGCGACTATCAAGCACTGATTTGTAAACCTTCTTGAGCTTGGCTTTGGCTTTCCAGATGAGAAGGCTTCGGAGGAGTTGCTCCCAGTAGTCAACATCAATAGGTTCGTCTGACCGCAGCTTTGTTCTGATTTGTTTCTCCAGAGCCTCTAGCTGTTCGTACGACTTTGGAGCCAGCAATTTATCAACATCAGCCGCCACCGAGCTCACAGCACGCCCTTCCCGCCCTTGAGGCTTCAACTTTTGACGGCGGTCATTGCATATGATATGCATAGTCTTCCAGTAATCTTGGTTTTTCTTGTTCGTCTCTAGGGCAAGGTATGAATTGATGTCGGTTTCGAGTTCCCCAAGTTGTGCATCGCCAAGGCCTTCAAATACTCCTTCTGGATCTACAACATCAATGTTGACCTCCTCTTCATCCTCCTCTAGCAAATCCCTATCGGGATCTATGACCCGGAGAATGACCGCAAGCCAGTCAATCGGCTTTGCTCTCCCTTCTCGGACGCGGATAACGGCCTTCTTCTTGGCCTGTTTGAGTACAAAACTGTCCTCCTTTTGAACCCATTCCCGCGACTGCGCGTCTTCTAGCGTTTGCGTGTTTGTATTTCGTGGTGGTCGAGCCTCAGAGATCCTATTTCCAGAACCCGTCTGGCGGGCAGGTTTCGATATTCGAGAATTCGGGTCACGGCGGGGAGCGGTAAAGTCTCTTGAAGGGGATGCTCGGTCACTAATCATTGCCCTCCTTCCGGGATCCATGATGCGTAATGTTTAGTGAGGATATCACGTTGCTTTGTCAAGATTCTAGGTATAATAAAGTCGAAGGTTCGATGTCTGAGGTTGCGAAGGAAATCTCGCTTACTAAGCACCCGTCATAGTCGCACAGCCTTACGGTGAATCAGGGGCGCGTCAAAGGCAAGGCTGAAGAACCTCACGGTCTCCAAATCGCCTTCCTTGCACCACGATCTCTACTCATCGACACTCCGGACCAACAATACCTTCTCCACCGTTGCACTACCAAAGATCATTTCAGCCGGCAGCAATACCCTGGAAAATTACCTCACAAATACAAGGCGCTCCTAGTGTCTCACCGAAGTTTACGCGCGCACCCTGCCCCAATGGCGATCCTCGAAGGCGCCCCAGGCATCAGGGTCACTATCGTGTCACAAGGAAAGGCACTCAAAGAATATGAAGATGACGATGGGTTTAGGCGCGGAGAATATGATGTCCCAGTAGAACGGATTTCTACCACGTATATTGAATGTGTTTCGGATGAGGAGTTCCGGATTGAGCTTGAGATTACACCTGATTACAACCCTGCAGGCAAGCATACACATTTGAGTTTCAGTGCATATGTTGATGGGATGTCGGTCGCACGCTGGCCCACTCCTAAGGCGCCAGGCGTGAAATACTATATTGATGCCGCCCTTACCCGATTAAACAAGAGAGAAATATCATGTCGAACATTGAAGTTCAGTCAGATTAGGAAAGGTATGTTTTTGAAATCCTGGATACTCTCAAGTTTACATCTTCTATGTTACAACCCCTCATATTGAGTAGATGATTGTTGTTTATTGGGGGATTGGCGAAGCGGTTTATTCGCCGGTGCGTCGCCATCTAACCGATATACTATTCTGACTCTTCCTAGTTGATGATGCCGATTCCACACGCGTGAAATCGGATGCCAAACTTGCTGCTAACCTCGGCGAAATCATTGTCTATGTTCATCACGCGACGGAAAAAAACAGTCGGGATAAGGAAAGCGGTGGCCCAGGCGAATTTCAAGCCGTAGATGAAATTTCAGAGAAGGCATTGAAAGGAAAGTCAATATCCCACTCCATCTCGTAAGTGGCGCCCACACCGTCTGTTATTCACCTAACGACGATTAGATTTGGGGCTGCGAAGGTCATCCAGCAAACTCCATCGCGCGAACTGGTATACCCAGATGGCCGTCACTCACCGCTTGGTATTTTCAGATTCAAGTATCGATCACGAGGTTTGCTTCAAAGTGGTATACCTTGTATGAATCTTGACGGCTGACAATTCCAACAGAGGCTCTCCAACAGGAGCTAATAATCGCCCGTTCCCCATCGCCCGAGGCTGTTGCTAGCCCCATCAATGCCCGTGATCCTAACGTGGCCAGTGGCAGAGTTTCTGCCCAGGAGCGATTGATTCAGTTGAAGGTAACTCAGTCACCATGATGTTTAGCTATCAGACTAACCCTTTTCAGCGAGAAATTGAGCAGATAAAATCCGAAGTAAAGGACGAGGAGGAGGACGGCTCCCCGAGAGGCCGGAAACGTCGAGCTGATAACTTCGAGATTGAGAGTTGCGGCCGAGCCTACAAGACAAGTCGGCACGAGAGCGGAATGCTCGTTGTCGATCTGACTGACGACTGAGCTATGCACGATTGCATCTAAACTTGATCATTAGAGTGGGGTGGAGCCTTTCACTATCTGCATTTTCATTTGCCATCCCTTGATACCCGTCGTTTCGGGAGCGACCCCGAGTTGTACATGGCTGATACCCCATTCATGTATTGCAGCCAACAAAGTCCTTGCGTATTTCCCTTTATTGCCTTGCATGATTGAATATAACAGTCTATACCTTACAATAATAACATGAAGCTGGATGATGTTAAATTGCAAGATATTACGAGGCTCTGATTTGTATTGGAACAAATATTGTTCTATATATTGAATCTATAAATTCAAGCACCACGGTGGATTGTTCGCGAAATAAATTCTGATACTGCACATAAACTATTAAAGCAACGAATCATTATTATAGTCTACACTGGTAACACCACTATGAGTTGAGCGTAATGCCTACCTATTGGTAATTCTATATCGGGGGAAAAATGCTGTCCCATCGTAACGCCGTCCGCCCCAAGATACATCTAATAGCAAGTGTCCAAGGCCGCGGGTATTGCCTGTCTACCTATGTAACTCCTTCCCAACCGTACCTACCCTTCGCCATGATCGGCTCGGTTGAAGCGATGCGCGATCCCATTCATTGACACAAATCGTCCAAACTTTCAAGCACAGCTCAAACGCCCTATCCCCTGTCCCCTAAGATACATCGTCTATCTTGGTCTAGTTCTCTTAGCCTCCCTCCTCCCCAGGCGCAACAAGTTTAACACTCTTCTTCCGTTCCAGCCCAGGCCCTCTATCGGTTGCCCCGCCTACGCCCACACCTAGCGCAACCCTGACACCTTCAACAGCCTTACTCTGGTTAACCTCCCTATTATCTCTCCTCACACCCCCTCTCCCGACTCCGACCGCCCTCGCACCGGCTCGTGAACTCTCCCTCACCAAACTCTCTAACTCCCTGGCCTTGGCCATTTTCTTCTCCTCCCATCGCTGCGCTCGCCATGTCCCAGGGAGACAAGGATGCAGACACCCTTCAAGAGGACAGCAACCACCAGATACTTTAGAGCCCTCATCGAATTCCGGCCCCGAGTGCCAGGCTTGCATACATGTGGTGTGACCGCCGTGGCCGCAGCCCGGACAGAGCCACCATAGCGCCAATGACTCGAGAGAAGAAGCATCTTGATCTTCGTAAGTAAGATCAGGGTCTAGCTCTCGATGGCGGCAGACTGCACAGCCCTCGATGGCGCGCTCACAGCGCGGACAGTGCCAGACGGAATTCGGTATTAGAGGGTCGTTCTCCAGGGGTTTTTGACATGATGTGCAGAAGTAGCCGATGGTTATGTTTTCTTGCGCGGGGGCGAAAACGGATGGATAGAGCGGGACGCAGAGGTTGCGGAGGAGCGCTGCTTCCATGAAGAGTTTCATGCTCGTTAAACGGTGGTGGTATTGTCGTAATATGGCACCAGCTTGGATTTCATCGATCGCGGAGGCAGGAAGAAAGGGGCGGAGCAGGAGGACCATTGCTGCGGCGTTCAATGCACTGGTTTTGGTCTCGAAGTCGATAGAGCGTTGGACTAAGATTGATGGGTCTATGGGGGCCACTGTGAAGTGTGGGTCATTTGGCCATGGGAGATAATCACTCTCGACTATATTCGGGTCTTCGGATATCACTTCGCCGCCCGATGGTGGTCTGACAGATTCTTCTTCCGGCGTGTTTAGCTCGTCACTGTTACTGGTAGATTGCATGGAAGCCTCTTGTAGACGGAGAATAGGTGGGTTTGTCGGGCTTTGACGCATCTCATTGCGTTTATCGCCGTTCGATTGGTCAGAGTTTGTTGGAGGATGTTTGTATGAGCTATCAGATTGACTAGGAGCCTCTGAATTGCTGGGATTAAAGGACGAACTATCCTCTCGACCTGAAACACGATCTGGTAACGAGCGTCCGGCGTCACTCTCAGATGAACTCAAGAACTTCGCTTGGTGAGACTCGTTAGATGTTGAAAACATCTGAAAGCTTTCTCCCGAATCATGCCGGCTGAGCTGGCGGTTCTCAGGTGAGCGATTATGTTTCATGAAATCATCAAGTCTAAGTGGCTGTTTTCGTTGTGGTGGATGGAATTCCACTATTGGGGGAGAGAACGTTTCCATGCCGTAGAAATCATATCCTTCTATACTCGACGTTCTCACCTCAGCCCCAGGTACTGGTATAGGACTGGGGCTTGTTGAATGAGCTGCTTCAGGAAGGTTTAGAACGTCGTCATCGACCGTTATTGGTGTGAGCATTGCCTCTCTTGTCCGATCGACAATATCGTCATCCACGGGGCGGGCAAGGGGCGTGGCAACATTCGACGTGCTCTCCGCATCTGCCATAACGGTGGATCTGGTGGGCCGCTGGAGCGGGCTATCTTGAGGAGTTTGAGCACGCGGCTGCCTTCGAGGTGTCTCCAGATCATGGTCTATTTTGCTCTGCAGCGCTGCAACATCCTGCTTTAGCTTATGCTGTTTATCCGCCTTTTTGGGGGGCTCTGGTACAGCCAACCTGGATTGGCGATGGTATTCGGCACGTCTGGTAAGCAGAATATTCATGGTGTATCCGACGAGTCGCCAAGTCTGGGCTAGACGATAGTGGCCAACAGCCTCCGCTGTCCTGGCAAAATGCTCCGTGGTAGAAGTCATACGGACATTGGTTGGAGTAAAATCATACTTGGCAAAATTATCCTTTTCCATACGTATCAGATATCGGTTAGAGAAGTACTGATATGTGTGGCGATTAGCGGTGGAAGGTGCATGGCCGATGGCCATTACTTGTTGAGGTTTGTAGATCCCAGTGACTTTCAGCGCATCATCCAATGACATAACCTTACTATCGACAATTCCTGTATTGCTAGGTGGAGTACTGCTGAAAGATTGGGTAGACCGTGCGCTATTCCGTCTCCTGTGTGTTTTCCGTTGCCTGGGCCCTAGGAAGCTCCCTACAACATCTTCCTCAGAGTCGGTTTGACTAACACTCATTAGGGTCCCAGCAGAACTATTTGGTTGAAAATTCGGTGACACTTCTGGTGACTTTATCGATGGTCGCGACCGTCGTTGGGGAATCTGTCGTTCTTCCAATAGCATGAGCACATCACCAGATGCCGAGAATGAAAAACTCGAGAGACTCCTCCGGTCTATGGCCTTGGGAGCAAAGACAACGTCTGTTTGGGTAAAACGTCCTTCTCTATCCACAGCCCATAGAAGGTCCCGACTATTCCACAGGATTCCCGTTGGTGAGCTATCCCATTGATCGATCTGCTTGAACGGCATAGATGGCCTAGCAAGATCCCAGAGATCCACTGATGATGTTTGGTTTCTGGTTATACTAGTGTCGTCATAGGCGACAGCGATTTGGGCGGCTCTTCGGCCTTGAGCTGTAGCAGACCAACATGCCGGCCGCCAAGAAACCGTAGAGATGGGAGCTGGCGTAGCAAATGAATATCTTGGTTTCTGATTCCTGTCTGCCTTCTTCGATAAGTCCCATACGTGGCAAAATTGGTCAGCCCCACCACTTGTGAGGTGATCTCCATCGGGGTGCCATGAAATCGAGAAGCATGGACTCTGATGAGCAGTGAGTTTGAGAACTGGAGCACTAGGCTTTCGAATATCCCATTTCTGCACAACTCCAGCATCTGTACAGCACGCAAATTCCATGCCATCTGTTGGCGACCACATAACGTCTCGTACCGCATCTGCATTGCATTTGAAAGTCTGCCATGTCCGAAAGGTGGGCCCATTACGACCAACGAAAGGGGTCCTTATATCAAAACTCCTAACAGTTCCATCTTGACTCGCTGATAGTAGCCAATTACACATAAACGGGTTTATGGCGAGCTTGTGGACCTGGCGGGCGTGTTCATGTATTCGCGCCGTTTCCAGCCCTTCTCCGACTCGGTTGAGATCGTATACAGTGATCCGGCCGTTGCCAGATGCTGTGATGATAGACGTATCCAAGGCACCGTGTGACCATTTGACGGCCTTGATATTGAGCTGGTCTGGAGTTGCAGCGGATAAGTCGTGAGATGTGGCATAGGAGGTGATAGCGGATCGTAGGTCAAGTTCCTCAGTGATCGTGGGTCCGTCTATCCTCAAAACCTTAAACACCTTCGTGCCAGCAATCACAGCACAGCTTCCATCAGAGGATCGGTCTAGACACGCAATGGGTGCTCCCGCGGCATAGGTGGTGTTCTGTGATGCGCTCGGGCGAAGCTGTGGAGAATCGGCCGCGCCATGGTCGACACTTGTATTTTCGATAGCGGAGGGAGCTGGCTGGCCCAGCAGCTTCCGCATAATCTTTCCCTTATTCATCCTGACGGACCGCCTACGACTCAGGGGGGAGGCATCTTTGGTTTGCGCATATTGAGGTTGAGGTTCGGCTTCATGACGCTTCATCTCTCACTTCACGAGCTCTAGATTCTGCCAAAGGCGGTCGGGAAAAGGCCGCTCGGGCGGTCGTTTAGTCGCATGTCAGGTGACACCTGTGGCACGTGCTACCATAGGTAGGTTTCTTTTTCTTGCAAGGTCAATCAGTAACTGGACAGTTGAACATCATACTTCTTGCAATGAACATGCAGGAGGGAATCACGTAAGGTGAAGTGTCTGCTTGCATCAAGTCTTCATAAGGAGCTGGACAGGTGGCTGGATAATGTGAGCGGGCGTCAGATCATTCCCCCATTAGGCATAGCGTCACTTCAACCTTAACTTGGCTACTGGATTTATTATGCTGTGGCGTCGAGGACTGTTGATTTCCCGGTTTGGAAGTCAAAGGTTTCGCTGCGGTGCGCCAGCAGCGAAACCTTCTGCATGGCGCCTTCGTGTCTATGTTGTGCGTTGCAGCAACTGACTAAGTTTCAAAGATCAATCCCAATTCCTTCCTTCCTTCCCTCTAAGTCTATAACTCTTGCTGCAGCTCTACAAATTGGGCCTCGTGAAGGGGCAAAGCTACTTTAAAGCAAGAAGCTATCAAAGAATACCTACTTAAGCGCTCCCTCCATTAGCAACTGCTAGAGGTTGCTTTCATTTGATCATTTTTCTAGAAACAAAAGCTATTACGATTGTAATCACGAATCACGAGTCGATTACGCAATGTATTCATACATCTCTTCGTGGGATACTTAGTTGCCGTTATCATTGCCGTTCCCCTATTTTTTGTTGTGGGGTTGAAGACTTGAAGTGTCTTAAGTCTTAACTCCGAAAATCAGATCCGGCCCAGAGGCGGGCACTGCGGGGAACCCCCGACCCGCAGGGAAAGCTAATCACAGAGTTGACTTGGGAGGACTAGGTGCATCTCAATACTTTGCAACTACCCCAATTGCCGAACAGCCAAACGCTATAAGTACTTGTACTCGGGGCTTCGAGTTGGAAGTCCTATATTAAATAGCGATTGCCCAGTTTTACGCTCCTCAAACAACATCGTCCAAATATCTACCTAGGAACCAATTACATTGAGCGACAACCGAACAACCCTCGAGAATGTCGACAACCGCTCCCTCAGCCGCAACTGCGAATAGCGCTGAAGCCAATATACCCACCCATCCCCTCATAATAAACGGAAAACCACACACTACATCCTCCAGCTTCCCAGTCTTTTGCCCCAAAACAGGCGAACACCTCCACAACTTCTCCTCAGCCTCCATATCAGACACCGACGCAGCCATCTCAGCCGCCGAAAATGCATACCCAGCATGGCGAAGCCTTCCGCCCAACCAAAAACGAGATATATTTCTCAAAGCTGCTGGGATTATGGAATCGCGCGCTGAGGAAATGAGGAAGAACACAGTACAGGAAACGGGTGCGGCGGAGGGCTGGGCGGCGTTTGACCAAGGGCTGTCAAGTGAGATACTCCGCGATGTCGCTGGGAGGATTTCCAGTATTGCTGGTAGCATCCCGGCCACTGCCCAGGAAGATGTAACGGCACTGGTGTATAAAGAGCCATATGGCGTTGTTCTTGCCATTGCCCCGTAAGGACCGAACCTCGCAGGAAAATGCAACAAAATGCTAACCTTCGTCGCAGTTGGAACGCACCTCACATCCTCGGTGTCCGCTCCATAGCCTACCCGCTCGCAGCAGGCAACACGGTAATCCTAAAAGCTCCCGAATTCTCCCCCATGGTTTCCACTGGCATAGTGCAAGCCCTCATCGACGCTGGCCTGCCCCCCGGAGCGTTAAATCTCATCGCACACCAGCCCTCGGACGCTGTCGCCGTGACAAAACATCTTATCTCTCACCCTAGCATCAAGAAAATCAACTTCACGGGCTCCACAAACGTCGGCCGTATCATTGCGGAGTTCGCAGGAAGGAACCTGAAACCGGTGTTGCTCGAACTCGGGGGGAAAGCTCCAGCTATTGTCTGGGAAGACGCGGATGTGGAACTCGCTGCGAATCAGTGTGCGGTGGGAGCATTCCTGCATGGTGGGCAGATATGCATGAGCACCGAACGGGTTATCGTTCACGAGAGCGTTGTTGAGAAATTCGAGGAAGCTTTTAAAAACGCAGTTGGAGGATTCGCGCCAGAGAGTTCAGAAGCCCCGGTTCTGGTTAGCAAGCTAGGCGTGGAGAAGACCCAGCGGTTGTTAAAAGATGCCGTTAATAAAGGTGCCATTATCCTCCATGGGGATGCTAACCAGCCAGACAATTGTACCACGATGAGACCCGTCGTGGTCAAAGGCATGACCAAGGAGATGGATCTATACTACACAGAGAGCTTTGGCCCGACGGTTAGCTTGATGACTATTAAGACTGAAGAGGAGGCGCTGGCGCTGGCGAATGATACCGAGTATGGGCTTACCGCTGCGGTGTTTACGAAGGATTTGCAGAGGGGGCTAAGGATGGCGAGGGGCATTGAGAGTGGTGCGGTGCATATTAATGGCATGACGGTTCATGACGAGACGGCGCTGCCACATGGTGGTAAGTCCTGCTGCTTCCTCTTTACGCTTTTGTTTCTCAGAAATAATGATAACTGACGAGTGGATATAGGTATGAAATCGAGTGGCTATGGGAGATTTGGATCGTCTGGTTTGGATGAGTGGGTGAGGACGAAGACGGTGACGTTTAGGAATTGACGAGGGGGCTCGAGAGCATCCCTTCACATATTCGAGGTACAGTTATCATGGTGAATAGTAAATGTTATATTTTCTACATGAAGAGAAACGATTAAAAGGAACCCAGCTCACCCAGAAAAACTCCCCTAGGCGAATCAAGGGTATCACCTATAGCCCTTCCCTTCTTTCCCTTGTCCCAAATCTTAGGGTTTCTATGGCGTCGTAAAGTCGTGAACTGTCCCTTGGTGCGAAGCATAGATGTAAGAAAGGCCATTGTTTATTTGTGCAATATCATCTTTATTCTCTCGCTCATAATGCGTATATGGGAAGGTTGTGCCTATTTATTGGTTCCCGGGGATCATACAGGTGGATGTATCGCACTGTCCGGGATGCTTCCTGGAGGTCAGCGGCTGCGGAATTAATCCCGCGCGGGTCAGGTTCTGGAAGTGCCATTCCGGCGCAGTCTCCGTCTTCCATGTCCAGAACACCCATCCAGAGTGTCTCTCGTATGCATCGAGCTGAGCCTCCAGATAGTACTCCAGGTTTACTTTGTCGACCTCCAGCATGCCATCGACCGTGCCTTGGAATTTGCCCTGGCAGTTGCCGTGGTAGTTCTTGGCGCCTGGGAACGTCTTGTCGTATCGAGCGCCTTTTCCTAATCCATTCAACCATCTCGCGCAGTCCGTTTGCGCGCCCGTCCATTCGCCGACTACAAGCCATTTGTCGGTTCCCGCAACCTTGGGCCCAGCAGAGCAGGCCTTTTGGACGTGCTCGCAGGGGTTCATGCCGACTTCGCCATCGGAGAAGATCTGGTAGATGTGGGTGTCGAGGATAACGTTGTTGACGCCGCTGCCGGCACCCATGAAGCCATTCCAGTAGGACTGGACGTCGAGAAAGGCATCGTGGATCACGACGGCGGTTTCACTGCTGGTGGTGCGCACGTTGCCCCAGCCGTCGTAGTAGAACTTCTTCATAAGGTTCATATCATTGCCCCAATTTGCCGGCTCGTTCAGCAATTCAATTGAAGTTACCACGTCGGTGTCGTCCTTGTAGCGGTTGGCAAGGGTTTGAATTGCGGCCAGGGTATTTGGGACATTGTCGCCCGACTGCCAGGCGATTGATCCGAAGCGGCCGCTGTTGTCGAAACCGTTTTGGGACCCGGGTGCTTTTGAAAGATTAGAAGAGAAACTCCTCCATGTACGACGTTACTCACCGCCGTGTAAGTCAAGCATGACCTTCAGGCCCGCACCTCTTGCCCACTTGATGGCGAGGTCGAGATATGGAAGTTGACCTTGCACATATGGATCGCCCGCCACTGGATTGAGGGCCCAATACCCAACGGGAATCCGAACGTGATTCAACCCTACCGAAGCAATCTCCTTAAGATCTGCTTCAGTTATGAATGTTGCCCAGTGCTGTTCTAGCCGGTTCTGAGCGGCGGATTGTCCCAGTACTTGTGTGAAGGTGTATTCATCGACAACTCCTCCACCGTTGGCCCATGGTTCGAATAGCGATGGGGTAATCCAGGGCTCAAGGACGAGCCAGCCCCCTAGGTTGACTCCTCGGACTTTGTCATCGTTATAGTTGAAGGCGAGTTGGCGTTCGCGACTTAAAACGGTTAGCTTTTTTTAAAGGTCCATAGTAAGGGAGGTACCTACAGTGGCTTGGCATGCACAACTGCTAGACCTGCTGCTGCCAGTGTCAAAGCCTTGAGAAGACCCATGGTGATTTATTGTCGGGCTGGTATTTCTTTGAGTGGAAAAGACTACCAGGACATTAAAAAAACTTCCAGGTAAGAAGGTTATTTAATGAGGGCTGTGGAGATATGAGGTGACCGCAGTGAAGTGACAGTAGGGATGTTATCTCCAAGCGGGCAGAACAGGCGTTAAGTACGCAGCACCAAACGGGAGCAATCACGTCGGAGAATTGCTTGTTCCCTTGGCTGGTTGCCCTGTCTCTCCACGCTGGTGAATGCCACCGCGCCGGAGGGCAGGTCCTGGATAGGTCATATTTTGCTGATCATCGTGGGCATACGAGGGGCTTAGCGTTCATCCAATCCGTTGGACCTCCAAACGACAAGCAGATTCAGTGAAAAGGGTAAAAGGGGCGGCGCCCGGTCCCTGTGCGCATGGGCCCATCTGGTGATTGCAGATCGCCCGGCGTCGAGATGCATCGCGATCGTCGGGCTATCATCCCTATCATCCCTAACGGAATGCCACGATGGGCCGTGACGAGGGCTTCGTCGACGTCAGCGGCCCACTACCACCACCATTGGGGTACGGTATGAGGTTTGCATCTTGTCCAACTTGGCCTCCCACCGGCCTGACTTGGCTGTGGTGACTCCTGGTGAGGTGAGGCTTCACGCCCGGACTATGCAGGTACAGTCCAGAGGACCCCGTTTGCGAATAAGCAAACATAGACAGAACAAACAAAATACAATACAATACAATACAATACAATACAATACAATACTTGGGACTGCACCACTCAAATTGACATATGAGAGAGGGGCCCATTTTCCCGCTCCTGCTATAATTGGCTCACACAGAGCAGGCTCCAGCGAGACGCGACTAATGGAATCTGGTTGTTTTGGCGGCGACGTGGCGGAAGTATTGAGCCCTTATCCATCTCCCGGATGAACTATGAAGTAGAATAGTATGGCGCAGAGTGGGTTTCCGTGGAGAACTGCTCTGGCCGCTCAGCCTCTCGGGGGTCGTTTGCCGCGATTGTGGCTGTTCCTTGCGTCCCGGCTAATAATACGAAGTGGAATAGTCCAGGTACGATACAGGATAGCACATGTACCTGGTACATACCTGAGGTCTCTGGTCGTCTGGAGCCAACGGTTCATCATGGTGTTGTGTTGTGTTGCCCCCCCGAACCAAGCTTGTCACCGGTCACTTGCACTACGAGTACCGAGCACAGAGCACAGAGCACACGTGAACGCGGGGCACGGCTGCAGATCGACACGATGGCGTCCCAACAGACAGCCGACGTTGTATGTTATATGCGCATCAGGTATGCTTGGGATACTTCATAATTGGGATATCGGTGAAGGGTCAGCATACGGAGGTAGGTGCAAAAGGACTCTCGGCCCTTCTTACCTACGTGCATTACGTGGAGCTGCTTATTAGCTGGCATGCCAGTGCCAGCCGCGACCCCGAGGAATGCTGCACCAAGTGCCTACATAGAGATTGATAGAATCCAGTATTGATCGGTTTCTGCAATTTCACCACGTACGAGCAGCTTGGTTTGGAAGCCTCAACAAAACATTGCTCACAATCACGGTGTTTGTTTGCGCCGTATAGAATCCCCCATCCCCCATCACCTATCGCCCTGGCCCTCAGTGGAAAGGCGATCAGATCCAACCAAGGCCCAGGTTTACACAACTCTCACTACCGTAGCCCATGCTATAAGCATTCAACATGGTCATCCGTACGAAGTGGCCACCTGCCAACAGCCAATAACCAATAATCTCGACCTTCACCTCAATAACTCATTATCGGCAGCAGTTGCTCCCTGTTTTGCAGTATTGTTAGTGGCTTCTCCAACTCGGCAATTGGTAGTTCTCGAATCTAGCCCTCTTGTCTGAGAAAGTCCTGTGTCCATCCCGGGGCCTGGAATCTGCATGAAGATGGGTACCTGCCTATGTAGGGTTGGCACCCACCCGTTTGAACACAACATCAAGATCTGCGCAACGGGTGCTCGGTTATTGTTTGTTGTCCGTACTCCAAAACGCCACCGCGATCGCCCTCAGACGAAGCAACCTGGTATCTATCCATGGGCCATGGAGAACCTGCGTCAAACGCGGGGTGCACGCCTCCGGATTCGCTGAGGGAGGCATCACTTGACAAGTTGACTTGATGTGATGGGCAACCCCGCCTCGATATCATGTCAACGTGATAACCGTTCTGCTAGTATGATGGTTTTCGGGCTTCGGGCCATACCGGGCAAATCTCCAGCACCTTCCTTGGGCACATGGACAGCTCGGTAGAAATCGGCCATTACCCACTTTATGGTTCTCGCACCTGTGATAATTATTCAAATACGGTCGTAGGATTGATGTTATTTCTAGGTAGATACCAGGTATATATAGAGTATCTCCCCATTACTACACAGGGACTTAATTTCAGTTATATTCCTTGTTTCTTACCTAATATTACATAGTAGGGATAATCTCAGGACAATCTCAAGACTTTGTGACGATGATTTTAGAAAGTAGGGATTAGATTCGACTTTACTTTCGGCAACCCAACTAAGTTTAGAGCTTCGAACCTAATAGATTAGAAATAATAGAAGTTGAAAATCCTACTTTCTACATTCTGCTAAAGCATGCCACTCAGGCTCAAGTCTAAATCTAAATTCTTGTTAATATGTGGCCGCTCACGCCTGTGGCGCAGTCAGACTACCTTAACGCCTCGCCTCACCACATCTCATCCAATGCCACTCCCTAACTATCGACTATCAACTCCCGCCATCTACGAAGTAGTCATGACCCTGTTCTCCTTCCTCACTCTTGGCTACCTCACAGCCCTCACCTTTCTTCTGAGATTTGCCGGATTCATATCCTCATACCTCATTCCCTCAAAGCTACCTCGCTATCTCCACCCAGGCTCCTGGGCCATCGTCACAGGCTCGACGTCTGGACTCGGCCTCGCGCTAGCCACCGCACTCTGCTCACGCGGCTTCAACGTCCTACTTCACGGCCGTGATCCCGAGAAGCTGCAGCGAGTGTAGGAGGGGCTACTAGCTAGATTCCCGGATCGGGAATGCGAGATTTTGCTTCTCGATGCGGCGTCGTGTTTTTCGCCTGAAAGCTATGAATCGTCTCAAACAAAAATCCACGACGCTGTAACCGGTAAAAACGTCTCGCTCCTCATCAACAACGTAGGAATAGGCCACTCCATCCCACTTGGAAATTTTAGACCTCTGGAATCTCACACCCCGGCATCCATCAACGTCTTACTAAATGCAAACATAACATTTATGACACATCTAACCTACCTCCTCCTCCCCACCTTTTCCTCTGCCACTCCCTCACTAATCCTCAACATCGGCTCCGTCGCCGAGCTCGCCATGCCCTATCTCACAGTCTACTCTGCAACCAAATCATATATGTCAACCTTCTCTAAAGCGCTAGATGCGGAAATGAGAGCAGAGGGGAAGGGAGTTAGGGTAGAGTGTATGGTTTTGGGAGATGTGGATACGCCGGTGCATCCTATGGAGAGGAGTTTGAGTGTGTTGAGTGCGGAGGAGGCCGCAGGTTGGGTTTTGGAGAGAGCTGGGGGAATAGGGATGTGGGGAGGGGAGAATATAGGGGCTCCGTATTGGTTCCATGGGGTGTTGTGGTGGGCTTGTAGGGCGCAGCCGTGGTGGGCGTTGAGGGCGGGGATTACGGCGAATTTGAGGGAGAAGGTTAGGAAGGATAAGTAAGGAAATCCGTGGGTGAACTATTACTTATATTACGTTATATTATGTTAATGTTGGGGTATTTGGTGGATTGTTTGGGCAAGTAATGCACACCGTGCATCTGCCTCCTCCACTTTAAGCCTATGAAAGGCTCCATGACACATATATCGAGAGTAAGTAGCATTCATACTAAAGACTTAAATTGACCCTCTCACATATTCTGTAGCTCCCCGTCTAAGATGTGGGTTTTAATGGCATTTCTGCTCCGATCCACTACTGCTTCTAGTGTATGAAGGGCCCATTCAACGTGAAAGTATGCGTAATGAGAGGTCTGAGGTTAATGTAACCAGACTGAATTACATGGATGGTGTAAGGCCAAAATTGGTGGTATCTGTTAATGAACTTAGGGTCAATCTGCAACGTCGTTAGCTAGTGCTTCTGCAAAGATAGGAGAGGAGAGGAGAGGAGAGCACTCACTTTTGAGACGGATAGATCATGGTGCATGAAAGGCAACACGCCCATAATATTATTCCCGACGCCAATGACCATGACCTGGCCACCGTGTTGGCATGCCAACGAAGTTATGTCAACACTGCTCTACACGCTTGTACACTCATAAACTACTCTTGGCATAGGAGAGTTTAGCTTTTCCGTAAAAAGAGCCGTGATACTTGCTGCATGGACCTCCGGGCTCTCCTCAATCGACTTAGACGTCTGGAAGATGTTGCATTCCGGGATAAACTTCTTCATAAAATCTAATCTCTGTAAATCGATATTAGTGATAACGAGAGGGAAAGCACCGCTCGCCTTTGCCGCCGCGAGTGCAATCAGCCCGATCGACCATACGCCACAGATCAAAACCGGTTCGCCGAGTCTCGTAGAAGCTCTTTCGAAAGCATCCAGCACGACATTGAGAGGCTCTAGCAGCGCCCCATCGCTGAACGTAAGGCTGTCGGGCAGCTTATGCAGCTACTTTACGCGGTGGGCGTGGAAACGGCGGATGGGACCGTGGAAAGGCGGAGCGCCAGAGAACTCGACGCCAGCACAGAGGTTGTACTCGCCGGCGGTATAGTTGTGGCATTCTATGGCAGGGCTCGATGGGCTCGATGGCGGCGCGGTCGCCGGCTTTGAGATGAGTGACGTTCGTTCCCGTAGAGATGATAATACTAGCACCCTCGAACGTAGTCGCTTGAGACGACGCAGGTGCCGATGGAGCCTGTTTTCCAGAAATGCAGGTCAGAGCTAGAAGCGCGGCCAATACGAGTACTTTGTAATGGGAGTATGGCTTTGGAGATTAGAATGCGTACTTGCTGATACCATTGGCGCGAACGTGTATGATGCAGTCATCTGGGCCTGGATCGAAAGTTGGAGAGGGCGTAGAGTAAATTCTGTGGTCTTTGGCTGTGTAGAGAGCAGGATTAGGGAGGGACGTTATTGAGGCTGGGATTTCATGGCTGCTGCTATTATTTGGAGCTGGGGAGACGAGGTTCCCAATAGCAGTAGCCATGATGATAGTTGATGAGATTTTGAGAGAAGGTCCCTTGCAAAATTGCTTACAGATTATATATATATACAGGTAACTTGTTATATGTCTTTCAAGATGAGATGCCCGATATGACACTGTGAGTGCGGACTAATGATACAACAAGTGTGAGGAGCGTGAGAGGTGGGGGAGGTACTGAACTTCAACGATGCATAGTGCAATAACCTACCTGCTTCAACTCGGACTGACCTGTGGCGAGAACGTTTGCTATTTTCTGTTACGGTTTACTTCATCGGGTTTACAAATTGGGACTCGGAGTAGGTTTGTTGGATGCAGTTGCGGTTGCGATTGCCGATGTTGATGTTGTTGACAAGTATGTTCTAGATATCGAGTCAATGGACCCGTACAGAGTACCTATACTAGCGAGCCCCTGAGCCCCCGGGCTTCGGCGCTGATTAATTAAGTCCTAGTACTATGTGCGCCAGCTTCCAGGCGGTCTAATTCGTTCTATAGCTGCCGGAACTCGCGCAAAGATGGGTGCCGAAATGATTTTGAATTCTCCCCTACAGTCTGGCCAAGCTCTAATAGCTCATTGATGAGGCGCCCGGAGATCCAGATTGCTTTATTCGCATAGCGGTCTTGCAACGGGTTGGTCCCTGCTGTTTCGTCATTTGATGATATCCAGAAATCCGTTGGGATGAGAGTGCGTTGCTGCGTCAGATACGCTGCCCATATATCTGATTTTATATTAGAATTGCATAAGGATGTCGCATAGGCATCTCAATTAGTTGACAGCTAAAGCTATTAGCTAAAGTTAGATAACTGATTCAAATTAAGCTAAAAGAAGTAAAAGGAAATAATAATAGGGTTAAGTTAAAGATATAAAAGAGAACAGTTTAGAGACTAGTTTTAAAACAGGTCTATACAGATTACGCAGCTAATCCAAGCTAGCCTTAATATAGCTTAACCTCGACCTGCCTCTCTAATAGTAACTATTAGGGTTTTACTACTGCTTACAAACTTCCTTATAACCGATCTATAACGGGGCACGTGGGAACCCCCTGAGCCGAGGTGACCGGTCAACCAACTTGTACCTAGAGAAGATAATACTATTGCATTTGCTACTATGCTAAGTTTTGATCTTGGGCTTTGCCGTCAACCTTTCCTGAAGCCATCTTGCCAGTATTTGCATTCCCCGCATTCTTTCCGCCCTTGCCATTATTTGCATTCCCCGCATTCTTTCCGCCCTTGCCATTATTTGCATTCCCCGCATTCTTTCCGCCCTTGCTATTATTGCCTCCACTCGCACTGCCATTGCTACCCTGGGCTGCAACGACTTCGAACTTTGTGCAGTCATCTTGAGCACCTCGCTGGGCGACAGGCATGTTGACCGGCTGGTGATTCCTAGCGGCAATCATGGTGCAGACGCGGTATACACCAGCTGGGAGACCATCGGTAACAACGGCTTGGAGGAGACCTTTACCGTTACCGGCATCATCTATGCCCTTAAAGAAAGCAAAAGTGGTTGGGTCAGGAGGGGTTGTAGATTTGAGGGTACCGATATCTTGAACCGTAACGTGGCAATGGCCAATGATGTCGCCTTTATTATCCAGATCTTGCGGTGCAGTATAATAGTTCGTAGTTGGGTTGACAAAGAAACCTGCATTAAGATGAGAAGTTTGGACGGAGACGTTGAATGTCGTATCTGCTGGGATTTTGTCGCCAATTTGTGGATTGGTTATCATGGCTGAGACCATGTTTTTGGAAGCGGGGATCTTGCCCATTGGAATACCATTACAAGAGCCTGCTGTAAGTTGCAGGCCGTTTGTTATAGTCTGACCCGAACAGAAGTTGATAAAGTTGGCATCATCGCTATTGCACTTAGGGTTAGCGGGTATCTTTTGTTAAGGGCTATTGGCTTACGTTGCGGAAGGGGCTTGACCAGCTTTAATCCCATCTGTTCCAGCTTCTTGACCTGTCTTTTCACTAGCGGTTTGCAGTGACTTGGCAGCTAAGCATGTTTTGTTAGGTGTTTGATTATTCTGTCGGCCTCGAATTTCTTGAGATCTTGTTTCTTGGTCTCTCCCATATGCCAGATTGGAAGAGACCACAGCGCCATTGATAAGACTAGCAGCAAAGAGGGCGAGATATGGAAATAGCATTGTGAGCGAAATGGACAAGGGAATGAGTGAATAAATTAGCAATAAATGATATAAAATATGCGTGAAATCAAAAGATGTGACTGACTCTGATTCCAGTTTTAATTCAAAAGGGATTGTGTATTATCTTTAAATGCGATTGACTGCCTCCGCGACTACTTCAATTAACCTGAATAATCAAATAATACTTATCACCGATCATGCGGCCAACAACAGATTCGTCTCAAAGTTTGGAATCAATAAGTGATACTGATTTTGCTAGTGTAGTAGCTTGTTGCAGAAGCAAGGACTGAGGGTTTCGAACGGTGCAAGGCTCTGACATTTTGGGGTCGTGAAAGACATGGTGTGGAGATGTACTGGAGCAAGGGCCATCATTTTGTCAAGCCCGAACTCGGATGTATGTGTTCAGGCTACTTTTCAAAAAACAAAGTCACCTACCTGATTTAAGTAACATCAAATAACAACCAACTATTACTGAGAAGAGCGATTGATAGGATTATTGCAAAACTAAAGTAGTCAAAATTATTCTTACGGGCTCATTAGTCGAGCAAATGGACCTAAACGCACAGCCTAGTGAGTTGGGGCGCGAAAGGCTACTCGAGTACCCCTAACATCGACTTGGCAAAGTTACAGAACTACAGGGGCGACCACAAAACAGTGAAACCACGACTCGAATAAGCCTTTATGATTCCAAACTGCCAAGGACTGTTGTTTAGTACTCCCCGGAGTAACCCATATTCCTTTTCTTCCAGACATGATGCGGGCGCATAGCCTTCCTGGCGGACAGTGATTCTTCATGACGTTTTGGCTGCTGCTGCTGAGATCTGTTGCACTAAATTCTTAATCTGGCGATCAGACACGCCAATGTTGACCTATTTAACGTCGAATTTGTTAAGAATTCAAACTGATTCCATACCGCGCGTTGCGACGGCATCTTAGATCTCAGCAGCAGCATTATATTCTGACAAGCGCGATATTCCGCAAGCAGGGAAACTTGCAGCTATCGTAGAGGAGCGGTTTCGTAGAGAGAAATAACCCTCTCCATCATGCGCTATCATTTTTAACACATTCATTCCTGGTTGTACTCATTTGTGCGTCGCTATATTCTATCAGATGTGCTGACCCTACCCACTCGTTTGTTAACAAACCTCCGCAGATACTAGCATCAGCATGCGTTACTCGATCGTAGGCCTTTTCCCCCTTCTCCCAGCCGCTGCTGCCCGCCCTGCCGTTTCAAACAACGCACTCTCCAATGGGATCAACAATAGCCTCGCCGAGAGAAACCAAGAAATTGCCGCTGTGCAGCATCTCTAGAGCATCGAATCAAATCATGGCACTGCGCCTCAAGTCCAGGCTGGTATCGCAGGTGTTCGCTGCTATTGCTAGAATTACAAAGATTTCTTAAACTCTACTAGGCTAGAAGTTGGGTGACAGTCATCGCAGTTTCCCAGGGCTCAAACGACGATTCCAAAAAGGGGAAAATTCTGATCGCTTACTACTACACCACTCTGAAACAACTCCCGAACCTACTATTTGGAATCAACCCTTCATCTAATATCTAATTCAATAGCTATACTTCGACTTATCTAATCCTCTAGACTCCTTAGTAAAATAATTAGATAAAGTTGACTTTAATCTAAACTCTGAGACTCGAGCGAGCTAGAGTTATACTAGGTTTCAGATCTTATAACTAAATAAAGTTAAAACCGAAAAGTATATAGAATTAACAATATAAAAAACAACTCTTAGGTATAACTTCTTTATTTAATATGTAATATTATAAGTATAAAGAAGTAATACTCGTTTAATATTCTCTCATTGTCGAGGAGCAGGAAGGGCCCTTAGGAGTATTAGGAGGAAGCGTGGATTAAACAACCAAAGGACAGCAGCCAAGGTATGGGAATCAATTGAGCGGTGGCCGCGTTTGTAGGAATATCGTCATGTGGTTATCTGGCAGGAGATGGGATGACTAAACCACGGGTTTAATGTTCTTTGGAGTGAGTATTTCAGGGCGCACCCAGGTGGTGGTATTCAGAACGACTAGTAGTCACAAGATCCAGTATTCAAATATATACATGGCAAATTCAGTTGTATTGTATTTAGTCTCTTCATTAGGTCCCCGCCTCCTGATCTCCCGCCCGTTCGTTCGTCCTCTCCATCTTGACTGTTCTCGTGTCGCCTACTCTCTCCTGTGTTTAAATGGGAGAGTGAGATCCAGGAGCTTATGTACCCAATTGGTCCTACTTATCCACGTGTCCATCTAATAAAAATTGGGTGCAAAAACAGAAGAAATATGAACTGACTGGGGTTGCCCCGCCACACTAGTCGACGACTTAAGGCTTCTAGACTTTCAAACTATGGATATTCCGATCCCGATCTATATAGACAACGACTCTACTCTAAAGCTTACTCGGAATATAGAGTTCTACTCGCGAATAAAGTATATTATAATGTATTACTACTTTATTAGAGAAAGGGTTCTTGATAATAATATTTAGCTAGTTCGTATCAATAGTACGAATAACTTTACTAATCTATTTATAAAGGAACTTCCTCGACTAACCTTTGAAAGACTACTACGCGAGCTTGGAATACGAAGAGAGAAGGATCTCGGAACTAGTAATAGTAGCGATTGAAACGCTTGAGGAGTAGGAGTGTAGAAATATGAGTCCTCTGTATATTTCCATATCTGCTATTTAGCAAGGTATACTCCTGTATAAGTAAGCGCAAATATAAGGATGTGCGTATTTGGAGCGTTTGGAGTATAAGGTAAACCGTTTACTAGAGTGATGCCTTTGTAGTAATTAGTCCATAAGTAGAGGGCATAGATTAGCTCTAGAAATGAATCAGCCTTCTGAAACTCAACACTCTGGGATTTCACAATTGTCATGATAATGCCAATCATCATTAGCCGTCTCTAGTGGAAAGCATACCTAATCTCCATGGTCACAAACGTAAGTCTATCCTGTACAAACAGAACAGGATCGAACTGCTAACACGTGAGAGGTTTGCCTGTATCCCAATCTTCTACTTCTTTTACCATGAAACTAGTAATAAGAGCTTAGAAGATATCGACTTCCTCTTTATCGGTGGCAACTTTGGTCCTCCATATGGCTTGCACAAGACTACATCTAGCGTAGATAGTGAGAAGGGCGAGGGTGCGGGTGATAAAAATGATAGATCTGTTAGTCATATTAACACAGTACTTAATTAGGAGACCATAACCCCGCTTTCGCGAGGATTAATAAATTATTTTAAGTAGTTAAAGTATAATACCTAAGGAGAGGAGTAAGGATATTATAAATAAGAAATAGCTTTATAGATAACTATATATAAAGCTAAGAGAAACTATATATCCGCGATTTTGTAAAGTATCCTTTTGATCAATTTGACGAATCGCTATTATAGCTTGTATCTATTATTTTCGTAGTATTATATACGAAAATATATTAAATTCGCTCCTTTTATATAAAGAGTATTTAAATATATATTTTAAAAGTATAAGTTAGTTAGATATATTATTAAAGTAGAAGTATACTTTAGGGGTATACCTTTGAGGAGTACTTTTGAGGTAAGTTATACTTAGAGGTAGAAGTGTAGTTTGAAGGTATAGTTCAGAGGTGACGTATAAGGATATATCTAAGCTTCGTTTTCCTTGGATTCTGCCAATGAGTAACGGATTAGTAGTCTCGCGCGTAGAAAGAAGAAGTCCAATATTATCAATTGCCAGGTCGAAGGTATTGAAGCGTTGAAGCGTGGTCTCTTGTCTGGTCTAGTTCGTATCGTAGAGTTATCCTCTCTGTAACCTGCGGGGAAATGGCTGTTGAGATACCGCGGCTTCTCTTTCGTTTCCGTGTGGGTATTGCCAGAGTGTAAGAACCTTTCATGGGGAAACGTAGGTCCTAGCTCTCGAAAATCGTCCACTTTGATGCGATGGGTAGGAGTGTCTGTATTGAAGTTTATCGACTACGTGTGGGTTTAGGTACTCTTTTAGCATTTGACCGCAGATTGATTGAGAAAATACTCTGGTACTCGGGACCAGAACTACGATATTCCTTCTCATGACTTGGCATTCACTTTCACTTAGATCTCAGCATAAGAATAATGTAAAATCGCCTTTTGAAATACAGCTGAACATTTTCTTTGTTCAAGTTTTAAAGGGGTAGGTTTGACTCTATTAAATGGAAGCTCGTTACACATTAGGAAATCCAAGGGCATAGAGAATTTGATGGTCGCTAGGTTCTTGATCTTGAACTCAGATGCAAAAGCAAAGCCGCGTCTCACCGGACTTCCCCTAACATCCTCTTCTCTAGTACTCCAATATAACTCTATGTATAGGTACATTTGCATGCTATGTACCTTTGCGCTTCTCCTCCAAATCGGAGGGATGAATCCGCGCTTAATGATCCAGAAAGTGATGAACTTCAAGAGTTTGTATTTTCCCAACGCTCTTGTTAGCCTTATTTTAACTGTTTTCTCCTTGCTAATATCCTTATTGACGGATCAGACCTTCTATTGAAATCATGGAACGTATCATCTGGCCTTTGTGTGATATTGTCGTCCTCAAACTTGACCTCGTACCGGGTAATTAGCAAGAGCATAACCAGCTTGACATTCAAAGTTGCAAGAAAGCGTCCGGGGCAGGAATGCGCACCAGCACCAAAGTTTAGGGAGCTGTCTGATACGGAGGCAAAATGGAAGCGGTTTGGATCCACAGTCTCGCGGAGGCGGAGGAAGCGATGGCCATCGAACTTATGCGGTTCTGGGTAGATGTCAGGGTCGTGGTGGACGGCATCAGCAGGAAATTGGAAGATGGTGCCAGCGGGAATGTGGAGGCCGTCCTTAAATGTGTGTGGCTTTAAGGCGTATCGCTGGCCAGTGACTATTCTCATGGTTAATAAAGTACGGTCATCAACATAGTACCTAGGTGACCTACTAAATCCAATAGGATGCATACGAGAACTCTCCTTCATGAAACTGTCTAGTTTCCACAGTTTTGCTACCAGCTGCATGCTCCAATGGTATTCTCCATCAGCAGTAGCACCAGGCTCAGCCATGACTTGACGAGCCTCAGCTATCACCTCGGCGTGGTACTCTGGATGAGCTAACCAATCGAACAAGACCGACTGCAGCGTTCCTGAGGTGGTATGGACAGACGCCGTGGTCAGGAATAATTCTTGTTCTGCGATGCCAGCCAACGTTCTATCTGCTTCTTTGTTGCCGAGAAGCCAGTAAACAGTGTCTGCAAACTTGCTGGGGGAGGAGTCACCATCACCACCGCTCTTCTTTGCCTTGACCGCATTGAGTCTGTCGGCATAGATGGGCTTCAAAAGCTCGGCTGCCTTAGCACGCCCATTCCGTAGCTGCTTGGGTGCCTCATTCCAGAACCGTGCCAGCCATCTCAAGCGAGGTGAGTAATTGTCCCGGACAGCGTTGGCGGCACCAAAGATGGTAAAGGTGGTCTCGATCGCCAGCTTCAACCACTCTTTGTTTCGGCAGAGCTCTGGACCGACCAGTGCGAATGCTGATACTTGGGACGCGACCTTGCTAATGAGGTCGTATGTGTCGAAGGAAGTCCACTCCGCGTTGGCAGGAATGTTTTCATCAAGTACTGCAATTGCCTCTTTCCACGTCCCGTGGACCAAATTGTCTGTATAGTAGTCCGCGGTTAGTCTTCCACATGATTGCACTTGGAATGATTCGCCGAGTTCAATGGTTTGACATACTCAAATTTCTGTTTAGATCGATCTTGATCACATGAGTAGCCGCCTCCGTTTGGTATGGAGCATCAATATAGTTGAGGAAGAACATCTTTTCGGAAAAAGCTTGGAAACTAAACAACGATAGCGGTGCGTTCTTAACCTCATCCAAATACTTCATTGGAAGCATCACCTGTGGCCCCAGCTCGCCAACGGGGTTGTGCATTTGAAAGGCAGTCCCATGCTTGAGATATTTGTCGTATCCCAGTAAAAGGAGGGTGCGAGTATCGTTCAGGTATCGATTCTTACTGTTATCATCTTGAAATCGGAGTTCGGGTATGTGCTTCAGGGAAGCTTTCGTGACAGGACGGTGGCCACCAGGATATATCAGCCAGTAGAAAATACGGCATAATCCAGCCGCAGCGATGATGGACGTCAAAATGATGTACATGCTTGACATGGTTGAAGAAGTTAGGCAAGGAGATGAAGTCGAGCTGCTAATGATCTATCTACGTTCATTAATTTGGAAAGACCAGGTAGTACGCAAAATGTATGCGATATACGTCTTATAGCCTCCCATGAAGCTTACCAGTGCTAGTCTTACCTACATTCCTTACCCGTAGAAGCGTTCGGAGAGACTGGGAGGGCTCGGAAGCCGAGTCTGCATTCTGGTGACTAGACATCGACTCCGAATCCGACCGATTGGGGAATAAGTCCCCGCTGGAACAGAAAACGTAACAAGTGTAATAATTTGTCTACTATATTGACTTGTCTGCTAGAACACAGCAGGTGAGGTAGTTACTAGGATCTCTCAATCATTACAATCAATTTCTGCCCTGACACTGCCTTGCTCTTCAACATGTCAATCCCCTCGAGCACCGCCTCGTACCACAGCCCTTCCAAAATCCGAGTTGGGTGTGGTCTCAATTGCCCCTCATCCAGCAATTTCTGCAGGAAACTATACCACTTGATGCCAAATGCGCGCATCTCGGCATTCGCATCCCGTTCATAGCCATAACCCAGCTCCAGTCGGTGGCCCAATAGTGCGGGTCCCATGACGAAGCCTACCCTGATTGATTTGCGCTCCAGGAGATAGTCTGGATACATCTCGAGACAAGCATAGCGGCCACCTGCTCTTCCTATGGCCTTGTAGCCAAGGGCAATACTCTGGGTGTCCGTAAAGGGGTCGAGGACGTAGGACAGAGAGTTCCGCGTGTACGCCTTGATGTCCTGGGCGCAGTTGGGATCGTTGTAGTCGAAGACTCGCTCTGCGCCATACTTCGCGGCCAGCGCAAAGTTTCTCGACGAGCACGTCGCGATCGGTGCATGCCCAGCCAGGCGGACCAGTTGCATTGCCATGGTGCCCACCGACGAGCTGCCCCCGTGCACCAAGACCGTCTGGCGCTTAATCTTCGCCGGTGCCGTTGCGGCTGCTGCGGCTGTTTCCTCGGCTCCAGGGGTCCGGGGCAACCCCAGTGCCGACGGATGGAACAGCGCCATGCCTAACGTGGCAAGTCCTGTCCCACCAAGCGCCGCTGCATGTTCAAACGACATATCCGGATGGATCTTGAGCGTGAACTCGGACTCGGAGACCATAAACTCGGCAAAGGACCCGGACTCGGGTCGGAGAGGGTTGGATCCGTGCACCGCTCCGCAGACCCGGTCCCCGGCTCGGAATGACCCCGACGCGGCCACATCGGACCCGACTGCGACCACGACTCCGGCGAAGTCGCAGCCGTCAATTGCTCCCACGCATGGGAAGCGCTCGTGCATCTTGTAGTCACAGGGGTTGATAGCCACTGCTTTGTTTCGAACGAGAACTTCGCCAGCGCCGAGAGCGGGAAGACTTGCGTTGTGTTCGACCCGGAGGCGGTGATCGTGCCCTTCGCAGATCACCGTTTGGTGACTTGGGAGTCCAGCCATGATGATAGGGGACGGGGATAGACAAGGGGCAGAGAGCGGCCCAGAAGATAGGCCAGAAGGGAAGCATAGACAGGTAGGTAAGGTTTGTGGTGTGTTTGGCTGGCACGGGTGGTCCAGTATGTCTATGGGCGTCTGGTGAAAAAGTAGGAAAGCAAACAAGCGGAATAATATACGGAAGCCGATCCCGAGTCCGATATAGTTGATTCATGTTTATTGATGCCCGAGAGAGCAAATAAGCTACATAATATACGAAAGCCGATCCCGGGTCCGACATACGGTCAGTCTTCCTACAGCTACACTTCGGAGGGGCCAATGGACACAAGTCATGCATAACCGAGACACCCCTTTATCTTAAGCGAGGTATGGTCCGTAACAGAGAGACTAGGCAAGGCAAGGTATGTACATGTGCCTTCATAAGGTGTTGAACAATAGTAGATTAACGACCTTTTATTTCTACCGTATGGTCCGTACCTAAGGCAATCAATTCGTGCCTGGTCATCCTTCTATCCACACCGAACAATAACTATTCGTCTTGAATTCTTCTTCTTACTTGAACTACTTTCCTTGCATGGTCACTACTTCCACAAACCTGAGCAACCACAACATCTTTCATCATCACTACCCGAGTATGGCCACTGCAATTTTGAAATTTTATTTTCTGGTGCCGTGTCTCTTTGCCCTCTTCGTCCACGGCACCAGCTGGCCGGAGCCATGGCCTTCCCATTGGCTCCAGAAGACACCGCTTCAATTTGAAGACCCACAGCAGATTCCTCTCTCTGCAGGCAGCAGTTGCCAGACGAGCAACATCACTGCCTTCGAAATGGCAAAAGGAAGGAAAATCGTCGGCTTCGCCACCGATGCCGTAGAAGACCTCGAGCTGCCGAAAATCAGGCCCCTGAACTCGTCCGCTGGTGAGCAATGGGAGTTCGATGGCGTCTCCGAGGATGGCATGCAGTCTTTCATCTTCGGCTTTTATCGAGATCCCAATTATGCCATCCTGGGTGCGGGCAATTTCCGGCTGTCTGTTGAATTCGCTTTTGCTGACCGGACGCGATTTTACGAGGTGTACTACCCGCAAAGATCGGTCGTGGAGACGTGTCCGTCTGTCGGGACCAGGGGGATGTGGTTTGACGAGCAGGACGGCTATCGCTTCGCGTTCCAGGTGAACGCCGATATGAGCGAGGCTATCATTACGCTGGACTCCGAGACGATCAAAGGGAGGGCAGTCATCCGATCTCGTGCTCTGCCAGTAACGGCAGATGGGCACCTGTGGCCGGCTGAGAATGCAACCACGGCGCCTGTGCCCTACTGGCATTGGTCAGAGCCCATCCCAGCGGGAATCGTGGATGTTGATGTTAAAATCAAAGGCAAACAAATTGCTTGGTCTGGCATGGGTGGGCATGAACGATTCTGGTCCGCGTTCAGGTGCGTTCGACCACTGTGGAAAGTGGAAAATAAGCTGACTTTGAAACATCTAGCTGGTTCACCTGTCTGAGAAGCCTCAATTCGGTCAGGGCTATGCTAGGCCCCTATGTCCTCACCTATTTCGGCTTCAAGTCTAATATGGCCGAAGACCTCTCACACCAATCTGTGGTTCTGTTTAAAGACGGTGTTCCTATCTTCCGGAGCACGCTTGCTGTCCCTTCTGAGACGGAACCCTATGCCCTGGTCACCAAGACATATGGCGGCTCTGTGACTGGCACGCTCAAGGATAAAGTTACCGGTTTCCAGCTCGAGCTCGTGTCATCGGCAACCATGCAGCACTACACCTTCTTTGTGGACCATGCCAATTTGGGGTTTGAGTACATACTCGGGGAGGGCGTCGGAGGTAGTGGGTTCTCCGGTATTTCAAGGGGCGGACATGTGGGATTATCTCAGTATACTGGCATTGCACTGACCGAGGCTTTGACCTTTCCAAAGAACTCGCCGCTGTTTAGGAGCAATTATATAGAGTAGATCAGTCCCTTCTTTAAGAATAGAAAATCAGTTTTCATAACCTTATTGTGCTGCTTAGGTTAATATAAGTATTTGTATAATAATACTTATATTACTGTAAAAGTTACTTCTAATTTATAGAACTTATCTATAAAGAGTTAACTAACTTTTTAAGATTTATTTACTATAAGTAAGAAGGAAATAAAAGTTTATTTATTATAGTAATATTTAGGGAGTAGTATTTAGGACCTATGTTCTAGCTTCTACTATAATCTCGTGTAAGTAGAATCTTATACCGCTTACTATTTGGGGCTAAATACCGCCGGCCTCACGGTTAGGTCATCTTAAAGGGAACAGGTTTGGAGCTAAGGGAGAGACGGGCCTTGGATAGATTGGGTGCGTATAAGCGCGGTCGTATGCGCGAGGAGATGTCGTAGAAGATGAGTAGATTAGAGTTAGTTATAGTAGGGACCTCGCACAGTCAGACGGGATTAACTATTAATCCGGAGGAATATCAAAACATTCGGGAAATCAGAAAATAAACAATGAGTTCTAATCCTGTCCTTTCTTCCATTTTCCTCAACCCCGTCAGAATCAGCGCTTATGGCGCCCCAGAACGTTGTACAGCATAGTCTGATCAATACTTCACGGAAAGAAGGGTTCGAGACCAACCTAATGGCCTTGCAGCATGCGTGGCGTCCAGCGAATCCTTCTGAGACGGTAGTCCGAGATGCCCACCCAAGAAAAACCCAAAAGCCCAAAGATACAAATATAGAAGACCATCATACGACAGCTTTGCTACGTCTATTATCGCTTCTCCATTCCCTGGAAGCTACCTTCCTCTCTCCACTTCTTCATCACACTCTGCCACTCTATTATACCCTTAGGATAGTATGCCATGCGGGATGGAACCTCCTCAGGCTTCCCCTGTTTGTTGTAGTATCCAGGCGGACAGGCTTTGTTGAACTGCAGCCTCATCTCATGCCCTTCATCGACCTGCTTCCCCCAATCTTCAGCTGCTTCCTCAGTTGGTTCAATAGATTCCAAATTGCCCTCCCCTCGGCGAAGGATACTAGAGATAACGTTGGAAATGTGTTCGCCGGCCACATAGGCAGTGTGTGTCCAGTTCGCAGTCACACCAGCCTGCGATGGACCAATGTTGAATAGGTTGGGGAAGTCACGGAAATGGATGCCGAACAAGGTCAGGGGACCCCCTCGCTCCTCCCACGTCTCGTCGAGTGTTTTTCCTTTGGCACTGAGAAGATCAATACCTGTCCGCTGATGGAAGTTCGCATCGGTCTCGTAGTCGAATCCGGTCGAGTATATCAGCAAGTCGACCTCATGTTCGTGGCCATTGGCGACAACGCCCGTCCCGGTGAGATGCGAAACCCCCTTGCCATCCGTATCAATGAGCTCGACGTTGGGCTTGTTGAAAGCACCCAGGTAGTCGTTGTGGAAGACCGGCCGCTTACACATGAACGGATACCAGGGTTTCAACTTTTCCGCTGTCTCCTTGTCTGTCACCGTGTCCTCAATGACTTTGCGAAGTTTCTCCATGAGCACGAAATCAGCTATCTGCAGCAACTCTGGGATCTCCTCGGTTTGCAATTTCACGCCAGCCTGCTCGGCTTGTTTAAAGAGTGCTCGTGGAGTTATAGCCTCCAGACCTTCCAGCGCAGCACAGTCTTTATCCAAGATGGCACCCTGAACGATGTTGGCAAACTCCTCCATCCGAGCTTGTTGCCAGCCGGGCTGTTTCGCAACCTCAGCAACATCCATGTATGGATCGCTTGCTGTTTTAAAGTTCTCCCGTAGGGAAATTGATGACGGCGTTCGTTGGAAGACGAACAGCTTCTTCGCACACCGAGCCAACTGTGGTACCAGCTGGGCAGCAGATGCTCCAGTTCCAATGATTCCGACCGTTTTGTCCGCCAACTTGGTCATGTTCCAGTTGTCAGGGGATCCTCCAGTGACGCTGTAGTCCCACCGACAGGAGTGGAAATGAGGCCGCTGAAAGTCCTGGATTCCGCTCAACCCCGGAAGCTTTGGCTCATGGAATGTTCCCGTGGCGAGAACAACGAATTGTGCAATGAAATGGTCCGAGTGGTTGGTACGAACGTGCCAGCGACGAATCGACTCGTCCCAGGACATGGAGGTGATCTCAGTCTGCAAGTGGGCATGTTTCGCTAGATCCCACTTTGACACAATCCTTCCCATGTGCTTGCGAATTTCGGGACCATAGGAAAAGCGGTCTTCTGGTATATATCCCGTTTCTTCGAGGAAGGGGAGATACAGATATGATTCAACATCACAAGCAACTCCTAGAGAGGGGGCAAATCAGCATCAATCTTCTGAAACTAACAAATCTCGAGCAAACTAGAAATGGCAGGTGAAGAGACGCAGGAAAGCAAACATACCCGGATATTGGTTCCAGTACCACGTTCCCCCAAAACCACTTGCTTTATCTAGAATCACGAAGTCATCAATGCCTTGATCCTTCTTCAACTTGACAGCAGTGGTCATTCCTGCAAAGCCCGCGCCCACTATCAAAACCTTGGTCTCGGATGTAATAGGATCTCGAGGAGCTGACGGTGGTGTGATCATGTCCTTTGCAAAACGGGAGTAGGAGCCTTTTGGGGTCTTAAATTGCGCCACGCCGTCTTTGCGAAAGCGCTTCGCTCGCTCTGCCTCGTATTTGGATTTGATGGCTTCCATATCAATCTGTTGGGCTTGAAGTTTTAGGGGGTGGGCTTTATTTAGGATATTGGCAAGGCCCGAGGGTGGAGACCGTGGTCGAACACCACTCGCGTTGAATAGCATGGAAGCCATGATGAATTTTATAAAGATTAAATGGATGAAGGTGCTACTGGGTAGATAGGAGGTGTCGGGTAAATTTTGAAATCAGAGCCTCAAAGGTTCCAAGTTCAATGTCCCGAATTTCTATGGATTCAAGGAAAGGATTGGAGGCTCAGAAGGAAACCTTCTCTCAGAATGAATTGTGATGTGCTAGGGGATCGTTTCTTGAGGAGTTTCAAGCTATGCTTAATAGATAGGCAGGTGGTGCGTAAAGTAACGACCATACAGTACCTGCGACCCAGAACTGCACATCCAAGTCCGACTTTATGTCCGAGTCTCACTCCACCTCCGAATGAGACTTCACATCCGACCCCGACTTGACATCCGAGTCCGACCCCATCATCAACTCCGATATCTAGGTTATTTCCAAACTCTTGAGACAAGTTCCCCTTCAGATCGCGGGTCAGGACGCAACTGTTTATATACTTTTTGCCGTTATTTTCAATACCATTATTTTATTCTGCGTTTTTCCACCAAAAAAAGCCAAGATATTTATAAACGGTCAACAAACCTTGATCAATCATGCACCACCTCTTCCCTCGTAGCAATTTCTTCGACTTCGAAACTATTCGCATCCTGGGCACTGCTGTCTACGGCGGTGCAGATGTGGCTGAGGTTCTCGAAGTGGTCGGGCAGATCAAGTCTGAAGATCCCCTGTCATGGGAAGCGGCGTGGCACACTCAAGCGGAACGGGCCGAAGCGCTGGCCGAAGAAGCGAGGCTTCACGGCCATCGCGACGCGGCAAGACTGAACTATCTCAAAGCGGCTAACTACACGCGCGCCAGCGGGTATATGTACTTGTCTTCTCCTTCGTCTTCACCTGGGGACTCAGCTTCGGGGTTACTTGTGCAAGATCCTCGAGCACTGCCCATCTTAGAGAAGGTGGGAGAGCTCTTCCGCAATGCCCTGCCTCTTCTGGACGGCAAGGTCCACACTCTTTCAATCCCTTACGAGGAGTACACGCTGCCGGGGTACCTATATCTTCCGCCACCTGGGAGAAGAATGCAGGGGAGGTCCAAGATTCCAATACTCCTAGTATGTGGTGGTGCCGATTCTTGCCAAGAAGAGCTCTACTTCATGAGTCCTGCTGCTGGCCCGGGCCTTGGATATGCGGTTGTTACTTTCGACGGGCCTGGCCAGGGTCTTATGCTCCGAAAACTCTCTCTCCAGATGCGCCGGGACTGGGAGATTGTCACGGGATGTGTGCTTGATCACCTAGCTCTCTTCAGCGCTCAGCATCCCGAGCTGGAGTTGGATATAGATTCCATTTCTGTTTCCGGCGCATCGATGGGAGCCTATTACGCTCTTCGCGCAGCCTCTGATTCTAGAGTCAAGGCTTGCGTTGCGATCGATCCCTTCTACGACATGTGGGACTTTGGTACTGCCCATGTCTCACCACTCTTCATCAAAGCTTGGACGGGGGGCTGGATCAGCTCAGGCTTAATAGACAAGATTATGGGACTGCTATCAAAGCTCTCTTTCCAGCTCAGGTGGGAGATATCAGTGACAGGGACCTTTTTTGGTCTGACTTCTCCATCGGAAATCCTCCTGCACATGAAACGATACACCTTTCACAACGATGGTGGGCAAGGAAAGGCGGGAACAAGCTTTCTCTCTCGTATCACATGCCCCGTGTTGATCTCTGGTGCCGGTAATTCTCTTTATTTAGATGCTAATCATACGAAGCGGTGCTTTATGGACTTGGTGAATGTACCTGAGAAAAGCAAGGAGTATTGGGTGCCGGCTAGCGAGGGTCAGGGAAGTCTACAGGCAAAAATGGGGGCGTTGGCACTTTGTAACCAGCGAACTTTTCAGTTCCTGGACAAAGCATTTGTAGTCCTTAGAGAGCCACTATAACAGGTAATATTATTTGAATAGGTTTATGCAGCGAAATAGAAATCTTTAGCAAAGCGTGGGACTTGGTTTTTTACATGTCTATCCTTAGGCAACACGGCTAATTGTTATGTACAGTACATAAGTAAACTGTCTCCTACCTCGAGCTTTATTATTCCTTCTCCATTTCTCATCACTTTCTAACATGAGGTTGTTTGTCCAACCTAGCTCCCTCGGTATAGTTTAGATTGTTGGCCCTCTAAATAGGGACGCGTTCTAGCAACTTCGTAGAACTCTAATTAACCCTTCTTTAACTCCTCTACTATAAATCTAAGCAGCGACCAAGGCAGGGAAATCGAAGCGCTGGACAGCAGCTGTTTCTCATATGCTTATATTGATCTTTTATATCTACTTCACAATACCAAACAAAGAAACACCCTATCTAGAAAACTTGCAACAAATTCTAGAAGAAATCGCCCTCATGCACCAAGCGTGGAAAAACAAACGGAGTGCCATCTATATGTCGCAAATACTCGCCAAGTAGGGGATTCAACCCCTTCTCTTCCGCCCTTGAAACCCATTCCTCCATCCGAACCGTCTCAATCTTCGACCCACCAGTCGCTCTTTCTAGCACACCCCTTATATCTGATAGCAAAATCTCTTGCTCCCCAGATTCGTACAGGTACTTGACGTTGCCGGGCCAAGAGTAGTCTTCGTAGACCTGGTTCGCAATATCCATGGCGACACGGCCTACAGAAACCAGGTCAATGTACCCCCGCCACAAGCTGGTATCGGGAACCGCCTTGATGGTGCGCGAGTAGTGCAACAAATTGGTCATTAGATCCACCTCAGACGCGCCATCACCCGTGATAGACGATGGTCGATGAATCCAGATAGGCAACTCGCATCGATCGCTGATTTTCTCAAGGTACCGCTCACTGGCCCACTTAGTAGCCAGGTACCCACTGTTGCCATTTAGTAGCTCGGATGATGATGGCGGGGAATACGACCCAACCGACCGCTGCTCGAAGCTTTCCTCCCCTGTTAGGTGTGTAACAGCTGCCGAGGAGATATAGTGGAACGACAGCTGGTAGGGAAGGCAAAGACGCACAAGTTCCTTGGTGGCTTCGAGGTTGGCGGGCTTCAGGCTGGTGTACGACTTCATAAAGGAGACGTCTGCGCCATTGTGAATCACCGCGTGGGCCTCAGAGAAGATGTCTGAAAGTTGTTGCTCGTCTGCGAGTCCGAAGCGTGGCAGTGCTAAATCGCCGGCGTGAACTACGACTTGTGGGGATCGGAACAAGGCAGGGTAGCGCTCGCAGATGCCTTTCGGGTCACGGACCGCAAGGCAGTGAATCTTGCTGACGATACCATCTTCGAGCAGGCGCGTCAAGATGGCTCTGCCTAGGAAGCCCGTAGCCCCGGTGAGGACTATTACATCTGGTTGTGTGAAGAAGTGTTGCTTTGACAGAGGATTGCGCATTAGGCTGGGCGAGATTGCCGTTTCTACCTCCCAGTCAATGGCCTTTTCTTCTTCGTCGGGGACTGTTCTGCGGCTATTGTTGTGGCTCTGTGACGGGTTCTTCGGCGATGAAGAATCTATGACCAGGGTTGCCATACCTCCTAGAGTACTGGATTCGAACAACTGGAACAATGAGAGTTGGTGGCTGCCTATTCCAAACGCCTTTTGGATCCGTGCCCGCAGTTTAACCAAGATCATCGAACTGCCACCGACGTGAAAAAAGTCAGACTCTGGAGCGATTTTATATTGCGAGAGTACTTCGCTCGAAATGAGGTCCTCCCATAGCTCTTTCAAGCGTGATTCAGTGTCATTCAACTGAGGACCGAGAGAAGTTGTGGCATCATCTGAGTTATAACGCCCTTCTGGAAGTGGGATCAATTTCAGAGCGGCTCTATCGATCTTGTTGGATGTGTTAATTGGCAGATTTGCGAGACGAATTATAGCAGCGGGGCGCATGTAGAGCGGTAGGGGCAGCCGGTTGAGCACCCTACTGAGTTCATCATCCGCTTTTCCATTGCTGTTAGTTGAAGTAGTAACAGCAAAAGCGATCAAGAGCTCGGAACCAGAGGTCGTTGACTCGCGCACCGTCACAGCAACATCGACAATTTTGCCTTCCGCGGCATTGATAATTGCAGCCTCCACCTCACGCAGGTCGATCCGGAGACCCCTAAGTTTGACCTGAGTGTCGCCGGCGATACGTCCCTGGAGGATCAGGCTTCCATCCACCTTGCTAAGTCGTCCGAAGTCCCCGGTGTGATGTAATCGAGACCACCCAGCCGCAAGGAAATCGGTAGGCGCGAAGGTATCTGTAGCAAATCCTCGAGCATCGAGCTCGCTGTGCAGGTAACCGGCGACGACACCCGCTCCGCCGATGAGCACCTGTCCTGGAATGCCAACAGGAACCGCCTTCATATTAGTGTCGACAATGTATACCGAATTGTTTGGCCATGTTTGCAAGCCCGTAGCGTTGTCAGTTCCATCTTCATTAGGAACTTCAGCCCAGTAATCCACGTCCCTGCTACTGCAGCAAAACGTGATCTCAGTTGGGCCATAACAATCAACTAGGTGCAAGCCTGAATTAGAGACTTCACGGAAGGCGTCTTTCAACGCCTTGCTAACTGGCTCACCACCTGTCTGGGCGAGTCTCCAACTGGACTTGCCAAGATCCACGGATTTCCCATAGCGAATCCAACTGATGTACTCTGCCGGGGTGGCTGTCGTAAAAGTGATACCTTGCGTTGCAATAATGGAAGAGATAGCCAGTGGGTCTCCCCGGAGCTGTTTCGGAACAACGTGGAGAGTTCCACCATTGGAAAGTGTCAGGAACGTCTGACAGAGCGACATGTCGAAGCTGTAGGAGCTCTGCTGAAGGGTCACATCACCCCCCTCACGGAAGTGCAACTTGTCGGTCATGATTTCGATGCTATTCGCGAAAGTCTCGTGTCTCATGATAATGCCCTTTGGAATGCCAGTAGAGCCGCTGGTGTGCAGGATGGCTGCGACCGAGTTCGCCTTCGCCGTATTTGGTATTAGTGTTGTGGCAGTTGTCGTTGCATATCGATCAATGTTAATTTTCGTCTGAACCGAGTCAAAGTATTCTGACTCTTCCTCAGTCGAATCGTCGACGAGCAACAAGGTAGGTTTACAATCTTGAACGATGGCAGACAATCGATCCAGTCCAGTGCGTGAATCGAGGGGCATATACGTGGCGTCGAGGCGCAAAACGGCCAAAAGCGAGCATATCCAATTCAAACCAGGTTCTAGGAAGACACCGACTATGCTTCCATGTCCTATGGGTGGTTGTTGCTTGTTCAAGGCAGTGGCGATGGAGTTTACCCTGTTGGCCATTTGTGCGTAGCTCAACGATGAAGATGATTTTGGCCCTTTGCTGGCATCCACGAGTGCTATCTTATTGTTGTATTTCTGAACCATCATGTCAATACGATGAGGTAGAGTTTCTGGCCACAAGTATTTGTAAAAGGGACCTGTAATTGTGTGAGTACACGCGATTGACTCTTATCTACATGGTGACTTGGTACTGAATATCAGGCGTGGAATGGGCAAGACAGGATATGGATGAGTTGAATCGAAAAGGGGTAGCTAGCATACCTCGTCCCAGTTGAATTGCGCTTCTTGCTTCCTCTGCATCATATAATGACTCCATACTAGGCCGCAATGCAGGGTTCCGAGCAAATGAGCCAAGTAGCTGTTTGTACATGTTTCTTAGCATGCCCATATGATGAGCGTTGTAGAGTGCCGACTGTCCAGCTAGGATGACATGGCAGTCGCCGCCAGGGTTCCCAATGATGTCCAAGGTCAGATCATACGCTGTCTGTCCTTGCTCAAACGCAACAACTTCGCTGTCACAATTACAGAAGCTGCGACGCTCTGATACACCAGGCCGATAGTTGAAAAGGACCTGGAATAACGGGCTATGAGTCGTTGACCGAGGAAGGCCTAGCTCGCTCACAATAACGTCAAACGGGACCTTGGAGTGTGCGAGAGCGGTTTGTGACTTTTCGCGAACCATCCTCAGCACGTTAGCGAAGGTCTGGTTGGGCTGGGCCCTTAGCAATAGAGGAAGGAGATTCAAATACATTCCCACGCTCTGCAGCTTGTCTGCTCCGTGGCCGCGGTTCGCGGAGCTTATGCCGATACAGAGGTGTTCGACGTCGACCAACCGAATGAGGAGAGTATAGAACACAGCGAGATGGAAGTGGAACGCTGTCACCTTCAGCCTTTTGCAAGTGGACTCTATGTTCTGTAGAATACTTTGGTTCACGTGGAAATCTGCAGTGCTGGTAGAATATACTGTGAGAGGCGAGCGCCTTGAAGTTTTAGCCATGGGTAGAAGTGGGAGTGGCTCTAGGATCGTTGAGCTTATGTCTCCAAATTCGTTTCGCCAGAAGGCAAGATCATCTGTCCACTGGCCCGATTCATACTCGTGTCGTTGCTGTTCCGCAAAATCGGGATACTGCAGCACGTTCTGGACACTCGAGAGCCGGGTTTTGGAGTTATACGCCATCTCCAGCTCTCGCAGAATCACCTCCAAGCTTACACCATCCATGTTTATGTGATGGTAGCCGATGATGAGTTGGAACGAAGCTAGCGACCTCCTAAGGAGTAAGATCCTCATGTTTTCACCCTCAGACAGTTTATATCGGTGCCTTCGAATTTCTTTATACACTTCATCTGCCTGGGTGTCACTGCCAATGTCTTGCAGCTCCAATTCCAGTGTCGGAACCGCAAGAACTTCTTGCATGACATCCTGTGCTTCAGCCGTTCCGTCATTATTTGCGGCAATAAATCGTGTTCGTAACGCCTCGTGGCGCTGTCCAACAAGCTTGACGGCTCGCTCGAATTTTCCCACGTCCAGTGAGCCATTCAGGCTAATGGATAGAGTGATATTGAATGCCGTAGATGCATCTTGTAGGTACTGCTCCAAGAACCAGAATCGGGACTGGGCGAACGAAATCAGCACCTTCTTCGTGACCGCAGTGCTGGAGGCGACAACCTTTCTTAGCATGTTCGTCGACTTTGGTTCCTTGGGGACTTTTTTCGATGACGGCCCAAAGGAGGAATTCTGAGACAGTACTTCGTAGCCGTCGATCTCTGACCACGTATTGGAGGAAGTGCCCGGAGTGGAATTCTCTGTCCCTGGTCGCTGAACCTCATCAAATGAGAGTGCAAGAAATTTGAGTGGGGAGGAGTTTGAGATGCTGGCAGACTCCGAGGAAGAAGTGGGTGTTATTAATGTCAAGTCAGTCCTTTCGTCGCCCTCGTTTTCACTGTGCTCATCTCGCCCAATTCCAGACTCTGCTGGCCCTGCTGAAACAGGCTTTGCGGATGATCTCAATTGGGCTTGTGCCTGCCATTGTGGCCCCTTTACCCCCGTCGTGGATGCCCGAGAATTTATCTCTTCGGCCAAGTTTTCGCGGGTGGGCTGCCCTTGTTGCTTTGCTGGTGATGTTTCTGAAGTGGAAATGAGGTTTGTCGCGGATTTTGGCTTCGTCCCTAGCTTTTTTGGTTCCCTAATCCGAGGCTTGTCTTTGTTATTGGGGTCCAAGTTCGGCGTTAGGGCTGCTGGGAGTAACTCTTGTGCGCAGACAAGCAATTCACCCATAGTCGTTCCACTTATGATTTTTAGCACGGGGATCTCGACTTGGAGCTCCTTAATGAACCACGAACGAATGTCGACAGCAACAAGAGAGTCAATGCCCAGATTATCTGCCGTGAGGTTCAAAAGATTCCGGCCCTCTTCGACTTGCAAGCTTGACCGTAGTTTCGCGGTGAAGGCATCTAACATGACCTGGTGCACTTCCTCTTGGTTGATAGCGTCTAGCAGTTGAGCCTTGATAGCTACGCCTCTCCGGTCTCTCGAACCGTCCGCACTATTAGACCACTCGGCATCCTGGCTCTCGCTCCTCACGCAATGCTGAAATATAGGGTTGCGAAACCAGGTGATAGTATCCTCGGACTCTTGACTGCCATCAATCATCTTCAAGCCCGTCGATAGCTCAGGATTCTTGTTACGGCGGTCCTGTCCAGCAAGCACAGCTTCAGCGAAGAGTTGGCGGAAATCCTGCTCCGACAGCCACAGATTGCCCACCTTTCCGAGAAACTCCTGCTGGGCAAGGGTCAGCTCTCTCGTTACATACCCATTACCAAAGATAGCTCCAATATGCACTGCCGATGCATTGAGGCCCCGCTTCCTGCGTTGACTGGCCAAACCAGCCATGAACATATTGGCTGCAGCGTAGGCAGACTGGCCGGGATTTCCTGTAACCGCGGCCATGGAGGAGAAGAAGATGAAAAATTCAAGGTCAGTGTCTTTGAAGATCTCTTCCAGGTACATGGATCCATCAACCTTGGGCCGCATGACCTTGTTAACACGCTCCATGTCGAGGTCAAGAAACATGGTATCATGCAGGACCATTGCTCCTTGGGCAACGCCGGCAACAGGTGGCAGCTTGCGGCAAATTTCATCGTATACAGCCCGGACCGAATCTCGGTCACATATGTCACTGCGGTTGAGTGTTAGTCAAAGTCATAGTGAAGATAAGTAGGGAAGAAATGCAAGTAATAGAGCATACTTGGCAATGACCTGCACGGTGACTTGTAGCCCCTTCATTTTCTTCAACCATCGCTCATCCACCTTAGGACTGCGACTAGAGACTACCAGATAGCGAGCGCCCCGCTGTGCCATCCATTCGCACAGTGACAAACCTAGGCCGCCAGTCAAACCAACAAGCCAGTAAGTCTTGTCATTTCTGAACTTGACGTGTGAATCGACAGGTGTGATTTGGATTGGGACGTTTCCTAGATTATGCCAAGCAACGACGTGTGGTTCATCCCTGAGGCCATGAGGGAGCTGCTGATTAACCAGGTCATTGGCCGTGACAACGGCAAGACGTTTCTGATCCTCTTTACCACCATCTCGCGCCTCCATTCCGTATTTGGCATTAACCAGAATAGAGCGAACATCTTGCCAATGTTGGTCTAAGCGTGGGGGCAAAATCACTGTTTGAGAGGTAAGTGTGGCCTCCGAGCTCACATGAGCCGCAACACCTGGGGGCAAGCATTCGACGAGATTCCGACAGAGACCCTTCGTGGTTGCACCTCCCATATTCAGAATTAGCCAGGGACTATTGGTTGCAGAAGCCATGAACAAGTTGGGAACTGATTGCTGAAGTTCGAGTTTCGATGCGTTCGAGTGAATATAGCTCCATGCCAGACCAGGTTCCGTGCTGCCAGGATGCTGTCTCTTAGTCGTCATCAAACAAGCAAGTTTAGCGCCTTTGTCAGTTGCAAGTCGGCTGACTGCACGAGCAAATGCAGGGTCTGGCTGCAGGAGGATAACTTGACTATCTATCAGAACGTCCCTCATCGCCGACTGGGCAAGTAGCTCAGTGTATAGCAACTGTAAAGCCTCGACGGCCCCATCTGGCGCTTCTGGAGCTGCAACCCCAGGCAGGACGAAACAGGCCATGACGTTAATTCTGGATGCTTCTTTCAGGGATAGTGCCAGGATCCTCTCCCCAGTCCGTCGGTCTACGCCGAGGACTGGGAAAAGGAAGAAGTCTCTGCGCACCTTAATTGCTCGGGTGACAGAATAAAGGACGTCGATCTCGACCATTTGCGTTGTCGTGTTGAGAAGAGAGTCAGAAACTGGTGAAGAAGAAGACGGGTCTTCGATAAAAAGGTTGCATAACCCGTCATTGCGGTGCGCGAGCTGAACAATCGTCTCCTTCGTATCGACCAGGTCGGTGATGGTCCGACGGCCAGAGTTGTACCGATCGTTCTGGCTCTTGTTCAGCTTGAACCGTGGAACATATAATTTGCCACTCTCTTGGTCAAAGTGTAGTTCTGGTTCATTAGAGTAGAGGAGAGGCTCGCGTTCGGACTGTGCACCGCCTTCATTTTCCCAAGTCCCTGCCGCCTCAGAGCGAAGAAGATACTCGGTAATGGAAGTTGGGTCGGGCATCACGATATCAATATCCGCAGCACTACTTGGAGAAATGTCGAGGAACTGAAGGCGAATATGTAACATTTCGAGCACCAGTGTTCGACCAAATCCAATCACCATCCTTGAGAAAGGATCGCCACTACGCGAGCCCCGGGTGATCCAGAGGACATTGGCGGACTGTTTGAAGATCTCTTGGAATCCGCGAAGCTTCTCTGCATTTATTGACTTGAAAACGGGTTCGTCGATGTCGGCTAGGCAGAGGGTGGTTCCTCCTATAGGCAGGTCTTGGTGTGGCCGAATGTCTTGGAGTGACTTGATAAATCTCATCTGTCCGCAATGGGGTCCCCCATGGCCTAGAATCCTACTAATATCTGCCGCAATTTTTGCGCTTTTGACTCCACCCCCACCGATCAATGTTAATCGAGGGATGACCGGGCTCGATTGAATCGACGATAATGGGGACGATATGGGGTGTTTCAAGAACTGGACCCTATCATCAACAGCCTGAGAGACGATGATTGAGAGGGGGACTGGTAGCTTGTCGTGATGCGGAATAGCAGTATCCATTCCAGAGAAACCTGTCTGCTTCAGATACAAGTCCCATTCCTTCAGCCCAATGCAAGGGGATAGTGCACGCCCATCTTCATGGCCGAGCCACCACCCTGGGAGTCCACCAAAGATGAGACCAAAACGCATCTGCTCATTCTCGGTAATCTCAAGAAGGAGCAGGTAGCCACCCGGCTTGAGAAGTCGCCGGACGTTCTTCAAAGTATCGGCCAGGTTTCTAGTCGCATGGAGTACCAGTGAAGCAATGACCACGTCGAAAGATCCATCCGAGAAGCCTTGTTCTTGCACGTCCTTCTCGATGTCCAGCACCTTGAAGTTCATCCGGGAGCTGTACGAAGAGAATACCTGCTCTGCTTTAGGGAAGAAGCCACTGGAGATGTCCGTGAACGTGTAAGTGGAGAAGCTACCACTCAGCTCGTTCAGGAACGATTTTGTGGCACCGCCTGTACCTGCTCCGATCTCGAGGACGGACATGTGCGGATATCGATGACTAATCTGACGTGCTATTGACGCAAGATACTTGGTGTATCGAGGCATCCCATGAGCAACGACATAGAAGTCGTTCAGCATGTTATCCTTAATCATGTGTTCTAGCATCGTCGTCTGCCCTCGAATTACAGCTGCCATATTTTCTCCCACGGCACACATAAGTCTCAGGTCGATGTTTTCGGGATACTTCTTAAGGATATCTGATATGATGTTCTCAGAATCATGGATCCACTCGGGTTTAACGAAAGGGTGACTTCCACGGGCCACTCTGGTGAGACAGTGATCAATGTATGCAAAAAACCGTTCCTGATGCCATTCGAGTTTCATTCTGGCCCGATCTTTTGCAGTGAATTGCTTGTCCAGCGATCTCAGGTAAAAATATGCCACACGCTCAAGCGAGAAGAGCAGGTCAGGTTCAAGTTCCGGAACGTTTGTTTTTGCGACAATTAGCTCGCCATCGGGATTGCCAACTTCCCATACCATCTCGGTGAATATGTTCAAGTCGCTAGACTCGGTCGAGTTGGAAAGTGGTCGCGTTTGCAATCCCTCTAGTTGAATTGCCTTGAGGGAACCATCTGGGGAGTAGATGCTGACGTCCCCTGAGAGACTCCTAGACGTGTTGATTGAGGCCATAGCATCGAAAGGTACGTCTATGTCGGCACCAGTAAAGCTCAAACAATGCTGGGGATTGACTAGCAGACGCTTGATACCCGTGGGAAGATAGATGGAGCGCAGCATGCTATCTCCAGGGTAGCAGTACGCTAACATGATGGACTGTATAGCAGCATCCAGCGCTGCTGGTTGAATCAGGAGAGGCGGAGAAGACGAGGAAGGAGAATTCCGGATGAAGCCAGAAGCCGCGCCGAGTTTCCGCTTCATTCCTGACAACGCTCGGAAGGGACCAGAGTAACCAAAGCCAAGTTTTCCAAGAGCGTCATAGAAGCGGTCCGACTCAACTTCCAGCATTGCAAAATCGTCCTCGTGTGGCTTTCTGGGTGGCATGTTCGTATCGGAGCATCCAGGACGCTCTTCTCCGACAGTAACTCGAACCTGGCACGTAGCGTGGCTAGTCATCTCTAAGGTCTCGCTGTTTGGAGAGGAGTAGAATGAAAAATTGGCAGATATAATCCTGTTGCCATCACTGTCCTTTTCTTGCCAAGCAATATTAGTCAGAGTCACAAAGGTCTCGATTCCCGTGTCTTGGTCATCACCAAACACCACGGCTTGACCGATTATAACATCTAGCAGCTCAATAGCCAGAATTGTCCGTTGTTGCTGCTGCTCCTGAGGCTGTTGCTGCTTCATGCCTGGCAATCTCATTGCCGCCTCAATGCAAGCCGATACATAGCCAGCGCAGGGAAACACTGTTTGCCCTTGCACCTGATGGCCATCCAACCATTCAATCTCGCTGCGTTTGAGCACGTTATGCCAACGAAGTTGATCAGGGGCACCATCTGAGACGTCTCTTCCCAAGAGTTCATTGGGGCTGTCCTTCCTCGTTCTAAAAGCCCTGGAAAGACGTGATTCGTACCAGAATGCTCGGTTGTGGTCCCATTGATACGATGGAAGTCCCTTGCAAAGCTTGGGCTTGGGAATTCTCCCTCCCGAAACCAAACGGTCGAATGTCGTGAAGTCAACCACGCCTTCACCAAATAACTCCCAAATATTTCCTAGCGCCGTGGAAAAGGCCTCGATGGAGTTGACACCGCGTGATAGCGTGCCTATATACGGCACGGATTGTCCTAGGTAGTCTTGGATTGTTTGTGATACAGGATTCTTCAGTGCTGGATGCGGTCCAACCTCGATAATAAGATCATATTGTGGCGTTGGTGTTCCGTTCTCCGGGTCCTCGAGAGTCTTCCTCAGGGCCTCGGCGAACATGACGGGTCTTGTCAGATTCGAAGCCCAGTATGTACCACTGAGGCTCTCGTCTTCGGGCATATCGGTGATATCTTGCACAAAGACACTGGAGACCCAGCGACAATTGGTACGACGCTTAGATGTGACATGACACTGCTGAAGCGACCGCACGTATGCCTCAGCGCAGGGCTGCATATGGTGAGAGTGGTAAGCTCGATCTACCTTGAGGAGGCGGGCAAATTTCTTTTCTTCGGCGAGAACCACCTTGATCTCTTCGATCGCGTCGGCGTCTCCCGACAAGGTAACACTAGCAGGAGAGTTGCTCGCAGCCACACATACACGTCCTTCGAAGGCCGGCAGCTCACACAGTTCTGTGGCGTCCTCGAACGATGTGCCAACTGCCATCATTGCACCTTCCTTGTGTGAGACGGATCGAAGGTGTAGTCCTCGATAGTATGCCACGCGAATCGCTTCTTCGGCAGTGAGGTATTGTGCAGCATAGGCAGCACCAATCTCACCCGACGAGTGACCCACCACAGCCGATAGTTCAATGCCCGCCACTCTCAGCAGGTCAATCAACATGATCTGGATGGCCGTGCATATTGGTTGTGATATGGATGCTGTGCTGACTTGAGACGATTCCGCATCTGCAAGAATCTGGTCACGCAGCAGCCATTGTGGCCGGTCCTGAGACGGGAGAGAATTGAGACTCTGGTCCAGTTTGGATATGATACTCCTCGCAGCGGGAGACTTCTCGAGAAGTTCCGCACCCATTCGAGCCCATTGCGCACCCTGCCCGGTAAAAATGCCAAGGATACGCAGCTTTTTCCCCGATGAATCCGTCCTGGATGATGGTGAGGGAGGAGATTCGCTCAGGTTTTTTATGGTCGTATCCAGATTCGCAACTAGGTCTTCAAAATTGCTCACAGCAGGTAGAATAGTGCGAGATTCAAGAGTTGAGCGACGGCTACTCAGCGTCCAGGAAAGATCCCTGGGTGTGAACTGAAACTCGCCGTTCTTTGTCTTTGTTGTCGCCAAAGTTTCTCGATACCTTTCAAGGCCGGAAATGAGAGCACTGTCCGAAGCGGCTGAAAAAAGGAAGGGAGTAAAACAAGTGTGAAATTTGTCATGTTGTGTCAATAACTCGTTGCCAATCGGTTCATCGAAACTCTCCAGGATGGCATGAGCATTGGCTCCTCCGAAGCCGAAGCTGTTCACGCTAACTCTACGCACGGCACCCTTTGCTATCGTCGGCCATTTTTGCGCTGCTGAAAGAATTTTGAGGTTGCGATAAAATGGAGCAACACTTGGGTTGAGCCGACTCAACAATCGATTAGGGGGCACCGTTCTGCCCTGTACCGCCAACGAGGCCTTTATGACAGCTGCGAGGCCGGCTGTGCCTTCAGTATGGCCTATAATGGTCTTGATAGACCCAACAAACAACGTATCTTCGGGACCACTCGGTGTAAAGTTTGAACCAGGACCAAAGAAGGCATCACTTATAGCTTCAGCCTCGATGGGGTCGCCTGCCGGTGTACCTAATTGTAGGCGATAAAGGTTAGCAGAATGGCGTCAAAAATAATAGGGTTGAATCTTAGTATTTACCTGTGCCGTGTGCTTCAAAATACTGCGGTCGGTCAGCTCGCTTGCTGAGATCCAAACCGGCCCTGGCATAAGTCGATTGAATCAAGGCTGCTTGCGCCGATGCGCTCGGCATGGTGATCCCTCGCGTCCTGCCGTCTTGATTTAGGCCCGTCTCTCGAATAATGCACTCGATGTGATCACCGTCCGCCAGAGCCTGGCTTAAACGCTTGAGAACAATGGCTGCTATCCCCTCCCCGCGGCCATAACCATCCGCATCAGCATCCCACATGCGACTCCTCCCGGTGGGAGAAAGCATTTGTAGTTTGCTTTCAGCAATATATTGCTCAGGGCCGAGCACCAGATTTGAACCGGCTACCTGAAAAGTTGAGTTAGTGAAAGTAGACCCCAGATTTTGAGCAAATGCAATCAATCAAAACAGACGATTCCCGAAGAAAGAAATGCGAGTTAATACTTACCACCGCGATGGACGAGTCTCCTGCACGTAGAGTTTGCACAGCTTGATGCATGGCAACCAAACTAGAAGAACAAGCTGTGTCGATAGTCATCGACGGACCATGCCAGTCAAAAAAGTACGACAGCCTGTTACTCAGTATGCTTCTCGCCGTACCAGTAGCAAAATATGTTGGGAACATATCAATATCACGACTAATCATGTCGGTAAAGTCGGCACTCATAACACCCACGTAGGTAGCCGTGGTAGAGCCGCGCATCTGGTTTATCGATAATCCGGCGGCCTCGAGACTTTCATATACCGTCTCAAGAAGCAGTCGCTGCTGCGGATCAATCGAGTTGGCCTCAATAGGCTTGATCCCAAAGAATTGTGCATCAAAGTACCGCAGGTCTTCGTTGAGCAAGTAGCTGTGGCGGACATTGCTGCTTCCGTGGTGGTAGTTCTTGGGGTGGTAGAATGTGTCGACGTTGAAACGTTCTTCAGGAATCTCTTTCAAGAGGTCTTGCGGCTCACGCAAAAGTTCCCATAGCTTCGATGGATTATCGCAATCGCCAGGGAAACGGCATCCAGTGCCGATGATAGCAATAGGTTCCTTTGGGTCCATGGTGACGGCCACTATGTGATGGCAATGCGGCGATGGCTTCACGAAGAGACCAACTTCAACAACGAGCAGCGTGGCAGCTGACTAGAGAGACCATGGGCCGTAGCAATAACGGAATCGCAAGGACCTTGCGATCAAGAAATGGAATACGTTGAGGAAATTCCGTGGACCACGTAGAGATGTTTGTTGAAAGAGTTGAGATTATCCAAGTACATCTCCCAACATTTGTCGTGCTAACTCTAGCCCTTTCTATTCTGGCACTCATGATGCTTTGGTTCCTACTCTACCGTTATTCCAATAATTCACATCGGACCAAATCTTCTTTGACGGTTTACGAGTACACCACGAAACCGAGCCCGAGTGTTTCGGACTTCCGACCGTGCTGGTGGCGGGGACATTGTGCTTCGGGGTCGGCATTGGGAGACCTGCCTCTGACAATAACTCGGTGAGTCGAAGTTAATGCGTGTGTGTAAAGAAGACAGGTGGGTTGCAGGTATGGAGTAAGATAAGTATGGAGGTTGTGTTTGCTGTTGTCCGGAGGTTGGGAATCTAGGCGGTGCTCATGTGACAGGTCATCCGAGCTCCGATAGTCCTACGCGACTCTATAGAGAACATTTACTAAAATAATTAAAAAACGTTTTCTAAATATATATATAACTCTAATAAATATCTTTAGTGAAGTAATATTATATTAACTTTAATTAAGATTAGCTAGAGTAAGATTTAAATTTTATTTCCTAAGTAATTTTAATTTACTTTTATTATTTCTCTTAGCTATATATTTTTTATTAATTACTATTAATACTACTAATATTACTTGTATTAATAGTAAATATAATCTATATTATTTATTTATCTTTATTTAATTATATTATATATTTAATTTATAAAATCGAAAAATACTAAAAATAAAAATTTATATAATTATATTATTTTTATTTTTTACTTGTACTCTCCTAACTCTTTACCCATGCTATACTAGCTGTTCGTTAAGAAACACATAGATGCCGCGCTGCCCTATTATCTGCAGTCCTGCCTGATGAGTTCCTGATTATAACTCCACTCTTTCCCCGCATGCAGAAAGCATCTCGGGAGCGAGGTGTACGGAGTACAGTAATCTTTAAAAGAGATCTGTTGCTCGGTTCGGTTGCATCGTTCGGTGCGGCGGTTCGTGCCCTCTCCGCATTTTCCAATTCATCGCTGGGACCCCATCTCCGGTAGCATCGCAAGACCATAGTACAACGGCCTCCAATTCGTCAGGGAACCTTCTTCGAGTCTCTCCACGGAGCTGGTAGCTGCAATGCATGCGAACATTCCTGTCTTGGTAAGAAAGTCGTTTCTATGCACAGTAGGGGATTCTGCAAAGCTCGACCCCAAGGCCAGGAAACTCATTCTTCTACGTTTTCATTGGAAGTAATCCCAGCTTCCACGATGTTCAGATGTTCAGTTTTCATGGTCACTCTGTTACCCCGCTAAGAGTGTGAATTTAGCTTCGATATACCTTTCCGCCCTGAATATTTCAAGTATTGACTACCTTTAGGAATGAGAAGTATCTTATTCCCTAGACCAATATAAGGCCATCAAATGCTTTCTTCCACTGTCAGGCCTGCATATAAGGTCTTGTTGTCTAAGCTATAGTAAGAACTCGCTGCAGCATGCTTCTTGAAAAAGCCCTTCGGAGTTTGAGATGAGTACGAGTACAGGGGACGGGATCGTACTTTGGGATCTGAAACATAATCAGTATTGAGGCCAGGGCTTACGGAATAGACATCCAATGCGGTTCTTCCGTGCCTACCTTAGTGTAACAATCAGGTTTTCATTTGGCTTGCTCTGGTCCATGTCGGTCCTTAAGTGTCTCACGAATCTCCTGCCTTTTCCATATTGTCCAGCATATCACAACAGTTGGACCAGCTGAGGTAGCTTCCAAGCACCTTCAGTCTGCATCTTTCTTATCTTCACAGAATCCTACATACCCGGTATTCGCCCCGCTATTCGCCCCACAATCCGTTCACATTCAAAATGACGAGTGTTGCAGACTTCAAGCTGGCCTCATTGGCCGTTGGCTTTACACTCGGTTTCGGGGTACTCACTGTGTGGACTGCTATCAAGCAAACCAGGGCGGTTCGATCACCACTTCACAGTGTTTATATCTTTATGGTGTGGGGAGAGATCTTTGCCAATGCTGCTGCTATGATCGTCGTATGGATTTTCCTCGAAGGGTACATCAAGCCTGGGTAAGTCTTCTTGACATCGTTAATAGCTACGTCGAAGCTTATCCTCCTGTAGTATACCGGTCTACTTTGGCCTGCTCGTTCTCTGGAGTTTCGAGGTTCAGCTGCTCTTGCAAATCATCGTCAATCGGATTGCTATCGTTGTAGACGATGATCGACTCGTGTGGAAGCTCAAATGGGGAACCGCCTTGATAATGTACGTACCGTCGAAGACCAATCTTCCGCTACTACTGACTGACCTCCAAGCACACTGGTCAATATCGCAGTGTTCTGCATTTGGATCCTAGCCCATTCGCCTCCTTATCATCCGATGTTAGTACTCTTACACGGTGTCCTCTTCCAAACTAACATATTAAGTTTCGTGGAAATCAACAAGTACTGGGACAGATGTTCCAAAATCATTATTATGATTGTAGACGCAGGACTAAATTACTTTTTCCTCCGCACTGTGCAAAAAAGTCTTGTAAAATACCACGGTCTTACGAAATACGCACCACTCGTCAGCTTCAACGCGAAGCTCATGGTGGTCTCTGTAGCCCTGGATGTAAGTATACTTACTGCTATATCCCATATACACGCTAAAATTCTCTCGCAGCTAATGCTCGTGTGCCTCATATCCCTCAAGAACGGACTCGTGTACACGCAATTCCACCAGGTCGCCTACGTGGTCAAACTCAATATCGAAATGTCGATGGCTGATCTAATCAGGAAGCTCGCACGGAAGTCAATCGAAGTACACAATAACGAATTTATCGCTGGGCACTCATCAACCTTCAACCAGACCAACAACCAATCAGATTACCATCGTTCGCACATTCAATCCATGGGCGCCCATAATGCGATTCAGATGCAGGCCGGCGTGAATGCGAGTGCTGTGCAAAGCAAGATGCGAGGAAGTGAAGATGGGCAGCATGAGTGTGCGGGGATCAGGACGCTGAAGGAGGTTAACGTTACAGTGGAGAATGTTAAGACGTCGGACATAGTTTGGAGGAAGAGTGGGAGTGAGAGTGGAGGGGATGTGGAAGATGGGTTTCAGAGGAAGTCTAGTAAAGGGTCTGGGAGTGAGGATGAGCTTCCTTTAGAGCCGGTGCCGAAGGCGAAGTTTTCGGAGTGGAAGAACTAATGAGCGAATTTGGAGTATGGGAAAGGAGTCCAATGTGCTGTTGATGAGGAAGGGCTTGTTTAATTTGTTTTCATTTCGTGTCGGAGCTTGGGTCGGGAGAATGCGGGTAATTAGCACTAAAGGAAGGGTTAGGGTTCATTGTTGTTCTGTCATTCTTTTAACATTTTAAGATAGTGTCATGAAATCAAAGGTTCGCAGGGGCAGAAAGTAAACAAAATCAAATACTGTTTATCAAATACTCGCTTCGGATCATCAGATGTTCTTTCATCTCCCTAGAGCTCCAGGTACAGACTGGCACCCTCATAGAGCTGTCAACCGATACAACCGAGATTGATGAGGCGCACCTAGGCTGATGACGGATGTGTGGTGACCTTCGTGGATATTAGCTACTGGTACTATCTTGTCTCGCGAACTTCTCGGAGCCTACCTTCGGCATCACAAGCAGTACCAGTTGCTGAGTATCAGGAGTTGCCCTTCCAAAGCCTCCTCAACAGTACCAAGGTCGGACATGATGCGAAGAAGGCACCAAGCGATATATAGTCAAAGCATGACCGCACCGCTTGAATTATCGAAGCCCTACCTCTTCACTCGATCTTCCCTGTTGGGAACCTCTCCTCATCTACCGCACTCCCCCTCCTCGGCGCCTTAAACCACCTTCATCATCTGCATATCCATCTCAATATACGTCTAACGCATGCCACTCATCCGGTACTGGTACTGGTACTGCTTCATTATTCCCAGTTCCCTTGCACTCCCGTTCATGCTTTCGCACCTAGTGATCTGTTCTGTTCTGCCCATGACGCGTTGGTACAGAAGAATACAATGGCATATTAGTGGGCGAAGAGCAGGTAAAAAACCACAGATAAGCCTAGTGTCTATTTCGATCAGAGACCAGACTAGGATATCAACGTTGTCGTAAGTAGCGTCGTAGCCGTTTGTAAGAGTGTAGAGGTATTTAAGCCGGATCATGGAGGTAATAAACGCACTTCAACTCCATTAGCACACGAGACGAGGAAATAGGAGAGGAGACATACAACGACCCGACGGAAAAACAACAATCTTCTTCCAGAGATCAATATTAAAGGTTCTTAGCTGCGGTAACGGCATGACTAATAAAGCCAAATCCTGTGCAATACCAAGCGCCGCCCCCGCATGCCCTATAGCACTTAATTGAGACATTTCCCATCGACGGATTTATCCCAGGCATCATAAACCGGATGACATTGAAAAATAAGGACGAGGATAAAAGCAAGGGCCTGAATAACGATAAAAGTAATAAAGATATCGCAAGCGTGGCGGAATCGTGAGGGACGGAAGACGCGGCGGTAAAACAGGAGAATAGCGATCTTCCCAGTGACTTGAATTAGGGTATAGATGATCAAGAGGGGGTAGAAGAGTTTGAGGAGCTCAGAAGCCTTGGCGGGGTCGACATTCCAGTAGTGCTTTCCGAATCCATTGTTGGCTCCTAAAGAATGTTAGGAAAGCAATTGGGATCGTGGAGTTTAAAGCATACCTGTCCATTCAAGAGCAAATCCAAAAATCACCGTGACCTTTCGAGTTTGTTAGTATAACGAAATAAGGCGAGGCAAAGGCGATACGAACTATGCCAAAAATACAAGCATAATCATCAGGCCACCATGCATGTCCGACTATCCATCTCGATCCGGCCCTTATCAGTAAGAAGGGCATAACTAAACATAAAGATAGGACAGAAAATCATCCTAAGGTAAACTTTGTCGAGATTCTTGGGAATACCCTTTACAAATATCTGTTTGGACATTTGCCGCGTCGACTTCAAGGGTAAATGCTTTACAGCTCTGCTGCACGCATTGCGAGATTTGGGCTTGTAGAGTGGTGTTTCTGCATACACATGGCGGGTCGAGTAGTACTGAGTAGTTCGCTACTCGCAGAAGCGTGGTAGAACAGTTCCACTAGTGATAAGGTATATGATCAGCTAAACAAGCACATATTTGGTTGCGAGATTGCATAGATAGACCTACCGCACATGACGGCAAACCCGAAGCAATTTGAGTAACATTTACGGCAGGAGGGGGAGGAGAGGGGGAAAGAGAAGTAGAGGAAGAAGCAGCAGCTAAAGCTATGAAAGCTGAAGCAGAAAAGACAATGGAAAGTACTTTCGTGATGATACGGAAGAAGTCGTGGATAGAAACCTGCATACAGTTAGAGTTCGAGGGTACGAAGGCGTATCTTATCACTCAATGCCACCAGCGCTGCAGCGGGAGTCTAGCCATACGGCATGGCCGCTGTCAGTCGGTATTGTAAACCACCAATGCTAACTTTAAACTTGTTCAGCAAAGAAACGAATCAAGTCCAAAGCGAGGTGCACGAGCAGGCAGACACCAACTCAGGAATCGAAAGGCTTGAGCTGTCAGTCTGAGCGTCTATCCCTCATGATGCAGTGTTGCGAAATTTCGATGATGCGCGCGGCGGTGATAACTCGCCCTCGATCGGTTGTGTAATTATCTCCCTGTCATTTCCATGCTGCTGTAGATACACTACGCGGGCGACGTTTCGACCGGACCTCTTTTATTTCCCTGGCCCGCCCTGAGATCAAAGATCATAACCGCCGCGCATTTCGGAGCCTTCTCTGAGACACTATCGCCACCGTGAAACAATGCGATCTGTGGCCGGTTTCAGTGACGAGGCTGGATGATTGAGGAGGATGGCAAAATATGTGTGGACGGGGGAGACGAAGAGCAGTAAAAACGAGCTGGAGCAGGAATGCAGAAAGGGACGTTGACGACGCAATACAAACCGCATGTGACATGAGACAGAAAGTAGCAGAACAAACGGAGGTCAAAATGCCGGATTCGTGTACACGGGCGTTTCGAAAGTGCGGAACACGTAGGATGCGTCTCGCAACGGGCTGTTTACTTTGCGCCACGACGGAAAGAATCTCAGTAGGTGAGGACCGGGTGGCTCTGCTGGTCAATCGGTGGTGAGAATTTCACACATAACTGCCGTCACATGTGGTCGCGGTCATAAGTTTGGCGAATACAGGCCTGACACCCTGCAATGCCCTGTAAACAGCCTGTAAGGTCTCACCCCCTAAAATATAAGGCCTCTATCCCTAAAATTAGCTGCCGTTAGGCCTTTGATTGGCTGATTCGGCCTATGACGCTTAGCCAAACAATCAGAGGCCCTGAAGCTTGAGAATTTTAGGGGGTGAGACCCTCCAAACTTCTTGTCTTAGTCCAACCCCCCTCTTCCCCCCCCCCCCTATTCATCTTTGGAAGGCAAGAGTCTGCCTCACGAGATCCTAAATCTACTTCGACATGCGATATACCAAGGCCGTGATACAATAAGGTGGGAGGAGTTGGCTGCGGGGGATTGATCACCAAAAATAAAGCCGCAGGATTCGGGACATCCCCCCCTCCCCCCACGCCTTGATCCTTGATCCTCTTCAAGCTCTTCGGTATGTTTCTAGCTAAGACATCGCTGAATCGTCGGTATAATATATATAATATATCTCTTAAGATAGTCTCATCTAGAGTCAAAGTTCGGATAAGAACTTATAAGATCGATCTTAAACTTCTGCTTTTCTTATATTTAATATTTATAAATACTGAAGAAATTATATTATATTTATTACATAAATAAAAGAACTAGTAGTTTGTAAACATAATATTATTCTAGTATATTATTATATATTTACTAATTTTTATAATTATTAGAAAATAAGATATACTATAAAGTAACTTTTCCGAATATTATCTTAGAAATTAGATAAAAATATATATAACTCTTTTAGTTAAATATTCTTTTAGAAGAAATTAGTAATATATATATTTATATTATTTCTTAGATCTAAGAGTATAAAATAAATACTTCTTCGAGAGCTACAATATAACTTAGCTTCTTATTTAGACTTCTTAAACTTTGTTATCTCTCAAGTCTATTAGCAAGTTGATGGCTTGTTAGCTATTTGGAGAATTAAGTATAAATTACCTCTGCCCTATCTATTATTCTTCAAAATCCCCGAACGCACAGACTAAGATATAGCCTATTATACTGAGCCAACGGAAAATACGCCGAATATTACTATACTAAAACTTATAGTACTATTTGGAAACTCCTTATCCCCCCAACTATTCTCCGTATGTTTCGCCTCAAGTATTACACGCGTATGATACGCAAACGTTGAGGTGAAAAAGCGACGGGAAAGTAGAAACAGGCAAGTCCTGTGAGGCATATAATTCTTAATGACGTTTGAAGTCGTTCACTAATTTGGATGCCCTGAGTTTCTAACCCTTACAACTTAGTTCAATATCCATTTCTTGAAGATTCAATTAAGCCCTTTGCCAAATGCCTGCCAGGATTCCTGGAGAGGAACCAAGTATATAAGCATGGAAGCATTATGTTCACAAAGCTTAGAGTCGCTGTCCTTATTGAGCCAGTTACATCTCATTAAAGAGTTCCAACAGAAAACTTCGTACCAATACAATTCCTAATCGAAGGGATCCTCATGTTTAGTCATCCGGTCATTTATTACTGCTTCAACAGAGATAGCCTATCGAAACGACGGACCCTTTCTGATGCTTAATATCCAACTTACACTCTCCGGCGAACTGGCATTTCTGCTTCAGCACTTATATAGCTACGACCATGGACGCAGAAAATTCTCGCCGGAGCGCTTGTGATCGATGTCGGGGCCAGAAACTTCGCTGCGTGAGACGACCGAGCAACCCCAACACAGCCGATCAAAAAGCCTTAGAACCCTGTGAGCGCTGTATCAAAGCTGGGGTCGAGTGTATTCACACCATTCATCCACATCCTCGTCGGAAGGCATCGAGAATTCATGAGCAAATGCCCCCTCGATCAGTGTCGTCTCTTCCATCCGATGTATATCGAACAGCTACCAGCGTGGACTTCATTCCATCAGCCGAGAGCGATGAAGGAACATTCGTCTCTAAAGATCTAATCTCCTTGCCAACTCCTCAATCGATATCGGGTCACCAAATGAACGGGACCGGCCGAGACCAGTATGAGACGGCGTCTCCGTCCAAGAGAAGGTTGACAGCGCCCACGATCCGACTACAATCTGGGCGTCCGAAGTTCCAACACAACAGAGGCCCTCGCCATCGAACATCCTCCTTACCATCTAGGCAGCTCTCTTCTACTCCAGAGGGACCCCTAGGATTTCGTCCCGATGCTCCGTTTGACTCTGAGGACTTCGATCTCGCAATGTGGCTGGACCCAAACCCCACCCTCTCCCACGATGATCAAAACGTGGCTGTGACGCAATTGTGGTCCAAGCCAACCGAAAATGCCATGCACTCCTCCCTGAACGTCTCCGCAAACGTCAATGCGAATGACGGCTCAAAGCTGATGCCGAACAACGACGGCGGCAAAGAAGAATGCCTGCATCTCTTGTCGGAGCTCAGCTCGCGGCTTTTGAAGGAGTTTGGCAGAAGGAACTCTATGAAGCTCGAAGATATTCTGTATTCTTTACCAGAGTGTAGTCCCTCACAACCAGATGGTTCCAACGGGATGGATACGGTGTCTATCTCTCCCAAGAATACGATCGGCATGTTGCTAGAGAGCACTCAGAGTTTCTTAGAAGTTCTTAAACATCTCGAACTCGATCAATTCTCATCCTCAAATTCCGAGTGTGGCTACTCGGAGGATGGGGATGAGCTGCAATTGGTTTCCACCACGGATGATTACAGTTGCAATCAGCAGGACGCAACTACGATGGGCTTTGGTGGTGGGAATGCAAGCAGCCACTCTGCAGATTTCAGCAGCTCGGCGAGATCTCGTCACTTGGCAGATACGCCCGATATGCCCACCACAATGATGATACTCACTTCATACACTTGGCTTTTACAGGGCTACGAAACAGTGTTCTCTGAAATATACAAAACACTTCTATCCCGTGCTAAGTTCTCTGGCGAAGCATATCCAGTCCACTCAGTTATTCCAGGACTCCAGATCGGTGGCTTCGCCCTCGACAATCACCGAGACCTGCAGCTTGAGATTCTAATCCAGATAAGCACCGTAATGCTTGAACGAGTTGAGATTGTCTTGGGGGTGAAGGCGGTTTCGCAGCAGCCCTCAAGTAGCCAAGATCGATCGCAAAATTCAGGGCGTGGGATCTTTGGCAATATGGCATCGGCCTCTACACTGCTGGAGATCTGCTTCAACAACAAGGATGTAGGGGCTGCTAACGGTGATCGTCATGGTGGGCCTGAATTGGTGAGGGAGACGATGGAGAATATCAGGGCGTTTCTAAGGGACAGAGATGGATTCTCGATCGACGAGGTCCTAGACCGGTAGATAGCAGTTAGTCCTGGGTTGAAACTCGAGCAGGATACAGATCCTGCTACCAATCCGAGTCCGAATCGGAACCGGACTCGGAGCTTTTCATTCTCGGTGAACTTTGCCCCTTGCTTATGATTCCAAATCAGGTAGACTAATTTCAAAAGTTTCAAATAAGCCATGATTTTCCAAACGGGTCATTCAAGCCGGCTTGAACAAGCCGAAAGATTCGCATTTTCTTGTTGAATTTGCGTTACTATTCGGCAGTCGTTGCCATTGCATTCCGCTCCATTATTATATAGGCTTAGAGAGACTGGCTTAGCAGGCGACTTGTTGGATTGATCTAGAAGCTTATTAAAAGGGACCAGAAGAACTTTGCTATCTAAGCAATACACACTGCTAGCGGTGCTAGATCCCAACAATGTCTGACCCCGCTTTCGCATCGAAAGAATCGAAGGAGGCCATCGTATCTCTCAGCCCCAGTGATCCCACAGATACCCCATACTGGTGGAAGGACCGTGGGCTACGGAGCTTGAATCTTCGTCTCCTCGCAATCCTCATCAGCCCGTTGATGATAGGATATGATGGTTCCTTGATAGGTTCATTGTTAGCGATGCCTTTTTGTAAGTCTCAGAGCATGTGCAAGCTACTTTGTGTAAACTGTTTAAAAGCTAACAAATATAGGGTACCGAGGTAAGGGTCGAAGCTCAGCATGTTTACAGATATTTGAAAGTTTATATTAACCAATTTTTCAGACTTAGGAGTAAGTCCTAAAGATAGCAAACTCATTGGTCTTATGAGTGCTGGATATTCATTCGGGGCCATCATGGCTTTCCCCCTGTCGAGCTGGATTGCAGACCGCTTCGGGAGAAAGACCTTGATCATGATTGGAGATGTTATTATCATTGGCGGAGGTGAGTTCCTGTTTGAATACCCCATGACCTAGCAAAGATTTCTAACTGTCGCTCTTGCAGTGCTTGGCCAGATCTTCTGCTTCAACGCGCGCCTCTACGTGCTCACTCGCTTTATCGTGCGTATTCCTAATCAAACTATGTACAAACTTAGTCTAACACTCGATCAGCTAGGTTTCGGTGCCATGTTGATCATTGCTGGTTGTCCCGTGCTGCTTACGGAACTCGCTCATCCCCGTTATAGAAGTAGCCTGGTGGCAGGATACGCAAGTCTATTCTTTCTGGGATCCGTTAGTGAGTATACTTGTCTTGTTGCCGCTGTTCATCGTAACTCCGCTGAAATATTATCACAGTAATGTCTTGGACCTGCTTTGGCACCGTTAACATCCCAAACCAATGGAGCTGGAGACTTCCCACAGTTCTGCAACTCTTGCCACCGGCGATTCAACTCCCATTAATGCTACGAGTGTCAGAATCTCCAAGGTGGCTGATTTCTCGCAGCCGCCACAGCGAGGCCAAAGAGATCCTTACACGGTTCCATGGCAACGGCAGACCGGATTCAGAGATAGTGGCACTTGAGTACAAAGAAATCTGTGAGGAGATTCAGTCGGACCCCAAAGGCCACTCCACCAACTGGGCTTTATGGCTCCAGGGCCCCGGAAACCGTAGGCGACTACTACTTGTCGTTACTTGTACCATCTTCGCATCGTGGAGTGGTGGGAACATCGTTATAAACTATTTTGCTCTCGCATTGAACCAGGTTGGCATCACCAGCCCAGCTCAGCAAACAGGAATCAATGGTGGACTCCAGATCTTCAATTTCCTCGTGGCCTTGATATCGGCGAATGTTGTTGATAAGTTCGGCCGCCGAAAACTTTTCTTGCTGTCTAGCATCATCATGCTTCTCGCAATGGTGGGCTTTACCGTGGCCACTGAAGAGTTTGCGAGAGATGCACGGTCTGGTCCTGGTCGTGCACTCGTGGTTCTATTCTTCCTTTTCCAGTTCGGCTACGACATAGGGTACGCTCCACTGACAGCTATGTACGTTGCTGAAATATGCCCTTACAACCTTCGGGCGAGCGGCATCGCATTACATTACACTCTTACGTCTGCTAGCCAGGCCGCCAGCCAGTATGCGAACCCAGTCGCCTTGGAGAATATAGGGTGGAAGTATTACCTTGTTTACATTGCGATTTTGGTTTTCGAGGTTATCTTTTCTTATTTCCTATTTCCTGAAACAAAGGGCTATACTGTGGAACAGGTCGCGAAGATATTCGATGGGCAAGAAACAGAGCGTTCAGAGTCAGATGCTTAGGTAGCTTTGCTATAACGAAGTTGTTATTATGTACTTTGCTAGGCTATTATCTGGACAGCAGCGTTTTGCAAATCACGGTACTGTAGTCTAAAATCGAGGCTTTGAATTTGGAAGCGCTATTCACCTTGTTCAAGGAAAGGGGAAACCCAGGGTATGTAACTACTACAAAGGTCAACCATTTTTATAGTACTAGATTTATAAACTTGACTGTGCTGCTGAAGGAACTCAAGACGATTGCATCTTCCTGACCTGAATAAAGACTCGCATAAGATCCACAGGATCCGACGCCGAGTCAATACGATGCTTCTTCTGGATAATAAACAACGGCACTCCCGCATTCGTCATTTCCTTACTCTCTTTCGCCTGTTGATCTACTACACTTGCTCCTTCATCAGAGTCTAGCCATCTGTCGACCTGTGCTGCATCAATCCCCGCCCGCAGAGCAATGCTCCTCAAAACACTCCTCTCCGACACATCCTGAGCTAGAACGTGATACGCCTCAAACAAGCCCTCTACTAGAGTGTTCTGCATCTCCCCGTCTTTGTCGAGCTTGCTCTCAGCCCACCGAATCTGTGCTAAGTGAATGAGCCGGTGAGCGTCCCGCGTATGAGGGCCGATCTTGCCTCCCCAGTTGAACTGGATCCCAACCCCACGCCCGAGTCTGTTCATGCGTTCCGTCAGCGCGGTGCGCTGCTGGGGCGTTGTGTCTGGAAGGCGGACATCAATTAAAGTGTGCTTTTCAACGCTGAATGGATGTGGATTGTAATCCAGATAGTATGGAGTCCAGGTGATCAAGAATGTGTCCTCTTTCCCACCTGGGTATGTCTTTTGGTACAAAGAGATAGCTGCGTCGAGGTTACGCTTCGCGATATAGCACCACTTTCCAAGTTAGTTGCAAATTTTACGCTGCATCCTGAGACCTTCAAACGGCAGAGGGAGGGACCACTTACAGCGCAGATTATATCTGATATCACTTGTATTTCTATAATAGCCATGCTGAGATGCAAGCTAAATTAGGTTTCCCTTCGATTCTAGAATAGATAGATTGATTGAGTGGGAGTACGAAAGATGGTGAACCAGTTCTCGGCGTAGTGAACACAGCCCGACAGAGTTTACAGTAACTCATGTAATTTGTCAACCACCACCGGCAGCAACCTCTCCCGATATTTCATGCAAACATCCAGCTCCGTTTCCAACTCTGCGCTGGTTTCCGATTCTCCCCCGTTTCCGACTCCGACCCCGAAAATGCTTCTTTCCTTTGCCCTACTCGGCCTTCACGATAGTGACCCAGCGGATTGTCACCCTATGCGAGTATTCTAGATTGAGGCTTGGCTGGCTCTCTGCTTCTTGCTATGGAGGCTAGCTAACGACACTGACTCCGACTAGTTGCATCTAGACGTGCGCTTCATCGAGTACTAATACGTTAAGCATCTCTTACCAAGAACAAAGAATTAAACAACTGCGTCTACGTTCACATTACCTATCTCAATTTTGCAACGATTCCCACAAGAGCCATGGCATACCAAGACGGTCACCTCGGCGGCGACGACCCCAATATTGTCAAGTTCTACGAGTCCCGTCGTGCTGAGTCTTGCTGCCACTACCTCCTCCCCCATCTCAAACCCAGCTACTCTATTCTTGATGTTGGCTGCGGTCCTGGTGGTATCACTTCGGATCTGGCAGGGTAAGAATTCTCTGTGCCTTGTCTTGGGTATCGAGCGAGAATGAAAATGAGACGAGTCATTTGATCCGCTACCTAACAATATTCCAGACTCGTTCCTCATGGCAAAGTTCTCGGTATTGACCTATCTCCGGAAATCGTTGCGCAGGCCGCAATGAAATACCAAGCCCCGAATCTATCCTTTGAAGCGGGTGACGCGGAGATCTTGGATGAGAAATTCCCCGAGGCCAGCTTTGATGTTGTCCACGCGCATATGTCCCTTCTACATTTCAAAGATCCTGTCAAAGCTCTGAAAGCGTGGTACCGTATTTGCAAGCCAGGTGGTATCATCGCGTGTCGCAACGGGAAGAACTTCGATATCATCTCGCTCAAGCCGGATTTGCCTGTGATCAGAAAGACCTGGCCGCTGAACGAAGACTGGATGAAGTGGAGGGGTTCCGATCCAGAGGCAGGGCTGCACAAGGAGGAATGGGCTCGTGAGGCAGGTTGGTTGGACGAACAGAGGGGTGGAAAGCTAGTCATGAGTGAAAGTCGACAGGTACACCCTATCCCTATGGGTGCTATCACAGGCCCATTCCTCGATGTTCTTATCAAGGAGGGCCGAACGAGCGCGGAGGAGATGGTTAGGTTGGATCAAGCATGGAAGGAGTGGGAGGCCACTGAGGGGCATGAGTTTGTCACGCTGGCTTCTGAGATGTTATATTTCAAGACAAAGTAGTGAAAATTGGAGAATTTCTCTTCCTAGGTATCTGTCACATTCGCACCACCCCTGTACCTCTCAAGCCACCTGCGGTGCTCGGGTAGCTCGTGGAGGTAATAGGAGGGGCACGCCAGAGTACTTAAATAGCTCCTATAGAACACTCACTTGTTTTCTCTCTTTAGTTCTACTCAATACAATATCATCCTACATATCTTGATAGGTCTATATGCGTGGACCCATTTTTGGCTCTTCTGTCACACTACCTTTATACCAGTAGTCTGCGTGACCAAAATTACGACGAAAGCAATGCTTGAAGAAGGGAGATTATTATAAACAGTTTAGGTATTGAGAACTTCCCTTAAATTCTAGTATAACACGGTAATTAATGACTCCTATGCAGAATCAGGGTTGGGAAACCGTGTGGAATAGCTGCCAGGGTAATAACGGTATTGGATTGTTATACCCTGGCTCCTCTCTCACTAAGGTAGACAGCTCTAGGCAGCTATAAATTACTTACGAGCTTACAATGTACAGTAAATAACTAGAAATAAGTATTCAATAAGCATAAGATATATAAATGTTGAATCTAATTAAGACTAAACGTTGTGTTGTTACGCGCTTCACATCCTAACATGAATTCCTAAAGTAAGCCTTGCGCATATCTGGCGGGGTATTGAGACGGTATGAAGGATCAAGATGTATCCGGCCCATGAAACCACTGTTTCGCCATCCTGGCATCTCTTGCTCCCACATTATCCACCTACGCTCCACGTCAGCCCAGGACTTGCCTCCTTTCGTCTCTTGTGCACCCGTCTCGTTATCATCATCGTTCAACAAAGCGGCCTGATCGACTTCTTCATCTAGATTCGAATGCAAATCTCTCTCAAACAGGACCGCCAAAAAGCCCACTCCGGCAAAGATAATCGCGACCTGCCAAACCCTTCTCAGGCTCAGCTCGTACAATGTTATGATAGCGTCACGTATCATCGGGAAGGAATCGACAAGCGTCGGCGATGCCTGTTCATATGCCTGGCCACGAGACAGCCTTGACTGGGCCACATCGTCGTGTAAGCCTGGCAGAAGTGTATCAAATCGATTGTTGAATATTGCGGCCGGAATGCTCACCCCAAAGATGGTTCCAACACTCCGTACGAATGCAAAAGTAGCTGTGCTGGCCGCGTTGAGGGCTGGTGGGAGTTCGGATTGGATTGTAGTTAACAAGGAGGGTGTAACCACGCCCATCCCAAAGGCACAAAGGAGTTGAGTCACCATCCACACGGCTGTGGAGGTATTGCGGTCCCAGATAGTGAACGTGCCTAGTGAGATAGTGATAAGTGCAAAACCAAAGATCTGCACGTGTTTGAACCGGCCGAGCTTCGAAACGATTCCTCCTCCAATAGCAGCTGAGAAGCAATAGAGAAAAGAGAATGGCAGAATCTGAAGGCCTGAACGCGAGGGAGAAACCAATAGAGTCGACTGGAAGTAGACGGGGATAAAATATAAGACCCAATATGAAATGATCGTTTGTATGAATGTTGCAATGAACCCAGCTGCAGATGTTCTGTTGGCAAATAAGACCAACGGTATCATAGGCTGCGGACAAAGTGGCGATGCTTCGAAACCTATCAACAGAACAACGCCCAACAACGCCATAATGAGGGTGACAACAATGGTTGGATGGGACCATTCGTACCGAGTCCCTCCGTATGTCAAGGCGAAGAGAAGGGACGATATTGATCCGCAGAGAATAAGAAGACCGATAAAGTCAATCTTCTTGATCTTGTCCATCGTGGATTCGTCAAGCTTCTCATGCTCTATTCGAAGAAGCAGATATAAAAGGATCAGCGATCCTCCACCAAATGGCAGATTAAGATAGAAGCACCATCGCCAGGAGACACGCTCCACGAGGATGCCACCGATGAATGGACCGGTGACAGAACCCAAAACAATAAAGACAAACATGAGTCCAAGGAATTTTCCGCGGTCTCTCAAAGGGAGCAGATCAACCAAGATTAGCTCGACAAGCATATTAATACCTGCTGCTCCCAGACCTTGTACCGCTCGCCCGCTGATGAGCATATTAGACGTACTGGAGCCACCGCAGATACCGCTGCCCAAGGTGAAAAGAGCCACGGCGCCAATTGTCAGCCATCGTCTGCCCCAAAGGTCTGCTAGCTGACCGTAGAGGGGTTGCACAGCCGCACTACCTTTTAGTAAGTAACAGCATTACCGGGAGAATGGCAGTTCTTGCGAATTATTGCTTACCTGGTGAGGAAGTAGACGTTGACAATCCAAACATAGTCTGCTTGAGCGTTGATGGCACGAGAAATAGCAGGCAGGGCAGTTGCAACAACAGATCCTTCGAGGGAGCTCAAGAAGGCCGTAAGAGCTAGACTGGCGAATATCGCCCAGAAACGCCACCCGCGGCCAGAAGCTTTCGTCTCAATTGAAATTTCAGCCCTATTAGAGGAAGAAACAGGACCAGGTGCCTTTTCATGGGCGATGCTGCTAACCGCTGGCATCTTTTTCAGGTATCTTCAATATGATATCCAGCTAGCAGTTTTTCATATAATCGTGTACGGTTGTCCGCGTGTGCTTGACGAAAACAAAGATAGCCAGGTGTGGTAGAAGTTCAGAACATCTACTCTCGGCGTACCGAGTGTCTAATGAGTCCGGCACCGCTTGCGACTATTATCCCCGAGCAATCTATAGTGTTTTATCATGGGATCTTGTAACCACCGAGTCGGAACTCCGACTCGGCACCCGAGCACCAAGAAAGCGAACAACACAGAACCTGTAAAATTAAACATGGGATATGGTTTTTAACACTGATTCTCCTGCTGTCTCTAAACCACATTTTCCACAATAGAAGTGTCTTACAATGTTAAGCATCAGAAACGACTTCATTGAGCCATTCATGGTGATCCGCCAGACCCTAGCCCCATTGAAGCTATCCAGGTGGCAATGCACAAAGCTGTTGTTGGGAACCTTTGTTAGAAGCCTGTCCGGAGGTGCAATCGCTGTCTTGGCAGCATTGCTCTTGATCCTGTACCAGCTGTTTAGGTCTCTCAACAGGCGCCTACGTCTGCCTACAGAGTTACCAGTGCTTAAAACAAATGCCTCACACTTTGAAGATATTCTAAAAGAGGCACGAGTGAAGGTTGGTAGCAGCACCAACTTACCTACATGGACAAGGGCTAAATAATCATGTGAAAATGATAGTACCCGAATTCCCCTGTTCTTGTCAAGAACAACCGTCACGCCTTTGTTATTTACCCAGGTCAATGCTTCGACGAACTCAAGCGCCTGCCGGAACACACTGCTTCCGCTAAGGGGTTTTTTCATGCCGCCAACTATGGAGACTGGAGCCTTATCGGTCGCGAGACAAGTACACTTTTGAAGGGCATCATGGCGGACCTCACTCGCTCCCTTCCCGCCAGAGTGTTTAGCCGCCAGCAGGACTGTCGAATGGCTTTTGACTCGACCATCGGATACTGTCCTGAGTGGAAGGAATTCAACCTCCTTTTTACAACATTTGATCTCGTCGCGCAGATTAACGCCTGCTCGTTCGTGGGGAGAGAGCTAGGTTGCAATCGAAAATGGGTGCGCGGAGTCATGATGTCGCCCATTATCATCCACGTTGCTGTGACTATGATGGATTCGCTACCAATATTGTTGAGGCCGCTGTTGGTGCCACTCATCTTCCTACCCGCGCTCAAGAACCAGTGGGACATGAAACGCCTGCTGGTTCCCTACTTGAAGGAGGATATCAAAACTTTCAACGAGGCTGTGGACAAGAAGGAGCTGCTTAAGCCCAAGTCAGAGGGCAAAATCCCATTCACGGCTATTTTGCTCTCGAGATACAAGGCAGCCGAGGCAACCATCAGGCAGTTGGTCGAGGACTATGTTTTGATCAGCTTCGACTCGACTCCGTCAACGACTTCGGCACTCTATCATGTCATTTGCGAGCTGGTAAAAAATCCAGAGGCAGCAGATATCCTCCGCAGAGAGCTAAACGAAGTCATTGTGGATGGAAAACTACCCTCTTCCCACTTGCAAGAGTTGAAGAGAATGGACAGCTTTCTCCGCGAGTCTTTTCGATTACACCCGGTCAGCCTCTGTAAGTTTCCGGTTCCATCCCCCACCCTACCTGGCTTGAGCAGGGCAAACCAAGGCAGGGTATCTTGTGCTAATTTCGTGTCTTAATTTCTCGATGCAGTCAGCCTCCAACGCTACCTCGAAAAGCCAGTGAAGCTTTCCGTCGGACCAACCATTCCAGCTGGCGCAATCATCGGCCTTGATGCCCAAGCCATCAATCGCTCCCCCGAGCTGTGGCAGGACCCAGAAAAGTTCGATATGGACCGATTCTACAATCTGCGCAACCAACCTGGCAACGAGAGCCGATACCACTTCCTGACCACGGGATCAGACTCACCCGGGTGGGGAGACGGCACTCAGGCCTGCCCAGGTCGCTTTTTCGCGACAAGCACTATCAAAATTGCATTTGCTCACATACTCCTCAACTATGATATCGAGTTTAAGGAGGGTAGTCTTCCTATTAAGATTACTCCTCTGGCTAATGGAACCTGGAAGCCTGACGATACACTCGTTGCCTGTTTTAAGTCAAGGACGTAGAAGGGTTGTGTTGGCTAGAAGTATGTTATATTGAAATGTTAGATGAAGTTTTAGGAGTCTTCCCCCACCCGGTCAAATTCTCTACCAAATAAAAATCAATATCCTCTTTTGTAACTTTGTATATAAAATAACTACTTATTGTGGTGGGGTGGAATTGCAGGGTGTCACGTGAGCGTGCGGCAGGAGGGAATAGGGGTATAAAAGGGGTTTCCGCATACGTATATTCTTATCTCTCTCTAGGTAGCTACAACTCTAAAACCTTGATTCGCAGACAACTACTTCTACTCCGTCATGGCACTTTAATTAAAGAACTATGTCTCTATTCGACTTTAATTATAAGTACGACGATATTAAGCTAAAGAGAGAAGGAGAGAGAGTATAACTTTTCTAGGGGTAAATATCCCCCTATTTAAGTCACATGACAGTCTACGGGGTCGGTTAGTGTAGGTGGGCGTACATATCGGGTGTCCCTCTCAATACGGAAGTTAAGTGATCTAAAGTAATCGTAAAGGGATTGAATAGCTAAGGTAATTGAAATAATTAGTCGTATGCGACGTAGACGGAGAGGTAAGCTCTCCAGTGTGTGCGCTCGGCTAATAGTTCTGCCGACGCTAATGTCAGGGTCACATGACAGTCACATGACTGATTCTTGACAACTGTTAAAGCTACTAATAGTGCAGAGCGTAGTTGGTATAACTGGTCACAGCAGCTGGAATGGCCTTTAACAAAGACTAAACAAAGTCTAACTATAAGTTATATGTAACAGTTCATCAGTCACTACCCCGCGGGTATATAACTGATGTAGTGTAAAGTTTCTGTTACGTAGCAAAGTAAAGTAATAATTACTGTGAAGGGGTAGAAGTACTTGACTGCGAATCAAAGTTTTGGAGTTGTAGCTGCCTAGAGAGAGAATAAGAATACACACGCGCCCGGAACCCCTTTATACCCCTATTCCTCCGGTCGCACGCTCACGTGACACCTGCAGTTCCACCCCACCACATTACTTTCATAGTTCTCTGTAGTGATACTATATATTACCCGAGCCTCAGGCTATAAAGTTGGCGTTCGTAACAGAATAATTACTAGCTACTTCTATTATTATTATTTGAGTTTCCCAGTATATCTAACATCTTTTATATATAGTAAACCGTTATAATAAAAGCTTTTAACAAGTTTAACACTAAAAGTCCTACTTTTTAACTAAGAATTAAATAGTATAATCATGAGATTAATAAATATATTTAAAGGATTGTTTAGAATTACTTTAGTAATCTCAGTCGCAGTGTTTGCCCTCCTGAGTTTAGCGACCAGTCCTCTGAAAGTTTTCACCCAGGACTGGGTTATCAATCTAGAACCCGACCAGCTCGAGAGGATCGTTGGGGAAACCAAATCTGCGAAGAAGCGCTGTTCTAAACTTGCGAAGAAGATCGATGATTTGTCTAACGCCTTGAAGATACTTAGAACATAGTGATTGGTCCTTGTTGTTATTGCACATAGCCCTGTGGTCCGTGACCATGAGCCAGGATCCCCCGTCTATCGCCCGCCTCTCACACTCCCAAGGAACTATGGAGGACCGTCAGAACTGACCTCCTTCAGAACCGACGTCCTGCCAGAACCAGGTGTCCACGCATGGGCGACTAGTCTACACATTAGCGGGGCACGTAGACGTAGACACACCCTGGGAGTTGGTGCTGGACGACAGGCGCCCGCACGGCCGCCGTCTGTTGTCTGTTTGCAGGCTTGGCAAGCAATGCCCTGTCGCCGCCTGGTGCCAATCCCAGCTGGCTGTAGTGGCATCAGCTCTTTCTGTAGTATCGCTGGTCTTTCTCTTGTCTTCATGACATTCCACTCATCTCTGTATTCTAAGCCGGAAGGATAACGCTCTTGTTCTATTTCATTGTTCATGTCATGTTAAGGTGTGAAGATATTCTGTCGTTCTTATAAGCACCTACTCGGAATTGATCTTTACGTTGGTCGCTAATACAAACTATCGGAATCCCTTTAACAAGCAACATTGAGATAATAAGCTTCTCAATTGTATTCAGTGCTCTATTGATAAGCTTATCTCATAAAATCCTAGTTAGAATTGGTATTCGTTGAAAGGTGGCCGGTTATCCGGTAACCAGACTTTTGTCCTATCAGAACCAACCACAATCGTCCTGCGAATCTCGTCGTCCTTAGCTTGTAATCGATCTCTTCCTATGAATTTGCCTCGAGCCGCGTTATCATATGCATCACCTATAATACTTTTCTCCAAAATGATTTCTCGTTGTTGACGAAGCTCAAGCGATTTGTCCCCATAGTACTTACCGTGGACGGGCCGACTGAAATGTATCCAGAGATCTTTGATGCTTTTCAACTTTACTAGCGGCTCCGCAAGATGTTGATACAGCTGCCATTCTTGTGCTTCCAGTTCGGCACTGTCGTCTACGCCGGTCGTATACCATGCTTCAGTGGCGCCTCGTGAGGTTTCATCCACGACTCTGAGGCCTAGTCGATGCAGCACAAGGTTCTGGGAAATGAAGTCTATTGCCATAGTCCAATTCTTCTGGAATTCTGTGCCTGAATCGACGAGATGATAGTCGAGACCTGAGAGCTCGATACGAAGATTGCTAAGGTACTGCAGGGCGGTGGGAGGAAGTTGTTGGAAGAAGCAAAGGAGATGTAACGAGTCTGGGGGATCTGGCGAGGCGTCTCCAGGATATGCCACAAATGTGTTCTTAGAGAAAAAGATCTCTGTAGCGTATTCGTGTAATTTTCTGCTGACAAGGAATAGCGCTGACGGAAATACCCAACACTGGCATGGCATGGATGAAAAGGCTGCATGGCGCACAGAGCAGAAGCAAGCCTCAAGGGCATCGGTGCATTGTCGACAACATTCAGACGTGGATAACCCACCTCCATGATACCAAGCAACTTTGAATGGGGAGACAAGATCAGTGTGGGTGAGGATTCGCCTCTGGATTTCTACGGGTAAAGCACCAAAATTGAAAGGTTTCAGATGGTCAGTTGGATTACTTGTCAGCCGATAGACCGCTTCCTCGGCGAGACAATGAACGGCAGGATTTGGGGCCTGTCCGAGGCGTATTGAGCATTCTGCCAGTTGTGGCAGCTGAATTGATACGTCGGTGAATGGCTTGGCAGTGGCATAGTCGAGCGTGTCACAAACGATGCTCAGTCTGAGACTAGCCGGAGACAGATACATTGCGAGGCGGGGGAGTAACTGGTTCCGCTCAGAGATCAGTTCCCGGCCAGCCGCGTTCTCGACTGAGGCTGGGAAGTCTCTCCCTATCTTGCAAGTCATATGACATTCCTGACACCCTTTCAGGAAGCTATTGATCAGGTAGTCGTCATCGGAGCACTGATGATTGGGAACACATGAACAAGCATTCAACTTGATCGAAAGGGACCTCAGGGACTGCAGTGCGGCAGAGCTCAAAGCGAACAATGATGAGAGACCACCTTGATCACTTCGACAGATTCGAAACATGTTCTCCGCATAAAGAATCGACGATACTTCATTGTGAACGGCTTTGGAGACGCGCAGAAGTGCGATTGGTAGAGGCATGCACATACAGTCAAACCCCTCGGGTGATGCTACAACACATTTATTCCAAGAGCGCTTTTGTCGATAGAAGCATCTCGAATTTGCCTGGGAATTGGAATCTCTGACTGGAATGTCTAAGCAATACGCCATGCATTCAGCGAGGAACTCAGCTTTGTTGACTCCTTCGGTGTTCAGACTAATTGGACAGAACCGGACGAGACCAGCTAAGATGTAAATGGACCGCCGAACAGGTGGTGGGAGGTCTGTGAAGCAAATAGGTTGTCGCTGATCTGAATCTTGGTACTGAGCAGTTGTCATGATACAGAACGCCGGGATAATTGAAGAGCGCAACACGATGTTGTTTTTGTAGACCGACAAGTAATAAGTGAGCGATACTTATGAGCGCACGGTCCTTTTTAGTGACAGAATTCGATTCGCTTGAAAATTTATTCCTCCCCCAAACTCAACTACTTCAACCCTCAATTAGTGGCCAACTGCGATAGTTGACTTCATAAAATCCCGTTGTCCTTTGCCTCTCGCACGCCTCTACTGATTGCCATCAGTAGGTTTATTCCCTCCTCGATACAATTTGGGAAGGGTAATCATGCATGACCATTCGGATTGTGCCGCATGCTCGCCATATCTGATATGGCTCGACAAGCCCTCCTGTGTCATTTGTCAACATCCAGCTATAGACAGAGAAATAGTAATAGCCGGTATATACTATTAATAATCGCCTCCAAAATGTGTGGTTCTAACCGAGAATCCGTAGTACTAGGGACAAAATCTGGCGTGCCATCGGGTTTAACAACACCGCCATTCGAATTCCCCCCCTACGGATCCAACTTCGGGCATACAACAGTGAACAATAGAGGGAGTGTGCGCTATGGAGAGAAGCTGTGGCGCCTGTGCCGTTCTCCGTTATGTCGGGCCAGTAGAAGGTGTCTAGAGACATTTATCTTCCACAAAGACTGTTTCTGGTTCGCAAAGCTTAAATCTCCAACGCTCACCCTCTCTTACATCTTTGAAGTAGGATTCTGGTCACGTCCATACTCGTCACGTCCATACTCAGGACTATGCTATCAAACTCGTCTGCCTTGGGTTTCCCCGGAGCTGGCTGCTTATACGGATACGGATTACACAAGAGATGTGCTTGACGGCATAATAACAACGGGCGATATTATAAAGTTTCTTGAAAGCCTTCCATCTGAGCTTTGCCAATTGGTTAAAAGTTACTGCCCTGAATCTCCGTTGTGGAGATATAGTGTTGCAGTTGCATGGCCCCCAAAGACGTTTCTAAAACTAGGAGAGAGCAATATCGTAACTGTATCCCTTAGGGACTTAGACGGATGGGTTCGAGGGACTATACTCCCAAACTCCGAGGAAGCTACATTGTGTAGGCGTATTCTAGCACGAATAAGCCTAGACAATGACGGTATACGAAAAGTAGAATTTCTTAATGACTGGCCCGACGCTTCTTCGAGTTTTCTTCCCACTCTAGGCCAATGGTATATCGTCGAGGATTTTGAGGACACTAAAGTTGAATTCCTATCAAAGGTAAGTACACGAGGTATTACAAGTAATTTTGCTGATTATTTAGGGTGGTTGTTTACAGCTTAAGTTTTGTCAAGGGGGTTGTAACGTATGGGATACTCCTAACCCTCCACGCCCAGACCTCTACCGTTTTGTAGATTGTCGTAAGTTATGGCATCCACGAATCAGCCGTATTCCAGTGGTTAGAGGCATTACGGGCATAACTGTATTTTTGCATAATGGCTATATTTATGGTCTTCATGCGCACCGAGACGGCTCGTCAGTTGCATTTGACTTTTCTATACTCCGTCTTCGCTTCTCCAATCCTATTTGGTTGTACTTTCCACTCGTTTTAGAAGAAGAGATTCAAGCAGTGTGGATTTGCCACAGGGAAAGGGGAAAGAGCTACACATTCACAGTAAGTGATTTTTGATTGTACCATATCCTAGAGCCCTATCTGTTAGATCTAATAGCACGTAGGTCAAAACGTCCTATGGCAGGACATATAAATTCGGCAGCCAAACCGATGATCCTCACAGTACCATCCAGTGTCTAGGCTATGGCTCTATAAAATATCTCTTGTATAATAATCCTGATCCAGGAGAAGCAATATGGGGTCTTGGCGTCAGCCAAAATACAGAAGAGAATCCTTTGCACGAACTAGAATATCCTACAGCTATTGAGCACCCCTCTAATAGTAAGGGCATATACTACTCTCGAGCGTCATTAGAAGGCGTGTGTAAGGTTGAGTGTTTTCTCGATGATAACAACCCTGATGGGGTTGTTCAATCCTGTATTGGTGTTCTACTTCACTATTCTGATAATCGGAGAGAGGCACTAGGAGAATGCCGTATAGGGGTTTCCAAGACTATTCATATCAATGCACCAACAATGCTACATCTCAGGCCAGGTTCTAGCGAAGAGTTGCACTCTGGAGTCTGGTTTACGTCTTTGGCAAGCGAGGCACAGGACTTGGAAAGTCTTGGCTGGAAAGGGAGACAGATGGGTGGGTTTATAACTTGGTGTTTTGGAAACGAAGTGATAGAAATTGTTCATGCCTAGGATAGGCCAACGAATAAAAGAGCAAGGATTAATGAGCATGGCTTTCTACTTCTCGTATTCTCTATTCCTTCCCCTGACTCTCCCTGGCTTGGATATGAGGAGTCCTAATCCGTACCGCGCTCGAGGGCAATCAGCGCGAGTGAAATGGCCATGCCTCTTAAGTTAGACTTGTCACGTAACGCTAGAGCGGCTATTTGAAGGATAGTATACGTCTAAGGTGTATTAAATTTCATGTATGAGAACTTCGTGCTGTAAAAGCTCACAAAATTGTGGCCGGCTTTATATATAGCCCTCTCTCTTCGAGAGTTACAACCAAATTGTTATGAATAGGGTCTTTCAGAATTATTTTTCTTATTAATCTATATTCACCGCGTCATAGATCATTAACAGGCCTGTATGCTTTACCAATAATTAATCTTGCTATATAAAACGCTTCAAGTTCTCCTCTGGTAGTGCCACTATGCCATGATACACCAGTACCCTAAATTTATCGAAGTCCATCCGCTTCTGACTTGGTCGCGGCCCAAATTCGGGAATTAAGCACTTCTACACCACCTCCCCGAAAGCCTCGCCCCATTCATTACATATAAATTCTAGGTTCTGCTCTATAATGTCATACTTATCTATAGAATCCGGCTGGCATGAATTGACATCTGAAAGATCATGGAGTTTATCAATTAAATAACACAAACGTAAAAATTTTAATTAAATAGAAGGGGGGAAAAGTTTATTTTTAGGTTTATATACAAAACCTTTAACATAATTTGCCCCATGCTTTTTCTTGCTTCTAATTCTATATGCGCAGCTGCAGCATCTCTCAGTGGATATACTTTATAGATCTAGACCTTAGCCTAACCATTCTTAAGAAGGCCAAGCGCGCTGTTGGCATATAATTCCAATTCTACTCTTGTAGCAATCATATTCTTTAGTGTTGACCGTATCACAGAAACATTCTTCCTGCTAAGTTTTTGCATGGAAAGGTCCGGTACAGGCCCACCTATAATTGTGATTTAGTAACAAGTATGAGTTTGAATCGCGGAGACGATCTGCAAGACCCCGGTGTGGAGCGAAAATCTCAACCAACTGGAAAGGCTCCCTCACTCCAAGCTGAAATGCAGTTGGAAGCGAAGCACTTCTATGCAGCACCTTCTTTAAACCTGGCCCAGCATGCAATATATGTGGCGCATGGCTGCAAGGTACCTGCGCATTTTTCCTGACTACGATATCGTGCAGGACCAGCATACCCTGCCATGTATCTTGATGATTAGATGAAGTGAGGTTCTACCCTGAGATTTCTCTGGCTTGGTGTCGTATTTCATCACGAGAAGAAGAACGTCGAGGCTAAAGTAGCATAGCTCTGCTCGGCCACGCTGTGGAATTCGTAGGAGCTGGAAAGTTGTCGCAACGCGGTGATGCATGATGCAGTGCAAAGCTGGAAAGGGGCGAGATTTAGTACCACGTGAAAGACCGAAGCATTGTTCTAATACCAACTACTTGTGCGAGGGCGAGTGGAGGATATCATCTTTATCGCGTGGAAGTTTGAATAGGCATTCCAACATCCTTCTAGGGCGAGGACCACTTCCCACCATCGAGCGACGTCATCATTAATGTCGCCAAAGCATATAATCACAGTGATGGATCTAGTCCGGGGCCTTCCACATGGCACGTCTTCGCCTTCCTATTCGGCCGCGCAACGGTTGTACTCGGGACAGACGCTCCGGGGATGACCTCAGCACACTATGCAGAACAAATATGTAGGACCAAGCAAGTATAATCAAAGTGATATGATCATCATCCTTACTATGGATTCTGGAATCGCGGGAACTCGAATGCTGACTGTGACGGATCCGAGATACCGAGAAACATCGGATGGTCTGACACGACTGGGATAATGAATTCCTGGGCAAAGGATGATAAATGGCAAGGGCCCTCCATGTAGATATGCTCCTTGCAAGAGCCACATTGCAAAACGTCTCGTCTACCGCAAGGCTTTCTGAAAAAAGGGTAGTCGGAAAATACATACTCAAGCTCAAGACAATCTCACCTGGGAAGATCGGTTTCGGTATCTGCAATTATCATAATATAATATACTTTTACTAGATATTAATACTAATAATTCTATAAGATTATATATAAAGCTGCGCGTCCTATTTTAATGTGATACCAGCTTGTATCTTCAATATCGGGTGTATACAGGGGATCCTTCAGACAAAAGCAGTTCTATAACTAAGTTTGCTTGGCATAGTGCGAGCGTGGACATCAGATGTTAAATCTTATTGTATAGTACTATGTAGTACAATATTGTGCTAATACAGATTGGGATAGATGAACTTTTTTTTGGTACGTTCAGGCAATGTTTCTAATCAACACACGGTTTAGAAGATGTGGATCACGTATGTATATGAGCACTCAACCCAACTCGGCGATTCTTCCTGTAGCTCTATGGCTGTCCAACTCATGCGAATTGAATCTCCGATCTTGTTCTCCATGATATTTTACTTCCAGCTCCCCTGGCATAAAGCCGCCATATTTGGTCTCATTATTGCATGACTCTTTATAATCATGATCAGCCTGGATTGGCCGACCAATCTGCTGATTTCTCTTCGCTCGCTTCTTCTACCACAAGAGAAAAGACGTAACCACGACGAGTGCTATGAGACCTACTCCGATACCGACTCCAAATTTTGCAGCAATTGATAGTGACCCTGCATTGGGTGTCTCAGCATTGGAAACACCACTTCCAGTCGCAGTAGGAACAGAGATCGAGGCTGTTGTGCCATCTTTTTTCAACACGCCCCAGCCCCCATCCCAAGTTTGAATCCATTCATTCTGACTTGGGACAATGTTTGTCTTCTCCGAGGAGATTGCCTCTACACTTACCGTTTCTGGTGTATTCGGACCAGGAGCTTGGGCCATAAACCAAGTCGCACCAGACTGATCACTCCAATTGACACCTATGAATGCTGCTTGGAGAAATGCCCGATCGAGAATGGCTGCCGGGGCACCATTTGGTGTAGTAGCACCCACGGGAAGTGGCGCACATGGGAAATATTTGAGACCCTGTCGGCAAAGGCGCAAGAGGAGGTTTGAGAGTCAAAGCGCGAAAGGGAAAAGGAACTGAAATACTGACATTCGAGGTGACACTCCGAGAGAGACGGAAGGTGAAAGATAACACTGCGGGAGATGTTGTGATTCGACTGTATAATGGTGAGTTGGTGTCCCATAGATGGAGCCCCAAGTCCGGTGAGAAGACCATCGGTATGAGTTCCGCGATTGCATCGCATGATGACCGTGGTAGGTGTAGATGTGGATCTCGGGGTTCGACGGTTACAGAAAGTGGTCTATTGATAATGTCGTTGTCTTGGACGAGTAGGTTTGCCTTCGATGTGAAGTTGAAGGGAGATTCGCCGACTGCAACGCCGATTCCAATATCAAGCAAATCAATGGGGAGCCAGTTCTGACCCAGGGGTTGATAGGTGACTGTTCCGACCACTCGTGATTGATCTCGTATCCTCCAATGTAAAGGGAACCGCTCAAGCCCATTGTCGGCGAACCAATGTGCATCCCGTAGGAATATGATGCTATGACTCCAGCCTCTCAGAAGTGGCTGGAGAGCATGTTCCCGTAAAATCGACCTGAACCGTTCGCCCATGACTGGTTGGCATCTTGAGCACCCAGAGACAGGAAACCGATTTCGAGCGGGTACGTAGTTCCGTTGGGGAGGGTGGAATGCCCTTCGGAAATGACAAACATGTCAAAATTCGGTATGCTTCTTGTATTGACATCGGTGAAAAGGAAGGTTGCAGTATCGAATACATACTTCGCACTCCCAGTGACGAAAGAGAGGGCTCCAATAGACGGTGCGAAGCTGCTGTTAACAATGGTATTTGTTCCCTTATCCCGACCTCCGTGCTAGACAGAGAACTGTTATACAGTTTTGTTGGATCAGCCAGACAGTTCGATTAGCCTGAACTACCAGAGCATATCCTCGACCCCAAAACTGGCGACTCCCATGAGCCGCCAGGAATCACATCGATTGTCTGCGCAGGAGCGCCCCACTGACATTCGAATATCATTCCAAGGTCCTCCGGTTCATATGTGTTAGATGACCAAGTCAATCCTAAAGGAGCAGTCGCCATACAACAGGTACACAGAGAAAGGTGCAAGATCGCGAAACCATGACCCAAAATGATGGTCATTCTAATCATAAATCGTTGACAATAAACGAGAAAATTTGCGCTGGACACACCAATACAGAAGCCACAAACGTAAGGAATGGGAAAGGGTCAGAGCAGTTCGAAGTATATCGACCTACATTGAGAGAATCGCGTCGCCGGTCTAGTTGTTGGCAAGCAGCGTGCATTTAGGTCGGCGGCTGCTCGTATGCAGAGTCGGATGTTGGTGTTTCAAATGCTACACCACTGTAGGGTTCAGCCAATGCCCAAATCCATGTACGGGAGAATATGAAGGTCCAGCGGTTAATTATCATCATCACATGTAGGAGTTTTCGTTATCTGCGCTCCCCTACTGGTGCCGTTACAAGTCAGTGGAGGCTAAGCGCCCGGATTTTGCTTTGGCCAACTCCCAGCAAACATTGTTACACCGATGTCTGTTGCTGTTGCTGTTGCTGCAGCGGACAACATCAAGGGCGCTCCATGAGCAGTGCAACAGCTGCAAGATCCGAGACGACCCCTCTACGAATATCATGAACTCGACCAAACAACACGGGATGCACTCGAGGACTCTATACAGAGTTCTATTTGCGACTTTGGTGTTCATAGCGATAGCATTCACATTCATTTTCCTCATCCCTAGCAGGAATTCTTACAACATACTTCCCTCTTTCCGAAAACCATCCATCGGATCGAAAGTCGCCGTGATATTCGACAATCGAGCAGATTCAAGACTTGTTCCCGTTATCCTCCACTTCTCCTCCATCCTTGGGCCTGACTGGCCTATCCTCCTCTTCACCACATCAACCTTTGGGACCGCATCGAAGACATTCCAGCGAAAGATCAAAGATGGATTTATCCAGCTTCGCGACCTGTCCAGCGCCGTCGGCTTCGAGAAACACACGGACGTCTCGGCCTTTATGACAACGCCTTGGTTATGGGAACAGCTTGCGCCAGCAAAGCATGTCTTGTTCTTCCAGCTGGATAGCATCCTCTGCTCAAATTCCCCTTTCGAAATAAACGACTACTTGCAGTACGACATTGTCGGCGCGCCCATACAAGACCTAGCAGGCTGGGGACTGGGTTTCAACGGGGGATTGTCATTACGAAATCTAGACAAGACAATGCAAATCGTGCGCAACAACAACTGGGCGGCTGAAGTAAAAGATTCCAAAGAGAGAGGGTTGGACGGCGTGCCGATACTACCAACAGGAACTAATGATATTAATGCTATATTTCCCGGCCACGGCAACTCGCCGAGAATACAATATGAGGACCAATGGTTCTTCAAGAAGTTTATGGAGCTTCCAGGTGCAATTTTGCCACCGCTGAATGTATCCAAAACATTTTCTGTGGAGTCGATACCGTATGACACCCCCTTTGGTGTAAGTTTCTTTCCAAATTGGTGAGTGGAAAGAATACTAGCTGATAATTGTAGTACCACAAACCAAGCTATATTACGCCGGAGCAAAGAAAGCATTTGGATGAGTATTGTCCAGAGTATACCTTGGCGACTAGTCAGACGATAATTGATGCATGAGCATTGTAGTGGTTTAAGCCAGATGAATTACCCTAAAATGAATATTTTGTATATTTGGAGTAGAGCAGCTGCATCATTGATATCTTCTGTCCACGTGCTTCCCAGTTAGTAACGAAGCGATATTTCCAGCTGGGTTGCTTATACAAGAATGCGTGAGCATTTGAAGATTGAGAGGAAGTGACCGGCGCAAAATGCGTGTCGTGTTTTGTGCGATAATGCCTCTGGTTAAGCGCTGTGTCCCGTGAGCGCTCGAAACACCAACTGTACCAATTAACACCGCAAATTCTCAGGAAATTGACACTCCCTACTATGATTGGCCTCTATGGTTATAACTTGCTACCGCCCTTTTCCGCCTCGAATCAATTCTGGTTGACGGGAAGGCGGTGACAAAACATAACGACATTGCGAATAAGCATAAGCTTGAGCTTGAGCTCTGATAGGCAGGTGGTGCACATATATATGTACATACATAACTCAGCTGCCAGGTACGGTACAGAGTAAGCGGCCTTCTCCCACTCCCACCACCTGGCGCTCTCATCCTACTGCCACGCGTTCTCATTATTACCGTACATACGCTCCGTAATCCTGTAAGACATAGCACAGTAAGTCTTACCTTCGTTTATACTTGGCACGGGGCGTTCATTAAAGACCCCGAACCACGCAAACGGCAACGCAACGGCGACTTTACCCCTGCCGCCTAGACGGATCCAAAATTTCCGCAGGGGAGCAATTACCGTTTCCCGATAAGAGAAGGATTGCAACTCCATCGCTGTCTCATCAGCAAAGTGCAGATGGTGTAACATCGTGTAGTGATGATGGTAAAGGTGCCGACCTGAGATGAGATACTTGGGATGAGCTCGCCAAGAAGGGTAAGCAAAAACAGCTGAGATCGCAGTATTTAATACAATCCAGAGACCCGATAATCGATTGCGTTTTTGTTCTATCTCATCACGCATTCCATCTCCAGTCAATCAGATTTAAAAGTTTAAAGTACTCTCTCCATATCTATCATCATGTTAGTCCTCAAGTCTATTGTCCTTGCCGTTGTTGGCCTTACCTCCACCGTCGCAGCAGCCGCATGCTGCTCCGCTGAGAAACGCGATGTTGGTGGACTGAGATCCGATTTTGCTCTGCTCAACACCGCAGTAAAATACAATCTTGGTAACATCACGGCCTATAACGGTGGAGTGGATAATTTGGGACCGCTCGTTACCGCTGGCCAGCTGGTCTCGACCGTTCTCACCAAGACCACCGCCGACATCACGGCTCATGCTGCCTTCACTACCTCTGACAGCATAACCATGCTCATCGAGGCAACCAACACCCTTGCATTGCTCACAAACACTCTCAACGCCCTCAACAACAAGGTGCGTAACTGCAATAAGTTCCAATGTCAACCCCTCACTAATTTTTCGTAAAGCAATTACTCTTCAGAGCCGCAGGCATCCACACCGTCGTACTCAAGTCCATCCAGGAGCACAGTGCGGAGGAGAGCGAGATGTACGACCAACTCGTGGCCAAGGCGACCAACGATACCAAGTCATCATTCAGAGGGCTTCAGGATACATTGAAGCAACTGTATGACATTGTCATTAAAGCCTACTCCGCATAAGGATGCAAACGTCGCATGTCAGGCGGTCAATGATAATGAGGGTTCGCTTTTAAATTCTTGAGTTGGTTGATTTGCGGGCATGATAGACGTGATCCGCTATTGAAGTTTGGCTATCTTATGAGAAATTAGAGGAAACTATTTTTTGCGTCCTACAGCTCCATCCATGTGAATTATGTATTTTGTTTTTGTGGTTCGAATTCTCTGTAACGCCCGTCCTCAGTGATTAGAACTTTCCATATGTGCGTGATTCTTCAGACAGTTCAAATGAAATTATTAAGTGGAATATATTCTGGAACAAAGCATGCTTTAGTTCATGAAGTTTTAGACATGTTTTCCCTGATTTTCGTATTTTCAGATGGATACGCTTCATCCATCAAACTGGAAAATACCACGGAGAGAGGTTTATTTGATTTTTCATGGGTGGGACCCGTAACTTAGGGGCAAGCTCCGCCCTTTAGACCCCATCTAAATTTTATTCGCAGGTACGTCAATAAAAGCAGGGTAATACTCAAGGTAGAGATCTCATTGGGGCACCATGAAATGCTGGCGGGCCAGTCTATTATTATACTCGAATTTAAAATTTTGTACAAAAATCACACACTCTCTATCGCCCGCACACACATAGAGTTCTATTCGCCTCCGTATCCGGCATCCCCAATGTCATCCCGATCCGCCAATATCGGTTTCTACAATTTCTCTCAAATCGCCATAATTTAGAAGGCTGCGAGAGCCATCATACCCACGATCGCGACTGATCCGAACCCTGCAGCAAGGCCATTGGCACCACCAGTGACTGGAACAACGGAAGATGTTGGGCGGCTGCTGGTTCCATTACTGGATGGGACTGGGGAGGCGCTGGGCACTGCAGTGGCGGTCGGCTCTTCGTCATCGTCTGTGCAGGTGTTGGTGCATGGAACGGTGACGAGGCTGCTGGAGCTGACAGGAGAAACCGCAGCGGAGTTTGTAGGAACTGGTGCATCGGTGACTGAGCCCGATGATGAGGCGGTGGGCTTTGCCGGTGTGTCGGGTGTTGTAGCTGGAGTAGTAGATACTTCGGTGGGAGTAGTGGTTGGCTTCTCTACTGGAGGGCTGGTGCTGCTACCGCCGGCTGCTGCGCTGGATGAAGCTTCGGCACACTGCTTGTTCACAGCTTCGATAACCTCTGACGGTGGGTTAGTAATCATGCTAAAATAATGGCTATGAGAATGAGAGCATTCCATGGGGGAACGTACCAGCAGCTTGTGATGTGCAAGCGGCAATGACACAAGTTGTAGCCACGGCTTGGATGGCCACCATGTTTGAAGTCTTGCACATGCACAAGATATCAGTCACCTCGCAAGTGGTAGCGCTTTCCGTAGCACTGGCAATGCATTTGAGGGCGCATTCTGGGACCGCGGCATTGCCAATGCCCAGGAGAGTCAGAAGGGCGAGGGAGGTGTATCGGTACTGCATTTTTGCTTGGAATATTGCTCTGAATTTGAGTTGTTGGTCAAAAGTATCTCAAAGTAGGTGGACTAAGGAGACTGAGACTGGGCCGAGAATAGGTAACAAGAGGGATAAAGGATTGAGAACATGCAAAGAGGGACGCAACCTATGTAAATGGAGATAGATGTTGAATTGAAATGAGCCATGCATTGCAGGAAAATGCAGGTACAGAGAAAGGAGATCGCCGCGAAACGCCCCATCGGCCTCTACCCCATGGCGCTGATTGGTACAACTTCATCGCTGTGTGCAATTGATAACAGTATTGACGTAAATATTGGGCTTTCGGTCTGATCTCGAAAAGACCAATTCCAGTATTTGGAGCTTAAGCTATCGTACTGACGAAAACCCGCCGAAGTCCCCTGGATATATGAGGCTATCTTCTAGGGTTTACACACGAGGTGGCCTTGCTCACCTAGCGTTCGGCGAGTTTTGCACGGCGCAGCTTGCCAGGATACTGCGCGTCGTACCACGTTTTCAATTATTGAATGCAGATACGAGGAAATAACCATAGCATCTGCTCCGTACAACTTGTGCTTGTACCCAAGTACTTTGTGCATACTTCCTCGCATCCCCGAGTCCTCGTGGGTTTGGGGATCCCCTGGAAAGGCCATCCCCAATACTCCGCAGCCGGGCTCGACTCCATCGCAACGGAAGGATTTCGACAAGTTTATATAAAGTCTAGCGGCTGTCGCTGTCGACCTGTACTAAGTATTCCGTGCGAAGTGCGAGTTCTCTTATTGGCAGACCGTAATTGTCCCTGGGTCTGCGCCTCACGCATCTGAGTTAGTTTGGACGTTGAACGCGGCGTAAGCTTAACAAACACCTGTGCTGAGTTTGGCGACTATGACCGGGTCCTCGTGTGCCTCTTCTTCGCCCTGATATCTCAATATTTATTGAATCGGAGAAACCCGCCGTAACCAATCCCCCTTTGACCAAGTTCCGGATCAATATCGGCAGGCACTGGATAGACGACTGAGCAGTGAAGACGAAGCAGATTGGTGATGAGAGGATGCGGGATGCTGGAATCGATAGCCGATGAAGGATTTTCCGCGCTTCGAAGCCTGTTGTTGCGTCTCAAGGATATAGATTCAATAGATAGAGGGTGAGACCTAACTCTCGATCGGATTGCTCTCCGTGGTTACATCGTTATCCTGGGGGCTAGACTGACCTTGCCAGGCCACGTGTAAGACTGATGATCTTGAGCCAGCATGGGAGACTGGGAGTAGAGGCCAAACCTTGCTGCCCCGACGGAGCGAGGCACGCCCGGTTCACGACCTCCGCTTCCTCGTAATAGTTGGTCTGGGAATGGTTGCGATCTGCGGTCTGCGATGCAGTTTAAATTTTAAGTTATGAAAGGGGCCGTGACGCTGAAGCCCCACTGAGCCCTACACCAACAACAGTTTATTAGTGGGACCTGCGTAGTGCAACGTCTTTATATCTACCACGACGGTACAACCATAGCTTGAAAAAGAAATACCTCTAAAACTGTTATTTCTAGTCAACAAGTCTTGAGATATTTTGGAAATTCATTATTGTGGGAATATAAGTAACAGTAGTAGTCGGTGTTATCGCTGGAGCCTGCAAGGTACACAACCGGAAATGCTTAGGAATCGAGGACTTCGATTAAATCCATAGCAAAAACAAGAAAGAATAAACAATCATAAGAAGCTAAAATGCCAACAAGGATCCATCTAAGATCGCAGGCCATCCTAGTATAATGAGATTTCACTTTGAGCGAAGTCATCTTAGGCTGCTTAGTAACTTTACTAATCCATGAGCCGGTGTTCGGGTCCAGGATATCTAGGTCAAGTAAAATAAGTAAAATACGACGTATGATATGAGCTGCTTGAATTTGGAGTAAACGACTATCAAATTGCCTTATATATAAAAACTAGGAAATAATAATTGTACATGACAATATTAACACCGCGGAATAATACCAAAAGCATTACCATCCCTTAAGCAACCTCCGTAACAGAAATAGTAGTACCACCAACTGCGCCCTCACCCTCAGATTTCAAAACCCCTAAAGAACTGTTAGAAGTTGACAGCAGCTGCTAACGTGAAAAGACTTACCCTCAACATTTGCAGCAGGTCGAATAGCGATCTCCACTGTGGTTTCTACGGTGGTTGTAGTCGTAGAGACGACTTGGACCTTGGCAGGGTTGTCACTGGCAGTCTCAGCATCGGCTGCGGCTGCGACTTTCCCCTCTTCATCCGCCGCTGCGGTGTCTTGCTCTGGCTTTTTGTCTGGCACTTCAGCCCTCAACTTCGGAGGCAAAATCTTGCTGCCTTCGCTAATCTTCATCGCGAGGCCGTGAATCGGGACGGGGGAGAGGATGTCCAGAATTGAAATATCCGATTTAAGTTCCTTCATGACCCAGTTACGGACTTCGACAGCGATGAGAGAGTCCACTAGATAAAACTGTTAGTATATCAAATCATTTAAATCTGCTCGGGAAAACTTACCTCCATAAGCGTGAAGGGGCTGTTCGATATTGATATCCTCAGGAGATATGAATAATGCTTTGGCAAGTCGAGCCACTAAGGCCATCTCCACAACACCAGCAGCCTCCGCCAACGAGTCTGCACTCACAAAGGCTTCGCGTGTAGGGTCTTCCGTTCCGGTCGTAGCGCCGGACTGTCCATCAGCTTTTCGAAGCAACATGAACTTGCTATCACGAGCCCAGGGCATGGAGATCATCATGGATCTCAGCACCTCGCCTCCAATGATTCCGGTGGTTAGTTGTGCAAGCATTGGTGTCTCGCCCCGGGTCTTCCCAGCCACAGCTGCGAGGAAAATGTGGCGGATCTCATCTTCAGTGATCTGCATCTTCATCATAGGATTTCGCATCTCATAGTTGTCGGCATTCTCAGCCAGGTATCCGATACCAGTGACGGCACTAAGATCAATCGAAGTGGCTTTCATACCCTTGTTCTGGCGGTAATGGGAGAGTGCGTTCTGGAATGTGTTTCCAGCTGCATAATTAGCTTGGCCGGGGTTTCCAATGATACCAGAAGTAGAGGAGAGCATGATGAAGAAGTCCAGATCCTGGGGGAGAAGCTCGTGCATGTTCCAACTTCCTTGGATCTTTGGACCGGCGGCTGCGATCCAATCGTCGTGAGACATGTTTTCGAATACAGTGTCCTATTCGTGTTAGTATTCTGTCTAATTAAAATTCTAGTAGATAGTTGTGTGCACATACCTTCAACAACATAGCACAGTGTACGAATCCCTTAATCTTCGGCATCTCCGTGGATAATTGATGAAGACTTGCTTTTAGGGCTTCTCCGTCGGTAATATCACAAGCGTAGGCAACGGCTTGGACATCCTTACTGCGAAGTTTGGCGAGATAGGCCTTGCTCTCGTCACTTGCATCACCCGACCTTGAGATGAATGCAATGTGTTTTGCCCCGTGCGTAATCAGTAGCTCTGCCAAACTCTTACCAATTCCGCCGAGACCACCCGCAAGTAAGAATGTACTCTCGGAATCGAGTTGGAGAGGCAACTCCTTCTTTGGCATGACAGGGACCAACTCGTCGTGCTCGTATGTAAGAACAATCTTTCCAGCGAATTTGCCTGACTGCAATCCACGGAAAGCGTCCTCAGCCTCGGAGATCTTCATGACAGTAAGTGGGAAAGGTGGCTTCACATGACCATCACCAAGAAGCTTGAAAATCTTCTCCACCACCTCGGCGCATGCGTCAAGTCGATGGGGCTCAGCATCCTCAGTGTACTGGGCAAGATTGAACGCGGAAAATGTGCAACCCCGAATAAATGGCGCCATTTCGAGCATGTTGTTGGACAAAATATCTCGCTTGCCAACCTCGACAAAGATACCAAAGTCGGCAAGGCAGTTCCAGCTTTGTCGCAACATCTCGCCGTAGGTCGAGTTCAGGACAACATCCACTCCTCTTCCCTTGGTTTCTCTCATCACTCCTTGGGCAAAGGTTGTGTCTCGGGAAGTAAAGATGTGGGATTCTGGAATTCCGTACCGTTCCATCAGTAATTCTTTCTTGTATGTAGAGCCAACTGTGGCGTAGACAATAGCTCCAACGTGTTGCGCAAGCTGCACGGCTGCTTGGCCTAAACCACCCGCTGCAGAGTGAATAAGGATCGTGTCTCCTTTCTTTAATCTGCCGTTATCATACAAGGCGAAATATGCTGTTGTATAAGCAATAACGCAAGTAGCCGCGGCTGCGGGAGACATCCCCTCTGGAACGGGTTGAATGGTCTTCCACTGGACTCGCACGTTGGTAGCAAAACAATCTTCAGTTGAGCCAACAACAACTTGACCAACATGGAACTTGTTCTTAGGAACATCGCTTCCCATAGCAGAGATTCTACCTGCAAATTCAGCACCAAGAGCAGTGCTCGGTACATACCCGAGTGCTGCCATCACGTCCACGAAGTTCAAGCCTGTGGCGAGAATCTCGATATCGACACGATCATCACGGAGTGGCAATTCGTACTCTACACGGTCCACAAACCTGAAAGTGTCAAGCAAACCAACTTCACCAAGCTGCATTTTCAGAGGTCGACCGGGCTGGCGGAGCGGCTGCATTGTGGGTACTGGAGCGTTGTTCCGTTCAGCGAGAGATGAATTCATCTCTTGGTGTTGCACTAGTCGTGGGATGTAGAGGGCACCGTTTGACTCCGCATACTCATGGTCAACAACATCATTATCAGGATCGCTACCGAAAGACGTATCGAAAACAGCCCTGAGAAGAGAGCTCGCTTTCTCCGACTCAAGATCTAGGGACTCAGATAGATTGAGGTTGAAGAGGCACAAGTGTGGCAGTTCAGATCGGAGAACTCGGAAGAGGCCTAGTGCTGCTGATTGGTTAGGAATCGTACTTCCCGGCTCGATACCACCCCGATTCACCCAAAGAACGCCAGAGCTCTTGAGGAGGATATTCTTGACACTCTCATAGTTTTCTGCTGAGGGTGCTTGGAGCAAAGCATCATCTAACTCAATCAACGAGATGAATAGCTTCTCCGATGAATCCGTGACAGATGCCAATGAGGCTCGCTTGACATCGAAAGCATTTGAAGCGAGCGACTTTTCGATGTTGGCGGCTAAAGTCTCGACGAGGGGTGTGGTAGTCTCGTTCACGAGGATCACAACCTCATTGCTAAGCTTTTCAAGAGGCTTCTCTAAGCTCGAGATCAACAAAGATGCCTGGCTTGCTGCATCAGGAGCAGGTTTTGCCAGGAAGGGCGAGGAAAATCCATTCTCTGAGAGAACGCGGGTCCACTCCTCGAGTTCGAAGTTGCTCTGTTGTTTCGGGCTGTCAGCCTTTGCATTCCACCATTCTTCTGTGATACCAAGCAGAAGTTCTGCGGTACTGGTGAACTTTGGCACTGCACCAATCACCAATTTTCCACCGGGATTGAGGAGAGCTTTCGCATGCTTGAGTGTAACGTCAACCCCTGCGGCTAGGTAAAGGATATCAGGGATCAGGACGATATCGTATTTATCTGAGCTTTTCTTTGTGGAGCCCTGCTCGAGATCGAAGGCGCAAACGTCGACATTCGAGAATTTCTTGAGCAACGTCTTTGTCTTATCAAGGTCCGAAGAGTCCGATTGTGCAAGTGTATATTTTTCAAAGCGATCTCCAGCACCATCTTGGCTCGATAATGTCTGAAGAACAGAGATTGCCGTGCTTGTAGATCTGTTTGGGAATTCAAATATTCGGAGGTTAGCATCCTTGAAACCTGCTAACTCAAACCAACTCGAGACCATAGCATTGAACTCGTCCATGGCCAGGACGTTGTCTGTGAGTTGCAACGCATCTTGATCATCTAGGTCTTGGATAACTTGCCCAGCATCTACTGAACCTTCGATTATCTCAGGTAACTTGGAGCCAATAGTTTGCAATGTCTTTCCAATTGCAGGGACCTCTGAGGCAGCCTGGAGTACCAGGTCGTCCGCATCTTGAGAAGCTGCTGTAGTGGCGGAATCGACCTTAAGAAGGTTGCGTAGCCATTGTGCACGTAATTGAGCCGGCTCATCTAAAGACGTTTGCGAATCCAGTGAGTCGACGGCTCGTTTAATGTAGATGGCAACAGCTTGGTCCAAAAGTTCATCATTCTTCTGACTTTCATCGATTGGCGAGTTTTTGGAGAGCAACACAGCACTCGTTTGCTGGTCTAACAAGGCTACATCCTCCTTCCACTCAGTATGGGTACAAAGCATTGTTGAGTTGTCAATGGAGTTTTGCGAGTCCTCGGAATCCAGACTGGTGCTAACAACGTCGTCGACAATGATGTAAGGTTTTGAGAATTCTGAATCAGAGAACACAATGTTTCCGATAACTTGACGAGGACCTGCCTTATGCGACTTCTGGTAACCCCTGAGAGCCGCCCCGGGAGTGTTTGGCAAATCTGCTGATACGTAAAGAGACCCAATTGCCGCAATGACAGACATAACTCCTGTGCTAGTGTCACTACAGAGAGACCGAGAGAACAGAATCTGGAAGACGCCGTCAAGGACCGTTGGATGGATCAATAGAGGATATTCGAAGTTTTCGGGCATCACGGCAGCGGTGTCTGGGACCGTCAATGTAGCACATCCAACGTCCACCCCGCCGCTCATTTCAGACAGCAGCCTAAACAGGGGGCCAAATTGCATGCCATCTCTATTAATATCCTGGTAGAGGACGCCAATGTCGATATCATCTACGATTTCGGACTTGACTTCGGCATAAGTATCCTTATACTTTTGCGTGGATGCGACGCTCTCGATACCTTTCTCAACTTCTCCACTCTTTGTCACATAGCGTATTTGAACAAGGCCATTGCAGTGCTCCGTGGTAGTGTTGTCTCGAGCAATGGAAACCAAACTAAACCGACGCCAAACATATGTTCCAGTCTTGGTACCAAGGTAATGGGGTCGGAATTGCATGACGGTCTCCGTAGCCTGGTCTGGTGTTTGGAACATCAAGGCACGTGTGAAGTTCAGCTCTCTGAATTCATATCCTTCCACGGTTTTGTTGGGGTCGAGGATCTGTTGGCAAGCCTCGATAGCCATAGCTATCATTGCAGATCCAGGAAGAACAACTTGCCCGCCAATGACATGGTCCATAATCCACGGTATTTCAGTGGGCTTGAGAATGTTCGTCCAACGTGGCTCGGAAGCTAATGGGGTAAATCCATCCATAGGTGAACCCAGTAAATCAGTTCGAGGACCAGGAGGGAATCGTCGGAAAGCGTTTTGGCGAGATTCATGCCAGTGGGACCTCTCATGGTTCCAGGGGTATGGTGGAAGATCAGTTAAGACCTTGTGGCGTTTAGGAGTCTTCTCGACAGTATTAACCAGATCTAGATTGACATCATGGCCGTGACCCCAGAGCTGGCCCACTGTCTCGATGGCGTTCTGGAATGCATCGTTGCCTCGGTTGAGGACAGAGAGGCACACCACCGCCTTCCTGTAGTCTTCGCTAATGGCTGTAAGAATCTGGTTGAGCGGCCCCTTAAGGGCAGCATGAGGACCAATTTCGACCAAAGTCTGGACATTTGGTTTCTTCTGTCGCTTACTTCTAGCATCTGTTGGTGCAAGAAGGGCGGCGACGGCGGTGGAAAATTTGACGGGCTGCAACATATTCTGAACCCAATATGAAGCACCTAGGTCGTTCGACGTTATTTTCTCCTTCGTTACTGATGAGAACATTGTGACAGAGCCATCGGTCTCATGGGTGGTAATATCCTTGATAGACTCCAGATACTCTTCTGCAATGTGGTTCATGTGGTGTGAATGATATGCAGTCTTAACCTTAAGCTTCCTGCACCAGACGTCGTCTGTTTTGAATAGTGCTTCTATCTCATCAATTGCTGTTACATCTCCAGAGATGGTAACACTTGAAGGACTGTTGATGCATGCAACGACTGCCTTTCCAGTCGTGAGTTTATCGACGTAATCCTGCGCGGCAGATTCGGATAACGCAACAGCCATCATCATACCGTCAAGCTCCGGATGAGCAGAGGGAAGTCGCCCAGAGAAGAGACCACGGAAGTACGCAACTTTCCATGAATCTTCTTGCGACAATGCACCACTTGCGTAGGCGGCAGCTTCAGAAGATTAGAATTTAACAGGCTATGGAGGATATAATTCAACTTACCAATCTCTCCAGAGGAATGGCCTACAACGGCTTTGGGAGTTATTCCCCAGTGCTTAAGAAGATCGACAATTGCGACTTGCAAGACAGTGCACATTGGCTGACTGATCTCAGCATTGTTCATCTTGCTTGTCTCTTCCGGCTTGTTAAGCTCCTCGAGAACGGACCAATCGCTACCTAGAGATGTGAGGTATTGATCGGCCGCATTAACGCTCTCTCGGAAAATAGCATGCACCTGTAGCTCACGTCCCATGTTATAGTATTGGGAACCTTGGCCAGTAAACACGTATGCACAGGCTGGAGCTCGGGCGGCTCTACGAAGCTTTGGAAGGCCACGTTTTACTGCGCCTAAGAGTTCTGTCATGGAATCTGCGACAGCAAAGCGACGCCAGTCAAAGGCCGTACGGCGCTCTGCGAGAGTGTATGCGAAGTTCTCAACATACTCTGCCATTTGAGTAGCCAATGATTCCTTATCATCCTCAGACTTCTCTTGTCGTGAAGACCACTCTTCAATGTGCTTCGAATAAGTTTCAATCAGTCTGTCCACACCAGATTGTTCTGGTGAGGATAGAGCAAAGAGCTTAGGGGTGCAAGCTGAAGGCTTGAATCCAAACGTACTTCGGCCCGAAGTTGGAGTGCCAATCGATATTCCAGAGTCCGAAGAGGAATCTGCTATATCGGAAGGTTCTCCAAGCGTGACATGGTTCCCTTGAAGATTGTGCTCCTGGAGGTAATGCAAAGCATCATCCAAAATTACATGGGCATTTGCACCACCATAGCCAAAGGAATTGACACTTGCTCTCCGAAGACCAGCCATTGGCCATTCAACGAGGTCCCTATTCAGCTTCAAATGCCAATCATCCAATTGCAAATTGGGGTTGAGGTTTTCGAGACCGACAACTTTGGGAATCTTTCCATTCTCCAGGGCGAGAACTGTCTTGATCACACCCGCAATACCGGCACTGGCTTCCAAATGGCCAAGATTGGTTTTGACGGAACCGACAAACAGGGGGTTCTCGGGGTCACGATTGGCGCCAAGAGATGCCCCAATTGAAGAAAGCTCAATAGGATCACCGACTGCAGTGCCGGTTCCGTGTGCCTCGAAATATGCTGTGCGATCAAAATCCAACCCAGCAGCGTCGTAGGTAGATCGGATGAGTTCTGCCTGGGCTTCACTGCTAGGCATCGTGATACCCGGGGTCTTTCCATCCTGATTCAGGCCAGAGCCTCGAATAACGGCTCTGATTGTGTCGTTGTCTCTCAGAGCATCACACAATGGTTTCAGAATCAGAATACCTGTTCCTTCCCCACGACCGTAACCGTTGGCCGATTCGTCGAAACTATGGCACTTTCCGTCAGGGCTGATGAAATGTAGTGCAGTTAGACCTCTAGAGAGCTCCGGTTGAAGGATGATGTTGGTGCCTCCAACAATAGCCTAAGATACATGTCAGAACGTTGTGAACGGAACTACTACTAGAGGTGTACTTACAGTCTTGACCTCCCTGCTACGTAGCCCTTGCACAGCAAGATGAAGGGCGACTAAACTAGATGAGCAAGCAGTATCAATACTCATACTAGGTCCGCGAAGATCGTAGAACCACGAAAGCCGATTTGACAACATGGACATTCCATTCCCGGTTGCCTGGTACAGGGAGGTATCGTATATATGGGCGGTTGACGTGGTTTGATAGTCATTATTGAATGCCCCGACATGGCTACTAAAGTTAGCAGAGCCCATTTATAGAACATTGGAAAACTCGTACCAGGATGTGGCAGTGCCAGCAATATCTTTGAGAGATATTCCAGCTATTCAGTACGTTAGTCTAAGCATACAGCTGTTGCAACTGTGGGACTTACCGTTCTCCAATGCCTCGTACGTTACTTCAAGAATGGCTCGCTGTTGGGGATCGGTACCAGCAGCTTCGGCTGATGTCATGGAGAAGAACGAAGCATCATATTTAGACACATCCTCTCTCATGAAGAACCCGGTTGTGGTAACAATCTAACGGCTAATTGTTAGTATTGAACATTGGTGGGGAAATGGGATGACTAACGGCGCCTCCACGCTCAGAAGAAGGATGGTAATAAGCATCGAGTTTCAAGTTTCTGTTCTCAGGCATCTCTCCCCATGCTGATTCACCACGAGACAAAAGGTCCCAGAAGCCTTGAGGTGTATCTGCATCTCCCGGGAACCGACAGCTCATGCCGATAATGGCGATCGGCTCGGGATTCGTCTCCATGGTGATATCGGCACCGGGGTTACTTGGCTCTGACATTCTGCATGAAGCCACAAAAAATGAGAGAAGAGGCAAGTTTCCAAGGAACTAAGGCAAGGAGAGTTGTCTTGGAATCAAAGCCAGAATGTACAAGTACAGAGTGACGCGTAAGTGCCAGCTCATACAGTCCTGCACTGCTGTCTTATATTAGACTGCAAGAGCCGGTTAGGAACGATACAACTACTTGCCAAGTAGTTTCCATAGCTCCACGTGCCTGGCACGAGGCAAAAACATGTTCACCATATCCCTGGAAAGCGGCAAGCAAGCATGTAGAGAGAAAAGGACCGTAAGGCGGTGCAAGTACTGCAGGTACTCCTGGGCTGCTTCGGCGGGATCAAAAGACACCGGTGGGAGAGCGGGAAAACACTCCCAATGCACCGTCAAGGTAACGTTCAGCAAAAGGCTCCGKAATCGTGAAGGCAACAAGAAGGACGATCACGATACTCCGTAACGACCTTGCAAATCGGGAAGCTCTCCCCACACTCTTTTTGGGAATTTTGATAGCATCAAGCATGCAATGTACCTGCTTTGGCCTGCAGAAACAGAGGGAGGCCACTGAGCCTTCCAGGGGACAACCCCAAACAGCCATTTAATTTCTACTCATGGAGTAACGGTAACACCAAAGGATCACTACATCCAGGACCACGGCACTTGGTCCTGCACATTGATAAGAGAAGGCAAAGCCCGTGAAGTCGTATTACCATGGTGTCGAGGCAACTTAGAGTCTTGGACGTCGTTCGAGTACACTTGGTCCGATTGTCGCCTCAGGCGACAACTCCTGAGGCCCAAATTCCCGTAGATAAGACGCTAACCACATGGGGCGTTTGTGGTCAGCTGGTTGTCAGCCCCCCTTCCCCATGTCCAGGCCCCCCTGGCTCACTACGCAATACAGGGGGGGCATAATTCGCACAGATACGAAGTATGTACAATGTGGTACCAGTGTAGCATTCTCCAGGCTGTGGTCACTTTCGGCGAACTCCTAAATATTTCCAGCTTCCTACCGAGATATGCACTTACGCAGCACTATCCGTTCTAGGGTGGATTTCCTTTAGCTTCTAATTCCTATTTCTGTGCTCGTTTTTCTATCTAAATGTGAGTAAGTACGGAGTAGGTATTAATATATTTTATAATAAACTTTAGTGGATATTAGACGTGGGATGAAGGAGGGGGAGAGGAACTATCGTTTTTAAAATTTAGGCTTTTTAAAGTCAGGGAGCTAAGTCTACGTGCTATGTAGCTACCTAGGTAGGAAAACGTGTATTACGTCATGGTGAACGTGGTGAACGTGGTATGCCACGCGGACAGCTTCTTGATGTAGAGACCTGGGTTAGTTGATCAATAGCCAAAATGCCTTTTTTAATTTTTAATTTATCCTATCGAAAGGGGCCCATGGTTGTGGTTCCTTTATCGGACCTTGGGCGAAGTTGAGTTAATGGTAGTCACAATTGTCGCGAACCTGTACATCCTCAATGGACTAGAACTTCGATATTTTGGTACTATTTTTCAATCTATATTACTCAGATTGGTATCTATGTCATTAAATCCAGTTCTATATACTCTACCAGGCTCCCAAGTTAGACTAATTTGCAGGTACCCAATACCACATCAGTATTGCTTCATGCCAAACCGTTCCCATCCACTCTGATTCATATAATTCCGTTGTCCAGTGCTGCATTTAAAGCTCTCTTTCCCGTAGCTCAACATCGTGCAGGCCTGTCTCTGCCATTCTAACTTCATCCCTATGTTCTTTAACCGCCTTCGCCAGTAGGTCACTACGCTCTTGAACCGTTGGGGGATGTCTCTGCCAGATGCAAAGGCTAGTGACGAATCCAACGACCGACATATATAGGGCAAGCTTCATATCCTGCGCAAACGCCGAGATATAGCTTTCCCGAAATAAGAGAGCAGGTATAGCACCGTAGTCCAGGATCGAGAAGGGGGAGATGAAGAGCTTTCCGAGAACTTCGTCGGTAACAGCGCCTTTAAGGGAGGTCTCCATGTGGTTGTTCATAATTATTGTTGAGGCTACAAGTCCGAATGAGCCTCCCAGGATACGTGCCTGGGCAACAGTGCCTTGAGCCACAGCTGTTTATAAGTTAGCCATAACTCTTTAGAGAGACCGGATAAAACCGACCATGGTCAACAAATTCTACTTCCATGGAAGTCATGAATGTAGCAGTGGATACCGACATGCCCAAGCCAAGTCCAAGAATAACCTCCCAACCATAATGAGCATTTGTTTGACTCCCATCAGAGGGCATAGTTGAGAGAAGTCCCGTCCCCACCATCATGAGGGCTGTGGCGATGCTCATTGTATAGAATGTCAAATTCTTTTTGGCCGATGCCCCACCGCCGATTAAGGACCCAACGGCAGTGGCCGAGACTAGAGGCAAAAGACGTATGCCAGCTTGAACAGGAGTCTGCAGATCTACTAGCTGAGCGCGGAGCGGGATGCTAAACACAGCCGAAAATTGAACGTAGCCCGCCATTAAGGTTGTTCTATATACAACGGTTAGTGAGGCCCTAGCTGTAGAAGCGTTAAGCCGAATGATTCATTCACTTACAAGATAGCCATCACCATAGGCCTGTGTGTCAGGATCCTCCAGGGAAGCTCCGGCAAAATCCAACTCAATCTATCTGAATGGCTTATGAACCACTCCCAAGCAAACAGGGCTACCCAAGCTACACATGAGAGCACCAAGAGGGAAACATTGATTGCGCTATCCCAAGTGTACTTTCTGCTTCCAACCTCTTGTAATGTAAAAACAAAGCATACAGACCCCACAGCCATGAGAAGAGCTCCGAGGTAGTCGATTTGTTTTATCGTTGCTGGGGCTTTTGTCTGCGTAATATTTTTCAGTGTCGGCCATGCGAAGTAAAGGACTACCATGGCAACACATCCAATTGGAACACTGTTTACGGTCAGGAGACAAACACTGTATCGGGGAGACTTAGATATACTTGAGCCAAAATATCCATCTCCACGTCGTTGTACCAGTGATCACTCCCCCAAGGACTGGTCCGCATACTCCAGCAACAGCAACAGCCGCACCCAATGAGCCGACGACAAAAGGCAAATATTTCGGAGGCGAAATCTCAGGGCAGATAACCATCGTGAGCGAGTACAACCCGGTACCTCCAACTCCCTGCAAAGTCCTGAAAAGGATGAGTTGCTCGACATTTTGAGCAAACCCACATGCTAAAGAAAAGCATGTGAAGAAGAAGAAGGATGCCATTATCATCATCTTGCGACCATAGACATCTGCCAATCTCGTGAAGAAAACTCCGCATCCTGTTTTACTTAGCATTGCCTATTTTGTGATAGCATTGGACCTATACATACCGATGTCTGCTAATATATATGACAAAGCGGCCCATATTGTGTGGTCGTAGTTGTCGAACTCAACGGAGATTGTATAGAGAGCCGTTGAGATGATGGACATATCCATCAGAGTGAGGAAAAGTCCCACACATAAACTTTATATCGTGAGCATTGAGGTTTCATTCCGATTCATTGCGAAGGGGACGAACCACAAAATGATAGTAAAAAATCTCCATGTCGGTAGCTGTTGTGAGGAGCCGTCGTCAATTACTGGCGATTCAGTCCCTTCGCTGCCTGACATCTCCATATCACCTCGTTCAATCACTGAGGGCTTTTCGGTGCTCTTAGCTGAACCATCATCCTGCGGTTCATTTCCAGCCTATTCTCGAGTGTTAGATTAGCTCCGCTTCATGTCGAAGCAAGATGCGTCAAAACGCGCACTTACATCGTTCGGTCTAAGGGTCTCTGGCGACGGTGCATCCCCGTGTGAAGTCATGCTGGTCTGCTCCCTGTCACTACTTCAACAAGTTTGAATACCCTGTTCACGAAAACAATTGCAAGAGCATTTGGACGAGTAATTATTTTCTAAGCCGCACTGTTAAGGGCAGTAGAAATTGTTGTGTGCGCTAGTATGAGTGTCGTGTCTAGCTGTTTGTGACGCGCAGCGTACGAGGAGCCCATCCAATCGCCAGGTTGGGGCATACGTGCTACTTTACAGGGACTTGGAAACCCCCCGAAGAATCACGCCCAGCAGCAGACCACAGGCCTGATCTATTCCCCTGCAGTAAAGAGGCGTAGTGACGGTTATATTATGCTTCATGCAGCTGGTGATGTGACCCCAGACTGAAGCGTATCCCCTGCAATCTGGAACACCCTGCTTGCTGACTGGTGAAAACGCCCCGAGCGGTTCTGGAGAAGCTCTCGTAGGATCTGTATGCTACACCAACGAATTAGCGTTATGTATCTAGAATATGCCCTCGGAGGTCAGTTCCTCTTCAAGATGTATTGTCTCTCTTTCTCGAGTCTCGCGGCGTGACTTTTCTACTAGCCAAGATGAGGATTCTCTGCCTGCACGGAAATGGCATGAATGGGACACTATTGGGGGTTCAGACCGCGGCCTTCAGGAGACTGCTAGGCGATGGGCATGAATACACATTCTTAGATGGCCAACTAGAGTCGGATTGTGTCATAGGTTGGCAGCAATTCCTGCTATTTTTCACGATGTCAAGCTCGCACTGACAGACCTCGATCACCAGGACTGGAGAAAGTCTCCAAAGGGCCTTATTACCGCTGGAATATAGGGCTCGCCTCTTCCGAAATTCTCGCGGCCCACGAATATATTCGAACGGTGATTGAAGAGGAAGGCCCATTTGATGGAGTGATGGGCTTCAGTCAGGGCTCGGCCCTCGCCGCGTCGATGCTCCTTCAGCACGAAATAGACCATCCCAAATCCCCGCCACCATTCCGCTTCGCCATCTTTTTCTCTTGTTTCCTTGTGGTAAGTCCGGATGCAAAGTTTGCGCAAAAGTACTATGAAATTGGGGAGAAGGATCACGTCGATGCAGCATTGGAGGGTTTGCATGCGTCAGCGCCGTCAAGCGATGCCTCCGGGAAGCCAGGGGATGGGAAAGGGGACAAGAAGAAAAAGGAGGTTAAAGGCCCAACTCATAAAGTCGAGCTGGTACGCTCAAGTAAAAGGGCTGCACTTGTGACAGAGATTGTCGATGCTGTCGCATCATCGGCAAGAACTGGGACTTCGTTTCACGGCAAGGTTGGAACTGACTTGCCGGAGGATGAGCGCGAAGGGCTTGATGGATTTCCGAGAGTTTTCCATCCGGTGATCATGAGCGAGAGGATTGAGATTCCGACGGTTCATATCGTGGGGAGAAACGATCCTTATATGAAGCAGACGGATATTGCTAAGAGACTTTGGGAGAAGAAGAGTATGCGCTATGTGGAGCATTCCGGTGCTCATGATACGCCGAGGCTTGAAATGGATGTGAAGGCCGCTGTCGCTGCAGCACAGTGGGCGATGCAGCAGGCAGAGTTGTCTCCAAAAAGACACTTCCATTTCCACAGAAAATAAGTTTAGATTAGAGGCGATCTGACTAGGTGGCTGGAGCTGTGAATATCAACTACATTGGGAGGTGTTATCACAGTGTTTATGGCCACTAAATGAGCAAATTATCGGTAAATACTATGGATCACAGGATTAAGTGCCGAGACCAATACTTAAGCATACAGTCCATAACTGGTAGTTGAATCTATATGTATTTCCCATCCCTCCAACCCATTCTATCTGCACTCAAGGGGTGAAGTGTTAAGCAGCGATTTATTTCCACCATCCATTCTTCGAACAGTCCAATATGCGTTCTAAGCATCGGTGATAAGAGAGAAGTCGAGCGGCACTTTCAGCTGGGCGGAACATAAATTCAGTTGCAGCTAAAAGCTCCAAAGAAGTGTCGAAATGAGCAATAAATGACTTCATTCGCAACAGATTGAAGTCTAATCTGGTGAGAGACAGCAGATTTTCTATCTCGAGTTGTGGGAAACTCGTTCCTGATATGTCATCTCCGATTAAAATGGCGAGATGGCCGTATCCCGCGGTATCTGTATGCCGGCGAGCTGGCACGAAGCTTCGGTCCTCCATTCCTGTCGTGTCCATATTCGAACTGAGAAAATCGATTGAACCTCCCTTCGCGTGATTCGCATGTTCAAATTCAGAAACAGTACCCAGCCTATCAATAGTCTGCTCTATTGCTTGCATTACAGCTGCAAAGACAAATACGAAGCTAGGCTGGTCTACCAACCGTTGAGAGTGAAGCTGTTCCGGCACGAAGGTGCCGACTTTGCTGCACAGTTTGTCAATGGAGTCGAGCATTTCGTGCACTTCCGCAGAATCCGCGCCTGAGAGGAGACTGATATTCTTTCTCGGTATGGCCTGGCCATATTTCCGCAGCTCATTACAGAGCTCTATCGTTTGTACGATATCTGAGATTGTTTCTGGCTTCCGGGAATCCACTGGAGGAAGTCCTTCGGAGATTTGCTGGGGACTTGCGGCTCCCGAAAAGCTGTCCATAAACGGCCGGGGAGAACCTAATGTTTGGGGACTTAGCCCTTTAAAGTAATTGCCCAGAGAGTTTGGGTTCGGAAAGTCGATGGGTGCTTGTTGCGTCCTCGTAGGGTACAGTAGGTCCTGAAAGTGACTTGCGAAAGGATCAGATGTTCCCACCGTCGGGAACGTACTCTGCGCTGGCGGAGAAAACGTTGGAGATCTCAATGGCTGATCTGAGCAACACCCATCCGGATTCATTGGAGTGTTTGTTCTTCCAAGCTCATCCTGTGAAGGGACACCAGGCAGGTCTTGTGCATTACCAAAAGTCATAGGTGATTGGTTTCGTTGCTCCTCGATTGAACCTTGCCAATTATGCAATTGGTACTCTTTGCTTCCCGGTTCGGGGAAACTTTGCGCATGACTGAGAGTTCGACGTCGTGGAGGGTCCAGTGGAGTGGCATTACTGTTATTGCCATTGGGCTCTTGTTGCGTCCATATTGGCGCAAGACTAGACCCCGATGAAGATAAGGACGTAAAGTCCCCCACAGAGGATGGGGCCGATGGTGGCGACGGTACGGAACGAGAGTCTGAGTTCAGAGTAGTTTGGTTTCGAGGCCGCCCGGTTTTAGATCTTAACGAGAACAAACACTTCCGGCCATTGATTCGGCATGCTTCGCATCGACTGGGCCCGCGGCTCTCCTCTGAGCTAGGCTGGCAGCGTACCTTTCTACTATGGCATTCTTCACATGCAATTCGAAAGTGCGGCGTGGTACTCATTTGCTGTAACAATGAAAGATCGGCGTGGATAATGGAGGACCGACACAAGGCCCACGTCTGTCAATAGGGCCTTGGTGATCGCCACACGACGCCTGAAAACGAGAGAGTTGCCTTTTGCAAGTGAGAGAAGGCGCTGGCTATCGATGAGCTAATTAATCGAAACATCCGTCGGTTGATACTTTAATATATAAGTGCTTCTCGTTCTTCAATGTTGACAGGCGGCGATCTGACAACGACTTCGGGAATCGGCAGACAAAACCTTGGGCAACAGCAGATAGATAGCTGATGCCAGATGGATATATCAGTCTTATTATTACTGCTTATTCAAACAGCTGGTTTGCACAAGCTTCCCCTGTGCCCCTGGCAGTGCGCGTGGATTCCTAGAAACGGTACAGCAGTACTTACGGCACAGTGGCAGACACATGGCGGAGGAGGGATCCCCAGCAAAGCCGTACTAGGTGGTGTGCTGATGCGATAGCAGCAGTGCCAATGTGGAGGAGGCGCATTGCGAACGCCACCAGATTTCTTCTTGCGGCGGCATAATCATTCCTATAAGCTTAAATAGGCAGCTGGTTCCGCTGAATCTTGGAGAGAGCGTCACATTTACGTAGAGGACCCTCGCGAAGCACAAGCGTGGCTGGCACGCCGATGGGCTTGCTGTGCCGTAACGACGGTAGGGTTTGCGGGAAGCAGGAGCCGTTGCGAGGATTTGGGCGATGGAGTCGATTGGCGTCGGCCAGCTGCGTGAATGATTGAACCGAATATACGAAGTAAGAGCTTACTTCGTACTCTACGTACATTATTATAGTGGTGCCCCGCGTTGTGCCCCTGACCATTTAACGTTTCCGGGGACTAGTGGAAAGTAGAAGCTAGTAGCTCAGCCAGAATGCGTACCTGGATACCTTAGGTACTAGGTAGGTTGATAGTAGATTCCTAAGGAATGTTCTTCATCCTAGTGACCTCGTTTAGGCTATGCCAATTAGAAGGCTTTTAATTTAGAATTCCTATGTTCTATGATTCCATCGTGTCTTGGGATTCTTGGCCCCATAATAATAACGGCTATGCCACTTAGTTTGTGACTTGCTTGGTGGGTATTTTTCCGCCGTTGTACGTAGAGCACTAGAAGGTGGTTTAGGACTAAGAAAACGTATTATTACCTCCAGGCTGTACGTATATACATGTACCTGATATGCAGTTTAGTGTGGCTTGCAAAACCAGGGGCCGACTTGAGTGAGCACAACGTTACTCCTAAAGGATTGGCCATCGCACAAAGCAATACGATTATACGCTTCTCGAGCAATAATTGGCTGGCGTTTAAAACGTGTAGAATCAAGGATAGAAGAGTGGTGTTACGAAGCAGCTAGTAAGGCCGCAGAAAGCCAGCCCTATACGTAGTACAGGTCTGAGGTAAGCAAAACTAATTACTAACACAACGAGTTACCCCGGTGAAACAATAAGCAATCAGTATATTACGTGATATAAGTATTGGTGGTGGTCTTGATATCTTACCATATTAAGGTGCTGCTCCGAGTTTAATTAAAAGAGAGCATCGTTGAATCTGGGCGAAATAATGTAGATAAATGAAGAGGCTTGAAGTCAGGTGCGTTACCGGCAACTCCGTCTCTCGTCCAGCTTTCCTGCATGGGAAACTGGCTAGAACGCTCTTTGGATTTTTTTGCGAATGCGCGTGAGCTCTTTTGTATGTACTGTAGGCAGTAGCCGCAGTACCCCGCAAGCATATTATTTCCTTGCTACTGCTTCGAGGTATGTATCTTGTCTTTTATTTTGCTTTCCGTAAAAATAGTATCCATGCTAGCTGGTATTTAGGCGAGGATACTTGTAGGTGCTGCTATAATCTGTAAACCCGCAGGGAATCTTTACGACAGAGCTTTCTAGAAAGAAAGATGAAAGCCAAAGAGTTGTCATGCTTCTAACGAGCCTCGACGAAAACGAATACTAAGATAGATAATCTCGCGTTAATAGTCAACGAGCTGGTAGCGCCTGAGAACGGTATTGCCACATCAGTCGAGAACGTGGGCAATGAAACTGTCGACCTGATAGTTCTTGTGCAACGCCTGAATCAGACGGTGCATGGTTCGTCCGCAATGCACACCATCTTCGATATGTGGCAGAAAATAAGAGCCACCCGGTTTGAGGACGAGACGGAGGCATTAAAGCGTTATACTCTGCTAAGTTAAGGGCTTTCCGTACTGAGTGGGAAAGTTTGGTGGTGACATGAAGTCTTGGCTAGGCCCAATGATCAAATTCCAAAGCCGTGGGCTACCTTGCTGATTGTATATCAGCGTTGCTGCCTTGGAGGCCTGCGAAGCCCAATACTAGGTGGACCCAGATGTAACACTTGCAATAGTATCTAAAAACAGTGAGAGGTCTATTGCAGAATGAACTAATATATTTAATGATTATATAGACTAGAGAAGGGTGGCATACGAAACATTACTGAGAGAGACCAAAAGGCAGAAGAGTGGCAGAATGCCTCGACACTAGATTAGGGCACTTCCGAATAGAATGATCATAGCTTGGGGGTCAGACTGGAGTAAAGGGCTCGAATGGTTTTATGATAGGGCTCAATTCCACTGGGAACTGAAATCACAACACGCAGGCAGACAGGGCCTGGGAGGTTTTCTCGTGCCTCTCTCTTTATTTTAAAAGGGTTTGGATATCGAATAACGGCCAACAAGCAATTCAAAATCTTCGGCGTAAGAGCAGCCCTTGGCAACGAATAATGTTTTGCTGGGTATATGTTATAACCAATCTGTGGAGGAGGCGTTAAAATCAAACTTATTGCCATCGCTTCCGACGACGTCGCGAAAATTTCTCAGAACGAAGTCGTAGGCCCGGTCGTACTCGCACCACCCGACAAGGTATAGCATACCTAGTGTCTTGATACATCGTTGAAACGCCTATGGGAATGCGTAAGCATAGGTAGAAGTAAGGACGCGGCTCCTATCCGCTATCTCATCAAAGTCACAGACATGAGTTTAGTAGTTATCCGTCATACCGAGTTTGTGGCTATGGGTAGAACTTCTACTTATAACGCAGCGGCTTTTAGGGATTTGGATTACATTGCTTTCCTTTGGGGCGGCTGGGGTAAATGGGAGGGAGATGAAGTGTCACACGATGGGATGAGAGTTCTTCTTAACCTAAAAATCGCAACCTCGCTTGGCGACTTTGTGGTTGGTGTCTAGAGTGTAAAATATGACTTCTATGTCATCGGTGTTGTCGAGTTTGAACATAACAAATTGCCTGATATAAAGACATACATTCTGAAATGAAGAAACCAATAGGACGATTTCGGCCACAAGAACCTTCAAGGCACAATGAAAATCGAAGGTAGAGAAGAAATAGTAAGGATCTAGAGGATTGGCTAGGGCATAGCATGAATATCTTGGGGTAGGCTAATATTGAATTCGTTATGCTCAGATAATGTTCGAGCAGTCGACCGCGAATGGTAAATCAAAAGTGGTTACGTGGCTAGGAAAACATATATTTGTCTTTGTACGCTCACTTTCTTTTTTATTGCAACTGCTCCTTTTAGATTACTGCTACTGAACACTTATGCACTGAACTTGCTCAATTTGAAATTATTCCATCTCATTTGAATTAAATTGATGTTTTCAAATCGTACGACTTTTTGAAGCACACTGGTGTATCTTGAAAGCCGCTCAAGACTTCTTCTGTCTCTCAGCCCCTAACAGGAGGGTGCTTGAGGGGGGTGTTCCAAAAACATATCGTATCCGATTACCCTGAAATCCAAAGCCAACAGCCACATTGCACTCGTCACCTGGCCTTCTGCATGGGATCTGCATCTAAGCAAAGCAAAATAGGTAACTTGGTCTCTCTTAATCATCTAGTGCAACAATGTCACTGTTTAGAGCTAACGAGGAAAGCAGCTAAGCTATAGAAGGTAAAACGGCTAGATACATGTTTGATTATATGCGATACTGGTCAGGTGATCGTAAGTTGATAGACACGACACTCATTGGACTAGATGCTCAACCAGAAGAGGACGGCGCTTGCTGCTCCATTTGCTTGCGTTGATCAATCTCGTATTGCTTAGCATATTGTATTCGTCGCTGGATGATTGAAGGGTCGAGGAAAGGCTGCGGAGGCTCTTGGGAAGTGAACTCAACAACTAAAGAGAGCAGCGTTGGTAGTTAGGACAGAGATGTGGACTCGCTCCTGATGCCTAGTCATACCTGGGAGCTGCTTTCCCTTTCCGTTTTCTTTTCCTTTTCCTACAGATACCTCATCGGCGGAGGCTCGCGGCTGAGTGTAAGCAGACGTAGTGCGATGCAGTTGCGGTGGACGGAGAGGAGTCTTTTTGAGCAGCTCACGCTTCGGTGGCGATGTCATTGTTCATAATTGTTGTCCGTTAAAAAGGGAAGCTTGGCCATGGACGATCTCCAGAGTAAACTCTGGTTCAGCCACCAACAGCCACAAACCAGCCCAAACCGGCCACCGTTAAATTCTTACTAATCCGCGCCGTGGTCGCGTGCGTTTCACGTGCCTCGCTAGTGATCTGCCACGTGATAAGTGGAGATACCTTATGGAGAATGTCTCTGCGACCTGCGACCTGCGACCCCCGCCCTCCGCATTCGGCCATCGAGACACACGGAGCGACACCGGACACCCTTCAAGAGCGCAACAGAGCAACGAGACCAAAACAATTACCGACGTAACTGAACGTTCCGGCACGCAGAGTGACCGATTCGGCTGTAGCTGCTCACATCATCCACCACCTCCACCTCCACGACCTCCACCTCGCCCTCCGCCACGGTCTGCATGGACGGTGGCCACGGGGTTGTTGGGGCCGCGGCAGTCAGTCCAACCGCCAGCGTGCGGCCTGGGACCAGCGGCAGCTTCAACAAGAGGAAGAGGAGCAATGCCGAGTTCGAGAGCAGCCCGGGCACAGGCGGAGAGGAGGTTGACGACGAGGGCGAGCGGAGGAGGCAGCCCGGCGTCAAAAGAGCTTGCAATGAATGCCGGCAGCAGAAAGTGAGTCATGGGAGGAAACTTCGAAATTATAGCTCCAGCTCCAATTGCTTGAGTTGCAGCTCGTCTTCAAGGCAGACGGGTTGTAATAATAGGCCGGAGCCCTCAAGTTGCAAACTCCAAACGCAACTGGTGTGCAAGGCTAATGCTTGAGGTGTACAGCTGCGTTGCGATGTGGTTCAGGATCCCTTTACGACATGTTCGCGGTGCAACCGACTGAAGCTGGAGTGTAAAATCGAGTCCAATTTCAAGCGTATTGGAAAACGAAGCAAGCATGCCGAGATGGAGAAGCAAATCGAACACCTCCGGCAGAACCTACATCGAGCCCGAACGCAGGGATTTGTTATCGAGGATGACGAGGATCTGCAGTCGCCAATTGCCAACGGCATCTATTCAAGAAATAACCATTCATACATAGGGTCAGAGGAGGCGGTCTCGTCTTTGCTGCATCTTAAACAGGGAGGGTCCTACCCCCCAAAGTTTGCGAGGGAGATTGGGAATGTAGGCTTGACGGATGACGCTATCAGCCATCTCTTCAATGAGTTCTGGTGCTGCTATCATCCGTATCTTCCATTCTTGGATCCCTCCCAGTCGCCCGACCAGTACTATCAACAGCATCCACTTCTCTTCTGGGTCATCATTACAGTTGCATCTCGCCGTTACACATCAGATCCGGGGCTGTTGACTTCCTTATCCGGCCCTCTGACACAGCTACTCTGGAGTGCTATCGGCGAAGTCCCCAACAATCATTATGTGGTCAAGGCATTGTGTATTTTATGCACATGGCCGCTGCCAACAAGCACAACATCCACTGATCCAACTCACATTCTTGGCGGCGTTATGATGAAGGCTGCCACTGGGATTGGCCTTCACCGCCCGAACCACACGCAAGACTTCTCAAGAGTGTCCGTTGATCTCAATAGAGAGCAGCTACATGATCGGGTCACCACGTGGGCAGTGTGCAATATTGTGGCTCAAAGCATAGGCACGGGATATGGTCAACCGGCTTCATCATTATATGACTGGACACTTGCAGTTAGACCGGGAGAGGACGGTCCCTTCACCCTGCCGCCAGAACTCGAAGCCCGGCTTCAAATTGAACGTTTCTGTGACAAGGTCTCGAAAGAGATGTATAGCAACGCAAGCGACCCTCGAGGAGTAGCGGGCGATGAGCTCAGAGTAATGCTAACTAGAGTTTATCGACGAGAATTTGGCGAGCTTCAAGCCTCAATCCTCTCCAGACAAGATCTCTCTCCAATCATCAACCTCCACCTCAAGGCTGCCGGTCTTCATCTTCGTCTATCTGCGTTCTTCGATTCAAGCACAACCCAAGGCTATATGGATGACCTCATGGGATTATGGCGATCCGCACTTGCTTTCTTGGATCTTGTCTTTGACCTTGAATCAACCTCGGTCGAGGGGATGAATGGGGGAATTCTCCGCTTTGCAACAAATTACATCCTACAGATGATTATCGCAGCCTGTTTTACGCTTCTCAAGCTACTCAGCTCCTTCTTTGCCAGGGAGATCGATTTTGAGCGGGGACGACAGCTCTTCCATCGCACTATCCAAGCCATCAGAAGCATGAGCGTCATCAACAATGACTTGCCCTGGAGACTGGCGGAGCTCATGGTCCAGATGTGGAACGGTGCTCGGATCGAATCCCGGAGCGCGGCCCAGAATGGCAACGTTAACCAAGAACGAACAGTTATTGACGATAGCCTCCAATTGAAGGTTCGGTGCCGGATGAGCATGAGTCTGGTTTTTGACTCCATCTGGCGATGGCGGGAAGAATTCCAGGCCCAGGGACGAGGTAATCTTGAAGGTCAGCCCATCAATTCATCTGCCTCACATCCATCCCATTCCTCCACCCGCCCTGAGAAATCAATGCTAACGCCGTCTCTCATAGCAGCCATGAAAAACCCGACCAACCCTGACAGCGCAGCCGAATCCTCGGCCTCTTCAACCCACCAAATGGACAGCACACTCATGCCAGCGTCCCACCAAATTCAGAACCAGCTCCTAGCTGCCGTGGCGGGGTCCAGTACCGGTACCGGTACTCCAAATCATGCCCTCCCATCTAGCAGCATTATGAGCGGCAATAATATCGGCTACAGCGAGAGCAACTATGAGGTCTTTGACCCGCTTAATTGGATGCTCGATGGACTTGTTGATTTCCCGTACTCGTACGCAGCAGTTCAGGGGCTTGAGACAAATGTATTGGGTTGATCCAATATGGCCACCTCGTCGTAGCAAGATCCCTTATTAACAGGAAATGTCTACGTCGAGGTGCATCGCAGAGAAATGTCAAGTCGTTTGGGATCCACCTTGCCAACAAGCTGACCTACTTGCTTCGCTTGCTCATCAGGGCTCGCTACTTTTGACACTTGCAATGACTAGGAGTTACGAGCGCTACATTCAGAATGGATAATGATGGAGGAAAAGACATTTAAAAGGGCATACATTACACACGCGCGCATATAATGAAAGCTAGCAGGAGGGCGCAAAGGGGGCTCGTGCTCACATTTTTTTTAATTGCTCTATTTGCACTTTTACGGTTATGGGACGGCGACGGAATAGGATGGGAATGGAAATCGCAGGGCATGGAGCTAGGAATAGGACAGATTGCGAATACCAACGTTGATTTGATTAATAACTTGAGTTGTTTTGAGGTACACTGTGGTCTTCTCTTGCTAGCTCGCTGATAATGCGTCTCATTTCTCTGTTGACTCATCTCCCGCTGTTTGTTCCCTGTGACTTTGATTCGATTTCGTGATACGTAAGGATCCTATATTTCGGTTTCGTAATGTTCTCCGACCCTTGGGGTGGTATGGGGTGCGTAGGGATGGAGTTTAATTGAGGTGGAGATGGATCAGGAAACGGAGGGGCAGCGTACAGCACCAGAGACATGCATGTGAAGTATTCCTCAAATAGTCAAATGCCCATCTTTCCCTTAATCCCCTTAACTCCCTGCTATATGGGTCTGGTCCGCGCGTATCCTGCAGACAGTGCGTCGAGAAGTGTTGGTGTAGGTGTGGTCACTTGTGATTCATTTTTGCTTTTCCTCTTGCGTTTGTTCCCTGTGCTGGCGGGCCGGTAGATAGTTACGGAAGGCAGTGCCTGGTGTTAAGTGTAGGAAGAGGGAGATGGATGCTCTCTGGTGCTCGTCTCGTCGTTGGGGGGGGAAGATGGTGAAGTGGGTACGTGTTTGTTACCGACGATCCGACGTTTCATGGGAGTTCTCCTCCGCTGAGTTATGAATGGTTGCATATTTCGGCACCTGATGCCATGCGCTTTGTAGATATTGAACAAGAACTGATTCGAGTTGCAAGGTGCATGTAGACAGTAGCCACGCCTGTGGGGTCTGAGATTTTGTCCCGTTTCAAGTTTCAACGATGTGGTGATAGCTCCGACCAGTTCGTCGAGCGCCGGAGCCTTGACCGAAAGCGACAGCAGACCAGGCCAAACTCCCGGGGACATAATAACATCGCCTGCTTGGCTGCTTTTATGGTATATCCGATGGGTTTCGGTTCATCGTTCAGTTGTGTGATGACTCTCGATTGTTGTGGACGTGGACTTGAGGCGTGTGTGAAAACGATTGTTCAAGACCCGCTCCAAGACGTGTCGTGTTTTGTTCAACATGAGCTTGTTACTATGGGCTATTCAGGGAAAGTATGGCCTGCGAGTAATGGCTTCTCTGAATATTGTCGAGGTTAATCTATTGCTGAGCTTAGCGAAAGGTGTTCGAGTGGGCTGGTGGCTATCGATTGAAGAGTGGGAGTCTAGAAACGGGTTAACGGGTCGCTCAGGCTGTCATTGTGAAATCTTCGGGGAAAGTATAGCGTATAACTAGGGGATTTACCGTCCGTTTGTCCTTCAAGTTTAACTGTTGTTGAAGTTATGATCTCGTCCGCTCTTCTAGGCTCCCCGGATGGCCCGGCGATGCTCCCATCGCCATCGATGGAGAGGCTGGATTCCCAAGACTGGAAGCCTGAACTTTTCGTGGGATATCCATCATTGCTATGGCAAGATCTCGCCGAAGGTCGAAACCGTAGGAGCCTAGATTTCGGGTTAGACTTCGAGCTGTCTTGTTCCATGGCCACGTTCCCAAGAGCGTTGTTAGGGTCATACTTCACATATTCAGTTTGGTTCCTCTATGCAGATTGGTCTGATGGAGGCTACATTCGCATTGATATAGACTATAACACTCTCTATCCGCCTGGTAGACTTGTGTTGATTCAAAGCTGAGTGAAAACCTGTCGGCTTGCACAGGGTGCTGTACCCATCCACTGTCCGGTAGGCTCCAGAAGAAAGAGTCATTAAGCATGCGGTCGGTTTCGCATTATAGGTTATAACGGGACCTCATATCCTGCGTGTGCTATAGTAGATAGCTGGGTTTGCTCTATGGCTCTTGATGTGGTGGCCTGGTGGTTTCGTTCTGGTTTCGGAGGCGTTAACATCTGTCACTTCGAGGTATTGGACCAGTTCCGCACGGATGAGGCGGAGAATCCACTATAACATGATAGCGTATCATTTACCTTCGTAGGATTCAACTGCGGCATGTTGTGGCAATCGATAGATATGACCGGCAAGTCGATATTGGAGAATGAAGGTATTCGGAACGGTTCCATCGACGAGCTTGGTTGAGATCCCCAACCCTCTCCATCACCTACAGTTGCCAGCGACAACCATGGTCTCCAATAAATCGACTTATATGTCTAGGTGGCAGTAGTGATGTCTTAAAGGATATGGAAGTGGTGGATTATGTTGGAGGCGGGCTTTGGAGAAGATTTTGACGCCTCAAATCCAACTTCCAACTTCTATCAACCACCTAACAGAACAAAATCCCAAGAAGCACCACCAACAAAACTCACAGCTCACTACTCACGTCTAACTAGATAGCGCCTCAATCGTACCAACGAGTTGGCTTCTCGAAGAAGCGTTATCTTGATATCTAGCGCGACGAATATTGTCAAATCCTACATACTACGCTTGCAAAGCTTCAACACCATTACTCGATCGCACTCTATTTCACAACTACGATTAATCCTTCCAGTTACAATTCACCATAATGCCAAATCTCCGTTACGACTTCAGTGCTACGTGTATAGTTCGTAACAAGTGTTAGCTTTTGCCCCCAAGATGGGTGACTCGAACCTGCAGCAAAGAACACGACTTTCGTCTTCTCTCCATCCAGAAGTTGGTACTCCCCGGCTGCCTTGTTCAATACGAGATTTGGGCCCTTACTGCGCCTTGCCAATGGCTGATACCAACGGTCAACCTGTTCCTCGGGACAGATTCGGTTCTACCATCTCGCATTACCTCGGTTGCATCAGCAAGCAGTTCCAAATCACGTCCCGCGTCTCGTGGACTGATGATCCTGATCTTCCTTGCCTATATCGCCTTTGGATCTAGTACATTTAGTGTGTGTCACACTGTGGTACAATAGACCCGACGGGTTAAGCGCCCGGTTCCCTACTCCATACCTTTGTCACTCAGCCTTGCGGGGAAGATGAAACACTTTGGTCAAGATATCACAGCCACGAGAGGGTAGTTTTCGGGTTCCAACTAGGTCTTGCGGCCCTCGAGAACGCACATAGCACATCCGTGCATACTCCGTAGCAATCAAAAAAGAACCTTACTTGCCCTCAGGGTTGGGACACAATCCTGCCCCCCTTGCTGCATTACTCTTTGGGAATGCGAGCTTAGTCTGGAATCCAGATCGCTCAGATGAGTGCCTCTAGCAAGACGAACGAGTTGATACCGTTCTATATCCTATAGTATCTTCGACTATATGGCCTTCAATTGGTTCCTTTCATGCATCCCGAATGTGGCTATATTCTTGCTAACACTGCCTTTCCCCTGCCAATGTCTGATCACGGTGCCGGATGACTCGCCATTGGTGGTTTTTGGCGATACCATACAACCGGACTCATAGCACGAACGATTTCGCCCAGCAATTTATCCAGACGCAGACCCAACTCATATTGAATATCAGGGACTACAAGATTAGTTTAGGGTTCGATGGCGAATAGCAAGCCTTATCCGGCGGGAATTCCGTCGAATGCTCAGCCTTTAGCCCCTGGAAATATGGATGTCCATCCCGGGCTGGCCCCTTTAGGAACCAGCAGTAGACGACGAAATCCAGGTGTCACAATGATGCGAGATTGGCGTGGAGCCGCGAGAGCACTGTCCATTGTTGCTTGGCCACTTTGGAGGGCTCGGACCGATTCCCACCCAAGGCCTGAAAAGATGCACTGGGCAATCAGGGGGAAGTTGATCATCTCAAATCGGGTTCTCATTTGCAAATCGGAAGCCGTTGAGGACTTGACAGGCATGGCGAACTATCATGCGGTCATCAATCACGGTTCGTCGCGAGCCGTTGGAGGAGACGATAGAGATAGGCGATATATGATGGACGAGGGGATTTAGTGACGAGACGCGCTTTGGCGCTATATCTGGGCACCATTGGCTGCCGAGCGCAGCCTGGCGCCCAGGTGTAACCCGCTCTATATGGCGTCGCGGCTTATCTCATGTGTCTTTCCCTGCCTATAGCTCTGAGCCCATTACCTTTGGTGGACCACGTACGAAAGAAATCACTTGCCGCGTGCGGATCCCAACTATAGACCCCAGAAGGGCGCCTATTTTGTAATGACTATGACTATGTCGGTCATTAGCGATGCTACCATGATGATGTGCTGCTGGCCTACAGCACAAACAACACAGGATATGATCCTCGAATCCTTCCCACGAGCTGGCGATTGCCGCGTTGCGACTGGGGGAGCCCGCGTCAGCTGCGCTTCCACGACCGGTCACTTGTTGAGGGCCAGATCGATTCCAGCGAATAGGTAAGTTATGTTGTCTTGGAGAGTGCCTGGCATCGTGCACCTACATGGGCCAGTTTGAAGGCCGGACGATGAGCGGCGAATGACGATGTCCCACGACACGAAGCATGGCAACGGAAATCCGGACTTAGGAATCCACTGCTACAATTTCCAGAGAATCCTACTTCTTCCTCCGGAATCTTCCCCGTTCTGCCTCAGAGTCTCCTGGTGTGGGCCGGGCTGCTGGCGGCCTAGATGGGAAACAGACGTTGGGAACAAAAAGCTTTTTCCAGGGCCCGTATTTTTGGTCTGTCCAGCAGCTGGCAGCAGCCATAGCAGATGACCAACCACTCATGCAGTCACCGTCACTGGCGCGAGCGGCTGCCCTCAGCCTTGGGACGTGGTGGGGCCTTGAGCAGCTATTTTGAGGGAGCAAAAGTGTTGAGCTGGATGGCCGCGTTCCTCGAGTATTGCTGGAAGAGACCCGACAGTTTGGTTGACTAGGACCGTGGAATATCTGGCTATCTTTATGGTCGTAATCGTACCAGTCACGGCTGACCAGCTGCCTTGCGGCCTGGCGCCAGCTGGCGCCAGCTGTCTTGTTGTTCGCCGGCCATGGCCGGCCGCTCCTTCCAAAGCGGTGCAAGGGGCGCCTGGAAACGTTTGAGGACCAGTGAGCTTAAGACCTCAGGACGGGGACACCGGAAGCAGCAACTCAAATACCGCAGCACAAGCCAATTTACACACATTTCACACGCCACTACTCGGTCAGGGATCCCTGTGGGGGCGGCTGTGCCTTGCCCGATGAGGAATAGGGCGTCAAGGGTGGGCCTGCTACCGCGGTTAACATCCCTAGGGAATACGGAGCTGGCGTTGGTCAACTCCCACATTTGGCGATGCAGACCCATGCGCCTGTGCCGTGGATGTACAGCGGTCACAACACCTCCCGCAAGGCGCGCGGGTATTAGGGGGGAACAACTGGTGGAAGGATTCGCTTACGCGGGGGAGCCGGGACCCCCCTGGTGCCATGGCGACCCCTATTGGCGTGTGCGCTCTCGGCTCAATGGTCCCCTGATACAGCGACGACCCAAGAACCAGTCTGTCGGGACGGTGGCTGTGGGCTCGAAGAACCTGCCATTCCCGATTCACCACCTGCACCATGCTCGAAACACGGCGACCGCCACCGGGCCGGGGCGCGGACGCCGGCGAGAACAGGAGATGGTGCGATGGGGCCATAGGGGTGATGAAGCACGGAGGGCAGAGGACAGAGTACAGATCTGAGGGGAGTAGCAAGAGGACAGGGAGGGGACCAAGCGAGGAATTGCGAACGGGAAGGGAGGGGGGAAGGGAAAGGGGGAACGGGGAAGGGGAACAGCGACAGCGGGGAGATGAACCAAGAGACGCGGACAATGACGAGGATGGGGATGGGGACGGGGACGAGTCGCACTTCCTCCGTGCCCTACGTGCTACCTAGGTCGGTACGGACGTAGCACATGAACGATCCACCTAACTGCTGCTACTCCAGAGGTAATAAACCTTTGTTACTATGTACATGTACTTCGTACCTGGTACGCAGTAGACACATCGTACGAGGTACTTCGTGCAGTATCTCCGTTTCACAAAATCCGATCGACTGCGCAGCCTTCAGCCCTCCGCCGCCTCCCCGTCTTGACTATCTACCGACCCAATAGCGAGCATGGGGTCATGTCATAAAAATAAGGGAGAATTGGTGCCTACCAGCACCCCACACCGACCGACAGTCCCTCGTCCCCTCCTCGCACCGCGGTCCTCCATGGAGATGGGGATAAGGCTGATTATCTTCTGATCCAGTCACCAGATGCCCTCACGCACCGGTCGGTCGCCCATCGGCGGCCCTCTTCAGCTGCCGCAATTTGTGCTGCCTATGACTCCATGGCCGAGCTGCTGCTGCTGCTGCTACTCTCCATTTCCCAAGGGATCTCCAACATCATTTCCTTCCACAGGCGCGCATCGGCCTGTGAGCAAATCAGCTCCTCCCGATGCCTGGTGCGGCAGTGAGGCCGTCGGTCCGGGACAGCTGCCCCCCCCCCCCCCTGACAGGCAACGAATGTAATGAATGCCACTCCGAAATAATAAACAAGCCGGACGCAGTTCCTCTCGGCTCCTATCCTCTCCCGACCAACAATCCACGGCCGGAAACAAACACACGCGCCTGCAGCGCATGTTAGGGCCTGCAGAGAGCAGGCCAGCCAAACGGACGAGTAGACGATTCAGAGCAAAAAGCTCGAGCAACAGTAGCACTGCACCAGGCAGGGCAGGGCAGAGCAAGGTAGGGCAGGGAATGGCAGGGGACAGCACGACTCTAAGTGGAGGGTTGCCGGAGACTTTTCAGACCCCCCAGAAAGTACTCAATGCCCTGGGCACACCAAACCGCATAACTCAAGTAAGGAGCCTGTCATTTACCTCCCATAGACGAGACTTAAGGATGTGATGAGAAGCCAAGTGCCGTGTCAGGTCGCTTGCCTCGTCCCAGCAAAGCAGGCACGGCGGTTACACGATGCATTCTCTGCGCCAGTTTCCTCTTCCAGGGTCTTCCTAATCCCACCCCAATCCACACACGACATAGACGAACAGTCGCTCCCGCATAATGGCACTCACACTTGCTTCGTACCCTCACACCCCATTATCACTGCCACCTAGCGGCCTATTCGGAGACCTCCCAACCCCCATGGCTTAGTCTGCGGTGCTTCTGTCTGGGATACGAAGTAAACTTATCGGCCGTCCTGCCGATCCAGTCTTTCCTCTGCCCTATATGCGTACTATACGACGAGGCTCCCTCGGCCGTTGCATATGCAGATTTATCCTCCACTCCCCCTGTCATGCCCTGGAATCCTGGATGTCGTTTATATATTTTTATGAATGCTTTCCACTGCCGTGGGACAGTCCAGGGACCCCACTCATCTCATCCCATACATGTTGCCACACGCCAGTGTATAAAGGTTTAACGTTGCTCCGAAGTTAAAAGGCAACCCATTTCCGCCCCTCGTTATCACTTCTTGCACAGCTTCCCCAGCTTTTTGTGTGACCCTACCTCTTCAAGTCCAACTGTCCAAGTCATCCCGCAGTATCTAACTTGCCTCGTACTGCAACAACTGCAACACAGGTTTGTGGAGGCACCAATGTCTTCGATGGGCGAGTCAATCTACGCGGCGCAACCAGCACGTACCCTCCATAACCCTCCAGATCAGAGTCCCTACAGTGCTGTAAGTTACCAAATATATGGCTGCGCGGAGATGCACATCTTGGTCGAATAGTGCTAACTCCTAGGCAGGTCTCGGCCGTCTCCTCCTTCAATTTAGAAGCTCGTTACGATTCTTCACTCGTCACGCCAATCTCAATGTCTACGACACCTTCAGTGCAAACAAAGCCGCTAGAAAGCCTGCACAAAGAAGTGCCTTTGCAACTAGAGCCTGCAAATGTATCTCCGTCATATCATCTATTCTGTGAGGACGATTTCGGTGGCTCACGGTACCATCACGAGCCGATGAAACATAAGGACTCGTTAAACACTTTGCATGCGTCAACACCAGATAGCGCCTTTCCTCCCTCACCATACGAGCCCTATTGGGGTTCATTCGGGGTATCTGCCACACCAGGATCGGCCAGAACGTCAATATCTTCGCCACCAATGCACCCCGCCCCTAGCCTCAACTCCGCCGGGGGTCTCAGCAATGACAGCCGCAATTCCCGTCAACCCACTCCGGGACGCAGACCCAGCAATTACGGAACACAGAATCAAGCTCCCATATTGATTGCGCCCAATCCTGACACCCTCCGGAAGGTAGAACCGTACCGTCAGAGCTCGCTGAATTCCAACCATTCAACTCCCCATTCCCAAGGACCTTCCCAAGGCGGGTTCCCCGAAAATATAACAACGCTTCCGGCGAGCAAGAAGCGGAAAACGCCAGAGTATGGCTTTGACAACGAGATGATCCTGGCCAGCGATCTCTCGTTCGAAGAGCAACTGCTCCTCCAACTGTCAGAAGCCGAGCAACTTCCTTGGAAAGACGTGATGAACCGGTTCAACGAACGCACCGGGAAGTCTATGAAAGTGGCCGCGCTACAAATGCGCAAAAAGAGACTGGTGGAACGCTTGAGAGTATGGACCGACACAGAGGTAGTGCGAGCTCATTCTGCCCGTTGTTCTCCTTCCCCCCCTAATGCTAAGCATCAAAAGCTAACCCGTTCACCCAGGAGAGGGCCCTAACTATAGCATGGGAGGAGTACGAGACAGCCCGGTGGGACACTATTGCCAAGAATATGCTCAATCATGGCTGCAATGATCGGTGGACCAAGGAAGCGGTGCAGCGGAAGTGGCACGAGCTGCATCCACATCCAGAGGACGGAATGCCTACCATGTCAGAGTATGAACTGATGACTCGAGGCCATCACCGACCGGAAGTGGCCCCGTCAATCGGCGGATCTCGTGGGTCATGGTCTGATGTCCCTACTCACCACGGGCTGCCTGGAATTTCTGATGGCATCGCCCGCTCCTTGCCCACTGGCGACGGTGACACCACCGCCATCGCGGCATCCTCCTCGATGCGTTCTTCCAGCCTCGTCTCTGCTACCTCAACAGTAGCCATGGATGAAATTCGCAGCCTCACGGCCAATGACGCCAGCACACAACTAGCGCTCCATCAACAGCAAACTCAGCTGATGTTTGAGCAGCAGCAACGCAAACAACAACAGCATCAGCAGCAACAACATCAACAACAACATCAACAACAACATCATCATCATCATCAACAGCAGCAGCAGCATCAGCAACAGCAGCGGAATAGCTGGGCAACTCCTACTTCTTCAACTTCTTCACGGGGTTAATATCTCTGCTCACCCTCCTTTATAATACTTTTTGATTTCTTTGACGCTAAAATTTGTTGCCAGGCAAGGAAAGGAGGCGTTACAACGGGTACCATAATTCTTTTCTCAAGACCCCTTTTTTGCTTTTAGGTTTTATATACGTGTGTATTGTGGTTTTTGCCTTTTAGCGTGGATACCAATGGGTTTGTGGTCTTTGATGACACCATACAGGCACTTGTCATCGCGGTTCGATGAACCCTTTTTGTGATAGCATTGCACTTGGTTTGGAAAAGGAGCGGTATATACCATGTGTGCAAGGCGTTGGGGGCTGGCAGAGCTGTAGTTACAGTATAGCACCACAACACCCTATATCTACATTTACATCTATGTGTACACTGTCTGTATAAAACCGACTACTTGCCGGAAAACAGAACGGCAGGGGGATATTCAGTAATGAGAATAATATACGCATTGTTTCCCACCTCAGCTTGCAGCTGTAACATTCTCGGGAATTAAAGCCACCCCCCTTCCTAATTATCGTGACAATGACGCGTGGCCATTTCATTCAGAGCAGCGAAGGAACTATGGTGTCTCAACGCTTGGGCTTCAGCCATAAGAAGGTTAAAAATGTGGCTTAGAGCAGGTAGGCTGTGAGCTATTTGAAGGGGGCTGATGCACGAGACGGGAAAACAGGACTATAGAATTCCCAAATTCCTCGTACTAATTCGTAACTGAGACCCAATGTTCTTCCATTTCGCTAAAGAACAAGCTTTGAAGGCCATTATCAGAATCCGCAAAACCAGTAGCTAGGTAAGTAATACGCCATTCAATCTCACCCGGTGTTAACCACGTGCGGGGCTGTCGTTCCAGCACCCCGTGGAGAAGCCATAAATCGTAACCGCGCCTCTACCATGCACCTAGACGCAGGGGGGCCAACTAGGTGGCTGTTTGGCTTCTACAGGAGTAATCACTCTGTACGTGACACGAAGAAATCATGGTCTGCCCCCTGGATAATATGGAATCTCCCGGTCCGTCCAATTATGCAGCATCATTGGGGTACGATTGTGGAACTAGGCAGACTAGCTAAGATATGCAGAATCGAGGTATGCAGGATCGAGCTAATACCCTATTGCGATTTAAGGGAGGAGGAGGTTTTAGGAATTCTCCTTGCCAATGAAATGCTTGGTCAAGGTCAGTAATTCTGCCTTCGCGTCATCCGCTGCGCACGCCTTGCACCAAATCCAGCCCTATGGGGGCTGTACTCGGCCGTGCGAACGCAGGGAAAGACATGTATTGTACGAAGGAGCTGCCACGTTGTATCCTACCATAAACCGCTCCCCGGGACCTATTGTCAAGCTTTTCGTCGTGTTGCCTCTTTCGTTCGTGCCCATCTGTGTGACCTTGGGGAACGTTTTCGTGGAACGTAGGTATTGTGGGAAATAGCCTTGTGTCAAGAAGGTGATTTGCGTTTCCTTGACTTGCATGGTACGGTACAAAGGGGGTCGCGTTCCTGTATCTGGAAGTCCCACAATGGTAGATTGGATGCATGCAAGTCCATTCGGAAAACTGCCTAATACGAGATAGACTTTCAGATTAAGGTTGGTTTAGTCCCAGTGGGCCAAGTAAATTTGTTAAATACCCGGCTAGTACAGTTTTATGTGCTTTGGCAATCTCCCAAGAGGGTCTTTTTTTATCATGCTTGGGAATTGCCACTAGATTCCCCCTATCTCCGCCAATCCCTGGCGGAAGTCGCCTAGCCAAGGTCTAGATTTCCTGGCTACACAAGCTATTTCCTTCCCATACGCTATCCCAGTTGATTTTCTCTCGGTTTCCCTGGACTATGAATTCTCACGTGGAGTCACACATGAAAGTAAGGTCCAGATCCTAGAGGAGTCGGGAGGATTCCTGATGTGGTGGCACAAACGAGCATTAGAAGATCGAATGACTCTAGAAATCAGCTCCATGAGTACTGCCACGTTTCAGAGACATTGACCAGCCTTACAGAATTTAACAGGGCGTTTTTTCTAAATAGGCATGCAGAAAGTGAGAATGTGATGAGAAGCATCACATGGCATGCGACGGACCCAGTGGTCAATAGGCGCCTGGACAAGAGAAGGCCACCTATATTGATCCATAGATCATTTTTAGATCCGGGTATACAACTCAAATGATTGGCGTCGGAGCGGTTCAGACGAAGATCGGTGTCGCCTGAGCGCCTCTGCAGATGCCGGCGCCGTTGTGCACCCTCCAGTCGAGGATCTCGTTTACTATCGTGACTAACCTTGCTGCAAGCATGATATGCAGGGTGAATGGTTCGTAGATGTGCCGCCGTGGCGTGGAAAATGGCAGGTGGTAGGTGGGTAAGGAGCCAGTTGGAGAATTCCTTTGGATATGCCGATAGGAAGTATTCCCTTCTGCCCGATATGACAAGCATCACCCATCGATCGTGGTGGGGGAGGGGGGGGGCGATTCCGCCCCTTCTTCAACAATGAAGTAGAGGTAGAGGGGTATAGGGGCGTCGTTATAATGTTGTTCTGGAAACGGGAGAGCGGAGGGGCAGACGCCACTAAATGTTGGTTCCAACAAACCAGCATTGACTTGGCATCCGAGGTAGTTGTAGAATGGCGATGAAGATGAGGCCTTGATAATACGAGGTTATTGGGGCTATAATGCCCTGCATATGCCATTGGTATGAGGAGTTTTTCTTGGTATCGAGAGCTTGTCCGAGTAGGGGTGGTGTTGTTGGCGACTTGTTTCCCCCTTGACTCCCTCAAACGGCCCCCGAATCTGACAGCGATCCGTGTAACCCCACAAGGTATATTCCTATCTCCACTCATAGATAATTATTTCCAATTCAACGGAAATCCCATGAGCGATAAAATTTCTAAAGTGTCCTTTTGGAGTCGCAGATCATCAAGTTTTTACTAGCTGAAAGAGTCCCGCATGCGAATCGGCACTTGAGCATAGGGGAGCGATGGCGTTGCACCTCTTCACCGTAAGCTATCGAGGGGTGGGGATGAATTGTTCAGTTTAGAAGATAGCCTAAATATCGTATTTGCAGATGTTTCAAACTTGCTTTCACTTTCACTTAATTAAAGCGCGAGCGTGAAAGGACTCCTTGCTAACACTTCCCAAAAGAATTAACAGGGAAGCCTCTCTTTCCGCAATCAACAGACCTCTCAATCCACTGCATTCTCTACGTTCCAAATCCCTTCAAACATCTTCCGAAGCCTGCAACATTTCAAATCAAATTTCTGTCAACGGGGCCGATGAATCAAGGGTCAAATTTCCCCAATACTTCAGCATCCCCTTCTTGTGCTGTCGCACCGTGGGCAAGGTTTTAACTGGATTGATGGTGGATATTAACTGTTTGTAAAATATTCATGCAAGAAAGGCTCCAATTTTAGCGGATTAGTTGTCCAGAGTCCTCATCTAGAATCAAGAATCGTCTCACGTAATAGCGGTTATGATGGCATACTTTGGGCTTGTGTTGAATTTATTGCGATAACAGTTGGCTCTAGTTTTTAGAGACTGAGTTGATGAATTTAATACTGGCTTTAAGGGAAAGGGGCAATGTTGATCTTTAAATACACTTATTGCTTACTATCATGACTATGAATTATTCCTAAATCCCTGGATCCAAGCCAATACTTGGAAATTTGCAAGCTAGTATGACTTGACAAAGAAGCATTCCTGCTTCACAGGCCCCTCTCAGTCCTTCCTTGATAATAATTCTGCTTTCAAAAATGAGTGGCTGTCTGTAAGAATATATTTGTGGTTAGTCTTCTCCTAATGTACGAAAAGCCATAAGCATGGACGCGACGGGTGATGGTAGTTAAGACTTATCGGCTCCAAAGAATAATAGCACTACACAATAATTTATTTGCATGAAATGAGTTGAAACACAGATGCAAAGTGGTATTCGTAGTCGTGCTGAGCGGCTCGATATTTTAGAGCTGGTCTCCACATATATATTCGCCATAAGTAGCGTCGCCAAAATAGGAACTCGAAAGAAATTATTACTGACTACTCGAACAAAGCTACAAAAATTCCACAGGTCTTAGTTTTCCAGGGTCTCGTTTATATAATCAATTTCTCCATGGTGTTTAGAGGGATACAGCAGTCCCGTAACGGTCAGGGATGAGACATGCTCAAGGAATTAGTAGGATACCCCCCTTGCGCTGCAACTTTCCCTGCGCGATTGGGCGCCGGCAGGTGCCTTGATTGTCAATATATAGCAAAATAAGCAGAAATCCCATAACAACTGGAGACAGGTGACTAGGCCTGTTGGTACATTGGTCAAACAACCCCTCCTCGAGGGTGACCGCCGATCAACAGACAACCTAGAATGACCCTAGATGCTCCACGAGAGAAACGAACAAGTTTCTCGGTGTCCCATTTGGAACTGATAATTGGGTATTTCTTTTGCCATTTTTTCCCCTTAAATGCTCCCATTCTACTCTTTTCTCGGTGGGTTCGCATCGCTACAATTTTGCTCAAACAAGCGACGGCAAGTCTCATATAATATACTCGTTCTAATAGGAAGCTAGACTTCCACCTTGGTTAAATTTTAGGTGACAAATCCCTAGTCTTGTTTCGCGGTATGGTAAATTTCTAGGCCGCTGATGAAAGGCTCTACGCTTCCAGACAATATACGAGTCCAGAAATGAGTCCCAAAATCACTTCCACGATGATGCAAGGAGGCATCAGGATAATATCACAAAACATCCGATTATAGGAAACGATGTTGTTTTTCAATACAGATATATAACAGATACTTCTCCACGGCCTGCAGTGCGCCAGTCGAAACCCTTGGAAAGTCACCTTTTGTAGCAATTCACACACTTGCCACTCAAAACAACATTACATACTACGACGAAATCGCGCTCCGATCTCCGGCACAATTTTGTTGAAGCCCCCAAATGAACTTTGCATCTACGTATCTAGTTACATCGTGAGGAAGAAGAACTCTCAGTTCGCTATTTGATAAGCAGGAGCGAAAATTTACAAGGGATCAAAGCTAAGTGGAAGCATGGAGATGGAAGTATAGGTAAGCAGTTGCTTTGCAAACGAGCACGTGATCATCCCCCCCTATTCTGGCTCAGTTTTAGCCGAGGAGCCACAAAAAATAGCCTACCTGTCCAATTCAAACCACAGGAGGGTGTAAAATTCCTGCCATAATTTCGTTTCTATCATCCATTCGAATACAAGGAGGATCAATAACAAAGGGGAACCTCCAATCGCGGATTGGACAGAACTCTCAACACTGCCAAGAGCATATTCTTGCCTCGTACCGACTGGAGCCACTAGGCCGATTTCCAGTGAGGGGGGCGTTTTGTGTTACAGTTTTATGTTGTAAGGCTACCATTTCATAATTCCATTCTCTTGCTTCCCCCCTTTTCCCCTTCGTCGCCCCGGTTGCGAAGCCATATGAGTAAACCGAATTCCCGAGCTTACGTCGACAAGGAGCAAAGTAGTTCAAACTTGGAAACTATAACTTGTAGTTGAGCATCAGTCCCTATCCAGGTCCAGTAAGCAGGTGCAAGCCATCATTTTGGCAAGCTTCGAAGGAAAATCATCATCCGCATTACCTGGAGATATTCCAGAGTGGCGGGATTCTGGGGTGAGAGCTACCTCTGTGTCACCTTAAATCTTTCGTAAGGTGATAATGAGCATGCCACCGCAGCTATCACACTTCTCATTGAATGTTGTAGAACAATTATAAATCTACTCTCCTTACTAATGCGAATTGCGATTCACTCCTCCATTACTTAAAGTTAACAGAACCAATCTTTCTTGCTTTCGCCTCCCTCGGATTAGTAGTTTCGACCATGATTACGTACATAGTTCAATTTGTATTTATGCCATCGTCAGCCACTGCCCCAGGGCCGCGTCCTAGACCAGTGTCTCAGCAATTCCACACTGATTGTTGTTTCGCTTCATCAAAGAGGTAGACCAGGGAGTTTTGGCCCGGCGTCATATCATTCCAGATAGCATTATCTACAGCAGTATAGACCAATATCTGAGACGGCAAACCAGCACTAGATGAAGATGGAGGCCGGTAGGAAAATGGCATTGGTGACAAGTGACAGGAAGTCTTGAAGAAATATCGTGGATTCGTTACCACCTACGAAGGGATCCCGCAACTTCCATGCTCCGCTAGCTCGTACCAGATCTCCCCCTATTTTCCCAGACGCAAATAGATACGCCACATCCATTATATCATGGCTTATCTCCGTGTCTCCTGAACGTTCGATTAGTAAATATTACTTGGCCGCCTCTCTAGGTGCCTATTTATATAGCCGGTTCTAGTAAATGGATATAGAAAACCCCAAAGTTTGAGCGAAAGAAACAAGCTCCTAGTACTGTGGGCTGCATCATTCAACATGTGAACACAAGGTAACTGATTCAGTTATTCCAGTGTAAATGACGACACTCCGATGGATCCCCCAAGTGCTTTTGTTGCATAGTTGAAAATCCCCCATCGGTACCCCATGAATAAACTCCAATCCGTATTCAACGTATAGTTCCCCCCAAGAGCGGTAAATGTGCTCCCATCAGTGCTGTATTCAAACGACGCGGTATGTGGACCATTCGACAACGTGTGCATCGTGCCTCTCAACCAGACTTTCCCTTTCGCAATCCCCGCGCTTGCTGTAGTCGACCCATCCGTAATCGTCGACCAGTCTGTTGAGTTCTGCAGGGCTCCCTGCACGTTGGCAATCGTATACGTGCCCCCGCTGCGAGAAATACCGATGTAGGCGGTCCAGTCACGGAAAGCGGCCAGGCCGCAAGAATCCCCGTCGGCCATGCTGCTAGTGTCGAGAACAACGATGGCGACGGACAGAGGGCCATGGCAACGGTGTGTGAGTGTGTTGCGAGCTTTGTAAATATCAGTAGTGACAGTGGCCGTAGAGAGTGTGATGCCGTTGTTAACGGCATATTTCGTCGTATCAGGGTTGTGGTTCCATTCCCAGTCGACGGATAGGGTTGTGCCGGGGAAGGTATCAGTTCCAGTCCAGGAGGGCATTTTGTGGGTAGGTAAGGGGTTGGGATAGGAGTCACCCCATGCCCCATTGACAGTATCGAAGATGGGGAAATTGTCAGTACCCCAGGTGATTGGGGCAAGGACAGGGACTCGACCCAACGGGTATACCCAGGAGAAGGACATGAAATACCATTCGCCTGCTGGGGTCTCGATTAGGCTTCCTTGGTCAGGAGTTCCGCCGAGGTTATTAGGAGAGGCGACGTTTTTGATCATTGTCTTTTCAGTCCAATTACCAAACACGCTGCCAGACTGCCAAATCAGCGTCGCTGAGTCACTAGGTGCGTCGTCGAGAACGTAATAAATGCCGTTTCTCTTGTACATGCGGTTGCCTTCGATGCCACTAAATTGAGGTGGCGTAGAAAATACTTTCTGCGTCTTAGCAATGCTGAGACCGTCGCTCGCCAGCTGAGCAATGCTGACATCGTTACTGCCGTATACAATATACATTGTGTCATCATCATCTATGAGGAGACCGCAATCATAGAAGCAGGTGGCATAGAAGACGGCTGCCTGTGTCCAAGGACCGGTCACTTCGGGAGCGGTATAGACGTAGGAATTCCAGAAATCAATGCATCCATACCAGTACCATAAGCCGGTGCTTGCCCGATACCTCATTGTCGAGGCCCAGGTACCTCTGCGATACGCAACATCTCCATCCATATTGTAGCTATCTCCGAAGGCTAAGGTGGGAACAGAATGTCCGATAAATTTCCAGTTGACTAGATCGTAGGATTTAAGGATTGGGGCTCCTGGTGAAAAGTGCATGTTCGACGCCGAGAAATAGTAGGCCCCGTCTGGACCGAGGAAAATATCATTGTCAGCAAAGTCCTCATAGAGAACTGGATTGGTGAAGTTTCCGGATGGGGCTGTTGACGCTGTTGTTGTGGATGCTACCTTTGCCGTTGAACCGGTCGAATTTGTACATGGAAGACATTGAGAATACAAATCACTTCCATAGGTGCAGCATGATCCTGCAATACAAGTAGTTGGCCCTTTCCATTCAATTCCACCGCCTGAAACCCATTAGTTTCGTATGCGAGAGGTAACGCAGTACTCACATTGGCCATTGAGCGATTGTTGGCCAAATACGACAGGCAGCGCTATAGATATAATGGCAACAATATGCCTCATTGTTGCGATTGACGTGAAACCTAAAGGAATACCTTAGATCGTGACATATTCTGCAACACGTTCGACTTTATATATTCGCGCTTATTCTGCATTCTATCGAGCAGCCTGATTGAGGCCACCTTGCCCATGATACACCAGACCATCGGATCTGAGTTCCGCAGCCTGTTTTATTACCCTCAGGCAAACGGGTATATAGTGTTCTCCACCGCAAGACATGGAGGACCTGTAGTCTTGAAAGCTTGGGGACAGTCGTCCGAGAACGAAGCCAATCGCAAACGACGACATCTGTGTGTGTTCGTCTTCCATGTTGCACCCCCGCCTTTCCAGGAAGCACTAGGTTAAGAATATAAATTAGCTTTCCTCATTGAGGCTCAATCTCTGCGGAAGCCGACCTGCCGTGGATTGGCACCAGCGTGTTGGTTCTCGGGAGTCGGGACAGATTGTTGAAGAATAATAAACACACTGAGAGGGGGTGGCCCGTGCATCGCACTCCTACGCTTATTACGAGTATTATAGAAAAGGTTGAGATGTTAATGCTTGCTGGGCGAAAATCTTATATCCCGGATTTACAATCTCCAGTGGCCTTAAAGATGGTCTTCATGCAAAAAGGCTAAAGTATGTCGTTTTTCATCTATAATTAACCAGGGAAAAGGCTAGGTGCACGTGTAGTACTACCACCAAACGTCGAATCCATCGAACAAAGACCCCAATATGTCCTCCGCCAACTCTCCGCCAACACTTGATCTGGCTCCAAGCTCGCAAACTCCTGGATATTCATCCTTAACTCCAGAGCCAAATATATAGCGGTATCTAAAACAGTGCGACTGAGATCCGTCCTGTCTTCGAGATCAAGAGCGTTGGCAGTTAGAAGTAACGCCTGGACTGTGAACCCAGTTGGGTGGAGGGTGGCTATTTCTAGTTGCTCTAGCGCGAGGTCTCGCTGCTCGTTGGTAGAGATGTCAGGATCGTAGAGGGAACCGACGTATTCCATTGCTACCCTTAAGTGATTTACAGAATCCGGGTCAGAGTCTAGGCGGCTGAAGAAGTAGTAACGGGGTAGGACAAAGGGGTGAATTTTATAAAAGAACCTACATTCGGGTTAGAGAGATGCAACTCCGACTTGAAAACATGATACTTACATGTAGAACAAATCAATCAGTCGTCCTGTGCTTCCTGACCTGGAAACAGAGCTTTCTAGGCTGCCGGGACAAGATACTGATGTTCCGGTATACATCTCTGTGGACGGCCTGCCAATTGGGAACCCTATTGCATCATGGTGTATGTAGCGTGTGTCAGAAATCCGATTGTCTTTTCCTCCATGCTGTATTGAATCTTTCTTGCGCGGATTTGGCCCGTCTCTCATCCCCCGTCTTGATTTTGCGTAGTAACATGGTTTATCATCTTGTTGGCATCGACTACAAACTGGAACCTCAGCGCCGCATTTTACGTGACGACTTCGGCACTGCTCCATGTTAGCAATCAAGTCCTGAATCAACACTGAGACCGTGCGCACCGGAAGGCATGCTAGCGACACTCGAATGCCGCCCCTTGATGATGTTTCTTGCCTTTTGGTTGTCGTTGATGCATTGGAGGATGTTGGTGAGTCTTGAGAGGGGGATTCGAGGTCAACGAACATAGAAATGTCCCCTTCGCTTTCGCGTGGTAGTACTTCGTTGGAGCTGCTAGCTGTTGTTGAACCACTCATGATAAAAATGGGGCCGCACTTGGTCGTATAATCTATCTGATGAAAGATGCAATGTCCACAGCTTTCAACTAGATTTCTTCGGAATGTGACAATGGCAATTCTTACAAACGGTTGGCCATTTATAATAGATAAGAGAGGTTGAAACAACCGGGGAACGGAAAATGTTAATGGGGCCTGCATCTATATTACTCCGTGTGGGAAGGGATACCACTTCGATATCGGACTAGAGGCAAGGAAACGCAGACCCTGGTTACTGAACCAAGTCAGCCTCTTGTCAGCATGCGTACCTACAGAGTCAGCGAGAAAATGTGCACATAACTAATCGGCTTTCACGTATTCTTATCCGACCAAGCCTGTTAATATTAGGGGGCCCACTTATACCTAGAATAGAGTTACCGTATCCCATCTCGTTTTAGTACAGGCCTTAGCTCATCGGGTCGCAGGACTCCGGGTTTGTTCAGCCTTACAAGATGCCCCATTACGGATTCAAGTTTAGACTTACGGGCCACAACCAAATTCAACGTGCACTGGCCTACATGCCAAAAGTGGCAACATGGCTTCATCAGGGCTGTGCAGCAACTATGGAACGTACGAACTCTGGAAGAGCACTATTGAGAGCTCAGGAGGCAAGTAGGAAGTATACGGGCTGCGGACTTCATGCAAGTAATGGATTGCAAGGTGCTTTCGAGGGAGGCAAGAAGTGTAACTCAAAGCCAAGTCCATTAGGTAAATCGAAAATCGAAAATGGGCGGATGGTTGAATGGACCCCGTCATGCAGGACCAAATACGACAGCCGAGCTAGGCATCGTTTGATTGGATTTAACTAACCGCGGAAGTGCTGGAAACAAACTTCCACGAGGTGGCGCTTTAAGCATAGACTAAGCTTGCATAAACGCTTCACGGCCGACAGTGATATTTAGGTAGATCTTACATCCCTCTAGAAACAGCGTCACACGGAGGCATCCATCCCCGAAGGAACGATCGACGGCTCCAGTGTTCCTGCGTTGACATGATAGAAACCGGATGAACTGGAAAGGGAACCTCAATGCTAAGGACAATATCGACCAGTTGTAATAGCTGAATCTGTCAACATCCACCCCAAATTGCGTGTCTAAAGCACAAATCTCCCGATCTCAAGAACGAATCATATAAACATATGATTTATCCTCCACTAAGAGGCAAAAGAAGGCAGCAAACAGCAAGACCTCACACGCCGACGAAGAGCCGAGAGAGCAGTGCACATAAATTAGAACCAGCAGCCGGCATGGAGTAGGAATGAAACTATTTGGTGTCAAACGGATGTGGCGGCCGCAGTACTATTTCCGCAACTCGCCATCAAGCCCATTCCTGTCCATGGAAAAAGCACCGATTAAGCGAACACTTGAGCTCAAAATAATAAAGTACAAGGCAGCAGTCTTCCGAAGAATGCGGTCAAAACGGAGATAAACGAAGTGTCAATCGGCCACGGTGCTCGAGGAACAGGGTGAGGGTCAAGTATTTTGGAGATTTGGAAGCTGTCCTGTGGCAAATTTACACCGCATCAACGCATGTCGAAGGAATAGGCAGTTCCCTAGGACCAAAGGCGACATCATGATTCAGGACCTGGGGAAGCGGGTTGGGCACGGAGATTCCTGCAATCCAAAGATAGGTCTAGAAATGAGATGCCATCTCGAACGTGGCGGCGGAGATGCCGAGGTTTGTCCAAGGCGCGGCCGTCAATCTGGTCCACGGTCCATGCCATGCTTGAGAGTTGCTGGGGAGAAGTGAGGTCGCAAGGGAGGTCGAAGCTGTGATTGACTAGAGGAGGGTGTCGACACGAGGCGTGGTGGTTTACTCATCTCGATGGGCATTAATAATGCAGCCAGGCGGTGGCATACGAGTAAGCAGCAACAAGCTGGCCGCACCCCGTATCACGGATCAAGCGACCGAGCCAGCCCAAGGCAGCGCGAGACGGGCATGAGTGGGGGAAATTAATACCAGTGTGCCCGGATCTTGGGATGGTTATTGGGATAGTTATTAGGATTGGGGTTGAGGTGAAGATGCTGAAGATGCTGATATTGGAAGTAGTATGGAGGGAGAGGTATTTAGGTACCAGGAACCTACGAGAGAGAGTATCAAACGGGATTAGACCTTATTAGGAATCGACACGTGACTAGAATCACGAGAATTGATAAACACACGGGGGGGCGCGGAAGAACGATAAATCCGTCACTGGAACCCTGATTAAACCCCTGACTGTTCTCATGCAGCCTGCTGTTAAGTCCGGAGGAGGGCTTACATAAAAATAGGTAAGATGATAATAAGCTGGTAAGATGGCAGTTCATGTCGGGATTTGATGCGAGGGGAGCCAGCCAGCCACTGTTGGGTTCATACGAAGTACCTCCGTACCGTAGATTTGGAACTCACGTGCCTGTGGCTTTCGGTGGCTTGGAGATACGAGGCACGTGCTAGGTAGGTACCTCCGTACTCGTACTCGTATGATCCCCAAGAATGAACCTCGGCTGTCCCTCAGCCTTCCTCCCTTCATGATTCCACATCATCGTGGCCCATCCTGCCTCGAGGTACTCCAAATGCTCCCTCGATGACATGACGTCCAACGACTTTGCTCTGGCTCAGCAACGGCTTGCCGTCCGGCGACAAGCACGAGAGCGTGAAGCTCAATCCCGTATTACCGCCGAGCGAAAAGCCTCACGAGCCGCACAGCAACTCGGCCGATTACCATCCCCCATTGCGCGTCTTGGTCAAGCTGGACTTACGACATGGGATAACATAAGGGGCCGAGATGGGACGCGGCCTGAATTCAGGGTGGGACAGGTGGACGCAGAGCTCCTAGACGAGGAGCTGCTGGACTTGTTGAAGGGGCAGGTCGGGGAAGCTCTCAAATATTTTGGTTCTCATATTCAGGATGATTGGTCTGCGGAGATTATGCTTGCGCTGAGGGCGGTGTTGTTCAAGCTCACAATATGGGACCACGATGCAACGTACGGTGCAGCCTTGCAAAATCTAAAATTCACGGATGCCAGGAGGAAGGGCACGGTACTCGTCTCGCCATCGAAGTGGCAGAAAGCGCTATATGGACTTTTCACCGTCGGAGGGAAATATGCTTGGACGAGGTGGGAAAATTGGCTGGTTGATAATGATAATGGTTATGATGAGCCGAGTCCGACGCTCCGGAAACTATCCGGATTATCAGACACCATCTCGACTATACACTCCACCGCAGCATTTGCGTCCTTTCTAGTATTCCTGGTGAATGGAAGATATCGGACACTGCTCGATAGGACTCTTAGGCTACGGCTAACTCCTAGGACGAGCCAAGTAAGCCGTGAGGTATCATTTGAATATTTAAACCGACAATTGGTCTGGCATGCCTTTACAGAATTCCTCCTCTTTGTTTTACCGCTCGTTGGCATAAGTAGGTGGAGGAGATGGCTCGCGAGGGTTTGGAGAAAGACAAAATCGGTCATGCGCAGCGGTGGTGAAGAGGAGGACGACGTCAAAGCCGGCGAGCTTGCGTTCTTGCCGGAAAGAACTTGCGCTATATGCTATCACGACCAGAACGCTGCGGCTACGTCCGAAGCAGATATTGTTGCAGCAGCTGGAGCGTCTGGAGTTATAGGCTCTGCTCAAACAGACATCACGAATCCATACGAGACGATACCATGTGGGTGTATATACTGCTTCGTATGCATCGCCAGCCGTCTAGAGGTAGAAGAGGGCGAGGGATGGACTTGCTTAAGGTGCGGCGAAGAAGTCAAGGAATGCAAGCCTTGGAGCGGGGATGTTATTGAGGAGGTCGAGAGGACAGCAACCACCTCCAAGACCGTCGGGTTCAAGGATCAAACTACAGAACTAGCTCAGGTTGAACCTCGACCTACTGAGGAATTAACCGCGGATGAAAATGAGCAGTCCGAAAAAGATGACGGATCATCATCAGCCTCAGAATTAGGGGATTCAGAGGCCTATGATGAGGAAGGGGAGGGTGAAATAGAGTATGAAGATTAATGGCGGCCTAGGGATTCGACCTCCAGCATCATCATGTCCACGAGGGAAATATCAGCATTGCATAACCGGCGTTTGGAATGTAAGATTTTGGTCGTGTAAACATGACAGCGGCCACTCGGTTGTCTGCATAATACTAGCGATAATGGAAAATGATTTAGGTCTTAAAATTTTCATTCAACAATATTTTATCTATCAGCAAAGTACTAAAGCATCATCTAAAGCATATTCAGTTCGTTGATCTTGGGGTAGCAAAAGGTTGATGGCACCTATCACGCACACCCTACATGACATCATTTGATCTTGAACAAAGCTAAAATATTTTGAGCCTACCTACCTCACCAAGCAATCTAGTCAGCCTCACCTTGAAAGTTCATTTAATATGTTTTAGCATCCAAGTATCTACCTACGGAGTAGGTTTCTACACGCCTCGCTATTTTCCCTTGTTGCGGACTACCCAGTTCCTTTAGCCTAACCTAGGGAGAATTACCTCTGACGATAATGTGGGACCAGCTACAGCCAACTGGCCCTCACGTCTCCTACCTGGTATTCTCTACATTTCTATTGTTATATGCCCTTTTCTCTCAATTCATCAGAAGCAGCCTCCATCTCTCGGAACCGCCTCTCGCCGTCCTCTTCGGCATCATCCTCGGCCCGTACTGCTTACAATGGATCACGCCTCAGGGCTGGGGGATTGACCACCATGTCACACATGAACTCACCCGGATCATTGTTGGGATCCAATGTTTCGCCGTAGGCATCGAGTTGCCGAAATTCTATTTTACTCGGCATTGGGCTTCCGTGTTCTACATGTTGGGACCGATCATGACCTTTTCCTGGGCTATCACTGCTCTATTCGCATACCTCATTTTCAAGATTAGTCTTCCTGCGGCTTTGATTATCGGGGCATGTTTATCACCCACGGACCCAGTGCTTGCTGCAAGCATCTTCTCAAAATCGAAATTCAGTGAGAGGGTTCCAAGGAGGTTGAAGCATTTGCTATTAGCAGAATCGGCTTGCAACGATGGCATCTCCTTCCCATTCCTATACATTGGAATCATGGCCATAAATTACTCCACCGCGGGAATATCAATCAAAGAGTGGTTCTTAATCACCATTTTGTGGCAATGCACCCTAGGTCTCGCCCTCGGCTTGGTTATAGGACGCTGTGCCAATTGCCTTCTCCGCATCTCCGACGACAGAGGATATATCTCCAGTCCATCATTCATCGTCTTCTACCTCCTTCTCGCCATGCTCACCATAGGCGTTGGGTCAACACTCGGCAGCAATGACTTCCTAGTAGCCTTCGGCGCTGGTGTAGGCTTTGCCCATGATGGTTGGTTTTGGGAGAGAACTCACTCGCTCCCCTTCCCTAACATCATAAACTTGATTCTCAACAGCAGCATGTTCGTCTTCTTTGGCTCTATAATACCATTTCAGAAATTCGCTCCAAGGGATATAGCACCCAATTGGGGCATATGGCAACTTCTCTTATTCCTTTTCCTAGTCCTATTCTTTCGTCGCATCCCAATTGTACTGGCTTTGCAGCGCCTCATTCCCGACATTCGAACATGGCGCGAGGCCCTCTTCTGCGGACATTTTGGGCCGATGGGTGTAGGAGCTTTATTCCTTGCCATGGAATCGCGGGAAAAGCTAGAGAGGGATACTAATACGAACCCCGGAGACTCACCGCCATCTAATGACAGGTCCGAGGCCATTCGAGTCATCTGGCCAGTGATCTGTTTTGTGGTGTTAGGTAGTACAATGGTACATGGACTGAGTATGTTGGTCATCTCCTTAGCTAGGCATTTTGGGAGGCAGGACCCTGAAAGGGCGCCGCTTCTAGGGACCGAGACGGAGGGATTAGGTAGAGTGGTGCATGGGGGCGGAGGAATGGAGAGTGACCTGGATATAAGTGGAAGTGAGACCGAGAGTCAGGACGGTAGTGAATGAGCATATATTTAGGTTAAACATCTGACGGATTTAGCTGATGATATTGAGTACCTGCCTTGGTTATTAGTCACTATTTAACAGTATTATATGAGACATAGGCACTGTGTGAGAAATACAAGGCACCTTGATTGTTTTATATCAAACATGGTTGTACACCCTAATAATAGAGTGGACTGGTTACTCGGACGAGCAACCTTTAAGGGGGCTGGTTTCCAAAGGCACAAATGGTTCAAATGAGTCCCAAAATTTTAGACTCTATTTCTTTTAAAAGTCACCAAACTTCCCCCCTATTATGGAATATTATTGTATGTTATGTTATGTTTCCACTGACAAGTGACGTTGGATGAAGTCTTGCTGCTTGGAGTCCTTGCGCAGCAAGCGATCGAAGCTCAAGCGAAAATGTGGGGACCTGCGCATTAACATCGACTGTGAATAATTTCAACCCCTCACATTCAAGACCACCGCGTCAATAATCATGGCTTTTGCTATCGAAGTACCCGGAGAATCGGTTCCCCTGGGCCCGCAGCAGGTCTACCAGGCTCTACAATCTGCTGGATCATCTCAACAACTCCATATCCAGACCGGCACACAACAACTTCAGGCTTGGGAGACACAGCGGGGTTATTATACATTACTGCAGGTACGTCGCCTCACAACCGCACCTTCACCGCTCACAGAACGTATAATAACTGATTGAAATAACCAGGCAGTGTATCACGATAAGTCACTGCCTACAGAAGTCCGATATCTTGCAATTATCCAACTCAAAAACGGCATCGACAAATACTGGCGGAAAACGGCCACAAGCGCCCTCACCAAGGAAGAGAAGGCTGAGATACGGCAGCATCTAATAGTGGGAGGAATTGAAGAGGCCGACACAAATCTTGCTCTACAGAACGCTTTGGTTGTAGCAAAAGTAGTCCGCATAGACTACCCACTGGACTGGCCGAATGTCCTCACAAATCTAATCAAGGTCTTACGCACCGCACACCAGACAAACCAGTTGCATCTACGACGGGGCATGTTAATCCTGCTACAAGTGGTAAAAGAGTTATCTACCGCGCGATTACGAACTTCCCAGACGAGCCTACAATCCATCACACCGGAAATCGTTTTCTTGCTCAACGAGATATATACGCAGAAGGTCGCGCAATGGATTGGATTTCTCAATGGAAATGGCGACGATGAGGGAGGAGCAATGGAGGCTATGGAGAATAGCCTGTTTGCTATTAAAATCCTTCGGCGGCTATTGGTTGTTGGCTACGAATATCCCAACCATTCTAAAGATGTTCAGCAACTTTGGGAAGCCTCTCAGCATCAATTTGGCCAGTTTTTGGAGATGGTCTCTCGGGAGCCGCCTTTCTTGGTCTCTCCAGCCAAGGACCTGGTTGAAAAACATTTGCTTCAGTTTTCAAAGCTTCATGTCCAAATGTCAAGTACGCATCCCGCTGCGTTCGCACTGCTTCCTAGCTCTCTGGATCTGGTAAGGGCATATTGGGGTCTAGTAGTCAAATTTGGCGAGTCTTATGGCTCGGCAACTCATGATTTCAGCTCGAAAGCTATGGATCAGGATGAGAATACGAAGAACCAGAGACCCGTGATGGAAAAGTTATGTCTAAAGGGCTTAACACTGCTACGAGCTTGCTTGAAGATGGTTTTCAGCCCTGCGCATTCATTCAAGTATCGGTCAGCTGAGGTCAAGACAGAGCAACAGGAAGGCGTCGCATTAATTAAGGCACAGTTACTCACAGATGAGCTGATCTGCCAAATGGCTAATGTCATTGTCACTAAATTCTTCGTCTTCCGACAAGTCGACCTCCAGGCTTGGGAAGAAGAGGAGGACGAATGGGAAATTAGAGAGGAAGGTGGCGGCGATACTTGGGAATTCGAAGTCCGGCCATGCTCAGAGAAACTCTTCATGGATCTCGTTATCAATTTCAAGCACCTCCTCGTCGACCCTCTATTGTCCTTTTTCCAGTCTGTAGCTGGCACTGATCAAGCCTCAGTGGTGACAAAAGATGCGGTGTACACTGCTATGGGCCTTTCAGCCCCAGTCGTCTTCCAGAGTTTTGATTTCGATTCTTTCTTGACATCAACCTTAGTCAAAGATGTACAACAAGCCGGGCCAGGCTACAAGGTTCTCCGTCGAAGAATTGCCATTTTACTTGGTCAATGGATAACCATCAAGATCTCGGAGCAAAATAGGCCTCTCGTTTATCAGATTTTCCAACACCTCTTAAAGAAAGAGGACGAGACAAATGACTACGTGGTGCGTGTGACGGCAGCGCGGCAGTTCAAAGCCGTTGTAGATGATTTTAGCTTCGCTGCAGAAGGATTCCTGCCCTATGCCCCGGATTTCCTTGATCGCATTATGGCTCTGATCCAAGAAGTGGAAAATACAGAAACCAAGATGGCAATATTAGACACCATTCGAGTGATAGCTGTACGACTTGAAAACCATGTCTCGCCATTTGCAGATCAGATAGTCTCGATATTACCAGGCCTCTGGGAAGCATCTGGCGAAGAACACTTGTTGAAGCAAGCGATCTTGACCCTCATGTCCACGTTAGTGACGGCAATGAAAGACCAGGCGCAGCGATATCACGCCTTGATCCTACCACTTATCCAACGAGCTGTTGAGCCTGGTTCGGAAATGCAAATCTACTTAATGGAGGAAGCACTTGACCTCTGGTCTACTATCCTCGCGCAAACTCCCGCTCCTGCGAGCTCCGATGTGCTTGCCCTAGTAGATTCCGCCTTCCCATTGCTCGAGATTGGATCAGACAACCTGAGGACGGTCCTCAACATCATCGAGTCGTATATCCTACTTGCCCCAGAAGCCATGCTCGGAGATGGGGTCAGACTAAGACTCGTCTCATATATGGCCAACCTCCTCGGCGTCAAGAAGAGAGATCTCGCAGGGCTGGTAACGACTATCGTTGAGAACATGATCCGCGCTGCCGAAGCCCTCGGAGGATCTAACGGCGTAACTCTCATTGCCAAAGACCTCCACGAATCGGGCTACACGGACAAAATCCTTGAAGGCTTACGAGACGCATGGGAAGCCCACCAGACCGCCGGACCCAACCGTCGATATCCCAAACTCGACGATGTAGTCGAAACAGACTACTTCACGGTCCTCGCCCGTCTCGCCCTCGCCGATCCTTCTGTACTCATCACAATCATGAACTCAGTCGGTAATGCGAGCGAAGTCTGGTCCTGGCTCAGCACAGAATGGTTCCGGCATTTCGACAGCATGGCCAACATCGACCGCCAAAAGCTCTCCTGCCTAGCCATAACCCGCCTCCTGGAACTCCCTCCGCCAATGACACCGGTAATCCTCTCTCGCCTCCAAGATTACTTCGCCATGTGGACAAGCGTTATCACGGAGATGTCCACAGGCCGCGACGACGGGGACGACAACCTCATTTGGGTGTCCTCGGAAGGCCACGAACACGAGGGGCCTGAAGATATACGGAAGCGATTACACGGCGCGCACGATCCCGTGCACACCGTGCATACGTTTAAGTTCGTCAAGGAGAGATTGGCAGGTGTGGTGAATGTCTGTGGCGGCGACGAGCAATTCCAGAGGGATTGGGCTGCTAATGTCGATAAGGATGTTCTGGGCGGGTTCCAGAGGTTGGGCACTCAGATTCATAATGACCCCGCGACGTTCTGGGATAGGCGAGATTGAGAGGCATGAGATGAAGAACAGCGGGAGAGAATATACACATAGAGCGATACTAGATACCCTTTGAAACAATGACCTCGTCGAACGTATCTTGGTATTCTACTTGCTACTGCGTAGAATATAATTCAGCGACTCAGTCAGTGATTCCACTAGAAATGCCCGTTCCCTGGCATGTAGTACAGTGGGGATGATACAATTATTATATAGCTAGAGCTCCCCAATCTGATAACCTAAAACACCATTTTCCTACATTCCCAACTCCCAAAGCTATGCAATGCAGCAAGAAAGAAATACCCTAGGATGCCTCCCAAAAACACAGGCTAAGACAAGTTCAAGTCCCACTCAAACAGATGTATACACACTTTACAAGTCCACCGACCACTCCCCCAAAACCTGCACCCCACAGATATCCCTCAACTGCTTGTCATCGAAATCCGTCCTCGAAAAATTCCTGCCCTTGAGCGCAGAAGCCCACTTTACACCCACGGCGTCTTCGCCCTTCCCTTTCGTCAACATCCCGAATCGCAATCCTACCTCCGCAACAGTAACGACTATACTCACAGCAATAAGCAGGATGATAATCCACGTGATGTTACTCATCTTCGAATCTGCAATGCTGTCGCTGAGAATTTCCGCGAGTTCGAGGAAGACGCGGCAGCGCTCATTCATGACTTTGATGCGGGGGCCAATCTCGAGGTACTCGCGGATGGCGTTGTAGAGCGGGTGGAGTGTGGGTTCTGAGTCCCAGAAGAAGTTGGGGACGTCGAGTATGGTAGATGCTGCAACAGTTAGATTAGCTTATGTACGCGGCAAGGGGGAAGGGTGTGCTCACAAAGATTAACATCTACACGGCTCTTGAAGAGTCGGCCTAAGATCTTGACAATTTCGGGTCTCGACAGGCCGAGCTGTCCCGTGAGAGCAAGGTGTCTAGGAACATGCTGAGCGTCTAACATGGTCTCAGACATTTTTTCCTCGAAGTAACTCAGCTTAGTGCTCTGCGCTATAGCATGGCTCATGGCAAGCTTAATCATATGGTCTCCGCTGCGCAGGGTAATCATATCGTTGAATATCCTCGGCCGCTCGACCAGTGGACTGTACTCAAAATGCATCTCCTCAGTCTCGAAGTCTTCTTCGTCCAGCGGCCGTGTGGCGAGGGATATGCCCGTGTCGCGCTCCGAGAAGGTTATGTCGGCCAGGATATCTTTTTCTTGCCGTTCGGTGAAGTTCCAGAAGACGACGACGCCGTAGGAGAAAACGAACATCTCGGCGAATTTTGTTGCGTCAGGCGCTCGTCGGTTAGGACTATCCATTCTTTGTCCTTGTTCTAGGGCACGTATCTGCTCTCTACTTCGACGGCCCTCCTCCTCGCGTGCTATCCTTTCTTCTTCATTTTCATCATGGGGCGTTTCTTCGCCGCCTCGGACGCCATATGTGTCCGTGTCCTCGAAATAGCCCTCATGGTAATCCCTTCTTTCACTCCGCTCAATCTCCTCATCAAGCACTGCTTTCCCGCCCGGACTCTTCAGAATAGGACTGCTCCTAACCCGGAACCCATCCGTCCCAGGTAGCAATGGAAGGTGGTAAACCGTATAGAGACATTCATCATACAACTTCGTCTTCGCCCCATGTTGCTCCTTCACAAACGCAGCCGTCGAACTTGTCTTATATCCCTGCGCAGTACAATACGCCGTAACCCTCGCGACCTTATCCGTCCTCTTCGCCTTGGGCAACCGCTCCGCGTAACTCTTCCCCCGGATACCGCCCCCTGTCTTCCATGTATCCAGCTCATCATCCCTCAGCGGTCCCTCTTCCCCTTCCTGTAATAATACCATTCCGTATTCATTGGGCCCGTCGTCTACTTCATCCTTCTCGCTCACGGTCTCGGGGATAAGTACTAGTTTTTCGCTGACCTTCGTACTTCGCCCCGGCATGCTCTGCTGCGTTATCCGTGCCCCGATGCTCGCCCCTCCCGTTGTGCGTCGCTGTGGAGGTAGAGGAGGTCTTCGACCGGGCGGATCGCGCGCCTGCCCAGAGGGTATCTGGGAAGCGTACTGGAGAACATTGTCGACGGATATTAATCGGGTTGAGGCGCGATCTCGCGGTGATGCGGGGCCATTAAAGCTTACGCGGTGGGCAGAGAGATTGCGTCCTGCGGATGAACGTTCACGGGAATCGGTGACCTAGATCGAGTCAATAAATGATTCTATGATAGCTCGGGTTTCTATTGAATATGCTTCTGTACGTACCAGCACGGACGGCCCGCGTTTGCTCGCCCCAGTTGTGGTGGCCATTATGGTGATCGCAGTGAGTATTAAATGATAACCGATTGGTGTAATGGTTGGCCATCTATGCGAATAGCTGACTGGGTGGAGGAGCTGCAATGTCGTGGTGGTGGTGATGGTGTTGTTTTGACAGGATAGGAACGATGCATGTCCAAGACGTCATTGCCGCTAAACTCTCGAAGCGAGTCCGGTTCAGGGGTTCTCTCTCCCCATTCACATCATCAACCTTTATACTACGTACTTCGTAAGGCAATCCTAAGATAAATACGCAAGGTAAGCTTGGAACTAGATACTTTAAGAAGAGCTAGATAACCAAGGCTCTTTACATTCTAGGTCTTGTGTATAATATCCAACTAATATAAAAAGATATATTAGAAATATAATTAAAATAATAATATAATTAAAATAATAATATAATTAAAATAATAATATAATTAAAATAATAATATAATTAAAATAATAATATAATTAAATACCTTAAGTAGCATTAAACACCAAGGGATCACAGAAACACCAGCAATAAAGTAAACAGAAACCAATTTAGATGTTATAGTATTTCCTATTCAAATTTCCTACACAATATAATATAAGGCTTACTCTCCCTTTTATACCTAGATATACGCCGACACATATGATAATACTCCTTTCCATCCCTGGGACCGTACCCAAGAGAAACCCATGCGTCGCTAAAATGCGCAGTAGACAAAGAGAAAAGAACAACTACACTTGTTCCAATGTATTGAGCGGTACATAACCATCATCCGCCTCCTTCTTCCTTCCCGTTACAGATCTCGCAGCTCCCGCCACTCGTTCAACAAGGCCCTTGATTCCCCATCCCTTGCCACGTCTCCTTAGTTGTCCCTTTTCTTCTACCAATGCATCGTCCATCCACCGAGGTCGCTTCCAGAATTTAAGGAGGAGAGAGCTGGCAACGACGCTCACGCTACTTGCCGCCATTGCCGCACCAGCTGCCATGGGATGCAAATGCCAGCCAAAAGGCAGGAAAAGACCCATGGCAAACGGGAGGCCAACTAAATTGTACCCACACGCCCAGCTGAGATTGAGCTTGATGCGGTTGAAAATCGATCGCGCGAGTTGGATGGAGGCAGGGATATCCATAAGATCATTTGGACGCATGAGCACGACGTCTGCAGCTTCCATGGCCACATCGGTACCCGAGGCCATGGCAATGCCAACGTCCGCCGTGGCCAGCGCGGGCGAGTCGTTGATGCCGTCTCCGACCATTGCTACACATTCGCCTTGGGCTTGAAGGTCGCGGATGATTTCTTGTTTTTGGTCAGGTGTGACGCCTGCGTGAACATTTTCACTAGGTATTCCGACAATGCGGGCGACGGCAAGAGCGGTAGAACGCTGATCGCCAGTGACAATGGCAGTCTTCACCCCCATACGGTGGAGGGCTGCTATGGCGGCGGCAGCACTGTCTTTGACAGTATCAGAGAGGCAAAGATGCCCAGCGTACTCGCCATCGATTGCAACGAAGATGTTTGTCGTGCCAGCAGATGCTGTTTTCGACGGGCGGGCGGCTCTCACGTTGGCTTCTTCGGAAGCATCAATTGCCCCTTGGGGGACGGGAATCTTGTTGTCTCGGAGGAACTTGACGCTGCCGATCAGGACCTTGTAACGGGTTCGCTCGCCACTTGTAGCAGGTTCGACGAGAGCACTAACGCCTTTACCAACATTGGCTTCGAAGTCGCCAACGCTTCCATCAATAGTTCCTTCAATCCCGAGACCTAGCTCCTCTTTTGCAGCAGCCAGAATAGCTTTGCCAATAGGATGCTCACTGCCCATCTCAGAAAGGCCGATGATCGACCACCATGCTTTCTTTTTCACCTCACCGCTTTCCCAGGTCGATACGAGTTTGGATTGGGCAACACTCATTTTCCCAAAAGTCAGTGTTCCAGTCTTATCAAGCACGACCTGGGTGATCTTGGTTGCGGTTTCTAATGCAGCCCCACCTTTCACCAAAATGCCGTTCTCAGCACCAACTCCAGTTCCAACCATGACTGCTGTGGGCGTTGCGAGACCGAGCGCGCATGGGCAGGCGAACACAATGACTGATATACATAGCTTCACACACACCATGAACTTTCCACCACTAGCGTCATCCATAAATATCTGCGGTGGAACTGCCAGAACATGACTGAGGATCATCCAGGTTGAGAAGGTGAGGAATCCAAGCAATAGAATCATAGGCACGAAATACCCAGCAATCTGATCAGCGAGTCTCTGAATCGGTGCTCTTGTTGTTTGAGCCTCTTGGACAAGTTTCACGATCTGGCTGAGCTGAGTATCCCTACCAGCCCTCGTCACCCGAAAGTCGACTCTGCCTGTGCCGTTCACAGTACCGCCGATCAAGGTGCTACCCTTGCGCTTCTGAACTGGCATAGCCTCTCCGGTCACCATGCTCTCATCGACATATGTCTCGCCTCTTGTGACTGTGCCATCGGCTGGAATCTTGTCACCGGGTCGTAGAATGACAATATCACCAACTTCAAGAAGCTCAGTGGGGATAATTTGTTCCTCGGCCGCATTCCCTTCTTGGGCTGAGCCTTTCTGCTCGTTTCCAGTCCCAATTGCGAGTTCCCAGCCTTCAGCCACCTTTTCTGCGGCGATTGGGTCCGCATAAATAGTTGCCATTGAAGGGGCAAGGGACATAAGTCTTGATAGGGCCTTTGAAGTCTGACCCTTGGCACGGTTCTCAAGAAACCTCCCGAGAGTGATGAAGGTGATGAGCATACTGCTTGTATCGAAGATCGTGCTAGGCCGGGTGTGAGGTGGGGCAAAGACAGAAACCAACATAGCCGCAACGCTGAAGAAGAAAGCGGCAGATGTCCCTAGGACAACCAAGACGTCCATGGTAGGTGAGCCATGCTTCAAGGACTTGTAGCCTGAAACATAGAAACGTTTGCCGATTCCAAATTGGACAGGTATCGTAAGAATTAAACAGATAATGTCGCCGAGATATAACCCGGGAATGACAACTATACTCCCAAAGTCAAGCGCTGGAAGCATCATGGGAATGCACATGCTGATCAAGAAAACGGGTATAGCGAAGCATAGTGATGTTTTGAAGGCATTCCGCCATTCCGCTATTTCCTTTGTTTTGGCAAGCGATTCGAGTTGAGCGTTGTTATCGTCGTTGTCCGCAACCAACGCGTTGAATCCCTCGGCCTCAATGAGCGCGACAAGCGCACGGAGTCCAGCTATATTTGGATGATGGGATATAGTTAGTCTAGACGTAGCCAGACTGACTTTCGCTGAATTGACGCCAGGAACAGATTGTAGCTTGTCCTCCAACAGAGTAGCGGTAGCAGCGTCACGGACGCCAAATACTTTGAACTGCGATGTCGTCGCGGTGGTGGATTGATTTGAAGAATCCAATTGCGTTGATAGAATCTTGGCATCGAACCCTCTGTCTTCGATGATTTCGGCGATCTTCTCTGCTGAGAGTTTCGATGGATCATGGATAATTATGGCTCGCTCTGCTAGAAGGCTGATGTTGAACTGCACAAGCCCTTCGAGATTTTTGAACCCTCCCTCAATAGCGGATGTACATGCACCGCATGTCATTCCTTCGATAGCAACTGTGGTAGTTGCTATTATCTTTTCTATCGTAGGGCTCCCCCTCCTCCGGGTGCTTGGCTCCGCCTTTTGGGATTCCACGATTGAGGCGCCAAAGCCTCTATCTTCGATTATTTCAGCGATCTTTTCGGCACTCAGAACTGAGGCGTCATGCTCGACCACGGCCCTTTCGGATAGTAACGAGATGCTGAAATTCTTGACGCCGGCCATGTCCTTGAAGCCGCCTTCTATCGCCGATGTGCACGCTCCACAAGTCATGCCCTCGACCGCCAACGTTGTCGTAGTTGTCGTCGGCTCCTCGTCGTCTTCGACATCATCGTCATCGTAGTGATACCCCTTCCGGGTGAACATGGGCGATGGCAGATCCGTAGCCAGAACTTCGGCGTCAAATCCCCGGTCCTCGATAATCTCCTGTATTTTCTCCGCCGGTATCGTCTGCGGATCGTGCATCACCACGGCTCTCTCCATAACCAAGCTCACCGAGACACTTCCGATGCCGTCCACATTCTTCAGGCCGGACTCAATAGCAGACGTACATGCACCACAAGTCATGCCGCCAACCTTTAGAGTAGTGGTCGCCATATGCGTCGGGGAGTTCGGTGAAGGCCGCGACCGCGACTCTGTGGTCGCGACTTTCAAATATTTGGGCGCCATCGCGAGGGTCGTCGCCGCTACTCAGCGAGCAGCTTCACCGGACAACGGACAGCGAACTGTACTTGTGCTGGTCCTCGTGTTTGTAATGTTTGTACACCTTGCGGCTGCGGCGGGTCGTATTACCACGCTGGGATCGGATACCACGGGGCTGACTGTAACGCGGCACAATCAGCTCAAGAACTCTCCAGATGCGGCAGCGCCATTGAAGATGCGCATTGAGAAGAGAGGCGGTACTAACAATATATAATATATACAATAAAGGCAGAAGGCCAGCTCCTGCAGGGGGGTGTCTGCCGACAGAAACACTCTGTAATGCGGTCACCAGCTCACAAAGCGATTCGCGGCTGAATTGGTAGATGATTATCGATAGAGTCGGGTTCGACACCCACTCGAGGACGCCACACCAGGCCGAAGTCTCAGAGCACCGAATCAGCGCGAAGATGGCGACTTTCGGACCTGGAGGAAGGGATCGTCGCGGAGGGCTCGAGATTGGGGGGATATTATAATAATAAAATACAAAAGGACGGAGGGAAAGCGAGCAATAATCGAGGTGACAAAAGAACAAAAAGAGATTCTTTTTCGCTACCAGCACTCTGTACAGAACCTATTGTCTGCAGCGCCAAGCGGCCGGCGATGGACCCTTCTTATTGGAATAATTCGATAGTAGCAAAATGCTAATTAACAACCCAAGCTTTTTGCACCGGGACACGGGGATCCGGCGGGTGTCTCACCATCTGAGCCAGAGTCTAATGAGGGGAGAAGAGCCAGCGCCAGAGCCAATGCCAGAGCTAGAATCTCACTCTTCCCTCCATTCAGCCTTTCCCCAGTACTGTCAATGCGTTTGGTCAGTAGTTTTGACTAGGCCTGGTGTCTTTAGCTTTGCTCGGACGGCCCCGGTGGTGGGGCAGGCATTGAAATATTGAATTGTGTGTTCAGCTTTACGTAGGACGAAGTACGTACATAAGGTGGGATGGATACTTATTTTGGGGCAAAGAGATGTTCTGCTGGGAATTTGCTAGACCATCGTACTCTGACTCTGGGTATTGCTACTAGTATTAGCACAAAGGAGTAAATACAGATTTCCACGCAAGGCAGATTGTACCATACCATTTACCACCTTTTCCACTGTCCGTCCGTAAGCTGTAACAGTGCTCTCGCTTGGCTGATTAGGCGGAATCCAATCCATGAAACCACAACCTCTTACAGGAGGGTTCGCGGGTAGAGCTTCAGAAATCAGTAGCCTCGTTTGAGTTTGTTTCAACTCACAGCGCGACGACCTTCCCCCTGGGTGGAGACAAGCCTTACCTGCGTGTTTCTTGCCGATCGATTGCAAGCATTTGTCCACTGCTCTCTCGAATCTGTTCCTCTCGTACCGGCAGGAGTTTCCACTTTGGAGTCGCTGAGCCTCTGACGTTATCGCCTCCAAGCCGGCCATAGAGCTCCCCGCCGTTAGGCACACAAGCAACACCATACCAGATACCAGACTTCCTAAGCACCACGTTAACACAGCCACCGAGATGGAGCAAACAAAAGCCCTCAGCGCCCTAGAGGTAAGTTGGATACTCCCTATATCCATCTATATCCCCATTTCTATCCAAACATCTAACAATCAATCCCCCTCAGCCATACCTCGCCCTCATCCGCTCAGCATCCTCGCCCGCCCCCGCCGCCCACCTGATAACTCTCGCAACCAGCGCGCCGAATACCTACGTATTCAGCGAGCTGCTCCGCACCCCCAACATCCAGGCGCTCTCCTCATCCTCCGAATACTCACCGTATCTCACCCTCCTTAAGATATTCTGCTACGGCACCTACGCCACATATACCTCTACGGCCGGCTTACCCACCCTTAGCGATGCACAGCTGGTCAAGCTTCGGCAACTGTCGCTGCTCACGCTGGCCAAGAACTCGGCCGATCTGAGCTATGAGAATCTTACGGCCGCGCTGGGGCTGCAGACGCCGCGGGAGCTCGAGGATCTAGTAATCTCCGCCGTGTACGCGGGGCTGGTGACTGCAACGCTGGATCCGCATAACAAGCTCGTGGTGGTATCCTCGGTCTCCCCGCTGCGAGATCTCGAACCCGAGTCCATCCCCGCCATGATAAACACGCTTGATGAATGGTCTGCACGTTGCAGCTCTACGCTGCTTGACCTGGAGAAGCAGATGGCGGGTATTAAAGCGGAGGCGCTGAAGAGGCATAAGGAGGAACAGGAATGGGCTGCTGAGGTGGAGAGGTTAGTTGATGGGAAGATTAAAGAACCTCAGAGGAGTGAGGAGTCTACGGGGAATATTGGCGGGATTATGAGTGGCTTGGGGCGGAGATTGGGAGGTGGCGCGGCCTCGAAGAGGGGTGTTGGTATGATGGGCGTTGGTGGCCGGGCTGATGCTGATGATATGGATGTTGATGAGAATGACGAGGATGCTGGGGAGAGAAAGGGGTTGAGGTCTGGGAAGAAGAGGGGCTTTGGGTTTTGAAGTGGTGGAACAAATAGAGAGATGTCAAGTAATTCAGCCATCAATCCGTAGAGGTTGGTTCCAGCTGGCCGCCACAAGTCATGGTACGCAGATGTTCACAGACGCACAATGGATCCAGGCGTTATCGCAGAGATATCTTGGTTAGCATTAATGCATTAAAAAAGGGTATTGCAATGAGCTCCGCGCATATAAATCAACAAGTCATGATCCATCCTTGATTCGCCGCACCGGCGATGGCCGATAATAAATGTCCTGCAAACGCCATCGCCAAATTGCTTCCATGTATGTGCTTTTTTTGCTGGAAATAAAGGCCCCATAAACGCCCAAGCCAGCAAGACGTCGGTCCCTAATACAGATTACCCACCTCCATTACCTTACAGCCGTTTTCCGGGAACAAACACGAATAGCACCACCAGTGCAGCATCAATCAATAGTGTGACGCCCAGGACCATCAGAGCACGCTTGTTCAACAGCTTGCGAACAAATCGTTCTCGGACACGGGAGAAACTCATGAATGTGTACTCACTGAATCCCACCAGCGCGAGGATTGGGTCCAGGGCATACTGGTGAGAGCTGAGAGAATAGACGCCGACGGTGAAAGGGAGGATGAGCTGAATAGTTAGCAATAGGTTCAGTCGCAAGGGGGCAGGAGAACTCACCCAAACTCTGGTAAGGCGAGAGTAGTCGAGGAAAATGAGAATGAAAGCGACCCAGAATCCAGCAAACATCGCGAGCAGGCCAAGCACCAATCTCATCAGCATGGATGGTGGGACAAGATTTCCGAGCGCTTTCATTCGAAGGAAGCCCGGGAATGCATCACGCTCCATTGCTTGGAAGACATAATCCTTAGCAGCATCGAAGACTTCTGGGTCGTCACGGCCCCGTTCTTCAATTGACACAGTAATCTCATGGGTGATTGCATGCGGAAGGATAATTTCACGCTCTGCACCGGGTAGAAGGAAAGTGTACAGGATCTTTTCGGCCGATGCTCTGATATCTGCCCGGGAAACTGTGTGTGCTGGAGAGTTTGAGTCGGATGTCAGCTCCAATGGACTGCTCATGAAGCTGGGACGAGGTCTGTCATTGGAAGTCGTGTGGCGGGGCTGGGATCCAAGACTGTTCGATGGGGAGTGGTTGGTGCCGCTTGCCAGGTCTTCTCGAAGGAACGCGGACATTTGCGCATCCTGATTCTTCTCCTTGTCCGTCATCAACGCCGATGGTCCTGCAGCAGGATGGTTCATGTCGCCCAATCCTTCCAGAATAGTAGATGACCTCTTCGAAGGTGACTTGTCCGCCTCCGGAGTGCCAATCATTACTGAGCGACGTAGCTCCCGGACGTAGTGTCGGCATAATGACATGTGCTGAGCAACATCAAGCCTACATAGAATTAGCATCCCACGACACTCGGGGGATATAACCCGCGTTCAAAGCACACAAGGCGTACCAGAAGTCCAGGTAATCCACCGATCTCTGCTGGTCCCGCATGTATATGTAGAATGAGAAGAGGTCAACCGGAGGGAGTGTCCTTCTGCTCAAGACTTCGAAGAGCGTCGGAAGGCGGTTGCGATCCATATCGGGCAGGGGAGAGGATGAGAGTGCACCGTCCATCTTGAAAGAGTGTTATCGACCTGGGGGTCTTTGATAGGTAGTGCAAGGCAAAAAGTAAAGTTGAAAAGTGAAGTGGAAGTAAGGGTGAAACAGTAGGTGTGTGAACGAGTGACAAGCTAGAATTACGCTCGAAGGATCGGCGAGATTTCGAAGGGAGAGATGTCGTGAGATGCACGATTGTAAAGTTGGAGTCGCACGTCTCAATTCCAGCCGATAGTACTTCGTAGAAGGAAGATCAGCTTGGAGACCGTGCCGACGCGGCCGGCGCTGAGATGAAAGACGATGGGAGATCAATTCGTGAGGTTGGTGACGACGTGGACAGGAGTTGGCGTGGTTTCGAGTTGAGTCGACCTGAATCATTTCACGAGCGAGGTCGCGGCTCCGTCAGGCACCAAGGCATAAACGTCGCTAAGCACTAGCGCACGTCGCACCCACGAACAATTTTGGAAATCCACTTCGACCTCAGAGTTAAGACCACGAACTTTCACGACAAAGCCACGACACATCTCCAGTACGTCCTGACACCCCAATATAGCTCCTCGGGATATTGTTTGGGCCCGAATCTAGTATCTGACTCGATTTAGAAATGTCGACGAAGACCAAGAAGCCCGCCGGCAAGGCTCAACGATCCGCCATCGCGGATGTCGTGGCCAGAGAATACACCATCCACCTTCACAAGAGAGTATGTCGAATAGCATCCTGAGCGCGAAATGGATTGGATAAGGGGAAGTGCTGATTGGAATAAATAGCTCCACGGCGTCACATTCAAGAAGCGGGCACCAAAGGCCATCAAGGAGATCAAGGCTTTCGCAACACAGTCAATGGTACACAGGCGCAAATCCCCAAGGCCACACGTAACGGCCGTAGCAGAGTACAGGAAGCTGATTTTTTTTACAGGGCACCACCGATGTTCGTCTCGATCCCCAATTGAACAAGAAGGTCTGGGAGGCGGGTATCAAGGGCGTTCCTTATAGACTCCGTGTCCGAATCTCGAGAAAGCGAAATGATGAGGAGGGAGCTGCAAACCGCTTGTATAGCTACGTTCAGGCTGTCAATGTCAAGGACGCGAAGCATCTCACGACGGTGGTTGTTGAGGAGTAGATATCTGATCTGAATGGCATGGCATGGGATGGATGGAGTTGATTGCATTCTGCTGGCTAGCTCGTGAATGAAAAGGTCAACTTTACTACCCAAATTTCTCCTGGGCTGATTTGACATGTTTGTTGTGCGCTTCCATTATCTGCATCCATTATTGCTGTGGGTATGATGGTTGCCACGATGTGTTTCGCGTGTTGTTGACGATTTGACGGGCGCGGCAGAATAGGCTGGGCAGCACAAAGAGACGGTGGCTTGGGAAGTGGCCCAGGTATCCGGTATCATTCCGCTCTTTCTTTCCTGTGAACTTCCCGAAGTCCCGTTCGGAGAAGCCCTATCAAGCCTCCAGAAGTTTTGAAGTAAAATTTCAAAGGAGTCGGTATTTTCCCGAATCGACGCGCAGCAGATGGTTGCTCCCAAGCCGCAACAGCAAATTACAACTGCCTTCCCACAAAGATCTGTTCCCCATGCTCGTTCAAAGAGCCTCCGCTGATACAGGACCAAAGATGCTGCTCCATAAACCATCTAAACAATCCCATTGTTCAAAACAACGCTCTTTGTTCTATCTCATTGCAACGATCATGTTCCACCAGATCAGTGTTATACGCCACACTATATATGTAGGCACTTGCCCTTAGATTTCGCTTTCTTCAGAACCATCCCGCGTCCACAGCACTCTCCAGCCCCTAGCTATAGTCTACATTCCTGATCACCCCAAGCAACAAGCAACAAGCAACAAGCAACAATCACCAATCTTATACCGAATCCGCTCCGTTGACCATCAACATGTCGGAAGAATTTCAATCCACTATTTGGCAATGCTTGAGCTGCTCCTTAACTAACAAGTACATGGACACACTGTGCATTAATTGCTCTACACCACGCGGCCAGCAGGTGCCAGACAAGGTAAATTCACCAACATGGCTGTGTTGTAAGTGTGACAACACGAACGACACCAAAACCCCGTTCTGTGTTCGTTGCGCCCATGGGAATTTCTGGTATTGCAACAACACCTCCTGTGACCGCGTAAACGGGAGTAGTGATATCGAATGCACCTGCGGGGAAACCCGCTGCTGGAGATGCCCGGTCTGTGATACATTAAACTCGACCGAGAACGTCCGCTGCGCTGACTGCGCAATTCCATGCTCCATAATCTGCTTCGGATGCAGCTCACCCCATAAAGGACGGTGGCGATGCCGCCGGCAAGAAGTGTGAAACATGCCTGCACTACGCTCACGAGTGTGACGAGTGCAAGGCATTTTCCTTTCAGATCTTTCCTTTTAGATAATGGTCATTCAGGATTATAGGGCTATGTAAAATAGGCTCCCAGATCAGACTTTCACATGTACAGTTCCATTTAATACCTACGTAACAGTGCCTCAATTAAAAAGATCCAAGGATTAAACATCCGCGTATTCTCCATGCTATCGAAAACTACAGTCCAATCAATCTCCAATTCCCATATACTCCGTCCTGCTGCCATGAGGAAATGCTACACGAAAGACCCGGCGGACGCGCGAAAAGCAGGACAGCCCTCATGATGCACAAACTCTGCCTGACCACAATGCTGACGCCCGAAACACACATTTCACATCCCGCTCATTCATCATCAACATCCCGATGTCGTCCAAGTACTTTCTTCTTGAAGTCTTCCGGGTCCTTATCCCACAGCTCTGCGGCCTCGCCATTTAGTGGTGATGCACTATATCGAGTTAGCATACGTTCTTTGACATTGGAAATCAGCGGCAAGTACATACTTATTTGGTTCCCCAAGCAAACTTTGCAAGCTCAATAACACAGTTTGGATGTTATACGCCGCAGTCCATTTGTCCTTTAGGATATCCAAGCAAATTCTGCCTGAAAAGTCCACGTTGGGGTGGTAAATTGGCGTCTTGAAGAGCACTGTTGGGGCGGCGTATGGGTAATTTGACGGGAAAGCAAAGGAGAGTTTAAACGTAAGACCAGCATATGGCGTATCATCGGGCCCTTCTATAGTTGCAGTCCACGAGAGAAGATTGCCATCTGCGGATGGGAAGGCGGAGATGCCAGGGGCGGAGGAGGTCATAAGTTGCATCAGTTCCGTCTGTAATCTGTATTTGCTAAGTTAGTAAAGGCTCAAAGATTACGAACAAATATTAATTAGGCAGAACCAACCGTTTCGTCGTGCTCTGTGCATCAGCAGCCCTTCGAGGAGCTCCAAGCTTGGAAGCTTGCGCTGCGGGCAAGCTCCCAGGGGCAGCATTCTGGGTATCCTCCATATCGTAACTCATTATGCGTCGGTCAGGGGGAGGGGTGAGCGAGGAAAACAAATAGGCAATAAAGAAGGCTAAGGCGAGCGAGGAATGGAATGCAGAGACTTGAGGATTGTGGACGGAACAAAGCAAGCAAGCACAAGCAAAGTAGGAGGACTACAACGAGGAATTTGTAGGTTCAATGAAAGATGTGAATTGTTTACTCTGGCTGCGACGGTCGCTTCGACAACCACCACGCGCACGGGGCCGCCGATAGTGAGACAAGGCTGCGAATCCGCCTTCTCTACGTCGTTGTTTAATAGCCAATCAGTGACGCGACGAAATCATTCTTCGAAACTTATACGCGTTCGCAACACCACGGATTGGATATTGGAGTTCTTTGGTTGATTTAGAGGTTTCTCAAGTCTGCGTTGGATATGGTGAGTAGATTCAAGATAAAATGTCTTTAAAGCTGCGAGGAGATATGGCGGTCAAGAGGGCTGTGTGGAAATAAACATTCTGACCAAGATGCTATTCCAGAGCCAACTCGATCCCCTCCCCCGCGACCTGCCTTTTCGCATCGTATCAAAAACGATTGGGAGAGGGGCATATGCATCGTATGTGTTGCGGATCCCATTCATCTGTCGATATCAATATCATATGCTGAACCTTAAATTTGCAGAATAAAAAAAGCCATTCCTCCGACGAGTACAACGCCCGTTTTCGCAGTCAAGTTCATCCACAAAGCCTACGCCGTCAAAAATGGCCGCATCACGGCAAAACAAATCGCCATGGAGGTATCCCTCCACTCGCATATCGGCCAGCATCCCAATATCATAGAATGGTTCGCAACGGGCGAGGATTCGGTGTGGAAATGGATCGCCATGGAATACGCGGAAGGCGGCGACCTATTCGACAAGATTGAGGCCGATTTGGGTGTCCACGAGGATATTGCACATCTATACTTCACGCAGTTGGTGAGTGGGGTGAGTTATATGCATTCCAAGGGCGTGGGACATCGAGATATAAAACCCGAGAATATCCTTCTTTCGGATGTTGGCAATTTGAAGATTGCAGATTTTGGACTGGCTACGCTATTTGAGCACAATGGGAAGACGAAACTCAGCACGAGTGTATGTGGTAGTCCGCCATATATAGCACCGGAAGTCATCGCCTGTTCAAGGGACACGCAATCAAGAGGAGCGCCAAAGGGCCCAGGCTATGCCCCGAACCTCGTTGATATCTGGTCTTGCGGCGTAGTACTGTTTGTCCTGCTCGTTGGGAATACGCCCTGGGATGAGCCAACATCCGCAAGCTGGGAATTCCAGGAATATATCGGGAATCGTGGTCACAGTTCTGACGATCTCTGGCAAAAGCTACCAAGCCCAGTCCTGTCACTGCTGAGGGGCATGATGAATGTAGACACCAAGCAACGCTTCAACTTCCAGCAGATAAAAGCCCACCCATGGTACACACGAAAGAACCCTCTTTTGACCCCCGACGGAAAAACAACAGATCAGCTCGCCCTCGCCACGAAAATGCTCGAGGGGCTACACATAGACTTCAGCCAACAGCCACTATCTTCCCAGAGACCGCACGGCCAAAGCCAAGATTCCAATGCTATGGATGTCGATTCCGAACCTAGATTCGCATTCACACAACCAGAGACGCCCATCAACGACGTACTCTACGATTGGGAACGTCCACCACGTGTAAACGCATCTGCTATGTCCTCCAGCCAGCCTTCACACACCAACAGTGACAGCCACTCTATCCATGCCTTCGACGCTTCGACCCTCGCCGACGAACCAAGCATGTCACAATTTGCCCCCACGCCCTCGGTTCCCCTTAGCCTCACGCAACACGCACGCTGTTTCCGCGATATCGTCCCCTCATACTCACTTACGCGTTTCTTCTCGCACCTTTCCTCCCCACTCCTACTTCAACTCCTCTCCTCCGCGCTCCATCAACTCAACATCCCCATCCCTCCTGTAAGCCCTATGAACGGCCGGGATAACGCTGGGTGGATCAGAGTCAAGCTGTTGGATGGTCGACGGTGCGGGTTGAGCGGCGATATTATCGTAGATAGCTATGTGACCGGGGAGGTCGAATTACTAGAGGTGAGATTTGTGAAGGTTAAGGGGGATCCGTTGGAGTGGAGAAGGTTTTTTAAGAATGTGGTCCTGCTGTGTAAGGATGGGGTTTATGTTCCCGGTGCTTCATAGGAAGGTATCTAGTTAATGAATGGGAGCGGAGTTGGTTACTTGGAGTTTTGTGTATTGGTATGGTATTGTATGTGGGTATTTTGTGTGTGATACTTAGAATGGGGAATATGATACGAGAGCAATTGGCCTTCATCACACATATAATCCCAGAATCAGCTCGGTTTCGAAATATCTATAACAGTTGTATTAAACAATTTGCATTCTCTTGCTCTAAACCCTCCCTGCAACAACTCAAGCAACAGCGGTAGGCACTGACAACAAACGAAAAAATGTACAATCTGATTGATGCTAAAAATAAAGGGTATAAATTTAGGAATGCTCGCACCCGTGTAGAGCGATGCTCTAGTGCCTGGCGGCCATACCGTACGGCTAGCATAATCTCCTAACCTGTGTAATTACTCCGCATGGTGCCTCATAACCCCAGGAGACCATGGCTTAAGAAATGTACAAGAAACCCCTATCGTATCCAGCTTTGACGCGCAGATCTATGGATCTTAGTTTATACGAAGAAAACCATGCATCCCACCAAAGCAATCATAGCCCAATATCCAGACAGATTAATGATGTTTCTCGTCGCCGACGAAGTATCATTATCTTGTCCATCATCTTGTCCATCAGCAGCCGTGGTTCCATTGGGCAAAGTACCATTGAGGATGATAGTGCTTGTGCCATTGATATCCGCAACGGTGACCAGGGTATGGTTCAACTTGTTGTAGTCGCCGTCCCCAATCAAGGCATCGAGGAAAGTAGTGTCGTCGTTGTCGTCACAGCCACATACTGCGTAAGCAGCGCAGAGACATGTAACAGGCTTTTGCTGCTGGACACCAGTATCCTGTCGAGCATTTAGAAGCACCGAGCGAGCCGCATTCGTAGCCGTTGGGATCGCTGAGCTCGATGTCGTCGTGGTAGCATTTGCGCGCGCAGTGCGATTGTGGAATGAATATGGATGGTGATATGGATATGAATATGCACCATAGAGCCAAAGGCCTGGAAGGACAGCCAGCAACCCTACACCGAGGAAGACAGGTGCAAGTCCTAAGGGCGAGCGACCCCCCGCGGCATAAGGAGCGGTTGCGCCACCGCCGTAATATCGTCCTCCACCATAGTTGGGTCTCACGCCTGAACCAGTTTTGGTGCTTCCGCCGATGTTCGAGCTTGGTGAGGAGGAGCCACGATTCGCAGAGCTACTAGACGGTTGTCAGCATGTTGTCAATGATTCTAGTCATCTCCATGTCCACTCGATCCATTCTTTGACCTAAGGGATTTGCCGCTGATGCGCAGTAAATCCAGCAATTGATACTGCACTACAGAGCTTGCTAGATTGATGGTATCTGATGGTTTTGCATGGCTTGAGAGGAAGAACTACTCCCTCCATTCCAACCCCTAGGGCGATCATACCTGCTTCCAGTGCTTCCAGTACTTCCGGTTCCTCCAGTTCCACCACGACTACTGCTAATACTTAATTTCCGAACCGCACACTTCGCTTCAAAACAAAGAAGGATTACACTTACCCAGAACTTCCTGTTCCCGAACTGCTGGAACTACTTGAACTACTTCCCGACGACGAGCTTCCTGAACTACTACCGCCTCTGCCGCCACTGCCGCCTCCTCCGCGCCTCTTCCATAACTCCTTTATATCGGCGAAAAATCCTTCCACGGGGGAGCGCGCATCGTGCGCTTCTACTGGGTATGCCTCTCGCGACGAGAGTTGAACTTCGGTTGTAACGGGTTCCGGATGCGACAAGACCGGTGTCGTCGTGGCAAGGAGCAGCAGCGCTGCGAGCGCACTCGGGAATGTGATTCTCATGACGATTGCTGTATACCTAGGTATGCAGACGTGTGTGCTCCGTTTATGTATGTTGTATGTGTATGTGTATGTTGTATGTGTATGTGTATGTTGTATGTTTATGTATCAGTGACGAGAACAGGGTTTGAAGTGAGACAGAAGAGGCGTTTATATCTCCCGCCGTTTGATATGGTTTAGTGTTTGTAAGGAGGCTTAGCTTACGCCACAATAGGCACTCCCCAAGGTTTTCTTTGCTCTTTGGTAACCTGAGGGCTCTTCAAAGGGTCCAGCGGGGCGATCTTACCCCGACGATCGTAACAGCGGCCATTGACCAGTGGCGATTCGTCTATGATTTCGTACTTTGTTTGCGACGGGCCTTCACTAGATGACCTACTTGACGTAATTTAGCATATGTTAGTTTGGGGCACAACCGTAGCAGCCTGATTACTTGTTGGCTGCGCCACGTTCTGCCCGGCATTCGGTCGGTATAAAGAGCCGTCCAACGTAACGACGGAGGTCCCATTTCGAGATATCAAAATCCAGCTGAGGCATTCTACTATTCGCCTCGCCATTGCTGACGGCTCCTATTACTTGCGAAGCCGCAGCTACTCCTAGTGCTCTTTGTCCTCTATCTGTGTCTTTGATATTTCCCTTGACCTTCCCTTGATCTTCCCTTGATCTTTGCCCTTGACCTTTGGCCTTGATCTGTCATGCGTGGGCTATTTTAGTAACACATGTAAGCCTCCTAGGCATCCAGAGAAGAATTGTACAAGGAGTCTAGAAAGATATTTGCCGACTGGAAAGTAGCCTCTTTGCAAGTTCGGTATTACACCAAATTAAAGGGTCTATAAGGGTACCTGCGGAGTAGAGTGTCAATGAACGCACCGAAGCGTAATCGTATCGAAAATTCGATTTGGCTTGTTTAGTTACAGCTACGATACAATTTTCCACTATTATATCCTTTTAGTACCGAAGCTTGATGGCTGTCCACCATCAAGGCTAAGTCACCTTGACGGTAATGGCGAGGTCGAACAAAGAGAGGAAGAAGGATGGATATAGACCTAATGCGGTATATTGCACTAGCTCTGGAAACCCCATGCCCTATTCCATTGTGCCCTCTTTCCTCGTTGCCTGCGTAATAATGATCAAGAACTTGTGCGCGGAGATTTTCCAAACCGTCAGAGTATCGTAATCTTCGTGCTTGTCCGAGCCGTGCCAGGCTGTATCCAAGCCGCCAAGGTAAGACAAAATAGCTCGTTCATGTACCTTGAAATTCACTTTTCTGGCTCAAGTTCTTGAGCTGCCATATCACCGGACAAGTACCTAGGTACTCTGCTGTGCCTAGGGGCCGTCTGGGCCAACGTTTTTGGAAGTTCGAACCAATGCCGCTCCAATTTCATAACTCGCCCTTTCACTCATGGCTCGCCATCCTGTAGAATGTTGCCGACCAACGAGGTTATCTGATAGCACAAATGTTTTCGTGGTCGCATAGCTCGAAACACGCTTTTATTTGTGAGGGATGGTTGGAGCTCGTACAACTTGAATAGTCACAGAGCATCCCATTCTTGTTTGGGAAAGCCGGTATCGGGTGCGACTGTGCTATATCAATCTTCCCGGAAATCCTCTACAATTCAAGTTTAATTCCGCGATGGATGAATGAGTGAGGAAGGGAGCCACATGTAGCCGTCCTGTTGGGAATTTCCTTCCTGGCTGCCATCTCTTGGCTGTTTCGCCTCTTCAATCTCACTGCCTTCAGCCTCTACCTCTACCTCACTAACTTTCAGCAAGAATCGGTTCTCTATTGTCGACTCACCGCCACTCGTGTCAACAAGGCTCTGGTCTCGCTCCAGCAGCGAAATTATCCTATGGAAACCGATCTGACTCGTTTCAGCCCCGTAATACCAGCGAGGCCGGTGCGGCCAGCGAGACCCGAGAGGCCCGTATATTGGGTGTTGCACAAGCAGTTCGTTGTAAACGCTGCATGCAAGTATCATGCATGAGATTTTAGCAGATCTGAATGATGTTTCTGGGTCGATTTTCACACCTACTGGCAATGCATAATAAGTTGAGCTCCGGATGGGGACTCTCGATCGTGTTGAGATCCTCCTTTGGTATGTAATCTCTGGCAGGCCACCGCAATCAAACGCATCAGATATTTGAGACTCTTCATCTGACTCTATCTGGGAAGCCGAAGATGGTGTAGATACTGTTACAGGTATAGTTGTGCGTCGTCTTGTATTACTTGGGACCTCCCAGATTCGCCAGCCATCATCATATTTTGCTGGTGCTTCGGAAGGTTCCGAGCCATTTTCCGATAGAGGAGACGCGAGTGATCCCTCATCTAGAGAGCTTGTATCACTGACTATATCCAGATCCTCAGAAGCATCAGAAAGATCGTCTCGTACTATAAAATAGTCCGCCCTTAGGATATCCCCAGAATTGTCCGTAGGGGGTGGCCAAAATGTGAGTCTTGGGTGAAGAGTGCGCCTCCCAGGACGCGAGTGTGACTTCTTGTAAGCTCGACTAGTAAATAAAGGCAAATTCGACGCGCGTGTAAATCTAACGCTGAGAGTATCTCGACTTTCTATTTTCACTTCGTCCTTTGGCCCGTTTTCGTCGACTTTCGTGTGATCTGCTCTGCTTTCGACTGGACTTAAGGGTTCCGAAATGGTATTGTCTTGAGGAGCTTCCTCATTCTCAATGTCTGAGACAGCAAAGTTTCCGAGCATTTCCAGCTGTTCCGCAAGTGAGTAGGCGAAATCCAATGTCCTCCCTCTGTTTGGCCGTGTTGTAGCACTCTTCGGACTCTGAGCCATGAGCAGTATCCAGAATGTCTCAAGGTAGCAAGATTCAATAGCACGGTGGAGCGGAGTTCGACCCCACTTGTCGGATAGGTTCACCTCAGCCCCAGCCCCAAGAAGCAAGACCGTTGAATACGGGTTACCAAGGCTCGCCGCAACGTGGAGTGCTGTCTGTGAGCATTTATCCATCAAATTGAGATTCGGATGATGACTTAAGAGTAGGAGCAACATATCTCCATCTCCGTGGGCAATTGCTAAATGTAATGATGTTGCACCAGACAGATCTTGTGCATCAATGTCGGCTCCAATCGCAAGCAACTTCTGAACGAATTCATGTTGTTGATATACCACAGCAGTGAGGAGAGGAGTGGAGCCAAACTTGTTCTTGGCCTCGGTATTAGCACCATGATCCAGCAGATAGACCATGATCTCCAAGTTCTTCCAATACACTGCCAAGTGTAAAGCGCTATTCAGTTCACCGTCCATTGTTGTTGCATTTATGTCAGCCCCGTACTTGAGGAGTAAGTCAAGCATGGCATGGGTAGATTGGCAGTTGCATGGAGTTTTGAAGGCTGGTTTATAGCCTGTAGGGGGCGGGTACTCGGTGCTGGAAAAAATTAAGTGCAAAGGTGGTGCTTTCTGAGGTGGCCTGCCGTGAATGTTCGCACCATGTTTCAACAAATATTCGGCAACTTCAAATTGAAGAGTAGCAATAGCGCGATGTAGTGGCGTGAGGTGCGTATCTGTCATGATATTCGGGTCTGCCCCTTTCGCGAGCAGGTACTTCACTATCTTCAGTTGCTCATTTAAGTTGAAATCATGCTGTTCGTGTTGTAGCATGTCTAGGTCATGAGGGAAATCTCTATTTCCTCCACGAATGATATGCAAAGCTGCATTTCCCTGGGCGTCCTTTGCATTAATATCCAACCTCTCTTCCATATCAAGTTTGGGGTAATGCGTTGAAAATTGTTCTTTCCAGATGCTATCTTTCCCTTTGTACTCTCCACTATCACTATCTAGCAAAGCTCTAACACCCTCAAAGTTGAGAGTTTGAACGGCAAGTGTCAATGGTCGCTCCCCGTGAACAGAGAGTTGGTTGATATTTGCACCTTCGCGTAAGAGGAGAACAACAACTTCCGCAACATCAGCATGCAGTGAAGCCGAGACTGTTTTATCCGAGAGTCCTGGAAATTTCCAATGTGCATACTTATCGCGAAGTACGTCGCACAGAAGATTGTCTCTGGTGACCTTCTGGCCTGCTTGAAATAGGATTCGTACAATCTGGGGGGAGAATCCGGCCACTGCGCGGGAGAGTGGGGTGGTGAAGTCTTCAAATATTGTATCCACGGTCCCAATTTTTGCGGCAATAATTTCTCGAACAATATCGGCATGTCCTTTATCAATTGCCAGTCGCAGTGATATATCAGCCTCTCTGCGTGATTCTGCAGACTCATCTGCACGTGAGAGGAGAACTTTTACCGCTTTGATGTGACCCAGGTATGAATGGACGGCGAGAGGACACCAGTTTCTCCAAAGGGTTGTTGGGAGTTTTAGTGCGTTGGGCAGGCTATGACAGATGGCAAGCCAGAGCGCGCCACGTGGGACATCAATCTGCCAGAGTCGGAGCAGAACTTGTAAGAAAGTATCTTCAGCTTCTGATGACCTCACATGATGGTACCAATGCTTTGCACTGTATTCTAAGAATGGATGTTGCTTTATGGTTTTCTGAAGTATCCGATCTGATGTAGGAACAGATTTGAAATTGTCGATGTGGCCAAATCCAGCTAATCTCTTTGCTCCAGGCCTATGGATCCGGTAACGACGAAAAGGGTTTCCAAAAGAAGGCACACAGCCCAGAACAGGATCTGCAGGCTCCCAGACCTCGAAAAGGTCAGCGTCTCTTCTTGGGAATATCCCGTGCTCAAAGTTGTCTAGAAGCAGGTATCTTATACAGGACCAGGCAACAGTCTTATGAGATTCTTTCGGATCGAATGAATGCTTCCACTTGCGTGAAGTTGATGACTTGTTGTAACTTGCTGTGGATTTCTGCAGGAAGTCTTTCGCAGTCTGATGAGCAAGGTATATTCTGTCACCAATGATGCAGACAAAGAGCCCACACAACTCTCTCAGGACAGGGGCAAAAGACGATGCGGGTGTAAGTTCTATCTCGTCGAAAGAGGCATCATCATCCTGTATAGATAGCGCGATATTCATCTCCTGGACAGTAAGTGGTCTAATTGCAGCCACGACAATGTGCAGCAGCTTTCGGGCTCGGGTAAGGTCGTTGCTCTGATCCAAAATCTTCTCGTAGATCTCATCAACGGAGACAGGTAGAGTGTCAATAATCCGTAGAAGCTCCCGTTTAGAGTCGGCTGCTTTCTTTTGCAATTCGGGAAATATCAGAGCTACCCAGAGATATGTCCTATTAGGTATTGAGTCGAGTCGTGTTTGGAGCAGAATGTGCGCATCATCATTGATACCTTATAAAGTCAGTGAAGAATCTTCAAAAATACTAGACACTGAACTCTCAAAAGTCCGACTCACCCTTGTACGATCGAAAGTCCCTGAATTCCAATACCCGAGCCCGAACCACACACTGGATCTCAGCACTTATTTGCTTTGTTTCTTCGTCGTTCTCGCCCATCAAGCGAATGGCCTCGTTGTCCAAACTACTTTGATAAAACAATCCGTCTCCGATTGAGCTCCAAGGCCGACTAGTGAGGATAATTTTCAGATTCGAGGCTCCTCGGTATCCAGTTCCAAAATAGTTCTTGATTTTCTTCAGCAGCAGTTCTCGCGACTTCTCTTCGCATTCATCAAGTGCATCAAGCACACAAATGATTTTCGTATCATTTGCAAATAAGACCAAGGCTTCCCATAGACGATCAAAGTTCAAGCTTAGCTCCCCGCTTTCACCAACGCTATGACTGAGATACTTTAACAAATTGCTATCTTGTAGAAGGAGTTGGTGTAAGATTGCACAGAGCGCATGGCTTGCACTCCGATATACTTCCTCGTCGTCTTTAAAAAAAAAGTAGCATAGATTTTGTGAGCTAGACATCTTCGGTCCAAATTCTTCATCGACTAGAAATCTGGCCAGTACCGATTTCCCACAGCCTGGATCTGCGGAGACCCAGAGCAACCCCAAATTGGTTTCTATCCAGCGTTGGTACTTCGCATGAGAAAGAAACCACGAACAGGTTCCGGGAACACGAGAGGGATTTTTATCTTTGTTGAACACATAATCACTCGTCCTCAAAACCCTTAAAGTTTCGTAATACGACTTATTAGTCTGCGAATCCTGAAGATGCCGGCTCAGTCCTAGGAATTGCTCTTCCAAACTCCGGCGAAGATCAGTGAGCCCCAATCGAAGTCGTTCGGAGTCAATCGTTTTCGTAAAAGTTGTGCATCTCTCATCTGCGCTCTTCATATTTTCCATTAAAGATTTCCAATCGTCGGCCTTGAAGATGTCCCTCACTGTCCTGGAGATCTTGGATCGGAGAAGTTGACAGACTGTCCTCGCTTGGAATTCCAAAATTAGGACATATACTTGAGTCATAGTAGCTTCTAAGCCCTCTAAAACTTTCAGGTCCTCGGCTCGACGGTCTTCATCTGAGTCCACCTCAAAATTTTGACGATATGTGCGTTCTCGGATAGCACCTTGCGAGATTAAGGTAGAGATATATTCAATGCCATCACCGTTGAGCTGACTTTGAGAGCTGGGATTCAAAAGTAGCTATAGCTCGTTGTTAGACCAAAAAACATCGAAAGCAAACAAGAAAAGAGAATGATACAGACAGGTAAAATGATACACACTCCCGCCCACGCTATTGCGGCGTGAGGTGAAGGGCTGACAACAGAAGTGATAACATCCTTCGAGAGAACGACAAGTTTCACAATGCGATTGAATTGCTCCTGGAATTCGATCGTTCTTGCGCCAATGCGAAGACGCCACTTCGTCTGGTTTTGAAGTTGTGTTTGCTTCTCAATGAGTTTTGTCGCAGCAGATTCTCTTTCTTGCCCGCTCAAGCTCGTCCAATTTGACATACCAGAAGCGGTTTCGGATACTTCAGATGCTAGGATCTCCTCATAGCTGCTCAGTAAATCTTCATTTTGAGCTCGCAGGAGGTCGTATGCTCGGCCCCATAAATCCTCTACTTTGTTGGACTCTCGGTTTGACTTGGCCGTTGAAGTGGAAAAAGACTCTTGCCCTGCTAAGAGACCATCTCTCGCAGGTCCACTTTCGGCGGTCTGGGTCCATGATCGGCGAATAAAAGGATCTCTAAGAACCAAAGAAGTGCTAGTTAGTCCCGGCACGGGCTCAGATTGATCAGAGTGCGTAAAATTGCCACCAGTGATGCTAGTTGGTCGGTCAGGCTGAGATTCCGGCGTTTGCGTACGGTCATCGTCTCTTGCTGTTCTCGACTTCTGTGGTTTGGCAGAAGCAGAGCTCGTTACCGTGGGCCGATCATCAGCCAGATGAAGAGCTGCAGTGTTGCGTTCAACATTTCGATCACTTAAGTGGTTCCCAGGACTTTTGTCCGTTTTATGTGCTGCTTCGGAGATATCCACGAATTGCTTACCGTCGCTTTTAAGCGCCGGAGCAGGAGCCTCATCAACCTTGGCTTTGGTGAGGTCTTTCACTTTGGCCTTGAGCTTGCCCTTAAGCTTCGAAAGGCCCTTCATGTTCTGGCTGCTATCTTCTCATGTCGAAGTTGGCCTCCCCGTCGAAGAATCGTTTTTAAGTTGTGCTGAGATGTTTTTGAGTTGCACGAAATTCTTCTGAGAATGCGCGATACGATACCCCCCATACATATCCACGAGTAGCTGGACCAGCGCCCCGTGGAAAACGAACAGGGTACCGATTGGGCGCCCAAAACATCAGCCTAGGCCTCATCTCCTATTTCCTCAACGCCCTCAGCTGATCGAACTAGCTGGGCATTTCAGCATCGTTAAATCACTCTCAACTCACATTTCTGAGGGTCGATTCTTCTTAACCAGATCCAACGTTTTTTGGCAGAGGGACTGCAGATGAGGAGGTCTTCCGCTGCTATTTGTCAGCCACTAATCATGAGATGCCTGAATCCCCAGCTTCGGAGGTGAAAGCTTGCGAGGAACATACATCCCAGGCGCTCAAGCCTTCTCAGTGGTAAGAGGCAGGCTGGAGAAAAACGATCAGTTTCTCTATATAGACGTCCCAACATCCTGCAACTCCGCTTAGATCTCACGCAGTGCTCGCACTGATATTTATCAATTGGTATGTCATTCGATCAGATAGCCGTCGATAGAGGTGATGCATCGTTCGCGAGCTAGGCGGGTGTCCGAACTTACTTCATCGGCCGAAGAAGTCAGCGCGCTGATTGAGAAGCACCGCGGGGGTATTGCTATAGGCGTAGTAGAATATTTGACAGGGTCTTTCAACGTTCGTACGAGAATAGGATTTCGCGATGGAGCAGATGCAATCATACGATTCCCAAAACCAGGTATCGCGGCCTTTCTAGGCGAAAAGGTTCGAAATGAGGTTGCAGTCATGGAGTTCCTTTCAGAGAAGACCGAAATCCCGATTCCCCGCCTGATAGGATGGGGCCTTGCAAAGGACAGCACCTGCAACCTGGGACCGTTCATTGAATTTGTCTGACGTCCTGGATAAACCAGGCGCGAATGCCAGCGACCTCCCGACTCTAAACCCCGACATCGACGAAGCGACCCTAGTGTCGGGGTACAGGCAACTAGCAGATATACTACTTCAACTTTCCGAACTCAATTTCGAACATATTGGTGCAATTTCGAAAGATGACCAGGGTATCTGGTCCGTTCAAAGCCGGCCTTGAATTATAACAACAGGAATGAATTGGCTACCGTTGGATACTATCCTGTCTACCCATTTCCCGTACAGAAGTTCTCCAGAGCAAGTACATACCTCCAAGAACTTGCAACACAGCATCTCATCCACCTTCAAGCATAGCCCAACATTGTTGAAGATCGCGATGATTGTAGAAAGAAGTATCTAGCACGTCACTTGTTCCAGCAACTTGTGAAGCACAACAATGTTGCCGCCGCTAAGTACGACCCGGGCCAATTCAAGCATTTTTCCGTCCCTCGAATATACTGGTAGACGAGTCACTCACAATCGTCGCTGTCTTGGATTGGGATTCAACTACGCAGCGCCGTCTTCATTCACGTATAGTCCGCCATGGTGGCTTTTAGTAAGGGGTTTAGATTACGCGGTGGTTTTCACAACGGTACGATCACATTGAAACATGGGATGGAGAATATCAAGAGATAAACGTATCAACTCAAGGATACAGCACTACGGCTTTAAGATAATCTTTAGAAATGTGAGAGGTGGGAGAATGAATCTGCACCTGGAATTTACTAGAGGTAGTCAAGATTATATTATATAATTGAGGAACTGTATGAATCAATTAGGTGGAAAGTAAGTCAAGTTTTGAGCCTCATCTCAAAATGATAGTCCCCTACGAAGAACGTTAGTTCGCATTGATTTCATATTTCGAAATGCGTTTCCCAGGAACACTCTGTACTTTTCGTCGCCAAATATCTCGACCATGCTCGAAATGATCTTTGCCGTGATTGTTCCAAAACTCCCTCAGCTCCGTACCTCCTTTTGTGTAAGACTAGCATCAAATAGATACGTGTAGGATATAATAGATTAATTTCTACCAGTCAGTTGCAAAATGCAACCGGGGACCTAATAGTCAGATTAATCGTTAGCCAAGTGAGACATCTCCTTCATCCCTAGATAGTAATATCAAATCGAGTTATAGGCAAGAGAACGAGGCTATAACGGTGCCAAAAATCATTTTTCTGCTATCTCGCATAGTCTATCATTTCAATCATCATCTAGTCTCGTGGATGCCGAGGCCAGTTTCTATTACTGTTTCTGTTCCAGCAACGCAGGCGCTGTGATAGTCGTTCCTTTCAGTTCCTCGAGTCCTTCTCCTCCCTATCATGCCGTTAGTGACTGACTTTGACATCGAACGGAAAATGGTGGACTCACGTAGCTATACAACGGGGAGACCTCAACGCCTTCGCCTTTGCCGGCACTAACGACGGTGGCACCAGCGGCTTGCACCCAGCGGGCCCCCTGATCCATAATATCTCTCCTGCTCGTTTCCGGATTATCCTCGCCCTTAACATTCGGATCCGTGGGCATCCCGTTCTTCAATGGCGAGAATTCGTCTTCACGCTTGACTTCCAGGCAGCCGAACTTCTCGAGTTCCAACATGCAGAAAACATCGAACACAAACTGTTCGAGCTTGATGCCATTGGACTTCTCAGGCTTGATGGTATTTCCCGTCTCTAGGTCCACATATGGGATCTTCTTGCGCGCCACGTGGTGAGGCAAAGTATTCGCCCATTGAGGGATGGTTTCCAGGAATCTGCGGGAGTAGTAATGGTTGACAATATTCGCCGCCCGGAACTTCAGTACATTTGGTTGCTTTGGGTCTGTGGCGTTTGCGGTCTTTTCGTCAATCTCGGAGTATTCCACAACATCGGGTTTCCCATTCTTGAGCAAAATGAGACCAACAGGCTCAGTAGCACTCCGTTTGCGAACGACCTTCGTTGCGATATCGACATCCTTCGAAGCCCCAAAACCGATGAAGGTCGGGTCTGCGACTTTGACAAGGCAATTATCCACACAGTATGCGTGAATATGCTGAATACCACGCTCCTTCATATCATCCAGCACATGTGCGTGAAGAGCTGAGTAGATGCCTCCATTCCCATCCGGAGCAACTGCCACCTTTCCCTTGCTCTCTAACAAAATCTTGCCATCATTCGAAATACAAGGAAGGACACCTTGTTCGAAGATCTTCACATCCTCCTTCTCCAGCCCAAAATATTTATTATCCTGGAAGAACTTCTCCGTTGGTCCCCTCGTCGGGCCACTGGTCATGACATACCAGGGAACCACGACCTTCTTATCAGCTCCGTGGCCGGCCTTCTTACGCGCCAATTGCTGCAATTTTCGGATTCTCTCCGCCTGGATCTGGAAGAGGGGCTTTTTGGAAGGCAAGCCAATGTCATAGCAGCCTTTGGGGTCAGAGCTTCCCAGCCGAGTCCCTTGTCCTCCAGCCATAAGCACCACGCCCACTTTGTTATCTGCAATCAAATCCAAGCCCAGTTGATACCACTTCTCGATGTCTTGGGGGTTCGAATCGAGGATACTCGCCGTGGCGGACTCGGGGAGTGGCTCGACGCCTGTTTCTTTGTCTGCATCTTGGCTCTGGGCGGGGTTGAGGGCTTTATCTGTGATCTGGTTGATATATTCTGGGTCGAACGAGGCCAATTGTTGGTAGAGGGCAGCCTTCTCTGCGGCAGCGAGAGTATCGTAGAACGCGAAGACTTGTTCTTGTTTGGCTTTAGTGTATTTGTCTTTCAGCTCCTGGAGCTGGGTCTCAGTTGGCCCTTGCGGGGCACTGGCCCCGCCAATGTTCAAGACTTTCTTAGCGGTCTCCATGATGTAACGATCGTTGAGGGGTTCAGGATTGAAAAGAGAAAGCGAATGAGAACGGGAATGGGAATGGGAATAGGAATAGGAATAGGAACGAGGGGCTTTTGGGAGGTTAAATGGAAGGGAATTGGTTTGCAGCGTGGTACGGAGGTTGTCAGATGTAAACAGAGCTCAGCCCCGCCAAAAGCAAGCTGTACGAATAGTGAGACACGAAGCCACGCAGCCACCCGAGCTACTGCGATAGTACGTAGGTAGTGCTGTACGAGGTATTGCCTCTCCCCCTTTTCCCGAGAAGCCTGAATTACGCCTGATTGGCGCTGGTTTCGGGAGCTGTCGGTAGTTGGAGCATGGAAATCAGGGCCAGTGGAGATCTCTCCTTTAGGCACGCTCTTCCGCTGGAACGCCTGCAGGCTTTTGGTGCACAGTTTAAACGGAAAGGATCTGGATTCTTAACCAAATCGACGACTTGGAACTTCAGCCCGAGTTGTGGGTTTGTGTCCGAGCGATGTACGAGTAGACGTTTACACTGCCTATAATAGGGAGAAGATGACCCGATCCGATCCACTGTCTACGCCGATTTGTTCTATAAGACATCTAGCTGTCGCCACTACTGAACCTTAGCATCCCCACCACACAAGGCTCCCCAGGCTGGACTGTTTTTATTAATAACTCCATATACCATCAGCCATGTCAGACAACGTGGAAGAAGAGGTCAAGCACCAGGAAATCTCCGCAGATGAACGTCCAGTTCCAGCTCCGGCAAGTTTCGCGGGCAGGTTGAATCTTGCGAGCTACGCATTTGTCCCCGAGTCCAGCACTCAAGACAAGGCAACAAGATCGCCAGTTCGACGAAGTCCTCGCAATACCCCCTCAGTATCTTCGTCATCCTCGCCATCTCCATCAAAAAGATCATTGAAGCGCGAAGCCAGCGACTCAACCCTCTTAAGACCCTCCGTCTCACCCAAGAAACGCTCCCGCTCAGCCCCCTCAGGCTATGCACACCCTTCAACATACTCACATCTGGCGCCCCTCACCGATATCCTCGCTCCAAACTTAATCCTAATATTCGTTGGACTCAACCCGGGCGTTATGACCTCCTCAAAGGGGCACGCATACGCACACCCCTCGAACCTCTTCTGGAAGCTCCTCCACAGCTCGGGAATCACCTCCCGCCGTCTACTTCCTTCGGAAGATGTAACTCTACCCGAAAAATGGAGTTGTGGGAATACGAATATTGTGTCGAGGCCGACGAGGAATGGGTCGGAGTTGAGTAAGAGCGAGATGGATGAGGGGGTTAGTGTGCTGGAGGAAAAAGTCAGGAAGTCTAGGCCTGAGGCGGTGGTTGTGGTGGGGAAGAGTATTTGGGAGAGTCTATTTAGAGTACGTAACGGGAGAGGACTGAAGAAGGGTGAGTTTGAGTATGGCTGGCAGGATGGGGAGATGATGGGTGTCGCCGCCGAGGGGGATGATGTTGGCCAGGTAAATGGAAGTGGTGAGGAGGATGCTAATGACGGCCCTTGGGAGGGAGCGAGAATATTTGTTGCCAGTAGCACGAGTGGATTGGCTGCAACTCTATCACCAGCTGAGAAAGAGAGAATCTGGGGTGAATTGGGGTCTTGGGTTCAGCAGAGGAGGGCCGAGAGGCTTGCTGCTGCCGTAGAGTGAACATTGCCATTCTGGATGTATCCTGTGAATGTTTCTGAAATATCTCGTATTTTCTCGCCCGTAGCAATTATATGCTCTCTTCTGGAAGATGATATGCCATATATGGTAGACAGGGCTCTTGCTAATAGATATATCCGCGAGCGGTCGATCATTTTCAACTTCAATATGCATATACGAGTAGCGTCGAAAATATCCCGAGGGGTAGAGAGGTGCAGGCGTCATAGTGGCGACTTATCAGTAGGGCTTGTACATAATCTAGACATATCAGTGGTAATTGCTCCGTATTTATTGCCCAACAGGATTTATTTCCAATGGAAACGCCAGCCGCTACATTGGTTCTTATCGGGCAATGAAGTGGGTAGGAAGCAATCTTCACAGTAAGATGGGAAATAGCCTATCAGGAAAATCACTGGAAAGGGAGATTCCTAATATGTCAAGTGGATCACGGATAAAACAATCTTGGACATGATCATAAGTGGAGAAAAACGAGCCTTCTATTAAGAAAGGATGCATCCATGCACGGTTTACAAGGCTATGGAAACAAGCCTCCTAGAAATCCCATCGATTAAAGCAAATGATACCTATGCACTCTGCAACTAAACACAATGCCAAATGTTCATGCCCCATCCATGCACCGTCTAATTCCTGTCCAATCTTCTCCGCAAATTCCTCGTACGTCGCATAAGCTTCTTATATTTATGCTTCTTCATCTTCAACTTCCTCTGCCTCTTCACGCTGATCGCAAACATGCCATCAAATTCCACCGCCCGCTGTATCCGGTGTCGTTCTTGTCGCGCTTGCATCCGCTCCAAGAAGCGCGTACTCGTTGGCTGATCTCCGGCTACTAAGGGGGAGCTATGTGCTTGATATGTGACGTCTCCATTCTCATCGGTGGATTCCTCGATAGTGAGGACCGTGGTGTAGGTTCGATGTTGGGATTCATGGGGCTCGGCAGCTGATTCGGCTCCTGCTGCCAAGGATTCCGGTGTGTTCATCGGGGCGGGTGGTGGAGGAGGGTTGAAAGGTTGGTATCTGCCGGACAGGATATGGCGAGGGAAATTCATGGCAGAGTCCTCGGGCGCAGCATCAAGATGTTGCACCTCTGCCTTTCGGTAAGATTCCGCTGTTATGGCAGCCCGTAATTCGTCTGTCTCCTCGTTCCATTGCTCCTGCTGGGCCCCGAGCTTGAGGTTCTTCATATTCCCTGAGACAGTATCCAGGCTGTCCAGTGTTCGTGATAGGGTAGATATCACTTCCGACGGCTTGGGATTTGGCTTCGCACGCTGTGTAAATATAGCTGCAAAAGCATCTTCCGTCACGGCCTTCGGGAAATTGTTGGTTATAGAGATCGGGCGGTGGAGGGAGAAGAAATCGGAGGCAGCAAGTTCTGGAACACGTCAGTTCACTCGTAGTAACCACATGGTTTGGCGGAACGTACGGTTTGGAGCGATGTGTTGAGTGCTAGGCACACTGGGGAGGTTGTGCAAGGCTTCTTCTTTGCCCTTCGCGCCTACAGCGCCGTCCCGCGTCTTCTTCCTGCTCGATCTTGAACCCTTCTTTCCGCCATCTGGCCGTGCTTGGGCGGGTGCTGCAGGTACAGCTCGGCCATCTGCTACGCCATTCGAGCCATCGGCTGGGCTGGGAGGTTTGGAGGACGAGTACCGTCGTTGGTGATTACGGTAGGATAGTATTTGGGAGGCGGCTGCTCGCGGCGCCGAACTCAGGGCAGTAGGTATTGAGGGGGCTGTTGAGGCCACCCTCCAAACCGACGATGAGAACATGTCTGCCCCAACTATGCAACACAGGCTGAGGGTGTGTTGTAGGTTTGCAACGGGTGATGTCGGCGATGTTCTGGTTGTTAGTCTTTAATGGCGCAAAAGCGGAATGAGATGGCTGCTGACTAAGATTGGCCACTAACAGCAGACGTGTGGCGGATCACGTGTCTCTATAACCCGTCGCCATATTTCGTTGACCGCATTACTATTGAATGTGGCAAATGTCTTCGATAAGCTGCCTTGTTATACGAAGCTGTTTCAACGGCTCTGCCACTGATCATGATACAATTTCCCACGATATTTACACCACTCTATGTTGCGATTCCTACGACCAAATCGCCGCTGATTACGGGAAGAAAACGCGTACTAGCAAGAAACAAGAGAAGGAAGGAGAAACAGAAGCAGCAGATACCGAAGATGTTTTAGAAGCGAGCACGGGTCAATGGGTGCAAAATGGAATAGCAACTCCACAGTCTAGGCGTGGAATTCTATCCTCCCCAGGATTAAGACCTCAACGGTGGTATCTCTAAATGCAAGTGTATCGCATCAGCACCTAGACACTGCGTAGAAAGATAATTTTACATGGCCGGGAGAGGATACTGATAACAGGATATACCCTTGTAGTTCGTTGTCATCCCGAACCTTCGCTGAACTTAATTAGCTTTTTAAACACCTCTCAGGCGATTACTTAAAAAGAATAGTGTTTGCAGATATCTCCCTCGTTTAGCAGCTGAGGCGCTGGAAATTGCCTATGAATCGTGAAAACAAAACCGGCATATTGATGATATTGACTATCACTGTTATCATCTTCAATACAAGGGGCCGATTATCCAGCTAACAAGTGTAGTTGGATAAAGCCCCCTGCCCAGAACTGTTACTCCATGCAAACGCTCCTCATTCCTGCCACCTTTCGTCCTTCAGCAATCCTTTGCCCCGGTTCATTGATTATCAACTACTCTCATGCATCCCCAAATATATCTTCAGTTGGCACCTGCTCACTGGGCCACAATTGCATGTAGAGCTTTTTCGCCGCGACCCAAGTATCCAGATCACTATCAAATTCCCCATCAGAGCTACGCATTCGTCAGCCCATGTACCAAGGTCAAATCATGAAGAAACGAACTTAACCCGAAAGCCATTGCCGGCCAACATCTTCGCTCTCATTAGGACCGTCGCAACGACAAGATCATACGGTTTCCTGGCGGTCTTGCAGAACGCGAATCCCATGCTACCAGGCCCAGCCGGCAATAGCACAAAAGGCTCGTGGTCGCAGGTGCCGTTGAGCTTTATTCCTTCTTCAATAGTGGCGTGGTCACGGTGGTATTCGTCCTGGCGGAGTTCAACGTTGGCATGCCCGATGACTTGGTTGGCGTCCGAGATTAGGCGTGGCCAGATTTGAGCCCAGACAGCTTGGTCTTTGACCTCCCAGTAGTGTGTGTAACTAGGATCGTGGTGTTAGCGCTTTGTTAGGGAGAAGATTATGGGTTTCTATTACCCCATGGTTTTAAGATAGGTGAGGTGCGCGAATGAGTGTACGAAATTGGTGGTGGTGGAAGTTAGAAGTTGGAAGTTGGGGTTTAGGAGTTTGGGAGTTGGGAGTTGGGAGTTGGTACGGTTCAAGAAGACGAAGGTTTTATATGGAGGGCAGTCTCACAGGGGGGGGGGGAGGGGGAGGACTGTAGGCCAATTGTGAAGTGGAAGGAACGATGCGATTGAGCTGCTACGAGGAGCTTCAAACGGAAGGTTCACCCGCAAGTAGGCATTCTGCTGGCCGCCTGCCTGCCTATGAGTAGCGGTAAAGAGAGGAAGGAGTGCAGAAAGGCTGAACACTTGTAGCAGGATTGAGCAAGATAGACCATTGTATAGGCCACGAAAGAATGGCATGTTTCAAGCTGGGACCAGACGCCTGAGTCACAGCGGCAGCAACCCGTGTTGGGATGACAAGGCAACCAAACATGTAGCGCAATGCAAGAACGCCCAAGTGACGGCAAAAATATCGAGAACACAGGCCATCTCCGCAATAGGAAAGGACGAATTATTATATTTAACGCGTGTAATTGGTATATTATAGGACATCCTGACTTAGCAAGACGAGTTCGGCTTCTCATAGGTCCAAAGTTGCTTCTTAGGCAGATGATGTATAGGAATGGGGTGCTATGCCATCATATGATCACACAAACGTATTTAACAATATTCCGATTTTATTTTTGCAACTATTGGTACAATTCTACTTTACATCTTTGGGAGAACTATTGACAGACCATGAAGGTGTATCGTCTCCTTTGTTTTGCAAACGACCCTTTCATATCCCTTCCGTACTCCCCAGCTATATCCGAATCATAGTGTCGGTCTTATAGCAAATCCTAGGCCATCGTTGCAACATGAAACATCTCTGAAAACACTGACGAAAGGAAAATAGCTACCATAAAAATACTAATATGAGTCTTTGAGTCTTTGAGTGCAGGTGACAGTACGACCAACTAAGCCCCACCACCATGCGGATGCAACTTGGCGAACCATATGACAAGGAAAACGATAAGTCCAACAACAAGTACCATGACCCAAGCATACATCAGCAAACGTGCCAACCTCTTGTATTTCATTCCGAAATCTGAACATTGTCCCTTAGTCCACCAGCTCATGATCCCGTCAAGTGCACCAATTGTGTACAAGATGAGCATTGGTGGGAAAGCCGCACAAAGACACAGGACTGTGATTGAGATACTCTTTTTCTTGTGGATAAGTTCAGTCTGAGCAGACGGGTGACGAGAGAACATCGAAAGCCGAGGGGCCTCCATCAATTGTTTGTATGATCCACTAATCCCTCTAGCCATTGTTGATCTTGTCGAAAGGCGGCCGTGCGAATAGTAGATACCATCAGCCCTTGCATCGGCTTGGAATCGCATCAATTCAGATGGGCTGTAGAGTATGGCCCAACTGTTTCGTTTGGGGGGTGCGATAGGAGTTCGGTAACGAAAGCCATCCCCGATGTAACTATTGGGGTCAGGAGTTGCCTGGTCAATTGATGTCAAAGGACGGCGATCATTTAGAAGAGATATCGGCCAGAGGGCATCTGTTGGGAGACGCTTGGTGCTACCAGAGACCGGACGGTCTCGCTGGTTGCCCCAGCTGGTTTTGTTCCGACCAGATACTGCACGCAATCCTCGGTATAAAGCTCCAGGAGGGCGCTTAGCAAATGGTATGCGGCTTTGAGGTTGGTCCGGATTTCCTTTACCCCCATGTAGGTCTACTTCGACAAAACCGTCATTCTCGTTTCTCATGTGCCATTCCTGGATTTTGGCATCATGGTCCATGGAAAGTGCGGCACTATGGTTGCTTCTATGAAATTGTGCAGAGTCGTTGCTATTGGTAATCACACCTCTAGATGCGGCTTGGTTTCCTATCATACTAGCTCTTGAGATCTGGTCTGGCCGATGGTTGATCATCGGGCCAGGCTCGCCATCGTCTGTCATACTGGCTCCAGAGAACTGGTCTGACCGATGAGTGGCCATTGGGCCAGGCTCGCCGATGTCTGTCCATCCGGAGGCTTGGGACAAGCGTCGGGAAGAAACAAACTCCTCTCTCATGCGTTGTGCTCGTTGATCAGTAATATCGCGCTCTTGATATTGATGGAATGTTTGAAGAGCGGGTGGGGGATAATTGGCACGCCGATAACGTTGAGGCTTGACATTTAGCATAACATTCGGAGGAGATTGGAAAGGATTCCTGTGAGACTGCTCTAGCGGTGGAGGTGGCATATAGTGCTGATCCAGAGGTGGGCAAGCTCTCATCGAATTTGCAAGATATCCATTAACTTTGTGCTCCCTAGGAACCGCTGCGAAGACCGGTGTGCGGGTCTCATTAAGATCCTTCTGCCGATAGTCGCTGAAATACTGAATGTTGGCAGGATGTTGTACAATCCTATCTGTAGAACTATACGGCCCATCTTCCAGAAAGTGCGAGCTGCCGACATCGTCATCCGAGACGTCTGCAATACTGCTTCCAGTTCGGCGGACACTGCCTCCAATAAAGTCGGATTCGTATGGTCTACCGAATATACTCTCGCCAACAGTCTCCCAGTCGTTCTGGTCATCGCCCGCAGTTGGGTGGTCGCCGTGCTCGGGTCGCCTACCAATGGTATCAAGAGGTCCAGAAGGTCCAGAAGGTCCAGAAGGTCCAGAAGGTCCAGGAGGTCCAGAAGGTCCAGGAGGTCCAGAAGGTCCAGATGGCCCAGATGGCCCAGGAGATCCAGAAGGTCCAGAGGATCCAGGGGATCCAGAAATGGAGGCGTGGAAAGATCTATGGCGACGGATAGGCACGCGGACAATATTTGGTTTATGGCTCGCAACCCAGTTCGAAGAAATAGCCTCCTGGTCATAAAAAGATTGCACTTGTGGTAGACCACCAGAGTCAAATCCGGGGGTATCCTCAATACTGCGTCTCATGACAGATCCATAGTACTGATAAACAGAGTCTTCACCTGAGAAGTTCTCATCTTCATCAAGCGTCGTGGTAAAGATACTTCCATTACCATAAGCGCTGTAGCCACTTGCTCGTCTCAATGCCATGCTTATTTCCCGCTCTAGCGACGATCCCTGCTCGGCAATGATTCTGTGTCTCTCTTGCTGGTCGTATGCAACCTCATCTTCACGAGATACAGCCATGTTCGGATTTGAGCGAAAGGGATTATTGGAGTTCAACCCGCCCATCTCTGCCTGAGCAGGCTGCTTAGCTCCCGATGTCATTCCATCCATCACGAGATTGCCAACACTATCTAGATAACTAGATTGGGGTTTGTCTTGGACCGACTTTGATGATTCGGTTAGATCAAGAAGATTGCGGGTATCCCCATAAGACGATGAGTAACCAAATCCCTGAGACGTGCCCAGAGCATCATGTTTGATCGCAGGATGGATATTAGGCTGTAGAGGCAATGCAAAGTTCGGAGGGGCCCCATTCGGATTTGTACCCAAGTTGTCTTCGTTGCAATAATTATGAAGCTCTCGCTGTTGGTTCTGTGCCGAGCTGCGTGGAAAGTCATGGAATGATCCGAGTTGGTTCAGGTCACCCCTTGAAATTTGAGCGATATCTATGTCAGATATGTCGCTGACATCTGCCTCGTCGAGATCACCAATTTCGCCGGAATACCTAGATTCTTTGTACAGATTTCCAACGGTGCTTCCCTCAAGTACAAATGACGTATTAGGCAGTCCACTTCCAGTGGCCAACGATTGACAGGCCTGCACCTGGCTGTGACTGGAACCAGGCTGAGTAACGCCGGGTGGAGTATCGCTATAGGAGAACCGAGACCTAACGACTTCTGCATCAGTGCGACGATTAAGATCAAAGCCATCCTGAATTCCCTGTGGCAGCGACCTATCCAGATCATCCTTAGCATTGGGCGCAAATGTTGAGAGGTCGTCTGCCGTGGAGAAGCTGATTAAACTCGCATCCTTGTCATTCTCAGCTTGGACGTCTGGTATAGCATCTCGTAGAATTGCAGTGCCGGGTTGACATTGAGAAACGCGTTTCTCAACATGCAGGGATCCGCGACGTGATTTGTTCTCGATAGCCTCATTATTCTCGGTCTTGTCGTGAGAGGGTACGTGAACATTGGAAGGACGATTCGTCGGGGAAGAGGCAGATTTGAGGGTGTTTCTGACCTCTGCCACTGCCTCGCCTCTCTGGCCCGGGTCCCTTGGTTGAAGCTGAGGCAGCAGGGTAGCCGGCGGTTCAGCAAAAGCGATAGTTCCCTTAGGAATCAAATAGGGGTCCTGGTTGCTGTCATGACGGCTATCGGGAAGGGCAGCTCGGGGAGGGGGGGACGGAAGGCTGAGGAACGATGAATCGCTCTGGTGATCCAAAGGTACAAGCTCTTGTAGGGCAATCGAATCTTCATCCGCTTTGCCTTTAGACGCGTCGTTCCTGTGTTTCCGATAGACGGGTGATCGAGCAGAACCAGACGTGATCAAGTTGTGAGCAGTCGTCAGATCGTCAAACACCGCGCGAATAGGAGTCTTTTTGCGTACAGCAAGAGGGCGCTCAACTTCAGGTGACGGTAATTGAGTGCATGCGTCGCCGGACCGGCGTTCAGAGGATATAGAAAGGTCATCTAAGGCTGTGCCGAGCGACAATCCAGATTCAGAGCGTGGTAGCTCAGCTTCACTATGGCAGACAGAAGGCTTTGAAGCCCTACTATCGCCATAGGTGGCAGAGGATGGTTGTGAATTCATAGCGAAGCCATCTGAATCCTTATTCCTCAGATCGCTATTGCAGTAAGCAGATTGCCCGGTCACACTTAGACTGAGGATAGCTTACTATACGCGTACTCTGAGTACTCTCCTCTTTGTAAAGAGTGCGGACACTTTGCACAAGTCAAGACAGCAATGTGTGTGGTGACTTGCAGTCGGAGCAATTGGTGAGCTAGGGTCGGTTAGAGTGAAACACAAAGTGAGGATCAAAGTTGAGGTCAGAACAGGAAGCTCACCAAGCCAACACGTTAATCAAGCTGTATACCTGTCAAGATGTAGAGCTACGCGAATAAAGGTGTGCAGCTATACGGGCAGCTCAGCAATCCACTGTCAAGTCAGGCTTTGAAGTGGTTGATGTTGGAGATCTGCGGGGCCTATAGACAAGAAGGTGGAAGGGAGGAAGGTTACTCGTCCTGTAGATCTTTTTCAGGGCGTGGGACGTATCTCGCTAAGCCGAACTTCAATTGTTAGGTGAATTGGATCTGAGCAAGCCCTAGGAGGATGATAATCCCTCGAGAAGCGAAGGGTGACCTCCAACAAAGTGAGAAGGTTCTTGTGTTGTCGATATTGACCTTTGCACGTGATCAAACTTGTGTGTGTTGTGTACTTCCTATTTCGTTCTGTTCTGCCTCGCTCCCATGCCGCTCTATTTCAACTATGTATGGCTAGCCTACGCTACCATCCGTTCATCTAGAATGGGGGTTTCTTCTTTAGGTGCGGCTTGATAATACGCTTTACCCTCGCTTTTAATCTGCCAGCCTTCGGCACTGCTTCTTGCTTCAGATGGCAAAGTAGCACGAAGGGTTTTAAAAAGTTCTCCGTAAATATATGCTCTCCACACAGTGCTCCAGTAGCACAGTGCATGGCTCCGTATATGATTCTGCTTGTAGCTGCGAATGCCAATGCCAATTCAGGAACGGAGTATAGAGAGAAAATAAGGCCAGATATAACTGACAGCATTGACTTCTGTCTAGGAATGTATCACTATATATTCCTTGATGCCCCGACACATGAGGCGTGCCAATGCACTTGCAACTAAAACCCTTCTTGTCCTGACCCCTGTAGAAATATAAAAATTTCTTGAAGACTCTTCAAGCCAGCAGACATTAACAGGGAGAGCAAATGACTTCAGAATCCAAAGCACGATATGGCTAACAAAGACCAGGTGCAGTGCTCGCGGATCCTCCCTTTCCTCTTATCAGGCATATCGCCGTTGGCGGTAGGAAATACTTTTTCTGGTGAATGCAGCATTGTGTAATCGAAGGCGTCCCATTGTTCTCGCCACGAATACGAGAAAGCAGTGACGATGATGCCAGGGAACTGGTGCCAAACTTTAGCAGCAAGTCACAGGTTTAAATCCTGCGCGGCTTATGAATCATCATCGTGTCATTATTGATGTTGATGTTGATTCTCAGGATGCTCAGCCGCACCTATACACTCGTACAGGTTTCTAGCCACCATATCAGGTTAACCGGCTGGCATCCACATAACAAAGCAGTCTATGCGATGAACAAAGAATTGTCAGAATTTAACAACTGTCTGGCGGGAATATAAAACTTTCTTCTCTATGGTCGTCGTCGTTGTCGAACGTCATGTACGAGTACTCGTAATCATGTCGCTTGCTAGTGGGTTTGCAGGGTGCGCCCTGACATGAAGCGCCCAGCCACTGTTGTTCAGCTATCATACAAGGCTGCTGCGTCCACATTCCTTATCGATTGGTACTCAACAACAACACCACAACGCAATCAATATGGACGCCCTGCCCACCGAAATTATATTCCATATAATTCGCTGTAAGCCCCATCTTTTCCAGCTTCCTTAGAAAGTCAATTCGAATGCCAATGAGTTCTACACTAACAACTATCGCTATCAGTTCTTGATCCCCATGAAATCGTTACTCTTCAGCTCGTCTGCAAGAGGTTTCTTCTCCTCGGGCGAGATGACACCTTGTGGCGGGAGCTGTGCTTCATCGAATCATCATTTCTCGACCGCTACCGCCGCCGGGAACTACTTGTAGCCGAATCCATCCAAGAACCACTGCTGAGTGACCTTACGCGGGCTTTAGCAAATGGAAATGGATATGGATACGGCCTGGGTGACTCCAGGCTCGGCGGGTCTCAAGCAGAGTCTCGAGATCGCAAGGCAAATTTAGATGAAAGAAACCGCATATTGGCCAACTGGGACCCAAGCTACCCCGACGAGAAAGCCATCTGGTACGATGAATACATTGCTCGAAATGGACCTATTTCCACAAGCTGGTTGGAGCAACCTCGCAATCGCGAGAGCCCCCAACATGAATACCTCGACGTCCGTGGCATGGGGCTTTACACAGGATCAGGGGATACTGATTCAAGCTTGGTCGTGGCACCGTTGGATGACGGTAGCGTATGCATATGGGATATTACAGGCAGTAGCGGTCGAAAAGGAAGTATCATTGCCAGAAGCAAACCTGGGATCTTGTGTCATAATGTTGCCCCTCCTAGTGGATCTGGCAAATGCTCAAAAGTAATCAGCACAGGCATCACTGATTGTGTCAGCGTGGATAATGGCCGCAAGGTGGCCTACATCGCAGTTGAAGATGGTACGTCAGCATTTTATTCCTAAATTTTCTACTCAAAAGGAGGTATCCTTTATCAACGGCATGCTTTTTGCAGTAGTTAAGAGATTTTCTTTGGCTGCGAGTTACGGCTCGACTATCCTGCAACATCCAGCGAACATTCCCACGCTTTGATCCTATCACCGATGTATAAAATCTCCATTGTGCATTCAACCATTCGGGGGGGCATTGAACCCAATGCTCGCGAATACCACCAGTGTCCTATGGACGTCGTGTCCGAATTAGCCCATTTGCGTCCTTCCGCTTGTTGTGTTAATACGGTATCCGTCCTTCGTTACTAATTTTTGATAGGCCTAGTGGAGGTTGATCTCCAAACACTGACTACTGTTAGCCATAATAAATCCCCGTTCCCGATTACAGCTCTCTCCGAAGCCAAATATCCTGTGCCACTCACGGTCGGGACTAATCGGTCACTATATCTTCACGACCCTCGTACGAGGATATCGGGTAAGTCGTCGGCTGAGTCTGAGTCCGTTGAATACTATGATACCAGCTTTGCGTTCCCCCGAAGCCCAAGGCCGCTCCATTTTCGAAATTCTCTCAGCTCAGAACGGAATCCCCCACATACAAATGTGCATCATCCGGGCCCTGTGAGTATTTTGCATCTGCCGAGCTCTGGAACCGAATGGGATGAAAATGGAAACATCTACGTTGCCGGGCGCTTTCCTAGTATTCTGAACTATGATCGAAGATATATGTCAAGGCTGCGTGGCACCATCCATTCTGGCGCCCGGCTATGCAGCATGGCATCCCTTCCTTATCCGTTCTCGTTGATGGAAAAGGATTTAGCAAAGGACGGTGAACTTTCAGTTGAGCAAGTATGGGAAGCCAAAACCAGGCCAGGAAAGACATTGATCGCCTGTGGTGAATACAACAGCAAAGGCTCATTGGAGATGTACGGTTTGTCATCAAAACCTTTCCTCGCCAATACCCCTTCCGAACCGGCGGCTGGCGGTCTGCAGAATTCTGTGATGAAGAATCGTCAGACATCTTCTAGTTCCAAACTACTTTCTGTCTGTAACCATGGAACACGTATTGTGGTGTCTGACGGGAGCGGCAATCTCAAGTGGCTTGAGCGGGATGGCTTCACGGAGGTCCGTAGGTGGAGCATCGCTCACGGATCAGTTGAGGCTCCCCAAGTAATGTTTGGAAGTACTGGGCATTACCACTCAGAGCCGGGCTCAGGCGATATTGCCATTAAGCTCGCCGACACTCACACAGGGCGTGATGAGCGGCCTGTAAATGGAGGTGACTTGGTCGTGTGGACCGGCGAGAAGATAGGGCTACTCAGCTTCTCTAGCAAATCAGGCTTTACGGCTGAGAGCTTCGAAGCAAAAGGGCACCAAACTGCGGAAGAGGCTCGCAAGAAGAGCGAAGAGCGGGCTTACTCCCAGACAATGCGTCTGGCATTACAGGCCAACGCCAATGAAGTCAGATTTATGAGGGATTTAGGGTTTTGTCCCCACGGAAGAAGACACGCATGAAAGAGTGGGAGCAATTCTTTTTTCTTTTCTTTTTTGCCGGGAACCCCACGACGGTGACTCTTGGACACGCCCTGTACAACCTTCGTCCTTATAGCTTCAAGTTCAACTGACCGGGCAATCAACCAGAGGGAGGGCAAGGCTTGGATTTACATGTATATTCCCAGATCCAGACCCCGGGTGTCGATTCGATTTTTTGCATGCAATGTCATCCCCGGAGACTGACGCCGCCTCGCTGCCGAGGGATTAGTTCATCCATTGAATTGATTCAAGGCGGACTCGACGATGAGGGAGCAGCGGACTTCGTTATAACCGGTGTCTGCTCTGTTGCAACTGGTACCAGGGACTTCCCAGGGCCCAGCAAGTTACGGTCCGATACTACTCTGAAGCAGTGTAGTGACCAGCATCAGTCATCAGCGCCCTACGAAGGATCCCCCGCTGGCGATCTGGACGGTTCTGGGGGCCGTGTCTTTGAATCTGTTCTCAGCTCTCTGTCTGGAGGACACGTTCCGGGCACGTTCCTGTGTGGAGTGGAGCAGCGGAGAGACGAGGACGACCAACAGCGCGAACGGACTGGGAGGGCGCATTTCGTGAGCAAGTACTGACTGTACATGTACATCGGACTTCGTAAGGGCCCTTATCGTCATGTTCGTCTGAAATGTATCTCTGTAGAGGCCCATACAGTTACCGTAGGGACGTAGGGCAGTCCCTACCTAGTATATGGTATATGTACTGTATCCAACACGCCAGCGCTGGATGCCAATCAAATATGCGAGGCGACGGGATTTTAAGGTTGTTTTGCCTTGTTTGCCTCACCGCTCCCTACCGCTAGACGCCGTCCTTCCGCCACCGAATGCGTTCCCACCATCCGCATCGCGTTCTCCCTCCAGGCACGCACCGAAAACGACCTACGTACATGTACAGACCGCACTGCCATACGATGGACGCAGTTACGCAGTGCTACGCTCGATGCACCCTCAGCACATAGATCAATATTTGGCACCATCTGACGGTCTGACAGCTCACCCGGCCGCAGTTGGAAACGAAAGCGCGTGTCAGCCCTTCGGTCGCTATCATGCGGGCCTTCTCACCTGTCTTCGCCCACGCCCGTCAAGCGGCGTTGGAGACCTCGTTGAGAGGTTGTCGAAGGCGCGAAAGGTGGCAATGGCATATAATGACGGGGTCCACGCCTTGAGGTCAGCCTCGAGCTTTATAGACGTCCAACGGTCGGGGAATCCACAGGCAGAGGCAAAGTCATAGATATTGGGGATTGGGGCAGCCGTGCATGTCTTTTCCCGCTGTTTGCAGAGTTTGGATCTCGTCTCGTTCCGTGCATTCGTTTGTCAGCCTCACTTTTATGAACGCATCTGGTCTTTCTTCCAAGGAAATCAAATATGTACCCCATCGTCCCGTTTTCCCATGACAGCATTCGCCAGGATCATATGTGCCGTTGATTTCTCGACTTGTCCGTCCCTTCTATTTAGTCCTGGCTACTTTTGCGATGGGGAGCGTAAACTCGGACAGGAGTTGTTCAAACCCCACAGGTTCCACAACTCATCGTTCCCACCGACCTCACGATTCGCGCCCTCGGAGACCGAAAAGGGCCTCTTCTCGGTCCCCGATTGCATCTCACTCTTCACCATCATGTCGATACAGGCGGCCGGTACCGAGGCAGCTTCTCACACCTGTGGCGACACCGAGAAATTCGACGGCCGCTCTCCCCCTGGCAGTTGAGCATGGCCGAGGCATTACCATGGAGCGTACCCCTTCAGGGAATTCCATCTTGTCAGACACGCCGTACGAGCAACGGCTCAACGATACGTTGGCCCTCAGCGATGCGCAGGCAGCGCGGATGGTAGAAGATCACTTCGCACAAGTTCACTCGGCACAAAAGCCCGAGCGAGCGAGGTTGCAGCAGCTACTTAATAGCGGGGGTGATGATGATGAGTTTCTGAGCCATGTCTTGGAAACTTCTAATTACGTTTTCTTCGACGGCGCCCTTACTTTGAGGGTGACGTGGGAGTGGTCATCGCAGGAGCGCTATCAGACCGAACTTATCGGCACGACGGCTCTCCGGCGGTGCCTCAACGGCAACGGATATGAGACATTAATCGTGCTCTCAGAGCCCATATTAAAATCGGCGGAGTACGATCGACGCCTACTTCTTTACACTTTTCTCCACGAACTCGTACACTGCTATCTATTCATCCGCTGTGGATTTGAGGCCAGGATAGACGGTGGCCATACAGAGGGGTTCCACACCATTGCCAGGCTTATTGATGACTGGGTCGGCGGCGGGTATCTCAGTCTTTGTAATGAGAAGGCGAACTTGAACTTGTTCCGGAGAGACCGCAAGCTGCGGCCCGTTGATCAAGTGCTAGATGTATATAGAGATGATCGACCGCATCGATATCACGACCATTATCATAGACCTAGGCCAACAAGGAATTATAGGGAGGTGGTTGGAGTTGGGTATGATGATGTTTGAGCGTGTATGTAGCGAATTGTTTATTGGGAGTTGGATAGCATATGTCATTTGTTTGTTTTTTGTGGCATATCTGCCTCACTTGCTTTTTGCCATGAACATGTACATATTATGGAGCTCTCAAAATCGAGGAAGTGATTTCGCTGGCGCGCTCGATTGGTTTTGATGAGCTGGAGATTCTGGTTCAAGTTATAGATTATATCATTGAAAAGTTTTTAAGTTTTTTTTTTTTGGATTTGAGAATATAGATAGATATAGGTAGATTATGTCAAGTCACTTTTTTTCAATTTAAGCAATGGCGGGTTTTCTGGTGGGCTACGCTCTTGACAAGTCACTTGGTGACTAGGTAAGTTGCAGGGTTACTTTTACCCACCCTGCGTTTTCAGATTCGCTAGATTTACATAATTAAGTAGCACAAGTTGCCTTGCTGGCGTGGAAGGCATGTGGAATTGCGGTATTTAGAGGGCGCATAGTGAGATTTATTATAGTATCGGGAGTAGGAAAATTAGTACAATGTCATCCGTTCCCTATCTAAATTTGTATTTTTGTAGGGGTTGTGTAAACGCCAGATTTATGGTTTATTATTTAGAGACCGAAGGTTTTGTAATGATTTGCATTTTTAAGGCTATGAGTCTTGCGGAATTGTTAAATGTTCTTCTTATGAGGGGAATTAACTGTGGTAATATGGTATTAAGTGGTGCTTTTGGCCGCTGTCACACATCAATGCTTTCCTAGCTAAAATGGGAACCAAAGGTTCGGTCATGAGTTCCTGCAAATGCAAGGAGACTACGTAGAGTAAGACCTTAACTTACCACGAGCAGGACAATGTGTTTAGCTTTTTCTCAACCGAGTAAGATAAGACTGGAAGTTCCCCTTATGATTCACGGAGAAGCGTACACGTCACAGCTTCCTGCGTGCATGATGCCTGCCTCGTAGGCTACCATCTGCAGCAGCCACATCCCGAAACGGTCAGGTCGACTGAAGCTCGCTGTATTTGAATCGATATAGTAAATGGTGGCCTCTCACAGGCATGTATCTAAGTAGTCTGCTGTATATTCAGCCCAATCGCGATTGGAATGATGTGACAAAGCCAAAAACCAATCGTCACTACTGCACCGACGCGATACCAGTCAAAGGGAAGGGTGATATGGTGCTTGTGATGGGGTCTTCGAAAAGGCCGGGCGACTGTCCTCAATGCTCAAATGAGTTTCCATAGGTATAACTTTTATGATTAAGTCAGCTTATACATTTGCTAAAAACACAAGGCATCGACTACTCAGCATCGATTTCTTGCCCAGAACAGGACAGGAAGCAGGGATATAAGAGTAATAGCTATTGGTAATGCGGTAGTATGACGGAGTGAAAATGGTTGGATTAGCACGATCAGTTTGGACTTGGTAGTAACTGGGACATATCAGTGTTGAACATCGTAAGAATTGAAAATTCATACCTTCAACCTTCACATCCTCTAATAACTCATCCACACTTGCGTATCCTTGAGTCCAGCACTTATGAATGATATCGTTAAACGCAACCAAAGTAACTAGACTAGGATAATTCCCTTGTTTGTATGCGCGGACAACCTCCATATCTGACAACTCTTTATATGGTTTGGCACCTGCCATAATCTCATAAAACGTAGAACCAAGTGCAAAGAGCTCACTTGCGGCCGAAATGTCTACAATTTCAGGATGTTCGTGACTAGTCTCATAGCAAATGAGAGGGTCTTGACCATCCATCGAAGACCCAGCAAAGTCGCCGAGCTTTGCATCAAGGCTCTCGTCAAGCAAAACCTTATTACACGAAATATCTCCGTGTAATACATTTTTGGAATGAATAGAAGCGACTGAGGCCGTGATCTGTTCAACCCAGCGAAGTTGTAGTAAAAGCGACACGGGCTGGGTTTGGGTCGTATAGTATTGCCTTATAGAGCCATGGCAGGCATATTGTAGGATAAGAGCGTCCCCCAAGTTCCCATAATATCGGAGAACCCTATGATCGTTTCCCAGGCGTTCGTAGATGCGCATTTCTCTCTCTCGCAATGGTAGCTCTGAAGGCCGGCCAAACTTTATGACGGCGTCAAGACGAGCAACCAATGCTGTAATACCGAGTCCCACCACATCTTGACGATCAATACCAAGCGGAAACTGAATGGTCTGGTCCATTGGAGAGCCCTGTCTAGCAGGACTCACTAAGTTAGAATGCAGTGAACAATAGGGCACAGGGTGCGGTTTCCTCACTTCACAACTAGGCAATTGCTACGGATCAGGTATTAGTTGAATTTGACAAACTTTCGGACCGTGAGAGATAGTGTTTAGCAAGAAACACACGTGACTGTGGATGGAATGAAATGAACGGAACCAAACCTAACCTCGAAATATCGCGACAAGGGTCAGGGATTAGTCATCCTTGTTACATTCTACGAGTATGAGTATCCCTGGTCTGGCAGCCACTGCCCACGCTAGCAGGGCCCCCCTTAACCCACTGCTCCTACTAGCTCCTGCGTTCTTTACAAGTATTATAAGATATATCTCGAATTTAGCTGAGTAATAACATGATTTCTCCTATCACATTCCCTTCGCATACCCTGGAATGTTTCTTTCTATCGTAGGCAGTGGCTGCCAGGCGAAGGGATAGCAACTAATGTAGTTCTGATTGGATATGACGCCAACCAATGATCTGGAACACTTCCTGGCACTAACTGTCTCTAACGGGCTGTATATTATTATGTAGTGTCTAGCTATACACTTCTATCGCCATATCCCTTGTGACTCTGTCCATCTATGGATAACCACTTCTATGATAATGCCGGGAAGAAACAACAAACACCCAAAACTCCTAAGCTATTCATAACATCTAAGAGGAAAAGAAAATCATATTAGCAGCCTGAGTGGAGAAATCCAGCGACTTAATCCGATTTCTAACAGCGATCACTTCTCAGGATCCGCTGTCTTTTCATCGTCATGAAATCCCTGGCGGGTGTCAAGTTCCTGGTTCAAAGTGTACCCCTCGGTGGCCAAACTGGCCAAGAAAGCAACCGCACTTAACGCCGTCATCAGTATCCAGATGGCACTCAAACTATCATTCATAGCTTCAATCAACATCCTTTTGTCGTCTCCCTCAGCCATGGAGTTGATTATGCCTACGAGCGCCGTAGCATCCTTGCTATACGCGGTAGCCATTGGTGCAAGCGAGGGGTATGAGAGAAGTTTGTGCCGGACCTGGTTTTGGAAGGCGACGCCGCTGATAGCGATACCGATAGATTGTCCGAACACACGCATGAAGGAGTAAAAAGCAGCTGCATGGCCGGCATCTCGGGGGCGGCCTGAGGCTTGGATCCCGAGCCCCATGGCTGGGAAGAGCATTCCTGTTCCGACTGATACGACGACGTTGAGGAAAATCCATGCTGGGATAGAACTTTCCGGCTTTAGAAGTAGGAGGAGTCCTGAGCCCAAAGTGGTCAGGAACCAGCCGACCCAGATTGCCCAGCGATACCGGCCTGTGATGGAGCAGGTTACTCCTACAAAGACGGAAATTGGGGCGACGAGACCCGTTTCAGGGAGGAGGGCGACTCCAGCGATGATCGGGGTGTAGCCTTTTACGCCTTCGTAGTACAGGGGGAGGAAGTATAACAACCCCCAGAGCACAACGCCGTGGATTACGGTGCCGAAGTAGGTGATTATCATGGAGCGGTTGTTGAAGATGCTGCCGCGGATGATGGGCTCGGTGTTATTGCCTGGTAGGAGGGTGCCGTCGGCGGCGAATGCCTTCCGTGAGAGGCGATATTCGTAGTAGCCAAAACCCGCCAGACCAGCGACGCCGACTAGGAGCGGGAAAAGCACACGCCACGAGTCCCAGGGGTACATGACGCCTCCTATGCCATTTTATTAGTAAATGCCCAGAGAATATCTAGAAGGAAAGCTTACCCCATGTTACAGGGATCAGAAAAGAGACGGTTGAGGCGATGAATACCACCGAGCCGACCCAGTCAAAGTTTCGTAGCTTTTCCGCAAGGTTGCCAGGGAGCTTATCAAGCTTCAGGAAGAATATAATAGCAACGGCTCCTGTACCGATGAGGGGCAGATTTATCCAGAAAATCCATCTCCACGTAACATTTTGTGCGAACGCCCCACCCATCAAGGGGCCAGTAACAGAGCCAATTGCCCACATTGAACCGAGATATCCGAACCAAGCTGTATTTTATATTAGCGACTGAAAGTGTTTTGACCTGGGTGGATCGGTTTGACTAACCGCCTCGAACTGCTAGAGGAACGAAATCTGTGACGAGGATTTCGCCCAATGTTAATATTCCACCTCCTCCAATGCCTTGAATAGCTCGTCCGACGAGTCTGGGGGAGTATTAGCGTTTGAATCAACCCCAACAAAAAATTCAACGTACATCATAGTGAAATTCGTAGCTACAGCAGCGACGATAGATCCTACAGCGAAGAACAACGAAGATAATAAGACAAGCTATAGATAAATCAAAATTGATTAGCTTCTAATCGCAAGAATACTCGGTATACGTAGATGGCTTACCTCTTTCCTCCCAAAAGCATGGCTCAAACCGGCAATGACTGGTTGGAAGACAGCCGACGTGAGCAAGAACGATGTGCCAGCCCAAAACGCCTCCAGAGCTGAGCCATGGAGCTTCTCGGTCATGGTCGGTAAGGCAATACTGAGTGAAGTGGCATCAAGAGCAGCTGCAAGTGTAATTATACATATTGAAACGAATGCGAGCATGAAATTTAGTCCTGGTTTGAACACTGCCTCTTCGACTTCGAGGGGTGCCGGATTCGAGAATTCGGATTCCTTGGGTGGGGGTTGGACGCCATTTGGTGGGGAGTCGAGAGAGCTTGAGGATATCCTTTCCTTGATGGAGAGAGAAGTCCCAATGGGTGGGGTGGAGGACATTGTTGGGGCCAATATTATTATCTCTAACCACAGATATACAGGGGGGACAAATGAGAGAAGGGATGATGATTCTAAGAAACCTGTATGAGAAAGATGCAGGAAGATGAATACGAATGTGATTCAAAAGCAGAAAGTGAAGCTATAGGGCTTCTCCATATATAGAAGGCTCATAAGTGGAAAAAAGTAACACGTTTCTCACACAGTACGGAGTCGCAGCATCCCATCTACGGCGTCATAGTGCAAGCAACATGAACTCCGTCGCACAGCACGTTGCACCGTGCCAAGTCACTCAACTCATGACGCGAAACAGTTTTAAGCTTTGCTACTGTTCGATTGCGTAAGCATTGGATTGTGGCATACAGGCGCTGACGAGAATTTGCAAGTTGCGATTGTGTACCGGTGGAATATACAGTCCGGGTACACGAATGTCCGATTGTGGTCGGAGGAGAGTCCGCCCGATTGCCGCGCGCTCGGGCAAACGTTAGAGGTAGAGACGAGTCTAGGTTTGAACCCGGGTTATAAGGCTGCAGCTATCCACGACAACAACGACGATAATACTCCGGACTGCGCACGTCGTAGCTACCTACGGGACAACTAATCGTTACCTTTTAGATCGTACCTGCAGTTACTGGTTTACTATTCCGTCACGTACACAGCCTCGAAGACCTAGCAATACTTGCTGTTACTCTTTTAATTTTACTTCTTATTATATACCTCTGTTGAACACACTCCTACGTTCCGAATGGCCACATCCTCGCCCAAACCGCTCTCTCCTCCTTATTCTTCGCGGATTCGTCCATAACCTGCTCCTTCATCTGGCCCAATGCATTCAAAGACTCCTCGTCAAGGTCCGTCCTCACACAGCCCTTCTCAGGAAACAAATCCCCAATAGCATCGTGAATCGACTGCATGGCTTCCATGCCTCGGAGAGCCCCCTCGGCATGTGCTTCCATTTCCGGTTTTTCCTCGGGGGAAGAACGAGAACGGATACGGTGAGTCTTCAGATGCGGCGATATTTTCCCATTCTTCCTGTTCCTCCTCCTCGAGTGATGAGGCCTGTCCAAGATAGCTTGCTTCGCCATCGACGGACAGATTGCGGGTGTGTGGGCTATCATTTGTTGAAACTCTAATGCCAAATACACAGGTGTATTTTTGCGATATGTAATGGTGTCTAAACGAGTTGTAAAACAGAGAGGGTTTGAAGTGATATAGTGTGGATTTTCATATTCTACTTCATCGCACATTACAGGTTTGTAGTTGCAGTTGCAGTCAATGCAGCTTCTAGCTCGCTAACAAGAACAATGGTAGGCGCTCTAAAACTCTTGTACCCTTGATAGAACTCTCTACACCGCCCCTCGAGGCTCCTCTCATCCAACAATCCATCACCGTCGACGTATTCCTCAATATACGTCACCATCCAGAGGGAAAAGCCCTTATGTGCACCCACCCCCCCCCTCCCCTCCGTGCCCATACCATTCTACGTATGTAGGATTCCAAAAGACGATGTGCAGTTGGTATGTATACGGGGAGAGTGGCATTACGAAAAGCGCCATGCCCACGTCCTGGCCGTTTCGAAGGCAGACAAGGGTCGGATGCTAAGATAATATCGTCCTTATGGTTTCTTTTTGTTGACGAATTCCGCCAGAGGGGGAAGGAACCATAACGTTGAAGATTGGCCGTAAAAGGCGACGGTAAGGTCGGAAATCAATGTGGAAGTGAGACACCGGAATAGGTGACACCCGTCGCTCTGCGACCGCGGTACATATCTTGGGGTCGGCACAGCTTAGGAGTCCGGTAGGTTGGAGTGCAGATGTAGCTTTCGCGATAAGTTCATCCGGAACTACAAAGTCGATCGACTAGGTAAGAGTTAGCTACTTATGTCAACCGAAGGCGACGGTGTCCGAGTGCCATCACGTTATTCCTGGTAGATCTAGCTACTATCTTCTCTGCTGCGACAGACTTATATGGGTTAAAAGAAGATGGAATTGTTGCCACTCCCAACTTCCGAAATTCACGTCATGGATTCAGGTCAGCGGCTGTTCTTTCTTAGGATCAGAGTGTCAATTCCTCTCTTGGAGCTAGCCCTCCCCCCTCCCGCCCCCCTGCAGGGCGCCATTTCGCTTTTCGCTATCGAAACAGATGATCCAGGATGATAGCGGACAAAAGATAGATGGCCAGCAGGAGGTACAGGGAGATAACTCAGCATGTTCACTTGTAAAGACTCGATGAATATATATCAAGAGCAGCTCTCTATTCTGTTATTCGAGCTTCCAAGAAATACGACTGTATTGTTAGCTAAGAAGTATATCTCTTGTATCAAAGAGGCTTGTTCATTGCGCTCCTCAGGGTCTATTTGATTTATGCACACTCGATCAACCCTGACGAAGAATATTAGCAAGTCGCTTGCCATCGACCACCTAATAAAGCGCTTCCCAGCACAAACGTTGGTTAGGCGCTGACAGGGCCAGGGAGCCGAATCCCACCCCTTTTCCAACTTCAGTGCGTTGGGGCCTAATTTGGTTACCTAAGTACGATTTTCTAGATAGGCAAAGTCGTATATTATATAAATCGGAAGGTCTTTTTATTAATAATACCTCGATTTCCAGCCACCACCCTCCAGCTGGATATATGGACGCCGGTAGCAAGTGCCGGCTGGTCCCCTTAGAGAGGGTACAGTAAAAGAGGGATATAGAGCTAGCCAGAGTACTGAAAACCCCACAATAAATACCTCGAATGGGAAGGCCTTTTAGGTAAGCAGTCGCCCAAATAGGAGATTACAGTCAAGTTGTTGAGCAGCTTTGGTGGCAGCTACTCTTCTGTCGACATTAACTTGAATGGATACATAACACTTCTAGCCGCGCTCTCACATTCCGCAACCGACCAAGGCAGATACACTTCAAATTCCCTCACCGACTTAATCTCCTTCATTGCCTCTAGCAACGGTCCCCACCGATTTTTCGTATCTTCGCCAGGCCAGACATCGCCGCCCGTCAGCCGCACCCTCAGCGTCTGTAACTCGGGCAGACTGGCCAAGACACCGCACGCTTCCGCCCACGTCGCGAGGTTGTAGGGAACCGGGGAGATAGCTATACCATAAGTGAAGTTCCAGCTTAGATTGAGCGAGTGAATTTGGGCCAAGCGCTGGGGCCGAACAGACCGCTGCAGATAGAAGAGCGTGTCGATGTGGTTGAGGTCAAAGACGTTGTCTTGATAGAGGATAGAGATGCTCTCCATGTACGCCTTTCGGCAGCTTTGGAGTAAGGGAAGTAAGTTGGCTGGTTTGGCGGGCGAGTCGTCGAAGGGGCCTATATAGAAGCCAGGTGTTTGGCTGTGGATCATGGAATCACTTGTCCAGCCCCAGCAGTTGTGCTCTCGTGTTGCACGTTTAGGATCAGCGGTTCCCACACACTCGATGGCAATGAGTCTTTTGGGGGCACGAGCGACATGTAGTAAGTTCCCCCCGAGCACATTGGTCCAGATGAGTCGGCGGACCTCGATGGGTAGACGTGCAAAGAGGAGGGAGGCGGATTGATCAAAAGTCCGCTGCGGGACGTGTCGGAGCAGAACGTCTTTCCATGACCGCGGCGGGTGGAGAGGAGGATCAGTCAGTCGGCGGGGACGATTTCGGGGTAGCTGTTTGGGTGCGTTGATCTTGCGTTTTGCTTGGGTCTTTTTGAAGTTTTCGGCGTTTCCGCAGCGCCTCATTTCGCATGAAGAATTCCGGTTCTGATTCAGAAGGTAGTGTACTTGACCCGAAGTCCCAAATAAAGGTAGTGAGAGGAGAGATACGGTACTTTGAAAAGGATGAGACGCCTGATAAGCCAGAACATGAACACGTGCTAGACTGGTCAGCTCGTTTGGTCGTGTTGCAGTGCAGTGAGCTGAAATTAGACGGTTAGTTGGTCGCCCAACTGGACGTCCATGTGAGGTTGGTTGGTCGCCCAACTGGACATCCATCCATGTGAGGTTGGTTGGACACGCCACTTACTCGGTCCAGGGGCCAGCCGGAGAACGACGCGCGAGGCTGATGCCACTGCCGCTGCCGCTGCCGCACGAAATTGCCTCGTGGAGGAACTGAGGAGCTACGGTAGAAGAGTTGTACGGAAGATAGTGAAGGAAGAGGCTTGGCATACCTGTACGCTCCTACGGTATTGCAGCGGATACTCGCGTCCCCGGCCAGTTCTGCGTGAAATACACCTGAGGTACCCTACTCTAGGGCTGTAATAGTAGGGCCTTACTGATGCAGACTCAGCGCGCAGAATAGAAGCACATGATGCTGGCAGCCAGGATACGACGCCAACGGCCAACAGGGCGGTGCAGCTCGAAGCGCAGATCGAGGACAGGCGCATCAGGTATGTTATTTAGATTGATGGTATGCTGTGTTGTGGTACCCCTCCAATATCAACTCTCCTATGTAACCAACATCACCAACATCACCAACATCAATCCTTAATGATAAAATCCTTCAGGATTTAACGGATCAGGGTCCAGCGTTACTATTTCAAGAATAGAATCATTAATGTTCTTTTGAAATGCAGTCAGTTATAATAACTGGCGATATTACAGGTGCCAGCCAAAGGAATTGCTGAGTTTGTATTTCATTTATTATTGTTCTATAGTTGTATCCAATCCGAAAGTGTCATTTTTCCCCAATTACTTTCAATTATGAAGCGACCCGGTACTTTTGCTATTTTCTTGAGTATATCCGTCGGTAGCTATGCCTATGTGCTGGACGGGTCGTGTGGTCCATATAGAGATATCGTGATAAAGGGAATGAAAAGCGCATTTGATATGAGTTCAGCAGCTTCATTTATATTGGGAACTGTTCCAGAGCAAAGTAAGTCAGACTCTTGGTGCCGTTTCTTAACCCCCAACAATAGATTCTATGATATTAATATCGAGCTTCTTTTACAGGTACTGGAGCACGTTGGGAGGCGCAAAGAGACTTAATTTCCTATTTGTACTCCGAGATATTAACCGATGGCGCAATGAATCCGTACGGCACAAAGTGGGAAGCGGTTAAAAAGAATTTTGATGATATCCAAAGGTATACATACGTATTAGAAATTGGCGACAGGACACTCTACTGACCTTCATTTATAGTTTGTACAAAACCAACGGAGATCAGCCAGACACTCCTCCGGCTAATAATGCCTATGTAAATCTTAACCCCGGCAAGGTAGTTGTATATTGCGACTACTCGCGTTTCGACGGCTGGATGGACAAAGATTGTGCTGGTAACACCAAAAAAGGATATGTCTGTGATCCTAACCTCAAAATTCACGGACCTGTCGGCGACATATGGACGGGTTGCAAGAACACTGGCACTCTTTTGGGTAATAGTGGCCTTACGGGAGCGGTAGTCCAAGTATGTATCTCTTATAAAATCGAACCCCTTCCACCGGCAACTGACAAAGATTCCAGGCTTGGACTTCCGATTACTCTACCTATAATCGTGCCTCTGTGATTCAGCTATGTGCTGGACTATTGGCTAAAGAATCAAAAGTTTATTCTCAAGCTTTGACCGACCAGAGCAAAAAGCCTAGTTTGGCTCGAGCCTGGGGTGGGTTAAAAAAGAGTCTCAAGGAAGCAGGTGATTTTTTGGACGATCCACTGCGAACCCCCATGGTAAGAACACAGAGAATCTAATGCTTATCCATCACTTGAGTGATTTGCAAATGCATCGAATGGTCGGGGAACGTCTGAGGGACATCCAAGCTAACTGCAGTCTCTTATTAGGATGCTAAGTATTCATTTGATAGCACCCTACTTCACGAAATGTCCCATGCGCTCCCTAGACGCGGAATCGTGGAGTCCGGCGATAAAGGTGGCTCTTACGGTTGGAAAAACTGCGTCAAGGTTAGTGACGTGTTTATCATTACGTCGAAGTTATACATATTCATTGGTCAAGTCAAGTCTGCTACATTGCTTTGGAATACTGAGGCTTTTTAATGTTCGAAACGTTACTAACTCGTTCGATAGCTGAGTGCGACTGAAGCCCGTATAAATGCCGACTCGTATGCTTATTTTGGGCTCGGCGCAAGAATGATCTATCCGAACATCGATGGCGTGACAGCCCAGCGGCCCATGCATGACGGATCGATTCAAGTTCTCCCCATTCCTGGCAGAAAACGAGATGATTCTCCTCTTCATCCTCTGAAACCTCGATATCCTAGTCCAGAACTCACCTTGACGATAGACAACAGTCGCGTCGTGTTAAACGCTTCCAATACCGCAGGCTTCAATGTTTCCGTACCCTCGCAGAGTCCAGTGACGGTCTCACCCGGCAAAGAATATACAATTGGTCCTGATACAATTCTCCTGCAAGGCTCTGCTTTGGTCGAAGACGGAAAAACGGCTTTACTCCCAGTTAACTCGGCGTCGACAATTAGCGCTGCTAGCAGTAGCAGCCAACAAGCTCATTCGTATTCTATCACAGGAGCTTCTACATTTAGCACGTCGACTCGTTTTCAGAACTCATCCTCACTTTCTCGAAGCAGCTCGACAGCAATCTCAAATTCTACCGGGGGACCGTTTTCAAATTCAGGCACTGGATTCTCCAGGAGTTCGACGTCAGGACCTGTGGGTATTCCTACTGGTGGTCCATATTCGAATTCAAGCACTGGGGTGTCTCAAAGTTCTACATCAGGGTCTTCGTCATCAAAAACTTCGTCATCAGCTAGTCGTCCATCGTCAGGTTCCTCGAGTTCCTCCCTCCTTCAATCTAATAGCAGTAGCAAAGCCTTGATTGGATCAAAAACTTCTAGCTCGGCATCGAAAGGTTCATCATCGCAAAGCTCGCCAAGCTCATCAACCCAAAGCTCATCGAGCTCCACGCGTACCACACCTGGAAGTCAATCCACAACGTCGTCTCAGACATCGCAAGCTGTGAGCGGCTCGTGGTCTGATACCCAGACAAGTAGTGCATCCCTTTTTTTCTTGAACATCCCGACACAGACAATAACTAGTGGTCCACAACAAACGAGCGATGGGGCGTTGCTAGGAGCTCTATTCATCGGCCTCCACACTAACCGACAATGGCTCACAAACCATGATCTGAAATCAAAGTTCATTGATGATGTCTCTAAAGTAAAAGACCAAACGGAAGGCCTGCTAAAAAACCTCCCTGTAAAGGTGCCAGACATTTCCGATTGTCATAACACGAAGCGGAAGAGAAGCACGCGGGCACGTATTTCTGAGCGGCGATTGAGACAATTTCTTGAGCGGGGTATCATAGGCGCCATCATAGGCGGAGCTGAGGTTCGTAATCCCTCAATATTCAACTCTCCTTCTGGAAATACTCGGGAGCCATGGGAGCTTTGCTGCTTTCGAGCTCAGGAATGCCAAGACTCTCTAGTATTCCCAAATGCTCTGGACTGTCTCTTCATTGAGTAATGCTGACCCGAATGTTAGGATGCTGCAAAGGCCGTCGGCGCTATTGCGGCTGACATTGCTTGTGCGACTGATGTCCTCTCGAGCATAACCGGTGCTATCAATCCTCCCCCCGGTACCGATATCGACCTGGGTAAGGTAGAAGACTTGACGGATACTCTCGCAAAGCTTGGCGAGGACCTGCAAGACGAAAAAGACGACAACAATTCTTCCTCTGATGAAAACAAATCAACCAGCACGAACGAGAAATCATCGTCCCGGCAAAGCTCTACTAGCGAATCAAAGTCTTCATCACGATCATCGACCAGCTCCAGCAGCTCTTGCTCAAGTATTACAACATCGGCATGCGACACGTCGTTTTCAATATTCACTCCGGCTGGGGCCACTACAGCGAGTGTATGCATATTTCCTGGGTGCTCTCTTCATCGTTCAAATTCTGGGAGCATCGGGAGTGTAGTGTTCCCGATACCGGCTTCCATTGCATTCCATTGTCTCGGGAGTTCCAAGACATACAAATGCTCCCGAACTCGTCAAGATATTCCTTGATCAAGCAATGCTAACTCCAACTCTTGCAGACTTCAACGGTCACACTTTCATGTTCAACAGCGACTGCTTGCTCGGCTTCACTTACAGGCTCAGCAACAACGGCCACAGGTGACGTACTGGCTTCCGCCGCGCCAATTGGTGATATATTTTACGAATGGGGTGCAAGCACGGCCGACTAGTTCGATATTCAGCAGTCATTTCTTTCGGCGGCTAATGCAGACACCACTGACCCTTATATAACCGTATGTATATTGCCTAAACGCTTTGTTTCCCATTTGAAGATTTTCGGGATATTGGAGCATTTTGGCGCTTTCGAGTAAGACATTTACTTGGGAGTATCGAAGTACTCGAATGCTCCCGAATGCTGCTGAATACCCCAAAATATTACCTGATGAAGTAATGCTGACTCCGGGTTCTTGCAGTGGTCTGCTAACTCCACAACAACTGACGTTTCAAGTGGAACAAGTACTGTGAGTCCGCCGTCAGCATTCGCGAGTACCACCGCTCCGCCGAAGACCAGCCAGTCCTCGGGGAATAGCACTATTAGCTTGTCGGCAACATCAATCTCAAGTAGTAGCTCCGCGGTCAGTAGTACACACTCGGTATCAACGACAAACTCGGTCTCTCGAAGCAGCTCGACATCGAGCAGCCCAAAATCGAGCTCAACTTCTCCACCCATAACCTCCTGTACTCTCTCCAGCGTAGCTGCTCTCAGCACAGCTTACCCAGCCTATACAATCGACTACCCAGCAACGATAGCATGCGACTTCAACGATGGCTGGACAGCGGGTGTAGCAAATACCGTTGGCTCTGACGGCGCTACCACCTACTACTGCGAAGTTGGCACAACGCACATCGAGGTCAGCACCGCAGCCAAACCTAAACCATCATCTACATCGACATCGCCTGGATTTACAGCTACTCCCTCAACTACGCTAGGAGCTCTCACTTGTTACGGGGATGGAGTCAATGCGGTCGTTGGTCCGAACTTCGCATTCCCAGATAACCTCGGGTAAGCTTAAATTTCCATTGCGTCTTTTAGCCAACGTGTTAATCATATACCCCTACAGTCAAACATCCATCAACTATCTTTGCGGGTCAGATGGCCCCAAATACGAGTCGAACCCCAAATACTCCGACGGCTGGCCCGACTCACCGGGCTATGCCGGCGATTGGTTCTTCTTCGATGGCACGACTGAGGCCTTCTGCGGCTCGACGCCTTATGACGAGACAGATAACGGCTGGTGGTCAAGGGACGCAAAATGTAAGGGAGGTGACAAAAGTCAACTTAAAATCTGGGTTGATGTAGCATTCTCCGCCGACCAAACGGGATGCTCGCCGGAAAAGACGTGGCACATTCCAAAAGACCAGTCGTGCAAAGATATTTATAACACGATTCTAGGCTGTAAGTTGTTATGATACTAGAGAAAGGAGCGGGCAAAGCTAACATGAGTTTTGAAATAGGCAAGAGCCCTATTCTGAAACCGGATGCTACGTATGGGGGTGTTCTGAAACAGAACACGCCGAATGGATGTGTGGATTGGCGAATTTGGAGTACCAATGGGGACAATATGGGGCCATCTTAAGGCATACCTACAAACTTAGGCGTGATAGATACATTCCCTTCTTTGTTGGAGCTCGGTGTGTATGATATTTTCCACTAGACAGCCAGCAGGGTATCTTCAATGGTCCAGGAGGGTGTCATCCCAAAAAAAAGTATCCAAAATGCTGGTCCTACAGGATTTCCTGGGAATTTTACCGCATATCCTACCAAAAGATGACGCCTCAATTCTTTAGCACAACGACCTTCACTCCGATAACATCTTCGTCCATAAGGATCGTCCCACAGAAATTACTGGCATCATCGACTGGCAAGGCGTCCATCTTAGCCCCGCGGTCTGCATGTTTACTACCCCGCCCTAATTGAGTATGATGGCCCTATACTAGATAGCTTCGAGCTGCCCAAACTACCCGCCAATTTCGCAGATCTAGATCCCGTTACGTAGAAAGCCGCCCGGACTCTGCACACTGCGCAGTCTATCTGGTAGATATATCAGTTGTGTATTCGGAAAGACACGTCGGGTCTCCTTCGCACACTACGGTATTGTGATGTTCTACCGTGTCAGATCATGGCCCTGATTGGATTCACTTTTGATGATGGCGAGACGTACGTTCAAAGCTTGCTAGCGCAAGTCATAGAACCGAGGGTTTGAGAAAAGCTTGTCGGGACCAATGGCTAGGAGGATAGGAAGGTAGATTGCCCTCTGGTCTACTCAGACGAGGAGCTTGTCAAGCAGAAAAGCGAGTTCGCCAAGTGGGAAAAGGACGTGGAGCGCAAGGCGCGGGTGATTGAGGAAGTGGGTGGGTACATTGGCTAGGACGGCGCAATGTCGCCCGAGGAGTACGAGGCAGTATCTAAGAGGCTAGAGAATGCTAAAAAGAGGTTTCTGGAAGCTGAAGCAAAGACTCCCGAGGAGAGAAAACAATGGGCGAGGGCTTGGCCATTCAAAGATAGATAGATGATATACGGTTATTTTAGCTAATACCTGTTGAGTTTCAGGATACGGTAGACAATCCCGGAGCTCGATGGGCTTAAGCCTTGGATTTATGTGTGTACTAATAATTCGACCATATGGCCAAATCCTACGCTCTACACAGCTAACTCTTAATAGTTTCAACGATATCGCAAAGAATATTCCAAATTTGTCTTCTACAAAGCAGCCAGTTTTGTTACCATACCTTTGGCCGCTCCTGGCTGCAAGCTATTTTTGTTACTCTACATCCTTCGAACGAGCAACCAATTATGGTACCACACTTCGCATTTTCGTTCCAGAGGCCACGTCTGCCCACTTTTACTCGGGACTATGGATAAATTGTGCACATTCATTACCGTAGTGAGCACACACTTTGCCCCTGTTTGGTTAGCTAGTTTGGGCAACCTCGTCCACTTAGAGATGGAGTTCCCCGGTGGCAGCAACTTGCGATAGTTCGCGCGAGCTCTTGACCAGTTCCGAAGATGTGATTCGTCTCCTTGGTTGTTTGTGAAGCATTCTTAGAAGCAGAGAATCGCCTGGTAGCCTCGCCTTGTGTCTTTCGACCTCGTCAAGCCATTCATCCATCTATTCAGCGTTATCCAATCCTAGATGAACGTTGGTGACCTTCCACTTGCCACGGTATGGCAGCGGACATATGCCGAGAACAAACATCATGACGAGCCGAAAAGCCCAGGTATCTGTGGGTCGTCCTCGTATCTTGTAGACTATCGAAGATACTAACAATATCATAGAGCTAGGATTTAGCAGTTCGTCAGAGTAACGTGGTCCAGCAGTACAAATACTAAATTAAGCAAGTTCCTATTACATACGACCATAGACTGAGGAGAAATGGGCATCCGGTCCGCTCTGCTATACGAGTACACAAGCCTTAATATTATTCGGTTAATAGTCTTAATCGTGCTACTAGGTATAGCGTCGAATCCAAACCCCTTACTGCCTGAAGGGTAATCTTGAGGTAAATAAAGAGAAGAGGAAGACAAGTGTCACGGAGCTAAAATTGGATCTGGCCGATTAGTCGTAGGCCACGTGACAAATTACGAGAAAGGAGGCATATATTTATTCCGAAAAGTCGTACTCTCTTTTCTTCTCTCCTTAGCTTAATATCCTCGTACTGTGGTGGGGTGGGACTGCAGGTGTCACGTGAACGTGCGACCGGAGGAATAGGGGTATAAAGGGGCTCCGAGCACACGTGTATTCTTATTCTCTCTCTAGGCAGCTACAACTCCAAACTCTTGATTCGCAAACAACTACTTCTACCCCTTCACAGTACCTACGAATATAGTCAAATAGAGAGATCCCCCGCTGCCAAGCACTATGGTATTACAGTAGGCAGCGCGGGCCCCGGAATTTTCAACTGCCGTTGAGCTGAGGCCGATTGGGGCGACGATCCAAGCAAGTACGCAGCGCTCTGATTGGGACAGACAAAGAGCGGCTTTCCGACGAAAAACCCGAAGCAAAACCCGACGATTCATGTATACTAAAGCCAAACGGGGAGATCGAAACACTAACAGCTCACCACATTGCTTAATAAAAGGCGGGGTATTGCTAGGGGTCTAATGCAGAAAACTGCTTACTTTCCCTAGAGTAGGTGTTGCGCATGATACTCGACTACGAAGTACATTCCTGCAGCCGCCACAGCCACAGAGAGTACCTATAGGTTATGTGACTTAACGTCACTTTGCCAACACCTATCACGTATGGCCATAGTTCGCCGTTTTTGCAATGTCTCCGATGGAAGCCCCGCAATTAGGTTTCTGCGCTTTCCGGAACCTAAACTTGTTATTACTACCTACGTACACTATCACGTAACGCGATGGAGCACGCTCAGCGGGATAGAATCTTGGAATCTTGAAAATATCCCGAAGAAGTGCCCGGAGCACTGCGTTGAATTATGCGGTCCACAGAAATCGGGCTCGTTGCCCTGCGGATCGCTGTCTTCACGGCACAAGATCTTCTTCTATCAATATATTTAAAGGTCTGAGTGAGGCCTCTCGAGAATTGTTTGTTTCTGAGTTTCCATCCCAGACAATCATCGCAACACTTATTATTCCCGGTATCCCTGCTTGCCTTCGACCGTCCGCTGGAACTGTCACGATGACTGTCCTCACCTTTGCGACGTTTGGCCTACTGGCCGCGACGGTCTCAGCGAATTTAAAAGCCTTAAAGATCGGCACGACTCCCGGCGGTTATACCAAACCCGCCCGTGGTTGGGGGTCCTGGGGCATTCAGTCTGGCGGCTACCTGTCATCAGATGACTTCAATCAGCAGCATATTCAACCTCAATGCGACGCAATGGCGTCCACTCTTAGAGGTCTCTACACCGTCTGTGCTCTTGACTCTGGGTGGTCCTTTGACGGCGGTGACGAAAACGGCGTTATCAGGTATAATTCGGACAAGTTCGACATTCCAAATTTTGCAAATCACCTCCACCGTCAAGGCCAGCAACTGGGTGTCTACGTCGTCCCGGGAGCTTTCACAAGTGATTACGACAAGTATGTCGCCGGGACCAAGACTAAAATTCGTGATATCTGCGATGGTGATTATAGTTTTGGACGGTGTTACTTGAAATACGATCATCCGGACACGCAGAAGTGGTTTGACTCGAACGCGAAGCAATTCGCTGCATGGTAGGTGGTCTAGTCGTGGCCCCTCTTCCCAACTTACGGTACCTCAAGGCTAACAGATTAATAGGGGAGTAGACTACATCAAACTCGATTTCCTTACTCCCGGATCGCCATCCCCTGGTACTAACCTTCGCCCTGACTCGGCTGGTGAAGTGATCGGATGGCACAAGGCAATTGCTAAATCTGGCCGTAAGATCTTCCTAGATATTTCCTGGAAGCTCGATCGCTCAAAACCATATTTCGACGTCTGGGAGCAGAACTCCGACGCGATGCGGGTGGATGTAGATCTTAATACCTATTCGTCCACTCCGTTTACTTCGTGGGACCGGATCCAGAAAACCATTGAGCAGTATCGCCAGTGGGCTGTTGCCGCGTTGTCATATTACGATGTTACACATACTCATCCGGATTTGGACGACATGATGGTCGGAAATGCACAAAATATTACCGGACTTACCGACGAACAACGCAGGACAGTCTTCCTTCACTGGATCGGTGCCTCTGCCTTGCTCAAGCTTGGTTCCGATCTCACGAAACTTGATTCATATGGTATTTCTCTTTTGACGAACACTCACGCGCTCTCGGCTGCCGATTTCACCGCTCAATACGCAATGCAACCGCGAAACCCGGGATCTGGACGAAGCGATCCCCAGCAACTACAATCGTGGATTAGTGGACCGTCACCCTCTGGAGAGATTATCGTTCTTCTCACCAACTATGGGAAGGATCAAGGCAGCGGCGGCTGGGGTGGCGGACATGACTCAACTCAAACTGTTACCGTGTCCTGGCGTGACCTGGGTGTTTCGGGTCCATTCATTTGCCGAGACGTGCTTTCGCAACAGGTCGTGGTCTCCCTTTTGGGTCTTAAGGCCTCACTTACCGCTGGCGCGAGCAACATGTATCGTTGCACTCGACTACTTCCAGGCCATCATTTCGCTTCAAGGTACAGAGTGTGAAAGTGTTCTATTGTGTATTGGACATTTCGAGTCTCGGGCGATTTGGACATGGCAGCACTAGAGAACCACGCTCTTTTTCTCATCGGCCCTGAAAACGTACAATTGCTTATTGTCTTTATATTTGCTAGGTGAATAAAAGAAATTTTCCCTGACGCTAAAAAATCTCTAAAATAGCAGCTTTCCTGTGTGACGAATTGTGGTGCCTGGGGTGCCTTATACTCAGTATTATTCGATCACCTTTTCATAGTAGAGCCCAATATATCAGCACATCTACTAGTTTCTCAAAATATATTCTCTCTAGTGCGAATATACCACTAGACTTATGTATGAGGAGGGGAGTATTTATAGAGTAAAGTTGGACTTTCGTGATCCCATAACGACTGCTAACGGCGAAAGCAACCTTTTATCTAATGACTAACGTTGAGGGACGAAGGCTCAGGTCGCGAACAGGATTAGATACCCTAGTAGTCCAAGCAGATATAGTGGGGTGCAAAAAGTTTGAACACCCCGCTGGCTTATAGGCCCCCCTAGCCACCCCCTATTGCTCAATTAGGCCTTTGTTTTAATGCTACTTTTTAGAGCAATCCTAAGGTTTAGGCTGGAAGATTAGACATAAGTTAAGTAGTCGGATAAGTATTCTATCGAAAGAGGAAAGTGTATATAGCTTATTTAAACGTTCCTTCGACTTTGTAAATAACTTATATAAAGGGATATTATCGTAGGGTGGAGTTGCAATGTGTCACGTGAGAATGCGGCATGGGGGGATAGGGGTAAAAAAGGGGCCTCGGCAATTTTTATTCTCTCTCGAGGTAGTTACAACTCCAAAAAACCTTAATTCGTAGACAACTACTTCTATCCCTTTATAATACTAATTACTATAGAGAGTAATAATTAACTTTAAGTTAATATATATAAAGTATATATATTAGAATTCCTATTAATTATCTTAATTAACAAGTCGATCTAAGTGGAAATATATCCGGTATTTATATTATTTTGGATCTGTTGGATCACGTGACCTCTGACGGCTTACTCAGCACTGACCCAATCCGTCCCACAGAGTTCTCTTCACCTAACAGGCTTCTCCTGTTCAGGCTTAATACCATCACATACTTGATCCTATGCTATCCGTCATTCTGTACGCCCAAGATGGATCTAAGAATCTGTCGGAAGTCCCGTAGCGAGAGTCTTTGTGTCAGCGCAGTGTCTGTCTGTTGATGATCGGAATCATCGGATTCTATAAGGGGAAACTTTTCGAACTGATCGAGTTGCCCCTGCCCCATTAAATCGGAAAACGGGGAGTTCTTCGGACACCACATTAGTATTGCTATTTCGTTTAAATCGGATTCTAAAGTGAATCCGGGTGATTCTTCGGACTAATCAAAGTTGGTCGTACCTCATATAAGCCGGAAAGCGGGGAGTTCTTCGGACTGATCAAATTGCTATTGCTATCTCATATAAATCGAATTTTAAAGAATTGATCAATATGCGCTCAGACTTATCATTCCTGGCTAGTGAGTCCCACCCGATTAGCGCGCATGGAAGCTCGATGCCTTGCAGCGCCTTTCTGTTTGGGGCATTTTGAAGACGGGAATGGCAGGAAGGCGCAAGGGCTTATTAGTAGGTTTAGCAGCTGTGAACATACTTTCTTCGCCATATAATCAACGACTAAACAACATCACAGATTCACAAGCACTTTTGGCCGATAGCATGTACTCAGTGTGTGCGGTTACGAAGCCTTTTCCACAAAAATCAGCTTAGTGCTTAAAATTCCTACGCAGCACCAGACGACTGCCACTGCCTGCCAGTTATTCCGAAATCGCTATGATGACAGAAGTGGTGCCCGTCGCACACACTCTCGAGGACATCTACCCCCCGGATGCCATTCCATCACAGCTCAACAGATGGACCCATCTCCTTCAGACCTTCAAATCAATCTACCTCCACCCTGCTACATTTGTGGCACGATCCCCCGGTCGTGTGAATATAATCGGCGAGCATGTCGACTACTCTCTCTACCCCGTTCTTCCCATGGCCATAACCGCAGACTGTCTTCTTGCAGTTTCTATACCAGATGAACTAGGCCCAGCTTCCTCAACTACTTTGAAAGTCTGCCTCGCAAATGTGCAGAGAGATAAGTTCCCGCAACGCGAGTTTGAGCTGCAATATGATGATATGGAAATTGATAGCAATGTCCACGAATGGACCAACTACTTTAAGTGTGCGCTTAGAGATACACTGAAGTCCTTGAGAACGGTTAGGGGGTCGGACTTCAGGCCTGCGAGCATGAATGTGTTACTGGATAGTGTGGTCCCCGTTGGAGGTGGGCTGAGCTCTAGTGCTGCGTTCACCACTGCGAGCATATTAGCAGTGATGGTTTCAAATGGTGAGAAGAGTGTCAATAAAACAGCGCTGACGGAGTTGGCCATTGTGAGCGAGCGAGCTGTAGGTGTGAACTCTGGAGGGTAAATTGACCTTTCTTTTCGTCTTCTTACAGCATTGCTTCGGCTAACTTCATAGAATGGATCAATCCGCATCCGTCTTCTCACTGCGTGGCAACGCCCTTTATGTCGACTTCATTCCAAGCCTCCATGCCCGCCCTGTTTACTTCCCAAGGACATGTCCTAGAGTGTCCTTCGTCATTGCCCAGTCTTTCGTCGCTGCAGACAAATACACCACGGGACCCGTATATTACAACCTTCGCGTCGTTGAATGCTCCCTCGCAGCTGCCTATCTACATGCTGTCGTCAACGAGACTTCCAAGCCTCTACCCACAGACTCAAGCCCCTTAGGGATCTCCCTTCGCGGGTTTCATAAGGCATACTTTGCCTCATCTACCAAGCCTTTCAACATGCAACTTCTTGAACTCGTTGACCTCGTCAAGTCAACGCTTACCAAAGACGGCTACACCCGCGAAGAACTCAGTGTTGCCCTTAACATCTCCGTCGTAGAGCTCAAGATGCGTTACGAGTCTGTCTTTCCTGTTCGCACAGCAATGTTCAAGCTGCGTCAGCGTGCTTTACACGTCTTTTCCGAAGCCCTCAGGGTTCAGCAATTTATACAGCTTCTAGAACACCCTGCCGGTTTCATGTCCCACGACATAGGAGACTCAACGGAGACTTATAATAAGAAGCTCGGTAGTCTAATGAACGCGACGCAGGATAGCTGCAGAGATCTATACCAGTGTAGCTGTCCTGAGCTGGATAAACTGTGCGCCATTGCACGAAGAGCAGGGAGCTATGGGAGCAGGCTCACAGGCGCGGGGTGGGGTGGCTGCAGCGTGCATCTTGTACCGACGGATAGGGTCGAAGCTGTGAAAGCCGCATGGGAGAAGGAATATTATAGTAAGCAAGTCTTGAGTGCAGAGCAAAAAGAAGGAGCTATAGTGGTTAGCCACCCAGGAGGTGGGAGTGTGGTGCTCTGTATTCCAGAGGGGGGCTGGTTATCATGACATCGGATTTAATACCACCACATATATCTTTCAACTTTAGAAAAGGTGCTCGCAGAGACTTTGACCCCTTATTACGTTTAGGATATGTGAATAACATCGGTAAGGCTACTGGTCGACATCATTGAAATTTCCTCGAGGTCCTTAAAGAGTCATTGCGGCATTCTTCTCTCCGACGAAGTCCCAAGAACAGTAGCTTCCTAGAAGATAGGTGTTATCGTGTATCACTACATCACTACATGTACTATATTAGGTAAATGCGCCCTCGGAAATTAAGCAGTGCTGGCCCTGCAGAGCCGTGCAAAGATGCAAATGCTTTTTCACGAAATAGATAGCGTCAAAACGTGAAGAGCCTCGTCCTCAAATGAGCTAGCAGTAGCAGGTGTGTGATGATGCTGCAATTTTATTGTTGCTACTTACTCCGGTAGTGAAGCCTCGACACTTTGTCGTGCTAGCTCGGACTGCTCGTCGACGTACACATGGTTATCGCCCGGCTTTTTCTTCGGAGCCAATGCGCTCGGCAAAGGGTTTGGGGCTTGAGGTGTTTGAAGCTACTCTATCTACACACGGATCGAATTCTCTTGCGAGCTCTCCATCCGATTATTGACGCGTGAGCACCACGTCCTGTCGACCTTCTATAGCTTCTCATCCCAGTGCCCGCCCCGACCAAGTCCCCGCCATCATCAACGAATATGATTATCAAGAATATAAAACATCCTACCAACCTTCTCATCTCCCACCGGTTTTCCTGTCGTAGATTATTCTAAAATAATCTTCTATTTCTCGATTGCTTCTAAATTTTAATTGCCTTCTCATTTCTTTCTCCAAAATTCCAGATAGCGTCCTTGACGAGATTTCGCATCGTCGATACAACCCCCTCCGCGGGTCGTGGCTCCTGGTCTCGCCACACAGGACGAAGCGACCATGGCAGTAAGTTCTTTTCTGGAGCCGCGAGGAGAAAGGCAGCGTCGTCTAATGCATTTCTCCAGAGGTCAGCAGGAAACATCAGAAAATATAGCCCTACCCAAATACGATTCTGCTGTGAGATGCGCACCAGGCTATCGCTTTTGAAGACTTCCACTGATATGCACTAGTGCTACCTCTGCCCCGGCAACAAACGTTTTCAAGGCGACAGCAACCCAAAATACGACCAAACATTCGTCTTTCTCAATGATTTCAGCGCCGTCAATGAGGAACAAGCCAGCTACACCTCGTCAATTGATCCTGGAGATCTGTCTAACACACTCCTCCGCGCCGAATCCGTGACGGGAAAATGCTACGTTATATCTTTCTCGCCAGATCACAACGTAACTCTTGCCGACTTGGACCCAGCCTCTATCCTCCCTGTAGTCCACTTATGGACTTCCATCTATGCTGCCTACCTGTCCCCCAAGTCTCTCCTTGCCTCTTTTACTCCACCAACAGCCGTGTTCACACCTAGAACTGAACCCACTCATGAGCCCGCCGCACCAAAAGCACAATACCAATGGATGCAGATCTTCGAGAATAAAGGTGCAGCAATGGGGTGCTCGAACCCGCACCCTCACGGTCAGATCTGGACAACGACTGGGATGCCCGAGGAAGCGGCTGTGGAGCTGGAGAACTTGCAAAAGTATAGGTTGAAGCATAACGGAAATCATCTACTTGAGGATTATGCGAGGCTAGAGGTAGATAAGAAGGAGAGGGTGGTATTTCAGAACGACAGCTTCTTGGTCGTGTGTCCTTGGTGGGCGGTGTGGCCGTTTGAGGTCATGATTTTGAGCAAGAAGCATAGGCGGGCATTAGTTGAGCTAAACGAGGTGGAGAAGTCTGCGTTTGCAGAGGCGATCGCAGAGGTTACAAGAAGATATGACAATCTATTCGAGATGAGCTTTCCATATAGTAAGTACAGGTCATCTCCCAAGCAATGTGGCCGGCACTGGGCCGACAAGTAGCTGATTAACGTGCAACTTAGGTTCTGGAATCCATCAAGCGCCCCTTGATGGAACCGATGAAGAGTGTAATAGTAGCCACTTGCATATGCACTTCTATCCGCCGCTACTACGCAGCGCGACTGTACGAAAGTTCTTGGTGGGATACGAACTCATGGCTGAGCCACAAAGAGATATCACGCCAGAGCAGGCAGCGGCGAGGCTAAGGAGCTGTGGGGGGGGATTGTACAGGAAACCCCCTCGTGATATCATCACTTCGTCGGAAGAGTAATTTATTAGGGAGACAGGAAATATGAGCCCTTCAAAATCTCACGACTTAGAGATCTTCACGAGTGTGGTTTGTTGACATAGACCGGTTCAAGACAAAAAATAATGTTGATTGCAAAAGCCTTTTATCTGAATTCTTTACCATTCTCATCCTGGTTAGTAACATTTGTATCATAGCGCATAGTACCTAGGAACTACCTCCTCCCGCTATATCCACTTCGTACTATGGAGTACACCCGGCCTGCGCCGCTAAGTCGAGCGGCTAGGCTAGACTCCAGGCCCGTGCTATAGAGCACCAAAGCCTGAAAGAAAGCCCTAAAAGAAGCCCCTATAGTGGGTTGCAGCCTCTGGCTACACGGCCTCCAAGCCTGAGCTGGAGGGGCAGCCACATAGTAGGTTCCAGGCTGTGGCTATAGGTCATGAGGCCCTGTAGCGATGCCCTGTAGCGGGGCGCTATAGTGGTGCGCTACAGTGAGTGGTAGGCCTGGGTTATAGGGCCGAAAAGCCTGGAGGGAAGGTTTGGACAGAGGGCGTGAGACTCTGGAGTCTGGATACCCGCACCGCTGGGTTAGGCGGCTAGGCCGGACAGGGCGAGAGTAATAGGGGTATAGGTGAATAGAGCTACGAATAGCTTCAATTTGCGACCGGATAGAATAGGAATAAATATTGTAGTACTCTAATGCATAGGCTATCTAGATTGTACAGAAAACAGTACATAAGGGCGATACCGGAAGCATATTTAGGTAATGGCAGGTGGTTTCCGGTATTTCCGAAAAACACCAATTCATACTTACTCGAGTATAATGCGCCATACATTCGGACCTTTTCATCTTTTCGATGACGCGGCCTTCGCCGTTCTATTTATGCAGGATCCAATCCATATATGTTATGATATATGTTCTACTCATATATCACGAGTTAGACACGTTAGTTCAAATCCCGATGGCGAGTAGCAGAGCTCCAGCGCGCAAGCCCTAACCCACAACGTCTTGTTGGGTATAAGGCTAATGAAAGAACGATATGTAAAATGGTATTTCTTAGAAAGTAATCCTCGACTTAGAAATAATCAATAAAGCACGCGAGGATCAGGCCGTGAAACTTGTTATTATGTCCGTGTCTCTTCTTCTAATGGTCTAATATCTCTGTCCTGTTCGCGCTGGTTCAGCCTTAAAGCCCCTACAGCTCGTCCCGAGTGATGGTATAACCCTTGATAGGTCCTTTCTGCGACCGCATCCGATACATTTTGAGAGAATGCCTAGGTACCTTGACCTTGATCTCTCCTGGTGCAGCAACACCGACCTTCGTCCCCAAGAGTCTCTCATCTCCAGCCTCCAGGCCAGCTTTGTAAGGCGTTTCCGTGGAGTTGTACCACCCTTTGACACCATTCAATGTTCCAGGGGGGGAGTTTATGACCTTCTTAGCAACTGACGTATCCATGCGCTTGGCCCATAGATCATATAGGTCCCATTTCTCTTTCGTGTGGGGTGCAGATCCACCAGGTCCATGGCGAACAAAAATCTCATCCAGCGATGTAATTATCTCGAGATCTTCATTTGCGGCGTTCAGAAAGATGACAAGCTGGTCGTTGGGATAAAGTGGCCCACTCCAGATCTGAGTCTCGCCCTCACCGTATTGATCTTTCGGTACGGTAAGATTGCGACTGACAAGAGCAGCTGATTTACCCAGGGGATCTTGGCTGACAGCTATGACAGCAGGATTGTTCAGAATACTGAGAGCCTCTGGGGACAGGGTGCGCAAGTCTGCCCCGATCAAAAGCGGTGATTTAATCGCAGCCCACATCGAGAAATGGGCGACGTACTCAGCATCCGACATACCGCCAATGCCAACTTCCAGCATATCCAGATCATTCCAACCTCCCGGTGCACCCTTGTCGACATATGGTGCAACCCGGTTGATAATATTCATGACAGAGCAGTGGGTTCCGGGAGCCACACAGAAGGGATCCTTCGCGTCGGTGCAGCTGCAAAGAGCATCGGGGCGGTTGAAGTGGTCGTAGATGTCGCCAGATACCCGCCAAGAATTGGCAATGCTCATTCCCCAGGTATGCACATAATCTTCACCCCAGGTGCACAAGCTGAATAGTATGTCCCGTTTTGTCGCCTTGAGCGCCTTGGCCATGACATTGTACCGATTGAACGAGACCTCCGGATAGCCAAAACGACCCCGGTGATAACAGTTGTCGTACTTCAAATAGTCCACATCCCAAGAAGCGAAGCTTTTCGCGTCCTCCTCCTCGTGGTCCAAAGATCCCTCGTACCGAGCGCAGGTAAATTCGCCGGAACTCGAATACATCCCATACAATAAGCCCTGGTCATGAAGTTGCCCAGCAACCCACTTCAATCCGTGTGGGAACTTCTGCTCGTCCACGCGTATATATCCATCATCTCCTCGGCCGTCCTGCCAGCAATCATCAAGGAGGACATAGTTGTACCCAACGTCTCGGAGCCCAAAGTCAACCAGTTTTCTCGACGTATCTAGAAGCAATGCTTCCGACACGTCACAGCCTAAAGAATTCCAATTGTTCCAGCCCATCTGAGGTGTTCGTGCGAGGCCATTATTTACTGCGACCACTGAAGCCGCTAGGAGACCCTGTGCGAGGATTGAGAGCATCCTGGAAAGAGCGAAAGTTTGGAGAGATGTCAAAACGTGATGCGAAGGTCGAAGAATCCGTGTAGAAACAGACGCAGGAGGAAATGAGTTGTGGAATTTCCGGAATAGTCATACAGACTTATATCACAACCCACATCCTGTGTTGAACTTCATGTGAAAAGGTTGAGCACGGCAAGCGACGATCGTAACATGGATCCTGCGGCATAGAGTCGTGAGAGGATTACAAGTCTACCAGTCAATGCCAGCGGGATTTTGTTCGGAGATCAGCCATGGATTCAGACCCATATTACAAGCTTAGAAGCTAAGCAGGGCGATGACAGATCCGAGCAAATGCCCGAACAGGTTCCAGCGTGCTGTAGCTCTAGGGTGTCCCAACTCTACTCACAAGTTTCGAAGCATGATACTTGCGGCATATGCCAATCTTGTTTTGGAGACGCCGAAGGGATTTCTGGCGGAGATGATTAATTTTCAGTGTTACGGACTCAAGATCAGCTTTTCCTTGGTGTAAATAATATATTATTAGACCAGCTTGGTTGGCTAGAGGTATAATTCTACCAGTTCAATATCTATAGCAATCGTGGTGGAAATTACCAGCCCCGAAATGCAATCCCATGGTCTAGATGAATCATTGGCCTCACTACAAAAAAACGCATCCAGAGGCTCTTTATTCTACCTATAAGATCCTGCTGCATCAAGCAAATCCAGCAAAACGAACCACCTAGAGCTGGAAAAGACTCAGGTACACGCTCCAGCCAAACCCGACAGTATTACCAACCAGCATACGATACTCGAATGGAACCACGACTAGATTCAACAAGCACACAAATGGCCATACTTTGTACGACGCGAGAATCATCTGCCAGAAATCCTGCGTCACGGTCAGCAGCAGGTCGGAGCCCGATGTTTCGCATTTTGGCATACCCTCTGGAGGGTGTCCAAGATCTGTGCCCATTCAAGTCCCTTGAACATGCCCATCACGACGATGAAGAGCATTGTGTTCACACCAGCGCCAAGACTCTGGTCGAGGAGGAACTTGATTGCAGTATTGCTCACTGAAAGCCTGTCACCCTTTTGGGATGGTACAAGTCCTTTGTCCAGATTCCCTACATTCTTTTTCTTTATTGCTGGGAAAGAGTTCTCAAGCCATTCCTGCCACAAAAAGTTGGGTGGTGTGCTCAACAGCGCAAAAACCGTAAAATATACGAATGCGGCAGAGTCGATAGCAGAGAAATCCTAGTGATCCTATTAGATCAAAGCTAGCTATGACGGCAGGTGAATATACTTTGTGCTGGTATATTGCGAGGCTCTGTGCGACGACGTTTGATGCTGCGCTCATCAAAGCGGCTTGAAGAGTGGTATCGAGGATTGGAACGCCGGTAGCCATTGGAAAGGATTGTTAGAAGCTTGACGATGAGGCCAGATGTCTTAGGGATAGTGACAGAAGCTTTTTTAGGGATATGTTTTGTTCCGCGAGGTAGGTGTCGATTCTGTGACCAGTATATCTGCTGCCGATTAGCGATATGAATTGTGCCCATATTTATCAGACTCTTGCCTGAGCCCAACAGAGCAAATCTATTCCCAGAACCCACTCAATACCCGCCAGCACTTGCAGCTCAGACTAAAGGCTCAATCAAGTCATGGGCTTTTCGAACAGGAAAATTCTAGTAATTGTGCCCCTCAAATTTAGCAGGAAACGAAGCTGCACAAGACTTCGAGCGCTTACGAGCACCTGCTCGGCTGATGAAATCTTCGACCCTCTGCTGCGGGTTGCGGCCCAGATCTCGGACATTCAAACCGCGCCCTGGCAAATGACTACATGGCATAAAGACCCGGAAGCAATAACACAGTCTCTCGGGATCCGACGAGCGGAAAGCTCGTCGGTGTGTTTGTCGGGAGCCGGCGTGAGCAGGGCAACCATCTAGGCTGTGATGTGCGTCCGATAAACTCCCCAGAGATATACTCGTATCATGTGACCTCTCCCACTTTCGCCCACAACAGGGGTAATTCCCTGTTAACGCCCTCTGGGGTTCATGAAAGCATCGTTGTATCGTTGGCTCCATCCCCTCTACATGCTCGTATAGGTACCTAGCTGGTAACTAACGGAGATCGGTTTGCAGATCTGGAGGGGTTCTGGGGCACAGAACCGTCTCTATTACTTGTACACTACATCGTGGCGCGGTGGCATTCCCACTCACTACTCTGTACGTGCCCCTTGGCCGAAGTTGGTTCTCGAGGCGTAAAACCCGAAGAATTACCCATGGGGCTAGTCTCTGTTTCTTCTACTGAAGTAACGGCTAGCCCACTGGAGAAATCCAACTCCAAGTCTGGAACAGTATTAACATTAACCCTGTCTCTCCATTCCCTTACTTTCAAGCATTGGTCCGTGTTCGCGCCACCACTTCCCCATTCCCATTGCCCTATCCAAGTACTCTGGCTTCAAGATATATGAACCTCAAGAATGCCTCTCAAGGAGTTTGAGCTGGCAGGCTTCCACGCAGCATTTGAACATCCTCTACAGTCACAAATATCACTCCCTCTCCCTCCCATCACAGGATGGAGAAGAACACCAGCTCCGGCGTTGAGCACGTTGAGACAAGCACGCCTGTTGCTGGCCCCCACGATGAGGCGATAATCGAGGGCAAGACGCTCGAGCAAGCAGCAGAACAAGGCACCATTGACGAGATGGATCTCGATGTTCGTGCTGCTATCAAAGCCTATCCAGCCGCCATTCTTTGGTCCCTGGTCTTCTCGACCTGTGTCATTATGGAAGGATACGACACCAACCTCTTGTCAAACTTCTTTGCATATCGTGAGTACTCACGGATCCTAGCTTTCTGCCGGGAACATTGCTGACCTTTCCTAGCATCTTTCCTGATTAGATATGGTAACTTTGTGGGCGTAACACCGTCAACCCCCGTCGGATACCAATTGACTGCTGCGTGGCAAGCGGGCCTCTCGCAATCCGGTGGCGTCGGCTCCATCATCGGATGTATTGTTAGCGGCTACCTGGTCTCCAAATTCGGCTCTAAACCTGTTGTCCTGGGTGCTCTTATTGCCTTGTCGCTCGCTGTTTTCGTCGTCTTCTTCGCGCCGACCCTCACTGTCCTTGTCGTCGGTGAGATTCTTTGCGGCCTCCCTTGGGGTGTTCTGGCCACCACTGCTCCAGCTTACGCATCTGAGGTCCTCCCAACGGCTCTGCGCACCTACATGACGTCGTATACTAACATGTGCTTCATTCTCGGCCAACTCATCTCTGCCGGTATTTTAAAGGGCCTTTCTACTCGCACTGATGAGTGGGGTTACAAGATTCCATTCGCTATCCAATGGGTCTGGCCAGTTTTCCTTATCCCACTTGTTTACATGGCTCCAGAGTCTCCATGGTACCTTGTCAGAGTGGGCCGCATCGAAGAAGCGGAGAAATCTCTGCGCCGCCTCCAATCTTCAACGGCCACCAACATCGATCCAGGCAAGACGCTCGCTGCTATCATTTATACCAACAACCTCGAACAGCAGCTTTCTGTCGGAACCAGCTACTGGGATTGCTTTAAGGGCTTCGAGCTTCGCCGTACCGAAATTTCTTGTCTCGTCTTTGCTGGTCAGATCCTTTGCGGCATGAGCTTCGCATACAATAGCTCTTACTTCTTCTCTCAAGTTGGCCTCGGTACTAGCGCTACTTATTCTCTGTCCCTCGGCGGGACTGGCCTTGCGCTTGTTGGCTGTTTTATTAACTGGTTCGGCCTGATGCCATACTTCGGTCGCCGTACGATCTACGTAGCCGGATTAGGTGGTATGTGCTTCGTCCTGATTCTTATCGGTATTCTCAATGTCTGGACGGCGAAACCATCGGTAGGAATGGCCCAAGCCGTTCTCACCTTGCTCTGGACTTTTACCTTTCAACTCTCCGTAGGCCAGCTCGGATGGGCCCTCCCTGCTGAAATGGGCTCCACCCGCCTCCGGCAAAAAACTATCTGCCTTGCTCGTGATGCCTCAAACATCACTGGAGTTGTTGTTGGAACTCTTCAACAATACTTCATGAACCCTCAAGCCTGGAATCTCAAAGGCTACACGGGATTCGTGTGGGGCGGAACTTGCTTTCTGATGTTCGTGTGGGCTTACTTCCGTCTTCCTGAGACTTGGAACAGATCTTACCACGAGATTGATATTCTTTTTGCTAAGAAAGTCCCGGCTAGAAAGTTTGCCAGTACTGTTGTTGATGCCTTCAATGAGCATGCCACCGCCAAACTTGTGGAAGAGTATGGTAACAATGCCTCGAACCATGTGTAGAGGATCCTGTTATCCGCGCTGATATCAAAGACATTTCTCAGGTGGCGCGTCCCATTTTCAAGTCGATTACGAGATGTAGGAGTGGGTAGTTATCACACCATTGGTGTCCATCCTTCGATATCCTTCCTCTGTTCTATGCTGCACTTGTCAGTGCGGATACAGAACTGTGGTGGTTTAGTTAATACATAGTGGCTGCCTGCATTTCTAGAGTTATATTCACAGCACCGGCACTTCAGCACACGGTTTTTCGGATTTTTTCAAATTTCAAGAACAATTACTATACAAATGGAGCTTTGCTCCTTTTTAGTTTTATGTGAACATCGTGATTCATGCAGGTCCTGTGAACGATCTAGGTATGGCTGTAGCTCCCCCCGCAACCCGAACCATGATTGCCGAACTCTATTCTACAACTACTAGCAGGTCAACCTCGGCCAAGCTTCCGTCCTTGGCCCTTGGCCCTTGCGCCTTCCCCATACCCCGCTAAGCACAGACCCTTAGGTACCTAGGTACATGTACATGCACCCCACTGAAGACCCCTGAAGCCGACGGGGGGTGAGCCCAGGTCCCAGGTCACGATGATCTGATCTCGTATCTCGCAGCATCGCAATCCTTTTCACTTAACATCCCCATCCTATATACCTTATATATATATATCTCTCTCTCCCTCTCTCAGTAATCTCAGTTTTGGCGACTGCCCGCCATGCCGCCAGTCCCCAGACAACAACGGCAATTCAGGCAGGCATGTGACAACTGTCGTGTTCGAAAGACCAGGTGCGACCGAACCACGCCCTGCAGCATGTGCGCCGGCCAGTCCATAACCTGTAGATATAACGATGTGCTCGACAGAAAAGGCCGAAAGCATGGCAGAGGCCGGTTGATCTCGCAGCTACGAGAGGCAATGAGAGAACAGTCAACGCACGATCACGATCACGATTCAACCCATCACGACCAAAGTCAAAGTTTTACTGGCATCATCATGCCCAATAGCCCAACCGGACGCCCAGAGCCACAGGAATCGGTACCGGGCTTCGATGCTGCGGACTCGCAATTCTGTGCAGACTTGCCTCCACCAAATATCCTACCTTCCGTGGCGGCCGACACTCCCAATGAAATTAGCCAACATGGCGGTCGATTATTGCCCACCACGCTTCTTGCCCATATTCACGTCTTCCTTAAGCATCTCTTCCCGATAATGCCTATTGTCAACGCTGAGGAGTTGCTTCGCGATGGTAATCGGCCAGAAAGCCTTTCGGCCCCACGCTATGTTTCCATCGCAGCACTCTGTGCTGCCACTCACATTCAACTCAAGTTGGATGGTGTAGAAAGCGTGGCCGAAGTGGAAAACCCAACAGCCACAGACACGATAGCTAGGTTCACCGACGAATTTATACTGTCCTGTGCCTTGAAGGCCCGGGAACAATACGACATTATAGAGGATTCGGGAATCGATAGCTTGTTGAGCTCGTTCTTTCTCTTCGCTGCATACGGGAACTTGGACAAGCAGAAACATGCATGGTTCTATCTCAGCCAATGCCTCTCTCAGTCTAACGCTCTTGGCCTACACAATGAATCAACATATTCGGGACTGGACCCTGTGGATGCAGAGATGAGAAGGAGGATATTCTGGATCCTTTTCGTGACAGAAAGGTTCGCTAAACCGGTCTGCTATGAGATGCACCCCCCCTTTTAACAACTAGAGTCTAGGACATACGCGCTTCAGCATGCGAAACCTGCCATCTTACGCAGCTCGATTCAGAAGCCGCAAATATTTAGTTCTGAGTGTCCCGCAATCATTTATGGCCTGGTAAATCACATCTGCTTGTTCGAGACGCTGCCAAATGACCTCTATAACTTCGTTTTCTCCAATTCAAGTTACCATCCTGAACAGCCCACGTTAGCAGCATCTATCAGCGGCGCGTTGTGTGACGTGAAGCTATCTAAATCAGTGGTGGAAAGCCAGCATCTTGACACCTTAGTCACCCGAGAGTGGTTGAAAATTTCAATGTGGAAGCTCTCGTTGGGGTGGCGTCCGAACTCGTTTCCGACCAGCGGACCTTTACTTCCATTCATTTTGCCGTTTTCAGCTGGTAAATTAACAATGGAGGCTTTGGCATCCGTGAATGAGTCTTCGAGGGACGCATGCGGAATTGCAATGGTAGGCGATCTATAAACGTTTGTCTTAGTACCTGATTGATTAACCATAGTGTAGGAGCAGAAACTTTTCGATATCGGGGTCTGTGTTGCGGACACGGCTCTTGCAGCGTCGGGCTCATCCATGCCAGTAGTATGCGACAACTTTTCAGTGGGTCCAATAGATCTACTTAGTGCATTGTTAAAGTCTCTTGCCAATATTCGAGGAGCTCAGTCACATTTATTCAACGTTTTGTTGAAGCGATCCGACCCCGTTCTGAGGTTCCTATCCCCAAGACTACTTGTTGAATGGCCAAAGAATTTCGAATCCTCTATTTCTCCTGGAACTATGTACTCTGACCAGCTAGGACCACAAGGAACAAACGACAACTATGTCGATGATATCAACTATAGCAGTGAGCTCACTTGCATATAATTTGTTTGTATCTAGGGTGCCCGACAGCTGTACATTGGACATAGAAGCATTATATACAAATATATACATAATACCAAGCAAGTGAATGGCCCTCCTAAGGCAATGAACAAATTTGGCGTTTATTCTATATTCTGATCTCTAATCACAGTACATTTGGCACTCTCTTGAACAGTCCGAGAGCTTTGGCTTTAAGGTATGCCTGTACTTTATCAGTAGCCAGCCCTCCTAATGGGGAAACTAAAGCTGCCCCCAAAGTAATAGCAATGTAATACAAGCCGCTTATCTAGATGGATTGATAATATCTCGCTGTCCAAATATCGGCAAACGTTGAAGTAGCAAGGTAGTATAGTCCGAAGTAGTAAGCTAGATAGTACTAATCGAACTAGTAAACTAAGGATAGCCTCAGATCGGCAGATTAGTAGTTGGGTAGGTGACTACTAGCGAATACCTGCTGTTGTATATTTTATTTTATTTTTTAATAAGAAAAACTAGCCCAATTATACGAAGCGATTGTCGTTAATGGAAAGGCTGTTGTTGATAGGAACGATGCCAATGGGGGGTTCTGATGCCTTTAAGCGGTGTTAGTTTTGAATTCTTATCGGGATCTGAAGGGGCAAGGGTTATGCGGTACTTTGGTGGTAAATAAGCAGGTGTTCCTCCGTCCAGGTGCACAGGTTGAAGAGCACGTTGAATACCTAGGTAGGTAGGTAGACAGTCCAAAGTCGCAGGTCTTTGCCCAGTCGTCCAGAATGCTTGGCTTTTTACCCCAGACGCTTGGGCGTTAGTACTCGAGTACGTACCTTAGGTGCATGTACTTGAGCCGAGCCTGCTTTAATCAAGCAGCTGACCGGGTAGGCCCGAGCAAGGGGCGAGCACACTAACGCGGCCTTCGGCTATAGTTTCTAACTCGACATAAATACCACCCAGCCCCAGCTGCTCTGCTCTCCTTCTATTATCAACCTCTTCTAACCTTTCTAACTCGCCACTTGGCCTTATTTATACGCTTGTAACCCCTAAAGTCACTTTACCTCCTTCGCAGCAGCCGACAATACCTACAATGCTAGGCATTCTAACGCCACCTCGAGTACGATTGCAAAGATGTGTTTCTACGTCCGTTTGAATCGTCTCCCTTCGAAATAAAAGACTGGCCCGGACACAACTTCTCTCTGCACCCTAGTCCCACTTCTTGTTGGCTTCAGCGCAACCTCCATGCGTTTGCTACTATCCCTAATATGGCGGCCAGAGGCAGAAACCTGTTCAGGCTTGCGGTGCCGTGTTTGATGGTACAATCCGGATCATGCGATACGAGACTTCATCCTGCGTGTTAATCGTGGATTGACGGAGCTAGGCTGGCACATGGGTGGAGACGGAGGCAAATTTGGTGTTTTATCTAGAGTATGAAAAGGTACGTTTGATGTTTTGATTCTGGTCTTAGAACGGGACGGCAATGAGGGGCAGCGTGATAATTCGAGGTCTCTTATGATTCAGGGCAATCACTTTGCAGCACTAGAACAGCCATAATTGTTGATGGGAGACATAGAGCAGTTTGTTGAGGAGGTTTGAGTCAAGTAAGCTATTGAAGCGATATAAATTCCGCAGCCACGACTACAGATGAAAAGTCAACCGAAAGCCTATACCACTCAAACTAGCTTTAACCTTTTCCTTCATATTTCCCCGAGCCTGAACTTTCAATCACCGCCTGCTCGTAAAACGCGGTAAGTATGGTGGAGCATCGGGGAAGTGATGCGGTACTTACTGCTACGACGAGACTTGACCAGTGCGAACATGAGTCTGCCCTGACTTATGACTGTCTTGAGGATAAGTCTATTTTCCATAATGCTAATCAAGTTAGCAAAAATTTCGATAAACAAGAATATTAACTAATTGATACTCACAGGATCACTTGGTTGTGGCTGTGGTTGCTGAACTTCCTCTCCCTCATTCCAGTCTTGGAACGGCTCCGGTGTGTAACTTCCCATTATACAACAAGGTCTTGGCTGTGTTGAAGTTGGAAGCTGGTACGATAAAAAGCAATATCTCTCTTTGTCTTTCCAATTCCGAATAAAAGAGGGTCAACCAAATCTATGAGCACGTAAAACCAGATTCCTAAAGTAATAGCTCTGTGGGAAAAGTATCGTCAACCTCGAAGACATCGACTTCCACTTTATAGACGGTCACCATGACCACCGCAAATACTCGCAAACACATTTTTATCAGTGCAAATTTTTGCGAACTCGTCCTGCGATCAACTTAGACTGCGAGGCTTCGCACCTGGTACTCTCGCTCAGGGGTAGCGAGGCTACGTCCATCCTGAGGCATTCAAGCTGATGTGGCGCTGCGAGGCTTCGCAACTTCCATCTTTTGCACTCTTGCCACAGAATTGCGATCCCTCTTGCACGAATAGTACCTCGAATGCCTTCTGTATCACGCACGAGACTCATCGAAAAGGGATCGAGGGTTCATCCCAGCATCTTTGTGCTTGAGTGCCGATTTTGAACTTCTATTGATCATCTGCTCGGCAGGAGCTTTTGTTATTTGCAGCCTGGAGTCTTTTCAGCCGTGCTTCTGAATATCGGCACATCCTTCAGTTTGGCCTGCGACTTCGGGTTCGGCGTCGCTTCAAAGAGATCATCATGCCAGAGCGACTCCCTGAAAACTTCGACGTGTTGTCAGATCCTAGGTTCTGGACATCTGAAAAGGCATCCACTTTCGATGCGGATCCGATCTACTCGTACTCGGAGTATGTCGACAAATTGGGCGACCTGGACCCTCCTTCGCCAATTTCCACAGAACCACCATCAGCAGAAACATCAGGAGACTTTACCTCTCTTTTTTCACCTGCCGAATTAATAACACCTTCGACGGCGCTGTCAGCTCCATCTTCTCCTCGGGATATTGCATCGAGGTTCAACACACATGAGGATAAGAGACATCGCTGTACCTATTTGGGCTGTCCTATGAGCTACAAACGAACCTCTGAGCTACTACACCACTATCGGCACCATATTAATAAGAGAGCATATGATTGCAATGTACTTGGATGCAACAGACGTAATGGGAATGGTTTCTCCAGAAAGGATCACCTCAGGCAGCACCTGAGAAAAGCCCATGCAATGAATTTGAAGCCGACGAACGAGAGCATGATGATGTACGACACCAACCGGACAGATAGGTAACCTTCATCTAGGTGAATATTCTCATGTAAATCTGCTAATATCAAGCAGAGGGACTTTTGATAAACACCATTCTACTCCGAGGGCTTGTCCGCCAGAGACCGCGATGGTCGATCAAGTCCTTTGGACAGGTGTGGACTTCATGTCCGAGCAATATCAAGGCCAAAAAAGCGAGTCGACAAGGCCCTTTCCTGACTCCATAGCAGTTTCGACTGAGAAAGGTTCTTCGATACTTTCTTCTAATACCACAGATGCATTTAAAGTAACGGAACGACATCAACTCAAACCAGAACCTTATTCACAATGTCTTAAGCCAGATCAAAATTCCAGCACCTTAGACGCCCAGGAAAGTCGGTCCAGCAGGAGTAAACGACATCCGTTAGGTGGAACGATATTTGTAATGTCGGAACAAGACCAGAGTCTGGAGCAGCAAGGAATGGCAGACGGAAACGAGAACGTGGGAAGTCCCGAAATGATTGAGGCCCAAGACGATAAATGGAAAGAGCTCCCTATTGCTAGAGAACAAACAACGCCGTGCGGCGAAAACATTCTTTCGAATACAGCACCTGGAATTCTGGCGGACCAATCGAATTCCGTTGAGAGCCCCAGCGAAAAGTTCTTGGATGACCTCTTCCAAGAATGTGGTGATCAGATTTCTTCATCTCCTGCCTCGTCTTTCATCTCTCACGCGAGCGAGAATACACAGTCCTCGTCCAGCTCCCCGCCAAATGTTTCAACGCCCTCTACTTCCTCAACGAGTAAACGTGGAGCTCCTAGAAAGAGGGCAGAAAAGAATGACGAGGAGGAGAATAATGGTGAGAACCGAGGATACAAGAAACCTAAGCTTGATCCAACTCGGGATCCACACCGTTGCAAAATTACAGGTCGGAGGCTTGCCTGTCCTTTCCACATATTCGATTCGGAAAATTATTGCAAGAACGGCACCACGGGGGCCAAATACAATACCTGTTCAGGTCCAGGGTTCTCAGAGTGGCATTATTTAAAGTAAGCCCCCTCGCTCCATACTCGTTGAGTCGCTGACCGCATGTATCTCCTGAAAGGCTGACCTTTTAGACAACACTTAGGGAAGTCCCAAAGCGCAGTACACATCAAGATTCGATGTCCTCATTGTCTCGCACCTTTTAAGACCGCTACTGCTGTCCTACAGCATTTGGAGTCTCAGTCCTCAGAATGCTCACAGGACCAAACTCATCTTGCCGAAGACGATATTGATAAAGACACGTGGAATAAGATAGATCAAGAAGTTTCGAGGCAAGGGTTCGCAGGACTTCCACAGCTGGTTCGCCAATCGATTGACGATCTGGTCTCAAGGAACCTGGACGCCTACGCCCCAGAGAAGTCGATCGAGACTCGCAAGACTGAACTGAGGAAGTGGTACATGGTATGGAAGATACTGTTCCCCGGGACTAGTTGCCCACGACATCCATGTAGGTACTGAAGCTTTTGCAGGCTCTTCGACAAGCTGACGACTTTGAGTTTATGATGACGAGTCTTCCATGTCAATGACCAAGACGGGTCGTCTTGTCAAGACTTTCAAAGAAACGGTTAATTCTACGATCGAAGCAGGGGAGATTGAGTGGATCGACGACGAGACCTTGGAAAAGTTGCAGGAGTGTTTGCGAACCGCTATACAAACCTCATCTAGAATCAACCAAGAGCCACTAAGCGTTCAATTGCCCAATTCATCCCCATCTCCCCAACCACTTCCGGTGCCAAACTTCGGGACTATGGAGGATACCAGAACGACCAACCTTCCGTCTCCTTACAGAACTTCCTCTAGCTTCACATCTCCAACGATTCCGCGACAATCCTTTGGCAATAGCACAACTCTACAAAGGAGCGGTCATAATGAACTGATTGGTGAGTCATTCTCTGACTACATGGGAAGAGGTAATCATACCCCTATTATCTTCTTCTATCCGGATATTTTCTGATGATGGTAATGCAGTTTTTCCGGAGGCTCAACATTCTCGATCTAATCCTTTCAACACCCACGGTCAAATTAATGTCGAGAATCAGATCAACAGTTTTGACGTCAACTCTACAGCGAATGACAGTCACGTTAACCTTAATGGCGCAGACTGGGATCGAATGCTGAGGGAGCTAGAGTGGGGTCGAATGCTGAGGGAGCTAGAGTGGGATCCTGCGTGGGACAACCTCGTGCAACTCAATGGTCCCACTGCTAGGAACACCCAATCGGCTGGCGATGTACTACCGTTGCATGATCAGGACGATTGGGCTGCACCGCTCTTCGAAGATCAGGGGCCTGCAAGCGAGGCGAATAGGGGGGACCGCGGATAATGATAATCGGGGAAACGTTGATTTTACGCCGGAACACCCCTTGAGTAATGAGGAAATAGAAGCCTAGAAAGACATATACTCCTAAATTCAAGACAAAAGATCTTGTACTAATTCCTTGCGTAGAAAATCTTCTGCGAGCGAAATGAGGTATGCTTAATATAATAGCGCAGCTCTCGGAGCACGCGCCTTGCTGGGGGGCCGTGGTGCTCTCTTTCAGGGCACTTCGCTGGGGCTTTGGTCACGTGCTCCCGCGCCCAACTATCCTCCCGGGCGCCAGGCGCGATTTTGCACGCATTCACCTTATTAATTCATTTATTAATCAACTACGCATTATATCGTCTAGGACTCTTGGTGCACTATAGCCCTAGCCTTTCTTTATAATTGACGGCTTTTAAGTAAAAATTATAGCTAGGTCTGATCGCGATTTAATTATCGTAAGTCGCGCACACGCAATACTCTGCAAAGGTCGAGGTGTGGTGTTCTTGCACGTGAGCGGGGTTTTTATAGCCAATCGCTTAGACTTCGCTTAAATAATTTCCAGAACTATTCCAAATATAGAAGTTTATTAAATATATTTTATTTAAATAAGTTTATTTATAATAAAAATATAAAATACGAATTCGCAAAGCGAGGCTTTATTTAATAATACTTAATTAGTACTTAATTAGTATTTATTACGCCTAAAAGAGGACTAGTAAAGAATAAATTTTAGGCTCGAGGATTTGCCAGGGTGTGACTTGTCGACTTCGCTTGTTAGGGTCGGCGCAGTTTGTTCATAAGTCGATTGATACCGAACAAAACACCTCGGAAACTTGAGGTTTTGACCTCTGTTTTCTGAGGGTTTCGTTTGCGCTCGGACCTGATAAACGAAGCCGACGGGAGGATTACTGTAACGTGAATTACTAAGTACACCCCTGGCACCCTTTTCAGCCCCTTTTTTTACTCATACACAGCCCGGCCGACATCTTTCCCGTCGATTCGTTGAACGTTGCGTCTACACATTGATTATGTACCGCACGTTTGGGAAAGGGTAGATCTCGTCAATATGTCACAAGCTGACGTCCCCGCCGTCGATGCGGATGGAAACACGCTGTTCCACGAAGTTGTCCTGGAGATCAGCCATGGCGTGGAGGAATTGGAAAGGATCTCCAAGCTGGGTGTTGACATCAATCAAGCCAATAATCTGGGACGTATCCCTTTGCATGCACTTTGCGGCAAGGGATGGCACGATGCCATTCTGTCAAAGCAACTAGTGAAGCACACGCGATGGATATTAGAGCGAACCACGAATCCCGATGTGGCTGATGCGGAGGGTATTAGGCCTTTGCATCTTGCATCGATGATGTCTGAATACTTCGTGAAGGAACTACTCGCTTCTGGTGCTGATCCTGCCGGGGCAACTCATGAGGGTCTTACTCCGCTACATCTTGCAGCTCGCGCTAGAGAGAGCAACGTGGTGGGGATGTTGATTTCGGACCTCACCAAGTCACGAGATACCGAGGATAAAATTGCAAAAGGAGTGCAACACCTAAACGCCAAAGACAAGAGCGGCCGTTCTCCTTTACATTACGCCTGTCGCTCTGGCAGCCACGAGACTGTGGCCTGACTCTTGGATGCTGGTGCAAATTTCGAAGCGGTCGATCACGACGGCAAGACCCTTCTTGATGCCTGTGCAGAGTTTGAAGATGAGGAGAAGCTTTGGGCTGAAGGCTGGAAGCCAGCGTATACGGACTGGGATAATATTTGGAAAACTGCTATATCCAAAGATTGGGATCATGTTGCTGTCGGTGGCTACAGAATCCATGACGAGCTGCGTCCTTGGGTTTTGCCGGGCAAAGCAGCAATTGTCGCCTTTCAGAAGACCTATGATGGACCTTGGACGGAAGCTTACCCGGGAATAAGGTCGCCCCATGACACGACTCGGCTTGAGGAGATTCTGCAATTGCTATTCGAGTCTGCCTTGAAACGAGAGGGGCGTATTAAGTCTATGGCCGCCACTGTTGACCGATGCATTGAGCGTTGTGAGACAGATGGTCATACATACACTTTGCGGTGCTTGAAGCATTTAAAGACGAAGCTTGAGGCTGCAACCAAACCAGGAGCTACTATACAGCAGCTCGTAATCAACGATGACTCCAACAATATTCACGAAAAAGATCAATCTCTTCTTCAGTCCGTTGGCAGCGATTATTTTCGCGAGCACGACTACATTGAGACGCAAGCGGTGGACCAACTCCTAAGAATGCGAGAATGGGATGTAATAGAGCGTCTTCTTCGCCGTGGATCTTGTTCCACGGAGTTTAAAACCCTTGAAACAGGAAGAATTTTACGCCTTCTCGTCAAGCATGGCTATGCAAGCCTGCTTGCAACTATATTCTGCTCTGACGACCCACCGTTCGCGGCAGTGAGCGATCTAGACGGAACAGTCGACCCGCTTATCTTCGAAGCCTGCCAAAGAGCTCTACCAAACATGGATGTAATCCGCGTGTTGGTTGAGAAAGTGCACGTCGATGTCAACGCCAAGAGCAGAACTGCAGAAAAGAGAATGGCAGACCTGGAGGAGGAACTGAGAGAAGAAGTGGACCCGGATTATGACTATCTTCAGGGGAGGAATATGGCGCTTCACGACCTTGCTTTGGGGCGGCATTGGTGGGCTGTGGTGCAAGGAATTCCATACTTGGTGGCTTCGGGGGCGGAGTTGGAGCAACTCAATGAGGAGGGTCATACACCTCAACAGTATGGGAAAGCGCTTTGCCACATAGGCACCTTTGGGACAGAGGCGGAAGAAGCACTTAAGAAATTTTAAAGCTAAGATTTCTCGAAGTAAAAGCTAGATTACGGAATATTGAATTGAACACTGTTTCTAGATGATTTCACTTTTTGCGCCGTAACTTCTATCTATTTACGGGTGCTTATAGCACTATTGTTCCTTAAAAATCACGCCACAAAGATGTTACCGTCTAGGATATAGATGACATAAAGAGTTCAGTTTGCCTATTTAAAGGTATATGATACTACCTATTCTTCTTGAATCTGCAGCACGTTATAAGGGCCTTGAAATAGAGGGGTCACTTGGTTATTACTAGAGAGTAGTTCGATTTTCTGTGTTATCTAAGCTTAGGAGTACTAGTAACTAGTCTTTCGTACCTTAAGGTTAACTCCGGAAGTACTATAATTCGGGTAATTTAAGTTGAGTCGATAGACTAAAATTTACTCTATAATATTATTCTAGCTTTCTTTTATTACTATCTCGCTTGAATGCTCTTAGTTTTCTTTTAATATTTATATATATTCTCTAAACTTAATATTATTATATACTTTTCACTTATAACTATATCCCCGGGCTTACATGCCTCCGATTGAACCTGTATTCAAGGCAGTTGATGAATCATTTTCTAATGAGGACTTAGCCCACGTCAATGTGCCCTCCAGATCACAGATTATTGAAGCTTGCCAGCGTAAAGAGGAAGGACATCTTCAAACTACGTCGGCTGCAAAAGAGACATCCCTCAAAAGTCCCACTGACAAGTTAAACAGCGAAGATGTCGGGGGCTCCGGGCTTTCTACTCTAGCGCATCATGTCAGTGTTGGTATTGATGCATTTCTTGATGGTTCGTACACGGAGTACTTTACAGAATATATTACTAATGATCGTGTCAGAGATACTTCAATCAGATCTTATCCAAGGCAGGTTCTTTTATGTGTGTAACCACCAATGCTTCCACAAAGCATATCGCTGGTGTGCCCAATAACGGCTGTGGAGGTCAGCCATCCGCGCCGCCAAGCAGAACACCGCCTCGTATTTCTGAGCAATCAACCCCGTACACAACCCAACCTGTGATCTCTACCAATGGAGCGGAACGAGGAAGGCATGTATGGGATATCAAGACGAGCAATAGCCAAGCCTCAGATATAAGCTTTATGGACCACGAGTATCCTCCCATTGCCTGCCCCAGCTCATCTAGCATGCCACAAAAACAGTATTTGAAAGAATGGTACCGGTATTGCTGCCAGTGTGGCTTCGACGTTGCCATGACCGCACAAGACACGGCTTATGTCGAGTTTCACCGGACTCATTGTGATGAATGTCGCTGGGAATCATACTACACCTTCCTAGAGCTATAGAATAGGTATATGCTAAGGCTAGCATGGCAACCATTGACTGCTAAATAAAACATATATTTAGCACGTTCACTCCCCCTAACATCTTGTGTATGTGGGATTGTACATGTACTTTTGCCACAATAATGGTTGCTCTCTTCATTACATTTCCTGTATGGGGGGACGTCCCTGCAGCATTCAGCATGGGCACATCGACGTACACATTCCGGACTATTTTGCTTTCAGATAGCTACAACTAGACACCATACACTCTGTGGCCCCTCAAGGCCATATGTTGAATCCCATGCCACAAAGATGGGACCTTTTTCCAATTTTCCAGAGATGATGGCACTTTAACCACACCATCAATGATGGATTATGACCAATTTCCTGCCCCTCAAGCATTGATGAATAGCCATTACACTTGTTGTGGCCACTTTCTTTTTTATAGCGAGGCTATTGTGTGTGCGTCGAAAAACACTCCCAGGCTAGGGGCCGCTTGTCTGAGCACCCCCATCCATTGATGCTTAGTTTAGTAGCCTAGCTGTTTCTTATAGCCTGTCCACTATTCAGCAGATTTGACACTTTTTTGATCATCAACTACGTCCAAGGTTTTGAAATGTGGGCCATCAGGGATACACGCTTAGCCACAGGATTTACCTCCTATAGCTCTAAAGCTAAATCGGAACTCAGCTAAGATAGCGAATTTGTTCACTGCGTTTGCATATGGGAAGGAGTCATGGAGTCGATTTGATGCAGAGAAAATAGCTCTTGCGATTTGGACCGGGTGGAGAACATGGGTGGAAGACGAGTGACAATGATGAGATTAGGGACTATGGGTATCTAGATTGGCTGAGGGAGCATTTCGAGGAGACGCGAAGGCTGGTCTTCAAACTCTAGTATGGGCTAGCTCGGTGAAACACAGCATGTGCCATTGTCTCACTCCCATCAAGCCGGAATTTTCATATTTTCATGTCATTTTAAGCCCACTGCAGGATCTTGAGCCGGCTGATGATCCGGTTTGAAAATCCTGAAACGTATATAAAAAACCCAAGGCCTTCAAGTTGTACTCCCATTTTTCTCTGGCAAGCAGCAATCTCAAGCAGGAATCTCCCCCGGCGCATGTCTAAATTTGACACCTAGCATGGGGCCAATTTTGCAACACAGCGACCTCGTCCTCTTCATCTCCTCCCACATTAACACCATTAAGCAACATTTTAATCCCAGGGTTGCTTCATTTGTGGGTGCAGTCGATACTAATGAGGGCTGAGATGATAACGTGGCCGGTTTCATTATCACTCAAGATCTCGTGTGCATGAGCCTTCAGATACTTGGATTATACATTATTTACACCTCAGCTGCTCCAATAGTACCAGCACTCTCGGTAGAGCTTCTCGGATCTTTCTTCTTGCAACCAGGTGATCCTTTTACGGCATCAGAGGGAGATAATGCAATGAGAAATGATGCCAGACAACGGGTTTCTCTTTTGGGTAGCTCATCCCCAAGAGAGTCACAATCAAGACTGTATTCCATAAAAACTTAGCAGGCAGTCCTCAATTTCGCCACTCCGCTAAAGAATGGGTATATGGACATATATATATTAAACTTTACAATTTCATCCATCTACAAGCTCCTCGGCGTCGTCACTGTGCAAGTTCGATTCTTGTACAATGTAGCTCTGTCCAAAACCGTCCCATTCTTTGACGCCACAAAATCGTGTGTCAAGTGTGTGCAGTTGTGGAATGTAAGCCTGGACCATCCGTAGATGCCATCATTTGTATCGAGACCAAAGCGCTGATAGGGTTGTGCGGGACTTGCGAGGAAGTCAAGACCATCGTAATGGCCTGCTGCGCCATTGGTTACTGCGAAAGATTAGCTGGCCTGGCTGAGACAGCATGGGGCTGGGGGATTACTTACTGTACCATGGAGCGCTTGGGTTGTTCAACTCATTCGGGTCAATAACCCCATTATCAAGCGGAGCCGATCGCTGATACACATGCGCGTGTCCCGAGATGTAAAGATCGACACCATATTCCAGCAGCAACGGTTCGAAGACATCTTTGCAAGGCCAGCAGATTGTCTTCGACACGTTGGCATAGGATAGATACCAAGGTCTATGCCCCGAAACGATCACCCATGGCGTCTTCTGCCGATCCACAGCCGCTAAATCATTTTTCAGCCATGTCGTCTGCGCATTCATGATATTACTGAAAGGTCCCGAATGTTGGCCCCCGGCTCCACCCGGCTCGTCAACACCAATAAAGCCATGACCAAGATCGGTTTCTGTATCGAGCTGGATATAATGCGCCATTCCATGATCAAACGAGTACCAGAAGTTTCCCGTCCCTCCACTTTGTGCTGATGGCATACGGAAATGATTGATAAAACCAGTGAAGTTGGTTTGGCCTGGCATACAAATACTATCATTATACGTAATGTGCCGTGACGTATCAGTTTGTGTACCTACGAGGCAGTCTGCTTCGTGGTTTCCTGGTCCAACCATGTAGGGCTTCTTGGTTGTGATAGGCGTCATTTCGTCGTAGAAGTTATTCAGGATAGACTCGTATACCTTGTAGCCTTCCGCGATACTAATATTAGGAAGGAATCCTTGGATCTCTTCTTTGAGCCAATAGTCGGCATAAGCCATATCTCCAGCTGGATTTTTTGGTTAGTTTTTTTATGTAGTTCAGGCTCGGACGGGGACTTACGCTGCCAGAGGAAGTCATACGAATCGACCACTGCGGTCAGTGACTGCACCGTGTTGTTGTCATTTGGACCCAGAACATTGGTGGGTCTCACCCCAGCCCCTGCAGTTGTACTCAATCCATCTGGACCCATCGTACCCATATCAATGGTCACCGCAACTGAATATGGAGTCCCATCTCCGGGGCGTCTGCTGGTGCGGAAAGAGTATGGCACCGTGGTCGAATCGTCCGTAAGCAGTGGGTCTGGACGATAGTAGTACACGGTGTCTGGGAGCAGATGATTGAGCGGTACATGATTGTTGTATGTGAGCGAGGTGTTGTATGTTACCGAGACCGTCGATTGCGCAACAAATAGGAGTAGGTATGGCGAGAGGCCGTAATACACTCTTGGTTTCGCAACTTTCACGAAAGTATTCCATGAGACCATCATGCCCGTATTCCCCGCGTATGCGAGGCGCACTTGAGAATTGATGGTGCCGTTGGTCAAAGTGGTGGGAGGTGGTGTGGTGGGAGGTGCTGTTGCACTGCATGGCATCGACATCCCCAAAATGGCGAGGATGTCGATGAGAACTGCTAAAGGCTGCATCTTGAAGTATCTCATCGTCTGCCCTTTGACCTTGAGCTCGAACTTGAAGCCAATGCAATGAAGATATGGAAGAGACGGGCTTGTTCTTTGGAAGATGGAACGACCATGACCCGAATTTTATACCTTGCTACAGTAGCTACAGTAGCTACAGCAGCTACAGCAGCTACAGTAGCTACTTTCCCTCCACCCCGCCATCCGCTAGTCGTTCTTGGCCGCGCCTTTCCGCTCCCGCAGGCGACCTATGGAGTTGCCCCTATTCAGGCCGGTGCCAGTGCCAATAGTGCCAATGCGGGAACGACTTTGCTTGTTTTCTTAGAATCAAGCGAGGGGTTGGAGTTCTTGAAGCTTGTTTGCACGTTATCTAGGGCCTGCGCCTCGGCGCATCTACAGAACGTACTATTGTACGTCGTACTTCGTACCTCCGTACGAGTACGGCTTATTACTAGTGTTCATTACTCTCCCCCCCCCTAATTACAAGTAATTAAAGGGGGGGGGGGGGGGGAGTACGTACTATCTATGGCCCTATAAATAACCATGTAAACGTGGGGATCAGACCACACCCACCGGACCTTCAAATACAAATCCGATTGGACGTCGCGCGGTACGAAGTAAGGTTAATGGCGCTACGGAGTACTCCGTACAGTACTGTAGCAAGTTAGGAAACATCCAAGCAACAACGACGAATCCATAGCATGCCGGAGCTACTAGTACAGTTTTATTGTTTACTTCCTCCCTACTTCGTACTAGTAGTTCCCAGGGCAAGCAAGCGACCCGGGGATGTGGACCCCCTCCCCTCTAGTGCCAATAAGTATTACTAATAACCCTAACTGCTCCGTCCTTGTACCCACCTCGCTCCGCCTCCCGACTCACGCAATCATTGCGCTGGCTGGGAGATGCCCGCGAGAACGAGAAAGCTTGGCTTCACATGCCGAATCGTCCGCTGTGCAAGGAACAGAGACCAAGAACATGGCACAAGCAGCGACCATGACTTGACTTACCTGTGAAACGGGGAAGGCCACGGAGACAGGCCTAAGGCGCAAGGTACGGCGACGATCATGCAGTCCGAGTCAAGACGGCAAGCAAGACCTAGCTCGTAAGGGAAGGAAAGCAGGCCTTATGCAGATGGAACCCTTAAAGTCCAGAACTGTCGTCTTTACCGTGTTGAAGATTGCAATGGTGCAGCGGTCAAGACAGCTTCCCACGTTCCTCTGGAATTCGAAATTCTAGCTCTCGGATATATACCCTTTCATCGCGGGCCTTGTATCTTGTATCTTGTATCTTCCATCTTCCATCGTGTGCCCCTAGGGGCTGCATGAAAGCCACATGCTCAAATTGTTCGATTGCAATACTGTTCATACGAGTCTCTTCTCTCACGTTGACTCCCTGCGGCTACAACCATGGACGAATTGAACGTCGAGCTTCTGGTCCTCTGGTTTCTCACTGGAGGAGCTGCCGCCATCATGCTCTTGCGACTTATACTGAAACAATATCGACGGCAACCAGTTTCTCTCGGTGACTACTTTACGATTGGAGCCATTGTGTCTATCTTGCTGCGAGGAGCTGTCATTCACGTTGCCATGGTTTGGGGGACCAACAGCTTTACCCCGGCTGATCGACAGACAACAACGTTCACTCCTGCAGTCATCTATCAACACGAGGTTGGAGCCAAATTAACGATTGTCAATCGGGCTTTCTACGCAGTATAGTGAGGATTTCAAAACTCGACTCGGGATATTCTGCGTACTAACTTTTTGCTCCTAGCACTTGGCTTCAGAAATGTGTGATAATGTGCGTTCTGCAACACCTGCTGAACGGCATTCTGTTCGAGCGAGTCCTTAAATTCTACTGGGCAACTTTGGGAGTAACATTTTTGGTCGTCTTCATCGTCACATTCACGGAATGCCACCCCTTTAAGCTCTACTATCAAGTGGTGCCTGACCCAGGTGCGGAAGTTCACCATCCTCAGGTGAATATAAACTTACAATAAATAGGAACCTGTGCGAAAGGCATTATCCAACTCGAAGTATTTTCGGCTTTCAACATAGCCACCGATCTCATGCTCATTGTACTCCCGCTTCCTCAGCTCATCAGGATGAAGCGCCCTTTGATGGATCGCCTCCGCCTCGTGGGGCTCTTTCTCGTTGGCTTGACAATTGTTGCAGTGACTTTTACACGACTACTCTTGAACGTTGTTCTCTTTCACAGATCAGGCCAATCGCACAATGTTGCTAACGTCGAGATCATCTGCGCTGCATTCGTCGCCAATGCGCCCACGATCTATGGACTCTTGAAAATGAAGGGACGAAAAAGAGGGAGGGCCGGAGCGCAATACTTGCCGGATTCTTACATTGTATCGAAGTCTGCGAGAGGGCTTGGAGGCAATCTTTCGAGGAGCCATGATCTGGGCTCGGATGGGTTCCAGTCTGGAGATCCTGTGCAAAGTAGTGTGTGGGTTGGGAAGAGTCGGTATGGGAATGAGAGTGATGAAGAGAGGATGATCGTGAGTTTGCTCCTTTTACACCTCCCCGTTACGCTCCTATCGAGCGCTTACTTACATGTCGAATCTGGGTAGGAGCTGGAGGACGCCAGGCCGCCAAATATTCATGTCACGACAACTGTATCTGTCACATAGAGGGGACCAAGTTAAACTTCATTGCTCTCCAGGAGCAAAATGGGTTGGCCGATGTTCGCGGACCTGGCGAGATATCGGAGTACGGGCCGCTCCAGTAACCTTAATTTATCAGAAGCAAACATCACTGCATCATAAACAAACACGTACCCCCGCAACCGTACTCTCGACCTCGGCCTTTTCCATCACCAGTTCAGGCAACATACATCAGCCTCCAAACTCAGCACCACTTCGTTCAATTGCCAGCCTAAGGACGGCAATCACTATGAATGCCAGGCAGAGGCAGCTCACGCCCACCAGCCCACCGTCATTATCGATACTAGAGCCTGCGTCATCAACAACACTACAGCCTAGAACTCAAGCCCCCACTACCCCGATCGAAGATAAACTGCCTCGCCATGGGATATCCAAGGACCGGGCCGAGGCGTGGAACCGCAAGTACAATTATGAAAGTCTGCCGCGGATGCACGAGGATTTCTTTTATGGACTGTTGATCGAGGTGGCTGGCGAGATAAATCCAGCGGATGAGGAGTTTGAGTCCAAAGTAGAGTCCAAAGTGGGGAGTATCATGGAAGAGAAGAGCACCCAGTCTCGCGAGAAATTCGATGATACAGCGTACGAGATTATAGGGACTGGGTTTAAGCTCTTCCAGGACAAGGAATTGTCGAAATCCTGGTATCACTCCTTTCTTGACCCGCACAGTATCCACAGCCTGGAGACTTTCTTCGCAAACTGTCTTCCGGTACTTATCAACAAGCTCCGGGAGCTCCGGGAGCGCAAATCAAAGGGTCGAAAGCGAGGTAGCACCGGTAACACTTGGAAAAGGTCACCCAAAGTGCAAAAGCCAATTCCAGAATCGGATGGGGGAACTGGCACACGACGGAGTTCGCGCATTAAGAAATCACATACACCACACTCCGAGCAAGTACTCTTGCAGGGTCCAATAGATTGATCATATGCTAATGGGGGTCATTTATTGGTGTGGATCAACTTGCTCAAATTCACAAAGAATCGATGGCCACTTCCCTTCTGCGAAGCCCAACAGCTGGTCCTACCTCCGCCTCGATACGCACAAAGGCGTTCCTACACGAAGCTTCTCGTACCCGCCATCCCCCGTCAATACCCCACAACGTCCAAAACACATCAAATACCCAAGAGCACTCGCGTGGACTGCGCAGGAAGATCAGTAACAACTGACAAACGCGGCAACACACTCCAACAGTTAGCACAAGGTCGCCGACACTACCGGTCAACCTATCCGACGTATCTCAAGTGCGTGAAGAAGTTCGGTACATTTACGAGAAGAGACATAATAGAGTGGTGCTCTCAAGCTCCGAGGAACTCGTCGCTCCATCACCGATATGGCTGGCATTTTCTCCTACGGTTTTCTACCTCGGCCACAGTGGAGCCATAGAAGCAGTACTCAATCTCCTAGGTTCCAGGCCACACTGCAACCGTATCTACCATCCTGCAGTAGGACGGTCTACATACCGTGATTTGGTCATTCTCTGAGCCTCTACAAGCGGCTTCCTGGATACAGCTCTTCCAGCCACTGCAGACTAGTGCAGCCTCGGGCGTTTAATACGACTGGTCAGCCTGTCAAATTCTTGCTGCTGCTGTGCGATGCTCCCATGATCCAATGAAAATGCGTAGTCTCCGTTTCTGCAACCCTTATATTCTTTGGCTGATACTGAAACTAATCAACCATGCATTGTGTGCTTGAGCTGACGCCTGCGCCACTTCAAGATCTACACCTCTCAAGCTATATAATCCCAAGGTCGATAGTTCGCCTGACCTATTTATAACGATGAGCCAACCCCACACACCTCTAGCTATGTTTCCTGAAAAACGCCTTGTCTAGAATTTGAGAAATGTAGTATCACCTCTCAACCTCTTGTTTTATCTTTTTATCTTCGAAGATCTCTCAATTGTGTCTAGATTCTTCGTAGCTTATCTACAACATCACACCATGAATTTAGGCGGCTTTCCTAGAATTAATTTCGTGATGATGCCCTTATTAATTACAGTTGTTGCTCAAGCGGGTTATGTGCTATAAACAGAGGCTATTCTCCTACCGCGACCCAAACAACTAGATTAGCCAATAAGACCGACTCTGTGCCTACAAATACTGTTTCCAAATCTACTCGCAGCACAAAGAGCCACACTCCTGCCATTGCTGTCGGTGTTGCTGTACCCCTCGCAGTCATCGCAATAGCCCATTTCGCATGGATTATCTACCGCTACCGCCAAAAGCACCTGGCTTCTGATCAAGTATACGAGATGAAAGACACGTTTGGGTTGCGCGCAGAAGCGGATAGTAGAGCTGTGTATGAGCTAAGTGACAGGTCACAGGTACCTGAAATGAAGGACACATTTGGCAGCTGCCCTGAGGCTGACAGTAATGTATTTTATGAGCTTCAGAACAATCAGGTAATGCGACACTAGACATGTCTGGTGGTAGTTTGGAAACCTGGGGGTATGAGCAACTATGAGAGCCAACTCACACTCCCTCATTTTCCCTCCCGCCGTCTACCAAATTCATTAACTAATCCTCCCTCACCTATCCTGCAAGCTTCCTCTCCCTCTTCTCATTTCCACTCCTCAGTACCTCTGCCTGCAGCATCCGATTTGGGTTAACGGCTAGAAAGGTATGGCTAGCTCTGTCAGTTGTTCAGTTACTTACTGAGTTTATCAGAAAAGCCTACAGTGGGATGCCTCTAGGGTCGTGTAGAAGGGGCAGCTCAAGCTTTACTTACGTACCTGTCTTTGAAAATTTGAGATGAGATGTTTTTGGGGCAAGATAGTATAGCAGAGCAGTCAATTAGCTCTCAGGTCGAACCTTCTCCCCCGCTCATCGTGGTAGTCGCCGTATAATTATATATGTTGAAGCAATCAGGACCGTAACAGAAATTGCTACTAGTAAGAACATTGAAATATGGCCAGCGTACTTTATATCCGCAGCGTCTTCAGAAATCGGCATTTCCCTATCTAGACCAAGCAGAACCTCTTCAGCCGACAAATATTGCTTCATCCAACAACCCAAAATCACGCTGCCTCCCACTACTTGGGTCACATCAGGGTATTTTCCCTGATGGAAAGCCTGGGCAACTTCCTTCTCGTAGTCCATCTTCTCGTCAATTGTTTCAGGGGGCCCAGGGCAGGATCTATAAGGCCAATATCCCGTCAGGATGGTGTAAAAAAGAGAGCCGAGGCCGAATATATCCAGAGCCGGAGTAGACTGAACCCCGAAGGTAGGGCTGTAGAAAGGGCCGTCAGGGAGGCAACCTCCATCTAGACCCAGTTCATCGCATGTAGATCCACCAAAGTCACAGAGGACTAAATCTCGCGATCCTGGGCTAGTTTCATGGACAAGAATGTTTTTGGGGCGTAGATCTGAGTGAACTACGCCGTGGCTATGAATATAGGCGAGAGCTTCGGTCAACTGTCGACACCATATTTTACGTTGGCGCAGATCAGTCGAAGGATGGTTGTCGATATACACCTGGAGATTGCTGTGGCTTGCTTGGCCGAGCAGAAGGCCGCGGCCTTGTTTTCCTAGATATCTAATAATTCAATACCGTACTCATAAGCGCGTACTAGTATCTATACCTACCTGATAAACTTACTCCACAATCCTGGGGTGGTGTCCTAGTTTTTCGAGTATAAGTGGCTCAACAGAAAAGCAGAGGTCGACCTTGTCGGCAAGGCCCTTGGTCTTGAAGATTATCGGCTGCTTGAGAACGACTCCGGGCCGGACTAATTCGATGGTGCTCGTAGACCCGATGTTCTCCATGGCGCATCGTCAACTTAGTAGTGAGTGAGCCAAGAAGATGTTTAGTTTGTTGGCGAGGGTTAAGTCGTGGCCGGAGAGGAGTCCGCCCGAAGGCCGGACGCCCCGGGAAAATGCCAGCAGGAGAGACGAGACGAGGCTGCAAGGCTGCGCCTGTCTACGACAACAACTACGATAATAGACAACTAATCACTACCGTTCGGATGGCGGTCATTCGTTTGCCATTCCGTGGTGTACAAGGCCTCGAAGACCTAGCAATACCTGCCGTCACCGCTTTGATTTCCTTCCTATCGTACACCTCCCAATACCTCTTCTACCACATCGACCCAGCGCCTTTGAATCGGCGACAATCTATCTATTTCAACGTCTGTGTGCTGGCGATTTGGTGGTGCTACTATAAAGCATGTACTGTTGACCCAGGTCCGAAGGGGTGGGTAGGGGATGAGAAGGAGGTTGTGGTGAACGATGGCGATAGAGCTACGAATGACGACAAAATCGATCAGCATGAAGGGATGGGGCAGGGGAGGAAGGGAATGGCAAAGCGGTGGTGCAAGAAATGCAACAAAATAAAGCCACCGCGGGCTCATCACTGCAAGAAATGCGCTCGGTATGTTCCTCCTCAATTCTACCGCTCCATCGTTTAATATTGATTCCTCGGCCTTCAGATGCATCCCCAAAATGGACCACCACTGCCCCTGGACCTCCAACTGCGTCTCGCACACCACATTCCCCCACTTCATCCGCTTCATATTCTACGCCGTCATCAGCATGTCCATACTAGCCTACCACCTAGTTACACGCGCGATGCTCATCTGGGACAACCGCGACCTGCCGGCATACCTCGGCCCACCCATTTGGGCTCTCGCACACCTGCTTGTCCTCCTTCTAGTTAATAGCCTTACGCTTCTTATACTCACTATTTTGTTGGTGCGTGTGGTATATGGGTTAACGATGAATATGACTATGATTGAGAGCTGGGAGATGGAAAGACATGAATCGGTGGTGAGCAGAGCGAGGAGGAATGGGGGTTGGGTATATGCGAATGGAGGGATGAAGGTTACGGTTCAGAAGATGGAGTTCCCGTATGATATCGGCATCTGGAGTAATATTGTGCAGGGGATGGGGACGGGCAATATTTTATTATGGGCTTGGCCATTTTCGGGAACGCTGGGCGTGGAGAGTGCGGGGAGTTGGGAAACCAATGGCTTTGAGGATGAAGGACAGATTTGGCCGCCACAAGACCCGGAGAAGATGTATCGTGCTCCACGTCCTCCACCTCCAAAACTGGAGGTGAGGGTGTATGGGAGTGTAGAGGAAGAGAAAGAAGCTTTTAGACGGAGACAAGAGGATGATTTTGCCCGTCGCGGGATGCCTATCAGAGATGAAGAGCCTGATGATGACAATGAGGATGACGATGATGAAGAAGATAGCGGGTACGACGAGGAAGGAATAGATGATGAAGATGGATGGAGGAATTCGGAGGGCGAGCGGCTGAGGGATTTTGGCGTTGACGAAGAGACGGTGGAGGTTGAAGAAGACGACGATGACGATGTACCCCTCGGGGAGTTGCTACGAAGAAGAAAAAGCAGGATGTATGAAGAAATAGATAGATAGTCTTCGGTTTATCTGCATTGTATAAATACCAATATCAGAACCAGGTCGCTGTGCTTCGGCGGGAAATGGGCTGTAGGGGATTAGGGCCATTATAAATGCTCAACATCGCATACCCTCACACTGATGAAGCCCACTTATCTCACAGGTACGTAGCTTGATCATATCAGCACCAAGTATACACATAGCTAGCGTTAAATTCTCTATATGAATCCATCGTAGTCTACCACTGTGCATAGCATCGTTCTACCGACATGTCCACGGCCTACTACTATCCTATTCGGCCATCGCCCAACCCGATGCTATGGTATAACCTCAAGCAACCATCAAACGCTGAGTCGCCGAAGAAGCAAACATGACTCATACAGTATCACTCGTCTATAGCATCATCTCGCCCGTTAATTGCTCACTTCAAGTCACAAACCCCAAAAACTTGTTGTCAAGAATGAAAGATAATTTTCAGCACCAGTACCCCTACCAATCATCCTCGTCATCCCTCCCCTTCTGCATAGCGCTCTGTCTAGCCCTCAAGGCTTCCGCTAATCCTCCAGCCAAGCTCGGCGTAGGCGTACTACGCCCACTATCGGTGCCATTTCCATTCAAGCTCATGCCCGAATCACGTGGCGCTGGAGGTGGCGCCGGTTTTCGACCCGCAGCTGGTCTCTTCGCAGGAGGAGTAGGGGGTGTAGGCTTTGACCGGATCGCTGCCGAGCCATTTGTACCGTTTGTTTTAGCCATGGGAGGCGGTGGAGGCATGGGTCTGGCGGCGGGAGCGACGGGTGGGGGTGGCGGCGGCGCTTCTTCCTGAAGGTATGCTGAGGGTGCCCAGCCTTGTCCGGATGCTGTTTTCGCCAGCCACCAACCTATTATTAACGTTAGATGATAATCATTTTCATGTAGACGGGACTGCTTACCATTGTTCTCCTTCTGGATGATTGTGATAAGATCATCCTTTTTCAAGGTGACCTCATTCGAACTTTGCCCGTTGAAGTCGTACAGGACGCGATATTGTGGTTCCCGCGGTGGTGCGGCTGGCGGAGCTGGCGGTGGAGGAGGAGGTACAGATCGGCCAGAAGAAGATGAGGGAGTATTTCTAGTATGGCTCGGAATAGCTGCTGCAATTGGATGGGACACAGTTCGCGTTGTGGGAGCTGCAAGCGCATGCGACTGAGAAACCGGTTTGGTATTTCTAGTCGTGCTGCTCAGTTTGGAAGGACGGCCACCCGGCCCGCCGGGTTTGATAAGTCGGCCTTTAGTGAACGGTTTCGCAGGTATTGGCTTGCCCTTGGGCATTGGGCGGGACACTGAGTTTGGTGGCTCCCCTTGGGTTGTATGTATTGCTCCACTCTTATAGAAATCCTCTCGTACAGTCGAATCCTTCATCACCTTGACTATCTGCATTTTGTTGGGTTTCCTGGCATATTCAATCGAGTCTGCGATCCTCAAACTAAATCCACCACCAGGCATGGCGGATTGTAGATGTGTAAAGAGCTCGGTTTTAAAAACACAGGTCAGTAGCGGATCTGGTTCTTGGGGGGACCCTACACCCAAAGAGAACCAATCGTCATGACAAGTTGATGTGCTGACGAATTTGATGGCACCCAGTGGAATAGCCCGTTCAATGCCGACCTGGACTTGCTTATTCACAAGATGTTGACTGATAACGTAGAACTTGCTCCGAGTTAACAACAGGATTCTGGGACTTGGTTTACTTGAGCGTCCGAATTTGGTCTCCAGGACCTCGCCACGACAAGAGAATATCACCTGCTCATTGGCTGGGAGGTTAACTGAATTGCGAATTCTAGCCCCAGGGCCACTGGTAGCATTGACACCGAGATAATCGCCCATGAATCGCCGCGAGCCAAGAAGACTGAATCTTCTTCTCTCTTTCCGGCCTTGAAGAACTCTATGACCTTTGTCTCGGAGTGCGAGAAATTCGGCACCAACTCTCTTTTTCCGCCATACTCTCTGGATGCGAGTGGCCGCCTCGATACGAATACGTAAAAATGCTCGCCAGACTCGCTGAATGCGAATGGCCATATTATGCCAATATCGATCTCGCATATGCTCCAGCGCAAACAAGGTCTCGGGAGCTTTGATGAATGCTTTCGTCACACCCATTTGGAATTCTTCTAGGGGGATACTGGTATCCTTTAAGATTTGCTTCGCCCCGGACTTTGAGTCTCCCGTCCATGTATAGTCGCCAGCATAGGATGTTTGGGGGGATAGAAGATAAAATCGCTCCACAAACTTATCGAACGTTTGGCGATACGCAAAGCCAGCACGCCTAATCCGAACGTTCTCTTGTAGACCGAGATACTTGATCTGATGCATGACGTTCGGAACGTTATATTCGGAGGGTGATTTGTTTTCGTTCGGCTTGATCGTACGGATATAAGACGGTTGGGCTTTCATTAAGGTCGCCACTAAATCATTTGCGGAAGCTTTGATTTTGTCTCCGGCAGATGGGGGTTGCTTCCTGTTATCTTGGTCGACCTGGTGGGGAAACAAGGAATGGAGGAACTGGTTGCCGCTCTGGCTAAAGAGGTTAAGCAAACCTTTGAGCAGTTGATCTTTGTTCTTGTCCGTAATTCCATCCACAGTATAAGCGACATCACCAGCATAGTGCTTGATGATGAAGTTGCCCTGTCGTGGAGTCAAATGGGGATTCGACATCCCATTGATGGCCGTCATGAAGGTTCGATCACATGCAGCAGGATCTGCATGCGCAGTCTTCGTAGCATCTTTCATTGCTGAGAACACACCGGGAGGTCGAGTGGCTTCGATCAAGTCACACACAATCTTGTTGTCGAAGTACTTGATAGGCGTCCACTGGATCTGTTCCCTGGCGTACTCCTCCTGCTCCGTCTTCAATGTAAGTTGAATGAAGATTTGCTGCAACTTCTCATTGACATAATTGATGCACAGCTGCTCAAAGCTGTTCTTCTCAAAGATCTCGAATCCGTAGATATCCAGAATGCCAATGGAGTGGGCTGTTGTCCCGCGAGCCTTCAATGCGACATTTACCCGCTCAACAATCCAATCGAAGAGGTTGTTATAGATTGATTTTGCCAGTGCGTCTCGCGTAGCCAAAGCTTGTGAGGGATTCGCTGGAGACTCTATGACTTCGCCATTTCGAGGGGTGAGGACTCGGATAGTAATAGCTTGAACAATCTGTTGAGGTTCGACCTCAAGGAGGTAAGCCAAGAAATCGACGACCGATTGATCTGAGACTGCAGCATATCCATCTTTATCCTCCACAAATTGAATATTGCCAGTCCACAATATGGCAGCCAACATCCTAAATATCTCATCTTGTTCAGCTTGCGACAACCCAATGACCCTCATAGCGTTAAGAGTGTCTTCGTATTCCGCAAGATCGTCGATCCCATCCACATCCAAGCACTTCGATCGGCTTGTGTACAGGTAGGTCTCTGGTGTCTGTATTCCGAAGTTCTGCCTGTAGGTCTGGGAAGCACCCTTCGTAAATTGATAGAAAATGTGGAAATTCCGCTCGTTTGCGATCTGCCCAACCACTCTAGACTTTTCTAGCAGGTAGTTTGTGATGTCTGCTCCGACCGGCTCTCCTTGCGCGTTGAATTGCAACTGGAGGTATTTCCCAAAACGGGACGAGTTGTTGTTTCGGAGGGTTTTCGCGTTCCCGAAAGATTCCAGCAAAGGGTTGGTCGCAAGAACCATGTCTTTGATCTTCTGAATTGAGGAATTACTGCCTCCAGAAACATTGGCGATGTATTGCATGAGCTGTTTGGCAGCCTCGGTTTTCCCCGCCCCCGATTCTCCGGAAATAATGACACATTGGTTCTCTTTATAAGCATTCATGTTATAATAGGAAGCTTCTGCGACCGCGAACACATGAGGTGGCATCTACGTTTATCAGCAAGAATAGGCTAGGTGGACGGTTCATCAACAAACCTCTAACCTATTTTTGCCCTTATAACTGTCCAGGACTTGCTGTGTATAGATTCCCACTACATCCAAGTTAGCACCGTATATTCTCTCCTGGTTGGCGGGTGCTACCTACAGTCCCGGAATGGATTGACAGAAACCAGCACATGTCCAATGTATGTCTAAGCAGAAGTCAGCATGCCATCGTCCATGATGAAGCCTCGAGGTTGGCCTCTCGAGTGCTGGTTATCCTTACATATATTTCCCCCGCCTCAAAGCGCTTCTTCAAGTTGTCGTTTATGGCGTCGGGGGTGACCTTACTGATCAAAGTAAGATCTGACACTCCGATTTCCTTCTTCTTCGTTGTATCGAACTGTGCCTTCTTGATGTTTGGCTTACTGCCCCCGCCGCCCCGACCTCCATCTTGCGCCTTGTTGGCCCCTTTGTCCCCCTTTGGGCGTCGACTGATGCCCTATTTCAATAAAAAATTCGTCAGCCAACTCTACCGGATTGTGTTCCACCTCGCAGGTATTATTGCCATACCATCTTCGATGCCTACCCCCTACAGGTAACCAGTCCAGAATGCGCCCGAGTTGAATACGACGACCGGCGACTTCGCTATCTCCAGTAGCATGTAAAGAAGGGAAAACGAGCGATTGCAGAAGAGAACCAAGTCTCGTCAAGAGAGTAACGTTGCAAGCGTGAAATCGTAATGCCGATAGGAAGATGGGGTTGAGTTGGTGGATTTTGAGGTATTGGGGCACGGTTGTAACGCCTCAGATCCCAGAGAGCCAGCCTGGCGGCGGATGCGGATGCCGCCCGCGTTAACGTTGTTCCGCTCCGAGCTCAGTATTAAGGGATCACAGCCTCAGACACTTCCGAGTCAATTTCTTCGCAAGCTTGCGTCACCCTCAGCCTCGTTCTACACTTGCCACGCATCCATATACGTATTCAATTTCCGCCACCACTGCGTTTATCTTCGCCGGTTCTTCCTCGCGGCAGTCCTCGAAGAGAAGCGCTTCGCTAACTCTGATTGGTCGACTAGGACGGCGTGTCCGTGAATGCGGTCGGTCCAGGTCAAAATCCCTAGAATTCCGCTGGGGGGGCCAGATTCACGGATTAAGCTTATTTTGCGTTGCGAGTTCCAGCTCTCTTGCACTTATAGCTATCATTAATTGCAACAACTACGCACAATTGGCCACGGTTATCATTTTTCTTTCTTTGCCCAAGTCATGAAGCTGTCTATTACACACCGTCAAGCCATCAACCTTTCAAGTATAGATATACGCCTATATGAACGGGGTCCTGTCTTTATGCTCGTGTCCAGATCAAAGCTTCTATCATAAGTTAGGTTGCCACAGATTGTGCTTCCATTTTGTTAGTACGACCTACATGAACCATCCAGATCTCTTCCATTCTAGTTGTCTATACAGAACACCTTGCCAATGTTGGATATAGTATATCTCTTGTCTCGGTTTCCTGCTATTCATTTCGGCAAGTCAGGTTCTCTAGAATACATTTGAATTCGTGGTGTACTTTTTACGGTACTAGCAAATTATTTGACCTCGTTTTACCACATCCAGTTCACTTGGCTGAACCCACTACCAAGAATATATGAACTTGTGGAGCTTACAACATTGTTGTTAAATCCAGTGTTTCTTCTTGAGTGGGCCTAGCACCTCATATATATGCTCCTAGTTATTTCCGTCCTTTATTTCTCCTAATTTTAATAACGGTACCCCAATCTTAGCCATAACAGTAAAATGCCCATCTCTACCGAATCTCATCGTTTCTCAACCCTACCACGAACACATATCTCCTCGACGATAAGATCTCAGCGAGTCTAGTGCCCGTTGATGACTCAAGTAAATAGTGTACTTGAGCGTAATTCGGAGAATTTGATGCCTTTGTAAATAAGAGAGTCTGTTGTGCCACCCTCTATCACAGGGACGTGATAGAGTTAGCTTTCTGTACCGTACAAGTGCTCAGAAATTTGCTATTGGATTAGGTTCCAAAGCATAATGGTTGTGATTGGCCACACACGTCTCTTTTTCCATGTTCTTAATTCAGGCGCCAACATCTTTCCGGGCCATCGGCCGCTATGCAAGGCATATCTGCATCCTCTTCTCTGAATACTAGCTTTCTTGCATGAGGACATTCTTAACAGTCCGTCTATCTTCAGAAACTCCTTGAAGTTACATGACCACCAAGCGATAAATGTCAGACATACATACTCTGTAGACAAGCATGTTCGATCCTAAATTTGACGGGGCTTTTGGTTTTGCAATCCTTGACGCTGGATCGTTACTCAGGAAAATACAAAACAGCATCAGTCGAATTATCAGCTAATGGACACCCCAAATCAGACCTTCGGGATTCTTTCCAAGAGTTGATGCTTCTACTCCGTAGATCTCGATCCTTAAATTTATACATATCGCTCTCCAGCACCACCCTATTGGATAACCAACTGTAGAGGACAGACAGATGATTAAGTCTATATTTAGAATTCTCGTCACCGCCTGATAACACCACTCGAACTTTCCCTCTACGGAGGTAGTGTGCAGTTTGGCTGGGGACTGGATAGTTGAGCTGATGTGCTAATGATCTAATGAGCAGCGCCAGCTCAAGATCATGTTCGCACACAGGTTGGGGTTCGTGCGATACGAGGGCAAAGTTCTCCGCCCTTGCGACTTGCGATATCACGACTGGATTATTGTCTGATTGCTTCAATCTGATGGCCAAGATATGAATATGCAGGGCGCAACTCAATAGCGTCCACTAGGGCAGTTGTAGCGCCGGGCCCTGAGAGCCAAGTTCCAACTGAAAGCGCCTATCCCGTCGTCTGGTTCACATCACCATCATCACGTCGGATACTACGGAGTGCTCGAGTATTATTGCAGCAATTATACGCAGCGTTATTGGGCTCCCCGTCTCTTGTTGATTTCCAAGTTCCAACACCGTCTGATAGTCCTCGGACTCCCTCCCCCATCCGCTGTCGCACAGGATGCGGCAAGTCGAAACGAATCCCACGCATCACTCGCACGCGCTAACCGCCGCAACAATAATGCGAAAGTTTCAAACGCCTGGATCTGATGGTCCCCAAGCCTCCAAGACCCCAACGCCCGGCTATTCCACTCCGGAGATGTCACCCTCCGTTGAGATTTCCACCATGGATGGATTCTCCTGAAGGTCTGAGAGAAGAGAATCCCACCTCGCACGCTCGGCATGCTATGCTCTTCCCGAGCGTCCGATGCAACCAGGAGCGTGTTGCACCACCATTGCTGCAGATTTTGTCCCCTTTGCCTTTCTTCCCCGTGATTGAGGAGTGAGTGAGCATCGCGAAGGCTCTCCTCCTCATGCGATGCGTGGAAAGGTGACTTGCCGGCTCATTGGCGAACGGTTGGCTGGCAAGACCGCTCCCACTGTCCCCAACTGTGGTGTCCCGAATCAACGAATCCCTGATGACACGAAGCGCCGGGAGCCCGACGGGGCGTCGACCAGCAGTGAGTGGGACTGCGGTGGGAGTGGCCGCCAGGCACCGCAGCCTTTCTCGTCTAGTTGGTGGTGTTGTTTATCGCAGATATGAACTGCTCTGCTCCTCTGCCTGAACCAAGACGTTGAATTCCATTTCTTATATACAAAATCTCGCCATTCTGCCCCCCTCCACGTACGATCAGAAAAAATCGTACGATTTCTCAGACTTCTGCAACTTCGTCCCCCCAGCGCATTCCCCAAAACACCAGCTTAATCGCAACTGCACGGTCCCCGTCCCGGCTGGTTGTGTCTGAGACCGCGTCCTCTGTTACGCTCCACGTCTCAAACACCCCCTTCAAGACTGACAAGCCCTTGAGTCTTGAGTTTTGACATCGGACAGCGACAGGACCCTGTGCTCGCATCCGATTTTCCAGATTTTGGAGCGATCTAATACGGCCATCCCAGCGGCCGAAACCATCTGCAACGGCTAAGCCTCCAGTTCGCCCCCAACCCTACCGGCTCAAGCTCAGATGACAAGCCTCCGAAGACAGTGATTTAATAGTAACACAGGACGGGCCCTTGCTAAGCGGAGCCTGAGCCTGTCAGGAACGTCCGCCGAGTTTCATGGAACTGGTGATATCCGATCACATAGCGATTCCCCGCACGAGCGCCGGAGACCACGGTAGTACATTTGCGGTTGCCAGGTACCCGGCGTTATATCTCGACCCCAAAAGCACCCTGGGATCGCGTTCGGCCAACTGCACTTGAGGAGGTTTAGCAGCTAAGCTTTTCACCCTTAACCATCCCATCACCTACCGTTCCTGCTGGCTCAGTTCCTTCTTTCCTAGGTGGATGTTCATTCTTTTACTTGGGGTTCGAGTCGCAGTGCCAGTTCAATACAGTTTTTAATACACGTTCGATCCGCACAGCGAGCCTTCGACGCCCGCGACTTTCACGTCGGTACCGTCGCTGGTCGACATTTAATAATACCTTTGGCACTCGAGGAAGCTGTCAAGGAACCATACGGGCAGGATGGGGTTTATGAGTGAGCTCAAGGCGCAGACACGAGGAACGAAGTTGTTATTCAACTTTTTATTCCATGGCTTCCATATTGCGCTTTTCGCCATAGGATGGTATGGACACCCCCTCCCGTATACCAGCACAGTCAATGGTGTTTCTAACAGCTCTCTATAGGCTCAAACAAAGCCGGGACCCGAGGCTTGCGGGTTTGAATACCCTCACATTTTCAGTCTGGATATCGCGAGGAGCAGGTCTAGTTATGAGTGTGGATGGGGCCATGATTCTGCTGCCTATGTGCCGAAACATGTTGAGATATGTCAGACCCAAGATCCGGTTCTTGCCGTTGGATGAGTCGCAATGGTTCCATCGACAGGTCGCGTATTCGTTGGCGTTCTGGGCGGCCGTCCATACCATTGCACATTATGTCAAGTTAGTCCCCTACCTAGATACCTGCGATTTAACGAGATACTAACAAAATGTAGCTTTTACAATGTTGAGAAGGTTCAAATCCGACCGGTCACCGCGATCCAGATTCATTATGCTCAAGCTGGTGGAATTACCGGCCACATCATGCTTCTATGCATGCTCCTTATGTATACAACAGCCCATGCGAAGATCCGCCAGCAATCTTTCGAGACGTTCTGGTACACCCATCATCTCTTTATTCCATTCATGCTCGGCCTTTATACCCATGCTACAGGGTGTTTCGTGCGCGACACCACAGCTCCGTTCTCCCCTATCGGTGACCACGACAACTTCTGGAACCATTGCCTTGGCTACGAGGGCTGGCGATGGGAGCTCTGGGGAGGCGGACTCTACTTCGCCGAGCGAGTCTACCGAGAGATCCGTGCAAGAAGAGAGACAAAGATTATTAGAGTCGTCCGTCATCCTTATGGTGAGTAACTCGACCTCTTGGCTATTGTACCAGACTGACAACCTAAAAGATGCCATGGAAATCCAGTTCACCAAGCCTTCCATGAAGTACAAGGCGGGTCAATGGCTGTTCTTGAATGTCCCTTCAGTGTCAAAACAGCAATGGCATCCATTTACCATCACCTCTTGCCCATTCGACCCGTATATCTCCGTGCACGTTCGACAAGTTGGAGACTTCACTCGGACTCTAGGCAATGCTCTCGGAGCGGGTCCCGCACAGTCCAAAGAATATGATGGTGTTGACCCCAACGGCATGTACGAAGTGGCTCTACAGAACGGCCAGGAGATGCCAGCCCTCCGCATTGACGGACCCTACGGAGCGCCTGCTGAGGACGTGTTCAATAACGAAATCGCTGTACTTATCGGAACTGGTATTGGTGTCACACCATGGGCCTCTATCCTTAAGAACATCTGGCACATGCGCAACGGTCCTAACCCACCAACCCGTCTCCGCCGTGTCGAATTCATCTGGGTCTGCAAGGACACCACGTCCTTCGAGTGGTTCCAGATCCTTCTCTCCTCCCTCGAAGCCCAAAGCCAGGAAGCTGCCAACCAACAGGGCAGCAGGGGCAGCGAGTTCTTGCGCATCCACACCTACTTGACCCAAAAACTTGATGCAGATACTACACAGAACATCATTCTCAACAGCGTGGGCGCAGCCGTTGATCCACTCACTGAACTGAAGACACGAACCAATTTCGGCCGTCCGGACTTCTCGAGATTGTTTGAGGGTATGCGTGATGGGATCTTGGATCGCTCGTACTTGAGTGGATTGGAAGGAGATATGCGAACTAACGTCGGCGTTTACTTCTGTGGTATCTTCCATCCAACCCTCCTAACTTCCCCCCAACCATCATATTGAACATTGGCACTAACACACGGAAAAATAGGACCCAACGTCGCAGCGAGAGATATCAAGAAGGCATGCAAGCGGGCCACGTCCAACGAGGTCAATTTCTCATTCTGGAAAGAGCATTTCTAAGTATATAAATCACTGTATATTTCTTCGGGATTTCTGGACCATGGCGTGATGCATTTTTGCGACGCGAGCTACTACTGTGGCGTATGTATCATGTGGTGATGACACAGATGAGTGATTCCTTACTATAAGCACAGGAAATTAAAGATACCTTACGTATGATTACTGCCAATACTTAATAACTCTTTGAGGACATCTAATGTTCCATTCATAAGATTTCATATTCTCCCCTTAGAAACGGACCGTTTGTCATGTAAACCCGAGTACGTTGACATAGTGTCATTGATGCAGAATCTCCTTAGTCTAATTGTTACTCCAAATGCCAGCTATCCCAGCTTCTATATCTTACTCTGCCCGTCCTGTGGCACCTTGACCACGACCTTCCCCCAAGTACCCCTACTCCCCAGTGTCTTCAACGCCTCCGGCACACTCTCCAAGCCCACGAATTCCTTATCCGTGAATACAGTCGGCTTAAACTTCTTCTCCTTAATTAACTTGAAAAGGCCGTTCCACACAGGCTCAATCGCCTCGGGCTCGTTATTTGTATACGCTCCCCAATGAATGCCCACAATGCTAATGTTCTTCAATAACACCTTATTCAGCGCAAGCTTCTCGACACTCCCCGCGGCAAAGCCAACAACCAGCAAGCGTCCATTCCACGCTATGCATTTGGTGCTCTTGTCGATTAAGCCAACGGGATCGAAGACGATATCCACACCTCTCCCGTTGGGAGTGAGCTTCTTGACTTGGGTCGGCCAGTTGGGGTCGCTATAATCAAGCGCATAGTCGGCGCCGAAGGATTTCGCGATGGCAAGTTTGTGTGCTGTTCCTGCGGTGGCAATAACAGTTGCACCGTATGCCTTCGCGATCTGCACAGCAGCCAACCCAACGCCTCCCGCCGCAGCGTGAACAAGGACATAGTCGCCCTTCTTAACCCCCGCGCGTGTCACCAGTGCGCCGTATGAGGTCGGCGCCGTGACGAACAGACCCGCTGCTTCGACGAAGTTCCATCCCTCAGGGACAGGCTTCAGGTTCTCTTCCTTTGCGGCGACCTTCGTCGCGTATCCGCCCTGAGAGGCTCCGAAGACTTTGTCTCCTACTTTGTATTTGCGGTTTTGTGTGTTGGATGGAACCTGGAGGACCACGCCGGAGAATTCGGAACCTGAGACCCAAGGGAGGGGGGGTTGATGCTGGTATTTCCCGGCGATTTGGAGGAGGTCGAAGAAGTTTGTTGCGCTGCCGTGGATGGCGACTAGGTATTGGTCTGGGGCTGGGACTGGATCAGGGAGCGTGGTGACTTGGAGCTCGGAAGGGCCCTGAAATATGGGTTAGATTTAGATAATGGAGCTTTAATGAGCGGAAAGAGAGGTTGAGAAGGGTAATGGGGGGGGGGGGGGTAACCAACCTTCACGTATTGTTTGACCTGTATTCCACGCATCTTGGCTTTCGTAGCTATGGAATATCAATTGATTATATGTGGAGGTTTGGTATAGTACAACAGTCAATAAGAACGAGACTGCGAAATCAAAACGATAGATTGAGCAATGGAAAGGGAAACAAGAACAGAAAGACAGAAATGCGGCGGGTATATAAAGTTATATGTGGAGTTTGCCTTGTTGCTCTCTCAACATCCGAAAGGCTTCCGCGGGGAAAGACCGAAGCCTCGGCCTAGAGAGGGACAGGGGCCGGGGTCACGTGGGTTGTGATAGCCGCCGATAAAGACTCTTTCGGAACTGATTACAAAGTAACTTGCAGGACCAAACAGGAATACTAGAAAGGAGACAGCTCAGTGATCTCTAGTTAAGGTTGTTGTTAGCTATTCCCTACTTGTCAGATAGAGTTGTTGGAGGCCTAATTGCAGGACACAGACACAAGGCTACCGGCGATATATTGCACAGTAGTAATAGAGGCTCGTATGTGGCTTGAGAAGGTCGTAGATAGGCATGGAAGTGCGGAGCAGCAGGCTGAGCCAGCCTGGGGGCAACTTCTCAACTTCGCAAGTGTCCTAAGCAATTTGAGACATTCAACTTCAATATAAAGTAGAAAGACAAAGAAAGTCAGAATAAGATATCAAACGGTTATCGGTTGATTGTCTCGTGCACATAAACCCTGGTTGCCTCAATCCAACAGGGGTTCTGAGCGTCATATCGGCACATTACTTGGGAGCAAACGACTCTTACGCAACGCCTAAAACCTCAACACCATCTATTTGATCCAATCCAAAGCCTACATCTTACGTTGCCGCACCCACTATCGAGCGATACCAGGACAAGCAACGCCCAGGAAGATGGCCTCAGAAGAAGCCAATGTCGCGGACGCCGATCCCCAGATCTCCTTCAAGGTCAAGACCTCCAGCGATGGCAACCACTCCATCACCATGTCCGCATCTGCGTCAGTGCTTGATTTGAAGAACAAGCTATCTGGCGATGAGTACGAGAAGGTGCCTGCGGATAGGCAGCGACTGATCTACTCGGGCCGCGTTATGAAGAATGAGGATGCGCTGAGCAAATACAATATCAAGGCTGGCAATACGATACACATGGTCAAGAGCGCCCAAAGCAATATTGCACAGAATCCTGCCGCTGGGGGCGCTGCTGCTGCTGGCGTCGGTTCAACTGCTCGAGCAGCACCCGGTGTGCCTACCAATATGGCGGCTGGCACAGCCAACAACCCATTAGCTGGCTTGACTGGTGCTCGCTATGCCGGACATATGGCGCTTCCGGGAGCAGACATGTTTGGCGCAGATGGTGGAGTATGTATCTCTCCAAATCCAAAGTTCTCTGTAATATGCAAAGTAGCTAACAACTTCACAGATGGGTGCACCACCTAGCGAGGATGCCATGGCCCAAATGCTCGAAGACCCCAACATCCAACAAACTCTCAATGAGGCCCTCAACAACCCAGCCATGGTTGATATGATGATCCAATCCATTCCAGGCCTCAGCAACAACCCGCAGGCTCGACAGATGCTCCAATCCCCAGAATTTCGACGAATGATGACAAACCCAGAAGCATTGAGACAGGCTGCCCAAATTCGGAGAATGATGGGGGGAGGTGCCGGAGGTGCGAGTGCATTCCCAGCCCCAGGTGTCACGGATACAACACCAGGTGGGCCAGCTGGTAGCAATGCCACTACAGACCAGGCCAACGCGCCGCCCGTCAATCCCTTTGCGATGCTAGGCAACCCGGGGGCCGGAGGGGCAGCCGGAGGAAATCCTTTTGCATCACTCTTCGGCGGCCCTGGTGGAATGCCTGCAACCTCACCCCCAGCTCCTGGTTCAACAGATCGAGGTGCCTCCCCCACTGGCCAAGGGGACGCGGCAACAAACCCCTTTGCATCTCTCTTTGGCGGCGCTGGAGCTGGTGGAGCCGGCGGAGCAAACCCCTTCCAAATCCCAGGATTGCCTCCCATGAGCCCAGAGATGCAACAACAAGCCATGCAACAGGCTATGCAAATGTTGCAAGGCGGAGGCGGAGCTGGTGCTGCTGGAGGATTTCCTGGCCTTGGTAACCCAGCAAGTCCCCCACCACCTGCCGACACGAGACCACCCGAGGAGAGATACGCAGAGCAACTGAGGCAGCTGAACGATATGGGATTCTTTGATTTTGACAGGAATGTGGAGGCTTTGAGACGTAGTGGTGGAAGTGTGCAGGGGGCTATTGAGCAGTTGCTGAGTTAGGGGGTTTCAGCCGCCATCCAGCAGAAAGGGGAATGAACATATATAAGTGTGAATGAAAACGGACGTGCGGAGTGGATGAGATAGGCACCCACGCAAATAGCGCGAGAGGGTGAGAGAGAAGTGCATTTACGCAGTTACGAGAACAGTCAGAGGTCTGTCGTATAACTGCATGAACATGAATTACTGGCTGGCCAAGCAAGTAAGCTTGTTGCTATCATAGCAGTAAGATACTCAAATTGGGATGATGGGTTACGTATAAACTGCCTTATTGGGCCCCTTCTTTGCTGCATGATTAGTTCGAGATGAATGAATATGAAATCCTTGAAGTTCTTTTAAAGTCATACCTAACTGCGTAACGCCTGTACTAGGTAGCTTATATAGTGTTGATGAGGTGTGGAATAGGAAATGTTATTTCTCTACTCTGCAGCGCACTGTTTTCATCTTCATCCGCCGAGTTCCTGTCTTGTAAAAGAGACCCATACATACATATTATATTTTCCTTTTGGCACGGCTTGCGACACCGCAAACCCCCTTTCCCAAATACGTTACAAGTGGACGTAAACTGGTTAAGCCTTTATTTATATAGGGGATGGAAAATCAATTCATTTACACTCATACTTGCATGTATAAAAAAGCAATTCCGCTAATTAATCTAGCTCTCTGATCTATATATGTTGCAAGGTATAAATCATAAAAATGGCCAGGGGAAAGAGGAAGGGAGCTAGTTACTCTTCGTCCTAGGGAGGGCCGGTATATCTACTAGGTCGGAATTAAGACAGGCTAGTTCTTAAAAACTATGAAAAATATAATAAGTATTAAAAGCTATTAAAGTGATAAGCGTTCCTAGGCAATTGCCCTATTTGCCCTACATCGACGACATATATGGCTCTTTCTGTCCTGGGCTTCACTCAATGTGAGCACTAGATAACATGCAATTTTAGGCCTCTATAACCTTATCCATTTACCATTGTATTGTCACTATTAATCCTTGTCGCTTCTCTAGGATCTGCTCTGGGATCTGCTCTGGGATCTACTCTAGGATCCGATCTAGGAACTGCTGTAGGAGCTACTCTAGGAGCAGTGTTCCCCGATCCAAGACCTTTCTCTACCTGACCGATCTAATATAACGAACCAACGTTAGAACATTATAGTAGATAGGAGAAGGAAACAGTCCAAACATACGCTATTTGACCTCAGGGAGTGCTGCAAATGTATCGGGCAATCAATATCCTGGTCGGGATTTGCCTCCTGATACTTCATGGCAAGAAGAAGCTTATAAAACGCCGTCGCGAGCATGGCGCCAAGTCCGGGCCCAATCCCTATCTAAATTAGCCTCTGGTGTGACGAAATAATATGGGTTGCGTACAGTAGATCCAGTGGTAGCCAGGAAATGATCTTTCGACCACACAGGGGCCTAAAGAGCGTGCGGGGTTCAATCCGGCACCAGTATAGTAAATACCAACAATGTGGCCAATGAACAGTGCGGAACCAATCCCTAATGGGGCAAGGAAAGTAGCTCGGTGCTATTAAGGATGTAAGTAACTATAATATTAAGGCAAGGAGCTTATATTTAGACACCAACCTTTTCAACTGCAAGCTGCGGTGTTTGAGTTAGTTATGAAGACACACGAGGAGAGTTGAGATAGGTACTCACCATGAAAATCGCGAGAATTAACTCGGCAGTAAGGAACATCTCCATAAACAGACCTTGGGCGACGTTGACATGAGCTATGTAAAGAATGTAAGCCTAATTCCATTCGTATTTTGAAAACGAGGACTCACGCCCAAGGGAATTGGCAACATTCAGAGGACCGGGAATAAGAGCATCAATAATGGCGGCAGCAACTATACCGCCTAGCAGTTGTGCAACGAAAAGCACAGCACCTCTAAAATCTGTTAATATATAGATCTCGCCGTTTCCTGCCATAATCATACCGTATTGGGTGCATTAACCCAGCGAGCACAAACGCCATTGTGACCTTTTAGATATTAGTTATCACATCTAGCCCCGTTACAGTAAGGGCAGCTTCCGGATACTTACGGCGGGATTAAATAGACCACCTGTTACCCTATAGAAAATCCACGCATTGACTGCTAGGCTAACGCCGAAACTTGTTGCCGCAAACAGGAGAAATACGAGGTATTCATTAGAGGTCGAAGGCTTCCCACCTAGGGCGGTATTGCCGACCATGACGCCTCCATAGGCAAAGAATAAGAACATGACTGTTCCGCAGAATTCGCCAATCTAATTACATCAGCCGTATATCTAAATGATATCTCGTAATTTGGGATTATACCGTGACGAGGATCACTATGGAGCAAGAGATGAATTAAACATTGGCCATCGACGGGTGATTTGTATACTAACAGTGGTTGTAGGTACTAGAATCCGTAATTCCGGAGTTTCTTCTTTTAAAGTTCAGCATTTCGAATGATTTTTGAATACGCTGACGGATAGGAGATGCTAAGATGTCAGAACAGACTTCATGAAAGTAAAAAGTAACAAAAAAGATCCGAGGCAAAGGCGATGGCGGGTAAATAATAGCAATATTTCCAACGGGTCACGTCACAGGAATAACGATACGATCTCGTCATCTTACAACGGATCCGGGGTAACTCGCGTCTAGTACCTTAAGGTTTGGCCAAGTTACCTTCGACCGAGCCATATCATGTCCTATTCCGTAGACATATAGAGTTTGCGTTCGGCAGCTTTACCTCATCTGTTAAACTTAAATATAAGTGGTAAGAACTAAGGGGAGTGGGAACCACGGATTCGGTTAGTTGGGAATGGTCTCGAACACTCTTTATGCGCCCAACCCTCCACATTCCTTCGTACTCGGCAACGGATAACCTTCACAAACAAGTCTTGCGCGGTCTTGTGAGGTATCTTTTCAGATCTAATATTTTAGGCTAGCGTGGAGATGAGGCCCGTATATGCAAGATATAGATTAAGGTGATTCGCTTTTAGGATTTAAATTCACGGCTAAATTACGGTTTTCAAGGCGTCAGGGCTTCGGTTTGTTGTACATCAACTGCAAGCGTCCTAATAAGCAAGTCTCCAGGTGTCAGCTAACGTCATTGGTATTCAAGTGATGCTCGCAAGTGGTCAACCCAGGGGGTTGAAGTAATATTGTTATGTCTGGTTTCCACCCTTCCCTTAAGTTACTTCCTTCGATCCCGTCCCCCTCGATCTCGTTCCCCATTCGTCTCCCTACCTGGCTTCTCCATCCCACTGAGCGCAGAAGACAAATCCCCTCTTCGATCTCCGCGTTGGTCTGGCCCATAACGAGTACTGGAAGTGGAAATGCCGTACTGACTTTTCCTCTGGGGAGCACAAAGAGAACCCAACAGCGTCGAAGCCCGAGGCCTTCGTGTCCAAGGGGATAAGTTGCGAGTCTATGCACGAATTTGGGCTTGAAAACGAGGGGTGACTTTCGAATTGGGGTTGCCGGGTTGAATGCATCGAGGGAGCGGCTGGTGTAACTTGGGCGATAGCAAGTGCTCCTAGTAAAGAAACCACCATTGACTACATTCATTAACGGATAGCCGTTGCTGGTGAGACCTCAGCTGAGTCCGAGAAATCCATGCCTGCGAGGTAACTGCTCCTCATCTACTACAAGTAGTAATGGTGAGGGATCGAGCGAAGCTGGGTAGGCGATGGCCGTGGTAGGTAGGAAGGGGCCACATATATTTAACTGCCTAGGTAGGTGGACAGTTGTGTTTTCAAAATTCCAATCAAGACAGCTTTGCCCCCGAATCTGGCGTCAAGGCAATTTTATGCCGGGGATTGGGGTACTGCGGAACCTTCGTCCCTGTATGATCAGCAACAAATGGCGGCACCGCATCCCACCTATTCAAATCATGCACCCTCGCGACAACTTCATTGACTTCCTTTAGAAACTCGTGCCCGCCTGTTTTGACAACCGAGTACTGCTTGCCGTAGTCAACGAGCACGACAGGCAAGTTAGCCTCGTGGTGCGCGGTGGACGGGTTGAAGGCGTCGTGGAAGACGTCGAAGGCGAGAGTGGTATGTCTATCCCATTTTTCAATAGCGAGAAGCGTCGGGTAACTGTTGTTAGCAGTATTAAGGGTAGAGCAGGCGACTCTGACTATCTCGTCGGGGCTGTAGGGAAATAGAGGTGATCTAGTGTGGACAAGGACGACGATTCGAATAGCCACACAGGAGTTAAATGGTTCTTGAACGCTTTGTGGCGACCAGGTCAGAAAGGATAAAGTATCATGGGCTTGTGAGGGTTAATGTTACTGTTGGGACAGGTACCGATTGAATCTTCTCCATTCTGACGGACGATGTATAATGAATGGTGGAAATACAAGGGGAGACTGAGTACTCGGATCTCCAAGCTGACTCTCCGCAGTGCTACACAACTTATTAAAACACCAGAGGAGAAGCGGCCAGACTTTGGTTTTCCGTGAGGCCTGAAAGGGAAAACTTATGTTCAGGAATCGATATTTGGTTGCGGGAACCCGCGCAACTGGGTTCACTGGAACCTATCTCATAATCATGTCTTGAAAACGATGCGAAGTAGGTATTCCTTGGTCTTGTGGTATCTCCTCTCACCAAAACAAATAACTGTATAGAAAATGGATAGCTGCAGTGGCTGAGCAGTTGAGACATGTCCTATAGCGGACTGAGCTATAATGGATGCGTGAAGCAGTGAGTGTTCCAAAAAGCAAAAACAAATGTTTTGCCAAAAATGAAGTCAGTACCACTTGTATACCATAGCACTTTGGTTAACGGCGGTTCTACCCGGATACTCTTAGCACCTATTGACGGCAAGTAGTTTAGTTGTTAGGAGATTCATCTTGGAGATTTATATCAATCTATCTCCAATTCCCTATCCACAAATACTCGAAGTGGTGGAGACGGCGGGGTCCACGTGCCAGCGATTCAGCTCATCCAGGATCTTCGACAGGGGGACGACGATCAAACTGCCCCGCACCATTACGTCGTCCGTTTGTACCTGAGTACCTGAGCAGGGCAACATCAAAACCCAAGCTTGTCCCAACCCAGCCCAACTTCCTATTCACAACTCAATCCCACTCAACAGATATTTCAGATCAAGTAAAGGTCTTCTAGATCAAGGTATGTACTCTAATATGTAGTATCTACATTGATAGCGTCCTTCCTACACCAACCCAGCCTATCATTTACCAAGAACGTCACCCCACTAATACCTCCCTTTTCAGGAACAGAAAACATGTCTGGCAGAGAATACTACGAAGGTGGCTCCGGAGGCGGCGAGCGTCGTGGGGACAATAACTATGGCTCTGGCCAGCAACAGCAAGGTGGATATGGCGGGCAGCAACAACAAGGTGGATATGGGGGGCAGCAACAGCAAGGCGGATATGGCGGGCAGCAAGAGCAGCAACACGGAGGAGGTAACCAAGGATACGGAGGAGGAGGCAATATGCCTCAAGGAGGAGGCTACGGCGGCGGTGGTGGTTATGGCTCAAGCCAAAACGATGATCTCCAAGGAGCTGCCCACCACGCTCAACAAGGTGCTGGAGACTCTGGCGACTCGTCGCTATTCTCTAGCATCCTGAGCAGCTTGTCTGGAAACAAGCATAATATTGAACAGGAACCTGTTGATGAGCAGGGTAAGTCTCACTCCTTTCTTTTTTTTCCATCAATCCATAACGTCCCCCGAAAATCATAACTGACATATCCAACCCCGCACAGAAGCCGTAGACGCACACAAATCCTTCTTTGGCAGTTCTTCTACACCCCAGGCTGCATCATCTTCCTCCATGGGATCCGCTGCCGCCATGCAAGCCCTCAAGATGTTCAGCGGTGGGAAGACCGAGAACACGCAGTCCGGCAACTCGCAAAATGCTTTTGTGGGTATGGCGATGGCCCAAGCCAGTAAACTGTTTGACAGCCAGCAGTCGCAGGGCAAGGTCGAGAGCGGGGCGAGTAAGGAGACTGCTGTGCAGAAGGCCGGCGAGATGGCGCTTAAGCTGTATATGCAGAGCCAGGGGAAGAGTCAGAGTGGTGGCATGAGTAGTTTGATGGGGTTAGCTAGTAAGTTCATGTGAGCTTGAGAGGATTGGAGCCGATGGATGAGATACCGGATTGGGCTTTTGAGAATCGTAGGGGGTTCACGAAGTTTACGGATGTGCTACGATAACTGATATAAAAATGCGATGATGTTACACACGAAAACCGACTCTTGTTGTTTGAGATTCAAATGTCTTCATTATCCTTGCTCCTAGCCATTGTTCCTCATCTTTACCTATATCTTACATGTTTCTCGGGCATCAACTGAATAAGAATATCGGCCAAGAATCTATGTCTCGAGTTCTTGCCGATGCTCAATGTCCACGTGCAAAAGGATGAGAACCAGATATTCATACAAGGACAAAGTTGTATCCTCGTTATGATGATATACAAGCGAGCTCGACAAGACGCCCTGCTGTATAGATATATACAGACCGAGGGATATTACCACCAGGATACAAACAGTGTAACAACCCCAGCCCAACTAGTAGCTCATACCAAGCCAATCATACAGATAGCTCCGCAACGCCAAAAGTAAGAATTATGCTCCAGAAAGCCCTCCAAAACCAGACACAGCCTTTGTGTGCAATTAATTGTTCTACCAATACGCCTTTCTGTGCTTTCCTCAGGAATAAAAGCAAAATTTATTGCTTTCGTTGCCTGGAATAAGAATCAAAAACAATAGGAAAAGTCTAGTGGCTGTGTCCCTCATGATCCGAATGCTCGTGACCATTTTGAGACCCAGACTGTGAGGGGGGACAACAACCGCCCTTTGTGCAGTCATCAATGCATTCTAATAAACAAGCATCATCATCGAGACCGCATCTCTGCTGCCCAACAATGCCGTCGAGACCCACGACTCCGCCTTCAATAACGTGGTCATGAGCTTTGTCTGTGCAGAACTCGGGCTGTATCGTTGCACTATGGACGCCATATGCGTGCAGGCACTTCCGTGCAGCTCTTGCGACCTCCATATATTTCTCGCCGGCTGCCTCCGAGATTGGGAACGCGACTTGGATATGCATAGATGCCACGACCTGTGTGTCGCTAAGCTGCCAGATGTGAACATGATGGCAGCTGACAACCCCTGGGATGCTCTGGATATCTTCTTTAATGTCGGTGACATCAATGTGGTCGGGTGTTGCTTGCAGAAGGACCTTGGCAGTTGCTGATGTTAAAGGAACTGTTGAGTTTAGGATGATAAGTGCAATAAAGAGGGAAACGGCCGGGTCAGCGTAGTACCGTCCAGACCAACTTGACAGCCAGATAATAAGGGCAGATGCAATGACACCAACATTTCCTAGAGCATCACCAATGACATGAAGAACCATGGCATTCATCCCCATATCAGAATGGCTGTGGCCGTGGCCTCCCTTGGAGCGCTTTTTTGGCTTATTGTGATTATGAGTGGCATGCCATGAGTCATGCCTTGGCCTTCCTGTAAGACGTTGGCGGTGTTCGTGATTGTGGGAATAATCAGTAGCGCCATTTGACTTTCCATTTGACTTAGAAAGCAGAGGTGCGGTCTCTGTTGGCGTTCCTCCGTCTTCGAGAACAGCATCGTCCTCTGCCCCGGTACTACTATCCTCACTCTCCGTCTCGCTAGGCTGGGGTCTGGTCACAGCGAGAATATCCTGTCTGAAGCTTGATGGATGGATGCTAATATCATCGATATTGCGTACACGGCTGTTTGTCCTTCTTCGATGCTTCCTTGGAGATGGTGATGCGCTCATAGACTTGCGGAGACTAGACGCAACCTTCGAGCCGCTGCCGTGTTCGTGCGACGACGTAAATCGGATATGGGAAGATCTTGCCTTGGCTTTGGCAAGGACCGCTTCTGGAAACACCTCCCCTATATTGCTCTCCACTGGTTCCTGGGTATCATCACTGGTACGATATAGGGGCTCGCCAGCATGACTGTGTCCTTCCTCAGCAGCCGTAACCTCGTCACCGTGTGCGTGGTCATGCTCTGCTGGTCCATGAGAATGGCCATGTCCTCCCAGAACCAAGAACCCGACGAAATTTGAGGCAAGACCCAATGACCCGACTATCAATATAAGTTTCGGGTTGCTGATCTCAGGGGGATCGATGAGACGAGTTACTGCTTCGAGGACGATCGTAAGGCAAAGGGCGATTAAAAATACTGCGTTGAAGAATGCGCCTAGAATTTCCGCTCTCAACCACTACAAAACGGTTAGCTGCCTTGTAGGGAGACGGCCGAATATACAACTTACACCGAATGAATACTTGTCTGTCGACGACTTCCGAGCCGCAGTTACAGCCCAAAGCCCAACAACAAGAGAAATGATATCGTTCAACTACACCATTGTTAGAAAGAGCTCCAAGTTAGTGGCAGCCTAACCTCCTTACCATATGAAAAGCGTCAGCCATCAATGCTAGAGACCCAACAACTAAGCCAACACCCAGCTCAAGAATGAAGAACGCGGTATCAATTCCCAGCATCACCTTTATCCGCGTCGACTTTGACCACCCCATGCTGGGCAACTGTGATATGAGAAGGCCTGTATAGTATCCCAAGACGATGTAGTATCTACTGAGTCGTAGGAAGTCGAGTAGGAAGCTGGTGCCAAAGGAAGGTTCTCTTTCTTAGTCGCAGAGACAGTACCGCGAGATGAGAGGGAAGTCGATGTGTATAATTATCGCAGTAGTCGACGAGAAAATTTTGGGCAGTTTCTGTATCGAGGGCGTAGAATAGGCGGGATGATATAGGTAAGGTAGTGGGGGAATAAACAATCTCAATGATGTAGTTTGAACGGGGACGGTAGCTGGGGATGGTAGCTTGAACCTCTCCCTCTGTACCGTGTGCCGTGGGCCGTGTCCGTGTCCGTATCCGTATGCAAACAAGCCTTCAATAGAAGATAAAGAGACAAGAATCGAGAGGAAAGAAGTGAAAGGGCATCTCGGATGGTGGATGATGGATGATACGAAGCCGGTCGTGGTGTTGACGGGAGAATGATATTGCGTGAATTCACATGAGAGCATCAGCAGGTTGTGGCTTTGTTTGCTTTGTGGCTTTGTTACTTTGCTGCCGGCACTGAAGAACATTGTTCCGGTTGTTTGCATGTGGGGCTTTTTACGGGTGGCGTCATTGCTATGGAGTAAAGAAGTGCTTAAGTAAGCAGTTGTCATCACTAAGTAAACTCCCTGTTCTCCACTACTACTAATTTGTAAGTCAAGACAAATCCAACAAAATCCACTGTGTGCTTAACTAGGAGTGTCTACTGAGGGTACTACTATCGAGGTTGATGCTAGTGCTTTGGGGCTAGTGACAACAGATGGACGGGGTTTTTGGGCATGATGATGCCAAGTGACAAGTGACAAGTGACAAATAATAGCGAGAATGACGGCTGCGTAAATGCGTACCTTGAGTATTTTATATTAAGAGCTCTTACACACATGCTACTTGTCATAGGGTTCTCCTTGTTTAAGATTGCTTTTCCTAATTTGTTGAGCGTTTTGCAGCAGTATCTGCACTAAGAACATGTTATTTCCAAATAGATATTTGTAGTTAAAGCTAAAGGAGTCGGATTCTGCGTCTTAGACTTTAGTAGTAGGGAGGAAGAGCTCTTAATTACTGTAAGGGCTACTAAAACTACAACATTTACAGATCACAGGCTATATATCTCATGTTTACTTCGACGGGGCATAATGTGAAACTACCAGGTACCTATTTATGGTCATATTGGCACTCTACCTTAAGGTACCTTAACTACTTACACGAGCCGGCGCGCACGTGACACCAACAATGCTCCCTGTTTCCATGGACGGGATATTTAGGCAGTTTATTTTATCCTTCTTTTTTCACTAATTTGCTGGTATTAGTATGGTCCCACCAAGTCCGCCAAAGAGAGGGATCATTTTCCAATTTGCATTGAGACCATCTACAATTCTCACCTGAGAACCTTTCACATGTTAATGTTCGGTACCTCTTGTGGCCCCCGGGTCTCCTTTCCGAAAGTACTCACTCACTCACTCAGTTTTTAAAGACACTCGGCTCAGGCCGTGCATTGGGACCGTTTAAGAGATCTGCAGGTGATATATTGGCGTGGCACCATATCCATGGATACAATATAGTGTACATAGCTTCTACCGTTTGCTTTCAAGTTGCCTTTATGCAAGTCACATGGGACGCGCCGGAAAACCGCAGGAGACGTCGGCAATCCCAGCTCCCCTAGGGTTGCCTTTGAATCCTCTGAGCTGTGAGCCTGCAACACCCAGATTGCCAAGCGGAGTTCCACTCGTTGGAATGCTTCCGGTACGTCTAGAGCGCGGGTGAGTATAGAATTAATATGCTTATAGCATCCCTCAGATAGCATCGCGAGCCTCGCTATAACCGGCATCTCTCAGCCTCGATATTGATTGAAGATTCCCGTCACGGGAACAGAAGCCTCCAACCGTCACCATTCGCCCGAAGATCCTAGCAAATATATTAGGGTATTAGGGGGTTCTCGGCTTATGTCGCCTATCAGTCATATCGAGGACGACTCAGGTCATGGCGTTTGCTCATGGATAATGTCGACCGTGAGTAGAAGCGCAAAAAACATTAACAAAAGCTTGCAAGTAATGTCAGTCGTGCGATCTAGGATATGTTGCTAGCCGACTCACAAGAAATGTTCCAATCGCCAAAGCTACGATTTCGAAACCTCCAGAGATGGCCTTGCCTCTGACTATTGCATTCTGGCACCTCCACGTTCTAAATGCCCCGATTCCTAGGGTGTAGATTGCCGCACCCTGGCAGGTACAGGATAATGGTTTTGCAAGCATGAAGAATCCGATTCGAGGGTTTGGTGTGGCAGAATGTTGGAGTCGGCTATATCAACCGTCAGTATATAACATCCAAATGTGAATTAATGTGGGAATATGCTTGCAATAGTTGTGCAACCGTGATCCCTATCATCGAAAGGGCGAGTGACGTCCTTAGGTAACCCAGATATGTGCGTTCGAGGGCTAACATCACCGTTAGCGAGATTCGTCAATAACGCATCATGCGAGTTATGGAGGTAAGGTATGTGGTATGTGTATAATCCACAAGGCTAGTGCATTTTGCAATGTACCTCATAGATAGAGATGAATTTAGATAGAGTATCGGTAGGTCATATACGTATATGCAGCCTGGGCTCCGTAAATGACATGGTGAGGTGATTCAAGTCTATCAGGTTGAAGCATGTATTCAAGACACGAGGGAGATGATCAATCAAGGACGTCCGGAATTGAATTTCAATATGGATATACATATCGACTGATATGGGTATATGTCTCGACTGATGGCGGAGTGAATGAAGTAGGAAAACTGTAGGAGACTTATACATATCGACATACCTAAGTGGTCTCGGGCAGAGGTATGATCAACGGTGATGCTGATCTGGCGCCTCCAGAACTTCCTGAAGTTGGCGATCCCCGATCCTAGGACGGTCGTCGGCTTGTTGATTGCTACGGGGGCTGATCGCCGGGTGGAGGCTCGGCTGTATTGGCGTCTCATGCGTGCTGTCAATTCAGTCGCGTCACGACTAGCATGTTGACTTAGGGTGGGCAAACGCTCCTCCTCGGATATAGGCTGCTGGTCCGGTTGCTGGTGTTCGTGCTGTTCCTCAGCTCGCTCGCCGCCCTCTTGCACCGGAGGGCGTCCGTTTGACGTCTCAGCCATGCTTTTTCGCAGCGGTGACGCGGTTGCGGTGCGGAAATGCAGATCGCTGTTGTGTTACTCGTAATCGCATGGGTAAGGCGCGAAGCGCATGGCCATACCGGTAGAACAGGTAGTTGGGATCGTGGCTTAATAACAGTGTTGATACGGATACTTGAGACTTTGAGACTTGCGATGTGATGTGGAAGAAATGGCGCGGAATCGCGGTGGGAACGATAAGCCGCGCCGGTGATTAGATTAGATTAGATTAGATCTGATCCTGTGTAGCCATTGGTTTATTGGGGCCCATGCAGGCGGGCCGTTCTCCCACCCCCAAACTCCTTCGGCTACGAACATACTTCCTCAAAATATATGTTCCATTGCGCCGGATCTCTATCATCGTCGAGGATCCGCGTTGCTAGTCGGAGGTATATACTTTTATTTTGAAAGAACATGTGTTGCAGAAGCTGAAAGGACATCGACATCACGACTGGATCTTGCCAATCTTGCCACCGCTGCACGACCATGGCACCCAAGGCGAGCTCGGCCCGGATTCCGAAGTGATCGCCTCCTCCACCGCACGCTGGGCTCTGCAATTGCGAGAATTCCTTCATTCGAATCGAAGTCCATAGGGCTCTCTCGGCCTCGTGCGGTTCTGCATACGGCTAGCCTTATCTGATCTGTTTCGCTCGCTACTTGGTACATAATAGATATGGGCCTGGCATATCATGCATTTTCGTCTCCAAGCGCGGATATCTCTGCAGGCAACATCCGCTGGATGCAGCTCTCGGCCGAGGATTTTGGCAGGAAGCCTTCGTCTGGACTCTGCACTGCTCGTATGGGGCCTGGGGCGCTGGTCAGACCGCAAATCATCGACGCCTCGTTGTCCTGGGGCCTACCCAGTGCTCCACTCCCAGGGACCCAGATTGTCGCCGCAGGGAAGCTACCCTGACCTTGCTCTTCGTCTTAATCGCCGCCCTGGGCTCTGGAAACCAGCGGCGAGGGGCACTTTGGGCAGGCGAAGCGGAAAAGGCATCAAGAGAGCCTCGCGGTCACGGTCCGCCAGTACCGCTGTTGTTATCATGGGCCCCTATTCGCCTCCCACTGTGTCGGAGCTGTTTCCATCTCTTCCCTCCCATAGCTCCGGCCGCCTTGCTTGCCCCTCCAGGACCCGCCATGCCTCGCGGGAACCCGATGCGTGTCTGCAAATGCCCCCATAGGCCTCATAGATAGGCCCCGGGCCCGACGGCTTGCTCGGGTGCCTGCACTCTGCACTGCACCTGCTATGGTTGGCGTACAAGCCTGCCAGTAGCTCTGATCTAATTGTTGGTCGAATCCGTTGACCAGAAACCCAGTTGCCGCTCCCGCAGCTCCCATTAATTCAGCCGCCGTGCTTTATGATGCGATGGGTCTGTACGGAGTACACGTTTCATCCTGTTCTTCTCTGGCTATCTGACTTCTAACGGGCGGAATTATGGCTTGTTTACCCGCGTAAACATCGGTCTGAGATATATATATACACCGCACCTGATCCGCCTGACACTCCTTGCTTAGTCCTTTACGCCATTCTCAATATATAGATTCACCCGTCCTGCCACCTTGACTCCTGCTGTTTCTTGCAAGTCCCATGCCTTATCTTGACTCTTGTGGTCATTGAGAACACCGTTAGAGAGACGTTCCTCCCCGACTCCTGTTCGCTGGACCATATAACTGCCCGCCGCCTCCAGACAAAACAACTATATTCGTGACTTGGAACCAAGATTTAATCTAGTAACTTTCCACACCGCACATATGACCATGACGGACTCCCCAGATAGCCAGAAAAATGACCCTATCTTCGACAAATATCCTGAGGACTCGGAGGATCGCTCGAACACAGATACCAACCCTACACCAAACTCGGAGCTTTCACCACCGGCCACTCCTGTAAATAAAGAAGTCGAATTGGGCCAAGAGGTGGATCCCAGGACGAACGCTCGCAAACTAGCAGCTACCCTCACTCTAGAAGAACAGGTAAACAGCACCCAGTCAATATTAAACTGTTAACTCCTTGTACTGACAGTAGCAAGGCCTCCCTGTTAGTGGCTGCTGATTTCTGGCGATCAAAATCATTACCAGAGAAAGGTATACCGGCTTTCAAAACCAGCGATGGCCCAAATGGAGCCCGCGGTGCAATATTTAAGGCTGGGACAAAAGTAAGCAACGCTTCAAATGTCTACATCGTTGGAAATTCTGACATGAACAGGCTGCTCTATTTCCATGTGGTGTATCGCTAGCAGCAACGTGGAACACTGATTTGCTCTATCAAGTTGGCCAACATCTCGCCGACGAAGTAAAGGCCAGATCTGCCCACGTCCTATTGGCGCCAACAGTTTGTCTGCATCGAGGACCACTTGGTGGACGGAATTTTGAATCCTTCTCGGAAGACCCATTTCTTACCGGCAAGCTTGCCGCGTCTTATATCAATGGGATCCAGCAAAAGGGTATCGCCGCAACGATCAAGCGTAAGTACTCTTTGGGTGCATTATTCAGCTTCCAGATGCTTATGAAGTTTAGACTATGCGACAAATGAGCAGGAGACTAAAAGGATGACAATTGATTCAATCGTACAGGAGCGTCCGCTTCGGGAATTATATCTTCGCCCCTTTGAGATAGCAGTCCGAGAGTCAAACCCGTGGGCTTTGATGTCATCATATAACCTCGTCAATGGAGTTCACGCAGATATGAACGATCATCTTCTAAAGGACATTCTGAGGGGCGAATGGCGTTACGACGGGTAAATATATATTCCGAGTTGATGTCGCTGCCTGCTTACTTGTTCTAGATTGGTCATGTCTGACTGGGGAGGAACCAACTCCACTGTCGAATCTATCATGGCTGGGCTTGATATTGAAATGCCAACGTCGGGGAAGTGGCGTGGCGAAAAGGTCGTTAAGGCTGTGAATGAGGGAAGACTGAGCAAGGAAGCTGTTGAGCAGTCCGTTGCGAATATCCTCTACTTGGTCGAGCGAACAAGAGGCAACGACATGTCGGCCGAATTGCCCGAACGAGAAGATGATAGAGAGGAGACTCGGAAACTTATCCGTGACGCAGGAGTAGAGGGTTTGACGTTGTTGAAGAATGACGGAGGGGTTCTTCCAATCAAACCATCCGAAACGAAAATCGCTGTCATCGGCCCCAACGCCAACAGAGCCATTGCTGTAGGAGGTGGCAGTGCCAGTCTCAACCCATATTACAATACCCTTCCACTTGATAGCATCAAGAAGGTCCCGGGCAAGGAAGTCACTTATTCTCTAGGATGCCATACATACAAATGGCTACCTTTGGCCGCAGAATACTGTACCACTGCTGCCGGAGAGCAAGGCGTAAGTCTTGAGTTCTTCGTAGGAGATAAATTCGAGGGTGAACCAAGAGTGGTCCAGCACAGGACAAACACAGATCTCTTCCTCTGGGATTCGGTTCCATTAGAAGCTGGTAGAGTGTGGTCATGCAACTGTAGAACGAGGATTACGCCAAGAACCACCGGACGACATACTATCAGCTTTTCCAGCGTTGGCCCTGGACGACTGCTTGTGGACGGCAAGATTTTGATTGACCTATGGGATTGGACGGAACAAGGCGAGGCAATGTTTGATGGATCGAAGGACTTCCTTGTTGATGTCGACATGGAGGCTGGGGTGCCAGTCGAAATTGTTGCAGAGATCAATAACGAAGTCCGCCCATTTTCGAGACAAAAGCATGTCAATCTGACGCACCAAAATGGCGGTTGCCGGATTGGCTACAAGGAGCAAGATCAACAAGATTACCTGCAAGAAGCGGTCGATGCTGCAAAGGCTGCCGATGTAGCGGTCGTTATTGTTGGTCTCGACGAAGAATGGGAATCTGAAGGCTATGACCGACAGACGATGGATTTACCCTCGGATGGCAGCCAAGATCGTTTGATTGAAGCAGTGTTAAAGGCAAACCCAAGGACGATTGTTGTCAATCAATCAGGCTCACCTGTTACCATGCCCTGGGTAGACCGCGTTCCCGCAATAATCCAAGGGTGGTATCAAGGTCAAGAAGCCGGTAATGCGCTGGCAGATGTGCTTTTCGGGCTCCGAAACCCAAGTGGCAAGCTTCCAGTAAGTGAAAATCGAAGTTTGAGGGACAATTTACAATTCTAACGATTCTCCAGACCACCTTCCCTAAGAAACTGCAAGATAACCCGACCTTCCACAACTGGCCAGGTGAGAACTTAAAGGTAGTGTATGGCGAAGGCCTCTATATTGGTTACCGCCATTATGAGAGAATGGGCATCGAGCCACTCTTCGCCTTCGGCCACGGCCTTTCCTACACCAGCTTCACGTACGGCAAGCCCACGATCAGCCAAACGGTCCTCTCCGATGGCGACAAGATCACCGTCACCATACCCGTGACAAATTCCGGAGATGTTGAGGGCGCCGAAATCGTCCAAGCATACATCCACGACGAGAAGTCTCGTCTGCCACGACCAGAGAAGGAGCTGAAGGCCTTCGACAAGGTTTTCTTAAAGCCGGGTGAGACGAAGGATGCTAAATTGGTGCTGGACAAGTACTCGACTGGATATTACGATACCGATATATCAGCATGGATCGCGGAAGAGGGAACCTTTGAAGTGCTCATTGGGTCGTCTTCCGCAGACATCAGGTGAGAGTGCCTCAAACCCCTTAACTAATATACCCGCACTAACACATCAACTAGGGAGAAATCTTCATTCGAGGTCAAGGAGTCTTTTACTTGGGTATTCTAATGGGCATTAAGTTATTTGATAGATCAGAAACGCATTCGCGAGGATACATAGTATTACATACCTGTCTTCCCAGGATCATTTGTTTGCGTGGGAGGGACACTTTGCTCCATGGGGTTGATTTTCAAACGGGGCCTGTCCCACATGTTTGCCGTACCCGCTCTTAGAAATCATGCTCCATAGTTTTTACAAATGAATGAATTAACTTAAGTGAAAAGGCTCTGTTGGAGATATATATTTGTTTGGATACGAGGTCCCGAATGTGTTTCTCGTAGAGTTGCGGAAGCTGTCTACGTACTCGAGTACTTTATTTGTACCTTGATCCCGGTAGAACCACGGAGCATCCACCCCCAGTTATCCACCCTGTGCGCCTGGACCCAGGGCAATAAAGGGGAAATACATATAATATAATAACTACATTTCCTCTTCCCTTTTCTCTTCTTCACGACTGACTCTCGCATCCATCTCGGAATCTCAGTCGCCAACCTACAAATACTCTCGGGAGACTAGTACTAGGAATGGCCGACGTACAGGTTTGCAATGGCATCGACATCGGCATATCATAGCGCATCGCGCTCAACACGCGACCATTTCATCGAGCCCCCTTCGCTCCTATCGCGCATCATCATGGCCCTCCCTTCTGGGCTCTCAGTCCAGATCCAGCGGTTATGGGATCGCAATTTCCAGTCTGCTTATACGGTATCGACACGCCAGTCTCGCATATCGCGGCCCCTACGACGGTGGTATTGGCCGCGCAGTTTGCTGAATCTTCCGCATTTGCTGGTAGCTGTCTGGTTTTTGACGCTGCTATGGGGCGAAAGATGGGTATTTCAGAGCAGTATCGAGGCGTGTGACTGGAGGAAGTGGGAGAGATGGGTATGTAGAACCCCCATATAGAATTCGTGTTCAGTGGCTGCGAGAAGGAAAGTTTGCTGACCTGGGATATACTCGAATAGCCCAAAGACGCCACCCCTCACCATCTAATATTCCTAGCTGATCCGCAGCTAATCGATCCGCATTCGTATCCCGGCCGGCCATGGCCGCTGGACACCTTCACGATTTTACATACGGATAATTACCTCAAGCGGAGTTATATCTCGCTACAGAAGAAGTTGCATCCAGATACCATTTTCTTCTTGGGGGATCTGTTCGACGGGGGCAGAGAATGGAAGACTGCGAAGGGAAATACAAAGGATGCAGATTGGGCGAATGGCCTACGACCTTCCGGAGAGCAGGCCTTTGTTGAAACATGGGGAAAGCGATACGGAGAAGATTTCTGGTTGCACGAGTACGGGAGGTTTGGGAATATCTTCTTGAAGTACTGGAACCTGGGAGGGGATAAGCCTGGGCCGGGCCAGCCTGCGAGAAGGATTATCGCGAGTTTACCGGGGAACCATGATCTAGGGTTTGGGGATCAAATCAAAATCCCCATCCGGAATCGATTCGAGGTGTATTTTGGCGAGGGAAACAGAGTCGATGTTATTGCCAACCACACATTTGTTTCTGTGGACTCGGTATCTCTGAGTGCTGGAGAGTCGGAGCACGATACTACGGAGATCACCAAACCAGTGGAGAAATTTCTTTCAGAAGTCCAAGTCACTAAACGGAAAGCCGTTGCAAGGGAACTGGATCGGCAAGCTGGCCATGAAAGAACGCTACAATACAAGCACAAGGTGGAGGAACCGGACGCAGTCGACTATAAGAAATTGCGGACCCTCGATCCTGGCCCAAATGGCGCCGACTTCCCCACGATTCTCCTCACACACGTCCCCCTTTATCGAAGCCCAGGAACCCCGTGTGGCCCACAGAGAGAGCATTGGCCGCCCACAACGCCGCCAAAAGGCCAAACCAGTCCTGTCAATCCAGATGAGAGAAATGCCATCTCCATCTCCAAGGGCTACCAATACCAAAACGTTCTGAGCGAAGCCGACTCGGTGAGGGTAATATCCGCTATCGGCAACGTAGGATCCGTATTTTCTGGCGACGACCATGATTATTGCGAGATCGTGCACCCAGAAAATAAGAACCATGCCCGGGAAATCACCGTCAAAAGTATGAACTGGGCCATGGGCATCCGTAAACCAGGATTCGTCATGCTCAGCATGTGGAACCCCGTAGGACCTGATGGACGGCCTCTACACTCATCACCGTCGGGCCACGGATCTGCAGCAACAACAACAGAAAGCCACCTCTGTCTCCTCCCCGACCAATTGGGGATACTCATCCGCTACGTATATCTAATCGTCATTTCGCTCCTCGCCCTCACCATCCGCGCAATCCTCACCCCAATGTTCAAACTTACCCCCTTCTCCGCCCACCGAGTCCCCTCTGAAGATATGTCCCTCCTCCCCACAACCGCCAAAGACTCCAAACGCCGCGAAGCCCAAGACCGAGACGGTGATCACGACCCCTACCGCTCGTCCAACTCCTCGACCTCCTCAACAGCCTCCACCACCCTCGCTCCCCGTACCGTCACTCGAACAAGGAGTGTAAGTCCTGCGAAGGGATACGGACTACCCGCTTCACAAGTTCGTTTCGCGACCCCACCCCTCCTCAACCAAGCAAACAGCTATGGCAATTCAAATGGAGGAGCCAAACTCGATGACGACTACTTCTCATACAGCGGCCGCAAAAGCACAGCATATGACGAAGTTGGCTTCGGAAAGACTAGGAAACCAGATACAGTTCTAAGACTAGTATTGAGAGAGATCTGGACCAGCCTCTTGCGAGTAGTATGGATGGTGCTATGCATATACTTCTGGCTAATATGGTTCTATCCCGGGGCCTAATATCCCCCTTTTTATTATTAATGTACGAAGTACCTATGTATGGGGGCATTGGGCAAAAGAATCCAGGAATGGAGATGGGGATAATACAATTTCTGGTTGTAAAATCAATTTCACCCTGGTAAGGTAAACAACAACAAGAGTAGGGTTTTGGGGGTTTTTGCTTTAGGGAGGGGGGGGCGGGGGGGCGTTTTTGGATTGATATATCTAGCGTTAAAGCAAAATATCGGTAAAGAGGCCCATTTGGGGCTGGGATACAGTAGGTACTTGATGTACGATGAAAAACACTTTTAAAAAACTTGCTAGAATGCTATGTTGAACGTTGTAATGTTATAAAAAAAACCTCGATATCAAATTACCGCTTAAGGAAAGTCTAACGTCAAGAAACCTCGCGCGCTCCATATACGATAGGTGTAGAGATGTATACTTTCGCTCACTCCATCCATAGAAAGCCTCGCGTGTAATATATCGAAAGATACACGTTAAAGAAAACAATTTACCCTATCACAAGAAAGGCGGGGAATTATCGTTTAACTGAGATTTTTCCATTCATTCATTCAACTCTCTAATCTCCCCTAAAGTACAAGGATACAAAGGTTCGTCGTTGCAATTTGGTATAATCAGTATCTGTCATCACGCCGCATTTGTCCATCCAACCAGTCCATCCATCCATCCACGATAATAAACGCACAATATGCAACTACCTAGCTGGGGGAAAAGGAACCGATGATGACAACGCTTTGCTTCCTCGGGTTGGGGGGAAGCCTGACAAACAAAAACAAAATCCATTTTCATATGCTTGGTCAAAAGCGTCTAGCTTTAACCCATTTCACTATGACATTTCCACATCGGCAGAGGCGGCAGGTGCACCAGTGCTGGGGATGACACCCTCGTCGGTCCACTTCTTGAAATCCATGGTGACCTTCGAGACCTCGTCGTGGTTGAGACCCTTCATCCAGGCATTGTTCATCTCGAACTTCTCCTTGAACCGCTGTTTTCTGGCATCTTCGAACTTCTGGAGACGTTCGCGAGCTGCGCTTACTTTGGTCTTAGGATCGTCGCCGAGGGGCTTGTCTGTGTAGATGAAGAATTCGGAGCCAGGGTGCTTGTACATCATCTTGTATGTGTTGACACAGATTCGCAAGGTCAGGTCTTCCTTGTAGACTAGAGCCTTCAGCTGATGAGATGCCTCGTCTGAGTCGGTGTCGGTGGATGGGAGGTTGCGGGTCAAGACGGTCTTGTGAAGACGGTTGCGCGGAACGCCCTCAGTAGGCTCGATGCAGACGTAAGAGGAAATGTAGTATTGCCAACGCTGCATACGTTCCATGTCATCGAGATCGAATGTTGTCTCATCCCTCTGGATCCACTTCAACGTTACATCAGCTCGGGCCGGGTACTATTGATGATGGTTAGTAAAAGGGGCTATTAGTTTTGTCGCGAGAATGACTTACCCAATGGATCAAGAACAATTCGCCATCTTTGACATATTTATCAGCTTGCTTGCGCATAGTGATCTCAGCAGTGTAGGTTGTCTCATTCTTGCTTCTGTTCCGATAGAACTGCTCGATAAGATCTGGTGTCTTCTCCTTTGGATCGATGCTCGAGCAAGTTGCACCCAATCTGCAGAGACTCTTGAAGAGGTCCATGATGGTGTAAAGTTGCCAGCCTTTCTTCAAGTAGTAATGACGAAGGTAATCTTGGTATTTAGCCTCTTCGACCTCGCCATTGATGAAGTCTTCGATCAGCATCAAGGTCTTCGCATAGTAGCTTGGAATATTATGAGGCAACGGATAGCTGTCGGTTTTTACTTCCAACAGCCCAACCCGATGTGCCGGCTTAAGTTCCGCAATACGCATTCCTTCCTGTCTGGCCTCGTCTTCGCAGTCCTTGATGTCTTTCAACCGTCGGTATAGACTCTGGAAGACGCTGAAGAAGACGTAGATAGTCTGGTTGCAGTACAGCTTGAAATCGGCACGCGGGTATGGCTGATCGACCTTCAGCTGGAGATCCGTAACAGAAAGCTCTCTGGTTCCATTAATTGCAACGGCATTTGGCACGGTAGCCCAACGCTCGTCGGTGGCATCTCTGACACCTTCATCGGCACCTTCACCGGACTCATCCTCTCCAAGGGATTCAGCATCGGGTGTGGACTCCTTGCTTCCGTTGGCGCTGCCCTCTTTTTGCCCACGGCCTCTAGTGCCATTTCGGTTCTTGTCAAGAACACCTCGTCGTAGATCAGTCTTGCGCGCATGTCCTAGGCGACGACCGCGACCATTCTGCAACTCAGTGGGGGTAGACTCCTCATCATCTGGGATCTCGGATGAGGTATTGTTCAGGCATTGAGCAACGACTTCCTCAGACAGGCCGAAGAAGGTGGGAATAAATTTGCTGAAGAATTCGGAGATACGATGTCGCTCATGGCTGTTATGCTGGGTGGAGATGTTGGCGTATAAAACCATGAAGCGTAGAACGTCTGCAATGACGCCTTGATCCATGAACTCGTAAGCAAACTGGTACTTTTGGCTCCTGCCTCTGGTGCTCCGTTGGCGCCGTTGCTCCTCATGCTTCGTTTTGATGGCATCAACAAGGTGTTTGGCAGCCAGGTTTCTCTTGTCGGCTTGCTTGGCCTGGATTCCCATGTGATCAAGACTCTTGAGGTACATGTTCTCAGTCTGAGCATGCCAGACCTTCTCCCACTCCCGCTGTGTAAAGCGCCATTCTTCATCCTTCTGCTTCAAACGAGCCAGGACAATGGGAAGAACCGCGCAAGGATCCTTGAAAAGATCCGCCGCCACTGCTTGGCCCTTATCACCATAAATCTTCTTAAGCACACGCTTGTAGATGGCTTGACTTTGGCCACCAAGACCAATTGGCATACGGAAATTCTGACGCTCTTCGGGACTCATGGCGAGGAGGGTCTGTCCAATGGGTTCAAGCAACTGGATGACCTTGGCGTTGGCTTCAATGTTGAAATCATAGTCATGGCGCTCTTCTTCAATTCGGTGCAGGGCTTCCTCGAAGACATTCTTGCGATGAGCCACGAATCCAGAGTCTTCTGATGCCCAGGTTGGATGAGAAGCCCAATCATCATTGAGCACGTCGTTGCACATCTCATCTCGTCCACTGCAAGGCTTCAGCCGCTCCTGGATTTAGTTAGCATATGTTGTTAGGTGGAAGGTGACCACGTGAACACGTGAACCAGGTCAAAAGCATTCTATGACAATCGATACCGACGAGGGTGAAGAGACAAAGAATAAAATATAAGAAATGGATTGCACATACTCTCTTTGGCAGAAGACGATAGCTAGGACCAAGGCCTCTGCAATTGCTCAACGAAACTCGTCCAGTAGGAGGCTTCGGCTTATTATCAATGACCTCGTCGTGGCCGTCGTAGCCGACAAAGGCCTTGAACCAGTTCATCAAGTCGGGATTTCCGCCGATGAAAGAGCTGACCTTATGAACAAGGACGTTGCGATCAATGAGATCCTGTGAGAAGAGGTTGCAAAGCTTCAGGAACTCGTTCATGGTCGACTTGTTGCCAATGTACTTCTTGACGCGATCGAAGAAGGCAAGCTCCTCCTGGGTAGCAGCTGAAGTAGACGTAGGAGGAAGGGGCTCTGGGATAATGGGAGTCAAGCTCGGTGCTACAACTGGAGCGTCGGCTGCGACTGGCTTGTTGTGGCTTAACTTTGTTCTCTACAGCAGGTGCGACCGTTAGCATGAGTTATGGGCAGTAAGGTCCGATGCTCAAGTAAAGGCCTCTCGCAAGGATTGGCAGTGGATCGACGAGAGTGTTACATACCTTATTTGCGGCTCCTCCTGGACCAAGGCCCCTCGAAGAGCCTTCTCCATTCATACCCATCTGAGACGCGACGGGAGCAGCTGCGTTAGGTCGAGAACGCTTCTTACTTTCCTTGGTGGTACTGGCAGGGACAGCGAAGTTACCCACGGGAGGCATCTTTGCTTCTCCGCGAGTGTACGATGTCTGTGGTGTTTGGTTGGCACCGGACATCGTGGCGGCTGCTTCTTGCTCTGCGGCGGCTTTGGCAGCAGCAGCCTTTGCGTGGGCAGCTGATTCAGGCAAGAATTGCTTGAAATCTTCTAGCAGATCAGGGGCTGTGTTGAAGAGGTGTGTTACTTGCGCGTAGACATCGCCAATAGGCTTTGACTCTCTTTGGTAGGTTTGCAAAATCTCCAGGAACTGCTTGTAGATTTCAGGTCTATTTTGAAATCGGTTCTGTGCGAAGAGGGAAAGTTAGCGCGATTCATATAGCAGGAATATTGCGGCGGTGATATTTGCGGTGAAGTTACTATGGTGATGCTATTGTGTATTGCGGACAATAGGGAAGTCATGTGTGATTTAACTTCACCGCTATGGGGGAATCTGCCAAAGCCAACACATTCGCTTACCTTTATCTTGTTTACGTAGCTAATTGCATGATTGAACTCAACAGGACCGCGCTTCTCAAGACCTTGCTGTCCACCAGCGCCGTTCATGCCAGGTTGGCCGCCAGGTGTTGGAGTCTGGGTGTTTCGCGGCGTTTGACCTAGAGTGGCAACAGCATTTGTAAGTTGTGACACCCCTCTTTGCTGTTGTTGATGTGCAGCAGCAGCAGCTTGTTGTGCTTCATAGCTAGAGTGTTGAGGCTGGTTCTGATTATAGGTAGGTGGTCCAGCAGGCTGATTTTGCGGACTGAACACAGCTTCTGGGCTCTCAATACTGTGCTGTGGTTGTTGCTGTTGTTGTTGCTGCTGCTGCTGCTGCTGCTGCCAGTTGCCATGACGTTGCTGCGCACCATAGTAGCCGCCACCAGCACCACCTTGGCCCATCACTGCTTCAGGAAGGGCTCGACCAGTTCCGGTGATCGACTGCACTGTTGTTCCCATTGGTGTGGTCACTCTAATGGTATTCGGGTCGTTCCCTGCGCCGCATTCGATACGGTACCCTGGGGGCAGGAAGGTATTGAACCCCTGAATAAGGTTCGGATGGCCAGCGAAAAGCTCTGAAACTCGGTTGATAACCCCGGGAGTATCAATACTGCTAATTGTCAGATTCTCTACAGGATATGACTTCAGGGGACATAGGGAGGAGTGAGGCATACGCTTGACTCTTGAAATCCTTCATAATGTCAAGAAAGCGGTTGTACACATCAGGTTGGTCGGCGAATTGAACCTTAACTTGGTCAAGATAACTAAGAGCATCCTTTAGGGTTGTTAGCAAAAGTTCTATATCACATTCAAGTACGCGACCATATTCCAAGGTTCAGAAGCGAATATCAACCAACTTAACACCATATACTTCCACAGGAATGGGAGTACGTTGCCAATTACAAAGGAGCGATAACCACTTCGAACGACCAATTCTTCTTAATCAAGATTCGAATAGCAATTACAGCAATAAAGCCTCAAAACAGCAGATTGGGGGGATCCTCAGATCCTGGCACGCAAAATGAGAGAGGGCTTTACAATGCCCCAAAGCAGAACATGAAGTACAATGCTAACGCCACGGCAGAGTCCAATGGCAAGGCACTACGTTCAGGACGAGGGGAGGAGGAGCTTACATTCAATATAGGTTGTTGTCCTCCCTGGCCCAGCGCAGGAGCGCCAGGCATCTGATGCCCCTGAGGAATCGGACCTCCAAAGGGGAGCTGCTGCAAGCGAGACACCGCCTCCTGCTGTTGCTGCTGCTGTAGCGTGCTATTGAACCCAACAGCAGCCCCGCCAGAGGCGTTGATGGGGACACTCGGCGGTGCAGTATTATGATGTAGGATGTTGGGCCCGAAGCCTTGTTGGTGCTGGATTTGGTTCGGGCCATTTTGAGGATTGTGTTGCTGGATCGAACGACTGGCTTCGCTGTGTAGAGGGCCCCCGAAGGCATTGCCAGGCCCGCTTGGGGCGCCGAGGGGACCTGAGGGGGGAGGAGGAGCACCGCCGTGGTTTGCAAGCAGACCGCCCGGGCTGTGGATGGCGCCGGGTAGGCGGGAGGCAACGGGCTGGTGGAGAGGGATTGAGGCGGTGTCGTTCTGATGGGGTGGAGGAGGCTGGTAATGTTCGCGATGCTGTCTCTCTCGCTCTTGACGCTCGTTCTGCTCTCGCTCACGCTGGACGAGCTCCTGTTGCTGCTGTAGAGCGTGGGCTCTTCGTTGCTCTTCGATCTCGCGCTCGCGGTCAAACCCCGAGGGGCCGTGAGGAGGCTGGTTGTTCATGGCGGTGTAGGATTCGAGCGGGGATTTGATAGGGAGGCAAAGTTAGCTGTGATATATATGCTAAGATCGATGCTCTAAATGGAGATCTTGCAGCTGCGGATCAAGTTCGAGCTTTGTATGACAGGGCCGGCAGCGGAGAGATGGGCGCGGGAGGAATCAACGGGCTGGAATGGGATTAACGTGCTGGCAGATCGCTGAGGGCCAGAGGGCGTTAACTCGTGCACATAGTGGTCCTTTAGATGTTGGCATCTGCTGTACAGATCGGTCGCGTTGTCGTGAGCGATAGATCGGAAGCAAAAGCGATCTGTGGAGGTTCTTGTCGCAATCATCAGCAGCTAAGCCTATTGCAGATTCTGCCGGCAAGGCTCAGGGTCGAGAGATAAGGCGGTCTGCGGTGTAGCCGTGACGGAATGCCAGGCACCTGACTAAGGCTTTAAACTTAAACAGGCGGAAAAGGGGTACGTCACGTGGTACGGGGTACAGATTCTGCAGAACGAGGAGAATTGGCCGTAATGACTCCCGTTTCACTCCCCTTCGAGTCCCCATACCAACCGTTAAACGGTAGCAGTAGGGGCGAGATCAGACGAAATGACGTACAAACAATACTGTAAGCGCATATAGGTACCTAGGTAGTATAGGAATAAGCGTTGGATTTCATCTACTTTACGTTTCCCAACGGCACCGCTCATTACCATTCAGACAAAGATAAAGCATATATCATTCATATCCTATCTCAGATGCCCCGTTTTAATCTTTCCCTTCCCTATATCGTGCTGGTCATCTCTAGCCATGTAGCTATCCGATCCCAGACAGTTAAATATAATAATGCCCGAGCTTCGGCATACGGTAGCAGTCCGTTGTTTGCATTCCCCATGACCCCTCCCCATCCCAGGAATCCATATCTTGTAGATAAATCGCCCGGGAAAATATACACCATACCCAATATCCAATTCCATAAAGTTAGACCCGTGCCCAATAACCCCCCGGACTCATATTCATGGATAGAACCCATACGATAGTATTCCTCATAACTCCAATACGGAAACTCCACGCTCAAGTACATGTAAACGCAAAAGCAAAAAAAAGGAGGCGCAACATTAGTAACTTAGATCAACGTGGCCTAGTTGCGCGATGATTTTGTCTTCTTCTGATATGGACGCTGCACTGTCTGTTTGACTGGAGCTAGTGCCGGTTCGTTGTCGAGCGAGGTCATTGTCGTGTTCAGTCAGTTGAATCCCGCTCGACGACGCGCCCTCGTCACGCATTTCCTGGAAGCTCCAACTGGGTTGGAAGGATTTGCTGTGCCAAGCGCGATCGACTCTCTCGTACAATTCATCGATCTGTTCGAGACTGATCTTACTCGTTTCGTATACCATAGCCCATACGAAGATGAAGGATACAACGCAAAAGAATCCCCAGAGGAAGAAGATCTTAGCCTGGAGATTGGCGTAACTCGGACCAGAGTTGACAAGATACGGGGTCCCATAAGCGATCGCAAAATTTAGGATCCAGTTTGAGGCGACTGAGATCGACATCGACTTGGCACGAACCTTGAGAGGATAGATCTCCGAGGTTACGACCCAGACGACGGGCCCCCATGATGCGGCGAAGAAGAATATATAGAGACAGACGAAAACGATGAGCACGATGTTGGTGCTGGTGAGCTCTGGATTGATTGTTCCAACGCTGCCGACGACGAACTGACATACAGCCATCCCGGCCGCCCCTATCATAAGAATGCGGCGACGGCCTATCGACTCGACCAGGATCATTCCAGGGACGGTGGAAACAACATTAACGACGTTGGTAATGAGAGCAATGACAAAGGGTGACTGGATACCAATATTGGTAAAGAAAGTAGTTCCGTAGTAGAATATGAAGTTACATCCAGAGAGTTGCTGGAGCATTTGTAGGCCGCTGCCGGTGAGGAGGCGACGACCTAGATGAGGCGTTCCAAGGAAAACATCGCGATAGCTTGAAGCTCCGAGACTCAGCTCATATTCGTGATTGGCTTCGATCTCGGCAAGCTCCTCGATTAGAGCGGGGTGGGTGATATCCAGGCGACGGAGACGACTGAGAGATGAAGCCGCGGCGCCATGGCGATTTCGTTTGATGAGATAGCGGGGTGTCTCGGGCAGGAGCATAAGCCCAAGAAGAAGGACACCGGCCCACACAAATTGGAGGGCAAGAGGAATCCGGAAAGCATTTGCCGTTGACATTCCCTCGGTTATAATGTTAACCATGGCGGCAAGGAGCAGGCCAAAAGTGATAGCGAGCTGGTATGCGCAAACCAACGTCCCTCGAATCCACTTGGGAGCCATTTCGGACTGATAGAGAGGGACCAGCACCGATATCACACCAACACCAAGGCCAGCGAAGAATCTACCATCACAGCAGTCAGCATCTGAAAGGGGATACTTGAAATGTCACGGGGGACATACCTTCCGCTGACAAGCGTTGGAAGGGCCATCGCAATGGTCTGAAGTAGGACGCCGAAGGCGAAAATAGCCACGGCAATTATAAGAGAAGTGCGTCGACCAAGTTTGTCACCCAAAGGCGCTGCCAACAAGGCGCCGAAAAAGGTTCCGGCGCTTAATATCGCTACGACTTGAGATGACTGTGCTGGCGATATATTTAAGATCATATCCTTGGGGTCGACGTATCCCGTCGTAAACTGTTTGCGAAAGGCCTTCATCGCTAATATCCCAGAGATCGTGCTATAGGGCAGTCAGTTTCCCATTACCATCGCAACATGCCGCCGATCCCATCCGCATTAACTCACCCCGTATCATATCCAAACAAGAGTCCTCCGGTAGCGACGAAAAGCCCGACCATAATGGCGGGTGCTGACGATCCCGCCACATTATCGGGCTTATGCCAGGAAGCCATGGCTATTGCCATGATCGGAGGGAAGCGGTCGTCGGGACCAAGGCAGGTTGAGGGAGGAGAGAAGCCGTCGTCGAGGGATTCGGATTCGGATTCGGTCGAGACTTTCGACAATGATGATCACCAGTTGTGGGCGCCCTCAAATATCTAGGCATCCCTATGCGCAGCAGGGACGGGGGGGACTCCTCGCACAGTTGTCCCCAGAGGCGGAGAGCAGCATTCCCCGAAGGCGCTCCAGTCCCTCAGCAATCCAGCGCCGTCCGAATCGCGATGTTTAAGGGGGTTGTTTGGGGGGAATCGTAGGGGAAACGCTCGTTGCGGAGATAGGGAAACCGACTTCGATGCAGATCTGCGCGAGGACGATGGGGGGAATTCGAGGACTGGGAGGTTTACTGGGAGGCGGAGAGGGCGAATCGAGAGTTCCCAGCTGGAGCGATGTTCGATATCGACGGTGATGGGGCGGTGGGCGTAGGCGTGGGCGTGGTCGTGGTCGTGGGCGTAGATTGTAGGCGCAGGCGTAGGCGAAGAGCGCTGTGGTCGTGAGGTTGTGGATGTCAGAGTTGCCAGAAGGTCGGGGGGGGGCTCTGGTTGTGGGGAAGCGCAGAGAATGCTAAATGGGCTGGGAGGAGAGCGAGTCTTGGAAGCCTGAGCGGCCTGAAAGCCGCAAAGCCCAAGTCCTCCATGGGCGGGTGTTCGAGTCCCCCAGCTTCCGATGGCGAAGATGCGCCAACCACCACTCAAACCCGCTGAACGCCCCTTCGACCACCACCACCACAAGCCACTCGGCAGCGGGCTGGTTAGGACGAAGTACATAGTTACAAAGGACGCCTGCTGTTACGCTGTTACGCTGGTCATCGCGCGCTGGGAGGCTTGGAGGAGCCTTGGGAGGGCTTGGAGCTCGACGGCTACTGGATGCTCATGTTCCTACGACGCCCACCGCACCGCCGTTCTCAGGGAAAGTCAAGAGTCAGGATGCACAGTATGTCAGGATGCGCTTACGGGGGTCCGTGGAAGTGGTGCGGTGGTGCAGCGCCGATGCTGATGGGGAGAGAATAATACTTGGATTTCCTGGATTCATCATCTCCTGGAGGCTGGAGACCGGGACGCACGCCCAGCTGTGAGGCACTGAGCTGAGACTCGACGACTCCAAGAGGCCTGCGTGTGCAACTGCGGCTTCTTCTTGTTCCCCCTTCCCCTGCAAATATAGGATCATGGCTGTCACATTCGCCCTCCCCAAGTCTCTCGACTTTCCACCGCCAGAACGGCCAACCACCAATAACGCCTCATCGTGGACCGGCTGGGCGCTCGCTGCATCGCTACGGCGAAGGGGCGTTGTCGTTGTCACCATCAATATTAAATGGGGAAGGAGACTGGTGCAGACTGGGCGTGAGACCAGTACAGAGTTCCTCGCAGGGGGCGAATAATACTCGCGGGAATATCACTCGAATCACTGCAGAGGACTGGAACGCGAGGGCGGCCGGATACCCATGATCCATGATCCATCAGCCTTGGAGAAGTCGAGGTTCAGAGTGAGTTACTGGCTATGAGCACGCACACGACCACGTTGACCGTTGGGGCCCTGCGGTGAGGCTCTAGATAGCGAGTATCGACTCCATACGTACTGTGCAGTACTTCGCACAGAACCACGGACGTAGGTACGTACATACAGAGCCGTGGATTGACTCGTCAGGTTCCATGAATACCGGCATCTAAGCATCCTACTCGACTTACGCAGTACTCGAGTACTGTACAATGCTACTTCGTACGTACAAAGTACTCATATCTGCCAAGGACCACCGAGGCGCTGTTGTCCCGCGTCGTTAGTTATCATATTATTCAACAGCAAGTACAGTAACTTCCCATCCTCCTCCTCCTCCTCATCCTCTCCTTGCTAGCTCCAAAGTTTGAAGCGGTCGCTACTTGGGGTCGCAGGCTTGCACTTGCGCTTGCACTCGCACTTGTGCCCTTCCAGCCGGATCATGGGTCTCGTTTCCCTCCCAAGAAAGTCCCAAGACGCTTCCGCGTTTTCGCAATCTTATCATTACACAGCATCAATCCGAGGTTACACGTTCCAACACGTTCCAACACGCGGTTTCTCACGGCCGACTGGGTGGACAATGTCTTTGTGGCAGGCTTGTGCGTCGCTGGTGTGCCTGGTGCTAGATGATCTTGCATGATGCCTCCTCGACTCCGCTTGTTACCTCCCGAGTCTTCTTCGTCTGCGACTCTGCGGTGCTCGGCAGCACAGGCAAAAATTTCAGCAGGCAAAAGGAAGTTCGTGGCTTGCTTAAGGTAGGTTTCGTGGTGCAGTCGCCCGCCAGGGAACAACTCAGGTCTACATTATTACCGTCCTAGTGCCAAAACCTCCTTTACACTACCTGCAGCAGCGCAGCAGCCACTCCTGTCGGCAACCAAGCGGCGAGGAATTGCATCCATCCGGGAAATCAGAGGCGGAATTGTTACACAGCAAGATCCCCAAATTGCAGAGTCGCAATATTGATGTTCCGTACAGTGAGGATTTCCAGCCAGAAGGTTTTCCTATTTCGATAGGGCAACAGTGTCTCCTGGGGCCCGTTTGGGGAGATTTCGCGGCGTCATCACCGTAACACCTGTTGATTAATCTGACGATTTCCACAACTGGCTCCGCACATGCCTTTCTGCGGTTTGCAGTTTACGACTTCGTGCCAAGTACCAAGCATCGAATGGCACAGTCATATCTCAAATGTATTCAGACTGTCCCCTGCTTGTTGAGTTGGTTTTTCTAGCCAATCCTCCGTATCGAAAGCGGATCTATAAGTGCAGAGTGTGTCGTTGTAACCCCCTAAAAATTGCATATCCGCGCCAACTTAAGCCAAACCAAGCACCACGGAGACGCAACTCATACCACCGCCCGGGAATATCTGCTCAAATCCTTCACGGTATGATTACGATCCGGGACCAACACTCCGTTTTGTTCTCTTTTATCTTTCATACGGTACTTTCGCATCCGGCGCCCCAGTTATTCGACTCTCTCCTGCTTCAGGCAACATTCGGTAAGGAAACACCCTGCAGGCCAGCAGCTCAAGCCTCACGGACGGCATGAAATCAAGCAGGCGGGCTTCCCCCATGGAGAACGGCATGAAGCGCACGCGGAACCCACGATGGCACGATCCATAAGCCATCAGCCCACTGTCCACTGTCCGCCGTCCACCGCTTTCAGTAGTCGCTGTGCTCCGGAGTCCGCACGAAGCAATCGCTAGCGAGATTAAATGAATTATTAGAACACTTACTGGGGGCTTTCCATAATGTTTTCACATGTGTTTCGGCGACTTGGGGATCGATCTCGTTAAGCGCATATGGGGGGGATCTTAAGAGGTAATGCTTCATTATTGTTGCCAATCCCCCAATATGAGTGGCGCCTGAAGTCGCTTGGGCAATTCGCGCTTTGTCTGCTTCGATCCTAAAGGAATGGCTAAAACACCTAGCCTATGCTATCTAACTGGAAACAACTATTATCAATGCAGCAATAAATACCTTCGGTGCTAGCAGCCGCCGATCGCAAGAAAATCCGTTATCCCCAGCCCACTAACTTCACCAACAGTGACCAACTCCACCAGACCCATATCTGCACACAATCGGCTATTCAGACAGACGTCCGTTCATACGGCATATCTCAACGCTCCAACATGGATCTAAATTGCTTTCTCCATATATATGTACGGCCCCTAGCAAGCGCACATGCTTATTATCTTGCGGCGCCAAATATCTACTTATCAAACACATCATGGCATTTACTTGCTGCGCTAACATTCCACAAAGACCATCAACACTCGATATCCTACTACCATTTCCGAAAGAACCTACGCAGACAGTCTGCTGACTTCTATTTATTGAATACTCCCTATCCGATCCCACCCCACCATCCTCCTCTCCAACTCTCTATCTCCATCCTCTCCCAAACTCAACCCATATCGTCAAAACACCCTCCACTACTCCCTCCTATCAACCAACCCACCCCTCCAAACCCAAATCCAACCCTAGACCCCACAAACCCCCAAAACCCGGGGAAACCCAGCCCAACCCACATCACATCAATCTTCCAAGCGCTCTCCCTCCCCTTTCTGCGGGGTGCAGAAAACCGTGCCGACATAGGCGACCGAAGCAACAACAAAGGACCGATTAATCGGGTGCCCAAGCGGGTCCCTACATGTAACACCGATCGTGACACCCGCCGAGCCTTGCTTAATCGCCACGAGGGCGTGAAAAGGGCCTTGTGTGTGTATGCCAGTAGTAGTCTTGTGCATTGAAATATCAGTTAGCGCAGAGCGAGCATTCTATGATAGCGTTATTAACTCGGGACTACTCTTAAAGTCTAAGCCTAAACAGAGACGAAGGCAGACGGAAAAATCACGCACATCCAACATGTGAGGCGCATTTATTTCATTTATTCGGCCGATCGATATTGCTCACTCAATATATATACCTTACTTATACGTATTAATACCCTACTTATATGTATGTAAGTCAAGTTAAAAAAGCTAAGCGCAAGATAAGGTATATATGTATCCCAAAAAAGAACAAAAAAAGAGCCCAGGTTTATTTTGAATTGTTGCGTTATTTTTTTTATGCTTATGCTGTGTGCTTTGCTTCCCTTCGCAGACATACATACATACATACATCCCTTATCAGTACAAACAAACCAAAAATTATATTCCCTTTCCCCGCGCTAAGATAGAAAAAAGAGGATAACCCCTCTCTCTACGGGGCATCCATTCGTAACTTTAAATCATCACACCAAAACTCTAGAGCTCCACGTCTAAAGCTCCAATGTAACTTTTTGTCCCTTGACCCGTCCGATAACCTGATCGGGAGCATACTTGGGGATAACCTCGTCGTCGTGCAACATCTCGAACTCCTCGGTGGCGTCCCGGCCCATGAAGTTCATGATCGCCTGGGGTCCGCCTGGGTGCTCCTCGAGCCAGTTCGACAGGTCCATCACCACGCCCTTGACTACGACCCATAGGTCCTCCTTCGTGTTGTGCTTGGCTACCTCCTCCATGGTGAATTCTTTCTCGGGGATCTGGAACGCCGCTGGCTTGACGCTGGCGCCTGCGGTATTTCCAGACGCAGGTGCGGCCGAGATAGCTTGTTGGGATCCGCCGCCTGAGGAGGAGCCTTGGGTATCCCACTCAACTGTCATCTTACCCGGTTGCGAGGGGTCGAGGTGCAGGGAGATTTGGCCGAGACGTTGCGAGGCACCGCCGGCGCTGCCCTTGAGCGCATTCTGGAAGAGGTAGTTGCTTGCTGTCTCGCCGGAGACACGGCCGTAGACGACGCAACCAAGGAGGGATGAACCACCGAGACGGTTGGCGCCGTGGACACCACCCGCGAGTTCACCGCAGGCGTATAGGCCCTCGAAGGGCTTGCCTTCCGAGTTGAGAATCTCGGCCTTGTCGTTGATCTCGATGCCGCCCATGGTGAAATGGAGGACGGGCTCCATGACAGAGACGTGGTAGTCATCATTGATGTCTAGAGGGCCGTTGTGGAAGAACTTCTTGCCCCATGGGTCCTTGATCTTTCCGTCGGCGATGTCGTTGTACGTGGTGAAGGACTTTTGGAGATGCTCTGGTGTGCAGCCAATCTCCTTGGCGAGTTCGTGGCCGGTCATCTTCTTCATCAGGCCACGGCCGGAGTAATGACGGGTGTGGAAATCGAGGGCGGTTGAGGCCTTTGAGTTGAGGACGAGACGGATGGGGAACTTGCCCTTCTCCTTCTCCTTCCACATCATTCCTGAGACGTAATCTCTGTGGCCGAGGTCGTCGCAGAATCGGTCACCATCGGCGTTCAGGAGGATACCACCTTCACCACGGAGAGCCTCAGCGGCTAAGAACTTCCACTTGGAGTCAGGATCCTTGGGGTCAACGAGACCGGTAGGATGGACCTGGACCTTGTCCATATCAATGCCATTGCCTCCAATGGCCATAACCATCTTCTGTCCATCACCGGTGGCATGGACACCGTTGGTGGATGAGAGATGGAATGTATCGGGTCTGTGCTTCTTGAGAAGGGAGGTCTCTGTGAAATCAGCAGCATAGCCACCGGTTGCGAGAATGACTGGTCCGTCGACAGAGCAGCCCTCTCCGTTGTGCTCATATTTGACACCGGTAATCTTGTTTCCCTCCTTGTTGAGGCCAGTTACACGGGCCTTCTTGATGATTTGCACTCGCTCGGGTTCGGTCTCGGCGAGCTCCTCTAGGCGTTGCATCAACGCATATGTGATTGCCATTCCAGGGAACTTGGCATCGTGCCCTCTGTGAGTTCTTGGTTGTGAGTGGCCACTGTAGGTTGCAAATCAGCACATTGCCATTACCAATGGATATTGAGGGAGGGATGGTGCTATAAACATACCCTAACCGTGAGACAAGAGTCAAATCCAGGTTGAAGACATCCTGAAGCCACTCAACAGCAGCAGCGGACTTGTATGTCAGGACCTTGATCAGATCCGGTCTCGCCTTATCTCTTGCAGACTTCAGGGTGTCATCGTAGAATTGCTTGACGCTATCTTGGATGCCGCAGTCGACTTGTGTCCGGGTAAGAGCACCATTGATTCCAGAGGTGGCCTTGGTGGAGTTGCCTCCAAAGAAACCTATACAGTCTGGTCAGCTATCTGATCATGATTGCACGATGTGAGGCAATTCAAGCATTACATACCTTGTTTATCAAGGACAACGACGTTCCCGCCAGCGAGGTAGACTGTGTGCGCAGCACTCAAGCCAGACACTATTATTGACAATATGTTAGTAGCTACGTAGTTGGGGGGCAAACTCCTGGGGAATCACTTACAGCCACCTCCGACGACGACGATTCTAGGTGCCATGATGGATAATGTATGTAGTAGATGATGAGAGTGATTATGAGGATGAAGATGAAGATGGCAGACGAAGTGTTTGTTTGTTTACAGAGGACTTCGTAGAGAGAGCGGAGGATGAAGTAAAAGGAATGGAATGTAGGGCGGGTTTTGTGTCTCGACCCACGAGCGCGGAGCAAGTTGCTGTGTGGAGTGGCTTGGCTCAAATGCCGAGGTCCGCCAGGCGCTGAGTGTCGGCACAGCGCCGTCTTAATTCGGCGAATCGGCGACCGCCTTAGGTCAGCATGGCAGTCACGTGAGAGCTGTCGGCCCGCCGTCGGGTATCAAAAGTGGGGCCTGATAGGTGTTTGTCGGTCTTTAAGAGTGGAAGACAGTTGATTTTGCAGTTCCTTTTTGAGTTTTAATTCTACAAGTCAATTATTCTTTTTCTCTTTACTGTCTACACATAAATTCCAGCATCTGCGTCATCGGTGGCTGAAACTTCTGCTCGCAGTAAGCATGTGAAGCTGGCGAGGCGACGGTCAGATGACCCCAGGTTTTGCGGGGGATTTAACATTACTGTACACTCTGTTCTCCATAATTGGCATGTGAAGAAGCCTTTATGCGTTCAGAACCTGGAGGCGGGCTCGGGCGGGGCCCGATTAGGCCAAATTCCGCTCCTCCCCGGATTTACTACTTCTGTCCAAGTACAGTGTACCTGTCGTTCGTACCTTATTAGTAATGGGCCACGAAGTACTTAGTACGGGGTACCAAGTGCGCTAAAACCCTCTTCACATCGTCGTCTTTTCGGGCCAAGAAGTACCGATATGAAGGAATGGTTCACCACGTGAGAACTTACGACAATAAGTAGCATGACACAATAAGTAAGTACCTATCTAGGTAGGTAGGTAAGAGAGGTAAGAAGCATCTCACATGTCCCATTTGTAGTATTTTGTACCAGTACTATCGAGTGTAAAGCGTATCCTAATAGGCTTAAATCGACTAAATAAATGGCCTGATCCCATATGGAGATCGAACAATGGAGCTACCATGTTCCCCACTATAACCTTAAAAGTTCCTTCCAGATCTCCCAAGGATGGGGCATCGTTAATTTGAATTTTCCCATTCTTGGACGAAAAGGTGTCAGACTCGGAGTTCCTCCGAGTGGCCATTTCCACTCGTCTATATTCATTATAATCGTAGAGGTCGTGCCTAGATATTCTAGGGTCCCGGATCGCTGTGGAATCCCAAGCCAATAGACCATTTGTTGTCCCCAAGGCCACAGCCTGAACGCCTAATACCATATAATAACATCACGAACTTATTCTCCAATCCATATCCCTTATGCGTAATTCCTCACCCCCTTCAAGACCCAAACTTCCCCATTATAGACCTTATGCGGAACAGAACTAACTTCGATATTCCCGGGCTGAATCTGCCAAAAAGTTAACATCGCAACAATATATTTCCAATAGAGAACCTACTATCTTCTTCCCATCCCTACTCTCCCACCAAATCTTGCCTCCAGCAAGTGTATCCACCTTCACTCCCTCCTCCCAAGGACTATCAGGCACAACATGCGCCTCAACAAACCTCCTCAGGTTCCTATGCGCCCTATCCTCCCCGCTCTTTCCCTCATACGCACTCACCCCTAACCTATCGTAATCCTTGGGATCCTCCCATGGTTTTCTCGGTAGGCCCATAATCGCAGAATTCACGGGTGCGAGAATCGTGGTGTTGAGGGAGCTGTCTTCAAACCGCTGGCTTATGGGCGCAAAATCCCGAGTAAAGCCTGCGAAGATGTTGATATTGCGATCATTTCCAAGGACATCCGAGAGGATTACAGCGTCGTCGTCGGCGGGGTTGGAGGGAGCGGGAGGCTCGGTTTGAGGGGGCATCGCCGGGCCCAGGTTATGGTCAGCCATGGGATGTTGGTTTTGGCTGTAGACTGTGGTTATGAATCGCGCGGCCAGGAAGAGAGTCGTGAGAGATGTATATCTCATATTCGCGGTTACCTTTATCTAAAAGGCGCTGTTTGCATGACGAGTTGTCGTACCTAAGAACCGATTGCCAAGGCACGGGGTCCTCGAAGTTTGATTCACGTCATTGGCACGTGACAAGCTCGAAATGGGCCTCGAGCCTTTATCGTCTCCACCGAGTTATAAACTAAATTTTTCGTGATATTTCGAATATCTACATGAGTACTCCTTTATCCGTTAATGGAGAGAAATTTATGAGTCCAGCGACCCATGTTTCTAGAATCCCCAATCTATTTCCAGACCGGCAATGTCGGCTGTCTATCAGGCTCCTTTGTAGTCTACGTCACCTCATAATAACCTCACATTACCAATCAGAACTATTTACATATAATTATCTTAATCCCCTCTATTAAGGCGTTCTATCACAAGTCCAAACTATCATTAGACCTACTCTACGCCATCAAAATGAAGGTCATCCTCTCTGGTGCAACTGGCTATATCGGGAAGGAAGTTCTTAGCCAAGCTCTAAATCATCCTTCTATCACCGAGCTCGTATGTATCACTCGACGTCCTCTCCCAGAGCCTTTTGCCACGAACCCTAAGGTCAAGGTCATTGTTCTCGATGACTTCTTATCCTACCCTCCACAGGTGCTATCAGAACTGAAAGGTGCAGAAGCTTGTATTTGGTATGCATATCACTTAAAATGCTCCTATATCCCTTTTCCCAACAGTTCTTCCTTCCTATCAATATTATATCTTGAGTATCCATCCCCTAATTCCTTCAAAGGGCCTTGGGAGCCCCAGCCTTCAGGATGTCAGATCTAGAGGAGTGCCGAAAGATCGAAATTGGCTTCACGCACGCTGCAGGAGAGGCATTTGCTTCTTCTCTCGCACCCCAGCTGAAAGAGCAAGGAAAGACATTTCGATTTGTATATCTGAGCGGTGCCTGGGCCGAACGAGATGCGAGTAAAAAGTTATGGTTCATGCCTCAGACTAGGATGATAAAGGTACGGATATAAAGCCTTATACATACCCTGTGGGCATCACTTACTTACGATATGGCATCGTGATAGGGAGAAGTTGAAAGGGGACTTATTGCTCTACAGCAAAAGGAGTCTAACAATTTTGAAGTAACCGTTATTAGGCCAACAGGAGTACTTCCGAAGTATATCATGATTCCCAATCTACTCATCGGGCTTCTCAATTTCGTAAAGCTAGATACAGTAGCGTCTGTTATGGTTGATGAGGCAGTTGGGGGGGTGAATGGCCACAGGACTCTAGAAGCTTCGGATTTGAGAGCCAAGGCGCAAAAGTTATCTGCCAGTAATAAGTAATGCTTGGTTTTAGCTTTGGTTTGGGTTTTATGGTATAGGTTGCAGAGCTTTGTATTTATGAATTGGCGTTGGGCTTCGCCACTGTTCCCCTTAATTTGATAGTTCAGGTAGCAATTTTAAATACGAATATTTCTTGCTGTACCCACTTTGTGCGTTCGACTTAGAGGGGATTAGTGGGTTGACTTTACATATATATAGTACTAGACTCCACACAACCTCACTATCGGAGGCTTCCTTGTACTTCTTTATTAAATAATTAATTAAAATGTGGCTGTGTTGTAGGAGATGGGATGTGACTAGGGTTCGCAACGCTTGGTGTACCAGCTTCGCTAAGATATACATAAAGCAACTTATGAGAAACTAATAAACTATCTTAATCTTCATGTAGGCCTATTCTACTACAACCTCTTCATACATTAGCAATGGACAATCCGATATGCAATCCTTCCACCACGTGACTGACCCGTCAGTCATTTGACCCCCTGGTTCGCGGCTCGACACTATTTTGACTTCAACCATCAACCATCAACCATCTTGCCTGCTCACGCACTGTATTTCCAGATCGCTAGCACTCAACCGCCCCCAAAAACCATCATTGCGCTGCGTACTCGGCGGCTTGGCTGGTCTCTAGATATAACTACCAAGAAATTCGAATAGCCTTGAATGTTGTTGTTCGCTCGTCTGTTGTTCATCCGGAAGCGGATCACTCATCGCCCGTTTAGCCTTTAGCAGGCTATCAACCAATGCAACGCCTATCCCATCCTGTTTCAATGCCTCGTCAAATAATATATTCGAGTATGACGACGGCTCGCGGCCCGCCACGCTATTTAGATGAGATAACAAGTGTTATCCGGGGCAGGTAGCGCCTGTGGATTGACCATGTGATTTTTCGGCTTTTCAGTTCAGGATATTTCAAGGGATGACCAAGGTTGTCACACTATATATCAGCCACTTGGCGAATATCCTTCTAATAAGCCCATGGCGCTTGAGGCCCACGGCATTTCATATTGACTAGGTGTTTCAATATGTTCATTTAATTTCCCCGGATTCTGATCGGCGGTAGTTAGGCACATCCAGGGGGTCTTTCGTTTATAAGTACAGGCCAAGCCACCATCCAGGCTCGATACTGCGCTTCTCTCACTTCACTTGCACCATCATTACCATTGTATTGATAGGAAAGAGAAGCATATCGCACATCCTTTGTTCTTTCTGAGCCCCAGCATATAACCAATCACCATGAAGGTTCCTCAACTCCTCCCTGCGGTCCTCCTCGCGGCTGGAGCTGTCAACGGCCATGGAATGTGGCAGAAGATCAAGGTCAATGGTCAAGATCAAGGCCAAAATGTCGGTATCAGGCCTTCGTCGTCGAACAATCCTGTTCAGAATGTCAACGGCAACGAAATAGCATGCAACACAAATCTGTTAAATCCAGTGTCGAACAAGGTTATTCAGGTTCCTGCTGGAGCCCAAATGTCCGCCTGGTTCCAACATGTCATTGGCGGCCCTCAATTTGCAAATGATCCCGATAACCCGATTGCACCATCTCACAAGGGGCCAATTAGTGTCTATATGGCAAAGGTATGGTTGAACCGGCTCCTATTATAACTCCCAATCCACCAGTCCTTTTCAAAGCATAAACGAGTTATCTTGCTAACCGTGCTTAAAAAGGTGGACAATGCTGGAACTGCTTCCGCCTATAACTCTTACTCGTGGTTCAAGATCGCAGAAGAGGGCCTCAACACTGGTTCAGGCAAATGGGCAGTTGACACCATGATTGGCAACCAGGGCTGGTGGGATTTCACCATGCCATCGTGTATTGCTCCAGGTCAATATCTTATGCGTGTAGAGCTCCTTGGTATGAAATCAATACATTCCACTCCCCACCCCCCCTAAACGGCGAAGCTGACTCTGTCCACTTATAGCCCTTCATTCAGCATACAGTGCAGGTGGTGCTCAGTTCTACATGTCGTGAGTAACCATAACCCTAGTTCCTCCTATGTACCATCTAACATATGTAAGATGCGCGAACATCGAAGTCACCGGCTCAGGAACCAAGACCGGTTCCAATCTCGTCAAATTCCCTGGCGCATATCCATCCAACGACGCGTAAGCCCCATCCTCTTCCTAGTGCATTTTTATCTATTACTGACAACCATTTAGCGGAATCGTTATCAACATCTACAGCGGAACTCCGAGTCTCCCCAACAACGGAGGCAAGGCATACAAGATCCCAGGTACGTTCTTCAAAACCTAATAGCTACCACATTAGCTAATTATGCACTAGGTCCCCCTAAACTGACTTGCTAATCGCTTACCACAAACCTGATCCGTATGGATCAGACTGTGCAAGGAGCGCATTGCGTTGGCGTCTCATCTTGTTTGACTACCTCATCTATGATTGACTATTCATATCTTGCCTCGAGATAACTTAGTATGAATCTAGCATATACATATCTATGACACAGCAAGAATCCAGCTAGTAGTTTGCATGTGAACAGCTCTTATAAAATAGCGATATTTGAAGAATATGAGTCCGCTACTTAGCTCAGTCGCCGCTATTTTCTTCGCTACTATCAAGCCGCGCTGGCTCAGATGCCCTATATCACCGCTTCCTTTCGCTTGTAGAGTTGACTAAATCCAAAATGACCAAATCACGAGAATGTATGTCAGGGCACAATTTAAAGCTTGTAGTGATAAAATTTCTTATTACGCATATCTCAGCGATACTACTATCTTGCCTCAAACACTAGGTTTCGATAAACAGACCACCCGTGAATCTCTCCCAATTTCTGTGGCGTCCCAAGATACCCGCGGAGACCTAAGAGCGCACTATACGCACTATACCCTCTTGTATTATTTTGAAGTGCCGATCGGTACCATAACATATTGCATTCCCCCATTGCACCCCTCCATCGGCTCCCACGGCTCTTCCCTCAAAGCTTCCTAGCAACTCCCCTCAACCTAACATACCCAATCCACTCCCCCTCCTCGCCATCGCCACCATCGCCCCTAACCACCGTTCTCAACACCTCCTCCACCTCCTTCTCACACTCCTCTCTAACCTCCTTCCCCTTTTCCTTCTCCACAACATCAAAAAACTGCTTCCCCATCAAGATTACCCAGGCGCGAATCCCTCCCTCCCCAGCTTTCGTAGGCCGGTACTCCGATTCCAGCTGGAGGACTTCAAAACCGCCAGGGGAGGATGTGAGCGTCCGACGCATCCAGGTTGTAGAGGGGAAGAACCATGGGTCTGCGGCGCGGGCGAGCCGAATACCGATGCGGTGGGAAAGTGTGGAGAGTAGGGCTGTCCGCATTCTATGGGGGGATGGTAGTCAGTATGCCGCTTTTGGGCGTTTGAGTGTTTGACCGGGGGGAAGCGTATAGGCTATCAGGAATATATGTGAAAGGAGATATAAAAATAGAGCACGGTGTATCTACTCCCCGCTGTAGGGAAAGACAGATACCAGTGGAGGTTCACTCACTCGGCGCAATTCCCCATCCCCCCCATCTCAAAAACAAATATTCCGCCGGGTTTGAGCGCCTTATGCACGCCTTTGAAGAAATCATCCCGTCGATTTTCAGGGCGGAGAATCCACTGTATTACGTTAAGTCCTTGCCCTTCGTTTCAAAAGATGTGGACGGGGGAAAGAGGACTTACATGCATAGCGGCGTTAGAAAACACTTTATCGAAACTCTCTTTCTGAAGTTCTGGGTCGGTGTGGAGGAGTGTTGCGTCGAGGGCTGCACGTGTAAGATATTTGGTATATAAGATTTGGTATAAAAGATTTGGTATATAAGATTTGGTATATAAGATTTGGTATATAAGATTCCGTGAAAGGTGACGGGAATGTCGGGGAAAGGGGAGCACGGAAACGTAGGTGAAGAGGAAAGGGGGTGTACCCTCAAATGTGCAGATTCCAGATATTCTGGGGATTGCTGCTGTAGCTTCTTTGGCCGCGGTTATCATTGCGACAGAGCTGTCGACTCCATGGATCCGGCCTGTGCCTGATTCTTTGCATAGTGCCTGGGCGATTTGGATATTGAGCACGCCGTCTGGTTATGAAAGGTTAGGAAGGGGCTTTGGAGGGATAGGTAGACTAGCTGAGGATCATATGAAAATAATATAACATCCAAGAACTTAGATATCAGAGAATGGAGTACACATCTCCTTATTCACACTAGGAAATTAAACCCGACTCTCTCCCAACACCTTTGGAATGACCTAAACACATCCAACTCTCCGAAAGCCTCCACCTCTCCTAAACTTAAAAGGTCCCGACGCCAAATAATAGAACTCAAAATAACATGCCGGAAATGTAAGAAGTCGCCACTGAGAAAGAGTAACATATTTAGACTTACCACCACATCCAACATCCAAAATACGGTCCCCATCCCTGACATCAAGCCAACCAACCACTTTAGTCGCCAGCTTAGGCACAAAAGCGGCGGCATTCTGGTATGCCTCTGAAGACCAATGGTCCTCACCTTTCGCCCCCTTTTGACCTTCAACTGATGTGGACATGTTTTTTGGCGGGTATATATCACTACGTAGGTGGCTTGTCGAGGTTCTTGCAAGTGAAAGGTTCGGTACCAAGAATTTTAAACTCAAGAAAATTAAACCCACGATGAGGGAATATCTTGTATTTTGTGAATATGAGAAAGAGAAAGAGCGGTTTAGAAGGGAACGTACTTGTATGGGGGTTGAACTTATGGGGTGATGTCAGTTGGCGGCGGCCGAGCCGGTGTCGGAGCTGGCGAACCCTCAGCCCCCATAATTTGGATCTCAAGAGTAAGGGCTACGAGGATAATCGGAATATGTAAGTGCATTATGCTGTATTTATGGGGAAAGGCTCCGGTTTCGCTGTACATTTAATCCTTAGGTAAAAGTAAAGCATTGGAGGGGGAGATGGGTGTAGTTTTCGCGGGAATTTATTATGGATATAATAAGTAGAACGGCAGCATGAATAAAACTGCAATTAAGTAATTTGGTATTATTCGCTAATATTGGACCTGTGACCTCCGCGAGAGCCGTAAACATATATTTGTCCGTCAAAAAAATTCCATTAATCAATCTCCAGTAGCTGATATTTCTCATTCCCGAGCGCCTCCTCAATCCTCTTCATAACAGCCAAGACTTTCTCCTCTTGTAGCCTCTGGCCGACAACCTGAATACCAACAGGAAGCCCATGCATTGCAGTGGCATCATAATGTTTATAAGCGCCCTGTGCCACGCCATTCAACTTCTTGATATTGAATGTCTCAGGGAGTTGATCGAGGGATTTATCAACATGCGTGATGGGCATAACACCGGAACTATAATCAAGCTATTGACCCACTCATTAGCTTGACAACTTTCAATCAATAGACGTAGAATGAACTTACCATGTTGAATAAAAATGTATAACCGCAACTGCTCACAGCATCGTGCATCCCATCATGCGGAACAGCAGGTGTCGCGTTCGGGGGCGTAATCATAAAATCAATCTTCGTCTCTTGTTCCCACCACTCATGCCACTGAGCTTTATACGCCTCCCTCTTCGCGACTAACTTCCACTGTTCATAAGCAGACTTCTCCTTCCAACCCTGGACAATACCAGCCCAAATTTCATCGCGTCGGACATACTTAACCCAAAGGTAGTAGATCCACTTGAAAGGAGAGGCAAGTGACATAAGCCAGCTCATCTGCTTCACGCCGGGATCCATCCATTCCCCCGTTCGTTGGAATGATTTAAATGTTTTGCAGCCGTCAGAATTGAGGAGTTGGGAAGCGAGGCAGAGGGCTTCGTATGGTGATGGGGGATTTATATCGATGACTTCGTGGCCTGCTTTCCTCAACGCTGCTACCACTTCATCGAGCGCTCTTGCACAGGCTGGGCTAGGGTCAACGACGCCATCAGTTTTGAGCAGACCAACTCTAAACTTCTTCGTCTGTTGAATTTCCCGCTCTATTTCAGGACGCCATGATATGGGATGGACCGAGTGGTCGTATTTCCATGGTTCCATACTGATCAGGGATTTTGTGAAGTATGTAAGGTCTCCTAATGTTCTTGCCATTGGGCTAAAGACACTGGGAATACCTTCCTGGCCCGGCATACTAGTCAAGATTCCAGCCTTGGGCCATCGCCCAGTAGAGCACCGTAAAGCGTAAATCCCAGAGAAATGTGCTGGGACCCTGACACTCCTGTTCCGAACAATTAGCCCAGCCAACAGCTCAAAGTTACTGTAGACTCTTACCCTGCAACATCAGAGCCAATACCAATCCTCCCGCCGCCCGCAGCAAGTAACGCGCTTTCTCCACCCGTCGAACCGCCAGGAGAATACTTATCATTATGCGGGTTTGTGCATCGCCCCCAAACATCATTCGTAGACTCAAAACTCAACAATGTGATAGGCAGATTCGTTTTAACATACGGCACGGCCCCAGCATCCTTCAACAACTTCACCATACCCCCATCTTTCTCCACTTTGTTCCCCACATTGCTACTGTAGCCCACGGTGGTATCAAAGCCTCCGACGACAATCGTGTCCTTCAAGCTAACGGGAATACCAGCCAGCGGCCCTTTTACATTTATGCTTTCATCGGCAACCCAGCTCTCCGCAGCACCGATCATAACTTCCGTGATACAATTGGTTTTCTCGTGCGCTTTGATCGCCGCTTTCCCATAGGCGCGTAGGATATCAATGGGCTGTATGACCTGCTTGTGGACATCTTGGACTAGCTCTTCGATTGGCTTGGAGAGCACTTTCCGTTCCGGAGCGGTAAATGGGCCGTGGTAGCTGTTAAGATCTCGTATCCGCTGTGCACGTTCGGATTGTTTGAATTTACTGTGTTCTAGTTAGATATGTGTAGCATTGCGGATTGCTGTTGTTTGCTGCTGTAGTCGGCCGAGCTTGTATCCCGCATCGGAGCTGAATGCGGGGAAGAAAGAGCGACGGAAAGCTTACCAGTCCCGACGATGCTGTAAATAGTCGGATAGGAAGGCCATGTTGAATTGGAATAGCTGCTTGCGTTCCCAGATTTAAATAAATGGTTTGTATATTATATCAAAGGAAAGATCGCGGGCATTGTTGTGTAGAAGTGAGTTCTTTCAGAGATAAGAAGTATACAAGTCGTCCAAGTAGTACTTAGTACATATCTTACCCCTCTTATGCCTTTGATATGCGCCCCGAGGTCCCGATAAGCGGCTTAACGTGGCTTACCTAAGTTCTCCGCCCTTATCACCAGCCAACAGGTGAAGCTTCGGAAATAACATCGATATCACAATATCAATGTCTCCCTGCAACCTCTAAACACATTGCTACCATTTTCATGCTAATATCAATACCAGAATGGAGCAAAAACAGATACCCGAGCTGCTCAAGGTCTCCGAGCTCCTAATATGCAGCACCTGCGGCACTCAATTCGACACACCTGCCTCGTCCTCTCAGCTAACAAGCTGTCTAATTTGCGACGACCCCCGCCAGTACGTGCCCCCCTCAGGGCAGTCATTCACGACACTCTCTGAGCTCAGGGCCGCAAACCCCCAGAACAAACACGAGGTTATCTCCGGCGACGACCGGTTCCTCAGCTTGTGTACCGAGCCAAGAGTGGGAATCGGCCAGCGAGCAATCCTAATCAAGACGCCCGTAGGCAACGTGTTATGGGATTGCATCACATACCTTGATTCCGCAACTGTAGAGTGGATCAACAGTCTCGGGGGCCTGGGCGCGATAGTTATAAGCCATCCGCATTACTACACTACGCACCTACTCTGGGCGGAGGCTTTTGATTGCCCGGTATACGTGAGTTCCGAGGATAAAGAATGGTTGTGTCGACTCGACGACCCCTCGAAGCCTCGGCGGAGGTTCATCGCGGATCCCGAACTAGACATTGAAATCAAGGGCCAGAAAACTGGTATAAAAATCTTAAAGCTCGGCGGCCATTTCCCCGGGAGTTTGGTATGTTTGGCGTACGGCCGGTTGCTCATTGCAGATACGTTGATGACGACGCCAGCTGGGTTGGGGGATTGGAGTCATGGCCCCGGTGCAGGTACCGGTAGACCCAAGGGGATGAATAGCTATTCGTTCATGTGGAGTTATCCCAATATGATTCCGCTTTCCCCTGAAGAGCTCGAGGTCATGTGGGCAGTATTGAAGAAGCATGCCTTTTCTAGTACGCATGGTGCGTTTGGACAGGACCTTATCGATGGTTATGGTGGTAGCGAGGCGCCTGTTAAGAAGAGGGTCCTGGAGAGTATGCAGATTCAGACGAGGAGGATGGGGTGGACAGATCATGCTATTTTGAGCGAGACTTGTTAAATGTGTTGGAACTGAATAGGCGGTGACTGGAATGATAGGAGAATGATACCTTAGATCCAGCCGATGTTTGTTTAATATGCAGCACATAACGTGCGTGCTACCTCGCCTCGAGCTGGCGATATCGACGTCGTTATAGCCAAGGCGTTGAGGGCATGCACTTCTCTACAGCCTTTATACCGTCGCACTACTAACGATCATGTACCTTAGTAGTACTTATATATTTTGACTCCGGATCCAGTGTTATTCGTCACCTAAACTGGAATTACTTTTCCGGACACCCATAACTTCAATATACTTGTACATGTTGCTTCCCGAGGTCTATTTTTTGAAAGCAGCCCTGTTGCGTGCCTAAAACGAACATGCCCCCCCCCACGAGTCTCATACTAAAATAATACATATGGCAAGAATATCAAGTGCTGCCTGGATATAATCTCCAAGCATAACCAAAACCCGTTTCCGAGGCCGACCCACCAAGGTAACGTATCCCGTGCCTGTCGGGGAACCCCATTGCGTGTGTGTGCACAAAATCCTGACAGCCCAACTCCTTTCCAAATGCAACCCCGATTTACATCAACGCTTCTGCATAATCATTCATGTGCCAGTTTTCGTCAGCCATGTGTGACTATGTGTGCCTGGCGGCATTCTCAAGGGTCCCCTAAGCGGCAAGTCCCAAGAGACCGCTCTCCGACTCTAAAAGTCGTTTGCCGGCTGAATCCATCAGGCTAATGTCCCTATTAAAGCAGCAATGGGGATCTCGCAAAGTGGCCAATGATCGTTCGCACGTACAACCGAGTATAAGCGAGGGGGTGGTGTTTCCCTAGCGTCGTTGGCTAGAGTGGGTCCGAAGTCGTGATATTTGCTCCCTCGGCCGAACTCAAAGCCAGCCCCTTTTTCTAGATATTTTGAACGTTTTAAGGGGCCGTAATATTTTCGTAGTCTCATTTATTTCATCGTGGTCGTTTTGCTGCACTGACCATACTGTTATCATCATAGCCCCAATGTCTCTTCAACCCACCCTCATAGACGCTGGCCACCGACTCTTGCCACATGCTGGGACTGACGAAAGATGGTATCGGAGCTCCCGAGTATTGCTGTGGAGGAATTTGATGAGGAACTGCTGCGAGGTTCGCGGCTGAAACAGTCTGCACCTCCGAGATTGTTGGGATTTCCTGGGCACCTGAAGAGGGTAGTTTTAGAGGAGTTCGCGGGGGAGCGGAAGCATTGGATGCGGGAGGCGTACCAAACGTTGAGTTCCACTGGCTGCCAGAAAAGTTAGCACTTGGAGATCGTGGCTGGGGGACTTAGATTAGATACTTACTCAAAAAGTCTCGTAGGGTTCCAACTACTTGACTCGACGGTCGGCACCCCGCTTGCCATCGATTGCTGAGGACCTCGCTGGGAACCCATCATCATCAAAGACTGTGCAGCAGGAGAGTCACTCTTGGTGTCCGTAATTCCACCGGCAGAGATCGGCGGTGAGATAGGATGGTTTGGGTAACTAACTGGTTGAGATGGCTGTGTATGTTGGTGCCCTATGTTTTGTTGGTCTAGTGTAACTGCATGTGCTCCAAGGTTGCGGTATTGGTGGTTAGGCCGGGGAGGGGTTGTGTTCACGGGTGCCCCTGGACTGCCATAGGGGAAGCTTGGCTTTAACACAAATGGCTTCCTGATATCAGCTGAGAACGCCTGTCGAAGGGCATCGATTTGTTGTTGCATATCGGGCATCGGCCAGGAGCTAGTGCATTTCTCCAGAATTCGCATGTGCCGAGTAAAGTATTCCCGAGCATCCCCATTCAAATCCGGATCTGGTGATGTGAGTGCGACCTAGACAACTATTAGCACGCCGAAAATTTGCATTGGCGGTCCTGGCTTACCAGGTGGAGGACTGTGCATGTCAAAATACAATAAATTGTGAAGTTGATTCCCCTTTGCATGCTCAACAACCCGGTCATGCCAAAAGTTTGCAGGATACCCTCTTGCAATCTACACAACAGCTTCGCCGATGAATAGCATATCATCATGTGGTGCTTCCAACCCCCATCCATCCCCGTTGGCTCCATAAATGTAAGCTGCGGTCGATGCAGCATTATGATACTCAGGTAATAGTACGAGTGGAGGTTGCCAATGAAATGGGAGGGCAGCCATGGCGGAGATCCATCTGAAGAGAATGTGACTTGTAGGTCCGATGGCAAATCGTTCATCCAAGTTTCGAAAGAGGGATTGAGTTGTACAAAGTCGGGATCGATTCCCCAGTCCTTCTTTTTCTTTATTTTCGCGTAAACATTGTTCATTCTCCTGACATTTCGTACTACCCTGGTTAAATAAGTAAAGTTGCGTGACATGCTGAATTCCGAGTCTTCAAGCCCTGGTGACGGTCTTGGCACACTCAGATCTAATGTGTCCATGTCGACTGCGAGATCCGTGCGCCCTGCGTGGAGTTAGATACTAGCTTGTAATGCTCTAGAGGAACTGACCTTGTGGTGAACCGATCATTAGCTCGCAGATAAAGATTGTTTGCCATATCCGGGTTTTGGTTATGCAGTCTGCGATGTTAAAACCGCACGGTTTGCCTGCCTTGTGGTCTTCGTAATGCTCATCTAGACCCAAATCCTTGCCCATTTGTACACATTGCACAACTGTCATCCAGGACCGGAAGTAGTACCCTCGTTTTGGTGCCGACTCTCGTGCTTTTAGGATCATCAACGTTGCTTGAAGGGTACTCAATCGTGGAGTATCCATGAAGGAATCCGCATGCTCTGAACTTTATTAGTTTTATATAGTGTAAGAAGATCTCGAGGAATCTCACTAGAGGCAAGAGCTAGCCACTGATGCCCTTGTGCTGGCTCATCCGCTAGTCGTCCTGCTATGGCAAAAATAGCCTCAAGAACCAGAGGCGAAATCGCTTCTCGATTCGTATGCCACTGGTGGTAAAAGAGCGGTTTGTTGAGGACTGGAACGTACGGATGGACATTCGTGAAGTACATATCGAAGTACTGCAGGATGGTCTCTTCGTCCGGCATCAATTCTGGTGGTATTCTCACCTTGAGATCTGGACCGGGTATTGAAGGCGGCAAGACGTCTTTGAACTCATCAACATCCTCAAATGCTGGCTCTTCAATGGCTGACTTGACCTTGTTCTTATTTAAATATGGAGCTATATCGGATTAGATTGATTAATACGGATGGGGGAATAAGACTGTTTACCTGTGCCAGCTTCGTTCATTTTGAGTTCTCCCAGTAAATCAGACAAATCCTGTTGCCCATATTGGTCCTGATGGTACGTTTCGGGTGATTCTGGGTGCGATCCTTGGAGAGGTGGTGTGGGGAAGACATTTTGAGCGGCATAGTGTTGATTCTGATCGATTATCCCAACTGATGGTTGTAGGCTATTATATTGAATGCCGGGTTGGCCATGTGAAGTAGGCCCACCATAAGGCACTGACTGGTAAACGCTGGGAGGTTCAGCGTAAGTCACCTGCTGCGCGTATACTGGAGGGATATTTTTGTTGGCCGCGGTTAGCTGATGGTGTTGTTGTTGCATGGAAACCTGTTGATGGTAATCATCCTCGCTATTTCCTCCAGCTTCGTAGCTACTCCTCTCTGGATCGAAAGATTGTGAGTTTGAGGGGAAGTCACGATCATAGTTGACAGTTGGTGGGACGCAATGGAGCTTCAGCCGAATACATGCCGAACATGGCCAGGTGTTGGTCGTTGCCGCATCACATTTGATCTTCCGCCTTCTGCATCCCTCACAGGCGCGCATTACTGTTCGGAATCAGCGCGTGGATTCCCCAGGTTTGGAAAATAACGTACCCTTTAGACGTTTGTGGCGGTTGTGTTCGTCAACGAATACATAATCTAGACAGAATTAGGAGCTATACATATGAAGGGTTTAAGGATTTCCAGAGGATGTCGCACTCTTCTGATTTTCTCGCTGCCCGAAATTATTCGGCGCATATGCGAAGTTTTGCATCTGGGAATTTTGAGGAAGCAACCTCCGGTTTCCCGGGTCGCCAGACATGGTGGCTATTAGATGTAATGATGCGAGTTGGGCTGCCTACAGCTATCCAGCGTCTGGCAAGAGTAACTGTCTTCAAGAAGTTACCGGCGGGTCCTTCTGGGCCTGATGTCGAGGGCCCAAGTGAGAGAAACAATCAATGATCGATCGAAGTTGATGACGGAATGCTAAATCCTTAGAGCCCCGGCCGGTAGGGTCCCTCGGTTTCGTTCCCCGCTGTGAGTTATGAGCTCTTGAAAACCAACAATGCCACGACACGGGATCTGAAATTAATCAAGACCAAGGGCTTGGGTGCTCGATAATGCATAAAAGCAATCAGGGCTTACCTATTATTTGAATGGGAAGGTGGGGTTGCGGTGGTACTACAACTAATTCTGTACAAGTTCGCATTGGTACACAGGAACGAGGAGATGTATGAAGTCAACGCCGCCAGGTGAACCGCGCAATCGGCAGATGTAGGTTGGCTGCGTCCGACTTTTACGATCACACACAGACGGCTAGCCCCGTAGCAGAAGGTCTTGAAGCACACGCCACGGCTGGTGGGAGTCGAAGCAGACGCGAAGGAGTCGGGACTAGAAGCCAGAAGCTAAAATGCCAGGAACGTGGCTTCGAGAGGGAATTGAGGACCCCGTGCTGTGGTTATGATGCAGAAGGGGCCGCAAAAGACGCCCAAGTTGCCGCTGTGGATGGCCGCTGTAAGAGCGAAGGGATAGCCCTTACGACCTTACTTCGTACGGTCTATGCCAGTATGGGTAGCGCCTGGGGTTGCCCAATCGTTAGCGGAAACGACTAGTGGGAATGCTTGCACGGTGGTGTTCCCTGCCATGAGCAACGGGGATGTTGGCACGCCCCTTCAAGCCCTCCAAGACCTTCCAAGCCCTTCACGTCCTCCAGGCCTGTTAAGCCCCCGTCAAGCCGGCAAAGTTAGAATGTATTGCCCCTCCCTGTGTATGTGGACGACGAAAGCCGATGTTCCGCCACTCTGGCAAGGTTGGATTCCTCTCCCCCTGCCAGCAGAAAGTTGAGAATATCAGATAGCACTGCGCACCGGCTCTTCACGTGCAAGTGGTGTCCTTTGATCGCCCTTGGGACCGAGGATCAGAATGCGGCCAGGCGGATGAGAATGAGATGTGGCTGAGTTTCTCTGGACACCCTCAGGCTGAGGCTGTCGTGGTGACCCGACTGGGTGAGATCTGTGGCTTCTGACCCGTCCCCGTCAGACAAGCAACAAGGGTGAATTCTCACACGCGTGCATTATGGGCCAGTGAGGGCACGTTCGGTCAGGTACGTAGATCCGCATTACTCGTACACGCGGGTGCGCTGGAGTTGAATATCGAATGCTATTTCGAGCTGTTTGAAAAGATATCCAGTCTCGGACGATAATTGCCGAACTATTGTTTATGCCAATTTTTCCATGTGGAGTTAAGGCTGAAACACAATGACAACGGGATGAAGGAATAGTCGTGGCTGATATATCAAACACACCTCCGGACTGGATGGTACCTGCACCAGGCACTCATCATAATATCGTGTGAGGGTTTGAGTGCTGGTGAAACCAAATCCTAAGACAAGCTTCCTCCTGTGGGTGCTGCACTGTGCTGCACTGCCAGGCATTGGTTAGGGTATAATACGGAGTGGGTACCGTAGGGAATTGTAGAGCTTCAGGGACTTTGTGAAGTAGGTATATGTGTGCCTTAACAAGGCCGCGGCTGAAGTTTCGAACACAAGTGGAGCAGCAGAGTGCCAGAAGAACCAGTCGCAATTCCGCCAACAAACGAAACGAAGCAACCTCGGCAGCCAGGATGATCCTCGTGTCACAATTCCGCAAATCTTATGCATTTCCCCTCTCTACACCCGTTTTTAGTCCATTATTAGCGTCTTTCTTTTGAGATGATCCAGATCGCGCTATCGTTAACGCTCCCGAGGAGGCCGCCGAGGAGATCCGGCACAGACTCAAGAGTCAGGACCCAGGAGTCCAGGACTCAGACGGTCAGACCTCAGGCTCAGTACGTACTTTGTAGTCCCAAGGTTTTAGGCAGCATGGAGTGGAGGACGATCTTGTTGCGCCGCAGCTCCATCCTCATACTGTAGCCACAACATCCTAATCGGATGTTGTAGTGCTAATCAGCAAAATATGGAAACCATAACGTCATGATGGAGCACAGGGCCACAGGTACAGCACTGGTGCACAAAAATACGGGGTATAATACCCGCCAACTATAGCAACATCAAATCTCTCGAATCCATATCTGCTGGTGTAATTCCCGTAGTGGAGCGGATCGGCTGTGGTATTTCTGGGACCGTCGTCTCTTAGCCTTACTCTGTAGGGCCGAAAGGGGTTCCAGGTGATTATCAAGCTGGCTGGAGGGGCTATTTCGTTAATGCCTGCAATGTGTCAGGAACGGCAATATTCCAGGAGCCATTTCTCCTGACGAGCCATATTCGAACAAAACATCTAGCGCGTCAAACCTTTTACGTCGTTTATAGAGCAGGGATTTTGGCGGGAGAACATACCATCATTGTTCTATGCATTGGGCACGCGCCAAGGTCCAGCACAGAATAGTGCAGCTGCCTGGGAGGGCGCCTGCATGGGGTATCCCCACGCTACCCTCCGCAATCACTCGGAGTTGCACCAGATGGAGAATTGCGTAATGGTATGTTGGCTAGATCACCGCTTGTCCCCCCCCTAGGTTGTGAAATACCGAGATGTTGGTTCGTATCATTTGCCAGCACGAGATCCAGCTTTGATATGTTGGTTTCGAGAATCAAAATGGAAGCTCGGTGGCCGCTTTTGGCTCAATTTCCCAATTTCAATGCATCATTTTCCAACGTGTTCGGTAATCACCGTGTCTCCACAGATGATGTTGGTTGTCAATGCCGAATTTGGGCGTCACTCCTTTCTTTGGATATGGGATGGTTATAAGATGACACAATATTTCGTGCAGGTAGGCTTGGATACGCGTTCCGTTGGGCTGGCATTGCACGACCCTCTCGTGGCTATGATTAGACTGGTTCTGAGTAAGTTCCAAGGCACAGAGGCTCCAAGGCAGACGCTCAGTCCCATATATTCACGACTCCACAATTGCTTTGATGCTACTGTAGTACGAAACTCGTTGTGTAAAGTTTGGGGACGTCTCTCGTCCAGATGTCCAGGAGTGTTTGGTGGGGCGTTCCAAGATTCCACAGTGCCACGGTAACAATCTGTTCCATCTAAATGTGGTGTAAATGGAGACGAAGACATGTGGGCGGCTGGAATCAAATCCATTTCTTACAAAGGAAGAGAACTGGTAATGGAGTAAGACCCATAGCATCTGATCTTGAAACGAGTGCAACAAGCTTCGGGTGAGTGAGGGCTCCAGAAAGTAACCCAATGAGACAATTATTGAGGATTCCGAACGACGGAAATAGTAGAATAAGGTTCGCGATGATGAATATCATACTCTGGGCAATGGATCCTGAAGCTGCTAAAGACCTTACTCTAGCAAGCTTTGCAGCCGCAACTTGCTAACTGGTTCATGGTCCATAGGAGGACAGCAAAATAACGATACTGATATACCTGGGACTGTAGAAGTAATCCAAAGATACTTGTATAAGCACCAGACCGCAATGAGAAATCATAAAGTTGAAGCTGGTGAGGTTCTATTGACGGAGGACTAGAAAGCACCTGGAAGATCTTAACTCGGAGTTGCCGCATATGGAACCGTCCGTGGCTTACTAATATGCGGGGCTTACCGTTATCGGGACTGAATATTCTGACATCAACATCCCACCACAAACGTCAACCTCCTCCAAACATCTCCCTCCCAAAAATTCTCAATCGGAAGCCTTCTGGTAGGACTCTATATCATCCAGTTCTAAACTCGTGAACGAGCAGCACAGTCTTGCGTTGTCAAGGACTGTCCCGATTCTACACCTCCTTGCCGTACTCTCCGCCGCCTCGCCGCCATGGGTTCTGTTGAGCTTGATAATGCAAACCCCACCATCCTGAGTGCGGCCGAACTTCCCAGCCGCAGGGAAGGGCGAAAGATAAAGGAGCTTTCTTCTGGAAATCATGGAATCCGCGATCTCTTGATGGGCAATCCGAGCTATGCAATAGACCCGTTTTATATGTCCGATTTTTCAGACACAGATACAGACGACTCCACCCTGGAACCTATTGATGAACAAGAGATTTACGGTAAGTGACGAACCCCCAACATCTTCTTTCTTTGCTTTACTAGCCCGTGACCTCCTTTCCTCATTATAACCCCATGGGTTAGTAGACGCGCCACTTCCAAGGACGAAATTGCTTGTTATTGCGAATCTACATGTCAATTGGGGGTGGCGCCCAGAGCTTATGAACTATTGTTTATCGGACTTGTAAATTTTGCTTGCATCTTAACTCTGACTCTTCACAGACTTGATCGCTCCAATACAGGACCCCGAACATCCCTTATCACTCGCGTCTCTTGGGGTTGTCAAGCTTGAAGATGTTCACCTTACCTCCCCTCCGGACCTTACAACCGCCACTGCGCTTTCGCGTGTTCTCGTGGAACTCACCCCTACTGTCACACATTGTTCACTTGCAACTGTTATCGGCCTCGGCGTTCGAGTGCGTCTCGAACAAGCTCTTCCGCCGAGTTACCGGGTTGAAGTGAAAATCAAAAAGGACACCCACAGCCAGGCCGATGAAGTCAATAAGCAGCTAGCAGACAAAGAACGCGTGGCGGCAGCACTGGAAAATGCGAATCTTATGGGTATCCTGCGGAAAATGATGAAGCCGTGTCTCGAATCCTAGTCCGACACGACATATACCGGTAGTCCGCGGATTGCTGCAACCATGCCTAATGCCCCCTTTCGGTGCTTCTCAAAGATGATTTTGAAATATTCCGGATGGTGTTTCCCGGTGTTTGATAAATCTGATGAGAGTCATGAGATGAAGCGGCGTTCCCTTCCAACCATGGTCCCATGTGCTCTGGACCCCAGCTCCATCAAACGGTTTTATGCACTCGGAATCACATCCTGGCGCGCCGAGGGGCCGAGGTCCTGTCGTCGATCGCCACAATCGTGAGGTATCCCTGAGCGTTTCTCTTGAGTCTCGAATATATCTAGGACCGATGAGGACGAGGTCCCTCAAGGGAGCCAATAAATTGGGCGAATACGCCTCAATTGCGCCGCCCAGCCTCGTCTCCAAACTCTGGAGAGATTCTGTGAGCTTGGGAACATGTGTCCGACCCAAGAGCAAGAAAGCTGGCCAACAACCCCCCTAGCGGGTCGCGCTCCCTGTCGACAATGATAGAATCTAATGTTGATACTACGTCCTTCGTATAGTTCATGGACACGGAGAGCACAGCCGGCCCAAATAATTGCCTTCTATAGACAAGGTTCCATTTAAAAACCCCAATTTTTGAAGTCCACATGTCCATTTGTCCATTGTGCAGCCGCCTTTCGCATCCCTGGATTCCTCACCCCAGACGCGCCATCCCGCACCTCCCACATACTCCGCCAACTCAAGGCGTTAAGGTCCACACCATGCTGTACGTGGCGAGGGAGAACTTTGCTAGGCTTTGTTCTTGGTAGAGTGGCTAGACCTGGCCGTTTCTCGACCCAAGAATGTGACACTCTTGAGTCTTGATGCCAGAACGCATCAAAACAATCCTGTACTGCGTACTACTAACGGAAAAATTCTCTTGGTGCTTGTACTGGTGCGTGCACTAGGCAGCTGTTTCCCTTCGAGTGCACTACTCTCTGTTCCAAGTTCCAACCGTGAGGGCTCGTATGGGAGGGCGGCCTGTCCCCAGATGCTGTACTTCGACTTGCCACGATTCAGGGCAATACTTGTTAATCATCCTGTACGAAGTACTACGAAGTAAGGAGTAGTCGTGTCAGCAATTGTCTATTAATATGCCTAGTCCCGAAACATTCGAGAAAACGCCAGGGTGACGACTCTGCACGGAGGGTAGACACATGCACCCGGGACGGACCAGGGTAATTACCCGCCAGGAAATGTACTCGAGTAATATAAACATTGGCTGACGAAGAATTATTAATCAATTTATCAATTTATCAACAGGCGGCTAAGCGACACCGATCTCGATGCTCCCGCAATGTTTGCATGAGCAGACATGAACTTCATTGGGGCGTTTATAGGGAAAAGATCTCTACCGGAAATGTCCGTAAATCTTTAAGAAAAAACAATATGCAAATCAAACCCCCCAGCGTTACGCTATGGCCCTATATTGCCGCTGCAATAGTTTGGGACTGCAGGATTGGCGTTGCACACGTGTGGGATGGCCGTGGGACGTGGGATGTGCAACGGTTGTATTATTAATTACGCTGGGGTACTAGGCTAGACAAGAGTCCGGGTTCGTGATTCCCCAGTTCGGATCCTCGAGGTGCAGTTGGTGGTGATTAAGTAGGTTGAAAAGGGTTCTAGTAAGAAGTACAGAGTAGTTGTGTACGTCAAATGTCATGTGAATATCGTGGTTGAAAAGGGTTCTAGTAAGAAGTAGTGTGCACTTCAATATCATGTGAATATTGTGGCTGGCTCAATCTAATAATTGAGCGTTGTGCTTCGTAGACGTATTATCGATTTCAAGAGGACATACAGAGTGGTTCTCTCTGCCCGCTATTTTAGACTTATGCTACATATACAAATTTATCACATGAACGCCATGGGAAGATATCTAGACAAGGAGAACCACGCCGTCCCAACTCCATTACAGTGCTTTTTTTTCGTTCTTTCACGCTCCATCTAGAAGCCCGCTCTCCTTCAAGCTGGAGAATAGCTCGGGCTCGAGGAACTTCGCAACGCTCACATCCTCACTGAGACCCTTTCTCCGCCTGGTCTTCAGCACAAAGTCCCTCGCCGTCGCCTGGGCACTTGCCGGCTCCAACGGTCGCAAGATGACATCTTTATCCAGGGGGTCGCCAGGCACGATGCTCCAGCGGTCGAAGACTAGGCTGAGGGCGGCTTGGCCTTGGGTGTGAATGCGCAAGTCGGTCTCGAAACCGAACGAGTCGATAACAGGGATCAGCCCACTGACCCGGTACAGCGGCGTGCCGGCAATTGGGCCGTCAGAGAGAACATGACCACGCCGGCGGGCGAGCACGGTGTAGAGCGATGTCACGGAGTCTGCAGGGCCCGTCATGGAGCAGGAGAAGACCGGCTCCATGAGGCGTGGGGATGCCATGAGGAACGAGGAGTAGCAGGCGCGGCGGGACGTAGGGATGATCTGGCCGCCCCCGCGAAAGATGGCTTCGGGCGCCAATGCGACGTCCATAATCTTAAATTTGGTGTTGCGGATAGCTGCAAGGATAGTCAGAAAAAGAGTCGGAAGATGTATTCGGACCGGTGCGCATGTCAGTGGTATTTGCACCAATGAAGGGCGGAGAGCCAAGCAGAGCAAAGGAACAAGTACGGGGTAAGGAATAAGGGTCCCCTAGGCTGGGGGCTTCGGGGCTTTGGGACATAGGGACTTGGGGGGGACGCCACTCACGCTCTTCACACAGGGGCCCTTCTCTCGCTGCCCAGCTGAAACCCTGACGTATTGAGTCCCGGACACTCATCAGCAGTTTCTTATCCACCTATAATGGAAAATACCTATGTCAGCATATAAACGGACCGATTGATGTGACGTTCCTTTCCGACAAGGGAACAGGGCAACAGGACGAAGAAAAGCACTCACTTCTGAAGGCAAAGTGTCGTCCTGCAGGATATTGGGTCCCAGGTCGTCGGGTCCAAACGCCCAGATGCTTCGAGAAGCGAGCAAATCCCAGCCATAATTCTCTTCGAAGAACTTGCCGATGGTTCGGTTAGGGCTTCGGATGCTGACTTTACCACTCTCAATATCCTCCGCAATGCCTTGGTCTAGCGGCTCGGCAACCATTGTGATCTTGTTCTTCTTGTTCGGCGTTTGGGCGTAGCATTTTATTGCGGACGTCTCCACCACAGTCTCGCAGAAACGGGTAACGGGATCGGACACCTTGACTTCCATCTCGGCGTACAGCCGGCGCAAATCGTGAAGAACGCAGTCCATGTACAGCTCTCCTGTCCCGAGGATGATGTGCTCGCCGGATTCTTCAACCTTGGTTACGAGAAGAGGATAACTCTTGTTGACCTTGCGAAGACCGTCCAACATCTTGGGAAGCTCTGAAGGATTGATAGGCTCAACCGCCACCTTGAATACCGATTCCGTGAAATGGGTAATAGGTTTGAAGATGTAGGCGTCCTCATCGTTGGGTAGGGTAGGTGGTACCAATGTCGCAGACTTGACTATGGAGTTGTCCACGCCTCCTAATAACACCCAGTTGCCAGCCGGAACACCATCGGTGGGAATGTTGTAGCGTGTCTCAGCTATCCACACATCTGATATGGTTGCCATGCTCATATCTTCCTCGTCATCAATCGAGTACCCTTCTCCAAGAACTCTCACTTGCGAGCCTGGACGCGCAGTGCCGCTCATGACCCGTCCAAACGAGTAGAAACCTTTGGCATCGCTGGTATTAAATAGTTTCGAGACTTGAATGACCAAAGGCCCATCTTGATCGCAGTCTCTTATAGCTTTAGCCACACCGGTATCCAGAGGCCCTGTATAATACCGTTGAAGCTTATGCTCAGCTGATTCGACTGGCGAAGGAATATGTTCCACAACCATATCAACAAACCCGCTTGACGGTCCAAAAAACTGCTCGCAGACAAGCTTCAAGAGCACCTTAGCGTCCGTCTTGTACTGAGATGGTTTGAGAGTTATCCCAAGGGTCGCAAGAGTTCCCTTCAAATCTTCGGGGCTCTCGCTGAGAGTATGTGAGTATAGCTTGTAGATAGGCTCGAGCACAAAGTGCACAAAAGAGCGCCTCGCACGCTCCTCGATAGCTTTGCGCGTGAAAGAACGTTTTTTCGGGTTGAAGAAGATGTCTCCCCATAATCGTTGTGCGAATTCGTGGGCGTTGATTCCAGGAGTTCCGTTTGACTTTGGAGGATAGCTATTCGCATACATCTTGGCGAATGATTGTAGAGTAAAGGACCAGCCCATACTACTACATGCGAAAAGCACGTTGCCTTTTTCGGGGCTCAACCTTCTCTTTTCGCCTTGCCCAGGAAGGACATTTTCAATCATAGTGTTGACCTCCTCAATAACATGTTTGAGCTTGAAATATGCGTCCGAAGGGGGGAGCTTGAGCTCTAAAATCAATCGATCCATCTTGTTGACCACAAGGGCTAACGGTAGGCCTTCCAAAACCGCATGCTTGATGATCTGCTCCGTATTGACTTGCACACCCTCAACAACATCGACAACTAGCACAACCCCGTCCACCAATCGCAATGATGCCGCAACTTCATCGACAAAATTGACATGCCCCGGGGTATCCAGTATATTGAGGAGATGAGATTTTCCTTGTGTGCTTTGGAGTACTAAACTCATTGGCGCCGATTTTATTGATATCCCTCTCTCGCGTTCCAAGACATGTATGTCGGTGTATCGCAATTGCTCGTCCCTTTTCCTGCCAGTCCTCTTCTCTAGGCGGTCGGTAATATCATGGGTCTCGAGCACCAGCATGTCCATTAATGCAGTTTTGCCATGATGTAGATGGCCTGCAAATGCGATATTTCGAGTCTGCTCGGGATAATTCATAAGGTCCGTCATGAAACCGCGGTCAAAATGGACGGGTGGCAGGTCGGCTTCTTGGATCGTGAACTTCTTCACCTCGACAGGCGCAATTATAGGTTGGGTCAGAGGCTGGGCATCCTCCTCCTGTACCATAGTCTCGACATCTTCCCCGTACACCTGTTGCGCCGTAGGATAGTATTGCTTATCTTCGTGGAGCACTACCGCGTTCGAAGGTCCTTCAGCTAAACAACATAGTTAGCCTTGTTAGAAGCTCCTAGCTTGACACGACTTACTATCAACCTCCATGAGCTCCTGGCCCGTAGCTTCCGGCTCCTCCTCTGCGTCTTCATCGTATACGTATGCTGCGGCATCGACGCCATGTTGACTTTCATCATCGGATTCCTCGACTTCGCCAATGAAGTTGCCAAACCTGTATTTATATTAGCACGGAAGGGAATTGGCAAGAGGGGGGAAGAGTTTACTCGTCATAAAGGTCATCCATGGTGAGCAGATTAATGGGGGAAGAGTTGTTGAGCTTGAAGAGCGAATGCGACTCTCTTCGATTTCAGAAGGCAGGCACAACAATCCATGCAGAACCAAAAAGTTCGCGATGGCTCGCTAGCTAGATGGTCACGTGCACAGCCTTGCAGCCTCGCAGCCGTGCGTTAATCAACACGTGACTGTATTTGTACCCCACCAACGCTGTTGCGTCAACAAACCCCCAAAACCTTTTAATCCTTAACCTGTAATTGTTATTTAGGTGCACCGGGGTTTTAGAATAGACATAATTAAGTGGTTTCATTAAAATAAAGAACTCCGACCCGACTTATTCGGCCGAAAACAAAAGTATAGGAACGCGGGACTTCCCTCGCGTCCCTGATTCTAGCCATTTTAGTGTAAGCCCGAGGCGGTGAAGGCGCGGCCTTTGAGGCATCGTTGACCGAAAGAAAATATTACTGATCGACCCCGTCTTTACCTTCCATTCTATTTATTGTTGAGCATCCACGCATTCAACCACTCTCCAATCCAAACTCTACTCTGTTGAACCCTCAGATATTAGCAAAACCGCTCGCAAAATGGCTTCAGCTCCTCCCGTCTACATCGTATCCGCTGTGAGAACCCCAGTGGGGTCGTTCTTGGGGTGCGTTTGTTTCTGCCGAAGGAAAGGGGCACAATGGCTAACGTCAACAGCTCACTCTCAAGTCTCAGCGCTACTCAATTGGGTGGCATTGCTATCAAAGGTCGGTCTAATTCGCATTGGGTGTTCTCTACTGGGAATTTGGCTGATAGAGTCTGCAGCCGCTGTCGAGCGTGTCCCTGAAATCAAATCCGAACAAGTGGAGGAGGTATTCTTCGGCAATGTGCTGTCTGCCAAGTAAGGAGAAATATTGCTCTGCAAATGCAGCATGTGACTAATTGAGATAGTCTTGGGCAAAACCCCTCCCGCCAGTGCGCCCTTGCTGGAGGACTTTCCGAGGCAACAGTCTGCACAACTGTCAACAAGGTGTGCGCATCTGGACTCAAGGCCATCATCCTAGGCGCTCAAACAATCATGACCGGCAATGCCGACATTGTCGTTGCTGGTGGAGCCGAGTCGATGTCCAACGTCCCCCATTACCTTCCCACCCTTCGAACCGGTGCCAAATATGGCGACCAAACCTTGGTCGATGGTGTCCTTAAGGATGGCTTAACTGATTGCTATGGCAAGAAGGAACATATGGGAATGGCAGGAGAGTTATGTGCCAAGGACTATCAAATTACAAGAGAACAACAAGATGACTATGCTATCAACTCATATAAAAAGGCACAGCAAGCTACCGAGGCTGGAATTTTCAAAACCGAAATTGTCCCAGTTGAGGTCAGTGGTGGCCGCGGCAAGCCAAATATCACGGTCGACAGGGACGATGAGGTCAAGAACCTGAACGTCGACAAGCTGAAGGCTATGCGACCAGCCTTCATGCCCAGCGGCGGTACTGTCACTGCACCAAATGCTGCTCCCATCAACGACGGCGCCGCGGCTGTGGTTCTCGTTTCTGAGGCCAAGTTGAAGGAGCTTGGTCTCAAGCCTCTTGCCAAAATCCTCGGATGGGGAGATGCTGCTAAGGCACCAGGAGAATTTACCACTGCTCCAGCATTGGCAATCCCCAAGGCTATTAAGCATGCAAAGATTGAAGCATCAGCCGTTGACTACTACGAGATCAACGAGGCTTTCTCCGTTGTTGCACTGGCAAACATGAAGATTCTTGGTTTGGATGAGTCAAAGGTCAACATCCACGGAGGCTCAGTTGCCATTGGACATCCGCTCGGGTGCTCCGGTGCTCGAATTCTGACAACCTTGGTCAATGTACTAAGGGAGAAGAACGCAAAGATTGGTGTTGCAGGCATTTGCAATGGCGGTGGTGGAGCTTCTGCTTTGGTTATCGAGTCTTTGCAATAGCTCTTGCCATGTCCAACGCATATATTTCACGCGTAATGATAAACACGGGTACATATAGAACTTCAAAAAGTTAGTTCACAGATTCCGTATAATTGCTAAGAGATTAATACTAGCTACCAGTTCAGTTTAATCTATGCTATGTTTCACAGGAAAGAGTATTTACAGTTCGAATTTATGTCGTATTATAAAAGTAATTCAAGATGTTATGGGTGTAACCGTGCCTTACTGTCCGGCGTTGTTAGGTATTCTTGCGCCGTTGTACAAATTCCGTCCCTCTTTACAATATTTCCCCCTCAACACCAGAATTTCCAAAATGCCATCGTTGACTGAGACCACACTTGCCTATGTCGCAGCTATTGTCTGCCTCCTCCAAGATTTGTCATGGACTTAGAGGCAGTGGCCGAGCAGGACCGCTCGAATCATTGAAAGTGTCTGCCGCCATATTCCCTCCTAGATATAACTGGTAGGAAAAACTCAGCCTTGTGCTCAGCCCCGTCCTTAGTGTTATCGCACTGGAGTAGCTTTATCTAAGTTCAGCCTCGTGCTCGAGCAGCTTTTCTGCCTTATCGCAAGCTTTATCGAATCTAACCGAAAAAAATAATTAGATCCCCCCGACCTCCATCACAACCAACGCCGTTGAATACAGCGAGAATGTCTAAAAAGGCAATGTATGTGTTAATCCAAGTGAATGTCTCAAATAAAGTGAGAAACTGACTGAACTGATATAGAGACTCGCGCATCCCGGCGCTCATGCGCAATGGGATCCAGGAGAAAAAACGGAGTTTTTTCGTGGTGGTGGGAGACCGATCGAAGGATGTTATTGTCTATCTCCACCATATCATGTCCGGCATGGACATGAAGCAAAACAAATCGGTGCTGTGGGCATACAAGAATAAGCTCCTTGGATTCACAAGGTAAAAAAGACAATACAATGGCCTCTTATGGACAAGCTGTTTACTGATATTCTCGCTCTGTAGTCATCGGAAAAAGCGCGAGAACAAGATCAAAAAGGAAATAAAACGCGGCATACGAGAAGCCAATACTGAGGACCCCTTCGAGTTGTTCGTTTCCCTACATAATATCCGATATGTATACTACAAAGAGACAGAGAAGATCCTTGGGAACACATATGGGATGTGTATATTACAAGATTTCGAGGCGATTACACCAAACTTACTCGCTAGAACGATTGAAACGGTTGAGGGAGGAGGTCTTGTCGTCTTGCTTCTGAAAGGAATGAGCAGCTTGAAACAACTCTATACCCTATCGATGGATATCCATTCGCGGTACCGAACCGAGGCCCACGAGGACGTTGTTGCGAGGTTCAACGAGCGCTTTATATTATCTCTGGGGAAATGCGAGTCCTGTCTTGTGATCGACGATGAGATGAACGTGTTGCCTATCTCTGGGGGGAAGAACGTGGCAGCTCTACCTCCTCCTGACATCAACGAGCCAATGAGCGAAGCGCAGAAGGAACTGAGTGACATGAAAGAAGCATTGCAAGATACCCAGCCGGTTGGATCGTTGGTGACATTGGCGAAAACAGTGGACCAAGCAAAGGCACTCCTGACTTTCGTTGATGCTATTGCGGAGAAGACCTTGAGAAGTACTGTCACTCTGACAGCCGCTCGTGGTAGAGGCAAATCAGCTGCTTTGGGTGTGGCCGTAGCTGCTGCAGTAGCCCACGGATATAGCAACATCTTCATCACGTCCCCAAGCCCAGAGAACTTGAAAACTCTTTTTGAATTTATTTTCAAAGGGTTTGACGCTCTGAACTATATGGACCATGTGGATTATTCAATCATCCAATCGACCAATCCAGATTTCAACAAAGCTATTGTGAGAGTTAACATACATCGTCAACATCGTCAGACGATTCAATATATCAGACCGCAAGATGCCCATGTCTTGGGCCAGGCCGAATTGCTTGTCATCGATGAAGCGGCTGCAATTCCACTACCTTTGGTTCGAAAGCTGATGGGCCCATATCTCGTTTTCATGGCGTCAACAATTAATGGATACGAGGGCACTGGGAGATCGCTTTCCCTGAAGTTAATCAAACAACTCCGAGAACAATCGATGGGCAACTCCAAAGCGGGAGGAATTAACGACGCGGAGGTTACAGATAGGGCCACCGGGAAAGCCTCGAAGACAGCGGATAACAGCTTCACTGGAGGACGTTCTTTACGAGAAATCACCCTCTCGGAACCAATTCGTTACGCCAAAGGCGATGGCGTGGAAAAGTGGTTGAATACAGTTCTCTGTCTTGATGCCACACTACCACGCTCAAAGTTAAATACGCTCCAAGGTTGCCCTGACCCGTCACAATGCCAGCTGCTCAATGTTAACCGCGATACTCTTTTCTCCTTCCATGAAGTGTCCGAGAAGTTCTTACAGCAGATGGTTGCTCTTTATGTTGCGAGCCATTACAAAAACTCCCCCGATGATCTCCAATTAATGAGTGATGCTCCTGCGCATCAGCTTTTCGTGCTTGTACCCCCAATTCCCGAAGACAGCAACCATTTGCCAGAGCCGCTCTGTGTTATCCAGGTTGCGCTCGAAGGCAGAATCAGCAGAGAGAGCGTGGCAAACAGCTTGAGCAGAGGAAAGAGAGCGGCCGGTGATCTCATTCCCTGGATCGTCAGTCAGCAGTTCCAGGATGAGGACTTTGCTGGGCTTTCTGGTGCTCGTGTTGTTCGAATAGCAACCAATCCTGATTACATCCAGATGGGATACGGAAGCAAAGCACTTGAATTGCTGAATGATTTCTACGAGGGTAAATTTGCGGATCTATCGGAGGATGCGAAGCCTTTAAGTGAGGAAACCATTACGCGGGTTACAGATGCAGAACTAGCAAACGCCTCACTTCTTAACGATGACATCAAGGTCAGAGATATTCGGAAAATGCCCCCTCTGTTCTCGAAGCTTTCAGAGCGCCGCCCAGATCAGCTTGACTACGTTGGTGTAAGCTACGGCCTTACACAACCGCTGCACAGATTCTGGAAACGTGCCCATTTTGCCCCTGTATATCTGCGGCAAACTGCGAATGAGTTGACTGGCGAGCACACTTGTGTCATGATTCGCCCGCTTGAAAATAGCGACGATAAATCATGGCAGGGAGCATTCTCAAGGGATTTCCATCGCCGATTCCTCTCCCTCCTGGCCTACCAGTTCCGAGACTTCCCCTCTATCCTTGCGCTCAGCATTGACGAGTCCGCAAATATGGGTGCCAAACTAGACCCAGAAAATGAGCCCCTTGCGCTGGCTAAACCCCAACTCGACTCCCTATTTTCACCATTTGACCTCAAACGCCTAGAATCTTATGCAAACAACATGCTCGACTACCACGTTGTGCTTGATCTCGTCCCCAAATTAGCCAACTTGTACTTTACAGGCCAGTTGAAGTCCAGTATCAAGCTTACCGGCATCCAGCAATCAATCCTGCTTGCCGTCGGCCTGCAATGCAAAGATCTATCCGTGTTGGAAGCAGAACTGTCTCTCCCATCATCTCAGTTGCTAGCCATGTTCATCAAGATCATGCGTAAAATCAGTTCACACTTCAACTCCTTGGTCACTGGAGCGATTGAAGCTGAAATGCCGAACAGAGATAGAATTGGCGTTAGTAGAGAAGATGCGAGCGGCGCTTTCGATGATGAGGTTGTTGATACTCGTTTCGTTCCCTTGGAAACTACTTTAGAAGACGAGCTTGAAGAAGGTGGTGATGAGGCCATGAAGGCTTTGAAGGAGAAGCAGAGGGAGCTTATTGATGCACTGCCTCTGGACCAGTAAGTTTAATCTTATGAACCCCCAAGGTTTGCTAGTCTAACCAGTTTAACAGATATGAAATTGAAGAGGGCGCTCCTGGCTGGGCAGACGCCGAGAAGCAGGTTCTCAGTGCTACCAAGAGTGGGAAGAAGAATGTCGTAGTTAGCGTGAAGAGCACGAAGACCAAGAGAAAGGCGGGGGAAACTGCTGCGGAGATATATGCTCAGGAGGTTGAAGCAAAAGCGAATAAAAGGGCGAAAAAGGCGCCTAAAAGGGGGCATGCATAGGTTTTTGCTGTATACTGGAGTTTCCGGAGTAGCTATTGAAAGATATCGTGCGGAGCTTTGTAGAGTTATTATCACCAATTGATGATTTTATGAAACTGGGAGGTAAATGCTACGGTGATCGGCTCCAGACTTGATTACAGTGACTCTTATTGTAGTCCATCCGTAAAATTTACATATAATTTGTGAACAGCTGCTTCCCTAAGGTACCTATGTAGACGCTTGGTCGAATTTTTTATGTTCTTATTGACGAATCGGGTAGCCTGAACAACAACCTCACACCAACGAGGCGACCGACTCAAAGTCTATCTTTCCGCTCGCGAAAACATCACCCGTATACGAACAAGACATTATAATAGAGTAAAACCAAGCTCTTCGAAACGCCCCAAATCTAGCTTGTTTCTTTCAAAAGCGCCATGGCCGAAACAACACAAACAGCCAAACCAGCTGAGTGGTGGGCGGCGTTCCCCGCTCCAAAGGCAAAATGCCCTGAGATCAGCGCAGACGAAGTGATGAAGTTGTTTGATGACATGGATATCAACCCTGTTCCTCGGCCTTTCCTGCTTGTGGATGTGAGAAGGAACGATTGGGAGGTATGTCGAGTCGTCCACATTAGCATAGTTGGAATGCACGGGGATTGACATTGCCTAGGGCGGCACCATCCATACATCTCTCAACCTTCCAGCTCAGAGCTTCTATCAAAATCGCAAACCTCTTCTTGACCTCTGTGATAGGGCATCGATTAAGCAGGTGATTTTCTACTGTGGTAGGTGACGTTCTATTTACATTCTAAGGGAAAGTTCTTAACAGCCTTCAGGCTCTTCAGCTGGCCGGGGTACCCGCTGTGCAAACTGGATGCAAGATTACATCGATGACATCGCCAAGTTCGGTCGGAGAACTGAAGTTAAAGTTCTCATTCTGAAAGGTGGCATAAAGAATTGGGTCAAGCAATACGAAGGTGCACTGGTAGAAGGATACGAGGAGAAGTATTGGGAGCAGTTTAAGTAGCCATAGTTGGTATTCCTCATGAAGACGATACTGACTCCCGTTTTGCGTTTGTCATACAAATACCGCAGAGCCCTCTCGAAAAAACGCCGTGTCCACTTCCAGATGTAACTTTTTGGGCCTTTCCATAATTCCATCTCCCTTGCTGACTGCGTACCATACGATGTGTACCCCTTCACCGTTCCTCTCTACCGCCGCCTATTCTTTCTAATGCCTCTAGCATGACGACGGAATTTCCTCGAATGACCTACCTCGTCATTAGCCACGATATTCTAAAAGTCATAGCAGAGGGATGAAAAACTAACCACCATGCCTAATCTGACCTTCTCCCCGCCCTCCTTCTCCTCAACCGCATCGTCCAATACGACATTTAAGAACACCTGCCTCCGTATCAGTCCAAGATTCTCTCCAAGTCCAAGGGAAGACTGACATCGTAACCTCTCAACACGCCAATAACTTTCCGGCTCCCATTCAACTGCACAAATAGCCTTTTGTCGAGGTACTGTAACATGGGATTAGTCCATTTGTCGCATTTCTTGGACTTACCATCGCGTTGATCCTCGTGGTTGCGGCGCTGACGTCGCGCGTTTCGGATCCCGCGATTTTGGAGTTCTTTATAAGGGTGGAAGAGCACTGCACGTACCTTCTTTAGCTCGGGCTGAGCTTGAGGCATCTTGACGGTTTGGAGGAGTTGCCTTGGATGGGATAATTGCTTGTGAATTCGATGCTTCCGTCTTGGAAAGTTTGGTTGCGACTCGCGCTAGGGTCACCGGTCACGTGGTGATATTGAAATCGCGTCGACTTTTATGGTTATCGATCTCGTAGGAAGCTAGAATTGTTTCGAAATACTTCACACGGAGAAGTTATTATTTCAACGCGTCGGGATTTGAGCCCATAATAGTTCTACACGATGAAGTCCGCCTTTGGGAAACGGAAGGGTAGAGTCATTCAAGTGGACGACGAAGAGGAAAGTGGCGCAACGGATGCTCGAGATTCGAAGGAAAACAACTGTGAGTCTACTGAAGCTGCAGCTTTGAACCCAGCTGATTCTGAAAAGCCGACTGACAGAGTATTTGTAGCCCCCGTTACAACCGGTATCTCTACCAATTCAAGTCGAAAGGGTTTCAAGAAATCTTCCTTGCGACAAAGCACTGTACTAGATGACCTAGCGCAAGATGATAACGATTCCGGCACAAGTGGTGAAGGGAGAGGGTATAATGGCTCGCAGAACGCAAACAAACCTACCATAGGGCGATCAAGTTCGTTGATGAAGAAGAAGAAGGCACCGTCATCAAGACTTTCTTTTGGGCCGGGCGAGATCATATCTGGAGATGCCGCAGAAGCATTGGAGGATGACGAGGCATTTATGCCAAAGAAAGCTGTCCTAGGACGCAGAGTTATTGAAGGGAATGCGATGCGGAAACAACTTCCATATCAAGGTCTACCTATTCGAAGTGGCGACGACGATGAGGAACGTCCTACCTATAGTAAGGATTATCTAAATGAGTTGAAAAGCTCTACGCCTGCTACGCCCAAGGACTTACAGGCTTTACATGCTACCGCCGAGGATGAAGAGGGCCTGGATGCGTCTGAGCTTGAGGGTGCTATGATCGTGGATACGGATGACAAATTCGGATCAAGTGCGACGGTCTCATCACACATACCAACTGAAGCAGAAATCAGAGAGAAGAAGGAGCGAAGGGCACGTCGAGTTCAAGAGAAAGATTTCATCTCTTTTAACGATGCGGATAACGATTCCCGAGGAGAGCTATCCCTCTTGCCTCGAAAGAAGCCGGCAGAGGGTAGATTGGTACGAGAGGATGAGGATTTAGGCGAAGGATTCGACGAGTTTGTAGAAGATGGGCGCATCGCTCTAGGCAGGAAACAAGAGCGCGAAGCAAAGCGCCGCCACCGCAAAGAGATAGCAGCTATGATCCAGAACGCGGAAGGCAGCTCCGCGGATGACACAGATGATTCTGAAGCGGAGCGGCTCGCAGCATACGAAGCTGCGCAGACTCGTGCTGGCATGGACGGCCTTCACAAGCCTAGTGATGATGTAGAGGCTACCTCTGCGCAAGTCCCGCATAAAATCACACCTTTGCCAGCTTTGTCGGAATGTTTAGAGAGATTGCAAGCTACTCTAAGCTCGATGCAAGAGGAGCTCGTACAGAAACACAAGAAAGCCGCAGATTTAAAGCTAGAAAAGACTCAAATTTTAGCAAGGGAGACCGAGGTCCAAGAGTTACTAAAGCAGGCTGGGTCGCGGTTTGCTGCGCTGAAAAGCGATTCTAATGAGGTTGCGACGGACCTTACCTCGGTGGCGGAAACTTCTAAGCATGGATTGACGGGGAGTATGATTGTTGATAGAGGGCTTGAGAGTTTTGGGAATACGCCGACGGTGAGACCGGGTGTTGAAGATGTGGGATAGTTTGCTTGGAGTCGAGAATATAAATACTATTTGCGCCGCTATTGTACGAGTATTTTGATGTGTTCAACACGTCGATCTGTACGAAGAGTGGTGTCAGGACCTCCGGGGTTATAACAAGTGGGACTGATGAACCAAAACTTGACACTTCGTCATTTAAATTAGGTACTAGTTATTCTAATAACAGAAAGGAGCGCAATCCTTCACTCTGTTTAGAAGTGCCCCCTTCCACCGCAATCAACGAAGAATTCTCTGACGGCTAAACTAGGTCAAGAATGTCAACGCCGCCAATGATATTGCGTCTATGCCAGTCCTAAGAGTAGGCTCTATAACAGGCGCAAATAGTGAGCTGTGGTTACCGGGAATCAAACTCGTAACCTTTCCTTTACGCACAGCATCCTCCCATTTATCCTCATCTGTACCTCCAAAGTTCCAATACGAGTATGGAACACCTATTGAAGTGGCCAAAATCGAGACATCCTCACTTGCGGTGGCCCTTCCCATATCCCAGACGTTGTCGGCCCCGAAATAGGACTGGAACGCCGAAGTAAGAGTATCTGTGAGCCCTTGATCATTATCTGTCAATGGGAAGCTGTCTGTTGCCGTTATAACTGGCTTCCTCTCAGCCCCGGACGCCTCGCATTCGGATTCAATGATTCGCTTCATCGAGGCCAGTACTTGACTCCGTACTTCAGGAGTATAAGTGCGGATATTGAGTTTGAGGTCCACTTGATCGGGAATGACATTTCCTGTGCCACCACCATGAATACTGCCACATGTGATAACTGCGATCTCGCCTGGTTTGACCTCGCGGCTCACAATGCTCTGAAGCCGAATAATAACATGACTGGCAATTAGGACAGGGTCAACTGTGTTCTGAGGTTGGCTGCCATGTCCTCCGCGTCCAAATATTGTGACATTGAACGAATCAGCGGCAGACATGCATGGGCCAGACCGAGTTGCAACTACACCTGATCGTACAGGTGTCACATGTTGGCCGAGAACGATGTCTGGTTTGGGAATCTTCTTGTAGAGGCCGTCATCGACCATAGCCTGTGCCCCGGCGCCATGCTCTTCATCTGGTTGAAAAAGACAGATCAATGTGCCTTTCCAGCTCGATTTTGCGGAGTGGAGGAGAGTGGCAGCCGCCATCAGACAGGTAACATGAGTGTCATGACCGCAAGCATGTGAGACGGGCTGGTCTACACCTTGGTCATCTATCATACGGGCCCTACTAGCATAAGAAAGACCCGTCTCCTCGAGAATGGCGAGGGCGTCCATGTCTGCTCGAAGGAGTATTGTACGTCCGGATCCATTTTTGAACACACCGGCGAGTCCATGACCGCCAATGCCTTCATGGACCTCGAATCCAAGGTTCTTTAGATGCTCTGCGGCGACCCCTGCGGTTTCCGATTCCATACAACCAAGTTCAGGACGGCTGTGCAGATTTTTGTAGACCGACTCATAGTGATCCAGTTTAGGACGATGGTCGTTGATAATCTGCTTCAAGTTCTCAACACTTGGTTGGGTGTGTCCTGTCACTGACAGGGATGCCCATTAGCAACTAAGCTAAATAAACAATTGGGATACGTTTATGCTCACTAATGAAGGGGTATTACTGATTTCGTGTTGTTATGAGGATATTCTGGAGGGTTATGCTTGAGGATTTGGGGCAACCATGTCCTGCACAGTTTCTAGTTCACCAATAGTAGGCTCCTGGTTGATGGGTGACTTTATATGGGAGTGGACTTCCGCTAACCCACAGCTTGGCCTATGGCGGACACCAAAACCACAAACGGTGATGTCATATGTCATATTCTCTCTATTCAATGGCTGGCATTGAATGGTACATGTAAACACCATATGACCTTGGTGGAAGATGCTTGCTGCTAATATTAATATATGGATACCATAGTTGAAGTTGAACCCTTTTCCGGGAATAGGCAAGGTATGGTTGCACTTGGATTGGGTTTGTACATAGTGTTTGTAACGTTGGAAAGACATCAATGGGTTTTCGTATCGGCAGATTCTCGGTACTTGACTTCGGGAGTTGCAATGTCCACGGAACAAAGGCAACACGAAACCACCGTATCACAGTTTTATTCACTTACCTAAAAGTGCTATTAATTTGTATATCCCTTAGCCATAAATTAGAGCTAGCCTGTCCAAGTGATCTGCTGGTATTCGATCACGTGACCTCGGTCTAGTATCATTTATTTCAGGTTTCTTGTAGGGATGGTAGCTGTAAATGAGTTCCAGAAATAGTTGTGGCATATGGTACATAATTATAGAAATTGTGTACTATCACATGCAGTATATTTTCTATTAAGTTCGGTGTGGTGGTTCACTTCACTTTTCGCTTGACTCAGACTTCAACCTACTTCTTGGTGAAGCCCGCGTTTGCAAAAGTTTACATACCAAACCCGCTATCTCGAAACGATGGCCAATTCCAAGTATATGATCTCTTCCGAAATATACGCAACTAATTTAACTATGTTTTAGGTATGAATATGTTAAGGCCTTCGAGCAACCCGATATCCTGCTTCCAAATACATGGATCGTGATCCGGATCGACGGGCGCGGCTTCCACAAGTACGTCTACCATTTATCTATTTCACTTTCAGAACTAAAATGGATTGCTAGGTTTTCAGCCAAATACGCTTTTGCGAAACCCAATGATCGCCGAGCACTGGATCTGATGAATGCAGCAGCTAAGGCAGTAATGAGTGAGCTGCCAGATATCGTTATTGCGTACGGTGTCAGCGATGAATATAGGTATCTATCTCTTATGCGTGGGTTGCGTATTACAAGTAGCTGATACGAATCTTTCTCGTCAAGTTTCGTATTCCATAAGTCCTGCACGTTGTTTGAAAGGCGATCGAGGTATTACCCCTCTCCCATACTTCAGGGACCAGCAAAGTACTGACCATCGGCTAGTAAGCTCGTTACTACGATCGCATCAACGTTCACGGCATATTTCGTCCATCTATGGCGGGATTACTTCCCAGATCTACAACTCTCTCCTCCCCTACCTAGCTTTGATGGCAGGGCGGTTATGTACCCCAGTGTACAGAACCTGAGAGATTACATGAGCTGGAGGCAGGTTGATTGTGAGTATACAATTCTTTATCTCCGGGGTTTATATTAACGGAAGGTAAGGCCATATCAATAATCTCTATAATACGACCTTTTGGGCATTGGTGCAGTCGGGTGGTATGGAGGCCAAGGATGCAGAGAAAGAGCTTGCAGTAAGTCTTCCATCGGCGTTTCTACTAGTCGTATGGTGAAGCTAACTAAATACAGGGAACAGTATCAAGTGATAAGAATGAGATACTGTTCTCGAGATTCAAAATAAATTACAACAATGAGCCTGAGATCTACAAAAAGGGCAGCGTGGCGTTTCGCGATGTAAGATTGATTGACTCCTACATTATCTTTCCATTACACTTTATCTGTTATGCTTTACTAAATATCCTTAGTACGAACTTGTTGAGCCCAGTTCTGCATCAGAAATGGTCGAAGAAGACTCCGCAAAGACTACAGAGCAATTGGAGCTCTCAAAGACACAACAAGAAAAAGATCGGAAGAGAAGGGCCAAAGCACGAATCACTATACAGCATGTAGACGTTATCAAGGATGAATTCTGGGAGAGGAGGCCATGGCTTCTATCGAATAAGCCTGGAAAGATACCCAAGGAGCCATGAGGCAGAATTTGAATAATTGCTGAGAGCGCCGTATAAATGCCAATACCATCGATGTGATGATATATCCCCTTGAACGCCTTGCTAATGCAGTTATAGATCATTTCGCCCATCTACCCGTCAGTCTTTCCGTCGTTTCTTCTTCTTCTCCTTCTCGGAGGATGCTTCGATAGACTTTTGCTCCGCTTCCTTTCCCAGCTTCTTCAATCGTCGTCGTTCCCTTCTCTCTTCTTTCGTCTCGGTTTTCTCAATGGCCATATTTTTGGCTTCCTTGGGATCGTCGACTTCCTCTGCCATGCTTCCATTTGCCCGTGCAGCTCGTTTCGCAGCTTTCCTTGCCCTCCTCTCCTCTTTTGTCTCGTTCCTATCTTTCCTCCTATCCGACCGCCTCTCACTTTTCTTACATTTCTCAACGGGTGTACTCGTCCCGCTGTCATCATCCATTTCAATTGTCCCACCTAAACACTCGCCCCTGACGAAACTCGCATACAATCCCTTTCCCACCGCAGTCCCGACAAACCGCGCCCCTCCCTTTGTCACCATATCCAAGCCTCCGCTCGTTACAGTCTGCACAACAGTCCCCTGCTTCGACGTATCCAGGCCCTTCAGACTGCTATCAAATGCATTCATCCACCACATGTCACTTGTTTTATGTTGTTTCTTGCCGATGCCAAGGGTGTTGTCTTTGCGGGAGACAAGGAGAGGTCGCGAGAGTCCAGTCCCGTCGGTGGTGGGGTGGAGAGAATGCCCTGTCCCTCTCCAGCCCTGCGAGGTGAGGAGCGCGTGGGCATTCATTTTGCGTGTTGGGGCTGTTGCACGCTAAATGGAGGTTGAGAGAAGGGCAAAATGGCTGGCTTTGGGACGCTGTGAAATGTGAAATGTGATTTTCTTATCGCTGGTTCTTGGGGGGAAAATTTATGGTATCTTAGCGTTCTTCGCTTCGGTTGCTGGTGTGGCTTGTGCATCTTGGTGTTCATAGCTGTTCGAGCCATGAATAGCTCTTATTTGTAGACAAATCATTCACACTGAAAAGTACAGATAAATCTTGTAAAGAACGACTGAGCGCTATTGATTTTCCAAATGTTTGTTAAGTTAATTCCATAACTGTTCCTGTAGAAGCTCCATTCCTTGTATTCTCGCGTTGGCTATTACTGGGGCTTACTAATAGAGCCGCTCGAGCCACCAAGTGAACGTCACCAACTTTGACTTCATTATGTGAACCCTCCTGATGTCCTTTAATAATTCTTTTAAAAGTATCCTCTTGTTCCATATGTCATATATAAAATGGGATAAGCCTGGCTTGCCTTCCTTAGTAGAGGATTTCTACACCAGGCTCCTTTGAGCGTGCATTACCTCACCTACGAAGAGCTAGGCATTACAACTATACTCTTATTGGCTTCGCTCATTTGCTACTCAATGCGATCCGCTATGTGTTTGATAGACTCTTGTACTAAGAAATCATTGGGGGACCCTTCATAGATGTCATATGAGGCCTTCCCATCAATGGAACAGCATGATTAATGCATGGCATGCAAGAGTCAGTCCAATCACTGGGATATCTGGGTCTGATTGGATTGGCGGTTGAAGGCGGACTCAGCACGCATATGAATCTACTTCGGAAGGCTGCTATCACAACTGCTTCAATTGCAACAGTTTGACTCTGCATGCCAATTGGGTCGTCCTTCTTGCTGCTTCTTTTTCGGTTTCCCACGAGTATAGAAACACCTTGTCCCGTTCCCTTGGTGGGATTCTCTGCTATCGCATCACTATGTTCAACACTCCCAGGCACAATGTTTGCCATTCTGTCCTCTGGAGGGTTGCAAGAGGCCCGGATAGGGGTGGCCCTTGTTAGTCCTGCCATCATGGATGATATCGTTGGCTTGGTCTATAGTAAACCTAATTACCACGCTGGGAAGTGTGAGGGATGGTGGCTGGACTATTGCTCGACCCATTGTGTCAAGTTTTTGGCTACTTCTTGTGACTCTGGAACTTGCTCATTTCGTGCCAAGACCAATTTGACCCTTGTTGACGAAATATTTGACGGCACTGGTTCAGGGTTCAGGGACGTCAGCAAGTTGGCAGACACATCCTACGCCAGCCAACAATGAAGATAGCCCTGGTACCCTTTTTCTTTGTAAGTAGCAGCTTGCCTTCTTTTTGTCAGTACAAGTCATTGACGTCCTTTGCTAATCACTGATCTTAGGTATCGATGGCCTTTTCAATTCCAATCAAAGACATGTTCACAAGTTCTACTGTCTGGAAAGTTGTCGTCTACTCACTGTTGATGGCTGTAGCTAAAAGCAGTGTTCGTATCGTCACCTCTCTAGAGCACTTTATAAAGCGATGGCAGAAACGGAAACCAATAATCCGCAGATGGATCAGGGGCTCCTCAACCAGCGAGAGACAAGAAGTCAGAAATTGTAACAAACTCTGCCAATGCTCGTCAGAAAGACGATACCACATCATCAGGACTATCATGTACCATGGCAATGCCAACTTGCTTTGCTACGATAGAAGGAGGAAAAAGTGGCTTCTTAATAGCATCTCTGTCTCAGCTCCTAAATCCTGGGCCTTCGACATCAAGGTGGGTCTATCCAGTCTTCCAATGGGGGGGTCTTGTGGTTATCTGGGCAATTATCACCTGTACGATCTTAGGACCTGTATTTATGGGTATCATCGCGAGATGACCATGATGAGAAAGCATATTTATTGCAATCCATACGGACCCTATTGGTCAACAGGCTCATAAGAGTAAGCCGAGAAGCAGAAAAGCTTCCGCGCAAGATATGTGGATCCCCTTGGCCCTCCTTTAGACCACCGAAAACAATAATATGGACCCCGTTGGTCACAGACTCAGGCAATGAGCCGAGAAGCAGAAAAGCTTCCGCGCAATATATGTGGACCACCTTGACCCTCCTTTAGACCACCGAAAATAATAACGCCAACCACCCGCCAGCAGAATCCTACGCCCCTCCAGACCCTCCTTCGTCCATAAAAGTGGAAACCCGGCATGAAAAATAAGCTGGCCATCCTAGCAAGAGCAACAAAGCGGACCGAAAGCCTAATTATACTCCATCACATCCCTCCAAATTCTCCCACAAGTCGCACGCAAACATAGCCTTCTGAACGGCGCTCCAATGAACCGACAGCTTGACTTTCTTCGCACCGTATGGGACAGGAAATATAATACTGTCAAGTGTCTCGGTCCAATTCTAAGGCAAAATTAGCTGCGGCTTGACGGGACGGGATAGGGAAGATCACACCTTCAAGGCATCCCTAGTATTACACAACTCAAAGAACACCCCTTTGTTAAAAGGCTTGAACCTCTTCGGCGCGCTCTTCGGAAGAGCTAATATGACCATCAATGAGAAAAGGTCGAGAAGTCTCTTGGATGTCTGGAAGCTGGTCAGCGAATCACTCATAAAAACTACTGCATCAAGCTACTCACAATCGTGAATGCAGTTGCGATGCGGTCTAGCTCCTCCTCCATGTACTCGTGATTCTCGTTATTCTTCATCGCACACTCTGCCTGCTTCAAGAGTTCGGGAAGAGCCTGTATCCCCTCATAAATCAATCTCTTTAATGGTTTGTGCACATACTTCGTCATGGTCGCAATCCTGTATTGAACTTCATTCATTCTTGCCATCTGGATACCAAGAGCTATGACAACATCAACTTGGTCGGAAATAGCTGTGATGCAACCAATGGGGTTATAAGTCTGGGTACGCGTCAAAGAGGATGGTCCGTCTGAGCCTGGTAACGAGGAGCGCTGGGCTAGCTTTGCTGCTTGAAAATTTTCGCCCTCAACGACAGGATTTCCAAGCGGAGCTGTATTATCAGAAAGTTTGCCATACTGGTTGTTGTGAGCACCCTCCAGTGCAAGATCTCTGCCGTCATAGGCGTTTTCAAGGGATGCGGGAGCGAAAGATATTTCAAGAGATCCGCGAGGCTGAGAATTTTCTTGGACGCTCTCCAGTGCAGGACCTCTGCCGTCATAGGCGGTTCTAAGGATTGCAGGAGCAAGAGAGATTTCAAGAGATTCGTGAGACTGGGGATTTTCATGGACGCCCTCCGGTGCAGGATCTCTGTCATTATAGGCGGTTCGAAGAGATGCAGGAGCGAAAGAAATTTCAAGAGATCCGCGAGACTGAGAGTTTTCATGGATACCCTCGAGTGCAGGATCTCTGCCATCATAGGCAATATCAAGAGATGCAGGAGCGAGAGAGATTTTGGGCGATCCTCCAGACTGGGAGTTTCCACTCTGGGCAGGATCACCAACCTTGGTGGAATCGGTACGATTAGATACACGAGCAAACTTTGCGGCCAACTTCGATTTCTTGCCTTTGATGGCTCCAGTGAGCGAGTCAAACGAGCTCGACTTTTTCATCTTGCCTTTGATGGCTCCAGTGAGCGAGTCAAGCGAGCTCGACTTTTTCATCTTGATCTTGTCCCAGAAAGACCTCTTGCTCTTGAGGTTAGGCAGCTGTGGGGCAGACTTCTTGCTCTTGAGTAGGTTCCGCTCTGTCAAAGGGGCCTGACCAGCGAGGAGTGCATTGTAGCCAAAGGCCTGGCCGATATCTCCATTATCTGTGGTATATTCTTGAAATCTATCCCCACTCGTATTCTGCACACCATTGTTCTGTGCTTCGCCTTGCTGAAATGGAGAGTGGCCGTTGCGTTCAGCGAAAGGAGTTCCAGTTGTGTATGCACTCACATCTGTGTACTCTCCGGAAGAGTGGCGTGAGCCCGAGTTATTGCTCATACCTGTTGGTCTTCTATCTCGGTAGAAGCTAGGCAATGGGTGGGATGAAGTGCTGTCTCCTGACCCCTCAGAGCCATTTCGCTTTCGGATATAGCCATGACCATCTCGATAGTAGTCAGAGCTGTTGGTCTTTGCATCTGCGTGAGGACTATGTGAGGTGTTAGAAGCAGCGTTGCTCATAGACGCCGCAGCTCCAGACCCCCGAGGAGGAGAGTACAAGTGATCGGAGCGTTCAGGTTGCTTCTGTTGTGTGGCTTCATAGACAATAATTTCTCGGTAGTTCATTGATGTAGGCCCTGGATTCCGGGTGCGATTGCGAGGCTGGGTGCTTGAAGCAGAGTTGTTTATAGGACCAGCGGCTCCAGACCCCTGAGGAGGACGGTACAAGTGATCAGAACGTTCAGGTTGGTTCTTTTGTGTGTCTCTATAGACAGTAAAGTCTCGGTGGCTTGCATATGTAGCCTGGGGGCGCTGGGTTTCATTGCGAGGCCGAACTGAGTTGCCGTGAAGCCGATAGTAGCGTGCGGCTTGTTCTCGAGCCTTGGAGTTTTCAAACTCGTCACCAAGACCAAACTCATCACCAGTACGGCGGGGAAAATAGGCAGGACGTGTGGCCATAGCAGGTCCACAGTTCCAGTTGTCACCACCCGTGTTCGATCCACGTGTATAGGCCATTCCTTGTGCCTGAAGGAAGTCACGGCTCTTTATTCCTTGTTCATGCTCAAAGTCGAGTTGGGACATATCGTTTGGGTGATTGAAGTTGTTCCCGTGCATATCCGCTACTTCCTGGGCTTGGACAAAGTCGCGTCTAGCAATGCCTTGCTCATGCTCCAAGTTGTGCTGCTCAATACCGGCGGGACGGCGGCGGAAAACACGATCAGAGTACACATGTGACATCTGAGGCTGGTAGATGCCCACTGGTCGGGCTCGACGATAGCTTGTTATTATATTAGTATTGAAATTCACTTTGGACTTAAAAGACATTTCTTACTTTGATGAGGTTGCTGGAGCACTATTCGACGGACCGGCGGACATAATTGTGTCTTGCGAAAATGGGGACTCCTTGTGAGGATTGAAGAGTGTAACAGGTGATGGTTTCATTTTCACGCGTTCGATAGTTGAAGGTGAAAATTTGAGGGTGAATGTCTCACGTTTTGTGAGAGATCTAGGTCAGACATGTTAGTGAAGTGAAATAGAGAGAGATGATTTGAAGTTACTGCAGGCTCAAGAAGCTCTTGTGCTTGTGTTGTGGTGTTGTGACTGTCGCGTTGGATAAAGAGACGCGTTGGATGGAGAGTTGTGTTGGATAGAGACAAGTTGACTTACCTTTTGTGGTTGGATTCCGCAATAGAAAGATGTGGTCTTTGAAGTATTGAGTAGTTCTCCTTGGAGAGTAGACAGTTGAGACAAGATCGGTTTATTGCAGGTCAACAGTTGGCGTTTGCTGGTGTTGACTTGAGGAAGAGAGGAAGAAAGAAAGAAGAGAAGAGGACGAAGGGGACGAGAATATATATCCCCATTTGCCGGCGCGGTGGTGATGGCGGTAGGTAGCCTCATGAGAACTGCCATGAGTGAATTAGCAGTTGTCTTGAAAGCAAACAAGGCTTCACAGTCGGTCGAGCAGGCGGTGACGAGAAGACGGCATTACCCAAGGAGGCGGCGTGCAAAGACAGATCTATAGGGATATATATGGCTCTGGGAGGAAACACATTGACATACCTTTTAACGACAGCTCCTTTGCTGCCGCTGGCAAAGCTCCAACACCAACTCCACCTCTACCTCCCCCAGCCCCGTGGCAGCTCGATCTCCATGTATCATGAGCGCCACGAATCCTCTGGGGAATCTGGGGGAGACCGCCGGTGGAGTTGGTGGTCTGCCAGGGACGGTTTCTGCTACCGCGGAGAGCAGTATGTACTAGTAACCTCCGACCAGAGGGTCATCGTTGATAGTATGGAGGAGAAGGATGATTATGATGATGGTGGAGAGAAAGATGATGATGGCGAGAGGCGAGAGACGAGCCTCGTAGAAGGGCGAATAGCCAGCACCATAAGCGAGGAAGCCGCGATAGTACGCGAATCCGCAGCCGGAGTAGAAGATACACCCAAAGCCTTCTAATAAGAAAACTGCGAAGAAGCTCCATATAGTATTATTTGAGACGCCTCTATTACTTCAATTACTATCTCAACTGAAGACATTCCTTCTTCCCATGATACGGTAGGTAGGTACGCTACAAATACTACATTTTCTAGGTGTCCCAAGCTGGGGAGACCGGAGATGCCCGAGTATGCTTTCAAAATGTACCAAGTAGCCACACTTTATCCGTACTGCCAACACTGCGATTTAGAGGGGTATGCCTTTATTCCAAGCTCGTCTCCTGCCAATAAATTGGAATGATAAGTAATGTGGAGAGAGCTGGCTAGGGAATTGGTAAACGGCCGAAACTCGTTGTTCTGATTCTGCCTACTCGCGAGTTCTCATAAGCGAACTGAATTAAGGGGGGGATGTCACGTGCATATACTCTTTTTATTTAGAGCTATCTTATTTTGTAACACTTTGGATTTAAAATGTAATGTGTATTCCTTTGAGACATATATATTCGAGGTCATAGAGCACACGAGGCGAGTTGAATCAGGTAAATTCGAGCTTAAAAATCAAACCGCTTCCCCCAACTCGGAGCCCCAGATAAGCGCGCGTCGCTTCAAAAAGAAAACTTCAAATAAACATGGCAACAAAAAAATAATAATAGCGAAAATGGCAAAAGACCAAGCCCCCCCGTAGGGCTAGGAGAAACCAGGCGAACTGATTTTAGTCGGTTTGGAATATCACAATGCTTCTACCGCATCCCCAGATGGACTATACCATCATTGCCTGTTTGTTTATTCAGTTTGTCGTCTGAATAGTTTATGTTCGTTGCGGAGATTACCACTGGACTACCAGGGCTGCATAATAGACGTAACGTCTTATTGTTGTCTATATACCTTGCGTCGCGTTTCCTTGCGCTCGTCTAAAACGAGGCTACCGCAAAAGGCGGTCGGGGACACAACTATGGCGCATTCTTGGGCGAATTTGGTGTAAATACTTTTGCTAGGAATATCGGGCACCTACGGCTATTACCTAGGTAGGTATATATATCTCCGATATCGAGTTTCTATATTATTTCTATACAATCTAGATAGTCGTCGTATAGTACTACACTCTATTATTCGAATATCTAGCCGGCCGCAAAGTAAAGCTATTTCTAGATCTCTATTAAGCCTTACCCGCCTACTGTAATATATCCTCTATATGTAACCGAAATTGAGATATTCAAGTAGCGCCAGTATCTTAATTTCAATTAGATATTTAGACAACTTGAATATCTCGATTTTAGACAGATATTTATATAACTTGAATACTTCAATTCTAGTGAGATATTCGTATAACTTGAATGTCTGAATTTCAGTCAGATATTTATATAACTTGAATANTGAGATATTCGTATAACTTGAATGTCTGAATTTCAGTCAGATATTTATATAACTTGAATACTTCAATTCTAGTGAGATATTCGTATAACTTGAATATTTGAATTTCAGTCAGATATTTATACAATATCGGATATGTGTGCTCCTTCATCATGATGCAATTTGTAGAATTTGGTTCACCTATATTAGGTTACGTGTGATTAAGTACAGTCCCATGTCATCCCCGTCTAGCAAACGCCATGCAACGTCATCATTATGACCTAACTCCATGAACCCATGTACACCTGCCCCTTTTGGCCGCCATATCCCGAGTTGTGCAAAGCGAGGTAATTACATGAGATTAGAAAGCGACTGTCGCTCAATACTGCTCTTCTGCTTATCATCCCTGCTAACCTTCCAATAAGTCTCACAGAAATCAGAGCAGTTCATCTCCCGCAAGAAATCCTCATCGTGAGTGATGATGATAAGTTGGAAGTTTGACTGATGTCGTCGTGCTTTGATGATGGAGTGCAAGGAATCTGCGAGAGCCTTGATGTTGTCTCGATCTAGATTCGTGGTTGGCTCATCGAGAGCAATGACCTGGAAATCATCGTAAGCAAATATAGCTGACACAAATACCATGATTGATACGTACTCCACAGTTGATGCCAAAGCATTCTGCAAGGGCTAGGCGAATAATGATGCTAGCTAACACCTTTTGACCGGCACTGCATCGACCGCGCATATCCATTTCGGTGTCTTCTTTCACCATGACCACACGGTAGTTATAGTTACGTTTGGCCTTTTCGTTTTCGTTCTCTGAGCGAATCATGATTCTGTCAACATCTGTACCCTGGTAGGTCCTCTGCCAGAGCTCGCCCGCAATCTGGTTGATCTCCTCCATCTTTAGACTATGGTATTTCATGATCGCGGCATCAAGAGCATGCCCATACTTTGCAAGATCATCGACGGCTGCTGTTGTGATCTCGACCTTGACGTGGGCTTCCCGATATTGTGGTCCTGCATCTTTGTACTCGGCTTCCCATTCCTGTAATAATCCTGCCAGCTCTTGGTCTTTGCTCTTTATTTCACCAACCATCGGCCCTCTGTCAGCGACCAAGTTCTGATAATTTCTCTCCGCATCGGTAGCTTCATACTCGAGTTGCTCGTAATCTTCGGTAACGTTGCGAGAGTTGAGTTCCGCAATTTCGTCCTGGATATCTTTCAAGTCCCGAAGATTTTTTCTATATCGCATATTCTCAACGATGCTCTTCCTGGTGCTCTCACTATCGTCTGCGCGTGCCTTCATCTCATTGGCACTCTTAGTAACGTGGGAAATTTCGGTCTCAATGCGCTTCTGCTCTTGCTCGAGATTGCTGATCGCGCGGTGACATGCTGCGAGCTTTCCAGCTCCGTCTTCTTCTTCGTACTTGCTGATGCTCTCTTCCACCACCTTGAACTTATGGACTGTCTTGGCCACGTTATCCTTCTCCGCCTGGACCTCCTTTTCATTGACTCGGCCACGCTTTTGGATGTCTTCGCGCTGAGCTCTGGCCTTCGAAATTCGTGGCGCCAGTGATTCGAGTTCGTCATCTGCACGCTGTATAGCATCACGAAGCTGCACGGTATTCTCACGAAGTTCTTCAATGGCGGAGGAAAGTGCCTGCTTCTTCTCAAGCTTGTACTGGGCTGAATTGAGCTTCTGAGAGAAATCCGCTTCTTCTCTCTCTAAGCTGTTGATAGTAGATCGTGCTTGTTCTTTATCAGCGATGAGCTTGTTGATTTTGTTATTTGCAGTCCGGATCTGCTCCTCGCAGGCCGTACTCTGCTGATCAAGCTCATCGGTAGACAGAAGACTACCAGATAATTTCTGCTGCGAAGAAAGTCGCGCAATATCATTCTCGTACTTAGAAATCTCGCTGTTATATTGGGTAATGGTAGTGACGGTTTTGCTGAGGTTGGTGACTTCCCTGGTTTTTGCCTCGGCATTAGAGACCAAGGTATCTTGTCTTTCGAGGTTTGCGACAAGTGAGGCCTTTTCGGATTCAAGCTTTTCAAGATTGTTCTCAATTGTCGGAAGTTCAGATGATAAGGTTTTGTAGGTTTCGTATTGCGAGCGGCATGCATCTGCTTTCCGATAATCTTCATCGTATACTCGAAGCTCCTCCTCGAGCTGGTCTTTCGCCTGCTTTGCGAGTAGCTTATTGATTCTTTCTAGTGCTGCTGACTGCTCCCTCCCATCTGCAAACTTTCTCTGGCAGAGCCTGCAGCTATTGCGCTGGTTTACAGTTTCCAGGCATGTCTTGTAATAATCGGTATAATAAACCATTCCATCAAGATCCTTCCGAGCTTGGTTGCGTTCCTTCTCTATGGCTTGTAGTTCGTTCGGATAATCATCGATGCTGGACAGCGGGTCTCCGTCAGCGGTAGTGATGGAGGCTAACACTGCGCTCATGCACCTCTGCATATCATTTTTCTTCTTCTTAATCTCACCGCGGCATGACTTAAGCTGGAACTCCACCCCGCTAAGATCCTTAGCCATCCCATCCTGTTGCTTTTTGGCATCCTCTACAGCTCGAGTACGTTGGTTCAGAGCATCTTGAAATTCGCGTTCAAGGCTCTCCACTCGCCAATCTGGCCCAACTATAGAAGCTAGTTGTTCCTGGTACGTCGCCTTCAAAGTATCAAGACGTGCTTGACGATCCTTTGCCTCCTTCTTGACAAGCTCCAGCTGTGCCTGGCCTTGGACAAGTTTGTTGCTCTGGATTAACTCACTCCGCAATCTTGCTGATTCATCTTGAAGCTGTCGTAGTTGATTTCGCTCGGTTTTAAGAAGATTATCCCAATCTGCGGCCTCATATTCAGATGTGAGCCGTTCTAGACGTTCTCGTGCTCCCTTCAGTGAGATCTCAAGTGCAGCTATCGCTCCTTCATCTACTGTAATCAAGCTCATGTCATTCTGCTTTGCATTTGACTTTTTGTCATTGCCAGCAATGGTTTGCCTAGCGTTGATTTTCTCTTGCGTTAGGGCCGTTCTTTGGCGCTCAAGATCTGTGATAACAGCCTGGGCTTGCTGGAGCTCGTCATCCATCGTCTTCCTGATGCGTTCCAGTTCACGATCCTTGTCTCTGGCCAATTTTTCTATTCGTCCGACAAACTCCCGGATCTGGCTGTCATCAAGGTCTCCATCATAACCCCGCATCGAGTGATGACGCGCAGCCTCTTTAACAAGTTGAACTCGCGATTGGACCTGTCTCTCATAGCTCTCTTTCTCGGCTTGCAGTTGACCCCTTTCCGCTTGCCTCTCGGACATTTGTCGCGTAGACGTCTTAGTTCCCTCTTTGAGTACGTTATATTGAACTCGGAGATTTTCCTCTTCCTCCTTATATTGAGCCATCCGCTCATCATATTGCGCCAGAGTTGACTCAAGCCACTCATCAGATTCCTGAAGCTCATTGAGATGTGACTTCAACTCGTTGACGTTTTCCCGTAGATATTCTGCCTGCAGGGATTTTTGCTTAAGTTCCTCAACAACCGTAAAAGCCTGAGCTGCCCTCATATGTCTGTCCTGTTTAACAGTCATCGCAACTTCTATGTCCTTGTCGAGGGCGTTGACCTTGTCTCTGACAAGATCGGTCTCGGCCGCAAGTGCCTTGCATTTTCTCTCCACTCGGTCGGCTTTGTCCTTGTTATCCTTGGCAGTCGTCTCCTGGTGTTTGAGTGACTTCAGTTTATCCATATGATCTTTCCTCAGAGCCTTGAGGTTGTCAATCGCCTTCGTGTATTTCATAGCCTCGAAGATTTCATCGAATTTCTTCTTCAGCACCGATGGCTCGCTCATAGGCCACAACGACTCGTCCTGATGGCAAAATATGACGGACTCTAGAATTGCCGCAGATACTCCGAGATATTTCGGGATAATGCCATCCATCTCTGCCATTCTAGTCGATAACGAGGTTCGTTCTCCATCTTTTATCATTAAAAGTGAGGCATCGAGCGACTTCATCGTCCTGGTGGTCTTCTTGACAGTAAGTTGTAGACTTCTCGTAACAACCAACTTTGACCCCCTGTGGTCCTTGAATTGAAGCTTGACTTGTGCCATGACCTCCTTTTCCCCTACGAGCTACCAAACTTGAGCGTAAACACCACGACGGAAGGGGGGAGGGGGGAGGGGACCAACCTTAGGCTCGTGTACAAAGGCCCCGCCCTTGCTGTTAGGGGGGAGTTGGCCGGTAGTGGCGTACTTGAGACATTCAATAATGGTCTAAAGGGGGTAGCGATTAGTAAGGTGTATAGCAAATAGCGTTACAGTAGGTGCCTTGCCGTCTTGCCAGAACCATTATACCCCACGATAAGGGTTAGTGGAGCGTGGAAATATATAGTTTCCCCATGGCCGTTATCAAACGACCGAATTCTGTGTATAGAGTTAGCTATACGCAGCTAAAACGTCTAGACTTGCCTACCCGGTGATCTTTAGCTTCTCTATTTGAGCTATTTTATGGAGTTAGCAGTGGAGACTAGGCTGGCAAAGCATATACACTTACACCTAGACGTTGGTTAGCCTTAATATATTGATCCCAAGAGTAGGCACTACTTACATCGTGATATACGCTTTTTGTGTGAAGAGTGCTCGGGTTGAAGTGAGGTTGACGCGCCCATTTGGAGATACGCGACGCCCCATCACGTGATCATCCAGCCATCAGCTTGGCGCTTATGGCGCACTATTAGAGCAAATCGGTGCATTCAAGAATTGAAGATTTACTCAACTTAATTGAATAATTTATGTTACTCAATCTATCTAATTAAGCAATTTGAGCAATTTCCCTACTTAACCTAATTAGATAATTTGCTACAAATACTCAACTTAATTGGGACACTTGAGCAATTTAAATTATTCAACTTAATGAAGTAATTTGGTTCTTGTCCCGGATTTTGGAGGCCTTGAAAATGATGGAACGAGTTGATTGATTCTAGTAATAGAGGTGGAGCAGAAGCCCTTGTTATATACAGGTAAAAGTGGGCTATATTTTGCTAGAGTGGGTATGCATCTGAAAACCCTGGTAAAACTCTGATATATCAGCATTGCCGATTCTCAACAGTTCTTGTCAAAGGGTAGAATACCTTAACTAGCATAGCAGACGAGGAAAAAGGCACGGTAGTCGAGGAAGGCACTGCACCACACGCTCTTAATTGAGAATATCAAGCAGCAGGGCGACAAGCTGAACACCTCTGCGTGGAGCTCTCTACGAACCCGGAGTAGAAGTCTTGTCGATAAGTGTCTCCTTTCCAGAGCCAAGATTCAGTAAGGTGTCTGTAGGAAGTTTTTTTGGCAGGAAGACGTGAGTTTCCTGTCTCCTTTAAATTTCTGTATGCTTCCTACGGCTACAGACGACTCGAAAGCTGCTCATATCTTGGCTTGACGCCGTTATTACAGTATCAAACAGCGAATTAGAGGCGTTAAGATTAGTTAATCCAGAGATAACCATCAACAACCACCATGGCATACTAGAAATATATTGCAATACCATAACCACATACTATATTTTGCTGTTTTGTTTTCCTATTGCAATATTAATACATACCGTAGTGTCGTTGCCAACACTATTATCCTTGCCGTCATTAATTTGGCGAATTTCTAGAGATTGTCACCTCCTGAGCTCAAAGTTCCCAGTTTCAGGGCTGAGGGACTATCTGGACTAAAGAGGAGCATGCGACATTCGCTGCTATCGTATGCTACTCATTTTTGAAGATTAACTGACGAGCCTTACCTAGAGAATAGATAGCGTAAATATCTTAATTTCGGTTAGATATTTTCACGACTTGAATATCTCAAATTCTAGTAAGATATTCATATAACTTGACCTCAATTCCAGTAAGATATTTATACGATATTAGATTTATATCTAGGTAATAGCCGTTAGGCTTTATAATACTGACGAAAAGAGGTTTACACCAAAGTCGCCCAAGAATGAGCCATACGCATAGCCTCTAAACGTACCCTGACCCGGTTTTTGAAGGGCACAACTTCGGGACGTTTTTCAGTATCATATTAGATCCGAAGCTCAGATGAGCCCGCCCAACTTGAATGTTGGCCAGAGACGATCTTACTCAGATCATTTCCCCTCAGCGACAGCGCTGTTCGGCGCTGGGACTGCCATACTTATAGTTTAAGACCCAACTAGATTTCAGCGGCTGGGACCAAATAGGAATTCGCTACCACAACCCCCCCATAATATAAGTCTCGATTGCACGGTTGTGAGATTTGAGGTGTTTTGTGAAACAAGGAGTAGTTGGAAGCTGGAGATACTTGAATGTAACATTCTATCTAGTCCCAAAACATAAACATGCTTGGGAAACTACTTTACTACGCCAGCTACACGCGTTACACGAAGAAACCTTGTTATCCAGTATTTCCTCAACCTTCCCGAAGTAGTCTTCCCAGGATCAAGTTGTAGTCCCGGTACGATTACCCGACTGATCAACTCGCCAAACTATTGCTATAGTAAAGCTACGAACCGTATCGAGGTACGTCCTCCATTTTCCCTTGCACCGAATTATTGCTATTTGTACTTCAATTTCGCGTTGAAGGGGCGCTAGTAAGAGCCGCCGCTATATATTTCTTACAAGTATCTAGCCTCTCCAGCTTCTCTTAAAGAAAAAACCCTTGATGGTATGAATCCGCTGACGAGCCCTATTGCCTGGAGTCGCTCCCGAGGGAGGGTGATGGCAAATCTCATCATACCAGATGTATGGCCGGGGTTGACGCCCTTTGTGGCTTCGCCTTCGCCTTCGCCTTCGATGATGATGATGAAATTTATTTGCGTCTGGCGGGCTGTAGGCGTAGCCTACAGTCCTGGAACCTCCCAGGGGGTATGGAGACGTGCTAATATATGGATTTAAATACAGAGTGCAGAACAATGAAGGACCAATTCAGAAAGCATTTCTTGCAGTTGCACCTGGCTGGTAGCCACTTAGGTGTGCCCTTTCGCGGCCAGTTGGGATGGGGACATTTGGGTGTGTGAGGGGGTAAGCCCCTCTGAGAGTGCCTGAAGGCAGTGTGTGATAGCCGGATGGCCTGTGTGTCTTGGGTGCTCGTTTTAGTGGCTTCGCCTTCAGCAAGCATTGTGGCATATTTCAGCAAGGCATCTCCACGATCATCCGGATTAGGTGCGTGTTCATCCCCACTGCCAGCTGCATCTCGGGTTGTATGTCCGTCGATGACGACTTTTTAGTTGACGTAGGGGCCCACGGTGAACACCTACTAGAAGGCTCTCCAACACTTGTTCCGATACCCCAAAGGTACCAAGAGCTTAGGGATCCAATTTGGACTAAACTTAGTTGGGAAGCTTGAGCAATTTGAATCATTCAATTTAATGAAGTGTTTTGGTTCTTGTCAAAGTGTATAATAGCTTGAGATGGTTCTAGAGCAAGCCATATTTTAGCCCAGCATCCAAGTAATTGTCGATAAGGCCGTCCGGTAAGGCTAGGGGTGGAGGGCAGGGCATAGTTTTGCAAAATGGTTCTTGTGTGAATTTTGAGAGTGTATAATTCCAATCCTCAGCCTGGAGAAGTACGGTTATTGTTGGTCCTGCGGGTTTCTTGCTTGGGGTTGGTGGTGGAGGGGCGGTCCAGTGGTATCGATATTGATATCTAGTATCTAGTATCTAGTATCGTTTTGTTAGTAATGGCTTTCATAATTGAGCGACGTCGACGCCGAATCATATTGCACTCTAAGAGTCACGACTTTTTCATTTCTTGACACCACACCAGAGCATTTGGATTGGCCATTAAGACATGCGGGACTCTTATTGCTTATTCTCAACTCTTGCTCTTGGTTGGCAGTAACCTCCCGTTGTTAGCGCAAAAAAGATAGCTACAAGCTTAGCAATATCTTCCTTATACATCTCCTTTCTCATCAAATTTAACAGCCCTACTTCCCAACTCAAAGACGCACCCCATCCCAGTCGTGCCTCTTCAAACCACGGTGGATAAGCGCCAGCCAACCCCCAGTCAATAAGCCAGACCTTTCCCGCATCATCAATTATCACATTACGCGGATTGAAATCCAAATGGCACATAACCAGCTTCCGAAACGTTCCCGAAAATGCCCCAGGAGGCAAATGCTTGGCGTGCCCGAAGTCGTGAGATACAAGCAAACGATTGTTGTACCAATCTTCGAGGTCCTTGGCGGATTGAAATGGTCCCGCTCCATACCCGGTGAAAAGGGAACTTTCAGAGATACCTCCCCCGACCGGGCCTGGAGTATTGAATTCGAGGGCCTGGAGTTGGCATATGTATCCGTAGAGTTGGGAGTGGATGTTTTGACGAGCTTTTTCATCAAGGTCGTCCCAAATATCAATCGCTAATTTTCCGGGTACAAACTCCATGACGATGTAGCATGTGTTTGACTCCTCTTCTTCAGTCGCATCGTCCACTTCCCATGCATCAATAACAGCTGGAAGAAGGATTTGGGTGTGCTTGGCAATATATTGCATATTTCTTGCTTCAAAGAGATGAATATGTCGCCCCCATTTCACTACCCCAGAGCTCGACACTCGAGCTATTGAGGCAGCTCCTTCACATAGTCTAAACTCTGGGGAAACTGGGATGCTTTTGATGATCTCGTCGCGAGTAACTGATGCTAGATCTCGGCCTTCGAGAGGGAACTTATCAGCCGCGATTGTTGAGCCCATGGCTATAGACTGTTCGAGGAAATCTTCGGGTTGACGGGAAGGCGATGTGGCCAAGGCGGAGGTTTTACCTCAAAGAGAGACCACAAAGACCGCCCGGGGAAGTAGCCGCAGCCGCGAGGCCGCTGGCGCCACGGAGTATCGTACTACCGTTTCAGCGTGTCCGTATCAGCGGCTTCCATCGGCTACCTCATCACCCCACTGGTCATTCTTATCTAATTTAAGCGCCGTCGTCAAATCACACCTCTAATGCCCAGGGGATGCTTCATAAGCGGCTCCGGGGAATTCTTCAACATCTTCATCACCAACATTATCACCTACATCCTTCCCCCGACCGGCAATCGATTCGATACAATCGTCAGCACTAAGGCGAACAAGCCTGTGTTGCCGCGCGGATATCGTCGTCTTCCGACCCGTGTGTTGCTTTTGTCAAAATTCTGGACAGGGCGCCCGCCCCAATCCCACCTTGGTGGGCCATATTTGGGTTTGATTTCACCCAGTAATGACACTACAGGGAAGTTTAGATTGTTTTCTGAGATAAATGAGGATTTTACACGTGGATGGCCACTCTTCTTAAGCATTTAATAGGGTACCAGTTTGTCAATGCGAAACAAGTCGGCAACATGGTCTCGATTCAAGACTAAATCTATTTTAATCTGAAGATTGCTGATTATTGGAGTCGAAAGCATCCTATACCTATTATTATCATTGTTACCTTGTGGCAAGTGCTATAAAGCATCGCAGTCCCTTCTGTCAACCCATTCTCAGGATCATTAAAACTTCAACTCTACTATCAGTCTATCCATTGAAACACTGTATTTACACTACATTTTTAAGGGCTCTATCACACAAATCCTTCATTCACTCAAATCCCAATTCCCTACATCTATATATATCATTCCTACGCTTAATATGCCTCTCATCTATATCCCCAAGCCTCTCGCCAACACCGCCCCCTCTCAAGTCATCACTGCCATTTACTTCTGCGCCTATGCTCCTACTGGAGTTTCCGGCCCTGCAGAGTCAAGCCCCTCCTCCAGTGCTAAATTGACGAATCACTGGGTTATTTACTTTGCCATATCCTCTACGCATTCGATTCGGTTCGATCCGAGTCCAACTGGCCAAAACAGTTCATTAGATCTCATCATCACTTCCAAGCACTACGCCTTTACCGAGAATGCTGCGAAGGTCTCTCACCTCACACCTGCTGCGGGCCTCACTGTTGGGCAAGTGATTGACCACATCGTCAATTCCAAGTACGACCAGTACCAATTTAGCTTCAGCGGACAGGGCTGTAGGTACTGGGTATACTCTATTGCGACCTTGTTACGCTCTGCCGGGTACCTAACGAGTGATGCGGAGGTTGATGCGGCAGCTCGTACTCTGCAGGTTGTGTGGACTACTAGAGGAGAGCCTGTCGCTGATGTTCAACAGACGGGTATGACTCAGGGAATTTTTTATTAAGTGTTTATGGTTCTTACCACCAGGTGACTGTTTGAAGAATCGTCGAAGTCTTGTTTGGTGAAGGAGAGGACTTGGATGTTATTATCGAGGCTATGTGAGATTGCGATCGATTTGGATCAAGTTTTGTTTGTATCTACTCTGTTCACTGTTTTTTCATGTCGAGGTAGACTTTGGATTAACGGATGTTACTCTCCATGGGTATTCTCTAATAAAAAAGAAATTCACTGCCTGTTCAACATCAAGCCTAGTTGCATTTTGAATTTTGTTTAATTTTACATTGATTGATTCATACTCATTGTATTACCAGAAGCTACGGCCCTGCTGGCTCTGGAAAGAAATTGCCAGATCAATTCCTCGAAGCCTTCAACAAGTGCGTCCAAACCTATATGAAGAAAGACGAGGGCAACCGACCTTCAACCAGGTTCTCGACAAGCTGAACTGGACCTGCCTCCTAGCTAAGTTAACCATCGTAGAAGACATTACCCTTATCAAGAATGCAGTCAACCGTATTACTTAGCCCTTGGGCCCGGGCCCCTACCTAGACAGAGCAGGTCAAATCCGGAGGGCCGCACCTATTACAACATCTGCTAGCAGCAAGGAGCAAGAGATTATTATAAAGCTTGATGTCGCAGAAGGCAAGCTCCTCCCATACAAATCATAGTGGTATAGGCTGATTTGGCACATAGGAATATAGGGAACTGAGGCGCGTAGTCCCGGTGCAATCTAGGCCCAACTGATCAACTCGCGACACCACTGTTATAGAAATGGAGCGTTCGTTGGGAGCAGGTGTGTATTCGTACAAGTATCCAACTTGAGCAGCTAGGTGGTTCCCGAGCATGCCATAGTGGGGGCACCGTACTGTTGCGATGGCATCTTCAAACCACAGGACGCATGGTTTTTCTTTTTGTCTTGCAACAGACCGGAAACGTGCGAATGCAATCACAGCAATAAAGTCCGCTATGCCGAGCAAAGCAGGCAGTATTCCGGCCTGCTAAGGATGTATAACTGGCTATGACGGTGTTACGCCTGTCTGATGGGGTTTCTATATCGCTGGACTTTGTCCCTCTTTTGTGTGGGAATTTGGATAACCGTGGCATGTAAGCTTGATTCTCGGATTAAGGCTGGGCCTCCCGGGGGATAATATTATATTTCGCTCATTATACAAAAACATATGCCGATTACTACAAGTAAAAGACATAAGTAGTACTAAGGTGGCCCGAGGAAATATAAGAACTGATGGCTATGGAAGCTTTCAAGTTGTTAAAACGTAAGGGCAACAACGAATGGGCCTTGCAGAGCGGATGCAAATTTGCCAGTAAAACTTCAACGAGATGTCCACTGCGTAGTCCTTGTTTCGCGCCTCGAAAACATGCACAGGCACTGTAGCCGTTCCGATCCCGATCTCGATCTCGGTCTCAATTCCTTTCGGCGGAGTCTGCGGCGCCGCGAGCACAAAACAACCACGAGGGGCCTTGGGGCGGCGGCAGCGGCAGCTGGTTTCCTGCCAGCAAGTTCCGTCACCGCGTCAGTCAGGCGTTCCTGTCCTTCGACCAAGGAGGCCAGTGTGGCCTCTTGGGCCAACTTGGTGGGCGGTGGCAGGAGCCTTGGCCTTGGGGGGTGGCAGGGCGGCTCCCTACCTCCGTAGTAGGGAGGTTGGCCTCGCGGCGGTGGCGACGTTCGGCGATTCGGCCCTCAGGCCACACGAGGGCCCAATGGTCCACAAAGGTAGTACAACCGACATGATATCCGGCTCTGGCCAGACAAACGCCCAAACGTCGAGAAATGTAGTTAAAAGCGGCAACAAGTTTGCCGCCGCAAGCGCGACCGAAGCGATATCCTGGTGTGGCCAGCCAGGCATGTCGAGGGCAGCAGGACGAGGATGGCGACGGCGTTCCGCCACTCGGCCCTCAGGCCACACCAGAGCCCAGAGATCCACAAGTGCTGGTATAACTGGCAACAAATTAGCCGCTGTAAGCGCGACCGAGGTGATATCCTCGTGCGACCACATAGGTGTTATATAGGCAAGTTGGTTACATCGAGGAGGTCGGCGAGGCGGCGGTGATAATTAAAAGAAAAGAGAAAAGAACGCGTAGAAGGGGGGACGGGAAGAATATAAGAGGGGGGGAGGGGGAGAGGGGAAGCCGCATCGTGGTGAGGGCAGAGAGGGAAGGCACGCCAGATACGGAAACCACGATCCTCGTACATGGAGAATATCAAGCAGCAGCAGCAGGGAGACAAGGCTGATTGTCATCCAATATCTCACTATAGTTGAGAGATTCTCCAAACTATCTTCACCTTGCCATAGCTCTTGCCGTAGTGTGTAATGTATTTGATAACATTGGGCGGTGGCGGTATCTTATTTTTCAAGAACAGATCGAGAGTATTCATGATATCCTTCAGATTCAGGCCGGTCGAGACCGCCGCGTACAGACTATGGGTCGTGAGCCTGTATTGGTGCAATAATGCTGGCCGTGATATTGGCTCAGCAATCGTAACCAGGAAGTCCTGCACCCAAAACGCCAGCAGGTGGAAGCTTTCAAGAGAGTGAGATTTCCCCAACCATCAATCCATAGCGGCCGATTGTGATGGTCAGGCTTTAGCGGTAGGGCAGTAAAGTCTCGCTTCTGCTCAGGCTGGAAGTACCTCGAGGCAGTGTCTGTGACGCCAGGCGAAAGTTATGGGAAAGCACTGATATCAAATTTCTGGACGTTCCGAGTGATCACCTTGTTGAGTTCGTCGGGTACTTCGCTCGACTCGTAAGAGTCGTCACTATCAACGTTGCGCGGCAACATTGGCCCTGGAGTTACGAGCCTGGAGGCTCTGCATGCCTTGGTGGCGCCCTGGACAGCGGAGGTCGTCTCCCGCTTTGAAGACATCGTGAATGCCAGTGGGTTTCTTCAGGAAATGGTTTGCGCAATGCGATGGACGATATTTCGAGGATAGACAAGGACATGAGAGGTTGATGAGTGGTCCTGGAAACGTTGTATAGAGAAGTAATCGTGAGGCTGCCAGTGGAGGGTTGTTGGTCGTGGAAGTGTGATTCCGGCCTAAGAACTCCCGAACTAGTGTATCTAACTCGTTGTGCTCTATTGCAAGGGCTCGATATTTCCTCTATTGCAGGGTTAGCCGTGATTATGCTTATTCTACCGTTTTCATACCTTGCCGTTGGTTGAGGAATGCTAGTCCATCTCTTCTTTGTTCATCACCCACACGCGTTTCTTTTCCAAGTGCGGCGATAAGATTTACCATTTATCGGGCGTCAAAGAATTCACCCCCAAGAAACTGAGAAGTTTCTGAAGTTGGTTTTGCGACGTGATACCTCTCCCGAGGCTCCCTCGACATGGCCGAACAACCACATAACAAGAAGAAACCAAGTATGAAGCCGACTCCGAATGTCGGAAACACCAGGATAAGATGGTGGAGATCCCCTAGCCAACAACCGCCAGCCCTGAAGCGCTCTGCAGAAGAGGATGTAGATGATAGCGACGAGGGGCCGTTTGTTTGGACCCGCGCCGAGCGGGAAAGGCGAAAAGCCAAAGAAAAGATTCGCAAATTGAACTCCCCAGAGGGCATTCCTAAAAAGGGCTCCAAGTCAGCGAGGCGGGGAGTATCGCCAGTAAATCTCGGCGATATCCTGGCTTTTTTGGTAAGTACATCCATGGGATGTGCTACTAAGCCTTGCTCTTGATCGGGACGCGGAAGACTGTAGTAGGAAGCTAATTCCGATATCGTAGGCAGAGAATGAACCAAACCCCGCCAACAGACCGCCCTCCAGCACACCATTCTCCAACAACCCGGCCTCCAACAAATCGTCTCCGAACGTCTCGATTTCACAAGCATCGAGGATGACCGGTCGAAAAAGGCTACGAGGAGAGGTTCCGGGTTTGGTTGAGGATACCCGGAGCTCAAAAAAGTACAAGCCATCGAAGAGTAAAGAGTATGAAATTGCGAAGCCGAAGCGGTTAACTTATGACTCCCTGTCTGAGGAGGACATGCCAGATGAGTGGTTTCGTAAGAGATTCGATAGGCTCTATAAGCGTACCCTCGAGGTCGTCGAGGAGCACTTCATAGTCCCAAGTTTTGAGGAAACGGAGCTAAGGGATGTGAAAGTTGGTCCTGAGTTCATCTTCTGGGCAGAGAAAGTTGCCGAGGCGGATCCTAACAGCGGGGGTTGGCAGAAACTTTTTCAAAACCCAACGCAGAGGAAATACTTGATTGCTGCAATCTTGGTGTTGATTTTCAAGATAAAGATATTTGATGTGTACTTGTGGGGCTCGAGTGATCCCCAGCATCAGTTGTTGCATAATATTGACAGATCGTTTTTCACTCATGACGGTATGTATTGACATACCAAATGGACACTATCAATAGCGAAACTTAGAACCGCTCCCAGCTAACATATCCACAGGGTTCTTCCGCACAGCTATGCGTTCAGACGCCGTCCGCAATATCGTTGGGGGAGGCCCAGTAACAGTTGGGTTCTACGAGGAGGTAGCGAAGCTCACGGCGCAGACCTTCGCCCTGCTAAAACCCCTAACCAACCACCTTCACCCACCAAGGGAAGTGGATATCACACTTATCGAAGCCCAATTTCAAGCCATCCATGATCTTATCTCCGACACAGCCTATCTCTCAATCCGCATCCGCATGTCCCCCACAATTTTCTTTTGGGTCAATGCCACTCCCGGGACACGGTACAATCAAGACGACCACGTTAATGTCGACATGGGCTCCTGGAGAGATAGCAAGCAAGCAGTAAGGGTCGACTATGAAAATCGCCAGCGCACCCACGTCGCCCAGAAAAACGCCGCTCGAAAAGAATATCAAGAACGCCAAAGCGAAGCAGCGCGAGAGCGACTCGTCCAGATTGAAAAACAGGAACCTTTAGACCCATCATTCGACCACGTAGCCATGGTCAAGATAGGAGTCTGGCCCTCGATCAGGAGATTCAAGCCGGGCACCGAGGCTGATGACCAGAAAGCCCTCAGGACGAAAGTCCCGCTGGGAGGGATGCGCGGATCTAGGGAGCATGAGATTTGCAAGGCGTCTATTGTGTGTTATTATGGGAAGTCGACGGAAACAAATAGTGGGCGGGAGGGGTTGGACGCGTTTATCAAGAGGAAGTGGGGGGCCAAGGGACTGCTGAAGTTGAATGTGCGTCATGAGTTGCAGGAGGTGATTGCGACGGCGGCAGCTGCGATGGTAGGCGGGGCTTTGTACACTCTGAGCCAAAGGAAGTGGTAGGATTTGCGGTTTGGGTTTGTGGTGTGGATTTCTGGGCGATCTGTGATGCCAATGTCAACAGATGTATAGTGTTTTGGTGTTGAATTTGACCTTACCACTTAGTGTTACATTCCAAGATCCATATGTAGGGGATGTTTTCTCTCTTGCTAGCTGAATTCATAACATATGCCATTCATCCTTCAGGTGCTGATGTTTATTCTAGCTGGGTATATAAACTCACTCCTTCCCTAGGTAATAGATAATGCCGGACCTCTGTCCTGCTGCAGATCGAAAAGCTTCCTACTCGTAAGCCCCGTAAGAAATTGTTGCCAAAATTGGCTCGACCGTCAGCTATTCCCAGTGCTAGAACCCGGTGGTTGTGCTGGGCTTGGCTGGTTCGAGTTTGGCTTCTTCTTCTCCTTCTTGGCCCAACGAAGACCGCACGCATTACACAGTGTCTTAGGTCCACTTGGGCCCTTCCGCCATTCGGGGGATTCGAGCGTACCTGCATTGACGTGTCAGATACCAAACCGAGATCAAATTGAACAGAGTAGAACTTCACATACCACAGTCCGTACAAACATATTCTTCGGGTAACTTAATCTTCTTCCTCCTCTCGCTCGCTCTGGATTCCTTATCAACTGCAATAGTGATTCCCGCATCCCCTTTGATCAGTGCCGGGCTTTGATCTCCGGTGCTAATTCCTTGACTTCTTTCGCCTTCTTGGTATTTCAACCCAGTCAGCATCTCGATGGTCTCCGTGTGGCTTGCGCCTTCATAACGAGCCATCTTGTCGTTTATGGAATCTGGCTTGCTATTCGCATTTACGTCTTCGAGGTTCTGCCGAGTCAGCGCAACGTTCAATCCTGTTGGTTTTGCAGGAGGAGGCATTGCCATAACGTCAGGATTTGATGGATTTGGTGTATTTGCTGCTACTGATGTTGTAGCAGAGGCTCCTCCCACCGTATCGGTGCCCTCTGACACGGCATCCGATTGAGACTCTTGTCTTTTGAGACCCTTACGTTGAGGACCGTCCGTCTCTTCTGCCTCCTCCTTCTTCAGCGCCTCGATACGCTTCTTTAAACGGACATTTTCAATCTTATGTTCAAGAAACGAGTCGAGAAGCGCAGCGTTCTTGGTAGGATATGGCCGCGCCATCATGAAAACCCCTCTACAAAATCCTGCCGCATTATTTGGCCCGAAAGCCGCCGCCTCGGAAGTAAGATGGGGGTGGCCGTGCGATTCAAATATGGTATACGAGCCGTCCTTCATTCGAAAACGGTAGAAAAATCGGAGAGGGTTCCCACTAGCGATCGACTCGTTGAATTCTCGCACAAATATCCCACTGTCGTCTGCATGTATGAAGTCTACAATGAACTTGCCCACCAATTCTTCGGGAAGATAGCCGGTCAAACGATTACAGCTTGGGGACAGGTAGATTATTCGACCATCCGGCGTAAGGATATGCAAGAGGTCCTTCAACTCCTCTACCACAAGTTGCGACCAGTTTCTCCTCTTTGTAAACTCTGTGAGCGTACTCTCCCTAGCAGCTGCAGATTGCGTTTGAAAAGCAGCGAGTATTGGCCTAGCACCAACACCGGCAATTTTCCTTTCCACTGGGCTGGACACTGGGCTCTCCTTATTATCGGAATTTTCCATATCGCCAGGCAGCTCAAAATCGTTCTGCGACATCGCGTTATCCGTTGGGGTATAGGAAGTAAGCCCGGGGGCACTGTCGAGGCAATCCACATCCAGGACCATCGGCATGTTGTCCAAATCTGCAAGCAAGCCATCTTCTAGCATTCCCGTCATAGAAGAGTCGTGTTCATTACCAGGCTCCTACATAAAGTTACTATATGAGCATGGCGATCAGGGGATATACTCGGTGACGTACATGGAGGCTGTCCATGCTTGTGTAATACCTGGAAGCTGGGTCCATTCCCATATTATTCATGTCCATTGGTGAGGGACCCTGTGGCATACTGGCTCTAGTAGGCCAGGCCAAAACGATATAACATCGCAGGAGACCAGCTCATCTGAGTGTTGCCCGCCGAGTAGGAAAGTGATTACATGTACGGATTGTTGTAGCACGAATGGCAATCGCAGCTCAACTGTCAGAATACGGGTTAGTGTTGCCAAGTCAAGCTTGGCGCCAGCACGGCCAATAAAAGAGATCTCCATTGCTTGTTTAAATCACAGATACATATAACTTTCACTTATGCGAATTTACACTCTAGTTGTTACATCGTCTTTGCAATTCTTAGCGTTCAAGTTACTTGTTTAGGATTCTTCAGCCCTGTTCCATTTCCATTTCTATCTGTCATGATATCCAGCACAGCTTCAAAGCTGGCTCCGAGCAATGACATACACGGCATTGCTATCTTTTTCGCTGGCCATTTCATCAGATATCAACATAATCGTCATCAACATCCTCCCAATATAAGCACTACTGTCTGTATATGTCACGCCGGTCTGTCTACACCCTGTCCGCCTGTCGTCATGTAAAACCCGGGCATTATCTTCACAACATTCATACAGTATCCATAGGGCTGGCTCCGTATGAGTCAGACGGCGTGCCAATACTCTCTATCACTAGCGCACTTAAGCTTTGAGGCTCGTCGGGTGTATATAGCATTTGGTGCATCTCCGAGAAGATTGAGGATTGAAGACGAACTATCTGGCGGATTTGACCTTCGATGCCGTACTCGAGTATATGAACTACTACCGAGATGAATCCAGTTAACAATCAGCCGTACCACCTTCCAGTCGGCGCTATCTGGTTGAGTAAGTACCTCTATGAGCTCATGCACCTAATGGATACAATGGCAAACTGACTCTACCGTTGTATAGTTACCGGATGCTCGAGCGGCATTGGTCGTGAGATTGCCCAGTTTGTCGCAACCAAGCCAAACCAGCGTCTCATTGCGACCGCGCGGGATCCATCTAGTCTTTCATACCTTCCTGACAATGACCCCAACATCCTCAAGCTTCCGTTAGATGTCACCTCTACTGCCTCGGTCAGCAATGCCTTCAAGGCGGCAGCTGCACACTTTGGAGAGACCTATCACATCGACGTTGTTGTCAACAACGCCGGATATTCCCTCTCGGGGGATACCGAATCTGCAACTGACGAGGAAGCGCATCAGGAGATCGAAACCCTGTTTTTCGGTACGGCGCGTGTTACTATGCAGGCCGTCAAGGTTATGCGCCAGGAGAAGGATCATCGTGGTGGCTTGATTTTTAACATCTCCTCTTTGGCCGGAGTATGTGCCTTCCCTGGCCATGCGTACTATCACGCGGGCAAATTCGCCATAGAAGGCTGGACGGAGTCTGTTGCCCGAGAAATGCATCCGGATTGGAACAGTGAGCCTATTCTTTCTTCTGGCGGTCTATTTTATAGATACCATTGTTAACCAGCACTTCTAGTCAACTTCTGCATTGTCGAGCCAAGCGGCGTCAAGACTCAATTTGAACATGGCAGCAAGAAATACATGGAACCTCATGAAGCCTATGCAGCTGATGACATGCCGGCTCGAAAGTTGGAGGCTTGGGTTGGAAAAGGTCTCAAGTCTGGTGCTGGCATCGAACCGGTTGCTATCGCCGAAGCTCTGTTCAACGTTGCCAGTCGAGACGAAAAAGTTCCGCTTCACCTGCCTCTTGGTTCCACTGCTTACAAGCTGATTAAGTCCAAGTTGGAGAAACGGCTTGAGGATTTAGAGACTTTCAAAGAGCTGGGTGCCATAGGTTAGTAGGCTTGAGCGTGACAGCCTATCATTGGATACCCTTGTTGGTAGAATAACAGAGCATTGGGACTATCTACCACTACGCTGTAACGCCATACCTATATGTCCATCCCTTTACTATGTTTATATGCCCTCAATATCGTCCGTCGGACCTGCAGCCACAGTGTCACTGCATTCCAATCATACCATTCAAGCCAATCCATAAGTTAACTGCACGCTACGATCGTGAGCACAAGGAACCTTTCGCAGTGTAGTTCTCTGTGTAAAGCTCATATGCATTTTATTCTACAACTATTCTACAAAACCTCCAATCCGCGCATCAAGTACCCTGTGAGGTGGGTGGATTGGACAATCTGTACAAGTATCCTGTCTGCCCGTATAGACTCGTGCCAGGCACAGTTATATGTTTAGGGTCTCCTAGGTGCTAGATTTAGTCAATTCTAGTGCAGAGCTCTCTTAAACCCTCCCATGCCCTACGGAATGCCCTACAACCCTCTCTAGTCACGAATATTCCGGGGTATGCTTCGTACGGAGTACTAAGTTACTACTAACGGCTCTGCCCTTGACTAACGTCTCGGCCCTACAGTACGTAGTACCCGGTGGGCTACTATCTATACCCTAACCACTACTACACATTGGCTACGAGGCTACGATAGATAATAGATGATATATTCTCATATCCCTGCTTGTTACTTCTTCCAACTCTGCAAACCTTCCCTGTAAGATTACTCTGAAATTCTGAATACTCCCTACAATCCTACGATAGGTTCTCCTGTTCCTATTACTTCTACTTCCTCCCACTCTACAAATCTTTCGAGTACGGCCACTCCGAGTACCCTCTACGAGCTTCGATACTCTTGAGTCAGGGTTAGTTTCTCCCGTTCCTGTTTGTTACTGCTTCAAGCTCCAAGTAACTCTTTTGGCATTATTAGTGGCGACTGCCTTGGCTATATCTACCGTATACCGTGTTGTCTATATAGGTATATACAGAATCTACAACCCCTACGGGTACTGATCAGTCTGGATATTGGCCTTCCCAAATGGGTTTCTTCAAATCAGTCCGTTACCGACTTGGCATGTCGCGCCCCCAGCCTCAACCCATCGCCCTCAAATCATCACAAGCGCTCCACAAGCTTCCATCCGACCTCATAATCTACCTTGCTCGCTTCCTACCGCCCGAATCAGCCGTGTCATTGGCTCTCTGTTGTCGACCCCTCTATTTCACACTTGGGACGCAATACTTCAGAGCCCTAGAAGAGGACAATCAGCGAGGTCGCCGTAGGTTCTTGACGTTGCTAGAACGAGAACTGCCCGATTATGTTTTATGCTATTATTGCAAGACGCTTCATGGAATCCATAACGCTGATCGACACACCCGCTCTACTGCATCATGTTATCACAGCGAGCGCCCCATGGAGTGCTGGAAGGCTGACGGGGATTGTATGGTCCATTACTACATGCATCGCAGCTTCTCCTTTACCATTTTCCAGATGGCGATGAAAGCTTACCGCCAAGGTCTCGATTACTCCAAGCTTTTGACCCTGTTGTCTTATAAAACTGAGACCAATTTCAAGCTTGGATACGCTGAGCAGCGGACAGGTTTGGCACGAATCGTGGCTGGCTCCCTCCTTTTTCGCCAGCAAATAATATCCATGATAGCGCCGACCTGGCCAACTTCAGGTTCATGGCGCGCGCATTCCAGCCCCTGTCCTCATATATCCCATTTCTCGTTAGATAGGTGGTGTCTACCTAGATCGCCCATCAGAATAACGTATTACGCCGGACGAAAGAGTCTTCGGAACTGGGAAGAGATTATACAATGCAAATACTGCCTGACCGAATTCCGGATCGATCTTAAACAATTCGGAGATCATGGTAAAGCAGTATTCCTTACCAAGTGGCAGGACCTGGGCCAAGGTCGGTCGCCCCTGGATCATAAATGGAGTAGTCATGTTGTTGCACCGCCTACAGGTCGGGAGTGGCGCCCAGTCAAATTTGATCGAGGCTCTATCTGTGCTAGGTTGAGGGGGACGAGCCGTCCCAGTTTGAATTTGATAGACTTTTAACACAACAAGATAAAGAGGCGTTGTTTGGGAAGAGCACTTGTGCCCAGCAGGAAGATCATCGGGTTGTTGGGTTTAGTGCGCCTGTGGCATACGTCTATACTAATACAGGTAAATATATTTACCACTAAAGGGTCGAACTCTCTATTCTTTTCTTTATAGCTTAATATCTTTATCCTTTTGGTTATAGTTGAATAAAATATCATTTAGAGTATATAACTATACTTTGCTGGTCTATTGCCAGTGACTCTATTCTAACTCCCCAAAGGCGTTAAGGTATAATAGGAACAGTAAGCTTAAGTCGACTTACCAGAAGTAGCTTTAATGTCTCTTGTATTTACTTGCTGATATTATTAATATGCTATCCCATACATTTAAATATCTATTTACTATCAAAGCTTCGACCTCCCCTCCCCCTCCTTATTCCTAACATCCACCGCCCCCCACCAAGGCCAAACACTCGGCGCATCCCTCCCCATATCCCCTTCAAACCTAGGATCCCTCTTCTCCAAAAAGCTCTCCACGCCCTCCTTCTTATCCGCGCCCTCAAAAACCTCCTTCAGCACTTTACTATCAAGCAAATGCGCCTCCTCCGCCGACCCAGGACCCCTCCACATCAGATCCAGCATCAGCGCCGTACTAACCGTACTAGTATTCGCCGCTACATCCGCCGCAATCTCCAGCGCCCTATCCAGCACGCTCCCCTGGGCCACAACCTCCGAGAACAGCGAGGATAGTAGTGGGGATGTAGAGGGGTACACGGAACCCGTAGTAACGAGATGCATAGCACGACTAAGCCCAATGAGCCGGGGCAGGAAATACGACGAAGCGGCCTCCATGACGATGCCCCTGCGGGCGAACACGAAGCCGATTTTGGCGCTGGAGCTCACCACGCGGATGGACATCGGCAGCGTCATGGTGATGCCGACGCCCACGGCGCTGCCGTTGATAGCGGCTATCACGGGCTTGGAGCAGCGGTGGATGGCGAGCGTCACGCGGCCGCCTGTGTCTCTATGGTTGCGTCGGGCGTTGTTGATATCTGCTGTGCTTGAGGGGGATGAGGGTGAGCTTGACGATAGGTCGCTGGAGGCTTCGAGGTCGGCGCCTGCGCAGAATATCCTGCCGTGGCCGGTGACGACTATGGTTTTCACGCGGGGGTCGAGCGAGAGGGTTGTGAATGCGGTTTCGAGCTCGATGGCCATGGTTTCGGTGAAGGCATTGTGTTTTCCGGGACGGTAGAGCGTGATTAGTATTACTGGCGTGGGCGTTGGGGAGGTCGCTGGGACGTGGGAGATTCGGATGTGTTGGAGGGGGAGGGAGCTGTAGGATTCTGGGAGGGAGGGCATTGTTGTGGTTGTGGATTTGAATTGGGAGTGACCAAGGTAGGGGAGGAGATACGAGCTATTGGGCTTATTACTTAGCAGCAGCCTTTGGATGTTTAGACATATAGAGGTAGGTAGAAAGAGTGACCAAAGGAACAACCCGGAAGTGCAAGCTCCAAACGCAGAACAGCTCTATCTTTAACTTGAAGCTATCCATCCCCACTACAGGGATATAAATATCAATAAACCTGGAGAAACCCGCCAAGCAAAGCGGGGTCCCGAGGCCTGGGAGCCGGAGCCGAAAGTGGATTTTGCAATTGGAAGTTCTCAATTCTCAGCACATAGAAGGGGGAGTGCAATAATATAGCATTAGAAAGAAGAGTTGATTGAACAAGTCAAACTAATGGCAGACTGTTTTTTTTAGATTCTAAAACAAAAACATTATGGCCGAGTAATCGCTCTCGTTCCAGTGTAAGATTGGATTCAATGCTTCTCTCGTTCGTACAAATGAAAAGCTTCAGACACCTCGAACTCCTCCAAAATATAGCAGGTCGCCTTACGCCCCGGGTATGAAGAGCCTGCCTGTCTTGATTTGCCACGCTGGCCAAGACATATATGAGCACGCACCAGAAAAAAAAAGAAAAAGTCGTCGTTGTCGTTAGTTCAGTATACGAAGTATATGCCATCCATTGTACAGCTTGTCCTATTTCAAACCCCTTTTTAATGCACCATATATCCGATATCCACAAAATGCTTAGTCGATCGTCATCCGGCTCGATACTGGTACATGGCCTGACTTGAGATCGGGCAGTTCTGTCATATGACCTAGTTTCTCCGGCTCAGCATCGCCGATCTTGCGCTTCATAACATGTTGCTTCAGGCCCTTGTTGAAGTTGAGCATACATGCTGTACCATTGGTGATTGTAAGGACAATAAGAACGATGGTGATGACCGCGAAACTGGTGAGATTCTTCCGGACGGGAAGGTAAAATGCCTTATGGCTCTCCTGGTACATCCGAGCGAGCTTGAAGATGAAGTATGCCAGCCCACAGATGTACAGGACCATTATCGCAACCATGCCGAATACGTTCTCGCGCCGCGTCCAGAAAGCAGCCATGAAGAGGATGAGGACCGTGATGGGAATGGCGGCAATTGTGAGTCCCAGTTCGGCGTCTGTCTTGCCGGTGACGATGACAAGGAACTGCACTGTAAATCCCAAGAAGAAGAAGAAATCAAATTTTAGTAGCGCAATGTAAATCTACCAGGTAGTTAGTACTGGGACCCCGTAATTCGGAAGTTGATATCTTACCTGGAAGGTGAGGAATCTCCGCTTCATTCGCAAGTCCGCACTGATATGCTTGTAGATGGTCCACGCGAACTCATCGTACAGCTTCCAAGCGATGACCGACATCGCAATCGTGAAGAAGGCGATGATGCACGGTACTGCCAGAAGGAACGGCTTGATGTTGCTCCATACAGGGTTGTCGGCCATAATGTAAGGAGGGCTGTTATTCGACAGACCCGAAATGGCCCTATTGATTTGATCATATTGAATCGAGGCGTAGATCAGCATTCCGACATTGTATATACAAAGCCCGATGACTTGAATGGTATTCTTGAGTCGCAGCGAATCGTAAACCAACACCAATTGGTAAAGGAAACCGAAAATGAAGAGCGTCAGGTATGTTGGGATGGTCTTGACGAGGGGAATCGTTGGGAGGCCAGTCATTAGACTCTCCTGGAATTTTGCAAAGATATATCTAACATCAATTGTCAGCAGGTGGGTCATGGATGAGGAGGGCTTCGATGGCGGTACGTACGCTTCAATGGCCAGCACGATACCGGCTTGGATGATCGTCGTGATCATGAAGGCCCACGTCCATGTTGTATTAGGTCTGCCGAATATCAGGTTAGACACCGTGTGATCCATCTCATCTCATCTTCATCCGGTCAACCTACTTGTACATTTTTCTCCGTCGCGGACCTGCAGCTGCGGATGGCGGATCGATTCCCTGTCTATTATAGTAGCCTCCTAATTGATACTCATCAGCGTCTGGTAGGAGACTATGACGAGAATCCAGGCGGTAAGCCACGATGGCGATATATGGAGCTCCTCGACGGAGCTACGAGCGGCACTGGTTCACTGCGTTGAGTGCGAGGCGGCTGGTCGGAATGGTGGCGGGCGACAATGTATAATACCCAACTTTTGGAGCAACCAGGAAAGGCGGTCTCCTGTTGATGGCCTTCGTGGAGAATCGGAAGATGGATTCGAAGGCCGTTGGAGTCGGTTGGACGTGCAACGACGTGAAACAGCTGGTGTCGTGGCGAGGTCTTGGGGGAATGGGCAGTCGAGGTAAGGGGTGTGTGTCGGGGGGGGGTTGCGACGACTCGAGGACCGAGGATCGAGGGTTGGGATGGACGTCGCGAGGGCTGCGATGCGTAGCAGAACGAGAGTGGGCGAGGTCGTGGGGAGGTCGGAGGATGAAGGGGAATGAATGAATGAAAATGGAATTACCAAGTATGAAGAGTGAAGTATGGAGTCTGGAGTCTGGAGTACGATGCGTGAAATGTGAAGTATTTCTCGTGTCTCTGATCTGGCGGTTGCTGACCCGGTCGGGATTGGCGTTGGGCTTTGCGGCGGGCTCTTGAGGCGTAGTCAGCAGAGCAGAGCAGAGCAGCGCCCCCGGTCGCACAGTGCTGTAACTCTCAGGTCTAGCCTCTCTGATTCGTTTTCTCCGTACGTAAAAGAGGTTCGATACCTTATTATTCTTATTATTGTCGTTGGGAATCAAGGTGCGAAGTACGTTGAATGTCAGGACGATTATCAAGTTCGAGGGCGAGAGCAGAGTTCGCAGTTCAGACGAAGAGGGGAATAAATTGGAGATGGGATCCTTTATCCTTGTGCTGTGCGGTGCGGTGCGGTGCTGTGCGTTCGTTGAGCACTTGGCAGTCAGCCGCAGCGAGTCAACGACCGCTGATTTCCCCCCGGAAGTCCTTTTTCCTGAGGCTGAGGCTGAGTCTGGATGATGATTCACTGCTATTGAATTATTGTTGTTGTGGTTGGCCTGGCCACCGAGACCTGCCAAACACTGTCAAGGCTGGGCGAGGCATTGGCACTGGCATGGCACTGGCATGGCATTGGTGTTGGCATCGCACACGAAACTGGCGGGACTGGAAGCCTAGAGGAGCGTACAGTAGTTGTTGTTTTATCTTGTCAAACACATGGCGAGGTAAGGAAGTACGGGGCGCAGGTGTTTGGATTCAGGATATGCACCACGCGCTTCATGTTCCGCGCTGGGCTTCATAGCAGCGATGTTATTATGACGGAACCGTGCAGATCTCGAGTTTCTAGAGACAGCATGATCGACAATTGGCACAATGGGTGCTATACAAGTTCATGCATACCATGACAAGATACGGACGAACCCGAAGTTGGGCTTGTACCGTTGTAGGCTCGTATATCAGGAGATGCGCTCGCCATTGCGCTACTCGATACATATCCATACTCCTCAGCGCGAACATTATATACGTATCCCACCACTCCCGCAGTTACTCAGCACCCTTCTACTCTTCTTCAAGTCTCAACATAAAGCCGAGTTCTCAATGAAAAGAGAAGCCCTTTTCCATATAGGGAATGAGGATGCAATCAAAAATTCCGCCGGTGAGGATCCCGCAGGATACTCAACAGTTCTCGACGCCCCGCTGTGCAATGGAGGTCTCGTACAGTAAGCTCCCTCTTCTTGAGCGGGGAGACTTCCAACAAGGTAAGTATGAAGAGAAAGAAAAGAAGAAGAAGAGACAAAGGGGGAGCTGGCCCGGATATTTATACTCTGGGAGGGCGGCGATGAGGCGGCGAAGCGAAGCTCGCCAGGCGGGCGCAGAACAGGCGGAACCTTGGGCGCTCGCTTGCTGTGCAAACCGAGCAAACTAAGGAGTGGAAATGATATCGAGGCGCTGAGGCTGGACTTCGCAGTGCCGTGTGTGTATTGTACTTGTACTACATAGATGGACATTATTGAATGCACTTATGGGCGATATTCGTACTCTAAACATATGATTTTTGATTCCAAGGTCATTATCATTTGCTCTACAAATCACGGATGCCGTCTTTCATTCCATCTAGATAATAATTACACCTCCATACTCTGTACTCTGTACTGCAGTACGTTGTAGAGATGCTCGTTAAATCGGTGTTTTTCGGCAACAACACCGCTATATTCTCCACATCTGACCCCGAAACAGGTTGTTCGAGTCGCGCTGGCTATATTTGGTATCCATATGATCAACTATATAATATCATATTAAGTCTGGACAGGAAGATAATGATAATTCGCATTAAACAAATCGGGTCAGTACGGTTCGGAGAAAGAAAACCGACACGGGAGTTCCGGCGAACCTTGTCAATACTGTCGCATCCGCGAGAGCTCACGGCCCAGCTCCTCAGATTCTCGGATGACGCATTTCCAGACGATGGGAAGGAAATCAAATGCATGTCACTAAAGCCTGTGACAGTACCTGGGTAAGTACAGGTAGGGAGTCAAAGATTATATTATCTAGTAGATCCTGGTTAAGGTAGGTAGCTAGTGTCGCGAATGCCTCAATTTCGGGAGGATGTGGAGGATGTGGCCGCCAGCAAATTCCTATATAAAATACTGTAGCAGAGGACGAAGGCTACTGATCTGCGAATGACCTCACTTTGTGACGGCCGAGTGTTTGAATGTTCTACAAATTTTGACACATCGTAGGATGTTATTCCCGAAAAACATCGATTTGTTCCTCTATGCCATAGCTCATGTTCGGGCTCGCAGTAACGTTCTTCCGCGCCGAGGCGGGCGCGTCAACCTGGCTGGCTGTTATCGATCGCGACCTCGTCCAGTAAAATCTTGTCGCAAACCTCAATTCCACAAAAATGGATCTCGATACTGATGATGAGATCTTAAGAACTCTCGCCGATGGCAAGTCCATGGACTAGTAAGCTCTTTCTCTTTGCCGGCCTTAACCCTTGACTCGAGCTAATAGATTGTTAGTGAGCTGTGGCCAGGCCTCCTCTCACGCTTGATACCCAGATTACACAAGGTAAGGACAGCTCAATATCTTGCGATAAGGGCAAGGCAATTCAACGGTTATTCTAACAGACTTTAGATTGTGCAAACCGAGTTTCCATCCCCATCTTCTCCCCCGCCTCAGCAACCCGCAGCGCAATCAATATCCTCCTCCCCGCCAATCCAGACCATAAACCCCGACCCATCAAGTCAAAATAGCGGCTCCTCCACACAATCCACAGATAAAGAGAATGCCCCTCCTCCAGGCGTACAGTCACCATCAGCTTCTCTCCCGACGCAGGTCCAAACCCTTCTCACATCTATCACCTCAACTCTAGAATCTCTCTTCTCCAAATACCCACCCCACACCGTCCAGCGGCTAGCAGAACTCATCCTCTACCCCCGCCAACACTACCGCATCCTCTCCTCCTACCTTCATGCCGTCGACCGAACCGTACACGTCACATCAGGGGCGCACATTTTCCCCCTTCCCGCGGCCATCCCGGATCCCTCCAGCGCGGCAGTTTTATCAAACGGGACCACCGACCCTCTAACGATCACCTGGGGCAACCCCGCCACGATCTCCCAGTCCGCCCTAGGTTCAGACGAGAGTCTAGGCGGCGCGCTGCTCACACCTATACCGTGGCTGAGCAAAAATAGCAGCAATGGTAGTAATGGAGGCAGTCACTCCCCAGAAGTCAAAACCGAGAGCACGGAGATGATCGAAGGCCCCAATGGCCCGGGAGGCATCGAGACCGTGTCCGTGTCCGTAAACGGGATATCCTCAGCCACAGCCTCGGTAGCCTCATCCTCGAGCGATGGTAATGATGGTACCGCGGCATTGAGAGCAGAAGGAGGGGTTACGCAGGGCGAGCTGCTGAGGCAGGAACAGCGCGCGGGCGTGGTGCCTGCGTCGCAGCTGGCAGGTACAAAAGGAGATTCGGATGGTATGGGTGAGGAGGACGAGGTACCCCATGCGAGGGGGCCCGAGGAAATCGGGATGGAGGATATGGGCCCGCAGTCTGGTCCTACGCCTGGAGTTAACATGCAGGGCATTAATGTCGAGGCTGCGGTTGGACGGAAAGCGGAGTCGAACGAGAATGAGGATGAGGAGATGAAGGAGGGCGACGAGGAGGCGGCTGCACCTGGTACGCCGAAGCGGGAGGCAGAGGAGGATATCGGACCTGCTGAGAAGCGGGTTAAGGAGGCGGCTGGAGAGGGCGGGGAGGGGGATATTGCAGTGGGGGATCCCTCCGCTTCGAACACCGAAGGCGAGGAAAAGAAGCCGGAATAGGAGCATAAATAAGTGTTTCTCTCAAACATGATCCCCACGAGTTCCATTACAAAATCCCAGTATGCTGGCATGGAGTTTTTGGTTCGGTGTATTGGTAGCAAACAATAAGGAATATGGGTGCCTAACCTCGATAAAGCCTTCGTTATCGTGTTGATATGCTTTGACGTGATATCTGTGCCGTTTTACTCTCGCATTTATACATGCAGGAAAGCATTACCTACATTAGTACCTTATGAACGTGGTTTATATCTACCAGGCCATCTAATACTTTATACGAAAGAGCGGCTATAGTATATTATTAGGCGGATTTAGATAAACCTCTTTTACTAATATTATAAAGCTTAATAGCTATTACTTAAAAGTAGATATAAGTCTGATTATTCGAATATCTAGCTTATTGCAAAGGAAAGCTATTCTTAGATCTTTATAAAAAGTAGTTGCTCGAGTATACTTATACTCCTTACGTCTACTTCTACTACTACTACTACTACTACTAAGTATTGGCTTTTATTCCATCTGAGATGTTTAGAATAATCAACTTATTACATTATCTCGTCCAGACTGAAGCTAGAAAACTATGTACCTTTGCCCTGTACGCCTGAACATATTCAAACCATCTCAGTCACAGTTCTGCCGTCAACGTTACCCTTCAAAAACGTTTCAACCAACATAGCTGCCGGATCCCGCTTTGCGTTTTCCTCGTTTTTCTTATCTTCTTCTTCCTTCTGCCTCGCAGCGATCCGTTCCTGTCTCTTATAGATATGATCAAGCCGTTTTTGCCCCTTCCTGCCAAGAGTTTGGTGATCTATGATGTGATCCATCCAAAAATGTCGTAGTCCTGTGTACTCGGTAATGTACGCTAGTGGGACTTTGACTAAGACTGTGAGAATTGCTCGTGTCCATGGGCTGAAGGCCATGGAGATTGAAATTGTAATGACGGCAGCAGAAATTCCAACTATATAAAGTTCATTGTTAGGTCTGTCTGGGAGACAATGACAGAGCGAACTTACACATATACTTGGTCTGTTGACCCAGAGTCATCCACGGTGCGTCGTTTATCTCTTGATTGTTCATCCCAAAGAATGCAGCAAAGAATCCGAGAGGGAGAAAGAAGATCGTCACAACTGTAAAGGCCATGATGGCACGGCCTTGCCTCACGCTCTCCCCGGCTAGCTGGAGAGCTGCCTTGGCTTCGATAATACTGGCTTCCTGTTGCTTGAGCGATAACAGACCTTGCAGCTACAATCAGTTAGCAACTTCTCGCAAGAAAGAGCTCACACCCAACACACCCGTTGACCAGTTTTAAGAGCCGCATCTTCCAAGTCTTGGATTTCAGACTTTCGGTTCTTGATCAGTTCCAACAGATCATTGGCTTCTTCGATCGTACTTTCTGGAACCACATCTTTCCTGATCAACGAAATTTGGCCTGGATTATTGGCATTCTGATTCTGCCAGAGTTCCATCAGCTTCACGAGACTTCTCATTTCATCAGGCTCGTTCTTGGACTCTCCATTCATGTGACCAAGTGCTTTTCTGAGATCCTTTACAACATGTAGCTGCTGGTTATAAATGCGAAGCATAATCTGAAGTTCTTCGGCAATATCCTGTACTTCGCGAAGTAGGGTACCTTCTAGGTTGATGTCAGGGTACCTGTGGTCCGTATTCTCAGTTCCGTAAGGGGGTGGATTGAGTGAGCGGAGTTGCATGTTAAGCCAGAAGCTCTCGTATGCGATGGTCGTGCGCTCAGTCTACAGCTAGTTAGCGTGATACATCGGACTTTTAAAGAATTTAAGACTCACAACACGGCCTATGGCAGAAGCAAAGATGTCCATAACCTCGGGTCTTTGATCAAGGGGTTTTGTTCGATCGAAAAATACCCGAGAACATTGGTCAATAATGATGAGCGCTGCCAAAAAGAATTAGGAGACTTTCCATGCGTTGCGTCAAGGGTGAGATCATACCTAAGTCATAGATTGATTGGATCTGACCCTCGGGAATATGAGCAAGACGCACCCGTAGACTTTTGTGTACACCGGATGGATCCGGCTTGTTTCTGCCCCATCGCCTTGGAAAGGAGGTTATGATGGTGTCTAGAAGAAGAGTCAGGACTCGGTTTGTCCTCTTCGTTTGGAACGCTGAGAAACCACTCACTATCATCCAATATCCACAACCAGAGCTGATCAACCATGACGACTCGAGTGTTCATAGAGTAGAAACTGCGCCCTTCTCTGGTTTCACGGTAAACCACCTGATCCCTGTCACGAACTGCAGTATCATCTATAGTGAGGAAATAGCTTTGGTCGAGGGTTCTTCGAACATGCATAGGAGGGTCAACATGAAGATTTTCCCTTAGCAGCCGCTCATCTGCTTCGTAATCCATTTCATCTGCAACTTGTGCAACACCCATGAGATATCGACCCAGCTTAGATTTCCTAGGCGATTGTTAGTGTATATAAACTAAGGTCCTTCTCGTGGTGTGCAATACTCGGGCTTTTTGAACCGCGTCATCTGTTGCTCGAGCCTTCTAGACTTGGATGCCCCAGAATGAAGAGCATTAAAAAAAAGGTTCCTTGTTTTGCTCTCTATCTCGGTCCTTTTTTTGATGGGTGACTTCTTTTCGCGTTCTAATGTTTCCTCCTTGATAACCTCGGCCATCTTTGATCTCCTGGAATCAGTTTCCCAATGTAAATAAGGCAACTTCAATAGTAAATTAGTAAACGGAAATGCATAGGAACTGGGAGTCTAACGAAGATTGCAAAATTTTTAGGCTTTGTCCTTGGGATGGGTGGTTCCTGGGGACTGTTAGTCGAGGCTGTATCCTTTGGCGTTGCATCTCGCTGCATATAAGCCCCCGATCCTGGATCTAGGCTTCATGTTAGTGATACATGTGTTGAGATGCCGTGGGGATCACTGTACGGAAAGGAATGATAGAACATCGGGATCTCATATGCCGCGCATGAATTGGGGCGCTCCCCATATCACCGCCATGCAACTGACCGCGCCAGAATTCGCGGCAAAGTAGCTTCTCCGCCTTCGACATCTTATCTGGGGCCACCAGATCGGTGTAATCCCCATCATCCTCGTTGTAGTAGCGTGCCATGGCTTTCTGCAGGTCTTCCAATCAGTTGAAAATCGCCGTGTGATCGGTGTATCTTACTTCGATCCAAAGCATATTGTTTGTTGGAAAATGAAAATATCTTAATTTGTCCGCTGGACATGGCTCAGAGAGAGGATTCAGGTCACTATCGTCGAGCAAATTGTGCACTGGCAATTTTTGGTTTGGAAACTTCCCAGGAAGAAACTTCGAATGATAGTAAGTAGAAGGGCCATAACCAGAGTCTGATTTGTGGAAGTACATTGCGCCTGCTTTGAGTCCGTATTCCGGCTCCAGGTTTGGGGAGAGTTTTGAATTCTGGGAATTGTCTTCGACCTTCCATGCCTTGTTGACCCGCTCAAGGTGGTTTAGATCCAGTTTTTGGTTGCGATTCCAACCTTCTGGGTACTTTGGTGTCTCTCGGATATTCTCGATGTACTCATTCAGTTTCGTCTTAACTTCGGCCTTCCATTCGCGGCGGGCATCGTTCAGCTCAGCCATCATCTGCTTCTTTCTGTCATACGAACAGAAATTGACCCTTGTCTGTTCGATCCGCTCAACTTCATGTTCGACTCGACTCAAGTGCGATTTGTTCAGCATTGACTTGAATTTCTCGCGCTGGTCGAATCTCAAGCCTAGGTAGGTGTTTGTTGGGTTCTGACAGTACTTCCAAGGCTCGGTGACGAAAGCCGTCGGATCGGTACAAGTGTGCTTAGCATATTGCATATCAATGAAAACATCCTGATCCGCACGAGGAGTCGTAGGCTCGGACGAGACGCTACTGAGAACTGAGCGCCGTCGAGCTGCCATCCTGCATCAGTCTTGAGTCCAAAAATTGTGGTGCATGTGGCTGGAAATGGCCGTTGATAATAAGCAACATCATATTTATGAGGTGCCATGCTTGCACGAATCCACCCGACTTATATTTCTAGGACGGAGATGGAGATAGATTATGGTGGCGCATAAGCTGAACTGTAGGCTGCAGCCAGCAGCAGGATGCGACAGCACATGCCCGGATCAGGCAGGTTTGGTAGGGAGTAGGGCTCATCTTGTCCTTCATAGGCAGGCTGTGCCGCTCAAATTTGTTAGGATAGTTGGCAAGATAATTGGCCCTTGTTCTGGGAAGGGTTGTGTTTTCAGCCTCCAAATACTCCTCAGAATCCAATCAGACCACCCCAGAAAAGGAAGACTACTAACTGTTCGGTAGGCTTCACTTGCGTTCTCTGAATAATGATCCCGAGTGAAGAGAATTAAGGTTCTTGGAAGCTTATTTTGTTTAAGCATAAACGCAACGAAGCGAGCCCCATTATGCCCCTTTGTTAGCCCTACAGGCGCCAGGGACGCAGCTCGGCTAGGGTAGGAGATAGAGAATATAAAACAATACTACTTAGATGTATATTGTAGTAAGATACAAGCTATTTGATGCTAATTCAGAGTCAATCTGACCCTGTTATTACTTTGACTTTGACTTCAGTTTGATAGGGATATTTTGAATAGGAACTTGAAGTGTGTTACATTAACATAAACCAATTTGGTATCTCTCTCTTGTACTGATTTTTTTTTTTTTGAAACATAATCTACTCCGCTTCAGCCTTCTGTCGCGCAAGAAGTTCACTATATTCTTTACGGTACCGATGTGATTGGCCCCATATCCCGTCCCTCCACCTCCTATTTCGAAAGTAGTGTGTCCTTTGCTCTATCTTCTCACAAACGCGGCAGCAAAGCATGGTAGTTTCGAACTAACTCCCCGACATGCTGCGATGGTGTCTGACTATACTATCTTTCCCCCTCTTCAGGTGTACATTTATTATCTGGATGCAAACTACATAACAATGCGAATTCAGGCTTTAAGCCTATACGAAATGCCGGATTAATATATTCTTCTTTGGATTCAATACACATTAGCAAATGTCAGTTCTATTCATCGTTGGTTTAAATGTAATAAAACAGAAAATATTGTATACCAAAGTCTTCTGCTTCATCGAAGTCCCATTCCTGGCCCCTACCGAGAAGAAAGATGGCGCAAAGATGATTAACCAAGATAGATTCTGGTGTGTCTGATTTATATTGGTACAAACGGCCATCGGGATTCTTGGCAACAAGACGTTCGTAATATTTTAATACTTTCTCGGAAGCGCCCTCGTTAACTCCAAGCCATGCTAGAAGCCCATTCTTATCATCGGGCTCGGGAAGCGTCATCTCCGCATTGTAAACCACCTTAAAACCATCCATTTGTGTATCGGATTTCATGGAAGGATGTAGCCAGGTGCCTGGTTCTCGAAGTTCTCGCTGAAGGATCACTTCGAGCTCGGGCGTCATTTCGAAGTCGAGTTTGGCTGAAGACATTGTGGAGGTGTGGGGGCGAATGACCTTGTTAAAAAATATAAATTGTGCGATATGAAGCGCAACCGCAAATGCACCTGAAGATGCGAGGTAGGTAGGTACCTTAGGTACCATTTGGGCAGAGTTTCTTGACGACAAAGGTTAGCTTAGCACGGACCTCTGGAATCATAAAAGTTAACAGAGCATAGCATTGGAAAGCTCAGGATACTAATCGTTTAAAAAACTCGCGATAAATTCTAGTGCTGAGATAGCAGGACATCGAGAAGGTATGTACAGTCTCTTGAACCGCTAAACGTCTAGCCTTTTAGGACCAGCTAATCCTCCATTTAAATTAGTCTTCCTTCTGACCCTTAACCTCTGGCTTTTTGGTAGCAGCAGCTCCCATAGCCTTGAGCGTTTTCTCTATTTTCGTGTAGGCGTATTCGAACGGAGGATAAAGAAATGGTCGAAGATCGTATCTGTTGTCGTCCGCTGTTTTGGTGGCGCTGGTTAGTAAATTGCATGTTGTGATTTTGCGGCATTGGGGCTTAAATAGGGGCTTTGTGTAGAATGCGGAATGCGAGGAGGATGGGGGGAATATAGGTAGTAGCAGAGTACGTACGTGAGTATTGTTCGGCGTGGTACGATGGCGTTATGGTAGCTGTTGGGTTGTTAGCATGCAAGGGGCATATGTGCTACGCCTGGAAGGTTACGTACTCATCTTGTGACGATTGATGGCATAACTGTAAATGTGCTCGTTAGTTTTGCCATTTACACAACGGTTTGACGAGCGGAGCTATGTCCCACCACTACAGTCCGTTCTCCTAACCAAGGAAATATAAAAATAAATTAAATTACTCACCACCAGTGGAACCACCGAACCTTTTCATAGATCTCCTGAGGCGAGAGGAGATTGCCCCACTCGTGCACCAGCTTAGACCACATTGAATATACCCCTAGCTTATCGACTTTGCGGAGACGACCGTACACGGAAAGCTCATTGTATGACATGCCCACTAATTTCCGATATCAGCTAAAGGCGTTTGCAGGCCAAAACTGGGTGTAAATAATCTTACTGTCAGCTTCATCACTTTGGATGTAGCCATCCGCACCCCCAATTGGCTCCAGCTCAGCAGTTGGCGTTGCGGTTACGAAGGTCTCTAGGAGCGGCATGTCGAAAGTTCTTCATGTTTTGAGTCAGTACATGCTTCGTTGGCAAAACCGTTTGTGTAGATGGGGATAATATAGTTAAGCCCCAGAACCAAAGCTATGATATGCTGGGTCGATCATGATCTCGAGGGACAACTTACTTTCCAGCCCAGGTGATGAACTTCTTGAGGTCGGTTTTTGATACTTTAGGTTCGGTCAGCGTATGCATCTTTCGGCACAGAGCGAGAGTTTGAGAAAATCCCATGATTGCAATGGCTGCAAATCATGCCCTAGAACATAGCTCGAGAGGGAATGTCTAGGAGCATATCCCAGAGACTAATATGTTCTCGGTGCAAGGAATAAGACCACAGAATCTACTCACTGGCACCGATTGGATTGATACTATTGGTGCTCGAAGTCAGTATATACTTCTATTAGAGGTGGATGGAGTGTGTGTCAGTAGTCTCTGCTTGCACACCGTGTCTCTCGAATCACGGTATTGATAGAAATTCCAAGATATGTCCGAAATCAAGATTACGTTCGTGTCAGGAAAAGCAAAACTAAGGGGGTTGCTCACTCTGCGCTGCTGCAATCATACTATTAAATTCGGTCAGCTTTTTCTCACTCAGTAAGGATAGGTATTCGAAAGTTGACGTTAGTGCGGAGACACGTTTGTACCGATGACGGCACTCTAAACGAATATCTCCACACCCGTAGGCACCTTTACAACGAAAAGGATTTGGACGAGGACAACACATACCTTGGTGAAATATCCCCGCAACGACTCATCCACGTTCGCTAAATACCCTATTAGTGAAAATGCCCGATATTTGATCTATATTGGTGTATGTTTTACCTGAGCCCAATACCTGATTGAAAAGTTAGATTCTTCGACTTTTAGGGAAGTGCAATGCAAGGATCACGTACCAAAAGCGAACCAGGCTTCGTGCGCCCGCGGACAGTCGGAAGTAATTGGGCGAACACTTTCTTGGTGTTAGCTAACGCTCCTAATTGGGTAGAAGTGGGCGTAAATAGTTGCTGAGACCTAGCTCTAGTGCTCACTGAGACCAGAAACCCCATCTCCGGCAACCAAATACAACTATCTTCCCAACATTTAAATAGAGAAGTCACATACTGTACGACATTACCATCCTAGTATTGTTAGTTAGTACTCTCCTTTATGGACAACGAGAAAACATGAGAGGCTACTTACCGAAGACGGGCCTGGATATTTTGCAAGGCAAGGTTTGAGACATTGGTTCCACCATGCCTGTTACACCACAGTTAGTAATTAATGATACGATGAGATCGGGTGCCCATACATCTTATAACGAGGAGTAAATTTAGTGACAGCGCTGAAAAGATTTGTCACGGCCGAGACCACAGTATCAATATCAAAATTCAAGTGATAGCCGCCGATTGCTGCACTAAGATCACGGGCTCGTTTCCTCGTATCTACACTCGAATTCTTTTCCATGCCCATGAAAGCGGTATGAAATATGCGGCCAGCAATCTCTTGAGGACTGGATGGGCTCCAAGTACTGTCTTCTTCTTCCCCAGCAATACGGCGCAGGTCCGCAAGGACAAGAGGGTTTTCGCCCTTCTCAATTGCTTCGTGAACTAGGCGGCACATAGAGTACACTATGACCGAGGTGGCGCAACTATCGATACCACCTGATAGTGGGATGAAGTATCCGGCTTGTTTGGCTTTTTGGAGTAAGTTACTACTCCTTCTGAGGGGGCGGCAGGGGGTAGGAAGGTATTTGGGGAGCATATAGGGGTAGCCAAGAGTTCAGACCATGTCTCAACTTCTGAATGGCACAATAGGGAAGGATGACCGTAAGACTTACAGCGCCGAAGGTAGTCCCACAAATAACAGGCTGGCCCCACTGTGTTGTCGTCAGCATATACTTCGAGTCGAACTTCATTTCATCACCAAATCTCAAGCAGCGGCATTCTAGTAACTAAGAACAAGGGGAAGGAAGGAAGGGAAGCTTACGTGCAATCTCCTCTTCTGGAAGATGATATCGAACCTTTATTTCCTTTGAAGGTGCTAGAGTAGGATCGAATTCATCAATATCACTAGAGAGACTCATGCCGGCAGGAAATCTCTGATACCCTACCGTCTCGCGGGCTTGCATCGCCCGAGCTTTAGAAGACCTGAAGGATCGAACTTCCTCAAGATCAACCGTCGCAGTGACTACCTCAACTTCATTCAAACTGAACTGCGACGATTGCGCTACGATGGCTCCATTGACGAATATAGTGGCCGAGCCATCGTAGTATCTGTTCAAGCATTGGAAGTCAGATCTATTCTGCTAGAGTGTCCAAATGAATCGAATTGCTCATCGGGGGATTACCCACAATCTGTCTCCATCCGCACCTTGCTGATTTGCGTAGAGGTAAATGCCCCCTGATTTCAAGGTCGCCTCTCTAATCAGTTCAATGCGAGTGTTTAGCTTCCGCAGTTCATGATGAGATGCGCTGCCGTTCAAAAAAATCTCAACACCGTCTAGCCCTGTTCGATTTGTTAACAAATCTGTGTAGATAGTACAAGAGAGACCTGAAAACTTACCCATTTCGATGCTGCGGCGTGGAAAACTCGTTAGCAACCGTTTCACAAAGGCATCGGAGTGAGAAATAGATATAGCTTCATCGGCCAGCAAATATGCGGAGAAGATTTGCTGACACGCCGGAAGACTTACTGAGGTCCTCTTGGTGTAAACAGCTCCTCGCAAGTTTCAGCTCCGATACAGGTATCATTCGTAGAAATGACAGCATCACCGAAGCTATGTTCTGTTAGACCATGACTGATCAAGCACAGCACTTCGAATACACTCACGGCACCTTGATCTGACCCGTGATCTTTGCGATTGATCTTGGGAGGAAGTCTAGATACGTGATCAGCCTTAGAAATTGGGAGCCTCCAAGGCTGTTTTGGGAATATAATAGCAGACTTGGCGGTGAACTTACATTCCTCGACCTTTCTCGTAGTCCAGGGGGTGAACCATCCTATACAACAAGTCAACAACGACGAAAACTCAGTATGCGATGCAGAAGTTGGTGTTTCCACGTACGCATCTCACGGTAATCTAATATATCCTCTGTTAGCAGCGTTCTTCAGACAGACTAGACTGGAAGACCAGGGCACAGGATAGACAAGGCAGTTATAGAGAAAGAAGGACGAGAGATTATTGAATAGAACTTACTGCCGTCATTCGCAAGAGATAGTTTCTAAACAAGAGACTCGTTAGTCCATACTTAATATAAAAGGGAGCAAGTCTACTCACAGGACGAATCAGAAGAATCTTCTTATTATAGACGTGTACTCTACAATTATATCTCACGTTACGATGGGCGATCGGGAGCCCAACATCCCAGAGTATATCAGAGGTACGATCATCCTTCATGATCTCTGCTAAGCTTTCCCAAGAGAAGAGCTCCGTATCGCCCTGAAAGAACATATTATTAACATGTCATAATCACGTGATGCGGGGAGAGTCATACCTCCAGGAAATGGTCGGCGCAGCCATAGCCTGTCTGAAATTAGATTCTGGTTTAAAACACAACCTTCTGCTAGAGAGGGCAAGCTGAATAATATCGAGAGGCTTAGAGAGGGCCCAGGGACGTAAATACCAGGAATTTCTAATTCGGGACCCTGTGAAGATTCCATAGTCAGTTTGGTTGCTTTGAACAGGGGCAATGAAAGAGACAGATGCTATGAAGCTTAAAGGGTGGAAGGATCGCTGCGAGAATACGTACTGTACGAAGAGAAGCGCCAGCGGCTTTGGCTTGGACGATGGAGGTTATGATTCTTGACCTGTTACCTGTGAAGTCTAAACTCCACTGACAAGTCGTCAGTAAACTTATATGAATGCTATATGGGAGAAATATACCTGGTTCAGCGCACAAGTGCTCACAGTGATCAAATGCATCTTTACTTATGTGCTTCTTGTTGATGTTGAAGGTTGGCAAAATGGGAAGATGGGGATGACCTGTGAACGTCCAAATGACGATTCTGTCTAGCCGGCCGGAATTAGCGAGAAATATCCTTCTAAACCCCCTAACCACCCGGGTGCTGTAGGATGCACCTAAACAACGAGCAGGGTCCACGAGCTTGTCTACTGTGAAATGTTGTGCTTCACGGACTCCGCATTTATTATCCGCCTTGTAAGAGTAGTGATTGTTTCGGTTGTAATTCTATCGCTCCGGAGTATGGCTGCTATTAAGCAAGCTTGTTCCTTGATTTATTCACAGGTTACAAGATGACTATCCAGGTGCTTGTATATTCATCCATACCATAACAGCCCATATTTCACTCAGATGCAAAGGATAACGCTAGATTGGTACAGGCCTATCTAGTAAGGTAGGTCACCTCTATGCAGATGGACCGTACGGCAAACGTGAATCACATGTGTCATATATGTTGAAATCCAGAGAGTGGCAATCGTGACTCTTGCATTTCATGACCCTAAGGATTTCTTCTCCCTGCATCCGATATGTAACAATGGAGCAGCACCTAGGAACCCCTATAGAATAACCCATTGACCCTTAACCGAACCGAAGAGACACTCACCAACTCCAGCTACTCCTAGACCATGCTATAGAAATCAAACGCTCAATAACCAGTCCACCTAGCCATCCTAACAATCTACAGAATAATCTCCCTCGCATCCTTCGCCTGGCTCTCACTCGGGCAATATGGGCATTTAAACTTAGTTCCCTTGCTTAGTCTCTGTAAGCTCTCCTTCGCAACAACATGTCCACACGGCATCATCATCGGCGGATTGTCCTCTGTTGTCTGTTCCTTGCTAACTGGGCACACAAAGATAGCGTGGAAGATCATACTACGGGGCAATGCAATCTCCACCGGTAACTCATTCTGCGTCGTCCATTCTGTCCGTTTCTCTTTCACGATGGAAGCCAGTTTGAGGAGCGTGGGGAGGGCGATAGCTCCAGCTGTGGCGGCGATGTAGAGGGGTGATTCGGCGGCGAGACCGAGAAGAGAGCAGAACTCGCGTGTAAATGAGGCCGAAACATCGTCCCATGCTGTTTGCGTGTCAAATGTACGGTAGTAGGGCGAGTCGCGCAGGTTGGGCCGGTATACCATGGCTGTTACTAGTTGCTGAATGTCCCGTATATACCGGATTTGGAAACTTTGGAAGTGGTCTTTGGCATATTGTAATGCGCCAGGCAGGCCATTGTGTACGTCGTCGGGAAGACCATTGACCGATGGCCCTAAAAAGAGCCACACGAACTGCAGCTTGCTGAGTTCGAATTCGAGGTTACTGCCCCTTTTTTCGAGCTCCACACTATTGGCCTTTGCCCATTCGATTGCGGGGCGCAGGTTTCGCGCTTTTAATTGATTGAGTATTGAGTACATGTTCGAGAACTTGTCTTGTAGCTCTTTTGATTTAAGGAATGTAAGGTCCACTTCGTCTTCTTCGGAGGGATTGGGCGTGCCTGGTGTGGGAGTGGGTTGAGGCGGGTGTTCTTGTATTTCCTCGAGGAAGGTTGACGCCACCGAAAATTGTCCTTCTCGGAGGAGATGCATGGCGATGGCTCGGTTTATGAGGGCAGGATGGGATGCCAGGGCGTCATATTCGGTGGGCAATGCTTTGCTTGGGAAATTCTAAATATATTATTAAGACATCATCTGCAAGAGTAGGACATCATCTGCGTACCTTATCCAGTGCCTTTCCATATTTGTTGTATCCTTGGTGTATCTTCTTGAGGTCCTCATTAACTTTGTCGAAGCCATGCTTCAGCGGATTCTGAAGCTTTGCCAATGTAATAGAAGCTGAATTCGGATCTGAGGAACATTATTAGCACGGTGAAGAATACAAGAGCTCTCGACCCATTAAGATGCTTCGCCGATTCCTGCAAGTGGTTTTGCCACCGTTGAGAGGGATAACTAGCTGTTCATACCTTCCACTATAGCGCCCCGTGCTCTTTCCAGCTGCTCGATAATCTTGTCGACATCCGCAATACTCTGGGTAAGGTTTGCATCACGCCCTAACTTGGCCAGCTCGAGCTGAAGGGTATCCATAGCTCCTGGGGTTCCCCGCTTGGGAGGCTGTTGATCGTGTGTGTTGGTCTTCGTATTGTATTCTCACACGGAGACGGAGGCTATCCACTGACTCGTCTCAGCAGACATTATATGCTGCTGTCCATAATAGGTGTTGTATTCTGGGATGGGTGGAGGTTGGTGGTGAGTTGAATGTTAAGAACGAAGTATCTATGGTATAATAGCTACTACGAGTACGTACCGAGCCTGGCAGATGCACATCATCAGACTGTTGTCTCAACGGGGGTAAGTAAAGTGGTACGAATTGCCGCATCCCCCGACCCCGGAATCATACCGCATCCAGAACCCTGTTTCAGCGACTGAGCGACCCTTACTCCTTCCGCCTTAATCAAGGTGGCTACGTATTGCGTCGGCTGATCCTCGGGGCTCCCTCTTGGCTTCATATGCACATGCTACGAAGTCGAGTTGGAGGCAGCTATTTACCGGCCCTCATCCACTCCTGCACCGTCTTCGCATTTATATGATTGCTCCTTGATTTCACTCTTATCCCTCCATGGCGAATCTCCGCAGTCTGTAAATTAGGAGAAGATGCGTCTCGAAAGCAATATATCCACGGCGTGTTGTCAGTGCCATTCAACCCCTTGATACGGCTCCCCCAATACACCTACACCTCCACGACGATGTCTCGATTCCCCCAGGCGTACGATCCGCAAATGTATCACGATGAACGGGTAGCTCTTTCGAGAACCGCATCTCAGCAGCATGCAAACGGGCAGATCGCTGGCAAGGCAAATTCTACAGCGCCATTAGAGCAACCTTCCGCCGTGCATAATGCTACTCATACTCCACAACGAAAGAGCCTGGTCTTTGCAGATCCCGTGGCTTTTAGGTATGCCTCGATTCTATAATATAGATATAGAATCACTCAACTCACTTCTGCTCTAGGTATCTCGAAGAGGATACGGCTACAGTTGTTCTGGAGCGTCGGGGCCGGCTGCAGGGCTACGAAATGTACATTGTGGAGCAATGGGCAATGTCAAGAGTCCATCCCACCTTCGTCATCGCGTCATATACCGGAGATTCGAACCACTATATATCTGTTGGCGTTTTGGGTGTTCCCGCCGATGAGGAGGAATGGTCGCCCAGGCTCCGTGTATATTTCAAAGCCATATCTCAGTTCCATGCCAGGCCGAAAGACACACCGCTAGGAATGCTTATGGTTACAAATCTAAGCAGCTTTCCGTCTGCCCTGACAGTTATACCAGTTCCAGGCGGAGATGTACGGAAACACAGGGAGGACTTTCTTGTCAACGAGAATCTGAAGAGATTAGGGTGTTCTGGGAGATCCGGAATGAGCTTGTCTGCCCCGGCAGGCGCTACACAGGCCAAGTTCGTCCAGCTTTACCGGACGAGCGATCGAATACCGCTATATGGGGCAGTCATCGAGTTGGTAAAGCTGTGTCAGGTCGCCCTCATGGTATTCGGCAAGCTGGAGCAAGAGTATGCAGATGGATGCCTCTGCGATGTCACCGAAAAGGCGATAAATGACTGGTGGACGGAGATTGGGTCCGAATACTACAATATTGAGCCCGCCGATGGTATCCTTGGTCCCACGACTGTCGCCGCACTCTTGGGAATGCTCATGGGGGCCCGGAACCGCCTTCACTACTATGGTGCCCCGGTAGCCAAAGATGCTTTTGATGTTCTAAATCTCAAACGAGGGATTGCCTATTTTCAAAAGTCCCAAAAAATGGAGCGGACGAGAAGGCTAGATAGGCAGACGCTGGATCGCTTGCACCGGACTACAGCAAAGGCGGCTGCTGGAGAAGGATGGGGTGTGCCAAAGGCGATCAAGTCAACAGTAACAGAGCTCGGCGGTAAAGGTGGGGAGATGGTTATGGGCATGGTTGGCCGTGATAAAGCCGGCATCTCAGATATTGAAACAATCGACCTCGACCGCTTTATTAGCTTAGCTCACGGGGAAAGAGCAAAGTGGTTGTGGTATGGCAAGCCAAGACGAAGCGGTGGGGAACATGGCAGATCCGAGTCAGATGCATTGCCACTAAGTTTTACAAAAGACGAACATGGTAGATATATTTGGTCACACAACAGAGGGGATTCAAACCCACCAGAAGACGATTCTGAGACGCGCAGAAGGGAAAGGGATAGCCCCGATAATGTCTATTCAAATCGACCACCGGGATCATCAACCAGCATGCTCGACAATCCAAATGAGAAAGATCCCCAGTTACGGAGGACAGTTTTCAAAAGTGTTTCAAATAAGATGAGTGACGCTAGGTCTGGCTTTGGTCGAATTAAAGATGCCGTTAGCCTTCGTGGACATAACAGCCGGCATTCGAAAGACGAGACCGCCGAAGGTGATAGTCGTCTTTCTACCTACTTCAGTCCCACTAGCTCCGTCGGCTTAGTACCATCTGCAGCCCCAAGCAGTCCACAGACGCTAGGCAAATCATTTACCTGGAAGAACACTCCTGCGGAATATCAGAATGGGCAACCAAAACCAAGAGGCCTCATCACAGGAGGGATAGTATCAGATACTCCCAGAGAATATGATCTTGCGCTCCATGATACGAAGAGCAATCTTGCTGCAGAAATAATTGCCCCAGGAGAAGGTCAAAATGCACTTGAAGCAAGTACCAAATGGGCTGAACAAGTAAAGCAGATACGCCAAGACCTGGTCACGAATGAACCTTCCGTTGCGGGATCGGTTTGTGGAGATGGCGACCTCGGGGGTCCTTCGTTGGAAGCAGAACGCGATCCGGATAACTTTGAAATACTCCTTCATCGGCGCAATAGCATATCCACCTATCCTTCAGCTTCCTCACGGGGCCCAAATGAAGCAAGGTGGCCCCGTCATATGTCCTTTAGCAGTGTTGAAGAAGCCGTCTTAACTTGGGAATCTCTAGATGCCGTTGACGACAACGTTATCGAGGACGATACCTGGGCTGCCTTACAACAGCAATATTACATGGCAGAGGACTTCAAGCACCTATACGGGAAGATATTAATACTTCAGGAGAAGATTGCGCCATGGGTAGAGACAACTGTCGCTAACATAGAAGGCCTTGACGAACAAGCTACCCAAGATCAAGAAGGATTCCAGACGCTATATTGCCAGTTGAGCGATTCATATCAAGAACTGAAACAACATTGTCAGAATTATCTTGGTGAAGAACGCCATCATGTCACGGAAGCCATGAAGGATATCGAGGTTCTCGGCGCAAAGCTTGAGTACGAGATCAATGCCCTTGTATCAAAAGTACAAGATGTGGAGGATGGCGTGTCGCAATTTGAAAGGCAAGTTGACGAGCTGGAGATCAGGGCAAAGGAACTGGAGACCCAGCTAGCGACCGAGAGCTGGCCTCACTATATCGTTCGAACCATCACTGGAATAGGGACAGGGCCGAATATCATAGCGCCTCGCCGACGGTGACAGGAGTGTGCAAGTTTGGTGCTTTGGAGTAAGACAAGCAGGCGTTTGGAGAGATACCCTTCTAGCATTTACGCTCATGTATGCATTGATATTGCTGATTTAAATATAATAACCAAGCGGTCATCAAGCAAGCCTAACACCAACTAGTTCAAATTTTATTCTTAACCAAAGAAGATATGCCAGCCCTACCTACTGTACCTGCTGTGTAAGTGCCCAAATAGGAGCCATAGATGCTTCGTCACTAACAGAATCCAACGGCCCACTCCTACTAACGATCACGGATACAAATTAGATATACAATCCATGTCTAATCTATGTCCATCAATAGAGTAATAAAATTCAAGCAATTCGTATCCCCATTTAATTGCACAAAGCTCAACCACCTATTGAGCTTGGAGTCTGGCACTTTCATATCATAATTTGGACAGCAGTATTGAGTGAAGCATTTGTTGGAGTGGATGCCAACGCCTTTCGTTCTTACATCCTTGAAATCTATCTTACAACCATCACACTCCTGGTGACATTGTCATCATCAGTAAGTCCACAAGGTCTACTGCAATTAAGCACGCATGATCAGCCCGACACCATTTAGCCCAGGCCCAGAGCACATATGCCCAAACATCCAACAGTAATACAAGTGTCATGAAAACCCTCAGCCCCGTAGTCCCTTATTTAACTCCCTACATCCCACCAATACCGAAACCGCCACCCGTAGCCCCTTTCGCCGCCGCTTCTGCCTGCAATAATTCTGATATCTTCAATTGTACGTCGAAGAACTTCGATGAGCATCGGTCGATGCACACACCTTCGCCTTTGTTGAGCTCGCCTTCGCGGTATTCCTTGGGTACGCATTTCTTCATGCATGCTTGTTGGAGCCTTAGGACCAGTTAGCAGGAAGCCCCTTTGGATTGCAGGGAATTAGGAAGTAATGGGTGAGGCTTTACTTGTTGAACATATCTGTGAAGAGGTCCATTTCTTGCTCTGCCGCGGCGATCTTCTCGGCCGACGAGGGCTGCGGCTTCCCAAATCCGAACATAGACATGGTTGCGTAGTGTGGTGGAGTATTCAAAGCGGGGAATTCAATGTCTGGTGATGGAGGATATTGCGAGACTTGTGGACGAGTGAGTAGTTCAGGAGTTGCGAGTGTTGTGGTTTCCTTGTGAGAGCGTCCTCGAATCTTGACTTGGCTCAAAACCTTTTGGCGAGCAGGGGGGAGCTGATGCGGGCGCTAGCGGAAGGGTAGGAACAATTCTGCTAAATATTAACTTCAACGATTTTCCCTCCCCGAACCTCACGAAGACCAAGGTCAGAACAAGAGTAGTAAGTTTCCTCAATTTCTTAGCTCCATTACCGGGATTTTATGATGAATATAAATATAACCTTAGAATCGTTGCGAATGACACCCCTGGGTGGCTGATTTCACATCTCCATTTCTGATATTTCCCTCCAAACCCCTTTCCCTCTTGCCAGCAGACATTGGCCGTTTACTAACGCACAAATTAAGAATGAGCAGCGCTTCTGGTCTCCGCTTCCTGCGGCCTTATCTTTGCAAAGATCTTAATGTGTCGAGGAATGCCGCCTATATCCGATTCTTTAGCCAAACACGATGTTTGAAGGTATTCGAAGGCAAACAGAGAAGGCTAAAGAAGGACCCTGCCAGCAAGGCCAGCAAGGCCAGCAAGGCGTCGGCCATTGGTGACACGAATGATAGAATTGAGAAGTTGAAGGCTGTTGGTGCTCTGCGCTGGCCAAGAATTGAGGGTGATGCCCTGGCGGTGTCCATCCCAGAATTTCATCGACGCTATGGCAAAGAACTGAAGCCCGGGGAAAAGCGGACTGGAGAAACTGTCCTCGTTCGCGGTATGGAATATAGAAAAATAATAGAAATTATAGTTTGCTTACTCTGTTGTAGGGAGGATCACTTCGGTACGGGTTTTCGGCTCCTCCCTCGTTTTCGTGGATATCGTCGAAGATGGCCACCGAGTTCAGGGAGTCTGCAACTTCTCTGAAATTGGGATTTTTAATAGCCTAGACAAAAAACAGTTCGAACTTTTTGTAAAAACTGCGCGACGAGGAGATTATATCTGTAAGTACTACTATCGCTAACCTCGTCTTTTCGAGTGCTAATACATTCTAGCAATGGTTGGCCACCCGTATGTCACCAAAAACACGAAAGGAGAGTTGTCTGTAGCTTGTAGTGATCTTCCGAAGATTTTATCCCCCTGCTTGCACACTCAGCCCGCAAAGATGGAAGATGCAGAGGCTCGGGTCCGAAATCGTCACGTTGACTTGCTTGTCAATCCACACTCGGCGGACACTTTCCGAGTCCGCTCTAAGATCATACAGTACATTAGAGACTTCCTATTGAAAGACGACTTCCTTGAAGTTCAAACACCCATAATTGCGGATGTAGCGGGCGGCGCTATAGCAAAGCCTTTCACGACTTCCGCTACTGAATTCCCAGAAAAGGCGATGGCTCTCCGAATAGCTCCCGAGTTATGGTTGAAACGGCTAGTCATAGGGGGAATGAACCGGGTGTTTGAGATCGGCCCAGCATTTCGCAACGAGGGGCTTGATTTGACTCACAATCCCGAGTTTACCACTTGCGAGTTCTACAAATCCTTTGCATCCCTGGATGACTTGATGGCCATGACCGAACAGATGGTGGTGGGAATTGCGCAGCATGTCACAGAATTGCGCGAGACAACTCTACTCGCTCTCCCAGCATTAGATACCAGCCTTCATACCGCTCCTTTCAAGCGTCTTGAATTTATCCCAGCCATCGAAGAGGCCTTGGGTCAAAAGCTTCCTGACTTGGCTGATGATTCTGCCACAGAGGATATTATAGCAATTTTCAAACACAAGTCCATAACGGTCCCGGCATTGTCCACGCTACCTCGTCTGCTGGATAAGTTGGCATCTATTTATCTCGAGCCCCACTGCGAAGCACCCACCTTCATTACGCACCATCCAGCCTGTATGGCGCCGCTATCAAAATCTTTCGTTGACAGCAGCACCAACCAGGTTGTCTCCGCCCGCGCAGAACTATTTATCCAAAAACGCGAGGTTGCGAACATGTACGAGGAAGAGAATTCCCCCTTTGAGCAGAGAGCCAAGTTCGTGGAGCAGGGGAAGTGGCGAGACCACGAGAATCCTGCCCATGTTGACGAAAGTTATCTCGAGGCCCTAGAATGGGGGCTTCCTCCCACTGGCGGCTGGGGATGTGGGATAGATCGCCTGGTGATGCTTTTTTCAGGGGCAACTCGCATCAGTGATGTCCTACCATTTGGGAACTTGAGGAATGTCGTTAATCTCGGAAAACCTGCTCCGAGAACGGGGTCTGCGAAAATACAGAAGACTGCCGTTGCTGCTCCTGAAGGGAATTAAAATGTTTAGCTAGATGTGTACCATATGTGTGTATATAGTGTACGATACGAGTTAATGTACGAAGTAGATAATATGTCCATTGGACCATGGCTAAATTACACCCCTAAAACCAAGTTCCACATCACATTGAGGAAGAGATGTTTACTATTATGTCCCATCAGCGGTGACGCCTTCACGATCGATGACTTTCTACTTCCCTACTTCAAGTTCTTGACAAGCACTAATATCATAAGATACTCCCCACCAACTTGGAGAGAAAAGCGAAAACATCCACAAAGGCAATGCGATTTGCTCAAATGATAAGTCCCACTGTGATCCCAATTAGTAACTCCAACGTTTCCCTAGTCGGGGCGGTGACTACGCGTGGGTATTAAGATTTAAAGGTATATTATATAACTGACGTAAGGATGCCAAAACTCAAATTATCTATCACTTTGAAGATATTGACAGTTGCCTACAAGATATAACTATTAGCCCTTAGTCCCAAGAAATGTCTTGGAAGTTTCTTCATACACTAGCAGCATAGCCATTCTTTTCACTTCTATTTCTTGGCTTCCTAAGTCTCATTAATCTAGCCCAAGATACTGTTATAGCAGCTTCTAGCTAGGAAACATCCCGATCTTGAAATCGATGCTGGGATTAAGACCGGCCCCAATCGTGCTCAGTGGCCACGGCGTGCTTCCGGGTCCCCTTTGGTAATTGAACCCCAAATAAATCTACTCCTGTTGCTCTAACAATCTCCATATTTCCCTCCTTCAATCCAAGAAATCTGACTTCACAAACGCCCAGACCGCCGAAGTGCGGAGAAGACCATCATAGAGCCACGTCAAGGTGACTGTAATCTAGAGCTATAATCCGAACCCTTTGCCAAAGAGATTCCCAATTCAAAAATATGACTGCAATCACATACGTGGTCCTACAAACCCGTTCAAAGGAGGTGGGGTGTCTTATTAAGGCCGTAACACAGAGTAGATGAGGATACCGAACAGAAGCCCTACGTTAGATATCTACCTCTACTGCCCAACTAGTCTCATGGAAAGTCATGGTAGTGGTAGGCCATTGCCATATCAATACTCTCTGCCATTCAACAACCCTTTGCCACCTAATACGAGTCTGTCATTTCATAGCATTTGGGCGTTTCAAAAAGTATAAAACACCTGGAACCGGACAGGGCATTCAAGTAGCTAGCTAGCTATCATTTCATAGCACTTGGGTCTTTCAAAAGTATAAGACATCTAGAACCGGATTGGGCACTTAAGCAACTGGGTAGCTGTATTAGTAGCCTGAGCACAGTGAACAGTTGCTTGCTGCGAGACAAAAGTTCTAAGTGCCTGTGTCCAGTTAGACAACGGATCGAATACCACCTCCCTGTTTGATCGTTGGCTTCCGCCTTTTGGGTGATGGGTTCCTCAGACTCAGATGTAGTGCGAGGAGCGGAATCGCCGCATATCGATCTAGAAGCCATCTCTTCACCTGTTCTATCGTATCCTCGAATATCGCGATCGGGGTAGGGATCTTCTAATGAGAGGGAGCGAGCTTTAATAGACGTTGGCAAAATGAGCGAGAGTGCAAAGAGGATTATTTAGAATCGTAAAAGGGTGTTGTGATGATGCGTATAATACTCGTAGATACTCTAGCTGGATATAATACATGGTACGTAGCTTGGTTGATGCACTGCTTGTAGTCCAACCCAAGTGAGAGCCTCTTGATAATTCGATATATCAGGTTAGCCCAAATCGACATCTTTCACATTAGCATGGCACGTTATCAGAAACATCACGATCGATTCATAGCAGGGTCAATATATTCGCAGACAAAAAGGAGACTTTTATTAGGTATTATGGTGTGTTGCCCTAGTGGCAGATTGCGAAAGGACAGTCTGGGTATAGGGGTATCAATACGCAGCAGAAAATGCAACGCGCGGACCAAAAAGCAGCAAACAAACAGTACATGAGTAATGCAAAATGAGTGGTATCAATCAATCTTGGGGTATTTCAAGGAGATCCGTTTTCCGACGATAATGAACTCGTTCCATCAATGAACAATGACGCGATTCAGACTTGATATTGAGTCTTTAGGCGGATGCGGCAACCTGAGGGGTGGAGGCCTTGACAGCTGGGACGGGCTCGCTGACAACGGGCTCCTCGACAACGGGGGCGGCAGCCTCGGCGGCGGCGGCGGGCTCAGCAACAGCCTCCTCAGCCTTAGCCTCAGGGGCTTTCTCGGCCTTGGGGGAAGACTTGCCCTTGACGGTGGCACGGAGCTTAGCGAATGGAGACTTTGGCTTCTCACCCTCCTCATCGCTGGTTGGCTTCTCCTTCTTGGACAACCAAGGAAGGGAGCTCTTGCGCTTATCGCTCTTAGTCACGGGAGTCTCAGCAGCCTTGGTCTCGCCGTTGGTCACCGCAGCAGCTGGGGCCTCCTCAGTGGCGGCAGCGGGTGTGGCAAGAGGCTCGGTAGATTCGACCTCAGGAATGACCGGAGCAGTCTCGCTGACGGGCTCAGTCTCGGCATCCTTGGCTGGGACAGCTGGTGCTTCTTCGGCCTTCTTCTCCTTGCTGTGCGAGAATTGAGACTTGAGGGTTCCAAAGATGCTATTGCGCTTGATGGGAGCTGGCTTAGCGGCCTCGACAGGTGCAGCGGCCTCTTCAGTGGCTGCTGCAGGTTCGGTGGCAGCGGCCTCTTCGGTCACGGCTGGCGCGGCCTCGACAGCGGCGGCAGCCTCTTCGGTAGCTGGTGCAGCAGCGGCAGCCTCTTCCTTGGGCTCAACCTTCTCTTCCTTCTTGCCGAATCCTCCAAAGATAGATGTGCGCTTGCGGGATGCGCTGCGGCTCTTGCGGGACTTCTTCTCCTCTTTCTTCTCTTCCTTCTTTTCCTCCTTAGCCTCGGCAACTTCTTCCTTCTTGTCTTCCTTAACCTCCTCAGACTTCTTGACGGGTGCAACTACGACGGGGGCGACGACAACTGGCTTTGTCAAGGTGGTGTGGCTCGTCTTGTACTCCTCGCTCGCCTTAACTAACTCGACAATAGACTTGGCATCCTCAACTTTGGTCTTCAAGACGGATACCCAGTTATCGCGCTCCTTGAGGTGGGCAGCCTGGAAAGTGTGCTTGTGTCCACCAGAGACGAAGCGGAACTCGACGGTACCCTCTTCGGCAATATCAGTGACATCGGACTAGGGGGGTAGATTAGTACAATAATTTTGAGCAGCTCGCAGGGTGTGTACATACCAAGTTGAAGATGCCAGCTGGGCTGGACTTCTCGCTGGCTTTCTTGCTGAAGAACAAGAGACCCCTTCCGGTATGCGAAGCCCAAGCGGCGTTGTGGTTGGCAGCCTCGGTGTCCTTCTCTCCACGCAGGTAGCTGCCGAGGGCCTTGGTCTCGATAGCAGTGGTTCCAAACCAAAAGAATTTCTTCTGGAAGATGAAGCCCCTAAAGTAAAGTTAGTATTGGGTGGTCCTTGAATGCCAATGATAGCTCGTGCTAGCTAAGACCGATGGTGCAAACAACAAGCGATACGCGTGAGCACACGCGCACCTTCCTGGTTTGCACCATTTGCAATCAACGGCCTCTGCGCAAACCACAGATGCAAACTCGGAACGAATTTGCTGCGGCGCGCTGAGAAATGAAGGGAAAGAGTAAAATGCAAGCTTACTTGAGTAGACCAGGTCCTTTGTATCCTAGGACGCCCTCCTCGATGGGCTTCTGCTCCTCCTCCTTAGCAGCCTCCTCCTCAGCAGGGGCGGCGGCCTCAGCAGCAGGCTCGGTGGCAGCCACCTCGGGCTCTACAACAGCTGGAGTGGTCTCTGGCACATTCTCCACAACTGGAGCAACAGCCTCAGTGGCAGCAGCAACAACAGGCGCCTCAACGGGCTTTTGAGCTTCAGACATGGTGAAGTTCGGCGGGTAGAATTCACTAGTAGATGCGTGTGGACGAAGGTATTAGAGATGGAACAAAGATCTCTGATCGTTGAAGGGTATATGTGGAGGTGGATGGGGTAATATGGGAGAGAGCTGGTGGTGGAAGAAAGAAAAGAAGACGGGAAGACAAGACGCTGGGAGATTTATTTGTATTTGCTGGGGCTGCAAGGGGGCGTGCGGCTAGCGAGATGAGGGCCTCTCGGGGCGCCTCAGTATCAAGGCCGCCAGAGAGCCCAAGGGCCCCAAGCCTCCGCCAACCGCGATCTTTTATTGCCTCCATGAGCCCAGTGCGACATTGCAGTTCTACACTGCTACGTACCAAGTACGAGGGACCCAGGGGGCGTAGTTGTATATATTTCATATCTCGACAATTACATCACATCTTCAAAGCAGTATATATTCCCAGAGGAGCTCCTCTGACCCCGTGTTGCTGTGCTCGTCGACCGTTTCTCCTGAGTCCCGAGTCCTGATACAAACAACGCCTCCCCCGAGCTGCACTCCTCCCGTTATACGAAAAGATGATATGTTATTACTATTCTTCCCCCGAAGGACGATCACATCCACACCCCTCCCTCGCCACCAGAACGCCATCCGGAGTCGCTAGATCGACGTGATTGATCATGCGAACATCGGCTGGTGCAGTTCGGCATCGAGGATTGGAGAATCTGCCTCTGACCAGCCAGTTATCCAGCGTCTATTGGCCCAGGACAATGGGCCTTGGCCTCTCTGGATTGCTCAAGGCATGGCATGGCATGGCAGCAGAGCCAAGGGCGGCGTTGCCCAGTATGCGAACTGAATCGAGAAGCATCCACTCTATCTTTGCATCCGCCATCGAACGTCCAGCGTCATGATCTCATCTATTAATCCTCCCGGTGTCGTGCTCCCCTCGCCCCAGGCTCACCGTCCTCCCGTGCTGGCTGTGAGATTGGAGGAAGGGCGCCGGTGGGTTACGTGTGCATACTCTTCCTTGCCATGCTCGATATCTTCACCCCCTTGGTGGACAGCGCGGTGCTTTACATACAGTACCTGGGTGGTCTAGACACCAAATATACGCCCACACCCAAGCCCAAGCTCCAAGAGTCCAAGCTGGTCCCGGAGGGCAGAGCAGTCCTGGCACTGGCGCTACTACTGTACTGTATTATTTTTGCACAGTCTTTTTCTCCGGCGCAAGGGAAAGTACTGGGCGCGACAGGCCTCGAGAGGATCCTATCATTTTCTGGCGACGGAGTACGAATATCCTGCCAGCAACCAGCCGCCCTAGGGCGAGGGGCGTGTCGACGACGCCAATAATGCTATGCGCATCAACATCAAAGCTTCCTGGTCGCCCCGCCAAAGCTCCCGAAGAAGACTTCGGGAAATTTGACGCCGGCTCAAATACGGAACTAGAACCCAGCTCATTTTCTTTCGCCTCTGAAAATTGCAGTGTTGCCCCGAACATAATGTGGAGACAGTGGGCTCTTCCTTGGTGTATTTTCTTGTTGACCTGGCTGGCCAGCCTACAGGATCCATTAATTCTCAGTCATCAGAGGGTGCGAGGACTTCGTACGTAGGGTTGTTGCTGGAGGAGTTGGCACTTAGGTCAGGGGGAGACAACTTCAAGGTTCGATCCGCAACACTTCAAAACGTTAATTCAGGACCGTCCACCCAAGCGTATGAGGCGAGGTCCACACGGTCGTCGGCATAAAATCATGCCTAGGTGCTTCGTACTTACCAACCAAATCTACCTGTGACAAACAGGAATTTTGTTTCGTTTCAGGGCGGCCGCACTACCGATACTTTCTTCATCTTCGACAGGATGGCCTGGCTGTGCTCTGGGCCTGTGGCTGCTCTTGAACCTCGGACGTCTCACAGAACGGCGCTTTCTTTCCCTTCATCAATAATAATCTCCCTGCCTCCTGACTTTCTCACATCCAGCCCCGGCACAACGCCAGCACTAGCGCCAGCGATGCCCCATCGACGAGCATATCAGCAGCTGCACTACGGACCAGCACCTGAGCGCAGTTCACCAACAGGTCAGCCTTGACCGAGCTCCAGCGACATGGTGCAGTACCGGATTCTGTGCTATCCTCGAGAGGACTAGGCCCAGCCGCAACTCGACTACACATGTACTTCGCAATAACAATGTGAGACAGGTCGGCACCCTGAACCCGACTTCCAGGAATCCAGGAGCCCTGAGTCGCAACTTCAGACGCCCAGTCATATCCTCGCGCTACGAGATCGCAGTTTCTCCCTTTGGACGAAATAACAATACTCTGTGAGACTGTGACTCTCGACTCGAGTTTTGGGTGGTTCAAGTCTGGCATATCTGGCATGCCCTGCGGCGGACCTTGGCAACTCGAGGCGCGAGGGAAGTTGAACTCGTACCACAGTTTCCAAGTTAACCTGCAGTTGATGCGAGGGGCCGAGGAATGTATTTGCTGCCCTCAGCCCTCCATCCTCCACCAGTGAGTCGATCCCAAATTAGCGGGGTATAAATATCAGCCAGATCATGTCATAATGCGTCTCAAAGCCCAATCCAAAAGCATATGCTCCAAGTCTCCTGCAGGACCCTACAACGGCCACTCTGCATTGGTACTCACTCCTGCACGGCTGTCGACGGAGTTGTACTCGATACGCTGTCCGCTTGCCCACTTAGTACTGAAATACGTAGGCTAATTTGCAACGCGCTGCAGGATGACATCCTACAAGTCGATGCAGCGTATCATGAGACGCACAATGGCGCGGTGATCCCAATACACCGCCAAGCCAAGATAAGCCACCACTTTTAATTCGCAGATGATTTTCAGGAGAATTAAGACGAAGTAACCTTAACTCTATATTGTGTTTCCACGGGTTTCTTTGGATGGTTTTTGCCTGGCGTCTGTTAATTAATGTTCAAAAAGCTGGCGGTGCCCTACTTCTACCGTCTTTAGGAATGCCGCTGGTATAAAGTAGTATCGGCCACCTCCCAAATTGATTTTTGTTCTTGCCCTTGCCTCGCTGCAGTAGTGCCATTAGCTCTATCAAGTAACCGTGTCTTTGCGAAATGTTTCAGCCAGTTTGTGATTGTATCACGTGTTTGAGACTGCTTCTAACGGACCAATTTGTATCAAAATTGAGAGTTTCATAGTAATCGTTTCAGAGCAATGCAAGGGAACTCGCACGTTCGTAGGTAGCATAAGGTATCTTGATTTGATTTTGATTCTAGAATGGTTTAGTTGCCAGATATTGAGCACTTATTCGTTTCATCATTCGTACTGGCTTTTTTACTGTCCGTCTGTATTGTTGTTCCAAAAAGTGTTACTCCTTTACAGGTTTATAGTCTGTAAGGGGATGTTAATGAATATATATCCGAAAGAGAACAACATCAGCGAGTATAATCCTACTGTAATTGTGGGGTTTCTTGGAAGAGCGAGTTGATATGTTTTCCCCTTTTCCAGCACCTTAGGCAAGAAACATCCTATCATGGTTTACACAAGTGCGCACAAACTACCAAGTGGTTCCCTTAGTATATTCCAACAAGTGGATTTGTTTAATAGCAAGAATGAGTGGTTCAGTTCATCACGGGACGAATACAAAATCTCGAAATATCTTAAAGCGGATCTCTTTCCTGACCGCCCGGCCTCGTAGTGAATCACTTAACAACTTGAGCAGCATCCACTGGCAATAACTATTAAGGCCCCCAGCCTTGTAGTGAATCACTTTTTAACAATACAATTAGCGTCCAATAACTGTTACCGCCCTCACGCACAATGGTTAACCGAATTCTTCGAATTTGACCTTTCGCCTTCCCTTCCTTTTCTCTCCAAACTCTCTTTCCCCTCTCAACCTCCACTCCTTTCCCCTCTCAACCTCCACTCCTTTCCCACTACAACAACTTTGCTTTGCACATTTGCTTTACACGTTTGCTTCACAACCTTGCTTCACAACCTTGCTTCACAACCTTGCTTCACAACCTTGCTTTGCAACTTGCTCTGCAACTTGCTCTTGCTTCACAACTTTGCAGTACAACTTTGCTTCACAATTTGCTGTACAACTTTGCATGTCAACTTTGCATGCAACCAATTGCCTATCAACTCAAAGCAGTCTGTGTCTTTCGCGATCTACGGTATGTTGAGAACCAGAGAGACCTCTTTCACACAAATCTCCAATCTGCTTAACCATAACCCCTTATGGTTATCACCTTTGTCTTCCCAACTTCATCTCTTCATAGTAGTAGTCCCTTCGCAGTGATCTGTTCATCACCACTCGTTGACTACACCTGTCTCACAGGGAAGAGTGGAGTGGAAGTGCGGTTGCCATCGATGCTTTCCTTTTACGTGGCACTTTGAGTCTCGCTTAAATATTCTCCTAACATTACCCCTTTTCATTGTCGCCAGCCTGGGTATTTCATTGCTAACATGAACTTTCAGCATTGGAGCGACGCCGGACCGCCGAAAGAATCATTTGGATAGTGCACTTTTGGCTTTGGTTCTTCTTCATCTTGGAGAACAACAACCTTGCCTGATTGAACTGTCCAGCTCACTACAGCAAGAAACAAGTTACGAACAGCCTGCGTATTCTGGATAAAGACATCACTCAAAAAAGGTAAGAACCACTCCGTCATTGCTTCGTTTCTAGTGAGACATTCAACTTCCAAATGTCTTACTCACTTCCCTGCCTTCACCATTTCCAAGCCAAAGCTAATCATCAATTTTAGTATCTTGACAGCAACTGCCAGCATGCCACCGGCCAAGAACGGGGGCTGGGGAGGTGGTTATTCTAATAAGGGGAAGTCAGTTGCGTCGCATAGCACCAAGGGGTTCGCCGCCACGCAGCAGAACAGCGACAGGTCAACTAGAGGTCATAATATGGCGAAGTCGGTTGGAGCACGGGGCTCCTGTGTCGAATGGGGTGGCAGCAATACCACCGCAGAATGGGATACCTGCTCGCCAGTTAAAGACTGGGAGGCCATCAAAACCGCCGCTGAACAGGTTCCGAAAGACGCTACCCCAGCATGGGGCATCAGTGAAGAGACTGGAGCAAGTGCTGAAAATTGGGGAAATTGTGACTATTTGACATATGCGACTGAAGAATGGGTCGACACAAGACAGCCCAAGACAGTAGAGGAGCTCATCAAGGAGAGAGTGGACAAAGCCCTGGAAGGCTGGCCCTGGGTGGGCATACCTTCCAAGCTGATGACATTGGTATGGGTCGCTTCAACATGCCTCTCTTGTGGGTTTACAAATACTGACATGGAAACAGGGCCCGATCAAGATTAACTTATATCCTGATGACCAGAAGCCTGGTGAAGCCAACCCTACTCTCATTGCCCCCGCTGCTGAAAGAGAGTATTGTCCGCTGTTCGATCTGCTGTTTAGCAACCGATTGATCCTCGATAAAGTTATGGGTTACGTCTGCCAAAGCCACGATAGTCAGTGGAAGTTCATTGCAACCTGCAGTACGGCCTGGAATTTGATCCGGCCGGAGGTTGAAGGAACCGTTACAGTACGTTTCATAATTTGCTATAACACGGAACCATTCACTTACCTCGTTTGTTAGGAGCTTTGGGATATGTCGACTGGCAATTTCAACGGTTGCGATGAAGATGTCGGAGCCTCTGTCAGGCCAGTGCTCGTGATCGCTCCCATCCGAATGAGCGGCTCCCCACTCGATTATACGGGCCAAATCAAGAATTTATATGCCATGTGTAAGTTCCCTATACCTCCATGCTATGGAAAGGAGCTAACATAATCATGAAGCCCTTGCGACCAACAACGTCGCAGACAATATTAGAAATATCCAATTCCATCGGATTCCATTCCTTACCACCAACCTTCTGGATCTTCTTATCCCGAAAATGCGGAATCTCGAACATCTTGGCGTCTACAAATGCGAATTAATCCACTTCGGAGATACCCTGACACTCATGGATATCATCAAGATTGATCGTCCTCTTGAGAAGAAGCATTCAGTGAACCTTGACTTCTATCCTAATTTCCATCGAGGCCCCATTCCTGGCCCTCAATATTATGCCGGTCCTTATGGTGTGACCTGGGATAACTGGAATGGCAACTCCCTCTTGGGTATCTGGTGCATGATGTCATCAATTCTCCCAATTGCTCGTAGGCAGGGAATCGACTTCACCAGCAAGGGAACTATGTTCCGAAAATGGCTCGACGATGGACCATGCTGGCGCATCGAGGAGACCACTAAGGCTCTTTTGGACCCTACGTATGATACCACAGCACTAGCCGCTCTAGTCGACTGCAGCAATCCCCAGCATCACGGAAGCGTACGCTTGTTTACCGGACACATCGGCAATCGGCCAGAAGGTTACAAATGGACAACCGAGAAGTTCCCTTGTTTTAACTGCCGTGCACATCGTTTAGGGATCTTTTTCTGGTACGGCTATATTCGTGAAGCCCGGATGCATGGCGGGTTCGATAATAACTACCCCGGCCTCAAATGTTATGGTTGCCTTCTTGACGGTATCCTCCGCGGCGAACAGGATCATTATAAGGTTTACAAGCAACGCATCATTCAACACTGGCTTATCGACAGCTCTCCTGATAATTCCTATCCTTCGGAATTTAACAAAACCGACCTTCCGAGAGCACTCCGCGAGTTCACCGAGAAGAACGTTGCGCAACGGGCATCGAGACTTCAAGCAGCGAGAGATGCTCATATTGCTCGATTCGGATTCGATCGTGAGACCCAGGAGAGACAGAAGGCCTTTACGCATAAAGAATTGAATACCAAGTACGGTATGCGGATGCGGACTCCTCTTGTTTGGGACAAGAATAGCGACCCAAAGACCAAGGTCTACAAGAACCCTGGTGACGCTGAGTGGGACTGTGCTCCGCATAGCACCAGTACTATGTTTGCCCATGGTAGATGGTGAGAGCTGATAGCATGGGGATTTGCTCCTGCTCTTCTTGAGCCTTGTCGTTGGCCTTTCCAACGTTGCGAATCACCCCCTATCTTCACACACATTGTGTGCCCGCCTCTCGAATTCTTACATCCATGCATCATACAAAAATTTCACTTCTTCGGTCTGGATATTAGGAAGTGGGATTCGCCGGCTCTTTTTTGAGCCTTGGACAATAAAGCCACTCCTGGTTTTTACGCCCTTGCGAATCGCATCCACGCATATACTTTCGTATTACGTGCGTTCCTTCAATACATTCAACCGCCTTTTTACCAATAATACCAACTTTTTTTCTCTTTCAATCAAGTCATCATAGCAAAGCACAGTCGCATTTCCTCTCGTAGAGGACTCATACATCAACAAAAGAAAAACAAAAAAACAAAAATTGCATACGCGATTTCCTTTGCTTTACAGTCATACACGCGCGCGCCTTATGCAGATTGCGCACTGGGATGGAATAGATAGTGCGGCTATTCCGTCAATGCAATGAAATTTCCTTGAATATTTGTTCCAGTGACTCGTAGTGTAACCGATATTAATCTTAACCTCCATCCCCAAATTCCGCTCCGTCCTTCATGACCTTCTATTATATATCTATCTCCCTGTTTAAGTTTACCGGACCAGCGGCAGGATATGCTTATAGATGGAGTTTAATATCTAATAATTATAAAACATTTTCATTTTCCAAAAGCTTCAATATATATATTTTCAGGGAGTTGAGAATTATTGAAACGCCCAGCTTTACAAAAACCGCACACAAACATAATAAGGGAATAAAGCTTATTAGCACGGATGCAGCATATTTAAACCCCAAACCTGGGAGACGAGGTAAATTCTTTTAAGCTTTTAGGGATTCTTTTTGTTTTGCATCATATTCTATGCTTTTTAATGGGGTGGTGAAAGATGGCTCGCTTGGGTTTTGTGGGGGCGGAGCGATGGGCTGGTTGAGATTATGTGTATTCTAAGGTCCTGTGCCTGTGTGCTGCCCTGGCGGGATGGGCCGATACGCCTTAGACTGATATCCAACGCTATACTGCGTCACTCCTTTACACCCCTTGACCCTGACTGATTCTAAGTCTTCGACCCAGTGCCAACCAAGTTTGAGGCTATAATACCCACGCGATGAGGTTGCGAGGAAATACTTCCAACGCTCTACTTGAATAATCGGACGAGGAAGCGGAGGATGCGATGCGTGATGAGTAGGTCGAGACGATGGTTATGTGGGAGGAGACGTCAGGATGCTTTTGATTAAGAGCCGTATGTGATACGGGAGAAAGGAGATGGATGAGATTATGGGAGGCGTCCTGATTGAGTGATGATTGGCTTGGTTCATGCATATTTTAATGATATTTATCGCTGCGGCTGAGGCGAACAGTGCAAAGCCTTCTCACCAGCCGTCAGCCTTCAGCCTTCAGCCTTCTTCGACATTCAGAAATTATCTCTCGTTACTTCGCTAATTGACCGATGAAGTTCTGTTACAGATCTTCAGATCTCTATTCTGAGTATTCTGACATCCTTGCCATTTCCTCTGAGGCAACCCCGACCGGTTGTCCATTTCGCCCGCGCAATGGTATTATTTGTCCAACCCGTGACAGTGGATTTAAGGAGCTAATTGCATCATAGGCAACCTCTTCCTTTTCGGAAATACCATGTGACCTCTTCGTTCGAAATCCGTTACTGAACTTTGAATCCCAAGCTCAATTAGAGAAGCTCGTGGACATTGTTGTAGTCAGCCTGACTGAGGTGAACTGGCTGAAGGATCCTGGTCTGTCTCGCGACGCGTTACCAAATGCGCGGATTCTTTACTTCAACTACGTGATATCTAAACGATCGACGGGCGCCCCCTATACCGTAAAAGATATAGCCAAGAGATTCCTGAAGCAATTCCTGTCTATGAGATCGGAATGCCCTCTTCGTCCAATCGTCTTCGTTGGACATTGCATTGGAGGTCTTGTTATTCAAAAGGTATTGGGATGTCTACCATCTTGAGTGGCACTGAACTTATATGCTCTAAAATCTGTAGGCTTTGGTTTCGAAATCACCATCCTTTGCTTCAAGCTCTAGCATATCTAGGGTCACGGCTGGAGTTATCTTTTTTTGTACTCCAGATGTCCTTAAGCCAGATACGCAAGCGTTACTTCCATTTAAGCAAGAACTTGAACAACTGGCCAAAGAATACTACGACTTTCTAGCCTTGATCAATAGGCTAGCATTTCTTGTGCATTCGTTTTACGAAATTGACGGAGCCAAAATTGTGGTTAGTAGACATCTTTCAGAAAGTTTCTAAGTTCCTTCGTAGGCTTGTAGCTGATCTTTAAAAGAGCCCAACCACCTCGGGCGGCCCTGACACGCCCTCTACTATCATTCCTGGGTTCTCTTCGAAGGCTATTTCGACAGATCCTGCCGCATTAGGCAAGTCTGGCGGCAGTGCGGAGTCATTGTTCCGAGAAACTCACGAAGCAGTAAGATACTTCATTCAGAAAGCCCCGAACATGGTTTCAGCCAGGCTAGACGATACAACCTCCAGACACACACGCCCTCAGTTGGCACCCCAAGATAAAGAGCTCCTGCAGATGCTCTCTCATATCAATTGCAAATCAATCCTTGACCTTAACCTGGGCAATCTCCTCAGGGGCTATGGCTCTTGGATCTTGCACGACGCTCAAACTACGAAATGGCTCAATGAACCGAAGTCGCAGGTTCTTTGGCTACATGGAGATGCGGGAGTAGGGAAGACAGTGGCATCCACGTACCTGATTCAGGAATTGATCTCTATCCAGGAGCTGCGAGACAAAATAGATGTGAAAACCGCACAAGAACCGCAACATAGTGGAAATCTCATAGCATATTTCTTCTGTCAACGCACTGAATCGGATCAACAATCCGCGACTATTATCTTGAGCAATCTCTTGCAACAGCTCCTGCAACAACGGCCCGACCTCATCGGGCTTTTCCGCGACAGATTCAAGGAACGGCGGGAGCTGGCTTACCTAGGGTTGAAGGAGCTGTGGACTCTCATAGAAGAAATTCTGCACCATCACTCGGTCAACACTGCCTACCTCGTAATCGAGGGTCTAGATGAATGCAGCCATTTACGTGATGAACTTATACGGCTGCTACAGCCCTACATCGATGGTATACCACAACATATCCGCCCTCCACTCGATAGACAAGCATCACATGACGGGTCGGCTCCTCCATTGCACCGTAAGTACCTCTTTGAATTCACCTGTTTTTTAAGATGGCCTGACAAGATTCAGTACGTGGGGGAAGTGGGCGCCCGCCCCCTCCGCCCCCAGGTTGGAGACGCCCTGGTGCTGAACAATATATGCCCGAACCCCCTCCTCTTCCCCCAGGTTGGCAACTCCCTGCTTCTGCACACTATATGCCAAGGCCTCCCCCTCCACCCCAAAATTTTCGAACTGGGGCCCCAATTCTACAGTCTATGCAACGACAGAGGTACAATCTACAAACCCCTTATTTTTTTGTCACGACGAATGCTGGTGTGCTGTTATTCTTGAAATAATGCCCAAAGTATTTTGAGACATTCAGGACCGCGCCCTCAGTATAACTTTTTACCCCTTAGAAATGCTGACAAGATTGTTTAGGCCGCAGACCAACTCCACACAAACAGTGGAGATCACACCTCCGGTGTTCTCAACAGCAGAAGAGTGCCAGACGAGACTAACATCTTATAAGTTGTTTAGCATTAAGAAAGCTGCTCCGCTGAATTTGCAAGAAAGGCCGAGCTGGGTAAGAGCTGAAATCATCGAAGAGCATTTACCGCAAGAAGATATTTCCAAGCTAATCAAGAAACTGAACGAAGCTGGCCTTTCTGCGGCAGAAAAGAAAGCCGCATTAACTCCATTCCAGCAAATACAAATTGCTCGTCTTCTGGATGATGTAACTGCTGGTGAACGTGATCCAAATTTTGTGTGGGCACTCGCACAATTCGATAGGGCGGAGAGAGTGGTTAGATTGGGTTTGAGGGAAACTACAGAACTTAGAGTCTACTTGCAACGTTCTCCTCTGGATGGCCTCGACCCAATTGTCCTGTGGAATAATATAGAGAGGCACAAGGCGACTAGCCAGGGATTCCAGGTTGGCGGCGGACGCTATGTTGCCGGTGTCGAAAGAGTACCCATCAAGCTAGCGAACAAGGCCAAAATGTACGACGACGAATCAAGCATTCTGTCTGTCAGGTCTGGAACTGTTGCCGAATATGCTCGATATCACCGTAATCCTCCGCGTAGGAGGCCGATTAGGATGGGCCGAAGACTGAGAGAGGTGCTTCGTTCTAGGAGGCGGAGACACAGAAAAGCCAGGGGCGGTACTACTTCTGGTTCAGAAATCGACGAAATCGACTGGAGGACCGATATTTCCAGCTTGTCATCGTACAGTAACATCACTCAGGATGAAACGAAGACTGAAAGAGGGAAATCTGATGAGGGGAGAGTCTCACACAGTCCATTGGCGGCCCGTCAGCCAAACTGGACTACCAGAATTTGCATTTTCATTACTAGCAGAAATGACGAATACTTAACACAGCAGCTAAGTAAGGCTCTGGAAATCTCAATCAATCTAAGTGTGGAAGAACAAATCAGGAGGCTCATCGACCGCTATGTCCCAAAGCTGCTAGGTCTAGACCAGGTATTCGTGGATAAAGTCAAGAAACAGCTTGTTGAAAGAGCACAAGGACGCTTGCCTTGGATAAAGCTGGCTATAAGGGAACTTAATAAGATGGCAACGAGCGATAACCTCATACCATTTTTGGGCACAATACCAAGTCAGTTTGAAGGTTTCTACCAGCTTTACCTAACTAGGGATTCTGGATTGAGAAATAAAGTGGAAAGGGCTGTCTTAACATCCATGTTACTGGCGATGCGGCCGTTAAACGGTTCTGAATTACACTTCCTGACAAGATTGTCTGGGTTGGCTGAGGGAAGTTTAGACCCTAGTTCAGGGCTTGAAGCTTATATTGAGGCCACCGGCCCCTTTCTCGACATCTCCCTTGAAGGCAGGATTTGGTTCATACATGACACAGCAAGGCAATCGGTGGGCGCAATCCTCCAAAGTGATGGGATCGACTTAGAGTCCCTTCATGCCGTAGTAGCACGGCATTGCTTCAAACATATCTCCAAGCCTAATGCATGGGCCGATCGGAATTCACATCTGAACTACTCTATAGGTTTTTGGATGGATCATTGTCGGTTGGCATCGGGAAAGACAGTGTTCAGCGACAGTTTAAGTAATGAATTCTTCCAGAAGAGTTCGGAATTGAGAGAAAAGTGGTTCGATGCATACTGGAGAATCAGGTATCCGAAGGAGGACAAGCCATATGGATTCACGCTTCCTCATGTAGTTGCTGAATCGGGGTATTATCAGCTTTTACAGCAGCTACATGAGCAAGGGGACTGGTTGGAAGACTTCAATTCACTGGACTCACTTGGGAATATGCCTTTGCATTGGGCAGCGAGAAATGGCCATTTGAAGGCTGTGGAATTACTGTTGATGGTGACAGATGATCTCGACAGAGTGAATATGGACCAATTGACCCCGTTACACTTTGCTGCCATTGGAGGACACTGCGATATCGCAGAATGCCTCATACTTAGAGGTGCAAACGTCGATTCGAAGGCAAGAAATGCCACGACGATATTACAAAGTGCTGCTAGCGAAGGACACCAAAAGATGGTAGAAATCTTACTTGCAGAAGGAGCGTTTATCGATGCTACAGATATGGATGGCTACAGAGCTCAGCACTTGGCTAGGAAATATGGACATATTGCAATTGCCGAGATGCTCCAAAAATATGAATCTAGAATGATATCCACGGAGTCGTTACCGGGGACAACGCGAATTGACGGAGGCTTCATTGGGACGGTCGTTGACTTTGTCCACTCAGGTCGTTATTTCCACAAGAAGATTTCTGTGGACAGGATGCTTTCGAACGAGAGCTTTGATAGCATTATGACTGGTGCGAAGGGAGACCTTCGGCCAGAAGCGGAGGATACTGAATCGGGATTTGAGAACCCAGATCCTAGGAAAGTAAGATGGCTGCATCTTCCGGCAAACAATGTGAGTTGAGATAAGTCCGTGGTTTTCTCCTTCAAGTCCTATGCTGACTAAATCACAGATGAGATGGGTAGAGGTGAGTGGTATTACCCCTGTGGTGCTCCGATCTCAAACTGACTGGGCGAAAGATTCTTATGAACAAACAGTATCGCGACCTCGAGATGCCAGAAGCTGCAAGAGCAATTCTACGACCAGAGGCATGGGCTGACAGACAGCACCGACCGGGAAAATCAATCGTCCACGGACGATTTATGAAATCGGGCAGCCAGAAAGTCTCGACGAGTAAGTGCAACCATCAAATGTGTCTCACTAACTAGGGCTCAATTAACTGAGCTTATCAGGAATTTCACCTAGAAGGCATGAGTCTCAACAAGATTCTGGAATGCTCCTCACGGCGAGTTCTATGTCGAACTCTCATTCTTTTCACATATTAACGTATTGTAGATGCCGTATTTAAACTGGGCGACTGAGGACGAGAGAAAGAAGCTAAACCGTATTATAAAGGAGGTGACTGAAGCTAATCAGAGCAGTAACAACTCAGGTCCCAACGTTGCTTCAGACAAGCCAGATAGGTATGAGAGACTAGTATGGAAATATGTATACGATGAGCATCCACTTCACGTTCGGCGGACTCTGGATCAATCGTATTACAGCACTTTGCACAGTACCGAAACACGAGACGTGGACCAGATTCCCTACAAATACTTTCATCAACACTTTGAAGAAAGTACTATGCATCCCGTATTGATGGTTGATCAACTTTGGCTATGGGTTCTTGGCAAAGGTGATAATTCTGTGATTTCGCTTTCGATCGAGCTAATTTCTTCGCAGATACTGTCATTACGAGCTTTCCCCAGCGGTGGACCGAGTCAAAAAGGGATAGTTTCGATGCCGATAACAAGACGGATGTACTCGAAACCATCATTCGAAGTGTGGACAAAAACGAAGCAGCTATCCCAGACGGATATGAATTGGCCAAATTTATCATAAATGCATGCGCAAGCCTCTGTTTTGCAGTTACGCTTTCCCACCAAGGAACTCTTCCTTTCCCCGGGTGTTATGAAACCGTCATTGGCGAAGTGGTACGCAATCCTAAGTGTTTTCTTCTTTTCTATATACGTACTCATTTTCTATTAGGCTGATGCAGAAACTCATCTTTTCCGAGAGTTCACCCAAGCTGTTGTAACTGAAGCCGAGGAAGCCACCAAAGAAGCCGCTAAAGGGAAAGTAAAATCCGACCTTAAGATCAATGAGAAGGTCTTCAGCATCCACGAAGAAACCAAGCAGCTTGAACTTATCAAGGACGTGAGGGATGAATTGAACATGATCCTAATGATTTTACGAGACCAATTAAAGGCCGTCGATGAATCTGAGAATGTTTCCTCCGTCAAAGTAGCCTCCTTGCATGATAACATACAGTTGCACGAGAGCGAAATCCTGCAGCTCGATCGCCGGGCCGAGAAAGTCTACATAGCAGTAAGTAAGTGCCTTAACTTAGATGGCATATTGAAAACTAAAAGTTATTTTCCAGCTTAAAGATCTTCTTGATCTCAAACAAAAGCAAGCAAATGTCGCCGAGGCACGCTCCCAAAGACACCAAGCCGAGGAAACTACCACGCAGGGAAAAGCAATCCTGCTCTTCACTATTATCACCATCATCTTTGTAAAGCATTATTAACCATCCGAGCAAAAGCGCTTCCGCTGACCACTCTATACATAGCTGCCCCTCTCATTCCTATGCTCGTTCTTCGCTATCCAAATTGTTGAATTCCCGACGCTCACGCTCAGCTTCGTGCTGCGATACATGTGTACGTACAGTACACCAACTTTCAACATACCTAACAAGCATACTTACTTGAGCATAGTCCCTATATCAGCAGCTATCTCCGTACCGTGCATTATAGTGGCTTTGAATTTTGACGCGATATCGAAACTCGAGGTTCCAAAGTGGAGTTTTCCGAAATTGTGGACTAAGAAAAGCACCAAAAGAGCGTCTCGTAAAACAGATTCTGGGAAAGATGTTGAGAAGGCGTTGACGGGTGTGGAGGGAAGTAGGGAAAGATCTGGGTCGCCTCAATCAACGAATAGTGGCTCGTCGATATTGAGTCGTGATGGGACTTCGAGACGGACGAGAGTGTGATACATGGCCTGTTATATAGCATCACTTTTACGAATGCCCATGACATCTAATATAATAGGATATTACAAATCCAAGCAAGAAGAACGAGACCCAATTCGTGCAGAAAAGGGATTTTTATTACTTCTCCTGAGATATGCACATATCCTTTCGGGAGTTAGTTGGGATTTTAGTTTTAGTGGGGGCGGGGGTGATGTGGTGGGTTGAGATTATGCGCGCGCGAGGAAGAGTGGTTTGATTTTATTTGTTTCAGCGGGTTGATACTATTGAATTATCCCGCGATTATGTACTCCGTATGTATGTACCTTATGTACGGGAAGCAAATAAAAAGCACGAGCACTTTTCTCGTCGTCATATGTCCTAAGCGCCGAGATTCCAAATCCATCCCGTACACAGGTTTAAATCTGCACTTGGACTTTTATGGGCATAAGAGCAAAAATGTGTGATTGGGTTTTTCAAAATCAGGTGATTGATTTATGTTCAGCAAGAAAATTGCCATATGTGATAAATAAATAAAACAAGACATATAGAAGGATGACGATGCTAAGCTTTTTCACGCTGTCCTATAATGGCTGGCTGATATATCTCGTGATTTGGAAGCATTGCATAAGCAGTCCGTGAGTACTGTAGCTAACCTGGTACGTACTTCATAGGCCGTCTCTTAGTCCGTTCGCTGTCCACAAAGAGTAATTTAATATGGAGGAGCGATGTGCAACAAAACTATTTTGTGGAGATGCTATAGGTGGCTCGATAATGGGTGATATCATGTGGGCGACTTAAGTAGGTAGGTGGTATCTTAGCTACGTAGGTTGGTTTTACCAAGTAAGAACCTAAAGCCAATTTGTGTGCACGTGGGATTGAGTTGAGGTTATGTCGGGAAGGTATTTGGAAGAGGTTGTAAGGCGATTTCCTTGGCTTGCTGGATTGAGGTGATGGGAATGAAGACATTTTGTTTTTTAGAAGGTAAATATGCTGAAGAAACAGAGGCCGGGTCATGTGAAGTGGGAACGCCACGACTACTCCGTACCTGGTATGGTATAGACTGGTATAGAATTGCGCTGCCTATTTGGAAAGTTGCACAGGACATGAACATGCGGCTTAGCCAGCTACTTTAGCGGGCAGTTAGAATTAGAAACGATTGCAATCTGTGGAACGTAGGGCGACTATGAATAAATACCCAAGGCAGACGTCGGAGAGAAGCGGAAGCGGACTGCAAGTAAATGAAAGCCTCTATTTTTGAGGAGTGGCTGGCTGTCGCATGCTCACTTGATGGACAGCTTCGACAGCATCACGGCACTTGACACGGACAATTAATAGCTTATGCCTCTCCGTGGCAAAGAAACTTTATACGAAGTAGGGAGCCCGCGATACTATCCTCCAGATATTGGATTAAATATATCCAAACCCGCCTGCCAATAAACTGACAAGCTTCGTGTGTGGAGACGAACTACGTCAAAGATAGATCTGACTAAGGGCTCGCACGGATCTATCCGTTGTCTGGGGGAGCAACGCTGAAGCCAAGCAAAAGTTCAATATCAAGGCACCGAGTTATTTCTGAACGGCGGGGACAAAAAGGCATCGTATCGAGCCGCAAAGGGGTAAAACGAGCCAGCGACACGGTTCCCAGCGCTGAAGATATGCGCTGGAGAAATGGGCAGCTTCGAGATGGGGGAGGGAGAAGGCGGTAATGTAACCCACCCGACGCTATAAAAAGGGATGGTGGAAGCGAAGCACATGGGCGAGACATAATAATACAGGACTCTACAGCAGCATGGCACTGTACATGTACATGCCATTCTCCGGTGAACCCGGGCGGTTGCTGTAGTGTGCAGCGGAGGAGGTACCAGTGGAACGGATCGTGTGGATGTACCGACTAATGTTGCCAATGATCATGGCGATCCCCATTCAGCCGTGAGGGCTGCGAGGTTCCAGTTACTCGAGTACTCTATGGACCTGCAAACTTGTATTCTGCCAACCGATGCTGATGGGATGACGATGCTCACGAGAAGCGCAGGGACCCCCCCCCCCCAAGGCTGACGGCGGCGATGCGTTATGCAAGTAATTATTTCGAGGGAACATCTGTCGATAAGAGGTGCTGAGCATGGGGCACTGGGTGAATATGGACACTGGGCCGAGGCGGATAGCATAAGAGATGTACATGTACTAATGATGGAAGATTATTAGATTAAGAGGAGGTGGACTTGATTTCTTGGTGCGGTATCAGCATGTTCGAGTAGCCACAATGAAGAATAGTGTAGTAACTTCGTCGGTAGCATGTGCTGGAGGAAGATCAAATAATGCGACGGTGTGATTGCCATCCCAATGGGCTGTGTAGGCGCCTAGCTGTCCGATGGGCAACGCAGTGGGAGATGCGATATCACACGATATCACACGACATCACACGGTATCGCATAGTTCGAGTGTCAGGCCGGGCGGTAAACACAAACAAACCATGGAGTCGGGAGAGAGAGGGTGAGGGCGAGGGTGAGGTGAGGGTAAATGGCCGAGGCTTCGATTCGCTCTGTTCCATCCGTATGAGTTTGGGGGCGGAGGATGAGGGAGGAGGAGGAGGAGGAGGAGGATGTGGAGGACCTATGTTGCAGCCTGAGGAAACAGAAGCAGCACCGCAGTACTCGTACCAGGTACCAGGGACAACCGGCAGATTCCGCTACGCTACGCACGGAACGCTACGGGCCACGCTCCCCACTACCCGCTGGCTGCGTGCTGCGTGCTGCTGCTACAACCACGCCTAGCACTGCTAACTAGAGTGACCTACAGTGGGCTACAGTGGGCTTCCCACCCACTAACCGCAGCTACCACAGCCCCTAACACCGCTAACCATCACCACTAATCCCCCCCTATGGACCCCCTATGAGCCCCCAATGAGCCCCCCCTATAACACCCTCCCCTATAACACCCTCCCCTACAACCACCCTCCCCTATAACCACCCCGCCACCGCTACCGCGACAGCTCCAGCTACTCCGTGCACTGCTACAGGCCTGTCTCTTATACACATCTAGATGTGTATAAGAGACAGGTGCACTGCTACAGGCCCCCCTCCAAGCCCCGAAGGCCTAGCCCTCCCCCCCCCGCCAGCGCCCTTCTCCCCTCCCATTGGCCCTAAATTACCCTTCACCATCGCAGCGCCAACTGCATGTAAGCGCTCTCTTCCTCGCCCATCACGGCCATCACGGCCCCCATTGGGCTGCTGCGCAACTGCACGCAACCACACAACCAGTGCCCACCACCCACCTTGGCCATACAGACCGGACAATGTGAACAAACCCTTCAAAATGCCCCAGCGGCCCTCTCGGAAGCCACTTGCTTGCGTCCTGCTTGCTTCCTCGCTCGAACCTGCTTGCTCGCCATCCTACAGCTCGATGTCAACGTGAATGTGAAGCTTTCGTCCGACGACGCCCGTCGAGAACTCGACATCGTTCTGCCCCATTGCGAAGTGCTATTGCGATTGCGATTGCGACTGCCACTGCCACTGCGACTGCGAGTCCTGCGTTCGAATCCGACCTCTTCTCCCCCCGCTCGCTCTGGTGAAGAAGACCGGCAGAAGAGAGATATCCGATATCCAATCCAGCATATCATAGAATAGACGACCCCTCGTTGACCGAGTGCGCCGTCTTGCCAGCAGCAGTATAATACCAGTTCCTCTCAGTATCAGTGCCAGTATCAGTATCAGATTCAGACCCAGGTTCACCAGCGCCAGCGACAACACCAATACATCCACATCATGTTTTGCGTTCCGCTCTTCAGTAGGAAATGGAAGTTCCCAAAGGTCGCCATCGGCCTCCTCGCCCTAGAGTTCGCCGCCACCGTGGCAGTCTTGACAATGTTCGGCATTGCGGCCCCGAACCTCTACCGCACCAAGCTGTGGCAGGTGGGAGCAGATAATGGCTTCAACTCGAGTCCGACCCAGATATTATACGCATATGCGAATCACCGCCCCATCCCGAAGACGCCGTTTATATGGTCCCAGACGTATGTTTTACCTGCTGGCCCTAGGGGGAGCAGAACGCTTTACTAATATATGTGATATTGCAGATTGACCGACTTCAATATTGCCATTTCGGTGCTGTCCATGTTCATCATGCTCGTCAAATTCGTCCTGTTCTCGCTGCACATCTGGTTCCCCTTCGTCAGCAACGTCATCAATGTAATCCTCACGGCGTTATATTGCGTGAGCATATACGGACAAGCTGGGCCGGATAAGTCGGATCCAAAACGTCCTTCCAGTTCGGCCTGGTACCTCAGCAAGAGCTGCTCGTACGCAAAACCCTCCGGCAATGAGCACTACTGCATAATGGCCAAAGGAACATTCGCAGCAACAGTTATCATGACGTAAGCCGCCCCCTCCATATATATATTTATGATCCATCCCATATGCTAACAAAACTCCTTTATCCAGATTCGTATTCATCCTCCACCTCATCCTCGGAATCTACTCCATGATCCCCACGGCGGCGCAACGCGCCGCCGACAAGATAGAAATCGACGACATGCAAGGCGACGCCACGTCAGAGCACCACCACGTCGAGATGAAGAATGTCCACAAGGCAACCGCGACACCCTACACACCCCGAACCCTCGCTTTCAACACCCTCGATAGACAGCTGCCATTACGCGCCCAGGACAGTAAAACTCGCTATGCGTGATGATTTATATACCTTTATATCTATCTATCTATCTATCCATCTCGCGATTGGCATGATTTTATATTTTCGAATGAACTAGGAAAAAACTGAATGGCGAACCGGATGGGGGGTCAGGGGCTGGGGGTTGGAGTTACGCGTGTGGGGGTTATGCTGGACTCTCAGTCACTCTTTTCCGTGGAACGGAAAGAGAGAACGACTGTGTAGGATGAAGATACGAGAGATATCCCTGGCCACACACACCACACACTACACACTACACACGTATATATATACCTTACCTTATATTCTTTTTCAATCTAATATTTTTCTTTTTCCCATCCATCCATATTTTCCTTGCCAAAGGCAAACAATCTCATCCATCTATCTACAAAAAAGACCATGTTGTCTAAGATATGCAGCAAGCAAGGAAGGGGGCTTTTACACAGGAGGAGGAAAGAGAAAGAGAGAGAGAGAAGTGGGCTTGATTTTATTGTAGTTTTTATTATATCTCTGTTGTAGTGATTCTATAAAAACAATAATTGAAAACCAGCTAGAAAAATTGAATATCATAAGGAATGAGATGTGTGGGATATGGCCCGCTTCTTAATGGTTTTTAGGGAGCTGTGAAGCTATATACGCGCTCTATTGAGAATTCCTCGTGCTACGGTAGGCGGACAAAAATATAAGTGCTAAGCATCGAGCGCGAGAGCGAGAGGTACCTTAGTTGAGTATTCCTCACTCCCCACATCGTCCTCTTAAGCAATGAAACGTACATGTACGTTTTCTCAACAACCAACCATCCTTTCGTAGATAGGAAGTCGAACAAACACCTACCTACCATGCATTCACAATCACGAAATAAAAACTTCCTTCAGACTTTAACCTTCTAAATACCCTTATGTACCTATGCAAGCACCTGCTCATATATATATACATTTTTCACCGTCATCAATAACTGCTTCCCCCCCCCCCCAAACCCATATATATACATCACACCATCAATCATCCACCTTAGCCCACCTCATACCTATCCCTAAATTTGCCATGCATGCATGTAATACCCACCCATACATCTCCGCAAACCCAAACAAAAAATCACCCAAGCGAATTACCTTCCTACCTCTCCCTCCACAGGCCCCAAAAAGAAAATTTTGCGCAAAATTTGAAAAAAAGGTAAGAACGGTTCTATACCTATGTATGCATGCTACAACCACCGCGGTGATGGGTATAAATAAGCCCAGAAGACAAAAAACCGCCAAAGCAACGATGCAGTATATAAGTGTGTGTATATATGCCTGTGATGATAAAAGCAAAATTGCGGTATTAAATGGATACATAGATTGAATAGATGAGGAACTCGTAACACGTAAAACTGGCTAATAGCGCTTTATGGTACAAGGAAAGCAAAAATAAACGGAAATGCAAAAGAAATGCTGTGAAATATGGGCGTAGCTAGATCCGTGGCTCAACGGCCGTTATTCGTTGAGTGTTATGTGCAATATGCTTCGTAGTGCTTTTGCCCCCCGGTGGGGTGTATCCTGGGGGATATGGGTGCGTTGTATGTACGTAGAGAAGAAAGGTAATAATATATGTACTCCGAAGAAGAAAGAAGGGGTAGAAACCAGGGAGGAAAATGACGATGCTGCAGCGGCAGATCTTATGTAGACTGCGATGGAGTCCCTGCATTACTCTTCGAGACGAGCTCCTCGATCTTGGGGATGAGTTCCTGGATACGGAAAGGTTTTGAGACAACGTCGTCCTAGCAAGCCACCAAGTTAGCACAGCACTACCAATCACTTATCCCTCGCATAGAAATATAATTTCGTACTGGTAAACCATATAACTCGAAAAGAAAAGAAAACTTACCATCCCAGCATTAATAGCTGTCTCGATCTGCTCCAACCGAGCATTGGCCGTAACGGCAATAAGCGGCACATGCTTCACGATCGTGCCATCGGTTTCAAAATCCCGGATTTTCCGCGTAGTCGTGAGACCGTCCATCACCGGCATCTCTAGATCCATCAAGATGAGAGAGAGGTCGACTCCATCATTCTCCCGCCCTGACCAGGAACGGGAATTCTTGAGGATGGCGAGAGCTTCGCCGCCATGGTTGGCGACTTGGGTGCCGAATCCGGCGTTCTTGAGCTGTTTTTGGAGGACGCGTTGGTTTACTAGGTTGTCTTCCACGATTAAGATTTTGACTCCGCTGCGATCGAGGGGTGATAGTGGTGGAGCCATGGGTGCTTTTGATGGTACCGTGCTTGGTTGGCCGGTCGCGTCCGACTGGCTTATAGCTTTCCCGCAATGGTTCCTTATATTTTCAAGAGTAATAGCAGAGTGGGAAAAGTATCCTCTCAGGGAGGCCATCTCGGCATCCTCAGGACTTTCGACTACACCACCTGGAACTTTCCGAGCCCGGATATAAAACGCAAACGTACTTCCGACGTGGCGTTCGGATGATACTCCGATTTCACCCCCTTGCAGCTCGGTGAGTTCTCGCGAGATAAATAGCCCAAGGCCGCTACCGCCATATTGGACGTGAGTACGGGGGCTCGCTTGACGGAATCTCTGGAAGAGCAACCTCTTCTCATTTTCATCCAATCCGCGACCGGTATCTTGGACAGCAAAAGTAAGGAAGATATTGTCCCCGGTGCCCCATTCTACATCATCTGTATTTATGTCCTTGCTTTTTGAGCGGCTTGGGAAGTATGTGACGCCGGATTCGCTGCTCTTGGGGCGCTCTTTACTGGCACCAATGCTGACGATAATAGTTCTCCTCTCTTGGGCTTGCGTGAATTTCATGGCGTTAGTCGTAAGATTGATTAGGACTTGGATCAGTCGTGAAGGGTCTAGTTTGACCTGGTCAATATCTAAATCGACGTATGATTGTTCGATACGGAACTCCATGGTAATGCCGTTGGTCTCGAGTTCTCCTTCGAACATTTTCAGAGCGCGTTGCACAACTTCGACCTAATATGGCATGAGTCAAGGTTGTTCTGAAGACATAAGGGTTGTTCAAACTTACCGGATGTACCTTGATAGGCGTAACCACCAGAAGTGCTGAATCGAGTTTAGAGAGGGTGAGAATGTCATCAACAATGCGTTTCTTGTTCCGACCGTTAGCAAAAAGATAACGGGCGACTTAATTTCCTTACCTGATGCTGGGCACAAAGAGTGATAGTTTGAGCCGCGTCAAGACTATTATCCAACATCTCTTGCAGTCTCTCAGCTGATCTCGACCTCCCGCCTTTGTCATTAAACTCGGCCAGCGACGTGGTAATCTCATCGCTGCATTGGAGAATTGCCGAGAGGGGGTTTCTCATCTCATGCCTATATAGAAAATTGTATTAGCTGATACATCGAATCATAAACAGAGTCTGCGGGGACCCACGAAGTCATGTCAATAAAGTTTTCCTGTTGCCTCTTCAACTCGATTGCTTCTTCCATCCGCCGTTTCTGAAAGTCTTCGACGGACTTTTGGGAAGAGATATTTGTGATACTTCCAAACACGCTCTTCAATTGCCCCTCGTCGTCCTTTTCCGGATAAGCGTTCAGTAATACCCATGTCTCCCCGACGTTTCCGTTACGGTCATGCCAGGGAGCCTTAAACCGGAATTCGTGCGTAATGGCAGTCGTTCCTTCGATTAGCGTCTTCCATACCTTTTGTAGGTTCTCCCGGTCTTCATCCTTAACGCTATCCATCCACGAGTCTGCACTATTAGGCCCGCTCCTGGGGTGTCGAGATATTTCCCTGTAACACAGTTAGCAATTGAGCTTGAAATAACTAGATATTACTGAAAGTGATTGGCAGGGATATCGATGAGACGACCGTTCAAAGGTAACACATACCACCATGTGCAATTACTATACGTTATTTGGCCTTCAGAATTGGCAATAAACATTCCAACAGGAGAAAACTCTGCCATTCGTGTAAACTTGGTCTCACTCTCCATCTTCTCTCGTGTTCGGAGGTCGAGCTGCTTGGATAGCTCTTGGCGATCCAGGGCAGCGAGGCGCGCTGCACGTTGACCTCGTTGTATTTCATCTTCGAAAAGCACGACTGAGGCCATTGATGTAGCAAGTTGGCGGCTTAACAGTTGAACAAAAAGGCTATAGTCATCATCGTAAGGCCGTCGTGGGTTGATTCCCAAGACCAGGAATCCAAGTATCGTTTCTTCAGTTGTCGGTTGGATAGGACATACCACAGCGGCGCGACATGGGTCACCAAAGCCGCGGCACTCAAGGCCGTCGATCAAATCAGATGATAGAGTTCCGTGTTCGGTCGTCAAGAGAATGGGTTTATTGGTTTTCATAGACTCGCGCAGATAGGGCACAAAGCCAGTCTCGCCTGCTTTAAGATCCAACGGACTCATAGTAGCCTTGTGGCCCTCGGGGACTCCAATTGTTCCTTCGAGTACGCACTGCGGAGCCTGCGCCAGGGAGCCACTATGGATAGAACTCATATCGCTATCGGAATCGTCGCTGACGGAGTAGAGGAATGCGAAAGGGACATCGTATTCTGAGATATGGTTAACGAGCGACTCCTAGAAAAGTAGTTGGCCCAGGCAGGTGGGCAGGCTCGAATGGACGGAAGGCAAATATGAGTAACAAGGATTATTTCCATACCATTGTATTCGAGTCCCTTAATGACCTGGCCCCAAAAGCTTCTGACCTCGCATGCAGCGGCGGTCATGTCTCCTATCTCCCTCAGCGTAAGCATCCTTCGCTCAGCAATCTTTCGGCGAGTCATTTCAAATGCAGGATTGTACAGTCCTACAACAGACCCATCCTCTCCTACTAATGGAACGATGGACCAAGAGAAGAATGACTCTTCGAGGTAGCCATTCCTTCGCAGGAAAAGGCAGTCGTTATCTTTCATAATCGATTGACCAGACTCCTTAGCGCTAGAGATAACATCTCCGACCTCGTCCCAAATCTCTGCCCACGCGGCCTTGTAGCTTTGACCCTATGGCACGGTTAGTTTTATCTGGTGCGATTTTATATTCTAGGAAGATATATAGTAATGCAAAATGTAAAGCTGCTTATTGGGCAGATAGTTGGACGCTGTCTAACAGGGCTAGACCGATACAGGATTTCAGTGGCCGTTCACTTGCAACAGGTAGTTTGGAACATGCAGAAAAAACAACCCTTAGCCATACCGGATAACTGTAGAATTATACACTCGACACAAGTAACTATCTTGGTCTGTAACAATGCAGAAAGACCGCCGTGTTGAAATGTGCTTACCATTAGATGCGGATGTTTTTGACCGGCTATCATGATATACGCTTCATTGTAAATGGCGATATACTCGTCGCCCCAGTACATCGCCGCCGGATGAGGTGAGCCCATTACGAGATTACACATGGCTCTCAGATCAAAACCCCAGCCCTCAATAGGTCCTAGGGGAGTAGCCGCCCAATCCACACTTAGAGCAAATTGAATATGCTTTGGAAGAGCAGCGGACATTGAAAGTCTCGTCCAGTCAAAGGATGGATTGTCGGGATACCTTGGAATCATCAAGTCGTTTGTTAGTGTTCCCTGATGCGTACCTGCCACGGCTTGTTTAGGACTCTCGAGATCGGCTACATGAAGTGGGCTTGATGCCGGTTGCTGCGGCGTAGTGCTAGAGGTGGAGTCGTTTCGATTGACAGCATCGCCAAAATAGTCTAGAGGCTCTGAGTAATGGTCAAGCGGTGAGGCTTCAACGGTGGACAATGGATACCGACGAGACCTGTTGCTCAGTGCCGATGAACTACTCGGTGCTCCATTCGAGCTCGATGACCACGCCCCGACAGCGACGGTACCCTCACTGCCACGAATGATACGAAGTCGCTTCCTCAATGTACTACACGTCCAAGTGAGGCCCTCATATGAAAATGAAGGTAGAGAAATATCGAGTGACTTGTTGTTCTTTACAAAGCTTAATGCCCAGGCTTTGAACTCAGGAAAGTCGGAGACAATACCGGGATTGCTCAATACCTCCTTGCTTGTAACAGTGTCCAATATTTCTTCGCATGCACGGAGGGACGCATTCGCAAAAACGATGATTAGAGGGCCCCCTGGATCGAAATTCGCCGGATTGGCTACATCTATAATAAATGTTGGTCGCTCGTCCTGTTCTAGAAGTTCGATGACCCCAACGGTGTTTAAAATATGCATTCCGGGTGACTTTTCCCTCGTATCTGAACTCCTCGAGAAATTAGACATGTCCGGAGACGCCAGACTACTATACGTGCTCGTAGAGCGCGTAGGGCTAGCAGCATTGCTGATTACACTGCCACGGGCAAGTTTTAACGTTGTGATTCCTCCAGCCTCATCGCGTCCCTTGTTGATCATTCTAGTTACAGCTTCGGAGCTGGAGAAGCCCTGGGGGAGCAGCGGCCGCTGCCTCGAGCTATGCGAGAAGAACAGGGGTGAAGGGGGTTGCCCAACACTAGGTGTGATGATTGCCTGTTGAAGAAGTTCGGGGTCAACGGCACGTCGATATCTCAGTTTGGAATGGCTCCTTTTTGATGGCCGTTCTAAAGATGGAATTGCCCTAGTTCCGTCCTCATCGGACCTTGGGTGTTTCGAGGCCTGCGGTATCGTTGGCGTGATGCATAGGGGTGGTCGACTTGGAAGCCGCTCTGGCTCTTGAGTTGGAGGAAAGCCCTTGCCTGAGCTCGCTGTATGTTGCCCTCGGTGGATATTCCACGAATGACCACGCTCTGTCCCAATCTTGACCTCTCCTTCGCTGCCAGTCCCCGCGGCTTGCTGCAATCTAGAAACCCCCTCTGTAATATTCGATATTGTTCCAACCTGGGAGTTTCTGTATTGTATGTTCGTCTGCAGATCTACCGCCTTGCCTTTTCCAGCGGTGTTGTCAGGGATGGCCGTTATCTTAAATGGCGAAGTCGAGGTCGATGTCGTCGAAGAGACCGAATGGTTGTCTAGTGGGAAGGTCCGCTCTTGATTTGATTGGCTGCTAAAATCTTTCCGGGATGTAAAGATTGACTTTGGCTCTGGTTTCATTGAAGTTGGACGGGAGGAAGGGAGCGCAAGCTGTTGATAGGCGTCGTTGAGTGCGTCTATTGCCTCCGTTCCTGCGTCAGGCTCGCTGAACATACGACGAGTCGACGGCGCGCTGTGAGGTGACGCGGATGAAGTAAAGATAGGTCGCAGCACTTCGTAGTCGGGTTCTTGGTTCGAGGCGTTGTATTGAAAACGAGTTAATACTGGTTGAATCTGTCGAAGATGTCACCAGCGTGCCCAGTCAGTCTGCCAGGAACCGGTCGGTGGGGGTTGAGCAACCGCGGCAAAAGTCAATTCCCTGTTTTGCGAGTGTGCGGAGCAGGCCACGACGGGGAATGATGTAACCACCCAGGTAGGGGGTTTCGAGGTGAGGGCGTATTATTATTCGTTGGGAGGACTCCGTGACGATGCCTTTACGAGCTCAAAGGTAATGATGCGCTGCCTCTCAATGACAGTTTATAGATGGCCTCTCGTCTTTCTTGTCCTACCTATGGTATGCGCCCCTTAACCGGATCGGTTGTACCTCCGTAGGGAGTAGATGCGAATTGGAATTGCGATAAGAATTCATCGATAAGCGCAAAGCCCCTTAAAACCCCCGAGTATGTAAGGTATATATATAGTATTACTAGCGCCTTGCAAGACCGGGGGGTTACATTACATTGTCACATCACATCGTCTCAACTACATACAAGTAAGTGATTTCTTCTACGAAATGGATTTACCTAGAACCCGGACACTAGTGGGCACAGCTCAAGACGGGCAAAATCCGTCCCCATCTGGTTTATGATTTATCTCGACGTCCAATAGAACCGAGCAACGGAGGGACGCTGCATTTCGGATAGAGATCAGTAAGACCAGTGTAATACTTGATTACTTATGCACTTCAACGTAAGAAAGCATACTATTCCTAAACTCCTACTCTCCTTCTGTTAACTGACTTGTTTAAGATAACAAATGTACATCTCGCAGCTCGGAACTGTCCCAACTAAAAGCGCAATCCCGCCTCCAAACGAAATCCAAGAGAAACTCGGTGACGATAACATCTTCGACATTGGTCAGGCTATCACTTCGAATAAATATGGTAGCCTCAACCCCGTCAGCTTCCTAGTCTTTCGCCACTTAGGGCTATCCACAACCTTCCTGTGCCAGTGAGACCCTCGAAAGCCACGCCGGCGCTTGCCCGTGACCGGCGAGTCCTACTATGGCCATGCGCACATTTAGGGTATCGAATCCAAGAGGTTCTAGAACAGGCGAGGACTGAAGCTGCCGTGACCCAGAAGCAGCGGAGCATCTTTTGACGATGGTGGAGGAGTTAGAGGGCATCAAATTGTCCGACTACTCCGTATTATCATCCTCATCGTCTGTAGCTTCCTGTGGACTCGCAAGGGATTCTGCTGATGATAGGTGACTCGATTTGCTAACCTCGTCCCCGTCCTCGTCCTCATTCTTACTTCCATCGCTAACATCTGGCGTAGTTTGCGTATTGGCTGCGTTTGCATGGGCCCACAATGCATCCTTCCTGTGGGCCGCGAGATTGTAACAGAAATCTTGAGAATTCCTTAGATGCTTGTATGCTTCCTGAAAACTTTTGAAGGAAGCGCGAGGGTTTAAGTGAGCGTAAAGATGCTGATGATACTTGAGAGTAGCCATGTCGCCAGTGCCCGCGGGCTGCGAAGGTGTGGGGGTCTGAACTATATGATGCCCATAGATCTTGAGGGCGTCACCGTTAAATGCGACTGTGAGCGCCTGCGTTTTGCCGTAGAAATTATCGCTGGACTTGCCTAGATACCTATGCACATCGCGCGCTCCCTCCGCCATAAGTGCTCCATTATAGGCGCATTGATTTTCTGCTGTCTGCATATTGCCTTCGGTACTCTTACATTCAACGGTATAAGCCGGCATTGAAATATCACATGCGGTAGGGCCAATCGAGCAGGAAAGTGCTTCACGTGCTTCCAGAGGGTAATCGGATTTGCGGTAACTCTCTGCGATATCTGGCCTGGCACTACTTAACTTGACAGTAAGATGGTTATTGACTTCTACCCAGGAATAATTAAGTCTCTGCATGTAGTTTGAAAGCTCTCGCTCGACGCTCCGCTTTGCAAGGAGATTTAAGGCGTTATGCTGTATTGTGACCTCATTATTGTTCTGTCTGATGATCGTCAGATACTGTTGAAAAGCCAGCTTGCTCGGAGGGTTCGAGTCTCGACGCTGGCTCAATAGTTCTCCGACTTCAGCCATGTCATCTGGATCATGTCCATTAAGCCCATCGAAAACAACAATGTTGTTATCTCCCAGCTGTAAGCTAAAATCCTTATTAGCTGTTGTAATCAAAGAAGTAGATTGTTCAGTAATCTCTGCCGTAGGAACCTTTTTCCGTCGTCCTGCCATTCTCTCGAGCGCTTTTAAGTTTTTCTTTGTTAAAGGAGCGCGTTTTAGAGGTCTTTCAGGCTCGACAGATCCGTTAGATTTCCGTTTTAGCGTCAGATGACTACGTGATTGTTGCGGACCAGGATGATCTAAACACGTTATTATACCGCTGATTAAACATAGCAGATCAAAATGAATCTTGGAATGTTTCCTTGGAAGGTGTTGGTACCGACGTACTGATAGGAATAGGGGTTGGCTTATGCGAGGGAGCTTTCATGGGCTGCGGGGACTTGCGATCTGATCCAGAACGCTGGGTTGCTTGTAGGCGGGCGCTCTGTCTCAGCAGTCCTAGACCCAACGTCAATACCTTTACAGTTGTCGATGGGATAGTATATAGACTTATATAACTTACTAGGGTTTGATTGCTGTTGCTGAGAAGCGGGACGCCTGCGAATCCGTGCAGATGGCAGCATCATGAGTTCCTGGGGCAATTGCAGATGAGGTTTGGTGATAGGTTTGTTTGCTGTGGGGGGGGGGTTTTGGGGCGACAAAATGCCGAAATTAAAGACAAATTGAAGACAAAGGCTGCCCAACGTGCAATAAAAATCGCTTGGATGGATATATGCGTGATACGGATAATTTCCTCACGTTCAATTTGGAACGTGATTGGGTGAAGAGGTTGCGGAATGATGCTTGATCGATTGGGTTTGTTGGAACAGTTGCCCACCTACTTACCAAGTACCTTACCTACCCATTGCTCGTAGAGTTTGCTCTTAAGGCGAAAGCCACAGCATAATAAAGCGGTAAAGCGATTGTGCAAGAATCCTTGTTTGCTGTTCCGTTTGCAATTGGGATCCTTTTAATGATGATCAAAAATTCCCACCACACGCTCAAGCACTTGAGAAAGACTGCGCGTTCCTTTGTAGCATTCCATTGTAGTGTCTTTAACCGCTAAGTGTGGTGGCTGCGTCTAATACAGAGAGTCTTCATTCATCTAGTCCCCTGCCTTTGTGAACCGCAACTATCCTACCACCTAGAGTCCTATAGGACTCCCTGGAAGTCGATCCCAAACGACCGCATCCCTGCATCATGCTACTATACTCACGCGATATTTTTCTCCAACCACTCCGCCCACTGCTCTGGCGTGAAGCTCGACTCGATCTTATTCTCCACAACCCCATTAAACACCACCGTGGGAGTAGCATGTACCCCGACCATCCTATTCATTTTAACCAGGACCTTCAAATCATTCGTAACGCCATTCCCCGAGTTAAATCCGCCATCCTTATCCGGCTGATCATTAATCCATAGCATTTTCAGCACCGTTTGCTCGTCGACGCCAACCTTGGCTGCGAGTTTGGCGAGACGGGCGTAAGACTGATTCCGTGTTTCATTCACGATGTTGACGTCATAGAATGAGCGGGATTCGTCAAAGAGAACCTATTTTCAACCCTCATTAGCTCGAGCCCATTCTCAATTGATCAGTTCCATAATTGCGGTACCTTGCTAAAATCCCAGAACTTCTCGGGCTGTATCTTGAGCACCGCAACCCCGGCTTCATGCACCAAGGTCGATGAAGGATGCCACGGCTGGATCTGCTGCCGGAATACGACCTGCACTTTCGATGCGTATTTCTGCTCGATTAAAGGCAGGACGGAGGTGTAGAGAGTGTTGAACATCTTGGCGGAAAATGGGCACACATAGTCGAGGTAGATTTCCAGGGTGTGTAACGTGGGAATGTTGGTTGCCACGAACTTTTGGCCGGCGTATTTAGGGGCGAGAGCCATTTTGAATTGAAGGGTGGGTAAAATTTGAGTTGATTGATTGAAAGATGGAGAGGCTGGAATTGGTGGATGGAAGAGCTGGGGAGACTACTTATATTCAAGAACTTGGTAGTGGGCTGATGATGATGATGGAGGGAAATGGTATGTACGCTTATCGAACATTTATATAGAGCTTCAGATACGAAGTACCTACGTACCTACCGAGGTATTTTTGAGCCGACCCGGACGAGTTGTAGCGGGATTTCAGTTAATTCATGCATCGGTGCATCCGAGGACCTGAATTCTTACTAAAGGAAGTTTTGAACTTGAGGCGGAAGGAGGGCTAGGCGTGGTGGATCGAGAAAACGCATTGGAAACAGTGACGAAATTGATAATCAAAAATATTCTAGATCATGCATCGGTGCCTTAGGCACTAATTCGCTAGCTATGGGTCTCTTTTGATCAAGACCCCCGCGGTACTAACATCGATCTAAGAATAGCTTTGTGGATTAAAGCGGATCCGACTACCAAGCGCTACCAAAGCCTCTATTAAGTATAGTTGCGATTGCGAATTTATAGTATATAGTATATCATTGTTTAAAGGGGCTCCAAGACCAATGTTTATTGCCCAAGTCCGAACATGTCTGCAAATCGGTCCCAGTGGAGTAATGCAGGGAAATCACTATTACGGTAGGTACTGTACATTTCTGAGATACCCAGGGCAGCGCTTCGCCAGGTTTGGCAGACTTTTAATTAAAGTAATCGTGAATACCTCTCAAAAAATGCAGTAAAGGCCAAAATGAGGGACCTAGGGCTTGTCGTTGAGAGAGGTAAGCGAAGCCACCCCTATATGTCGGTCTGCTAAGTTAGAAAGGTCACCACGATGGAATATCTAATCACCGCCAGTGGCGCTTGTGATGGTTTCGATTGAGCATCCAGAAGAAATACCCAGAAACCCCGCGATAAATACATGTACTTGAAAACTATTTTTACTAACTAGACTCCGAGTAAGAAGTTAGAGCCTCCTCAAATGCCCTAGAGTCTCCCACTGCCATGGCTTAGACAACTTGTCAACAACTTACCAGATACTCAAGCTTTGGAAGTGAGTTAAGCCGAAGGTTATGAGGGTCATCAAACCGGCAGTTACTCTTCTCATTGTATAGTACAGTGTCTATCCCCGCCGCTTGTGCTGGAACAATGTCACGCTGTTCATTATCTCCCACGTAGACCATGTCCCCTGGGCCGATGCTGTGCTTTTCTAATACAGCGGAGAATAGGCCATCCACCTTGGACATTCCGACCTCATTAGTGGTGACGAGAATGTCGATGAACAGATGTAACCCAAGCTCTGCGACCGTCCATTCCTGTGCATCTTGAGGTCCCTCGGTTACTATAATAACCTTCTTCCCACGAGCCTTCAGTTTCTCCAGGAGATGAAGCGCACCAGCTTTCAATGTCAAGGCTGCGCGAAGACTTCTCTGGTACACCAACAACAACTGTTCTAGTATCTCTGAGGAGGGCACATGACTGTGGGCTTCGAGAAGATGGGAAAATCGCTCCCTGCGGTAGTCTTCGGATGTTCTCCCATCGGTAAAAGCATTTGCTGTCTTCGAACGGAGGATATCGCGATACGTCGCTTCGAGATCGTTTATCGTCTCCTTGGTATCGGGATGGGTAGCTTGGATCGCCTCGAACACGGATCGGGACGCATGGGCGGACGCCTTGCGAAACTCATGGAGCGTGTCGTCCAGATCAAAACCAAACCACATCTTCGCGGAGAGCAGTGCCATAACAGGATCTAGCCGTGGGCCATAGGCCTCCAAGTACAGGCCACCCACTTCGGCTTCAATGCGTTCGATCTCCAGGGCGGAGAGTAGTCCATGGCTGCTGAAATCTTCGACGTGTGTGTGAGACTTGACGCGGGCGAATAGACCATCCGGGACGGCGCCCTGATATATCGACTTCTCCCTGTCGTCTTTGAAGATGTAATCCCCAAAAGGCCGCTTGAATTCCAGGCAGCGCTCGTCGAAAGGAATGTTCCAGTACTCCGCCAGCGCGGCGACCGTGTCCCTGGCATCGGCCACCAGTTGCTCATAGATGACCACATGTGGCACCGGGCTGGCCTTTAGCATCTTGGAAAGGGATCGATAGCAGATGAAAAAGCTGTATAGATCACCCCAACCAATCTTCTTCCAGCTATCAAACACCCGGACCGGGTCCCGAACTAGAAACGCGGGCCGTGTCATCTCGTAGGCGGCTTTGTTGGGAAGGATGTTGAAATCACATTCACCGTTGAAGAATTCATGGCCCAATTCCTCTTTGGTGACCAAGGTGGAACACCTCTCGGCCACTGCGTGCTGGTAGACCGGGTGGGATTCCGGGTGAAAATAAATGGTATAGTCCGGCTTGACGCGAGCCAGACTCTTGTCGCCGAACTTATGATAGTTGCCCTGTAGAATCAACCGGCTCGTGACTGCACAGTGAGGCAGTTCCCGAAAGATGCGCATGAAAAGCGTAGAACCAGATCGAGGGCAGGCAACGAGGACCCGAATCTGCGTTTGTTGCTAGACTGGTTGTTAGTAAGTTCTACCTGTTCCGAAACGGCCTTCCATGGATGTATACCTCTTCAACGCCACTAGCCACTTTGCTGTTGTCATCCATTTGCTCTTGAGGGGTTTCTGAAGGAGGCATATTCTCTTGTCGCTTGCTAATCAACGTCAATGCTCGACAGCTGCGTTTCTACTAAACAAGAGCTATAAATAATAATCCTCATCACGATAATGAGAAAACAGATAAAAGAAGGATTTGTATTTATACTTTACTCAATACGTTACTTTTACACCTATAGTAGGAGGAGTCGACATGTTACATGTAACAGGAGAACCCCAACTGTTGACAATGCTCCACCATTATTCTATCGGGTCAAATTGCTGCTTCCGGTTAGGTTTAGAACGTGACTCGTTTAACAGCCAACATCAGGCCGATTAAGGCGGCGGAATCCTGCAATCAACGTTCTCCAAAGGTCTTGTGATATGGCTTCTCTCGGACTTCATCACGAAACGGCAACTAATGATGAAATAGCAGCCTACTGCTCAAATCCACACCATGTACCCCTTGGTGGAGCCCCTTACGGCAATAACGTCATTAAACTATCCGACAAAGCGGTAGTTAAGTTTGGCATCGGCGTTACGGAAGAGGAGGCAAAAAGTCAAAGGCGAGCTTACGAATTGATTGACCATAGTGTCGTTCGTGTTCCATCTGTCTACCGCTTTTTCACCAAGGAAGAACTAGGCTATATTGTTATGGAATATATGGAGGGAAGAGTCTTAGAGCCCGTGGAAGATCCTCCTCTAATATGAAGGATTGCTAAAATTCTCGACCATCTTGCGAAGATATGCAGCTCTAGTCCTAGCGCACTTAGTGGTGGGGTGTCATGTGGTATCTTTTGGTCTGAAAGTAAAGAGCCTTTACTTCATACTATTAAGGATATGGAACTTTGGTTCAACAGGAGATTATCAAAGCATGATCCCAGGCTGGTATTCGGTGGCTATGAATTGGTTTTATGTCACCTTGACATTGCTCCTCGAAACCTCCTTTTACTCGAGGATAGTTCTATTTGTCTTCTTGATTGGGCTTCCGCGGGGTTCTATCCAAGACTTTTCGAAGTATGTGCAATGCGAATCACTCATGGACTGAAAGGATCTTTTAGGGAGGCTCTAAACTTAGGGGATTTGACGGACGAGGAGGAGGTTCAGATAAAGTCAATGCTACAAGCATATTACAACAGTGTAAGGTATTACTTGTAAGTACCAATCCGTTGTCATAGTTGACTTCTTCTTACCAGTTCTTATCCAGCGCACCTATTCAAACGTTGCGCCACACAAACCTTGTGCAAGCCTTGCAACATCGCCGGATCGACTATCCTGCGGACGATTGATGATTCAAAGTGTTGTTGGATGAGAAGTTGATTTGCGATAATATCTCGAGAATAGGATAACTTTAAAGCATTTTCTTTCGGATTGACCACCATACCGATACTATTCCAGGTTCCTTTCGCCAACATCCTTGAGCTACTGGTAAGTAGTATCAGCAGAATAATTCTACCCAGGCGTTGAGTTGGCATCTCAGTCTAGTATATCGACGTCGGCCTGCGGGCACTCGATGGCTTTCATGCTCAAAATGACACTTTCTTTTACGAAGTCTGCACTTCCTGACAGAGGCGCCTTGACAGCTAGAGTATGTCCCCCCTTGGAGGATGGATATATCCTTACACCTTGACTGACATTGGTTCCCACTTTAATATAGCTATACTCAGATCTTCTCTTTATCCCTTATATTCAGTAAGCTTCTCAAACACCCAAAAACTGGACAATTTTCTTCAAGGCTTACCCATCCGCCTCACACGTCTCCTGCAATTTCTTATCAACCCGCCCATCCATCCAAGTTTCAACTGCCCTCAAAACCCACCAAGCAACAGTTATTAGTTTCGCTATTGATAGGCTCATTCTCCGGCTTCGCATCCCCCCAAACAATAATCAACCCTAGGTAACATCTCAACCGTGACCTTCATCTGTTTCACCCACTTTCGTAGTCCACAAGTCTCTTCGGAGAGGGATGAGCCCTCCGGGTCCCAGGATGCATATAGTCAATACTAGTGGTGGAATATCTTCGTCTCTTACTTTGCCTAAGTGTTTACTTGGACTACATGCCCATACTCAATCGAACGGTCTCACCTTGCCCAAGGGCCTCAATCTTCTGCCAGAAACTATTTGCAAAATAATCAGCGAGATGAAGGGTATTCTGTAGGAGTCAGTATGATCTCGTCCGGACTGTAGGCGTGGAGGATTATGGAACACGGCTACGAGTGCTGAAACAGATGTCCCTCGGAGGCCATTCTCACCAACCTTATTACTTATCTGACACTGATTCGCACCACATTGCCTTGATATTAGACCTTTCTTGCATTTCTATCACGTGCACCCTCCGGATGTTTGTGTGATTCTCGAAAGTGATATTATCACTTAAGTTAAATACACGGCAGGCTTTATTTATCTGGGGAAGACAAGAGATAATGTTGGTTGTCGGCCGAATAGTAGCTAAGCCTAAATACCTTATCCCTTCTCACTCACAAGGGCGTGCCATCATTTCAGTCGCTCGATTCCATGACCAGTACCTTGAAAACCACCACATCCAGTTCGTCAATAGCTTGCATCCCATTTTCCCTACGGCAACACTCTTGAACAAAAGAATATTACCGTGTCCTGCCTTGATTTAGGTATTCTGGATTCTTGGTGAACTGCCCTGGAGTCTCCGAATAGTGCACGTTGTCGGCGCTTATGCCTCCGTACAAATCAAGTTGTGGGCGCTTAGGCTTGGGGGGGCCGCAGTCAGAAGGCGAATCTGTACCACTGGAGGATGGTTTGCGCTTCAAACTAGGTGGTGTAGCACTGTGAGCAGTCTCCACGGTTGCGTGCGATGATGTGGGAACGTTCTGTTGACGAGAGTACATCTCCCTTGCTAGTTTAGCCTCCTCATCAATAGACCAGTAAAATCGGTCAATACTCTCGAAAACCGTCAGTGCCATGTCGATAATCCACTTAGGGGGGTCGACGACTACATATTGTTTGCGGATCGAAAGTTGAGCGTCTGAGCGCTCATATGGATAATCGAGCTTTCTTAGGAATTCGTGTGTGACCTCTGCAGAGTAAAGTGTGGCTGCATACTCGTTCTCCATCATGGTCACTAGAAAGACCTACATTTTTGGTCAGCATAATAATGGTATACATATAATGGGCGACTTACTTTTTTTAATGATCGATCTTCCTGTAGAGTAGGTGGACCGAATCCAGTAGGCGGAGGAGGTCGAGGTGAGGCCTGGGCCATCGCAATCATTATCGCAACATAGTACGGGTCAATGAATGGCTCCTCCTTCGGTTCATCCGCGAGTGGGAGTCCACGCTGCCATCGTTCCTGCAATGATAGTCGAGGGGGACGTGGTGCAATGGCCTCCCTCTGCTGCTCTTGCCGTGCTCTCGCCGCGAAGTAGTCCTTTTGGTCGTTGTGGCGCACCCACCCCGCATCAATAAAGGCGCAGACTGGAGCATTTGTCTTGTTTCTGCACAGCAGCCATGGAAAGTACACCTGATCCACAGGCTTGCCGCCGAAGAAAAAAGGTAGCTTCCTGTATAATAGATTTGTTAGCCCAAAGATCCTCTAATACAAAGTGGGGGTTGTACGGTTCTATAATAACTTTATATTTAGGATGCTCAGGATGTTGCAGGAAAAGAAACACGTCGATGATCAATATAGAGAATATATTGTCCAAAATGTCGCCGGGGCAGTTACAGGTGTGAGTAAGCTATTTATATACGTCTAGGTATATCGGATAGGCGCTGAGCTCCTGGCAGAGGTCGTCCGCTGTATATTCATTACACGTTCGTTCTTCACTGCGATCATCATAGAAGCAACCAAGTAACTCTACAAGCTCGTCGGTCTAGAGCTGTAGAGGAACGTAGAGGTGCCTGGAGGGGTTGGTAATGAGCAGATGTCGAAGAGAGCCTAGTTCGGCGGGCTGGCTAAGCACAGAGGGAGCGACGCCGGGACAGCGCTTAACCTAAAGCTGTCGCAGGAACAGCGGCGGGCCTGATCTGTTAGATCAGCTTATAGTGTCGCTGTATCTACTTAAGTAGGTAGCTAGATAGACTACAATTGCACTAAGCAGATCTTCTTTGTGTACTCTATACCCTGTGTAAAGTACAGAGTATGGAGTATAGCTAGACCTGGTTCCGGATAGTTGTAGTAAGTTATAGTAGTAATAGCGATAGTGATAGTACAGTGTAAATATAAAAGGACGGTGTTAAGAAAAGTCAAAACGACTCTCTAGCTGAAGTCCAGTTACTAGGCTCACCGCGATCGCGATTGCAGCTATATATTATCGATTATAGTATAACTACTAGCCGCTTACTCACCGCAGTCGCAAAGGAGTAGGTATTTACAACAATTAGATCACCCTACTTTGCCTTCAAACGCCCAGTTTCCTATCAACATTATATCTGCCTCCTATAAATCGTCGAGACACAGGCTACGAAGTACACGAAACACGCTTCCAGAAGCTAATACTTTAGTATATCCGTTCTCATTTTTACTCAAAAGATAGCAAGAAAATCGAAGCTTACTCTCCGTCGTGTATTTTAGTAAGTTTTTTGAACGTACAGTGTAGACATTCGAGTATGAAGAGAATATAAACGTGTGTAAGTAGATAATACTCGAATTGATAGCGAAGTTTACAGTATATTTAGGTAAGTACATACTTTAGGAAAAGTAGTAGAGTAAGATATGCCGGAAAAAGTAGCTTATTAGGACTTGCAGACTTACTCGAAGTCGTTAGCTATCGTACTCGATAATCTTATATCCTTTTCCAAGTTATAGCCTTCTTTCCCCTTTTCTAAATGTTGACGAGATATACGTATAGCAAGATGTTCTTAAATATAGCTTGAAAGTTAACCAGAGCTATATCTTCAGCCTTCACTCTCTTAGATGAAGAAAGTTTTATACATATACTTTTGGTTACTATAGAGATACAAATTGAATTGCAATACTCATTTAATTATCTTAGTGTTATAAAATAGAACTCAATATAAAGTACGAACAATACATATTATATACTCTCTAAACTCCTATTATAGACCCTATATTGACAAGTCTTAGCTCTGACAATTTCCGCTATTCTTAGGAGAAAGTACTTAATTATTATAAAGTTGAACTAAGTAATTAGTCAAGCTTTTGAAGCTAAAGTTTGAACTAGCTAAAAGTCCTGAAGTCGACTTACTATCCAGTTATTTCCGAGGGGCACAAAAGACGAATAGCGGCCGAGTAGTATCCAAGCTCTATCATCCAGAAGACCCCAAGTCTCAGGAATACCTCTCTAGGACTCTGAACTAGTACGCCGATCTTCTTGCCCAGACTCCTACAGTTACAATTATACTTCCTCATTATCGTTTCTCTCCTAGTATAAAGATCCAACAAACTTATCCCGGGATCTAGAACAACTTATTGGGAGTTCGCTGAAATAAACGACGTCAAACTCCAAGAAAGCACGGGAATATACCTCTTTAGAGTACTTCAATGAATATCTATATACTTGATATTCCTGTGCCGAAACTATATATCTTCCTCAAATTTAGTACTATATGTCTAGGTTTGTAAAATATATCTCGGCATATATCAAGTTTACTACTAAAGTGTAAAAGTTCTAGGGACAGCACTATGATTTTGGCAGCTTTAGTAATTCGAGGGTTATATAGCTACTTTTAGGTATTTTATAGATTGAAAATACTCGATCGATCTAAACTGCAATTCAATACTTTCTACTTTGCTAACTACAAGTTTTAATTGCCATTTCTATTATAGCTTCTTTCGCTTCTATATCGGATTATAGTCTCCATATTCTCAAGCTGACTATCAACGTACTTAGGTTAACCAGAGCTCAACGCAGTCTCGAGCGGCAACTATTCGGGTCTAAAGCCCAAAAAATTGACTGTAAGCCTTTAATTGTGAGGTGCACTGCCCCTGAATTGTCGTCCCGAGTAATAGCTCGGGGCCCCACAGTACGCCGTCTAGGTACGTAGTCCTCTCTGGAGTATTACTTTTGGGTGCGATGGAATGCGAAGATGCCTGCAAAGATCGTCAAACCCGCTTCAGTCTTAAGGCTTGGCATCAAAACCTCACTTGCTAGTCCAGAACCATGACGAGGACTTTTGTTGATTTGCTTAAATCATTCCGAAATTGGTATTTGATACGGAATACGATTATATCATGACAAGGGACCCTATTGTTCCAGATAATCATCAACTTAGATGGGAAATGCGATCGGAGATTTGACGATGTCTAAGAAATATATGTACATCACCAACCCCCGTGGTAAGGCCTCAAATCTCTATGGGAATAAGCTTTTGCACTTACATTTCATCATGTTCAGAAATACAAAGTTGCAACTGCTTGCGACGGGCGCGGTTTTAATCGCCACCGTCTCAGCAATTTGCCCTGTCGAAGGACCTCTCCTCGCACGCCCAACGAACCTTTCAAAATCCATTCCCGTGAGTGCAGCAACTCGAAACCTTACCAAAGTTCTCCAATCCGCCTTGAACGGGACGATCAACCCAGGCTTTAATACTGCAAATACCTCGTTCTCCGTCGGTATCGTATCACTAGATTCGCCGTCGCCAATATGGGAATTTCATCATCGGGGAACCGCCAATGTCAATGGCACATCGAAGGTCGACGCCGATACGCAGTACTTAGTTGGCTCTATTTCGAAGATGATTTCGAATCTTATGATATTGAGAACGGGGGTTGATACGGAGGCAAAGATCACGGAATTTGTACCGGAGCTGAAAGGGAAGAGTGCGATTGACTGGGAGAGTATTACATTTGAAGCCCTGGGAGCACATTTGAGTGGCATCCCACCTAACTGTGAGCCTATTTACCCTACTCCATGCCGGTAGAGCCGTGCTAATTAGAGACGTAGCTGGATTTTCAGAGTTCTATTACTTGCTTCCGGTTTTAGAGCAACTAGGCTTCCCGCCACTAACTAAAGACGATTTCCCAGATTGCGGTGTTACTGCCTTAAATACAGCATGCTCTAAAGAACGTGAGGTTTCTGTCAAAAGGGAAACATGAAAGATTACTGAATGGTTGGCAGAGCTTTTGCAAAATGTCCTCAACTACGAGCCAATCGCACCGCCTTTCCAGCGCCCTGTCTACTCTTCATTCTCGCTCTCGTTACTCGCGTATGCGCTTCAGAATATTACCGGTAATAACTATACCGAGCTACTTAATGAGTATGTGATAAACCCTCTGGGGTTGGTAAATACCGGCGCTTCACCTGGAAACACCTCGCGCGCTGCCATCCCACCCATTGATAGTAGCTGGGGGGGCGACTATCTAGATAATACACCGTAAGTATCAAGATAACCTAGCTTTGCAAAGCACTTGATGTTGGGAACTATGCTGACCTCTTTCTCTCACAGTGGCGGCGGACTTTTCTCATCCCTCTCCGACCTCTCAATCATCGCCCAGAGAACCCTCAACAAAAGCATCCTCTCCACCCCCGCAGAAGTCCGAAAATGGCTCAAGCCATCATCCTTTACCTCCTCGCTAAACTCACTTGTAGGAATGCCATGGGAGATCTTCCGCTCCACGAATCTCACACCTTCTCACCCACACACTATCGACATATACTCCAAATCCGGCGGTGCCTTTGGATACACGTCTCAAATTTCACTAGTCGATCAATATGGAATCGGGATCATTGTTCTAACCGCCGGACCTGCCGATGCCCAACCCATCTTATCGGACCTGCTTGCTGCGATGATCTTGCCCGCAGCCGAAGACGAAGCAAGAACTCAGTCAGCTAAGTATACGAACCATCTCACAGCAATAGACAAAACGAACGTTACCATCGAGATGGATTTAGAACTAGATTCCGGCCCCGGCCTGAAGCTCAAAAACTTCACAAGGAACGGGACCTCATTACTCGACAGCCTTGAAAAGTTCTGGTCAATAGCTATGGTGCAATTCGGGCCTCTAGATCCGGATATCCGAGTTCATCCTGCGGATATCTCGAACCCTGCTATGATGCCCAATCCATCTAACTCCAGTACAGAGATTGAGGTCATCAAAGAAGAATGGCTCATCACGTTTTCGACGCAGCCGAACACGGCAGCGAGAATTGGGAGCGAGTTACCTGGCCAGGGCGCCATGAAGGATTGGTGTACTAGCTGGCAGCTTGCAGGCTGGATTAATTGGGGTGGAGAGCCAATTGACCGGTTAGTCTTCTTGCTAGATAAACATACGGCGGAAGTGCTAGGTGTTCAAGTCCCGTTTTTGAGGGCGACGTTAAAGCCATCAACGAGTTAAAATTGGAGACGGGGGTGATAGAGGAGGAATTTTGAAGGTTTTGTTGTTTGGATCGTCTCATTTATGTTTAAACTTACGCTGCAATATTGTATACTATAAAGGGAGTTATCTATTCCTTCTTTTGTACCACGTACCTCAATCTCTTATGATCAAGTCTACATTTTTCAAGAATAGCGCCGTCGGGTACGCAATACGTAGCCTTTTACCTTTGCTTTTATCTATCGCCTTCTTCACGGGCTTTACGGAAATGTCAAGGGGGAATTTTGTTTTGTGTTATAGAACGAAATAGATGTAGATGATATCGAATTTCCTAAATGACATCCGAATGAGCGCCCTCAAGAGGCCAACCTTTATTCAGAGCGTAATTACATTTAGATGAAGAGGAAATTCGCTCCGGCAACTGCCAGTTAACCCCTTCTAGAAAATAGTCCGTTGCAGGATTTTTGATATACATCCACGGACATCCAATTCCGAAAACGGCGCTATGAAGTTGATCTCTCTATGAAGCAAGAGTAGAATCAAGGGTCCAGCTACCTAATTGAAATTTCCCAGAAGACTTTTAAATCATTGCAAAATCTAGACAATCAACGGGCGCACAAGATATCTTATATATTATACTATAAAAACCATCACCCCCAACAACGCCTTGCCCGCTATCCAGTGTATTGTCGCGACGAAGTATATTTATGTATATGTTTCAGGAGAATAAAAATTCTTTGAGGGCCGGGGAACCAGAGAATTCGGGGTTTAATAATATACAGCTATGCGGGCAATTAGAAAACGGGAGGCTTAAGTAGAGGGTGGTAGGGATGGTATGTACGTACTTCAGGAAATATTGTAGCCCCGCCCTTCGAGTTTCCAAAAACTTGGGTCGGAACTTCGATATTACGCTCTTCGGGGGCAGCGGCGGCATGGCGGCCTCTGAGTTGGGGAAGGTCTTGAGAAGTCTGTAGCGCAGGTCGTCGAACTCGGAGTATCGTTTGCGGATGCGCATCGTGCCACCCTGTGGAAAGCAAGCATCAGTGGAAGGTCAATTATGGGGAAGAGGGGCATGGCAGATACGTACCCGTAGGGTTTCCACATTGATATTCCATACCACGAAGGAGCCAATGCCGGTGCGGTTCCCATTGACAACCACATGGCCTTCGATATAGACGCTCTTCGCCCAGCACGCCTTGTTCTTCACGTCCTCGCCATCGGTGTTATCTTGCAGCGTTATGGCGCCCCGCGGGATGGACTCGATGGATATGTTGGAGACGGATCTCTGATGCGATTGCATCCAGTAGGGGGGAGAGGTCACTGGTGAGATTGGGGAGGTCTCGTCATTATTGGCATCGTCACTGCTGCTGCTCGATCGTTGTTGGCCCGGGGGGAATCGAAATTCCCTGATGCCGGCGGACTCATGGCTGATGATACCCTCCATCCATTTGCGAATGACTGCGTGACGCAGCACTTGGTCGAGGTCTCGCGGACTGGGGCTCTGCTGGCGCGAAGTCGTTGATATTAGCTTGGGATGCTTATGGATCCTCCAGTCGACCTGGAGCTTGGGGATATGCTAGTTAGCTAGCTGCTTGCGCTAAATAGAAACACGCGAGAGATATTATCTTTGAATCTGGAAAGAATTGCGGGTACGCAACGGCGCAGTTACGTTATCGTATTCGATGTCTTGGCTGTGATCTGCTGATGAGCTGGATCTTTGGGCCAAGATGGGAATGCTTAATATTTATATTTATTACTTATTCAGCATTCCCCACCGAAGGATGGTTAGAAGGCCAGCTATGAGCATCGGGATATACCTCCAAGTACAAGTAAATTCTTCGTGGAGAGCCATGTGTTTTCCTCCCAGGTTCTCCAAGAAAATTATGGCCATCAAAGGGACGTCAAAGAAGGCATCCCTGTATTTCCAGCTGGATACGTCGTACAATTAAAATAGCCTTTTTGTTCTTTTCTTCAACGCAAGGTAGGCGACGTAACACACATGCAAACACTCTATTACTCCACAAAGTGCATATATTTTAGTGCATATCCGGGCGATGCGTATGCAGTAGGCCGTCACACTACACCCTCAATACGAAGATGGGGGGGTGGCCGAGGTGCTGGGGACGTGGGACTTGTTCGTATTCAAATCGTGGGGTTGGCCTTCCGCAGTCTTCGTCTTCAGTGCAGCACGTAGATTCTAACTTTGTAATAATAAAATGTTTGTCTGGGGGCGCAGAGCAATAGCCACATCTCGACGCTATTAGCGGGCTTGGCTTATTATTCTTTGCGGCTTCATTAGAGGGTTGAGAGTTGAGAGAGTGATTGTAGTATAATAGAGATAGGGACTTATGTACGGTACTCCGTCCTCGTACGAAAGGAAGTCCGATCCTGCTTTGTGTTATTATTCCCTACCAGCTTACAATCCTCCGGTTGGCTGGCCAGGCTCGTTTCTTGTTTGTGTATCTGCGAGTGGTCTCTCTCTGCTCGGAGCTGCTGGTGGCTGGTGGTTGCAGCGCACGCGCCTTTCTCCATTCCTGAATGGGTGCACGGGAGATTTCAAAAGGGAGAACTCCTCCGCGTTTGCCCTCTGCTTCCCTCTGCTTCTCTTCAACTCACTCGTTGTTCTTGGTCCCTTCGTCCCCGACACTCGCTCGCTTCTTTGCGCTTCAGACCCTAATTTATTTACCTTCTTATTTAATACTTTCTCGCAGCAGATCTTGAGATCGTCGTTCGCTCGATTTCCAGCTCTCGCTCGTTGCTATTCTCCCGGAAAGCTCCTCTGTAGCTCTCTCCCGATCCCGACCGCCCACACAGAACAGGTAGGTGGATTCTCCCCCCAGCTCCGTCGAGGATTGCTTGACCCTCGCGGGGCCGATGAGTCCATTCGCTCGAGTATATAACTAACAATGGCATCGTTAGGATCCTTTAAATTCCTGTCCATTCCCCGCCATACTCGCAAATTCCCACCGACCATCGAGATGCCTTCCTTCAAGACCGCTGCTGCCGTGGTAGCCACTGCACTTTTCGCCGTCGGTGCACAAGCTCAGGACCAATATGTGATTGATCCCAACTCTGTTCCACTGGATATCCGATGTAAGTAATTCACTATGGCCATGCTGTCAAGCACCCACTGATTGTTGTTAGCGCACTGGTGCACTTCCCAAAAGGCAGCTTGTCCTCTGCTCTGCCTGCAGCTCCCGGGCCAATCGGCCACCACCAGGGCAAATGACTGCGATGCGGTACGCAATTATCTCCAATGCCAACGAAGTCTTGAATGAATTATAATCTGACGTGCAAACAGCCCACTCTCGTCTACCACTGCATCTGCGGCAACGGCCTAACCCCAAACGCATCCCAATACTCTCAAACCCTCCCATACTTCATCTGCCAGCAATACGGCAACCAGTGTGTAACTGCGTGTAGCGGGAACACCGATTGCCAGAATTCCTGCCGAGTCGACCATCCGTGTGGAGCTCAAAACCCCAGCCCACTCAACACCTCCAGCTCCTCCGTCATGCCATCAACTACCCGTGGCAGCGGCGGCAGCGAAACCACAGGCGGAGTGGTATACAATGGTATCAGTGGTGCAGCCGAGACTACTGCGGCAGGCGGAGCTGGAAAGAAGAGCGGCGGCCAAGCCGCTTTGGATATGGGACAGAGCTACGGCCTTGCTATCGTCTTCGCCAGTGTCTTCGCCGGTTTCGCTCTGGTGTTGTAGATGGAGTGGGGTGAGGTTTGATCTTGTTGTGTCTGTTCTTGAATATCCTTGTCTCCTATCTGCACCGAGTTTGTTAGTTTTGGTTCCTTGCTTGCATTTCAGCGTTGCTCGCAATTGTGTTGTTCTGAAGCATTTTCTGGTGAATTGTGCGCGAGGGAGGGAGTTGGCTTCTATCTTAATTCCGATAATGAAGACCCGTAGTAGGATGTCTTAGGGACTCGTAATACGATAGGCATGAATACAGATGCATCAGCGTTTCTACTTCCACAGTGTATCATCACACGCCAATCTTGACATGCAAATCGGGTTTTGGTAAGTCAAGGTGAGGTGGGATGAGTTCAATGTGAGACCCTGTGGATCCTGATGAGCCTATTGAACAACATGGTCAGGAATGCAGTGCACCTCATCCGAAACATCACCATTCGGGAAAATAATTCTTTGTTCGAAGCTGTTTATCCGCATCGACAAGGATAGCGTGGCAAACAATGCCACTATGATTTACATTCCAAGCCTACCTACCTAATGTAGTGCTCGAAACGGTCGATCGCTTCATCTGATAGGTACTACGTAGTGGTCGACTCGCCAACAAGCTCTCCAACTTCTATAACGAGAGACCAAGCTCGAATATAGATATTAGCAATCATCTGGGTTAACATCACCCGTCGGAGTCTGCTCCGAACCATGCTTCGGCATAATTGGTTTTTTTTAGCCACCAGTATCGCTATTAGATGAGAAACGAAATGCTGGATAGCGTATGGTCATATGACTCAACTTGCTTACCCCGCGTTATTGGAGATTTAGAAGACAAGGATAGGCCGAAGACACTAATAAAGCAGAGGCAGGTATATCAATTGTAGGTACAGTACAGTAAAGTGTGGAGCATGTTGATTAATTGGCTTTAGTACCTAGATGCCTACCTTAAGTACCGAGGTAGGTATACCAGAGAGGGTCAGAATTTGTGGGAACATTCAAATTTCAACATACACCTTTGTTTCAACCACACTATAACATTTACTTACAAAACAGGATCATAGAGTATGAAGTCAATTACAACTAAATGATCTGTCGCTTTAGGCTTTTTATTTTGTGCTGTGTTATAAAGTTACTCGCAGGTAGTACATCTGTACCTGGTAGGTATCCATATAATAAGGTACCTAGGTACCGTGGGGCACGTCCTATGCCAAACCTGACTCAGCAATCTCCCATGACTACCAGGTATCCTTAATATACATCATGTCCATTGACGATTCGACAACCACAAACATCCTCCATGTCGACCACAACATTTCCACCACCACCTTGCCATGATCACATACTATCATGAGTGTGCAGCAATCATTACAGACGACACCGCCAGAAAGCTTCACGGACCCCCTGACTCCGCCTGCAACCGACGAGAAGACCAAGGCGACTTGTATCTCATCTGTTATTTCAGAGATTAGAAGGCGCAAACACGGGCATAGTTTGTCTGGCAAACCCTGGCATAGATTTGTATTAGATGCGCACCAATACAAAGATCTGCAGCGGCATCTCCAACTAGACTCCTCTCTTTGGGATTACTTCGTGCACAAACTTCGGTATATAATGGCTTGCTCGTTTGCTACCCTGCTAATGCGAATGTTAGGCACGATTATTTCCCATCAGCGAAACTACTCATCCTTCGGATGCCCGGGTTACTACACGAAAGCCTTGCATCTTATGTCACCCAAGAGATAACACTACAATTACGCGCAATTGCCCAAAGCGATAGCCCGTCGGCGGAGTTTGCAGGAGACATTGACAATAATGCATCTGCAGAAATCAACTTTACGGATGCCGAATACGGTTCACATCAACCAGACGCTTCATTTCAACATTTCAACGCACAGTATCCAGGAGTCATCATTGAGCTCTCCTACTCGCAGAAGAAGAAAGACCTATCACGTTTAGCAAATGAGTATATTCTTGGATCAGATGCAGATATTCGTGTCGTAATTGGCATTGATGTTGAGTACAAAGGAAGTAAACGGGCAACCATTTCAATGTGGCGCCCACAAATTGTGATAAATGATGCTGGAGAGGGAGAATTATGTGCCATACAGACAGTGACGGATCAGGTATGCCCGCCAACAAAATCCTCTTATAACTTACTTCTGCTAAGAACAACTAGCTCTTCTGTGATGATGTAGGGAATTTAGTTCTCAACCCCGAAGCAAGTATACATCTCCGACTCGAAGACTTTGGTACTGAAGCTTTCGCTACGACATTTAATGATCTTACCGAACCTATACACATCTCACCTGAAACCCTGTATAGATTTCTTAAGCGGTCTGAGGCCAAAGCGACGAGAGTCAGGCAAGGACAGGGACTGGCGAGGTCCAGCAAGCCCTGGACCAGGAAACGACGGAGAGATAGTACCCCGCCGGAGCAGCTAAGTTCAGACCGCGAGGGCAAGTTTGCGGATGAGGAGCAGAGGGCAACCAAGAGGGCTACAAAGGATGACGCTTCTTATAAGACGAGCTCTTCAGAGGCGGAGGTGGAGGCAGAGTAATGCATAGGCTCCCTACATGGGCCGATTCTTCTCAACGTCTTGCTTGGCTAAGACTTTGCTCCAATACCTCGAGCGCCACAACGAAGACGCATATTAATATTATAGATACCCCCGAATAAAGTACTCCGTACTTATAGACACATTATAAAACTGTAACCACTACGATGTTTACAGTAATATTCGTATAATATATTTCAAAATGGAGTTTAATTCAGAATATATGTTACTGGCCTTAATTCTTACTCCTTCTAATAGCACGTAACAACTTAGAAACTGCCCCTAACAACATTTATAAAGTACTATAGCTAAGTCTACTGAACAGGCGTACGTACTACGTATGCCAGTCGTGTTAATGTAGAATTTATAGATCTCACAAGTACGATGGACACAGCCACCTCTTACCTGATCCAGGACATCCGTTCTCGCTCCCCTGGTAAAGGAGGCTCAAGGATCCCCTATTAGCGCCTTTGGATCCCCTATTCCAGCCACACGTGACTAGTAAGGAATTCAGCCTTACAATTTACTAACAACCCACTGATACCTTCTTCTAATTTGAACACCACTACCTTGACAGCATGAGTCCGTGGCACATTAATCCACCGGTAAGCTAGAATCACAAGGAAAATCGTATTAGAAACGAACTTTACGTGTTCCGCGCTCCTTTAAAGCTGATCTGCTCGCAGCAGAGCGTCTCGGGGACTGGAAACGCGGTTGATCAAGTTCAGGCCGACTACACGACACGTTGAACCCACTTGCACGATAACAACGTTCGCACATAGCAATCCTGCTACTATGCCCGGAACGCTCAAGCTCCTTGACCGCGATCCGATTACGTACGAGTCCGCCGCTGATCATGAAGACAATGTTATCAGCCAACTAGCCGATGCAGACTCTACCAAATATCTGTACGAGTCACTTTGGGACCAAAAACGGTCCATCGAGGCACTGATTGCAAACCACCTTGGGCTAGCCGGCAAAGCTAGTTGCCTCGCCTTGGACTAGAGTACGTGGATCCGAGGTTCCTTTAATGTCTGTATACCGGTTGAGGTGAAAGAGACGCCCGGCAGTGTGACTAGGAAAGTCCTTATACGCTGCCCTATGCCACACAAGCTCGCCGATACTAGATACCCTGGCATAGGAGATGAGAAGCTGAGTTGCGAGGTGGGGGCATATGTATGGATGCAGGACAATTGTCCTAATGTCCGTATACCTCACTTGTTTGGCTTTGGCTTCTCGGACCACCGCCATGTAAGTATGGTCCTCGATATAGGATCTGCCGATGATACTGATCCAGCCTTGACTTTCTAGTTCACCCATGCGTCTCACCGGCCTCTCCATGTCCGTTTTTCGCACATGGTCTGGCGAAAGCTCTATTCCCTCCTCCAATACCCTGTCCTTGCGCAGTATACTCGCAACCCCACTATCCACAGCCTGCCCACGGGATATATGATCCTCGAGTTCATTGAACCAAACATAGGGCAAATGCTCTCTAAAACGTGGGATAACCACCGGGAAGATCTGACCCGGAAGCAGAACCTGTTTCGAGGTATAGCTCGCCTCATGCTCTCCCTCGCTCGTATCCCTCAAGCAAGAATAGGCTCATTCCGGTTTCACGATAACGGCACTGTGGCATTAGCGAACCGGTCCCTTTCTTACTCAACTATAATTCTAGAGAACGAAGGGGCGCCAAGGATAATGCAGAGGAGCGATACATATATATGTACCGATGCTTTCGTGTCAGATATGCTCACCTTCCATGATCATCGCTTCCTCAGCCAGCCCAATGCCGTATATGGCGGGCAAGACTGCCGTGGCTAAATGGCCGTTAAAACATTGCTCCGAGCGCTCTCGCATCATTACATCCAGCGGGAACACCGTAACGAACCGTTTACACTCCAACTTACTGACTTTCACGCGAGCAATATCTTTGTCGACCAAGAATGGAATATGACATGCCTCATAGACCTGGAGTGGATGTGCTCCATTCCCGTAGAGATGCTTGCAGTGCCCTACTGGCTTACTGGAAGGGGAATTGATCAGATAAAAGACGAGCATTTCGATGAGTTCGACAAGGTGCGAAAGGAGTTTATGCACATTTTTGAGGATGAAGAGCAGAAAATCGCAGGCAAAGAGCATAATATCGTACTAACGAGAGTCATGAGTGATATGTGGGAATCAAAAGGAGTGTGGTTTTGGTATTGTATAGAGTCTGTCAACGCCATGTATTTCCTTCTTGGGGGGAGTTATTTCTGCCCCAGATTCTCGGGTAGTTTGTCTCTCGAGGCCGAAGAGATTATATCGCAGTTTTGGTGTGAACATTCGGAGGATATTGTTACGAAGAAGCTTGCTGAGAAGGAAAAGTACGACCAGGAGCTCCGAAGGCTGTTTGATGGAGAGGCAGCGACCGGGGTATTAGAGTGAGTAAAGGCGTCTTTCTCTCTCTTTCAGCTGCTCCTTCTCCCGATTTATGCGATATCAAGTGATCTTAAACGGGCATAACTAAACTGCTAGATCAAATCCACTAAGGCCAGGTAAATTAAACATATAAAAATGAGCAAAAAAAATGAGAGCTGTAGTACTCCTTGCTCTAATCGCACCAATGCAATAGCTCGCTTTCCTTTTCCTACCAGTGCCTCCAGATTTCAGTGTCTGAAGTTTACTTCAGTCTGGCCTGGAGCAGCGTTAGAGTTGAGTTGCTCGAACGTCTAAACTACTTTTACTTGGCCTCCTGTTAGAACCCAGGAGTTCCTAGCTGAAAATGCCACTTGGCACTTGGTACTCCATTTGCCACTCAGCAATACACGTACGATTTTGCCTCTACCATTATGGCAAATCGTACTTGTGTATCACATATAAGCTGAATACGTAGCTATCATTACTGCTCACAGTAATTAGTATGACTCGCGATGCTGAGCAAGCTCAGCTGACACCCAGATATCCCTAGACATATTTCACTTCAGTCACCTAGCTTATACACTCTTTTGCCCGTATCGCTCCAGATCTGAAGAAATAATAACAAATAAAATATATATATATAAAGTGTCCTATTATACCCAAAACTCCCTATAAGCTCCAACTATATTCCATCCTTCGGTTTTTTTGTGTTGGTGGCTATGTGTCAGGCCCCACAGGGCCTCAATTTCCTCTATATCTCCAATCGTCTTCTTTCTCCCCTTTACTCTAGTGCTGATGCCTGTTCGTTGTATGTCCTGAACTAGTCAAGTAGACCTGTTGCTCTAATAAAGTTAATTACATTTGGGATCAGCTTGGCGCCTTCCAAGAAGTTCCTTGGGTCCCTCACTACCCAGCTGCCTAGGTAGTGTTTCCTTTTCCCTCTGTACTTTGCACAGTCTTCAATGATGCATGCCGCTGTTTGGTATGCGTTATTACACTCGCACTACACTGCTTCAGCTCTGTTGATCCTGTAGCGGTATCTATTTAAGCCGACCTTTTCAGTCCTCATCTGGATGACCAATACCTGCTCAGGGCCTGAGGTGGAAATGGGACCCTGGCGTGATGCCAAGTTATACCTCTTTTGGATCAATCAATCCTTTGTTTTTGATTGGTCGGCTGGTCCAAAATCTTGTTTAATCGATCCATCCTTCCCCGATTAGGCTTCCAAGCCATTGGTCTCTTGGATGGATTCAGGTAGAAACAATCCTGGCGCTTGTGGGGGAGTCCACACAGGCATTTTGGCTTTGAGGCGTTCCTGGGTTTTGGGGTGTCATGGTTGGGACCGGTCTCTAGCTGCTCCTGATTCTGGAATGTAGCAAAAGATGGCTGTGTTCTTAAATATCGGGAAGTGGCGGAGCGTATCCGGCACATACTCCTGAAATCCTCAATCATATCGTACAGATCTGGCAGTGTGGATTTATCCCTGATATTCTGGTCTACCCGATGCTCATGCACCACTGAGAAGGCAGGGTAGATTGGTCTGAGCGCCAATAGAAGGTCAAAGAGGGGCCTTTCCTCGTGTATTTCCGAGAGCTTGAGCTTTACAGCCTTTGCGTAGGTTGTTTCCCACCTTTGGAGGAATTGCTCAATGCTTTCTCCCTTGTTGAACTTTTTCAACTTGGCGTATTCAGACGCCACCTCCAGTTTAGTGGCATAATCCGTCGCAGCCTGACGCTTTTTGGGGGCCACTAGCATGTCGTATACTGTGGCTTGATCCTGGAGGTATATCCTGTTCCGTACTGTTGATAATAGGGTCCCAAATTGGTACATGTAATACAGGTAATTGATTGGTCAGAATGGACCATGGAATGGGATAATTGTATTGATTAAGGACCCTAATGCTATGGGGTGAAAGCCTCACATATATAGGCAAATGAATGTATGGGGTCAGGTGATCAATCAGGTGACTCAATGAAATAACACCGATGGTATCCGAATGGCTTCCCAGAGGCTCCATCATCATGTACCATACTAATTAGTATGGGATGCGATGATATCCGAGTATTCGGCTCATCACGGATACACATATACCATTCCTCCCTTGTGGTGGAGAAGTGCCAAGTAGGGTGCCTAAGTGGCTTGATCAGCTGGCCAGGGGAACTCCCATAACTCCCATATTCTAACACGTACTGAGACAGTTTTGAAGATATACTCCTGTACCGTGTTGATCAGCCTGGTGGTCTCCTTATACTCCTTGTATTTTATTTGAGCTTATACCTCCTGCCTTGTCGTTATAGCCTAAGGGCTAGGTTCTAAGTCTCAGCTTGTCTTGTGTGTGTATGGCAGTTAAGGTGCCAGCTTCAAGCTTCACGTCGTGGTGATTATGACGGAATCAACCATAATTGAAGGTGCACGTAGGTTAGGCGGCCCGGGCTCATAACTGCCAGTGATTTCGGAGGCACTGAAAATAGGTAGAAAGAGTTGATTAATTCTAGGAATAGAGGTGGTGGAGTAGTCGGTCGTCCTTGTTCAATACAGGTAAAAGTGGGCCATTTGTGCCACATGTGGCGTAGAGTGTCATGCCTGGGGTATAAGGCATAAGGTATGGTACGTACCCCTCATGGTTGGGGGCAAAGTGGACCCCTGCCGAGGTTCGACTGCTGACTTGTTGGTGACTTGGAACTGGGAACTGGGAACTCGCAATTCGCAATATGTTGAGTCGTAGCTTAGCCTCAAAGTGAGGCATGGAGAACCTCTGAACACAAGCTCTTCACTACGGAACTCTTACAAAACAGCCAATGCCGCCGCTGTGTGAATAGCCACTTCGCTCGTAGCTACCTCTCTAAATAAATCCCACGCTGCTTTCACGTGCAAGCCCACCAGTGGACTAAACAGGCGATGATAGACAGGGTTCAGAGCGTGAAAGCCATAGGCAAATTTAACGACCAGTAGATTAGGTACCGCTGCGAGCGAAAGTACTTCGTACCTGTCTCTGGTCCCTTCAGCCGCCCATTACATCCACCTCCTTCTGCCCCCTTTAAAAATAGAAAATAGCCAGACTCTCCATGTCTGAGCAATTGTTATTTGCCTTTAACTCCGTCTAAGCAAGCAGGTTCGCCGAGGTCGGAGCGCTATCCGACCTTTACCCCCTCAAGATTCGGCTGCCCAACAACTTGCTTGCGGTCAATACGGAACCGCAGGCTCTTCTACCCTCTCCTGTCACCACTCCGCAGTCTGCAATGGCACCAAGCAAAAGTAAGCATCTCCGTGCCTGCCGGCCGCTATATAGCTATCGACGGGCTCTTGCTAATGGGTCTACTTAGGGGAGGCCGCGCATGAGTGCGTGTCCGACGAGGCGTTGGTTCATCTCAAGTCCTACAAGTATTCCAGCGTCGACAAATCCTTGATCTCGAATTATATTCTCAAGCACTACGTACGCCGCCCACCATTGACCACAAACTCCACTCGCGGGACTTTTTTGCTGAGGGATATCTAGTGGAATGGGTTCGTGCATCTGCTGCCGTTATGGCTCGCGCCGAACATGGTCACTCTCCTCGGATTCTTCTTCATCCTCACGAATATTATATTCCTAGAGATATTTATGCCGGATTTGGTTGGACCCGTACGTTCTCCCTTTGATGTGTGGCCCTATGCTGCTTGATATCTGATTTCCATTTGTGGCAGGGACCGACGTGGTTATACTACAGCTTTGCATTCGGGCTCTGGATGTACTCGACGATGGACAATGTCGACGGCAAGCAAGCGCGGCGGACAGGTACCTCCAGTGGCCTGGGCGAACTCTTCGACCACGGGATCGACTCCTTGAATTGCACCCTGGCGAGCTTGTGTGAGACGGCCGCAATGGGTCTCGGCACCTCGAAGGCAGGCGTGTTCACAGCCTTGATACCTTGCCTGCCCATGTACTTCTCGACCTGGGAGACATATCACACCCATACCTTGTATCTAGGCATCTTCAATGGACCCACCGAAGGCCTTATCATCGCATGCCTGATAATGATCCTCTCGGGATACTATGGTCCCCAGATCTGGACTCAGCGGATCACCGATCTCATCGGCCACCACTATTTCTTCGGATACCACGAGGTCTTTGGGACATATTCCGTTCGGGATCTCTGGGTGCCTATCCTGGTAACCTCCTTCTTTGGCGCGCACATGCCCGCCTGCGTTTACAATGTCGTCAAGGCACGACGGAGCGCCAATCTTCCCGTCCTGCCGGTCTTCCTGGAATGGACCCCGATGATCGTATACACATTCTCCATCGGAGCCTGGCTTTACTCGCCTTACTCAACCCTGATGGCAGAGAACCGGTTAGTCCTCTTCTGCCTGACGATGGCATTCGTCTTCGGTCGCATGACGACGAAGATCATCCTCGCCCATCTTACGCGCCAACCATTCCCTTACTGGACGGTGATGCTCACTCCTCTCGTTGGCGGCGCAATTCTGGGTAACCTCCCTCGCATCGGACTCCCACAAGTCAGCGCTTTCGTCGAACTCTGGTACCTCCGCGGATACTTCCTCTTCGCGCTGGTTGTCTATTTCAGATGGGCATTCCTAGTCATCAACAGCATCTGCGACTACCTCGGCATCAACTGCCTTACGATCCCAACGAACATGCAAATAGCCAACCAGGAGAAATCCAGATCGTCCAACGGGACGGCCAATTCAAGCAACGGTCACGTTCACGAAAAGAGAATCGACTAAAAAAGTTACTCGGGGAAGACGCCTAGTTGGATAGTGTGGTTCACAAGATGAGTTTGCATATAGGGGCATATGGCATTAATAGAAATAAACCCCCCTTCCTTCCCGCAATGCAAACGCAACTGCCGGGGAGGGGGACGGGTTTATGCATCGGGCGGAGAAAAAGAATCTATTTAGCATCGGGAGGGCGTTTTTGAACGAGCAAGCCTTTGACAGTTTACCAAAGCGCAAATTATCAATAATCATTGTTTTTGCTACTCAGTATAATCCCCCTTTTGTTTAGTTTTTTGTAATTTTGCGTACCTGCATAGCAGATATGGGAAGGGAAGGGTGGGTGATGCGATTTTACCAACCCGCTTCGCCCTTGTTTTTCAAAAAGTACAAATTTGTCTGCTCAATTCAATGATCATATATACATATCCTATTACAGTATCTGCCGTTTCACCAGGGACTTACTCATTTAATTAAGCGTACCAGGGTTTTTACATACCAACTTTTGTGTTTGTTTGTTCCTAGATGACCTATTATAAAAGAATTCCTATTAATCAATATCCATATCCAGTTTTCTATTCTAGATCTATGAGACGAGAGCTAAGCGGCTCTAATTGCTATTTTCCAAAGCATATATTTCTCTCCCCTCACCACTGGCCCGCTCGAGTGGCTCGGCCGCAAAAGCAGAAATAATTGAAAAGCTACTTGGGAGAATTAGAGAAAGCAGAATATTATGTATAAAGCCGATTTAAATAGTAGGTTTAAATGTGTAATGCAGATCCCCTGTCTTGTGGCGCTGTTGGGTTGTTTTATGACCACGCACGGTGCCAGGGTGCTTCGAAACACCAATTTCTAGGCAACTATACCCCGCAATTTAAGAGAGGATAGCTTCAGCTTCAGCTACTTCACTGACCTTACTACACTGTCCGTACCTGCTTCCCAGCCTCTGGGACGATGTCATCCTACGAGCTGCCAGCCAAGGTCGCTCATGGTAATCTGGGCTGCGAAGCCCACGGCTTGGTATCCTGTTCAAAGTGTTGCGTGGCCCTTAGCTTCATGCTCGGAGAGGAAGACGAGAACAAGTCGAATGTCTGCATTCGTGAAGATGGAGCAAGGAGGAGCTCTACGGAGTCTCTTGCGAATATCATTCGCGGGGAATCCCATGGACAAAATCAAAACGTACCATCTCCGCTTGCCAGTAAGCTTTTGCAGCTTCCCAGCGAGTTGCGCCAGCAGATATACACTGCCCTCTTCACCTCGACGATGCTTATCTTTAGCGAAACGTCCGGTAGATATATTATTACGAAGGATAAAAAACCTACCCCGAACGCCCTAGCCATACTTCGAACCTACCGTCAAATTCACAACGAGGCTAGAGATCTCTAGCTTAGCTGTGTCACGTTCAGCTTCAATACCTCGGCGGCTCTTCTTGACAACCTCTCAGTACTCCCTTCCGCCACCCTTTCCCAGATCCGCCATGTCCGGACGTTTGGGAACTCAATGCTGCTCGAGGTGTTTGAACACGATGATTTCGTCGACTACAGGCTTGTATGGCTACTCAAGCTTTTGCCAGCACTACACTTAGATGACCTCACCGTTATCGGGCCAATTGATGGCAAAATTGCATACGATACTCTCCAGGGGCTGATTCAGTATGGGAATGGATGGAGGACGTTGCGATTTATCTCGCAGCATTGGTCAGTACTCAGCTTTTCAATAAAAGCAGATATCTATGGTGCAGAACCACACTGGCGCAGTCCCAAACCAAGCACCCCAGAAGAAAAGATTATACACCAGCGCGACGGTGCACAGTCCGGGGCGTCCGTCACCACCTACTCCTCTGCAGGATTAGATGTATTTGACACGGTTCTGACCTTCCAACCCCGTCAAATATCCACGCAAGAGGCATCGTCTCCCAAAGCCCTAGCAACAAGTGTCGTAGAAGAAGACGAGGCGTTATCGACAGCAATCAAGAACGGTAAAGAGCTGCTAGTAGTTGTGAGGCGTGGTCAGGGGGCAGATATTTCAGAGGAAGAGCATTGGCCGTATACGTTGGAGCACGATATGCGACATTGGGCACATGGTATAACTTGGGCGGAGATCAGGCCTAGATATATGAATTTCGGCCAAGAGGACTTGGGGGACGAGGACGACAACGACAACATGGAAGAAAACATTGACGTCTGCGAAGGGGAAAATGGCGAGGATTTATTTCCTATACCGATAGCGGAGCTGAGGACGAGAGTCTGAGTTACCGCAACAATATCATGTTTTGATAGTCGAATACCGAGGAGGAACCGTGATTCTGGGTGAGCATGCGGATGAGCCACAACGGCGTTCATATGAAAATGTCGACCAAGTAGAAAACGCCAAGATCAACCTCCTTCAAAATTGTATTTAGCGGCAACATGTTAGGTCAAACACATAGGTAGACTAATACCACAAGTCTGTTCTCCTCGTATTCTACTTCCATGATTGTCGGCTTAAAAAATGCCACAATAAAACAGATGCCATACACTGCGAACCCTACTACAACTTTGTCAAGGGTAATCTGGGGGAAAGCATTAATTGATTTAATTAGCACACCCCCGTTCCTTGTTTTCCAGGGTCTATCTATCAATGTCTATGGAATTTAGTAGACTATAGTTTCCACATATAAGATCTAGAGCAAGTTGCGGTTAACATGCTTTAGCACGCTTGGGTTATGATAATTTACTTGATCTGCCTATTTCTGCAACCATCCTCATCATACTCCTTTTTGCAATCCTGTCCAATCCCCAACTCCAACTTGTATTGACGGAGCTGCTCTATCTTTCGATTAACAAACATACCTAAGCCCTTGTGGACCTCTGCACGGCAGAATGAGTCTGACCTCTCCTCTTGGTCGCGAGAAGGGCCAAAGCAAAATGGATCAAGCCGTGACCAGTATATTCGATCCAAGGCATAGCTGTCTCTAGCAGCCTCGTTGAACCAAAAGGTCATGTCGGTCATGGACTGGCGCATCAGGCTCGACAGACTGGGATCCGTGTTGGGGCTTACCGGGCCCTTCCGAGAAAGCTCTTGCTCCTCCAAGATCTCTAAAAAATAGTTCAAGCTTTGGAAGGTAAGCATTGAGAAGGTCTTCTTTATCTGGATTAGAGTCCCAATAGGCCGGCTCCTTCAGCAACAGCCATCGCGGTGGGGCATATGTAAATTGAAAAGGCGCGGCATAGCACCATTCCCAATCGATGATGCCGGTGATCTTGAAGGAATTATCTACAAGGATATTTCCAGGCCGGAAATCGTCACAGAAAAGCTTGAAAGGACCTTGATTGTACCTCCGCGATACGAAATTAGGAGTGATGGCACGGAACAGATGGCGAGCAGTATACTTCAATCGAGCGTCCGTCGCACTGCTAATACTATTCCGCTGCCGTTCGAGATGGAGGATGTTTTGCTCCGCAATCTCAAGAAGATAGTCGGCTGTGGTTGAGTAAACTCGTGGCTCCACATATACATCTCCACATCTTGCCAATTCGTTGATGTTGAGTGTAAGAGGCCCAGATTCGATAGACCAATTATCATCACTGTCGATGGACAGAGAGCCTATTCGATCGAAATCATGTTCTGAAAGTTGTAGAATGACATCTGCGATCTGCTGGTATACCACCCGCAGTGTTGAGTCCGGAATATCGCTACGCAGGATTTTGTCCCCTTGTTCATCGACGGAGTCTGCTTTTAGCATATCCCCAAGTGGCGTACCCTCTACAAAGGTTGTGATGAGAAAGGGGCCCAGGCCGGTTGGGTTGTCCTCCGCCATTCCGTAGGCAATCACGGTGGGGACGGGAATATCAGTCTTTCCTTGATGTATTTCATAGTGGCCACTTCACATCGTAGCTTCTGCTCTGCAAACATGACCTTTCCCGGGATGGGAAATCGCAGCATCCATTCTTCTCCATCCTCGTCGAACTGCACCTTGATGCAAAAGTTGAACGAGCCACATTTCAGACCGGCGACGTAACATGGCTGGTCATTCCGGAATTTAGATGCTAGTTGACATACCGAAGGTCCGACTTGACTGAGCTTTCGATTCCAAGCAAGGCGGTCGTTGTCGTGTCGAGCTAGTGCCAGATCATCGAAATCCATGGTTAGTTTCAAGCTAGGCTTGAACACTGTTACCAATTGAATTTGGGACGTTCCTATAATTAGCATAAATTTAGTTCGTGAACAATATACATCGTGGGGTAATTCTTAGTACTCGCTGAACGCTTATTCCGACGTTACTATAAGGTTTCTAGGAGGGAACATAATTTAAATATATAATATTATTTATTTATGTTCTTTCAGCTGTTGTTTTTCTACTACTGTAGTGATATAACATCACGTGATAGAGTTGTAGAGCAGCTCTCGACCTTACTTGAGGTACTACTCAGGCCATTATCCAAGAGGAGTTACGCATCGCGATAAAAGTATCTCCGCTTCGAAAGATCATAAACACCCTCCTGCTTAGAATATGTGACTTACTGATTAAGTATAGTCCAGCCTTCTGCCTTGAGCAGCTCAGCACGAACGGCCTGAGGCTGAGGTAACTCGCTCTGGACATTTTTGTTTTTGTTTACCGGCACCTCAAACTTCTGCAAATTAGTGGCCACCGGACCAATTTAGAACATTGGAATGCACCTTAGCTAGTAGTAGATGGACCAGATACGCCGTCAACTCGTCAATGATGCCACGGATGCCTTCATAGCGTCTATTGATTGCTCCAAAATCTGCGACCTAGCTTCTACCTTCCACCCTCAAGGCAAGCCATGCCGTGTCTTCTGCGAGCCAAAGAAGGGGAGTTATAATATCTGTTTCTTCATTGTCTTCCTTTCAGATGAAGGTGATACAAATGAAAAATGGGTGATACGCATCCCATTAACTCCACGTCTAGCGTTTCCAGAGGAAAAGATGCGCAGTGAGATAGCTACAATGAAGTGCGTCTCCCTAACATATTTTCTTCCCGATCGCGCATCTAAACTACTAAACTACTAAACTACTAAACTAACATCCATATCTAGATACATCACATCAAAAACCTCGATCCCAATTCCGCAGCTTCATGGCTACGGCTTCAGCCAAACTCACCCTTCTGGTCTAACATTCATGTTGATATCTTACATCCCTGGTGATCGCCTCTCTGACCACAATCTCCCAACTCTCAACCCTCCCCTCCTGTCCCATCTCCATACCCAGCTCGCAGATATTTTCATACAACTCCGCCACTGCGAATTCCCCCACATCGGCTCCCTCACTCTCGACCCTATCGATGACCGGACCCCGATCTTTGTACATAATCGCGCACTTTCGATTGATATCAACGACCACGAACTGGAAGGCCTAAGTCCAACAAGCATTATTGGCCCAAGCAAGATCTATAGGACCGCAATCGATTACATATATGCGCAAACCCAGCTACTCTTCAATCAGTTCGATAAGCAGCAAAACAGTGTCTACAGCGAGGCGGACGCCCGATATCATCTCTATGGGTTACATCAGTTTAGAAGCATCCTCATGGGTTGGTTGAGAAGAGAGTATAATGAAGGACCGTTTATATTAATGCATGGGGATTTCAGGACGGCAAATATCCTTGTTGATCAAAACCTGAATATCACAGGTGTACTTGATTGGGAGTGGAGTAGGACAGTGCCAGTGCAGATGTTTCTGCCACCTACGTGGCTAAGAGGGGGTGATATCCGTGACTTGCTGAGTTTCCGAGGCCTAGGGTATGGGAGTTATTTGGCAGGCTTTCGAGATGTGGTTAAGGCAAAAGAGAAAGAAATGCATTGCCAAGGAAGTGGTGGTGAGGAGAAAATACCGTTGTCAAAGCTTTGGGATGGGATCTATATCCTCTCAAATTTTCTTATTGGGCAGGCACTTTTACGTTTAGATGTCGCTGGGGATGTTTACTGGGACGCTCTCGATCGTCGTTACTTTGGTAATGACGCTGCAGCCAGGGTGGAGTTGTTTTATGAAGTGCTTGCAACAAGCAATCAAAAGAGGGTAATAGCAAGGAAATTGCAAGAGTTGGAGATGTATAACGCCGAATTGAAGGAGCGGGGTTTAGAGGAGGATAAGCCCCTTGAGCCGCTTAGAGGATTGCCAGCCGATAAAGTCCAGGAACTAGCGGAGCATCTAAGGAATTTCAATAACAGGGAGGAAGCTAGGAGACATGAGTTTTGTTCATGGGCATGGTTCAGGTCTCGAGTGGGTCTAGATTGGAGGCATGTTATTTAACAATTCCATTATGAACCTGCCTAGCTAACATGATAAGTAGCAATCCCGTATCACCCCAGACCGTCAGCCAAGTTGTAGTTGGCATCACAGTAATTTCGGCGGTGTCTTATGCACTTTCTCGACCTCGATGAACTGGTTGTACAGACATTTCCCTTTCATGCCTATATAGAGTGCCTATTTGTGCTTCTCAAAGTATCCTATCCCTTAAGTAGCTCTTCAAATTCCTCAATCTCTTCCTGAATCTCCTGTATCCTTCCCTCAAGAGCTTCCAACTTGCCCTCTACTTCCTCTATCACTTGCCCAATAGATTTCGCATCACTTAATCCCCTTGCGTTACGTGCACTACTCGCACTTGATTCTAACGCATCTTGTGTCACAATATCAACCTTGTTCTTGAGGTCTTCAATGAAGGCTAATTGCTCCCCCTGGTCGGCTTTGAGGCGAGCATAGAGCACTTTTTTCTCGGCCAATTTGGCGAGCAAGGCGTCTGTGATCTGACCACCGCCAGTCGACATCTTGAGATTGGTCTTGACTTCGAGTTAGCTTCGAATAAGCACATCGATTAGTGACTCACTTGTCTTCAAACCCTTTGGTTCGCGTCATCCGAATTTGGGCTTTTAATTACGAAAGTCGATCGCGCCGTTTATAAAAGGTAATAAAGGGCGGATGGAAATATATAGGCTCTATACACTGGAACTTTTTAATTACTGACTGGTATTGACGGAGGTGAAAAGAGGGCCTCTATAGTGACGACGTAGTGCAGGTCCCTATTCAGCTGCCCGGCTAATATTAGCTTGGGCTGTTCCCGTGGTAGGTAAGAGTGTATGTTGTAGACACGGCTATCAAGAGCGAGCATGAGCACATGCATATAACTGCAAGCAGGCAGGGGGTTTTTGCATGATGGCCCATTAGCTGTGAGCCAACGGCTAGGTCATCTTCGCCTTATCTGTTTCTTGAAGCCTTGCAATTCGATGGAATTCGTCCCCGCCCTAGCCGTGATGTTTGTTTTGTAGACGTGGCAGGTGGCAGCTGTCCCTTCAGGTTGGTCAGAACACACGCCACAAGGATACTTAGTACTCCGCACAAGGGGAAGCCAATGCAAAATAACGCCATAGCATTTAACCAAATCCGAGTGACCTAACCCATCATCTGGTTAAGATATCTCTTTTTGGTTTTTAATTAGTCGTGATGGATCTTATTTCAACACAACTTCACCAGACTCATTGATAAACTCAACCCCCAGACATAATATATCTATGCAGTCTAAAGGGCGTCTTACACCGCCACCGCAGTCCTCGGACTTGCTACATCGCGTTATGCTTGTTGATACATCTTCAGTTCACGAAGAATGTATTGTTGAGCCTCCAAGACCTCCAATTAGTCAACTACCTCCACCACCTCCGCTACCTTGGATCCTTCCAAGCTCTTTGAGGCTCGTTGACATTGAGCCAGACAGAGCTGAGATCAAGATCCTCAAGCTTGCCAGCACTGAACGGCGCCTACAAGATATTCACCAAACCCTTTTGCAATACCTCCTAACTCAGATACCTGATAGTACAAGGGGGAGACTTCGGCTAAGTATATTCTATGAATCGATCGTAGAAGCTATCTTACATTATCATCTATCAGTTCTTGCTTATCTTTTCTTTATACGCGTTGGTGAACCGATGTCCTATATCAAAACCGCGATCGAGGTTCGATCGCCTACTATCTTTCAAGTATTTCTCGAGTACTCGAGAACGGTTGGGATATCAATAACCCACTGGGCCACTAAAACGTACTATACCACCAGCGCTGGGGTAGGATCCTACTCTTAATCTTTATACGACAAGCCTACTCATTTACTAACAGCCAGCTTAGCTATATTAGTGACAACAGAGTACTGACTGAATGGTTTCTCGACCATAGCGCTAACCCGAGCGCAATGTGCGCTTGGGACTTTACTCAAATGTCGGAAGCTATATGTCAAGCCTGGCTAGATATAATTGAGCGTTTGTTCGATCGGGGCGGAAATATTGAACGAGGTCAGCTCCTCTATAATGCTGTGCAGAGAGCTACCCCAGATGCTCTCAGTCTTGTCCGTATACTTCTAGACAAAGGTGCTTCAATAAATGACATCCAGTATAAGAACCATACTCCGTCGTAGAGGGATCGCTTTTGTTTAGGCTCCGTACGCCTCTTCATTATGCGGCACAAGATGGGCGACTTGAGCTTGTATCGTTTTTGTTGTCTAGAGGAGCAGATCCTACAATTCTAGATACAAGGGTAGTGACAGAGCTTCAATCAACAGAACACAATCTTCAATCAGATGTGGTAGAGTTATTTCGAAGTATATTGAATTAAGCCCCTATTCTATCATCAAATACGTTCGCAATGTGGCACCTACATCATCGTTTCTCCGCACTGCTAAAGTCAAACTTGCCCTTACTTACATTGCTTCCACCAAACTCGTTGCAGCCCGCGGACTACGATAGAAGAAGAAACTCGTTGCAAATTCTGTAGAAATATGCACGGTATTTCTTGCTTGCTGTTAGAAAAATCCAGACCCTCCAGGTTTCCTCTCATTGTGCCAAGTAACTAAGCCAGTCAGTAAGGTCTCTTGAAATATTTATCCAAGTCCACCACTTCTCTTTTCTACCGCAAATTGTTTGCGTAGTTCAGAAGTCAGACATCGGATTCGTCGGAGTCTTGATTTATATTTTAAAACTTAAAGATGAATAATTAAAAAGAAATAACTGTTAGCTATATCGAATTTTAATATAAAGTATTGATATAAGGTGATTAATTTAAACTAAGATTCAATATTTATTTAGCTTTAAAAGAAGAAATTCTATTAAAATATAAACAATATAATTATTATTTTATAACTTAAAGATACCTGTAATTTAAAATTCTTCTAATTCTCTTTCAAATAAGATTTTCTTTTGTTTTTAAATATAATAAAGGATGAAATCCTAGGTAATAATAGTATAGTAATTGTGAACAGTGGATAGACACAAAGCACGAGATGGGGGACGGCCATATAAGCTCCTGTACTTCCTTGGTGTGAGAAATCGGCACTTTGCACTATTCCTAACAATTCAGCCATTCATCAACTCAAAATTTTGTCATGGCAGGCAGCTATTGATTTAGATCAGGGACAATTTTGGCGGGTATAAGTATTTAAAATACTCCTCACAGATCATGAGTTGCGCGAACGCCGTGGGCAGCGCTGGTTGCAGAGGTATCAGATAAAAGTAGTGAATCTCATGGATGTCTATCGCGAGATGTACAATAAAGACGAGTATGAGTGCGTGAAACTCCTAATTGTCATCAAATATTCAAGAATTCGAGGATTCTATCAACCGCCTGCTCATCACCTTCCAGAGTTTCCATCAACTCCTCATCAACCCATCCCTCAGTATAGCTACCCCCAAAATTAATCACCCAAGCATCATCGGTTTCCTTATGAATAAGCACATTATGCGGCTTTCCATCCCCCCATATGACCCCAATCTCATGAAGTAAATCAACTGTCTCCCGAACCTGAGCTCCCCACTTCTTTCTCCTTTCCGTCGAAGCCTCCACATCCCCATCCTCCAACCCCCGTAAATCAGATAGTACTCCCGTGGGAATGTATTCTTCCAAAATGCCAATAATCATCCCTGTCTCTGCCGACGTGACCAGACCAAATAATCGAGGCACTCGAATCGAATTAGCAAGCTGCGAGCTCGCCACCTTGCGGAGACAGTCGAATTCCCGTTTAATGCTTTGCTAGAAAGCATCATCACCGCTCTTGCAGCACATTTCGCTTCCTTCGACCAAGACTTAGGAAATGTAGCCCTGCCCGACGATGGTTTCCAGTACACAGATATCTTTGGATGAGTATTGAGGCAATCCCATGTTATTGACGATTTTTATGCCAAAGAGATGGTGATAGCGCGCTTCATTAGTTTCTTGTGGTATCAACTCCGCCTTCCCATTATTTGTTATGAAACGGAAGGAAAAGGTTTCCGGGTACAGAAGAGAGTGTAAATCTGAGAGGTCTGGTCCATCGGGAAGTGGGGGAGCCAGTCGAGTCCAAATTGACCTCCCAGCTTCGTAAACGAGTATTTCAATTTCTTCCTGGACAGCTAGAATTTCGTCTTCGTCTTCATCATCTATGGAGTCGAATTTTGAGATGAGAGGTCCTTCGATTGTGTCGGGGGAGGAGGGGGGAAGTAGGGATACGTGAAAACGCTTGCCGTGATACATGACGGTTATAAAGAGGCCATCCCCGCATCCACTGTCCCATTGCACGGCTTGCCAGTTCTTGGGGATCATCTTCGTTTCGAATGTGGATATGGATAATCGAAGCGATAGAACACGTGAGAGTATGGAGGAGTTTGTGGAGATGTTAGAGTTGATTGAACTTGGGGAGGCTGTGCTGATGCTGGAGATTCCGTTTGCGGAGGTGCATGAGTGGTTGAAAAGGGCGGAGAGGAGTGAGGTAAGGGGAAGGCTGTTTACTAGGCCGAATATATGAATGTATCTGGATGATTCTAAACTTCGTCTATACTTGACCTTGAACACGTGTAAAGAAACATGCTGAGTTTCCAACGTCTTAGAATCAATCAAACAGCACCTCAGATAGCCGTTGTTTTGCCTCCTCCGGATCCCAATCAACCAATATTCTTTCCTTCTTGTCCTCCATTTTCCACTCCACAAAGGGCTCCATGGCCGCTCTTTCCTTCTCACTTAAAAAATTGACCCTCGTCCTCCATAGGTCATCCTTGGAAACATCCTCCTCTCGGGTTCCAAAAAACTTCTCATCTAAATACTTCCAAAATACCGTGTCAAACGCCCAGCTGTTTTTCGCAGCATAATTAAGCCAGAATCGACCAGTCTCCCAACTTTCACGCATGTGCGTAGACAAAACGAATGGTAACGTTTCAGAGCCAAGTTCTTTTTCAACTTTCTCCATAGCCGACAACCAAGTCTGCAACCGGATATCATAGACCTTGGTCCAAGAATCGATGTCCGGTTTCCACGACTCTGGCACTTCGAGAAGCAACCACCACGGACAATCAAGTATGAATTGTGTGGGTCCAGCATAGCTAAGCTCCCAGTCTATAACTGCAACTATGTCGCCAGAGTCATCGACGAGGATATTGCCAGGTCTGAAGTCATCGGCCCAAAGCCTGAACGATCCCAGATTACTTGGTGCCCGGGAAAGTGGAGAAGACCAGCTTTTAGACTGGGCTGACCAGCTATCATCAGCAAATCCAAAGCTTGAGAGTCGATTATCTTTCGCCAACCGGCGAAAGAGTTGTCGTGCCACATACTTATTTCGGCAATCATCCTGGGTGGTTACAAGGTCATTGTGTTGAAAAATGAGCTGTGCTATATGTATCTCTGCTAAAGCAACATACCAGTTATCTGCCGTACTATATGTCTTGTTCTCTGGCGGAAGTACAGCACGGGGAATATTTGCGAGTTGTAGCATGTCGTTCATGTTCTTGGAGAGAGGGCGTCCCGTTATGGAGAAAGTATTGTCACCGTTCTCAGACAACGATCCAATGCGATCGAATGAGAGCCGAGAGATCTGTAATAGGCACCGTGCCACTTTCCCGTAGAAATTTGAGAGCACGGTCTCGGAGATGTTTGGATCTAGGACAGAAGTTACGTCGGGGTCGGGGTTGGGCATTTTGATTTGATCAGCCATTAATCCACGATTTTCTACGTGTTGAAGGATCATAAAAGGACCAAGATCAGACTTTTCGCCATAGTAGAGTACCTTGGGAACTAGGATCTGGGTGTGTTGTTCGATATATCTTGCTGTGGCACCTTCTTGAAGAGTCTTCTCAATTGGAAACTGAACCCAATCAGGGCAAGGTAGCCGAACATAGACATGGAAGCTATTCCGTCAACTTGGACCTTGTATAAAATGTTGTATCCACCGATGATCAAAGGTGGCCCGAATGTTGCTTTTCTCCCGAATTTCTGCCCCGCAAGGGAAGCTGCAAGTTCGCAGGTGTCTCTCCTTCGAAGCCGTTTCTGTGATATTTCTGATGCTTCATCGTTTTTGTCCCACGCCAAGTTATCTAGTTGTGCTCTGGCGTCGCCCATTGTAACTCTGGTCCTGCCAAGCGGTTCCGTGGTGATGAGATGAGATGGGACAAGGCGAACTCTAGTCGAATGAAGTTGATGGTCCAGAAACGTCTTTGTGTCCTACTATGTGTATTGAAAACTCACCGACCAGCAATCAACAGACCACAGGCTGGATCACACCTAGTATGAGCAGACAGGAGATCCAAATCTTGCCCCTGTTTGACTGTTGCATTGTTGTTGGTGTCACGTGGCGTTTAAGACCGAGTACGTTCAGCAAAAGTTTCTATATGTCCACCGTGATGTCGGTGTTAGTAGGTGCAAATCCCAATAGAATAAATGTACAGAACATGCTTTTTTGGGAATCGACCTTCTAAGGGATAGTATTAGACCCCCGGTGGCCCATCGTGCGCGGGCCCCTAAGCGGCTAGCATTGTCTGTTTGCGCTACCCCGGCCACCACTGTTAAAAAGGTGTTGGGTTGGCTTTACAGAGTACACATGCTTACGCTCAGAAACAGAAAGGAATTTTAAAATGAGAAATTTGGGCTCAAAGCCATGCGACACAAAGCTCAGTTGCGCCCGAGAGTGTCTCCAGTTCGAGACAATATCTTATTATCTTGGATCAGGCAGACATGGTATCACGTGCGATTTGGGTTGGACTGCTGATTGTGTTGGTATTTTAATATATATTCCTGGTCTTCATCCCAAGCGCGATGAGCCGGCGTGAATAGAAACTTTATAGAGACAGACTTAATTTGCAGGCCTTCTCAAACTATAGCTTTAAGGATAAATAACTTACTAATCTAATAAGTCCTGGCACATCCTTGTTAAGCTTGCAAAGTATACAAATTGGAAGTATAGCTCTCTACATAGCATTAAATTATCTAGGCGAAGAAGTAAGCAAGTATTACTTATTAGAGGACACTATACTCGCGGCCCTAGAGAGCATTGGCCATTACTCTTAATATAGTCGACTTAATTACCTAGGTATTTAGAGTGTTTAGACTCATATTATCTATTATAGCCACGTGTGTTATGACCCCCGTAGTACCTAAGGCTTGGTAGGGTGAGTTTTGGACGGAAGTACCTACGTACTTGCGCGTCAACGAGCCCGAGAGCTTATGCACTGGGGGTGATCAGCGATCTTGCTCGCCTCAAGCTTGAACAAGAAATGTGACGACACCTCGATTTTTTATATTATGAAATGTATCTCGGTCCTGATACGAAATGGTGCTCCCAAGCCCCACCCCAAGCCTTGGAATCCAAGATTCAGTATGCGCGTCGTGTAGCATTCTTAGCACTCGCTGAATGCTTATCCCGACGTTGCCGCAAGATCTCTGGAAGGGCAAATTGATTTAAACACATGCTATTATTTATTGACGTTCTTTGCAGCTATTGTTTTTAGCAATAGGCCTGCCTGGCCGGAAGAATACGAGAAATGACCCCTCCATCCGAGCACCTTGCGAACCCCTCGTCCCCTGCAGTCAGCATCCCTCCGATCCCTCCAATACCACCGGGTAGCAGGAAACATGCTTCTACATTCTCCATCGATACGAAAACTTCCGTCAGGACCTCGAGGAGTCGTCAGGAATACATGGATAGCTTGGAGATGCCAACGCGCGAGATGGTGGAGAGGATCAATAACGTGCAAGAGCAGAAAGAGGAGGAGGGTATTAGGAGGAGGTTGAGTGTTGACAAGCCGGATTTAAACGACGAGGAGAAAGCTAGAGCGGCTAGATTGATACAAAGGAATTATAGGGGCCACCGCGAACGTCGAATGATAAATGGCATGAGTCTGGACCCCAGCTCGCGATGGCTTGAAGCAATCAAGGAGGCACGGTACAGGAATTTACTCCAGCCAAGGCCAAGGAATAGTATGGACGGGAATGAAAACGATATGGAAAGTCTGCCGGGATCACTTCCAACTAGGGGAAGTTGGGGTCATCAAAGACACGGAAGTGCCGCCAAGCAGAACTGGAGGAAGGTTGGGTTGGTTGCGAGAAGGGCAGGCGGTGATGAAGATCCGGATTCTGATGAGGAGAGTACAAGTGAGGAGAATCTGCCGGCCGATGAACGAGAAGCGCGTCGAAAACGTCGGGCGGAGCAGAAGCTCGAACGCCAGCGCGCTGCGAAAATTATGGATCTGCAATACTTCCTAGAGATGGTAGACCTTAAGCATAGATATGGGTCGAATCTCAGAACTTACCACCAAGAGTGGAAGAAAGCTGATACGAAAGAAAATTTCTTCTACTGGCTGGACTATGGTGAAGGTCGATTCATTGACTGCCAAGGTTGCTCGAGAGAACGACTAGAGAAGGAACAAGTTCGATACCTGTCGAGAGAAGAACGGCTTAATTATCTGGTGAAAATAAACAAGGATGGGAGGTTGTGCTGGGCGAAGAATGGCACTTTAATAGATACGACAGTAAGATATAAGGACAGTATCCATGGAATCGTGCCGACGGAGGACTCTACCCCGGCTTACGCACCAGCCGTGGAAGACAGCGCCTACTGGGACGAACGCTCTTCAAGTGATGGCTCATCAACTTCGGATTCAGATTCAGATGACCAATCGATAGCGGCGAACAAATACACTACGCCTGAATTTGACAATGCTCGAGGTATAAAAAAGATTAGACATGTCTCAGCGACTACCATATTCAACAAAATGCTTCGAGGATCTGTTACGAAGAACACCTGGATCTTTGTTGCCGACACGAGTTTTCGATTGTATGTTGGAATCAAACAATCTGGTACTTTCCAACATTCGTCATTCTTGCATGGAGCTCGGATATCAGCTGCTGGTTCCATCAAGATCAAGAATGGGAGACTATCTAAGCTTAGCCCGCTCAGTGGCCACTATCGGCCTCCTGGTATGTTATATAGTTATCAATTGCCTCGATACCTCATGCTGACGCTCCGTAGTATCAAATTTCCGAGCATTCGTTAATTCTCTGAAGGTGGAAGGCGTTGATATGAGCCACGTTTCAATATCCCGCTCATTCGCCGTCCTAGTGGGATTAGAGGCCTACGTCAAAACCCGCCGAAGGGGCAAGAAGTTGCTCAAGAAGTTTTCTTATCATCGCGAGAAGCTCCTCTCACCCGCAGAACTAGCTAAAAGAGAGGAGGAGGAACAAGATAAGAGCGAGAGTGCCGCGAGAGAAAGAAAAGTCCTCGAGATGAAACAACAAGCCGAAAAGGAGGAGAAGAGGGAGCACAGTGTGATTAATACTAAGCTGCTTGATAAACTGCATATCACACCGAAGATCTCGGGACATGGAGGGGGTGATAGTGAGAGGTGCAATGAGAAGATGGAGAAGGCCGAGAGGAATTGTGCTATCCAAACGCCAGGCACTGGACCAGAAAATGCCATTGCGCCCGAGGGCACAAGGAATATTTAGTACTTGGTCTAGGTTATGGTTCAGATTTGATACCCCGACTAGTAGGAATGCTGTTGGTTTTTAGATGGGTTCATGGAGTTCTGTGGCACCGGGAGGCAGTTTTATGATGAGCATATATGGAAATGGTTATGATAATGATTAGCTAGATATCCTTGAGAGAGACTCTTGTGATGGACAATTAAGGTGCGATATTAAGATGATAAAAGCTTAGCAACATCTTAGTTTTAAGAAATATATCTTTGAAGAAGTTCAACCTTTTTATAGAGTTTACTGTTTTTCAATATCCCAAGTATTTTGAGCAATTATTGATAACTCATCGGAAAGGAAAAAGCAGATATATATTTAGTCCCCTTTTACAACTTACAACAAAAACGACGGCTCATATGTCGGGCTTTAGTGTTTAGTAGTATTCTAATTTATACCTAGCCAAATCATACTAAGTAGTAATAACTTGAATCTAGAAGCCAATGTTGTAAAGGTATAGACAACCTGCAGTGTAAGACGCTAAGTTTGCAGCCCCGGAGACAATCTTCACACGGAGCATTAATGATTTCCTACTATGCGAAAGCAAAGTGTATACATCAAACCTACTTCTTAAATATATCACGCTTTACAGACACTCATCAAAAGTACGTAGCAGTACGATCAAAACCACGCTCTTAATTGCAATATGTATTGATTTGATAAATTTACAACCAGATTTCGACTCACAATTGTGACGCCCGGATGTAGAAAGCCTGTTTTCTACAAGGCCGATCGACATCACAAGTGCAGTCTACCCACAACTCCAAACGCTAATGCATGTAACCCCTAAGAATGCCGCCTAATTTACAGCTCATCAAAATTCGGGCGCTCGATTACCCATTTTCTGGGAGTGACCGGCAATCCCACGTAGTACTCCCACGCCCTCGCCACCTCGAGAACCAAGATTTCCCAACTGCATTATGGTTAGAGAGGTGTACGGTGATGAGAGTGTTCGGTAAGACTTACGCAGTCAGAGGGAACCTAATCCAGCCCCAGATGACGTATTTGGTGATCTTCCAAACGAGACCGAGTTCGTTCCAGAAGGCTTCTGAAACCGATTCTTCCTCCGATTGCGCCTTCTTGCGTTCTTCCTGCTCAAACTTCTCATAGTCATCTGCAACGCCGTCCCCTGGCCATTCCTTGCCTGGTATAACATGATGTGGCTTTCGAACACGGTCTGGCAACACATAGTGATTGTCCGCGCTTTCAGAGCCACTCTCCTCAGCTTCAACCATGGTCCTGAACTCATTAATCGCCTCCAGCGACTGGGAGATTCGGCCGAGAGTGTTAAAGAGAGCAACCAATTCGGTTCTCTTCAGGACTGGGACATCCTTGGAGCTGTTATACTCAAATAATACTTTCAACGCAGCTCCATAACCGGCCGTTTGCAATTTTCCCCAGAGTCTGCATTTATCGCATCCTACGCAGTCCATAATGCGGCTGACGTTCCTAAACCGGCCCCTGAAATCTTCCTTCAAACTGGGACCTTCGCCATTTACAAACATAAGACCTTCATCAAATATCTGTGGCACTTCCGCAGCTTTAGAAGTCAACGCCTGGACTTTCGAATTGGTGATAGCATCCTGGACGGGGTCGCCGGAGCAGAATGTATAATCCTTCAAATACGGTCCCAGTTTCGTTACTGCTCGTAGGACTAGAGCATAATTGAAGTAGAGATTTGACACCCTCTCCGGGAATTTATGGAGACGATGTTTATAGCATTCGAGATTTGGTCCCCAGGCTCCCGTGGTCTGATTCAAATACTCCCAGCATATGTGAGTCGTGATGGAAGTATGCATACCGGAGATGACTCGGTAGAAGACACGTTTTTCCAGGCACTCATCTTCGTTTTCAAGGCCAGTCTCAGCGACAAACGGAGTCCCTGGAGCCTGCTTTTGCTGTTCCTCGAGAGCTTGCTGTCGTCCATGCTCTCGCATAACGGATTGCAACTCATTTGCTGCAGGGCCTTGTCGTGTAAATGGCGAGCTCCCAAGAGATGCTGACTTGGGGAAAGAGGATTTTGAAAAGCAGTTTTCCTTGTATATCGCATCCCACACCTGCTTTGTGCCTTCGCCAGCGTACCCGGTAAACCTCTCCGGGTTGTCAACTAGACTGACATAGTCTCCCTTCCCGCTAGACCCTTCGTCGTCCGGTACGCAGTAGTCCCGCTCGTCGCACTCGTCGTCGTATTCCACCACGCACGTCTCTCCAACATCCTCACCTAACTCCCCCTGTAATGGTTTCTTGTATCTCTCCTGCTGTAGCTTTTTCCCGGGGTGTTCCGCCTTCGGCCCCTCGAGTTTGCCCAGCTCTTTCGCCCTCCATATTTTCGGTATATCATCTTCGTTGTCTAGCGTATTAACAGCACAGGCAATATTGCCACACATGCTGTTCTCATCGCTCCAGAACGGGCATTCCCTACCGAAGAGATTCAATCGGTAGTATGAGAAGAAGTCGGTATTGTTTGTAAGGTCGAGGAGCGAAGGGCGCAGCTCTTCGTTGAGTCCATCGAGGGTGGAGTACGACGCACATGCGTCAGAGACAATGGCTCTGGGAGATATCTGATAGAAGGCATTAGACAAGTATGCCTGATAGAGAAGAAATATAGCGTACCGCGCAGACATCAGGACTTTGGGTTTTTGATTTGGACGGGCCTTTGGAATCTGCGGCATGGCTGGTACTTAGCAGTGCGAACACCGCCAGATAAAAGACCTTTGCTGCAGACTTCATAATTGTCAGAAGACCTTGGCTTGGTCCTTTATCCCAAGGCAATTGCCGATTTAGCCAATATATCCAGGATGTTCAGGGTGGTGGAGGTATGGAGGTTGAAGCGTGGCCTTTCACGGGAGGCGAACGTCAAAGGAAGACTTTTGGTTATTGAAACCCAAATTTGTGTAATGGTGCAATCTAAAAAAGTATAAAAAGTGCACAAGAACGACAAAACAAAGATACTGGAATTGAAATTGAAAACAGGGGGAATTTGCACAGTTGATTTCAAACCATGAGGGTGTTTTGTAAGACCTTGACATAAGTCAGGAGCTGTAATCTGTCCATATCGGCGCCTCATGAACCGATTCCTGCGCCCCTCAATCCACAATCTACAACAGAGGCAAACGCCACAAACGGTCCTGCAGGATCGGGGGTTTCCGGCAGATCATACGAAGGAGTCTTAAGACCGAATATATTACTTTTGGTTAAATTTATTAATAGAACATCAGTTATATACTTCCTGCCTTTCGTATTCGGCGCCCTATCCATGACTACCTTCTGATCAACTGAAATACAGACATGCCACTTGATTTCCATTCTGAACACGAGGCAATGCAATAGAGCTAATCTTGATATATTCTATTATCTCGGTCTACGGAGTTATCCTTTTCTTTCGAGTTTTATCTATCAAGTATTGTGCGGCCTGCGGTTCTGTTGTGATGTTACGTTCGCGGCCAGGACGGAACGGTAATCTCGGCGACCAGCCGCTCACAACGATCGCAATCAGCAGCTAACTTCAGGGCTACAATGGCCCAAAGCGCTCGCTAATCCAGTGTTCCTTCATCATCTGATTTATCGTACAATCGTACGTGCTCACGCCGCAGAAAAGACCAAACCTTCGGAAGGACACCATGTTCATTAACCCTATCTAGTACATCGAAGTGGCCCCTGGAAGCCATAAAAGTGTAGTGTATCAGGACATGAGGCATGACATCGTCAAGCAAAAACCGCTGCTCGTAAAGACATCATGCGCGTCCGAAAACCGTTAAAATCGAATCGCGCTGGAGGGGAAGCTCTGCCTGATTATTGGCTCGGAGGGACGTAGTTGATCGGTCTCCTAAAGCAAGAATCAGTAAATGTTCCGCGGGTGGGGGGGTTGTATTCGTCTAGCATGCTGTACGTACTTGAATAGAAGTATGTGTGGCTCGGGTTCGTGTACTTCATAATGCTCCCATCCAAGACTCTGCGGACCCAGAGTCAGTTTGTTATTTCCACCGCAGTTTGTTTCAGCCGGCTCGTACCTGAGTAATACCCAATGCTCTCCATTCCTCCTCCCATAGCAGTTTCAATGTGCCCTTTGACTGGTCATGATATTCTTTGGGGATCGCCTTCAACATCGCTTTCGGTAGCTGGACATGTCGATATTCAAAGTTGTCGTCCGAATACCTGCCTGGCATTAGCTTCTTCCGGTAGCTTGAAAGGAAGATATGATTCCAATATCAAAAGTGACACTAAGAGAGATGTTTACCTTGCAGAATAATGGATCGAGTCAATAAATTCGTCCAGGCGCGCCTTCTCCGAATCTGTCAGTGGCCTAGGGGACTTGTTGCGTCTGTTGTAGTCCATGTCCGTCATTTTGTTGAGCTGCTATGCTCCAGAGGCTCAACTTCGACTGGTGAAGCTAACCGCGGGGTACGCGACGTGGTTTGGTACTTGTCCGCAGTCGTCCCTCCAGGATGAGAAGAAGATAATAGCAGATATTGACTGTGCTCTTGAAGAGGAAGTCTGGGGATTGCAGGCAGTGTGATGTGCCGGTCGGATCTTGATCTGGCAGGGTGGGGTAGCTGTTGAATATATCCGGCTGTTGATGAAGTTTGCTTTGATGGTTTGGGGGAGCAGCAAAGTGCGGAGGCAGAAGTTTGGCAATCGGCTACAAGAGAGGTCCCGCAGATATCTAGATGAGTCGTAGTGAATTGTACGGTCGGTATGCGCGTTGGCAAAACAAAATAGTGGTCTTGGGGTTCTAGAAGGCTTTCTTTGGGCGCAACAACAAATAATAATAAACACCAGCCTTTGGGGGCGTGCCTTGGCTGTAAGGGTCGCACGTGACCTGGGACATTCCCGCCCAGAGCGAGTTTTGCACTCTCAACTCAAGGCCAACATTGCATACGATACAATAGCAATCTAAACAACTACATAGTATTTACAGACGCCATCTCCTATGTATCCCTATGCTCTTTAACGCCGTACTTGGTACTTCGTCGCCATATATATTCATACCTATCGAGATCCCCGGGACCACTTCGGCAGTCCCAATTGCAGTGTCATTCGACGCGCCCTCAAGGCCAGAAAACATCCTTGTTCTCGAAGTCGACGACCTCATTCCAACGCGCACCACTGGGACTTGCACGCGTTGAGGGGCGCCATTGCACGATCACCACCGTTCGCCAGAAGGCGGCGCATTGTTTCAATAATTCGCTTTGTCTGCGCGACCTAGGTTCGCGACCGATATATATACCATGGAGTCGAAGCGCAAAGTAAACGGGAGCGGCGTTGCAGCCGGCGAGGACTTGGACGAGCGTGCGAGCAAGAGAAGAAAGGGCGTAAGTTATACCATCTCCATCGCGACGACGGGAATTCTATGGTGATGGGCACATTGGTGGCTTTGGTGCGGTTTGTGTTCTGGTGCTGGCCACCGGCCGTCGCAACATCCTTGAACCTCACACCGGAGCAACACTTCGCTTTCTCAATTGATTGCTTCGAGTCTGCGAGCGACCACAAGGCTGACGGTCAACCAGGACAATATCGATGTCTCCCAGGAGGAAACGCCCGAATCAACCACAGTACAGGGACTGAAGCTCGTCGAGGTACTGAAGAAGACTGAGGATAAGAGGTATGTTTCGATTTTGCTAAATAATTGTTTGCGACGGATGAACCACCTTCAGCCTCGTGGGAGGATGGGAGCGTCCTACGATACAAGCCTTGAAGCTCTTGAGGCACTTATTGTTATGCATATTCGCACTTCCATCCGCAGAGAATATGAACACATATTTTGGCAAAGGACACTCTGGACAATGGCTGACCGTTCGGCATAGTGGACGCCAAATAGCTACGAGTTTCTTGACTCTTCCCAGCAAACGGCAGTTTCCCGACTACTTCAAGGTTATTAGGATGCCGATCGCAATCGACACAATCCAGGAAAAATTGACACGGCGCGAGTTTAAGAATCTCACAGAACTTGAAAGCTATTTCAAGCGGATGATAGCGAATGCTAAAGAATACAATCAGAAGGGTTCGGAGGTATATGATGATGCTGAGAGGTTGCGGAAGGCCCTGAGCAATTTCATGACCAAAACCAACCCGGCATACAAACTAATACCTGGCTATACTGCGATTCCAACTCCACTCCCGACCGAAGGTAACGCACCTGCGGGTGCTGGCGATGAGGATGCCGAGGGCGAACTAGATGACGCTGCTGAGGCAGCTGCTGCTGCGAGGAGAGCCCGAGGCCGACCCTCCAGGCCATCCAAACCAAGTTCTCAAAGAAAAAGCATAACGCCAGCAGTATTGGAAGGTCGTCATGCGACCGCCGGTTTCCAAGGACTTACGTTCCAGCAGGCACAAGAGAAGATCCTAGAAGGCTTAATGAGGGAAAAGGACCACCCAGCGTTAGTGACTTATTACCACCACTTGCCATGTTATTTGCTAATTGCGACTAGTGACGAGTATGCGACGTTCGAGGTGTTCATTGATTTACCAGATCCTCGACTGAAAGACTATTACCAAGTCATTCAACACCCTGTTAGCCTGAGGTCCATAGTAGGACGTGTGAAAGGTCCATCAAGGGGAGCTGATGCAACCACTCCTTCAGAATTTAAATCCTGGGCTGCGTTTGAAAAGGAAATGAAATACATCTGGAACAATGCGTGGCAATATAATGAGGATGGCAGCGAAATATCTCTCCTCGCCAAGAAGCTCCAGGTATGTTGCGTGATGTTGCTCCGTGGCTAATCGTAACTAATTATGTGTAGACGCATTTTAACAAGTTATTTCGGGAAGCCAAGCAAGCAGTGCAAGAGCCCACAGCTCCAAAGATCAAACTCAAGATGCCTGAACAACAACAAGCTCCGAAGATTACTTTGAAGTTTGGTGGTGGTAGAACCAGTCCTACCGGATCTCCCGCTCCACAAACAAATGGTGCAAATGGTACGCCTGCGAATGGAACTCGCAGAAATCCCTTCGGAGGTACATATTCTTCCGCAACTCCAGTCCCGAGTCTGGGTCAACTTGACCGCGCCCGGAGCATGTCAGGTGGTGTACCGTCTCCGACCCCATCGAATGCAGCAGTTGTGAAGAATGAGGAGGGCGCTCGCAATTCTCCGGCGCTCCCTGCCGCGGGATACACCAACCCCCGTGCAACCAGCCAAGCAGTCTCAACTCCAGGCGTCACAGGAGGAGGAATGCCTCCGCCGTCGACTCCCGGGATTCCTCCAAGCAACAACATATATACTCCCAGTGGCTATGCCCAATCCTTTCAACACCAGGCTCAGCCTCCGGTTCAAACTTCAGTGTTTGATTCAAAATTTAGACAACCCGGGAAGAGTAAGATTTTGACGTTACCTTGACTGTGCTTTGATTTTCAATGCTAACTATTTTAAGATGCCTCTGATGCGATGATCACGAATTTGAGTCTTGCCACTCATCCAGGTCTTAATATTACTCGCCATTTCCGCATGGATTTGCCTCCTTCGCCGACCATGACCCAGCAATCAATTACAATCAATCTTCCTCATACCCACTACTACCTCCAGATTAAGCCAACCATAGCCTCGTCACTGTTCGAACGTCAGTACAAACTATTTGTCACGTGTGGAACTCAGCGACTACACGCCCTGCCAGCTATACCAGGCCACTCTGTGGACCAGCGGCATCCCTTATTCGAGGCCCGTCTGCTTCCTGGAGTGAATCGGATTGAAGTCGAGTTAATTGCTAGTTTGCCCAAGGGAGCTCCTCGACAACCAAATGGCCCAGACGTGGAGCTTGAGAAAACCACTATTTTTGCGAATCTTTTGAAAGACCCTCACCATAGATGAGGCGGGGCTGTATTACTATTCGAGGCTAACGGCGTCGCGCGTTTGTGGATGATTCAGTTTTGCTTGGGATGGAGTCCGCTGCGCTTGCCGGCCATGAGGCGTTGTAGTATACTAGCCAGCGTTATTTCCCATGTTGCAAGTTGGTAGATGAATATGACAACAGTATCTGGCTTCTTCGTCACTTCATGGGAGTTACGGGCGGTCGTGGTGGAATAACAGCTGGTTTGTAGTCGTGTAGCATTTAAATCTAGGTCGCATTAGGTCGCAACGTATAGAAATCAATATCATGCAATTATGGAATACCTAGATATTTAAATTTGCCACTTGAAATTGTGAAAGAAAAATGGCATTAAATTCAAGTCAAAATTTCTGCAAAGGGATGTGTTAGGAAATACTGCTTGTAGGCTACTCGTACCTACTCAGCCTCTTTTTGCCTTCCCAACTCATGCCAAAATGTACCATTTGACTAGAAGAGGACAAGTCGTGGAAAAGTCTTCAAGACGGGTAACAATAGCCTTTCACACAGTACTCAGTAGCCAACTCGAGTCAGTAAAGCGGCCTCGTACTAAATAAATAATTTCATCCACTACTCCAACGCTACCAACCCTCCACGCACCCGCCAGGTTGTTGCCCCGGCATGCGCACGTGACTCGGCTGGCTGGCGGCGTGGCGGTTAACCGAATCCCAAATTTCGAGCTAAAGTTAAAAAAGTTCACACCGATAGAAAAACGCTAAAAGGTCAATCCTCCCCGCCAGCGACCTGCAGTTTTCTTCCCCATTCCAAACCCACAATCCCATACCCATATCCAACATGGCTGACGAGGTTTACGACGGTGCGATCGGTATCGATCTGGGTTCGTGATCCCTTTTATCCATCGCGTGTCTTCCTTGATGGTTGAGGCTGCGTCTATCTGTGCCCAATTGCTGACTTTTGATCCATAGGCACCACCTATTCTTGCGGTATGTCTTCCGAGACAATGGCTTCATTGCGAAGTCTTGATGGCATCACGGGCCAAATACTGATTCTTTCTAGTTGCCAATTATGAGGGAACCAATGTTGAGATCATTGCAAACGAGCAGGGTAGCTTCACCACTCCCTCGTTCGTCTCCTTCACCGACAAGGAGCGCTTGATCGGCGAGTCCGCAAAGAACCAGGCTGCTATGAACCCCAGAAATACCATCTTCGATATCAAGTCAGTCTCACATTCACTTTTTTGATGTTCCAATCCGCGATAAATGAAATATATGCTAACATGTATCTAAAGGCGATTGATTGGCCGGAGATTTGATGACCCCATCGTTAAGAAGGATATCGAATCATGGCCGTTCGCGGTTGTTGATGCTGATGGAAGCCCTATGGTCGAGGTTGAGTATCTCGGTGAGACCAAGACTTTCTCACCACAAGAGATCTCAGCCATGGTTCTCGGCAAGGTAAATTATTTCCCTCGACATATCGCGAGCTTGCGGCTGACTCTCCCTGCTATTTAGATGAAGGAAGTTGCCGAAGTCAAGTTGGGCAAGAAGGTTTCCAAGGCAGTTATCACTGTCCCTGCCTACTTCAACGACAACCAGCGTCAAGCTACCAAGGATGCCGGTGCCATCGCAGGACTCAACGTTCTCCGAATCATCAACGAGCCAACTGCTGCCGCCATTGCCTACGGTCTCGGTGCCGGAAAGTCCAACAAGGAGCGAAATGTCTTGATCTACGATCTTGGTGGAGGAACCTTCGATGTGTCCCTTCTTAACATCCAGGGTGGTGTCTTCACTGTCCGCGCCACTGCTGGTGACACACATTTGGGAGGTCAAGATTTCGATACCAACCTGCTCGAGCATTTCAAGAAGGAGTTCCAGAGAAAGACCAAGAAGGACATGTCAAATGACCCCCGTGCCCTTCGTCGTCTCCGGACAGCTTGCGAACGTGCCAAGCGAACTCTCTCCAACGGTGCCCAAACCACTGTTGAGATTGACTCCCTCTTCGATGGAGAGGACTTCAACGCCCAAATTACCCGTGCTCGTTTCGAGGATCTCAACTCCAAGGCCTTCAATGGCACTTTGGACCCAGTTGCCCAGGTCCTCAAGGATGCTAACGTCGACAAGAGCAAGGTTGACGAGATCGTACTAGTTGGTGGATCTACCCGTATCCCACGGATACAGAAGCTCCTCAGCGATTTCTTCGATGGCAAGAAGCTTGAGAAGAGCATCAACCCTGATGAGGCTGTCGCATATGGTGCTGCCGTCCAGGCCGGTATCCTTTCCGGAAAGGCCACCTCAGCTGACACCGCTGATCTCCTCCTTTTGGACGTCGTTCCTCTTTCCCTCGGTGTTGCCATGGAGGGTAACATCTTCGCCCCCGTCGTCGCCCGTGGCCAGACCGTCCCAACTATTAAGAAGAGGTACGCCCTTATTTTATTTTGTTTTGATCCTATTGCAAAATGCGTTGGTTATTTTATTTTATTTTGAAAGTACTTTTCTGCGGAAGGTCAATTGGAGTAAGGGTGAGAGCACCTTCCAGTCTTGAGGGTGCTCTTTCCTTGGTGAGGATGAGCATCAGGCGCTTAACCCTAAAAAAGCCCCCTGAACGAGGCGCTACAAGGTGAATGTCACAGACATGTTGAATGTCCCAGACAAGTTGAAACATTCAGACTTCAACGATAGGAGAAAGCCGGCTGCTATGAAGTGCTACTGCGCTACCTGCGCTATTTCTTGCTCTAAAGCGTATAATCTTTCAAGACACAAGCTCTCAGCCACTTTTCAACGCGATTTCTTGCGAGCATCATCATTCTCGAACATAGACTAATATTATCATTAGGACCTTCACCACTGTTGCGGATAACCAGTTTGTGATCCCCGTTCCAAAGTCTGTATATAATTGCTAACTCGCGAGCTAGACAAACCGTTCAATTCCCTGTCTTCCAGGGTGAGCGTGTGAACTGCGAGGATAACACATCCCTCGGAGAGTTCACCCTTGCACCAATCCCTCCCATGAAGGCTGGTGATGCCGTCCTCGAGGTTGTTTTCGAGGTTGACGTCAACGGTATCCTCAAGGTCACTGCCACCGAGAAGACTTCCGGACGCAGCGCCAACATTACCATCTCCAACTCTGTTGGCAAGCTTTCTTCCAGCGAGATTGAGAGCATGATTAACGGTAAGTATCCTGCAACGTCTTTCCAGCCAGGTCGCTAATATTTAAATTAGATGCCGAGAAGTTCAAGACCAGCGATGACGCTTTCAGCAAGAAGTTTGAGGCCAGACAACAACTTGAGTCATACATCTCAAGAGTGGAGGAGATCGTGTCCGACCCAACCATGGCCCTTAAGTTGAAGCGCGGAACCAAGGACAAGATTGAGTCCGCCCTCAGCGACGCCATGGCACAGCTTGAGATTGAGGATTCCAACTCGGATGACCTGAAGAAGAAGGAGCTTGCGTTGAAGAGAGTTGTTACTAAGGCTATGTCGACCCGCTAGGTTACCTTGACACAAAAAAGCACACGGAGCAAAGGATATGATGCATGGTTTTCATGGCATGGATTGGACCAATTGTTTTCTGGCTCTTTTCGCACTGGGTTCCTAAAAGTCATTTGCGTGTTGTGAATCTGGCTCTTGTGTGATCCTGGAATGTTCTCTTCCTTTCCCTACGGGCATAAAGCGCGCTTGTAGAATAGGAAGACGGCGAACGTTAATCAAATTGAATTAGATCATAAAAATCCACATTTCACATTATTCGTGCAGCTCCTTTTGTCCAGTTCAATGGCTTCAGTAGACATTCTGTTGTCCACAATCTCGGTTTATTATATGCTGCAGCACATTGTCCTATCATTAAACTGATTGAGGGTTACTTCGTTCAGATCTACACAGTACTGAAACCAAATCCCAAGAGTCATGGAAGTCCCCATGTAACCTAACAAATTCCAAGGACTGCGTCATTAACGTCACAGCTATTTCAAATTTACCGTAGAATACAATCCATATGCTTCGGGATATTTAATCAGGTTCACTAAGCATCCAAGTAATATCCCTATGTTTACCTGTAGACCTTGGGACGACATTTCTCCTCATGAAATTCTTCACCCCATGAGCCTTGAGCTTCACCGTTTCCAAATACGGATCCCTACATATCCTCTTTAACGCCCTCCAATTCTCAGACAACTCTAGGCTCCCCATTTGTGTATACCTGAGAGTTTCGGGGTGGTTGATGACAACCTCCAGCTCCCTCAATTTCCCATTCAAGATCATATCTTCTATCGCGGGTGCGAAGCTATCGAGGAAGAAACGGTTCGCTCCCCATCGCTGGAGCCAGATATGTAAACTCTTGATTTCACGCCGGTTATCCTGGAACTCGGGGGCTAAGGATGGGAGGAGGTCCTTGTTGTGGCCGTGTCGGATGGTGAGGTAGAAGGAGTTGTGGCTGAAGTAAATCGATCGGATTTCGTGGTAGATTTGCTGGTTGGCTAAAAGAAGGTCATGGGGAAATGAAGGGAAGCGATGTTCGTCATGTAGGGGATTCAGATCTACTACTCCTGCGTCGGGACTGGCGACTGTGAGAATATATATCTCCTGCCGGATGTCTGGAGGGAGATCGAGGAACCGGAATGGTTTGATCTTGACGAGGGGTTCTGGGTTACCCATAGCTTGAGGGAGGTGGAGAGGAGTGTACGGCGTTGCGTGCGAGGTGGTAAAGCTATTGTATATATACTATGTCAAAACAGGAGTTTGTTATGGCCGTTGAATGGCATTGCAAGCTGTATCTGTTGATACATACCTAGGTAGGTAGTGTTGTCTGTTGTATCCAAAAATACGACGCAGTTGTGAAAGGCTGACACAAGGCGGCGAGGCGATCTTGACGCCTCGTTGCGAAAGCTTGGTTTGACAAGCAACATCAAGTCCCTCACAAAAACTCAAACCATGCCTGTACGACATCTATCACGCACCAATGTGGCAAAACAGCTACTGCTCAGGGCAAATAAAAGCCCCGAGTCTTTATTTATGTTGGTACCCGAAAGATTACCGCAATTGAGCCACTGCTAACCAGATCCCCAGTACAAGAACCACCACCCTCCTTTCTCAACCACGCCCTGTAACACTACCACAACCGTTCAATGCCTACCGCAACTTCTCCCAAAGCCCTCTTCTATTGAAAAAGAAGACTAAGGCCGACAGAGAAAATGCCGAAGAGAAAGCCGAGACGGGCAAGCAAGGTGCAGCGGATGACCCATTCGATTTCACTGCCCTGGAGGCAGGAATTGACAAGGCTCTCGACAAGCTCAAGAATGATCTCAAGAAGCTGCGGACGGGAGGCAGGTTTAACCCGGAGGTCTTGGAGAATCTAAGGGTGCCTTTACAGAAGGATAGTAAGAAACTTGAGCGGCTGGGGGACTTGGCGCAGGTATTGCCTAAGGGTGGGAGGAGCTTGATGGTTTTGGTGGGCGAGAAGGATGTAAGTCCCTCCTAAACAACCAACTGGGTCTTATTATGGGAGATTCCGGATATGGCTTGCTAATGTCAGATATAGCATGTCCATGCTGTCATGTCTGCCATTCAAGGCTCAAGCGATCTAAATCTCCAACCAATGTTAGACGCGAAGAACCCGAATCAGCTTAATGTTCCTATTCCGCCGCCCACTAAGGAGTCGAGAGATCAGGCCCTGGCGGCTGCGAGCAAGACTGGCGAAACGGCGAAGACCGCTATTCAGGCTGCGCGAGGTGTGCAGCAGAAGCGCTTGAGAGCTATGGAGCTGAACAAAACGGCCCGGCCTGATGATTTGAGAAAGGCACATAAGGATATGGAGAAGGTTATGGAGAGGGGGGCTACTGAGGTGAAGAAGTATGTAGAGGAAGCACGGAAGGCTATGATGCAGACTTGATTGTTCTATAACATGACACTTTTGTACAATTATACCTAAACCCAAAAATCTACAGGTACCATATCATACAGTTGCCTTTGGGTTGCTCGCTTTTGGTTTCATGCTCGGCAGCAGCGTGCTGAGTTTCTTCTCCAACTTCCTGAGGTCATCCGGTAGATATGTCTCGTTCCGCCTTAAGAATGAGTCAACCTGACCAAGTACATCCCCCTTATCCGCAGACACTGGTGCTTTATACTGGCCACCAATCCACGCCTTCAACATCGCAGCACGATCTGCTTGAGAAAGCCCGCCAATTTTGGCACTTCCAAAGTCTTGAGCCATCTCTCCATCGATTTCCTTCTCTTGCTGCTTCTTGAAAGACTGTGCAATATCCTTCTGCTCCACACTCTCAAAGAATGCTACACCATCACCACGGTTGATTCTCCCAAGGTGCTCTCCCGCGTGACGGTAATTCCCTGCTATATTCCGCGTAGCCACCTGTAATTTGTAGTCCAAGGTCTCCTTCAATCCCGCAGAGCTCGAGATGACGGGCGGACCTACTCGTGCCAGACTCTCTGCGTTGGTCGTAGGATTATATGGTGCAGGCCACCCGCATTCCGCGTTGAAGAGATAGGCTTTCTCCTCCTCGTTGTACGGCTCTTCGGCTTCGTCGTCCTGGAATTGTTGTCCTTTTTGGCGATTCCCACCCCTTTTCCCTCTGCCTCCTCGTCCACTCTGACCACGTCCTACACCACGTCCTGCACCACGTCCTGCACCACGTCCTACACCACGTCCTATACCGCGATTTACACCACGTCCTGCACCTCCTCCCTCTCGCATACCACCACGAGCGGCCGCCCCCCCTTGCGCACCAAGCGGTGTCCAAGACTGTCCACGATACGCCCCACGAGAAGACTGGACAACCCGTACAACAGGGCGATTATATTCTTGCCCAGGTGGTGACATATCCATCCTTCGGATCGTGAAGGCTTGAGGTGGCTTAGCTGCAAGAGAGCGGGCATCGATACCTCGAGAAGGCCTAGGGGCTAGTGATGAGACCTCCTTGAGAGCATCTGCTGATCGTTGGGATCGTGTGGGCTTGGGCGCGTCATTTCCTGCAGCGTCGAGTTAGTATCTTCATACCGTATATAATTGCTAAAAGAACAATTGCTCTTAATCCAATAAACTTGGGGGAACAAACCTCCATCCTCAGCGGCCCTGGACAGGGAGACAGAAAACTGCCTTAAGGACGCGGTAATGCCGTCTGCAACTCTTGTGAGGTCACTGGCGATAGGTCTCCCTCGGCCAATGGCCGAGTGCATGTGCCATTTATACATGATGTGTGATGAAGCTACCGAGTCCTGACGTTCGATAGTCGAGAGCACAAAAGTCGGGAGCTCATGAGAAAAAGTTGATGCCTTGGGTGCCTCACAGCCTTCCGACTTGGTAAACACAACTCAGGCAGTATGCTTCTCTTGACACCCCACCACAACATGATACACGGCGCCTAAAACACACTCGTTTACAAAAATCTTTTCCTCTATTTGGTGACCAGACCTTAAACCGCCCGGCAATTCCTCAATTCCACGCCCTTCCTAAATCAAATTCCAAAGACCCCGCCTCGAATCCAGATCTCACCGCGTAAACGAACAACTCAAACCCAAGCCGCCATTATGCTCCGCCGAAAACCCACCGCCATAACCCTCACAACAGAAGATATCGCCATATACGAAGACGCGCGCAACCGAGAAGCGCTCCAGCGTGAACAGGCTGCCCATCAAGCCCACATGCAAGCACAAGCACAAGCCCAACGTCAAGGCACGCCGGGCAAGAACCAGAACCTGAAGGACCCGAATGATGAGTTGCGGCCGTTGCCCGGGGACAGGGCGAGAGGTGGGCAGGTGAAGTCTAGAGAGGAGAGGTTGGGTTTGGCGGGTGGGAGTTCGAGGGGTTGATAGTGGGAAGTGGATTGCTGTTTGAGCGCGAAGTCACTCTGAATTACAGAACTGTGGATGGAGGGGTGGCTATACGCTTGGACAATGATATGCGACGACTATGGACTGTATCGTACAAAAACGGTTCATCACAAGGCCAACGGACTTGCAGCATTCATTGACCAACGGGTTTTTTCACGGTCCGCTTCCACCCTATGGAGGATTACCACATAGCAGGGGCCATCCCTCCTGTGCCCGCTATCTGCTCTAATATACAATCAAATACCGTCAAACGGTAACGGCTCTATATACACATACACAAACGCTATTCCGAGCGCCGGACTCAATCTATCCTCGCGATCGACTGAATTCCCTAGTACGCCTATTCGCTAAATGCCAAAAACACTCTTCCATGAGTGACCAAGTTAGAAAGGGGGGTTTAGGAGGGTGGAGGTTGCGAAGATGATGGGGTTTTCAATTTCAACTTAAGCGTCGTCTTCTTGACCAAGGGTACTGGTGCTGACTCTGTTCGCGGTTTTGGCGGAGCACCGGGGAGCGGTTTGCGACCACCAGCCGAATCAGGGAGCGGCTTTCGCACTTTCACCCGTGAAGCGTCACCCGGTGTCGATGGGGGAACTGCTAGTGATGCTGGGGCAGATGAGGCCGAGGTTGTCGATGCTGCAACAGAAGCCACGGAGATTACTGGCGAGACTTTAGGTGAAGGTCGAGGCGTAGAAGAACTTTGTGACGACGGTGATGATTTCTCGCGCTTGATTGTCGGTTTTGGTGGCAGGCTTTGGATCTGTAGAAGCTTTGCTGAAGGGACTTTGAGTTTCACGATCCTCTTTTTAGCAGGTGGGCCCTCTGAGCTTGGAGTTGCTTCGACTGGTAAAGGACGCTTGGGCGGTCTCATAGCCCCAGCATTACTTGTAAAGCTAAGGCGGACTTGTGGAGGAGCGGGGCGAGCTGGAGGAGCTGCGGTCCCTAGCGAGACTTTTGGTGGTTTTACGTTCAGAATGGGCTTTCTGGGTGCCTTTCGGACCTTGCCTGTCTGCTTGAATACCAAGTGACCCTGTACAAATTAGCGCAAATAATAAAATAACAAAAGGAAACAACATACCTTCCCAAGATATTCCACCTTCCAGAAGCACGGTAGTTTCAGCTTGACAATCATGGACTCCACCGCCTCGTAAAGAATGTTGCAAATATCAAGTAGATCCCTCTGCTCGTAAACTCCAATGACCGAAGACTTAATAGCCTTCCATAATGCAGTTTTGATGGCCGCGTTACCCTTCAAATCCTCCTTCAAAGCAGCAACAGCTCCGAAAATGCTTGTAGTACGCGCAATATGGGCTTGTCTCGCCTCCGTCGAGGCATCCTGAACAATCAATCCATCCTCCTCGGTTTGCATTTCGACATCTCCATTCGGTGCGGGTGGAGGGGGCTCAATCGGTTTATTTTCTCCAGAGGCAACAGTGGCCAGTCCAAGGAAGAGCCTCTCGAAGAGATGGTGGCGGGTGTAGGGTGAGGAGTCGGTGCTTAAAACATTCAGGAGAAGACTTGCAACGGCATTATTCGTGAGAAAGCCAAGGTCCATCAGAGCCTCGAATGCCTTGATACGAACAAAATCTGATGTGCCATCATGAAGGTATTGAGCGAAGTCCAATGGTTCGATGGGTATGACCTTGGCTTTCATAAGACGTCTCTTGCAGTCTAACACCGTCGTAGTATAGATGTTTTGGTACGAATCTATCCACTCATCCATACGACGATATCGGTCTAATTCATCTAGGACAATCGTTTTGAATTGGCTCGGTTCATCCTCTTCCTCTTCGTCATCGCCCTTAAACACCTCCCCCGCCCCCTCTTCGCGAACAGGAATCAGAGAGTCTGCAAGGCATGATAGCAGGTTGGCGACCTTGTGGTTATCGGAGTATTCATTATTCCCATTGTCGTTAAACCGCAGCATATCGAGAATAAGTTGCCTAGCTTCTTTGGGACAATCTCCTCTGGTGTCGCGAATCTGTGCCAGAGATTTGGGAATGGAAGTCTCAACCCAGTAGGCCCTCTTGTCGGTAAAGTCGTTTGAACGAGCCATCTTGGAATCCGGATAGCAGAAGAATTCATGATACGCCTTTTCGAGATGCTTCAAACCTATCCAACCAGTCTTAAGAGCCGCATGTTTTTGTAGTAGTCCGGCAGCCATAGTCCTGATGCCATGGAAATACCGAGTATCCATGAGGGTCCTAACGAGAAACGTAGACACCAGGTTGTGTGGTACCGTGTTCGACAAAAACAGCATTGACTCTTGCTGGGCCACGACATCTCGGTCTTGCTGAAGTTGAGAAATGTACATGTAAGAGGGCATGCTGGTGAACGACTTTTCGCACAACCATTCAAAATCCGCATCGATTCGTATCCATTCGTAAGACTCCTGGTCCATCCGCGCCTCTGTTTCTGCATCCCAGTCGGCGAGCCCCCATTCTGCTACGTCAGCTGGCGTTTGAAGGACATCTCCTAAGCAGTAATAAAGAGCATCATCTCCGCCCTCGCCGGAAATATCGACCGCTGCTCCAGCCAAGCGCTCTTTTTGCCGTCGACTCCGCTTCAGGCGCTTGTACTTCGTATTATAGGGGATCTCAATCTTTTGAACCCCCTCTCTAATCTCCACAATATGCTCATAAGGAGTACCATCAGCTTCGTGGATACGAATGGTCATGGGACCAGTGAAAACAGGCTGTAAATCGCCTGCCCATACGCCATGAAGTTCCTCCTTGAGCATTCGGGTAAAACAGGGTTTCTTGAGGCTTCGCTGAGTAGGCAGCGTATCCTGTTTCTGGCTGATTGTCATTTCGACAACAAGCCTTTTCTTGTTGAACTTCTGGCTTATAGAAAACCTTGGACACCCGGACCCAAGAATCCACTGGTTCCAAAAGGGCTCTGTCTGTCTGTATTTTGTGACCTTATCTACCAGGCGACGAAAATCTCTGGTGTTCAAGGCGCTCTCCTCTGGTTGGCCCGTGTTCGCTGCTATGATGAGCTTTGATAGAACTCGAGTGAGGCCCGCAGAGCCGGAAGCCTTTATGATGCGTTTGTCAAGAATGAACAAGACCAGTGGTGCCTTCAGCTTCATAAAGTCGCGTTCGAAAGGTCCAACGTGGAGGGCTTCTCCTAGGGCGTATAGCGAAGGTCGTGAAATATCTAGTTCTACCAAGCGGTCTGTGAGGGTTTTTTGCCGAAAAGCATATTCATTATTCCCACACAGATCTTTCATGAAGAGGCCGGCCATGTAGTGGGAAAGCCCGATTGTGATCCATCTATCACCACGGTCTTGGGGGACAATCCCCACACCAAACCACTGGCTAGCTAGAGCATGGACAAGTGTCCTGATATTCTCGACTTCGGGATCTATGATGTCTTCCCGGATAAGGAGCCGAGTACTGCATAAGGAGAGTGATGCCGTATGCTCCACGTCGAAGACTTGGTCGTCGACGAAAACCAGTGAGTACTGGGAGAAAGGATACATGCCGAATCTGAGACTGAAGTGGTCGAGAGCATGAGCCATAGGGGCGCAGGTATGGCGAACCTCGTCAGCACGTCCAGGTAGGCAGTAACCCACAACTTGTACCGCCTGACCCTGCCCCAACTTCTCGCCATCCTCATCCTCGCGGAACTCTGAAAGGTCGACTTGCTCGAAAGGGCCAATTGCAAAGCCAATGTGTTGCGGAGCCACAACCCTATTGCACTGAAATTTGACAATTTTCTTTGAGCTATCGTCGAGATCCACGCTTTCATCTGTCAGCTCGCCGGAGCACACAACCACCATCTCTAACAGCTTCTCCTCCTCACTGAGGGGCACTGCAAATTCTTCAATTTCTTTAAGAGTGCTTGCAGTCCCGGCGGGAAGATCTTTCTTCCCAGGTAGTGCCCCTTTATGGTGGCGTACAGCCGCTGGCTTCCTCTTGAGCGCATCCCCTAGCATCCTTGAGCATTTAATGGTAACATCCCAGAGACATCTCATAGCGGGATCATCGACGCAAGGGAAAATGCAGGAAGCAGTTCCAGAGTCAATCCAGTGTTTTGAATACACATATGGAAATCGGGCATCCCCCTCAGCCAAGCCTACAAATTGCAATCCATCTCGCCAGTAGTTGGTAGAGAACTCGATGCTGACCGTCAACGGTTGAAAGCGTCCGGCTGGCTCTGTCGCCGTCTTAGGGGTCAACATGTTGTCCGCCACCGACATTCGAGCCGCAACTCCCATTGAGGATCTCTGCCCAAGTGGAGTGGCAGCACCCTCGGAGAACAGGTCTATCTCCTCCACACGAACGCCCTTTGGTATTGCAATTTCCAGCGCAGTATGGTCCTTTGGATCGCCGCCCTTAGGAACCGTGAGTTCCTGTGTACCGTTTCCGTGCCCAGCATGTTCCTCTAGTTCACTTTCCTTCTTATCCCCAGTCAACTTGCCCAGTCTGTCCCTCTGTAGATGATACTGGTTTGCGCCCCAATCCACATACTTCGGTATATCCAATGACTTCATAGGATCCTCGTAGTTGAAATTTGCCGGTAGGCCGTTCACCAGCACCTTGCCACGTTTGATAGAGCATTGCCGCGCATGAATCCTAATCGTCTTGAGATCCCTTGTTTGCGGTACGATTGTAATCTCAGTCCGACCCGTCAAGCTCTGGGTTGTGAAATCGATTTCCAGCTCCAGCTTCTGATGTAACACCGTAAACCCCAATTCCCTTGCTGGTTCTGGGCCCTTGAACGCATGCTGAGCCGCTGCCAGATCCGTGTCGAGCAGTAATCCAGGCATCCTGTCGAATGGTGTATGCCCTGGCGCAACGAACTTTGATGAACGTGGGACTACCGCTGCGCGACGATGTCCAGCTAAGAAGCTCTCATCCAGCCCCCCGAGCTTCCAGCCCTCTTCCCCCTCTCTCTTCGCAAGGTTGCGCGCGTTGTTCGCAGGTAGGATGGGTCGTCTTCAGTTCATCTTCCACTCAGGATGTACGCGCATTCACAGGCTCGTCAAATGGCCGGAAGATTTGATGGTCTGTCCTTTAGAGGGCGGCACGTCGACAGAGATGAATCTGAGTAGGTTATTAGGGTTTGTTTCGCTGGGTGCGTTGCTGTGTGGTTGTTCGAGATGAGCTGCGATCGGAGGGGTTGCGCGATGTCGAGGCAATTCACACGATGCCTGAGAAGCTTCCGAGCGCGATGGAGTGAATAGAGCGCGTTGCACGACCCGGTACCCTGCAGGCTGCAACCACCAACCCTGGGGGTATAGCTTTTTATTTGCTATCGTATCGGTATTACCTATTTAAGACATACTTTCTTATATTATAGTGCTTTTCTTAGGTTTTATAGTGTCACTTTCACATGTTACGGAAGATATTTTCTTCAGAAAGATGCAAGGCTACGACAAGCTCAAAGTGTAAAATGCTCCAAGGAGATCTAAAGCGCGATATAATCATATTACCAGACCTTTACATACAAGTAACATCAAAATTAATTAATATAACTAAAACCAATTGTTATAGAGGGATAACTATAACTATAAGTAATTTATTTGTCTTCTCTCAGCACAGGAGGATATAACCAAGTTAAATAGCATCCTCCCTTGCGCTCAGTTGCTCGTCCGCCGCTATAGGTGTGCAATATTCTCGTTACTAACCTACGACATCAATCAAAATCAAAAACCAAGGAGCAAGATAGAAGTAATTCATCAATAAGGGTATCAACAACTATAGCTATTCCCCTTGTCTAGGTGGATTTATAATACAACCAAGCCACCCACCACCAAGTTCAATTCCCTGACTCCGACCACCAAAACGTAAGGGCAAGCAATACCAGCAAGCCCCAGCCAAATGAAGCGCTTTCGATTTGGCTTGGTAAATTCTTCCATTTATGTCACACACAACATCACGGTTTACTAACCCTCCTATCCCTCCGCTTCCTCCGAGCATGTGTCTTTAGAGTCTCCTGGTCCCTGTATTCCTCAGGTAAATCGAAATCCTGCTCTGGGACCTCAGGGACGGGATGGCCCCAGGCTGACACGATCCTTCCACTCCTCCGGTGCTTTCCAAGTGCGGAGGCTCGAAGGTGGGGTTTTGCGAAGAAGGACTTGAACTCTTTCTCTGGCTCGTTGGCTACAGGAGCTACCGTATCCGCTTTTGGTTTTCTTTCGGTATGTCGGGGAGGGCCTGAACAGGCTATAGCTTCTTCATGCAACTGCCTGGCCGCAGAAGCATCCACATCACTATAGTCCGGAGGATCACCGTCGCTTTGGGCGTCTTCATCCACCATCACTTGCTCCTCTTCTTCCTCCTCCACTTCCCCCCTTTCTTCCTCTTCCTCCGCCTCAGCCAGAGCCAACTCCCTTTCCAGTTTTCGGCGCTTTTCTTCTTCCCTCCAGGTGCGGAATTTATCTAGAATCCCCTCGCAGCCCCTGATAAAGTGCTCCCGAGCGGGCTCATATTCCTTCTTCTTGCTATCCGTTATACCACTCACGCCCATGAGCTTAAGCCAATCATGGCCCTGTAGACCCTCCAGCAACCGTGTGACTTGGACTTTTTCATGCTTTGCGCGTCCTTTGTCCGAATTACGTATAGCTTTCTCCTGCCGCTCTGGCTTTCGGTGTATGAGTTCGAAATGCTCGTCTGAGAGAGGGTCTTCACCACCCTCGTCTTTGTAATTCTTCACGAGGAGTGAGAAATCCACTCTCTGCGCGTCGTGTAGGTCGGTGAAGAGTGAGTTGGAGAAGTCTTTGAGGGGGTAATCATTCGACTTGACATGTGATATTTCTTGGGGCGGAGGGGGGGGTTTTGTCGATGTCTTGGCACTATCAACAATGATTATGGGGGTATCGAGATTCAAGATGTCTGGAGCGGATTAACAGCACGTTCAATTGAATTAACCATGGCGTAGAGGGACACTCACGGGCCTCCTTGGGTTCGTTCCCAATTACCTCATCATATTCGGGGAAGTATGCAGACAGTTCGCTCTTGAACCTTGCACCTTCCTGGGACCGTAACTTCCGCTTCTCGGCCTTGAGATCCGCCGCATTTGGTTGCAACCGATCGAGCTCATGTTTAATGCCATTGGCGACCTTCTGGTGGTGATCCGCGGGCTTTCGTGGAGGTGATAGTGGAAGTGCTGTGGTTTGTGTCGCGGTCTCGACGTGTTTGGGTGATGCGCACCGCTGCGGAGCAGGAGGAGCGGCCCCCGAACTCGCGTTCGAGCTGATGACGAGAGATCTGGTCTCTGGCTGCTGGGGCTGCAGCTGGAGGTTCGAAGGCACCGAGATCTCCACCGCGAATCTGGCCCTCTTCGGCTTCAGGGCATGTTCTCCATCTTCGATGGAGTCGCGGGGCCTTTTCTTGCGGCCGATGTTGGATTGTGGGTGTCTGCTGTGCGCGGTGTTGTGGTTACCTTTGCGTGGGGGAGTCGCGACGTTGGTTCTGGTGCCGGATCGTGTCGTGAGGCCTTCAGGTCTTTTGGAAGACCGAGAATAGATAGACGCCATGGGCTGTACGGGGATCGTATCTCATGTTTCTGCGAGCTCAAATTGAGGGCTTCATGAGCTTGCAGAGTGGGATGGACGGGACTTGTATTATATTATAGTTTCCTCCTTACAGTGAAGTTTTAGCGACACAACAACGGGCTTGCTCTGAGGGCAGGGAAGGGCACGGGAGTTGCAATGCAGCAGTACAGCATCAAAGACCCCCCCAAATTCACTTGGATTTCTCTATTAATCCGTAATTTAACTCGGCATTTTTGCAAGAAATTGGGTTTGCCTATGCATACACTACTTATAAGCAAGCCAAGCAAACTTCAATTGGCCGCGCCTGGCCGTTCTCGATACAGTACATATTCGGTGTCGCAAAAGCATGAGCTGATCTGGCGCCGGTCGCAACACCGACAACTCTCAACAGCCACGACGCGAAATCAATTATCCATCGGAAGGATTTGAATCTGGGAATTGATGTTGATGGATAGTATCCAGCTCGGAATGCTCTCGATGTTTGGCATCGCATCGAGCTATTCTACCGCCTACGCCCGGAACAAAGCGCCGTTCGATTGTCATCAATTGGCAATGACTTCAGAATCTTCCTAGTATCCCTTGCATAGTACAAAGTATCAAATAGGCCATCGTATAGAAATGTGAGCTGTGGCTAAAAAATCTAATAAGTATTGTCTCTTCCCAAGCTAGCTATAATAGCTATATTATCTATCTAGTTACCTCACCCCTATTACTAAAATTACGTACCTAGGTATCAAAATACCCTTCGTTCTATTATTACTGAAGGTAAGTATAGCGTATTCTTGGGCGACTTTAGTATAAAACTGTTTTCGCTAGAAATATCAAGTACTTATAGCTTTTACCTCTATATATCTCTGATATCGAGCTTCTATACTATTTCTATATATATAATATAGATAATATAGATATCTTAATTTTAGTTAAATATTTATACGACTTAAATATCTTATATTCTAGCAAGATATTTATATAGCTTAAATACTACCTCAATTCTAATAAAATATTTAAGTAACTTGAATACTTCAATTCTAGTAAGATATTCAAGTAACTTAAATATCTCAATTTTCGTAAGATATTTATACGATATCGGAGATATACAGAAGTAATAGCTATTAAGCTTTATAATACTAGCGAAAAGAGTTTTATACTAAAGCCGCCTAAGAATACGCTATAAGAAAGTATATTTTATTAAGAGTTCTAGTAAATAATTTTTCTCTTTCAAAGTTATTTCTTATTACAAGGGAGGCTATCTTCCTACTCCGCCTACCTCGAGAAACACTTGTCTGAGTAGTTATAATTATTGATACCACTATAGAAAGGGAGTTCATAGTATAGAACGCCTATTCTATTTATGTACCCCTCAGTAACTTATACTACCTTTAATTTTCCCAATACCCATATTATACACGACGCCATGTCCCTTTTTCCATCCATGGCCCTATCAGGACCATACCATATCCCCGTTTCCAAGTTCTAATAATTATACATCCATCTTGTTTTATAGCGGCTGTTTTTTATCCCGATTTCCGGTTTCCTGATTTAGACTTCGGAGACTTTCTTTTTCAAACTTTCCAATCGCTTTCTCAAACTCTCACCTACTCGCCGCCCAGTGGTATTGCTCCTCCGCATGTCTGCCTCATTTGCAGAGTGGCTCCTATTATTATTTGACGGTGGGGCCAGATTAGCACTGCTCCCGCTGGCACCACGTTTCCGCTGTCGAGGCTGCATCTCGTAGAGATCATGACCGTCAGACATCGCATGGCGGTGAGATTTCGGGTTCTGCTCATTGAGCGCTTTTTGACTATGCTTGTGTTCTTTCAAAGCTTTCTCAACAGTATATGAGGGTTCCCCTTTGCCCTTGAGGTCTCCTGGGAGATATTTCTATTAGCGGAGTTAGCATCGAGACGTCGTTTGTAATTAGGTTGTAGACACTTACAACACCATCCCATCTCTTATATGCTCCACCCGGTGCATCCGGCTCACGCATTAAATCGGCGCCCTCTTGGTAGTCCATCACTCTGCCGTCCCACGATGTCGCCCCAGGAGGGATGATAGAAGTACCCTGCAACGGGACATGCTTGTCCAGCGAATCTCGCAGGTATTCTTTTGGTGTAGCCCTGATAGCTTCCGCATTGGAGTCCTCCAGGGCGGCGACAGGTGAGGTTTGGTAATTGGTATTGCGGGCAAGCAATGTAGCGTCATACGGACCCCCGTGATGATATTTCCCGCCCACTATGGAATCGTCGAGGGAATCAATGCTATCTGCACCTGGAATATGCTTTCTCTTTAGGTGCGGCGAACGATTCGCCATCTTTGCTTCCTTGCGGAGCTGGTCGAGTGGCCGGTGAGACATATCGCCGGGAAAGCGTTCTCCGATAGAGCTCCCACGGCTTCTTTGGTGTTTATGCTGGGTGGCTGGCTGGGTGGCCGGCTGGTCAAAACTCCTACGGCTTGTGCCGGGCTGGGAATAATCGCTAAAAGCGGATTTCCGGTGAGACGAAGAAGAGTATGGGTTTGATGGATGAAAGGTGGTTCTAGTGGGACTAGACGAGGTTGGGGGTGTGGGATAATCAGTGGCCGTTGGATGCTTCGAGTATCGGTCGCTGGTAGAATATGATGTGGTAGCTGGATCTTGGCTTGATGAAGAAAGGTTTCTGAAATGTGTACCGGGACCAGTTTCCTCACTGGGCTCGGGATCCGTTAAAGGGTTGAGCAAATATTTGGTGGCCTGGAAAGATTGGAGAGAGTTAGTAAACCATGATCTAATGATATTCAAACCTGCATTCAGGATCAAGCTTCCATCCTTGAAACTGATCGCCGGGGTTGGACGGAACATACCCATTCCTTATCCTCTGACGGAGAATGCATCTTCAAGGGTTGGATTCGGTGTTGCTGTTCTATTTTTGGTATATCTCTCTCGCTGCAATAGTACTTTGTTGGTAGTAGTGCGTACAAAGTAATAACGTAACAGTTGGGTTTGGATGGAGGTTTGGATGGAGGTTTGGCGACTGAGGAGGAACAGCAGGGAGAAGTGAATCTGTATTTATCATTACTAAGTAGTAGTACTCATTGCGTGGCGGGTGTCGTACGCAGCACTTTCGTTGTGGAGTGATACGAGAAGTCATCGCTGCGATAGGCGCATCCGGCACTTGCCACAGGGATCAACGTCATTTGTGGATGGACAAGCACGTGCCAAGTGCCCGTTCCTTGAAGCCTCAGGCGAATTGGGTAGCTAAACTTAGATGCCTTAGGGGCCGTTGGGAGTCTGGCCCATTCGCCTTGTTTACTCCTAATTCACTTTCGTATACCTCCCAACCTTCAACCAACGTCTAATTAACCCTTATTACAATTCCCTCTCGGGATGCGTTCCGGGCTCAGGTCACTTGGTTCTTGAATTTCCCCCCTCCGGCTGTTGATAGTCAAATATATTAAATACCTGGTGCTGCCTTCGTGGAATCGTGGCTGCATATGGCCTTGGTAGATGGCTTGAACCCACTCCTGTCGCACAGGTTTCAGCACAAGGATTTTGCTGTCGCGCATCCAGTGGAACGCTCTGCGGGTTGAAGTAAAAATTCTAGGCTCTTAGCAAAGTTTAGGAACTCGGCCTTGTGTTGCTGTTGAATCCTTATTTCTGGTTGTCATGGCCCTGGTCGACTATGCTTCATCCGGTGAAGATGACGAACTGGAGGTGGCCCAGACATCCATAACCACTGATGAATCTCCTTCTATTCCCAACTCTAAGCGCAAACGGGAGGACGATGCCGGGGGTATCCTCGACCTCCCTCCTCTGCCCTCCAGATTTCATGACCTGTATGCGTCGACCACTCGCATTAGTACGCGGGATAATCCGGATTTGCATGGTGGGAGAAGGAGAGCGGTTCCCCACATCGAGGGTAACTGGCCGACTCATATTTACATCGAGTGTATGTCCGCTTTTTATCCCTTTATGGCTAGCAGGCCTTTAGCTGACTCAATTGAGGGTATCCTTCTACTACAGAATATACATCACTGGAAAAGTTAATATCAACTGTGAAAGACGGATTGCCAAGCGGAGACGACATTTTGAAAATACACTCCTTCTTGACCAGCGATTTAGGGGCTCCCTTACCCCTTCATGTCAGCCTTTCACGCCCGGTAGGGTTTGCCACAGAACAGAAAGACAGTTTCGTTAATTCTCTAGAACGAGCTATTAAGTCTTCTGGCATTCGCCCGTAAGTCATGTCTGCACTTGTGAAGCGTTGGTAGCACGGAATTGACTTTTTTAGCTTCAACACTGCATTCTCTAGTCTCGACTGGGTTGCCAATTTCGAAAATACTCGATGGTTCCTTGTCAAAAGACTTGAGAAGCCTTCTTCTGATGGCTTAAATAAATTGCTCCATGTAAGCAACACGGTTGTTCAGGAATATGGCCAACCTCCTCTTTACACGAAGCCTTCACCTGTCACAAACCATATTGGTACGTCAAAGGGCTCCAGCGAATCTAGTAAATCTCGCCATAAGCGAATAAGTCCCGGTACTGCACCGCTGAATCATAACTGGAGTCATATGGAGGACTTTACAGATGCTTTTCACATTAGCATAGCCTGGACTCTTGGAGCCCCGAACCAGGAGCTTTTGGATTTGACAGCCTCCGCTGCAACGGATTATTTAAAAGATATCTCCCAGATTTCGATTAAGATCAGCGAAATCAAGGCAAAGGTTGGCAATGCTGTCACGAATTTGCCTCTGCGGACGAATATAGTCGAAGGCAAGAGTCTGTTTGGATTTTGAAGTTATTATACCTCTCTAGCTACTAATACTACGAGTTGTGTTACTCCTTAATTTTTGCACTTGTTGAGCCTTGATTATCCTTGAATGGTCAAATTACTCACTTGATCTGCAGCATTATGTTATCTAAATCCGAACTCCGAAATAGCTCGCAAAGAAATCCCCCGAGGCATGGGAAAAAAAAGCCCCATGAAGATGGCAAGAGCACGAGCACAGGCATGTTCGCGAGTTGATAGATAGATCTTGGGGAGACATTGGAATGCTTTTCTACATTGGATATGGTAAATGTGCCGTAGCCTAGTGCCAGTTCACATTAATGTCCACCACCCCCTTCACTCCAGATGCAAATGTGCAAGTAGACTTCTTCTCCAATCAAGCAATAGCTTCAGTCAATATGTCGGAATCACCGCCATCAAGGACTGTCATAATCGAGCACCGGAATAGTTTACCGCATGCCGTACCAAGTTCGATCTGAAAGAGAATTAGCAAAGTTGCCCTCCAAAGCATCATAGATGATGCTTCTTCGCTGGGCTGGATCCAATTGGGCTCGGTTAACGAAGCCACAATGTGATGTTTATGTAGAGCGTCCTGCTATTATATATGCAACTTCATTGTGGTTCGACCGAGCCCTGGATCCATCCATGATTTGCAAAACATTTGTCTCCTGACGAGCGTTCGAAATCCTCCAGAAATCGTATAGAAAGTCGCGTACGTACGTTGTTGCCATGGAAATGGTGTACAGGAGTCTTGGAGAGCATAGCGTAATCTGGTAAATGTCAGTTTTACAAATTTCGGCGAAGGCACAACAAGACTTACACTCAAGCTCAGATTTTCGAAGTGGTGGAGTGTTACCAGCAATGATGATCAGTTTTGATTTGCCCATACGGAGTACCTTCAATGAGGACTTGTATCCCAGCGTGACTAGATTATTCAATTAGGTGCCGTGCGACAACATTCATTAGAAAGAAATCTACCTTTGCCGGACTTCATGACCAGAGCAAGCCGGGAAGTGATCGTATCACTGTTCTTCTTCATATTGCGGGGCGCCATCGCGACTGATGTAGTGGGATGTCGAAAGATTTGAAGAGGTTTGTTGGTGGAGGGAATGCGACAATTATCTAAAGAATTCAATAATTCGAAGGTACCTAGGTACCGCATGGGACAGCACCATATTTAGATACCGTCCCACGTGACATTCACGATGTTATTATCCTATATTTCTCCGCAAATGCTTCACCGCAGCTCCAGTTGCCCTGACTAGCAAAACAAAATCTTGCTAGCTGGATTTCTAAAGTGTCGGTCGCTGTGGTTTTTGAGTCTGCTTGGTCGTATCCTCACCGCTACAGGCCGATTGTTGAGGGGAATGATGGTAGAAAATGATATTGAAAGTGGCCAACATGCCGTGATAGTGGTGAATCTTTCATACCACTTAACCTTTGGCATCATATCTCTAATATTTCACTATATCTAGGATCAAACTCCTGCAAATCTTCAAGAAGCTGCACCGACCAAGATAAACAGCCAACCCTCCCCCCGGGAAATGTTATCTCTGGAGGAAGTACTGGCATAGTCTATTTGCTTCCTTCTGGATATGTACGGAAGTCGGCGTACCCAGACCCTGAGGGTAGACGACAGAGCCTTCGGGATATCGAGCGAGAATACAAAATTTACCAAAGGCTTCCGCAGCACGACCGCCTCCCAAAGATGATAGACTACTCTCTAGAAGACGGGATCACTCTTGAGTATATGCCAAACGGTAATCTAAGAGATTATTTACAGTTAGGAGCTACAAAGTTAGACATTAATCAGCGACTTCAATGGGCTTGTGATGCCGCCGAGGCATTACAGCTTCTCCATTCTCATAATATTATTCATTGCGATCTTAAACCCGAAAATCTTCTACTAGATTCTAGACTCCGGCTACGGATTATAGACTTTTCGGGCTCATCAATTGAAGGATCATACGCTTCTGCTTTTGAAGGCGTCAGATTCTGCCTACCGCGTCCCTGGGAGGCCCCCTCAACGATAGCGACAGACCTTTTCGCCCTAGGCTCTACTATCTACGAAATAATAACGAGCAAGCAACCTTATATAGAGCTTACGGATGAGAAGGTAGAGGATTTATTTACACAAGGGATATTTCCACCAGTAGACAACTTGCTTTGCGGGGGAATTATTCAAAGATGTTGGCGAAGTGAGATCGACTCAGCTGGGAACATATATGCGTCAATTAATGTTGAGATGCAGGAGATGCAGAAGAACACGGTAACATTGTCTGAGTATGGCCCGACTCCAAAGTAACTTGGGAAACTTTTACCATCTTCGAAACCTTCCTGTAGGTCTACTGAGAATACCCTCCATCATTGCACTGATCACAATCATCCCTTCTTCTCGATGAGCCGATCTCCTTTTCCTTAAGATCGTTATCGGGAAATAGGACGAGCAACATTAACCAATGATTAGAGCAACCGCCTTTCTACATTTCCCCATACGATATTTTGTCACCAGCCCAAGAACCAAGAAATAGGACCTGCAAAGTGCCTAGTTGCTTTCAACCTGTCTGTTCCGCTATTAATACAGAATACGCCCTTCAACTATCTCATCCATCCCGATGACTCCCTGATTGACCCCTGCCCATCCATCTTGCCAAATTTTCATAGATAATCCAGTCCACCTCTAAGTGCAAGCAAATCTTCTCTAACCTCCTCGACATCAACCCCAACCCGTCCCGCGACCTCCACCCGTCTCTGACTCCCCAGCTCCATCCACCTCATCAAAATAACGCCATCAACTACCGCCCGTCCACCAACCATCGCCTCCGGTGCATCCTTGTCAATTCTATACGCTCTGGGGTTGAGACCGCCGGCGTGATATAGCGTATTGGTGAGATGGCTGGTGAGGGTGCTGAGGCTCCGGTATTGTGATTCGGAGAGGGGGGTGAGAAGGCATATGGAACCTGTGGTGGTGGGCATGAGGATTTGGTGTTGGGGGATGGGGGCTGGGAAGGTTGTATCCATGTCATCAGGGCTGCTGGGTGCGATAGGGGTGGATGATGTGCTGGTGGTACGTGGGAGGAGTGTCATGGCAGTGGGAAGATGGCCGCCTAGGGCGAAGGTCGTACGGTGTAGGAGTAGGTGACCGTGGAGAGATTTGGGATCTGTAGAAATCGATTAGATCATCATGTAGAAAGTTAAGGGGAGGCAGTAGAAGACAATACGTACTTTCAGGATCAAACTGCATGATATGCAGGTTGCAATTCGCATCCGCCACCACGATATATAATTCCTTGCCATCAGGTAACAGATCTGCTGTCACGATCTCCATATTTGTAGCGGACTTGCCAAACAAGATCATCTTGTAAGGTTCTTCCGTATAACCTACGAACCAAGCCCCTTTTACGGCATCAGAGAGAACACATAAGCCCGTGCCGCGAAGTTCCTTCACCGCGGTAACGTAGCAATTCATGTCCATGAATGCAACGGGGAGAAGCGTGCCGTCTTCCTTCAAGCCGCGAACCATGCACTTCTGCCCTTGAGCCACGAGCATGAATCCCTGCGTACCTATCTCCGAGACTCCGGTGATAGCACCCCGAGGAATCTCTTCTTTTGCTACGAGCTTTAACCTCTTATTTGTTTCTGGGCGGTCTGGTTCTGGCACCACATTCACAACATCGTAGACGTACAGCTTCCCCTTGATTGGGAGATCTTCGCCTCTGGAAATCGCTGTGCCGACCGTGATCAGTTGTCTCCGTTCATTGGTGGTTTCCGAAATTTCGAGGTTAAGTGTATTTACACACATGATCACCTCAAATGGCTCTAGTTCGATGGTATCAATAATCGACCAGTTTAGTGGATTTATGAGTTTGAGATAGCCTTGTTCCATTGTCGGCTTGAAAGAAGTATCTTCGCGTTGCCAGTCACGACGGTGGTCGTCATCTTTGGGTAGCTCAAATTCAGTCCCGGTACTGGTGCCAACGACATAACACTCCATAGGTGGATGATAAGCGACAGCATGAATAGCCTCATTGAGAGGCACTTTCCGTAATGATACTCCCAGTTCTGTGAAGTTCTCATCTGCGGGTAATTGTGCTACTCGAGCTATGCCTTCGACATCTGCGTAGATGAAGCCTCTGTCGCAACCCGCTGTGTGAAAGCCACTCATACCTCTCACACCAGTGCCTTGTAGACTAATGACTTTTGGAGTACTCTTCGCATTCTTCAGGATGAAGCTCGGTGAACCGCCAGGTAGGAAAACTGCGCTGTAGCCACCCAGGTTGGAAATGGTTCGCATTGGGTGGTCTCCCATGTTACTTGGTTCCTCAGCAGAGGTATAAGTATTCTTCGCCAAGTGAGGATTATGCATCTTCAGGAAATGGAGACTTGATGATAAGCTATCCGAAGAAGACTGAGAGTTGGTGCGAAAGGGTTCATATATGGTAAGATCGTCACTGGATGGACGTAGCTAGAATGCTGATTAGGATTGGCTATCAACGGCAGTCATGGGACTTACAATAAGATAAGGTGATTTAGAGACAGCATCTCCAAGATCTGCTACCAGGATCTCAGTCAAGGCCTCCCGAGCCGCAGACCTTCTGGCGGCATAGTCGGCGGACAATACGGGTGGAACGAAACAAAGACCCTCGGCCACGTAGACCGCTTTTGACAAGTCAGGCAAGGCATATATCTATCCTCGTTAGCAACGCTCATCCAAACAACGCTCGGGAACAGCCTTACGTGGAGCGCTCCCCCAGCACTGAGTAAGAACATCATAACATTTCGGCCGCCCTTGTCAGACTGGACAGTTGCAAATTTATCCGTTGTATCCGTATATAAACAACCAGTAAGCCACTTGGTCGTCAACAACCCGTCATCTTCCCTCTCAATTTCTTCTAACTCATTGTTGTCATCGCACTGGGCCACAAAAATGCTCGCATCATCCCTGACGAGTAGCAGAAACGGGTCGGCGAAGCTCGCGCTGACAATTTTTGGTTCGGCTCCGGTATCGTCATCATACATCGGGAGGATCTGTGCCAATCCGAGATCTAGGCATCGTACTCTCAGTTAGCAATTCATTCTAAGTACATATGGCGAAAATAGTACGTTGGGAACGCAGATGACACAGTTGCATGTTGGTGGTAAAAGACTTTCATTGATGCTATAGGATAATACAAGTTTCCCGATAGCGACCCAGAAAGCAGGACAAATTCCGTATGATGAACCCAAGAAAAGATGCGATAAGACATTCCTCTTACACCATCCTTGTATATAATTATTGTGATAAATAGCAACGATAGATAAAGAAAAGAATCAAACTTACCACCATCGTAACTTCGAACCTCGGACTTTAATACTTGGATGACACGCATACCGTTGCCTAGAGTCCCGGCTTCAATCGTTGATCCAGCAGCAGGTTCGAATTCGCTTCCTGTTAATGCTTCGAATCCCGCCGATGTTAGTACATACACATCCGATACCTCCGGGGTATCAGGGAGTGCCTTGGAAACTATCATGAGTCTGTCATATTGTGCATCCTCGCCGTAGTCACCGCTCAGCTCGCTTTTCTCTTTACCGGCCTCCAGACCTTTTGTTGTGGGCCTCTTTGCACTTATTGTCCAAATCCCCCGGGCTTCTGGGAACTCAAACCTGCCTATGATTTTGGGCTGAATATTTTGATGGATGATAGCGAGAGATCCTCCTTTGTTTCGTCCAACAGCGGCTACTAGTTCTAATTCACTCCTGACGCCTTCAGAGTTACGTTTCTCTTCGTCATCTCTATAGAACGCAGCGTTGCCAAAGTCCGTGCCTATTATCGGGGCAATACTTACTAGCGAATCATGTATCTGAAAGATGTAATCGCCAGCCTTAGTGGTGCTTGAATCTGTTGGAACAGCACCAGCCTGTGCAGTTGCTGGGGCGTCGCCGTACAGGTCATCATCAATATCGTCCTCATCATCTTCATCTTCGTCAAGGAACCCATCATCCATTCCATCGGGTAAGTCTAAGCGCGACTTCCGGCGCGAGACCTGGTTTGACTTTCGAGTCCAGCCTAGTACAACAGAATCGGAGCCTTCACTGCCAACAAATAGCGCATTTGCACCTAGTGGGCTCACTGTGGATGCACCTGTTGAAATGATAGAACCTCCGGATTCGTCTGCCACTCGTCTGATGCTCAAGCCAGATACAGATCTACCGTCCATTTTAAAGCTCAAAATAGCTAGTGCGCCGTCATGGAGTATTATGAGCATCTCGCCATTCTGGATTGAGAGTTGCTCAATCCTACAACTTTCCAGTCGCATCTCAAGATCTGATTGATCTGCGAGTCCAAATGATGTTGTTTGCTTGGCGAAAGGATTTACCCCAACACCGTTGGCTTTGCCTGCCTGGTCAATATGGATCAACTGGTTAGTGCCCACTAGGAGGGCTCCACCAACGGGGGCAGGTACAGGCACGATCTGGAATAAGTCAAATGGCAAACCGCTGACAGAGAGAATCGTCGTTGATGCTCGTTGATGGAGGTCTAGAGTAAAGACCATGTATGTCAAATGATCCTTCCTCTCGTGCAACAGGGAAGCCGACGGCACCATAGTAGACGAGAGTATGCCAAATGTAGGTTCTCGGTACTCGTAGAGGAAGGCCAGGTGGACTGGATGAATTAAGGTAGGGTCGAGAGACGGAAGACGAAGAACAAAGGACGATCCATACGGCGTATCGCCCTTACCATCTTCACCATTTGTGACCTTCATTATTGTCTTGTCGCTCGGTCGCGGTCCATCCAGCTCCTCATCCCAGTCATCCATATTGACATCCTCGTCTCCTTGCTTGAAAGGCAAAATAGCGAGATTTCGAGGGCCGAATTTGAGCGCGGCACATCTGCTACCAGGATCAGCGGTCAAGTAGTTGACGCAATCGCTAAGATTTGTCGCCCATGGGGCTCCCTCGAGTTCATCCTGCTCATAATAGTGGACCGATATGGTTGATATTCCCGGCCGCTCGGGATCCCACTCGACCAGACTGAGTTTCGCATCCTTGAATCCCAATAATACCACTTCGCCTCCGGACTTCGAAGTAAGGGTTTTGATCCGCGCTAATGATGTGATGGTTCCAGATAGGGTGTACTCGGCCACAAGGACAAGCTTTGTTCTGTTTGCCCTTGGTGGGGGAACCATAGATCCTGTTCCCAGGAATGTAGATTCTAATCGGTCATCGTCATTCGCGCTCTTATCGAACACGCCCAGCTGCTCCGCGGACAGCTCGCCTTTTGCTGGGACATCGAGCTCAACTGCTATGACCTTGGTTGCGAAGATCTGGAGCAAGGAGGTTTTCGCGACAATGAGGTTGTTCGAATCGGCGGATGTGAAAGGTAGGCTTAATGAATGCGTGACAGCTGTGGGAGGTGTCAGCTCCGTGTAGCATTGCATTATGGGCAGCGCGAGAGCATTGGCACCATCTCATAGGGATTGGAATTCGGGATTGGCGTTAGGATTGGGACTTGAAGCTGGTGCGATGTTGGTGTTGGTGTTGACAGCTTTATTATTGTGAAGGTTTACCTTTGAGCGTTTCGCGGCAGGGATTGTTGCTTTGAGTTGGCGACCCCTGTCGCGTCTCTTTTAGCTATCGGACTCGTTGGTGCAGCTTACAGCACAGCTCTTCTACCGCCGCGTTGCACACTACGTCAGAATCCAGTCCCTCATCTACCTATCCGTGATCCGAATCGTCAACTTCAAGTTTCCCCAACTAGCCCACCAGAGTATCTATATGGCGATCCGTCTTTTCTGGACCTAGGATTTTCTTCATTGATGTGAGTGCGCCCAGTGCTTCCCTTTCCAATTGATGTGCCACAGAGTCTCTTGTAAGGGCGTTGCTAATAGGCGCGTTGTCAGGCCCGGATAGAATCCCAACTCACCGCGCTACAATTGACGATTGAGAGAAAGGCGCAAAGATGGCGTTAATCCAAACGGCATTTATATGGATTGCATACGCTGTCGCCGTCAGCATCGTGGCACTCATTGCGGCTATCTTCACATATACATACCAAACTCCTCGAGACCGTTCCGCCCTGGTATCGACCGTAACGATTCTGACCCTCACCTCGCTCCTTGCAACGGTCCTACTTCTACCAGTAGATATCGCACTAGTTAGCTCTACGACATCCTCAAAACTAGGTGCGAAGAAAGACTGGGCGGACCCCAAAACAGTTGCCAATATACTCTTGACGCTCAAGATTGTGTATTATACGCTCTACAGCTTGGATGCGGTGCTCTGCCTTCTAGTCGTACCTTTTACCTACTTCTTCTATGAAGAATGGGATGAAGTTGACGATGAAGAGGGTATCTCGAGCTTTGGGGAGAAGTTCTGGGGAGCGTTTAAGTACACTCTGATATTTGTCGTACTGGTCGTAATCCTCTTCCTTGTTGGCTTCTTCGTACCAGTTGCGCGGGATCGCAATGGCAGCCACATGGATCTTGACTATTTCAAGCGTCTGTTAGCTGAAAACGGTGGAGAGAGAGCCTTGACATTCGCCCTCGGGCTGCTCATCTGTCTGGGAACGCTGCTCTACATTTTATATACGGCGGCCGGGCTTGCTCTCCTTCCCATATCCTTCATCAAATCGACACCTTCAATTAGCGCACCTCAACTGCACGAGACGACTACGACTGCCCTAGAGCAGAACCGGGAAAGGCAACGCCAGCTTGAGGGCCGCAATGCAGGACGCGCAGGAGGAATGCCCGCTAAAGACCAGCGGGAAATGGAGGCATTGGTGCGTGAAGAGCGTACTTTGGTCCGTCGTGACCGTTTGGCTACAGAGGCACAGGGTGAGGGAAAGAGATTTATCATCAGAGTCTGGACGAAATTGTGCGCGGTTTTCCGGCCTCTTAAGTTGCTCGGAGGAGTCCTGCTACTCATGCTTGGTGTTGTAATCTGGGTATCAATGTTGATCACCGGCATTGACAAGGCGAAGAACTCCATTTGCAAACAGCACTGTGGATATATTCTGGGAAAGTAAGTATTGAACCATCACCTGTGGGGAAGTGGATCGCTGACACAAATTTTTAGCATCAATGTATTCCAACCAGTCAACTACGTCTTTGTCCAAGCTTCAAGACTCTTTCCCATCGACTATGTTTTGATGGCTCTTTTGGTCTTGTTCTTTTTCAGCAGCTCCATTACTGGCATAGTCACTATTGGAATCCGCTTCCTCTGGGTCAGATTATTCCAAATGCGCAAAGGGCATACCTCTCCACAGGCACTTTTAATAGCGACCGTGATGTTAGCCTTGATCATGCTCGCGATCAATTACGCAATTGCCATGATCGTTGCACCACAGTACGCAATCTACGGTGCTCAAACATTCTGTACCAATCCAACGAAGCACCCCGATGACCAGCCAGACTGTTCAAACCATCGGGAGCTCATCCAGCCCTGCTCGGAACTCTCCTCTGATCTCCGATCAGGCAACGTCTGCACCCCCAGCGTGGTGTCAACATTCCTTAACCGCGTCACCGTCAACTTTCCATTCTTCGGTGCCCTAGCTTTCTGGGCACAGTTCGCCTTCCTCGCCGTCTTCCTGGTCGTCTTCGTCACAGCCTTGTTCCGCACGCCGAAGCTCGATCTCAACGAGATCGACGAGGACGCCGAAGCTGACGAGGAAGAAGGCTTGCTTGCAAGCACTGGCCGTAGGTTCGGTGCGACATGGCAGGATATCAGAGGGCAAGCTGGCAGGAAGAAGACTTCTGGTGCTGCTGGAAGGGGCATTCGTGGGGATGATGACGGGGGTTCTGATGAAAATTGATAGAATGTACGAAGTACCAGTTGAGATGGTTTGGGTATTCTGGCCCGAGAATTTTCGCCTCTTCTACCGGATGTTTAGGGTATCTTGAAAAGTGTCAAAATTCAGGATGGAGTTCTGGGGATACAGAAACATGATGCGAGGGAAGGAACGGAGTAAATCTGCGATACCTGTACTTTTGATGATGACTATGGGCAAGATGTAACGGAGTTCTCTTATGAGTGTTTTCCGTAGCTTGGAAGTGAGTCTTTTGCACTGTCACTGGCAAAATTTGCATGAAGACAGCCAATTCACTAAGTGAGCCAAAGACCTGGCAAGATTTTCTTCAGTTCAATTCCTCAGAAACGAGGGGAGGCCTCCTTCCCTCGCTCTCTCCCTCTCCCTCTCCGCCCTCTCCCGTCCCTCACTCATCTCCCCCTTAATTTCCATCACCTTCAGCTCCAACCCAAGGATACCTCTCTGCCTCCACGTCATGACTCGATGGTGGCGAACCAGCCATCTCGAAGCCTTGTAACTTGCATCAGCATCCCATATCTAGAGAGCCTTCCAAGCCTGCCCTGTACCAGGCAGAACAACAAACATGTTGAGATACACAGAATCCCTCCCCTGCCTTTTCGACCATCCCCTATTCTCCTGAAAATCCAGGGCCTCGAATTATTACTTACGGGGGCCGCATATCGCAGGCCGCGAGGCTGAGGTGCAGCCTAGTTAGCCTCAATAGAGTGGCCGTTTCTGCGGCCGCTGCGGTCCGGTCAACGAGAGGTGGTTATACGAAGTGCAATTGAAAGGAATAGTGGGCTGATAATGGCGGACGCGCGGAAGAATCATTGTGACGTGGATGGGGATGAGTGTGAAAAGGAGCTTGTGATGGTGTTGTTGGCGGAGCTGTGGACGGGTGTTGCAGGCCGAGGATGTTGGAATAGGGGGATGGGGGAGGCTTATCGCGTATATGCCACAGCCGAAGAAGGGGTGATGACCAGATTTATTCCCAGGAGATGCGATGGGATGACAACCGACGCCTAAGTGAATCCGCAGTAATTTACTAACTACTCTATCTCTCAGAAAGAGAGGCGTAGAGAATAGACGCCTACGCAAAATATCCAGAGGCCGTAATTAAATTTTCTTGTCAATTGAACAGACTTGTTTGCAACGCTTTTATTTCCGACTATAGGAGAAATATCGTTACTGTATAGAGAATTTATCATTAGTCGTCAAAAAACCCACCAAAAAAGTCCCAATCCCCTTGATAATCCTAGCCATCCTGTTGCATTCTATCATAAACCTCTTCCATTGCTTTCCACCAAACTCCAATCAACTATCCTGCCAACCTAGCCCAGCCCAGTACCACCATCTATTCTCATCAAATTCCGTCGCTCGTAACACGCCAAATAAGATCCACCAGATAATCATCCCCAAATAACATCCTCACTCCAGTCCCCCTTGCCATCCTTGTCCTCCCCAAAATGAACAGGGCCTAGCTTCAAGAAACGCCCTTTCTGGCCCGTACTACCCTCGGAGCCGGTGCTACTGCTCCGTCTCGACTTGAGCAAGTTATCAGGCAGTGCAGGAGTCCCTGCTACCTCGGCGGAGACGATCGCTGCCTGCGCTCCCGCCGATGACACCGTTGCCGTTGCCGTTGAGTCAGGTCTGGCTTTCGGGGACGTAGGATAAGAGTCACTGGTTGTTGGAGCCAGGGCGAGGAACTTGTGAGGTAGTGAAACCTGGTTGTCCTCGGCCGCAGGCATGAGCGTGTCCTGGCCCGCAAAGGCAAGGGCCAGGAGCTGATCTTGGGATGGAGTGACAGATGATGCTGATGTAGATGCCATTTTTTGTGATTGTGATAGATGAAGGGATTGGATGAGGATTATAGTTGGGGCCTGAGCTGAGAAGCGCGGCAAATGAGTGTGTATGTGGGTGAGTTAGGGAGCGATTGTTGTATTGTGGGTTGGCGTTGGCGTTATGTTGTTAGTTGGAGTTGAATTTTGAATTTGTTGGTGTTGGTTTGCAACGACGAGGATGAGGAGGCCGCAGAAAAGGCCGCTGCAAAAAACTGAAGGCCTGGGAGCAAGAAGAGGAGAGAGTGGTTTAGGAGAAGAAGATGTGAAATTAGAAAGCTGCGGTGAGCGACACCCTCTTTATCCTGAAAATCTCGTCGAGGAAAAGTGGTGTTGTGGTTTCCTGGGTCTGGGCCACACCGCTTGAGTGGGGGTTCGCAGAGATACAGAAACACAACGCGGCTCGACAGTTTCAAAGGAGGATGGTGTTGCGTCCCCCGACAGCGGGCGAGATATGCACGTGCGTGTCGGATTGGTCGGGTGATTTTAATTTCAGCAAAGCATTTATAATCGGAACGGGGGACACGGCGTCTGAGTATGGTGTCACTTAAGAGAGAGAAGGGGATGAAAACAGCGCGAAAAAATCAGGAAAGACGGGGACAGCAGAGGCATTATATCAAGATAGAGAGCGACAGCAATGACGACAATGAAGCCCATTTCCTAATGGGGCAATGGAACTTTTGCTCACGATAATCGAACTCTCTTCAAGCTTTCGGGTTGCGTAGGGTGTGACCTCCGACGCTGGCGCTGACTGGCTGGAGTAGCCCGAACAAGAATATAAATCGGAAGCAGAACATATTCTCTCTTGTGATAATGGAGAGATTGACATATGCTATACCGAACCGATGGCCTTCCCCGCTCAACAGCCGTAGCTACGCGCAGTGGCGTGCGATTGTTTACCCCTCCGTTATGCCGCACCACTATGGCTTTGGGAAATAGGAGTACAGAGAAATCACTGCACTTGGCGATCGTGTCGAGAGAACAGCAGTGGCGAGAGTTTCAGCGCTGGCGGAGGCCCGTTCCCGTCCACTCGGCAGCTACGAGTACCGCTAGCATGATCTGGAGTGCAGAAGACCGTTCTTTAGTGCAGCTCAGAGCTGTTGCTCTGAGACCTCGTACTGTATGAGGCACCCCGTGTGATGTCGATCGAGCCATTATGCTATCAAGCGTGTGCCGACGGGAGCAAGCGCATTCCTGGCGAGCAGCGCAACAGCAACAGCAACAGGAACACCACGGTTCACAGCGTCGAGGAATCGAGACGGGAGCGTGTCTGTCATGGCCACATATGCGGTATGCCCCGAAGATGTCCCGTTGCCCGCCAGTCACCAATTATTGCCCCCGTACGAGGGATGCGACAAGAATAACGATCTTTGGTCAATATCCCAGGCTCAATCGTAATTCCAGGCTTGGCTGTCGAGAAGAAACCGAACCCAAAGACATTTTACTGCTCGGACGGAGCAGTGTCCTAACGAGATCCTGGGGAAGCGGACCCGAGGCGAAGAACAAGGCATCCAACTGGAGCAAAATTCTCCCCGCAAAATATGAATCGCGCCAATAGCGCTGGCCAGCAATGCCGATAACGCAACGGAAATGCAGAAAGCGTTCCTTTTTTTCGCAGCAACGTACAAGAGTCAGGAGGTCCAAGGTACCTATTGGTGGTCACTGCTAAAAAATAGCGCTACACCTCGCCAATGAGGAAAAAGCCCAGTTGATGGCGGTTAAACATGCCTTTCTGACTGGTGCCTGGCGGACCTGGGGCTTGGGACGTCTTGGCTAGCCTTTATTTCGGGCAGTACAGAGTAAGCATTTCTGGGAGGCTTGGTAAACAAAAGGAAAGAAACCGGATATACTTACCGTGGGGTCCAAAAGGAAGACACCGACAGGATTCAGGTCGCAGTGGAGGTGACGTGGAAGTAAAATCTCGAACAGGGCTAGGCTTCGTTGCTGCGCAGATGCGGCCCAGAGACTTATTATTTTCGCGCCGCAATCGCGCAGTGCTTTGGAACTTCGTACACGGCAATTGTGTAGTATCTGGATGTTATTTAGACCGGGTGACCAGCCGCTCAGCCAGCACACTTCATCCTGTCTGCGTATCCGATACTCAAGTGACCGTATAGCCCCCCTTTCTTACTCAGAAAAGAATTGATATTGCTTCCGGCTCGCCCCTATTCGCAAGGCGCCCAATACCAGAGACCGATTCGTACCGTGCTCGAGTATGTATTACATGCTCGTATACGTAGACCGAGTACTGATGCGCTTGGTTCGAGGAAATGACATGTATTTGCAGTTAGGATTCGGCTGCACGTCATACTCCGTGCCACAAATCTTTTGGAGGTTGTTGCCCATCTGATTTGAGCGCCAACCTCGATGCTTGATACCCGTTAGGTCTGTCAGGCACATCTTCCTTTCAGGTAGCTGGAGTGCTGCATCGTGAGATAAGACCTCCACTGACTGGGCGGCACGTAAGACATTTTCGGTGCATATGACTGGGCAATGGGCAACGGTCAATGATTCCCCTGGAAGCTCGTAAATCCTGAGCATTCGAAAAAGGATCCTTCTGACCAGGCTGCGGTTTGAGATATGGTGCTGATTACAGCCATCTAGCATGTTTACCTCGTTCGTAAATACCTATACTTCGTAATGCCCAAATCATACAGTCTGCCTAGGGGTGGATACTTTCCTATCGTAATCTCAAGACGATGACCGTCAAGGCAAATGATATAATTTTGCGGTCAACGTTTGGATGGCCAGAGTTCACAGGCGGCGCTTACGGTGACGCCACAAACTGACATTCGGTAGGCGACTGTTTCATTTTGTGGGTTTGCTTATCGATAGTGGGAGTTGATTGATAGGAAGTCGACCACGGCAAATTGTTCTGCACCCACCCTCGCTTATGATTGGATCTTGACTAAAAATTGTATGGTGTTGAAGAATACTTTACATAGTCCGTATCTCAAAAGGTTGCAGCTGATAGAATTGCAATTATCCGTGTCGTCAGTCGTCAAATAGCATGACATCGGAACCCTGCAGATGTGGTCTGATTCTCCGAGGAGGGAATGGGGTTTTCCTGTTTGTTCAAAAATATGTCGCGATTCACAGTCCGTGAACTGTAGTAATATTGTTCAAGGGTCAAGGTTCAAAGCCCTACACCACAGCGCCAGCCACATCCTTGAAAAATACAGTATACCGCATGGAGCGAGGGATGCCTCGTTGCAGGTGGGGTAATAGTAGGGCGGGTCAAATACTCAACTGCCTTCAGATTCCTGCCAGATTCTGGGTCTCGAAGCCTTGAGTGCTGGTGATATACGAGTAAACGAGTAACCTGGCCCCGAGTGATCTTGCAGATGGGCCACTTGTCCTAGAAGAGGGCTGTGTAATATGACTGCCCGGAGACCGTGGAAGGGGCCCAACTGGCAGGTAGAAAACCAAATGAATAGATGGTCGGTGTGAGTCGTGGTAAAATTGTTGATGAACTTGGACGGGCTGTGGAGAGGCGAATGGCGTTCTGGTGCATGGATAATCATGGGCCATAGATAACTCGATAAGTACCCGACGCTCGAAATGGGAAGTCCAAACTTACGAGTACCACAAAGATACTAGTCATTAAAAAGGGTGGCAAACTTGCCGCGCAAGTCACTTGAGAGAATGTGCCAATTGTTGTCGTCCAGATTAATGTCCGCTTGCCGGCTGGCTGCCGAGACCAACACTCCAGTTGCCAGTTGGAAGCCATCGTTGTACTTTGTAGCGTTGCACGAAAACGGGAGAACCGTTGCATCAGTTGACGGCCGCTCAAGGAGGCCAACTCCTCCGGCAGTGCATGCACCGCAACAGGACGGGATCCCCAGGCTACGAGCAAGGCTGGAGGTGCTGTGGGTACTGCTTAACTGACTGCTTGTCAGAATGGATTTCTGGAAGTTGTGCCTCGCAGCTGACGCTGACGCACGACATCTGTCGCCATGTTTAAGCTGTCGAGCCATCGATCTCATTGCGGCGTGAAGCACTGCTGGGCCGCTGGAGATCTTGATGTGAGATTAACTCAACTCGGTCACCACCTGGTTGTACAATCAGATGAGACGAACTTGATGGCCCGCAGGGAGCCTGCAAGCAAGCCTGGGGAGCTTCATGACAGGTGCTGAGTGAGCCCTCAAGCAGAGGATCTCTGATCTCAGCCGTCATCCTCCATCCTCCATCGATCCTTAAGGGCCGCGATCATTGGAATCAAGATAGCACATGGCACCCCCGTTTGTGCATGCTGCGAGCCGCGGCATCAAATCGGATGGCCGCCATGATTGGCCTCGATCCGCTGCCGTCCGATATTTGCACACGTATTTGCCCATCTCAGGGCGGCCAAGGCGGGCTTTTTTGGTTGACTTTTCGAGTCCGGGGAAGTCGAGTACAGTAGTAGTGGGCAACATCCAGGCCATATCCCTGGGGCGAAGGCGGGCGTTGGAGAGTATGAGGCACGATACCTCCGTGCTCCGTACCTATTGTACGAACTGCAGACTTGGTATATTATTCGAATAGCTGGACTGTTACGGTTGTAATGACGTTGTAATGTATCGGCGCGCAGAAGCCGCGGAGTCGCAGGACTAGCAGTATGTGACGTGTCTGTAACATATCGGTTTCTGCTGCGCTGCGGTCCGCGGTTCGCTCTCTGCAGCACCCACAGTAATAAATAATAATAATGAATCGAATGGATCATAGCCCGTAGCCTTAGCGCGGCCGCTCAGGGCCTCATCCCAGATCCCCAGGGTCTCATTGTCGACTGCCGCTCTGCCTCTCTTCTCCTTGTTGCCCACGGTCGCTGGTGCATCACAGCTCCTCCTGGCATTCTGCCACCGCAGGCCAATCTAGCTGACGCTGTCCCCGTCCAGGTGAGCCTCGCGCCTTCGCCATGGCGTCCTGTAATAATAATAAACCTTGTCTGATTTCCGCTGAAGGACTTGGGCTAATAATCTGACGGTATTGCTGTGTGCTGTGTGCGGTGCTCTGAATCCTTCTCCTGTCTCAACCAAAACCCTCCCTTCCCTTCCCTCTTCC